TCCATTAAATTCAGATTAAATAGAGTAATAAATATAAAATAGTATTTAGTACTTATTAAGGGTACTATTAGTATAGGGTAATACTATTTAGATTTATAAATACTCTAGCTATTATATAAGTATATATAAACCATATATTATGGGAATACTTAGATAAGTATATTAAGGTCTATATAGATAATATATTAGTATACTCCTAGATGCTTAAAGAACATATTAAATATATCTGAAAGGTCTTAAAAGCGCTAAAAAAACATAATTTACAGCTTAAACCATCTAAATATAAATTCTATAAATAGAGAATCAAGTTTATTAGACTAATTATATCAGAAAAGGGACTGGAAGTAAATCCGGAAAAGGTTAAGAGGATTAAAGAATAGCCTAAACCATAAATAGTTAAGTAAGTTTAAGTATTTTTAGGATTTATAAACTATTATTAATAGTTTATCCCTAGATATTTAAGGATTGTAGTACCACTTACTGAACTTATTAAGAAACAGGAAAACACTAGTATTACTTCCTAGAAGTTTCAGTAGACTAAAGACACTTAAAAAGCCTTTAATAAGTTTAAGAAATTAGTTATAACTATACCAATACTATAATTATTTGATAAGAAAAAGCTAATAAAAATTAAAATAGATGCTTCCAAATATACCCTTAGAGTAGTCCTAAGTTAATAGGGTAAAGATAGGCTATAATAACTAATAGTCTATCACTCTAGAAAGTTTACTAATATGGAGACCAGATACTCTATATTAGATCAGGAGTTACTAGTAATTATTAATATATTTAAATATTAATAACACTACTTAGAAGGTACTAAAGATATATTCTTAATCTTATTAGACTACTAGAATCTCTGGAACTTCACCACTACTAAAGTGCTAAATAGATAATAGTTAAAATAATTATATAAATTATCATTATTTAACTTTAAGATCAAATATTGGAGTAGAAAATTTAATACTAATACAGATATATTAAGTAAAAGAACCAACTATAACAAAGGAATAGAGGTTAAATATACTCTCCTATAGTAAAAAGGAGACTCTATAATATATTAAATGGCATCTTTAATCAAAATTAATATACCTGAGATTTAGAGGATTCAAACTGAATAATCAAAAAGGGATTTTATTAAATAATATATAGACTATAATAATAAACTATAGGTCTATATATATAAAGGGAAAATTATACTACCTCCAAACCTTAAAAAGGAATAAATACTTAAGTATTATAAGCTACCTTTACAAAGTCATACTAAAGTAGAAGAAGTCTTAGAAAGATTATAACGAAACTACTACTTTCCCAGGATACAATAAAAAGTTTTTATTTAGGTTAGGGGTTGCTATTTGTGCAAGAAAGCCAAGTATAAATAATATAGACCTTATAGACTACTTTAACTAAATAAAGTACTAGAAAAGTCTTAATAGGAAATATTAATAGACTTTATTAGACCTTTACCACCTTCTAAGGATAAAAATAATATAGAATATGAAAATATTATAATTACTGTCAACCACCTAATAAAATATGTGATATTTATCTTAATCCCTTAATAATTTACAGCCTCTTATTTGGCGAAAGTCTTCCTGAAAGAAGTAGGGAAGTTTGGTATACCTGAAAAGATTATTTCTAATTAAAATAAGATATTTATATCTTATTTCTGGAAAGAATTATACTAAATATTATAAATAGTATAGGGAATATCAATAGTATATTATCTATAGAGCAATAGCTAAATAGAATAAGTAAACCAAATACTGGAATAATATTTATAAATATATATTAATAATAAATAAAATAATTAGATATAGCTTTTACTATAGGTAATACTAGTATATAATATAACTAAATAAAATACTATAGGGATATTACTATATTATATAAACTTTAGAAAGGAACTAAAATTAATAATTAATATATTAGTATACCTACCTATAGAAGTAACACTATTTATAGAGGACCTATAATTATTTTATACTTAACTACAATCTAATATTATATTCCTGAACTAAAGAATAATCTCCTAAGTAAATTAAAAAAGGTCTAAGAGACCAGACCTTAAAGAGGGGGATAAAGTTTATCTTTAGTGATGAAATATTTGTACTAAATACTAAAATAATAAACTTAACTTTCTAAAAATTAAACTATTCAAAATTAAGAGGATTATAAGACTAGTAAATTATAAGCTATAACTACCAAAAAATATAAAGATATATCCTATATTCTATATTTCTCTATTAGAAAAAGTGGATCTGGAGGTCCCACTCAACAAAGAAACCAACCTTAAGGACCTGGCTAAACCGGAATATGAAATAAAAAAGATCCTAAATTATAAAATCTAAGGATATTAGTACTTCTACCTTATTAAATAGAAAGGTTATCCTTTAGAAGAAAATATTTAAGAACCTTATAAGAACCTGAATTATCCGCTTAAACTACAGTATTTTTATAAGGAATATCTAGACTATATTCCACCACTAGGATGGAAGTTAAGTCTAAATTAGGATCCTTAGGAGATAGGTTATCCAATCTTTATTACTTTAGACTATAATTAAAAGATTTAGGATCCCAGGTACTCCAGATGGGAAGACTATTTAAAAGAATATTATTTTAAATAACTAAATCCTTTAATAATTCCCCTAACTTAATATTAGAAAAACTATTACTTTTTATATACTATATCTCTTCTTCCTTTTCTAATTTATTTAGGAGATATACTGCCTTTGCTTTCGCGCGATCCTCAGCCAGTTTCAGAATCTTTTGATTTTTCCTTAGACGCGCGGTAATCTTTTCCAACTCCAGTAAGTTAATATCTATTTATAACTTTGCCTCTTCTCTAATTCTATCTAGAGAGGCCTAGGATAAGTTAATATAAGGAATTCCTTTTAAAATATAGGAAGCGCATTTTACTAATTTTATTCTAAATATAAAGATATAATAGATACTATATTTAAAATAATTTTAATATATTATAATTACTATATCTCTATAAAGTTTAATCTTACTATATACTTACTTCACTTTATAGTGAAAGTATATTACTTATAAGACCCTACTAAAATCTTTAGAAGATAAAATAGAATAAGACATCTTTAAATCCTAAAGAAGGGCAAAACAGTACTTAAATGAACTGGCACTTAGGATAAACTTACTAAAGAGGGGAATAATATTACAGTATACTTATTAGTATAGCTAGGGTAATATAGGTTATTACTAAGCAATGCCAAGTAATAGTCTTAGTCTTAGCATATAAGACTTTCTATACCAGTCTCAGCCTTAGTAAATAAGACTATATATATAAGTCTTATCAGAAGTAATTAAGACTTGGTTATAAAGGATTAAGAACAGGTCTATATAAGGAGAGCTACGCTTAAGCCTATACTTACTATAATTCAACTATCTAGTTTATCTAGTAATTAGTTTAAATATATTCTCATACTCTTAAAGCTCAGACTACTCTAAGCCATAAATATAATAATCTTATTATATTCCTTCCATAACAAGCTCTTATTATACATTATTCCTTTGCTCTAGGAAGCTAAACCCTTCCGAAGTGGCTTATATTAGTGAAGCTAGTCGGTATCGGGAAAGTATTCCTAACAACATGAAGCTCGAACGGCCCAGGCTCATGCATATTTCTTCAGGCATTTATGATAGCCTTGAAGCCAGCCAGGTCGTTCTTATAACCGACTCGCTTTACCTCCTCTCGTGAGTAATATTTGGACTTGGATGAGTTGATTGCTACCGTTCATATTCATAGGTCAGCACCAGAGAGCTTTTGTTTGACCTCGTCGAAATATATCCCATGATCGTCATCAGCCAACACTGAAGCTTTGATGCGTCGGCAGCAGATCCGAAATCAGTCTGCGCATGAATATGGCAGCGATTTAGAACCATAAAAGTTTTACTTTGAGGGTCCTTGGGCGCTTCTCTGACACTGTGATTATGAAGCCACTTGCGAGGATTCTGCATAGTAATTGAAGAGTATGGTATGCAGTTGAAACAGCGTGGGCACTTGGCGAGTTCCTAAATTTGGCGAACCTTAGTGGAATTAAGTAACGTAGCTAAGATGGCGCTCCAATACAAGGGCAGCTTAATATTCTTCTATCTCATCTTTTAACATCGTCGAGGGAACTTGCAAATGGATATCAGCAGATATTAAAGGTGGCCAGATACTTCATGCTCGGTGTAGTAGTTCTCAAAGATTTACGACAGTGCTTTCTCAATAGCTTGCTCATCGGGTTGTTCACTTCAGAGATAATTCCCACCCGCTTCGCCGTCGCACAGGTTAACCCCAATTTTCGCAAACGTACCATATATTCCTCCGATTGAGGACCGTCAGGCACGAACAGCTCTTCCAGCACCTACCGGTAGTCTTCGAGGACAATTTGTTAATGGAAGTTGATGTCCACACACGGGATAGAGGTGCAAATGATCTCGGAAGACTTGGTCATGAAACAAAGGAAATGGAAAGCCTAGTCTTTGGAACCCATGGGCCCTAGAATATCGAAGAAAGAGGTTGCAGACTCTGATATCATGACAAAATCTTGATACATAAATTTCTGCATCAGGTTGAACTATTCATAAAATTATTAGCTTTCATATTTTGGATGGGGACATATCACCTGTTCGCATGGATAATTCGGCCACACACGGATAGACAGACTCGTTATGACATCCTTACAGTAAACTTCTCATCATGGTCAGGTAAAGGGCCTTGCAGGAACGGAGAGCTCCTGTCAAGCCGCTCAGCCTGCCAAGGTGTTCGGAGCCTTGCTCGACGAACTTGCCCAGAACCTCTGTAGCAATAAATGCGTCATAGCTATTCCCAAGAACAAAAATGTCGTTGCGGCCGCCAAAGAGATTGCACAACAGTTAATAGGTCGAGCTGTCGTCAATCTTAAATCTGAAGGCGCGCTTGAATTCATGAATTGTTGGCGCAGACTCAATAACTTGAGTGTCAAATTTTTATAAAAAAGTCGAGATGCATCAAAAAAAAAAAAAAAAATAGACAGTAAAGGTCTCAACGTCTGTGCTGGGAGATGTCCTGAAACATGTATCGCATCGCGAAGAAGTAAAAATGTCAACTCTAAGCTCACAGGACAAATTCTGGAGCATAGGATTCGAGGCAGCCTCGACAACATGCGGAAAGTTCTTGCCGTGAATCATCTCTAGAAGGCTTTTCATTGCGCCCAAAGCCTTTGGGTTTAAGGTTGGAGAGTGGAAGAAAAAAGCTGCGGCTGTGTCTGTCTGGTCTACCCGAAGATCATCAGAATTAAATCGAATATCCTACCCGTTGAAAATCATATCCAACCAGATGTCATTTCCGCGTTGATGCCCCTCGACGAGCTTTAAGCTCTCCTTCTACTAAGTTCTCCGAAAGCGTTCTCAATACCCTTCTTGATTTCTTTGAAACTGACAACAAACACACTTTGCTCATCTCTGCTACAAAGCTGAATCCTCTCCTCGCTTCCGGCGTCAAGCTTGTTCAAGCAATTGATGATATGTCCGAGGTCTGTAATTGGTCGGCCTTGTTCATCCACGGCGTGGAAGACGTAGTCTCTGAAGAGCTTGAGGTAATATCTCTCGCCCGTCTCACTCCACTGAGGATTGTGCTCGTACTCTGGACGCTCGTTGATCAATCCTAGTTTCGCCATTAGCCGAACAAGCCGGCCATTCTCGAGTTCAGCCATAAGCGTTTGAGTGAGTGTGTCGGTTTCGTGGAACTGCATATCCAGAGCCTGAGCCATTTCCCCTGAAATACCCTGTAAAAACACGTCGATATTTTTTTCAACACCGGTATCCGAGGATATTAGCCAAGTCACACATTCTCTGAGTTTCGGCGTGTATGTTCGCGTTAAATGCTCCATAGCCTTGCCGATGTTGAGTGCAGCATTGGCATTACCTGCTATACTGAGTATTAGACGACCCAGCTGAACGAAGTCGTCTTGTTTGAGTTGTTCCAATTGGAACTGAGAATCAAATTGCACTATATCGAGAATGCCGCACGCATTCAATCGTATGCGATTCTTCGAAGTGACAATTATTTTATTTGGAACAATCGTCCGTACCGCAAGTCGCAATGAATGGCATGCTTTAATTGCGGATGCCAACTGCACAATGTACGACCACAGGACGTTCTCTGGTACATGTGGAGATTGCTGACGGCTTCCGTATCTGCCACCTGAATGGCTCTGAAGATGCGTTTCGGCAAGTGATTTTGAATTCGGGTGGTAGTCGGTGACTACAATGAGCGAGCTGTCACCGAACTCACGTGTTGTGAACGCCTCGTGTATGTGGACGATAGAGCCATTATCAACTTGCTTCCATTGACGCGCTGCATGAATTGCCTTCTCGTTTGTAAGGCGAAAGCCTTCCAGGCGCCGCAATGCGTAGTATTTGCCATCTTTGCTTGACTGGGCTTTATATAGCCAAGTGACATAGCCGAATGTTGTGCTACTGCGTTGTCCGCTTGTATCGAGGGGAACAAGCGAATGAAAATGATCAATATTTGGAAGCGTAGAGCCTTGCGGTTTGCATTAGCGAATTGTAAGCTGAATGGGTCGGGATACGAACTCGGTAGAATTTGCAATGTGCTTTCGGCCTTTTTTTGCAGCTCCTCCCTGAGCTTATCAGGCATGAAAAAGTCGTGCGCGGTGCGTTGATAAGCTAGTAGATTTTCACGGTGAGGCCCTAATGGCGCATAGTTATGGTATTGGGCCTAGTGATGTTAGAAAAACTTCAGTCATCAAGATTGCCTGCGTTGAAACAGTACGCACCGGTTGGGCGAATGTGCTTGTGTTCTGATAGAACGCCGTCCCCGACAGCGAGGATGCATCTTGAGCATAAGGATTGAGTGCAGCGGCAACATGGTTATTTGTGATGCCTTGCACTCCAGTTCCCAAGGTAAATGGATCTGAATAGCCTAGCATACTAGCGGCAGCAGCAGCGGCAACGCTTGGATCGGCGGACGATATCAACTGGCCGGAATACTCCGTCTGCGGGACGAATTCGTGAAATGGCTGACCCGTAGACCAGCTCGATTGTGGTAGTCCACTTTGCACGTTTGCGGGTTGCGTAGCTAATACGAAACGTTAGATTCTTTCTACCCAGATTAGAAGGGAGTCTGATGCTGGTAACTCATTTTGCATCTGTGGGCTAGCAAGCTTCCATATGACGCTATTGCCTGGAGGGAGTAACTTGAACGTGAAAAGGGAAACAGACTTGCAGCATTTGTCTTTGGAGTGAATGGCGTCGCAGTTGCTGATTTTGGCGAGATAGTAGTATTTCGCGGGTCATGCTGCCCATTCGAAGCGAGCTCTTTTGGTTGGAAGGCAGGTGACTCAACATTGAGACGTTTACTATGAAAGTTAGAGTTTCTGATATTTGGAGAGATCAAGAGCGAAACGCACGCACCTGTTGTCATTATTCCGTGTGCTGTTTACATCATGATTGAAGGCGCAACCATCCTTCTCCCAGCGGCAATGACCATATATACCGATATTTCGACATAAGGTGTTCTTCGCGTTTTCTCTCCCCTTGGGGGGCCTTGGAGAGGCAAGCCCTCTCCGCGCGTCTCCGTTGTTCGGGCTTAATGTAGCCATGTCTGATGCTACCGAGGCCAGCTCTTCCACGACATCTGTGGTCTGCGTATCCGAGTGGTCATCTGGCAGCGAAGTCGAGGAAGGTAGTTGCAGATGTGCCACACTGTCTGTGCTTGCAAGGCTAGACTCGTAGTATCGACTGTTAGGATTGCATGCGATGCATAAACTACGTTCTTTGGTTTGAATCCGTGGTTCTCAGCACTGAAGAGAAGCAGAAAGCCTAAGCAGGCTCCGGAAAGATGGTAGAGGGAGCTCCTGAAACAGCAATTGAACGCGAAGCGCTTGTTTACCGATTGGAACGACGAAATATGGTGGAGGGGAAATACTATGCAGCATATAATAACCGTACTTTGGACCTGGAGTATAGACGCCGCAGCGGGACCGAAGTTTCTTTACGACCTTGTCGTTGGAGTCAGAGTACGAGTATAGGGGAATTTCAAGCCTGGCCGGATCTTGGTGCCCTATTTAGCTGTGACTACTTAGCTCGTATGTAGAGGTGATTGCATGTTAGCAGGGTATACCTCTTTGTCTCTTCTGTTTGCACCCAACTATTCAATTGCCCGTCTACAGAGCGCAAGAGCAGTCCATAGCTCTGGCGCCTTTTGTTTCGTCGGCACTAGCGCTGGAACAGTCACTGCCGCTTGCTCTGGACGCGTGTGCGGATGCTGTACTGGCGAAGGCGGTGGGCAGTGATCGATACGGGAGAAGTAGTAGAGCGCTCACAGCGCAGGCGAGCAAGCTGCACTGCGGGAGCGCGGCATACTGACTGTGTGGGGCATTCAGGCGCAGCAGGGCACCGAAAGAAAAGCTCTTCAGCCATCCAACGATCCATCGCTTACGACGACAGTTGCTGCTGTTGCTGTCATTGTTACCGCTCCTGCGTCCACTTCTGATACTACTGCTGCCATTGCCGCTACCTGCTTCTGCTTCGGTAGTTCAAACAAGCGCCAATATTGACCTGACCTGACTTGACCAGCGCCGGCCCTTCGCTCCTTCACAATCCTCAGCCTTATCACGCTGCACACTGCTACTCCGGCCCAAAAAGTCACCTTGCCGACTTCTTTACGCACACGTCGCTGCGGAATATGCGACACTTTTGACCTTCACAGCTGTCAAAGAAAATTTTACTGTCAGAGCTAGGACGGGGCTCTCATTATCTGTCTGCCATCGAGACTCCGTTCCACGCTGCCTCGTTTCTTCCGCGCTGTAACCTCGTCACAGCTCTTCATCTTGACCCCCAACCGTATTCTTCATGCCTCAACCGCGATAACACATCTTCCCTACATCAGCACACGTTATGGCAAGTTCCGACATCGACCTCAATTCGTTGACGGACGTGCAGCGAGCTTCCCTAGACCAAGTCATCGCCTTCACGAATCAGGAAGCGGCTTCAGCACTACAGTTGTTGCAGAGATGCGAGTGGAACGCTCAAATCGCGATATCACGCTTTTTTGATGGCGAACCTACTGTAGACCCTATAGCCGAAGCTATGACACAGCGTCCCGAAGACATAAGGAGGCAGGAGACGCTGATGAATGGCTTTTCGAATCCACAATCGGTCCGGCGAGATGTCATTTTAGAACCCGCGCCGAGAGTCGTTCTCCAGAATGATGCGCATATTTCATATCGTTCCAATACCCTCCTTGGCATAGTCGTCGTGCCCATTTCCATTGCATATGCGCTGTTCTCGCGTGCTGTTAGGCTTTTCGGGTACTTGTTTCCTTTCTTACCCAGGCTTTTTGGACGTCTTCGGGGGTCATCCCAAGGCACATCTCCAAGCCACACAGCGGGAGGCAGGATACCGTTGAAACCTAGAGATGCCGCATTACGCTTCATTCGAGAAGTTGAGGAAGAGTATGGCACAAACGAGCTACCATTCTTCGAGAATGGATATGCTCAAGCCCTTGATTCCGCGAAGAACGACCTCAAATTTCTTCTTGTTGTGCTCGTTTCTCCTGAGCACGATGATACCGCCAGCTTCATACGCGACACTCTTCTTGATCCGGCCGTTGTGACCTTTGTCAAAGACCCTGCAAACAACATCCTTCTATGGGCGGGCACGGTACAAGATGCGGAAGCTTATCAGGTGTCTACTGCTCTCTCTTGTACTAAATTTCCCTTTACGGCTGTGATTGTTCATACGCCCTCCGTCTCCTCCACAGCAATGTCCATTGTGCAAAGGATTGCCGGTCCTTTGCCGGCGCGGGAGTACATTTCCAAACTTCGCAGAACAATCGAACAATACAGTCCAAGTTTGACAACCGCGAGACGAGCAAGAGATGAGCAGAATGCTGCGAGGAGGATTAGAGAGCAGCAGAATGAGGCATATCAGCGTAGCCTTGCACAAGATAGGGAACGGGCGAGGAAAAAGCGTGAGGAGGAACAAAGGAAAAAGGATGAGGAGGACCGTATACGTCGTGAGGAAGAGTACAAGCAGAGTTACGCGAGGAATTTGGAGCAATGGCGCCAATGGCGCGCGTCCCAAATACCCCCAGAGCCTGACGCAGATGTGAAGGATGCAGTGCGTATAAGTATTCGCATGATTGATGGTAAGAGAGTGATCAGAAAATTTCCATCTGATGCTACACTTGAGGATCTTTACGCATTTGTTGAATGTCATGATACTCTACAGTCAGGCCCTATTATACAGAAGGTGCAGGAGCCCTGTGACTTTAGCCACGAGTATAAATTCAGGCTAGTCAGCCCCGTGCCACGTGAAGTATACGAGTTGGAGCCGGGAAGAACAATCAAAGACCGGATAGGCAGAAGTGGAAACCTGATAGTTGAGAGGACAGATCTCGATGATAGTGAAGAGGATGAAGCTGAGGAGTGATCTTTCGCAAAGTAATTTACCTTAAATTCTAGTTCAGACAGAACAAAGTACAAACTGCATCCATTTTTGAGACCTCATGCTTAGTTTGTGCACTCGAGATCCTTCCTGTTGTGCTGATCCTTGACCATTCTTCAAGAAACATGCACAGCAATTATCATTTACATGTTCTCGCGAGGATTTCTTAATCGAATAAGAATGAGACAAGAGCTTCTGCTAGTCTAACCTCCATTCATCCTTTAATGCTCACATACATAGTCATTTCTCATCCCGAAATTGGTGAGGGGGGGCGGTGAGGTTCTAGTGTTCTACAAAATATTCGACGTCAAATATGGGTCAGTTCTCGAAATATTCTGTTGCTATGCATTTTGCAATTCCTAATTGACGCATGACCAAAATTTGCACATTATTTGCTTGTTAACCAAAATTCGACCATTGGATATATACAGATATATATAATCTTCCACTTCATACTTGGTGCTCAACCTCTGTTCTCACTCAGTCTATATTAATCAAGACTTTTGATCTCTTTCAACAACTATGGAAGTTGTTACTTAAAGGCGTGGATCAGGCTCTGTTATTGCCAATGGTCTGCATAATTACACAACCAGGAGCCTGATGGAGAACATGCTCTGAATTTGAAACAGACTTAAAATCTCATTACGCATATGTACTTTCTAGTAGGACCAAGTTGCTTCTGTGGAGAATGTCGGTCCATCTTGTCATGGGAGATTTTTATCGTCCTCTTTATGTACCGCCGGTGAGGTTACCGATCGTTTGGGACCACAACATTAACCATGTGAGCTTTACGTGTGTTTTATCTTCGTCTCGGCACACGCAGGAGTTTGTTGCCTTGGTGTTGAAAGAGGCGCTACGCACTTCTGGCCGATGTTTCATCAGCCAATGAGATGTTATTATCTCCAGCCCGGACAGCTTTGCCTCATGAATGAAAGCATTATGTATATAAAGAAGAAATATTGTGAGAGCTCTTGGAATATAAACAAAGACACAAAGGACAGGGACGTACGATAGCAGCATGGTCGCACTAACACCAGAACAAATTTGCTTGTATCGCTTGCAGGGTTATATCATCCTGCGGGCAAACGTACATGACTTGGTCAAAGAGTCAGAATTGAAAATTTGGACTGATGAGGTTGCCAATTGGCCTCGTAATACGGGGAAATGGACGCCATATGACGAAATAAACACAAATGGAGACAGGCAGCAATTGCAGACGGAAAATTTGCAGATTACCATGCTCAAATTGCTAAATTACTCTACGGACAGGAACTAGCGAACATACTTCAACTACTCTCCGGGAGGGAGATGCAACTGTTCAAAGCCAAGATTAACTACAAATTGCCCAAGGGGAATGGTTTCCACGCTCATCTCGATGGACCAGCATATGACCACATTTGCAAGACAGAGCATGTGACTGCGAACTTCGCTGTCGACCCTGCGGATTTGGAAAACGGCTGCCTCGAGGTCGTTCCAGGTTCTCATAAAATGATGGTTGAGTTGGCTGATGGAGGTCCCATTTCTGACGACTGGATTGCCAAACATGATTGGGTTCCTGTACCACTAAACCCAGGAGACATTCTGTTCTTCGGCAGTCACTTAGCCCACAAAAGCGGCCCCGACAGAACCAAAAATCGAAGAGCTAGCCTTTACGCTACATTTTCAGGGAAGGCCGATGGTGAAAATCTTCGCGAGAAATATTACATCCATCGACGGATGGTTTTTCAACCAGATCATGAGCGTGAGGAAGGGAAAGGTTATGATGATGGTTGGAAAACATACGGCTTCGCAGCTCCGTTCTCGAAGCCGAAGGTTGATGAGCCGGCAAATGCGATTGTGACCCATTGATTTGTTGCTTTGGTGTTCGATTTCGAGGCGATTCCAGGTAAAAGTTAATGATCTTGATTAGCAGAAATGAATCTTCGACATCTGTTATTCACTTTACCGCCATTGTGTAGACCACTGCTTGTCAATGCCTTCCTATTCTTTCGAGCCCCGAAAATTGTGTGCGGCCTTCGCGAGAATATGTAGAAAATTAACAGAGCCGTGCTTAATGATTTGTGAAATCATATGAGAGAGGCCAAGCTGGTTCTACTCCACTATCCTGAGGGCCCAATAGATCAAAAGTCATCCAGTCGAAATCAGAATTGATGAATTGTTCAGAGTTTGGTGTAGATGCTGGAGGCTGGTGATGATTTGCTGGCTCAAGAGCCATACCGTCAGCAGCAGGCGCACGAGCCGCATCTTTAACACGCTGCAGTAAGCTGGCAAGACCCTCGGCAATCACAACAAGTATGTGATTACGATGTACGCCTTCCGCGATATTTTTGAGCACAAGCGTCATGTCTTCCACGAGATGTAAGAGCTCTGTGCTGTCAACACGAGCTGGCTTTGCGTATTGAGTTGCGACCTTAAGCAGGAAAACCACTGCAAATGCTATCATAGTATCAAAGTATAGTGGAAGTCCATTGAGATGAATCTGCATCTCCTTGTCCTCGATAAGCGTCCTAAGGATGGATTTAGCAGCAACGACGGCTGCTGAAGCAACTTCTTCTAATTCCGGATGGAGAGATGGTATATAAGGAGTAGCCATCCCGGTCTTAATGGGGACACCGCGAAACGCGTGTGAACAGAGGTACAATTTTGCAAAGTGAAAATGCATGCCTACACCTTTAGCGGGATAGTTGCCGACGTGGTCATTCGGGCGAAAGCGTTCGTTCCAGTCTGCACGCCAGGTATCGAGGGCAATTCCGAATCGTCGAATTTTTGGAATCTGTTCGGGCGTGATGGCAGCGTCCATGTCGAAGTCGAAGGTATCCAAGACCCTCGAGCCTGTTGACCATATCTCCACCTGCGAAATTAGACGAAAGTCATCTTCGCCAGCATGCGGGCATCGCATGAATGACTTGGCAGATCGAATCATCTCACAATCTCTTGACATCGGTGATCGACCATATGCAATTGAGAACTAAATCCATCAGAACCTTGGGGCATAGAGATTGACGAACACTTACATGGTGATCACAAACATAGACTAGGTAGTACAGGCGGGTTTGTAAGTACGCTAGCTTATCCCCACGAAGAGCCTTGTTCAGGCAGCGGTGTAATTGCATCTGTGTTGCTATCCGAACTGCAAGTCCTACGAGAGCCCAGGAGAGGTCTGCCAGCCAGAATGCCCCTATACAGAGCCCGCGGATATCGTTCAAGTTGGCGTCTTTTGCAACTACCTGTGCAGCGCAGAGTTCCTGGAATTTGTGGTAGCACTTGTGAAACAAATGGCCGAGTGTCTTCGAATGCAATGCACTCACTGTGCAGATAGCCGCCATGCATAATGGGGAATCACCCCTGACACGCCTTAACGAAATAGATTCACCCAATATGCGATACAAGTAATGGTCGAGTCTGTCTCGGTAGGTTGCGAATAGTGACTCAGCTTGTTCTAGAGTCACGACGCCTTGAGTTACGAAATCTGCATTGAGCGCTGGTATAGTTGGGGTTATATCCGTGCGAACTTCAGAGACGATAGACGCTGGAATAGCTGCCGGTCCAGTATCAATATCCATACGCACTTCCCATGTGCGAATTTGCGGACTGATGAGACTGCTACTTGCGGGTGGGGTGTTGGTAGAGTGTGAAGCTATACAGGCTGGTGCTGAGATGTCATTAGAAAATTCGACCTCTTGCTCTGATGACAGAGCGGCCTCGGGTAACTGAAGTTTGTCCCTGACGGTGTCCATGAATTGCTCCAAGACATGCAGCTTTCGGGTCACCGAGTGCTTCCATGAAGCATCATCCTCTAAGAGCATTTGCAAGCTTTTATTCACGGTGCAAGACAGACCTCGCTTCCGGCATCGTGCACAAGGCGCTTTGCCATCGATCATGTTGCCTATCGGCGTTTAGATTAGCTATTATGTATTGCCATGCTGCCAGTAAAAAATATGTCTGGACGATGCCACTTGGGTTGGTTTCCACGCGCTAAGTGTAACCGGGCCGGGGTCGGCAAACTTGACACCGAACTCCTACGAGATTCGTGGCAAACATCACATACGTACATTTTATTTTTTGTTTTCTGCAAGCAACACATGCTGTCCCAAATCTGTCAGTGTACTAGCCTATCTCGACTAATGATGGTGAGTAGATACCTGTAATCTTTCGAGTAATATCGGGGGGTCGCCTATCTCCGAAATGTTCTCTAATTTGCTCTGCGCTCTGGGGCAATTTGGGTGGCGGCAGCACAAGATCCGCCTCCTCCGACATCTTCGCCTCAGCAGCCTCAATCAAGGCTTCAATCGGAGTGCGGACGGCCGAAAAGCTAGAGTTCCGGCGTTCCTGCCGCACAGTGGAGGCCATGATGCTAGCATAGATTAAATACTGGTCGCCGCGCCAGACCAAGCACGGCTTGTCGCGCGAATTTGACCAGTGTGATAAGCTACGAGACCTCCACTCTCAAACACGTGTTTTTCTTATTGGACAGCTGAAACTTGGATCCCAACGGGACCCGAATATGAAGCCTGCCTTGAAAATATGGCCAAAATTGATGATTCGGGTCACTCTCAGAGTTTGAGGTGGCTTTGAGAAGATGAAAGAGCGAGGAGAATATCCCACAGAATGAGCGACACAATGGGAAACTTGCTTGGCTTAGCTTGAGAACAGACCAGGGTTGGATGCATGAAGACGTGGGAGAACAATGTCGCTCACCAGCACGCGGAAGTGCTGCCCTACGACAGCAGAATTTTCACCCATATCATGGAGACTGTGTCGCTCTCAAAGAGGGTGCGATTCCTCGCTCTCGCGTCTTCTGGCTTGTTTACAGATGGCTATTTGAACCTCTGCATCGGCTTGAGTACGACATTTGGCTCCCTGGTAGACGTCGCGGCAGCCGCGCTAACACTGTACAGTCGTGCCCATGGTGGGCTATGTCTACTTCAAAGACAATAAAAACGCAGTTCCAGTTCATGACAGCGATACTATAAAAGCCTCTCTGGGTAAGGTCTTCCACCACGCGCAGGGAGTTTGATGCACACATAAGGGAGTTGAGACCGGAGAATATGAATTTCCTTCTTTGTGATATAGCGCATTGGTAATTTCAAATCGATAAGTGGTTATACACATCAGTGAATTAGATTTCAATATTCCATGCTGACGTAATTACTGGTTGTAGGGATGGGCATGATTCTCGGCCAGCTTTCCTTTGGACTCCTTGGAGATACGCTTGGAAGACACCGTGTCTACGGAAGAGAGCTTATCGTCACCACGATTGGAACACTTATGTACGTTGAAAAATGCACGTTTTGTACCCTAAACAGAAATATGATCTACACACATTCCTCTCCCCCCACCCAGGGGAGGCGCTTCTTTTATTGGGGCTCTCGGGAATAATTTGAGACATTGCCACCATTGCTGTAACGGATACGTTCCAGAACGAGCCACAGCAAGAGCATAAGACTGATAGAATGAATAATAGGTGTATACTACTCCCATGGAGAGGATTGTCTCACAGTGGCGTAATCGCATGGCTGTCTTGCTGGCGTGTCTTCACTGGGTTTGGAATCGGTGGCGGTTAGTCGTGTGGCTTATGTGGCATTTAAAGTCTCATTTGCTAAGTGACGGCTTAGATTACCCGATGTCTTCCGCACTGGCAGCTGAAAAGGCGCCGATCGGCAGTCGAGCCGTCATGGTTTTGATCGTGTTCTCTTGCATTGGCTTGGGAGCCATTACATCAAGCATCGTATACCTCATTCTTCTTACAGCCTTTAAGAGCTCTATTGATCACGATATCAATAATCTTGAGTACGTCTGGCGCTTGCTCCTAGGACTAGGTATTGTTCCCTGCGCGATGACCGTTTACGCGCGATTGAAGATCAAAGAAACTTTGCCTTACAAGCAATATGTGCTGAAGCGTGATGAGCTATTGGGTAAAGACAAGAGGAGGCCCAAAGACCAGATGCAAGACTTCAAATCCTACTTCAGTAAAAGAAAGCATGCGAGAGTTTTATTCGCTGTATCCGCGGTATGGTTTCTCTTGTGAGTCACTGCGAATTTTATCGCGCGGCACGTATCGCTAACGATCAAAGTGATATCGCATTTTATGGCATCAACTTGAACCAGAGTGTCATTCTCGGGCGTATTGGCTATGGCAGAGGCCCTACGCCATACCAGACTTTACGCAATACAGCGGTTGGAAATATTATTGTCCAATCTGCTGGTTATCTGCCAGGATATTGGATAGGTATTTTTCTTCCAGATTGGATTGGGCGCATCCGTCTTCAGTTCTGGGGTTCTTTGCTTGTCGCTGCCGTTTATGCGATTTGGGCTGGAATCACCAACCATACCAACACGGCTGGTCTCACAGCCATCTTTGCCGTATCTCAACTTGTTCTCAACTCGAGCGTGAATGTAACGACCTTTCTGCTTCCAGTTGAAGTTTTCCCAACTCGTGTTCGTGGAACTGCTCATGGTATCGCGGCGGCGAGCGGAAAGGTTGGAGCAATCATCACTGCGATGTGCTTTGGCACGGTTAATGAAAAGATAGGAATTCAAGGCAATCTAGGTTTGTTTGCGGGAATTATGGTCTTGGCTGCCCTCTGCACGCTTTTGATTCCGGAAACCAAGGGCAAAACTATTGAAGAGATTGAGCATGGTGTTCTCTATGGACATAGTATTCAAGATCGGACAGTAACTTATGCTTCTTCTGTAGATGACAGAATCTCTTACGTGGAACATGTGGACGCCAATTATGGAGAACAAGCCTAACTATTGTCGGAACTCGATTTCAGTCTCAGAAAGCATCTCACCGCAGAGAAATAGCACGGACAGATGGGATCAAATTGTGTGACTCATGACCAACTCCATAATTTGGCTTCTGGCGCATGGTTTTCATGTTCTTGGCTATCTCCATACCCGAAATATAAGACTAGGCGCAGTAAGGTTTATTAATTCCAACATTTTTGTAAAGCTTGAGTGTAGCAATAAATATGAAATCATGCAGGATCTCAATATCCGTGGCCTTCTCTGGTACGTAGCCATTCTCTTTCGAAACACTCCCAGCCACCATCTGGACTCTCGCACATCTTCAGGTCACGCACAACCATCTCGTATGAACCATCCTCGGGTAAAGCCCCGTTGCAGACGTTGCCTCCAATCGCAACATTCAGTATTACCTGAAAGTCTTCCAGTCTCCTCATCCCCCCAGGACGTGTCGCTTTCATGACTGGACGTCCGTCAATGTACCATAGCATTCTGCCACCTTCGCCGCTTTCTGGCTGATCCCAGGCAAACCCGTATATATGAGGCTTGGTGATACTAGAGACCTCAACCTCACGAACACGATGTTTGCTCATATCCTCACCAGCGAAATGCCCCCAATGTAAACAGCAGTGGTTCAGCGTGTTCCTGTTCCATGACTCCATAATGTCAATCTCGCCATCCTCCGGCCACTTGAAGGGCTCAGACGGTAGCAACCAGAATGCAGGCCAAATTCCTTTGGCACTGGGAGAGCTAATGGTAGCTTCCAGGTAGCCACGTCTTTTCGCTAGTGTTTGGTGCGTTCGAAGTCGAGCTGAGGTGTACTTGTCGCGAACCTTAGCTGAAGCAACGACTGCCCTCAGCACTAGGCACTTCTCTTGAGTGTGAAATGAATTCTCTTCGCTATCGGTGTAGTTTTCCAGCTCATTGTTTCCCCAGCCCCAGTCGCCACATTCATGCTTGAAATTGGCGCTTACAGCCGTGGATTGTGAAAAGTCAGCGCTCCAATATATGGATACGGACGTAGCCGAAGATTTACCACTTGAGGGAACGGCTGGAGTCTTGATAGCGTTCTGCAACTGAGGTGGGATATGCTCTTGGAATTTATCTGTGAGCTTATCTATGTACCTTGAAAATGGCATTTGTGTCAAAGAAGGGGAGTGTCTCAAACTTTTGCAGCAAAATGGTCCAACGTTCACGTTGAAGTCAATTGACTGTTTGACGTTGAGATTTTGTGGATCAAGATGCCAGCCAGGTTCTCCGGTTGCGGAGAATCAGAGCTTGTAATATCGATGTTACAAGGATTATCGCGTCCAAGGCCATGTCCGCACCTTGAGAAGAGGAAGGGAACATGAATGGACCCCGCTTTGGTCAGGAAAGGAGGCCAAAGCAACACAAACTCATCATGGAGAGATATGTGTAGACATCCTTGCCTCACAACAGTCATTAACGTTTTAAAATCGTCGTGAGGCATGAAAACATATGGCTTTCATTACGACTCTGAAACTCACGTTGAAGTCCAAAAGTTTAACCTCAGGAGCAAAATTTAATGTCCAGAAAGTACCAGTGGGATCCTGAAGGCATCTGCTCGTGCAGCCATGTTCAGCACCTTAAGCACTGAGCCATTCGACAGTATGGTCAACCTTCGGATGCGTGAAAGGGCCAGCGGTCCCCACGGTACCAAGTAGTGACCCGTCCTGTCTGAAAGCATTTCTTCCAATCTGCGGACCATAAAGCTTTCTAAGTATTCCGCATGATCGATTGCAATTCTCGCGCGTTCGATATCGTTTCGATCTTTGCTGTTCAGTATCTTGATTGGACGAAGAATCTCAATTACGAGGTTCTGGATGATGAAGGGCTTCGCAACCTGTCTTCGACGAGCGTGTACCGCGCAAATTGGGCCATAGAGCAAAAGATTATTTATCACAGCCCCAAGTCTCCACGTCACTGCATATGATGCCGCATCTGGATCCATGCTTGAAGTGCTCATATCTTGAGGGAGAAGATCGCGACCGTCGCTCAACGCAAAGAACGTGCGAATCTGAAAGCGCACCTTGTTTACGACGGCGCTACTGTACGGCAGCACGCGCAGCCATGTGGCATAATATGTTGTAAGATCTTCGAGGAGTAGATCAAGCTCGAAGTGAGGCTGGCAGTTGGTGGCATGCTGATCCCGGGCGAGGAGCTGTTTTACCTCGTCATTTAGTTGCCGGTTCGTGAGCATCAAATTGCCAAAAACGTTTTCGAACGGCAATGTTGAATGGAAAATCTTTGTCGCCGTCGGGTCGTCTAGATTTCTTTCCACGTTCCATTTCTTCACATGTTGGAACGTTGGAAATGAAGTCTCGGATTCACGAAGGAGAAAGTCGAAGATATGATCTCGAATCTCGCGAGGAAGTTGTAGTAGATACGCCATATTCTTATAAAATGGCGGTGAATTATGTGGTTATGGAGTCGTCCAAGGCTAGAGCTATGACCTCTTGGCCGATAAGAGTGAACGAGAAGTGTTTGACTTCTAGCCGACTTGATCCTTGACCGGCTGCATGTGTACTAAATGACGATTCAATCTATGGTCCCCTTGCGCGCCGGTTATGATCAACAAACGAGTTCACGTTGAGACGGATATTGGCTTGTCCGACATTCGAGCTCTATGTTGCCTGCTTGCTCCACAGTTCTTTGTTCAGCGAACGCGGTCGAGATCTTGGATATGACAAGGGCCTTTGTGTTGCCTACTGTGGAAAGGTTTCACGTGGAGGCCGCCAGCGCGAAACTGTTAGCGCCCTCTTTCGCATTCCTCGGCGACTCGTATATCACTGCCTAACACTTCTGAATAGACAACAACAAATCAATGAGTCGCAGCAATGGCCATAGAAGAAGACGAGCAATACAACTCGGCATCCGATGAAGACTTTAATCCAGACGCCGTGTCCGCCGTGGAAGACTCATCGTCTGACGAAGACGCGGCTGAAGGAAGGACAGTTGCAAACAGTTCCCGGAGACAGGGCACGAAACGCTCGCGAGAAAAAATTGAGATCGGTGCTGAATTAGACTCTGGCGACGAAGCGACTATCAGAGAACGGAAAAGGAGGCAAAGGAGAAAAGGGAAAGTCGACGAAACCGAGCAGAGCGAGGACTCTACAAATGTCTCGAGCGACGATGGTGGCGAAGGCGGCTTCGTTCGCACCCGCGCGCAGAGACGCGCCGGAAAGATTGAGCGAAGAGCGCTTGCTAGCACAAAAGGGGCCACCGTAGATGTGGACGCGATGTGGGCGCGCCTGTCATCCATGCCGGTAGGAAGGGCTCCAGAGCCTGAAAGTATATCGGCGGAAGGCGAAGACGACTATGTTGTCATAAAACGTACGACGAAATTTGCCGGCCAAATCACGACGGAAGAGAGGCGTGTGCTGAAATCTAGCAAGGAGGCAAGGGTGTGGTTCGAGGAGCAGGAGACAGCGCAGCGGAGAAAAGAGCCAGAGAAGGAGAACAAGGCCCCGGATGCGCAGCCTGGCAATCAGCAGGACATAGATGAGCCGTCGCAAGCAGCACCAAGTATGCCTCTGCGGCGGCCTCTGAAAAGACCGTTTAGGTGGGATCCTAATCCCACAGGCGAAGTCAAAGGCCTCCCAGCAAATCTGCAATTGCGCTGGCCTCGTGGTAGACTTCCTGCTGCTACTGCCACTGCTGACCCCAATGATACAAATATCGCCAGTCACCGGGCTCTACCAAAGCTGCCAGCTGCGGCTAAACTGAACACTGTACAGAAGAGCAAGTACGATTGGGCTACTTATGTCGATGAGAATAAATTGGCGGAGGAATTGGACGAGTACAGTCGCAGCAAAGAGAGCTACGCTGGTAGGACAGACTTCTTGAATCGGCTGGAGCAGAAGAGAGAGGAGAATCGGCTGGCGGCAAGAAGCAAGCTTAGTCAAGTACGACCGTAGATGCCTGAAAAACGGAAACGCGGCAGACTGTTTGGTGCTTTCTTGAGCTGCTGGCAGTTCTAAATTTGAGCGGATATGCATTCTCCAGGTTGGAATGGATGGATGGACGTGAGAGTGCATAGTAAGACGTACAATTGGCCTGCCATCGCAAGGGCCGACTGCAACTTGCAAACGATTGCAAAAGGTCGTAGAAAGAACACTGGTGTAAAGAGAGATACCCTACCGCCTTTAATTTTCTTTGCGTGCTGAAATTGTTGCTCTTGGAGCAACTACAATAGCTGCTATATATTGATCGCCTCCGATATCAATCGAAGAGATGCATGCGAATTTGACAATCTACTGCCGATCGTGGTGCTCCTCCATTTCTGGACACTTTTATCTTCTCTTTTCGAAAAGTTCGACGCGTGAAAAGATTATTCAAGTTCTGTTACTCTCTTCCCTTTTCCTAGCAGGCAAGCCAGCAATACTAAAAACACCCGCTCGACTGAACTCCACAGAGAAGACGAATAGATCAAAAACAATTACAAGAACGCCCATGATGAGTTGATGAAATTTGTACCCCGTTGAAAAACTTCACCTGTTCCCCATTGTGCGCCGTGCAAAACCTATCCAGTTCACAGTATTAAGACATGATGAGAGGGACAAGCGCTTAAGCTATGCTTTCGTAGGAAACTAGGTAATAAAAACAGACAAAGAAATTAGAGGCTATGCAGATTGCTCGGTCGGTCGTGTATCGTGATGAAAATGGCTGTGTTATGTGTTGCGGTCGTTAGCTTGCAATTGAGGGTGGTCGTCGCTTTTCATCGAAATATGGCATCGAGCGCACCACATTGTCAGAAAAAATGTGTGTGTGGTTTGGACATCTCATGAACTTCCATTTCCTGGACACGTTAGCATGAGTTGTGCAGCTATATCACGTTCCAGGCGCACCATTTTGAAAGAATTTAGTTCTTCCTTGATCTGTTGAGCAAGCATGGGCGTGAGACGGTTGCAGGTCGCGATGTCGCCACGGCGATCGTATTCGGAGCTTGCGAAGACATCAAAAAATTGGACCTTGGGGTTCCACGAGATGTTGCGAATGGGGCCATTGCGCTCTGGTAAGCTGCGTGAGCTGTCGTTACTGAAGGTGTTGTTCATGAAGAAGGCATCTCCCGAGTTGGAACCGTCAGGTGTACTCGGAATGCTTGGGACCGTGAGCTCAGATGGGTTTGGCTCATTATGAACGGGTGACGAAGTGTTATTACCTGCACTGAGTTAAGATCGCTGTTTCACATGACTGGAAGATTTATGTGGCACTGCTTACGCTTTAGTATACCCTTTTTGACTGCGGCAAGTACTTCCTGCCTTTCCCGATCACCGCCAACTATGCTTTTCCTCGACGAGGTGGAATCGCTTGGAACGTGGCGAGAGCTGGAGGGTCGTTCGACGTTGGTCACGGGTTTCACTTCTACAGACGCTCGCTCCAGCTTAGGATAGGCTGTACCGCCACCAGAGCGCTCGTGTGGATCGGGGTTGACGTTCAACTTCTCCCGCTCGGCTTCAACTGTCACCAAAGTCACTGCGGCCTCAGCAGCAGACGGAGAGCTGACTGCATTATCTGCCGCTGGGTCACCAATAATTGACTTGGGCCTGAAAAGTCCACGGAGCGACTTTGTTGACTTCTTCACGCCCTTTCCCATCTTGCGAAGCATGACGGATGCAGACGAAGCAGTGGACTGAATGGACAGGTTGTCTGTAGATCCGTAAACTCCACCCTGACCAGAGTAAATGCTAGCACCGATACCTGCAGCTTCTTGTTGAGCAGCAACCGCTGCATCTTCCGCTAGGCGTTCTTCTTCATCGGACTTCTCTTTACGAAGCTTATTGGCACTGTTCTGCGCGGAAGCCCTTCTCAGTTCTTGTGCACTACCGAAGGAGAAAGCTCTTCTCAGTCTAGACTTCATTCCCTTGTTCTGGTCTCGATCGGACAAAGCAGAGAGCTGCTGGACTGCCGCACTTTGGGCATTGGCCGTGGTGGGTCGCACTTGAGGCGATGCTGGACGATCGAGGTCTGGCGGAGGGGCTAACCGCTTCTCGGGTTCGGAACTGATTGGTTTCGAAAGAGGTGATGGAGAAATGACACGCTTTGAAACATCTGCCCCGGTTCGTGGCGAGCTGGGACGAGGAACCATCGTCGGAGCTGTGCCTGGTCTGGAGGACGTGCTTTTGGTTGAGCTGTAGGACTCCTGACGTGCCTGTTACAGGTTAGCTGCTGGATTGGCGGGACGTGAAGAAACATGAAATGAATGCAAAGGTGATATGAGGGGTGGTATCCTGCACGCTCAGTGACTTGAAGCAGCCTTGCTTGTGACGGGCGTGAATACTGGCATTATCATGAGCTTACATTTACTGGTCGTCGAGCAGAGGTGGAACCAGTTGAGGAATGGCTACCAGCACTGTCGTTCCGATGATGTAAAGCTGGTGGAGAAGCGTTGGCCGACGCTACAGCTGAGTGACCACGCGCAGCTATTTGAGACCAGGTCGGAGCCGGGCTGGTCGCGGGAGGGGTAGCCTGCCTCGAAGTATTGGAAGTGTCTAGGGCACCAATACTGCGCCGTCTGTACCTGCCCGAGCCTGATTGTCGACCAACAATGATGTCGTCAGCACTCTCGCTGCGCGTGTGGCCCGTGGGTCCTTTGAACGCAGCATTCAGGGCTTGGTGGGCAGCTTGAGGAGTCGGCCATTGCTGTGAGAATCTTTGGCTGTTGCCTGCTTGCTGATTGCCAACGACACTGCTGCTGCTGTCCACACGCTTGGCAGTCCGCCGATAGCGTTCTGGAGAAGGCTTCGATGTGTTGTCAAAAGATACAAGAGTAAGGTCGGGCGTCGAAGAAGAAGTGAGAAAGGTGGACTCTGGCCGCGTGCCAGTCTTTCCCAACAGCAAAGTGTCATCCTTCAACAGGGATTGCTGACCGACATTAGATGACGAGTTAGAAGCCGAGTTTGAAGACGCCGTCGAGGCAGAGGACGATGGAGCGTAGTTCTGTCGGCTGTTTGCCAATGTGCTAGATCCTGCAGACTGCCGATGGGCTGATGGGGCGACGTTGGTGTTTTGGCGTCCATCGGTCCTCAGATTTGGCGTCGACTGGAATGCGTACGGTGCGACTGGGGCACGGTACGACGCAGGAGCATTGGAAGTACCAAAGGATCTAGATGCCTGGGGGCTACGGGCGGCGTGGTGAGATTGTGAGGCAGAATGGCCATGGTAGCCATCAGCTGGGTGCAGGTTCATTATCGGAATCGTCTGTGTCGATACAAGTACCTCTGCCATCGGGACAAGGCACTGTAGAAAGGTGTAAGACTGAAGAGAGGGACAAAGGACTTGTTCTTGTGTGAGGAGGAAGGGAAGGTGGTCGAGGGTGTCGATGAATGACAGATACGTGGCTCGCTATGCTGCAGGAGAGCGCTGTGTCAGTCACAAGCTTGAGATAGTGAACATGGCAACGACATAGGTATGTTTACGGTAGTATGGGTATGTCGAAGTGAAGGAGAGAGAAAAGAATGTGTGGTCAAGTGGGACGTGTCAAACAAGGCTGTCTGGCGCGAATCGACGTACCTTTCTCCTCGCCGAGCCGTCTACGAATTAAGGTATGGGTATGATACAAATGCTGGGCACCGACGACAGTCGACCAAACGAAATCTTGCGCGATGCCTAGCAGACGAATGCTGACAAAGAGACCAAAGAGAGCAAAGAAAACGGTCGAGTGTTGAGGTTGAATGTTCGGGTGTTGTGTGCCGTGTGCCGAAAGGATGAAGATATTGGATGGACGGCGGAGAAGGGGGCCAGCAGGGGAGAGCCAAAAGTCCAGCCAAAGGGCGGACGTGCTGCAGCAATGTCAAGAGGACATTGGTGACGAAGGGATCAAAGAAGATCAGAGACGAAGCGACGAGTCTCTGTGAGCGGTGGAGAGAGGACGAGGAAGGGAGGAGGTTAAGTGAGGAGGGAGAGAGAAAGGGGGGGGGTGAGTGGATGAGCAAGTGAGAAAGAGAAGAGGAGAGAAAGAGAGTGTGTGAGTGAGAGAGAGGGGGCGAGTGTGTGCGTGCGAGTGTGAGCGTATGAGTGAGAGTGGCAGGCGTTTGGTTGTGGAAGGATTTCGAGAGAAGGAAAGAGAGAAAGAGCGAGACGTGTAAGTGAGCGGGCGGAAGGAGCGGGCTTTGTTTGGGGGGGGTGGGTGCGGTGGATGGTGAGATCGATTGTCGAGCACGCCCGTTTCGGCGATTACGCAGAACGTGGAATAGGGGAGAAGCAGCTGTCTCAAAGAGGGCCCCAGGGCAGACAGGAGCTCCGGGCAAAAGCCACCGTCGGAGAAATCGAAGACCAGCTGGAGAAAGTGCAAATGTGACGAGCAAGCAACGGGACGAATGTCAAAGCCAAAGTAAAGCAAGAAGGCAAAAACGAAGAGGCCAAGGGCGACGGCGGCGGCGGCGACGACAGCAAAGGCAAAATTGCCAAGGAGAAAAGTCGACGAAGGTGTAGGAAAGAAGCGCAAAGAACGGAGAGAAAAAATCGGAGTCGTGATTGAGGCGGGCATGGATGGTTAAGCTGCAGCCAAAAGGGCCAGGCCAGGAACGACGACACCACAACCACGCAACAGCAAAGCAACGCGAGCCAGCAGGCCGGCAAGTACGCGACGGCAACGGCACGGGGCTGATGGTGTTCATTCTTCTGTCCGTAGGCCGACAGCCCGCTTCTCAACCTCGTCCTGCTCATCCGCATCGTCACCACCACCGCCAGCACCAGCGCCGCGGGTGTGCCATGGCCAAAAGCTGCGGACGACGAAGCTCTGTCGCCTCCAGCGTTGGGAGCCGCCTCTCAAGCCATTGCGCTACGATCGTCCGTACGTGACCACGCACCACCAAGTGCACGCGTTCGTCAAGTCGAACACGCGCTAGACCAGAACCAGGCGGAGCCCACATGGGTCGAGCGCGGCCAAGCTGAGCAACGGGCGCCGCTGGCTGAGCTGCCGCCTTCATTTAAAGCTCGAGTCCGATCGGGGTTGTTGCATCTCCTCTCGCGCTGCACTCTGGTACGTCATGTCCCAGCCGCCAGCGGAGCCATCGGCCTCGTCTTTGCCCGTCGGGAGCGCACTTGTCGTGGTCGTAGTCCTCCTCGTCGCAGCAGTAGCGAAGCAATCGCCGGAAGCAGTGCAGCGACCAGGCGCTTGCAGCGTGTCCCCTCCGTCTCCATCAACCTTCGCCCATCCGTCCTCCGCCTCGTGCAACGCCATCCCGCTCCCTCGTTCTGCTCGCTCCGCTGAACGGGCAGAGCATGCCCGTCTGCCAGCGTCAGATCACTGCTCTTTTCCAGCTCGACGCACCAGCGTTGCCACTTCTCGTGTTCATCGTGGCCTGTTTGTCCGCACAAGACACGCCCGTACCCACACTGAGCCATCACCGTGCGCTGTCCCCGCCCATGGGTTGCCGACGCGCTAGCGATCCATCGCGCTGCTGCTGTGCAGGCCCCGGTGTGTGACTGCGACGAAGGTACTAACGGATTATGAACTTCCTCTTACCACCTTGATATCATCTTACTTTGCTCGAAGCTTCGCCTGCTTGCCGGCCTGCAGACTCTCTTCCGCACCCCCATGCCCCGTTGAAACGTCCTTCCCACGGCCACAGGCAAGGCCTACACCTTTTGGCACACGCACACACATACACAATCGCTCCCTTCTCGTCTCTTTCTCTGCGCCAACGCATCACACACCCCCCTTTCCCCCCGGCAAATTGCATCTGGCTCGCCAATTTCCATCCCTCACGAGTCGAGCTCGTGCGTGTTTGCAGCGGGTAATTTTGGAAGCGACTAGACCAGCGCCGTGCGGGTAGACAGGCATGCAGGGTAAAGTGCCGCGCTATCAATGCACGCTGTCGCAAGCTCGGGATTGCAAAGAAACATTATTATCGCCTCATCATCGCACCTTCCAAGCCCGCTGGAACCCACGTATCCACCCTTCGCTCGCTACATCTCAACGACCGCCGCGGCGTTCGTCCAATGCCCCCTCGTCCTCGCACAACAATTCGTCGAGTCCCCTTGAACACCGACCCATTCTTTTGCACCCAGTCGAGACGTACGCCGAGCCAATGTACCGTTGCGATGCCGCCTTCGTTCCAGCCAGAAAGGACCTTGAATCCCCACACCTCGACCTCACGCCCCCCGTCGCAAGGGTTCCGCGCCACCATTCGCCCGCCATGCGGAGGAGCCATCGACGTGACCTCCCATTCTCTGTCTTCGCCCTGATGACCGCTGGGATGATGCCAGGTTCGTTTGCACGGTGGACGAACCTTCAAGAACACCAGCCAAGGAAATCTTGTCGCATCGCCGTTTCGCTCGATGTCTCTTCCCCACGCGCAACGGTGCTGTAGCATCTGCCCTTGAACCAAGCCATGTCCAACACCCGCAGCGACGGCCCTACTCTCTCGCCTTATTGAGAAAACCCTTATCACTGCATGAATCCCATGTAACTGCCGTAGTTGCCCGTAAATTCGTTGACGATCACGAGTTTTTTTTTTTCCTTCTTCCTCGATCGATACCCCGAAACGCACACTACTGCATGGTGCAGGTGAGCAGTCATTGCAGAAGATCCATCTGGCCTACTTTCGTGTTCGATACTGCAAGCTGCAAAAGCCACCCCAACCCCACCAGCTGGCTTGTGAAAATCTCACAAACACGGGTCGATGGATAGTCCTCTTTCCTTGGTCCAGATGAAAGCCCACATGTGCTGATCTAGATGTTGCCTGCTTTTGCCCTTGCCTCGTCGCGAGCCTGCGGATCATACCTGCCTGCATCACGACAATAGACCTTAGCCGAAGTCTGGCAACACGCGGGAGCATTCGTTTTTAATAAATATGCTGAAACAAGATCCTTCCCCGTCTTCGTCCCCGTGCCATCTCTTCCATGGCTGATCTCGCAGATCCTCATGGGGAAGCGGCTTATCTGGCGGCGAAGCGAAAAGCCACTGTTCGAATTTGGTCGAGATACGAGTGAAGGTTGACTTGTAAACCAGCTGATCTTCAGTTGTAGACTTGCCTTCACAAGCCAAGTTCGTTCCAGTCTTCACAGGGTTGGCGAACCTGCATCAATGATGCTTCCAGCTCGACCCGCGCAAATGACCCGAGAATCCGCACGTTCCTCGTACTGCCCATACGATTCACCGGAGAGCTTTCTCCAACATAGGGAACTACAGCACCACTGCCTTTGCAGCAGAGGATTACGGAACAACCCAATAGCCAATCGAATGCCCGATATCCAATCTCTTTGTGGAGAGAGATAGTCCATGACATCAAGCCAATGAATTTTTCCTGTCTCGTCAAATTTCCTATTGGACATTCACCTTGAGACTTAGCACATGCTCTACCCGTCAAGCATCTTCCCTGACGGACGGCTCCACGTCTCCCGTTGGCCTTTGGCAAAATTGACGTTCACTGAGGAGAAAAAAAAAAATGACAACTCGGCCTTGCTTTTGGCTTTTTTAGAACTCTGTTGTTGGGAATTTGGAATCGATCTCCCGGCTGACGTTCCACGCAGGACTTGTGGCACGTCGTACGGACTAACAAAACTTTATTATGCAAACTCGTGCCTCATGGATTCCGAATGTTGTCTACTCTTTTTGTTGGTGACTCGCCGCGCCATGCATCGTCATCATCGTGCGAAAACGGTTTCGGATCAATTGTTGAGTTTGTGTCCAGATGAAGACTTGGCACTTGCTCCGCAAAGCTTTCTTTTTTCTAATATTGTACGGACTGGTCTGATCCAAGCCTCGTCAATGTTCAATTTCTGTGCCATTTCCGGCGAGAACAATCACCGCATTCTCTATCCCTCCTTCTGATACTCTATCGCAATCCTGGGTGTTCCGATCCCAGAAGTTCAAACCTTAGATACGTGGACAGTCCCCACCGCAAGACCAGAGTTACTCAGTGGTCGGCGATCTTGCGCACCCATTAAATGCTAGATGTGTTTACGTCTCCGTTGGCTGGGTTGTTTTTTTTCCTGTCTCAACGTAATCCTCTCTATGTGCTTCAATACGCTGCAATTGAGGAAAACGCCAACAGTCAACGAAGCAAAAAGAACCGTACTGCTTCTAGGTCGAATGTTAACACCATTTCCCCTGAGAACCCAATTGCTCAAGGCGCTTTGCTGTGCGGTAGTCTGTCTTGACGTTGAACAAACTCATTTTGTCTTGACGGCAAGGTCCATTCATATGTCGACTGTTGCAATGAGATCATTACTTCATTTTCCTTTTCACACACGAAGCACTAACGTGGGACACTAGATCCTGACTTTCCCTTTGTGTTGATTGTCATTCAGAGCTTTACAACTTCGCAGCCGTAATCGATTAATCTTCGCAAATCACTTGTCGGTATATCAGCCTCGTCGGTCGAACGTCTGATCTTCCATGCACGGATTAAATTCATGAAGAAATATGTGTGACGTATTTTTTATGGGCTTCAGCATTCTGCCGGCATATTGTTTGGCATGCTCTCTACAGAGGCTGGGAGTACCATATCAGTCTGTCTTGGCCGTCATATCCTTGCGTACACATAGACAGGAGGGAATATCCGCGAGGCAGGGGACATCTGATACTTTTAAGCATGTAACAGATTCGGAGTACGTAGTGAAAATGGAATGTACTAAGTTCGGAAATATTTTCCTGCTCTGTGGATGTGATATTGTTACCCAGATGCTGATAAAGAATACTGATGAAAATGACGTGCGTGTGTGTGGTGAAGATTCTAATTTGTTGGGCACTACACTGCTATTGTCGTCTCTTCATCTGGAATGAGCTTGGACGCCTGTTCAGGCCATGCTTAAAACCACTGTTCGATCATAACGATAAACTTGGCTGTTTAGACTGAATCATCTAAACGCTGTTCGACCTTAGGAACATCCTTGAAGTTCATTTGATTCGATGATGAACACCTTGAACCAAAAAGACGTCACATAGATGTGACGCCTTCGTGCTCAGGTGCTCGAATCGCTGACGATACTCTGTCCGCAAGAATCTTTTTCTTCTGCTGCTCACGCTCCTTGATCCCAATGTTGATGTTAAAATGTGCCCTTTTAAGCCGTTGAAACAACTCGCCAGCCGTTCGAATATTCTGGTCCTCATCCTCAAAAGAGAAACCAGGACTCTCTAGGAGGGGATAGTCTATGTGCACCGGTTCGTGTGCCCGAAGCACAAACACTATCGAGTACCTGTATTTCTCTTTAATTGGCAGCTTGGGTTTTCCAAGAGACAAACGATTCAGTAGCCTCCTGGTTCTTGATGGCGATAGCGTCTCTAGATTCTTAGGTATGAGACGGGAATTTCCGCCGTAAGACATGACCCGATGCCCTCCGGGATTGAAGCGGCTGCGGCTTAAATATTGCAACTGTCTACCAGCCATCAACGTAGCCATCCCTTTTTCGAAGTTCCGCTCGATCGGATGCCATCCGGGCTGCAACTTTCCGTCCACAGTTATGGACGTGTCCCAGACTTCAAGACCAGGTGTGTCTCCCACAACTAAGGACAGGAGACCAAGGTCCATGTGTGCTGCATATGTTAGCCTATACATGCTATCTGTGAATCCTTAAGTGCTCACGCTCAGCCACCAGCTTCGCTCCGTCATTCTCGTATTTGAAAAGTCTCAACATCGTCGCGCGAGCGTGATGATCCATTTCGAGGCAGGGCTCGGTATATCTCGTTAAGCTCGACGGAGGGAGCTCCAGGACCTTTTCAATACCTTTCATCCATTCGTTCAAAACACCAAACACCGCATTCCACGCATTCTTAGCTGGAGCCCGAAGGACGTCAGGACAGTGGTCTGCATCATCTCTCCTCAAAGTGATGAATTCTTTCTCGCCTTTGATGCTCGAATAGCCTTCTTCGCTACCATCACGTGTGAGAAATTTTTCTTTCTCATCAGCTTCCAGAGCGAAGAATTCCTTGCTAGCAGCAAGTAAATCCTCGATTGCTGGCCAAACATGGGGATAACGCTCGTATGTTCTGTCATGACCATATATCTCATGCGGATGAGAACCTAAGCTGAGGATACACCATCCCTGAGGTTGAAGCTGGCGAGCTACATCTATAGCATATGACCTAGGGTAGTTTGGAGGTGGTCCTGGTGGTGGCTCATAAATCTCGCCGTTCACACCCATGACCGGACTTGGGGAAAAGTGTGTGGAAGCGTGAAGCGTAACTAATAGCAATGTGGACTAATGACGTGGAAGGATTCCAAAGTGTCTTGAGGCGTACCAAAATTATTGTCCAGACTTTAGGAAGGTGTCTCGGAGCGTTGCGAGCCATGGATCTCGACATAGCTATTCATTCTGACAGAATATCGTGTTGCTCTGCCACATTGTCATGAGAGCAAAGCCACATTTGATCAGGACAGCAGCCCGCCAATCCCGATTTGACGTTACCTCCGGTGCTCCGCAAAAAAAGTTCCGAATGGTTTTTTTTTTGCATCGTCGAACTCACAAAATAACAGTCTACGGTTCACAATCGCCATGGCTCCCAGAGATGATCATGATTTCATTCTAACCATTGACGACGAAACAAAATTGGAGGCAACAGAAGAAGAGTATCAGGAAGATACTGAAGACCAGCTCCCGAACAGCAAGAAGCGGAAGAGAGAAGAGCAAGACAGCAAAACGAAGAACAAAAAAAGAGTCAAGCAAGCCAAGGCGAGTAAAGACAACTCTGAAGAAAACAAGAAAGACGAGGAAGAACTAGGATGGGCAGACGGCGGCGAGGACGATGGAGCGCTCGACTCAGATTTTGAGTTTCAAGTCGGCGAAGACACTGGTGTGCTCGAGGAATTTGACGGGTGGGAGAAGCCGAGCAACAAGGCGAATGGTGCGACGAAAAAGGGAGTCGACCTAGACGAGATAATTGCTCGTCGTAAGTCGAAGCGTGCCGACTTGGACAATCAGAGATCACAAACGGATAGTGCAGATGAGAACCAGGGCGACTTTGCTGGCTTCGATGAGGATGATGACGAATTGCTACCAAGAGATGGCTTCGGCATGGGTGCTGTGAGCGGGAGCGAAGATGAGAACAGTGACGAAGACGATGCGCACGATTCGACGGATGGTGAAAAAGATGCTGAAACGACTGGTCCTGAAGACAACTCAGATGATGAATCCGTTGCGGAACCGATGCCACATCCTGATGATCTTGCATCCACCACCGATGAATCAGCTAGCGACGAAGAAGAAGAGGAAGAGGAGGAGGATGCTATGGAAGCTGAACGGAGAAAGGCCTTTTTCGAGTCTGAAGCAAACGTTGAGAGACTCAAACCTGCCGCTGCAAAATCAGGTTCTTCCTTTCAAAACATGAATCTATCACGGCCTATATTGAAAGGTCTGGCTGCTGTGGGATTTAGTGATCCCACACCTATACAACAAAAGACGATACCCATAGCATTGCTCGGCAAAGATGTTGTCGGTGGTGCTGTGACAGGCTCTGGTAAAACCGCTGCGTTCATCATACCTATTCTCGAGCGACTCTTGTACCGCCCGAAAAAAATTCCAACCACGCGAGTCGCCATCCTCATGCCGACACGAGAGCTTGCGGTGCAATGTTTCAACGTAGCCAACAAGCTCGCTTCATTTACAGATATCACGTTCGCCCAGATTGTTGGTGGCTTTTCTCTTCGTGAGCAGGAGAATATCCTACGGCAGCGCCCGGATGTCATAATTGCCACTCCCGGTCGATTCATTGATCATATGCGAAACTCGGCAGCATTTGCTGTAGATACACTGGAAATCTTGGTTCTAGATGAAGCCGATCGCATGTTGGAGGATGGTTTCGCCGATGAGCTCAATGAAATTCTCACAACGATACCAAAGTCAAGGCAGACGATGCTATTTTCCGCTACCATGACGGATAGTGTTGACAAGCTTATTCGAGTTGGTCTGAACAAGCCAGTACGCCTTATGGTTGACGCAAAGAAGACGACTGTATCTGGACTTGTCCAAGAGTTTGTTCGGCTACGGCCTGGGCGGGAGAGCAAGAGGTTGGCCTGCCTTTTGTATCTCTGCAAAGAAGTGTATACGGATCGAACCATTGTCTTCTTTAGACAGAAGAAGGAAGCCCATCGCGTGCGAGTAATTTTCGGTCTTTGCGGGCTCAAAGCTGCTGAACTACATGGAAGCATGAGCCAAGAACAAGTACGTACGCTCTCCAAGCTCAAAGAACAAAGTACTGATTATCATTTCAGCGTATTGCAGCGGTTGAAGCGTTCCGTTCTTGTCAAGTGTCCTTCCTTCTTGCCACTGATCTTGCCTCACGTGGTCTTGACATCAAAAATGTTTCGACCGTATTGAACTACGAAGCTCCGCAAACGCATGAGATTTATCTACATCGTGTTGGCCGTACCGCCCGTGCCGGTCGTTCTGGTCGTGCCTGCACTATTGCTGCTGAGCCAGACCGCAAGGTTGTCAAAGCGGCCGTCAAAGCAGGCCGCTCGCAAGGTGCAAAAATAGTCAGTCGTGTTCTCCCCGTTTCAGAGATCGATAAGTTGGATGATGAGATCCGAGCCCTGGAAGACGAGGTCAATGAAATTCTCGAGGAAGAGAAGGAGCAGAAGCTGCTGAATAACATGGAGCGTGACGTAACCCGCACGGAGAACATCATAGTCCACCAAGACGAAATTCTATCCCGACCAAAGCGGACGTGGTTTGAAAGCGAACGCGAGAAACGGGCTGCGAAAGAAGCAGGAAGGCGGGAATTAAATGGAGTGGTCGACAGCGTCAAGGTCAAAGGCGAGAAAAAGAAATTGAGTAATAAAGAAAAGAAAAAACTAGAATTAAAGGATGAAAGACGAGCAGGCAGAACTTGGAAGAAAGGAAAGAAAGACGCGGCAGCACTAAAGACAGGAGGTACAAAAGCGTTGGCTAAGGGCAAGCACAAAAAGGAAAAGACGAAAAGCAGTAAACCTTCTATGAGAAGGGTTAAAAAGTAAAGAACTGTTCGAACATATGTACCACGACCCAGAACAGTACGTTTACGAGTTCGTATTGTGCATTGTCCGCAATGCGGTTAAGTATAGAATTCCATGCTCGACGAAAGCAAACGAGACAAATAGTTGAGCTACCGAATTTGCCGCCCGTTGAACAGACATTTTACGTTCAATGCGAATTGAAGAAGACATGAGCCTTGCTAAAACTTTCTTTCATCCACTGATCATTTCGCTGCTGTACACAGGGAATGCAACCACGAATAGAGTGACTGTACATTTTTCCTTTCTCGGGGGTATAATGCTTTTTGACAGAATACGATGGGCAATTAGCCCTTTCTATGCTTAAAGCACGTACAAGGAATAAACGAGTCGTAGTCCGGACATCACGACTGCACAATCACGTCCTGATCCCATCGTTTTTCTTGAACAAAGCCACAAAGCTCTTCCGCTTGCTTAGCCGGGGGCTCAAAATCGGCTTGTCAAGTTCCGGTGGTATCGGTGGTGGACTTGGAATCGCTTCGGCTGGACCAGTTATATTGCTCAGATTCTTTCTAGCGCTTTGAGGTCTTGCGCTTACGCTTGGCCGCCTTGACGAACTTGTCACGATGGGATCTTTCTCGCTGCCTGCTCGTTCGCTTGGCGTTGCAAACGGCGGAACAGGCATGGGCGGCGGGTTCGAGGATAGTGGGGAAGGAAGAGAAAGGTCTTTGTTCAAATTCGCAGGAACCGAATCTTTGCTTGAGGAACCGCTAATTCCATTTGGCGAGGAAAGCCGATGTAGATTTGGTAAATTCGGGATTTGGTTTTTCGAGGAAGCTGTTGAGAAGCCTGAGATAGAAGTTGGCGACGGGAGAAGCTCGGATGGAAATTCTATAGGAATTGGCGGAGATATTTTGTCCTTGAGAGACTTCGCCGAGCGCAAACTACGCGTCGAGAACTTGCGCTCGAGGGTGTGAAATACATTTTCAGTCTTTTCGCTACTCGACTCCTTCTTCTCTGCCGTACGGATGATACTTTTCCGGTTGTCGGCCGCTGCCATACTCTTTCTTTTCTCGCCGATCATGCTTTTCCTCGAAGATTTGCTAGTAAGTGATCTCACGAGTCCGTTTGTTCTCTCTTCCTTGCAATCGACAGTTGCTGCGTCTCTTTCAGCTCGCTCAATCTCACCCGCCACGGTGCTTCCGTTGATTGCTAGATGTTCTTCTCCAAGTCCTAGGAATCGTACTACGCCTCTGTTACTGGGTACATGCATCACATCAGCTATGAAACACTGTATCAAATACGCGTTTCTCTTGTTCGTGTTGGGTTGAACCTCGCTTGGTATGGCAGTGATGTCCAAAATGTATGCCGGCTCGAAGGAACCACCCATCATCAGACAGGCGCTGTGTGTGACTGTCAGCAATATTGCAGATTCTGGCCGTCTGAATCGTTCGCTAAGATGTTGCGAAAGTGAAGTGACAATCGCATATTCGTTTTTGATGATCACATTGGTTCTCAACTCAGCAACAATGGGCGAATCGTGCTGGATTCGCTCTCTTGCTCCTTCTTTTGCGTTGCTGGAGTTTGAGAACGCACTGTCGAAGTAATTGAGCCTTTTCGATGCGCTTTCTGAGCGGCTTAATGCGCTGTCCTCGGCCATGGTATTCGGGCCTTGTATACCCTTTGTTAATGGACGAGATAACGCATGCGGATGCTTTTGATCTGCGAAAGAAAATGTGTCCGCGAAGGAGATCAGCGAAAGGTCAGGTAGCGGAGTGATGTCGGAATTGGGTAGATATGACGAAGGCGATGTCGGTTCAGGGTCGAGGTTGAAGGTAAACCCGGATAAGGCTGGGGACATGAAAGGCTCATCCTCGATCTGTGTCTTAGATGCCGTAGTTCCGGCAGGCTTCCAGGACGTATCTGGAGCACTGGTAGAGCTGGGGGCGGTGTCAATGTCAAGGATTCGAGAGTCCACCGAACTCGCGGGAGAATGAGGCATTGCTCGCCAACATAAGGGCGCTCGGATTCGTATCCAAGCGTAATGATGCAGGCCACAAAGGCAAGTAAGAACGGACACGCGTTTGGAATGGACCAATCAAAGAGCGCGCTGTGTGATGAATATGGCCTTTGAAATAATTGACTTGTGGAGATTGGAAAGTCAGCAGCCGATCTGAATGAGAGATGAACTGCTATTATGGATAGCTGAGCGCAGGGAGACAACAGCTTGCGACTTGCGCAACCAAGACAAGCCAACAGGGATATAGAAGTACTGCTGCGGACGCCATCATGGCCGTTGTCAACGTAATGATTCCTGTTGATTAAGATAGGAAAAGACTCAGAAAGAAGTCTAGCTGCCGAGTCGTTGTACTGCTCTAGGCGCAAGCCTTCCCGTAAGGGGAAGCAATTTTAGATGCACTCCTCTTCCTCTAAGTTAGTTCGTATCCAGCCAGCCAAGGATGCCACAGCGTTCTCGAGTGCGTCAGCCGTTGGACTCAACGCTCATGTGGCAAGCGAGGATGATACGAATTGAAGGGCTCTGCAAAGCCTAGAGAACGAGCAATTGGGACAAGATATTCTGACTTTGACGGTGATTCGTGTTGAGATCCATCAGATTCTCAGGACAAACGAAGGACACGGCGCACTACGGATCTATTTCTGTTGTGAACTGCTCGTCTGAAGCGATGCCTACCTGGTATTGGTAGATCGTGACGGCGCGGGAGGTGGACAGGGAGAGCCAGATCGCTCCGGGCAAGCACTAAATCTACCACGGCAAGTCGTGGCCGCATCCTGAATTTGCCCCTGGATTCTAGCCTCATCAGGAACGGGGGCGCGCGGGACGGAATGCCTTGATCATTCGCTTGTCCACCAACGAGTCATCGTTGAAATCAAAGAATGATGCTATCTTTGCTTCGTCATGTGTACCGGCGATGAGCAGCCCTTATGAGACCGTTGATGGTCACCACATACTACTGGCGACGCGTGCACGTCCAGACCATCTCCATCCTTCAGCACCCCCCACTTTGGCCGCCAAAACCACAGTCAAACTGAACGTTATGCATGCCGTCCAGCTTGTGCGAGAGCTATTATTTGGTCAAATCTCGAGCTGAGACGTTACTCTTTCTGATTCAGCCGAACTTACAGTCTAACTGGCATCCTGCAGGACATGATCTGAAGGTGTACCTATGGCCATCTTGCGTCACTTGAAGCCTCAGGTGTGGTGCTCCTGATGGATCTCTCTCTCAAACCACCTTGGAGTCTATTTTCTGCCCGCAAGCACCATTTCCTTGTAGTACAAACCAGAAAACACGCTTAAGACTACACCAGGCCTCGTTGTAGCGGGCCAACGAAAATATCTATTTTTGCCATCAATTCCGGGATTCGGAATGGCTTGCTGAGCACATCATCCATGCCAGCATTTTTTGCAATAGCAACTTGTTCCAGTCTTGCGTTCGCTGTGATAGCAATGATTGGAATGTGAAAGCGAAGCTCCCCAGACCGCTCGTACGTTCTGATCAAGCTCGTCGCCTCGATGCCATTCATTACGGGCATTTCAATATCCATCAGGATAATGGAGACCTTGGAGCACGGGCTTCTCATTCTCTTATCTGCTCGTGATTCTCCATTTGTTGCCCAATGCTCACACCTTTTGATCATTTCTATGCATTCAGCGCCGTTGTTTGCAATAGACACCGAAAATCCTTGAGTCTTCAACTGCTTACTCAGAACTCGCTGGTTGACCAAATTGTCTTCCACGACTATCACGTCAATTTCAGACGGCGCTTTCAATCGAGGGGAGACTCCTGCTGATAATTTCTCGCCCTGATCACCGACTAAAATATTAGATCGTACGGGACAGTCTTGAAGGTCACTTGCGCGAGGGTCTTCTGTCCTCCTAACTTTGACGTAGAACGCAAACGTGGTTCCTTTGCCTCTGACGGAGCTTACGCCAATTTCACCACCCTGTAATCTGCTTAGAAGTCGCGCAATGAACAAGCCGAGGCCAGAACCACCATATTGTGTATGTGTTCGTGGAGATGCTTGCTTGAAGCGTTGAAAAAGGCGTGTCATTTCCTCCGCGGTCATGCCCTGACCCGTGTCAGTGACTTGAAATTGTAGATACAGTGTCTCTCCACACCCCCATTCTGGCTTTACTGTTGGGTCGTCAAAGACTTCACCGTCGACCCCATGGAGGTAGCTTACACCTTGACTGCTATGTTGGGGAACCGTGGTCGAAGCGCCGACTCGGATGGATATGTCTCTGTGAAGACTATCCATGCTGAATTTGATGGCATTGGTGCAGAGATTGATCAGGACCTGGAGGAGCCGACCAGGATCTAGTTTGACCCAATTGATATGTAGTTCCTTGAAAGAAGCCTCGACGTCGAGGGCCATCCTTGCTTTGTTCGCAGCGAGTTCTGCTGCGAACATTCTGATAGCATCCTCTGCTAGTGCCAAAGGCTGCACCTCTACCGGGTGAATCTCGATCAACTTAGCGTCAACCTTCGAAAGTACCAAAACATCATCAACGATTCGCTGACAGCTATTAGGACATTATTTTGATAAAGATAGCGCACTTACTCTTTGATGTTGAGCACAGAGAGTAATCGTACCCGCGTTCTCAATCGCGTGAGCAATAGCTTCACTAAAAGTCATAGGAAATCCATCCCGCTTCCGCGCTCCCGATTCCAATCCTTGAGAATCCGCTTGAGATGGATGCGATGTACCCTCAACATTTTGTCGAAGAATCGACAGCGCATTTACGATGGCGTCGGCGCATTGAAATATTGCACTCAATGGATTTCGCATTTCGTGAGATGTAATGTCCATGAAATTCTCCTGTGCTCTCTTCATCTCAAGTGCTTCTTGACGTCGCTTATCCTGCATCGACTCAATCCATTTTTGGTACGAGATATCTGTCACTACAGAAATGACATACTCTTCTTCGCCGATAGTTTGAACTAAGGCTGAAACCAGCACCTTCGTTTGGTCTTTCACGATGTCGCCTGAAGTAGGATCAGCATATACCCAAGGTTTCCTCAGCGTCAATTCGAAAGTCCTCTCTTGTCTCTGCTCAGCAACAAGAGACCATTCAATCTTAGCCCGAGCAGCGGATTCCTCTGTCATTATCTCGAGCCATGCAAATGGAAGATTATTGTATGAATATGCAGTTATATTAGTCCATGACGAATTTGCGTATATTATCGTTCCATCCATGGCAAGAAGACAAGCGCCAACGGGAGAAGCCTCGAGCATTGAAACGGCTCGCTTTTCCATTTGTAGTGCCTCACCAACGCGCTTTTTTTGTTCGTTGCCAAGGATGAGCGCAGCCAAAGATGATGAAATGGTGCGAGACAGATTACGCAGAAATGCCTCATAATCCGCATCGTAAGGCCGCCTGGTATTCATTCCTACAAGCAACACGGCATTGACTCCATTATGTGTGATCGATTCAATTGGAATGAGGACAGATAATCTTGGTTGGTCACCGAAACTGCGGTTAGGTTGTTCCTCCATAATGGCAAGAGCTATATGTGAACGTGACTCTAGGTCAAAAGTCTCGAGCTTTCCAGATCTGCATACTTGTTCAAATACTTCTAAAAAAGACTTTTCACAAATCAGCTTTTGATGCACTGCAGGTTCATCATTATCCAGAATGCGAACTCCCATGTAGGACTCGAGCTTAGCTAAGCCATTCTCTATGGCTTCGTTGAGAAGGAAAGGCCGTTTCCAATCGATCTTCGAAGGCTCCAGCGAGTAAAGCATCGCAAACGGAAAGTCATTGCCTGTTGGTTTTAACGCATGAAAAGAGGAAGATGGGAAGCGCGAAAGTTACCGTTTGGCTCTAAGGCAGTCATGATCTTCTTGTAGAAAATTGTTGGATCTTCTTCTCCTGCTGTTAGTTCATTGATCTTCCTGATATTTTCTGATCTCCGCTCGTTCAAGGCGTCCTGAGTGATTTCCTTAATTTGCTCGTAAAACCCAACCGTCTTGCCGTCCTCGTCTATGACAGGAAGGAAACTCAAGTTTACGATATGCTCTTGAAGTCGATTACCATTTCGGAGATAGAATGTCCGATGTTGCCAAAAAATGGGCTCGCCTCGGACATTTCGCGTCCAGAGATCATTCAGTGTCTTGGCCACTTCTTCCTGTCTATATAACTCCGACCAGGTATTATAGTAGGGCTCACCAAGTGATTTTGGGTGCTTATCATGAAGCATTGGCACATAAGCTTCATTGTAGATTCCAGCCAGCTCCTTGCCCCAAAACAGCACAGCTGGGTTTGGGTCAACAGTAATGAGATTGGCCATGAGGCGCAGCCTCGACGACCACGTCTCCAGCGGCCCAAGGGGCGTCTTGGACCAGTCCCAGTCCCTCAAAAACTGCGAGTGGCTCGTAAGTTTGCGCGGACAGATTGGTGCAGTCCAGTCGTGTGGTTGTGCGTTCTGCATCAAGTTGTGAAGCCATTTATGATGTGCCTCAGCACTGCCTTTCGGAAGGTTCTCAGCCACTCCGGCATGCCTAAGGTCATGGTGCAAAGCGTCCGAATCACTGTCGTCCGAAACAGCGGTAGTTGAGGTAGCCTGGATGACCCTCCAGCGTTTTCTCACCGTATTTGCGATCCAGCTCATGCCGTGGCAATTGATCGTTGGTCTTTCCTGCGCATATCGACTGAGCGCCCAATTTCGGAAGTGGACGCGTTCATCGTCGACCGCGTCCGTGTTGCGACTAGGTAGTTCAAAATCGTAGCCCTTTGCGAAACGGGCATTGCGAAAGCAGATTCGTGGCAGATTCTCTCGCTCGGAAATGTGATCGAGATCCACAACGCACGTCGGACGCTGGTCGTCCTTTAGCAGCTCGAGGAGGCCGACGGTGGCTAGGTCGCTACCAGAGGCTTCACCTCTGCTTGCAGTTGTCATCTGAAGTCAGTTGTCCCCCTAAGGAAAATCATGACAAGCGGATGAAGCAGAATCACAACACTCGGCCTGGGATCGGAGATGCCGCGGCTCTTGGGCTCTAGTTGAATGCTATGATGTAAGTACTGTAACGAAAGGGCAGACCTGACGCGCGCATGGTTAGCGCCCACCGCTCTGCATTTTGTCATGCATGTTTGTCGACGCTGCGCATTTTCCCCGTCCTTGGAACTGTGTCTCTTCGGACCCGTAGGCTGACGACAAAAGACCAAGCATTCCCAGACCGTGATCGCGAACTTGCCGTTCCCAACGAGATAAGGGACTATGCCGGCAATTTGTAGCAGCTCTCGTCGCTAACGTGTCAACCGCTGAATTTGCAGTGAGCTTGGACAGCATCACGAACTCACAGTTACGATGGAAGCACACGAGAGACCCGCGTGGGGACTGGAGCCATTATCGTAGCGTCATCGCATTACCCGCTCTCACATTGCTATCTTGAATTGCTATCTGAGGTGGCTTCTTCCCAGCCCTACCTTGTCTTACAGGTGTTGCACGAGCTGCTTGACAACGAAGGCAAAGTGCAAGGGTGGTCTTGGCTTCGGTTCATGTCGCGTGCCCATCTTGGAGCGACGAACAATCCATCAAGTCTAACTGTAGGTCCTGGATGTGTCCCCGCTCTGAATCTGCCTGGCATTGCCTTACCTAGCATTTGCCTGAATATATTGTCTCTGCGATCTATGCCTGGTTACGTGTTGACTACTGTCAGGTTGGCTGTCGTCGTAAGCTCTTGCCTGCATCACTGTCGAACAGGCTCACTCTTCGTCGTAAACGAAGCATTTGCCTGAGTCACCTCCCCGAGACGAGGATGACAATGCATGAACATTCTGTCAAGAGACTGTTCATATCCATAATATGCCTCACGCTACTTGCAACCACGTTCCGACGATACGTACTTGACATCGGCGATCCTTTCCACTGCGCGGCACTACTAAATGAAGGTCAATGGCTTGATAAGCCTTCTCAGCGTCCACCAAGGCGCGCATTTCAAAATTGGCAGCCTCCGGGATGTCTCTTGCATGAATATATCGGCGCAGATATCAAGACCTGCGCAGGAAATCGAGAACTGCTGTTTGTTGGCGACAGCAATGTTAGGCAGCTGTTTTGGACTGTCGCGAAAAAGCTGAACCATCACAACGCAATTGAGATGGCCTCCGTCGCGACAAGACATGGAGACATACAATATCAAGAGGGTGGAGTGAGTCTGCGATTCATTTGGGATCCATACTTGAACGGATCCGTCCTAGCAAACGAGTTGGAGATTTACAGTGAAAACGTCGGTGCAGGATTTTCTAGAGCCGGCAAGAAGAAAGGGGAGATAGAGCAGGATGTTGTCTTCCTCGTGCTTGGCGGTGGGTTATGGCACGCGAGACAGTTCGAAACCGAAGAGGCCGTGCGCAGCTTCAAAAACAGCGTCAACAATATAATTATGTATACACAGCGAGATCCAGGCAAAGAGTGGAAAGCGCAAGATCCTTTCAGTGGCTACGATGGCGTTGGGGATCAGGTATTCTTTTTGCCTGTTGAAGTTCCGGTCTACGAGCGACTGAGCCCTGCCAGACAGCAGACCATCATGCCGGAGGAAGTGAACCAGATGAATGAGTATCTACGAAGGCTCACCCACGAACAAGGATTGATAATCCCATGGGTTAATCAGGTTATGACGGGGACAATGAAGTACGCGTATGAGCAGTCTGGTATTCACGTCGTCGAGTCGATTGCAAATAGGAGAGCCGATATCATCTTGAACTTCCGATGCAATGCCAAAATTGACAACGCAATTGGTAGTCCATACGAGAGAACATGTTGCAGCAAGTATTCAAGCGGAAATTGGTTTCAATGGTTCCTCATTGCAACCAGCCTCATTGTGCTACCAACAATTACACTGCTACCGAGAGCGAACAGGTTGGAAGCATCAGCGGATCTTCGTTCGATTCTGCCTCCACTCACTGTAATTGGACTCGCAATGGCGTACAGCTTTGTTGCCGATCGATCACAGCTATTCACCAAGGCTCGCAAGGTCTACCATTTGTCCGAGTTGGTCATGCTTACGATGTTTGCCTTCGCCGTTGGTCTTCTCACCATAAGAAAGACTAAAGAAGCCCAGATGCGAAGATCCTCGACTAAGGAAGTGTTCGTTACAATGGGCCCTGCGTTTCTCTCGAGGGAGCAAACGGACGAGTGGAAGGGCTGGATGCAGATTATTGTGCTTCTGTACCATTGGACCGCTGCTGACACGCAGCTATCTTTCTACATCCTTCTTCGTCTTGTAATAGCCAGCTATCTATTCATCACGACCTATGGCCATACGATGCATTTCTACCGCCAGCAGGACTATACTTTGCGTCGCCTCGCAGACGTAATCATCCGTCTGAACTGCCTTCCAGTTCTGATGAGCTACCAGATGTACAACAATTATCTTTTCTACATATTTCCGCCACTGGCTACGTTCTGGTTCCTTGTCACATTTGGAACGCTACGATTTGGAGCTGAGCTCAACGGGAAGCCAGGATTTTTGCTGGCAAAGCTTGTCCTTTCTGCAAGTTTGATCTATCTAAGTCACACGCACGCAGAGCCCACGGATACGATCTTTGGTGTGTTCCGGTGGATCTTCAGCATCAATTGGAACGGAGGAGACTGGCGAAGATTTGTTATTCTTGATATCTATGTTCCATATTTTGGTATGCTGGTTGCACTACTGCACGTATGGTACCAAAAAGCGGCGAACTCATCCCTGAAAGGCCTCGATCGGGATGAGCGATTGGCGACATCATTGCTCCTTGCTGCTGTTGAAAAACTTCGACCCTGGGTCGTGGCTCTTAGCCTCGCTGTGCTGCCGATATTTAGCCTCCTTGTTAGCAGGTCACCAGATCAGAATGACTTCAATTGGTGGGCCGCTTGTATATCACCCCTCCCCGTGTTGTCATATGTTGTCCTGCGCAATGCACACCCGTTGCTCAGGGACCACTACAGTATAGCATTTGCATGGCTTGGAAGATGTAGCTTAGAAACATGGACGCTGTCGTACCATATACTGCGGGCAGCTGATGGGAAGGGTGTCCTCGGCATCGGACTCTTCAATTCCGGTGACGGTAGTTTATTTCCGTATCGATGGCGAGATGCCGTTCTGATCGTTCCACTCTTGCTGTGGACCGCGTGGCAAGTCTCATGTGCAAAGAGAAGGCTTGCGGCTTGGTCCCTTAGCCAACCTGGACTAGGGAAGAAGTGTGTGGCGCTTGTTGCAGCACTGTGGATCTTGAATCTGGTAAGTGGACGCTTGGTCTACGCGGGGTCATTAGCATATTCATTCTTTTACAGGTTACTAGCTGAGTAAACTTGGAGACGCCTGAAGCCCAGACACGATTATGATGTAAAGCGTTACGTGCTTGACGGTATTAGGTTTCTATTCTCCTCTCTTAAAGCCATGTGCGTTGCGCATAGAATCTTCAGCTTTGCCGGACCTCATCTCCGTGTCTACCGGATCTTTGTTCCCGTTTTCGATAAGCATGGATATTGCTGTCTGGCAGAAGTACGCATGTTAGTAAATGAGCTGGGAAACATCTACGGTATGGTATTTAATATCCGTGACCCTTGAAATGACCTGCAGTCTTACTTTTCTTCGAGGGACTGCGTGGGTCTTCGAGGATACACCACCATTACTAGCATTATACACGGGAATATCGCGCGCGCTGCTGCTTCCTGTGGTCCAGAGTTCTTCTGTTGGCAAGGCTCAGGGTGGCAGACCCTCCTCAGCCGTAATTTTGATTGGTTGTGTTTTTAGCGCTCCCTACATCCGCCCATACCGGGCCGTGCATCGGTAGATCGGCTCCCTTTAGGAGGTTCTTTGTTTAAAGGCTTGCGGCACACATTGCATGGGGTTGTCACCCTCATTACGCGGCAACTTCCAAGAAAGAGGGAACCCAACACAGCAATAAGAAAATGCCCTTAATTTGATGAAGAGGGCTAGATACACGGCCTTATGCAGGCCAGCGTAGTGATTACAGTACTTCGTTCTTGATCCAGATGTTTGAAAAGTGCTGGAGCGGAATGCCCCATGTTAAGCCGCTCAGAACTCACTGAATCTGGTCTAGCGGAACGAAAGAACATGCGTTAGGTTAGCCGCGACGAATGACCAGCAACCAATGTCCTCTCTTTGTGTTATTGAGCGCCTTTTTTTTGTTCAGGGGGGCTACATACATCCTCGTGGAGGTTGCGCTCGTCTCGTGGATGTTGCTAAAGACCCAAGTCATCGCAGCTGCAGGTTGATTACGGGAGGGCTCTAAAAGCTTCCAGTCCTTGGTTCGGCTTCCAGTCAAAAAGTAGCTCTTCAAGAAGCGGACCACAGCGCGATCCGCCTGTCCCAAAGCCCGTATTCTTGGCAAAAGTGATGGCTGGCCTCTGATCGCCTCCGCTGCAAAAATGGTTGCAGTCTGAGACGCTACCGAACTGTGGGGTATATCCAAATGATGAGGGTATATGCAGGAACGTACTCGCAGCCCTCGCAGTCTCGCTTGGAACCATGACTCACTACGCGTGATTTCTTTTTTCGCAAGGTGACAGTAGTCTGGCGGCATAGGACGCGGCTAAGAACTCGTTCTGGTTATCTGGAACACTACCTCAGCCGCTCATATTCCGACACAAGCAATCGACAAAGTCCGCTTCCGTCGGCTGCTCTTGAGTACGCTGTGTGGAGCTCGGGTTCCCGTCGGCGGCACAAGGTCCCAAGCTACCTAGTTTGGGGCTTATCGCTGCATCATAGCTCTCTTGGACCGTTGAGGCTGGCTATGACAGCAGCGCCCTCGGCAGAAATTTTGATTGGGCGCTGAATTCGTGTCATGATTGCAGTGTAGCCGTTCATATACAGTGGACAGGGCTTCTGGCTCCTTGAACATGCGAGTGATTCTCAATGCTGCATTCCAACGAGACCTTCAGTCGTGAGCTGGGCTTGTCGCTGCCCGCTAAAAGGCGATCCGAACCTAGACGAAGGCGATCATACGTTCGCGCTGCATGTAATAGCTGTCGCACCAGGAAAGTCGCCGTAAGTACGGCCAATAGTGTCCTTACTCGTGTACACCCAGAGTTCACTAAGCGATGCTAGTGTGATGGTGAGCGACCTGTATGCAACAACTGCAACAAAAAAGGTCTTCACTGCGCTTACGTGACTCTTGACCCCGACGAGACGCAAACGTCGGCGCTCAAGCGAAAGGTTCAAGAGCTCCAAGATGACCTCAATGACCAAGCCGAACTCATTAATCACCTCACAAACGGGCCTGAAGATCTCGTACTCGACTTAATTCGACAGCTGAGGACAACCGGGAACCCGTCCGCTGTGTTGCATGAGATACAACATGGGACCTTCTTCAAAAGATTACGGCCATCTGATCATGCCACGGCACGAGCAGTGCTCCCCCCCTCGCACATTAATTTCGCTTTGGAGTTAACTACCATTTACCCAAACTCTTATCCCATCCTTGAACCAATCAACACTGCATCCATCAGCATTAATGATCTGTTCACACCTAAGAGGGGCCATGCACCTCTCCCAACACCTGTGACACGAACCCCCCCTCTACAAATGGCCGACTTAGAGTTGAAGTATCCTTCGCCTCCGCCAGAAGATCTATGGCAAGTAGGGCCCGTGCAGGCTCCGTCCTATGCAGACCAGCGATTAAACCAGCTGAGGATGAACTTCTGGACGTCGGTTCCTATAACGGATGACTTCGCAGCCAGCGCGTTATCTTTGTACCTCCGAACAGACCATCCTTATCAAGGATTCTTTGACTCAGATCTCTTCATTCGCGACCTGGTCGATCTCAAGACAGACTTCTGCTCATCCTTTCTCGTTGCGTCTCTAATGTTCTACGCCTGCGTGAGTATTGTGTTGCTTTGTAGCACAGTATACGAATTGACACAGCTTCCAGCAATTGTACGCTGCCGTGGATCCTCGCTCATCTGTCATTAGTCATGCGTTTTATGCGCAGGCGGAGATACTGTGGGAGACAGAGCGATTAGTAGACTCTTTGACGACGACTATTGCTCTCCACCTTTTCAGTTTGGGATGTTTGGGTCAAGGAAAAGACAGACGCAGCATACAGTTGGTTCAAGAAGGTCGGGAAATGGCTGAAAGGCTGCATTTGCTGAACGTTCCACCAAATAGCATGATCGAACGTCAGTTCTGTGCGATGTCGCCAGAATGGCAACGTGCTACGGCCCATTCGGCGTGGGGAATTTACATCTGGCTCACGTATGTCGATTACCTATCCTTCTTCGTCTTTTGAACCCATGAAGCTGAGGGCTTGAACAGTTACCGAGCTTTTTTCTATGAGGATGAGGGAGTGCTCTATCCTCCGATGTATCCGAAGCCGGGAATGCTTTCTCCAAGACCAATTAGGCTCGGCGAAGTGCAGACGTGCGGCTCACCGCATCACGCAACAACTATTCTGGCTGCCCTTTGCGAGCTGTGCGTAATCTCACAAGAGGTGGCCACGGTGTACTATGAAAATTCGAGCGAGCCGATTCCAGCGCGCGTACCATTAGCCTTTGCGGAAGCAAAGTATCGTAAACTACTTTCGTGGGCAGAGAGGCTTCCGCCTGACATTGTTCGTGACAAAGATTACAGAGAGGATGTCATCGTCTTGCAGTAAGCGTTATCTATAGCTTTGATTTTTTTTTTTCCGAGCATTTGGAATGACTGAGTCGTTGACAGCATTTTTTTCCATATCGTAATCATATCAGTTTTTAGACCTTACATCAACCAACCGCAGATGCAGAGGTTACATACTTTTTCATCCAACGATAGTTCTCCCCGGGCAGTGTTTTGGGCGTCGGTCGAACAGCTCAAGTTCCTGATACTAATCGCGCGCTTGAAACACCCGCACTCCATCAATCCGGTGTTGACATCCGCAGGCCACGCCCACATATGCAGTGTTGTGCTTGCGAACCGCTCTGAGCCGGACTGGAAGTTTTACTTCCTGCTATGTGTGGCGTACTACCGAGAGATGTACACGAGACACCATGTCTTTGAATTGCTGATTCAAGGCGTCCTAGCGCTCGCCATGGTCAACGAGGCAATCACAGTTTCCGAGGCGCGGAAAATAATGGAGGGGATAAAGATCAAGGGGCGGCATCATCAGACGAAGGAGCAACCCTCTGCTTTTTTCAAGATCGACTTCGACCAGGCGTCGCAGAATTCGGATGATCGCAAGGTCGACACTTTGGCGCGAAAGTTTGAGGAGCTGGCTACGAATGTGAACGGGCAGTTTGCCAGTCAGCCTACATGACATATCCACACGCCTCTTGGAACATTGAACCCTATCAGGATCACCCTCCGCTCATAAAGCAGTACATGATCATCGTGCTCCGCCAGACGATTCTAAATAGAAGTCACAAAGCGAAGAGACCTTTCAATTTCGTGGACCCTCTAAACTTTTTTTTTTTTTTTTTTTTTTCATTTTTCACTTCTTACAAGAGAGGGCTTCAAACATTAGTTTCAGCGCTGGCTTATTTCGTTTCGCCCGCAAGTCCCCCAGTGGGGTGGCGGGGAGACTGGACGTCGACAAGACATAGTAGTGCACAATCTGAAAGAGCTCTCCGTCTTGGTAATCGAATATAAGTCGATGAGATCATGCCAATTTTCGTGAGTGGGTATCATTAAGATTACGTAGCTCATGTATTCTACTGTATGTAATGATCCACTTTTCGTCGCTCATGCCTCGAAAATCAAAAGTGTCCAGACGTGGTCCTCAGATAGGACAAAAGTCGTAATCATACATGGGTGCAGGATCTTGAAGATAAAACTAGTCGCTAGGCATGACTCACTTTTTCTTTCCTTTCTTGGAGTGGGCAGCACCACCGGCAGCCTCCATGCTTCCAAGAATGGCATCAAATGTTTTGCTGCTGTCCGCTTGGCTCGAAGGTCGAACCGTCGGACTGCCCTTGGGTCCTAAGATGGGAGAGCCGCTACCAGACGGCGTCCTGACCCCACTCCCGATGCCATTCGCGAACACGCTCGGTGGCATGGGAAGCGCCTCGAGGCCGCTGAGTATGACGCTTGCTCTCTTCATGCGATCAGGCCGGTTCGGGCTCTGACTCCTGCTTCTTGAGCCTGTAGAATCCGCGGCTGGGATGCTGCCCGGCAGCGCCGGAAGAGCATCGTTTGCTCGCTGCAGAGTCTCTGCCACTGCTTGTTGCATGATCTCAGAGTTGGCAGTCCACTTCTCTGCCATGATCCAGCAGTGACTGCGGCGATAGATGCCCTCAATGCCGAACTCGATAACATCACTTGGTAGACTGACGACGGTGTTTGCGTTGCCGGCAACGGCGTAGTACTTGCGCTCGCGCTCGGCTAATGCCCAGGGCACGCCCGAGCGTGGAGGCATGCAGAGAAAGTATTCGACGCCTTCGGTCCATTTCACGGCCGGCGCGTCGACCACAAGTAAAGGCAGAGACTGTAGAACGCCGTACATGAATAGCCACTGTCCTTGTCGCAGGTCTGCAACGTGGCCAATGGTGCAATGAACGGCCTGCGAGAACTCGTATTCCTTGAATGCGGTGAGGAATGGCGTCTGTTTGGCGTCCGTGTCGGGATTGTAAGAGTCCTTGAGAACCTTGTACAGCTGATCCTTCTTGAGCTTCTTCGCTCTCGCTTTGAGTTCGGCCTTTTTATCGCCAACAGGCGTCATGGCCGGAATTCTAGGCGTGTCAAAGGGTATTGGCGGTTGGACTGGCGGCGTGCTTCGATCGTACTCGTTCAACACCTTTCTCAATGCTCGGTGCATGGGCCCCCAAGACTCCTCGGTATCGTCATCCTCCATGACCATGTCCGTCGTGCGAGTAGTCAGTGCTGTGCGATCGACAAGCAGGTCATAGAGGTCGCTGAGATCCTGGTAAAGATCTCTGAGAACCAGCCTATTCAGCCCGCTTGTCTCAAGGTTGTTCTTCTTCGAGCTGGCTTTCGGTGGCCAGGAGCCATATTTGTTCTTGTAGTAGCCCATGAACCATTTTCGTGTGCTCATAAAGCTGTCACGCCAAACGTTAAATCTGACTGTCTTAGCCTCATCGGCAGTTTTGCTGTTCATAATTCCAGCAAACATGCCGGGAAATTCAAAGTCGTGCAGCTTCTGATTGATGTTGCGCTTCCTCGACTGCAGATCTAGAGCAGCGCGCTCCATTCGCATCTTGGTAACGTCACTGATGAGTTCGAACTTTGGGCTCTTGAGCTCGAGAAGATCGTCCCATTTGCCGACGCCGTGCACGAAGGCTTCATTGTAGAGGAGCACTGAACGCATTCTTTCACCGAGCACAATGGCCTCGATGGTCTTTTCACGGCTGTGGCGCACATCGCTGATGCGCAGCTCCTCGACGTAGCTGTTGAAGCTCGCATTCGCAACTTCGCCGAACGTTGAGCCGTCCAAGTTGGAGAAGCCGAAGCTGTTAAGCAGGTCTGCGACTTTCAAAAAGATACCGAAGATGGAACTCCTTCGCTCGGTGGCCACAATTGACTGTCCCTGAAGGAATGCAAACAGATTCCGAACGGAGACCAGGATGTCAATGTCGTTTTCGCTGAGCGACGGCTGTTGATCGCCTGGGCCAGTGATGGCGCCATCAGCACTGAGCGAAATTGGCAAATACAGATGAATTGGACCCGAATTGACCTCGTCTAGTCCTCTGGAATCCAACGAGTCCTCTGACGGATCAGAGGTGGAATTCGCTGGCGAGCGGAAGATCGGTGCGGGCGAGGCCGTCCGCGAGCCTGGCCTGGGTGTTCGGTCCATCGAAGACTGTCGTTGCGAGGCATGGCTGAGCGACGTCGTGCTCATGCCAGCACCCGCCACGCTGTAAATGTTGCCAAACGCGAGCTTAGTCAATACGGAGCTGGAAGAGAAGATGCCTGAGTCCACGCGGAAGGATGGGCCTTTTCCTGAAGTGCGGGGGAACAGGTACACGAAGACGTCGCCCTGCGGGTCCCACAGTTCCGATACCTACAAGACATCAGACATGTTGCTTTTCACGTTCAGGCGACGTACGCACCTGCTGAGCATTCAACAGCGGACGAAGATCGTACGCTGGCTTCTGGCCATCGATACCCGCGATCCAGGATGTTTGCTTCTCCTCCTTGAAGTCTTTGCTAGGCTTCGTGAGCTTCTTCTCTCCGCCCAAGAACCAACTCTTTCTTTTGCTCGCCCGTGTCGGCGACGATCCCGGTGAATGCCCCGGGGACTCGCCACTGGTGGGGACAGGTAGGGTGTTGGCATGATGCGGAGCAAGAGTGCTTCGAAATGGGGATGCAGGCTGGCTTGAGTAACTAGTGTTGGGTCTCGAATTGACCGGTGACGTCGTCGCCGAGGACACTCTCGGCGACGTGGCTGACTCGCTGCTGCCCACGGGTTTCCGATGTAGGTCGATGGGAGGCGCGAGCGGTGAGAGCAGTTTGTGCTTTGGGATCTGTACGGAGGAGGAGCGTCCGTGTTGTTGCTGTTGCGGAGGCGTCCACAAGGTATGGTTGGGTGTGACGGGACGTTCGGGTAAGGTTTGCGGGTTATGAGAGACGGCTCGTCGCTCTTCTACAGAATCTTTAGGACCAGAGTCGACAGTGACACGAAGAGAAAAGATTCTAAGAAATAGGCTGTCATTACCCTTTTTCTTCTGAAGCGTTGCCATGTTCGGGCTGACTTTCTATTTCTGTCTCCTTGTGCCAGAGTCTAAGGCACAAGAACACAGACAGATGAACGGCTGGACGTTACAGAAGACGGGGTCAAGACTCGTGGAACAGGAGCAGACCCCTTCTCTGAAAGCAGGACACGTCTCTTTTAGTACTAAATAGAATGTTTATTACAGGCTTGGGGTGGCCCTTGGGACGGACGATACACCAATGTGCCGCGTAAGGTGGAAATGCCGGGGTGGGAGGGGGATGTCGACGCAAGAGGAGCAGAGTAGGGACGGCCTGGCAGGACCACGGAAGGCCGTCAGGAGCGGGTACGTTGACAGGTGTGTCGATGAACGACTAGGCTGTCGTGGAGCGAGCGCGCGAGTGGGACTGTACCTGCAGCGTTCGGCAAAGAAGTGAGGGATGGATGGAGGACTGGGAGAGATCGGATATGGAGCACGGAGCCACGGAGCCACGGATCCACGGAGCCACTCCTGTCTCTGTTGGAGTGTGGACGGGCAGTTTGAGCGGAGGAAGAATAGACCAGAGGGGGTTCTTGAACTGGAACTGGAGTTGGGAGGTGAAGAAGAGGAAGAGGAAGATTGGCGACGGTGAAGAGGGCAGATGACCTGTCAGGGAAAGACAAGCGGGCGGGAACAGGTGAGGGAGCAGTAAGAGAAAAGCAGACTGACGTGCCTGATGATCACGACGAGAGCGGTGGCAGCGTCTTTTTCTCGAACGGGGATAACGGCCAGTAGTGCCTTGATCTCCCTCGTCCCCTTCTTGCAGGATTTTTGCTTGGGCGGCGGGTGGGCATCAAGAGGGGGCAAGACTGGGCTGAGCCGGACCAGCAATCGCAGGTATTTGCTTTGGCTCTTTGCAGCTCGCTCGTTCTACCGCGGGCACGAACGAACTGGAGCAGCTTTGATGATGATGATGACGTAGCCCGCTGGTATGGCGCAGTCGACCTCGTGCGCGGCCCAACCCTGGCGTCCGCACTGTCCTTTGGCACTGTGTGCTCCACCCCAAGCATCAAAGTCTGTTCAATACCTGCTGCCGGATCCCGCCATCTGTTCGAGCCGTCCTACGCAGCCGCCCGTCCATATTTTTTGTCCAGCGTCGCAAGCCTCCTTCGTTCCGGCAAGCCTATCGATACCAACGGTTTTTTTCTCGTCAACCGTGCACGTCTTCTGTCCTTTTCTGGACCTTCCGTGACGCGCGTCTACTCCGTCCTGCCCTGCCCCCCCCCCCCATTGTTATGCCCGGTGGATTGAAAATCCTCGTCATCGACCGCCTTGTGAAAAAGCGCTGCCGAGACGCGGACGCTCCCGGTTCTGATTGTTTCTGGTCTCAGGGAGGCGCAGTTTTATTGACCACCTGGAAGATCGGCAACGACGACATTAATTCCTGACGGTGACATGTTCAGCGTCTAGGATGCAGCACAAAACATTATGCCTCGCGCACGTGGGAGAAAAAAGAAGGGAAAAATACCGCGTCTTTGCCGTCGGTATGGCAACTTAGTGACAGGACGAACAAGGAGGGAAATTGAGGAAAGAAAAAAAAACCGTTGACGCTACAGGGACCCTGTCTCTCCCTCCAATGACACGACTTGTCTGTCTCATTCTGAAGAATCGTCGTTTGCCACTCTGCCACGTCTTTTTGTAGCGCTCAAACACAAGGTGCCGGGGCGTGCCTGCTGCACCACACCGTTCGGTAGCAGCAGCAGCAGTAGCAGCAGCAGTAGCAGCAGAAGCAGCAGCCATGGTGATTCGAGAGATGAGCACGCCCAAAGCAGCTGTGAAGCGCGGCCATCGGAAGCTCATCAACCTCCTGCGAGGATGGCCGAACCCGGCGCTGCTGCCGACCAAGCTGATGAGGGAAGCCGCCGACGCCGTGTTCGCCGACAAGGACGTGGCCATACCCGCCCTGCTCTACGGGCCTGACGAGGGAGACGCGCGTCTGCGGCGGGAGCTGGCCAAGTGGCTCACCGAGTTCTACGCCGACTACTTGCAGGAGCCCATCGGCGCCGACAGGCTGGCCATCACCGGGGGCGCCTCGCAGAACCTGGCCTGCCTGCTGCAGACCTTCACCGATCCGGAATACACGCGCAACATCTGGATCGTGGCGCCGAGCTACTTCCTCGCCTTTCGCATCTTCAACGACGCCGGCTTTGGAGCCAAGCTGCGCGCCGTGCCCGAGGGCGACACCGGCATCGAGCTCGACTACCTGGAGCGAGAGATCCGCAAGAGCGAGGACGAGGCCGTTCGGCGCGGCAACGCCAAGCCGGCCTTCAAGGTGCCGACACCGTGGGGCAAAGTGTACAAGCACGTCATATACGCCGTGCCCACCTTCTCCAACCCGAGCTCCAAGACCATGATTGCCAGTCGCCGGGTGGACCTGGTGCGCCTGGCCCGCAGGTACGACGCGCTGATTGTCACCGACGACGTGTACGACCAGCTGCAGTGGCCGTCTGCGCGCGAGGCAGCGGCTCAGGACGACGCCCAGCCGTCCGGCCAGAAGGACATGACGAGGGCGCAGGATGCCCGCATCGTCGACGTGGATCGATACCTCGACGGTGGGCCGGACCGCCCCGGCGCCGACGGCTTCGGCAACGCAGCGTCCAACGGCAGCTTCAGCAAGATCGCAGGTCCGGGCATGCGCACCGGCTGGTGCGAGGGCAGTCCCAAGCTCGCGTACGGCGTCTCGCAGACGGGCAGCTCGCGGTCCGGCGGCGCGCCCTCGCAGATCGCAGCCAACTTCCTGGCGGAGGCGCTCGCCAGGGGCGCGCTGCAGAAGCACGTCGACGTGGTGCTGCGGCCGGCGCTCGCCAGGCGCCACGCGCTGATGATGGACGCCGTGCGAGAGCACCTCGTTCCGCTCGGCGTCCGGCTGCCGCAGGACGGGAGGCGCGTCGCGGGCGGCTACTTCGTGTGGCTACGTCTGCCGCCGCGCATCAAGGCGAACCTGCTGGCCAGGCGATGCAAGGACACGCACAACTTGATCGTCGCCGACGGAGCCATGTTCGAAGTGCCCGGCGACGCACACCCGTCGATACACCACCAAGTGGCGGAAGACGCCGTGGCCGCTGGTGGCAGCTCGGAGGCGCCAACCTCGTTCCCATACGACGTCAGGCTGTGTTTTGCGTGGGAGGAGGAGGATGCCCTGGAGGAGGGCGTCGAGAGGCTGGCCGAAGTCATACAGTCCATGCTTGACGAGCCGGAGGGGGTGAATCCCAACGTCAAACGATCAAGCTTTGGGGAGACGGACCGTGTGCCCATGGATGTCAGCAGTTTTCAATGAGTCGGAGAGCAAGCGCTGTGTTCACGTTTGTACGCAAGAAACATGAGTCCTTGTCTACGCTCTTGGCTGCGATTGTGTTTGCTTTTTCTCGTGGAAAATAAAAAAAGAAAAATACTTAAGAATGGAATCCTGTAGTCTCTGAGATTGAAATTGCCTCAGATAATGCCTACGAGGGAGAGCCAATCAAAAAAAAAAGAAAAAAAAACTCATGATTCCATTCACGTTTCATGCAGCATCATAAAGCTGGGTACATACCAAACGAAGGCCAAAACTATTGCACAAGGGATATATCGTCTAATCTCGTCCGGAGCGTGCCCATACTTTCAGCGTGGAAAGACCTGCCGCAATGCTTCTTGAAACACGCCCACATTGTAGTCAATCAAAGCCTTGCCCTCTGTTGGGCTGTTGTCACCCATTATGCATATGAGGCATAGATAGGTGTTCACTTCTCTCAGGTAGAGATAGTTGCCCTTCTTCTCCATTGTTATCAAACTCTCTGCGGGGCCGTTGCCGCTCTCCTGCAAAATACCTGCTGAATTTGGCGAGTCCGAGCCATTCGCTTTGTTGACAGCCTGTGACCCTTCTTGGTCCTGCTCGGTACCTTCAAGTTGCCCAGTGTCCACCGGTCGCTGGCCGTAGATTTCGGTGATGTCTAGTATGACGTCAATGTAGTCCGAGCATATCTCGTAGCTTCCAATATCTGTTGGGGATGTGTCTGTAGCGATATAGATTTTGGACACCAGGTCGAAAAGGTACGCCTTTTGAAATCGGCAGTTGAAGCACAGAGAGTTGAGCAGCGCTTCTAACGTTGGCAACTGCGGGATGAGCTTCTGTATGACCTTGGAGAAAGCCTCAAAGATCGAGTGGTCGTAGATACTGGTCTGGTGAAAATGCACCGGTGCGCTATCAACGCCCGCGTCTGACAGCTCGTCCTGCACGCGCTGTACTATGTCGCGAAAGGTATCGCTGCGGTAGTCATCAGAGAGACCGTCGACCTTGTGCACAAAAACTTCAATGTTTATCGCCGGATAGGTTGTCTGAAGGTTGAGAATAGTAGCATTGAGGCGCGCTACGGCGTCTAGGTACTCGTCCTGTGCGTCGATGACCCAGATCAGGGCGCCAATCTCTGAGAATATCTCGGCACTGTCGAAAGCAGGGTCGAAGTAATTCAAGTGGCCGGGAAAGTCCCATACCTGGAAATCCATGAATGAGCTGTAGCAAAACTTAGCCGTGGATCATCCTCGCGCGTGGGGAGACAGGCCGTCAGTAAGAAGGACACGTACTGCATTGAATCTTTCCTGATCTTGGTCGTGGTCTCGAGGTACAGCGTCTCGCTTGGGGGCAGCTTGTGAAAGACTACGCTGGAGATGGACGATTTGCCGCTCCTGTCGGGTAAGAAGTCAACCTATGCTGCTGCTCTTAGATGTGCTGAGATTCACGAGCTTACCGGCGCTGGCCCATGAGCAGCAACCGCGGCTTGCCATCGGCGACCTTGCTGTTTGGAAGCTTGCCTGTGTGGTACTTTGGCGCGGCCGAACTAGCCGGCGACTCTGCTTGTTCGAGATTCTGAAAGTATCGGATCAGAGTTGAACTAGTAGCATCATCAAGACGAGAAAGCGTGTGATCGAAGTTCTTCTGGGACTCTGTAGGTGTTGTGGATCGTTCATCATGGGAAAGCGCAGATTTTGGCGTCATGGCCGAGAAGGGAGCAGAAGATGGGGGGAGCGCAATGCTTGAGAGTAGTGACCAGCCAATGCGATGCTAAGAGGAGTTTGGGCGAAGGTTGGCAGCAGATAAGAAGATTAGAATTTTTTTTTTCCTGTTTGGCCAGGCTTGCGTTCTTCCCGAGTCTCAGCGAGGCAGCAGGGTAATCCGGCCAAAGCGAAGACGTGAGAAGGCGAGCAATGACCTTGTCAACTCAAGCGTCGTCCGCCAATCCAATCGCTGACAGCATTATTTTAAGAAAAGGGATTGAAGCGTCGTGCTTGTGTTCATACGCTTGACTCGATGCAGAGCTGACGCAGAAGCCACAAAGGCGACGTTCGGATGGGAAAGAGGAGAGAGGAAGAGGGACAAGTCTGAAAGGGAAGTGTTCGTGTTTTTGTGGTTGTTTGTGTGTGCGTGCGCGTGTGTGTTGGAAGGCTCGCGGAAGCGAGCGCCATATACCGTCGAGGGATGGCAAGGGAGGATGAACAGTAACAACAACAACAACAACAACAGCAGCAGCAGCAGCAGCAGCAGCAGAAACAGCAATAGCAGCAAAGGCAGGCAGGAAAGCAGCCGGATCTAGAAGAAGTTGAGCTGACGAGAAGGAACAATGTTTTACAAGTCGCAAAACGAGGTCACCGCCATTTTACGTTGCGCAAGGACGGCGATTGGATGGGCGACGAGTAGCATCGAGAGCCTCTGGAAGCCCAAGAGGCAGCAACAGCGAGATCAGCACGAAGAGGCAAACATCCCACGCGACCGTGAAGGGGTTTTAAAAATGGTGCGGCTCACAGGGACAAGTGCCGTGCTTTTGCTGTTCTGCGCGCTATATCGTGTCTGCCAGCTCACTTCCTCGAAGATCCAGACTAGCGGGACTAATGCAAGGCTGTCCTAGCATCGGGTACTCGACACGGATCCGAGAGGATGGGATTGGAAGGGAACAGGCGAGTGAAGAAAGAGAGGGCGAGTTAGTGTGCTCGAGTGCGCGTGTGGGCGTGGCGTCTGGCCGCAGAGGCAACTGCAAGGCTGGTGGCGGGACAGGGATGAACGCAGGTCAAGAAAAAAATTGAGAAGAAATGAAAAAAGAAAAGCTGAGACGGGCAGCGGGAGGGAGGAAAACCAGGCAAAGGCTTGTAGGTTGCCGTCGAGGTTTGGCAGGCCGATCGGGAGAAGAAGGGGGTGGGGGGTGATATGGACAGGCCACAGCAGCGATTGGTACAACAGAGAAGCGCAAGAAGAGAAAGAGCAGGACTCACCATGGCCATGAGGCGTCAGAGGACGGAGGGATCGTTCCGTGAGCGAGCGCGAGTCGAGACAGACAAGCAAGGGAAAGGGCGAGAGAGGGAGTGTGCATGAGCGGCAGAGAGGCGTAGGGCCCGGCGCGGAGTTCCGGTGTGCTGCGACACAGAACGACGACAAGAACGACGAGCGATCGAGCGTGGACGAGGACCGGAGGAGACGGGCGGGGCGAGGAAGGGGAGGGCGACGGCGCGGGGTGCTGCGCGCTTGTCGCTTGATACGCCGGGCGGGAGCTGTTGGCGAGCACACGCACCGCACGCGCACGGCGAGCAACCGCTCCCTCCAAGCGCCGGCCGCTGTGCAGCCCCGTGCTACGCTGTGCCCGCCCGTGCTGAGCTGTGCGCCGCCCCGGCCTGACCGTTCCCGCTCCGCCCCAGGCCGCTCGTCCTTGACCGAGTCCCGATGCTTCGCGGCGCTGTCCGCGCAAACGCAAGGCAAGCGAGACGCCGCAGCATACACGCGGATCCTCGAGGCGCTGGCCAGCGGCAGGCCAGTAGCCGTCCACTCTCTGCTGGACGACGCTGACGTCGGACCCAGCGCGCAAGGGTGTGCCTGGCACCAGCGAGGCTCTGATCTAAGACCGTTGCCGCCGCTTTGCGGTCAGAATCATGGCGCGCCAGTCCGTGTCAGCGCGGATGCATCGGGTAAGAGTCTTCTGGCCTGGGCTAGGCGTGGGAAGAAAGCGTAGGCAAGTAGACGAGAGCCGTGTGTCAGAAAGACGGCCAGCAGAGGAGAAGTCGGAACGCCGTGCTCGACAGGTGCGCTCAGACCTCCGTACGCCTTCTCCACCTCGTCCTCGTTACTCCTCCTCCTCCTCCTCCTCCACCTCTCTACTTTCTCTTTCACCTTTACTTCCAACATACATGCTTCCTCCTGCCGGATTGTCTTTGCGGATTTTTCTTTTTCAATCGTGCCATTGTTCTGGCACAAACTGCCCTTCCATTGGCCACGAAGACGGTCCGCTGACCATACCAGTCTAGTTATTCGCCTCTTTTTCCGAGATCGATCGAATTGGCTGATAAAAAGGACAACAATGCTACCCGGCTCTGGCGACGTGCATCCGCCGACCCTGGGTGTGTGCAGCATCGCTCTACGCCACCCACGCAGCCTCTGTGACGGGCACAAATATGCTCACGTACAAAAAGCCTCTCCGCTGCGTCTCTTTACGTGCACCCTTCCGTATGTGGCAGACATATCGCTCTGTACACGCACAACTTGTACGGACGGCAAGTCAGTCTACCGCAAGCTCCTGATCGCCCACGCGTCTGCTGTCGCCTTTTTCGTATTCCCTCGAACCATATCATTGTCACGGCTCTGTTGTGGTGCCCCTTCTACCATCCTCGTTCGATAATGTGGGGCCCTTGGTGCACTCTGGGCGACCACATTTGCCCTTTCAAGCTGTTACCCGTGTGCGCTAAATAACAACGTCTGCAAAACCTCGCATTCCGACTGGGCTCCACTCGTTTGTTTTTCATCCAACCGAGTCCATCGATTACGCGTGCCATTGTCGGGCCTTCCCACGCCGTTCATTTCGTCCAATGTGGAGTTCCTACATCCCTCGGCTGCGCGCGCGATTCGAGCGGCCGGCCAAGTGAGCTTGCCTGCCGTTGCGGGTATACTTGTGGCATAACATATGCAAAGCCACTGGTTCCGGACATGCGGTGTGAAATAACTATACTTTGCTGTCCAGCCTTCTCTCTTCCCCTCCCAACCAAATTGCTGACCCTCCTTTCCACACCCGCACCTCATCATGTCCGCATCCTGTTCGTTCAGTTGCCATGGTTCAGGAACGCGGTCAGCGTGATGGGCGATCAGCACGAGGGACGGGTCGCTGCGTAGGGCTCAAGACGAACGCAAATCATTTTTCAAAGCCTGCCTCCATTCTCTTCTCTTCTCCTCTCTTCTCCTCAGAAAGAAAAATGTGACGCACGTCGCGACGTCGGTTTTCGTGCCCAGACGGCCCGCTGCCGCATGCTGTGTCGTCCATCCTTGCCTTTGCTGCACCCACCCAGCGTTGCATGACGGCGCATCGATGCACATTGGCTATTTGGCCAGGTCTGTACAAAGCTCAAGAGTCTGACTACGAGGTTTGCTCCGCCGGCGCGTCTGCAGGACCTCACGCTTTGCACCCGCGTTCGAAATCCATCATGGTTCGTCTGGATGGGAACGTTGATTGGGGGAAGTTGATAGGTCAAGAATAGACAAAAATCATTTCATTCGTCGCGCTATGTACGGTTTTCCCTTCTAACAGAGGAGACGAGAACATTCGCCAGGAAAACGATGACTCGGGGTGGAGGCATTTGCATAGGTAGTAATAGTCAAAGGGCTGGCCAAACGGGCAAACAGCCTAGTGGCCAAATGCGATCTCCGCCTAATTGACGAAGACCTTCTACTCCTTGCCGCCCGCACGGCGCTCCCAGTCGTCGCTGAACCGATTCCCATCCACGATCTCAACCCCTTTGCCAAGCCCGATCAGATCGCTGTCAACCCACCACGGCCGCTCTCCGCTTGCCCTCTCCTTGCCCTTGATATCACTCTCGTCCTCGGTGTCGATGAGTCCGCCAAGGCCCGTACCGCCGCCGCCAACTACAACGACGACCTGGCCGACCCATCCCTTGACAGCCTCGACGTTCTGGCCCTTGGGACCCGAAAGCGAGTCGACAACGTAGACCAGGTCTGGTTGCATGTGCTTGCACATGTGCACCCATCCCTGCGGCGTCTCAAACGTGAGCACGTTGACGGGATCCTCGACAATGCGGACAGCTTGCTTGTAAAGCAAATCGTACGGATCGCCTCCCGAAGAACGAGCAGACAGCGCGGGTGTGGTCCCTGGTGGCGTATACGGCTGGGGATCGAGGGACTGCAGTTCCTCACCGGGGGTTTGCGCTGGTGTGTTGATCGCTGCGTACGAAGATCCAATCGATGATGGTGCTCGCGGTGGAGTCTTACCCGATGAGGGGTTGGGGTTGTATATTAAGATGTGTACTGACGTTGTCGAAGGGTCCACTGGCGGTAGGTGGGAGAGTAGGGACTGCACAAAGACCGTGTTAGTGTCTGGGATATGATTTGCTTCGCGATTGCCGTAATTCGCACTCACTGCATGTTCCGCGTGATACTTGCCGTCCTCCTCCTGCATCTGATCCAGCATGATCTCTGAGCTCAAGACAATCGCAACCATCTTTCGCCGCCCGCCCGTGTACTGTTTCGGACCTTCCTTCAGGCTATCGCCGAATGCCGTTACGTTTGCCGAGACCGCTTCACGGCTCTGCTCAGCATGACTAACAACACGCTTCTCCGCCTCCTCGCTCCACCTCTCGTGGTCCGAGAAGCCCTCTTCCGTCTGCCTGTTCTCCCGCCTGTTGCGGGACTCAGTGCTCTCCTCACGGATGGCACTCAGCGCACCACCAACAGCGGCTCCCGCCGCTGCGATACCCGCAGCGCCGAATCTCTTCACCGAATCAAACGCCTGCTGCGGCGATGGAGTCCGTCGTATGGCCTCCTGCACTCCTCTGTGCAGGCCACCCACAAACGTGCTCTCGTCCGCGCCATTGCGGCCTCCAGATATGTACTCGTCGTCGCGAATGACTCCTTCGGACACGCTGGATTCGGCGCCACCGCCCCGAGGATCTCGCCCGTATCGCTCGCGTGCGACGCGGGCCTCTTCGCCGTAGCTCAGATTCTCATCGTCAGAGGTGACATCTTGATCGGTGGACGAGTACTCGTCGCGTGCGCTCCATACCCAGGCGGCGATGCCTCCCGCAGCAAGAGTTACCGTTATCACGAGCGGGACCCAGTACGTGATGGCGGAGCGCGAGCTCCGCGCTGGTCGGTGGCGGCTGTTGTCGTAACGTTCGTAGGAGAAGGAGCGTGACATTGCTGGAGTGTGTTCATGTGCGACTCATGATCCAAGGGGGAAAAGAAGAAAAAAAGGTCGAAGGTCGCAAAAGACAGAGATTCCTTTTTGACTTGGTTGTGTGTATCTTGTGAACCGAGGAAAGGCTGGGGTTCATTTACGGGATTGAAGGGGATTCAAAAGGTGTTGATGTTTGTTGTGGCTGGGTCGGTTGTCATCCTTGACGGGTGCTTGTACTTGCACGCAACTACAGCCGAGCCGAGGAGGCTGAACGCTAACCCGCTTTGGTACAGCTCAGGTTTGGAGTCATGAATTTTGGTCCCGCGGAATACATCACATTTTCTGGATACTGCTCTAGTTTCCATAAAACTGCTACAGACCTCTAATTTTTCCTTCTTCGTCTAAACTCTACTTTACGCAAGAGAGGAAGAAGGCAGGCAGTCTCGCGTGCACAATGCCACACGCGACCTTGCCCTCGCCGGGCTTCCAGGCGCTCATCTTGTGCGGCCCTGGCGCATCTCTCGATACTTTTACCTCCAATCTCGAAGAATTCCCCAAGGCGCTGGTGCCAATTGCGAACAGACCCATGGTATGGTACCCCATAGAGTGGTGCAGCCGCATGGGAGTTACGGGTACGTCTTGAGTATGTCCTGCGCATTCGTAGCGGCCGTTGGGGACTGATCGTTGATCGTGCAGACATAACTTTGATCACCCCGCCAGCAGCCCAGAAGGCCACACAGGCGGTCTTAGATCTCAACCCAAATTTCACCTCTCTGCCTCGAGTAGAGATATGTTCACCTGCTGGTCTCACCGAGAATACTGGAACTGCTGAAATCTTCCGACTCAAGGAGGTTCAAGACATCATCACTCGAGACTTCATAGTCCTTCCCTGCGATTTAGTGTGCGAGCTGGATGGCTTGTCATTGCTAGAAGAATGGATGGTCCTTGAAGGCGGACTGGGGGCAGCGACGGGTGGCCTATCCCCACACGGCCGCGAGATGCCCATGGGTGTAGGTGGTGAGAAACGGGGCCGAAGAGGAGGCCTTAGTGTTTGGTATGAGACGAAAGTCGACGGCAACATGAAGAAGGAGGAAACCGACTTCCTAGCTTCCACGCCGCTTCCAAAAGCCAAAGTGCCGCCTCCGCAAGGCTCGATACGAAAGGACATCTCTCAAGTCGTCCTTACCATGCCTACGGATACGCTCAAGGATATACAAGAGGCGAAGGAAGGCAACTTTGCTCTGCGGCATTCTCTGCTCAAAAAGTTTGGACGATTAAAGCTGCATACAACGACTAGGGATGCGCACGTGTATCTCTTCCCATACTGGGTCCTGCAGATGCTGAAGAAGAACGAGACGTTCGACAGCTTATCCGAAGACGCGCTCGGATGGTGGGCCAAGGCCTGTTGGCAGGATGGGTTGGGCGACAAACTAGGGCTTCGGGATGTATTGCAGCCGTCAAACACCACGGATATGCAGCTATCAACTGGGGAGCTCAATCCTCTGCTTGACGAGGTTGATCTGTCTACGTACATCACCACAACCACAACACCGACGACGGAGGCCGACACCGTGAGGACGGTATCGCTCGCGTCGCGTGTGCAGAATCCCAGCTTCCCCACAGAATCCTCCAGCACCATTTTCGAATCGAAGCCTCGTCTTGTCATCCCCCCACTCCTAGCCTACGTTCAACCAAGCTCTGCAAACGAGCCCCTTATCCGCCGTGTCGATACAGAAGATCAGCTCCTCAATGTATCCCTTCGACTCGCACGGCTACCAGCTCTTGATGACAAGACAGTAGCTGCGCACTCGCCGTACAGTTTTGATTCCAAAATCCACCCTCAAATCACCATTCCCAAGCAATCCCACATCGACACTGCTACTACGCTGATTGCAGCGAATACAACCCTTTCAGAGCGGGTCGCCATAAAAGAATCCGTTGTCGGTGCAAATTGCAGCATCGGCATGGGCTCTAAACTCACCAGGTGTCTACTCATGGATGGTGTCGTTATCGGTGACTTTTGCAGTCTGACCGGGTGCATAATTGGTCCGAGGGCGAAGATCACCGGCGGCCCCAAGGAGGATAGGAACAAGACAGACCTGAAAAACGTGAAGGTCATGGGAGGCATGGTCGTGGAATGGGGAACTGTTGCCGAGGGACGGGTTATCGGTGGAGGGGATTTGTTAGATGAGGAAGGTTTAGATGGAATTAGTGGAGCTGAAGGCGACGACGATTGATGAATGAAGACAATGAAGAGCAAAAATGCATGTCTGGATCGCAAAATGGGGGTTCATAGAGACGAAAGATTTGCCCAGTGGTATATCCATTTTGAACAATGAGTCTATGGTCATCTATCATGTTGTTGTTCAATCTGAGCGCCAAATAATGAAAATACAAATGAAAAACATTTTCAAGAACGTGCTGCAAAGGCGCGCAACAGGATGACCGCAACGGACGTGATTTAAGGCGACTAGGCGCTGGACGCGTACAACGTCGCCAACACGTCATATCGCATTGTTGGATTTTTATTCAAGGCCCTCGAGCTTCCGTTCAAATATTCTAATAATGCTCTGTCAGCCACCAACTCTGTGTGTCCATGCTGTTGTTGTCGAGGAAACATTTGTGGACTCTTCATCCGTGTCTATCACTGCGGGCGACGTGAAGCTCCGATGATGCAGCGCGATAGAGAGTGGCCTTGGAAAGGACAAGTGTTTCCACACGTTTGACCAGCATATTTCATGGTCGATTTGGAGATTCGGGGGCAGATAGTCTTTGTTTGCCATTAGACATTCTCGACTATTGCGTGACAGACGCTCCGGCTGCGCCCTGGGTTGCACAGCGCTCTAGACACTGCCGCCGATGCGGCAGCGAATGAAACTGAGTCTGGCAGCAGGCTGGAAGCTACTCAAATTACGACACGAAAGTAGCACAAGGCCGACAGATGTGTGGGTGTGCACGTTCCAATTCCATGGTTGAAAAGCAATTTTATACGTAAACACGTTGTCGCGGTGGAAAAGGGTTCAGCGCTGTGTTTTCACAATCACACTTTGTCCTCCCTCATGCACGTGCTGTCGGCATCCGGCATGTTCTACTCATGGCTTCATTTGTACAAGGTGCAGGGGAACAAGGGCGCCCATTTCGACTAAGACAGCAGTCTTCGCCTATTTTTGGTGAAGAAGTGTTTATGTTTCCACGTTGTGGGAGCGAGAAGATGGAGCAGCCGTTTTCGCCGCCCATCTATATGAGGCAGATGTTATATCTGTGCACATGGTCATCAAAATGTCAGGAGGGGGTTCCAAGCCTGTCAGCGACCTATTGCTGCCGAGTGCGGGTGCGAGAACAGCACGACGCAGTAGTTGTCATAGATCGCACGGTGACGCTCCCAAGGGCAGTGATCACACTTGCTAAAATGACCAGCGGAGACTTTCCAGAGTTTGGCATGAGACTTGACAGGTGAAGAAGGTCGCATTGAGTGCATCAGCATCCCCTAGCCCATGTACAGCCTAGGAATCGGTGAATTGGCAGGACGTGAAACTCGACGCCTACGGTGCTTTGTCAAAGAAAGGACTGGACTGACCCACATGGGAGGGGAGGCAAATTATTTGATCAACGGTTGTAATTGATGCCCAGCGCGTCATATGGAGAGACCAAGACAGAGGATATTAGCCAGGAGGAAATGCGGACATCCAAGGGCGGCGGAGATATGAGCATGACTCCAGCAGTGTGTTTGGGTTTGACTAGCGCAGAGCGTGTTTCAACAGCGATGGGGATTAGCGGGCGCACGACTGCTTGACTGGTGAAGACCAAGCCCCCTGGCGCAAGGTAGTCGACATCTCCGTCTGGTAGCAAGGAAGATAAAAGGTCACAGCAGGTGTCCAGGCAGCCATCGATCAAGGATGACAGGCTGCATGAAGGAGCGGGATCATGCAAGGAAACGGATGAAGGTCGAAGGCCAGCCAAAGGCGAAGATTTGTCACGGTCAAAGGGCGTGGAAGGCAAGCCGTGGTGAGGCCAGTTTGACTCCTGCAGGCGCCGAAGAGATCGAGTCGTGATCAGGTCGGGTGGCGGGAAGACCAGGAGGAGCACGGCGCTCGCGTCTAGACGGAAAGCGGACAAGCACACGACCCCTTGGTCATCAGCCCTGGTCGAATCAACGACAACGATCGCTTCGTCCTCAGCAACTCGTCGTGCCAGACTGGCCTTGCCCACAAAACACGTCCGTTTCATCGTGTCCATGCCACGTCCGTTTACTCGACATGCGTGTTTGCGCCTCCAGCTCGTCAGAGCACCAGCCACGCTTCCATGGCTCGATCCGGGCCCGGGAGAGCGCGCGATCCCGCTCCGTACGAAGGCCTGTTTCCGCGACCATCTGACTTGTCCAGCATCGCGATCATGAGGCTTGGTTAGATGCCATGATGCCCAAAAGCAAGCTCGTGCCGTAGCTCCTCACTCGCTTAGTCCGCGGATGGTTGAGTCGCTCGCCGCGTCCAAAAGAGCGGGGCGCGTGCGCGTGGGAATCAAAAGGGAGGATTGACGTACATGAAGGAGAGATCTGAGCCGCCAAAGATATCGCGCCCTTGGATCTGGATGGCTGTTTGAAACGCCAGCATTGTCAGGGCATACCTTGATCGTACCTGGTGGCTCCCCAGAAACGAGTCTGTCTACGCAGAAGACGATAAAACAAAACGTGGGCTGCTTTTTCGCTCGACGCTCCCGCTGTTCTGCATTTGTACTCCACCACGCCCATTATTTTCTCCATTCACCTTCAGCTCTTTCCTTTCTTGTCGCGCGAGACTCCGCTGTCGACTGCTCGACATACACTCATTCTTTTCGCCATCTCGAGGACCGGTCCTCATTTTTTGTTTCAGCACTTGTCACCACGCGACAGCTTGACGTTGCTATTGTTGCTAGTCACGCGCGCTCTCACTCTCTCTTGCACCTTTTAACATTGTTCTGAGCCTTCAATAGTCTACTCAGATCTCGTTTTCACAGTCATTCGTAACTTGTCCATAAAAGAAGCGCTGCCCTTTCGGTTTGCGCCTCTACAACTAGGCATTTCCTACAAACCACGGTCCCCTTTCTCGCTGGTCCAGGTTTATCCATAAAAACATCAACTTCGCTGCTGGATCAAAGCGAAATTAATTAGCAAAGCCATCTTCAAACGCGCGAGAATGATGCTTTCACGGCTCGCGCTTGTCGCGACGCTACCACTCTTCTCCAGCGTTTCCATAGCTGCTCCTACCGCCGCAGCGCAGCCGCTCGACGCGTCTGGTTTCATAGCCCAGGCGTCCGGATCAACACAGTACTGGCTGTCCAACATCCAGCGTCAAGGTACCGTAGCTTTCGGCGATGCTAGCTACAAGATCTTCCGAAACGTCAAAACGGACTGCGGTGCTGCTGGCGATGGTTCCACTGACGATACGGCTGCTCTGAACCAATGTATCGCATCTGGTAACCGTTGCGGACCAAACTGCGATTCATCAACGGTCACGCCAGCAATCTTATACTTTCCTCCTGGCACCTATGTTGTGTCCCAGCCACTAAACATGTATTACTATACTCAGATGATTGGCGACGCTCTACAGCCACCCACTATCAAAGCGGCTGCCAACTTCCAGGGCATGGCTGTGCTCGACAGTGACCCTTACGACTACAACAATGGCGGAAAGAATTGGTTCACCAATCAAAACAACTTTTTCCGTGAAGTCCGCAACTTTGTCATCGATTTGACCGCTATGCCTGCTTCACAAGGTGCTGGGTGAGTACAGCCAACGGGATAGTGACATGACGAGTGTTAATCGGTTCGTAGAATTCACTGGCAGGTCGCACAGGCCACCAGCCTCCAAAACATCCGTTTTGAAATGGTTCAGGGAACCAACAGTAATCAGATCGGGATTTTCATGGACAACGGCTCCGGCGGCTTTATGGCCGATCTGACATTTAATGGTTGGTAGACTCCTAGTTCGGCCTTTTTTTTGAGCGTCTTGCTGATTAAGCGGAAAGGTGGCAACTATGGCATGTTCCTGGGTAACCAGCAGTTTACAACGCGCAACTTGACGTTTAATAATTGTAACACCGCCATGTTTATGAATTGGAACTGGCTCTGGACATGTGCGTTTCTGATAACTGATTTCTAAACTCATAGATTGCTAATGTCAGGAACAGTCAAGTCAGTGAATGTTAACAATTGCAAGGTTGGCTTAGACATGGCCAATAACCCCCCGAACCAGACCGTGGGTAGCGTCATTTTACAGGACTCCGTCTTTAAAACAACCGTAGCAGCTGTAAACTCAAGCTTCAGTCAGAGCAGTATCCCTACTGGTGGCGGAACACTGGTGCTTGATAACGTGGACTTCACCGGTTCCCCCGTCGCAGTACAGCACTTCGACGGAACACCTATTTTACAAGGCGGAAGCGTCGTCAAGGCTTGGACTCAAGGTCAGCAATACGTTGGCTCAAATGGAACCCGCGTCCAAGCAGTCCTTGAATCGCCGCCAGCCAAGCCCGACGCTCTGCTCGCGAATGGCATGATCTTTGAGCGTATCAAGCCACAATATGAACAGTATCCCGCAAGCGCTTTCGTCTCTGTCAAGTCGGCAGGAGCCAAAGGAGATGGCGCCACGGATGACACTGCTGCGATTCAGAATGCGATGAACAACATACAGGACGGACAAATCCTTTACTTCGATCACGGCGCGTATATCGTCACGAAAACAATCAATGTACCCAAGAACATCAAGATCACCGGAGAGATTTGGCCGTTGATCATGGCTTCCGGAGATTTTTTTGCCAATCAGGATCAACCTCAGCCCGTTTTCAAAATTGGCGATATTGGCGACGTCGGCTCTGTTGAGCTTTCAGAGCTCATGTTTGAGACGGCCGGTCCAGCTCCTGGTGCCATCATGATCCAGTGGAATTCCGGTGCTTCGGCGCAAGGTTCTAACGGTATGTGGGATGTTCATGCGCGCATTGGCGGCAGTGCGGGAACGCAGCTTCAGTGGGACAAATGTGCAAAGAACCCGAACGTCACACACGGTGCGAATCCAGAGTGCATTGGCGCCAACACGCTTTTACATCTCACACAGACTTCGTCGGTATACATCGAGAATTGCTGGTTCTGGGTGGCTGATCACGAACTTGACCTTCCTGCCAAGCCCGCCCAAATAGACATTTATAATGGCCGTGGCGTTCTCATCGAGTCCCAAGGTCCAGTTTGGATGTATGGCACCGCTTCTGAGCACTCAGTCCTATATAATTATCAGGTCCAGAACGCGTCCAACATCTACATGGGTCTGATTCAAACTGAGTCGCCGTACTTCCAATCCAACCCTGCCGCACCAGCTCCATTCAACTTGGTCGCGAACGTCGACCCGCCTTTTAACACATACACCAGCGATCAAGATAAAAAGGCGTGGGGTCTTCGCGTTGTTGATTCGTCCAACATTCTAGTTTATGGCGCAGGCTTGTACTCGTTCTTCGACAACTACGACCAAGTGTGTGTTGCTTCAAACAATTGCCAGAACCGCATAGTCTCAATCGAGGGAAACGTTGACAACCTGAACTTGTTCGGATTGAGTACCAAAGCATCTGTGTCAATGGTTTCAAGTGTTGGCGGCTATGTCCTCTCAGGAAGCGCGAATAACGGCAATGCAATGACAGTGGATAGTGTTACGGTCAATGACGCAGATAACCGAAGCAACTTCTGCGCCACGCTGGCTCTGTGGAGACCTGGTTGAGCTGGTCTTTTGAAACACCGCGCCTTGCTCTTTTCTCCTTCGTTTCTAATCTTCAACTTTTTTGTTCAACAAGGCGTCTTCGTATGCGATATTATCCCGAAAAATGGGTATATTTCTCCTCCGTTGGGTTGGAGGATGTGTGACAAGTTTCTTGAAAAATGATACCAGATGTACATGAGGGTGATTCTAGAAGGCAACGAATACTGTTGGGGCAGAACAATCTGCCTCGCGGCGAATAGATCAATGGAATTTACTTCTTACATCAAATCCCACGAACAGACGTGAACTGAGCGTCCTGTTATCTGTGGATGGAGAACTTCACACTCAAACTCAGCGGGCGCAGTCTTGCGATTGGCTTTCGCAGAACGCATTGGCAACCAAACATAGTTTAGCGCAATTAGATTACATAATGAAGATCTGAGCCCTCCCACGAGTCGCTTTTCAACGTCATCAAAATGAGCGCCGATTTTTACTGAGCAGAACCATGCCCAGAATCCTAGCAGCCTGCATGCAATCTACCTGGGATGAGTTCTGATTTGTCCTGCTGCGCATTTATATTCGTGTCGCCGCCCCAAACCCGCAGCATACCTGAATATACATCTACGTGCGCGCTGTGATGAAATCCTGAGGAACTTGAATCGAGCGATACAAAGTCCCTTCTCGTAAAATCACAGGCATGGTCGAGGCCGACCATACGAAGGCTCGTAACGAGCCAGCTCCTTTGCGGAGCAATCTCAGCAGCAGCAACACTGTTCGGTCTCCTGGTTCAGGAACGATCAAAGGTCAGTGTGGGAGATTTTGCTTTTCCCAAGCCGATAAGAGCCCAATTTGCATTTAAAATGGCGGTGTTAAGTTTTGACTCAAGTTTCTACCCGTTTGCGCTTTGTGTTAACCTGCACTAGCTGTTCAAATCGCTGAACCACCTGATAGCATTTCTCCACTCATGGCGGGTGCTTCGAAGGAAGTTGATGATTTCAACCTCGACCGTTCGGGTTCGGGCACACCCCGTCAACATAAAACTAGCATTGCATCGTCCAGGATGACGGGAAGATCCGCCATGCCAATTCAGAAGCCTCAAACTAGGGGCTCGATTGACATCGGCCTCGATGGCGGCCCCGAAAGTAACGCTGCATCGAGGCCCAGCTCGCTGCAGGACGTCGAGGGGCTCGCAGCTCAGATCGCCGCGTGGATTCAGCGCGAGAAGAATCGCAGGGCTAAACGCAAGGCGAGGCGCAAGCAGAAAAAGAAGCTTGATGCTGACCATGATGTATGCATCGAGGATTCTGAATCTGACTCTTCTTCGGAGGGTTCACAGGCGCTTGACAATTTGCAAGATATCATTAGTCGTAGCCTAGCGATATCCGATAAGCCAAGCTCCAAAAGAGGTCTTGTTGCTATTCCGAGAAAACAGTCACGAGCTAAACTCCGTCGACCTTCAGCAGCGTCGGAGTCTGAGTATGGAGAGACAGAAGACTTGGTTCCAACTTGTGATGTCATATTGGACAATAGCAAAACTCTTTCATATAGCGGTGGGAGGGCGGATATTGAGACGTCTAGTGATGCGCGACCTCCACTTTCCAGATCCTCATCTTCGTATCAGAAAGATGCGTGGAAAAACTTCAAGTATGAGATTGTACGCCTTACCCATACTTTGCGCCTTAAAGGCTGGCGGAGAGTTCCTATGCAAATGAGCAGTCAAATTGAAGTCATACGACTGAGCGGTGCGCTCACAAACGCTGTGTACGAAGTGTTACCACCCAAGGAGCTACCAGCTAAGACAACGGATACCGTCGATGGGACAACTTCATCTCACCCAAAAGCGAAGCCACAGTAAGCGAACCTAGCCAAATGCTGTTCCGTCGCTAACGGAGATAGAAAACTGCTCTTACGCATCTACGGACCGGGCGTCGACAATCTCATTGACCGCGAGGCTGAACTACAGATTCTACGTCGCTTGCGACGCAAAAACATAGGTCCACGTCTTCTTGGGTGCTTCTCAAACGGCCGTTTCGAAGAGTTCTTCCACGCAGAGACTCTCAAGCCGCACCATTTGCGCGATCCATCGATTTCCGTGCAGATTGCTAAACGAATGCGAGAGCTCCACGAGGGAATTGACCTCCTCCCCCTCGAACGTGAAGGAGGACCATTTGTTTGGCAATGTATCGAGAAGTGGCAAGAAAAATGCGGCCAAATAGTCAAGTGGCTCGATGCCCAAGCCAAGACACACGGTGTCCAAGGTTTGAGTCGGCCGCCATTTGTTTGTGGGACGGAATGGAGTGTTTTCATCAAGACGGTGAAGCATTATCATGAGTGGTTATACGGTCTTTACGGCGGCGTTGACAAGATAAAAGAACAACTTGTCTTCGCCCACAACGATGTATGTGGCTCGTTTTACTTTGGAGAGCAATTTTTAACAGTAACAGACGCAATATGGCAATATTCTGCGGATGACGCCTGAGGGGGAATCGCCCCTCCTTACTCCTGCAAATCAACACAAGCGTCTTCAAGTTATTGACTTCGAATATGCGAACGCGAACTTGCCTGGTCTGGAGTTCGCAGATCACTTTGTAAGTCCTTCGTGTTCATGCTGGATGTTGAATACTAACCCTTTAGACTGAGTGGTGTTATAATTACCATGATGAAAAGGCTAGCCACGTCTGCAACGAAAAAAACTATCCTACAATCGAGGAGCAGAGGCGCTTCCTTCACGCGTATGTAACACACAAGCCGAGTTTCTCGAAGTCCGGTGACAGCGTAAGCGGTCACCCTTCAGGACCCACGACTCCCGCACTGACCCCAGCAACGTCATCCCTGTCAACTTCTCTGATCTCGAACTTCATGCTCGATAGCCGATTTCCGCAAACCACCAAGGACGGGGCGGGAGCGGCTTCAGAGGAAGAAGTTGAGCGTGAGATTGAGAACGAAGTCACTCGCTTGCAACATGAAACAAGGCTGTGGCGGCCTGCGTGTGCTGTTTTTTGGATAATGTGGGGAGTTATGAAAGCAAAAATTCCAGATCTGCCAGATTTTGACGATCCTACTCAGAGTGCTGCCGTGGCTGCAGGTCCTTACAATCCACATGTCTCCATATCCTCTAGTACTCCTGGGACTATTCAAAGCCCCATCGAAGAAGAAGAGGGAACCGATCCTCTGAATGCAGAGGCCAGGGCAATGGCAAACGATTTTCATGACAGACGGCCAGATATTGTGGAAGAAGGCGATGAGGAAGACGCAGAAGAATTTGACTACCTTGGCTACTCCTGGGAACGCGCGATGTTATTTTGGGGCGATGCGGTTGGCTTTGGTTTCGTGAAAAGAGAAGAGCTTCCAGAAGATGTTCAGCGAAACCTGAAAGTTGTGGAGAACTAGAAATCGAAATTGTTCCACATGATCTAGATCCTTTCAAAGGCTCTGAGGCTACTGGCTGACTATCCAAGTATGCGCCAAATGTCATGCCTCAAAGGACTACATGTAAAAGAGGACGTTACCTGTTCAACCTGGTGGACTGACCCGTGGAATTTGTAGCATGTAAGCTAACCTCAAAACATCGCCGCTTATGACTTATATGACAATTCGAAGTTATTGACAACCTACAACAACCTCTTTCTGAAGATCGAGGCAAATAAACAATACTTCTGTAGCTTTTTTTTTTTTTTTGAGAAATAGCGACCTTTTTGAGATGAATAGAATTCTAACGGCCAATGATACCCTCGTTAGACAAAATATATTGTTGTGGGTGAAGATGCTCGATCTAATGTGGAAACGGATCAATTGTTGGCATTGACCTGAAGCTGAGAATAAGCATTCCAGGTCTGCATATTGGCCCCTGGAAATTGCTACCTCACCGGTTGTGGAAGCGACTCAGACAATGACGGTGACTTGCGGAGTTTGTACTCAGCTACACGAGACACATTCCGCATTACTGTGACATGCGCGCCTTTGTAAAGGCAGTACATCCTCCCTCGGAGGTCAAAGTTCATGCGGGGGGGACAATCTGCGCGCAAGCCACGGAAACAGCACTTCAAAAAAAATCTCCTTCGTTCTTACCTGCCTACGCTGTCATGATAACTCCGTAGCAACAGAAAGATGGAAACTGAAGCAGAGCGGCCGCAGAGACTGTGAGGTCAAGAATTCAGCAAAAAGCAGGCCCCTTGTGGACCACTGGACAACACGGTTGGCTGACTTTGAGCTGCCGTTTCTACAAGCGTTGTGAAAGGCTGCATATGTTCAGGCTGTACATTTGGTTGGCAATTGCATTCTTGTGCGGACCTTCGCTACCCCGTCTCCAATTCGTTGTCGAGACGCCGTTGTAGGCCAGGTTCTGGATTCCGGGGATCATCTCTGTCCCTCTATCTGGTACTTTCTGGGAGACGTCTGGGCCTGGACCGCCTGGGACGAGCCTTATAGGCCAGAAATCACCACCCAGAGATCTTCGCTACAAGTCGCGATCTTTTTCATTCCGCTCGTCTGGATCAGCGAAGTTGCGAGGGGCTTATGTTTGCTTTGCTTTATGCTGTCAGACCTAGATTTTATTTTCTTTTACCTTTATTTTTTGGTTTTCATGCTCATTTCTTGCAACTGCATGCTATTTACAAGTCCCATGAATCTCAGATCAGTTTGTTACCGTGGTCGTATGAAAGAAGAATGTGCCGTCAGACTTGACTACTGGCTGGCTGCAGTTTATATCGTTTCTCCGTGGACATTGCCACTACTTTTCACCTTCTTTCTTCCGTTTGGGACATGGACACGCAAAATCATACTTACAAACGATGAAGTTGGAGCTCAAAGATTCGCTTCAAAAGTCTTTACTCTAACGCCCATTCTCGTAGTTCCCTTCCTAAGCGCGGCAGGTCTGCACATTTTGTTTCTATAAACAGGGTCTTAAGATTTCTTACTAGATGTTTCGTCTTTTGTTATAAGAGACATGGCAGCTCCGGTTCGGATCTAAGCCATATGAAGGCGCGCGTATTGATTATGCATATTTTCCGCTTGTGCCAAAAAGATACACATTTTGGAGGCAGATTGCATCAAAGGCTGGATTAATTGTCGTCTAGCGCCTGCTAAATGGTATGAAGCTGGAGAGGACGACACTGTATCCTACACGCAGGGAGATGAGGAGGTGGCGCGTGAATTGGCTGTTGATAACTGCGGAGTTACGATATGAACGCACGTATTCGAGTTGATATAAGATCGAGCGACGGATCGAAAGACGAGAACGCTCTGGATTAACTGTGTTTGTATCAACCAAGATGATCGTTTTCTTTGAGAAGCATGTACAAAAACCACTGACTCGAGATTTACAGCGGATCAAGGCGGACTATTGTATATCCGAGCAACGAACCAAACGCAAAGCAGGCTTTATCGCTTCTTTTATATCTCGAAGCAAGACCATGGCTGACATACCTGCCTGAGGGAACGCCTGAGCGACCAAATAGCTTCATCGAACTTGCACATAACCAACGGCTATTACTATTTTCCATGATGGTGCCTTTGGACTTTTGATTCAAAGCTCTAACCCATATGTTAGTGAGGAAGTGGTTTTCTCGCATGTGGATATTTCAAGAAATCGTAATTCTCCTAGAAAACACATACACGCGCTGGCGACATCTGAATCAATTGGGGGCTCTTTCCTACAAACATGAACCTTTTTTCTGATCCAGAAATGTAAACTCTGGTCGGAACAGAGCTATATGGATACAGGAGTCTGACAACGTTTTGCGAAAAGACGTTCTGCTTCACAAAGTTCGTCAAGGATGGCGCAAAAAACAATGGGCGTGGTATGTACGTCCTACGCCAGGATTTTCTTCTAGCACACGCAAGAGTGAAGTTCGAACGACGCGCCCCTGGGAGATTTCAGACAGCTTCTCGAAGCCGAGTGTCTTCGACGGACACGAGCGTTTCCGCGCCTGCGGCCCAGAAGATGGGCTCCGCCGAAGGCGGACGTGGACACGTCTTCACGTGAGTTGGTGAGGATTGGTCGGGTGGCGCGCGTTGATCATTACTCCGTGAAAGCGGGTGCTCCGCTCGATCCTTGTGTTGTCCTCGAGACAGATCGTCGAACTACAGATGCCTTCGCCTCACCAGCTGTAGGGCCCAAGTTGGCTGTCACGAAAGGTAGACGCATGGCATTAGTGCTTCGCGGAACATTGCCTGCATACGTTCTCCGATATGAGCGTGCCATACCTGCTCGGAGAGACCGGGTCGTGCTCAGCAGAGCGATACTTTCAATTGGTTGGCGAGTGCTATGTTAATGAACGGTATTATGGACGGAGAACCACTTAAGCCAGAAGCGGAAGAAATCTTATTGATGTAACGTAAGGTATTGCTGATTTCGGTATTTGAGAGTAGTAGGTGCGCTGTATTTCTTTTTATCGCTAGCATGGATCGATGCCGCGTATACACACAACTGTTCGACATGACATGCGAACTTGTCACATGGCGGCCAACCCTCTAATCCACACTTAACCATCATGATCATAAATTGGCTCAAGCCCCTCCCACTTGCCCTCGCCATTTCCAACCTTCTCCCTTTCCGTCCAGTATTCCCCGTTAAATTTCCAATATACTTCCCCGGTCGTCTCACACCTCGCCTTCTTGAACCACCTTGGCACAAATTCCTCCCCTTTCTGCTCTCTGATTTTCCTCCTTGCCCTTTGTGCCTCCTCGAGCCGATTCTTTTCGGTAGCCGCAAAATCGTATTCACCCTCTTCCATGGCGCGCTGATCAGGCCGGAGCCTCGTATCAGTCGGTGCTAGCCATGGACGCAAGTTGTCCGGAATGGCGTTCAAGGTGAGCACAAAAGGAGTGAGGTTGAACGGAATGCCTGTCGGACGAGGATTGGCCTCCCACACGAGAAACGCCTGCGAAGAGGAAACTGACATGCATTTGCCACCGTGTCCATGGCTGGGGGCGGGTCGAAGATCCGTGTCCTCGTAGCCAGGTGTAAGGCGCGCATAGATCTTGTCGTTCCACTTGCCGCCAATGGACCATACGGTGCGACCGTCACGACCGCACACTTTACCGACGACTTGATAGGCACTCCCTTTGCTCCAGCCACGCGGTTTGAACTCCAGCGTGCATACTTCTCCGGTCGTCCAGTTGCGGATCTCCATGGGACCGTAATTATCTACAGTGGGATTGCCTGTGATGATTCCAATGACAGATGATGTGACCTTCTTCCATGTGTAGAGCTCTTCACCACCACTTGATGGGCGCAGACGCAAGAACCATGTGCCAAGGGGATTAATGTCGAAGGATTTGCCGTAGAACTTTGACTTGACCGCAGACTCGCCATAGTAGTCCCACTTTGGACTTTCTGCCCACGCGGCGCCGATGGGCGGGTGATGCGATACTTGCTCGATGAAGAAGCGGAAGCCTTTGTCAGGTCGCGCGTACTCATAAGTCTCGCCCAAAAGAGGATTGAAAGGCTTTGCGACGCGGCCTATGGTAGATGCATATTCCGAAGCAGCGAAAGCCGCAATGTACACCAACCGTTCGAGGGAATCAGGCCTCTCAGCTGCCGTATCTAAGAGGTCGGTATACTCCATATCCTCAGCCACACGCTGCAAAAGCGAAGTAGGCTCGTTGAAAGACACGGGTAGTGTCATTTTTGTCATGTCCTTGCCGATCATCGATTTCAAGATGCCCTACACCTGAATAAGTTTCATGCTCCGCAGCGAAGTTGAAATTAAAAAATTTTAATAGAAAATTAATATAAAATTATCGAACTTACCCATAGTGAGATCTTTGGTCGATCATCAGCATCCATCTTCAACCTCTTCCTGACCGGATCCTCGTAGCCATGAAAACTTGGTTCGATTTCTTTCGCCTTTTTCATTCTCAAATCTTCTGTAAGAGCATTTGATCCTTCCGACTCAATGGGAGGGCTTGTCGGTATCTGTTCTATAACCTCGACTTCGCCAGTGCCGATGGCATCAAAGAATTCCTCTTCCTCATCGCTCTCATCCTCAGACACCACACTCACAAGCTCTGCGAAAGTGGATTTCTTGCGAGGGCTGTGCGCCGCAGCCATTTCGTGGGCTTCCTCCAGGCTTAGCTTCTCCTGCATAACTTCTTGTAAGCCCGGAGTCTGGGGCTGGGAGCCCGCTGCGGCGAGGTTGTCCAGCGCGTCCTTGAGGGCTCGCTTGGTCTTTCTACGCTTATCTTCACTCTCCCCAATCTTCTGCTCCAACTCTTCTTGCTCCTTTGCTATCCTCGCCATGCTCTCCTCCCACATACGCCGCACATTAATCTCCCGATCTAGCCTGTACTGCCAATATGCATCGCGGTCCCTGCTGATCTGCAAGAGCTTGCCTACGAGATCCTTAAGATTCGCAACTGCGCTCCCGTAGGTAGAGATGGCCTGCATGAGCTTTGGATTTGTGCCGATAAGATCGTATGCCTGGCACTCGGACTGGATAGCACTCGACACTTGAGCGAGGAACTCCAGCTGCCAGCGAACCGATTGAGCCGTGATCTGCAGAGCGTCCTTGTTCTGTGGTTGAGCCTCGTGTGAGCTCGCGTCGTCGCCATATTCCTCATCATCGTCAATGTCACCTTCAATAGTGGCTGTCTGCGCCGTGGATACCATTCTGGATAGCTCTGCACCGGCGACGCTGGGGTCTAAAGAACTCGGAACAGCACCGTCCTCGTCGATGTTGATGCTGCTCGCCCCAGCGCTTTGTCCACTTGTCAAAGTTACGCCCATCGCCGTGCTCGGGCTTAGGCTGTGTCCTCCCTTGGACTTTGTGTGCATGCTGCCCACCTCGCTGTCTGCGGTTCTCATCCTGTCAAGCTGTTCCAACTTTGCGCGGCGCAGTTCATCTGTCTCTTGTTTCTGACGTCTTTGCTCCTCTTTATCCTCATCCTTGGTCCATTGTATTGCGTTATTGAGGGCCCAATACCACCTCTTCGCCTCCACTTCATGATTCGCCTTGAGATGGTACTTGACCGAACCTTTGCCGCGAATTTCGAGCTTGAGCTTGTCGTCTGGGTCGAGATTCAACGAAGCAATGCGCATATTTATCGCGCCACGACACGCCGCTCCAGTGTCATCTGCTAGCAATTAGCTGGGAATTGGCTGTGACTACCTGAACACGAAATGCGTACCTTGGTGTTTGTAATAGCTTAGTACGCCTTCTTCTAGCACAAACCACCTAAGTTTCCACCCGCTCGTGTAGTTTGTCCACTTCTTAAGGTAACCTTTCATCTCGCGAGCCTCCTTGTTCCCTGCCGCTGCCTCGCTGGGAGATACTCCTGGTGCAGCGGCCCCGCGGTTGCCCACGATGGTCTGTTCTTGAATGCCCTGTCTAGCTTCCGCAGCTGCAGGTGACCTCTTCAGAATAGCTCGTGTCCGGTCATCCTTGGTAACGTCCTGTGGTAACTTGCCCTTGCGATCGCGCCTGAATGGATCTGCACCATTGAGCAGCAAAATCTGAATAAGTTTAGTATCCTTCTTTCGAGCTGCCTCATGTAGTAGTGTGCCTCCACTCTCGACGGTCGCCGGCTCCGTTGCCAGCTCCCCACTGTTGACATCAATGGTCGTGCGCACCCTCTGGTCCTTCAATAGCGTCTCTAGAGCCAGGTAGTCGTTCCTTGCGCAGAGCGCGTGAATCTGACGGATCGTAGCGTCCACGTAGAGCGAGCGGAAGAGCTGCAGTTGCTGGAAGATGTCAGGTGAGAAGGCGACGTCGATGGGGAACTGGCCGCTGTAGTTCTGGATCGCGTCATTGATGCCGTCCTGCTCGAGCAACAGCTTGACGATGCTGGAGCGGCCCAATTTCGCAGCCACGTGCAGGGGGGTGTTGCCGTCCTGATCCTTGGAGTTGATGCCATTGACGCCGTCCGACGAGGAGCTTAGGTTCGACAGCACGAACTCAATGACAGGCAGCTCTGCGCATTGTATCGCGAGATGCAGCACGGGGGGACCATCGGCGGCATCTTTGTCACGCATTGCCTTCTGGATGGCGGCAGTATCTCCACTGCGCAAGGCCTCGAATGTGCGGAACAGCCTCACGGATTGCTCGAGCGACGGTACGACATGGCCAGCCGGCGTAGGGAATGTGTTGCCGTTGGAGCTCGTCGAGGAAGAAGGGCCAGCGGCTCCACCGCCGTCTGTAGAAGCCATTGAGGTGGACAGATTGGGTCTATGTCGAGAGCGGTGGCTGCCGTGCTGGGATCTCGAGGAGGCCGAGAGCGCGGAAGGCTGGCCGTGGTTTGCCAAGGAGGCGGTTGACGTCGAGGCCGTGACGGAGGGTGAGGTTTTGCTTGGCGAAGCGGAGGGGTCGTCTTCGTCGATGCAGCTGGCGTCGTCGTTCCTCGAATGCACACGATGCAGCAGAGATTTCGCCAGGTTTGTCTTTGACTTTGATCGTTTGTGATAGTCGCCGTTTGCGTCCATGCTGGGTTTTGTCTGTGCGGTCGCGGTTGCGGTCGCGGTCGCTCTGTACCACAGGAGCTGGGCTCTCTAGCGAGCGCCTACGGAGCCCAGGGGGAGGCGCTAGGAGACGAGTCGGGGGATCAATGACCTCACGAAAATAACGCTGAGGAATCTCTTCGGACGGAACAGCACGTGCGAAGGTGAAGCAGCGAGCTAAGAACGGACGAAGCGAGGAAGAGGCTGAACAGTCGTGCGACAGGCCAACGCTACCCACTACTGCGCCTGGTTTTGAATCGTACAGATGCGTTGGCGGGCAAGACGCCGGCTTTGACGTATTTTTCTCCTGTGTTCAAACAACGCGGGGGACTTCAATCGAGTGTTGATCGAACGAGCTCGTGGAAGCGCCCGGTGTGCGCCACTGACGCACAGGCCAAAACTCTGCAGCGTGGACTGAACAAGCGCCAGTGTCGATGTGGATGTTCATGTGTATGCGTGTGCGTGTGCGAGGGAGAGCGAGAGCGAGGGCGAGAGCACGACGGTACGTGTGCGCGTGGTGTGTATGGTGATTCTAAGAAGGCCAGGACGAGCAACGGTCGGTTGAGACTGCAACGCTGGCTCAAAGGGCGATCCGCGGGCTCGAGTGCGTTCATGAGTGATGCTCTGGTATCATCGCAGCGAGCTCTAGTCCCAATCCATCTTGAACTTGGCCCTCGCTAGCGACGTTTGCTGAACAAGCCCTGCTCATTCCTCTCGGAGATACAAGAGTGTGATTTATAAGGATGCACGTCGTCCTGGTCGGCTTTAGCACGCAAGTTGCCCACCAAGCGCTTGTTGACTCGACTTTGCCTCCTCTGCCGGCATCCGACGATCTGCATTTTGACACAGGAGCCGCGTGTGCAAGTGGAAGGCTTAGACAGCCCGCAGTCCATCGTACCGTCTTTTGAGTCAGATTTCGATGGCGTATCAGAAATAATTGCCATCCACCTTCGGCTTTGCGCATCACCCGCTCGTACTCCGCGCGGCGAATCTGCGCGGCCCACCTGCTATACAATCACCGAGTGGAGCGACATATAGCTTGTCTTTGTTTGGTCGAAAAGCTGTGGAATCAAGCTTCGGCCGACGTGTCGACATATGTACAGTGGACAGCCGTGGTTGAGCACGCAATGATCACATGCACTGGTTCATTCAGAATATGCCTTATATATCATCTGCTCGTCATACAACTCTGCTTGTCCCTGTGGGCTTGTTTTTCTCAATGCATGGCTATTTATGTGAAGCAAGTCCAAGTTGATATGTGAAGCGGCTGCATGACTTGAACAGCAAACGCATGCAGGTGTAAAGGAATTACGTGCTGTGTCGTTCCAAAAGATTTCTAAGCGTTGTCACCGTGACACAAATCTCAATCAAGTGTGCCTCTGATAAATCAGATAACAACCACTTGCCCACTGAAAATGCGCATCATACTTGTCCGTAAACGCATATCTCCAAAGATAGTCTGTTGAAAGGATCATTTCCGTCCTTCTTCAACCTGCAAAATCACGCCACAGCCATGCCAACCAAGTCGCACGGCTTCCTCAACAACGAGCACATTGATTTTCCACACGAAACCTTTTCGAACACGAGAAGACACGCGGTCATGCGCCGCAAGCGATGTGGATTCTCACAAAGCTGTATCTACAGTACAAAGCGATTGAGAAGACGTGTGAAGACAGATGCGAAAAGTTGAGGAAGGACCTGATCGAGAAGTTGGCTGGGCGAGACAAGTGGACCGGTTATTGAGCAGCTTATTCAGACAGAACATTATTCAGAGGTGTACCCGATCACGGATAAATGCAATTCACCGTCAGACCACAGCTGGAGAGAGCTGATGTCATTAACCATAAATGACTTGCGCGCACACACACAGACTGTCTACGCCATTTGAGACCACCTCAGTTCTTGAAGCTGTCGTCCTGCGCGTACTCGTATTCCAGATCCGGCTGAAACTCCCAGTACAGCGTTTCGGGATCATTTGACATCCTGTGCGTGTACTCCGCTGCCGCGTCGTCGATCAGCACCTTGGGGATGCCGTTGGCGGCCGCTGCCTCGGCCATCAGCTGAATCTCACAGCTGCGCTCCATGAGCGAGAACATGAAGGCCGCCGCGTCTACAGTCTGGCCGACAGTCAGGAGGCCGTGATTTCTCAAAATCAGCGCCTGACCCTTGGGTCCAAGCGCCTTGGCCAGCCGCTGCCCTTCCTCCTTGGAGAAGACGACACCCCCGAACTCGTTGTACACGGCCTGAGTCTCGCCGTAGAAGTAGCAGACGTCTTGATTCAGCATCTCCAGCGGCCGGCAGAACGCACTCCAGGCCTTGCCGGCTTTCGAGTGGAAGTGACACGCCGCGTTGACGTCTTCGCGCGCCTGGTGCAGCGCAGAGTGGATCAAGAAGCCCGCAGCGTTGGCAGGGCGCGACGTGTTGCCGCCGATGACCTTGCCGGAGTAGTCGACTAGAATCATGTCGCTAGCCTTGAGGAGACCAAAGTGACGCGCCAGCGGATTGGTCCAGAACTGGTGTGGGAACTCCGGGTCACGGACGCTACGGGCTGCAGTTAGAGAAAAGATGCTGTGAAACACGAATGGGTGGATGTGATGCTACCTGATGTGGCCGCTCATGCCTTCGCAAAAGCCTTTGCGAGCCATGACCCGAAAAGCCCCCGCCATGTGCTCGAGGATCCAATGACGATGCTTTTCATAGCTGGTAAACTTAGGTATGCCCGGCAAGGAGACGCCTTGCGATATGGCTTGCAAAGGGGTGAGATTCTTGGTCGCTTCGATCTGCTTCGCGATCACGTCGTCCCCCGAAGAATCCGGCGAAATCGCAATGGGCGACATGCTGTCTTTTGTGAAAATAGTCCACAATGATTCGAAGTGGGGCCTTTTTGCAGAAGTTTGATTGTTCTCGTTAGAGACTTCAGCCCGCTTGCAAATGCAACGGCACCGATAACAATCTTTGACGTTCAGTGCCAATGATAAGACGCAAGAAAAAGAGCTGAGGACTCTTGTAGAAGAGGTTGAAACATGCAAGATGTTCCTCAACTTGTTGCTGCCTAACCTAGCAGGATAAAGAATTCAGGTTCTGAGCTGCACACCGAGGTGGAGGGATATAAAAGGGAAGCCATAGCTATAGCAATGCCTGAGCGTACGAATGAGCACTAATTGACTAAGTCTTTTTAAGAAATTCGCTCCTATTTGCCGGAAGTAGAATGTGAAGTTGAGCACGTGAGTTGCGATCATCGGCCTCGTGCAGCGTACGATGAACATGAGACATGTAAGTCACGCTTAAACATTTCCAGCCTGTTCTGATATGTCCTGGCCGAATTTAGCGTTACACACAAGTATATGTGCTCCTAAGGCTTGAATGACGAGAATACTTTTGTTCAATATTATTTTAGGTAGCTAAACGCTAGCAAGCCAAGTAGAACCGCAATTAGGGTTCAGCTTGTTAGCCCATGCTCTCTCCGACACTGGCAGTAGACCGCTCGCGAGGCCTGTTGTCCTATTCCTTCGGATTCCACCGCACTGCCGAACACCATCGCTGTCTGCTGGCAATGAGTCGAGGCTCTGCACGACCTTGTCATAGTCACCAAAAAACTCGTGGGCGCGCACATCTGCACCCGTCGTGATTCCGTGTCCTAGTGTCGTTGCCCATTGACCCTCAACCTGAATCGTGTGGCCACTGGCGTCGCCATTGCGTTCGAGCAAGACAGAGTAAACATAACCATCGAAAAGTTCGCATTTATCCGCCAGTTTGGCGGGGAAGGTCCATTCCGTGGCGGTGCGGATTGGATGCCAAGGGGTGATTCTGAGGCAGCCAATGATGCAGACTGGTGCTGCGTTGACTTTTGTAGCTATGACTGCAGCCACCTTTGCGAAGCCCTTCAGCGTTTGTACTTTCATACCCAGTCGCAGTGATTGGATCGGAATCTGGTGTCCTCCTTCCGAAAGGACACGGCATTCTCCTGTGAAACATGGGTTCTCTCTGTTGTGATACCTTCTCATATCTACCACTGAGCTTTGATGTCCAGTTTTAAACCTCGGCGGTCTTGAAGGTTTCGGTGGTGGAAGGTGATCGAAGGCTTTGTCAAGTGCGTCTCGGCACTGGATGAACAGTGGCGATTCACTTCCGTACAGCAGCGGTCCGCTATCTTTGAAGCTGTTGCAAACTTGCTTCTGGTGAGCGCAGAGGATGGACAAAAGATAGTGCTTGCCCCATTTCTCGAAGTAATCGATATTTGACACCGCCAGCCTGATTTGACCGTTTGGTTCTTTGCCCACAAGATCTTCAATTAACGACAACATGGACCCGTCATTTCCTGCTTGGACTTGTATTCTGCTTGCAAGCGCATCGACCTTTGCACAAAGTTCCGTCAATGGAGCATCGTCTGTAGTTTGATGCTCCTCGATGCAATTCAATGGGAACATCCAATTTATGAGCTCACAAATCTCTGCTCGATATCTATGGTAGGTAATGGTTTCGGGTGCAATTACTTCGAATGAGGCAGTTTCTGAGATGTCAAGGAGAGAACCGTTGATTGGCCGGCCAGTCAGGCGGTATGTGATGGATTGCGTCTCGATGCCCGAGGGTCTCTCTTGGTATTTCAAAAAGATGTCGCGAGACTGGCCGTAGAGAACGTCGTCGAGCTCAATTATAAGTGTGTTCGTTCTAGCCCCACCGCTTGCAATTTCCTTGGAAGACTCGTATTCGAGGTCAAATCTGCCACCAGAAGTTACAGGACCGCGCGTGGCTTCGACGCCCATGGCTTTCGAGAGCCTCACACTTTCGGGGGTTTCCACCGTCAAAGTCACTTGTGTAGCAAAGGTGGATTGAAGATTGGCGACTGCATGGATGAAAACGGTTCCAAGCATTCCAGAATCGGGGATGAAGGCTAGAGAGTTAGACCAATATTCACGCAAAGCATGGTTCTTGTCACAACTCACCGTAATTCCCACCTCCAATCTCAGAAAGCGATTTCATCAGCCCAGAGCGCAACGAAAAGCCGAATCCGAAGGTGTGAAGTCGTGCCGGAAGGCGATATGTACGGAGCTTCTTTACATAGCCTTGTGGGGGGCACATGTGGTTGGGCAGACCGTCGGTCAGGACCATAATGGCGGGAACACAATTCGATCTCTCGTCGCATTCAAAGACCCTGATCGATTCCATCAGGCCGTGCCATAGGTTGGTCATGCTTTCTGGACGAAGGTGGTTTATGTTCCTTAAAGTTCGGGCTTTGTTGTCCGGCGTCATTGGCAACAAGCGCTGGATGATCTTGGCCTCGGTGCTGAACGTGACGAGAGCAAGTCGGTCTGTGTCATCGAGCGTCTCTACTATCGTTCGTGCTGCGTGCTTGACAAGATCCAAGACGGTGAGTCCATTGTGTTCTGTCTCGTTGGGGTTGATAGCCGGAGGAGGCGCCTCCGCACTCATCGATCCGGAAACATCAATCGTCAATACGATGTCGCATGGGGTGTGCTTGAGCTGAGCAGGCACCTTCGGGGGTTTGACCGATATCAGAATTCCATCCTTTTCGGCGGCCTCATGCACTGTGACGCGAACACTAGGCTGGTGCTCGAATGCCTCCTTCGGTCTGAATGCAAGCTCTCGTTCCTCCGCAATTGACTCAGCAGGCGTAGGAACGAATTCATACTCGGAAGACATTTCTGAGTCGCAAAGCGTTTCGCTCTGCGCCTCTTCGCCAAGCATGGTCGCCATTAATAAGCCTGATTCGTTGCAGGTTTCGTTAATGATATTGAATATTTCTGCTTGTAGAGCGTGTGCAGGTATTTAATCATCAAAATGACGCCACAATGCGTGGCAAACTGAGACAAACTTAAACTGGAAAGTCAAATGGAAGCCGCCCAAAGAGTAAAGATGAAGATAAAAAAAAGTTTCCTGGGCTTAACGCAAGACTCAAGGGGAAAGAAGTATATACTCCCGGCTGAGCTACATGCAGGAGGCGAACTCAGCATGAGAAGCATAGTGCAACTCGTGGTCCCCCGTTTCAGATGAGGCTGTTTTACGGCCTCAAAAACTTCGACCTGCAACTTTGGGACGAAGGCCCGTGTCAGACTTGAGAAAGCCGGTCAAACGCAGCAAACGCCCTAAGGATGAGACTATCTCAGCTCTAGCCTTCTGTGGTGCTTGATTGGAGCCGGTCTACCGCTCTCTTAGGTTCAGCAATTACGAAAAAATTGTGCGGGGAAATGCAGTAAACTTTTTGCGCGGCGCAGTGTAAGAGACGAGTGGAGGCTGAGCTCGTCAACGGCTCAAAGTTTTTCTGCCCGTGGAATACGAGCAGCTGAACTCGCTAACTACTACCGATATGCACAAACGAAGCGAAGCCATCACGTCAGGGGAAATCAGGCAGTTCCTCGACAATTCACACTGCTACTCTTCGTCGACGAACGACTCGCTCCTAGAAATAGATGGGCTTCGCGTTGTTCTTCATCTCAAATAGCAAAGTGCGGCAGCTTGCTATGCGAGCATGCTGCAGATTCTCACCATCATGGCTTCCGCAACGGATAGCGTAGACTTTCCTGCGGTACAATACTATATTCACAATGCCATCACAGCAATGCAACCGCCGTACCTTTTCATGTCGATTCATGCCCGGCGAAACGAGAGTCGAGATCTGGGATTTCTCACGTTACTTCAAATACATTGAGCCAATGCTTCTTCAATCTCTTGCACAGATTTTTCCGTCCGCGCCATTCCTTTAATGTATTCTCAAGCTCGCAACCGATGCGAACAAGGACTAACCACACTCGTTTCTCAAGGTCGTCGCCAAATATAGCCTGCTGTTCAGCGACAGGACCCCACAGGCGCAGGCTCTTCCCCGTTGACTCGTCTTCCAGATCCCCCTCATCAACCAAATGGCCAGCATTCATTTTTGGTGTGTTGGAATGGACAAACGCAGGGCGCAATGCAGCCTCAATTGAGCCGAGAGGCTTATCCACCTGACGTTTATGGACCGCTTCAGGCTTCACGTACTTGTTGTAGTCGTCGATTGGATGCCATTGCACCATCGCCGTGCCTTTGTAAATGCCAGCTATTTTCCGTCCAATCGACTTGACCGGAGTCTTGACACGATAGTATGGTTGTTTTAATACGTACGCGGCCGTTGTAAAAGTTTCCTTGTCACCTTCACCCATAGCGCCCTGACTGAGCAATGGGTAGTAATATTCGGGCCCCCACACGTTATAGTATGCAGCCAGAAGTAGCGTCTTCAGATGCACGACTTTGTTCAGTAACAATTGGCCAGCCTCGCTAGTAGATGCTGGCAAATCATTTGGGAAAGTTTCGCCCAGTCCGGCTATCTCGTAAAAGCGTGGATGCTCTGAGCTTTGCCAGAAGTCCGGCCAGCCCACCAGTCCGGTCGTCATGTATGCTTCGCTGGAGAACAGTTCCTGTTCTGGATCCACAAGTGGTATCGAGTCCGAATCAATGTAAAGGACGTGCTGAAAAGAACTAAGAATCAATGCTAGCGCCTTCAGTTGATAGTGTGTAACGTGCAGCCCTCCATTGGACTTCGAGTCTGCACCTGACTCTTGCTGTGGCTTGAGATAGTCATCAATAACCACACATTTAGCACCCAGAGCTGGCAATGTATCCTCACACAGTGCAGCTTCATACTCGTCCCATGAGGCTAGAAACACTTCGACCGGTAGAGTCGAACCAGTCTGCCTCAAAAGATTAATTCCCACAATTGCGGGGCCGTAGTACTCCCCACCAGCCACGGTTATCACACCTATGCCTTTATAGAGTTCCTCGGCAGCAGTCGTGGCATCAAGGTTGTCGACGTAGCTCTTGAATTGTGCATGTGAATGTCTCAATTGGTCCACGTCTTCCTCTGCCAATTGGACATAGCTAAGTGGAGGCTTGCGAATCGCCAGTGGATCTATCGGAGCAGGCGTGTTCGGCGCAGGACCGGTCACTCTTACAGGGCGCGCTTTCGGTCTAGCAATCAGTATGTTTTCGGTCCAGGCCTGCCAAAAATTCAGAATCTCGGGGTCCGCGGTGGAGTTTCGATGAGGAGCGAGGTCTTCACGTTGAGGCCGCAGGAGGCCGGGCCATCGCAGACCCGGAAATTGCGAGGCAATTCGAGAAGACTGCCGAAGCCACACATAGAAAGAGAGCCAGACAATGAAACTTAGGAGAGCCAGCCGTGTGAGTAGGGTAGTGCGCATGGCTAGAGGTGGAGGCCGCAAAGCGCAGCAAGGCTGGAGGTCCAAATGTCAACTGACAGATGAACGGCCTCCGGTGCCTTTCCGAAATTAACGCACATGCCTTTTCCCAAGAATACGGAGTGCCAGACGTGTAAGGATGGTGGGGAGATGCGAAGGACGCGCAATGGGTAGAACCTCGAGCTATCGTTGCCTTTCTTCAACCGGTTAGTGCCCATTGGCCATGACGCAAGTAGACAGACGTGAAACTCTGTCCAATGCAGTCTGGAATCATAAAGCATGGTCTACGTTCTACATTAAAAACTCCTTTGCAACTGCAGTATAGCGTTTTATTTTTTGAGAATTCTTCGCTATCTACCAAGTAAAGACAGTAGTAACAGGGGTATCTATCGAAGAGAGCTTTCGCGAAACTCCGCCGGACTGAACAATGTTTCCCATCATTGGGCTTTGCCAACTCTTTTTCCTCCCTGCCCAAGAAGAACTTCATCCTTCAGGCTATCACGTATCTGATCAACATCGATCCGTTCCTTGCTGCGAATGATGCCTTCCAATTGCCTCAGTCTCTCTTCGAAGTGCTGTACGGACTCTTCATCCCTTCTGCTCTCCATGCTGCCTCTTGGCGACTGCATGGATTCTGTTTCGGCATCCTCATCATCGTCATAATTTTCATCATAATGGCCGTTGTTCTCATCCAAAATAATTTTCATGTCCGTGGGGTTTACTGCATGTGTGCTCATCATCTTGACATTTCGCATAACTTCGCGTGGGCTTAAGGCACCTGCACTACTGGTAACAGAGGACCCAGCTACTATCGTTGTCGGCGAAACTACAAGCCCTCTATCTTCCCGCGAGGAAGAAGGCGCTAGATCATTGCTACTATCACCAGTCTCGTAACCACGGGCCTTTCGCTCGCGTGGGAACGACGTGAAAGCTGAAGTTCCTACTGGCGGGATGTGGAAAGAGCCGGTATTGAAATTGGGAGATAGCGCCAAACCTGTATCTGAGTCGCTCCCTGCCGTTTTTGGCCCCGATTTCTGCTCGTGTTTTGGTCCTAGAGGCCTTTTGTTTGAGCTTGACCGAGATCGTGAACTAATCTTTGGACCCGTGAACGAACTGTTGGTAGGTGATGCTACGGCAGTAGCTGGCCCCTTCCGTCCACGACCACTAGAACCAGGTGCCCGAGGAATATTCATGCCAGCCGCAGCAGGCGAGAAAATTATTTCCTCCGAAGGAGCTGGCGATGCAGCCCTCCGTACTTCTTGCGGCACCTGCCATGACCGTCCTGTGGAGCGTGAACGCAAAGACGACCCGATAGACGCAGTGTCTGAGCGTTTACTGCTAAGAGCTTGTCGATGCCGATTAACTTTGTTTGAAGGCTTTCCGAGAGTCCTTGGAAAGCCACTAATTGAGTTTCGATCGGTGTTCTCAAAGAACAGCATAATATCTACGATGGTTGAGCGTTGCGGAATGTCTATCTCGATCGGTGGCATGGAGAATTTCGAATTAAGGACCATATCAGCCGTTGTATCAGCTGTCATACTGAATATTTGAGTGGTGCCCTCGTCGTCTCGTATTACGAAGCGGGGAAATGATGTACCAGTTTTCTTTCGTAAAAGTTTGCCAAGCGAAGACATTTCGACCGTGTCGTTAGGTATGCGGCAGCGGATCATGCCAGTCGACATCCAGGTACCGTCCGCTTGCTGTGCTAAGTCTCCAATTGTTTCATAGTAGAACAGTGCTGCCAGCAGTTTTGCAGCAAGCGCTTTGATTTCATTCTTATCGATTTGGCTGCGAATTTTGTCTCGTAATTCTTCCAGCGATCCAAGATCGTCGCTCGATGGGAGCTTTTCAGACACGCGTGGGTTAAATCTGACAAATCTGAGGTGTGATTTTGCTGATGAGGGAAAGTCGTGGATGAAGTCATCGCTCGTTGACTGGCATTTCAGAAACGAGGTACGGCGTTTTGTGAGTGTTCTGCTGGGGGTTTTTCGCTCTGCGGAATCGCATGAACAGTTTGGAGGAGTCTCGGACGAATTCCAAGAATTATACTTGCTGTGATCCACCAGTTCTTCTTCCACTCCAGCCCCCAAGCTAATGATCAAATCTGGCGCGTCAGGATTGCGAAGCTCTTGTTTAAAGATGCGACGCTCTGAGTCGGCAATGTAAATGGGATTAAGATGTGGTGGGCCTGCAGCGCAGTAGATGTGCTTAGTGGCCTCGTGCAAGAACGGCTTGAAAAGTTTTGGTGTTGATATCGTAGCTCTAGCCGCCTCCCATAGCTTTAATTCCTGCTCTGGTTTCTCCGGCCGGCGAAATATGTAAGGCAAAGGATCTATACAACGACGATTGTAGCTCGCTAGGAGGACAGGTGTGCCCGTGACAGAACTTGCCACAACGGCAACATCACTTGTTGAAGACGGCGAGTCTCTGTTATTGAGGGCACCGAATAGAGGATCATCCTCTCCAAAAGCTTCCTTGAGTGCGTATTCGAGGCCGGCGGTATCATATTTTTCCTTGCTTGCCGATTGCAGGATTTTTCCGATTCCCGGTATGTTCCTTCCGTGCCTTTTCGTGAATGCATGCGTGAAAATTCGTTCAATATGATACATGCATTTCTTCACGGACCAGCCGCGGGTAGTTAGACCCAGGGCGACCAATCCACCGCTCCCACTTCCCACAATGAGGTCAAAAAAGCATCGAATAGACTGTTGAGATGTATTAGTGCGGTGGTCAGAGAACACACGAATTTGCACGGGTATAGCTTGTACGTCTGTAGCATGCGATGGAAACGTCGTTCATAAATCATCGCAGTGACCACAGTCAGAGATAAAGTACGTACCAATTTGTTCATCCATTCTTCTTCGAGAAGCTTCAGAACCTCAAGTTGGATCATAGACCGAACGCCGCCATGATCTAGAGTAAGGACACGCGAACTTGCAGCGTCTGGCTTCAAGTACACGGCGATTGTACGACGCAACGGAGGCGCATCAATCTCGAGGGGACAATGATGCATTTCAACGAGCAAATCATTCCTGCTTTCACCATACGAACGAACACAGACGGAACATAGCATATGACCGCAGGGAAGAGTATGCTCCGGTCGTTCGAACAAGCCTGCTCGTTGTTAGACAAGATCGTCAATTCTGTGGCATCTTCAAACAGGTTACACTCTAGTGGTATGTTAGCCTCATTCAACATTCCTCACTAATGACTCCAGTCTTACCACAGCCCAAACAAACGCCGTGGGAATGTGTAAATGTTGCGTTTTCTTGGTCCTGGAACACATTGGCATAGAACGATCGTAATGTTTCTTCGCGGTGAATGCCATTTGCGGCGGAAACATCATCCTCTCCTCTTCGAATCCGATCCTCCAATAACCGCATGAGCCATTCAAGGTGCTTGAAGATTTGGGTCTCAAATTCATTTTTATAGTTTTCGTAGGTGAATGCTGCTTGGTATTCACCAGCTGCGAAAACAATGCCTCTCCGCGTTTGATGGCCTTTCGACCCGTGACCGCTGCGTACATTGCAACAACGTGCCCGCTGATTTAGCACGTGCAGATTGCGCTGGAAAGCCATTACATGCATGTGCTGCATCCTCTGGGCGTACTCGCCAACGGTGATAGTGAATTCACAAGGCCAATGATGGTTGCAGAAGTCTGCAAGAGCGCTGTGAATGTGCTCAAGATATTCCGGGAAAATTCGTTCGGCATTTCCACGAATCTCATGCCTCACAGAATCAAGCATGATGCAACTTGCAACCATACGTGCTAATTCACGAAAAATCCCAGCTGCCTCGATCTTCTGTCGTGCTTGTGTTTTGTAGTCCATGACGTTGAGAGCCAACCGTAATATATTTCCGCCGAAATCTAAAGGGATAGGTGAGTTGAACAAAGATGCACGTACAAAATCGAATGCTTCGTCTAGGGTCTGGCTGAAATGATCGAAAGCATGTTGCAAGTATGATTGCATCTCGCCTACGAGAATTTAGTCTATGTTCGGCTCTCTACCCACCGAGTCCACGTACCAGCATTAAGAAGCATTCGAAGAGACAACTTGCGTTCTCTTGCTCTAACACAGCCTCGGTCGATGGCATCGTACAGTTTTTCGATTTGTATCTGAAGCAACTTCGGCCTACCCGTTGCCGGAATTCTTACAACCTGCAAAACATTAGAGTTGATTGCTCCACATAACAACTGTCGTACCCTTTACCTCGATGGAGCTAAAATAGCAAAGCACTAACTGTTCAAGGCTCTCTATCCGCTTGTTTCGATATGCCCAAAATTCGACGTGTTTCTTGAACGTCGAATTTTCTCTGACGGTTGTCGCCAACGAATCTAAAAGACTGCGGGTGCCACGTTCGACGTCCCATAGTTCTGGTTCAACATTAATCTCGGTAGCGTTGAGGGCGATCACAGCTGCGGGGAGTACAGGCTGATTCGACGCTGCTTCCAAGGCTGCAGATGCCCACTCAATCAGCCTCTCAAAAACCCCTTCGATGACGCGAGGGTTCTTCAGAACGAAAACCACTGTGTCTGAGAAGCTGAATAGCAGCCTTGGATATAGATTTGCAACAGCGAAACTCCTGGTTCGTCGAGAGGCATCCTCTGTTGCCCAAACAAGCTCTCTAGACGAGACATATACGGGATAGTCGGTGGCTGCAGATGAGCGAATGCGAGCATCAGGTGATGTTGTCCTCGCTTTGCGAAATCTCGCACCCACAGGCTCACGCTCACCGCCGTCGAGACCTTCACAATCGGCGTAGAGTATGGGCGCAGAAGAGTACACCTGACGAATCAGCCGTGACGCAATCGAATTAATTAGCATAGATAATACTCACGGAAGCTGGATCTGGATACAGATGAACATCCTCGGACGTAGGAATGTCTTTACCAGTCATGCCAACCACCGGTGTTGCAAGTGCTCCCCGGTCGACACCTCCCTTGAAGGTAATAAGAAAGTTGATGAGAGTGCTTTTGCCAGCTCCGCTTTGGCCCACAAACGAGGCAAGACTCGGAGTTCGGCTATCTTTGGTAGTTGATGCTGTTTGGTCACCTTCGGAGTTCCACGAGAATCTTATCGAGTTCTCGTCCCTCGTCTGCGCCATGAGCTGGGCGTAGCGTCCGCTGTCCTTTAGATACAAAGGGTCATTGGTGCGTCTGCCGCGGTCTATACCAAACCACGCTGTACTTTCATCGGCTGCGCAAAGCCGCGCGTAGGAAAGCTCGTCTGTAGGTGGCGACAGGATGTTGTTGATCTGGCGAGCGATCCACGGATTAGCTTTCTCATGGATGGCGACGGACTTGCCAATTTTGGCTCTACGATGTTGAAGCTGAACATTCCAGCATCTCTCACAGAGTGTCACGTCGCATGCATAACAGAAGTGCAAGGTTTGATCCAGAGCCTGCTCCTCGGGTTCACACGCCTCGCAGTAGATGTCGAATTCATCAATATCAGACTCTTCTCTGAACTCCAAAAATTAGGCATGGTCCCAAAAAATCTGATAAGAGCCCCTCACATGATAGGATTGGGCGAAGGATCAGACATATTAGACAGTTGATCCTGACGAGGAGTCCGCATTGATGTTGTGCTTGTTGATCACGGATTGAATGCGTTTGAATGCGTCGTGCAACACGACGATGCGTGAAACGAAAAAGGCGCTATCAATCGGCATTGAATTGGTATAGCTGTTCAGAATGAGAAGCCATCGCTGTAACTTTGCAGTATATTCATCGTCGTTGGTTCGAAAGACGGTAGAAGCCTATCTACAATGTTCTTGCAATAGCTTAGCTGAGAAGCACTTATCAAATACCCGGCTCTACGAATCAGCGAAGGGCAAACCTGGAGCCCCTACATTGGTGGAGACACCAGCGCTGCACACATGGTGTGCTCGACAGATTTGCATCTGAGGCGCATTGATAGGATTTATTAACTAGCGAACATGCGCCATCCCACTCGAACATGGAGGCCGGGTGGGGGAAATGTCGCTCTGCACCGTCCCCAGAGACTAGTAGGTTTCCACCTCGTGAACCAAATTTGGAGGGGTTTCGCCGTCATATCACCGGCCGCATCGCTTTCAGATTGGCCGAGTCTGCATCTCAAAGGCAAAGAAAAAAACCCAAGGTGGCACCAGAGAAATTCCGCCGTCGGAGAGGGAATTGGCAGAAGACAGGCCAAGCGAAAGTTTGCGACCTGCCCCTCCTTCCTCACCCCCCCTGCAGTCTTGCTTATCTTTTGCGCTCCAAGTCTTTGAATTTGCGAGAAAAGATCGTCCAAAAGGCGGAGAGGGCCGAAGAAGCCAATAACGCTTCTGGCTAAGAAGGCTTAGACAGAATTTGGGCGAACCCTTATCCTGCAGGGTCGCGTGTGCAAAAGTCCGACTATACAATCCCACCGTCTCAGCCTTAGTAGCAGATCGCACTCCCAAATTGGCGTGATTCCGCTTTATTCACGATGCTTGTGCTGAGCCTTGGATTTGTGCTGGTAGACGTTTTCAGGTTGCTTATTGAAAGTGAACTTTCCCTAAGCTTCTTGTCGAACATGCTGCAGCTTACGACTTGGATGAAAGTCCCGCTGAGTTTCACCATTCGTCTAAACATTCATTGGGCCAGGGCTTCATGAGACAGAGTCGATGAAGTAGTAATCGAACTAGGGAAAATCATCTCACCCAAGTCACTTGGCTCAGCACTTGGTGTCGAAAGCGATTGGCAAGAATTGAAGCTCTGTCCATCATCCTGCTCAACGAGCGAATCTGGATTTTTCCGCCGAGTTTTGCAAGCAGCTGCAAGCAACGGCAAGAAAATGATCATGCTCTTGGCAACCGATAACAACGCTGCACGCAACACGTTGCAGATCAATGGCACAAAGAGCTGGGAGGTGAGGCATCGATTTCTTGGACACGACTAGGCTTGGTCTGAATTCACTGGTTCCAGCGACCCGAGGCCAACTCCCTTGCTTCTTGCTTTATGCAAGGCTTTCAAACATTTTCCTATAGCTTCAAGATCGCCCAGTAGCGTAACGTGACCACGCTCACTTGCAATAACGCCACCTTTCGCGGCCCGATAGCCATCCGGCAACTGAGCGGCTCTGGCTAGGACGACGCCGTCACCGCTCGCAAAGACGAGGTCGTCGTAAGCATCTGCACGAGCAATGCCATCACGACCACGCACGCGAGCACCACAAACAGTCGGCTCCGTCTTGCCGTATATCACGGCAAAAGGAGGGTACATGTTTTTTTCTTGGTGGCTGGGATTGTGCGCTAGCTCTTCTCGAAAGCGCTTGATCCGTGGCAAGACTCGTGTGAGATATTCGATGGCCTTCTCGCGAGAAATCGTCACCCCCGTTGCCGCTTGCGTAGGTTCTTGTTTCCCATGGGCACCCATCTGCGGCGCCATACCAGCTTTAGGCAATCCTTCAGCGTGTAGGTCAGCCTGATGTGTTTTAGTTTGCGTATTGGCAGAATTGGAAGCATCCCTAACGCTGGGATTATTCCCACGATTGGTTGTAGAATCGCGACGGTTCCGAAACGGAAGAGATGGGATAACAGTCGTAAGGGAGTCCGGGATGACGCTCGATACGCTACTGATCAAGCTGCTCGATCGTCCAGATGTGGATAACGCCGGCAAAGGAGGATCAATACATGGTGACCATCGATACTTTATCCAATCATTCACGTCGTAGAAATCTACGAGATACTCCTCCTTCGTGTCTTTGTCCACGAAGCATCGCCCATAGAGCGGCAACAGTGCGATGCTCGTACGGATCGACAGGTTAACCTGTGCGGTTAGCACCTTCGAGCTGAAGAGCACATCGTCACCGTTGCGCAATGGCCCGAGTATGTTCACACATGTTTCAGGAACACCGGCGTAAACGACCCCGTTGAACAGCTCTGGTCTTGCATTGACGGCATGCCTCGTCATCAGGCCACCGAAACTGTGTGCTATTACTGTCGCACCCCGTTTTTCAGGTGGAGTACCGGGGCTATTGCATGGCAAAGTCTCTAGGAACTCGATGAATTGCTTACTCAGTCGATGCGGACTAAGCCTCCAGTCATAGCCATAGTTGTGAACACGCAGAGACCCTTTTTGGGTATTTTCGCTTGCTCTAAGCCTCTTCAAAAGTCTTCTGCTTATGTCCACGGGCCCAATGTGCGTAAGCATCCCGTCCGGTATGATCTTTTTTGTGACTTGTTCCTCGTCTTCGTCGTCAAACCCAACCTCGAGATCTACTTTTCTCAGGTTGAAGCCAACCTTGAGCGGCACCCACAATCTCCTATGGGGTGGATGGGCTTCTCGAAGTATTGAGCCTCTGTAGCCTCCAAGCACTACTATGTCCCCCGTCAGATTGCATAATGCCTCCGTGAAGTTAGGATGAGCAGCGGCATTCGCGGAAGACATTCCTGCGATCTTCGGGCTTTTACTTGGTATCAGACTTGGCTTATGGGCATCATGCTTTTCAAATGAGGTATGAAGGTCTCTTGTCGAGTCATACGGGCTGGGTAACAGATTCAGTCGCATCCATGAGTTTGAACTACGTGAGCCTTCTTGTTGCGAGCCTAGGTCAGTTCTTGACGAGCTAAAGCCCAACGGTGGTTTTGGCAGGGTGGGTAGATTACGGCGCAGATTCGAGTCCTGCCAGCTGTCTCGAATCGCTTTCAATCTACTGTTCACTTGCTCGTGGATATGCTCAAATCGCGTGTCATCGCCAAGGGATGATGCTTTCGATAAACTTCGGGCCAAATAAAGCGACTGATCCGACGTCGCTCGACGCAGCCCCATAGATGGTCTGCTCGCCGCTTCCGTTGGTGTAGATGATTCTTGGCCTTGTTGCGAGGGTACTGGATGCGACGAGCCTTGCGTTGGCGATAGCGCCCAGCTATTCTCAGGAGGCTTTTCATTTAAAATCGAGAGACCTCGTGCTTTGGCTACAAATTGGTTCCACGAATCTCGAGTCCATGCAGCGCCGTCGAACTGCGGTGAGTTCGGCTCGGGATTGGTTCGCTGCCGTCCGCCGGATTTTGCGCTGTCTTCATGGCTTGATCCAAACAAACGAGGGGGCTTGGGTAGGGAAGGCAACTGCAAAGGGAACTTTGCTTTCTTCTCGGGGCCAGACGAGCTCCGTTTCCGAAAAGCGGATCCCAGGATTCCGCTTGTTTCCGCCGGCCGTTCAAACGTCTTTGGGCCGGCTCGCCACGGCGTAGGCAGAGTGGGAGGGGGTGATTTTGGCGATTCCTGCTTCGAAGGGGCCGTTTTTTCAGTCGCAGTTATGGCTGATTCTTGCCGTGTGCTATCGGTTCCTTGTAACTCCTGCTGTTCTTCGTTCTCGGGGGACTCGCTAACGTCAAATTGGTCATCAAAAAACCCGCCGCGTCTCCCAATGGCGGCCATCTTCTCGATCGCGGGTGTATTTGGAGACTTCAAGTGCGACTGTGCCTGCGATATACTGACGCCGATAACTGAGGCAGTGTCATCTGCGCTATGTACAATTGTCTCGTAGTCCTCGTCGTCTGAGGAGCCGGCCGTATCCTCGACAGCCGCGTCGCGCACGTTTGGCAGCAGCGGATCCGTCGAGCCATGCTCACGTGCATCCTTTGGGTGAGAATCTACTACTTGCTGATTTGCCATGGTTAAGGATGAATTCCCTTGGTGTTGAAATCGAATACTAATATTCCGGTCAGACACGCGAGAGCGCCTCCAGCCACGATCTGTGTGACTTCGTCACAAGAGAGGCGCGCAACACAAAGGAAATAAAGTAAGCAACGCGATATACGAGGCAAGGAAACGGCGTTCGGGAGTACGAAGACTGATTCGGTGGAAGGTACATTTCCAAGATAGGGTCGCAGTCGGAGCTGCGTCACCGCGGCACAGCTACCTCATATTACATAAGGCAGACCTAAGTTGCCCATCTGAGTGCTGTACATGGTCGCATTCGACGAGTTTTGGGGCCGAGACGATGCGCACATGATTTCAATATACAGATGATGAGCAGCATCCTCACGAGGGCAGTTTTTCGCAGACAAGGGCTGGTAAAGTCTTGGTGCTGTGGCTGGACACGAGACGGGATGAGTTCATTGTAGCATGAGATGAGTGAAGTCTGAGTCCAGCAATGAAAATGATAGTCTTTAGCAGTGGCTATGTCCGTGACTTACGTTGTACCAACTTATTGTGGCGACTTTTATTTTTCCGCTCTTTCGCCCATGACAACTGTCGTCGTGCGACATGAGTCCGTTGAAAGCTTTTCTTCTTGTTAAATGGAGACTGCTCTTTATTTATGTATCCATTTCAATCGTTTTGTGCACAGTCCCACGAAGAAAAAAAAAGGTCTCACATGTCATAAGGTCAAAAATAATGTGCGGTTTTTGTGCCTGAGACTAGCGTATATAAACATCGAAAAGAAAGAAGAGCGTTGATTCAAGTCCTCATTCTCCTCGTACTGTCTGAAAGTGAAGTGAAAAGAAGCTCATCAAACGCACTAAAGCCTATTTCCAAACATCTAAGCAAATCACCCGAGTAGTCGCTTGATTGCGTATTTCTCCCGCTTAGGTCTCACGATATTTGTAGACATGGTGCATACATGTAGCGAATACGTTCTGTGAGAGTAGTGTCTTCTTTATCCCCACGTAAGATACTTGCACTGGCTCTATGAACTCCGATTGTAAACTACAAGTAGTATGTCGCCCAGCGCCTATGAAAAAACAACGGTGGGGTGACTAAATGCTTACGCATGCGTTGTTCCCAAGTCGGTGAGAAATTTGGCAAGGGAGGGATCCCATCGAATCATAGCAAAAGCTGCGCGCAAAGAAGACGTGTGGAGTAGAAATAACCCAGGGGAAGGAAAGCCTCTTGGGGGCCAGCTTACAAACTCACCACGTCTGGCAACGAACCCAAGCAATTGGGAACTTCAAACATCAAGTTGTCTTGTTAGGAATTGATGTGAAGGAGGGGGAGGCAAGCTGCCACAGCACCCTGAACATCCGGCAATGCGATTCGACCGGTTCACTCCCGTGCGGAATCCTGCTCGGTGTGGACATGGTACAAAATAACGGATGAGACGGCTTCACAGAGGCTGTACGGCATGCGGCCCCCACGGCTCGATGTGCAGCAGCATCGCGAGATCGCTGATCAGCTTCTCTCAACCTGCTTCTGACAGCATCACTTGCCTAATTGGCCAGCGCGGTAACGACAGCATTATAGTCGCCAAGAAGGCAATGCAGATATGTAGTCAAGCGGTCGTTGATGCTCTATGCGGTTGGAATCGAGCACTTGAACAGACGGGCCAGTATCATCTCAATCAGCTTCCCGTAGTATGCATATCCCAAATTTCGCTTTCTAGGCTTCTTTTTCGTTGTCGGTATGATCAAGTCCTGTAAACGCCCATGGCACTGCGAGCTTATCAGGAACAGTGCTCAAGCTCTCTCTCCTCCCTTCCTACTTTGGAGTGATTGCCTGGTAAAAGAGAAAAGCCGAACCTTTTCGATCGTTCGAATGAGAAGCAGATGGGATGCATCGCGCTGCTAAGGACAAGGCTTTTATTCAGCATTGGTACCTTGACTCGGACTGGAAAGCGGACTCGCAGCTAACGATAATCAGCTATGCTCGTGCCACGGCGTACAGCTGACAGCCTGGAGGGCCGTGGCTGGAAAGGAGACTCCGCGTTAAAATAGGATCTCCCTTTGGTCTCCGCTTGGTTGATATGAGACGTGAGAGCCCCTTGCCTGAATTTGGGATTCGCATGGCGGACAGTGGACGGGGCTTGCGTGAAAGGATAATCGCAAAGTCTCTTTTGGGAAGCCGAGCAGGACCTGGGGTTGGGGCTTGTGCCGAAGCTCGTGTTTTTCCCTCCGCGCGGGTGCTAAGAATAGAAACAAGGGGTCAAAGTCGCTCTACTTTGGTACATATGCAGACAGCGAGTAGTGTCTAGCTGGTGTTTTCCTCGCTGTTCGCCCGTGAAATCCCTATGTCCTGTTGTTCTTGCGCTGCACTGGTCAATGCATTGCGTCGATCCAGCTGGGGAAGGAGACTCAGCTGGCCGCATCTACACTCGCAGCGTTGTGCTCAAGCGAGCCCATCGGTGTCTTGCTACATGGTACTGTGTGGTCCGGAGTCCCGCCTTTGCGCAGTACTGTTGGACCCTACGGTCCTGAAGAGCACACCTCCAACTTTTGCGTTCGTCCCGCCAGTACCTGTACACGAACGGCAACGAGCTTTTCAAGGGGTGAGGGGTGGAGGGGATTTGGAAAAGCTCGACGGCAGCGCTTAAGTTAGGCATAGTGCGCAGCCTCAATTGGGCTTTTCTTTGTCAGACATGAGGACACTGATCAGGGATAGTGGCAACGATCTGCTTATAGCTGGGCGAAACGCAGTTGGGTTAGATTCCGCTTGTGCTCCGGTCTCATGCACGTGTATGCACTCCGTACTGAAGTGTGTTTTGAGTGCGCCCAGCAGCCAGTGCTTACGGCGTTGCATGGCCCCCGAGTCGAATGCTTAGACGTCGAGGGACGGTTCGTTATTCGGCCTGCATGCTGGGCAGGATGACGACGGTAGCGATGAGCGAAGCAGGAATTTGACAAGGTAGACGACAGGCGCAGAATCCGTGCTCGTACTTTGTTTTTCTGCTTGGAACGCAGCTCTTGGGCAATCCCCCTCGCATGTTCTATTCGCCTGATAAGAGGAGCTAGCGTTGGCGACGTTGGTTGGTCGTATTGCGCACGCCAAACGTTCACATCCACTCTCCGCTCGTACACGCTGTCGTCTCGGGCTCTTGCTTTCCCACATGACTTGGAGCCTGCGCAGTCTTGCTTGGCTCGAACCTGCTTGCGCACCTCGCCGTCTGGCGCCCTCGCCTGCCCGAGACGAGTTGTACTACTGAGTTGGTGACGAAAGACACATTAGACGTACCAACAAACCTTCTCTCGTCGCCTTTGGCCAACTCGCCGTCCTCGAGCGTCTTGGCCCACATGCGTGCGATTCAGATAGGTGTGCATAGCTCCATAGTCCAAGAGAAAGGGAGGAGAAGAAGATCGGTGGCCGTTTCCCTGGCAGGTCCCAACAGCCGGTGCTGCAACGACGTATTCGAAGCCGGTCAGTCTCATGCTTAACTGCCAGCTAAGGCGGGCCGCACCCAATCCATCGGGGCGACTGGCCGAGCATCTGCTCCTCTGCGTCTCTGCGTCTCTGCGTCGCTGCTGGGAGCGCTGGCCGTGCTGGTGCTGGTCGTGCTGGGGCCTCGCTCAGCGGACGTGTGGGCGCGGCCTGCGTGGTTCAGCGGGCGCGCGTCTTATTCTTAGCACGGCCAGGTTTAGCAAGCAAAGGACGGTCCTCTGCCGCTTCAGTCGTGGACTTTATTGTTCTATCGCTTCTTTTTGCTCCTCGTCCACTCCGCCATCCTGTCCCTGTCCTGTCATCTGCCCCGTCTAGAGAGGTTCCAGGTCGGTGCCATACGAGCCAGCTGAGCCAGCTGATCGTGTTGATCAAGGCCAACGCCAACCGCAGCCCGCGCATCCGTCCCGACGACGCAGAGCTGCACCTCTCGCGCAACCACCACCGACGCCGGGCTTAGGGAGCAGGTGGTGTTCTTTTGCTGCCTTCTTCACCTCGCCGGCGACCGACCGTCCAACACAGCCCGTCCAATTACCGCGCTCGCCACCGCGTCTTCCTCTCTCCTGTCCCCTTCGCCGCCTCCGGAGCCCCCTCCACGCCTCCCTCCTATTGCTCGACCGCAAGCCCAAGGCTGCCGCCACCAACAAGGTCTATAATTCTGTATCTTTCACCGCCCTCATGAAAGCCAAGATCTTTGGAAGCTCAAAGTCGAAGCCGTCCGCCGCCGACCCTTCGAGCGCGTATCACTCTTCTCTCGCAGGTATGTTGCAGTATGGCGACGACGGGCTGGCGAGGAGATGTGCCCCGTCCGACCTCTTCACCTCGCACCGCACCCGCCCCGCCGCCCTCGCTGGCCACAGCTCCCCACCACTCCCCTTCAAGCTGGCCGCCGTCCCCTTGCTTGCGTTCGTCACCCACAACATCGTGACCAAAAAGCGCCCAAGCAGTGTAGCATACGTTACGGCGCATAATCTGTCTTGAGCTGCCATGGCCCAAGTTTCCAAATCAAGCCGTACACCACCTCCAGGCACGCGTCCCAGGACCAGTCTTTTGGCCAGTGTTCTCATTTTTAGACATGGGGCTACAAGGCTGGGCCTGAAACTGGATGCGCACCCGCACCGCATGCCGACAACGGACCCATTTCCATGTGCGCTGAGCGTTTGTTTCATTGATGAGCAGAAGGCTAACCATCTTTCTTTGCCTGTTCGACAGGACAACAACAACAACGAGCCTCGTCGCCGGCCTACCCTCAGCAAGGTGCTCAAGCCTTCGCTGCATCGACCAGCCAGAACACGTTAGAGCGGTCGCCCAGTCTCCGCCAGTCCTCCAGTGCATTTGCATCGCAGCGACCGCCCCCAGCATTCGACGGCGGCGCCAGTCCACAGACCATTGCTGAGCAGCGCATTATCGAAAACAGAGGCTCGGTCTACTTCAACCAAGCCGGCCCTCCACCCCAAGGCCATCAGCAGCTGCAACCCGTTGTGCAAGAGAAGGAGCACAAGCGTGGCATTCGGGACAAGCTAGGCTTTGGGCACTCGAGCAAACCCAGCCAGGACGTACCCAAGCAGAGCAACAATAGCGGCGGTGCTGGAGCATTGGGGCGCTCTCTGTCCGTCAGCAAGAAGCGAGAGAGTCTGCCTGAGAAGTACTACAACCAGCCTGATCCCCGTTCTCCATACCGTCGCTCCGCCAATTCGAGCCAAAATCTGCTCAACACTCATACCGAAGAGGACGAGGAGACCCAACGCAACGTCTTCGGCCAGCAGCAGCACTACTCAGGAGTTCCACCACCTCCTCCGGCCAAGGAGAGTGACTACGAGCCACGTTACTCGCAGCAACCCGCACCTCCGTCGGCATACTACCAAGACCCTCGTTCCATTGGCCGTGTGCAGACAGATCCATCACTGCAGCAGACGCACATCGGCAACGTCGAGCTTCGCAATCCGATCGGGCAGGGTTACCAGTATAAAGACGAGAGTGCGCAGAGCGCCCAGGATCAATATCACGTATATCAGCAAGCAGGACATCCAGACGACGAGGCCACGCCAGGAACGCCCTACCAAGCATCGTCTGACGACGTTGCGCGATATTCGTATTCGCAACAACAACCACCAGCATATTCTACCCAGCAACAGCACGGCCGTGTACCTTCAGGCCAATCCAACCAACCTGAGCTATACTACCCTCAACCGTCCACCGGACGCGACTCGGAGAAGTACAGACCTCCCTCTCAACTAGGTCAGTTCGCCGGCCCTCAACAAGAACCTCCTTCATACGACAAGTCGACAAATTCTCTCTACCTCCAGGCACCCCACCGCGGCACTTCTATCGATCAGCCACCCTCGCCACTTGCCCCCTCAACCACAGCTACGCAGCCAGGACACGAGAGTGTGCCCCCTCCACCATCTCCACAGCCCCCGTCAACTGCCGACTCAGCTCAGTCGTCACTGGATTCGATGCCGAACCAATCTACGCGGAGCGGAAATACAATGCGCGCTGAAAAGGCTGCGGCTGTGGCCGCAGCCGCAGCATCCGCCGGTTCTAGGGAGAGCTCCGGTCAGTTCCCGCCCCCAGTTCCGTCGCACAGGCAGGGTGTCGCAGCGTTCGGAGCTAATGTCGTCCCCTCAGGTTCCCAGGGAGCGCCGTTCAGAGGTCAGCAGGGACCCGTAGCCGCAGCCGCAGCTGCTGGGCAACAGAAGGGTAGAGATAGTCCGGCGCCAGAGCAGCAGCAGATGGCACCTGTAGAGCTTGCAGACGAAGAGGCTTCAAGTCTTTTACAGTTGCAAAAAGAGCACAAGGAGCTACGTGAGTTTCCGTTTTTTTTTTTTTTCAAAAAATTGTGTCACTTCTATTTCAATGTCGAATTTAGCTCTTTCTAAAGGATGAAAACAAACCTGTTCGGGGCGATTGAGGTCTGACTCTGGCAATACACAGGCGAGAAGTACCAAAAAGTCAAGAAGTACTACTTCGAGAAGGAGGCACAGGTGCACTCGCTTCAAAACACGCTGGCGCATCAGCGCTTAGCTGCGTCGCGAACCTCCCTTGACGACTCCGAATACGCTGCGCGCTTCTCCCGCCTAGATGGCCTCATCACACAACTATCATTCAGCATTCGCAAGTCATGGAAGACCATACCGGAGTTCTTGCAGCGTACCGTGAACAAGGACGCCTTGACGACAGGAAAGCAGGAGATGACGGCCGTAGGCAAGGCTTACATGTCACACTGGCTGGTCAGCAACTTGTTTGACATGTACTTCCATCCGAGCCTCGAACTTGGCCTCAGCAAAGACCTAAAGGAGATTTGGAATAACGTTCGGAAATACTGCCCGCCCTTCCAGTCCGGCGAGGAGGAAGAGGCGCTCAATTCCAAGCTCGTTAACTGGCGCATGACCACGATAGACGGATTGCAAGAGCGTCTGCGAGCGCCTGAGGCAGCAACACATCGCTCACGTCTTGTTGAAATGCTCAATGAAAAGATGGTCGGTGACATGTCATTGCTGCTCGCAGATCCGGCGCCTCCAGATCTAGCGGGAGGCATATCCATGATCATTGACTTAGCCGTTACGGTCGCACAGCACATTCCCATGGAGTCGCGCGACGTGTCTGTCGAGTACTACTACCCTGGCACGCCCATCGCCACCGATCTGATGAAGATCGAGAATGGCATTCCTGCACTCACCACGCCTGTGGCTCCGGCGGAGACATCGCCCAGCTCAGCCGGAGGAGGAGATATTGGGGATCACGCGAGCGTCAAGAGTACAGACACGCGAGAATCGTCTGCTGCAGATCAAACGCGAGACAGCACTGACGGCGGCGCCGCGTCTCGTGAAGAGAAGAAGGCCCGAGGCATGTTTGGAGGACTCATGAGTGGAGGTAGCGGCGGCGCAAAGATCCAGAAACAGCAGCCAACTTCTGGCACGCCGACAAGCAAATCTGTTTCTGGGATGGCAGCGGCAGCAACTTCAGGTGGGAGAGAGACTCCTGCTAAGGAGGAAAAGGTTCGGTTGTGTGTTGGTATGGGCGTGCAGATACGGGGACGCATTGTGCTGGCCAAGGCGCCTGTCTATGGGATGTCTGCGTGACGGTCCTTCCAAGCAACGCAGAGAACTGACACTTCACGATCCCCCTAACGCTGCGCGTGTGATGGGCTTGTGTGATGTGGAGATTTGAGATGGGCGGACAGGAGAAGGTGCTCTTGGAGAAACAGTAGAAGTGAACAGACGCTTATTCGGGCAGCACTCCCAGCCGCCGAACTACTCCGCCAGGCCAAGTCGGTTTTGTGATGGTTCGGGACGTGTTGATAGACAATGCACCGTCTGTGTTGTTGAGTGGGGCTATGCAGAGGCTACCACTCGTTGGACATGCTCTTGGTTCTCTTCTTCGTCCGAGGACTTTGCACAGCGCACCGTTCGCTCTTTGGAACCTTTCCAAGAGTTTCCAGTTGCGGTGGGAGCGGAAGAACGGGATCTAGGACACTCTGTTTGCATGGTTGAAGCCTGTAAATGCCAAGCCATCGCGCTTAAATTTTACATACGAGATGGAGGATACGAGGGGACGGTCAGGGAAAGATACCGCAAATGAGGGATGATGCGGCGGGGGATTCTTTGTAACGGGGAGTCGGACAGGCGAGCGGCGGAGCAAAGGGACGAAAGAGACAAGGGATCAAAATTTCATGATATACCCTCGCTTGGAAAATTCCACCTCCTCTACCTAGGTCAGCTGGAAACCTTAAAAAAAATTATCTGGGTAACTCAAATCTTCACGCTATACATCCCCCTTTTGTGTCATCACTATGCTCCATGATTATCATCACCTTCGTCGTCCGTCCTGCTGAGTGCCACAAAATGGCCTACCCTTGTTTGTTTCTTCTCCTCCGTACCCATTCATTATTGGGAGGGTGCGCCACGCGATATCGTGAGCCTTTTTTCAGCTCGACGATCACACGATAGTATGATCACGCCTGCATTATTCACTATACGTGCTGTACCTGCTACCACCGTCCCAACTGCGGAAGTTGCCAAGCTGACGCGGCCTCTGGGCCTTTCTCACGTACCTGGCCTAATTCTTGGGTCGGCAACGAAGAGAAACTTACAACGGTTGCGGTTTTTTATCTTTGCTTTTTTTGCCTGTGATGTGGTGGAGGTGGTGGCTTGCTTCTCTGTCCCCCTAGAAGAGAAAGGCCTAAAGCGGATGAGGAGGGCGGATGCCATTGGCGCTGCGGTGCATGCAAAGCCGTCGACACGTGCGCGAGGAACACGTTCCCGTCTCGTACCTGACGCTTAAACGCGAACGTTCTGCAGACTTCGCGGCAGCGGCGTGAACGTGCAAAAGGGCAGACGTCTGTGTGCGATACTCGCGTAGCCACGAGCCTTTGCCCGCCAGCCTGGGCTTTCGCGGACGGCCGACAGCCAGCACTACCATCGTTCCTTTGGCAGCTACGGACCTGCACGTCATGTGTGCCGAGCCCAGTCGTTTTCTGCTTTGACGCCGTGATGTGCGCCTGACGTGTGAAACACCAAAACGGTGCGGGTGAGCTAGGAGGACGCTTGTGGTGTTTCCCTGGGGTTTTGAGTGGCCTATTATGACGAACCAGTTCAGTGTCCGTTTTGCACGAGTCTGGTGATTGTGGATCTATCCCTGCGGTGATGGAGGGCTGACGACGGGCATGCAAAGGATAACTGTTACGGGGAGAGGTCGTGGGGTTCCGTGATCAAGAAGGAAGAGAAGCTGTGATAGCTGCTCGTGAACACGCGTGGGACATTGACGACCATTGAAATGGATCATATAGACGCTGGGATGTGCATTGAGTAAGGCACGCTGGATTGACCACCCTCATCGATTCTACAGACGCTGAAAACGCTTCGAAAGGACGAGAACTCTGCGCAAACGCAACACACAAAGCGGTGAAGAAAGAGGCAGGTCGTTCCAATGTAGTCATTGCATGATAAGGCGAGAACAACTGCGTGAGATGGACCAACAGCGACGCGGCATACAGACGCTGGCCACGTCTTTTCAAACTGACTTCTGAGGCAGTGAGGAGGAGTCCTGGCGCATGGCCGCGGCTCTGGTTCTGCAGTCTGCGGCGGAGCGTGCATGACGTACACTGTACGATGAGCCAAAGATGGAGGAGGCCAGCGGAAGTGGGCTGTCTGTGATTCGTTCGAAGAGATCAGACCCAGACCGTCTTTTTGTACGATCGCCGAGACTGAAGGCCACGATCGTGCCTTAGCACCGGCGGCTGGAGCGAGCCGGAAGGATTCAAAGTACCTTTTGACTCGGCTAGAGGAGGTTGGGGGTTGACGGGCAGGCTGCCTGGGCGCTTTGAGCGCTGGTCATCACGGACCAGCCTAGCGTTCGCGCGTAGCTAGTATGGCTAATGCAACAACTGTGAATAGATGTGCAAAGTGTGCCATTGCCAGAGCGGAAGGTACGAATAGATTTGCGGTGACGATTTACATTAGTCTGCAGGTGGTGGACTCATGTCAAAGATGTCAATCCATTAACGATGGCGTGGTCTGGTGCTACGAGGGGCGTTGTGGAGATCAGCCCGCGGTAATGGCAAAATCCTGGGCAGCGGAGGTGACTGTGTGATGGCCGTGCCATGGCTTACCTAGGCGCTTGATGTGCATCAGGGAGGGTTTGAAGTACGTACTCGGCCAGAGGGTTCTCGGCAGCGTGGCATCTGGCTGGTTGGCCTCGAGAGAAACGAGCATGCGGTGAGCAACGCACGACGAATGCTGGGAGCCCGTCGAACTGTGTGTAACAGGGGGAAGGAGACCGTTCCTGAGTCTGACGCTGGTGTCTTGGGAAAGGATGGGAAGGCTTTGAACAACCGCTCTTATTCGATGGCAGCGTCTGCAAAGGAGACGTACTTGCTTTTGACTCGGTCCCAGAGAGCCATTCATGGAAGCAAACGGAAACAGAACAGATTAGTCCATTGAGGTGAGCAGTACCTGGAGCCATATCCCTGCCTGAGTAGCCATACCCTTCGAAAGACAGGTGTGAAGCACCAGAATTAGGCGCATGTATGCAGCAGTTCGGCACCGGAGTTTGTGGCCTGGGACAACAGCGTGTGAACGCAAATGCAGCCTTGCAAAAGTCGGCCGTGCAGCAGTGGTAGAGAACTGCGAGATGGACCTGCATAGGCATCAACTAGATCTGCGAACCAACGTTCCCCTGGTCGTCAATAATAGCAAATCATTAATCGCGGGAGATCCCAGCCCCATCACTTGGGCGACCAGGGTCGCAAGCAAAAGTTTCGAATCGCGTTATGCGTCGCCCGTGATGCGGACTTTCTCCGCGACGACGCTTCGCGTGCAGGGCGGAGCTTCTGCAGACACATCGCAAGTGACGTTTGTGCACTCGGTGCTGTCGTCCTCGGGCCTTTGGGAATCATTGCGATGGCTTCACACCACCGTTCTGTGACTTTGCCAGGGATGTGCACGACGGGGTGTGACGAAGAGGTGATTTGTGTGCTGCGAGTGGAGTCAAGCCACAATCCTGGCTCCGTCCGTCTCTTCGGCTACCCGCCAATCACATCCCGCGACGCCTTCTGGCCCGCTGTCAACCTTCTTGAACGAACTCAGAAAGGAGATCGACTAACCTTAACGAACGCCTATCTCCAAGTAGTGGAAATTAATTCACGCCGTGTCGCAAGGCTCTGACTGACGACTGTGCTGTGGGACGGCCCTGCGGCAGATCGGCTCTCTTGTCCTTCTTTGCTCTGTCTCTGTCTCTCATTGGCTGCCCAGCTACATGCCGTCCGTTTCAGTGCTCAACGGCTGGATGCGATTGATGGCCATTACACCCTATTCTCTCCTTTTCGCTCACACAAGTCGGTCTGGAAGCTGCAGAAGATCGCATAGTCCCGTTTCTTTGCGCACGGAGGGACGTCCTGTTACCTGATTATCCCAATTTTGCAATGTCCTGGAGATTCATGCATTGATGGCTCCCGTCTCCTTGGATACGAGGGCGGTCGAGGACGCCATCGCCATGCCTGCTAAGCCAAAATCCTTACCCAGATCGCCTTTTTGGAAAGCCCTCGAATAAGAATTCAGATGTTAACCGCTGTGGATGTGATGTGAAGTTGACCTATAGAGTGACCCGAGGAAAAGAAGTTTAACCTGGTCATATTCGTTATCTCTTTCTTGATATGGAAAAAGCCAGCTAGTGCACTCTCGTCATCGTCTTTCGCTTGTCTTTGAGGAAGTCCTGTTAACGGTATCAGTGCATTCGAACTGGACCACATAAGAAGGACGTCGATCTCCCCACATCTTGGCATTGCCTTCCTTCAACACATTGCGACATCAGATCATTTGTATTATATCTCCAGCTTATCATATCACTTACACTCTCCGCTTGGTTCTCCCAAGCTCTTGAGACAGTCCTTTGACTTTCTTCCGCTGCGCGGCAGTCACTGTATTATACGACCGTAGCCCAAGATACCAACAGCAACAATGTTCAAGGGCAACTTTTTCACCATCCTTTCGCTCACAGCAGCGTTTGGAGCACTCGCTGCACCAATAGCTATTCCATTCACTGGCTTGACTGCTGATCTTCACATGAAGAGAGGTGGTATCATTCCAGTGCTTGAGATAAGGGTAAGAGGCTAGTTCAGTACATATAACTTTACTGAGACATTATTAGGACTCAATCGCTCAAGCTCAAAGTAATGAGCTTTTGGTCCGCGATTCTCGTGTCCAGGGTCATAAACGTGACGAGATTGTTGCTCGGGAAGCTGATATCGAAGCCCGCGACTCTCGAGTGCAAGGCCACAAACGTGACGAGCTCGTTGCTCGGGAAGCTGATATCGAAGCCCGCGACTCTCGAGTACAAGGTCATTGAGAGACTGCAATTGAAGCCGGTCATTATTTAGAGCTTCACTCCGGCTTTTGTGATGTTCATATTCAACTCTTCTCGAATTTCGGATGGCTAGGAATGAAGCCTACGTTCGCTCCGATCTCTGGTCTCTCCTATTTGTTGGTCTTAGTTGCTTTTGGGGGGTTCTGTATCTTGTTTGGTACTGTCTTCACTGTTAGAAACAACGCGAGCAATTGCAAAGAGAAGGAAGCTAGTAATTGCAGGCAACAGCCAAGCAGGGCATTCAGGCAAGTTCTCAATTTGAAAGGAGAAGCTGCTGACCAATAATCGACAAAAAAAATGAAAGTTCCCAAATTCTCGACAATTCAATCGTCATCTAGCTGAACCTTTATATCCCGTGCTTTCCTCCGCACATAACCTTGTGACTTGTTTCCTGGTCCGACGAATCCTTGAACATCTTCTCCGAGACCGTTAAAAAGGATCGCGAGCGCAGAAGTCTTCCAAATTCCAATCTGTTCTTTGTCCTTTGAGCTTCTCCACATGGTTGTGATTAAGAAGATCAAAGCAAACACTAATAATGCCACAGGTAGAGTGATCCATTGCCAGCGAATATCAACAATAGTTACCGCTCTAGTAGCAACGCCAACTGACACATCGTGCGTTCCCGTACTAGAGAGAGTGTTGCGGCGGACAACTTGATTCATGACTGTTATAGCTTGCGCCATATGGTCTGATACATTGGCCCACGGCTCCCATGGAAGTTTTGGCTCAGTCACAATCACTAAATGCGGCGGGCTGTAGAGCCACCAAATCTTCAAAACCGGACCTGTTTTCGCTGGATTGCTAGCTGAAGGTCGCGTAAAGGTCGATGGGGCAATCTGTGCCCACACATCGTTTACTTTTCGACCTGTGGTGTTCGTCAATCCATATGTTGAAGTCGGTCCTGTAACGGAGTGCTTATCAGGCAAGGTCATAAAGAAACTGGCCTGATATACTGTTGGATCCTGGAGGTCCCAGGTTGAGGTTACGTTACTCTCAAACTCCCATGTCTTGATGTTCTCCTCGAAGAGCTGGCCGTTCACTACTTGCGATTGAACTGTCTTTACTACCCAGTGCAATTCACACTCTTGAATTTCGGGTGTGACGTTCTTGACCGCGCCATCAAAACCTCCCGGGGTAGTAACCAGAATGAAGTCGTTGATTGGATGTTTGATCTGGGGGAACAAGATAGAACCGTTGAAGAAAGGAACTCCTGTGTAAATGTCGGTCATGGCGAAAAAGCGGGTTGACAGTACCTCGCCCACGGATCCATCAACTGTGATCTCATATCCGCTCATAAGTTGTGGCATGTAGCCTGGTGGAGTGAGATAGTAACCGCATGAAGTGACGTTCGGATTCTGACCAGGCCCACCGTATGCGACAGTTGACAACCATTCAGCAGAAGTATTCTTACAGTCGAATTCAAGAAGGTCAAGTGGAAGCGGTTTGCACTGGAAATCGACGCCAAGAGTTTCAAAAGGGTCGAACGTGCAATTGCCAGTTGGGCAATCAAACGGAATTCCGGGAACAACACCCGTTCTCAGCCAATATGGATAAAGGAAAGCATCCATCTGGGAATCTTCAGGAGTCGCGAAGTTACCACCGTCTGCAGGTGGTCCACCCTGCCATTCACGTTCTTGGTCTGGGTTATATAGGATTGTGCGAGCAATTGTGGCGTTCGCTTGAGGATCCACAATGTTCACAGAGGGATAAGCAATGATCTGCTGAAAGAACAGATCTAAAGGAAGTGATAGAAGGATAATAGCGGCACCTACCGAGGCGAGCGTGCTGTGGAAGTCAGCCCAAAACCTATAGCTACGATTGTTGAAATACGCACATTCCCTTCGTTTTAGCGAGTAACATCATTGAGCCCCAAGGACCACGACTTGCAGAATCAAGTACTTCGAAATCCATCATTCTCTTCTGTTTATTGGTGAACCAGTTCCATTTCAGCTGCCCAAGGGCTTCTGCAGTAGGCAAGAGCAAGGCGGACTTGGCAAAGCCGGAGAATATGGAGATGAATGCATTGATAGATACTCCAAGCTTCCACTTGGGCATGGGTTTGCCATCGACTTTCCACAGGACGATGATTATGGTCATCATGCAAATAGCACTGAAGATCCAACTGGCAATTTCCATGGCCCACCACTCGATGAACCAGCGTGTGAACCAGTTTGATGCTTTCTCAGTCTTCGACATGTGCCATGAGAATCGAGACTGTACTGCATCTAACGAGTCCGGAAGTGAGGGAGGTCCACCACTTCTTGAAGTGTCCATCGAATTGTTTTCCCGAAATCTCATTGACGATTGGGAACTTGGACTTCTAGGGAGCGACCAGCCCCCACTAGTAAATGACGGTTTTTCATTGAACTCATGCTTCTTGTACTCAGGACTTGAACCAAGCAATTGAGGAGGGGATCCCGGAGGATTTAGGGTTGACGCTGTAGATCCTCTATCAGACATGATGTCTCCCTCATTTGTTGCCATTGAAGTGCGTGGATCTGAGGTTGTGGAGGTCCTAATCGATGTGGTTGACGTTCGTATCGAGTCTGTTACCGATCCTCTCACTTGCGTAGGTGGGTGCGAACTTAGCGAAGGATGGAGATTCTCAATGGCCGTATCATTCCATGCTGCCTGGACTTTGGATGGAGCATCATTTCGAGGAATATTACAGTTCTCCTGCGGATTCAGGGAGTTGGGTTGGTAAGAAAGCTCAGGAATGTCAGAAATGATTGGCACTGCAGATCCAGCAGCAACTTTGGCTTCTTCTGGAGTCGCTTCTCGTATGGATACTCGGGACCTGCCACGAGTAGTTGAGTACTCAATGATCGAAGGGACGGCTCTGTACTCGTTGTTAGGGCCAAATATTGTAGGAGCTTGGACATTCTCGGGAATGGAGAGCAGGTCTCCACTAGGCGCTGGCGTATCCTCTGCGTTTTTTATGCCGAGCCCATTACCGACATGCGTGGTAGCAGTTGACAGCTCGGATACGTTGGAATTCACTGAGCCTCGTTTGTCATCGGTTCTCCGTTGAGAAAGCATCGATATTGGACGCCCGTCCGGACCGAGCTTTTCTTCTGGGATGTCAGGCATGTCAGTGGGCTTACTGACATTGAACTTCCGCATAAAATTCTTTATGTTTGAAGACGACATATTGCAAAGTGACGGACAGCAAGGCCGTTGTTCGGTTTACCAAGTCATCCAAATGAGATGTCGTTTGTTTGAACGATTCGGCGATATATATTAAATATGTAAAGAGAGGCTGCTCTGGTGGGGGTATGCTCTAGAAGTATAACCCTTGAAACTCGGATAAGGTTAACAGCAATTTTACAGTACCCAGGTTTCATGGGATTTCATCGATGTCATGAAAGAAGCGTTCGCGTTCTCGACTACAACGTGGGTCCTGGGACGTATGTATTCAGCGCGAGGCAACCCGGCCTACGGATAAATGGTCTTTCGCCAACCGTGCGTAAATGCAGGAAAGATTCGGCAAAGTCGTGTACCTTATTGCTTCCGCTGCACCTTTAACACTTTCTTGGTATGGCGCGTAGGATTATACATAGCATTTCCCCAAAAACCAGGACGAGGGAATCAGGCGATAAGTCAACGACAGACCAATACCGTACCAGATTGGCAAGGTCAGCGAATAAAATAGCGGCCCGAAGCGCGAGGACTTTTAGTGTGCAGATTTGTGCAGTATGTACAGCGGTCGCTACTGGATGGCACTCAGCTAGGCGCATCAGCAACTAGAGACCTCGTGCGCAGCGACAAGCGAATCCGCGCTCGCGTACATGCTGATGCTCGACAGGCCCCCAACGGTTGTCGGTGAGTTGTTGGCCATGTCTTGGAGGTCACAAGCTCGAAAGTGGGGCTCCGAGCCGTGTCTACTTGCAGTACCTTGCCGAGGGCAAGAAACGGCATTTCGTGATTCCGCAAGGCTGTGCAGCATGTAGCATTCTGGAAAATTCAGTGCTGTTGACAGAATTTTGACTCTCGAGGCGATGGCATGAGCCATGAAAGAGGATAAATCTTCCGCCGCTGGTGATCGCGGAAGTGACTTTTGTCTGAACGGGGCTGCGGGACGAACCGGTTATCGATACGGACGATAGGCGGAGAGGCGGTACTTGCCTGCATACATGTATCGATAAGCGCTGCAGACTCCGAGTCAGTAGCACAGCTGCGCAAGCCACTACTGTGAGCTATGACCTGCCAATCCTTTTTGGACTTTATCACTCATGCTCTTGGTCATAAACGTTCCCAAAAGATTTGTCGGTCGCCTTGCGCGCTGTCGCTTCTGCGTACGAAGGATTGTGCGCATGCGCTTTCTGAATGGATTTCACGACATGTCCTAAGCAAATGAACCAGTAGAAGCAAGTTCGGGCATTTCACGTGGCAGTACAATTAGGCAGAGTCGCAACCTCTGTTCATGACTCTCTTTGCCAAGCGCTGTACCTTTCTATATCATATAACTCGTCAATTATTCCTCGCCATATATTCCCCATATATTGAGTTCCCAGTGATTCGGATATCTACGGTTTGTTTGAAGTAATATGCTCTATCTGCAAATGGCGCCCATTCTCGAAGGAAGTTAAACATACACGCATCTCTCTGGCTACAGCTCGTACTTCTTGTAATGAGCCTGCACCTCTGAATTGATCCCTGGCCTCTGCGCTCAGACTATGCACAAGTGTGGTCAAATCGGAGGCCTTCCAGACCTTTTTCTTAGTTGTTTGCACAATTGTAGCAACCAACATGACCAAAGTCATGACAAGCACTGCTAGAGGGAAGACGAAATAGCCCCAGCCTACGTCGATGTAAGTCACGTATATTCCTGAGCCGTAAACCGTGATAGCGTGGGTAGGGTCATTTCGAAGCGCGTTCGTAAGTTGCAGTGCCAGGTTGTCAACAAGTTTAGGCACCATTCCTCTTTTCAACCAAAGATTATTGAAGGGCGATTGAACAATTGTATCTGGTTCACCATTAAGCGTCGGCCAGTGGATTTGAGGCTCCGTGGTCTCATCTTGCTGGATAATTGAGTTTGGTATGTACCTGTCCAGAGCAAATCTGGCGCCAAGCATGGTGCTGTTAGTAACCAAGAATTTGTTGTCTGAATACGGAGGTTCGAGAGTTATATTTTGATGATACTGCCAGTCTTCCGTGTCTGGTGAGTAGCTTAGCTGTTCAGGAACGATAGTATTGTTTACAAATACCGCCATTTCCTTTTCTGTATAAACGCCCTCAGAAAATGATGCTCTCATACGCTTGACGCACCACCTCAAGCTGCAGCTAAAAGCATCTGGTGTTTCGTTGCGGTATACCGATTGGATGTCTTGTCCGGAAACTGCCGCGAAACCCGCAATTGGTGTTGGAATATCTGGCGCGGCAAGCTCACCTCCCCAGTAACGTTGGTCCACTCCGGGGTCGTGAAAATTGAGCTGTCTGGAGAGGAGGACGCCTCCCTCAGGCATAAGGGAATACCCGTTCATGAGCATGGGCTCGCTGGATGATGCATTGAAAAACCAACCGCAGGAGAAACCCCTCGTGGAGTTTGTGGCCGTCTCATTGATCGTCCGAATTTGTCGCCAGCTGCCGTCTTCAGCTGAGCAGGCGAACGTGAGGTATGAAGAGATATCACGGCAGTCGGAGCAGACGGCCAGAGTCTCAAAGTCTGGCCATGTACACGAATCTCCGGGGCAAAAGGTGTCCAAGGGAACGCTGCTTGAATTGAATCTGTAGAAAGTTGGGATCACACTTCTCCAGTCCTTCTCGTCCGTAACTTGATCGGTTCCGTTGAGATTAACCCATTTATTGGTGTTGTCGAACGTCACGACGCGTGGGACTCTGCTCCTGTTCTCCGTGCTAGGTCTGCTCGGATACGAAACCAGCTGCTGGAAGAAAGGGTCCAGACCGAAGGACAGCAGGAAGATTATGGCCCCGAGCGTGGCAAATGATCTTGGGAGAACGGTCAGATGCGTGCGAATCGTAGGGCGGAAAGTCCAGCTCAAAAACATACCTCGCCTTCATTCGCCATATGAGCTTGACCGAGCCTATCGGGCGTCGAGCAGCGAGCTCGAACCGCTCAAAGTCGAGAAGCGGCCGTTTCGGCGTTCCTGTCGCGAAGTAGAGGTACTTCTGAGAAGCCAGCGACTCCTCCAGAGGAACGGCCAGCGCCAGCTTGGCTGTCGCTGACAGGACCGACACGTACGTGTTCAGCTTGAGACCGAGCGGAAAGTTGTTGGGCAGCGGTCTTCCGTCCCAGACGCAAAGCAAGACGGCTATCAGCAAGATGCACAACGCAGCGAAGCACCAGCAGAAGATCTCTGTGAGCCACCAATCTGTGCACAAAGACGTGAATGTATTCCACGCTCTTCCCAAACGCGACGGAAGCGAGTCTGATGCGATCTTTTCGGCATCGAAGCCACCCTCTGAGTCCACCAGCGTACTCTGCCGGCTGAGATCGATCGCAGACGACATGTTCCAATTAACACCTTCCCGATCTGGTCTTCCTCGCTCTTTCGACATGTTCGAGCTTCTGAAGGAATCAATACAGGATAGGAGATCAAAGAACCGTCATGCGGCCGATGCACGACACACGATGTACGTAAAAGCATGCCTTAAACATGTCAGTACTCCGTCCGGAGCAGAGGAATAAGGTAACCACCAGCACCCGAAGGTTTGGTTCCTTGAAACACAAAAGCGCGCGCATCTTCTGGATTTTTTTTAAAGATTTCTTAACGCTGCTACGCGCTTCGCTATGCTGGAATGCTTCGCATGGAAGCAGCGTGGATCAGGCTTAAGCGCCGGACGAGGGAAGGTCATGCACGCGCAATGCGGTGCAGGGAGGAGAGCGTCGAAGAAATCGACCCATTGGGCCAGGCCAAAGTTCTGAAACAAGAAGCGTAGAGGTGAAAAAAAAGAGTGAAAAAAAAATCAAAATAGAAAAAAAATAACACAATTGCCCAAGGTAAACTGTCGTGCAACGGGGGGGTGAGGGTAGTCTGCTGGTCGTGTCTTGCGTCTTGGGGCTGGCTGGCCAAATCTTCTCGCTTGCGGGGTGGGAGTCAGGCCGCCTTGGGGTTACAGACCGAATTCACGATCGACGCTGGTGCAAACAAGGAAATGGGGAAAAAGAAGGGCGCGTTCGTCTGAAGTTCACTCGCTTTTGCTATTGCTGGGAAGATCGTGTGCGGCGGACACAAACGCTGCTCTTTGCTTGGGGGTTGTAGGACTGGTCGTGACGGCGCAAGCTCGAGGAGAGATGCGCTCTGTTGCGAGCAGCCTCCCCAATGACACACGTCTAGCAAGCGCTGAGATAACGCTCCCTCCCCCTTTTTCAACAATGACATCGTGACGATCATCGAGTGCAAACGTTGAGGTTTTCCAGGGGACGTCGAGATGCTCTTCCCCTGCAACTTTTCTTATCGTCTTCGCGTTTCTCCCCTATGCAGACACAACTCGGCACCCAGACATGGCGTATCGTCAGAACCTTGGAGGCTGAGCAGGATGCCTTGGGTCAAGACCGCGCGCACCATGGCCAAGGACGCAGGACTGGCTCACGTCTCGAGGTTGATACTCCTGCCGAACCGCCCGTACAGCGCTACCTTGAGCTCGCTCATCTCGTCCTGGCACGCGCCGAGCTTCTCCTCCAGCTTCGCCACATCCTCGTCGATGCGGGCCACGTCGCCCGCGACGAGCTCCTGCACCTCAGACAGCGGCAGCGTGAAGAATGAGTCGCCGATCTTGTATCTGTCCGGCTTTGGTCAGCGACGGAGCCGGAAAAGAAAATAAGCCCGATGCATTCGAATAAGTCAAGCACCGAGCAGGATGCCGCCCCCTCCATCAAAAAGATGGGGGGGAAAGAGTGAAAAAGAAACCGGCCGAACAAAGGGGACAAACTGGTCACGTACGGCACTTTGGCGTCCTCGTCCAGCAGCTCCAGCTCCTCGAGGTCGCTCACGATCTCCTGCAAGTCTTCCTTGTCCTTCTGCAAGCACGCCCCAGAGGCGTCAGTCCATGCGAATCGCAAACACACAGAAAGAGATTCCTCCCCCCCTCCCAAAAAAAAAAATCGCTCGGAGACAGCGACACGGGCCAAATAAAAAGGAGGCAGGCGAGAACGCACCTGCTTCTGTTTCAGCTTCTCCTCCAGCGTCGCCGAGTGCTGGTGAAGCCGACTGAACCGGTTGATCTTCTCCTGGTCTTCGCGGCGGACTTCGACGTCTTCCACCGACGCCTCATCCTCCTTCGCCAGCTGGAAAGAAAATGAGGAAAAACCCGGCGGTCAGCATGTCTTCTTTGTCGAAATGCTTTGTGCGCTAACTCACCATGCGAGCTTGCATCATCTTGAACAAGTCTTGTTCGTCGTGATTATTTTTGACCTCGCGGGGGTTGAGAATTTAAAGCGGCTTTTCTTTTTGGTCAATAAATCGAATTGGGAGCTTGGAGCACCTGCACGGCCACCTCCACACCAACGTCACACAACTCGGTTCAAACAACACGATGTTGAGGCAGTAAAATTCCACTTTTGGATTGAAACTCATATATGGATATCACGGTTTAGACAGACAAAGAACTCTAACAGTTCCGTATTGTTCCACCTTCCCCTTCCAAACTCGAACCCGTCTAAGTGTATACTTCCCGATCATTTCCCGATCCAGGGCGTAGTCAAAGCCCCGTGCTTTCCATGTACAAACATGTGATATTTCTCAGTACGAAGAAAAAGAACGCCTCGCTAAGCCCATATATGTCATTGAATGGAAGTGAAGCATCCAGTATAGGTTTTACAATATACACAATTTGGTCGTCCCAATATGGCTGCCTAACAAACGTCGATCAACTCAAGCGTTTGCCCACTCGAGAGTTTCCAGAGCCAACATAACAAGCACAAGCGTTGAAGGAAGGATCCTGTCATAAAAAAGTTAGTAAAATTCATAGGACAGTGTGTCGGGCGAACAGAGAAGAATGGCTTGATGGACAATTCATACCATATGACGTAACTGTGGAAAAGCAGGCGTGTCATTGTGCCCATGTACACGTTGTTTATTTGACAGATTTGGGCAAGCTGGAGAGCGCTTGGTGCGCCTGCGAGCAAGTAGCATACGATGATGAAGATCGGGTCGCCCAAGATGTTCACGGGTAAGAACTTAGCCGTCAACGTCAGTATAGGTGCCATGACGAGCATTGGGAGTAGCATTCTGGCCACAAGTGACGCGATGAGCAGCTTGCGCTCAAACTTTGGATCCTCGTCCGAAGGGGTGCCTTCCTCCTTTGGAAGCGTGTTGCGCGCGAGATTGGCCCCCAATACGACGATGATAAGTGGCACAGCGACATCGCCAGATTGCTTAATGGCACGTGTCAGACTGTGCTCGAAGAATTCGACCTCGAATAGGAGGTGCTTGAGTTGGGGAATGAGAACGACGGGAAGAGCGGCAATCATGGCGACGAGCGGAGGGTTGAGATTTTCCCAAACAGCGACACCGAGATTGCGCAAAAAGCGCTGGAGCGGCCTCGGAAGGAGCGAAAAGGCCTCACTTGAGACGTCGCTAACCTTTGAGGTCATCTTTGCCGTCTGCTTCCTGCACTTCCTGAGTGCTTTTTTGCAGCTCGCTTTGAAGCTTGAATCCCCATCCTCGACGGACTCGGTCTCTATGAGTGCGGGCCAATGGTGATGTGATTTGTGCGGTCGAGTGGGAGTTGTGCGCCCGTCTGGCAGGTTGTCGTGGTCTTCGAGTACGCCGTTTGCAGATACAGTTGAGAATGTGTTCGCATGTGCATTGAGGTCAAGCCGGCTGTGCTCGCCTTCGCATGTCGAGCATGTCGACACAGAACTTGCGTATGTCTTCCTATTCATCGGGGTTGCGGCGCCAGACTCGAAGGGTGTGTTCAAAGCTGACATCGAAGACTTGGATAGGTTGTGCATGGACGCGTCGGGTGTGATCTCTTCGTCATCACTGTAGTCAATGAGACGTGTGTTGTTAACGGAATCCTCGTCACCATCCACGTCGTCTCTGTACCGCCCGCCCTCTAGTCTCGCATATCTGTGCTCCCGCTCCAGTTCATCCTCCTCCTTATACATCTCGGGCGGCGCCAGCAAAACGCGGTAGCCCCAGCTCCAGCGCAGCAATTGTCCCAGTTGCTGGAACAGCACTAGGTATGTGATACCTCTTGACGAGACAGATGCATCGTTGTCATGCGGTTCCTTGGACCAATGCAAGCCCTTGATGGTAAAGGCGAGTGACGTAACGAGCGAGATGGGTAGAGAGTTCGAGTTTCCGAAAACAGCCATGGCAATGACGAAGTTGCGGGGGCGCTTCTTGAAGCCGCAGAACCAGGAGACTCCCCTGGCGCACAGATAGGAGACGATGGTCTGGACAACGAAGATAACCGGGATGAGGGCGAGGCCAGGTAGATCCTCGCGCCTCAGCTGGCTGGCGAGCTTGTAGAAAACTGCATGAAGGGCAAAAGGTTAGTAATTGAACCATTGTCAGCAACTGGCCAACTCGACCATGATAATGCTTCCTGGGTATGGAGAGAAACCGTGTGGGGAGACACGAATGAGTTGAAGGAAAGCTGTAGACGTACTCAGACATGGAGTAAAAAGCTGCACATTCAGGTTGGCGGCGAACTTCTGGGCTTCGGCGTCGAACATGCCTTGCCTGGCCACAATGAAGCCGGGCAGAGCGACGAAGACAACCTCGAGCACGGCCTGGAAGACCAGAAGAGTCAGATGTCCAAAGTTTGGATGGGACGAGTGCGGCGGCAAGTTCTGGTTCGCTGCGGCAGCGTGCTTATAGACGTCGAAAACCGCCATATTGGCCAGCGTTGGGAAGCCATTGCTTGCTAGATCTGCCGTGTCGAACGTCTCGAAGTCCTGGAGCGTGCTCATTCTCTTTCCTCCCTACGCTCGTTCAGGTGGGAGGACGGTAATGGTGATGGAAGTGGCGGCGGCAGCGGCGGCGGAGGCAGCGAAGAGAAAGAGCGGAGAGCGAGGTCGCTCTGGCAACGGCAACGGCGACCGGGGGGGAAAGGCGGAGGAGCTTTATATGAAGGAAGGAACGATGGCGATGCGCCGTGTACGCGTACTCGTTTGCTTGAGCTTCTGGGCGGGCAGGCGCCAGTGGACGGAACGGAAGAGGCGGTACAAAATGCGCCTCGTCTTTCCCGCTCGTGCCTTAACCCTCGTCTTCGGCGGTCCGGAAGCGATCGGCAGGCTCAGCAGGAAACGCAATGGATCGGATCGTGGATGGCAGAGGGATGGGCTCAGATGGTTGATGACGGTTGCGTGGTGCAGCACGCAATCCGTGTTCCAGTCTTGGATGGGGAAGGAGAGCGGGATGTGGGTGTAGCGTATCTGGGCTATCTACTTGTAGGTGGCGTTTGCGCCAGACAGCGGCGAGCAGCAGTGCGTCGCGTGTGGGTGCATAGAGAGTACGTAGGTGGGTGCGGAGAGGAAGGGCAAGACCAGACCCGTCGTCGAGCCAAAGGCTAAGCAGCGTCATTCTTCGACGGCGAGAGAAGCACGTTGGCCAACGACACGCCTGCAACTGGCTGGAGCCTGGCCTGACGCTGGGGGTTTGAGTGCCGAGCCAGCGGCCTGCTCGGGCGTCCTCCCCACTGGCGCACCAAACAAGCACGATGCAGCAGCGCTGTTGCCCAAAGAGATCAGTCAAGAGCAGCGGCTTCGGCTTTGCGTCTCGTCGCGCGCGTTCTCCGTCTGGCCTCTCTCGGATTTTGCCTCTCGCTCCGAGCGTTCGTTGTGCTTGTGGCAGCCCCTGCTTGTTTCTGTACGTGAGCGGAACGTCGACTTTGCTGAGATCGAACGCATTGCTTGCACATGAAGATGGTTTGCCCAGCAGCACCAGACAGAGCCACACTAAGCACGCTCTTCCTCTCTTCTGGTTCTCCTTCTGGGATTGTCTACGTGGGCTGCAGGACCGTGCCGCGCCTTGCACTCCCTGCATGTTATTCCCTCAACGCACGCAATCTTTCTCTCAACGCACACCACGAACCTACCCTGCAGCGACGTGGACATCGGTCGATGCGTTCGTGACGTATCGCTAGTGCGGTGGCGACGGCGTTGAACCAGATCGCGCCTCACCCCAATCTCATCTCACATCCAATAGCCGATTCGAGCTTGCGGCAGTCAAAGGAGAAGAGAAAAAAAATATGCACAGCAGCCGGGGAACCGAGTGCTCCCCAGGGCTAGCCTCCGCACAAATGACAGCCCAAACCATGGTAGAAAGGCCTGACAAGAAGGTTGGGTCGAAGGGCGGGGCAGGCGGAGGGGCAAAGGGCAGTCTAGATTGTGGCCTACAAGTTCGACGCGTGCGACACTGCCGCGCACAACTTGCAGATGCACGCTGTTCCTCCGTGGGACTTCCGAAGGACAGACAGTACGACGGACAGACAGGCGAGCGTGCGCAAGGGAACGATAAGACGAAAGCGAGCAAGTGGCAGCATTTGTTGTGTCTGCTCTTTTCTTTTTCTGTTGTCGCCAATCGCACGCGACGTTTGCACTTGAGGGCCGTGCTGAAATGTGCTGGGCGGTGCTGAGATGTGCTGGGCGAGGCCGACGCACACTTGTCTGAGACTGGCCCGCGCTGGCTGGTCGTGCGTGCGCACTTTGCTCGTAACCGCTCTAAGTAAGTGGGCGCCCGTATGTTCCGTGCCTTTGTCTGGGGAGAGCGGGTTTGACAGCCGTCTGCGTCACGGGAGGCTCGATCGCAGGCCAAATTCTCGATGAGCCTTCGATCGGACGCGGCACAGGCGATGACAGCGCCGTCACTGATCCAGTCCGTCCTGTGTTTGATCCAGGAACCTGGCGAATGGCACGGCGCACGGCGAGGATGCGCAGAGGCAGCCGAAGAAGGTGCGAGAAATGGGTCAGTCAGCCATGCCATTTGCACCACTTTGCCATGAAGCGCCTGGTGGGCAAAGTGGACGAGGACGCTGCGTGCATTTGTGCGCTTCCGAGAGTTTGCTGAGCTCTCACCATCGCCTTCACCCGTCTGATGGCATGTTCTCTATCTTCTGACCTCCAACACCATCTCGCCTGGCTCTGTCTTGTCCCTTGTCATTTTGTGTCTTGCCGTCGTTGCCCTGCCTGCTTGCTGACAGTTTCCCGTAGCGTCATCCGCTCTACCGCTCGCTGGGCTCTGTACAGGTCCGATCGTGTGCGACAGAGAGTGAGAGTGAGTACTTTGTCTCCTTTATTGAACGAAGCCGATTACACCTGCCAACGGACTACAACGTCGTCGACTACTGCTCGTGCTGCTGCTGCTGCTGCTGCTGCTGCTGCTGCTGCTGCTGTTCCGGCTTCCGTTCGCTTGTCGATCATGAGCTGCCACACACCACGCAGCATAAGCACGTTGCATACGGGTTCCTGACCAGCTCCCAGCGTCTCCTCCCACTTCTCGTGGCGGCAAAGGCATAACCGCCCGACGTCGGGCAGCGGCAGCCAGCAGCCAGCACGTCTCCTTGTCTTTGCTGTGCTTACTTGAATTCCACCGGCTCGCAAAAACGCACGCACGCACGCACACGCACACATATACAAATACACGCACGCACACACATTCGAATACTCTAACAACATCCACCCCAGAAGAAGAAAAAAGAAGGAAAAAGCCACCACCGGCTTCAGCCTGCTGCTGATTGAGCTTCTGTCAAACGCCCGGACCTTCCGCCGAACGCCAGACTCGCCTGTAATGATCTCGCCCGTTGGCTGTCCCCACCAGATCCGACTTTCCTGCTTTCCTCGAGGTCCGGCCGTGAGGGACGTCGCTTCATGACTGGCCCGCGACGACCGAGTGCAGCGCGATCTTCACTTCGCCTTTCCCGACCAAGCCCACTATCGTCTGCGCTCGCCGGCCTGCGCCACACTTTTCACCACCAGCCAGCACGAGGACGTCACTCCCGTCGCGCCCCCGGCCCCAGAGAAAAAGTACGTCGTCGTCGCTTTGCCGCAAGAAACGAGTCCGCCAGATACGACGCCCAAACAAGAACCCGCTGCCTTGCTCCGCGCGTTTTTTTCCTGACCCGTCCCTTTGATAAGTAAAAGCAATCCTGCCATTCCTTCTCCTCTCTTGCTGCTACACACTCTCTTCCTCATCCTCTGCGAGCATGGGCGACCCTTCGGACCCCTCAGCGTCACCAGAAGTTGCTGTGCAGAACAACATGGAGCCGTCGCCCACAACCGCAGACGCGCCCGCAATCGCCCCACCAACTCTCTCTCCTCGCTCTGCCTCGGCAGCTGCTAACATAACGACCTCGTCGACGCCGCTCGGCAACATCAACGCCGCCCGCAGACCGCCTCCCGCCGCTGCCGGCTTTCAAAAACGAGGCAGTGGCTTGAACATGAACGCCGACCTTGCTGCCCGCATGAAGGCCTTCCACCTTGGTAGGCAAGGTGCGCCAGCCAATAGACCCTCCCCCATCTCGAGCCTTTCAGACAATGCCGCCCAGTCAGCAACCCGCGACTTCGCACCAGGCGCCTCGCCATCGCCAGCGGGGTCTACCGGTGCGACTCTGACGCCAACTGGTGCCCAGATGGCGATGCCGGGTGGCATTCCCGCTGGATTCAAGTTGCCCAATGGTGCGCCGCCGCAGCTCAAGAATATACACTCTGCACCTGCTGCGGCAGGAGCATTCAAGAAACCCTCGCTGGCTGAGAAGAGAGGCATGGCCTTACCCGGTGGGTTACCTGGGTCGGCACATGCCAATGGGACCGGCTCCTCGCAGGCAGGTGGCGCTTCGAGACCCAGCAAGAAAAAACCCGGCCTGACGCTGTCGCAAATCACAGGTGAGCAGCCGAACAAGGATGGTTCAAGCGTGGGCGGCACCGCGCTGGACAAATACGCTCAGTACCTGGACGCAAAGACCGGAACGCTGCGATTCGCGGGCAAAGCGGTTCTTAGCTCTCATGGCGTTGAGTTCGCCTCCGGTTCGAGCTTTAGCATATCATTGGATGAGGTCGATACGCTCGACGAGCTGGGCAAGGGCAATTACGGTACCGTCTACAAGGTCAGGCACTCGCGGCCGAAGATACGACGGCCGGGCCTAGGTTTGGCTGGAAACAAGCTGCGTCACAACGAGCAGCCTGTTTCTCCGACGCGGAAGTCGGCAGACGATAAGGACGACAGTTCGCCCACCCTGCCGCCCCCCTCGGCTGGCACAACTGGCGTCATCATGGCTATGAAGGAAATGCGACTCGAGCTGGACGATGCCAAGTTCGCGTCCATCGTTATGGAGCTTGATATTCTGCACCGGTGTGTCTCGCCCTACATTGTGGACTTTTACGGCGCCTTTTTCCAGGAGGGTGCCGTGTACGTGTGCATGGAGTTCATGGACGGCGGCTCCATTGACAAACTCTACGGCAATGGCGTGCCTGAAAATGTTCTTCGCAAGATCACGTACTCTACCGTTCAGGGTCTTCGCTTCCTCAAAGACGAACTAAACATCATACATCGCGACGTCAAGCCGACAAACATTCTCATCAACACGAAGGGCCAGGTCAAGATTTGCGACTTTGGCGTCTCCGGCAACCTGGTCGCCTCGTTTGCCAAGACGAACATTGGTTGCCAAAGTTATATGGCGCCGGAGCGCATTTCTACCGGTGCGGCTGACGCAGTCACGAACCCAGGAGGCGGCACCTACAGCGTTCAGAGCGACATCTGGTCGTTAGGCCTAACGATCATTGAGTGTGCGCTAGGGCGGTACCCATACCCCCCGGAAACTTATAACAACATCTTTTCTCAGCTCTCGGTACGTCATTTGACCTCGACACTACAAATCCACGTGCACCGTGAGCCGCGCGCTTTGCGTCGCGGGAGCATTAGTCAAACAAAGTTGTGACTAACGTAAGGGAAAATTTCTATAGGCAATTGTCAACGGTGACCCTCCAGACTTGCCAGAGGAAGGCTTTTCTGACGCTGCGCGTAACTTCGTACACGGTTGTCTCAACAAGATACCTAAGCTTCGTCCGACCTACGCCATGCTGCTTCAGCACGCTTGGCTCGCGCCCTTATCGAAACCCGCGGCTATTCTAGAAGAAGACGAGGAGGAGGAAGAGGAGAAGAAGGAGGAAGTGGATAAAACTGAAGGAGACTCATCGCCAACGGCATTAAGGGAGGAGCCGGAGAACGTAGATAGCAGACTGCCGGCTGACGTTGTGGACCCAGAGGTCGGGCTCTGGGTCATCGAAACACTTGAGGCAAAGCGGGCCGGGAAGCTGGCGAGGGCGGACAAACCGGCGCTACATGCAGCGCCCTTAGACGCAGTTGCCAGCACCAGTCCTGCGATCGAGAAGAAAAACGGCGATGCGGTCGGCGTCTCATGAAGAGGATTGCAACCCGACAAGTGGTCGGTGACTAAAAAAAAAATCGCCAGGGCGTTCTTGTGGCTACTGCGACATCTTCTGTCCAGTCCCGGGCATTCGATGCGGCATCATGCTTTTGGGTCTCGTTCAGTATATATATATTTTGCGCGGTGAAGTAGGTGAAGTAGGGAAGAGGAGATGAACAGCACAGCGAGCTAGCTGGCGGGCTGGCTAGCCGCATTCATATGTACCTACACATATGTTCCTTCCTGGAACAAGGACATCTGCTTGGGCCGGATCTAGCTTCGGCACATTTCACGCACGTGTATGGTGTTTGGGAAGAGCCATGGCTGTCTCTCGTTTAGAGAGATGTCTTGTAAATGAAACAAGGGAGAGCGAAATCGCGTGGGAAGAGCGACACACACACGCACACGGAGAGAGAGAGAGAGAGAGAGAGAGAGAGAGAGAGAGAGAGAGAGAGAGAGAGAGACAAGGTAGAAGTCATGGAGAATATGAAAGACGGACGACGAGGAGAGGGCCTTGACAGTGTCTTTTTTTTTTGTCTATTTCTAAACAAAATGCAACGATTTTGATCATGACTGTCCTGATTGCTTCGTAGGGACCAATTTGGTGGCCATCTCAAGTTACCCGGAGCACAAGGGACCTGCAGGAGTAGCGCTGTGCCACGTCTTGGAGTGACGATCGCGACGATCTGCGTTTCTCTTACGTGCCGTCTCTGCCGACCTCTTTTGCGCCAGCAAATTCTCCCATTGGATTCTCCTGGTCAAAGCGGGACAGCCACCTGGGGCATTAAGAGGGTGGGTAGGATGGACCTCGCGTCACGTTTGACAGCTCCCCAGTGTGTGTGCTTCATGATTTTCTTCCAGCACGACCGCAGCCCGAGTCCAATTTCTCTGCGCGCCAGGGAGACTGCGAAAGCCCTTTCTGCTCGGTCTTCTTTCTTCCCCTCGACCGTCTGCGTGTTCCAAAGCTGACCACACAAATCTCCCAAGGGGAGGAAGCCACGGTGAGTCAAAGCCAGCCTCTCAGAGAGGGGGGGGGGGGTAAAAGGAGGTGTATGACCCTTGCGACCTTGAGCCTCGACAGGAGTTTTTTATTTTACTCTGTATGTCCCCAATTCCGCGCGTCCGCTCTCCCGGAAATGCCCAATGCTCCACCACGTGCCTCGCGTCGTGGCTCGAATGGAAGAAGGTAAAGAGAGCAGCGCCGGGCGATTGCGCGTCGAGGCTCAGTTCTAGTACACGCAAGAGCGAGTGGCAGCTGGAGGAACTGTGTGCAAACCCTCCTTTGTCCTCAACTTTCGCAAAGTTCGAAACGGAAGAAACAGAAAAGCCTGGACTACTTGGAAGTGCAGCGCAACAGCTGATTCGTTCTTTTTCTCGGGACGCCCTGAGCGGAGCAATACCGCCCTGAGGGTGGGGCGCAACCTGGCGATCCTTTTCCCGCAGAGGCGTCTGTGGCTGGTTCGCATTCGACCTCTTTCTCCCCTCCGCTGGCCACATCGAGTTAGGAGGCACAAGCCCTTCCGCATGCCGTCATAACCGAGAAAATGTGAATTCTTGCTCTTCTCGTTTGCCGTGCGCTGCAGGCCGCAAGCAGGTTGCTCTCGAATCTTTCCCAGCGGACGGCACCTGCGAGAGTGTGAGCCTGGGATTTACCTGCCGTCGAACAAGAACCATGTGTCTCTTGGTGAGAGAGGAAGGGGGAGGAAGATGGAACAACGGAGAGTGGAGTTATAGTCTTTCGTCTTGGGGTGTTGTACGCACCCAGCGCGACCGCCCCAGTGTTGAGCAAATCATGGCGCTGGCTGCGGGGACTGAGAGGCGTCGATTTCCATTCCTGTGACTCTTTTGGTTTTTTTTTTCCCTCGCTTTAACCTGTTTGCTGCTTCCACTCTCGTTTCGAGCTCTCTCAATACTTTCAATTGTAATGTCTTGAAGCGTCGTCAGTCACGCTGGTTCGTTCTTCTCCCCTTCGTTTTACTTGCCGTGCCGTACGTCGTCTCGTGCCCTCGCCTCGTCCTTCGTTTTCGGCCATAAAATTTTATACACGTCTTGGTACGAGTTGTTGGTTGCCACCATGCCAGACTATGAGAAGGAGGAATTGGGCACCGATCTCAATCCTGGGATTCTCATTTCCGATCACACAATCGCAAAGGTAGCGAGCCGACAGTCCGGTATGTTTTTCCGCCGAAGAGAAGTCATGATAACAATGAAAACCTGGGGGAAAGAATAGAAAAGAAAAAAGAGGCTTTGTGCAAAGTGACGTGCATGAATGTTGACATTTGCTTTCCTTTTCTAGCCCAATCGAAACGGATCGGCGCGAAGAAAGAGGCGGTTGAAAGCCAGGTCGACATCGACAAGATGGACAATGGAGACTCCTCGTCGCTCTCGAGTGGGAATGGCTTGGAACCCACGCCTACGGCTGGAAACGAGCTCGAGGTCACGCCGACGAGTGACAAGATCATTGTGTCCTTTAGCGACGATGACCCGGAGAACCCATACACTTGGAGCATGGTACGCGATTACACTCAACACACACATAGCACATACTTGAAACCCTTTTGCCCGGCAACATTTCGACTAAAGAGCAAACGCAGACCAAAAAAATGTTCGTCTTGTTCGTGTCCATCTGCTGCGTCATGAACTCGACCGTGTCCAGCGGTCTGGCGTCCAACTCGGCCTCCTTCTACGGTCGCGAGTTCGGCGTCACCTCCAACGCCCTGCTCATACTTCCCACGTCGCTTTTCCTGCTCGGCTACGTCATCGGCCCCGTATTCTACGGACCGATGTCAGAGCAGTACGGCCGCAAGTATGTCTCCGTCTTCGCCTTCATCTTCTTCGCCATATGGACCATGGCCAGCGCGCTGGCGCCTAACCTGGCCGCGCTGGTCGTCTTCAGGTTCCTGTGCGGCATTGGCGCCGCGTGTCCCATCGTCGTCGTAGGCGGGTAAGTCAAATAGTCCGGATGGCATTCTTGGGTATGTTGGAAGGCACAGCGGCCGAGCTAACACCACAGGGCGGGTTGTTAACAGGACGTGTGCCGACATATTCAAAAGCCCCGCGTCGCGTGGTCGAGGCATGGCCATCTTCATGGGCGCGACCACCTTTGGACCCTGTGCGGGACCCGTCATTTCCGGGTACATATCGCCCGCCCTGAACTGGAGATGGTCCTTCTGGGTCGGCCTCATCTTCGCCGGCGCCACCATGGTGCCTCTCCTGCTCGTGCCCGAGACGTATGGTCCGGTCCTGCTGAAGCGGCGAGCGCAAAAGATGCGCAAAGAGAGCGGAAACGACAAGATCGTGGCACCCATCGAGCTGGAGAAGGAGGACTGGCGGCACGTTGTCAGTAAGGTCCTCACCCGACCGATACGCATGTTCATCTTCGAGCCGCTCGTTCTGTTCAGCTGTCTGTACCTCAGCTTCGTGTACGGGGTGTTCTACATGCTGTTCCAGGCGTATCCCAAGGTCTACGTCAACATCTACGGCTTCTCGCTCGGCCAGGAAGGGTTGACGTTCATCTCCATCGGCGTGGGCGCCTGCTTCGCCATCCCAATGTATCTCTGGTGGGACAGCATCACCAAGAAAGCGCGAGCGCAGAACAAGGAATGGGTGCAGCAGGAAGAGATGCGCCGTCTGCCGCTGGCGTGTGCGGGCGGGCCGTTCTTCATGGTCAGCTGTTTCTGGCTCGGCTGGAGCGCCAGGGAAAGCGTCCACTGGGCCGTGCCGGTGTGTTCGGGCATCTTCTTCGGCGTGGGCTATCTCCTGATCTTCATGGCGCTGCTCAACTACCTCGTGGACGCGTACAAGATCTTTGCGGCAAGTGCCATGGCGGCCGCGTCGGCGTCCAGATCGCTTTTTGGATGCGTGCTGCCGTTTGCTGCAAGACCAAGGTAAGTGCCGCTCCGTTTCTTGAAGCAGGAAATGGAGAGAGGAAAAAAAAACCCCTCGCCTCGTGCGGTATACTGACCTGTCCGACAGTAAGTTTGAAAATATGCCCCACCTTGTGACGGCTTAGGCACATAAACTTCGGTCCGCCGAAAGTCAATTACAACGTGGTGTTTTGTTGTGGACTCGGGATGTCTGGATGGGGTAAATCCTTGTCTACGTAATGCCTTCCCCCGCGTTACGGCCATCCACGCCATTGGTAGACTCGACCTCGTACTAATTTGCAAGAACATGTACGTTCATATGCTAACGGGCACGGTTGCAGTGTACGACACCTTGGGCGTTCCTTGGGCTTGTTCGCTGCTTGGCTTCCTGAGCCTGCTGATGGCCGTCATTCCGTTCGTCTTTGTCTGGAAAGGAAATTCGATTCGGGGCCGAAGCCAATTCTGCCAGTACCTGCTGCAGCGAGAGATCGAAGAGGCCGAGAAGAAGGCTCGGCGTGAAAGACGGGAGCAGAGACGGCTTGAGAGGGAGCGTGCGCGCCTCGAGGCCAGCGCCGGTGCAAGCGGCAGTCTGAAGGACGACAGCATCGTCTGATCGGTCATGACATGTGTGCGTCCTGCATCGTACGGGGCGTGGGAGCATCCGCGTTCCTCCTCTGGCCGGAGAATCACAGGAGGGAATGCGCCATAGAATTGAGGACTTTTTTTTCCCGCAGCTTCCTTGCGGCAAGCTGGTCCACGCCCTTGCTATTCATTCCCCACAAAAATGCCTACGTTCGAGGTATCGAGGAGACACCTTGACATTGGCATCTGAAAGACGGAGCTGGGCAGTGTGATCCTCGTGCAGGATACGCAAAGCCAGCTCGACTCACCCAACCAGAGAGACGTGTCTCAACATGTGTAGAGCAAGACTACAGACTCTGAGCAAACACGCGGATCAAAGTGCTAGAGGAATTGATAATGTTGTAGAGGAAAAAATTTTAATTGTTCTGGCATCTAAACGATTCGAACAATAATGTATGCGCAGATGATCCAATTTCGAGCAAATGCATTGCTGCTCTTTTCCAAAGTCTGCGTTATTTTGCCTCCCGCCAATTCTCCCTCTGCAAGGAAAAAAAAATTGTGCTGGATCTCGGGGCTGGGGGCTGAAAAAATCATGACTGTCTCTTCTGTGTGGGATGATCATGCGCGTGAACCCTCACAATGCAAATGCATGTTATAAACCACCGATGATCGGTTAACGCCGTGCGCAATGCAAGGAAAAAACAAAGGATACAAAATTTCCAACGCTCAAACAGGGAGAAAAAATGCAGTCAGCCACCCTTTTCGGAGGCGAAAAAAATGAACGGATATGTACAAGTATCAGCGTTCGCAGACGTTATCGCATACGCGAGCCGCTAGTGCCAGTGGGAGGCCGTAGGCCCTCGGGAGCTGACTGTGAAAGAGGGGCACCTGACGAGCCTAGATGCGCAGCCTTGCAGGTGGCCCGATAAAGAGACGGATCAACTCAGGCTGACCCACCCTATGGAGGAATCTCGAGTCGTGACCGTTGCAAAGCCAGAGCGAGATCTTCCTGAGTAAATGGTGTTTCGTGTTGTGACTGAGGCCGCTGATGGATGGCATCCCCAGGAGTGAGGAAGCCGCTGGTTTCGGAGCTTGAATAAAGACCATCGGTAGACGAATCAACTGCACGGCAATCTAGTTAGCCAAAAAGTTTCTGGGAAGTGAAATATCATGGAGGCGAGTGGTCGTACCATTAGCCGCCGAGTCTTCGTCACTGCCGTCGGCCAACTCTCCGGTATCGCCTCTCCTGAGGTGCATGCTTCGTCTGGCACCATGGAACTCCATGCTACCGCGCCTGCTAGGCAATCGACTGCCCATGGGCGAGTATTGGCTCGCAAATGACTTTGGTCTCGAGTTCCAGGCGTCTGCGAAGCAGAATGCCTCGAGCTTCTCCTTGTGAGCCTTTTCGACGGGCCGGCGGTACTTGTAGGGTATGCGCTCGCCAGGCTTGTAGACCGTGTGCGTCGTGTGTCGTATGAGGTCGTCTCCAAGCGTGCTTGAGGCTTCCGACGACGTGCCTGACGTGCTGGAGGAACCTCTGCTGAACTTCTTGCGAATTTCTCGTGCTTTTTCCCGGAATGGCATCTTGAGAAATGGCTGTGTAGATGTGTGGTGAAGTAGAGGAAGGATGGTGCTTGCCGGTTGCGGGGAGACTGGACGGTTAGAGGTGCGGGCAAGAACGTGAAACAGACATATATATGAACGATTGAGGGTGTTAAGATACGAGACACAGACGTGTTGGGCCACCAAGGAGGGACGAAGCTCTGTTTGAATGCAACGTCCGCCAGGTGAGGGTGTGCCATTGGCGACTTGCTCGGATACGCGGCCAAGCCCGGTCAGTGCGACGCATGGAGAGTGTGAGGCTCCACCAGGTAGCGCAATTTTTGGCTTCTCGTCCGGGCGACCCACGTTTCGCACCGACGACACATTGGGCAGTTGGGCTTATTGCGCGTTTCGGATTGGTCTGTCTCGCCTGAAGCCACTATTCCCGTAGGGGCTTTCGTGGGGTTGTCCCAAATTTGACGCTATCGGATACAGACGGAGAGGCATTTTCTCGCTCGTTTGGCGCCTGTTTTTCCTCCCTTTGGTGGCAGGATAGCGTCACCCCAGCGGGCCACTCTTTTGCCATCGCCCTCGCCAACGTAATTGGATTACCCCGTCCACAATCTTGGGCTCGCCAAGTGGGATCCTCGATCTTTTGGGCGGCTCTGCAATAATGTTGTGCGTGGTTTGCGTGGAATCGGACCGCGCTGCTTCGACGTCTAGCCTCTCAGGGCCTGATTCTAGCCCGCTTCCAGGCTGCTTCCAGTACAGAATTCTTCCTGAACTGATGGCCTGTGGTTGGCTAGATCTCGGGTGGCGAGCGTTCTCGCTTGATAGCGGACAAGCCGCTGTCGGAAACAATGGAGCGCGAGATTGTCGCCACCGCGTTGACACCACCTGCGAACCTTCGAGCCCTGTCCTCTGATACTACTGACCCTCTCTCTTTGCACATCTCCGGTTGCCTCCGCCGATCTGTGTGGTGACATTTCTCCGTCCATCGGCTGTCTCTCAAGTCTGTCCGGTATTCTCACCATGTGGCATCAACCCACCCTACAAATCTTGGCCTAACTACTGTCCTCTCTCTGCGAAGGTTTGGACGGCCTTGATGCGTAAGTCGAATGACAACTCCCGGAATCACGAGCAGTAACGTGTCAAGTTCCCACAAGACTGGAGATGACCAAAAGATTAGTGTAACTATGGATGATGATCTCCTGTTGACAGTTGCGTGTTAGTAGGTTTAGTCCCTAAGAAGAAAGGAACTTCCCAGCAAGGCACAGAAGAGCCTAACCGTCAGCCCCACGGCGGGCAGAATTGCGGCGAGTCGGCGGTCTGGGTGAAGAAGTGGGGAATGGGCCAAAGCTGCACGATGCAGAAAGACAGGGCATCCAGGCTTCGCCGGCTTCGACACTTCAGGCCACAAGGCCACAGACACTCTCGGCACAACACGCACTTGACTTGCCGAGCGCAGTTCAACTTTCATACGTCATAATGCCGTTTTCGGCTGGTATGTGGGATAGCACAATTTGGCATGCCATCAGCGGCGGATCGATGCCATCACCGTAAAGCGCTTTGTTCGGACCATGGCTGCGGCCTCTGTGTCACGTTCCTTTCCTTGTTAGGTACCCTATTCAACTGCGCTTAGCTTGTTCTAGCCATGATTTTTGGCAACGAAAGGCAGGATGACGTCCTCGAGCATAAGCATCCTCTCTTGCTATCACCTTTCCGACATGCGCACAGCATGCTCAGTTCCCAAAGCAATTAATACGACCTGCCATTCATTTTGAGGCTACAGTATAGCAGTGAACACGGCGTCTATTTCACAGCCATGGAGAAGATCAAGAAAATCCTGTAAGCACACAGCCGCACGCTCAGGCATCATCCTGGCAACGTCCTTTAACACCATTACAGGACTCCCGGCAAATCAGTTGACGATGAGCTGTTGTACGGAGCAGGACACAGTGGCAGCAGCCCTTCGTCCGATCGTTCTTCTAAAGGCCATGGGTCAAACATTGCCTCACGAGGAAACCCCGCTGGCAAGCCTCGTGAGGCGGCACTGAATGATGCGGACTCTGCGTTCCCAGTAGCTACCCGGGATTATGCCTCGCAAGAGGGAAAGCGACGATTGCTAGCTTCAAACGCTACCTCCCCTCCTCAGGCCATTCCGGGAGCTGCTGGCGAAGACTCCAGCGAATCTCGCCCTGATCTTTCGACCCCTAACAGCGCCGCATCAATTGCCAGTATCAAATCAAATGTGATCGGAAAGGTGCCTACTGGCATGGCACTTGAAGGTGAAAAAGAGCAAAATGCACTGCCAACGGTACCCACGACGGATGGCAAGTTTATGAGTGAAGATGCGCTTGCAGACGATTCGCTCAACCCCACCAGGTACTTTACTTCCCGCACAGCGGAAAAATAGATGTAACATTAATATTTTATCGATTGTAGATCTTCACCTTTTGTCGAGCCTAGCACAAGCATGTCCCACCAAAACGCAATAGTCAGCAACCCAGACTCAAATTTCAATTCATCGCAAAGTGGCGTCGACCCGCCCGTCGAGCCCAAAACCGATCATCATGCTCGCAATGCAGCTTTTGGTGGAGCAGGAATGGCAGAAATGGCTGCATACGAGGCTTTCAAATCCGAGAACTTAGGTAAACCAGAATCTATTCCTCAGGCCGACCCTGCTCGAACTTCAGAGCACGTAGACATTCCGATTGGAAGTGGATCGACTGCCACTCATCGGCTTTACGATGACTGGCGCTTAAAACATATGCCAGGAGCATATCCGGAAACTCCACAATACGAAAGTGACAAAACCCTCGAAGTTGACAGGGCAGGTGTGGGTAGCGGTGCCGCTGTAGTCGCTGCGCAAAGGGCGTTCCAAAAGAATACTTCTGCTAAAGAGACCCCTCTTAAGCAAACGGTTGGTGTCGAAACGGAGGCCATACCATGCACCTCTATTGAACCACGTGTTGATTCGGCTGCAAAACAGGCTGCTGTACGTAGCACAGCCGGCGGAATGGCGACATCACAGGTATCCACTTCACGTATTATAAACCCGAAGCAGAATGATAAGGACTCTGACGTGGCCTTTGATGATAAATTGAAGGAGTCAGAAGCGAAAAGAGATAGCCATGTCAACGAATTCGCTCTTGCTGGAGCAGCAGCAGCAGCAACTACAGCCGCTGGCGCTTATGAGGTCTCAAAGCAACGCGACAACGACATGCTGTCCAAGTCTGACACTGATCCATTCCCTGCTTTTTCTGAAGACACAAAAGATAACGTTCATACCGAAGCACCGAATGACGTTAAAGTGGTGCAAACGACTATTGTCCCTAGTGACTATCCCAAAGAACGCGAATTCCCTCTTGCCGGAACCCCCGAGCAAAATCAAGGGGTTACAAACTTCAGTTATACTAACAACACTAAAAACATCACAGCAGTTTCTCAGGAAAGTTCTTGTGCAGTGGAGGACCCCAAATTTTCGACGCTCATTGCTGATACCGGGGCCGCTGGCGCAACTGGCTCAGCCGAGTACGACGCTCTCAACGAAGAACGACGCAGTGATGCACTGATCCACCCTCCGCATCCCCATGCTCTAGACGGCTACGATGACCAGAGAGCACTGCCGGTTCATGTCAAGAAAAATAATGCGCAAGAAACAGACGCCAACTATATCCACCACGATACTGTTCCGGTTGGTAGTGATGCAGCTGCAGTCGCACTTAGTACTCAAGAGTCCCACGAATCTAAGCTCGAGAAGGAACGTGAAGAGCACCCAGAGCAAAGCTACGATGGGCATGAGTCAAGCAGCAAGCACGCACGCAAAAGTGAGGAGAAGCATCGTCGATCTACGAGCAAATCTGAAGATAAAGAGCACAAGCATGGTCTTCTCCATCGGATTATGCACCCTCGGGAGAGCAAGGAAGGACTGAATGGAGAAAATGCAGAGAAGACGTCTGCAGGAAAATCGCCAGTGAGTCCTGAACGAAGTACGTTTGAGGAGCCGGAAAGTAAATATCCAGTTGGATACAGCCCAAGTAGTACTTCTGAGCATGCCAGGCATGGTCATGAGAGGAACAGATTGCACAAGGACCCTCCGCCTGGCTATATAAGCAAACGAGATGCTTAAAACGCGTAGGAAACTATTCCCTTTTTATGACGTGCTGATGATGAATACTTTGTGGAAGTGCCCATAATGCGAGCGCACAAATTAACGACAGTGGAAAGTGCTGCTTTTCTTAAAAGTAATGAATATTAGTAATGTCTTTTCAATTTCCTACGTACCAATTTCGTCGGTTTGACATCCATACCGTATTTTAAGTCTCTCTTTGATTTTGATGAGTGTTTTATCCATGCGCACGATATACGAGGATCAGTTCATGATATGCACTCCCCCAATTGCCTCCAGATCCAGTATGATTTACTCAGGCCCTACGCGACACCTCCCCGATGTAATTTACTTTCTGATTAAACTTTCATTTTAGACTTCGTGTGGTTACGCACATTGTTTGACGTTGATCGTTTCTACGCGGTTGTAGATGCTAGCTGTGATGGAAGCACAGCTTATGGCATTTAATGAAAAGTTGGAAAAGAGCGCCAAGTTACTCATGGGACTTGAGGGACTATGTTTTAATTCATATTATATTTTTTTTGGGTTGTTCATTCTGCTCGCACTTGTCGCACAAAGATTATTTGTAACTTGTTGTTATCTTCTCGTTCCATGGTAGTTTTTTACACCAGACGCCACATGAAGAAGCCCTGCACTTACTCTATGTCGACCATCTTCACCTCGACATAGTCCTTGTCTTGCTTTGGAACCTCGACCCTCAAAATGCCATCCTCAAGCTTGGCGGAGATTGCGTCAACGTCGACTTGGGCTGGGTTCACAGGAGTACCGAGTCTGATCTTCCTTTCGAAGAGTCCGACTTTGCGCTCGTCCATTGCCAAGGTCTTCAAGAACTCCTCGTCGCCCGGTCGGTGGACGATGCCTGAGACTGCGAGCTCCGACTTTTCGGCATCCCATGTGACGGAGATGTCTTCTTTCTTGGCCCCAGGGACCGAAAGGTGAACGACGTAGGCCGTCTCAGTGTCGAAGACGTCGGCCTCGGGCTTGAAAGTGCCGTCGCTCTCTCCTTTGTCCTCGTTCCAAAACTGAGCGAACGGGCCAAACGGAAACCCGCCGCGACCGAACGGTCCGCGCCCGCCGAATCCATGAGGACCGCCGCGCTTGGAACCGCAATGTCCGCGACGGCCATGACCTCCTGGGCCGCATCGACCACGGTGCTGGGGTCCGTCGGCGCCATCTTGTTCTGGAGCCTTGTTGGACGGCTCTCCTTTCTCGTTTTGAACCGTCTCTGGGGAACCTTCAGCCTCCGTGAAGGGTGGTGGTGGAACATCAGCTCCTGGAGGTGGAGGGGGTGGTGGAACGCCGTGGTGATGATGGCCGGGCCCGTGGTGTGGGTGTGGATGCGGTCTGTGAGGGAACATGCCCCATGGTCCGAATCCAAAGGGAGTCTCTCCCTCGCTATCTGAACCGTCTCGATGTCTGCCACCGAAGAACGGGTGGTTGATACCCTCGCGCTCCATGTTGGCCACAAAATCCCAGAATGGAGCTGATTGATTGATGTATCTTAATGAAGGCATGATATATACTGTGAGTGCTTGATGATCTTTCACAACAAAGGAAGCTCAGATGGAAATTTTGGATCATACAAACGCAAAGACATAGCATGAGATTATATACATTTTATCTATCTAGGCAGGAGTGCATACGCATTCATTTGCCCCAAACACTTGAATTCAGTGAATCGGTGCTTACGCATGTGGTTTGATAGGCGCGGGAATTCCAAGCAGATGTGAAAAGAAGCGACAAGAAGCAGCTAGTACACTGGATTACCGTCAGGTTTGTCTATTACTGAGCCAACGGCATGCGCAAGAATACGGCTGCCTTGAGTGACGCGCGGAAAGGTGGTGTGGCGAAGGGAGTTGCCTGAGGTTCTCGCTCTCTGCGCCGCTTGCTCGGCCCCGAAGCTCTTGGCGTCCGTCAAACTCGCCCTCGCTCTGTGCTATAGTTGAGAACATCTTCCATCCATCTTGAAAACACATCGGTACTTTGATGCGCCCGTAAGATCTCAGTCTTGGTGGGAGTTTCCTCCTAGCGATGACCTCACCGCAAGAAATGCACGTCGGGGAAGGTAGCTCAAATGAACGGGCTTAACAAACTTCGTATTATCGGACTTTTTTAAGTCCCGAAATCAACAATGCTTGTGCTACGGTACATGTAGGGTATACACATGTCGCACGTAATTTCTCACAAGTTGCTATTCTTCGAAGCAGCAGGTGAGTTCTTACCTGTATGCAATAATCTACATGTTTCAATTCTCGTCGGGAATACCCAGAAAATACTCAGCCACCTACGAAGTGAGCGCTTGACAGTAGGAACACTGAAGGGAAGAAATATGTGCATCATACATGCAAGTACTTACTAGAGAACATGGAAATCAATTTTGAAGCTTCGAAACGACCCATGGACTGCCTGGATGGTATCAAGCATTGGTGACCAGGATTGCATTCACCGTTTGTAGCTGAGATCAACCTCAATTCCCCCGCACCCCGCAACAACCAGTCTCACAGCTCAGGCGGGACGTCAACACCTCGGTATGCACTCACAGGGCCAGCATGGGTCGTCAAGTAGACGAATCAGGACTTCTCTGCTACCAAATGATCTTTTCCGAGCCCGCGGATAAAAATTGTCTACAAAATGTGAGGTTCTAAGAGAGTGCGCCAAAGGTTGTTTTGGCTTACCAAGCAAGGAAGAGAGGACATAGAAGTTTGAAACACATAGGCGACCTTGTTGGAAGGAAATAATGAAATCCGCCAGATACTATGGACCACGAGACCTGAGGATCGAGACTGTCCCAGATCCACCGGTCCCCAAAGCTGATGAGGTAGGAGGAATTACAAAAGCCTGTGTGTTAAAATCAAGTTCTCACTGAAGCAGGTCACCATCGATGTTACCTGGGGCGGTATCTGTGGAACAGACTTGCACGAATGGGTGTCCGGCCCGATGACATGCAACACAAAGGAAAGGCCTCATCCTATAACGGGAGACTACATACCCATTGCCTTCGGCCATGAGTTTACAGGGCGCATATCTGCCTTGCCGGAAGGCTATCCTCTTGAGGGTCGGTTCAAGATTGGAATGCCGGTAATGGTTGATCCTCGAATCGTGTGTCGAAATTGCACTGCGTGCACTAGCGGCTGCGACAACACTTGTCCAAACTGGGGTTACATTGGCCTCAACGGAGGTGCAGGTGGAGGTGCAGGATTCAGCGAGAAAGTGAATGTGGAGATGAGAATGTGCCACATATTACCAGACGATGGAACAGTCGATCTGGATAGCGTTGTTCTCTGTCAACCCTTGACTGTTGGACGTCATGCGATGAAGTCCACCGGAATACCTGATCTCACCGGTCTGAATATTCTCGTTCTTGGAGGGGGCCCTGTCGGACTGGCTGTGCTGTTGAACCTCCGTGCGAAAGGCATTGGAGTGGGTTTGAGCGGCCGTGTCTTTGTGTCGGAGCCGACCGCAAAGCGGAGCCAAATGATCGAACGCCTCGGCCTATCAACTGATATCATGAATCCAATGACTACAGATGTGGCCAAGGAATGTAAAGCACGGACAGATGGTAAAGGCGTCGACGTCGTCTTCGACTCTGCAGGTGCTCAGGCAGGCATGCTTGCGGGCATGGAAGCCCTCAAATTGCGCGGAACCTACGTGAACATTGCCGGATGGAGGACTCCATTTGCAGTGCCAATGCAGTTCGCGATGATGCATGAGATCATCATCAGGTTCTCATTCGGGAACGATGACAATGACTACCGAGAAGTCGTGGAGGACTTTTGTGCCGGCAAGTTCAAAGGTGCCGAAGCATTGATCACTCGAAGGTTGCCGGTGGAGGATCTTGCGGAGCACGGCTTAGAGGAATTGGTTCGGAACAAAGACGACCACGTTAAGATCGTGGCTACCTGGCGTAAGGAGCTCCTGGAACGGACAACCCTGCGACAAAGTGCGTGAGTCCACATTGGATAGAAACATTGTTGTTGATATTGGACCTGCTTCGTATTTTGAATGCACCGATTAGACCGGCATTAAGCTCAAGGAGTGTATCACGCTAGCCTCACCTGCTGTTGATTAGACCTTAAAAGCAATTGTAGGACCGAAAATGACGGCATCGCCATGTTTGAGTATTCTTTTCGTGATGAGCGAATGTTCGCAAAAAGCAGTCGGATGACCCTTGGCATTGTGGGACGACCGAACGTCTACCGCTCGAAGTCAAGTACGTCTTTGGTGAGTCAGGGAAGTCATCATCATTTGATATTTGTAGAAACATGAGCGCTTGCCTCATTGTGGACATCATGTAATCAATGAGTCGACTGTCACAGATGGAAGAGGTAGAAGGAGTTTAAAACCGGATGACAAGGTCATATCGAACCTTTCATATGCTTAGCTACGTGTTCTCAGAACTCCACAGCCTCGTCCAGTGGACGGTAATTGCCAAAAAATGGCGATCAAGTCAATGCTCGTGCACCATGTCTAGATCTATATTTGCAATGTCTCTCGTCTATCGATATGTAAGTCCTCATGGGAGACAGCATTTGCTGCAATGGGCGAAGATGACGCATTAAATTTCGCTTGCTCATCGTTCCTCGAAGCAGGGCCCCTGCACTCGCCACCCATTATGCAGCCGGCCACCGAGACACAACCGCCGAATGCATGCCTCACGAGTGAATCTCCAGCCAAACTGCCCACCACAAAGACACACGGAGCAACTTGGAAGCTATGCTCAACTTTTGCACGAAGTGTACGTCCGGATATCAATCCGTCGCTGGTAACGGCCTCACACGAGGGTGAGATAACTTCTCGACGAAGAGGTTGACTGAGATAGTCGAGAGAGCCCCGTCTGCCTACAACATAAGCCAGCTGGCCAATTTTCCGTTCAACAGCACGGCCGCTTTGCAACTGGATCTGGACGACAGCGCTGTCTTGGCCCTTTTGCAGTACTTGAATAACTTGGGCGTTAGGTAAACCCTCGTACGTGCTCGCCCAGTCCCTCTGTGAAAAGACGGGACTAACTTTGCGTTTCTGAGCTGGTGGAGATGTCAAGGATGATCTCTCGGAAGATATAGCAGCCAGCTTCATCTGGCGATATACGCCTGCGTATTCAGGATAAGCCTGAGGATGGCAACCACGTAAAGGGGAAGGTCGCGTCTCAGGAGCCCATTTGAACAGATGAATGATCTTTCGACGTTCTGGAGCTGAAATTATCACGTCAGCGGCAGAGAATCCGGATCCAACTACCAGAATAGGTTCCTGTTCATTGCGAAGAGGAACTAGAGGGGTGAGTTCCGCATAAGGGGCAATATTCAATGAAAAGATGCCTGTAGCCAAAACGAGATGCTTGCAACGTATTCCGTGGGACGATATCACGAAACCTCCCTTAGTCCGCGAGATGTGGCCAACATTGACAGAGGTGAAGATCGCGTCCGTCAACCCGACTGCGTGAGGATACGCAGTAAAGTAAGCGGCAACATCTGATCTCGACGGTCGCTCGAAATCTGGCAGTGGCTTGTGATGCGTTTTGAAAAAATGTTCTGCATAGCTATATCCTGGCAACGAAAGCATTTCCGAATAGCTCAAGCTTCCGATGTCCTCACTGGCTTCTACAGGGTTGTCCACCCACTGCCCACCAGGACCTTTCCCGGCAGTCAAGACAACGTGACTTATGGCTCGATCTGGCTCATGTTTCCATTGTATGCAAGACTCAGGGTTGGTCTCCGTGTCGGCATTGGGCCGAATGAGCGTATCGAGCAGGGTATTTAAGGGCAACGCTTGGGTTGAGTATCGCAACGAAGATGAGAAGTGCGCGTACGTCTCAGGACAAATGTTCAGCAAGTCTGGCTTTTTGGACAGCCTAGAGTGCAGCAGATCGTCGTAGTGCTTCCCTACATAGTACGGAATGTGACCGTGGAGAATATATGAAAGGATCAAGCTCGCTGGGCCGCCTCCTGCTCGAGTCAGTCTGCACGCATATTTGGCAATTGCAAATGGAGAACCGCATACCGACTATCACCGTATCAACGTATTCCGGTAGTGGACGTCGTGCCATAGCAAGCTGGAGTGCAGTATCGTAAGCGACATGGCGACGGGGTGGACGATCTAGGCTGATTTGTAAAACGTGAGAGCCCGCGCCGGGATGGAAGAGAAACTAGACTGGCTACGAATGGCGACAGTGATCTAGTTCGAACCCAAACCGGGATTCTTTGCCTAAACACGAGAACGAGCACGCACAAGTGGGGTGGGGGGACGGTACCTAGATTTAGACGGACAAATTCCAAGCCACGGAATTGAAGCGGGTTTCGCGCGACTTTTCGGCCGATCTTGGTTCTGTCACGTGAGATGCAAGAGCGCGGTTGACTTTCCAAGCTCTGCATTGTCCACATGCATTTGGCTCTCGACGTACGTGTGCACACATAGATAGGTACATGTAAAGATACGTATATAAGCATGCATGTATGTATGTACAGTGCTCATTGCAGCCTTCGATTCAAGGGCTTTAGTCCCCAGGTCAAGGATGCCAGCCGGAGTAAGCCTTGCCTTGGATAATACAAAGACCCGCTACTGTTCACGACATATGAGCTATGTGAGCAGATGGGATGCGTCCAGCTGAAGGAGCAAACATGTTTCTCCTCGTCTCAACCTTGCATGATCCATCTCAACTAGTAATCAGACATGATATCGCCCCTCCGCTTGCCTCTCAACTCGAACTTGCCCTGCCATTGTCAGCGTCACGAACTTGCCAACTGGTTCTAACTTACATCTGTCTTGTAAAGAACATAGCCGATTAGCGAAGGGACCGCAATCACATACATGAATGCGATACGTGCGGTTCGCGGCGTCCATCTGAAGTATTCATGGCGTTTGACGTAGAGGTCTTGGGTTTCGCATTAGTATTTCGGTCCTCCTCTTGTCGGCTATGAATTAAGTATAGGGAACGTACTGGCATATTTGACCAACGCCGGGTCCATGTTCAAAGCTGCGTGGCGCATTAGCATTCCGTCATTCGGTACAAAATGGCTCCGCGTTGCGTACTGTTGGCGTGGCCCATCCTGGCTAGAGAAGGCCGCATGATGGCAGCCTCGACGTAACAATTGACTAAGTGTAGGAACTGCGTGGCTTCTGACGAGTTCGGGGATTCGCGAAGGATAAAGCGAGGAGACATCAGTCGGTCAAGTGTTGCTATGTCTTGGCAGCTATCTTGTGGCCTGTATGCCTTATCAGGCAGAAGTCAGGCTCCCAGCGCAGGTCGCGAAGATTGGCTCCTCTCCTCACCAATGCTCCTATTGCACAAAGCAATTGACGTGACCGCGACAAGTGACGTTGCACAATTATCTCTGATCAACGACATTCAAGCTGATCAATCTGGATGACTTGGATGCATCTTGCCTGGTGCATATGTTTCAAGAGTGGAGTGCTCAGAAACTAGTGCAGTTTGAAGAGTTCTTCGATCATGGGCTTAGTCACATGCGAAGTGTTACGATCACATCGCCGAAACTTCCGATCCCGTTCCGTGCAGAATTGGGAAGTGTAGATGTCAATATTAAACGGGGCTATTTAAAAGCTGGCTTCCTCCCTATAATTCAATTTGTCTATCATCCTTTAATCAGCCAACGTCTGGAAAGCACATTCTTCGCGCGGCATTTTGTAGAACCAAAAAAATGACGGATGCAAATAAGGGGTGTAAAATCACCGTCCACTGGTAAGACACATTCTCTCCAGGACCTGTGGCTATCAGGAATGCAGATTGCATGTGCTTGATAACGCAAGATTTTGACGACGCGGACGAGGACCGACATAGAACTCTGCCGAAATTGAGCTAATCCAGTTGATCGTAAAAACAGGCTTGAACAGTCCCGCGCTCAGCGCATCATTTGGCTTTTTGAGGAACTCAACCTCAAATATGATATCAAACTGTACAAGCGGGGCAAAGACCTCCTCGCACCCAAGGAACTGCAGGAAATCCACCCCCTGGGAAAGAGCCCTGTGATCAACATCGAGACACCCTCAGGGGCATCTAAAGTCGTCGCCGAGTCAGGCGTCATTGTCGACTATATCTGCAAACACTTTGGTCCGCAGCTGATTCCGAAAGAGTACCCTGCGGGCAAGGAAAATGAGGTCGGTGCGGAGACAGAGGCCTTTTCCCGATACAATTACTTCCTACAGTACGCGGAGGGCTCTCTCATGCCGCCTTTGCTGATCTACTTGGTTTTTTCGCGTAATGTGGCCCCTTTACCCAAAATAGATGTGCATATTCGAGCTGCTAATGTCCGTGAACAGAATTGAAGGGCCCACAGGTTCCGTTCTTGGTCCGGCCGATCACTAGAACTATAGCCAGCCAGGTCGAAAAGCAATTTCTCAACCAGGAGATCGAGAAACAGTTTCGTTTCATCGAAGCTCAGCTCGGATCGTCGGGAGGGGATTTCATCTGTGGTTCTGAATTGACAGGCGCTGATATCATGCTCATCTTTCCATTGCAAGGAGCAATCGAGGCCAAGGTGCTAGACAAAGCAAAATACCCAAACATCAGCGCTTATATCGACCGTCTGGAGGCGAGAGAGGCGTGGAAAAAAGCTGTTCGCGTTGTAGAAGAGAAGACAGGGGAGAAATATTCTGTTGCACCTTAACTTTAGCTAAGGGTGGTTGTTGTGAAACTTGCGTCTGCTCTTACAACAACGAAGCGTCACCGCTCTGATTTAGGATTGAACAAACGCTACAATAGGTTCAACTAAGCTTGTGTCGTGGATGAGCAGCATATGTACGCTTTGTGTCTCGATATAACAAATGACTATGCGAAGGGCCAAGACATGTAGCGACCTGTTCTTTCTGTCGTAGTAATAACGAATGTAGATATTACGAAAGCTATGCGAAGCTGCCATCATAAGTCCATTTCCGACAATGTACGAGCGTGAGCGCCAAAGGCAAATGTTGGCATTGCAACGTCGATTCTACTCCCACTGAAAAGACGCACATTATGGAGCCGACTCGTGTCTTTCATTATTCAAGCCCAGTTGTTGACCGTCTCATGTAGTAACGCGAGCAGTTCGTCTTTTCTAGCATCCGAGCACCATGAACCCTGAATGGCATTCTTGCATATCCTCACCCAATCGTCCACAGAAAGATCGTGATGCTGCTGCACGGCACAGAAGTTGTCTAGAATGTAATTCGAGCCAAAGTAGGCCGGGTCGTCGGAATTGATGCTAAACCTTACACCGGCATCCAAAAACTTTCTGATGGGCACATGGCTTACATCCGGCACACATTGAAGCAAATCATTGCTTACGGGGCACAACGACAGCAGGATCTCATTTTTAGCGACTTCTGCCATCAGTTCCTCGTCGTGGGAGAGCTTGAGTCCATGGTCGATGCGCTCAATCCCTAAGAGGTCCAGACCGTCTCTGATGTACTGCGCGGGACCTTCTTCGCCAGCATGGGCAGTTCGTCGAAGACCTTGCTTGTCTGCCCTCGCGTAAAGTTCCTGGAACATGCTGGGCGGAAACGGTAACTCGCTGGAGTCAAGGCCGATTCCTACCACTTGTTTGTTTTCGAAGCTGGCTTGGACGTCTGGGTGGTCGAACAAGGTAACACTGTCCACTGGAGGTAGATGACGTAGGAAGCAGCAGATGAACAGCGAAGTGATTCCCAGTTCCTTTTCCGCGCGCTGCCTGGCAGCTTCGAAGCCTTGCAGGAGAGTCTTGTACTCGACACCTCTGCTCAAATGAGCTTGAGGGTCAAAGAATATTTCTGCATGCTTCAGGCCCTGACTCGCAACGGTGGAGAAGTATGCCCAGGCCAATGCTTCGAAATCGCTTGCATGTACAAGCACTGACATGCCGATGTAGTAATAGTTTAAAAAATCGTCTAGGGATGTGAAACGCGTATAGCGATCTTTGAGGGCCATGGGCGAGGCAAAAGCATCATCATCATCCGGCAGAACAATGCCATTTTTCTTTGCAAGTTCGAAGAGCAGCGAAGGTTCCAGCGACCCCTCAATGTGGATGTGATGCTCACATTTGGGTAGCTGCACCAACAGGTCGTGGAGCTTGGTGTTACACATGGAGCTAGATCTGTGGCCGGGATGTTGTGGAAGGGAATCCGATCCTCCTCGCTTGAATGCTTGGTCTGAATTCTAGAAGTTCTGGGGTCTAAAGGCTAGCTCAGCCTCGTCAATTGGATGTGAATGGAAACGAGGAGCGAGGAAAGACGTGTCGCTAAGCCGAAAGACAAAATCCAACCATGTGATGGTTTTGAAATGCCGCCTGTGGGTGGACACGACACGCAATGAGAGTGGCGATAATCGACACACAACTTTTTTTTTTCCTTTCACCGAATAATCCATCCCTAGCCGTGATAGTTTCGAGGGACAAAAGACCAGTCAAGGGTTTGCGATTCGACAGTTTTTTTGATCGCGCAAGGCTAATCCTGGAAAGTAAGATTGGCCCTTCGGAGCCTCCCGAAGTTGGACTTTTCGACTCGCAGGTGGACCAGTCTTCCCAAATTACGCCTCGGCATGTTCGAAATGAGCAGGTCGAGTTCGTGGCCTGCGTTCTCGACCAGTAGGATGAAGACGGTAAACGGTCAGAATCCAAAAGGGCCGTCAAGCCCACACGTGACTTGCCAATCTCCCCGGCACGATCACTCGGCGTGTTCGTGGAATTGTGCGAAAAAGAGACCTCTTGGTCCTTGCATCGGGCCGTGGCTACAGACGGATCAGGTCAAGCACTGAATGGGCAAGCTCTTGACAACGTCCCATGTGTTGCCGCGATCCGAGTGGGCTGAACGGTTTCTCCTTCTGACCCACTTTGCCGTGCACGTTAGTTATCGTACTTATGGCTGGTGTATGTACTCCGACTGCAGAGAATGGTGTCTTTGTCGAACGTTGTCTGCTACCATTGGCGGGCTCCTGTCCTTTGGAGCGGTTGGAGCAGAGTTGGTTCTATGTTGGTGCCTGTGCAAACACCGGCATACGATTGTTGGTCGGATGCTCGACACGTCGAACGTTCTTTTTTCGCTCCAGTACACCGAGCCACTCGACGGCTGCTCAGTCCTCAATGAGGAGCCATCCGAGCCCGTCCATCAAACACAGCATTCGGTTACATCCGCACTGACTAACTCGCTGACATTGCGTCACGCAAGGGAGACGCTCGTATGGGCAGTTGACCAGTTTGAGATGACGCCGTCGCGATACTGTTTTTACAAGCGAAGATTGACGACGTGGGCGATCTGATCGCAACCTCATGCGTGGCACATCAAGATGCATGTCGGCAGCGGCTGCTGGCGAGTAATGGGCAGGCTAACCCGTAGCTGCAGAACCGAGGCAGTGGAGATCCTCGTTAATCTGCACTGGTTCATGCAGCGAATTTCATGGGGCCTTAATACTGTGTTGTATTTGTGCGCGCACGCACGGGGTCTGGATTCGCATCCAACCCAGAGACGTCGTTGCTGGCGATCTCCGGCAAAGGTGCCACGCGTGCCGAGAGCATATGATTCTCTGCCCGCCGTGGCCGCTTCGCGTGACCGAAACCGCGGAAGTTGGAAGCGACGTCTACGCATCGCGAGAGTCAGGCTGGTCTCGTGTGCGCGCATGGCAACCGGGGCCACAGCCTCAGGCCGTCGACGACGGAGGCGACAGGTGCCCAGAGGCGAGGACGAGCCTCTGCTGATGCGTCCACTGCCGTCGATCGCCAGCAAAGGAGACGGCCGGAGCCAAAGCCTCTTTCGGCGCCAGCAGCTCCTCCCAAGCACCACGAGATCAGTTCCCGCTTGACATGAACTCAGGGCTCCGGACGTCGACCGGCGACTGCGTGCATGAACGGTGAGGATGGACAGCGTGACGATTCGCAAAATTGAAGTCCCAAACGTGGCGCACCTCCGGGGAAACAGCGCATCTTGTGGGCGTCGACGTGCGGCTCCGTCCAGTGCTCTGCTCATATGCAAACCCGCCGGTTTTGAAAATAGCACTGGGCCTCTTCCGTACGGCGCCGCGCTCGCAGGCTTAGCGTGTCCTCGCTCGAGCTGCTCAAGCAAACGAAGCTAAGTTCATATGCACGACGATGGCCGTCTCGAACTCGCCAACTTCAGCCCCGCATCGTCGACTGAATAACCCTAGACGCGGCCGTCGTCCAAGCCTGATGATACTATGCTCGTTTCCACCCTTGATCCGAGTTTAAAGATCGCCAGTGCGGCAATCGCCAGCCAGCCTGTGCACGCCCTGTTCGCGCTTTCAGAGCCCAGATTTCCTTCGGCACGGAAGCTCGTCAGGCTCATCCTTGCAAGGAGAGACGGCAAGCAACCGCTCGGTCGAAGAGAACCAATGCACCGGCTCCCGGAGAGAGTTGTCTTCAAGTCATGATTGCCCGGACGAAGCTTTAACGAGCCCACTTCGACTCTGCTAAGGCTCCACCTCGTTTAGTAAAGACACGTCGACTTCATAGATCAGACTGAACTGCTATCACACCATTTGTTGCCGTGGGATTCATGAGATCCTTTCGTGCGTCGACCGTCTTTGTCGGTGAGTGGCCCTTTTGCGTCACGCATAACGAAAACACATGTATGCTAATGCTGTCCTACGCAACAGCTGCGTCTTCACGTCTGTGCACTACTGTTGGCCAGAAACCTATGGTCGAGTGCATCCGAATCAAATTGATTCCTCTTGCAAACTGCCAAAGTTCGATAGTTCGAGATCGTCATCAGTACATTGCACTTCCTGGATCCTACGCACGTGCAACTGAGACAAAACCGCAAGCCGTCAAATAAACTTATCCAGGGACGGCTACCAGCCGTTTGTGTAGGAGATTTTCAGCTTGATCTAGCTGACAAGCTCGCCGTGCTCGAACTGATAAATTCTCCGATACAGGAGTACGGCATTGATGACATCGGTCCTAGTCACCGCAAGGTATGCAGCCTGGTGCATCGGGAGCAGCATTTTCATCCTCCCCTTATTCTTGTTGCTTCGACCTGAACCAAAAATTGCTACCAAAGCAGGCTGATTTGGTTTGGCAGGAAATTAATCCACGAGTTTCCGGTGGCATCGATAATTCCCGATTGAAGCAGCCTCCGATCAGCCATCAAAAACGTGCGCCGCTGTGTTTTCGGAACAAAATATTTCAAAGCCATCCAAAGATTAGCCAAGAGAGAATGTTTAACTTGTTCAAATGCCACTAGCTCTGTTGTCATTCAACAGAGAGACTCTGCTAGGGGTTTGGGTGCTTCTTGGAGCCTCTTAATTTGCTGTTCGAGTACCAGCAGTCTACGCAAGGGCATTTCTCCCGCTTCGACTTTGTGCATCAACATTGATAAAATGGACACTCCCATGGGAAATTCCTATGAAGGGCAACATAATCGCCACGCATTGCCAGCCTCCACCCATGAGACGTCATCAGTCTCATCGACTAGCTCGGCCCATATCTTGCTCCCTCCACCGTCAACTCTACATCCTCCACCAACGCGGACTCTTCCTGAACCGATAATTCAGACCCCACTGACTACTAGGTCTCCTGTGGGCTTCGGTGGCCCCGATCTCAGGTATCACCCTTACGCTGCTTCTTCTGGATCGCCCAGCAGCGTCAGCGGGTCAATGCCTGAACCCAACGAGCAATATTCAGCCACTGGCATCTCGCCAACACAGATGGGCGCATCTGCTCTTGGAACACAAAAAAGAGCGTACAGGCAGCGAAGGAAAGATCCTAGCTGCGATGCCTGCAGAGAGCGCAAAGTCAAGGCAAGTGGGCTTCTCCTTCGAATAGTTGAGGCAGACCTGACCAACATTGTAGTGTGATGCTACTGAGACTTCCAGCTGCTCCGAATGCTCAAGTCGTGGTGTTAAATGCCAGTTTACAAAAGAGACGAACAGAAGAATGTCGTCGATAAAGTTGGTACTTCGAACTTGATTTCGGAATCCGAAAACTAACATTCATAGACAAGTACAAGATCTCCAGAACCAGTTGTCGGAAGCCAAACAGCAGATCAACCAGCTCCGTTCAATGTTGGACACAGTACATCAAGAAACTGGCGAAAGCCAACAAGGCCCCATCATTTTGCCATCGCTTGATCAACGGAGGCCCGAGAGGGAGCAGAAGCCTCCAAATGTGCCAAATTTTGATCATGTCCGTCGAAATATCCAGAAATACAGCCGAGGAGTTTTTAAAATACCACCAACGCATCGCTATCCAACATCTACACCGTTGATCAACTCTTCGGAGCCAAATGTTCCGCCAACCGAAACAGTTGAAGACCTTCTTAGGACATATCATAATCAAGTACAGCGCCAGGCTCCTATGATACATTGGCCAACATTCATACAACAGTGGGAGAAGGTTCGTGACGCCGGAAACTTCATGGGCGTACCGCAAACCTGGGTTGCTCTATTCTTCATTGTTCTTGCATGTGGTACTTTACAAGCATCATCCAAAGCAAGCGCTGACACGGAAGGGATGCGCTACTATGTGATCGCAGCTCGTCTTCTTAATACGTGGACAGACAACTTGCAAGTAGACCATGCCAGGGCGGCCCTGTTAATCAGTGTCTTTCTTTACGAGCAAAACATTCGGTCTGCATCCTGGGTTTGGCTCGGTACGGCTATTCGCATGTCGCAAGAAGTCGGTCTGGAATGCGACGAGGGTCCTTGGTCAGCTATCGAGCTGGAAGGCCGGACAAGGACATATTGGGCAATAGTTTGTTGGGACAGGTGAGTTTGTACCATCGTCCGCCATGATGGCAATTGGTGGTGCCTTGTTCTGGGTAGCAAATGAGCTAACGTATCATGGTATAGGCTACTCGCCCTCCAAGAAAACAAGCCATTCTACATGAACATAGGCGAGACTGACGAACCCTGGCCGACCGCTGTCGGAGATCACTGGCTACAGCCGAGAGGAAACTTAAGACCTCCCGAAAACGTTCCAGGATTCAGCACGGTCGGCATTGTCATACCTGTCATCCGATTTGTGGGCCAACTAATGAAATCGCTTCGAGCCAAAACGATAACCAGGGATGTTATGCAGACGTACGACGAGTACTTTCGATCTATGCATAATTACTTTCCAGAGCAACTTCAGTCGCATTCAGACACTTGGCTGGAGCCGTTTGTCTTTAGTTCGATTGTACCGTTGTTGATGGTACGGTTCCAGCTGTACCGACATAACCTGAACATCTATGCCACCCCTCAAGAACGAGCCGAAGCCCTGGAGAGATGCCATTCCGTGGCTTTCGACACCGTCAGGTATTTGATGCGGACAATGCGAACCCCACCATCGTCTCCGCAGAGAACAGCTTTGGATCACGGATCGCAGTCGTGGAAGGAGATGCTCAATGCCGTTGCCCACAATCTTCTCTGCCGCCACATTTGGCGCTGTACCCTACTTCTGTGCTTTCGAGGGGACTTCAGGTCTGCGCAGACGTGCGTGCATTTTTCCAAGGCCATCGGCGACGCCCGCAAATTGAACATCGCCTGCGGGCGAAACTTGGCCTTCTTCCTCGATCGTCTGACCGAGCGGACAGCCATGGGCGCGTCGCAGCAAGAAATCGAAGCCGATCTCGAACTGATGGCGTACGCGTCGGGGGACCTTCAGGGCAACGCAGAAAGCGGCTTCGTCTGGTCGGGCGTGCACGCGACCGTTCCGGAAAGGGTCAACGTCGGAGGGCCGTCTTCGCTTCGGTCGCTTCTGGAGGACGAGACAAACGTGTCCGCCCTTCTCACGGACAAGGAGGCTGCGGACTGGGGCGGGTGGGAGCACGTCGAACGGCAGATTGTGCGTCTGATTGACGAGCAGAATCGGCGCCAACAGGCGCAGCAATTCCGTCCGCTGAACCTGACGCAGTCGCCCGTGTACCAGCGCGCCGCGCACATGGACACAATGCGTTCCTCAGGAGCGCCTTCTGAGCGCACGCCGAGCCCAGGAAGTGCCGCAGGACCGGGCGCGAATTCGACCAGAGGCAGCACCCCTCCCACCGGAGCAAGCCGCATCAGTATTGCCAACATCATCTGAGCCTGTCCGTTTACCGGACTGTCATCCTCGTCATCATAATCACCATCTCGTCGGCGGGATTTTGTTAACCGAAAAAGGGAAGAGAAGAAAAAAAAAAGTACATGCTCTGGATACCAATTTCCTTACGGCTTCATTGACGAACGTCTTAACCGGTTCATTAGCGAGCTGCTGAAAAGCCCAGAGCGTGCTCGCTTATGATCTGGTTGTAAATTGCCTTCGTACAGGAGTCCCAATATTGCTAATGACATGGGGATCGGTTGCGCGTCAGGACGCGCCTTTTTCTCCTTCCCCTCCCTGTGCCAACGTTTTAGAATCAGGGCTTTGTGGTAAACATTGTTTTTTTCCCCTTGTGTGTTTTAGGGTTTTTTTTTTTTTTAGCGAGCAGGACAACTAGGTTTACGATTGTTTTATAACCGTGATATGATGGAAATTTCGAACGTAGGGCATTCAATGGATGACAAAAATGGGATGGTGGCTTGGTCAACTCTGGTGGATTCGGCATACCGAGGATAGTCTGCTATAGATTCTGGCGTTGTTGGTTCATCCTACGATGGGGTTCCTTTTGTTTCACAATGATGTTCCTGGCTCGAAATCCAAAAGGCTGTAAGGCTTCCGTGTTTACGGGTGAGGCGAGGATGAAACGTCAAACCACACAGGTAGATCACACATTGACGTACATCATACATGATTCGAAATGTCAGAGCATCCCTACATCGATCTCGAAACGTTCTGGAAATCTTCCGATTTAGTTTTTGCTCGGTCTAGGCGGGGATCTTAAACATCGTGACAGGGTTCTGTCTTGTCGGGGAACAAGGAATATTGAGCCGATGAACCGAAGTCACGTTCTTGCCGAACACATGGCATAAGCCCGGAATTGAATCCCATGTCATTTCATTTTAAGTATAATGTGTATCTGAGCTTCGGCAAGGTTGTGACAGACTCGGATACAGGTTTTCGGGCCGCGAAAAGTAGGGGGTTTCACGAGTCATCGAGTCAGCCTTATGGATGTAAAAAAGAGAGCCTCGGTCGTCACGCTTAAACGCACTTAGGAAAAGACGGCAAAGATGAAAGACTGAAGACAAACGGCCTCGGATGTACATTCGGGCCGTCGCGCCGCATGTCGAGCAGACTGCATTAGCAGACCGCATGGGTTTTTCCATGCTGCCCTTGCAAGCTGTGGTCTTCATCCCCGTAAAAGGTACTCATCCTCCGACTGTTGCGCCGGGCGGCGCTCTCCCATTTGCTCATAATCATTCGCTGGATATGCCTAAAAAGGGAATTAGCAAGGATCATAACGCGCGTGTAGCAAACACTGACTCTTCATGTGCCTTGACCTTCTCTTCGTCCAAGCGGTCCAAGGTCTGGATTGCGAATTTGATGTCGCAGATCAGTGCATCACAGCGGGACTTGCTGAAGTCCTCCCTGACCACGACACGCATGAGCTTAAGCTTCTCAGAATGAGGAGCCATGGTATAAGCAGGTACAACCCAGCCTCGCTCCCTCAACTGATGCGCAAGCGCAAATTCGTCGTACAGTTTGCCTTCCGGGAGTCTGAAAGCAACAAGGGGCAAACCTGCACCCGATTTTTTTGACAGAATCTTCATGCCGAGGGCCTCAAGATTCGCGGAGAGGTAATCAGCCGTCCGGGTCAAATTCATCATGATTGCGCGATATCCCTTCTTTCCGAGACGTATCAATTGGTAGTACTGCCCGATAATCTGCGAGGCACCACGGGAGAAATTCAACGTGAAGGACGCCTGGTCTGCACCGAGGTAGTTGATGTTGAAGACTAACTCCTGAGGCAAATACTCCGGATCGCGCCAGATGACCCAACCTGTGCAACGACACGCGTCAGAACCAAAGCTTCAAAGCCATCTTTAATTTCAATCAACGTACCGACGCCAGGATAGACCAGTCCGTATTTGTGGCCAGACACGTTGATCGAAACGACCTTCTCCAGACGGAAGTCCCAGACGTAGGAGGGATTCACGAAAGGAGCGACGAATCCACCAGAGGCAGCATCGACTGCGTCTTTGTCAGCACGATTTCGCAGTAGCAATACTTGGGAAACGTTACCGTGGATTGGGCAATCGATCTTTTTCTTTATCAAAAGATCATTTATCGCCTTTACATCTTCGTATTCACCAGTATACGTCGTTCCCACAATGGCACAGATGCCAATTGTATTCTCGTCGACAAGATTTACGCACTCTTCAGGGTCGATGACGTATCTGTCCTCTGTACAGAAGACATACTGCATAGTAGTATTCGGTCAGCTCTCTGAACGCAGGATGTGAGAAGACAAGGCGCGCTGACGCCTCAAAGTGAAATTGCTGTGACACTTGCCTTCTCCTCAACATCGAAGTACCGAGCCGCCTTTTCCCAACAGACCTGCACGGCTGAGTTCATGACGATGTTTGGCTTGTCAAAAGGCTTGCCTTCGGCCTTTCGCTTGTTCGCCCACCGTTTTTTCATGGCCAAAACACCCAGCATGATGGCTTCGGAGCTGCCAATGGTAGATGTACCGACGGCGGTGCAACTGTCGTCATGGGTGGGGGCATTGAAGAGACGAGCGATCATGGAAACACAGCGGTTTTGGATATCTGCAGACACCGGGTACTCTTCGTAATCGATAAAGTTTTTGGGGAAGGCGTCAACCATGAGCTTCTCAGCCTCGTCTTCCATATATGTCGTAACAAAGGAGGCAAGGTTGAGCGTTGGAGTACCATCCAGCGTCAGGTCATCCCTGCACCAAGTCGTCAGTAGGTTTCAAGAGCAGCGTACGGGTCAATGTAGCACGCACTTGATCATTCTGTACGCAATTTCCTTGGGCATCTCGTTCTCGGGCATCTCATGTTTGGGCAGGTCTTGGGCGGCAAACTTGGAGCCATAGACCGAGGCCGTGAAGGTGTCTTCATCAAGGGAGGGGAATTGAATGTTGTTGATCGCCTGTGCGGTCTCGCTGTGGACTTGCTTGTCCGTAGGGACGCCTGAAAGATGCACCATACTGATAGTGAGGCCGTAGGTAAAAGTAGAAGAATGTTGGCCACGCAGTGGTTGGTTTCACAGTCGATTGCAGAGGGTGGGAGAAAGGCTCGCCAGAGGAAGGGACGGGAGGGGGCTGCGTAAGCTGAAACTGGCGAGAAAGGAGCGGTCTTTAATAAGGCAGAGACAGTTCACCGCACCACGCAGCCGACGAGCTGGCAACGTGCTTCTCCCTGCCAATCCTTGTTGGTGTATGCAGGTGGCAAGCTGTGAAGCTCCAAAAAAAAGCAATTAGCTCACGGCGAGGAGCGGCAGCGAGCAGGCTAAGAAGACAAGCTTTCCTAAGCCGCTCAGGTCCACGATTCGACACTGATCTCGCTAGCCCCGCTACGTCATGAATCCTCGCTTGCCCCGCAGTGGATTGTGTGCGCGAGTGTGGTCGATCTCCACCGCCAGCCGCGTCCGCCTCGAGCGCGAGGCCTGCCGGTCCTGCGCCGACTCTCTCTGCCTCCGAGACCTTCGCCGCCGACACTTTGATGATTCTTCGCTCCCCCGTACGCGTGTTGGCGCGCAGAGTGGCGCAGTGCATCCATCCTAAACCGCTCTCTCTGTACGAACAGCTAGCGTGACATGGTTACATCAGACCCCGCGCCTTTTTGCCCACGCAGTAATCAAGCTCGCACAACACCAGCAATCGCGAGACACCACGTTATAGAATGGTTCCGCCAGCTCTCTGAGACAATCCTCGGATAAAGGAAAAAAAAAGAAAGAAAAAACCCAAAGTGTCGCCCCCAGACGAGCCGAAACGTTGCTGTTTGTCTGACGTCCACTTTGCAGAGCCCCAAGCTCGCCACAGTCCCACCACATAACAGACTGTTGTTCAAAAGTTGATCAAAAGAGTTCGTTTTCTTTCGTTTCCCATTTCATTATGAGATCGAGCGGGCGCTCTTACGTTGGCCGACTAGAAGAGAAGGGCTTTGTCCGGACCATCCCGTGAGAATAGCTTGGTAGACAGCCGTCATCACTGTTAGGCGACGAATCTGTCCGGAATAAGACGCGAAATTTGGCATTTCCCTTTTTATTGATTAGACTAGGACGCAAAGATCAGATGCAGGTGATAGTGATTGCTTTATTTCCAATAAAGGATAACATACACAAATGATGTCGTATGCGCAATCCTCTAAGAAATTGGTCCTGACATAATTTCTTTGTACAAAAAAATTTCCTTTTCGCGAACACAGGCAAAGCCTCCTCGTTGTTCTATTTTCATGGATGCGGCAGCCATAAGCGTCGCTCGCCCTCGGCTTCATCCCTTTGTCTCGCCCATAGGTATTTTCATCCCGTGGGCTCCCACGTATTGGGGCTTTCTTGGAGGATCCCATGCATTTAACACAGTCTTGTCGTCCAGCTCAAACACCTCCACTTTGATCGGCCTGCACACGTCCTTCATCTTCCCACCTGAACCTTCCCCCCAACCCCAAGCGCTCAAGTCTCCTCCAGGACAGGTCGACAGCGCGCAGAGCAGGTCCATCTCGGCGAAGAACTCTATGTAGTCGCCAGGCTTGGCAGGCGACGCTTCCATGAAATACTTGCCGTCCTTGTCCAGCCCAGTGACTTGAAAGACGTTGAGGACATCATGTACGTCGTACTCGGTCAGCCCGTAGGGTATGACTGCCCGAGTCAGGTTTGAGTGGCATTGGTAGTCGTAGTCGTCCCCCGTAAGGAGTTTGTTGACGTACGGGTCGCACCTTGTTCCGAGCAGATCGTGACACCGGCCGCCGAATCGATCGACACCGTAGTCGCGAAGGCTGTCCGCAACAATAGTGACCATCGGCCTCAAGTGCGGAAGACAGCTCCAAAGTCTATCGCCTACTGTGACGTGGCTTGCCTGAAGCTGACGCGTTCGCGATGCCCAGAATCGTTCCCGTGGATTCTCCTGGTTCCAGAGATTGAGGTCGCCGACTTGAGGCCCGTCAGGCGTGCTCAAGCGGAAGACATGGCCCTTGGGAACCGTGAAGGCATATCCCGATCGAGGAGGCACCAGATATTCACTCTTCAGCGTCCGTCGGCTTTGAGCGACTGTCGAGTAGAACGATTCGTTTTTGGGTGGGGTGGTGTACGCTGGTGGTGGGTTCGACGACATGGGGCCTTCTTTTTGCGTTTGACAAGGATGTCGGACAGCAAAGAGGATTGATCACGATCTAGAAGTGCGAGCGATGATCGAGACAACAAAATGAAGTTTTTCTATTGCGCTGCTCAAAGATCGCCCCTGTTGATAGCAGTCGCGAGATCGGACGTAACAGAAACTACAGCTAGCACACAGATGGAAGGCTCACTCACGTCTACGCAAAGCTTGACCGACGGTCAGGACTCATTACGTCCAGTAGTTTATCCAACAAAACTGCGTACTTGTACATTTTACTATATAATTGTGGACGGATTCTTGGGCCCCAATAACATTTAATGTTTGTTCATTCGTGCTGGATTGCTTTAATTGTATACTACTTGATCTTCTAAAAAAAAAAAGGAACGCGTGCAGGAGAATCTCTACCAAAAGGTTAGCGTTTGCAACTCAGGACGTTAAAAGTCGTTGTCCAGGACTCGATGGCTAGGAAAATTCAGTAGGTCTCCAAGCAATTATCCACATGATAATGTTCGGAACAGGTCTGTGAATAGTATTGCAATTGCTTTCATCATTTCGGGCGGCGGTTGGCATAGTCACAGGAAAACTTACGAGCAAAGCAGAATCTAGATGCATACGATCATCAAAGAGTTTGGTGATCCGCGTGAAGGAATCTAATGGCTGACTTCAATGGTGCCTGGTTACAACATGTGCTGGAAGAAAAAAAACTCTGAACTGGAGAAATTACGATCTTTGACACCCTAGGCACCAAGGCAGAAGTTCTAGCTTTCTATGGCTTTTCCGCAAAGTGCACAACTTCGAGCCAGAAAGGGCAAACATCAAAAAAAAGATAAAAAAAACATACAGCAGCACCGGATTCCCACGTGGTCACCCACCGTAGTACTAATGGGCCGATATGAGGCTTATGTAGGAGTGAGCGGACGGGGACTCCAGTTTTCCTCATTCTATGACCGTATGTGATAGAATGTAGTGCAAAGTTGTATACATAATGCCTTCAACTCTCGCCCTTTTGTTTCACAGCGTACGCAGCCTCCTCCAATATGGTTGATTCGCCGCATAGCCCCTTGAGGACGCCTCAGCAAGAGTGTTTCTGGCTTTGCGTATGCTTCATATATTGCGCTTATTATAGGTTCGTCTAGTTCTGATGTGGGTGCTCGAGGCATTGGAACAATGTCATGTGCTGTCTGTCAATTCACGGGGGGGTGGCACACTGGGTCTGCTGCTGGATCTTCATTGTACAGACAAGGATGCGGTGGGGTTGCTTGTGGAGTCTGACGGCAGTGGAGGGAAAGACCACGAGCCGGCAGATCACACGTTGGAAAAAGCTAATAAAAAAATCGAGCCCGCCGTCTCGACAGTCTCGCATCTGTTCGTTGCTCTATCGTGGGCAAGCATTGTTCGTGGCAGCTGTAGCCATGGCAAAGTTATCCGATTTCAGATTTCTAATCATTGCTCATTTCAGGCAGTGATTGCGTCTTACCACAAGTTCGTCAGCACACTGGAGGGTGTTACATATATATCTCATCTACGTTCCTTCTCGCCTGCCCTTTCTTCCTGCTTTTGCAAATTTCACCTCCTCAACGTCGGACTACTTCATCTTGCCTCCAATTTTCTTTCCAACTTCTCTGAAATCGTGCTTGCGTGCCGTTGCCAATCTAACGAAACGAAGCTAAGGACTGAGCAAAACGTATGATTAATCAGCAGCAGCAGGGTATGTCAAGCTACTTGCTCGTGTTTGCAGCAGCTTGGGCATCCGTGAGGTCGCCCTGCCACTGTGGTGATCGGAGCAGGTAGGTAATCGCATGAGGCGTAGGGTCAAGATGGATAGACGTTTCGCCGATATTATTAATTGCAGCACTCGGAGTGAACCCGAACAAGCTACCCAGGCATTTGTCGTCGGCAGAGCACGGTTCAACCTGTTCCACTCGCTGCATGTATTTAAGCTTTGGAATCTCTGCGAATCATGTCGAATGGCAGAAGTGTCGAGCTAGTATTTCGAGCGACAGACAGAACAAGATAGTTCTTCCGACTGGCTTGAGAGAAAGAATCTCAGATCTGCCTTCGTATATATATTTTCTTTGAATTTGGCCTCGACCGACCCAACAGTTCCAGTTAAGTTCCGATCCGTTCTCGGAGACGCTAGCTTCACATAAAGATAAAACATGACCTCCTACAACCTGTACGATGGAACGGTGGTGTATTTCGCCGGTGGCATGAGGGCGCTGGCGCACATCCTCTCCAAGGCCGAGCAGCACTGCAAGGAAAACAACATCCCCGAGAAGGAGTTCATGGAAGCGTCCCTGGCACCGGACATGAAACCGCTCACCTTCCAGATCCAGACCGCCTCCGACACCTCTCGCAAGGCGGTGTCCAGGCTGACGGGATCGCAGCTGACGTCGATCCCCGACACCGAGTCGACCTTCGCCGAGCTCCAGGCGCGCATCGCCAAAACGCAGGAAGTCCTGGAAGCGACGAAGAAGGAGGACTGGAACTTTGACATCGCCGAGGAAATCACCGTCCCGCTGGGCCCGCGAGAAATGACGTTCACGAAGAAGTCGTATGCGGAAGGCTTCGCAGTGCCGAACTTCTACTTTCACGTCGTGACCGCCTACGCGATCTTGAGGATGAAGGGCGTGAACATCGGGAAAGCTGACTACCTTCGTCCTATCATGGGCGTCCCTGCATAGTCATATTTATGGAGGGTTGCACGTCGGGATTTTCACGTTCTCAGCGATCGGAAACCTGCAAGCTAAAAGCCCAAAGGTTTACGAAAGCTCGAGGACAATAAAAAAAAATAAAAATTCAAGAAGCACATATCAAGAATCACAATTAAAGGTTATTTCAACACTGCTATCATTTCCCACTTCGGCTAGCATCAGCAAAACCATCCATGCCGAAGTCTGTTGGCAAGTAGTCCAGCCACATCATGTCGTCTGTTCCCAGCATGCTCATGTCAATGTTCTGACTTTCGATCATCATATTTCCATACGGCATCGTACCAATGTCCATTCCCATGGTGCCGCCTAATGAATCTGCATGTTGTGAGTGTTGTTGCGTTGCGTGGTGGCCGATTTCGGAAGAAGTCTCATTATTGTGCAGCAGCGACTGTTCTTGATTTAGATCGATATTATGGAAAGGGTCAGAAAACTCATGCGACGTGAAAGGAAAGGAGAAATGAATAAGTTGATTGATGTTCGGCTGATCCGAAGCACCTTCGATTCCTGTTGCGGAGCCGGTCTTGGTTTGATGGGCATGGAGACTGGCCGGTCCTTCAAAAGCACCTGACGCCAAAGCCATCGGTTTCTGGAATGGCCGTACTTGCTCTGTACCAGGCTGCAAGTCTTTACTTACTGTACTGCTGGAAGCGTCGCCGGAGTACAGCACAGAGAGATTAGCACTCTTAGGCGAGTTCATCGTCCCGGTCAAACTCCATCCAATAGCCCTTCCAGACTTTTCACTGTGGCTAGCTTGCAAATATGCGCCCCAACTTAGCTTTCTCCGCCATCCAGGCGATGTAAATGCAGGTTCAGGCCTCGGCATCTCCAAGGCATGTTCACTCTCTTCCTGTGTATACAGAAGTGCATCCCAAACTCCCTTTGACTTCTGGTCGAGTATCGTGATGATGTATTTCGTTCCAGCCCAGTAGTGCTCTAGCTGTTGCAGCGCACGATAGCAGCGCTGGTAATTCTGTTGAGCTGAGGCTGCGAGAAGAGTGTGTTTCGCTTGGGCTTGTTGGTCCAAAGGTGCGCCATTACCGGATCTCAGAGATGCTCTTCTTGGTGGGTCCGATTCTTTGGACGATGTTCCATTTGTGCTCGATGACGGGGGGGATGGCGCTCGAGAGTTGCAGGCTGAGTTCATGGCGTGAAGCGCAGACTCTTTAAGAAATGCGCACGCAGCCACGTATGTCGGTTGGCTATACTAAAATTAAACAAAGCTCGAAGACACGTAAGACTAAGCTCACCTCGTAAATGGACTGCCTACTGTTGATTGAGAACTCATGATTTCTGTGAACGCAAGTATGTCCGCAATTGTCTTGGCGCTCGAGAGAGATAGTTCTCGACTCCGCGGGAAGAGCTCTTGCATCTCTTCGTCAAACGTGTGCAACAGGGTTGGCTGATGCAAAATGATTATCAACGTGTGGAACCAGAAGTGCAGCATCACGAAGTTGGTCCCCTGCCCGTTTTGAACATAGTGTTGGAAATTTGCGGCGTTAAAATGTAGTTTCGGAGACAGGCCTTGATAGAGGTCTGTCAAGTTGCTTTCCATAATCATCAGTCGTTCGATGACTTCAGGGGTCAGATGGGAAATTTCTTTTATGCCGTTCAGTATCTCAGCAACACTGCCGTAGAGGTGCACAATGCGAATCAGCGCTGGCCATGGTTTCGGCCAACCCGTTTCCGGATCAACTTCATCGAGAGGTGGGAAAGCAATTTCGATGTCTTCGTCACGCAATGCAACGGGGCGCCCCGTACCGGATGAGATGTAGCGATCCAAGTGGAATACCGCCCAGAGCGTGTCGACTCGTTCTTGTTCGATGGCAATCAGTTCCTTGGTCGTCTCATCGTCGGGAATTTCTACTTTAGGCTCGGCAACAGGAACGGGTTCAGTCCTCATTCTTTTCTTTCGCGTGTACGTAATGTTCTGCGGCGTCAAACTCCCTCGACCAACGTATTTGAGACCTTCCAACTTTTGCATTCCCAAGTCTTGTGCCATTCTGATGGCGATGCCCAAGTACATCCACAGTCCGGAATCCCTATTTGCACCGAACTCGTCGTATGCCAATAGTAACGCTGCTTGCACGATCGCCACGCTTGGACACGGAAAAGTGTCCGGTATGGCCGCTTTTGCTCGCTGTGCAAAGAGCTGGCCACGCTCCGGAGGTGGAACCTCGAGCTTGGAATTTGCGCTTTTGCCTGTTAACAGCGGATGGTTGCTAAACCGTGCCGCTAATGCGCAGACAGCATCGACTAATATAGGGTCGACCTGCTTTTCCTGGAGATCACGCATAAACCTGTCTTTCTGCAAAAAAGTATAATTGCAAGCTAGATGCGCAAAGAAGGTCTCACACAGATGTGTGATTAGAGGGTTGGGAGCTACCTCTGAAGAGTCGTAGGATGGGGGCTCACAGGGCATAGGCGGCTCATCGGGACGTGGCGAGGTATTTTCCTGGTTGAATGACGCGCCCAGCGCTGGTGGTGAGCGTTCACCAAGAGATGAAGTTGCATTGCTGCCTCGCTGCTTATCCTGGACCTTGACAACCATCTGCTTGAAACCAGGCATGATTGCTGTTGGGCCGAAATAGCGGAAATATGGCATCCTGTTGCGGATGGACAATGTGGCAAACGTCTCTTCAATGCTTGGTTGGCTCTCGTCGACAACAGGTGCTGGCTGTGGTTCCTTCCAGCTAGCAGACGCGTCAAATGCTGATTGTGAGGACGAGGGCTTAATCAACGGCGATGTACTGGTATCATGACTGGTCGGATGCGATTGAGACGCAGACCTTGACGAAGCGTCTCTCCCATCACGGCTCTTCCTCTGGTCTTCAAACCCCTCAACATCCTTGGTTGGGCTTGTTCTCGCACCACTGGCCGGCCCGTACCCAGTGCACGTTTGATTACTCTCCTTACAAGTCTCACAAGACGGCTTCTCACCCGAGCACCGCGTCTTTCGCCGGCGGCACGTGTTGCAGGCAGTGTTGATACGCCTTCTCTTCGCGTATGGCTTTCCGTCATTGGTAATGAAACGGATGGGCCGAGATGTGAAAGTTAGAGGCGCGGATTCCTCAGCCATTTTCGCACGTCATGTGGTGGTGTGGAGCTCTCCGTCGGACGTTGTTGCGTGCGCTATCGCTCACTTTTCCCTGGACGTTCTGACAGGCAACACAGACAACTCAATGCAGATGGCATGACGGAACGAAGTCCTACAGAAGACAAGATCCTCATAACGAGCTCTGGTCTGGGCGCAGCTAGAGTCACGATTGGCCGGAGGCGGCGAATATTAAGCCATAGTGTTACCCTTCGTGATGCGGAGAACTGACCAAGTGGGGACGTGAAAAAAAGAAAAGCTGGAGAGCGCTAGACCCGAAGAAGACGCTGGAGACGGGAGTGTTCGTCGAAGCCGCCGACTGTTCATCGCCCTTCATCACATCTGCAGTTCCAATTGCTCGCCAACTCTCCGGATTGATCCTCCCAGATGGATTCCGTGGTGCTGTTGGCGCAAACCCGAGCCTTGCAGGTGTTCTGTCCGCGTGCGACCGCAACTCTGTCACGAACACGTCTAAGAACACCCAGCACGGCGATTCTCAGCAACCATCGTCAAACATTCGTCCACACCTCCTCCTCCAGGTCTGCGACGTCCGTTCCACACACTGAGATACATAGTGCACCTCCCCCCCCTCCAGAGCCAACTCCGTCAGCGTCGGAGGAACGCTTGCGACGGCGCCGCCAGCAAGCTGAGCTTCTCCAGCAGGCGCACAATGCCAAAGCAAACCCTGCGAAACCTGCAACTGCACTTCGCAAACGATTCTGGAGACATGTCTCTGTCAGGCCCACCGATCAAGGGCTGCAGGTCCATCTAGATACGAGGGCGGTGCGGACGGCAAACAAGGAGGTCTTAGTTATCCCCAAGAATAAACATCAACTTGCGATGGCGATTGCATTGGAGTGGGATCAACTGGTGACGGCGCAGCAAGCACTCAAACAACACTACATCCCGCTAACGTCTCTGATATCGCGCGCGATTGACATCGAAACGGCAGATGCGCGAGGCGACACGCGGGTACGAGAGAGCATTGTGACGATGCTTATGCGCTACTTCACGACCGACACTCTACTGTGCTGGGCGCCAGAGAAGGACATACACGGGCCTTCAGCTATGATGGGCAGAGAAGAGGAGGGGCAGAGTCTACGGGATCTCCAAATGCGGGTTGCTACGCCCATCATCTCATATCTTACGACCCGCGTCTGGCCAGGCATTGAGATCAATCCCGTCCTCGACCCGGACAGCATTCTTCCTTTACCTCAACCGGCGATGACACAAGAAATCATCCGGGGTTGGATCACGGGCCTGAAGCCGTACGAACTTGCAGGACTAGAACGAGCAGTTCTAGCGTCCAAGTCATTCCTGGTTGCCGCACGACTGCTTGTTGAATGGAGTCAAGAATTTACTTCTTTGCGCGACGCCGAACCTGCCGAGCGCTTTGGCATCGAAGATGCTGCCCAGGCCTGCAGCCTCGAAGTCAGCTGGCAGACGGCCATGTGGGGTGAGGTCGATGACACACATGATGTTGACAAAGAGGATTTGAGGAGACAGTTGGGCGCAGCAGTCCTGCTTGTAAATGGAGAAACGGCATAGACCATAGAATTGTGAAATGGGTACGATTTTCGTGTAGAATATGTAATACATGTACTACCAATAGAACACTCACAAGCGGAGAGACGGACCTTGCGAAGCACCATCAGCAAGCACGACGTACTGTTAGCGGGCGTCTGCGTAGCATGCAAGAGTCGCATTAAGCTTTTCCCCTGGCAAAGCCTGACGTAGGATCAGCCACGAAGCCTTCGGACTTATTGGAGGGCTATCGGACGTGGCAAAACCAAAGCAGCACACCATACACCATTCTGCACAGCACGAAGCACCGACGCGTTCCTTTTGCTGCTCGATGCTTGATTCCCAGCCACATGTGAGCGCCAGATCTTCGAACGCCGTGCAGGCACCAACGGCGACAGACGAGTTTCGCAAGCGCATCGACATTTGTGAGCAGACCGGGTTTAAGCAGTTTAACTGCGGCCTAACTCCTTTTGAAAGCGGTGGGAAGCTTGACCCCACCGAAATGAACGCATCATATAACGGCACGATTGCTTCATCCGCGGCAAAGTGGAGCATATAGCTGGCCGCCTGTAGCCTCCATTGCGGGGAGGGGAAAAGCGTCGTGAAAACCTTCCCATGCATATAAGAGCTTCTGCGTCGCTACGAGTAGTGCAACCACAGCTCTCATCTTTGACCAGACCAAGCCAGTTAGCGGGACGTGCGTGGATCAGACCGATTGTCACCATGCCAGTCAGGACAGCCTTCGATCCTAAGGACATGAAGTTCCGACACCTGGGCCCAAGCGGTCTGAAGGTGTCTCTTCTGTCTCTTGGTGGCTGGCTTACCTACGGCGGGACGCAGAAGGGCAGCATAGTAAAGGACTGCCTACAAGCTGCCTGGGACCATGGCATCAACTTCTTCGACACGGCTGAGGTGTACGCCAATGGAGAAAGCGAAATTGAGATGGGACGCGCCCTCAAGGAGCTTGATTGGCCAAGAGACGAGTACGTTCTCAGTACCAAGATCTTCTTTGGCACGGGCAGGAAGGAGCCGAACACTCGAGGACTGAGTAAAAAGCACATTGTGGAGGGCTTGAAGAGCTCTTTGGAGAGGTTGCAGCAGCCTTACGTGGACATTGTGCTGGCTGTGAGTTGTCTTCTTTTGCACGTTGTCTGCCCTCTACTCCGCTAATGCTTGAATAATGCAGCATCGCCCGGACGTGGGGACCCCGATGAAGGAGATTGTCGAAGGCTTCACACAGGTGATCCGCAACCTGAACCTCGCGTACTACTGGGGTACGTCCGAATGGTCGGCGACCCAGATCCTCGAGGCAATTGACATCGCCGAGCGGTACAATCTCATTGCGCCCATCGCCGATCAACCGCAGTACAACGCATTCCACCGTGAACGTTTCGAGGTCGAGTACGCGCCACTTTACGAGAAATTCCAGTACGGAACGACCATTTGGTCCCCGCTGGCGTCCGGCTTGCTGACTGGCAAGTACAACGACGGCATCCCAGAGGACTCGCGCTTCGCAAACAATAAGGCCTTCTTCGAGAACACGATAAAGGAGTTGAAGTCGCCCGCGGGACAGGCCAAAATAGAGAAGGTCAAGAAGCTCACCGCAGTTGCTGAGAGGTTGGGCGGCACTCCCAGCCAGCTCGCCATCGCGTGGGCAGCCAAGAACCCGAACGTCAGCACCGTCATCCTGGGCGCAACGAAGGTCGAGCAGATCGTGGACAACTGCAAGGCGATCCAGCTCCTTGACAAGTTAACTCCAGAGGTCATGGAGGAAATCGAGGGTATCTTGGAGAACAAGCCGACGCCGCCAGCCACGTACGGCAGATCGAGGTAAGAGGGGGCCTCTTTCGCTCGTCCATCCCAATATTCTATTGTTGGAGAAGGAACAGGACTCCTCTTCCCTGTCGGTCGGCAGCCGGCGCGGAAGCGTAGAGCATTGAAAATTTCGGTCTCATACTAGCCAAAAATTTACTGTGCGAGAAAGTCGAGCTGATTTCGGTTCAAATAGGGTCGATAGACCACGAAAGAAGACCTCCAAGATATAGACAAAAGAATGCTAGGCAAGATTTTGTGAATAGAATTTTTGAATCAGTCCTTCAGTCCCTTTTTATTTTATTTTTTTTTTAACAAAAAATTAAAGAAAGTCTTCCTTTTCCTCTCGAACCCCACGGTAGTAATGCTGGCTTGAGATGCGCAACCCCCTTGTAAATTCCCACAGGACCGTGAGACCTAAGCAAATGAGTGGAACTTGCAGCATGGAGATTGCGCTTGGCTAAAGCTTAGCATGGAAATCTTACTCTTTACAGGATCAAACGTGGTACTTCACGGTATTCGGCAGGTAGGCGTAGCGGAGAGTGAAAGCCCTGGGTAATCATAAAATCTACGTAGCTACAGTGTTGACCTGAGAGTACATTTAAGTTCACACACACTTTGTTCCCGCACGTTTTGGGAAACAGGAAGGTTGGTCGAAGAGCAGGGCGATTACCCCGCCGTCTTCGAAGATGCAGCAACAGCGATGCTTTCATCCGCCAAGTCTGCCTCAGCAACTTGATGCTCAACTGCTCGCTGAGTAGAAGTTCCGACAGGTTGGATACCATACCAAGAGATCACAGCCATACCGACGAAGGCAGCAACGCAACTGAAAACGAGAGCAACGATACCGCGTGCCGTGAAGCCCGCAGGAAGTGGCCCAACGCTGTGAGTCTGGCCTGTCAGATCGAGCAAGTCCTTTGTGTTGCCTGCGGCATTTCCTTGAACTGGGTAGTTGCTCGCAGCACAGACATCGTAATGATTCTGTGGAATCTGGAGGGACTTTTGAAGATCCAAGGGGTTTTCGATCAAGGTCATCGCAAGACCGGCGATCATGTGCCTGTACGCATTTAGTGTCAAAGTTTTGCAGACTCGTGGAATGCCCGGACTCACCATTCGATGTGACAATGGAACAGCCAGACGCCAGGGTTGTCTGAGACGAAGCGAAGGACAATGTTGCCGTTCGGTCGAACCAATACGGTATCTCTCCTCATTGGTACCTGTGGGAAAGTGACATTATTGGCATAGAAGCCCCCCTCTTCAGCTGAACGAGCAATGAGCTGGAAATTATGGCCGTGGAGGTGGAATGGATGCTTCCCTGGGTCGTTGTTGTTTACTATTATGTCAACGATCTGACCCTTTTCGAGCACGAATGGGTTTGTGTCTGTCCCATATACGGTGGAATTGTCCGCGAAATTACCCGCTGTCATTACAGTGTATAGAGTCGGAACCTTGGGGAGTGTGTACGAGATGCCATTGAACGCTGCGTAGTTTGCACCGTCGCCTAAGTTCTCCATGGTGAGCTCGAGCTCGATCGTATGGTCTGCATCCGGTAGCAGCTTCATGCCGTCAGTTGGTACAAGTGTGTAGTCATCGAAAGGCTCGAAAGCGTCCACAAAAGCAGCTGCGGGGAGATCCTTCTTGTCATCATACACAAGCCAGCCTGTGACATTCGGGTTTAGAGTTGCAGGAATCTTATCAAAGAGATCCTGCAGTCGTCAGTTCTGAACCCCTCCTAGGTTGATACAAACAACGCACCTGGTCCATGCTTCCTTGAATGGCAAAATTGGAGTCTGTGTCGTTTTTTGCGGTAATGAGAACACTGTATCGCTGAGCTGCGGTGATGTAAATCATGTTTGCGTCTGCAGGTTCGGTGTAAACACCATCTACCTCGACAATCCGCATTGTGTGCCCTTCGAACCACACATACTGCGCAGCGAAGGCTGCCATATTCACCATTCGAAACAAGTATGTCTTTCCTGGTTCAATTTTGACCGTCACATTCTGCGTGTCGTTCATCAAGGCCGCATCTGGCACAGGCTCGGCGCCAGTAGGATTCTTATAGCTGGGACAATTGGTCAAACACAAAACCATCCTTTCGAAAAGGTGCGTGAAAAATCGAAATTACCTTATAAAAGATTTGATAAGGTCCGACGGCAATTGATGATACCAATCCGAGAAAGTTAGTACTACTTCCTCGTCGTACTGATCCTTGTATGGCGAGTTTGGATCCTCAACTATGAGCGGTCCACGGAGGCCGTCCGGATATTGGCCACCAACATGCGAGTGATACCTAAAGAAGGGCTCAGCTTAGACCAGAAAGATATGCGAGAATAGATTTACCAGTAGGTTCCCGGCTGATCGATCTACATGTTTTTTTTTTAGCTTTGTTCATGCACAGGATCGTCGAGAATCCAGTCTCAACTAGGATGCAGGAAGATTCAATCTTACCGTGAAGTTGTATGTGAATGTAGAGCCAGGTGGGATCGGGCATTGATTGATACCGGCGGGACCATCCATACTCGTGGTTCCATTCTGGAATAGCCCGTGAAAGTGCAAGCTCGTGGTTACATTACCAAGTCCGTTATGAGCGTTCACTATAACTCTGTCGCCGACATTGCATCTTGTACTTCTTTCAGCCGACGCATTACTAAACTACAACCGATTTGAACGACTGACCTGATCTGGGGAATTGGCCACTGTTCGTTGATGCCAATCACTGCGCGCTCAAAAGCGCCATCAGGATTCGCTTTGGTCCAGGTGATGTTGAAATCGTACGTTACTGTCGCGGCATTGCAGAAGGTACCAAGCAGGAACGTTAGAGGCAAAAGAAAATTGGACAGTGATCTCGCCATGGCGTGCAATAGGGAAAGGGCTATCTCATGGGCTACGTAAATGTTATGAGAATTGAGAGAGATACTATTCCTCACTCAGATCTTGACGACAAAACAGCCCTTCCTCAGTGTATTGTCACTTAGTTCGAGGGCAAGATTGCAGTCGAGATTGATAAGATGGATATGATAAAACTTTGCGTCTAGCGGATTGAAACAAGGTCACAGGTTACCTTTGAACGATCAGATTAGTGGTATGCACACTGCAAGGCGAGCTACTCATGTCCAAAGCCGAGCATTGGCCGGCATTTGCTCGGAATCCGTATATGCCCGGGGCTGCACGAGAAGCGAAGACCATGACAGCAAGGATGGCTTGACGTGCCGAAGAGGGATTAAATTTGAACCGAGATTGGTATGATGAGCTGTGGGTGCCAACTTGCAGACTAAGTCGAGCCAATCCAGAGCTTGATCTTAGTCTGTTGGGCTGGGCTGCAAGCAGGTCAGGAAGAATTTGGACTGGGATGTCCAGCCTTCCTGCAGACTATGCCCACGTCGTTCAGACGGGTGGACTGACCTGACAAGATTATCGCTATCTGATTTGTCGGATCAGATACGATAAGATCAAAATTTTACTCACACTCGGCTGATCATCAGCCAAGGGGGACTTTGGGAGCGGGAAAAGAGACTTGCTGCTTGGTTGAGGGTGTGCACACAAGTTTTGCCCAGCGATCTCGCGAAAGGCTTGTGCTAGTGGAGCCCGCTTCGTGTGGAGCACCTGGAGCACCTGGAACTCCTAGTTCTAGTTCTCGATCATCCGGACATCACACCTCCGCGCCGAGCTCTCCGTCCTGGCGTGCGAACGGCTTTGCTGAGAGGAAGAACGCTTGGGCAGAGAGAGAAGGAGTCAAGGGGTGATTCGGAGACTGCTGAACTTCAGAGACCGGCGGCGAAGGAAGAGTGAAGCACTTCGAGCGGAGGTAGATCCCGTCCGAGAGGCATGTGTAAGTGAAAATGAAAATTTCGCGTTCCATAGGTTAGCCACTTGCATCAACGGCCTGGCATGTTCCGTATCGCACCATCTACTAGGCCTGCTCGAGGAAGTCAAAGCTTCTAAATCCGAGCTCGGAATGTGTTGGTGACTAGTGTCGGACCGCCTGTCGCATAAGTCGGCAAAGTTTCTTTTCGTACTTTAGCTTTAAGTTATCTCCTCCGTCTTATCAGATGAGATCGTAGAGGCAGCTTCCAGACCAGATCTTCCTGCTGGTGAAATCCATTGTGTTCCTCGATTTTGATTGAATTATCATCCCATGATTAATACCCTGAATCAGCTGTGATTATGGTTCAAGTCTTTGCTGCGCCGTTAGTTCCCCTCGTGGTGGTTTTGGTTTCGTCGTAAATTGGTTGCTGGCTCTGCAAAGCGCTGGTTATACACTTGAGGGAGCATCTAAATGCCCTTCAAAGACAGCCTGTGCATTTAAACGCCGCAATCTATTTACATGCCGTGTGTAATTTCTTTTACTAGGAAGGCTAACAGTGACCTCGCAGAGGTACCATCAGAAATCACGAGATACCGCCATGAAGGAACTAACCAAGGAACATAGTCTTTTTTATTTGCTTTCGAGAATGTCTTGAGACGTCCATTATTGTCTCTGTCCTCCTTGCTTTCACGAAACAGCTTGTTGGTAGCGACAAAGCGTTACACAGAGCGCTTCTAAAGCAGGTGTGGAGACCCTGTGATGCGTTTTGATTTGTGGCATGATCTAATCAGATAAACAGATATGGCTGGGCGTTGCTGCTGGCCTGTTAATCGTGCTCATCATCGGTGCGGGCATGATCGGCGCTTTCTACGGACTACAAAAGAACGTATGGTCAAATTCTGAGGACCTCTGGGAAGGTATCTTTTCTTTGCTCGCCTCCATCATCATAACACTCATGGGGGCGGCTTTGCTTCGGGTCTCAAAGCTACAAGATAAATGGCGAATCAAGATTGCTAAAGCAATCGCTGCCAAAGAACGAAAGGGAGTCAAGTTCGGCCACCGTTTCAGGCACTGGGCAGAAAAGTATGCTATGTTTATCCTACCTTTCATCACCGTCCTTCGTGAGGGCCTCGAGGCTGTGGTCTTCATTGGAGGTGTTGGTCTAGGTCTTCCAGCTACATCTTTCCCGATTGCAGTCATTACAGGTCTGCTTGCTGGCGGCATCATCGGCTACCTCATCTATAAGGGCGGAGACATGTTCAAACTCCAGATGCTATTGATTATCTCGACTTGCTTCCTGTATCTTGTTGCCGCAGGACTTTTCTCAAAATCCATATGGAACTTTGAGATGCATGCGGTAAGCTGACACACATTTGACCGCGCCTAAGCCCACTGACAGCGATACAGTGGAACAAGATCATTGGTGGTGATGCCGCAGAAGTCGGTAGCGGTCCGGGAAGTTATGACATCCGTAAAAGTGTTTGGCACGTCAACGTGAGTCACACGATACGATAGTCATTCAAAACCAGATACTGATCTCTCCAGTGCTGCAATCCAGAGATCAACGGCGGCGGTGGATGGGGAGTTTTCAACTCTCTCTTCGGCTGGACCAACTCAGCCACATACGGATCAGTGATCTCATACAATATGTATTGGATCGCCGTCATTGTTGGGTTCCTTGCAATGGGTTATAACGAGAAGCGAGGACACTGGCCCTTCATGAAGCCAAAGCCAGCATTTGATGACGAAGGTGTGCATAGCAGCTTAAGTTCGTCTTCCACGCCATGCGGAAAAACCGAGGAACCATACGTGAAGGTCCAAAATATTCAAGCTTAGTAGAATTTAGAGGATGGCCAATTTTGAAGCGGTGGTTGTGAGTATGACACGGCCCGATTGATGCTATCAAGAAAGGTACTGCTTAGTGGCTGTTCCAATTGAACCTTCGCCAACGATTCTATGTACTTTTAAACTTACCAAGGATTCGAAAGCAAAGTACGTACGTGGTACGCAATCTGTGCTTGACTCGATATGTATAACGCTCACGATATTCAAGATTCATGAGCTAGTAAAGATACCTCAGCGAACTTGCTGGCAATTACATCATCATCATCATCATCATCATCATCATCATCTTCATCTTCTTCTTCTTCATCTTCATCATCATCATCATCATCATCATCATCATCATCATCATCATCATCATCATCATCATCATCATCATCATCATCATCATCATCATCTTCTTCTTCTTCTTCTTCTTCTTCTTCTTCTTCTTCTTCTTCTTCTTCTTCTTCTTCTTCTTCTTCTTCTTCTTCTTTATTACATATGCGTAACTGTAGACCGCGAGGTATATAATTGGGTTCTCTGGAAACTCTTTGAGACGTATAGTACTTTCGGTAGCACTCGATTACAGAACCATTGAATCAAATGCAAGGCCATGTATCATTGCCACATAGTTGCCGAAGCGTGCCATTTTAGTTGCCTAATTGCAGCCTCGCAGCCTGAAGGCTCTTTCGTCACTTAACTTAGAGGATCATCGTTTCCGTCTTTTCCTACCGGTTTCCCCTTTGGTGCTTCGCGTTCGGTACATACATTTCTCATGGTAGTTTAGGCTGCGTTGCTTTGAGATGTTTTGGCCCTATCCTTGAATTTGATGGCAAAGACTTGAACCCGATTGCCTTTACACGAAATGCATATATAAATCATGTCGAGCATCCATAGTTCCAGCACTGACGGCGATGATACCGCGAATATCATCGTGATCACCGAAGCCGGCGACTTGCTCCTCGAAGTAAGAGATGAAAAGCTCAACCAAGCATTTACCTACCGCGTCGACATAAACCGCACATCGCAGGCTTCAGCTTATTTCCATCGCTTGCTGGATCCAAACAAGTTTGAAGAGGGCTCCACGGTTTCCGTGAAGCTAGAAGTATTAAGAAAATGTCATAAAAACTTCTCTGATGTTCCAATGGAAGAGCTACCGCGTATTAGAATCTCAAATATTGGGAGGATATCAAAAGTGAGCAGCATCAAACAACTTTTTGGAGATTTTTTGAAAGTGCTTCATGGGCAAGACATCGGACCACCGTCGCCAGGCGCAGCTGCCATCCCGCTCGGAAACCTCGCAAACCTCGCTGTTGTGGCCGATCGATTCGATGCTCTTCCTCATGTCACCGCGTACATTCGTCGGAAGCGTTTTCTCGAGACACTGGATGCGAGGGGTAAGGCAAAGCCAGCAAAGGCGTCCGAAGAACGTCTTAGGCAGAGACTGCTCGTGGGTGCTCTATTTGACCATTCTCCTTGGATCATGTCTGCAAGTCAAAATCTGATTATTACGGGATCCGCGCGCTGGAAGCCAGAGGCGTCAGCAGATGATGACCTCCCTCTGTGGCATGATTTGCCTCTGGGCCTGGAAGGTAACAATAAAATTACTCTAGATCTTTCAACTGGCCCAGGCTATTCAAGAACTACGCATATACGTCGTGGTTCGATTCATCAAGGCTACACATCGTTTTAGCCTGGGATCAGTTTCCATCTTTCCTGTTTTATGTTGCTAATCCCTCTTTCTTTAGACGAACTGATCATGCGCCGTAATTATGTGCTCGATACGCTGCAATCGCTTGCCTTGCACTTTGTTCAAGCGTACTCGTCTGGTGTCCAGCAATGCCGGCTAGGGTATGCATCGTCCTGGGTTTGTGATAGCTTTCAGTTGGGCGAGATGACCAAGTTCTTGAAGAAGAATAATTTGATCAAGATAGCACCTATCTTAACTGGTCAAGAAGAAATTGATCCGTACTCTGGGGACATTGAGCGTATCCTCGACATCTATAAATCATGTCCAACATATAAGATGGATGAATATCATAACCATTGTGGAATGCGAACCCGATTGGTGCCAATTATAGAGCATCTGGAGATATTGCTGCGAGCGAGCTCTCTGCACGGCGTAGGTATCTGCGGTGAATGTTGGAAGACACATCGTATAAAATATGCCTGGACTGATGCTATGAGACCCGTAGGCTGGCAAGCTCCTGTGCCACGACCTCCCTCTCATCTAACGATAAAACATCCAGGGTCAGAAGCCTGCTTGCAGCAACACATTGCAATCCGTAACATGTTTTTAGCAGTCGAAAGACTATGGACATTCAATGAAGACCGCTCTGAAGGGATTAGGTTTGGAAAGACGACGCCATTTTTGAAGTACGATTGAACAAATTTATGTTTCAGATAGAAGTGACAAAGATCTGGTGTCTGCATGATAAGATCATGACTGCTCAAATCTACTCATAGATTCCTAAAGAAAAAAAAAAAAAACGAACCATACATCAGCAGCCCTCAATCCATACATTCAAAGGCATTTTCCATACTGAATCTTGGAGGCTTACCTTTAAAAAACAGCTCTATTGCAAACTTTTACTAGCAGATCCCATCTGGTGTCGACCGGAAATACGGAAGGCACAGATTAACAACCAGCCTACTTGTGGAATCCAGCCTTGGCGTCTTAGAAGTAAGGTGCATTTGATGCTCACCGGCTCGACTAAGAAAGCCTTTCTAATCTGCATGTTCACTGATCTTGCGAGCCCCAGAGACATGCATCCCTGGGGAGTAGCCTGCAACCCTCCTTTGTTCGAGAATGACAATGCCAGGAGAGTAGCCGAACTGCACTGTGGTTTAATTTGGATGAGTTCCGCTGCATAGGCACTGAGAAAAATTACATTTTAGATAATGTGAACTCTATACATCCTGGAATTTATCATCACTTCCCGGGCAATGTAGACGAGTTTGAATGTACATTTCATGGTTGGTATCCACTCTACACAGGTAGGGATCGCAGTGCGCTATTGACGGCTTAAAGGGGCTTTTGATATGATCATTGGAATGACAGAATTTGTTTTCTGCCACCAGGGAGAGCCTCATAGATATCTGAAATGGGGCTGTCAAATGATAGTTTAAGTGTAGCGAGGCTGATTTACAATGTCTGACAGAACGCGGAGCCATGATTGGCTATTGCAGGACAAGCATGACAGCTTTGGGCGGTGCACACCAGCCAACGCAGCCACATAGATACTTTTACACTGCCCGTCGTATTTGCCCCAGATGTAACGCAAGGTGCGACAAACGGCCTCTGTGCACTGATTCATTTCGTTTGTGCAGTACTCTGGCTGATCATGTTCTCTGTCGAGGCAGACTTCTTGCAGGTTTGGTCGTCTGGGCTGAATTGAGCGTTTAGCGACATGGCTTGACATTTGACTTTTAATAACCGCCATAGAAATTCCCTCTTCTTCTGGTCTCATTCCTCGGAGAGACTTTTAAAACGTGTTGATTCTCAGGCATATTCAAGCTACACTTTCTCTGCTCTGTAAGCACTCTACCTATACAAGATCTTGAGTACACGTTCTGAGATCTTGTCGACATCTTAAAGCGTGAATTCTCCAAAGTGAAAACTACAACGATGGAAAGAAATGGTCAAGGTATTTTTGGCACCTTGAAAAGCAAGATATCGCATAAAAAATGGGACAAACATAGTTCTGGGGCGTCGCAAGAGCTATTTTCTACGCCAATAGCGACGCAAGCGTCAAACCTGTTCGCACAGACTTCGCAACCTACGCGAAGACCGAGTGAGTCGTATTTCGTGACAACAAGATCCCGACTGACTTGTCCAAAGTTCACAGAAGTGCGAGCAGAACGCCAGACGAACCACCGCCAGCATACACTCCAACAGTGGCTTATTCACATGCGCAGGCGACCGGGAGCGCCAATGACAGTGATAGCGATCCATACGCGTTTTTATCCACATTTGATACCATTTTTGTGATTGACGACAGCGGTTCGATGGCTGGAAGATCGTGGACTGAGACACAGCATGCCCTCGAAGCTATTACACCAATCTGCACAGCTCACGATGCAGATGGCATCGACCTGTACTTCTTGAACGCACCAGACAGCGTATATTACCGCAATGTGAAAGATTCTTCCGCTGTTCGCGAGATTTTTTCGATGGTACGGCCAAGGGGCCAAACTCCATTGGGTACCAAACTCAATCAAATCCTAAAACCTTACCTCGCACGCTTCGAAAAGAACCCCGAAACTACAAAACCGATCAACATCATTGTAATCACGGATGGAGAGCCTTCTGATGACCCAGAGTCTGTGATCATCTACGCTGCTCGCAAGTTGAACAAGCTTGATGCTAGTCCTTGGCAAGTCGGTATCCAGTTCTTTCAAGTCGGACGAGAACCGGGAGCGAAGGAGTACCTTGAAGAGCTTGATGACGGGCTATCTGACAAGTGCGGCGGTCGTGATATGGTAGATACACAAGCTTGGAAGAATGAAGATGATAAGGAACTGAATGGTACTGGTATATTGAAAGCTGTGCTTGGCTCAGTGAACAAGCGATTGGACAACAAAAAATCAGACAGACCAAACTACTGCTAAAATGTTGGTTCTTAATAGACATTCAGAGAGAGGGATATCTACCGAGCCACCAAGGCAAAACTAAGAGCTCTTTCCATCACTGTAGCATGAAATTCTCTGCGTCATGGAGCGCAAGAGCGGAATTAAACCATGATATGATCGACTAACCCTTAAAAAGCACCTGTACCTTTTGTGTTATCAAGTTGAGCGAACTTTCCGCACCACTGTCCACGGCTGTGGCCTAAGATTCACAATGTCTCATGGCTTGACATTTTCACGGATATGAAGATTTAAAGGAAAATAGGCGAATAAAATGAGATCTCTCTGCAGAAACTACTATATACTCTAAGATTGTCTCATGAAAATTGCACTGGGAGAAAGACAAGAGCTGGCTTCAGCCTTTTTGCCAACATATACTTATGAATAGATTTTCGATTTTGGCGTCAAAAAGGAAGTAGTGCTCAAGAGATAGGGTGACATCCGCGTACTGTAGCAGCAAAACAAATAATAATATAGACATGGAAAAGATCAATGCAACAGTTCTTAAGAAGAGGAAGAGGAGTACAGGTGGTACAGATTCTGAAGGGGTACGAGATTGTCGAGTGTTTCGTGGTCTAGATGCGATGCTGAAAACATCGCCACAGTGAAGATGCTATCATCAATTTCTTTAGAGGACGTGAAGAGCTATATCGTCAGCACCAAAGACGATAAGTACAAAGATAGGGCCACCACACATAAGATTTCGTATAATAAAATATACCCAATGATACAATGGTCACAGAATTATCTTAAACACACTTGCGCGCTGTGGTGGAAAATGAATCAATGATCCTTTCTGCGCACAAAATATTCTTAAATCATCGATTGCTAAACATTCTAAATCAGGCATGTGTACATGTGGACGGATTTGTGGAAAGTCAAAGCGCATATGGCTTTGTTCTCTCCAAGGGTTACTTCGGTTTTTCTAATTTCTAGAAAAAGAAGAAATACCCCGGAGTTGCTCATACTGAAGTCAGATAAAAGGATTCTCTCCGCTGTCCTTGTGATTAAGACGAATAAGCTTCGCGTAAAGCAGCTGAGTCCTTGAAGAGAACTATTGTAAAGGAGGTAGCGAAAAGTATTTGTGAACCGGAATTCACTGAATCTTCAATATATGACTCACTTTAGTGTACTTCCGGCGAAACAAGCCGGATTTGCTTATGGAGATGCAGCTCGAAGGTCTGGAAGCGAATTTGCTACTGTATAGAGTCAGCAAGCGACTCCGTAACGGCGCTTCGCCAAGTCCAGCCACAATGGATTCGCCCCAGTCAATTTCCAAGGAAGAAAGGATCTGCACGATGACATCGATCGTCCTGCGGGTTTCCAATGTAACCAACTCGATTGAGATAGTCTTCCCAAAGACGCACTCGGGTATATGTAAGAGCTGGCACGTCCGGTCAACCATAATAGCGATTTTTCTTTAATAGATTTGGCAATACGGACTTCCTTTGCCTTTGTAATTCTGTTCCGGCTTGGTGCCTATGCTTCGTTCAATCACGTAAAAACAAACTGCGAAACCGAAAGAGATGAGTGACCAAGGTTCGCAATCCTACACATACCAACCTGTGAGCACCAGCTAAAGCTTTCCAGACCGTAAGCCGTCACCTCCTAATTCAGTGCTACTGCAAGGCTTTGAATGGAATGTTCCTGCAGACCAAAAGCATTACAAACGGCTTCTCTCCTCTATTGAGAGTCTTAAATCCATAGGCATTGATAATATCTGGCTTCCACCCGGATGTAAAGCTTCAAGTCCAGAGGGTAACGGTTACGATATTTATGATCTTTATGATGTCGGCGAATTTGAGCAGAAGGGTAGTACGGCAACTAAATGGGGTTCAAAAGATGATCTCCTCGCTCTGAGTCAGAAAGCAAGGGAGATTGGCGTGGGATTGTACTGGGATGCTGTCTTAAATCATAAGGCTGGAGCGGACAACAAGGAGAAGTGTCTGGCTGTGGAAGTTGATGAGAACGATCGCACGAAGGAAGTCGGGGAGCCGTACGAAATTGAGGCTTGGCTAGGCTTTGATTTTCCTGGACGAGGGAAGAAGTACAGTGAGCTAAAATGGCACTGGTATCATTTCAGCGGGACGGACTGGAACGCAGCGACCGAGAAGAAAGCCGTTTATAAGATAGTTGGTGAAAACAAGAGGTGGTCCGAGTCTGTTGGCAAGGAGAATGGAAATGCTGATTACATGAGTACGAAGTCAGCGTACTTGTTCGGTCCAAAGTGCTGACTGTTTCTACAGTGTTTGCCGATATCGATTACCACCATGATGAAGTCATCGCTGATGTCAAAAACTGGGGTGTGTGGATTACGAAAGAAGTCGGCCTTAAAGGTTTCCGACTTGATGCCGTGCAGCACTTTAGCGAACGTTTTACCGCCGACTTTGTCGAGAATATCCGGAAGGAGTGCGGATCTGACATCTTCTTCGTTGGTGAGTATTGGACAGGAAATACACAAGAACTGCTCGATTGGCTTGAGGTCATGCAGCACAAGTTTTCTCTTTTCGATGCTCCTCTTCTCTACAACTTCAGCAACATAAGCACGAGTGAGGGTGGAGATCTGAGAAAGGTGTTCGATAACAGCCTGGTAGCGGCAGAGCCGTATAATGCCGTGACTGTTGTCATGAACCATGACACGCAACCGGGACAAACTGTCGCAACACCTATAGAAACTTTCTTCAAGCCTCTGGCCTACTCCCTGATCTTACTTCGAAGTCAAGGATATCCGTCTGTATTCTGGGGCGATCTTTACGGGCTTCTCGGACGAGGAAAAGATGCACCGAAGGAAGAACCGATAGCTAAACTTCCCGACATCTTACTTGCACGTTCGCTGTATGCCTATGGCGAACAGAACGACTACTTTGAAGAGCCCAACTGCATTGGCTGGGTACGACGTGGGACATGGGACCATCCTGCTGGCTGCGCAGTAGTCATGTCAAATGCAGACATCGGGGAGAGGAGGATGAATGTGGGGGATCTCCACAGAGGTCAGATTTGGACGGATGTGCTTGGATGGTCCGATCGCGAGGTTCAGATCGACGATGAAGGATGGGGAGTCTTTCCCTGTGGTGGCTTGAGCGTGAGTATTTTCGTTAGGAAAGATGCTGAAGGGCGCGATAGATTCCCTGTTCAGTTTGATGCCAAGATTTTTGATTGAAGTCCGACTATTACCGGAATTCGAGGATCGAAAATGACAGTTAGAACGCAATTATATTTTAAATGCGATGAACTATTGATACGTGATCCGGTGACCAATGACCGGCTACAGTTTCGACCGTTCCAAAGTCATTTGAGCCTTGAGTGCCTCATCAATGATCTGCATAGCACTAACCAACCGCCTCTCTTGCAATGTTGGTGCAACTACTTGAACACACAATGGTGTCCCTAAATATTCCTCTTTATCAACCTTAGTCCACAGTTCACGGTTCACTTTGTCCCATGGTCCTAGCGGCGGAATCGAGGGAACATTTGCTCTGAGATCGCTTGATACTAGCGGTCTTACAGGTATTGTCTATAACGGCGTCAGCACAAGTGAATGAGAAATAGCCAGTAGATACACTAACACCCGCAGGATAGTCTAAAAGGACAAAGGAGCTGGTATAGCTAACGCCATTCCATCGGTCGATAGGTGGGACCGGGTGCGGTGCCACAGGACAGATGATCGCATCGATCTCTCGTCCTGTGCTTGGATCTTGCCAGATCTTGAGGAATTTCTCTCGCAATTGGGCGCGCTTCACATGCGCTTCTCTCAGTTTATCTAGAGTAATTGGTGATTTTCTCTTGAGACGCGTTGAAAGCCATGGACTCAACGGTTCTCCCATCTGCTCAAGTACATCGAAGACGTAGTTGTTTCCATCGATGCTAAATAGCACGTTCGCAAGGGACTGACATTGCTTGAAAAGATGTGAGATGTCTAGTTCCACGGTCTGGATGCCTTGAGCACGAAGCATATCGGCAGTCTCAGAAACAACATTGTTGATTGGGGGGAGAGGATCAATCAGTCCATCTCTTCGCACAATACCTACGACCAAGTCTTTTTTGGTTTTGATAGGACCCTGCTCTTCCCAAAGGCCATAGGCTACGTCGGCGTCCAGCTTCCATGGTTGCCCAGCTGCCACAGTTTTCAGAAACATTTCACAATCCCGCATGCTTGTAGCAATAGGCCCAGCACTGGCGTGCACAGAGAGGTATGAAACACCGTCTAAACCTGCAGCTTGTTGTCCACTGTAAGGCACTCGTTGCCAACTGGGTTTGACGCCGTACAATCCATTGCACATGGCGGGAACACGGATGCTGCCACCTATGTCTGTTCCCACACCTAGAACACTGCCGCGCATCGCGATCAACGCCCCCTCACCACCGGTGCTTCCCCCGGCAGTGACTTTGAGGTTGAGTGGATTCAGTACCCTCCCAAAGACATTGTTGTGACTATCAAGCTGCATAAGACTCTGAGGAATATTCGTCTTACAATAGAGGACTGCACCTGCGTCGAGGAGCAGATCTACCAAGGGTGCGTTTGTGGTAGAAGGCTTGAAGGCGAACGCGGCGAAGCCAATGCTAGCGTCTTGGCCTTTGATCTTGAAGCTGTCTTTGAGAGAGATAGGAAGACCGTGAAGGGGGCCGAATGGCTTTCCGTGCTCTGAAAAGTAATTGTCGAGATATTTTGCGCGGTCGAGGGCAACGTCGAAAAAAATCTCCGTTAAACAGTTGGTAACCTGATGTGCTATAGCAGCACGTTTGCAAAATGCCTTTGTCACATCGAAGCTTTTTAGACCACCAGTGCGGAGCTTTTCGAGTAATTCTGTAGCATCATAGTCCTCTGTGACATGTAATTCCTCTCTGCTTAGAAGCCCGCATTGTCTAGGCACGTCAATAACGTTCTTGGTGTTATTTTTTGGGAGGTGAGCCGGGTCAATCCTCCACTCTTTGGGGATACGGGAAGCCTGCTCAGCTTTCTTCCGTTCAGAGATCGCTTTCCAGGTATCGGGCATTTTGAGATACCTCGTCAAGTGCAACAGACACCATTGTAGAATGCGAACTTATATTGAGGTTAAAAGCTGTGGGGTTAAGCCTCGGCTGGAGCAGGAGCAAGAGCTACGCTTAAAAGGGAAGTTTTAAGCTAGAACGAGTGCTGCGACCTCCAAATGTAACCAGTATTACCTACATTAAACTCGGACTCTGGCGTATGAAGAGATACATGACTGGTAGAGTGCTCATACGTATTACAAACGTGACTCGCGGTCTCCTAACTTAATATCGAACAGCAGTGCACGGTCCAACACGGTTGATTGCGTTGGAATTATCTGGGTAATTTCTGTCAGTTGAAAGTGGGAAAAATCTCATACTTGTCGCTAGCTCCAATAAGGTCTAATAAGTCTCTTTTTTATTCGCTTCTAGAACAAATAGATGGTTATCAATTTCCATTATCAACTTTACATTTCCATTTGTGTCCTCTTTCTTCACCACGATTTAGTTCTAAACCTCTCTTCATGTCTCATATCTACCCAGTCCACTTACATCTCATAACTCTCAAATGTCCATGCTATCATTGAATTTGGATGCTAGTATCAGTGAGAGGATCATAATATATAGCCTTGCGTAAGCAGGCAACTCCTTCGGCTAAACTGAAGTCCCAACTGGCAGCGTGCTAGGAAGTAATACCGTGATGTTAGCGTTTTCTTAACTTAATTCACCGATTGGCGCTTTCATAAGCACTCAAGCTAGGCGGGAGATCTTCAAGTTTTGTGCCCCACGAACTCTCGTTTTTGCCCACCGTAAGTATCAACTCTTTGCCCTCCAAGAAGAATGAGTGATCGATCCAATTTTTGCTGTACGCCACTCCATCTAGTGTTGCAGACTGGATGTAGATATCTTCGTAATCTGGATCAAAATTCACCACAGATATTGTTGCTGTCTTATTATTGATTGGCGAGCGTATAGATACCCGCTCAAAAAAGGGCGTGGTGATGAGATACACATCCTGGCCAGGATTTGGAAAGAGCCCAATCATAGCGAAAGCCAAAAATGAACCCATCGCTCCACTGTCATCATTGCCTGGTAAACCAGCACGTGTCGGTTTGAATGCGGACGGGATATAGAAGTGCACACGCTTCGTTGAGAGTGCCGGCCTTCCAGCATAATGGTACTGGAATACAGTCAAAAAGGATGGCTCATTGCTTATAAGAGTGATGCGTCGGTCATGGAGATAATCCAATCGTCGCACGAACTCGTCAGGTCCACCAAGCTTCGTGATAAGTGAAGCTTGGTCATGTGGCACGAAAAAGCTGTATTCCCAGATGCTTGATTCATATGTTTCGGACGCTCCTGGTTGCAAGGAACAGATACGGCTTGGGTTTGTATCGATGTTGCTGCAATATATCGGGTCTTGATAGCTCCAGGATAGGTTTGTGTACTTCGGCTGGAAGAAGCCAACAAAACCCGTGTCAAATCCATTGATTGATGACCTGATATCCTCTCGGAAGAGGTTCATCCAATTTTTGCTTCGCCGAAGGTATTTCAGGATGTCGGAAGACTCCGAGTCCATGCCTGTTGCTATTTGAGCAACGCAAAAATCATTATAGCTGTATTCAAGAGTCCTTGAAATGGACCTGGTCAAAGTGCCGTATCCCTTAACGTCGAAGTCTCCAATCGGGACATATCCCAGCTTCTTCCAGCTTTCGAGGTTGCCACGACCTTCGCAGCACCAGTCATAAGGCTCTACTTCCGCATCTTTTACAACAGCCTTGTATCCAAGCTGCCAATTGATATCATCGCGTATCCCCTTAACGAATGCGTCGGCAAGAACAATGTCGGCATTAGAACCCCCTTGTGTAAAGCCCTTGCAAAGTGACATCCTGCAGTCTGGTAACCAGCCTTCATGTTTGTATGTGTCGATAAGCGACCGAATAATGCGAGCCACTTGTTTCGGGTCAATAATGGTCAAAAAAGGCAACTGGGATCGAAATGAGTCCCAGAGACTACGAACTATTAGTCCTGAGCTATGACAAAAGTTCTGCATTAGTGGGGCCTCACCAATAGAAGGAATCAAAATAAGGCTCCTTGCTTTTCCACAAAGGGTTCTCTCCCGTATAATCCTGTGGATTTACCATAGTTCGGTATATACCAGAATAAAAGTTGGTGACTAACGTGCTATTTTTCAGTCCTCTGGTAGAGACTTCGATGGGAGCAAGTTGGCTTCGCCACTTATTTTGAGCGATTGTCATCGTTTTCTCGAAGTCAAAATCCGGGATCTCGGTTTCGGCATTCTCACAGGCTCTTGTTTCACTGATAAAGCTGAGACCAGCCCTGACAAAAATTGTACTGTTCTGTTGAGGAATGAATCGTACCCAAGCCCCTTCTGGGATTGGAAATCCATTCGTTATCTCCCGAGGTGGAACTGTCAAATTACGAATGGCGGTGTTTGGAACGTTTTCAACGAATGTGCCACTGTCCATCAAAGATCCACCAGAGAAGTCTATGCAAAAGAATGCTTTGTACGTTCCAATGCCAAAGCTGGGCTTAAAGGTTGAACCACCAACCATTCTCCCGCTCTGCTGATCTACGAAGATCGCTCCATCGTTCTGCCTTGAATCAGAAAGGTCTGTAAGGTCCAAAAGTATCAAAGGGCTGTTTCTTTGATCTTCTTCAAAGGAGAACGAGAACAATGATGTGTGTTGAGTTGATGTCATTTTGGCGCGAATCCCTGTGCTAAGAATCAGGCTGAAATACCCTGGCACCGCCTTAACACTGCTTGATATATATTGAACCTTTCTACTTGTCTTTGTGAAAGTGTTGTTGCATATGCCAATGGTTTTGTCCAGGCATGATAATTGTGGAAAGATCGGAAAGTTTCCCAACGAAGGCGAGCCTCCAGTTCCCTTAACACAATTAGTACATGCACTTCTAGCTTGAGTATTGGGACTTACAGAGTCATGCATGCTTGAAAATCCTGTAATTTCAAGACTTTGATCATTTGAAACGAAGCCGCCCTGGTTATTGGGTCCAACAGACGGAATGTTGTTGGTATCTGCCACTGGCTTGGCCATACCATATGGCAAGCTTGCTCCGGCAAAGACGTGGCCTAGGTTGTGTCAGAGCTTCCTAAGAGGCGTATTTGTTTTTTAATTACCATCATTAGCAGAACCAATAAGCGGATCAACGTATCGCAAAGGATCGAAGAACTGTTCTTCGCCTCTCACAACTTCCAGAAAGACTAAAAAGGAAATAAAAGTGTGCCAAATCATTGCTCGAAAACTTTTGGCCTTTGGCTCGTGATATGCCAATATGAAGAATATTTGTAAATTCTAGAACGTGTGCCAACTAAAAATAAAAAGATCAGATCTTCGATTCTATATTTTAAATTGACCCGCAGTGTGTCCACATCGGTCATCCACAATGAGTAACAACGTGAAACTTTAAACTCCTTTCAAACTATACAGATATATAGTAGATGTATAGTGGAAAGCATCACCAGAGTACATTAGAACGATAGATGAAATTTTCGTTCCTTATTCCTATCGAATACGCAACACTTTCACTCATGCTAATGTTGGCAAATCCAAAGCTGCAGCCGTAAATGAGAACTGTGAATAAGCTGGACAGATTCCCGTAAAAGCATATTAGGTGGGTGCTTTTAGGAAAGGGTGCGTATCTTTTAGTTTCATACTCCCTCGCTGGCTCAAAACTTAAAGTACAACTCAAATGCAGAGCCAAGAGCCTCTCTTTTCGGATTTATGACTTGTGACTTGCCAATCTGATTCATGCGCCAATAGGTAGGCATCGGCGTTCTTTGCTTGGTATCCGTGATTGGTAAACTAATACATCTTCACCGTGACCATGAATTTTGGTTTATTCAAAGTTCACTACATTCTTAGAAGAAAATAAAATTTGAACCGACTTCAAGCTGATATTATCCGACCATCGCCCTGAAGAAATCTATCGATCGAAGCAAATCCAAAGCACGATATTCCATTTCTTTTTTTCACTGTGATAGTCGGTGCATTTGAATATACCATGGGAGGTAGAAGACCATCAAGCAAAACTCCCGTCGAATTGGCTCTTTTCCCTCTCTAAGAATTGCGGAAGTGAATGTAGAACGATGCCCCAGCCCTGAGCGGCTTCGGAATCCGCTAGTTTGTAGAGTTCTGCCAACTCTTTAGCACCCGAAACCATGGGATTTGTCTTCGCCAACTCTGCCGTTTCCGCTTCAGTGCGATACACTCCTTCAATGCGCTCTCCCGAAGCATGCTCCAAATCCTTGACTACTTGATCTACTCGTATATTTTCTTTCGATAGTGGAATTATTTTGCCAGTAAACTTTGTCGGGTGGCTGAAAGCAGCAGTCACGAAGGCGCCAATGTCGTAGGGATCAACCAAAGGGAGCAGAGTGTCCGGCTTGAAGGAGCAAACGAATTTGTGTTCTTTCCACAGTTCCGGGAACATGGAGCGACTGAGATGGCCCACGAAGTTCGACATGAAGTACCCTCCTCTTATTATGGTCCAATATTCGAATCCTGCAGCCTTCACAAGCTCTTCGACATGAGCTTTTCCAACGACGGCCGCAGCTACAATCGAGCCAGATTGACGAAGCTCTTCGGCTCTCGGTACACCCAGCGAGGTAGAATGCACAACATGCTTAACTCCCACATTTCGGGCTAATTCGATGATGGCCCTTGCTTGTCGAACTTCGGTGTCGTCTCTGATAGAGGGCATTTGGTTAAGGAACAGTCCAACACATCCAGTCATGGCGTCTTGCAACGCCTTCAAATTGTCAAGAGTTCCTTCAAACAATTCTGCGCCCAACTCCCGCACTGCGAGAGCTCGCTCATCTTTGGAATTTGAAACGTATGCCCGAGCTGGAATGTTGTTTTTCCGGAGGTGTTGGATAACAGCTCTTCCTTGCGTTCCGGTTCCGCGAAGTACTAACACAGGTGATTGAGACATGATCACTTAAAGCTCTTCTCCTGAATCTTTAAACCGAAAGACTTGAGATTCGTGCTTCAGAATAGTTACTGACCACTTTCTAGTACTTTTGCGCAGAACATTGCACGCATATATATAGCTATATATACCGAGCCTGGGAATTCGACTTTTCTCCGAGCGTATTCTGCGTACTTTTTTTTCCTCAACCTTACATTGTGTTCACAGTTCATGGTGTGGCCTGAAGTCCGCATTTCCAATAGCCCCAGTGCTACTGATTACTGAAGACAGCTAGCTTGTCCGCAAATGCACTAGCAATCAGCGGTCTGATTGGTCACCCCCTACATGTGTCTGGGTCAAACAACTAGGCTCCCTAAGTATCTCCGTCAACTTTGATTTGGATTATTTCAACGTTTGCAGGCTCAGGAACATGTCGAAACAATTTTAGAGAGAATTTTTTTGAGCACGAATTGGCGGGTGCGAGAGTCTTGACGAACGGTGCATCAATTCCTCCACATCATGTTCACCCGTCAGCTTCCTCGAAAGAAGAAGTCGTGCAGCCATTGCGTCAAAGCGAAGCGGAAATGCGACCTGGAGACACCGAAATGCAGAAGATGTGCTAAGCAAGACTTGCGGTGCGAGTACCCTTATGCGGAACGCCATATTGGAAGTGAATCTTCCTTTGTAACGGCAACGCCCAATACGTCTATGGACCGGAAACTTGCCCCGTCATTCGACTGTTCTCCTCCGCTAGACTTCGCAGCCTCGACATTGGACCCATTTCTTTCCGAAGGCTTGGGGTTAACAATGCCGTCTCTCGGGTGCTCAGATTTGGACCCCCTCGGGATGATGTTGATATCGGAGCAACCATTACTCGAAGTGGCGCACATGCGGCAGAGTCCCACTGCGTTCAGCATCTCCTGTCTAAACAGTTTCTCGTCTTCCCGCTTGCTGTATGCCATAGATCTGATTAAGAAAGCACCAGAAACTATGGTCATGAAAAATCAGACTCCCTGGTCTCATCCACGACTATATGACGATGCTATGCCTCGATGCCTGTCAGGTAGGTCGCATCCCGTTCTCAGCACTTGAAGCATGCGAGCTAAATCTCAGTAGAGGCATACGCTGCCAGTGCCCTCTCCATGTCACGAAACAATACCAATTCCGAATTTGTTTCTAGACATATAGAGAACCGATTTGAGGAGCTACTTCAAGCAGAAATACCGGCCACGCTTAGCGGCGTTCTGTCTCACGCACATGCTTTTATTCTATATCTCAGTTTACAAGTATTCTCCAACGACGTAGGTATATAGACTTTTCCAACACTTCACAGTCATGCTGACCTCTGGAGAGTTTCGCGCTCACGCTCAGGCACACCGCGCGCTTTCTCAATTAGAAATGTATGGCTACAGACTTCATAGTTTACTCATAAAAGACGGCGGTCTTAACTTAGATATGCTTCCTGCATCTCTGTCTCTGTATCCCATCGCCTCAGCGGCCATTGCATGGCGTTCATATATTCTTCACGAATCCGCACGCCGTACACTTCTCGTCATATTCTTCATGACGACTCTCTGTAATGCATTGCGAGGCGAGCTCGGATACTGTCACGCTCGAGGAGCCCTGTACACTTACTTGCTCGGATCCGCACACCTCTGGAGAGCGTCATCAGCATTCGATTTCGCCAAGTCTTGGAATGAGAAAGATCGTTTGATCATTGATAACTTGGATTTTGCGTCGATGCTAAACGCTGCCAACCCAGACGACATTGATGACTTCGGACGAATGCTCTTGGTTGCATTGCTAGGAGTTGATGAGGTGCGAGGTTGGTTCGCCATTAAGGGAGGCGCTTTTTGACTTCGAAATGAAATTTACCATCTTTGCCTTTGTCGAACCAGGTTTGCTACGGAGCATGAAGCTTACGAATCGTCACGACTGCGAGGTCTGTCGATGTGCACATATGATAATTGTTGTTAATTTTGTTCATGAAATCACATCTGAACACCTTTAGTTTTGTTTTCTCCCTTGTGCTCTCTGTTCTCATCAATTTCCGATGTACAGGAAGCATTAGCAGATTGTCTTGTCATCATGCAGAGGCTATTCGTAGCTTCCAGGGTGTTGCTCCGATCGAACTGGCCGATCTCGCCCACGATTTGTGCCGAAGTCATCGATCAACCGTCGTCACTCGTGTCCAGTGTTCTACGAGCTTCGCGGTCACTTAGCTCTTGATATAAGCTTCTAGGGTGTTGCACGATTTTCAGAGACGGTCTGAAACGGACGGTTGAGACAAATCAACATTTCAAGGGCGCGACCCATGCCGGAGATTCCGGACATTGCTTCGTTTTGACTACACCCGTCATTTCCTTGTCAAAATTCCACAACATGTACCATGCGTGAGACTACAAGTTCGCTGCGCAAACAACCATAACGATTCGACTTTCATAAGCAATAACTTAGCACGGTTTTCCGAGATCCCGTGGTCTCATCATCGCTGCTACAACTACCACGTCGCAGTCTTAGCTTCCCGCAGTCCGTTACACTTAGCATTAGCGGATCTGCAAAAACCATTTTCTGATCTTTGAGGCTTATCCTCATTATTGGACTGCTCTCAAGGACACCAGTGATATCTGACGTCCCATGGCACCTCGATCAAAGGGCGTTATTTCCGATAGCGAGCCTACCCGTTCGTCAGGAAAGGTGAGAGAACAGCGACGGCAGTAAGGCTTATGGACGGCTCTGATTCAAACGCAGAAGAATGCAAGAAGACCAACGTCACCAGCCGCGCAATGTGCATGCCAAAATGCTAATCTTCTTAAGCCAAAGGTAAGAACCTCAACGTCACCTCGCCGACGTAGCCAATTAATGCATCCGTAGCGCAAGGCAAAGTCCAAAACACCAATGAGCCAAGAAGAAATCGCGGCTCAAATCGCAGCACGCATAGCTCAATTATCTGTTAGCCCTAACGATGCGCACCTGCAACCATCCGTGAAGGTCAAGTCTATTGCAGAGCTGCGTAGCACCAAGATAGCACGTCTCACCACCCAAATTGCAGCCAACGAGGCCGAAATCGCGCGCTTGGAGCGCGAGTACGCGCTCGCCAAAGAAAGGTTGGATCGTGAGACGAAGGCCTTGGAGTTTCACAAGGATCCAACCGTCAATCCCTCGAGCGACCCCGCGCGTTCCAATGCCGTTCCCCGTGCGCAGTCAAAAGAAACTTTAGCTATGATGGAAGATGCACGCGCAAAGCTCGAAACTGTCGCAGATCGCGCCCAGAACTTACTCAGCAGGTTCAAAGACGGTGAAATCAACGAGTACGCCGCGATGAGAGAGCTTAAAGACCTTCTAGAAAGCGCGAAGGACGGCGGCTGCGACGTCGCTGGTTTATGCCGCATGGTAGCCGCATCAGACTTCAAAAGTCCAACCAACTTGGGTGACATGGATAGAAGAGTCGAGCCGGCAAGAAAACGCAAGGTTCAGGATGTCAAGGTCGAGGAGATGAATGCGAGAGTCACTCAAGAAAAGCGGAAGATTGAGAGTAGAAGGGAGGCACAGGACACCCAAGCGGCCCCCAGTGTATCAAATACAACCGACATGGCAACCTTGGGGCCAGTGAAGACAAGTCTTTCGCAGCAGTAGCCAACTATGAAACGAAATTCGTATTGATCATAAGCGACAAGTGACGCCGCAAGATAAAATGGTTCCTTACGTCTGTCTTGACCACGCCGATAGTATGAACATTATCATTTATTGTCAAAATGAAGAAATCAAGGCATTAACATTATTTTCTATCGTGCTATGAAGGATTACTCGTCAGGTATACAATAACACACCTCAAATGGCGTGCGCAGGGTATCGCGTATTCTTGACCAACCCAGAAGCCGCACAAAATTCATGCAGTCCTGTTCATTCGGTCACTGGAGTCGTCATAGCATCATGAACACAAAGGCTGTAAGCATTAACCCAGCCGCCATCAAATACCACGTTATGCTTTGAATCTCTCCATTCGTAGCAACTGCCGAAGCACTGCTCCTGATGTGCGATAAAAAAACATGACCAGGTTGATGTTTAGCTTCGAGCTTGCGCATTCTCTTTTCTTCCCAGTCAATAAGGTGCAAGCCCCTTCTGACCAGATCTACGACTCTCACCCCAGTGATGGGCTCTTCGAAATCGCCCACCTCACTCCAATCGTAATCCTCACTCTTCTGCCGCTCCCTGAGGCTGATCGAGAATTCTCCCTCCGCGCCATGATTAAAGATGCCTGGCAGGTCGCTTCCCACGTGTTCATTTCCAGGCACTTTATGATGGTCTCCTATCAAGACATTCTCCAGAAGTTTACCGTTCTGAGATCCACCAACGCTGATCTGGCCACTGGAGGTAGACGAAACGTTATGCAATTCGGTGGCGAGAATGTTCGAGGAGCGGCCACCGGGACAAAAGATGATATTAAAGCCTGCTCCAGAAGGGACAATGAATGTTGAGGTTTGGTCATCGAACGCTGGACATTAAGTCAACAATGAAGATATTCACGTCGGCAAACTCCACGTACCGTAGCTGTAGGCATCCGGACACACTGCCTTGGCGTTCTTGGAGTACTCGGATGGCTGACATGCACTCGGACTATTGTATGTACCAGTGCAGCAGTCTTGTGGCAGGTTCCACTTTGCACACGCTGAAAAACACGGATTGAAAGCTTGACGCTGCACACTATTATCCGGGTACATGTACTTGCCGTCATTTGGAGGCTGCGGCATGTTGAGCTGCAGTTCCCACGGGCACCAGTTTAGCACCTGTTGGTAATTGACATTAAAATCAAGAGGTAGAGGATACGAGGAGTTTGTGTTGAGGAAGGTCTGGCCATTCGCATACGGCATCCAGTCTTGGGGAGCAAGCAATTCCGCAGTACCACTACAGGTTGGATTGGTGAGATTGGGAGGAAGCTCGTCTAATGTAAAGTTTCCATGCGGCTCGAGTACAATGGCCATTGGGATGTTGTAGCCGTCCACCAGGCTGATGTCGTAATATGACTGGTCGTCACCGGCGTTCAGCGTGAACTCGGCGAGGGTGACGGGTACATCTCCTCCCACTTTGCAGGCGAGCATGCCGTTGCAGTCACCAGAGCCACATGCTTTTCCTGGACTGCCGTTGGAGGGTCTCGTACCGTCAGCATTGAACGAGCAATTTGTTCTCCCCCAAACGCGGCCCTGCCAATTCTCGGATACCACGAGCTCTCGTGTCTCGCCAGGACTCAACTTGAAGCCCGTATCTGCTGGACCTTTGCCAGACTGCGTATTGATTCCTGGATAGATGTCCTCAGAACAAAGGTTTGTGATGTGCAAGGGCGTAGTATTCGGATATTGTCTGGGAACCAGTCGTCGTGGCGCGCGGCGCTGCATGTGATGTATTGCTTGGACCTGAGACAGGCATTGTAGGAGTATTAGCACACTACGCAGTGAAAGCCTCCTCACTCCTCTCGATGTTATAGTGGTCGAAGATAAGGCTCGGGGCGCTCCAAGGCTATGGGTCTGAGCAAATCCAACAGCCATCGACGCTTGCAGGGACGGCAGGATTGAGAATTAGGTCTGTTCAGGTACTATACTTCACGTTCTTCGAAGATCGAAATTCGCGAGAGCGACAGGAAAGGATACGCGAGAGGAATGGGTCCAGATGCATGCCATTCGGGGCATGGAGGAGTTGTCAAATGAAGGACATCGGGACGCAAGAAAAGCCGCAAGCGCAGTCACACAACAGGTGGATTTGTGTTGTCAAGGAAGGACGAATGACAAAGAAGCCGCTATCGATGCAAGGAAGGTTGTAGGTGGAGGGGGGATGAGCCATGATGTTGCAAAGCGATTTTTGCACTGGTCCTTCCAAGCTTTCCTCGCTATCACCATAGCCTGAGCTTCAGCATGTGGTTGACAGAACGATTCGTCATAGGCGCAAGGATGCTGTGATAGCGCTTGACTGTGTTTGGGAAAGCGACAACGGACAATATGAGCTGAAGTCACCAATCGGCGCTGAATTCCCAAAGACCTGGCCTCAACACCGGTCAAATGCAGATCAAGAGCCCAGAGCCCCGCGAAAAGGCATCAAAGAGTTCTGATGCCGTTCGATCAACGTTGCGTCTAGTCTAGTCAATCTGGTCATCACTCCGCTCTGCACTTAGCGCCATGGAACCAAAGGCGCTCGATCTTGGGCGCTTGAACCACAAGTTGGATGGGCAGAACCACGATCTCTGGCTCCATCTACAGGCGGATACCAAGCTTGACAAGTATCCAGGTAAACACGTCCTGCCACCGGCCTGTGAAAGATGGTCTTCTAACGAGCCGATCCAAAGCAAAGCAACACGTTCGGGCTGTGGCCACAAAGCTTGGCGTAGACGAAGGCTTAATTTTTCTGGCCGGGGAGAAGACGACGCTACTGACTGATAGCGATCAGCCGGTTCCGTTCCGGCAGCGCAGATATTTTTACTATCTCACAGGCTGCAATGAGCCCGACTGCTACGTTCTCTACGACATTGCAAAGGACCTGCTTACCTTGTACATCCCCAGGGTCGACCTCAAACATGCGGTTTGGGGAGGAGCCGGATCAACAAAGGCTGAAGCTTTCGCCAAGTACGACGTGGACAACGTGGAGTATACCGACAATGTTTTGGCCAACGTGGTACAGCTCTACGCTCAACAGAATTATGCTGGAAGACTCTATGTTCTGTCAGACGTCGAGGGCAGGACTACTATCGTAGCATCAAGACTCGCTGTCGAGATGTTTATGCTCGATGAAGTCCAGCGCGACGTTAACAAGAAGCAAACGATTGAAAAGAAGGTCGACACGACCAAGCTAAAGAGTGCTATAGACTCATGCAGGGTGATCAAATTTCCGCATGAAGTTGAGCTGATCAGACGTGCGAACGATATTTCAGCGAAGGCACATCGGGCTGTTCTAGAGAACGTCAAGCATTTCAAGAATGAGAGAGAAGTAGAAGGCCGCTTTCTAGATACTTGCATATCATCAGGCGCGCACAGCCAAGCGTACAGCATCATAGCTGGCGCAGGTCCGAATGCGGCAGTTTTACACTACGTCGCGAACGATGCGCCATTTGATGACAAACAAGTCCTTTTGCTGGATGCCGGTGCAGAATATAGTTGTTACGCAAGTGATGTCACAAGGACGGTTCCCATATCGGGCTACTGGACCGAGGAGGCAAAGAATATTTATGATGCTGTCAACGACATGCAGGCGCAATGTATGGCACGAATCCGCCCTGGCGTGCACTTCCGTGACCTGCAAATCTTGGCCTCTGCCATTGCCACGCGGTGGCTTCTGAAAATTGGAGTGCTTCACAACGGCTCGTTAGCTGAGATACTTAAGGCTGGTACTATACGCGCGTTCTTTCCCCACGGCCTCGGTCATCATGTCGGATTGGACGTCCACGATGTGCTTAATGTGCCTATACAATCCAAAGGTGCAGTCACGGAGGTAGAATCCGATCTAAGCGTATACAGGGATACCGAACTCGATGGACTACCTCGGGAAACTATCTCCCAGCTCTACAAGACTTTAATTGAACGCAATTCATGCAAACCTCCTGTCACATCCGACAGTCCTGTCCTTGAGCCTGGCATGGTTGTCACAGTGGAGCCAGGTATTTACTTCTCTGATTTCGCTTTGTCAAGGGTATATTTACTAGACCCTGTACATTCGAAGTACATCAACGTGAAAGTTCTTGAGAAGTACATGCCGGTAGGAGGAGTTCGTATCGAAGATGACATTCTGGTTACGAAGGACGGTTACGAGAACTTAACAACCGCGCCCAAAGGCGATGACGCTCTCAAGATTATCAGAGGCGAAGCTGAGACCGAGTATCACTCGAGGTTCGGACACGATATTCCCAGTATCCTTGAGCCTCCCGTTCCGCCAGCTGCAACGTCGGACAACAAAGGCAAGATGCCTTTGGGTAGCTCAACCATTTCCTTGCGAGAGAAGCCTGGAATGAAAGATACTTCAAGAAACTGGTCAAAACAACCGAATCAGAAAGCCTTTGCACTGACGAGCACAAATGCGGATCCTAAGCTAGATGACGACCTACCTCCCATCAACGAGGATCACAGTCTGATTTGCTCTTTTCCCTTCGCGAAGACAACATCGGTTTCGATCACAGAAAAGCCCGCCTGTTCCACCACGTCGAGTCCTGAACATTGCCAGCGAATTGACCTGATTAAGCAGATTATTGAAAGCCAAGAGCGCACGAAGAAGATCATTGATGACTTCATCTCATTATGCACTACGAAGAACGACACGAACATTGTACCAGACGAGATTTCAAAACTAGAGAGGGACTTGGAGAATTCAACTCTAGCGTTACAGGCCTCTCAGAACGCTACACTGTCTCAGAGTAAAAATGTGCTTGCTGGACTTTTGGAGGGCGAGAGCTCCAGCAAACAAAGCGCCCCAGAATCTGCCTCCTCACGTTTGGAACAAACCCAAGCCGAGCAAATAGGGTCTGCCAGCGTGATGACAAGGTCAGACTCACCTGAGTTACGAAGCTCATCGCCTCGGAAAAGTCAATTTGCTCGCGTACTGTATGACTTTCACGACGCCTATGACGAGGTATGCGTAGTATTTAAAGAAGGTGATATCGTCGAGATTCTGTCAGAGAATAGAAATGGCTGGAGGAGTACAAGGAATACGCGAACAGGACAGCGAGGATGGTTGCCGAGTAACTATGTATCGAAGGAAGAAACGGCTCGATTAAGGAAAGGACCGCCAACGCTGTTACCCGCAGATGAGAAGCCAGATCAGAACACAAACTTATCGGAATCTTCGGACGATGAGCGGGCAGCTGCAAATCAGATTCGCGGGATTATGGCGGAGCAATGCCTGCGATCTGTATTCACGAAGGAACTTGCTGTCTTGATGGAGGCCACGGACGCAGCGCACACCAGCGCCACGCACAAGATTGAGGAGCTCATCAGAAGTATTGTTGAAGAAAAAGAAGACGGAGACAAGTTGACTTGCTTCGCGGGTTTGTGCATGCAGCTAAGAGCCGTTTTGCCCTCGATTCGTCTGAATGTACTGCCTGGCTCCGGCATGGATAAATTTAGAAGGCTGTACAACAAAATCGACGAGACTTTGAAGAACGAATTCGCGTACGGTCACCTGTTCTATCGGGTCGATGCGGTCACCAGGACTGCGCTGCTGGCCAACAGATGGAAGTCAATTCGGATCAAGGAAGAGGCTGCCGTGGGAGAGATTGGGGTATGTGGAACGTGTCGGGTCTGCAGAGTTGGATTTGTGGGTTGGGATGAAAGGTGGTTAGCTGATAGCGTTGACGAGGACGCAGATGATGAATGACGAAATAGCGACACTTTACCTCCGATGTTGAAACGTAGTGTACCACGGATGTTATTCTTTCCATACTGACCTCTCGGTACGGACAGGAGAGCTCTTAGCCTTGAAATATGTACGGAATCTGCTAAAGAGCTAACAGGGGTTGGCGAGGAAGGCTGAAAGAGCATTAATCTGGTTAATTCATGACGCGAATGGGTTATGCTGACATGATTCAGACATTGACTCTGGAGAATTCAAATGGGAACGTTTTCCGGGATATTTCTATCACCCAAAACAGATGAAACGCTCATCCTAGTCAGGCTTATATCACAATCGTCTTTTCAAGCCTCTTTCTTAAGACACAATTCATCTACTTGCTGGATCTATAATCTAAACCTAAAACGTTGGGCCTTTAGGGTGGGGCATTTGTGTTTGTCTCTTGTGCTTTTGTGTTTCTTTCGCTGTGATTATCAAGCGTACATATGCTCTATTGCAAATCTGCTAACAAGCCTAAAACGAAACTGTAAGCCTTCAGGTAGAATGCATCAGACATGGCAATGCAGGTAGGAGGAGAAGCGCGATGCCACAGATTTCATTAGCAGGGAAGCAGACATGCTTGTTAAAGCACTGCCACGGTCTCTGATCGTACATTGGAACAACAAAAACCTAAGTCGTTGACATCTACCACCGAAACTTTTCGCCCACGAGTTCTTCGCTCTTTTCCCACAACTTTTCGGCCTCTGAACTGGACACCGCTAGCGGGTGCGCCGCGTCGGAGATCTGGCAGTCGACGAGATACACGCCCAGGTTGTCCTTGCCCCCCGCCGCTTTGCGAGGCGGTCCCAGACTTGCGTCCATGGCGGCGACCAAGCTCGTGCTCGATCCAGCACCCAGCGTTTTGCTGCCGAGACGCTCGACGAAGGCGCGAATGGTCGCCCGCGTCGCGTCATCCACGTAGCGCGCCGATTCCGTCCAGACAATGCCAGGGTGGACGGCAAAGCTCAGGATGCCGTACTGCTCGTACAGGCGGTCGTTCAGGCCGACACTGAACAGCACGTTGGCCACCTTGCTTTGGTTGTACGCCTCTATGGGCACGTACTTCTTGTTCTCCACGTCGACCGTGCCCCACTGCCGGAGCATCTCGTACGGTGGCCTTTCGGCCTCTGGCAGATCCTTGTTGGCGACCTCGAAGTTCATGTCGCTCCAGCGCATCCTGGCCACGGTCGGGGACAGCGACGTGACGTTCACGACTCTCGTCGCGCCCCTCGCGTTCTTTCTAGCCGCCGCGAGGATCTTGGGCATGATCAGATTCACGAAGAGGAAGTGGCCGATGTGATTGGTGCCGAAGTGCATCTCGATCCCGTCTTCGTTCAGCGTCCGCTCGGGAAGGTTCATGATTCCGGCGCTGTTGACGACGATGTCTATTGTCGGGATGTCTTCCCATGCAAGCACTTGTACCGCCGCGGCGCGCACAGCTTTTTGACTCGACAAGTCGAGATTGAGAGGCCGGTAGTCGACATCCGGGTACTCGCTCCGCATGGCGTCAATCGACTCCTGGATCTTTGCAGGATTGCGGCCCGTGATGATGAGGTGAGCGGGAGCTTGCGACGCCTTGACAATCTGTTAGAGCTTGGTCTGCAAGGAAGCGAACAAGGCGTTCCAGCGTTTGGAGATACTGACAAAAGCTTGCGCGGTCGTGAAGCCGATGCCTCCGCGATTTACCCCGGTCACCAGGATGGTCTTCCCACGGATTTGCTCTTTAAATGCCTTCGCGACATCCAGAGCTTCCGTATCAGGTCCGAAGTCTCGGTGTGTAGTTGCTGTCATGTCGGCAGATAGAGTTTCTTAGGGAATCTCGCGATGAGAATTCTGCTTGAATATACCTATGGGAATGAAGACCAGTTGTCTTTTTTATATTATTTAGGCAGACGTTATTAAACACCTTCCACAAGGGCTCTTAAGTCCGAAAGTCCTCATCTACATGTGTACAAGCTGTGCAGTAATACAAAAGGTGTCAGCCGAACTGCATATCGTCGAGGCTGAGCAGCAGCGTGATTGGCTGTTCATGGTGCTTGGCAGACGGCGGACTTAAGGGCATTCCAAAAGGCTGATTCTTGGCCTTCCAACGAACAAAAAAATTCGGACGAACAGTCGTTAATGCAGGCAAAGATTGTTGTACTTGACGTCAAAATCGGAATGCCTATGTACTCATACAAGGTGACCACTACGTAAACATCCAGGATAAACTGTATGCTGCCTTAAACAATGCACAATAACCCCGGCTAGTACACCATTTTTTTCTCCTAGGACAGTTCGCGAAGCTCTAGGTCGGCAAGTCGACAAAAAGTGCTCATGATGGCTTGTCTCTCTTCGACAGCAGTATTTCGTACGCCGTTGCAAATGCTCTAAAACACAAACTCCAGCCAGATCCTCTACTCGTCATCAGTATCTGTCTCCGTGTCCGTAGTACTGTCCTCATCAAGCGCCTCATCGCCTTCTGTATCGCTACCACTCGACTCATCTCTCACCACGCTCCTCTTCACCCGCTCGCCTTTCATCATAGCCATCTGTCCCGCAAGAGAATCTAGATGGTATTGGTTAGTTTCGATACGATTGAAAACGGATAGGACATGGGCGTACCTTCATCTGGATCGCTGATTTCTCCTCCGTCTCCAATGTCCTCTGCCATTGTCGCGTCCTTGACTTCCATCGTTACGTTCATCTTTGTATCTAAGCCCAGATACGAATCACAGACCAGATGCATCTGGAACGTGTAGACACCTGGTTGAGGTGGCGCACCAAACTGCATCTTGAGCGTCTGCACCTCAAAGGTAGGAAGTCCGGTGTCTTTGTGGAAGATCGGCTTGTCAAATTGTGCGAATGTGAATGGTGGCACCACTATCTTTCCTTGTTTAGCATCACCGAGGAACATGTTCCACTTGGGAGAGTGATCGCGCGCAAAGTAAGGTGCGTGGGCCAGGGGTGGGGGATAAGAGACTTCGTTTGCTTTGGATCGGCGTGACTCATCCTTGTCGGGCTCCTCCAGATCGGCTTCTGTGACGTGAGGAACGTTTGTGCTGCCCGGTGGGATGACACGTGCCTTGACAACGAATTGAACGAGGGAGTTGGGAGTCACATAACGTTCTCCGTGGACTTTGAAGAAGGCCCTTTCAACATGGAGATAAGGCATGTTTGAGGCTATGGACATCGCTTGCTGGTACTGTCTTTCGTCCAGGAGGCCCGGTCCTACCACTTTAGACTTGCGCTCGTTAGGTGGTATAGCCATAAATTTCTGGACGGAGAGATGTTTGCGAGACTTGACGCCTTCAATGGCGGCCACAACCTTTGGAGTGAAATGGGGAAGTTGAAGTAGCGGTGATCCAGCAGGTGGGATGGCTTGTAGCAGGCATTGCGACAGGCGATAGGAGTTGAGTACCGGCTCCATTGCGCCAAAGTGCAGGGCAATGATAGTGAATGCTTCATTAAGAAGCTGCGCGATGGGGCCGACCTCGAACTTCTCGTCGTTTAGGATGGCGTCTTCAAGGTCGATACGGCCGAGGTACGCCCAGATTAAAGCGAGCGTTTTCCTGCGCTGTGGGTCGTCCATCTGCTTAAGTTTCTTCTCGTCCTTGGCCGTGAGACCAGACGCGAACTGCTCAAACTCACTGGGCGCAAGGACACGCTGCTCTATACGTGCCAGACCTGACTCCGCCTTCTCCCCCTGCAGCAATTCTTTGTATTCGTCGGCGCCGCTGCATGCTTCGATAATGGCACTCGTATTGGTCTCTTCGCGGAAGGTCTGGAATAACGTCCCCGCGCTGTTCACATAGATCCCTTCTTTCGTCTTCTTCTGCGAGCCGTACCACCATCGGCCGACGAAGTACGGCACGGCGACGCCAAGCAAGCTGAGATAGAAGAGCATGACATACTTACCGTTGCCCTCTGCGACAAGGAAAGCGGGGAGGGCAAGGCCGATGCTGAAGCTCTGCTTGCCGTCCGGGTGGCCGTACTCGAGGTAATTTCTGCGAACCTCCTCGTCCGTGAGTGCCTTGAAAGCCTTCGTAATCTCGACCCAGTGCTCGTTGACAGACTCAACGGTCTGGTTGAGAGCCGGATCGATCTTAACCTTGTCCGGGTGGTGGGTGAGGGATAGTTTGCGGTAATGCGACTTGATCTGCTTCTCGGATGCCGACTGTTTGTATTGCGATCTTGTTAGCCTCTCGTCACCCGTATTGCATAGGCTCCAATCTCGGACGCTAATGCCATGGAGAGACATACGTAGGATATACCCAGCACTTCGTACGGATCCCACACCTTGGGGATCGTCCTAGCGGTGACGATGATCAAGTAGACCATTCCGACCATGACAGCCCAGCCTGCGATGCTCACCAGCATCCTCTTCGTCCGGCGCTCGCGCCTCCTCTGCTTGCTCTTGACCTTATCGACCAGATCCGCATCGTCAGGACGATAGTCAGTCTGTATCCGCGCCGCGGTGTTTTCGAGCTCTTTGCTGGGCTTCAGCCATGAATATGTGGTGGGCACAGTGACGATCGCGGCAATTGTGAGGATGAAGTATGGGAAGAATTGGCCCTGTTCATCATAATTGTACTCGGTCGACATGATGGCGGAGAGCTGGCGGACCGCCTTGAATGCGGCGCAAGAAGTTGGTTCGTCCGAAGCTTTGTGCTCTTTTCCGGGCTGAATGCTATGTTCCGGCGAGGTTTCGTAGAGAGCGGGCCGTGAACATGCAAGATTGCATAGCACACGAGGGCTTTGGAGGAGGGGGTGATTTGCTTGCGAACACGAGAGAGTTGAGTATGTGTTAACTAGTAAATTATCGCCAACGAGCCTGAACTATTCTCCAGGTGGCCTTTGGACCCCTGGCGGACTCTTTTGGCTGGCGAATAGCGAGACGCCTCGGGGCTTCGGCCACACTAGGGGGGAAAGGCAGTCTCTGCGCCAGTATGCGCTGTAAATTACGTCCCGCTGCTGTATGCATCAGCCAATCGTTGGCGGGCATACACCAACACTGGTGGCTTGTTGTAAAGTTATCAAAGCTGCACTGTACAATACGGTATGATTGAACCGCTTTCTGCTCTGTACCGTACAGTGTAGTGCTGTGACCACTTGCATATCCTCTGGCCTCTCTCATCAAAACGTTCGATCCTCACCTCCAGCTGCGTAATGTTGTACCATCGACACTCATTCGTCCTCGGCTCCGTTCTCGATGGGGTGGTGGTCCGCTGCCGTTATGCACGTTGAACCGCCGCCTCAGCCTCCGTCGCCAGTTGTCCAGGTCACCACACAAACACAACTGATAACGGGGTCACTGTATTCTTTGTTAGACGACTATATCTTCGTACAAATATCGTGGATTGCACTACATTAGCCCGAAGTATACTGGGATTGCCTTATCTAGCTCCATATCGCATCATTCTTTGGTTCCGAGTCTCGTCGCCACCCACTCCCGAGTCAACTGCTTCATTTGAGTCATCAAGCTACTTATACGCCAGCAGACCCAGTTCACGCCAACCAACGTGTGACAGCACAGGATTTTTCCCCGCTTTGAATCAATCAAGGTGCCGATTTTCTTTGTCAATCATTCTTAATCACATATATCTCGTTGTTTCTTTCTTTACCTTCCGTCTACATCTTGTCTTGCTGTCACCCACTCACTGTGCTGCCTGAATCGCGAGCGAGCCATGGCGCTCACATCGTCAAAGATGTAGGACCCTCATAGTCTGCTCAGTACGTCAGTCACTCCCGCACACAGGGGTAATTTCAGCCGGAAGCAGGAGTCACTGGATGAACAGACCTGGTACATAACGTTGGCCGCCACGAGGTTGAATTGCTCTCCCCACAACACCATTACCTGTACACCAAATCTTTGAATCCGTCTACCTCAAATCTTCTTGAATAGACTCCCCAACCTGGGCAGAAAAATAATTTCCGCCTACGATCCAACGTCAACCGCACGTACCAGCTGAAACATGTGCGTCCTCTACGGCACACGCTACACACAATGTGGCGACCACACGGAAATCGAGCGTGTCAACTATTGCAAGCATGCAGACCGCAAAACATGGACCTGTCCATACAATCATCAGATCATTGCCAAGTCAGACCGCATCTGTCCCAAGCATAATCGCAGCCTCAGCGACTCGGTACACAATCTGTTCCATAAGATGGAGTAAGATATCCTGTTACCCTTCTTGTGCTCTTTCAGACTCTTGTTCCCAATGAATTCCAATGAATGCTCAGTTACCAATAGAGCTAACATCTAGGTGGTAGGTTCTACAGCGATGAGACATACACGCCTACTCCTGGTGCTTCAGTCACGGGCGGAAGCACGCCAATCTCTGAGGCAAGTGACAAATCAATGGATGCCATGGAGATGTGAAATCACCGTCTCTGCACCGCTCGTCTCGAATGTCCAAACCTACCCTTGTGCCTCAAAGAGACGAGCGCGTCGAACTTGATGACTCTGACGAAATCCACGAATTTTCCAGCAGCGAAGGCGTTTCTAGGTCCAGAAATAGAAAATGCGACCGCGAGGTCATTGAAGGGCAAAGCACTGTAGTCTAGCTTTTTCGACGCTTTTTTTTAATGTCAAAGTCATGCACACTGATCGGACTATGCATTTGTTAGATCGTTCCGGGGGGTGTACCTTGTATCGTTCGTAAGCCATCGATGCGTTGCCCAGGACAAAGTAGCGTCTGAGTTCCAAAGCTATTGTGACTCAGCATGTTTTCACGTTTTGTGATAAACAAGGCCCGTTTAAGGGCTTCTTTAAGCTCCGCTTGCGCGCTGCTATCCCTGGCGATATCCGTTTGCGCATGACACCTTGCAAAAAGGTCAGCATCCTCGATCAAGCCATTCACTTCCAGACAAACGCACTCTGACAGAGCCGGCAGATTATTGACCATGCCCCAATCAACTTTTATTTAAAGGAGGGGAAGCGCGCGGGATCGGCACGTACGGACGCAACGATGCTTGAGGGCCGGCTTCATTTCGCACAAGTTTCTGTCGCGTGGAAAGGAGGGCGGATGATGCGTTGACGGCAGATTCCTTGTGGACTGTCGATCTCATTCCTGAATCGAAACCCATAGCACCGCAAAAGCCTTTTGTGGTTTCGTGTCGACATGTGTCTGCCTATCGGCTTGTACGGATAAGAGGCAAATGTCAGGAGGCCGCGGCTCAACTATAGTTCATTGTTGATACCCTCCACGAAGCTCCCGAACAGGATCACTATGTACTGAGTGGGTTGTCACCACCGGAGTGGTTCTATCATCAAGCAACTGGTCCTGATCAGTTCGATGTTCCCGTCGTGGTTTGCTTCCAGACAGCTGCGGTAGAGGCTCTCCGTGCATGAAAATCGGTTTTCCATGCTCGAAGATTTGATTTCAGGTATTTATACCGTCTTTTACGGCGTCAAGCTTAGCATCAAGAGTCTGATAGTCGTCAGCGTTCGTGTTTTAATAACATGACCGTGAGTCTGTGTCAGCGCTCGCACTACGATTTAGCGATCCTACAGCTCTATTGAACTGTGTCTGAGTTAGAAGCGTGATATACCTTATGGAAACTGAATGAACTGAAGAAGATCTAAAATCAGTTCAAAAATAACTTGATTACAGTTGGATGTAGTCAAGTTCCTGGGCTATTATCGCTGCAAGTACTGGAATACAAGAACTATACGAATGCGATACTTTTGGGTCAAGCGACTGCTCAGTACAGTAGAGATAGTGATTAGAAAGGCTGCGAATCAATTTTAATCGCTGAGAGGAAGAGAAGCAAGACGGAGTAGAAATGTAGACCAGCAAGTGTGGCAGGTGAAGGGCGTTTGGAAATGATGACTTTCCATGATGCAGCAACAGAAGGGACGCAGGTACATTCATTTCAAACTCGTCGGTAAGCCCCTCTGAAAAAGACGGGATGTCTGATCAGGCTCAAACATAAGTACCAAAGCACAAAGTCAGAAGCGTCGGTGTTCTGAGGCCGTCAGTCCCGTACACAGCATCCTGGGCTCGGATCAATATCTATCCAACGGCCTCCTGACGACACAAGCCGGTCACATAGAAACCCCGACAGAAGTTGAATTTCGTTGAATGCGAAGCGGGACTTGACGGCAAATTGACCGTGACTCAGACACCTCAGACTAGGACCGGCGTATGTGTCCACGAAAGTGTGCTGCGTCGTCACTTTCGCCGTGCAGTTCCACGGAACTCACGTGCTAGGTTCAGTAGCGTTGCGAGAGACGCAGATGCCCGAGGGGCCCGGACCGAACAAGCCAAATGACTCAAAACGTCAGAAATCATCCATTAGCTGTACGTGTGCGGGCTTTGTTTTGATTCCTCTCTTGCCAGTTGCGCATGAAATCGGCTACCTTAGATGTTAGTTCTCGGCAGCGGGCGGGAGGGGCTGAGCTAGCTCATAGGATGGCGATGGCATGAAATCGACTCTGTACAGCGAATGTCACATCGCCTACGATCATTTTCCCCATCAATGCCGTGCTCTGGCACAGCTAAAGGCTTTGTTCTCGTAGAATTATACGGTAGATCACGCTCGCGGTGTTAAAACTGCTCGACTTTCACTCGACTAGAACTATACGCGAGGCAAGCCAGGATCACTCTGCCAGGGTTCCCACGAGGACATCATGCTCGTGCACTTTTACAAGCTCCAAACCCATGAGATTCTAGTAGAATGGACGTCTTTGCAATGCGAGTCCAAAGACGTAGTAGATGCCGGCGAACAGACCATCTTCCAGCTTCCGAAACGAATTGCGCTTGTCCGCTCCCCGGCCGCCAGATACATCTTCTTCGGTGAGTCCATGACGGGGTTCGATCCAAAATGCCCGAGATGATCCTCCCATAGCAAATGCAGACGTTTTGTCTTTAGTGGCCACAACCAGGAATTCGTAATGGAGGCCAGTGCGGAAGATGGCGACATTCAGTCTCCAAGTCCCACCCCCTCATCGAGGGATGATTTTCTTCCGACTTGCCAATATGGGAACCAAGCTTGTTGTTGACTCGTGCTCTGCTCTCCCCTTCAATAGATCCGGGCAGAAACAATTGAGGCTCGGAACAAAATGCGAACGATTCTGCAGGGCAGAAGCTGGACTGCCAGGTACGGAGATTGAAGTCCTTCGAGGTCCTGCCAGGCGCTAAGATGTGATCCACAATACAGTACGTCGAGGACAGTACAAATACCTCAAGACTTGCCCTTCGGGCGGTCACTCTTCTGGCCAACAACCTTCGTCCTCGAGTGGCAGAAAAAAAATGCAGGTCCCTAAGATCTGGTCTTTTGTTTCGTTCGTTTGCTTGTTCGCTTGCAACAAAGTGTTCGCAACAGTTTACGTTGTACTGAACCGACCGTACGATGGTGTCTCTGTAGCAGAGTATACGGCCCCTTCCGAGGAGCTTGATGGGCAGAAGGTGATGCCTTATCCGAATTCCACCTCCTACGAATGGTCAGTCCTCTGCTGTGAGCTTGACCGTTGCGACGTTAATGTTTTGGAAAAGGTGGTAGTTCGATGCCGTATCCACGTCTTCGGCCAATGAATCCATCACCGTCATCTTCTTTGAGACATTGAACACCGCTTTTCCCACTTTTGCCGACAACTCTTATCTCTCAATCTCTCTGTCCGGCACGTATGAAGAGGGGAGCATGTTTAATTACGTGGTCCCTCTAGGAAACACATCAACGGACATCGCCGCCATCATCACGGCTGGCGACGGAGCTTCCGGAGTGTGGGGTGAGACGGGCTTCAGTTTTGCAGGCGCTCCGCATGTCAGCTCGCACACGGTTAATATCGACAGCCCGTCTCCGGCTATCTTTGGAACCGTGACGATGAAGTCGGTGAGTTGTGTGCAGGGAGCGCCTTACCAAAAACGCCCGCTGAACTTTGTTTCCTTCAGGTCGCTCCGCCCCATTGTCCCTGCAGCGGACGGGTGTCGGATGCGAACGAGTTGCTCTTCCCGCACGTAGGATGTGTCAACGCAGTGCCGGACAGCGATGCCATCAGAGATATCAACATCAACGGCACAGCTTTACCTTCACGGGCCTGGGCTACCACGACAAGAACTGGGGCGACGAGCCGTTCATTGACGCGGTCCAATCCTGGTATTGGGATCATGGTCGCGTCGGGCCGTATTCGATTGTCTGGTTCGATGCGCTGGAGACGAGTGGGAACGAGTATGTCTCAGGTTACGTGGCCGACGACGACCAAATCGTCGCAGTCTGCTCTGCCGGTTCGGTGGTTGTCAGGCCGTACGGCGCAAACTCCGAATACCCTCCAACTGTTTCGTCCGGCGTGCCGGAAGGCTTCATAATCGTCATTGATCTTTGGGATGCTGGTCTGTTCAATATCACGGCGACGACGGAAGCTATTTAGATTCCAGGGGGTTCCCGTACAGCATATGGCAGGTACTTAGGGCCGCTGTCGGGTACAATAGCTGGCAAAACATACACCGGAAAGGCGCTTTGGGAACAATTCAAATTCTGAGGTCTGTCGGCAGTCTGTTCATCGGCGGCGGCGTACTCTTGTCAGGATCCTTCCTTTTTTAAGTCATCTTCCTCGACCGACAACAGCAGACGAGAATGTTAATCATTAGGTCAAGACAACGTTCGATCCACTCTGCTAGTACAATCAAAGTTTTATGAGCACAATTTTGCATACCTACTCGATTCCTTCATTTACATGGTTTAGAAGAAAAAAGCTGTGCAAACTGTACGCAAGGAGTAAATCGCATGCGTAAGTGTGTGAAGTATGACTAGATCAATCCCCAAGGTCATGTCATCCATTACAGAATTACGCTGCAAAAGCAATTTGGAATTCTCGATTTCATCGTGTACATTGACAAAACGAAACAACTTGTACCTTTTCAGTAGGCCGAGCCTCAACCCGGCGTATGTGTCCAAGAGCTGGCGATCGAAATTACGGAGAGATGTTGCAAAGGACAGAGAGGCTATGACAGTGACCGTCCAACTGAGCTCGTCTAGGAAATGGAAGAGACGTAGTAAACAGAAACTGCGCTGGGTATCTTTGCTGAGTCGATCCGGCGTGGACGAAGAGAGAAATTAAAAAAAAAAAGGAAAACATTATTCAACGGTCCCAAACAACCATGAGCTTGAAATAGCATGTGAAATCGCTGTTCTATAGTTTTGGCACTTGGCGCGTAGACATAGGAAACCTTGGAAGAGAAAACAGGCATAAGAGATGTTGAATGGGAGCGCACTCCGCACGACAACCCGCGCGTCGACTGGGCCTAGATGCTGACATGGCGCAAAGCAGCCGATGGTAGCAAATACGCTAACACGTGGGGCAGAGGTGCAGGAGGTTGACCCATAGGTGGCGAAGCTATACTAGCGTCCTCGTGGGTCGTCCAATACAAACCCCAAAGGCTAATCATTTCGATAGACCAGGGAATGATAGGACCGACCTGAACCCCGCAAAATTCGCGGCCATTGAACGCTAACGTTCCAGCCTGCTGACAGAATGCGTTTGATGAATGACGGACTATCGCATGTTCATCCCGCCTTCACCGTCGCAAAGAATTGACGGATTTGTAGCCCAACGGGCTAACGTGGCTCGCTTCTCCGCGTCGAAGAGGGTCTCGAATGCGCCCTCCTCGAGCAAGGGGTGTTGTGCCTGTACAATAAACACATACATAAACCGGAGGGAGACGATGGGGGTCTAGGCCGACGCAGCGCACGTGCAACCACTTATTACAAGATTCGCACTGGATCATGAGTTGGCCTTCGATTTCGGTAGCAGAGCAGACGCAACGCGTGCTTTCAGTTGAGCGTGAGCTACGTTCAGTCGACGGTGTGAGGATGTCCGCGTCGGTGCCACTCGTAGGCGAAAGGCTCGAGTTACCAGTGGACCCAAACGGATCGTAAGAAGTGGCTTGCTCCTGAATCGCGCTGAGCTTGGCAAGGTCAATTGATGCTTGAGACCAGCGCTGGTTGTGTGCGTCAAGAATAGCCTGCGAGTCGCTGAACTCTGAATCACGCTTAGCAAACGTCTGCAGCGACGAGTTCATGTAGTACCTACCTTGTCGCCGAGGGCGGCTCTCCATTATCCTTTTGAGAGCCGCTTGAGCGTCCGTGCCGTCGTTCATCATCTTGTCTTCTTTGTTGGGGCTGATGTTATTCGTGGATATAGAACCGGAGAAGCTATCCGAGCTGAATCGGCGATAATTCAACTCCTTGGATGAGCGTTTTCCCAGTGGGGTAGTCTCCAGACGTGACGCCAGACTACTGATAGAAGCAGAGGAGACCGGCCGTTTGTTCGGATCGTAGCGATCAGTGTCACTGCCCGTTCTCGCATGCTTGCTCGATCTACGCTGCAGTGAACCAGGATTCATGCCGAAAGAGTTCCTTTGGCTGTTTGGCACAATCTCTTCATCTGAGCTGCTATCATCCCATAGATCGAACCCACGTTGGCTATTTCTTAGACCATCCGAAGTTTCGACAGTCTCTGTTCTTGCCCGTCCATCTTCATCAATAACAAGTCGTGTCTTCGGCCTGGAGCGGACTGCTTCAGGGATCGCACTCAACAAGAGCTGACTGTGCCTTTTTAGAGGCGAAGGCCGTCGTTCGACCTGATCAACAAGTTGACTAGCCCGCGAGCCGTCGCCAAAACCCAGCTTTGGTCGACGGAATCCGCTGTCGGTATTGCTTCTCTGTAATCCAGGCCTTCCAAAGGAAATCGATGCAGAGCCTGCACTCGACCGATTGTGCATCTGTTTGGCCTTTTTTGCGAGCTCCTTTTCTCTGTTCGATTCCATGGTTTGATGTTCGTAAGGTTGTCTTAAAGCCGTGTCGATTTTTTGTGGCGTTATGTGTGGTCGAACCGGTGACGCGTTGTCAACTTTCCGGGGGCTTGAAAAGCTGGATATCATGCTGGGATCCACCGCCGCAGTCGTAACTGTGGACGCGAAGGACGACGTGTCGCTGAAGCTTGGAACCTGTTGAGAGTGGATTGTTGGCGTCGTCCAGAAGTCTGCACCTTGAGATGGCTGGCTGTACGAATGCTGCATGTCTGTCTGCGAAGAAACTCCAGAGAGGTTCGGTGTCTGCCATTGGGCAAAGTGTGGGCTCATCGAATGCGGTTGACCAAATGCACCTTCCTGGGTGCTCATCATTGCCTCATTTGCAAACGAGAAGGAAGGACTCTGCGTATCCCAGGAGAACCTTTCATTAGGCAGAGTTGATGTGCTGGCCTGGGTGCTTTCGGGAACTTGAAACATAGCAGGAGAGAACTGCAATTGAGTTAATTGAGCAGGCGTCTGAAATTGAGGCGTCTGCTGCGTCATCTGTTGTTGTTGCTGTCGTATCGGGGTCTGCATTGACCCGGGAGGCTGCATCTGGCCAGGGGTAGTGGCGAGAGCGGACTGGACAACAGCATATTCCCTTCGGGCAGAGGAATCCCTGGTAGGAGGTGGTGTTTGGAGATGAAAGGGCTCCATCAGTTCCTGCTGCCGTGAACCGGGTGCCACTATGGTTATCTTAAGGTTGTCGGATGACTTGACAGAGTCCGGCGTGGAGGAAAGCCGGCGGGCAGGATCCACGGGTGGCAGAGGTAGGTGACCGACTTTGTAGTGGTTTACATGGAACTGCGGATCCTGCGGGGTCAAAGGAGAAGTATGTGGGGATCTAAGCAGTCGAATTGTTGAATCATTCGGTACTACCGGAGTAGCTGCAGGAGTTTGGTGGCCAGTGGCTCGAGGCGTATAAAATGCATCAAGAAAATGTGACGGCGGCTCGCACTTCGGAGTTTGGAAAGGAGCTTGCTCGAGAGCTGAAGACCTAGGAGTCGACGTTGGACTTGGAAAGTGCCAGTCTGGAAGTCTGTTCAGGCGGGGAGTTAGTCGATGATGAACTCTTTGCTCGTCGCACAATCTGACATGAGATCCACCACAATGGCTCTGTGCCAGGACTAGGGCGTGCTGATGCCTTCGAAAGCGTCTTCTTTACAAGCAGTCTCGTCCCAATGACAGTTGATCACGGTGGTCGATGCCTAGCATGGGCAGGCAGCGAGGGAGGATTGCAGCCTCAACTTTTGCTTTCCATTGCCTCATCCATGCCGTACCATGCAACACCAAGCAGTACTGCGTGTCCAAAGCATGCTTAGGGACAGCTTACCCATGTATCGAGGGACCCACGTTCATATCAATGTGAGAAATGGTTATCGTGTGTCTATCTGGCTTCGACGACGCTGCAGGTGTGTACCCGTTCGTCTGCTCTGTACGCTCAACACTCGACCGGACACTTGCAGGCTGCACCCACTGTGACGATGTAGGGGCCTTGCCCGACTGCGGGGACAGAATTCTCGGTGAGGTGACGGACTGCAGAGCGAGATCAAGGCGGCGTTAGCTGGAGGGCTCGAGTTAGCGGCGTGGAGGAAGGACGAGCAGGAAGAAGAGGAAGCCGGGTTGAAGTTTCAGTCAAATATAGTAGAGAAGAGAATTTCTTGCTCGAGTCCAAAGTGCATGGGCACCGAGCATGCGAGTTAAAAAAAAAAAAATATTTGATGGTCTGCGAGGTGGAGTTCGCGGTGGGTTTGGGGGCTTCCGGTTGAGTAATTCTGAAGCCCAGGGTAGTCCGGACAGGCAGCTAAATGTATAGCAAGAGCATGCAAGAGAAGGACAGAGGAGAAGGTACGCACAGCAAGCAAAAACGAGGTCACAGATCTCCTGAAGGATCAATATCCGACCTCCACAGGGTCAGGAGCGGTTGGCACATTGGCACACAAGCCAGCGCGGGCTGAGCGAATGCATGTTCAATCGACGACGTCTGGCGGGGACGTGTGAAGGTCGCGAGAGCTAGGAGAACTCACGGCCTGTTGCGGGCTCACGCTGGCAAGGTCGGCCTGGACTGGCAGCGTCGTCTTGCGCAAGGTACATGCGACTCTTTGGCCGTGGCGTCGGCCGTCTCACGGTTTCGACCAGCCGTGCTATGCCCAGATCGGATCTCGTTTGTGGAGAGCAGCGCAGAGGCTCGCCGCCGCCGTCGGTCGACGGCCGTTGGCTGCCAGCGCGAGCTTCGTGTCGCCCACTTGGGTGCGCGCTGCGGTTACGGCTCTCTTCCCTCATGCCGATCCACGGAGACGTCGCTGCTCTCTTCACGGGAGCAGTCACGAACAATCTCAACTCTGCATGACTGAATACAACCCTGCGCGGCGCGCTCGCTCTTCAGCCGCTGAGGGGCAGATCTGATAGGCCACGCTAAGTCTCCTCGCCTGGTCGTTTGCCTTGACGATCTGCCTTTGGTCGTCCCGTTTCCTCGGCCGGTCTTGTGGCTTTTTACACGTCGTTCGAGCCGCTCGTGTGAGCCGGACTCTGTGTCTGCACTCCTGAAGGGCATCAGCAGATTCCCGCAGCGCATGGCGCAACGAGCTGTCGTCGACAGATGCTAGCGTCATCAACGATCGCCCCCCGTCTCGTCATTGGCGGTCTCGAAATAAGTCATAAAGTCAAGCTGTTCGCCTGTGCCAATGTCGTCTCGACTGTCCCAGCCCTATCACGGGTCGCCGCAGCCGCTGGGCCCGATCGTCAGTCCGCTTTGCGCATCGCATTTCCGTCTACTTGCGTCCTGCTGCCTCTGCCCAGCAAGCGAGCGTACGAACTGTTCGGCATGCTAGTTCAGCTGACAGCGCAGCAATGTCGGCTGGGCGGGTCCAATGACAGCGACAATACGCCAGGCACAAGCGCCTATCTCCTTTCTCAGCCCGGATCTGTCGTGTGCCGTCACTGTGAGCTCCAATCCCCCACCCAGCAAGCATCAAGGATGCTCGAACTTTGCCCTCAAACCAGTCGTTTGACGTCCCTCAATCCGTGTATATTCCGCGTCTTATTACTTCTCAGCAAGGCTGTGACTTGTCTCTTCGCTCAGGAGAAGCCGGCCTGCCACGCTAACTACTCCACTATTGGCTGCTAAAGTCGTCAACCGAGCATGTAAGCCCCTGTGTAACATGATCAAAAGGTTAAACAAGTCCCGAATGAAAAATCGCTGCATCGGCTCTGAGTAAACGCGACGCGCCTGGATCCTTGGGAGCTACTGCAAGGCACAGAAGTTGCCAGATGGCGATGTGATCGTTCCTGAGATTCCAGCACTTTGGCATGCATTTCTTTTCGACTTTCCTTTCTCGAAAACGCCATGTTCTCGCCCGGCGACAGAAGCGACCGAAAGGAACTTTTCCTGGCTCAAACAGCGATAATCCTTCCATCTACAGCACGCCCTGCTGCGTGCTCTGCTCCCACGCTTAACGTGCGCGAGTGAAGCGGATGATCGGAACGACAGCCAAGCCCCGCACCGCAATGTCTATCACGAGCCCTGTGGCTACACAGATCTGTTTTGAGGAAAGCGATTAGAAAATCCCGCCATGGAAATTGTCTGTAGCATTTCGAACAAGGAACTCTGAATAGCGCAATCTGATTTGACATCCTGTTCAGTCGGGACTGAGGACCTTTTCCCGCTGCACGACAGCCACAATCCCGACTGTTCGGGGTCTATCGAAATGATTCTCTCACAATATTGAATGTGTTAAACGCAAGCCGAGCTCTAGACCAAAAAGATCATTTCGCTTTCCGTAACATCATGCAGGAACGCTTGCCTTCCAGGATCTGCTCTCGCAACGTCTGCGAATGCACATTGTCCAACCCAACGCCTAAACTCGCACATGCTGCTCGCCGTATCGACTCTTGGGTTTTGGGGGCAAGAGCCTCGATAGGGAATGGCGACCGCACATCTGAACACCTCTTGCTTGCGTGTCGACCTCTCGATGTCAGCCCAAGGAGACGTGGAAGAATGAATCACCCCCTCGAAGCACGCTGTGGCAAAGCGATCCAGTAATAGAGTTCTGACGTGCTGGGATGCTCGCTAGCTAATTCCATTTACAAGCATGGCGACCGACCCCAGATCCGGGGCCCAAATCAGGCGAGATCACATCTTCCCGGGAAGGCAAAGAGTCGCTACAAGGCTGTCTTAGAACATTGTCCACCCCCTAGAGACGACATCGAACTGGGTCCTCGAAGTAGTATCACGGCCGAATGTGAATCTTTACTTGCTTCCCAATTTGAACAAAATACACTCGTCAGTTGCTTTATCATGCAGAAGAACTTTCTTTTTAATTTTTGTTATTCCAGCGTTCTTGCATGAGAGAATCATTTCTAGCATCCAGCCTGTAGTCAACATTTTGCTGTCGACGGAGAATTGTTCAACAACGAGGATGAACCCCGAAATGAATGCTTCCTTGTCACCATGTGGTCTTTGCAGATCCGCACAGTAACCTCGTCGCTCTAAGGCCTCCTCCTACTTCATGATTCAATCCGGAAGCGGCGGTCGCATTGGATTCAAATGGCCGATTACGTGTATTTATCGCCATATGAGGTAACGATAGCAATGTTTCACGATTCATTGTCCAAGCCAGGCCGCTGCAACCACTATACTTGAATTGCGCGATTACCAGGTCCCAAACGACACCCATCATAACTCAATCGCTCCACGCGCTTCTGGACACAAAGAACACCCTTCATATAAGCGCCTCGCTCTCATCCCTTAGATGACACAAAATACTGTGCTCCTATGGAAAATGGTGGACGAATGGCCCAGCAATAAGGCACGCTAGTGCGTTGTCGTGCCTCGAAATCATCCACACCGTCTGCCGACTCCTACTTCAATTGATCAATTCAAAACCTCTCCTTAGCCCTCACTTACTCGAGGATAAAGTTGATCCATCAAAATTTAAAGATAAATCTAGCGACTCGCACACCACTATGTTTGATAAGATTGATGTCCCTCTTCCTGAAGATCCGGCCAACGACTCGGTCGCTTCAAGGACCATACCACGTGCTGGACTGTTCCTCCCCTCGCTTCTTCACGCCTCCAATAGATTGTCCTACCTTCTCTCCAAGGTCATGATTGTAAAGGACGTAGAGCTGCTGAAAGCACATCTTCATCGCATCAGCGGCATAGGAGAAGTAGTTGGGATAATGTACATTATCCGGCCAGTCATCTACGCGCTAGCACCATGGCACAGGAGCAAAAACAACAAGAGCTGGAAAAATTTTCGACTAAGCGTGAGCATTGAGCATGGGGCAAGGCAGCCCGCGAGAAGGACTTCTAGGAGAGGATTGTAGGCGGCTTGAGACGTTTGACGGGGCTAGAGAGGGAGGATATGAGAAATATGCGGCGGAAAATGATCTGGTGGACGAGAAGGGGCGCCCTTTACGAGAAGTCTACAAAGTGAGATTTCTCTAGTATTCCCTTTTCGGGAAGTTGAGGTGCGTCACTGATGGATTGCTTAGAGCTTAGATATGCTCTGTGACGAGCAAACTCAAGGGTAAGCCTGTCCTTGATCTTGCAGCAACTGTGATTGAGGACTTCGAGTTCTTGTGGAACGAGAACTACTTCTCGACTCCGGCGCTATGAGACAATGAGTTCGCCATAGAATCAGAATAGCTAAGTTCTCCGCGAAGATTGGTGGCACAGTCTGGCGGCGCTAAGAATTTCCCTTGTCGCTGTTGGATACTCGATTTTCCCATCTATGGAAGTGGATAAATAATGAACCCAGGTACCTTCTGTTTCAATATTTGGATGACAAGCTAAATAGGGTGTGTACTCAAGTGATCTTTTCCAGAATACATGAATAGCTGATGAAGATATGAATCTGAGCGATCTATTTTCTTACAAGGATAGCTCAAATTGGAACAAGTCATGAATGCCTATGTTCTGTACCAAGCCGCCTCTTCAGGTCATCATCGTATGGTGAGTCCTACTAAGTCTCAGATTCTTAAGGTCAAGTAAAGAACTGCATAGATGGTTTACTATCACGACGCCTGTTAAACTCATGTAAAGTATCTTGGATTGAAATAAGTACTATTATGATCCTGCTAACAAATGGGCTATATATACGGTAATTAGCTTAGCCCTTAGGACGTAGCGACCATCGAACACAACCTAAATCGTCGAATCATGATTCCTGAACAAGACTTCAGCAACACCTGGTTGAGCTCGGTACTACCTTGCTTAAAGCTGGATAGAACTTATTTGATGCATCACATCTTATTCATGCAAGGTCGCTTCCAGATATGACTTTTGAGCTAGTTGCATGTCCGTTCTTACAGCCTTGTAGCTTTCTACCGCACGTCATTGGACGATGCAGACTACCAACCTTCTGTATCCGGCGATTTCGATTAATATGGATGTTGCACCTGGTGCCACATCAACCACAGGGTACTCTCCTTGAGACTAGCGATTATTTTAGCGTCAAATACTCCTTTTTCAAGCTGGAAAGCACGAGAAGGATATAGCTCTGGTTTCAGCCTCGACCGAGAGCTCTCCTCGATGTGATGCGATAGACGCAACGATTCCGATGTCTGGAGAGTGAAGTTGAAGATCCAGCATAGGACCATCTCTGACTAAGATCGTACTTGATCAACTGATGTCCCTCCCACCCGGTTATATGGCCAATCCTCCAGACACACCCAAGCTCTGTCGTTGCCATTCCAATTGCATGCCGTGGTGCCGGGACGTACATCATCGTTGTCAATCAGCCGATCATGAAGACCACTATCGATGGGAACCAATTCGGTGGCGTTGGTTCGCCCGGCAGCTATGTTCATCCACACTTTGCTCGGCACAAAATGCCTCCCAGCCGCTGTCAATGCGCAACTTCAACCGCAATTTCTCTGAACAGACCTTACAAAAACTACATTATCTTCCACAAGCACCCAGGTAGCCCAAGGATCGGACGCCCTGTGCAGATCAAGCTCAGGGCAGGCTGCCCAGGTAATGCACTGAAGACGGAGCTTTGGCTTGCTGGACCGGGGACACCGCTTCCAAGAGGGCCGGGATGGCAGCCGGATGAGTATTGGAATCATTGCCATTAAGCTTCTGCCGCTGTGTGTGAGTGGTGCTTGACCGTTGTAGTCCAACAGAGGTGGTCGCAGAGCCGTGGAGACACAATTTTGGCTACTAGCAGTAGACTTCTCTACAATCCGACGTAGGCATACACTGAAGCTGACCAGAACAGCTTATAGGACACTATTGAGGACTAAGATAAGAGCCGTGCAGATGACATCAGATCATCGTGGCAGCTGAGATGCTCATGTTAACCATCTTTGATTAATTATGAAACTGTTATGATCCTGGTACTAAAAAGGCCATCTATATGGTATTATACGGGTCTTCCTATGTGTTCCAAAACCGTAGATTAGAGAGGAATGGTTGAATGGAGACAGTTGTGTAGGTAGTGAAAGGCAGAATGACGCTAACAGCTGTTCCCGATAGCTTCTCCACAAATAGCTTTGATGAGAGATGACGGACAGGCAGGAGATGGACGTTATTCAACTTTGATGGCGAGTCCAAGATGACCCTTGTGTTTCGTCAGTTGAACGAGCCCCGAGGTGCTCGTGCCCATGTCGCTCTTACCAGGTGTGAGTGCCTTGTCCGCTGTCATAGAGATGCTCCTTACTCGTAGGATCACAGAGCATTCCAATTTCAGTTGGAATACCTTAACATGAATTATACATTATATGATCCTGTCATGCCATGCAAAGTGAGTGCTTCAACAGGATTGTAAATATGCTTGAGTTCCCGTAGAACGTGCCTCTAACCGATTTGAAACCTCCACTCGCGTGTTGTACAATTCCTGAGCCATCCTCAACCACAAAGAAACTGATCTGTAAGACTGAGCGGTAGCTAATAAGCCAGTCTCGTGGTTTCTGAACGTTTGCGTGACGAAGAAGGCCGGAATGTGTTGCTGTTTATGGACAACATTTTCCGTTTCCTCCAGGCCGGTCACAAAGTGTCTGCCTTGCTTGGTCGTATCACATCTGTCATCGGTTACCAGCCAACACTCGCTGTAGACGTCAGTGTCATGCAGGAAAATGTTACTGAAATATTAAAGGGCTCAATCGCTTCTATGCAGGTCGTGCATATGCCCGCTGATAATTTGACTGATCCCGCGCCCGGCAATCACCTTTTCACTCACCTGGACGTCACGGATGTGCTTTTTATGGTATCTCTGAGTTGGCTATCTACATGGCGTAGAAACTCCTGAGCTAGATTTGACGTTCGTTGTGCAGGCAATCAAAGGGGATCTGAAGCTTTAACCCTTATCCCACTTTTTTGTCTTCCGGAGATAACAGCTGGTATTCCATCATATTATCAACAAAGCAAGGTAATGTCTAGATAATATATCTATGAGGATAGCTATTGCTTCCGACAAAGAGTCCATTTTCAAGTACAGAACAATACTCGTTCGAGGTGTAAATGAGAAATGTGCTGTGCAAAACCGTTTTGGAAAGTGGTGGTAGATATATATCATCACTTTGATCTAAAGCTGTTGAAGAAACATGCTCAGGCCGGCAAATCTTACTATAATACCAAGTATGATGAGTGTATATTCGGATACATGGCCCTGAAATCGAGTCCTTGATTGTGCCGGCGTTCAGCAAAGTAAATAGGGTCCTGGTTTCGGTCCCTCCTGAGACAACAAATTAAGAAAGCTAGGAAGTTCTCTGACATTACACTTCTAAAATTAAAGTTTTTCCTTTGAATACGGAGAAAAAGTGACTATTCCTAATATTTGGAAAGGATCATGCCAATTTTGTCTTCACGTGTTGATTAGCAGGAAGTTAATTAGCTTCAATCATACCAAGTGCTATTCCTTACAATTCAAATGTTGATGACTGAAACACTTATTACGACAGACAATTCACAGATGGTGAGAATCAGCAAGGTGCGGGATTATTTCCTGATGAGGGAAGTCAACAAGGTTCGCTGATATCTTTTGTTTGCGATTCGCCAGCCAGTGTTGACTGCGTTTTCACCGCCGTTGAACAAAACGAGCTCTCCATGCATGTAGGACTATACTTGGTTCTAAGGCTTTGAATTCAAGCGATCGATTTTCCCCTTAAGAGAAATCTAGAGAGCATTGGAAACAGTCAACATTTCACGATCTCCACGAGAGTAATCTTGCAATTTGAACAGTAGAGGGTGAGCACAAGCCCAGAGCAGTACCGGCGCTTGACTCTCAATATGTATGGACGGTAATTGCATGCTACGGGTCTGCGGTAGAACTTTCTATGATGTACAGATCACTTGAATTTTTTCATTCTTATGGGATTGAACAATAGCAGCAAAGCACGAGATGGCAGAGTCATGACGACAGTGGATTTTGACGCGGAAACGGCACGTGCAGGGACCCAGTTGGTGCTCGGGTGCTGGCGGTGTTGGCAGGCGGGCAAGGCTTCAAGGCCACAAGGAACAAGCGGAGCACAGTGCCAAGAAGCACACCACGAAAATCCATCCACACAGCTAATCGCACGAACGTGACAATACAAAGACACACAACGAGCACACGCCGCCATCATGTCGCTCGTCAGCGGGGAGAAGTCGAACTTCCAGTACATCGTACGCTACAACCCTCCCAATTGGAGAGCCGATTGCGAATTGGCGCCTTGCGAATTTGACGCTGGGCAAAATTCTTTCGACGACTCCGTGAAAGCAATACTTCTAGATGAATAGGTTGTGCTAACATTCAGTGCAGCTCCGTCTCCTCAACACCAACGTCGATGGTTAGTCCTCGTATGAGCGCGCAATAACGTGCAATCACTGGCATATGGATGTCGGGCTTACGCTCTCGCACAGGCAAGCAGAAGGTTATGTACGCCTTGACCAAGATCAAGGGTGTTGGAAAGCGGTACTCCAACTTGGTGTGCAAGAAGGCCGATGTCGACCTCAGCAAGCGGTACGCACACGTCTGTTAAATTGGCCGACGGGGCAGAAAATGCTGACGCTAGTGGCAACTGTAGCGCTGGTGAACTCACCTCGGAAGAGCTCGAGCGCATTGTTACCATCATGCAAAACCCAACACAGTACAAGATTCCCACCTGGTTCCTCAACCGACAGCGCGACATTGTCGACGGCAAGGACAGCCAGATCCTCGCCAACGGTGTCGACTCGAAGCTCCGTGAAGATCTTGAGCGCATGAAGAAGATCCGTGTGCACAGAGGTCTGCGTCACTTCTGGGGCTTGCGTGTGCGTGGTCAGCACACCAAGACGACCGGTCGCCGTGGAAGGACCGTCGGTGTCAGCAAGAAGAAGGGTTAGTGGTTCTGCTGGGGGGCTACTGTTGTTCATGGTGTGGACTCTGCATGTATGCATGATTCTTCCCTCCCGCATGTTAGAATGCGTGCATGTGGGTTGGGTGAATCGTGCTTTGGCGCAAATTATTATGGGACATGGCAATCGGTTTTTGTCATTATCATGATGTGAGATGCTGGCGGGGTCTGTGGCATGGAAGATGATAAAAAGTGTACACAGGTTCTGCTTCATCGGCAAATGAAGACATCAAAATTATTTGCACAAGATTCTGGATTCAATGGACGTGATTTGCGTTTTGACACTGCTCTATTGCTGCGTTTCGTGATGATTGCTTGCGTAGACTAGCCCTCCACTGTTGCGTCGTAATAGCTTTCTACCGCTCCAAGTCTTTCATGAGACCAAGCAGCTGGCCTGGAAAGCATCAGCAGCATGCTGTGACTGCAAGCTACAAATTTGATTTTGCTTCTTCCCATCCTGCACACCACGAGGTCACGCTCAATCTCCTTCATGCACCACAGCCATATCTAGCACTTCCGCCCTTGCTTTCCCCTTTGTCTGTGTCCCTATAAACTCCGTCAAGGTTTTGTAAGCTCCCGGTTCCACAAAGCCGACCACTTCCCACTCGGCGCCCACCACGTCCTGGCTCTCCACCTGTTCTACGAACGAGAGGATTTTATCCTTGACTGTGCCCGTGGCTTTGTCCTCACCCTCCGCTGCCTTGACCGCCTGTTTGGTGATGTTGGTCGGGCACGTAATACGTAGTCGCATGCGAGCGCGTGCCACGGGGATGGGCTGGTGTGCAATGAGTGCCTTGATTGCGAGGAGGGCCTGTGATTTGGCGTCCTTGGTCGTGACGACGCCCGTCCACATGGGCTTCTTCTTCGCCTCGCCGTTCTCGCCCGCAGCTGGCGTGCTCGTCCCGCTCGAGCCCTCTGGCGCAGCCGCTTTCGACGAAGCCGCAGCAGAAGATGCAGATGCCTGCTGCCCGGCCTGCGCGCTGAGCATGTCCAAGGCCTTCTCGATCATTCCGTGCGTGTACACTCTCTTCGTCTTGGGGTCTACGACACGGCCTGCGACCCACTCTACGACCTCCCTCTTGATGTTCTCTAGCCCAGCCTGCCGCTCCTTCTCTCCCACTTGCAGCTCGCCCTTGTTCAGGATCTCGAGGATGATCTCGTCTCGCGTCTTCCCCGGGAACGCTTTCTTCAGCTCCTCATTGGGGGCGTCCTGGCCCTTGGACACGTTAAGGAAAACGTTGGGGATCTGCAGCACATTGTCGAGGTCCTTCTCGGTGCCAGCTCGGTACTCAAGCACTTTGTTCTTGTAGCACGCAATTTCGAAGCGCTTCTTGCCGCGCTTCATGCGTACGAGGGATACATTTGTGAGTTTGATCTGATTGGAGGGCTGCCAGGGTCGCAACGTTAGTGACTACATTTTTATTTTTCATGCTACATCGAAGAGAGCACCGTACTTGATTTATTCCAACGGGCATCTTGAAAAAAACAAGCGCTGTGTTGCGCTGGGTCGTGTTACCGTACGGGCCAGAAAGTGCAGAAAATGAAGCGTTGCGAAATATCGATCGAACGTTCCGACCGTCCTTTGCAGCCGGATTCTGTCGTTATGCTTGTACTTTGTCTTATGATTCAGAATGACTTTTACGAAGTACCCAGGGCAGAATGTGCCGTTCAGAAATCCCACGCACCCACACACGTCCACGCTCGTATTCCGCACTCCCAGAGTTTACTTTGATGCGTCATATGCCGGGCGTGCTGCCTTGTTTCCTTGGGCATAAAGTTGCGCCACCCAAGTCATGTGCACAGAATGTCCCAAAACGGGATAGCCCAGCCACACTTGCATGCGCCGTCCCTGCTTGTGTCTCGAGTGAAGCGTCATGAGGCTTCGTTGGCGGCGGCGTTGCCTGGTGCTGCTTGCGCTCCAGTCCCAGAGCTTCCCAAACACCTCATCCGCGCCCTCAACCAACTCTCTCTCCCTCCCTTCTCGGACCCTCTACGTCTGCTGTCACCCCAATTCTCCTTTGTCCATTGATTGGAGCCGTGTTTGATCGTGCTAGGCGAACATCCGGCCTTATCAGTACTTCCGGTGCTTAACGGGACGACCAGGTGTCTCCCCGCCACAACAGTCACACTTCTGAGCACACGAGCAGCAGCTGGCTTCACCGGCTCACTTAGGCTCCTGAATACACAACACAATGAAGGCCATCGCTTCGCTCGCCCTGATTGGCGCGGCGTCCGCTGCCGTCACGAACAACCAGCAACCTCTCAAGCTCCCCGAGATCATTGGCCAGGCAGCCTCCTCGTGGGACAAGCCGCTGCACAAGCTTGAGGATGCCCTCAAAAGCCTTACAGCTGAGGCCCAAGCCGTCTGGGATGAGGTTGCCATGATGTTTCCTGAAGAAATGAGCAAGGCCAACTTCTTCTCAAGCCCGAAGCCCCATGTTAAGCGCCCAGACGGCGAATGGGACTACATCACGAAGGGCGAGGATATCCAAAACAAATGGGTTATCAATGCCCAGGGTGTAAAGGAGAGGGAAATTGATGGCAAATTGAGCAACTATAATTTGCGCACAAGGGCGGTTGACCCCAGTAGCCTCGGTGTAGACACCGTCAAGCAGTACTCTGGCTATCTCGATGACGAGGAAGAGGACAAGCACCTCTTCTATTGTAAGCAGTCTCCGAATTCCTCCATAATTGGTCTGATTGCTAATATATCATAGGGTTCTTTGAGTCTCGAAATGACCCCAAGAACGATCCTATCCTGCTCTGGCTTAACGGCGGACCAGGCTGCTCCTCCCTCACTGGCCTCTTCATGGAGCTTGGCCCCTCTTCGATCACAAAGGACGGCAAAGTCAAGTACAACCCGTCGTCCTGGAATGCCAACGCCTCAATTATCTTCCTCGATCAGCCAGTCAACGTCGGCTACTCTTACTCTGGCAACAGCGTCTCAAATACCGTCGCCGCCGGTAAGGACGTCTACGCTCTGCTTACACTCTTTTTCAAGCAATTCCCCGAGTATGCAGAGCTCGACTTCCACATCTCGGGTGAGTCGTATGCAGGCCACTATATACCAGTGTTCGCACACGAGATCCTCTCCCATAAGAAGAGGAATATCAACCTGAAGTCCGTGCTTATCGGTAACGGTTTGACCGATGGGCTTACTCAATATCAATACTATCGCCCAATGGCCTGTGGTGAGGGCGGATACCCTGCCGTTCTTGATGCCCAGCAGTGCGACGCCATGGACAACGCCTACCCACGCTGTGCATCTCTCATCCAAGGTTGCTATGACTCTCAGTCCGTTTGGCGCTGTGTGCCTGCTGCAATTTACTGTAACAACGCAATGATTGGCCCATACCAACGCACCGGTATGAACCCATATGATGTGCGCGTCAAGTGCAAGAACGGAAACCTGTGCTACGACGAGCTCGATTGGATTCAGGGTTACCTTAACCGCAAGGATGTCATGAAGGCACTTGGTGCAGAAGTCTCCTCGTATGAGTCATGCAACTTTGATATTAACCGCAACTTCCTATTCCAGGGCGACTGGATGATGCCCTTCCACCTTCTTGTTCCGGATCTCCTCGCAGAGATCCCTGTCCTCATCTATGCCGGTGATGCCGACTGTAAGTTGCTCCTGTACATCTGTTTGTTTGCGCGTTGAACATTTCTAACATACTCTCTTCTTGCAGTCATCTGCAACTGGCTCGGCAACAAGGCCTGGACCGAAGCTCTTGAGTGGCCAGGCAAGAAAGCGTACGGTAAGGCCTCGTATGATGACCTCTTCCTGTCTTCGGATAAGAAGACCAAGATCGGCAGCGTCAAGAGTGCTGGCAACTTCACTTTCATCCGCATTTCTGGCGGCGGTCATATGGTGCCATACGACCAGCCGGAGGCAAGCCTAGACTTCGTGAACAGGTGGACGAGCGGTGAGTGGTTTGCGTAGACGAGCCGAGGTGGGGTTTTGTATCTCGTCAATGGAGTAACGCGCATGGTCGCAATCGTAGGGGAAGAATTTAGATTGTACAGTCTAGGCAGATGCGCTACGGAAGCTTTTTTACTGTTACTTGTTCTCTCATCCGGTACATAGTGTAAATCGGCGTTTATATCGTAAGAGCAATCTGTTGTACAGTTCACCCTTGTTCGAGCACCTTTTCTCACGTTCTGCTCCCTTTGACAAGTTCCCTTTCCCTGAGAACCGATTTTTGAAGAGAACATGATGCTTTAGATCAGAGTTGGGACGCACGAACGTGTCTAAAGTCAAAAAGATGCAAGCACGATTCATCTCGCCCCTAGCGCGCGGTACAGTAAGATGATGACCTCTTATACACGTTCACACATTCGACATTGCATAATGACGACCTATAGAAGGGGAAACCAGAATCTTGAACGCAACGCACTCGGTCCGCGTCATCCTCCAAAAGAGACACTTTTTCGTGCCCTCATCGCACACGGCTATCGCGACTTGGGCCCGAGTTCTCCATCGCGACCGTCGCGGCCGTCTCGGGCAGCCTCTCCTCTGCAAGTGGGCCGCCGGCACTTCCCCGCGTGCCCGCCCGGCTCTCGCCTTCGCCGAGCTGGGCGTCGTCGCGGCGCAGGGCCCGCTGCCTTGGGTCCAAGGAGTCCAGCTTTTCGTCAACCCTGGCGCCGGCGCCTTCGAGGCCGCTGCGCTGCTTGCGGCCGTCTCCGCGCAGCTCGTTCGAGGTCTGGCCGGAGCCAGGATGCCCGTAACCGGTGTGCACGTCCGCGGAGGTCGAGCCGGGCAGGGTGGACGACGCGCTCGGGTTGGTCTCGGCCAGGGGAGCCTCATCGGCGGGGCTCGGATTGAAAGTTCGATCCGCAGGAGAGCTTCCTGCCGGCAGGGTTTGGGCGTGGAACTCGGGAGCGCTGTCGGCTTCGCTAGCTATGACGCCCGGCTTGTGCTATAGAGCACCATGTATCAGCCGACACAGGTTCTCTATAGGGAAGATGCAAAATTCAGGTGCTTCGAGGCGAAGAGCGTTCCCTTTGCTCTCACCACGAAGATGTGTGCCTCCGGGGGACACTTACTCCATGTGTTGTGATCGGTTCGGCTCTTGGCTTGCTGGGCCGGATACCGTTAGGATCCGAGCCTGCAACGGCATCGACATTCTGTCTCGTTTCTAGACCACCGTTTTTATATTCAGAGGTGCTCATATTGAACTGGATTGCTCTTGACGTTCTTGGCCAGGGTAAGAAGAGATTTTGGAAACCGTCGCTTCGCTTTCAGAAACAACTCGCGATAATTTGTGCAAAATGGCACGCAATGAAAAAGAGAAGCTTTCATATACTCGAAGAAAGAATACATTGTTGTCGACATTACATCACTGTAGCCGGGAGCAACGTATAAGTCTGCAGGGGCGGCCTGTCAAGTGTTGATAAAGATCGGAGCCCATCTCCAATAACGGTGTTGACAGAATCCATACATCTACGTCAGGTACCCGCATATGCATCAATCTTTTTCTGTGACGGGATTCTGAAATGGCATGTCCGTTGATCTGAGCCTGTCGTATGCGTGATGTAATATAGCGAACAAGGTCGGCACGTGATATGTGTCAAGGCAGACGTGCTCAATTGAAGGAATTCGCTCCTAAAGAATTCAAAACTCCTTTCGAATGACCGTCGGACGTTGCGTAGCGCGTGACGCTCATTCGCTCTGGATAACTCTTCAAAGTTCAGATGACAAGATCAATCCTCTTTTATTGCGCCTTATCTGGCTTTTCCCCCGTGATTGACTGACATATTAACAGACCCGGTCCTCATCCCAAATCAAATATTTCCCGAAACCCGCGCCTGGAGCGCCTTGCCAAAAGAGTTTTGTTGATCCCAGGAATACGTCAGTCATATATAACAAGTCCCCGCAATATCGTACATTGTTCCGAGTATTAGGTGCTGGTTGTGGTTCCGTCTCACAAAAGGGAAGTGCATAGAGGGGACATCAGGTCTGCTAGCCAAACAAGCAGTGCTTCATCGAGTGTGCATGTCATTCATCTCAATCTCTCGCCGCCGGTCATCTCTGCTTGAGATGCGCTGGTGCCGAGTCGACCCCGGATCAGCACCGACCGCCCTTGAGAATCTGTTCCACGCTCCTGCGTTGCCGCCCGCGCTTTGACTTCGTTTTCGACCTGCAGCAGCGGGAGCCAAGAGACGGCCGCTGTCGTCCATGGCGGACTGTCGCCTCCTGCCTATGCCTCCTTCCAGCTCGTGGTCACCTTCTTCAGCCTGCGGCCAATCCAAGTGAAAGGTTGACCGCGATGCGTTTTGACTAAGCCCCAGGTCTCGCCTGGTTAACAACTTTGCCATCTGTTGATTGACAAGCTCCTCCTCGGAGGGTTCCTGCGTGCTTCGCATGCTCGCTGCTCCATCGAAGGATGCGTGACTTCGTGCACCGCTGAACGGTTCGTAACCGTTGGCTGGGCTGAACGTGGAGGGGTGCACACTCTGCGCATATTGCGGGTAGTAGGCTGGGTCTTGATACGGCCCTTGCATTGTCGTCGAGCCTACGCCGTACGGATTCTGATCAAGCGCTCTCGTCATTCTCCTGACGGATCGATGCATCATGAGGGAAAATATGCCGTAAACCGACGCGGAGGCAAGTGTGAGGGCGAGGGTCGTAGGCGCGGAGGGGTCTGAGAACACATAGCGTGGTGAAGCGGCTAGCGCGTAGCACGCGGCGAAAAAAGCGAAAAGAGAGACCGAAAAGACAGGAAGGAAGATGTGATCCAGGCGGAAGAGAGTCGAGGGACAGGCGAACCAGACAAGGCCGGTCAGGCTGTAGCCACCCGTGAGCAGGGCCACGATGATGATGGCAAGCACGCCCTTGTTGAACCGAAGCCGTTGGTCGCTATCGAAAGTCGTTGGAAGGATAAGGTAGCCTCCGAGGATCATGTACGTTGCGATCTGGGCGATCAAGCGCCAATACCACTGTCCTGTTTAGCCATGCTTCTCATCTGCCGGATCCGCACGCCAAACGTACTCTTGTGTTCGCCTTTTCGGCATGCAGTGAGTCCAGAGACTGATACTGCGTCGCGTTGTTGCTCCAGGCAGCCTTGAAGCTGTTCCACTGCGAGCTCATGGCCTGGCTTCCTGCTACCGCACAGCTACTCTGTCTGTCCGGGCGTGACAGCGTCTCGCACTGCTATGTGTCGGGGAAGACTTCATACGCTATTTTCCTCTTGTCGAGCGTTGCGGAGAATATTGCTGGACTGTACGAGGCGAGGAGGGGCCAAGATCTAGGCTGACGAGGTCGTACGAAGATATGGAAACTTCCGTTCGAGGCAGACTCCAGCGAGGACTTATGGTACGCGTCAGGCTCGGCCTGAAGTCTTTCTGCGGGCGCTTCGGTGCTTTGGTTGGCTGAAGGGCCCAAAAAGCGTACACGATCGAGGTCCGCTGATGTGTCTTCGAGGCAGAACAAGTGGAACAGGGTTTGCAGGGGGGGGTGGGAGGACACTGTGCGCAAGCGCGGAGACCACGAATTCTACAATGCGGCAAAGCAGCCAGAGGACGGGCGGAGGGCAGCACTGGAGTGGTTGCAAGGACAGAGGCGAGTTGGTCAACAAGCGCGATCCACGGGGTCGCGCAAAGGCGGTGGTGCGTACGTCCGAGGCTGGGGTTGAGGACGGCGGAGATCAGCGAGGCAAGGCTGGCCCAAGCGAACAAGCGCAGGAGGCGTGCGCTGCTTGGTCCCTCGCAGTCCACTGCTGTACCTGCGGACGCGGCCTTGGGCCTCGCCCGCACAGCAGTGCGCGGCGCTGGAACCGCACCCGATCTCCTGTGCGCCGCGTCGCCGCCATCGCCGTCGGCGTCGCTCGTTGGCCTGGCCGCGCGACGAGTCGAGAAGCGCATTCCACGCTGCGCTGGATTCTGCGTCTTCTCGGACGAGGCTAAATTTGGATCACGACGACTGCGTCGCAGCCGGGCTCGTTGGCCGTGTGGCTGGGGCGCCGCGGCAAGCCCCAGCGCTGGCCCAGCCACGGCGACAAGCAGCGGCTGAACATCAAGAGCCTGCTCAGTTGCCGTGACACGCAGTCGCTGTCCCCGATGCCACCTTTCGTTCCTTAGCAACGCTCGTCGTCCTTTCTTCTCATTTGATCTCGCTGCCCATTCGTCGAGCCCTGCCCTTCGCGTTTCCCCCGTGTCGACCTGCACCACCGCGTGCACATGTCGCGCCGCTGGGAGCTGGTTCAGGCACACATGCACGTAGAAATACCTCAGTGCCTCCGCCTATCATGGCGTCACTTTCTCGCACAGCGCATAGTTAGCACTGCATCTTGTGAGCATGAAGACCATGGACCCGAGTTGAAGGGGATATTAATCGCATCAAAACATCGTTCTCGGACGGTTGGGCATTCGAAAGCGTGACCAGGCAACCATACCTGAGCAAGAAAGCTGCTTGGAGGGATCTTTCGAGAGAATAACTGTCCCGAAGTCCCAGAGACACTTGACCGTCTGTTCTGCACGAGTTTCTTCCCCTTATGAGCAGCAATTGCGTCGCCTCAAGACATGCACTGCGCTTCAAAGACGTAGTCTGACGCCAGCCTTGCTTTACTTTGTTCGACAGTTTGCCCAATTCTCAGTGCCTGAAGCGTTGCTAAAAAAACGAACTCGATGTGTCGATCTTGGTTTCGAAAATGGAGCCATACACTTTTGTTTCTTCTCGGTGTCCACGCCCCGATTATGAGAAGTGGACGGTCGCGATCCCCCATCCACCTTCGTGGAGCACCAGAAAGAGACAGTTTCAAGATATCAAGTCTGTCAGCAAAGGAAAATGCGCGGATGGACAGTTCTCATCAGGCGATGTGCTCAATATATCATAGGATTGTCTCTAATGGTATTGAAAAAACGCGCTCAGAACTGTATTGTGATAGGCTAATCCGCTGGTGGAGCTGTTCATTTGCTCTACACAGCATCGATGAATCTAGGAGATTTGCCCAGGACGTCCAAACATAAGAGATATAATGTACGTGGCTCACAGCTATAGCAATAGACGCAGTTGATCGTGCGCTAGGCGTCTGGATGGGGTCGCCTAATCTGGCTGGTCGGCTGAAGCAATGAGTCTAACCAAAGGATATAAAATTCCACTACTTCCATCATGGACGCCTTTCTCGAGGATTAAAATAGGAAGGACCAGCTTGCTAACGCTACCATAAACTTCGCCGCTGGTTGGCAAAGCTCAGCCTCTGCTATAGTTCCGAAACATGTCTGGCGCTTCTGTTGCACTGGACAAAATAGTAAGAACACTTTGCGACACTACACCTTCAAAAAAACATCATGTTTTTTTTTTCAACATGGACACCAGATGCATTGGCTTTCTTCCGGTTTTACTTGCGCCAGTCCGAAGGCCAATACGTGCTGCTCCATTGACTTAAAAGCATGCCTGCCTTCATTTAGTTCTACGTGCAAATTCAGTAAGCAATTCATGATTTCAGCTAAACATAGCTTGGAGAATCTCGAAATCCACTGAGAGGCGATTTTCTGCTGCCATCAAAACCTCACTCACAAAACGCAAGGCCGCGTTGGAGGCGATTATAGCTGATGGCTGCAAGTCGAATCAAAGACCGAAAGTGGGTTCCAAGTCACTCTGACCAACTCGTTCGTACACACGATGTGTGGTCCGTCATGGCTGATCAAAATAGTCCTCAAGACACGGGATATCGTAGAATGGACACGTCCTGCCACCGATGGATATGTTGTGATCTAAATCGCGGCGCGCTTGAAAACAACACTCCCCTGAAGCCGCTCCAACGAACCTTGCTGTGACGGGAGGCGCTTTTCGTCACTTCGTCAAGCTTTCTTGTCTCCGTGAAGATCGTTAGTCCGCTTTGTGAAGAAAAAAGCAGTCTCAAAAACTTCAGTTTAGTACTGCTTCGTGCCAACAATTCAGCCTAAAACGGTCAAGTCGCTGTGCAAAGTGAGCTTTGCAAAATTATTGCAGGTGTTAAAAGGTATGGCAAACGTATGGTACTCTAAGACGAACAAAGATGGACGGACGGATGACCGCTAGTGAATGCAAACCCGCCCAACAGCGTCGTAGTAGTAATTATATGCAAAGCGGATTCATCTCAGCCCATGTTCCGCGGCGGCGTGGGATTCCCACATGGCGTCTCCTCGAACGGCCGTGAGGATAAGCGCCGCATAATTCAAACCAAAAACGGCCCCTTACGACAGTATGATTCTATACGAGCCCAGCTCCATGTTTCGGTAATGAGCTTATTTCCACGCTCTTTAGCTTCAGGCAAGGCCTCCTCCAGGTTATGAACGCGTCAACGCTTTGAGAACGAATGCTCGTGGATACAGTGGGCGCGCAGCCCTGATGACGCGGAGCCGTTATCACCTTACTTCAGCAGGCAAGATCACACTGGAAAGCAAGCCATAACTGTCATGCTAACCTCGCGTGGCATGACTGATGGCGTGAGGACATTGAGTTGGCTTGCACTAGAACTAAGGGGGAGGCGGCCATGGAAACCCATGTCTGGGCACGAACTCTTGCCGCCTTAACATTAGGTCCTTTTGATGACAATCGGAAACGGTAACGGAGTTGGAAGCGGTATGGATACGAATGAATCTCATTGACTGCTTATGAATAATGTTCAACTCGCGGTGCAAGGCGAGGATGATGAACCTGACGACGGCCAGATGGCCCCCCGTGAAAAGTTGTTGGGGGGATAGATTTCGTAATGTCAGCTTACTATCTGTTGATTTAGACGCTTTGACTAAGCAAATTATGGGAGAACGTCAAGATCACGAACGATGCTGTTTCTTGGCGGTCGAGTGTACTGTGTAGTTTTTGAGGATGAATAGGGAACGATATATGTTTTGCAAGCAGGGAGAACCACATAGCGCCGAAAAAGCTACACACTGCTATTCCGCTCACCCCCCGCTGTGGGCAAGGGATCTGTACAGTTTTGCTTCAGCGTGTCTAGAGGATCTGAAAGCGAGTTGCTTCCCAACAAGAGTCCGGAATGTGCCAGCATCTTGCAAAAGCTTTTTATGGAGCGGGGTCAATTGCTTCATCTCGTAGAAATTCGCTTCACCGGCAGGAAGACAATCTTGCACCTGCTGTTGGACTAGGCGAGTAGGAATCCAAGTGCAGATTGCGACGTCCAGCTGACCACGCTGCGATATTCTGCTCAAGGCTCTTCAACACATCTGGCTGCACTCTAGCACCGGCTGCTAAGCACACTATCTGAACGTTACAATGCATCCACCGTGAGCGGACACTGCACATTTTATCATGTTCGTATGTGCGTGCATAGGCCGGTGCATCATGGTGATCCGGATCTGCTTTTGACAGGCCGGTGGGGGCGGAGCACGGTCTTGGCTCGTGACGATGGGGCTGCTATTTTTGGCGTGGTGATGGAAGACACTTCCGCGAACGGAGACAGGAAACGTGTGGGATAGGAAATATTGGAACCTGTTCTTCGCAACCGAACGCGGACCTTTGGGTGAGCGAAGAAACATGTTTCCTCCCTGGCCAGATCGCACGAGCAAGAATCTGACACGAAAATGAAGGGAGGTCAGATTGGACTTGGTGGCGTGGAACACTAGCGCTTTCTTTCCGTCGAAGGGATCGTCCTATGCTGATGCTTTTTGACCGCCGACCTTGCGAGAATGGCCAGTCGAGCCTCCCAGAGACTCCGGCCGAGTGCGCTCATGAGCTTCTGTCGCGAGCGCTTCAGTGGCACCGCACTGTGTAGTCGTTATAGTCGAGAACCAAGCTTTACGACTAGCAGAGACTCTGTGCTTGTCTGCCTCACAGGGCGAGATAGCTTCGCTTGCACACCGGTAGCGTTCTGACAAGCGCCACAAAATTAGCCGTGGCGCCGTCGGCCCCCTTATATCCTTGGAGCTCCAACAGCCTGATGAGGTCTAGCAGTCCGGCCAGGGGATCGAGTCCCAATCTCGGCACCCCCCTATGCAAAAAAGTTTGTTTACCCCAGTGTGAACAAGCCGTCCTCTTGCTGTGATTCGACGACAAGCCGTGTCTCATATTCGTCGTAGCCGAGAGCGAAGACAGCGCGCCGTTTTTAGCATGGTGCTTGATTGGTTTGTGGCGGGAAAAAAGCTTTTGCCATTTGCTCCGTGGTCATGAGCTTGCATCCCAGTGGCTTACTACGGCGCAGAAGTGAAAGATGAACGTGCTAGGCCGTGCCGTCCTGTCATTCACGCCGCGCAGTCGTCTTGGGTTCGCTGGGTGATTCACGCCCGACAAGGGTGATGACGACGATGATGGTGACGCTGAAAAGCAGGTCAAGCGTGAGCGAACAGCTTGTGCCAGCACGGCGCCTGGTCCTGACGGTGGGATGCGAGGGCCGATGGCCGCAGTCTCGACTGCTGTCGCGCGTGGCAGCAAAGGAAGAAGCCCGTTGTTGTGTTCGGCGAACCGGGATGACATGTCACCCACACCATGGCGCGAGTGATCCATCGCACGGGAGTTAACTGCATCAGGCAAGATACAGGTACGGATATAGCACACAGCCCCGTGTTCCATCCAACCTTGCCTGTGGGCAACCACGCCAATCGCATAATCAATCTCCTCCTTGTATTTAGATCGGCGCCCCCCTTGGGAATCTGTCTTCTTCCTACTCTTCTTTCGTCGACGCCCTCCACGTCCTTGGCAGTTCAGTGCTTTCGTATCACAATTACCTTCGTTCAGCTCGCTTAATACATTATCTGCTCGTCGCCTCAGTTCTTGACTCGTCACCCGTCATTTTCTTCATTCGTTTCTAAGTCACTCGTTCATATTTTGCACCGGCAAATATGCAGTTCAAGAACTTCGTTTTGGCTGCCTTCGCGGCATCCGCAACCTCAGTAGCTGCGTCTGATCAGGATGCTTGCGCTGCTGGGGCAATCTTAGGCATCTATGCTTTGTGCGGCTCCGACCCGGTCGACTGTGGTTCGAACATGTGTTGCTTGGAAGGTCAGAAGTGCGTCACTTCAGGTGGCGTCATTGCCTGCGCAGACTCCTCGCTCGTACAAGGGTAAGCTCTGCACGTATCGTACCGTTCTGAACGCTCAATGAAGCTCACGATCTCGACAGCTCTACCGTGACCGTCAGCGCCGCTTGCTACGGGACTTCGACCGCCTCGGCCTCCGCTTCAGCCTCCGCTTCAGCCTCGAAGCCTGGCTCGTACTCCGCTTCTGCTACAGGTTCTGCTACACACTCTGCTACGGGCTCTGCCACAGGTTCTGAGACGTGTTCTACTACAGGTTCTGCTACCGCTTCTGGTAAAGGTTATGCCACGGGCTCTGCAACCGCTTCGGCGAGTGCTTCATTGTCTCAAGGTGCGGGTGGTTCATATGGTTCCCATGGCTCGCAGACATGGTCTTCCTCTGCTCCCTACAACACTGTGGGATCTTCGTCTTCCGCCACTGGTGGTGAGACTTCGGGTTCTTACTCGGGCTCTTCCGGCTCTTCATCGGGCTCTACCTCAGGCTCTTCGTCGGGCTCTTCGTCGGGCTCATACTCTGGCTCTTCGTCGGGCTCTTCGTCGGGTTCTTCGTCGGGTTCTTCATCGGGCTCATACTCTGGCTCTAGCTCAGGTTCTCAATATACTAACGGAACAGCTGGCTACGGAGGGACTACCCCCAGCGGTACGGTCTCCTCTGGGCCAGTCTTGGCTACAGTTAACGCAGCTACCTCGTTCTCGACACCGAACTCGAACTACGCGGCGCTCCTCTCGGCCATGGGTCTCTTGGCCTACTTGTTGTAAACTGACAATGCACGGTGGCGGTGTTGGGAGAGAACGAATCTCGCAGACTTATTCTAAGCGGAAAATCGGCAACACCGTTGCTCGTGCCTCCGGAGGTGGGAGCGGGTGGACTTCGTTTCCTTATTGTCTAAGCGCATTGCATCTTCGGCGACTGACCGCGGGCTCTTTTCCTGTACCTCACCACATGCTATCGGTTTGAAAAGCGGCTTTTGCAGGGTGGGCGTGGCATGTGTACAATTCTTCGAGGCCTTTAATACCCGTCCCGGCGTTTGTCTCTGGCAGCGTGGCTGGGCAGCTAATGTGTACATATTCTCTTGTTGTACAAACAATAATGCATTCGAATCATTATTGTCCACGCCCCAGGAACAGTTCTACGTTCTTACGGTCCTTACCGATGATTCGTCTTTGTTATTAACAAAAATGCAAACCTTTTCAAAGCATTCCAACGTGAAGTTTCCGGCGAGATCAATTCTGATTGAGTCGTAGTCTTACTCAGCAGTTGCTGCCCAGCTGAAAATGAAGAAATTAAAGGTGCACGGTCAGCATGGGGCATGTGCTCGGCCACTGTCGTCCGTTTCGTCAGAGCCGCCAAGATTTTGCGTCGGCGGACACTAAGGGCCTCGAGAGCGTGGGACCAGGGGTACGGCTCTGATGGCAGAGTCTGTGAGCTGAACGGGCATGAAGATCACATCCGCGGACTACACTGCGACGAAACGTAGCGGTCAGCATTGTTTCTGAGGAGACGTTCCGCGTTCTCGGTCAAGGACGAGCTTCTCGCACGTTCGTGGTGCCGATTGGGCTTTGTTAACGCTGTCGACATTGCACCATGGCCATCAGCCATCCATATTATCCGCTCGGCGTTGAAGTTCCTGGATATGCTCCTAATGAAACGCCTCTCGCCATTTTGCTCCCCTCGTTTGCTCTCGTGTGCGCCTCGGTGCTCGCGTCAGCGTGGCGGGTCTCGCAATCGTTCCGGCCCGGGCTTCCCAGATCTGAAGTCTTGACCGTTCTATGGTTCAGTTTGTGTAAGCATGTTCAAGTTCGACCTGCGAGCGGAGAACAAGCTGACACTGAACGTGCAGGCGGTTTTATTCATATCTTCTTCGAATGTGGGCACGCTTCGTTCTCCTACTGTTTGGCCGTGTTGCTCACAGGACAGCAGCGTTTCTTGTTCGTCATTGGGCCTCAATTGCCTCGTCACAGTCCTTCTTCGGACAGGTTTGGAAGGAGTATGCTAAGTCAGACTCTCGTTACATGACAAAGGACCTTTCCGTCCTCTGCCTAGAAACTATGGCTGTAGTACGTCCGTCAAGAGCTTTATCTCAGTCGTTGGATTAACCATGATAATAGACGTTGTGGGGTCCCTTATCTTTGATCACAGTGTATATGATATTGACATCACATCCAATGCGCCATGGCTTCCAGATTATAACCTCCATGGGTCACTTGATTAGCTTAACCATCTATTATGTCACAAGCTTGGTCGAAATATGGTATCTAGGCTCGTCACACTCTAGACCAGAAGCTCTATATTTCTGGGGGTATTTCATTGGTTCCAATTCGCCATGGGGCTTCATACCCGTCGTTTTGATATGGCAGTCGCTGAAGGAAATTGGGATGCTGTCGACACTGGGGGCAGGTCAAGTTCAGAAGCAAACAAAAACGAACAAAAAGGCAGAGGTTCGAGATAAGTTAACATGACGAAGGTCAATTCAGGCAACTCCGTATCATTGAACGAAGATTCGTCAAACTATTCTCGAGTTTCATTAGGGTGCAGATCTTCGCGCATGATGACCTAATCCAAACCATGTGCTGGTTTCAAGATGGCTCTATCAGCATGCGCTTAGTTGCACAGAACAATGCCATGTCAGGATCAAAATACTCCGTAGCATTAATCAAGAAAGATTATCTCAAAAACTGCATCCCACGGTTTGCCTCAACAACTTTTCATCTGAACTTAAATTTCGAGGTGCACTGTAAATTATGTCATCATGCACACAACTCGACTTTCCTCTGGATATTCTCGCTCAGCAATCTCGGATTAACACAATTTATACACAATTGGTGTTCTTCTTCGTCGCGAACACCAGTGACAGCGATAGCTTGACGCAAATCATCAGCAGCTTAGATGCTGCTCTAAGCACTCTGTACCAGAGCTTTCCGTGGACTTCCGGTAACGTGATTGAGGAGAACAACAGATTCGTTATCAGAGTATCGGAACGAAAGCCCCGTCTGATCGTCAACGATCTGCGTACTAGTACGAGTTTCCCGGATTGGAATGCGCTTGCAGCCGCACAGTTTCCGTTCAGATGGCTTGATGAGAACATTATTGCAGCCCGGAAGACGTTGGCAGACGCGACCGAGCTGAAAACGGGCTTGCCCGTTTTCCTTGTTAAGGTCAACATCACGCAAGGAGGACTGTTGGTATCATTTGACAGCCAGCATGGCTCGATGGATATGACTGGCCAAGCGGAACTGATTCGTCTCTTCGCGAAAGCTTGCCGTCATGAGCCTTATACTCCGAGTGAGCTCGCCATCGCGAATAAAGATCGCACCAACGTCGTCCCGCTGCTGAACCATCTTGATATCGAGACCGAATTGACGGAAAGGTCTGATTCCGGGTCGTCTCATGTGTCTCCAGCTCCAGCGCGAGAGTCAACATTGACTTGGGCATACTTTATTTTCTCTGCTCGATCGCTGTCCGACCTAAAGTCTCTTGCGATGCAAAATGTAGAAAAAGGAGGGTTTGTTTCAACTGATGATAGTCTCAGCGCGTTCATTTGGATGAGCCTGTGTCGAGCACGAGCTTGTCGCTTCGGCCACGAAGCGCCTTACTTGTCAACGCTGTCGCGAAATGTCGACGTTCGCCGCGTCTTTTCGCAGCCTTCGTCGTACACGGGGCTTTTAGTGACTTCGACGATTCACACCAAATCTCTGGACGAGCTTGAGCGATCGTCCCTCGGTTCAGTTGCTCTCCAATTGCGTGCGGCGCTTGCTCCCGAGAAGCTCAAACGTCAATTACAAGTCCAAGCTTCGCTGATGAGCCGCGGTGCTGGAGACAGGTATAGAAGTGTTATAACCTCAGACCCAAGACTTGATGTTAGAGTGAGCTCATGGGCAAAAGAAACATGCTGCATCCTTGACTTTGGTTCTCCACTACAACACCCGGACGCAGTTCGAACACCCCGATTTGCTGAGGGTGCAAGAGAAGGCCTAGTGTATCTTTTACCAAGAACGAAAACCGGTGAAATCGTTGTAGGAATATGCCTGCGCGAAGATGATATGGAAACATTGATACACGATGAGCTGTGGAGTTCACGAAGTAGTTACATCGGTTGATATTATGTACCTAGAATAGTAGTACATGAGTCGCTAGGATTCTAGTGCATTTTGACAGACGCTGAAGCACGGGTGATGACTGCTCCACCACCGAAAACCGCCTCGCTCGTTCCAGTCCACCAAGTTGGGGAACTTGGTTCGTCTGAAGGAGAAAAAGCTGCGATCTGCCCACGGGTCCAGTTCCGCACAGAAGAATTGTCTCATTAGTTGCCGCTGTCGAGGGCTGCGTCGGCGAAGAAACTCCTTGAACCGATGCTTGAATCTACTATTGCAGCAGGAGAAGAGGGCTTCCTGATATATGACTTCCTCGGTGAGCAGCGAGACCGAGCGGCAGCTTAACAAGAAGGACAGAATGTTGCTTGAATTTGCCGTGATCTGTAAGGGCAGACAGGTGTGGATCACCTTATCCTCTGGCAGGACGGCGTGGCGGATAATTAGCTTTTGAATCTTCTGTGGCAGGCTGGTGAAGTCGAAAGGTGCTGCTGGCGAAGACGATTCCTCGGAGGCGGCTTCGTCCCTGTCTTCAGTCATTTTTTTCTTTAGCCACGCAGTAGTGTCTCGGAAATGGTCGCAAAGATCGTCATCAGGTGACGAAGACTGCGAAGACACCTCAAACATGACGTCGTCAGGTCGTTGCTTAGACTCTACAGAGAATCTCAACTCTTTGATGCCCTTGATCTGCAGAAGAGCTTGTATCCATGGCCCAGAGAGTGTAGTCGTACTCCACGGGTGCTCCGCATCGAACGGCTCATCTGCCGACACCTGCAACTCCAGACTCTGAAGCAATGGACAGTTGGTCGCGATGAACTTGGTGAGGTATCTCCACTCACACAAAGGCATATGAGAGTCGAAGACGTCTGCAAGATTGAGGCCGGAGATTCGAAGATGCCTCAGTCTGGCTTGATTTGCAGGGCCGATTTTCTCAAGGAGCTTACGACGGGCATCGTAGTCGTACCTGTACGCCCAAAGATCGAACTTCAAGTTCGAGTACAGCACCTCCTCACCTTCGTGCTGAAGTTGACGACAAGTACGAAGGACTGACACGTCAAATCCCTGTGCGGGTGCGTGGCCGGATCGCAGGTGCTTTGGAAGTGATTCGCAGCCATGCTCTTTCGGATACGCCGTAACGACCTGTCTACATCGATTGTTGATGGTAACAGCCTCGATGGCTTCTGCACCGGTTGCGTCAAAGAACACATGAAACAGAATCTGGTCTCGCACCTCGCGAGGGATCTCAAGGAGCATGGTGTAATGCGCCATCATTGCCGTAACGACGTTCGCTTGAGGATCATTGCTTGTCTGGACACGGGTGCAGCTACAGGAGCTTCTTGCTTTTCCAGAAAACAAGACGCCCGGAGATCAGACTTGTATTCTTGTTTTATCTGCCGCTCTGCTGGAGAGAGCCTGTCCCTGCATTTGCGAAGCTTGGTCTACTAGTTTGCCTCCCAATGTGGCAAGGTGTATTCAATGGCTACAACGGCGAAGAAGGCATCTCCGTACAACAACCTTATGCTTAGCGCCACAGCAGCTCACATGAGGATGTGGATGTTCTTCGGGAACCAATTGAAATGAAAAATTACTCATCCCTTTAGAGTCGATCTATGTTGCAGAATGTACTACCGCTACACCCCCGCTTGGATTGTCTTTTGTGTCAAGACACCTCCTAGTGAGGGGTAATTGCATCCAAGTGTGGTGCATTGGAGCCATTCCGAATCCTCCGAATTGGAGAAATCGATTATTGTTCCACCGAAATTAAGCATCAGAGCATGACATCTACCACCTTTGCTTTTCACCGCTTGGACTAGTTCTTTGCGCGGCTGTTGAATGTGTCAAGTCACTGGCGTGGACCAAAGCCCTTGCAGTATCCTATTCCTCGCGATATACGCTGCGCCATATACAGGTCGAGCGTATGGGAAACCATCCCACTCCCCTGGTGAGAGTGTCTGTACTTACTGCAAATTCCAACTTGAGGCACCTCTAGGGAACATCTCAAAGTGAGCAATGTCGGGCTTGACTTATGGATCCAAGAACTGACGAGATCGTCTGCAATGCCTTGCTGTAGGGTTAAGCAGGCCATGACGAATTTGTGCGCGATTGAAATCGGTCAAACACGGGAGGCATATTACGAAACAGATTTGGCGCGTGTCGATAATGGTTAAATTCAATAGCATCCATGTTCATTATCGTAATGCTGTTGTGTACGGAGATGCGGAAGGCCTCGATACCCGTTTCACGACATGTTCCATGAAGCTCGTGATATTGGAGTCATCTGCGAGACGCGGAAATTCATAGAGATAGAGAAAGAAAATTTACCTTCTTTACCATGGCTAGGCCACCGACTATACTATAATCGAGGGTCACTGGTCAAAGGAGAGGAGCACAAGACAAGTTCATGAAGACGGAGCTGGCCAGAAGCCGAAACCGGAGACGGCCGCTACTTAGTACCTGCCGTTGCTAGCTCGAGCATTGAACGAATACGTTAGGTCATCAAGTGGCGACTGGCTGTATCTTCACAACCACAATGCCACCACGGTAGCTTTATCGTGGATATACTTCTAACATCGCCATACTGATGTCTTCTGGACATGTTATCACAGAAGGCTATGGTCGGCTCAACATGCACTGCTTCAACCGCGCGTTTTGTATCCCGATACACCCGACGGACTGAGCTTTTCCGAGTGAGAGTATACGACCGGGTGCGATATGTGTCCACGGCTGCAGCTGCATCGAAGGCAGATGGAACTACTAACTCATGCTCGTCGCCTCCCTCTGTAGGAGAGCCGCGCCGAGTTATGAGCAGGAAGGAAGCCATCAGGAATGCCAAACCGTTCTCGGACTTCTTGACCGACAACTTCAATAGGCAACATGATTACCTTCGCATCAGTATAACGGAACGATGTAATCTGCGATGCTTGTACTGCATGCCAGAAGGTATGATATTTATGTGCCTTTTCAAGGCCTGAGGCTAATCCCGTCATTTAGAGGGAGTCCAACTATCACCGCCTGAGCACTTGCTTACTACTCCTGAAATCTTCTATCTCTCCTCACTATTTGTTTCTCAAGGCGTTACAAAGATTCGTCTGACGGGCGGTGAACCCACCGTACGCCCAGATGTTGTGCAACTGATGCAGCAGATTGGCTCTCTACGCTCTAAGGGCCTGAAAGAGCTGGCGTTGACGACCAATGGCATATCCCTGCATCGTAAGTTGGATGCTATGGTTGAAGCAGGTCTTACAGGGATAAATCTCAGTCTCGACACGCTTGATCCGTTTCAATTCCAGATAATGACGCGCCGGAAAGGGTTTGAAGCCGTTATGCGCAGCATTGACCGCGTACTTGAGATGAAGAAGTTGGGCGCGAATTTAAAACTCAAGGTCAATTGTGTCGTAATGCGAGGAATGAATGATCGTGAGATTGTTCCCTTCGTGGAACTTGGACGAGAGAAGGACATTGAAGTGCGCTTCATCGAATATATGCCCTTTGGCGGAAACAAGTGGTCTAAGGGAAAGATGCTGTCGTATCAAGAGATGCTAGACATCATCAGAACAAAGCACCCAGGTATACATCGCGTCCAGGGCCACAGGAACGACACGAGCAAGACATATCAGATTCCCGGCTTTGTAGGAAAAGTGGGATTCATCACTAGCATGACTGACGATTTTTGCGGGACATGTAATCGACTCAGGGTCACAAGCGATGGCAACCTGAAGGTGTGCCTTCACGGAAACACCGAGGTCTCCTTGCGTGACATTCTACGCGAGGGCAATCACGGCAAGCCCATCGATAAGGATGATTTCGAACGATTGAGAGAGCTCGAGATGGCACGACAACAGACCAACCTGCTTTCGGATGCCACACCACTTGGTTGGGGACCTCGCGAACACAAGTTGCTTGACATAATAGGCAGAGCCGTAAAGCGGAAGAAAGAGAAACACGCTGGCATGGGCGAGCTTGAAAACATGGAGAACCGCCCCATGATCTTGATTGGTGGGTGACGCGCTTATTTTTCTTGTTTTCTTTCTTGCTTTTTGTTCATATTTGCCTTCGGAGGAATGACTCCACATCCGTGCTAGTCCTTTTACGATCTCACGCGACTTATGATGGAAGGGACTGGTGATTGCATATGGATGGCGTTCTATACCATGGCGACTGTCTATAGCTTGCAAATATAAACCAATTTGCTTTGGATGTCAAAACTCTTCTCAAACTCGTCTGCATCAGTCCTGTGCTGACGGGTTCACAGATGAGCCCGGTGGCATGCGACTTACTTCTCGCCTGCCTGCAAGCTCCACGTACCGTACATCTATACCAGCATTCATGTCTTGGCAATTCAAGCGTATAGAAGCTGCAGGCCATATCATGTCGCCCCCACCGTTTCAGGCTCCTGTTATATGCTCGTTCCAGCAACGTGCATATTCAGTAATTTCAATGAAAGCCCGAAAACAGACTCAAGCTCCATCTGCTAAAGCTTCCGTCAGGCTGCTCTACTCAACGTCTAAGACAAAAGGTGGCGATCAAAAGTTAATTTCCGACAAACCCCATATTAGGGTTGAATCTTCGAACTTTGTCGTTGCATCAGAACTCAATGTTGCAACCACCAGCAATGAATTCAGCCCCAAGGACCATGTACAAGGAACCGCTTCAGGCGATGTCTCGGCAAAAATCCCCGGCTACTTGCGAAAGTCACGTCTGGATGCTTTACTCCGTCGTGAAGGCCTTAAACCCCGACGTGGTGTGGACTCGCAAGAAGGTGTCCGTCGCCTTTTAGCCCGTAGAGAAAATCGACAGAGGACATCGCAAAAGCGAGAACAGGGTCGGATACATTTAGCGGAGCGAAAATTGGAGGAGAAACGATCGTCCATTGAATTCGAGCCCGAGAAGAATGGAAAGCCGGATGAGGAGAATGTAAAGGCGCAAGACAAGAAGCTTAATGAGCGAGGAGAGAAACACGACGAACAAGATCGGCCAATACAATGGGCTCCATTTGCTGCTGACGACCTAAGAAACTTTGTTTCCGCAAGACGGGAACCAAGATTGATGACTAGACAAGACAAGCAAGACAGTACGACAAAGAGCTTCGATCGCCAAACGAGCCCTACTCACACTACCACAAAAACCCGTCCTGACCGTGCACTGCCTAAAACCCCAATCGAGATCTCGCGATATGCCCTAGAAAAGGCGTTGCAGAGTAAGACACGCTCAAGATCGGCACCGTCCAGCAGCAAGCCAAGTCACAGTTCATGGTTGACCTCTTCAACCAGACAAGAGAAATCTTCAACGGGGAAAACATCATCAAAGTGGCAATCGGCGTATGTTGCATCGTCTGAAGAGCTTCGAAATACTCACCGTGTTTCATCAGCTCATGTTTCTCCTTTGGATTCAGGCGGCAGGAGAAAGTACTCCACTAAGGCTCAGTCTGTCCGACTGGGTGACATTAATCAAGATCCGCAACGGGAATCGAGGGGATTACTTCGAAGACTTGACGAACTGCCCACAGATGCTGAACGTTTTACTGAACAAAAGAAATTGGAGTTGCAAAATGAGCAGACGAAGACTCATATTGAGAAGCTAGACGGAGCTCCAGATGGGAACATGATGGAAGAGTGGTTCAGGCCGCAGCACTCGGGCGAAGGCTCGAGCCATGAGTTTCCGCAAAGTGTTGATAAAGTAGCTCGGACAAAGGAGACCAAGGAGTTAGTCGGGGAGAGCAAACGAGTATTAAACGAGCCGCGGCAAGGTTTCGACATTGACACACTATATCAGGACTTCATTTTTCCATTTCAACAAATGAAAACGCACCGTTTCTGGCGGCTTCGCTCGCGGAGAAACCTCGGGATGAACCCGAAGACATACACTCTCCAGCATTTGCAGCTCTTGGAGAATCACTTTGGACCCGCATTTCAGGTCTGGAAGTCAATTATTCCTCGGTGGCGTCAGGAAGTTTGGCAGATTGCTATAGGCCTGGAGGAAGAGGAGGTTGCCAAGATTGGACGGGTGACCATCCTCAAAGAGACTCTGAGAAGAGTCGTCGAGTATTCTTTGCAGAGAAGACATGCAGGGAAGCCCCGAATGAGAAAAGATCCTCTTTGGGATCGGGTTGTCCTTGGCCCAAATGTTAGAAAAGATGACTTGACAGAGCTTGGCTTAGATGATGAGGAAACATTTGTGTGGTGGCATGTCAGGAAGAAGTTCCGAGTGCACATTGAACGCGAGGAGCCCATGAATAGTACAAGGAGTCGATTAAGGAAGTTTCTCGTCGATACTGAGCGTCAACAACACAAAGCCGCTAAAGGGGTGCATGAGTGTTTATCGCGTGGCGAGCATCTTTTGAACGAATGGAACGACATAGCTAGGCGCTTGCAGCGCGAGCTGTGGATGTTTGCGATGGGTGTTCGACCCGAGAATGAGACGCTCCGAGCCATTGTCAAGTCTGAGATTGACATAGACATGGACGACGTTAGACTTGCAATGCAGCACTGGATCAATGCGAGGGATTCAGCATCGCCACGTCCGATAGCTTCCGGTCGCCGGCACTTGCTGCATATGAAAGCAATGCTGCGTGGTGAGACTGCTCCGCAAACTAAAATGGACGTGAAGAAAGCAAGCATCTTACGCCAGCCTAGTCCTGGGGTCATGGGCAAATCCGCAGCAGCTCCAGGCACAGGCATGACGTTGAAGGAAAATTCTGCCGAACTCCAATGGCGCAGAGAAGTGCAAAAAATTATGGCCATCGAGAAAACTGTCAACCGGCTATCCTACCTAGCTCTCGAATGGAGGAGACAACTCTATGCTATTCTCACCGGAATCACCTTGGATGAACAGAGCACAACTTGGTACATTCCCTCAGCGTTTATCAAAGCTGCAGTGCAGACATATAATTACCGTCGAAGGCGGAGCGAGAATGAGTCTCCTACTCAGCCGTGTCTAGGAACAGCTCCTAGTACTGAGGGAGATGCTTTAGACGCTTTAGGAGCTTTACGAAGCAGTTTTCATCGTTTTCGAGACGAAATTAGACGGCAAAGCCGAGGGGACAGCAGAAATTGGACACATGTGAGACGCTTTCATCAAAGAACTCATCAATTCCACAGTCATTCCCATCTGCACATCAGCGTAAAACTACTATACCCTCACTCTATGGAAGCAAAGGATGGTTTGACCAAATGCAACAAGCTGGACTTGGCCGAAGAGAACGCTATGTCAATTCCTAATTTGTTTCAGAGGAGATTCGAAACACTGAAGCAACTGAAAAAGCTGATGTTCGGTCAGTCTAGCAAAACTCGAGCGTTCCAGTCGCTCGAATCAAGGGAAGAGCATCAGAGCGATATTTTTCTGTCACAGGACGTGCATACAGAGAATGAGTGGGGAGAGGCCTCTTTGAAATTGTCTCGCGAAATCCAAAAGAGTGGACGAGTTGGACTATCAACGTTCGTACCGACGCCCAAACTCTTAGCGCCACTACGGAGAGCGACGGACGCAGAATTGCCATCGACGTTGGATGACGAATCTGGTGGTCAGACATTGACTCACTTGAGCTCAACTGGCGAAGCTCATATGGTTTCTGTTTCCAACAAGCCTGACACGAAACGAACGGCGGTTGCAGTTGGACAAGTCCACTTCTCCAACTCGGAAACGTATAGTCTCGTCACTACTGCCACCCTAAAAAAAGGCGACGTGCTCAGCATTTCGCGCATTGCTGGCATTCAGGCCGCGAAAATGTGTCCGAATATCGTGCCTCTGTGTCATCCCATCATGATAAGCAGCGTCAAGGTCGACATTGCACCTTTCAAAGATCAAGACTCGAGTGGTATTAACATAGAGAGCAAGGTGGAATGCACAGGACCCACTGGTGTTGAAATGGAAGCACTTACAGCCGTAATGGGTGCTGCATTAACAGTCATTGACATGGTCAAAGCCGTAGACAAGGCAGCAAGCATAGAGAATGTAAAAGTAGTGTACAAGAGCGGAGGCAAAAGCGGAACCTGGGTTGATGATGAATGGTCAAGTTCAAAGCGGAACGGTTAGGGAGGCGACATGATAATTGTGGGTGAGCATCAGATGTTTTACTGAATGGACTTGATCATAGCATTTCTAGGGCGTCAAGTGTGTATTTACAAGGTGAAGAGGCAGCAAATATACCCACTCACGATATTCCTCCAAAACTATGCATCGTATTAATGTTATTTATGGTAATTTGACACTTCCAGTCGTATGGGCGTAGTGCTCTCCAGCGATCTAGGATTTTGATCGAAGTCATAGGTAGTGGTTGTGTCGCCTTCGAACAAGAAACTTCTGGAGCGTCGGGAATCGTCTCCTGATTGTGCGGCTGGCGTCTTTGGCGACACGGCTTCGGTGAGAGTGTGGTCTTGTTGGAAAAGGCCCGAGAAAGGTGCGATCTCAGCCATTGGACTCGAGCAGTGGGACAATGTTAAGTCTCGGTCCAGGATTCGAGTTCACGGGACGAAATCCTGCATAGATAATAGGAGCGAAATTCGCAACTTCGACATCAGACCCGTCGTAGGATTGACAATCTGACAGCGCGTCAACTTCGGGCGAATAGATCCGTTTCGACATGGAGAATCCGCCGAGTTTGCGAAACGCGTTACTCTTGGGGAAGGTACCACGATGTCTTTTGTAGAAGGATCTGAAAACATCTACTGGGTATTTGAGATGCCAGACAGGCTTTACGGCGTGAAGGACGTTGGCTTTGTCTGTAGATCCATCGACAGGTGAAGCATTTACTAGGGTTCTATTTGCACTGCTCGTTTCCGATTCCACTGGTAGTTCCTGCACGTTGTGCATAGGGTCCTGACGCTTTTCGTCAATTTCACAGCAATAAGAGGATTTAGAGATCGATCCGGAGCCTTGAGCTGCGCTGATTTTGGAGTGCAGCTCAGTTAAAGTTGCGGAAGTCGTTTCATTGATGAGCTGCGCGCCTCTTCGCTCACGTTCTCGCTGTTCGCGGTTGACGATTTTGTACAGCCTGTAGTCATCGATATCTTCTGCGGTCGGGATCCGATACAAGTAATCCCAATTTACCGAAGGATCCTTCGCTTCAAAATGTATATCGAAGCGAACAGTCTGTCCGTGATGCTTCTTGGCATCAATTGCTTGTATCGACCAGCCCACAATCTTGTACCTGCGAGACGTGAGCCTTAACGATCGAAAGGACAATGCATTGTACTCCAAACAATCCATCATATCGAATACCCGCCCTAGGGGCCCATAATGAAGTTAATCGGTGATCCCTCAAAACGCGAATTGGAAATCGAGAACGATAATTGGCAGACATCAGACGAAACTGTCCTCGGTCCACGGAGTTGCATCGGTATGTAAATCTACTTGGATTTGTTGCATTTAGCTCCTCATTTCCTCTTAGTACCAACGCATACGCCGCATCTTTCGTAAAAGATATGCCTCCTCGAATGCTTTTGCTGTCGATTATTCCATCTTTAAAGGCAAACAATCCATTAATCCACCATGACCCAGTCTTGAAGCCCAGATCTCCATGGTAATATGCTCGACGGTCGTCTGCTTGGTCGATGTCTTCGCTCGTCCAACGTTGAATCAGTATCTCGACGTCGATCAGTTTTTACTCTACACAAAAGATCGCGGACTGAGGCAACCCATACCTCATGATTAGTATCTGCGGGCTCGCAAACTCCGAAGAGACGGCCTCCTTCTTCGTACAGTGGTGTTCGAATGTTCTTCATCGGGCCCAATCTCGCTTCCCATCCATGTATTATCCGATCTGCGTCGTTAACTAGTTCCGCTGGCCACCGTGTAGCCTTACCACGAATTTCGAGCACTGCCAGAAAAATTCTGGAATGCCGAAGGTCATGCATAGATATTGGGTATGATTGGAGAGCATGGAAAAGATTTTGAAGTGCGCGTATTTCATCAGGATGCAAAGCACTTGGTCCTTCGCGAGCAACGAGAGGATCGAGTTCATCCCTTATCCAGCACGCAGTTTCTTTCATGATGTCCAAGGTGACATTCATAGAGAAGGAGTTGTGACCAGAGACTGCCGTACTACTTGGCTTCGAAGACATATTGTCAGGTAGCGTGTTGAGATAGAAGGCAAAACTGCGAACTAGAAGAGAGATATAGGAAGAGCTTAGAAAGACAACTTTTAAGCAGACCCAAGCTTTGAAATACATCGATTCGCATTTGCTCCTTCCATGCAGACTCTATCGCGGAAAGATGAACTCGTCGGTAGCTTCCAATTGAGAATTAAGTCTAATGCTCTTCAATGCTGCGTATATAAATAGATCTTTCTGCGGAAGGGAATAAAAAGCTGTGTCGCGCTCTCGAAAACCCCTAAACTAACCTTGTTGCAGCTATCGATTTGTACTTCAGTCGAGCTCTATGTTTCCTTTGCCGAAGGGATGATAATTTTCTTCACCTGCAGATGTCCACTGTGCCTCGTACAGGGACTCGTCCATTTGAGACGCATCCATACCAGCAATGACTTCACTGCTAGCGTATTAATGTCGGAAAATTCACGCATAGGAGATGCAACTTACTCATCGGGCGCCAAAAATTCGAAGCCGGGTATACAATCGATCAAGGCTGCGATCAAAAAGCTTCCAATAAATGACCACGCGAAGCCAACTAGGGCCTCCACGATTTGAACATACAATTGACGAAGGTTTCCGTCGAAAAAGACGCCGCCCTCGATTTCAGTCACGCCATCGTATCCAGCAACTTCCTTTCTGGCAAAGAGTCCAGTCGCGATCGTGCCAACGAACCCGCCAACACAGTGTGTGGCAAAGGTATCACCATTGTCAACCCAACGAATTCGTCTTGCAAAGTCGGTGAATTTGAAACGCAAGGCTTGACGACATATCAGAGCACCAAATACACCGAAGAAGAACGCAGTGGGCATGTCAATGAAGCCTGCTGATGGTGTGATGAGGACCAAACCGGCAATCGCCCCCATAAATGTCGAGTCCAGTGACCACTTTCCGGATTCCCAGTATGTCAAACATGCCCAAGTGATGGCGCCGGCAGATGCACAAAGGTTCGTAACGCACATGGCCATGACTGATTTGAAGTTTAGAGATAATGTTGTCCCAGCATCGAATGCGAGCCAGGAACCCCAGATAATGATCATAGCTAAAAGCTGACACATGGAGTTGTGCGGTCGATGCAGCTTGAGGTGACCAGGCGTTCGCTTTTCTGATTTCCTGGAGCGAGCGATGGGATAGGATAGGTACAGACTCAAGGCTGTCGCTGTGGCTCCCGAGCAGATGTGGACGGGAGTTCCTCCAGCAAAGTCCAGTGCTCCAAACTCTCCCAGAAATCCTCCACCCCATACCATATGTGCCAATGGGCAGTATATGAATGTTGACCAGAGCTTTATTATCATTAGTGGATAGTTTGCGGAGTGTTTCCCTTAATTCTGTGGAACGTACAGCGATGAAAGGAATGATCGGCAGTAATCTACCCCTCTCACAAGCACCACCAACTGCGATTGCGCACACAGTGGCCTCAAAGATTAGTTGAAACTCGCTGAATAGGATCGCAGGTATAGTTCCGACAGGCTCAGCAAGTACGTCGATATGAAACGCATTTTTCAAATTACCAAAGATCAAACCGCCCTCACCGTAGGCTAAGGTGTAGCCGATGACAAACCATTGAATTGAGCAGACGGCAACAGAGAGAATCGACGGCATGAATGAGGCAAGTCCAGAGCGGCGCGTGGAATATCCAGAATATCCCAGGCCTACGGCTGGAATGATAGGCCAGCAAAAAACGGAGCAGACCAAAATAAACATGGTATCCGTCTTCGAGCATGCTTCCCATGCCTTCAAAACGGTCTCGATAGCCATTGTGCTCAAGGATTGCGAGTCTGGAGTCTACTAAGAATTCCAAACGAAAAGTGAAAGTGTATACGGGAGGTTAGAAGTCATCTCGACTTGCGCGACAGCGAACTGCAGCCACTGATCAAGTACCTGACACAATAGTCATCCCTCGCCTGGGTCGACATACCCGATCTGACTATGGCCGTAGATAAAGGCTGATTGCTCTTGTTGATGGAGGTATCTTGAGGCTTTCATTGGCTGTCGATAAGGAGGAACGATGATTTTGGACTAGCGGATTGATCACATGATACTCTGCACCATTGCGGCCACTTCTGATGGTCAAATGCTTGAAACTTGTGCTAGTGTATACGGGTAACACCTTTGAACGCAAATCAATGTTATGAGATATGCAGCTCGAATTAGAAGCTGCTGATAACTGTAGGCGGGAATCATACCCAAACTCTTTTCAACATCACTTACCGGTTGCTAAGAATTGTACTGCGTCCTTATCCATCTCCAGGAGAATTTTCTCGTAGTAACCGAGTTCATCTTCCTCAAGCTCTAGGTTGCCCTTTTCTTTTTTCCATACCATTCGCTGACCAGGTGTAAATGTGGGCATTGTCCAGCCGCGCAACGCTTCGGATTCGTATTTACGACCATTATACGTCAGCCCATTCAGAACATATCTCGCCCTCACACAAATGTGTATCTTCTCGTGAGTGTTCGCTAGCTTCTCAGACGTCTGCTTTCCTGACTTGTAGTCCACCACATGATACTCCTTTGGCGTCCGAACAACACTTCCAGCAAGGCTGGTGGGGAACTTGAAGGAGTTCCCCAACCTACCCAGGCCCCATTTCCATGGTCCTCCAAGCTCCTTTTGATGATCTGCGTAGAACTTCTGAGTTGCTGCAACTTCTTCTTTAAAGTAATCGATGTTGAAGTTCAGCCCACATTCTCTGAGCTGACTCATCATCCAGGCTAGCGAGATATCGCACATGCCATTGTCATCTGCACCTCCACCGACGTTCGTATGAACGCCAGGAATCCACACCTGTTTGAGATTTGTTTTACCACCTGATTTTTTAGCCCAGACTGTTGGTCCAAAGGCAGAGCGATGCTCGTCAAGAGCCATTACGTGAAATGCATTCTCAATGTGGTCATCTACGCCCGTATCGAAGAAACGGTAGCTGTGCAGTGTTGTGGGAAACCCGATTTTCTGGAGCCAGGGCTGTACAGGTAGGCCAAGCGATCCTACTGTATCCCAGACACCTACTGCCTTGATTTGGACTTCCCGTGTTAAACCATGTGCTCGCAGCTGTGCGGCGTACGCTTTAAGATAGTTCTTCAAGTCGCTTGTAGGGACGTCAATCTTGAAACCTGGAAAACCGTCTGGTTGCTTCGCCAGCTTCGGCTCATAGTCTTCATCACCTGCATTTTCGAAATCCTCGAAGATTTGATAGAAATAGCGCATTGCTGATTTGGTGAGCAGTCCTAAACATCCAATCATTCCCGCCACACTTCGAGCGGTGTACGCTCCACGTGAAAAGCCAATCAGAAAGATCTGATCTTGTTGCACATCGCCAGGCGCGCCATGATAGTTATTCACCAAGAATCCGTAGGCTTCACGGACGTGCTCGGATAGACCCAAGGCAAGCCCACCTCCCAAAAACTTGTCCGTTAGAGACCAACTTGTCCCTATGCCGCTCTGGTAGTACGCGATTTGCGGATGTTTGCCATGCTCGTCAGCGCTCTCTGGACTTAGAGCACGCACAAACCGCGTCACGTTTGAAGGCAGCTGTGGGTGACCTGCGTCGAACAAACCGTCTTTCGTCCATCCAACTTCAGAATTCTAAAAGTCATCCAGTAAGCGGGAGCTCCGCCGTGTCACGTGATTACCTACCATCCATGTCCCATCGCAAGCTACGATGAGCTTTTTAGGAAGCTTTAAAACATTCTTGTCAGGCATGCTTGAGAGGTGGAAGCCTCGAAACAGCGAGCAAGATAGAGTCCTGTCTTGCACCTGGCGAACGCGCGGCGGGGGATGAGAATAAATATTTGTCGCACCAGATACGTTCGTGCGAAGCCGAAGGGAAGTGCGAGAGATGAAGGCCAAAGAAGGTACAAAACGAGTGCTGGCAACGGTGTGCATTTTATTATTTACCAAGCTGCCTAGAAACAAAAAGTTCACAAGACACACTTGCGGCGTGTGCCATGCATATCATCTTCCCCATACGGTTTTACAGGTCTCACACAGATCTCCATTTTAGATTCAGCCCAAGTAGACCGGAAATCGAGCTGAGGGCGCTTTGATGATCACCGAGCCGGCATTGGTCATGCGTGCGTTCAGGCGCTCGTATTGCAGGTCTTGGCTGTGGTGAGCTGAAATGGGCAGCAAGGACAGCTTATGTGAGCCATGTGCCAGGATGCCACCGCATTACTGGGGAGCTGGAATGAGGCTGTTCAACACACGCTCTGCACATGGCGTTCTCTGGCGTTGTTCCAGGCCAGATTTGCGACGTACGAAAAGGTTGGAGAATTCGCTAGCTTAGCTTTCTATTGTACAAGTACAAGTGCTTGTGGAATTGGGCCAATGGTAGATCCCGAGGCGGGAGAAGCCGCTGCGGATCCTGGGCCGAGCCTTTCCCTTCTCAGGATAAAAGTGATGTAGCGAGTTTGAATTGGGGCACTTCTCGTCAAGAGGCACAAGTTTGGAGCAGATCAAACTCCCTTGATGGAGGAAGAGTTGGCAACAGCCCCCGCTGGCGGAACATTGACAGGCGTCAATCTGTGAATCACGGCCTTTTCTATGGGAATGGTGTTCTGTTGTCTTCGAGGGTAAACTTGTGTTTATTGGGTTCTCTGCCGATCCTCTTCCACAATCTGACGGGCGGCTGAGAAGCAGCAGCAGCTTTCACGAATTCGATGGATCATGCCAAGCTGCTTATGCTCAACCAACGTTAAATAACGCCACCAAGTCCACAATTAGCTTTCTAACCCTCTGACCCTCTGGAATCCCTGATGCAATGTTCCACAGAACCACAGCATCTACTCAGTATACCGTCCCTGACCCAACCTCAGCTTCCTGCCATCGCCTTGTCCGCCTTCATCTCACCATTGGTCATCTGGACGTCTCTTGCTCAGCTGTGGTACCTCCTCTCTTGTGTCTTTCACAGTCCAGTCCTTCTCAGATCCTGTTCTCCCTTTCCTGATTCTCCTACGTTCCGTCTCTATTCTACCTTGCTCGTCTGCACTCCCTCTACCACCTTCCATGAAGTCGTCAACCCGGACTTTCTCTTCCTCTCTGTTCGGTAATCGCACCTCACCTTCCTCCGGACACTGACCTACAAGCCGTGCAAAATCATTCAGATTCCGCTCAAACTTTATTTTGATCAAGCCTCCAGGCTTTCCTGTTGTTCGAGGTATTTGGTTCCCTTTGATGAACAAGCCATGTACAAAATATCGTGCGAACTTGAAGTTCCCGTCAACATGAGGTTGCGCGGATGGTCTTTTGAACGCTAAGACGACACGTTTCCGGAAGTGCGGCCTTATGCGAAAGGAATGCGTCTCCCGTGTTAACATTGAAGTGATTGCACTCTGTCTGGACTGGCGATTTGAATAATCTAGGCGTCCACTGGCCCATCCGACTAACATATATGGCAACAAACTTACCCCTCTCCAAGACTTTACAGTTGTAGAACGTGCTAGCGTTGATTGTTCTGTATTGCCACTCCACAGGTGGGTTTGATACAGCTTACAAGTCTTGCAAGTCGGCTCGCAGCATGGATGGAGAAGCTTCACGTGCTTGATTTTCTCGGGATACTCGAATCGATAGCATTTCTGTCTGCAATCTCGAGGTATGGTAGCAGACGAAGCGGTAATTGAGTTCTGCTTCCCTCGGTTTGATATCATAGGATAGACTAACTTTGAACATGAATTTCTGTCCCGCTAATCACGGCCATTAGCTCTTTTTATAAACAAAACGACGTTTGTTGAAGTTTGATGTTATTCATACAGTGACTCGCTCGTCGCCTTGAGCTCTGGTATGTGTGAACGGCTCGTGAAACAAGCTGCCGTTGTTACCGAAGGACAAATTTACGCGTTTGGATAAAAAATTGGATTCCGGGACCTTCCATTCGTCCACAGAAGCCAAAACAGCAAAATCGAATATCTCATGAAGGATAAAGAGGGTAGGAATCGCTTCAAGGGCCAGAGAGCCACCATGCGGCAGGCTGGGCCAGCCTTTCACGTGCTTCGAGGGATTCTCAACATGGATCAGCTAGCCGAATCGGGCTTGGCGGCGAAGATCGGCGAGATCGTGACAGTCGAGAAAGGAAAGCTGTTTACTGGGCCATGGCGGCTGCCCAAAAAGGAACGGGCCTGCACAACATTTCGGAAAGTGCAACGCGCAGCAATCAGAGCACTTTACAAGTCGGAACAATGGATTTGGGGACTGTATTTCAATCGATGCTAGCATATAATAGCCCGGGCTTCGCAGCCGACATGATGTACACAAGCGTGGTTGGCAACGTGTTTTTGATCCGCAGAAATGAAAGACGGTCTGGGATTCCCCACCGCTGTGCCGGCATTCCATGCTACCGCAAACAATCACCACGCCCACTTCTCAACACCACGTTCCGCATTTAACATTCGTCAATAAGCCTCTCATTCTATACGTGTTGGGCCATCTTATACATGTTCTCTCTGTCGAATTGCGCATTCGCTTTCTTCACGAATTCCCAGTGGACTGCACGTTTTCTGCTGTCATGATTGCTTCTTCTTAGGCAAGTAAACAAAGCCCATCGCAAGCTGTTGAACCAGATGAACACGTCCTGACGCGCCTCCCTCACAGTCTCTCCAAATGCCGTCTCCGCAACCGAATGTAAAGAACTTCTCATTGGCAAAGGCGAACCCTTACGAAACTACTTCGGTACGCGATAAGATTCGAAAATGGCAGACGGCAGGAGGTGGAGTCCTCGAGCAGCCAGAGGAGGCAGCAACTGCGGACCAAGATGCCAAAAGCGAAAAGAAGAGCGAAAAAAGTGGCAGTAGCAGCAGTAGCAATACACAGAGCGGCAAATCGCGCGCGTCGCCGTCGGCGCATACCAGGTCTAAGAGTGAGAGTCACGTCGAAGTCGACGATCCGCCACGAATACAGAGCAGCGAACCCGACCAGCCAAAGACGCCATCGCAGCTCTCTAAGTCCTCAGACAAACAGACTTCAAGCGAACCACCGAAACCACGCGTCGTCGAACGCAAGCCCAACGGCATCACTGCGAACAAGCTCGACGCCGACGTTCGCAAGGCGATAGCGCCAAAGAAACGCATCGTCAGTGACGGTCACTGGCGACGAAAACATGTTGATCCCAATGCACCCGTTTCTCCTCCAAAGAGCAGCCCTACAAAGAAAGAGCAGTATGCATGGGTTCGACCTCCGCTACTTGCACGCCCCTCTGTGAACGATGAATCGCCGCCCTCACCACCAAAACCGAAGCGCGACAGGGAACCGATGAGAATTTACACTGGGAAAGGAACAACAAAGCCAATTGCCGCACAAATTCACAGTCAATTGTCCATGCGGCCTAAGGAAAGTGTGCCAATGAGACCAAAGTCACCGACAACGCCGCGACCAAGGCGACCTTCAACTTTGGAACGCACGCCTGAATTGTACGACAGTGAAGACGACTCCCCACGAAAGCCCAAGGCACAGTCAAATCAGAAACAATCCTCCCTTGGCCCATCCAAACTCTCAGATGACGATTTCACAAGTTCTGAGGAGAAAACACGGACCCGCCTCTCAAAATCACGAAAATCTGGATCTGAGGGCCTGACGTCAGAGACGCCTCGGAGGCGTCGAAGTTTGAGCTTAGGAGCCAATGCGAATCATACGACTCGAAGGCCGAGTTTGCAACGTAAAGTTGATCATCATGAGAGTGCAGATGAAGGCAGACGGAGACCGCAAAAGCAACAGCGAAGGTGGTCGCTCAGCGAGGAGAGCAAGTCATCCTACGAGAGCTTCTCGCCTCCAAGACCGCCACGAGAGCTCAATAATTTCGATGAAGATGCGGAAAAGAGACGATCAAATTTCAGGGCTGAGTTCGCACAATTCAAACCGTCCAGGTTGAAGAGACGTTCACATCGAAAGCCGGCCATGCGTCAAACCTCTCATTCTCCTGAGCCGATAAAACGAAGAAACGAAACGATCGCGGAGCCCATCCCACCCCAAAGACAGACTTCGCAGAGAATTGAGGCGTGGCTTACAGAGACACCCGACCCATTTGATGAAAACAAAAAGGCCAACTCAAGACGCGCATTTTCGTTCGAAACGAACGGTCGTGGTACCGCGACTGATTCCACAATCGAGACAGAGACTACGATCACAGAGACTACGATAACCGAGGTCACGGAATCGACATTGACAGACATGACAGAAAGTACTATGGCACCAAACAGAATGTCCCGCAAATATGGGGGTGATCGAAAATCAAGTAACAGCAAACTGGCATCTAACCGTCATATTCGCGCAAAGTCAGAGCCAAGTGACTACTTAGACCCCCAGATTGAAGTCGAGTACTCATCTACAACGTCGGTACCTACGTTAAAAAGGAGAGGTGCTAAATATGGTACATCATCACCGAGCAGTAAAGTGCGAAGTAAACCACCGGCCACTGAATCGTCATACACTGAGAGCTGCATCACTGAAAGCGACGTCACTGAGTCTGTAGTCTCGTCCTCGATTGACCCTCGAGATTTCAGCAAGCCGGGAGAAAATCAATCATTGAATGTGGCTCGACGGCTGTTTCCATCAACGGGGAAAAGGTTGTCAACGATTGCATCGGTGGAGACGTTGGCTACAAAGTCACAAGATTTATCAAATAATGCTCCGGAAGCGGTTCATCAAAAGCCTGAAGATTCGAAGGCCTCATTGGTTGTGAAATCTGCGCCCGCTGAGGATGTGATTACAGCCCTTCCCAACTTTACCAACGGCAGCGTAGTATCTGCAGCACATAGCAGATCTAGTTTGAGGAGGAAGAAGACTGCGACACACGCAGATCTCATGACAGTCTTGTCGATGCCCGCGTCGCGCAGCAAGAGCATAGTATCGGCACGAAGTATCCGGACGCACAGGAGCAGGCTAGAGACCGCCACGCTCGAGGACCTGATGAGAGAACTCGCATCAGACGAGATGAAATATATGCGTGAACTACGCACTCTAGCTGACGACGTCATTCCTATTCTGCTGAAGTGCGTGCTATCCAAATCAGAAGAAGCTGTCGCGGCCGGATTATTCAAGGATCGCCCTGTGTCGGAGAAAGACGCCATCTCTGAAGCTTCGAGGGTCATCCACGATTTAAGCGTATCGATCCAAAGACTGAAGAGCTTGCATATGCGTATACCGAAAGAAAATCACTTTTCACTCCTGATTTGGGCGCAAAGTGCACAGAGCGTGTACGACAGGTACATAAAGACGTGGCGTCTGGGCTTTCAGGGCATTATCGTGAACGTTCAGCAAGAGGAGTCCACCGCCTCGGCGGTATCTGCGCCTACTTCCGACAATGGCAGTGGCTTAGGAATGGCACGCAATGAAGAAGGTGACATCATCGATGCCAACGGAGAGCGGGTTGATGTAGCATATCTCCTCAGGAGACCTCTCGTGCGACTCAAGTTTTTGCACAAAACTTTGAAAGGAATAAACATTAAAAAGCCGTCTGAGCAGGCTGGTGTACTTGCAAAGAAGTTTGAGGCACTAGTGGAGATGGCAAGGAAGAGAGTAGATGACGAGAAAGCGCGCATGGAAGATGATGCTGCAGCACATATCGATGCAACGAGAGCTCGAGATCCGAAGAGCCTTGCTCCTTTGGCAGGCGTTAAGATTGATGCTACGCGTTCTGTCAGAGGGAGGGACATATTTGACATGCACTTGCCACACTCCAGTGGGCAAACGATGGACTGTCGTGTTGAGTTAATAATTCGTGACGACGCTCCTGGACGAGGCCAGAGTGGGGATGTGCTCATTTGTGAAGTTGATGAATCAGGGCGATGGCTCCTATTTCCCCCGGTGGAATTGAAGCGGATATCTTCTCGTGCCGGAGACGAGCCCGGCCAAATCGTGGTGATGATTAGAGGTGTCAGCTCTTCTCATGAGGAATGGGATGAGGTCTTTGCACTGACGACTGACGATGAAGAGATTCGATTCGAGTGGATTCAATGGCTTGGCCTTGTGCCGGTTCCACCGCCATTGGGTATAAATAAGACTTTCAAGGATCAGGAAGCCAGGCCAACAAGCAGTCATGCCTCGAGCTCGTTGGTTTCGTCAAGAACGGAGTCTACTGCGCCGTTAAAGAGCAGGACACCAAGTCCCAGGGAGATCGAGATACCCATTGGCGAGCGTGCTACTTCTGGAGCGAAGAGATGGAGCAAGGAGATCACTTCACCTCGTATGGATGGATCAGACATCTCGTCATTCTTGTCGAGCTTGGACAGTGAGCGAGCTACACTTTTCGAAAAGCGAGCTCAAAACTCTGATACGGGATCATATACTTCTGTGTCCTCACGTGCCGAGAGTGATGTTAGAACAGATATTACGCCGCCCTCTGAACCGAAGCACTCGAGCAGTAGGCACTCGACTCCACGGAATCTGAATGAAGCAATGGAAATGGCTGGCAGCGGATCGCCGACACTTAAAAGAACCAGAGCAAAGCGATACCGATCTTCCCCTGAGAAGATTTTGGGCAAACATGCGGCGAAAGAGACAACTAAAATTACCGTTTCAGGTCAACACGAGCCATTAGCAACACGGCCGAAGCAGACTAAGAGCATAAAGAAAGCCTCACGTAGCGACGACTACAGTGTCTGGATCCCTAATTCGGAACCGAAAGACGATTCCGAATCAGATGTTAGTGACGAGGACTCTTTTACATCAACCTACCTGTCAGGACACATGCCACTACATCACAGGACCAGTTCTGTTCCATCACTGAAATTGCCGAGTGTTCGAAAGATGAGGAGCTCCAAACCTGAAGATGAATATATGTCTGGTGCTTTACAGCCGGAACCGACAGTCAAGACGCCAACAAAGCCTGCTACATTGGCGAAAGAACCACTTTCAGCTCCTCCAAAGCTTGAGAGACTGTCCGAGTCACCTGCCAAACCTGCTGCCGTATCTCTTGCAGTAGACACCCCTCCTCCGCCGCCCCCTCATCGCACACCAAGTTCTTCACAGGTCAAACTCCCACCAGCTCCACAATTCACGCCAATTCCCCAAGTTAAGCGTCGGTCCTCGTCGCCATTGAAGCATGAATATAGGCCGTCATCCCCGTCATCAGAGTCCTCTTATACGGAAGACGAAGATTCTGCTTCTGAATACTCCCAAGACTCCCTCTCTTCGGAGTCTGAAGATGATCTTGAAGATGACGACGTTGCTAGCACTTTTGTGTCGTCTGTGGTGTCGCCCAGAGAGCCAGAGAAGCCTTCTGATCTGTATTCGCTACCAAATGGGACAATCAAGCCGTCCGAATCAGCGTCTCAGGCTCCGTACAGAAAGGTGCCGCATACCGTCAGCGGGGATGCTAAACCGGCGAAGTGCGTGGCTAGCATATTCACTTGGTCGGAAAAGGGGCACTGGGAGCTTCTGCATCCAAATGACTGCATCGTCATGATCACACCTGGGCTCATTGCTGCCTATCCTCTGAATACTTCGCATGCGCCAGATTCGGTACCGGAGGAACGGCCACTCGTAGCACAGGAACTCACACCTCTGGTTCCTCTTCGGAGAGGCACATTGCTTGATATCACTATTCGTTCCCCACCCACACCGGCTTCACGGCTTACTCCAGGCTCTAACATTATGTTCAGATCCCGGAGCAGTGACGAGTGTGAGATGCTCTACAACTTGATAAACCGCTCACGAATCAACAATCCAACATACATTGCGCTACAGAATGCAAGGCCCCCTGTGTCTGATGGTTGGGCTGCGGCTATGGATCGCCAGAATAGCCAACGTGGCAACGGCGGCTCAGGAGGTTGGCTGAGTCGCAGCAGGAGCTATCGCGCCTCTTCGAGAGCACAGAGCACAGCGGGTAACACCGAGTCCAGCATCGGCACAATCTCATCCGTTATCACAGCCATGAAGCGGTTCTCGGGCGCCGGCGTCATCTTGGACAAGGCGCGCTCACGAATGTCTATATCGCGAGATGGCTCAGACTCGCTCGGCTCCGGCGGCTCAGGAACCCGTTCTCCGCCTCAATTTGTTGCCGATCAGACCTTGCTTAGTGGTGGTGCGGGTATTTCTAATGCCAAAATCCGCTTGTACGTCCTACAGTCCAAGAATAAGTGGGTTGATTTAGGAAGTGCCAGGCTATCCATCCTGCCCAAGGAAGAAGGTGCGGTCATTGCTGCCCCCCTGATGCTGCATACTGGCCAAGAGAAGAGGATTGCAATTACGAAGAAGAAGACTGCAGAGTGCTTGCTGGACGTTACGTTGCCAGAGCCTTGCTTTGAGCGATGGGCTAGGACAGGTATTGGTGTAAGCGTTTGGGTCGACGTAAAAGGGAACGGCGGCGAGGGTATACCGGAGACGGGCGGAGTTACAGAGAAACGCGTTGTTAAGTACATGATTCAGGTATGTGTTTTGCATCTTCTTTGATCACGGATGCATGTACTAATAAATCTTACAGCTTAAGAGTGAAAGGGAATGTGCTTACACTTTCTCGTTGTTGGGTAAGCTGCGATATTGAATTATCTGCAGTAGTGCAAAAGGCGTCGTGTCTAGGCGCCGTAGCTCCTTATTCGAGGGAACTGCTGCTATCTTATTCCACGATAAATTCTGACTTTTGGGACTTTTTTCTCTATCATGATATCCAATGCTTCTTTCATGTCACAAGCAACACTGCCCTGCCTGGCTGGATTTCGAACTTCTTGTACGACTATAGACCTACATTTCGATTTTCTAAAGAAATAAATGAATAGACGTCTAATTTGTGATCACGGCGCCATGCAATTTGGCATCTCTGTTTGTCCAAGTACGGAAATCCAAAGTTTTTGGCTGGTGAGATTGCGTCTTAGTCACCTTGCTCGCAATAGACGGAAGAGCGCTTGCGAAACGTCCTTCGGCCGGCTGAAGGGCAAGTTAATACCAGCACATCCAAAAATGTAGAGCATAACTGACGGTAAGAATTCCGCCTCCACATTTTCTTATCATCGCAATCCGGTAGTTCCATTGAGAGTCTTGCCAGGTCGTCTGGGTAGACCTACCGAATCTGGCAAGGGTTGTCTCCAAGTTAACCAAGGGTATGTTATCAAGACGCGCTAGCAGTTCATCTTCGGTGCTTCTGGGAAAGCTTAACTGGAATATCGGGTCCGACTGATGCTGATCCATAGCTGTTATTCTGTCTCGGCGTGAGTTGGTACGGGTGCTGTAAACATGAGTTTTGAGATTCCTGAGTAGCGACTACGACAGTTGACCTCAATCCGCAGAACTTGGTTTGCAGCGGCGACAAAGCTTACAAGGAACCATGCCGGATCGCGGATAAATAAGCTGAGGTTCGAGTCAAGACGGTCCTAATGGCAAGCGAGTAATTGCTTTTTCCGACCTCTTGCGCCTTTCTTAAGTGCTAATACCTTCGAAGCCGCTCGTAAGAGCGCCTCTATCAAAAACCTTATCATGCCGCGGCAGCCAATCACGTTCACGCAATCGATGTCGTAGCATCACGCCTGTATATGCATTAGTTGCGCATCTCGCGTGTAGGCAGATAAAGAATGAGGGGGCACCGATCAGCGGTCCAGGTACAAAATGCGGCCAAACGTCGTACCCCCATGCCGTAAGCATGCGCCGCGCATCCTTCCATTACTCCAACCACCTGTGAACCCGCGCAACTGCCAGATTTTCCCGGCCGCAGCAACGACGATATGGCGGGATCAAAACCGACGGGCGAAAAGCTCGCGAGCGACGACCCTCCCGAGATCCGACGCGGAAGCGTCGTCTCGCAGAATGAGATGGTGCAAGCCGGCTTGAGCAGCGAGGACGACGCCGCGGTTCTTGGTAAGTAGATCGTACATCTACCATGTGAGCATGGGAGAGCGTCGTCGCATGATCGTTCGGCATTCTGGGACGGCATCTTCTCCTCGCACAGGTCAAATAGAAATTTCGTCTTGTTCTTGAACGGTGCGGCTTGCAGTTGTTCGAATAGAGAAGCTGACATCGCCGAACAGCTAGGCTGGGGTACAAGCAAGAGTTGCGTCGCAACTTCACCTTGTTTGAGGTCTTTGGTATCGCATTTTCGATCATGGGCCTCCTGCCATCTATTGCAAGCACCCTCGCGTACAGCATCCCCGCGGGGCCCGTCGGTCTTGTTTGGGGCTGGTTTCTCGCTTCAATGTTCATCTTTATCGTTGGCTTGGCCATGGCAGACTTGGGTTCCGCAATGCCCACAAGTGGAGGACTCTACTGGTGGACCCATTTCTTCGCAAGTCCAAAGGCGCGGAATGCCCTCTCCTTCCTGGTTGGCTACTCGAACACGCTCGGCTTGGTCGGAGGTCTCTGTTCGATCGATTACGGTTTCAGCCTCATGTTCTTGTCCGTGATCGTGATAGCAAAGGATGGAACGTGGACTCCCAGCTACGGCGTCATCTACGCCGTGTTCTTGGGATGCGTTTTGTGCCATGGTGTGATAGCCAGCAGCTTTTCCAAAATCATGGGTAAACTGCAGACTGTGTTTGTCGTGGCGAACTTCATCCTCATTGCTGCGACAATCATCGCTTTGCCTATTGGTCGCCGACATCAACGTAATGATGCACATTACATCTTCGCAGAGACTGCCAATCTTACAACGTGGCCAGCTGGCTGGGCGTTCATGCTTTCCTGGCTATCTCCAATCTGGACCAGTGAGTGTTACTTTCATCCATGATTCCAATATTTCTAACACCCTTTAGTCGGCGCGTTCGATTCTTGTGTACATATGTCTGAGGAGGCTTCAAACGCGACACGTGCTGTCCCATATGGCATCCTCATGTCAATCGGCTCATGCTGGATCATCGGTTGGATCCTCTGCATCGTCATCGCAGCTTGCATGAGCCCGGACCTTGAGTCCCTTGTGGCATCGCCATTCGGTCAGCCAATGGCACAAATCTACTATGATGCCATTGGGAAAGGAGGAGCCATTGGCCTGATGACCCTCTTGTTCATTGTCCAATTTCTGATGGGCGTTTCAATCACCGTGGCGGCATCTCGTCAGTCATGGGCATTTTCTCGCGATGGCGCCCTGCCATTCTCTAGCTTTTTCCGTCACATCTCAAAGCGCTTTGGATACATTCCGTTTCGCACTGTTTGGGGATGCGTTTTTCTTGCTGCAGTTTTGGGTCTACTTTCCCTCATTGCTCCAGCAGCTGCGCAGGCGCTCTTTTCGCTTGCCGTCGCAGGTAACAATGTCGCCTGGGGGGTGCCAATATTCTGCAGAGTTGTATGGGGCCAAAAGAAATTCAAACCTGGTCCATTCTACACGGGAAAGCTAAGCGTCCCCATTGCCTGGACAGCTATCATCTTTTTGGTTTTTGGCACGTTGCTTAGCATGTTCCCTGTTGGCGGTCCAAATCCGACCCCACAGAGCATGAACTACACAGTGGTGATCAACTCGGCGGTTTGGGGTGGCGCTCTGCTTTACTACGCCATCGATGCACGAAAGTGGTTTACAGGTCCGAAGATTACGCTTGATGTTAGCGAAATCTCAGAGGCACAGGAGAAAGCTATTCAGGAAGAGGGCTTAGATGTTAATCTGACTGGTGCAAGCAACACTCCAGCCAACGCAGAAGTCACCACGGAGAAGGAGAAGGGCGAGATTGTCTGAGAACGGGAAGAACTCGTCTGAAGAAACTGACTCATCAAGTAAAATAACTTAAGTTAGGTTGATCTTACTACAATGCAGACAGGGATATCATAATTTGGCGAATGTACTCCTTTGTGCCGATAGCTTTTGGAAATCAACTAATGTACATTCGTAAAGGGCCAAAGCATCAACTTCGTTAATAAGACACGGTTGTCGTGAATTGGAAGACTACAGGAGAAGCACGGCAATCGCTGCGACCCCAGCTAGGCCAAATGAACTCGCCTTGAAGGCTGACGACGCCGTATTTGACTTCGTTGCTACAGCTGCGCTTGACGTAGACGAGGTAGTGCTAGCTGTTCCCGCTGTAGCAGCACCGGTCGTAGTTGCACCAGTCGTAGATGCTCCAGAAGCGGCTTGACCTCCTGTCGCAGACGAGGGTGCCACGTTCTTTGCAGCTACCGCTGCTCGTTGTTTGTAGTCTGCAAGCGTCTGACCAGTTGCCGGACTGCAAAAGCATTAGCGCCGAAAGGACCTTGGGACAAGGAAAATGCGTACGGGTTGACGACTGCGACCATGCCTTCTTGACAATGCCTGCCTTGCGAGCAGTAGATCCAGATTGGGTTAGTGTCCTTGACCGTTACAGTGAACGTGAGTTTGCCCAGCTCCGTGGTTGGCATGAAGCCCGAGAAGAACGCGTTCGAGCTATTCTGAGCGGGCTGGCAAGCATTGTTGTAGTCTCCCATAGTAGCCGTGTGGTTGTTCGGGTAGAACTGGAACTGCAGCTGATCTCCCACCTGTGCACCGGTGATTGTGTCCGGCGAATAGATCAGCGAGCCGTTTGCGCTTCCTACGCTGATGACCCAGGTCTTTGTTGTACCAGCAGCGCTCGTAGCGGATGATACTGCGGCACTCGAGCTTGTCGTTGCGTTGGACCCTACACCTGTGACCAGCATTGAAAACGTCGTCCCCGGCTTGGCAGATGCTGTCTGTGATGTTGTCGAAGTTGATTCTGCTGCCACTACAGCAGCTCCGGTACTCATACTGATCTGCGTCAACGACTGCGCAAAAGCCGAGGGCAGCGCTGCCAGCAGCGCAGTGAATCGGAGGAGAGGTCGCGACATCGCTGCGAACGAAAAAGAGAAAAAAAGAAAAGAGAAAAAGGAAAACAACTACTTGAATTATGGAAATGGCTAGGTTTATTCGAAGTCGAAAACTTGAAAAATCTATGAGCGATCACAGTATACATAGGATGGAGCACCCAGCATTTTTGAAAGGGGCAGGAGAAGGGAACTCACGAATGATGACGAAGCAGCGGCGAGGAATTAGATCGCAGCACACGTAGGCTGGAACACTTTGCACGCCAGATTTTGGCGCTGCCATGTTTGATGCTCGGTATGTACGTTGTGCTTGAATCCGGTTGGGGACGTGTGTTGAAACGAAACGCACGGAAACGAGTAGGAAACAAGTCTACGTCGCAGAGTAGCAGGAACCCCACTTCTCAACCGATTCAAAACCTCTGCATCCGTAAGATATCGTCCCACAGGCATACGTACTGTGGCTGAGATGTTCACTATGGACTTCCAAGAGCCTCCGGCCCCTCTGTGCTATTCCGTCTGAATAGTATTTTGTAGACGTAAACAAGCACTTTTTCGTGCGCACGGCGCAGAAGAGTGACGCGGAACTATTCATCACATAAACCAGGACCCGTCGAACTTAAGTTATGCGAAGTTTCGACTGCTGTGCAAGAACTTTGCGGAGATGCAAGTTAGAATCAGAAGCTGTCAACGAGGAGCATGCGGCTGAATATTCTTGAGAAAAACAGCGAAAATGTTGAACACTCCTACGGTAGTAGTCAATGCGCCAACGATCTGCGTCCGTATTCCCGTCTCCACTTCTTAACTTCAGCCTCTACTCCTTCATTGCCTTGCCAAATAATGTTTTTATCAGCACGTTAGTTCAAGAAGGATTGTTCATCTTCATCACCAGCGAATGGCGCGCCAGGGTTTTGATTGTATGCATCGCATCCATTTCTCATCGAATGCGATCATTATGCTATGGCAGCTCTACGCACAGAGAGCAGCAGTTCCTTGAATTTATACTATTGAATGAAGTGAGAATGCGAAATTTTTCGGTCGTCACTTGTCCGGCCAGGTTGCACACAACATCAATGCCCTTTATTCTTGGGCCATCAGGATTGATCTTGTGGGAGTATCCTGACCCTCTGAGAACGAGTCAGCGAGGTATGAATTCTATCGCTAAATTAGCCCTGGAGCAACAGCACTTACCTTGAGAAGCGTTGGCAAAAATACGCAAAATGAAGTCGTCCTTCCACTCAAGTAGTAGCTGTGAAAAGGACGCACAGATTTCAGCAAAGAGAACGTGTTCAAACGGCCAAGTTAGGTTGAATAGGGGAAGAAGAGCATGTGGTAACGTCATGTAGCCGTCGCGACCGAACTATCCCCGCATTCCCCATGTGCCGAACGGTCTCCACACCGTGCATGTCTCGATGTCAGTGGGAATGACCGTGTAGATTGCTTTCCAAGAGACCAGGTGTGCGAACTCGGATAGCGACGTGAAAAGACCTTTTTTTTTTTCTACGATAAGTTGTATCGGTCGTCTCATAAGCCTTGTTTTTCTCTCTTCTGAGCCGCATTCCCATGACTTGAACAGCGCTATTCGGCATCCTCGTCATCATGGTCACGAAATCGCCTTTCCCAGACGTTGAGATCCCAAACGTCGATCTCTGGGGTCTCATGTTTGATCGAAAGAACCGTGGGTTTGCGGACGACAAAAGTATATGCTATCCACAGGGGCAAAGAGTTCGGTCGAGTTAACGTCTTTGCAGTCATCTACCGCATGGTGAACTCGGACAGGAGATACACCTTTGCAGATGTCAAGGCTCACGCTACTTCTTTCGGCGAAGGCCTGCGCAATCTTTGGGATTGGCAGAAAAACGACGTTCTGGCATTGTATGCGCCGAACGACATTGACATCCCACCTATCATATACGGAACCTTCTTCGCAGGCGGGATCGTGACGCCAGCCAACCCTGGCTATTCACCTGACGAGCTCGCCTACCAGCTGGAAAACTCTGGAGCTCAAGCCGTGGCTACGACGATGCAGTTCCTGCCCGCCGCCCTCAAGGCGGCCGAGAAAGTCGGCATCGACCCTGGCAAAGTCATCCTGCTGGGGGCCGAGCGCGACCCTAGCCACCGCGTAAAGCATTGGACGAGCATCCGGAAAACGTCAGGTTCAACGCGGTATCGAAGGCGAAAAGCAAGACCGGACGAGGACCTTGCCTTTCTTGCGTACTCGTCCGGAACGACTGGGCTGCCCAAAGGGGTGATGCTCAGCCACCGAAATATCGTGTCGGACCTGCTTCTGGTCGAAGGCGCCGTGGGAAAGTGGTACTCTTCAGAGCGCGACAAGTTCTTGGGCGTCCTGCCTTTCTTTCACATTTACGGGTTGACAGGGCTGGTACATCAGATGCTGCATCGAGGCATCGAACTCGTGGTCATGCCAGCTTTTGACCTGGAGGTCTTCTTGAAGGCCATACAAGACCACAGGATAACTTTCATATATGTTGCGCCTCCCGTCATCGTGCGGCTTGCCCGTGATGAGATCGTCGATAAATATGACTTGAGCAGCGTGAGGATGATCACCTCCGGTGCTGCACCGCTGACAAAAGAATTGGTGGATTCGGTGCACAAGCGACTGAACATTAAGATCAACCAAGCATATGGGCTCAGCGAGACCAGTCCTATGACGCATACTCAGGTGAGAATCTAGCAACCCTTCCTTCCTGAGCTGTTTGCATCTGCTGACAACGGACAGCCTTGGGACGAATGGTACAGCTCTGTTGGCTCCGTCGGGAAAATGTTCCCAAACATGAAAGCCAAGTACATCTCAGCGGAAGGCAAGGAACTTGGGCCCGGCGAGGCGGGGGAGTTGTGGCTCGCAGGGCCAAACGTTTTCAAAGGCTACTGGAAGAACGAGGAGGCGACCCGCAACGCCATCACGGAAGATGGCTTCTTCAAGACCGGCGACGTGGGCTACCAGGACGAGAATCACAATTTCTACATCACAGATCGAGTCAAGGAGTTGATAAAATACAAAGGATTTCAGGTGCCTCCAGCGGAGCTGGAAGGCAAGTTGATGGAGAACGACATGGTCGACGACGTTGCCGTGATTGGCGTGCAGGATGAGGCCATGCACACAGAAGTGCCCCGAGCCTATGTCGTGTTCAGCAAAAGGAGTAGAGTAAAAGCTGGGGAGAAGGAGGCGGCGGACATCGTGGATTGGACGGCGAAGAAAGTGGCTAACCACAAGAGATTACGAGGCGGAGTCGTTTTCGTAGATGAAATACCGAAATCAGCAAGTGGAAAAATCCTACGCAGGGTGTTGAAGGAAAGGAGCAAAGGGGACAAAGCGCTGGGCATTGCGCCGAGCGAAAAGCTCTGACGACTTGTCTCATTTCGAGCGGTAAATTTCACCTGTAAAAGGCCTAGTAATGACCTTCTAGTGTCAAAACACCGGTCTTGTTGATCAAATACTCGTCGACCGCGACGTCCTTGCCGCTTTCCTTGCCATAGCCAGAGTGCTTGATGCCTCCGAACGGAATCTCAGCGGCAGACATGTTGCCCGTGTTCATTCCTATTTGACCAGCCTCCAGATTCTCGAGCAGTCTCCAAGCTCGGTCAACATTCTTCGTGAAGAAATAGCTCGCAAGACCCATGCTCGTGCTGTTAGCAGCCTTAACAGCTTCCTCTTCGGTGTCGAAGGGAAAGAAGGCCGCTATGGGACTAAACTGCTCTTCCTGCGCAAGCTGCATCTCTTCGGTGGCGTCAAGGACGATTGTCGGCTCGAAGAAATAGCCATCGTCGATCTTGATCTTGTTTCCGCCGAGAAGAATGTTAGCGCCCCGTTTTTTTGCATCTTCAAGCTGTGTGACGGCTTTGTCAAGAGTGCGAGGAGTCGTCACCGGACCCATCGTAGTGCCTTCTTTGGCGCCATGGCCAACTTTCAGTTGCTTCGTCTTCTCGGCAATGAGATTAGTGAACTCCTTGTAAATGCCTCGCTGGACGTAAATGCGGTTTGCCGTTATGCAAGCTTGCCCAGCGTGTCGCCATTTTAAGGCCATCAATGCTGCATATGAGTGGTCAGCATTCCTATAGTCGTGCCTTTGACATGCTGCCTTACCTTCAGCTGCCTGATTGAGGTTTGCATCATCAAACACCAGAACCGGACAGTTGCCGCCCAGCTCCATTGTCACTTTCTTTAGCCCGTCGCTGCAGAGTTTGGCTACAAGTTTACCAACGCGAGTTGAGCCGGTAAAGGTAACTTTCTTGACAAGGTCATGTTGGCACAGCGCCGCACTCAGCTCCGGCGTGTTGTCCAGGTCGGTCGTCAACACGTTCATGACGCCCGGTGCAAAGCCTGCTTTCTCAGCTAGATACGCCAGGCTCAGCACACTCAGGGGCGTCTCTGGGCTTGGCTTGATCACCATCGTGCAACCGGCAGCAAATGCGGCACCGCACTTTCGCAAGATCATAGCAATCGGAAAATTCCAAGGTACCAGTGCGGCAGCAACACCAATCGGTTGCTTCACGGTGAACATACGACGGCCGGGCGTAGCTGGCTGCGAAACCGTTCCACGAATTCGCTCGGCTTCTCCAGCGAACCACCACGTGAAGCCAGTCGAGTAATCTAATTCCGCCCTAGCTTCTGCAAGAGGCTTGCCAGTCTCATAGGTAACAATTTTGGCAAGATCTTCTTTGTTCTCACGGATGAGAGCGTCCCATTTCAATAGCAGCTGAGCGCGGGTGCGAGGATTCACAAGTTTGAACTTCTCAAACGCCGCCTGTGCGGCTTGCACTGCGGCGTCTACGTCCTCGGCGGCGTTGTTGGGCGCTGTCGCCCACACCTTGCCACTGCCAGGGTCTATAGTCTTCTACTTACTACACGCTGCGATTTGCGACGGAGAAAGAGCACACGTACCGTAAACGTCGAAACGCTTGCCCGACTTGGCTTCAACCCATTTCCCATCCACGTATGACTTGGTATGGAAAATCTCGGGATTATCGAGCTGTCATCATGAACATCGAAGGATCTTGAAAGATCGCGGATCAAGTCAAACTGACCTTAAATGGAAGTTGGTCCGCCATCGTTATTCAGAGTTTGCTTTGGCGTCGAGCCCGTTAATGCTCTTAGTTGAACACAAAAGTCCGGACTTCGTTGCTCATGGCCAAATAATAAGCATGGAGTTTTTTCGGCGTAATACTCCAATCCCCGCATAGTGATGAAATAGGCTATGTAAGTCGGGAGAGGGGATGAGGGTGAATGCCTTAGGCACAATTCGGGCGCCGCTTGTATAGTTCTATCCGTTTTAGGAAATCAGACACGAAATCTCGCCGATCAACAGCGAATTCATCTTCCTGGAGATTGTTTCGTCACTGAACAAAATTGTGGTTCGTCCTCATCATGGCATAAATAACTATGTCATGGAAGTGAAGACGTTTTGAGCAGAGCGTAAGCGTCCACGATCCGGAAATCGAGCGCCTCATTTGGCGCAAGCATTCAACGTGACAGGTGATGAACGCGACTGGATGTACGCTAAGAAGCAAGCTTGGGAGAACTTTTCAAGCTGCTAATTGAGCTCACATCGCAATACAAGTAGATTTGTGAGCTGTAAATAGTACCGTGAGGCAGATTGAGGCGAAGCTTGCGGATGAGTTAAGCTCATGGTGCAGAGCGGAGTAGTTTTCACACCGAGCCCAGTGTGCTCTGCTCTCTCATTGGGTCTGCCTTTTGCCCCATGATAGATAATACTTGGGCCTGTATTTTTTTGATCAGTTGCACGTAGCTAGAACGCAGAGCTATCTTATTCGCTTGTAGTGGAACGGTTTAATCGGTTTCGAAAAGAAACATGGCATGTTTTTCAAGTTGCTCCATATCCTCAAAGTCAGGTTACTGCTGTCCCAGAACAGACGAGACTTTCTCTGCGACAGAATGCAAAACGGTGCAGCAACTTGCCATGAACATACCTTTAGCTACACCAAGTGACTGGACATATGTGCCGACGGAGGTGATGCTTTTCAGGCTTATTCTATACTCTCAACCTGCATTACTTCAATGTCGTCGAGTGCAGCGTGTAGTGTATGCGTGTCAATTTTGATAGAGTCCGAGCTATGCCAATCCAGGCGTCCATCGTGGAATGCTCTTCAAGTTCTAAATATACTGGTCAATGAGAATGGGTCCAGTTGACGATGGCCAACATAAGCATAATCTTGTGCTCTCGTCTTGTTTTTGACGCTTTTCACCGTCATGCGTGAAGCAAATGCACACACCCATGTAGGGATCAGCAGTGTGTGGCTTCGAGGCTCTCAACATTACATTGTGTGCTACGTTGGGGGGAGGAAATGAGAACGGCAATGTTGCAACCAACGGCGTTAGCCCCAAAGTGAAACGGTTGATGGGCTTCGGAAAAGGTAACGTACCACGGCAACCACGCGTCCGCGATCTGACAGCCGAAGCATGCCATTTAGCCACTTGGTGGCGGAGTCAACGTGTGATTCTTTTACTAGTACATACATATTCTGATTTAACTTAAAATGAACCTGCGCTTAAACCGAGAATGCTTAGGTAAATGGAACGGATCTGGATGTATGTTTGGCGCCTCTCGGAAACCTGGATTAATTGTTCACGTCTTCGGCGCCGTATAAAGGATGTGTTGCACTGCCGACTCCGGAGCACTGCTCCGAGATGGAGCTCCAGCGCAAGATGGTGTGCCTGGAGGCCGGTCGCAGTGCTTGCTCCGTCCTGGCCTGGCGGGATCACTTTGGTGGTATTCATGCTCACAGCAGTTCGCCATCGCATCGCGCGAAGACCAGAGTCCCGCGGCGATCCAAGACGGGAAGCATTTCGTAACAGGTGCTATTACTCGATCCACTTTTTGCAAATGGTTTCCGTATTGGGATCTCCTAGCACGTGAGCTAGTGTCGCCGCCATGCCCATCATTGGCGAGTCATTGTGCATGCCCAGGCCGTGTGAGACCCTGTAGTCGGCAGAGACAGGGAACAAGGTTGCCACAGCGCGTTCGGCACGTCCAAAGCAGCCGGACGGATGTCCGTTCCATCGTCGTTGGGGATGTGTCGCCGGAAAGCTCGTTTAGTCGACGGAGAGCTCCGACGTACATGCCACCATCGCGTCCAACGAACCAAGAAAACGAGAAAGATGGAGGAGAGCTGTTGCTTTCTGCACCTTCGCCGTGCCGGATCGATCAGCCAGAACCGTTGGAGTCGTGGACGCACCCGGCGGAGGACGCAGACGGGACTGGGCTCCACTCAGCGACGAATCGCTGGCCTTGGATTTGCACGGCTCGTGATTGGCCAGAGATAAGAGGCCGTGTAGGAATGGGGATGGTCGCCTCGTTAGCGCACGCAGTGTGGCTTCTTGCAGAGAGGTGCGAAGGTTGAATGGCAACCGGGAAAGCAAGCGTGGTTGCTCGTCTGCGACAGAGGCAAACGGACAGCCTCGTGCGCCCGAAACGAGCCCAGCCTCGCGACAGAGTTGAGCGAAGAGTCGCAATGGCGGCTCAACTGGAGGACTGGAGGGTGACGATTCGCGTGACGAGTTACGCATTGAAGCCTAGCGGTTGGTAGTGTCGGCAAGGTGCGCAAAACAGCGGGCACCTTGGAAGCGCCATTCGAGCCCTGGCCGGGTCGGTGTGCGGACGAGACCAGACCCGTACAAGCCTCCAGAGAGCGCATCGCGACGAGACTTCGCTCAAAAGAGCGACCATACCCCGATACCCCAATCATGTCGCCCTCATTACTCTCCCGCCTTCGCCGTCCGTCCTCTCGATTCCTCCGCCCACCACCACCTCGTCCTGCTGTGGCCCGTCGACGCCGTTTTATCTCGCTTCGTGCCACCGCCTGTTCTTATCGCGGCTCGCCCACCTCCGCCTTGACCCTTCTGCGCCAACCGCGGGACATAGATCCTTCGTCTCTACGAGCGTTCTGCGTCGCTCCGGCTTGAGACAGGTAGCAAGGATAGCTGCTGACCGCTATTCGTCTTGCTTAGCGGCACCAACTCACACGCCGCGAGGCCACCACAGCTTCAGACGTGCTCCTGTTCACCAGCCATCACCTTCGCGAAGCCAGCGAACAGCAGCGCTTGCTCAGCTGCAGTTCAGCACCGACACCACACGCGACTCTGCTGCTTCCACAGCCTCGAGTCCTTGAACAGCAAGTCAACCCTCGACTTGATCTGCTTTCCTGTTATTGTCAAACTTTGGCCGGCAAGCCGCCCACGTTCAGCTTCGCATGTGGCAACAGTCGAACGACATACTCCCTTTTACCAACATCCTCACAGCCGCAACGTCCTGACCATCGCAACTCCATACCTACTCGGCCAAAGAACATTGATCTCTGCGCCATAATGACAACCGTCTTTGCACAGCCGCCACTGGCGCCTTTGATGCCTGGGCCGTCGGCACCGACCCCGATCCAGCATCCTATCTCCTCGCAACCGTACACGTCGCAGGCGCAATTCACACCACCGTCGTCCTCTGACACAGTGTCAACGGTGACGTCGCCCGTGTCGCCGCGCGCATCATGGAACATTCCACAGCATCTGCAGATGCACACGCGACAAATACGCCAGCCCAAGGGGCCAATGTACGTACCGGCGGTCTTACGGCCTACTGAAAAGCCAGTGCGGTCGTCTCCGCCCAAGAGCAGAGGCATGCAGTATGGCAGTCCCGAAAGCCTCGATGAGTTCGGTGTCTCGGAGCGGCCTTCAGGCGTCGTTCCAGGAATGAGCAGGATTGTGACAGAGGAATGGAATGAGGATGTTCTCGGCCCTGTTACCGGGGCGCCGTCGCGGAACCACTGGAAGGTACGTAAGATTCCATAATCTCATTGCCCACCGCCCCTTGTGCTCTTGCCGCCCGACCCGACCTTCATCTCTGGCGGACAAACATTGCGAGCAGCCGTTGCCCCCATAGCACGCCGAGAATCTGTCAGAAGGCGATACACCGCGGCGATATGCAGCAAGACACACCGAACGAAAGAAGCAAAATGAGACAGCAGCTGAACCGGGCAAACGAGCGACTTTAATGCTGCCTCATTATCGCGCCTGTTGCGATGTGACGATGGTTTTGCAAATATTGCGCCACGAGCCCGGCAGCCTAGGATCTTCTCTCATCTCATATTACGAAACGCAAACTCTATCCCACATGGAGTGCCTTGTGGCCTGTGCAGCTGCGTGGGGGCTCCAAACAACCCCCACCTCCAAAGCTGGACTCCCTTGTTGCGGCTCTTCGATCTCTCACGTGCCCAAACATCGCCTGCTTTGCATTATGAACCAGTACTAATCCGCGAAATTAGCCGGACACTGCCTCATCGTGTTGCGACGACAGTACTTGTGGGCGAGAGTTCACTTTTTTCAATCGTCGCCATCACTGCCGCCGTTGCGGTCGCATCTTCTGTAGCGAGCATTCTTCGCATTCCGTTCCGCTCGATCACCATGCACGCTTCCATCCGGAGGGCCAGAAAGGCAGGGCCTGCAACTCCTGCTGGTCAGACTATCGTACTTGGGAAACGGCCCGGGTCAGTCGCAGCAATAGCACAAACTCACGTGACGGCAGTCTACCCGGCACTCCTAGCATTCCTCTGCCTGGCAAGCGTGGTTTCAACGACGGCGTGAAAGCAGCTGCCAGCGTTGCCAAGAGTGTTCCCCGTGACTGGAATTGGAGCACGTTTTGAAGCGTTGCTCCAAATTCACTCCGAAATATGACATCATGTTAAAGCAGGTTGCTAAACATCACAACTTTAATGTCGACAACCACCGCCGCCCTCAATGCATGAACACGGTATGGCTATGGATGCCACTGTGACGATCTGAGCAGATCCTCCGCATCTGAAGGGGCAGGCAGAACGGCCAACGCCCGTAATAGTTGAGATAAAAGCAGTGTTGAACTGGCTCGCTGTCAAACAAGCGACAGCTCAAAAGGATCCTAGTCACGGCTGCATACGTCTAAAGTCCTAGGCTTGGGCTCAAAGACGACCTTCAAAAGCATTCCTAACAAGCGAACGAAGAGGAGCAAAAAATCTCTTCTAACGATTGCGCTTTCTCTCAGTAATACCTTAGATTGAGATACCACATACATTTCTGTGCTTCGAGTTGGGCGGAGTTTGTCTGTTATTTTGCGGATCATGCATGGTGTTGGCGGACGATCTGTTTGATTCACGTTTTTAAGACCTTTTGATTTTGTAATGAGCGTCATGTTGCGACGGCCGAGTCCAGGTGCTTGTTGGTGATTTCTTGACAGGCTGGTCATGTACTTGATATCCATAGATTTTTTTTCCCCCAAGCGTCGAGGATGCGGACACTGGGTCAGGTGGGAGAGCAGCTTAGGTGCGAACTGTGAATTGGAAATCAGCGCGGCAGTATTTGCAGGTAGTTCAGTAATGTCAACATTATTTGACATGATTTTCATCTTTCATCTTATGATTCGCTCCTAAACATGGTTCGTGGTCCAATCGTTGCAAAAGAAAAGAGCATGGAAGAGGATGAATAAGCGACGGAAGTGCGAGTCCATGATTGGTGATGAGAAGCTGTCATTCCTTGCCAATGACGTGATTGCTCGTGCAGAGACCTTGCGACGTAGTCGATAGGTTTGCTGGAATAACAACCAAAAACAGACATGAGGAGGGTATCCATCGCCCACGATTAGCTGCTCCTCTCAAAGGCTTCCGCGAACAACGACATTTGTTATTTTCCCGGAACAAGCGGAGCTAGTCTTGGACATGTCCGACAAACAAGTCTTGCTCCTTGGTGGTCACGGGAAGGTCGCCTTGCACTTGACGCCGCTCCTTCTCGCAAAGTCGTGGAATGTCACATCGGTCGTGCGCAATCCAGATCACGAGGCTGACATCCTCAAGCTCGGGGAGAACAAGCCTGGCAAGATCGAGGTGCTCCTCGACAGTCTGGACGACGTGACGTCGGTGGAGCATGCGGAACGAGTCCTCGACAAGGTGAGGCCCGACATCGTGGTGTGGTCTGCGGGAGCTGGAGGCAAGGGCGGGCCCGCACGCACCAAGGCCGTCGACGAGGTCGCCGCGAAGCACTACATCTCCGCCTCGGTGGCGCGGCCGAGCGTGAAGAAATTCATGATGGTCAGCTACATTGGCTCTCGGCGCAACAGGCCGGCCTGGTGGAACGACGACGACTGGAAGGCCGCCCAGCACATCAACACCGACGTTCTGCCGGCCTACTTCGCCGCCAAGGTGGAAGCGGACGAGCATCTCGCCGCCCTGGCGCACAGGCGGAACGTCGTGGACACCAAGTTTCAGGCGATCAACCTGCGGCCCGCAACGCTCACGGACGAGCCCAGCACCGGCAAAGTCACGCTGGGTAAGACCAGAGCGAGGGGCCAGGTGAGCCGAGAGACCGTGGCGAGGCTTGCGGTCGCGATGCTGGAACGTGACGACACCAGGGGCTGGTATGATTTCTACGAAGGCGACGAGCCCATCGACGAAGCTGTTGCGAGAGTGGTCAAGGAAGGCTGGGATGGTATCGAGGGAGAGGATCTGGATCGAATTTATGGGCGAACCGGTCTTTATACGTTTTAGGTCGTATGCGCTCCGCACTGAGAGAACATTTTTAGGACGGAATGGGATTCGCTCCTCGATTGGGCAAAGTATGGAACAGTCCCCTGGCCAAAATTGATCTGAGAGAAGGGACGTCTTTCAACTCTATGTGCATACATCGACTTCTTTTATTGCCATTAAGTATTATGACATCAGCTGATCGGTTTGGTCGACGAATGACTTTGATGATCGGAGCTGTCATCTTCCTTATTGGCTGCTCTCTCCAGCTTGTTGCTAATTTTGCTGAGTATCTACAGCGTCGGACGGTTCTTTGCGGCTTGTTAATCCCGTACATAGGCACTCTCTACGCCGGTTGTGTTATCGCTGGTATTGCTACCGGTCTTTGCGCCGTTGTCAACCCTTCCGACTTCGGCCTCGCCATTCGAGAGAGAAAATACTTCCACAAGGGCAAAAAGAGAAAAAAAAAGCAAAAAAAGAAAACATACAGCAGCGCCGGATTCCCATGTGGTCACCCACCATAGTACTAATGGGCCGATATGAGGCTTATATAGGAGTGAGCGGACGGGGACTCTAGTTTTCCTCATTCTATGACCGTATGTGCCAGATTATTACGATATATTTATCTATATCTTCAACATCAGAATTTGTACAATTGCCATTCTCAGTACACTTTTGAACTTTAGTCGTTACGTCGTTTGGTTCCCCCACATCCAAAAGTCCCAATGCTCATGCTGGGGTATCAGATCATCAAAAATATTTCCCATGCAATCGTCACTGAAATGATTAAATCCTCCTCCCCCCGTGTGGTCATTTGGTCAATGTTTGAGAACGTATATGGTATCAGAAGACTTCAGCCGGACGTTCAGATACGCGGAGCTCCACAAACTTCGCTGAAGAACTTCCACGCGTGTCGAATTGAGTCGTGTTGCTTTCTCACGTGGTGAGACTTCGTCGAACTCTGGACGTTGTTCGACTCAGAGCCAACATTTCGGTCTTGTGGTGCATAGTTTACACCGCTGTGGTTCACCTTCTTCTGATCGACTGATTTATGACCAGTGAACTTCATGTTTGACGGGTTTAATCAATGAAATGGTTTGAGATGGATAGCGAGACTTGGTATGTTGACACTTGAACCAGCTTTCTCTTCTTTTTGTCTTGGTTATTCATGCAACGAGACCTGTCATCCTTAAATACGCGGAAGAAAAAAAAATTCACCGCCATCAGGTGCTGTTGAAAAAACGATGGCCTAACTTACGAGAAGGATCCACCGTTCTACTGGTAAACACGTTTCGCCAATGGGACGTTGAGAAACTCCAACGGCAAAGTTGCTTGGAACTAGAACCAGTGGCGCAGCATCAGCGGATTGATTTTCAGCCACCCGGAACATGCTAAGACGTCATAGCAAATGTCTTTTTTCCCCCTTGGAAGTTCCAAAGCGGAGAGCGGAGAACTGCGAAACGTTCACGTCTCGAGACCACAAGCACGGTACGTCCCTTTTGACAACGGCCGCTGTGAAACATCTGTCTTCAGGCTGATCACTAAAAGTGAACGTGTGAGCTAATCAAGTCGTAATCCCTTGCCACTCGTTCGTAAGAGCTTGATAGTAGAAAGTCGGTCGACATGCCTCCGTGTCGACAAGACCTCGTATACGATCAAAGATAATGTATAAAAAAATTAAGTCGCAAACACTGCTCTGGCTGTTTTGCATGAGCCAATGTCGATCTTGGAAAAAAAAACCCCCGAGCGAAGTCCAGGCAGATTAATGCATAAGTCATTGGAGAAAAGGTATGAACGAGACTCGATTGAGAAAATGGAGATATTTGCACCGTGAAAGCATACGTCGAGAGCCAAATAGAATGAGTTTCTGACTTTGGAATATTCTAAACCACGAAAATGTGCGCTGCCTTTGTATACGAAGTAACAACACGGTGCCTCAATTTTCGTACGCCAATCTTTTCTCCGGATCTGTTCCAATTCCGAATGTGTTATCTTCGTTTGCGAGAGTAGCTGCGACGTGGTCGGACATGAACGCTTCCATGTTTGGTGCGAGGAACGTCAAACCTAATCCAATCGCGGAGAAGGCTATCGTAGTCAAGTACACCGTTTTGAAAGCATGTCCGTAGGCAGACCTCAAAGCCATAGCTCCAGCAGCTATGATTGATTCCGTTGCTCCAGAGCTAGGTCCAAGAGAAGCTGTGGTCCCAGAGGTAATGGCAGTAGTGACTTGAGCAACTGAAGCTGCAGGCAGCCCAGCTTTCAAGAGAGCAGCAGGCACTTCGCTTGGGATCGTAGTCGAGAGTCTGTTGGTCAGGACGGTGCTGTAAATCGCAACCAAGATGGCCGATATGAACGCTCTGATCGTGCCAGCCATGCCACCAGCGATTCCAATTTCTCGCTGATCGTGAACAAGGATGGTCGAATTGGCAAGGCAAATAGTCTCGTTCCATCCGATGAAGAAGCAGCCCATAAACAGCAGCGCGATCGATGTATTCTGGTTGTTGGGTGTAGAGAGAGCCATGCAACCTAGGAAAGTCCCACCAATTAGGAACATTGCCATGCACTGCAGCTTAGTCTTTCCCAGATGTCTACAGACAAAACCTCCGATAACCTGTCCGGTGATGATGGCGATGCCGACGATAGAGCTGACGAGGCCGATCCAGATCAAGTCAGTGCTTCCATACATTGTCGATGTCTGTATTGGCCAGATAATTGCAAACGCATAATACACGCCAGCCCCTATTCCCAAAAGCACGCACGAGGCTACCCATCGTCCGCTTTTGAAAAGGTGCATAGGAAGCAGCGGCTCTTTCAAAGGCGCATATATTTCCCAAAGAATAAACACACACAAAACGGCAGTACCACCGACGATTGAAGTGATCACGGCGGCTGACTTCCACGGATATGCCGATCCGCCCCAGCTGAGACCCATCAGGAACACGACGAAACCAGCGGCAAACAGTACGCTTCCAATGTAATCAAAATGCTTGATCCAGTATAGCTTCGAGTTGATATCTCCTCGGTGTTTCTTCTCGAAGCTTGGTGGGAAGTAGAAAAACGTCCAGAGGGCCAGCGCCACAGCTTGTCCAGCAAGAAGCAGCCAGTAGACGCCTCTCCAGCCAACCTTTGGATACTTCGTGATGAAAGACATTGCAATAGCAGGGCCAAATCCAGATCCTGGGTAGCCGAATGCGTAAAGAACGGCGCCGAACATATATCTGTGCTTCATTGGTACAAGTTCGCCAATGACAAAGTGGAAGGAGAGCTGAGTTGCAGTGGAGATACCGAGAAGGACATTTCCACCTGTCGATCGAATTAGTGCCCCCTCTATCGCGCAGATGCAACATAGCCACACATACCGATCAAGACGGGAATGGTCTTCGCCGTTGCGCAAACAATAGATCCAACAACACCAAAGACTCCACCGCCAATAAAGAAGTATCTTCGACCGAAGATGTCAGAGAGGCGGCCAACGGGCGCCAAGAAGACCGCCAGCACCGTATTGTAAACCAAGGAGATCCAGATATGACGAGAGTCAGGCCCGAGATCCTCGTTGATTTGTGTTAGGATTGGCGCGACGAATCCAAAGGTTGATACAGCGCACCAAAGACCGAAGCCTGTGGCGAAGAGAGATCCAAGGAAGTATTTGCTTCGATAGTAGCCCTTTGGTAGCTGATCCAAGTCGGCTTCGACGCCGATGAAGCTTTCGAACTTGCCAGAGTCTGTGACGACCTGTTCGAGCTCCTTGTGCTCAACCGAAGCATCTTCAATCTGCAAGTTGGAGGACTTTGGATTGGCCATGGGAACAAGACGCGAGAGAATTAGGGATAGAACGACGGAAAAGGGAAGATTTGCACATGGCACCCCCATCTGGGGCTATCTCTTACATGTATTCATTTTTTCCAATTGCCAACTCTGCCTGCTCTTAGGAAGTGGGATACATTATCCGAGCCTGACAGAAATATGCCACGAGGCAATGTTCTTCCGCAACATTACTCCAAAGTTCTCCATTTAGATTTGAGAATTTGCGGGGTACCCCATTGAGTCCCACTCATTCGTACATTAATCTGGGGTGCTACGATATCTGTGTAGCTTGCCAAGACTCCGACAATTGAGTTTGAAGATGGCGGCTTCTGCTGTCCGCTGCGATTCCATTCGTCCCCGGGAGTAATTCATCCTAAGGTTAGCCAGCACGCGAACATGTTCCAAAATAGACAGGGCAAAGGCGAGATCGTTCTGAATAGATGCAGTTTCCTAGTGTCGAGCTTAGATTTTTGGGCTCGAGCGTTTCTTGTAGTTTCTTGGAACCCCGGAATCGAGGCGGTCTTCAGACCGCTAGGATCAGCTGCCGCAGGTCTGGAAGGTCTGGAAATCCGGGCTGCATTTCCGAACCTCGAAGCAATCGGCAAAGAGAGAAGTCAATGATTCGCCATCGGTCCCTCAGATCTTCGAGCATTTTACCTCCAGGTGAGGTGAAACTCCGTGATCTGTCTTCATGATGTAGTCACAACCGACATATGGCCTGTATTCCACATAAAGATATATTGGCTGCGAATGACCCCCATCGGCCAATTGAAACTATACTTATGAAGCAAGATGCACAGCGTAGAATCACTGGCGACGGCTCAGAAAAAAGATCTTGGTGCTTACTTAACTGTCAAACTGTCCTAAACTTGTAAATGGTCCAATCCTGACTCTGTGCTTTGGCAGGTCTCAATTCAGTTCAGAAATAAGTCTAGTCGGTCGAGAGGTAGGTAGTTGCGGTAAATTCTATTCTAATTTCAATGTAGTTTAAGGTGCCTTAATTAATTGTGATGGCAAAGCAGGGTGACAAAGGACAGAAACAAAATCGAACTTCCTCCGTAATCAAGCGTTTTCTTTCCGTGCCCCGACGGCGATTATGTACACCGCTAAGTTTGAAGTATTCGTGATCCTAACTTGCGATGGTCAACCTGCATGCAAACCTTTCATTTCTCCGCAATGCAATTAGTTCCATATGTTAGATAGTCGATGAGGTCGTGGTACAAAGACACATCTAAAAGGCTCAGGGTGACTAGTCAATCCGTTCGTTACTTTCACGACCGGCACATCCTCCTCCCCTGACTCTGGGTCTCTCCATCGCTGCAGCGTCATTGTCGACAAAATACTTGCAATGACAATCCAAACGCTAGCTTCGGCCAAATGTTGGCCAACGCATATCCGTCGTCCAAAGCCAAACTGTCCTTTTGGAAATGGTTCACCCAGCCCTCCTTCTGAGACTGGTGTGAAACGGTCTGGGTTGAAGTCTTCCGGAGAGGAGTATAGACGCTCATCATGGGTCATTGCTCTGGCATTAGCGTATACGTAAGAGCCAGCTGGAATAAAGTACCCGTTATAGAAGTCGTCTTCTAAGCTCCTATGCGGTACCCCAACTGGTGAAACTGGGCACCATCGTAGGGTCTCCTGTACGATGTAGTCAATGTACCGCAATTTCGGTCGATCCGCAAAGGTAGGCAGCCGACCGGGTTCAACGACCTCATCGATATTCTTTTGCGCCTTTGCCTGAACTTCGGGATGCAAGAGCATGTTCAAAACAAAAACTACGAGCGTGCTCCATGTGGTATCTTGACCAGCTGCGTAGACGGCACCAGCCGCTCCCTTGACATCTTCAATCGTCATGTCAGCCACCTCTCCTTTCTCGATCTTGGACTGTCTTTCAGAAAGCAGAGCCTGAATAAGCGACGGATCGGCACTTCCGTTATCGATCTGTTCTTTCACTGCCGCGTATGGGGCGTCGTGGATTTGCCGAATAGCCCATTTCCATTCCCTGGCAAATCTCAAGCTTCGTTCAGGGACAAGCCATGTCGGTAGTTTCGCAATGAACGGAAAGAAATCGACTAGAGTGGCTGCTGGCGCTCCTCCATGGCCTAAAGCATATGAGGCATCGGTAGACATCTTAATATACGGATCCTTATCATCCTCAATACGGATTCCGAAGCCAATTCCCAGTACGATAGCGGTCGCAAAGCGACGCATTAGATTCTCCCAGTTTTCAGGCGCTTTGAGTATGCCCTGAATCAGAACTCGGGCTTCTCGTTCTTGCAACAGGCGGTATTGGACTATGTTGCTCTTCTGAAAAGATTTTTGGAGGACCTTTCGATGCATTCGAAAACGCGGACTCCACCGCAGGAACTGTTCCAATCAGCTGTTTTGCACTACTAGCCACTGCGATAAAACCTACGGTTAATGTTCCACGCCATCCCATTTGCTCGAACAACACGAACCGCGGCCGATCGCAGTAGTTTGCACCTCGCTTGTCCAGCAAGTCCACGGCGGCTTCGACGCTATTGAGCACAACGACTCTTTGGCCTAGGACATTGAAGGATAGAATATCACTATTCATTTCTTTGGACAAGCTTTGGTAGTAGTATTCTGGATTATCAGCCGGAATAATGCGCAAATGGCCAAGTACTGGCTCAGCCGGTGGACCAGGAGGGAAAGGTAGTCCTTTCGACCTGACTTTCAACGAATGCCAGGACGATATTCTCCAAATCGAAAATATTATGACGAGAAGTGCTAAGCTGAAAGAGCCGGGGAATAGTTCGATTAGCCCCATGGTTGTCTAATGAATGCAAGTAGCACAAAAGAATACGAATTCTACAAGACTCGACAGCGATTTTACATGTGTATCGCATCGATTATAAACCACCTATATTTGTTGATACCAAAGACAACTTTAATCTTGTAAACTTTTTGGAAATGACTTCCAGGTGTTTGCCCTGCGGAATATCTCTGCCAAGCATGCCGGATCGGACCCTTCGCATGTGGAGTCGGTTCCTGGACTCATTGACACAGTGGGGCAGATAAGGGCTTAACGATGGAAAGTCCGCTTTGCCGGCCGGCAAGTGCTGAACATGTTTCGATACCAAAAACCAAATTGCCGGTAGAGCTTCTAGATTTATGTCACCTTTTGTTGATTTGTGATATTAGAAATGATTATTTCGCCGCGGGAGAATCCCGTGACTTTGAATTCTTCCTCCTGAGGATCTTCAAATAAGCCTTACTTTATACTCAGAGCCTTCTGCTTTGCCAAAGGAATTGTCTTTCCTGTGAAGTGATCACTTAATCTTCACCTAGTTCCGGACAAATCTTCGCAGGAGCGCGACAGATGGCGACAGCACATTGCTCGTACGCATCCGAGCCGACACAAGATGACCCATATGTCTACCAGTGTGGATTTGGCAACCGATTTGCATCCGAGGCCATACCTTCTGTTCTTCCTCGAGGTCAAAATTGTCCGCAAAAGGTCAAATATGATCTTTACTCGGAACAATTGAACGGCTCTGGTTTCGTCTCACCACGTGCAACAATACAGAATGTTTGGATGTACAGGATACGTCCATCTGTGGCTCACAAAGAAATATCGAAGTCAGAAATGAATACAAAGGTGCCTGGTCTACGATTTAGTCAATTGGCTCACACTAAAATGAGTTTTAGCTTCATGCCTGTTTCTCTCCCTTGAACCCGGAAGTAAATTATGAGCCATCGCAGCAAGCATGGGAACCGTTTCCATTGCCTGAATCTGCCACTAGGGTTGACTTCATTCAAGGTCTAAAAACGATAGGTGGTCAAGGAGACGCTACGTCTAAGTCAGGGATAGCCATTCATGTCTATTCTGCCAATGAATCAATGGGAAGAAAGGCGTTTTGCAATAATGATGGCGACCTTCTCATCTTACCACAGACAGGACGTTTGGACGTCCAGACCGAACTAGGAAAAATGATGGTACGGCCTGGAGAATTGGTTGTCATACAAGCTGGCCTAAGGTTTCGAGTCTCTTTGCCAGATGGCCCATCTCGCGGATATATCCAAGAAATTTTTGGTGCGCACTACGAGCTCCCAGAACTAGGCCCAGTTGGTTCGAACGGACTTGCTCTGCCCCGAGACTTTGAGATGCCAGTAGCCAGCTTCGACATTGATCACAATTACGGGTGGGAGATTGTCTACAAATTGGCTGGAAACCTTTACTCTTGTCAGCAAAATCATACACCCTTTGACGTCGTGGCCTGGCATGGAAACCTGGTGCCGTACAAATACGCAATCGAAAAGTTCATCAATATGGCCAATGTTGAAGTGGACCAAGCCGATCCAACGATCTACTGTGTTCTAACAGCGAAGTCACATACTCCAGGAATATCACTGACTGATTTTTTGGTATTTACAAACAAGTGGATCACCACGCGCGACACCTTCCGGCCACCTTACTATCACAGAAATATGTCGACAGAGATTATGGGCCTGGTTTACGGGAAATATGGTGGAAGTTCCCATGTTCTCGAGCCTGGAGGACTTAGTTATGAGGCACCCTACATGCCTCATGGAGAGACATATGAGACTTGGAAGGACGCAACTACGAAAGATCTAGTTCCAACCCGTATTTGCGAGGGCACACTTGCATTTATGTTCCACATATCAGTGCCTCTACTGTTAACAGAATTCGCAATGACGAGCCCGGAGCGTCACCCTGCGGATGTGAATCAGTGGGATGATGTTCAGGGCCATTTCCTAGAGCATGTGGAAGAAATAAACAAGCAGCTTTTGGCTGCTGGACGCCTACCACTAATATTTGACAACAGACAGAATGTGAGCGAAGTAAATTTGAATGGACATGAGAATGTGAGTGTGGGAATGAGCAATGGGTCGAGTTAAATCAAAGGAAATGACGAAAATTATACTTTAATTACCATGTTAATATTATTGTTCCATTAACTAACATTTTTTAACTATAAAAATTACCATATTCTCAATAAAAGCTTAAAAGATGAGCTCGTTCATAAAAGAAACATATCCCAAACCATTCCAAGTCGACATATAAATATTAATTTCAGATGTCCCATAGCCCATAATGCGCTTCTTGGAGGAAAGCTGTTACTTCAGCGTCAAAAATGTCGTTTGGTATCGTGCCGATGTGGATGCTGGGATCTATCTGGGGAATCGCCCCGAATGGTTCGTTAATTTGAATTATGCCTCTGAAACCCCCTTCTCTATTTGACTCTAAGGTGAGTGCCGGAGCCTGCATATCGTTTGCGCTACCTCTTAACGACTGACAAGTTGTATTTGAGGCCGGTGAGAATCCTCCTGACAGCGGTGTCGCTGCTTGTTGTAGACCTTGTTGCCAATTTTTTGCCATTGGCCACGCGGATTGTAGCCCTGTTATGATGTTCAGGCATCGACTGACCATCTCAGCTGCTTTTCCAGCCATGTGTGGGCAAAGTGAGGGCCATTTCCAGAGATTCAAGGCAAGCGATCCGCACACGTATACTGGTAATACCAAAATAGCAGGATATGCTTGTGGCTCATTACAAGATCGTGTAGAAAAGCATGATTCGATCTGTTCGTACAGCTCTTCAACGTTGGAGAATAACTTAAAAGACACTCCTTCCCAGAAATTGCGAATCGACTCTTCAACGTTTTTGTCAACGATTGATGATTTGATGTCTTCGAGATGCATCCTGCGAACAATTATATTGCTCAGCCTGAGCATCATGACTACAGATAAATAGGCAAGTTCGAAACCGAGGTCTTTCCAAACCCTCAAGTTCCGAATCGACCACTTCTGCTGTGGGGGCAAACATTTTTCAAATTCTGCAAGGTCTTGAACAATTTTCCCATACTCAGAGCTGGGGCTGAGCGGCGAAGGTAGCGGAGTTGAAGATACTCTGGACGGGCCAGCGGCTTTTCTTGCCACTCTACCCCAGAGACTGTGAGCTTGGATAAGTGTCGCGAAAAGTGACCGTTTGGATGAACCAGTCAAAGAAGGGTTAGCAATAGCAGGAACAGTATTTTGAAGAGCAGCTCTCTCCTGTGGAACTACACCAAATAGGAAGTCTAACTCTTCACATGGTAGCAGAGCCGTGATATCGTCAAGAGAAAATGGTGCAGGTGAGTTGTAGCCAGAGTGTAGGTTATCCTGACTTTGAATCATCCAGAAAGTGCGCCGCGCCATCTCGGCATCGATGATTTCTTCCTCCGATGCACCATCCCGCAGCTGATATGTTTCCTCCCTATGCAGCTTTAGCATCGCTGCCATCCTCACAGCAATGCCCATGTGAATCGAGCTTTGTTCTCTTTCTCCATTTCCCCATTCAGCAATTGACAGCAAGAAAAATCCTTGCGTAACCTCTAGGTTTGGTTTATACATCTTTTGAGGAACAAGTTGATGCGCTTGACGCATGAACCAATCTGTTGCTTTGGACTCGCTCCCATATCTCGCAACAAGACATGGAGTGAACCGCGCAGAAAGCGACAAGATACATAAAATGAGAAACTCGTCAACTTCATGGTTTATGATTTTCTCCGAGAATGTTGCCTTTGGAATAAATCCCAGCTGAAAATATGATGTTGTGAAGATCCGACAGGATTCAACGATTTCCTCCTGAGACGGCAGTTCCACAGGTTTCGAGTACTGAGGACTGCTGCAGTCGTTTGGCTCTGTCGGTTCCCGCAGTCTATGTTCAGCAGACATAAGACGATCACGCGGCCCTAATTCATTCGTTTGACTGGGAGATACGAGATGAGAAGCGTTCTTTGTCCGTCCCTGGGATCGCCAGTCACGATCAACGTCGACCTCTCCTCTTTTGGGAAATGTACATTGGTTGGCGGATGCTGAGCCTGCTGCCTTGCAGGCGTCGCAAGGAGGACTCAAAGTGGCGTGAACGCATTTGATACGCAGTCGACGGCAACGACGGCAAGCTACACTTCCTCTCTGACGACGCGCTGGTGTGGATTGCGAGAAATACCTATTTTGTTCACTATCTGGCATTTGGTCATTTCTGGATACGACGCTCAAAAAAGGTACCGGCAAACGTGAAAAGATATGTTGGTGAATGAAACGCAACCGGCAGTTGTTGGAGGTTACATTCGCAGCACGTGAATGTCAATTGGTGATTCAAAACAAAAGATCAATGGTTTGAAGCTGCAGTTCGAAAGCTGATAGGCGAGCATGGATCATTTAGTGAATTGCGTATCGTCCACAGTCATTGTCCTGGTGATCCTCAAGACGAACGGCAAAACAGCCGGCACTTTTGCCGACGGCGCAATAAGGTCGTCGGCAAATATCCGACATTACAAGACATGATCAAAGAACAAACATAATCTTACGTTAAAGCGACCGATAATGGCGCTCTTTCGTTTCTTCGTCTCGCTTGGCTAGTTTTACATTCATTTCAAATATGGTAAGAAAAGAGATGGCAACGAATAAAGAGACTTGCAATTGAAAATAGGCACACAAATTTTGCAAAAGAACTGGACTCGTTTAGTCTAGAAAATTTTTTTTCGAGAAGATTTGGGAGGAAGCAAGGCTCTTTGCGTGGATCGATTTGGCTTATCAAGAAATTCGCGATCAATTCCACTGCGATAAAAATCATCTCGCATTATTCATACGCACTCTTCAAGACCCGTTTAGCCTCATTGATCATTTCCTTGCCTCTCGTCAGCACACCACACAAAGCCAAAATTGAATGCGTGCCGCCTTTTATCTCATATACTGTTACCGGCACTTGCAGATCCTGAAGTTGCTTTGAGAATGAACGTGCTTCTGGGGCGAGTAAATCCTGCTCTGCGATCGCGATCCACGTAGGCGGCAGCTTGCGTAGTTGCTCTGCTGGAGCCAAATTAGGTGAGGCATCCCAGTTTTTCCAGTCCGCTTCGTTTGGCAAATACATCCGACGATACCAGAGCATGCGATCGGGTGTCAGCCATGGAGCATTGCGATTTTGATGCCACATCCCGTCAGTTGTTGCGGTATTGTCGATAACTGGCACGATGAGCAGTTGAAAGCATATTCGAATGTTGAGCTCCTGCACGGCTTTCAAACACAAAACGGCGGCCAGATTCCCACCAGCCGATGTGCCACCAACGGCCAGACGATCCAGGTCTAGATTGAATCGCTCAGCTCCAGGCCCACAAACCCAGCGAAGGGAGTCCAAAGCGTCCTCCACCGCAGCTGGATATGGATTTTCTGGTGCCAGACGATAACCAACCGTGATTACCACACATTGTGCCTCTGAGAGAAATAGTATATAGACTTAGTATCATATACCAACATTTCACCATGCTCTAATTGAAATTTACCTTTGCACATGATGCTGCAGAAGTCTTTGCCATCATCAAGCCCACCAATTGCCCATCCGCCTCCATGAAACCACAATAGGCACGGTAACTTTGTCGCACTATCAATCTCCGGTGCATATATCCGTATTGAATAGTTTTTAAGCTCGATATCCTGAACCAGACCCACGGGTACTGGCTCTGCACCTCCAGGAGGGAGGGAAGGGTTTGTTCGAGAACTACCATCCCAGACTTTCGATTCATCGCGCGGTACATATTGAATGTACCTGTCGTGAAATTCGATATATTCTGGGTCAAGATGGGGACGAAGATCGGCATGTATCGGCTGGAATATTATTCTTTCTTCTTGGAGCATATTGGTTCGGCGCAATAGCTCTGTAAAAGATTTGATTACTTGAGGACGCAAAACAAGAGCATGGATTTTAGGACAAATGCAGCAAATATGATTGACGGTTTAACGTCTTCTGTGCGCATCCCAAGCCCGTAGACTCTATTTGTGTGCAGACGACATCGCCTGCAGTTGGTTTTGAAGTTCACCATCTAGTGCCAAAAATCCTCAAACAATGCTTGAAAACTTTCTAGAGCGCAGAGAGTTTGATAAAAATCCGTATGCCATCGTAGAATCCGGCAGCAGATAAGTTCCTCATTCCGGACATGATGTTTCCGCCGTAATCGGTGCCGATCTAGTAGTTTACCGGCAACAAACAGGCATATGCGGAACAAGAAGTCTAAAAGCCCGGCAATCAGCTCCAGATAACCAAGCTATCCAAGCCCGTAGTTTCATGATCAGCAATTACCTTGTGCCTCAATATGATAGGCCAAATTGGATTGACGGTGGATTGCGGATAGACCTATGCGCCTCCAAACTGCTCGTGAAAGTATGTCGCTATCTGGTCTACCAAGCCTTTCAGTCTTGCTGTCCGTCTGTTATCTGGTTGAAGCAGTTAAGATGAAGTGAAGGATCAGAACGCATAACTACTTGCCGGTGCCCTTGTATGAGATTTCGTGTCTTGGAGTCCTACAAACTTCGCACGTCCATTTCACTACTTCTAGTCGCCAGCTGAAGAGACCATGGCAATTCATGACCAGAACTCGAGCCAAGATGGCAGTATCGATGTCGAGAAGACCGGCGTCACAGCAACCCAAACTCCATGCGTGGGTGTCGGTCAGGTCACCGAACTTTCCGCATGGAGGCGATTGTTGTTCTCTGGCATAGAACATCGCGGTGTCGAACCCGTTCCGGTGGAAGAACGACTCGACAAACGCGGCATCAGCCTGTTCACTCTGTGGTGGAGTATCGGTCTTACCCTTCTCGCGTAGGTCAGCCTCTTCAGGATGTTCATCCCTTTTGCTAACGTACGAAAGCGTCACTACCGGACTCGTTGGCACCCTTTACGACGGACTGAGTCTCCAAGCAGCAAGTTTGACTATCCTGTTCTTTACCTTGTTGGCCGCCATACCCCCGGCTGCTTTGGGCACTCTGGGACCACAGACTGGAATGCGCCAGATTGTCCAGTCTCGATATTCGTTTGGGCTTTACGCCGTCACCGTTGTTGCGCTTTTCAACTTGGCAAATACAACTGGCTGGTGTATCATTAGCGCTATCGTCGCTGGAGAAACACTGTCTGCAGTCAGCGGAGGTGGTCTGAGTTGGGATCTAGGCATCGTTGTCATCACTGTGATTTCTCTTGTCATTGCTTTCTTGGGCTACAGAGTTGTACATCAATATGAAAGATGGTGCTGGATCCCTGCTCTTATTGCCATCGTCATCACAGTGGGTTGCGGTGGCCATCTGCTTCGGGAGCAGGCACCTACAGAGCCAGCCACGGCTTCGAGCGTACTTACGTTTGCTTGCACAATAACCTCATTCACTCTTACTTGGTCGTGCATGGCTTCAGATTTTGCTGTTTACACTCATTCTAGTATCTCAAAGTAAGTCATGAACCATCTACTAGTCCTGCGAGCATTTCCGCTGACTTTGGACCAGGACTCGAGTGTTTCTCTATATTTATGGAGGCTTAACTCTACCTACAATTCCTCTGATGGTGCTCGGTGCCGCCATTGGCGGTGCCATTCCTTCCGTTCCAGACCTGGCTGCTGCCTTCGACGCAGGATCGACTGGTGGCGCAATGCTTGAGATGCTCAAGCCTGCTGGAGGATTTGGCAAGTTTGTTGCTGTGATTCTTGCATTTACTCTGGTGGGGAACTTGTCCGGGACCGTGTACTCCATCTCAATTCAGTTTCAAGTGCTCCTACCGCTCTTCGCACGCATTCCTCGATGGTTCTTCTCAATCTTCGTCTCTGCCGTCATAATCGCCGCGGCGATTCCCGTCAGCAAAAATCTAGCGACTGCTCTGGAGAATTTTCTGGCCTTGATCGCTTACTGGGGTGCTGTCTACGTTGCCGTTGTCTCCACGGAACATCTAGTCTTTCGCAAAACCGCGGCAGCGTACGATCCGGCCATTTGGAACGATGGTAGTAAACTCCCTCTCGGTGTCGCCGCATTTCTGTCGGTTGCTCTGCCTTTCGGAATCATCGTACCTTCGATGGCAGTGACATGGTACACAGGTCCAATCGCAAAGATCACGGGTGACATAGGCTTTGAACTGGGCGGTGTTTTAGCTTTCTTGCTTTACCTGCCCCTGCGGACTTTAGAACGGCGCTTTACTGGTCGCTGATTCAGACAAAATAAGTGAAAGGTACCATCAAAGATTTGACAAGATCCCGAATCGCAATTGAGATGAAATATAGAGCAATTAGTTGTAGAGAACACAATTGATCATTGATTTTGAAAGAGTCTACTCTTCGTCATCTGTATTATTGCTCAGGAATAAATCTATCGCAGCCTCCCTATCCAGCACCAATCCATACTCTCCACTTACCCACCCATCTCCAATGACATCTCCAGCCCTCACGTTCTCCACGTAGACCCAATACCAGTCTGCTTCCAACAAAATGGGGCTCCTCGCAAAATCGTCTCGCAAGTGCTGCCACGCTGCATAATTACCTTCCCAATGCTGCTTAAATGCGGCCGCGTTCTCTCCCTCCGTGTACTCCATTTTGACAATCAAAGTGTCCCACATTGCATCAAGTCCATGCGTAATGACGATGAGGGGATGGACATCCTCTGTGCGCAACAGCTTGAGCGCCGTGTCGATGGGCAGAAAAGGCATAAACAGGATGGAAGAGCTGGTCACAAACCTTGAGATCGCATTTACACCACTCTTATCCACGAACGAATTCAGGGTGTACCGCTTGCCCTCTACAGCCACGGTGAAGAAGTCCGGCTTGTCCGCTTCGATCTCGTCGGCCGGCTTATAATCAACGTCGTAGACGGCGAGCTCTTGAAATAAAAAGTCCTTGTCGATTTCGTCGCATCCGAAATCCGAATTGTACATCTCGATAAAGTCGTCGTTTTTCCAGTTCAAGTAACGTCTGGCGTAATCCACCATGGCCAGCTGCTGGAAAATCCGTGGATTGTGCATCGCATCGCTTGGCGAGCCAAGTCCGACGATGACAATGCGGTCAATTCTATTAGCCAGAGGATCGAGCATGAGTCGCAGGTCTCGGGCAGTCGAAGAAACGCGGAAGGAATCGTAGACCCGCTCGTAAGCGGCTTTCATATCCTCCCAGGTGTGCTGTTTGTTCCTGATAAAGATGATGCTGTTGCTTGACATCTTTGCACGTATCTCAAATCAGCGGCTAACTCAGTGAGGTCAGCGATGGCTGTGGTAGTAACTTCGCGTTCGGTCGAGCACGTAGGAGAGATATCGCTGTTGAAGTGACAAAGATGTGAAGTCACTGGCAGCAACAAAGAAAGTGATTGAATGCGGCTGCAAGGTCAATGTAGGGCCAGAGTCGTGACACAACTTCGCAGATCATTTTGATTGTACGATTAACACTGGACGCGGTATCACTCTCAGCCATGAGTTGAATCTTCCGAGGGATTTATGTATCTCACAAGCAGTTACCATCCCAATTGTCGCTCCTTACTCGCTTTACGCCCACAACTAATTATACTGGTGACAAAGTGATGAAATTCAGACAACATGAAACTGAGACAAGTGATCACAACTCCTTCTTGAGGTAGTGCTCCGGCTTGTGGCTCGTCTCATAATCTACATGCACGTACGCACGCTCAACGTGGGGAAGGTTCTCCAATTTGGTCTGAAGCTCTTCTGCGACATCGTGAGTGTTTCGCAGGGAGTCTTCAGGATCCATGACAATGTCCACTTCGACAATGAGCCGTGGACCCGAGTGGTAGGCTCGCACTGTGTCGATTGCCGAGATGGCTGGAGAGTGCGTCATCGCTGGGAATGAATTAGAACGCAACATCAATGAGTGAGATTTTGTGTGGTGTACATACCGACATAGGTGATGAGCTGGAGCGTCGAAGTATCCGCGGATACGCCGATCAAGAGCATGAACTCCGAGCGTGCGGTGCGGAGCCAAAGGGTGATGATGATGAGCGAAAGAATGATGGCGCCCATAGGATCGATCCACCAGCGGACGAAAGAGCCCATTAATGAGAAGCCAAGACCAATGCCGTTGATAAGGAGGTCATTCCGGTGGTCCTCCCACAGAATCCTGATCTGGCTGTAGATGTTCCGCAGCGCGTAGCAATACAGGAAAAGCATCAGTTTCGTCACGAAGGCGATGGCAACAGCAATGACAGCTGGAAGATGGAAGCCGCGTGTTCCATTCCAGTCATTGCTTCCCTGGGAGATCTCGACGATGGATTGGACAATGATGATAAGTGATACGGCCGTCATGAGGAAGCAGAAGGCAATGTTGCCCGCTGTTTCAATTCGGGCCTTGCCACTTGGATACTTGCGCGCATCTACGCGCTTTACGGCACGGTTGCACAAAATGAGGCAGATATTGCTTGCCGGATCGAAGATGGCATCAGCCATGGTAGTGAACAGAGCAAGAGATCCTGAAGACGTAGCACCATATATCTGCAGGATGGCGAGACATATGTTTGCCGCGAAGGAGCCGACGACTGCGAGCCTGTACTTGAGCTGGGTATCACCCTCGAGCTCCTTGGCCTCGCGACGGTGATCGTCAACGGGCTTAAGGAGTCGCTCAATGTTCTCATTCTGGTTCTCGTAAAAGCTGCCAACTTTGCGTGCATGCAAGGCGTCTTTGCCTGAACTATACAGAGGCAGATGGATGCCGGACGACCTGCCTGCGGTCGCTCTTTTTCGCGAGGTATTCGCCTTTATAGCTGCGATCTCATCCTCCGTCTTCAGTCCTTTGGCAAGATTGTACGGATCAGCCTCCACGCTGTACCTTGGCGGTGTCTGTCTTTCCAGATCGCCGTCCTCCCGCCCCTGCAGCGTGCCGGCATCGTCGTCTCTGCTCTCGCGTACATGACGGGCGATTGGGTCGACGCCGTTGTCGTCATCTGGGGTGACCGCCTCGAAAGCAGTGCTGTGACCAAACTTCGAGGCCGCGCTTTTATTGTGGACTAGTGGCGGCTGAGCTTCAGGTACGATCGGGTCGTGCCGGGACTGAGGATGTGACGCTGCGGGGCTTTCCGATCGTGAGATGTTGGCGTGCGGGTGCGTGTGGAAGGGGTGCGGTCTCATAGAGATGGCATGGCGAAGATCGGTTTCTGACGACATCTTGCATGTAGTCCAGCGTCCACAAACAAAGCTCGAAACAAGGTAAAGATGAAACAGAAGAGAGATGGAGAGGCCTCGATGGCGGATGAAATACCGTAGAACGCACCGCCCTCGCTTGGAGGAATACACACGTGGGCGCTTTCTTGTGTGCGCCCTCAAGACGCTTGCTTGATCGGTACTAGATCTACTCAATCTCTACAGGCTTTCGCTGTCTTTTTTATTCCTTGGCAGCATTGCAGACTCCTCGAAGCGCGAACCCGTTGCTCTTGTTCCACTCGATGGGATGTCCCGTTGTGCGGCGGTGCGTGGTCGTCTGGAAGACAATGCCCTGACTTGGTTGATCAAAGTTCGCCTCGTCATCAGCGCTCTCCTTAAGCTGCTGCCCGCCATGGGTAAATGATCAGGCATATCTTTGTTCTACGACGTGCGACTGTCTGATGCAACTAAAAATTCACGGAAATTCTCAGCATGAAGCGATCGACTTCGAACCAGCTTCAACCGCGTCCTGCGCTGGGCTCCAGGTTCCTTGGAGCTGTTTTGTACGTCTCAACGACGCACGGTTCTCGACCTTGAGATCGGACGGTATCTACCGTTGACGCCGGCGGCAATGTCCTCAAGTGTTGAAATGATATCTAGCCTATCCTGTGGCACATTTTGGAGAAAGGACAATGAATGATAAACTCCCAGCCCGGCCAAGGTCAACAGACAATATATCTATCGCTATTCTCATGTTGAGTGATGCTTTCTCTGTTAACTACTATTCTGGTTGAAAAAAAGGGGGTGAATTTGCTTCGTAAAAGCCTGAAAGTCTTTATATTTCGTTGCAATGCATCGCCAAACAAGAAAAACGAGCATCGGAATTGCCACCATCTCTTTATCATTGTGTGATGCTTCCATGGCTTCAATGAGCCCATCCAGGTAACTAACTTAAGACCTTTCCAAAGGCGCACAAATCTATTTGTCTCATTTCAGAACTTTCAATGCGCTGCTGTCTTTCGCAAGGCACTAAACACTCTTGGCTGCATCGTCTAAGCGAGAAATCGACCCAGCAATCCAACCATCGCTATGCGACAAGTCTGGGCAGCCGCAGCAAACGAGTTCATGTAGTGGCAGCGCAATCTTGGCCAAAATCTAGCATGCTCAAAAGTACCTCATGTAGACGGGAAAGACGAGAGCGGATGCTCACCTTCGCGATTTCTACGCGAAACCATCGCTCAAATGGACCGTCAAGAAAGCGATCACTATTACTATCATCAGCAGCAGAAATCATTCCCTCACGGAACGTATAGCAGTCCACAATATTCGTCCTTTTCATACGCGGAACAACCACTTCCACAACCGACTGATCAGGATGGCAACTTCCAATATGCCGCTCTTCAGTCCAGAAAGCGTGAAGCCAGCACGAACAAGTCACATGACGTATCATCAACGAACCGTGGGAGAACATGGAAGCAAAAGATGTCCGGATGGCGATTTGGCGCCATTCTCTTTGCAATTGCTGCTCTGATCGTGCTCGTAGCCAATGTTTGCATCGCAATATACGCCGTCCGAGAGTCTGGTGCAAGTGCAACAGCCGACTTCAAACCAATTTACACGGGTGACTGCGCGAGGACAAAGGCTTTGAATACTTGGTTACATCTGACGATCAATGTGCTCAGCTCCATTCTGCTCAGCGGAAGTAACTATTGCATGCAAGTACTGTCAGCGCCAAGCAGAAAAAATGTCAAAGAAACTTTCCCGCTTCCTCGGCATGGTTATTGCTAACATGATGACAGGTGGATGAAGCGCACGCAGCTCGCAAATGGCTTGATATCGGCATTCCTAGTCTGCGCAATCTTCGTGTTATGACGCCTAAACGGCGCGCATTGTGGGTTCTAATTCTGATTACCTCTGCACCGCTCCACTTGGTTTATAACTCCATCTTTTCCCAGTCTTGGACCCGTCAAGCCTACGAGGCCGCGCTTGTCACTCCTGACTTCCTGGCTGGAGCGCCTTTTGACGCCGGCTACACAGAATACAGCACCGCTCGCGAAGGAGGGCGCCGCCTCTTTGGAGAAATACAGGCCAACTCGTCGACGTACCAACGTCTGGAACCTATGGAGTGCATAAAAGCTTATAATAAGAAAGCAATCTTGGACCGAAAAACTGTGCTTGTGGTCACGTCTCTGAAGACCAGGCCCTTGCTCTCTACGTCGTACGGGCCTGATTCGCCAGCACGTCTCGATGACGGAAGTACGAATCCTGTGTTCGCCGTCGAGGATTTCGTGGGAAACGAAGTTGGTACGGGAACGTGGAACTGGATGTGCGACAACTTGTACGACTACAGCTCCGATGAAGGATGTGACTTGACGGACGTGTTGAGCGGCAACAAGGAATGGAGTCCTTTCATGCCCGGCGTGAAGGTAGAGTATTGCTTGAGCGAGTACTTGGGAGAACAGTGCGCATTGGACTTCTGTGAGTGCACTCCTAGAATTGTCCAAGTATGGTTTAGCTCATGCCTTTTCAGCTTTTGGGCTCATGATGGTTGTTTGCGTGTGCAATTTGATCAAGCTTTCCTGCATGGTTACCTTGTGCTTTTCTTCTGGCACAACACCATTGCTCAACATCGGCGATGCTGTCTCTTCCTTCCTTGATGCCGAAGACGTGACCACACGAGGGATGTGCCTTGCCGGCAAAAAAGAGATTAAGCAATACTGGGATAAGCGGGAGGGATACACGCCGGTCGAGCCTTTGACCTGGACTAGAACCTCGATGCGATGGTTCAGGGCGTGCAGTACTTGGAGGTGGGCTGTATTTGCCTTGCTGTATGGCTTCGATATGACCAAGGGGAAGATTGTCTTTGAAGCTGATTTGGTGTTAGATCCTCCGCGTCGATAATCACGAGCATCGTGCTCCTCGGTTTAGGTCTGTCCAACTCCCGAAGTGGAGGTCTAAAATCCTGGTCATTCGGTGTCGCCAGCATCTATGACGGGTCTCCATATGTCATAACGTACGGCCATGAACTATATCAACCACATCGACTTGTGGCAAACATTCTCTTGGCCAATCTACCACAGTTGGTCATCTCATTTCTCTTTTTAGCGTGAGTTAACTTGTTCTGCCGTAGCACGATTCTCTAAACTAATGGAGGGAAAGATACAACAGCATCTTGACTAGCATGGTCATGGCGAAGGAGTGGTCAGACTTTGCCCACGAGCGGAAGACTTTGCGAGTATCAGCGCCTGTTGGCAAGCAGAGATCAACATACTATCTCCAGCTGCCCTACCGCTACGCAATTCCTCTCCTTCTCTCATCAATGCTCCTCCATTGGGTCACATCTCAAGCAATATTTCTCGACAGACGGATCGTGCTCCAGGTCTGGTGGGGGGAGCCATACGAAGATAACGATGTAGGTAGCGTGTCAACTGTTGGCTATTCACCTGTCGCGGCGATCATTTGCTTGCTAATTGGTGTTTCGATGCTGGTTGCGTTAGTTTTCGTTGCGCTGGGGAGGTACAAGCCGGGGATTCCGCTTGCTGCGAGCTGTAGTGCTGCCATCAGCGCCGCGTGCCACCTGGAGCGAAATGAGCCAGATGCTGCAGTCTTACCGCTGCTGTGGGGCGTTGCGGCGAGCGAGCAGTGGGATAGGATCGGCCATTGTGCGTTCTCCTCGCTTGGTGTTCGCGAGCCAGTTGATGGCAATAGGTATGCATGATGAATTAGAAGTATCACACCATCAACGTCACGTTCTTAATATTTCACTCTTTCCTAAGCCAGCGCCAAGTTTCCATTCGGTATTTTTCATTCTTGAATCCAACCGGGATGTGTGTGTAGTGAGCATGGCAAAGGAGAGCTTTATCCAGCTCCGGTCCATAGCCAAGCACGTCGAGGTTTGGGTGAACAAGTTTCTACCGTTTCATTTCCAGCCTTAACCGGAGCAGGGATGTGAGACTTAGCGCCCTGAAAATGGTAAACAGTTGCGCTTGCGGTTCACCGAAGATTAGTGATAGCCTCGAGAGAACAGACTATATATGAGCTGCGTTTGACGTCGCGAAGCTCTGTTGCACAACTGTGCCTCCTTCGAAGTGCTGGAGGTCAGATTTTGGCTTCGCCGTAGGGACAGATTCGACCCAGGGTATTTCTTAAGTCCCCCTTGGCTTTCCAGGTCTAAAAATTAAAAAAAAAAAGCTCCTGGTCTTCCACCTGCGCATTCTTGTCATGGACGTCGACGAGGAAAAACCACATGTCCGTGGCTCTTCGGTGACCGAACCTATCCTCCGGCGCTTTTGCCGGTGCAAGCTGCACGAGGAAGAAGACCAATGCGCGCTGTGTAAGCTGACAGCAAACGGGACGGACAGAATCAGCGCTACGACGAAGCACAGGCGGAAGCGAGATGCTCATCTGCAGGCTCACTTCCTACGGAGCTCTCGGTCCAGTGGTGGGACGACTCGACAGGCCGCTGTCCGGGGAATCAAAGGCATCTCCGGCCCTGGCCACCGGCGGCCGGGGCGTCCCCAGGGGTCCAACTTCTGTGGAGAGGAAACCCCACCAGCCGCGGTTAAAGCCTGAATACAGCATGCCGGCCGCTCGTGAAGATCAATTCGAGCGCGTCTGGTTCGACAATCAGGTGCAACGTGCGCAGCACGAGGCGTGAGACACTCTAGTGGATACATGATTTGCGCCCTGGATCAGGAATAGATGCGCAATCTTAACACGACCGCATCCCCGCCCTCGAACACAGGCTGCGATTGAATCGAACTCCTCTCGCTGCAGCGCAGACGAAGTCGAAATGGCAGCTCCCGTAATGATCAAAGACAGCCCGCTTGCACCGGTGCCGGCGGAGGATCCCCTGACCAAAGATCAATGGCGTACCCTTTTGGCCATCGCGGACGCGGTTGTGCCCACCGTCGTGGAGAAGCGCAAGGGCAAGGAGTCCTTTAGCGCCGTCGCGCTCGAGTCCAAAGAGTACGCGGCTGTCGTTGCAGAGCTCGAACAGCATACGCAGGACGCCGATCTGGCAGTAAAGTATCTTAAGGAGCGTCCCAGTCAGAATCCTGTCTTCAAGGAGAGCCTCTGGCGTCTCTTCGGTGAGAATACGCCGAAAGACCTTGTCAAGTTGATGGCCCTGGTGCTCAATTTGCTGAAGTATCGTTCTCCGAATCCATGTTCATGAGCGGACTCTGATCAGTTACCAGTTATCGTGCATCCTCGCTCCTCCTGACTGGCTATCCGTCCGCATTTGCCGATCAACCAGTTGCCGTACGAGAAGCCATTCTGCTGTCATGGTCTCAGGCGTACATACCAATCTACCGACAGCTGTACAAGCAACTCACAGCCCTCGTAAAACAAACCTGGATCAGAACTTCGCCCACCGTATACTCTGTTCTGAAGTTCCCGAGAGTCCCAGTTCACGGAAAACCGACTCCAGGCTTCGAGTATGACTTTATCCAAATACCACCTGGAAGCGACGCAGAGGTCATCGAGACTGATGTCGTCGTGGTTGGATCTGGATGTGGCAGTGGCCCGATTGCGAAGAACCTGGCTGAAGCTGGAAATCGCGTACTCGTTGTAGACAAGGCCTACCACTGGCCGACCGATCATCTTCCCATGACAGAAGACTCCGGCTGGGGCCACCTCTTCATGAACGGAGGTGCCCTCTTCACAGATGACTCGTCTGTCGCAATTGTCGCCGGGGCTACATGGGGTGGCGGTGGAACTGTTAATTGGTCCGCCAGTCTTCAGACGCAAGGCTTTGTCCGTCGCGAGTGGGCCGAGCAAGACGGGCTTCGATTCTTTACCAGTTCCGAGTTCCAGGACTGCCTCGACACCATCTGTAAAAGAATGGGTGTTTCCTCGGCGGCCATCACGCACAACAAGGCCAACGACATCCTTCTCGAAGGCTCACGACGCTTAGGCTGGGCCGCAAAGCCTGTCCCACAGAACACAGGCGGCAAACAGCACTACTGCGGCTACTGCACTTTTGGTTGCGCCAGCTGCGAAAAGCAAGGGCCTATCGTGTCATGGCTACCCGACGCAGCCCGAGCAGGCGCCAAATTCATGGAAGGCTTCGACGTCCAAAAGGTCCTCTTCGAGGAGCGCGGCGGCAGGAAGATTGCCACCGGAGTCGAGGGCATCTGGAGCTCTCGCGACGAACATGGCAGCCCCACAGGCAAACCGCTCACCAGACGCAAGGTCGTCGTCAAGGCGAAGCGCGTCGTCATCTCCGCAGGAACGATGCAGTCGCCACTCATCCTGATGCGCTCCGGTCTCAAGAACAAGTGGATCGGACGCAACCTGCGTCTGCACCCCGTCACCTTCGTGGGCGGCGTGTACGAGGAGGAGATACGCCCTTGGGAAGGCGGCATTCTCACCGCCGTGGTCAACGAGTTCGAGAACCTCGACGGCAAGGGCCACGGCGCAAAGGTCGAGGCCGCCGTCGGCATGCCCACCGCACTGCTCTCCTTCTCAACGTGGACCGGCGGCGTGAACTACAAACTCTTCGCCCCGCGCTTGCGGCACATGGTCGCTCATTTCTCCATGGCCCGCGACGAGGGCAGCGGCTACGTGTATCCAGACCGCGCCGACGGTCGGCCGAGAGTGGTGTTCACGCCCAGCAAGGCGGACCGCAAGCACATCATCGAAGGCCTCGTCGCCGCGGCCAAGATCAACTACATCATGGGCGCCAAGGAGCTGTTCACCACCGTGCCAGGCGTGCCCAGCTTCAAGCGTAGCGACGCGAAAGCCTCGTCCGACAACACCAACGACATGAATGACCCTGCCTTCAACGCTTGGCTTGATATTGTTCGAAAGCGCGGCGTGCCCGATCCGGACACCGTGTTTGTGAGTGCACACCAGATGGGCACGTGCAAAATGTCGAACAGTCCATCAAAGGGCGTGGTCGATCCTAAGGGACGAGTCTGGGAGGTTGACGAGGGGCTGTATGTGGCAGATGCCAGTGTGTTCCCAAGTGCTAGTGGCGTCAACCCCATGGTCACCAACATGGGCATCAGCGAGTGGATCTCTAGGAATTTAGTGAAGGGTCTTAAGGCAAACGACTCTGTCCAAGCTGTTCTGTAGCTTACTCGCAATCTTTGTTGTCTTCGAATAGGAAACGGAGTACGGTCTCTTTGCATATGTAATGAGTAAGGACATTGCACGACGTCGAAGGGGAAAAAATTAGGCACGATTGTGATTCAGTTTTCACATGCTATTTCGACAGGCTATTCTACGAAAGTGTTACGTTGTTTTCGCATTCGGACAGAGACAAGGCCAACGGATGTCAGCCCAGCCTGAAATTTTAGTACGCCAAATGTCGAAAACGACGTGCGCAAACGTTATTGCCTTCAGTGTCCTTCGGAACTGCCAATCAAGTGAACCCATGTGGCCATTGTGGAAGAAAGCAGAAAAGCAAACCGTAATAACTTGGAACGCCATACTCTCCTTTGTTGGAGGTGTTGTTCATACACATCGAAAAAATCTGTGGAATGGCTTGAGAAACCGTCAGTAGGAGAATCCGCCGGTGCAGTGATCATGGAATGACTTAGTGAGGTAACGTGATACCGCCAAAGCCATCCTGCGGCTACGCCTCGAACGTATTCTGTTGTAATGACGCGCGCACGCACGCCCGCTGAAGCGGAGTTATCTGTGAAGTGTGAAGTAACTCATGGGCATCGTGTTTGTGAAAAAAATATACTTGAGGTTTTGCATCGAATGTGAATTGTGCTGAGAAACGAATTCATGCAATTCGAGCGAGACGACGGAACTGAGAGTGATCTCGTTCGGCAGCACATCGTCGAAGGGCAATCATCACTAAAGATTGATGGCCCGGCTCCAGTGGCTGTTGTAGACGGCTTCAATGATGGGTGCAGCAGCTATCATGCGCCCCCCAAAGTAGCGTCCATTCAAGCCCTGAACGGCCTTCGAACCACTCTCAATGGATGAGAACTTGACATAGACCTCGGTTGTGTTAGGATCGGTATCGATATGTACGATGTTGCCGAATTGTCTCTCGCACTCCTGCTTGATATCTTGTAAGAGTTCTTCTTTCCAGGAATTGCCACGTGCCTCTTCCCTATCAGGCGTATCAGTAACGGAAATCGAGGTTAACATAGATTGCACTTACTCAGCTAAATCATATACGTTGGTAAGCACAATGCAACGGCTGGCTTGCGGCGCCTTGGGGGGTGGAGGCGCAACCTTGACAGGTTTAGCTTTCTCCTTTTCGGTGCCATTGGTGGCGGAATCGTCCTCCCTGAGGAGCTTTCGCATGATATCGTGTCTTGAAATGTTCGCGAGATTCGACTCGCCGACGTCTGTATCATTCAGTGCTGAGGCATTGCCAATACCGCCTCGGTCTTCACGACGTCCCTTAGACTCGTACGCAATGTCGCCACCAGCATGAGTACCACGACCTCCTGCACCAAAGACACCAGAGCCTTGGTGTTGTTGAGGGAATCGCTGAAGTAAATTCTGGGTGCTCTCGTTAGTGAATTTGTCATTGCCGAGGCCGACACGGATGGGTCGACCAGCAAGATCAAACCCGTTCATTTTCTCGAGAGCCTCCTTGGCTGCCGCTGGATCGCGGTATCTATAAGGTCAGTAAGCTTTCAAAAATTTTGATGGTTGGTGCACTTACTGTACAAATCCGTAACCCTTGCTGCGTCCTTGCTCTTCCTTCTGTAGCTGAACGAATTCAGTCTCGCCAAACGGCTCGAAGACATTTCTGAGATCTTCCTCTGTAATTGAGAAATGAATATTCCCGACATAAAGGCGATGGAAGGGGATGCCCGAATTCTGAGGGTTGCCACTGCCCTCCGTATTGCGAGCTTGACGGTTCTTCTCTGCTTCTGTGAGCTGAACAATGACAGGAATGCCGAGCAATTTCTGGCCGGTAAGCTGCAATGCTTTCTGAACTGATTCTTCCTCCTTGAACTCAACATAGCCGACACTGAAGCACACCATGTTAGCAAAATCATCCTCACAAAACTATTATCTCAAAACAGTCTCACCCTTTGGAACGTCCGCTCACGCGATCTTTAACAATCTGTGCCTCTTTAACTGGACCGCAACTAGCAAAGAATGCAGCTAACTCTTTAGTGCGCAGGCGCGCGGCCAATTGCTGCACGAATACCGTGCGCGAATCACGCTCGTCGTCGTTGAGCTCGGGAGTCTTGGTTTTTCGCGCATGGTCTCGATCCCGATCTCTGTCTCGTCCTTCGCCGCCGCGACGGCGATCATCGCGATCTCGGTCCCGGTCTCTCTCTCGTCCATGTTCACGGTCTCGACGGTCCCTCCTGTCTCTATCCCGATCTCGATCCCTGTCCCGGTCCCGGTCACGGTCGCGGTCTCGGTCTCGGTCTCGGTCTCGGTCCCTATCCCTATCACGCTCGCGCTCTCGCTCTCGCTCTCGATCTATCGCTCGATCCCGATCGTCTCGACGTCTAGGGCGGTAATAGTGGTCATCTTCATCACTCACCGATCGTCTACGACCATCTCGTGGTCGGTAGTGATCTCTATCACGGTCTCTATCGTCGCGGCGTCTATAGTGATCTCTGTCGCGATCACGTCGTGGGCTTCGGCTACGGCGCCTCCCACCCCTCGAACGGTCGCTCACTTCTGAGCCGGCCCGCTTCTCACGATCAGATGAGGTGAGTTTTGCCTGCGCCTTCTGATATGCGGCCTCAGCAGCCTCGTCGAGGAGAGCTTCGACGTCCATTGGGGAGGCCATGACTTAGCCACTACCAGTGATTTTCGTTTGTGTTGTCCTTGGCTGCTTGGGCAGAGGTGTTGTCAACGACGGTGGGTTGGTTGCGGTTGAGGAGAGTCCGAACTTAGAAATGCGAACTTTTGGGCAGAAAGCACTAGCAATTCGTGTCTTGGCACGACGCTAATCCTGTTCTAGGATCTGCTCGTACTTTTCACGTGCCGTGTCCCTTTCGACCGCTTGAACCCAGGCTGAGTGGGCGCTGGACGTTATCACAAAACCTCTCCGAAGTAAACTGTAATATGTAGAGCAATCACAAGGGCCCATACAGCATCAAAGCAACCAGGGCCTCGTGCGTTCCTAGAATGGATGAAGTCAACATTTCAGACGAGCAGTATTTTCGATCCATACCGTGGTGCCAGCAGCTTCTTGCGGATCCTGCCTTTGCAATTACTGGCCTCAAGTCGCGCAAAGTGAAAGACAGCAACGAGGACGCATGTTTCGCGGAAACTTTCAACACACCGGGAACAATCCCGCACTGTCTTGCCATGTATAGAGTTCCCAGCGAACCAGTTGCAATGATCGACGAGGTCCGCGTGCTATATCATGTTGGAGCAAAGCTCGATGGAAATCCACACATTCTCCATGGCGGCATCCAGAGCTTCTTGCTCGACGAGGCAATGGCGAAGATCCCTTCGTTCAACAAGGACCGGGAAGGTGGCTTGACGAGGAGATTGACGGTCACGGCCTCGTTGCAAGTCTCGTTCCGCAAAGTTGCGACAACGCCTGCTGTACTTCTTGCATCGGCAAAGACGGAACGGAGGCAAGGCCGTAAACTGCACTTGTCATCAGTTTTGCAGGATGGAAACGGACAAGTTCTGGCAACGGCTGAGGGAGTGTTTGTCACCGTTGAGCCGACAGTCGAAGAACGACTTTGAAGCCATATCATCTTCGCAACAGCAAGTTTTTACGTATTCAAACCATCAGTGCATCTCTATGCTTCCATGCTATGAGCTATATATCTACTTTCTATCCTCGTAATCACACCAAGACGTCGTAATTGCTGGACTCGAGTGCTCACGATTTCTGACAGCATTTTCTTGACAAGCTAGCTTAGATTGCCATACATCCTCCCGCGGCTTCAGTGATCAAATAATCTTGACGATGTTAACCCAGAATTTGCGAGGATAGCCGCCGATTTATACTAGGTGTGGTTTACAGGCGGCACGAGTGTGGCGAAGCTGTTGTGATCCTTGCTACTTGGTGCGTATTGTAGTCCGACAAAAAAACTACCTGTATATAGACAAATACGGTGACGCTCATAATTATAGAAGGGCGCTAGGTCTGTTAAAATGACGATTCACGACTTTGGCCTCATGGTGCTGAATACGGCTAGACATCAAACATGTCGAACTTACAACCTCAGATATAACGCTTTCTTGAGAACAGGGCTTGCTGTCTCCGTGGTCACACTGCACTTTTACAACGGAGTTACTCACTACATTTGAGGGTGGGCTTGAGGTGGGCAAATGCGAGCAGCAAAATTTAAAGCGTTGACGCAGGAACAAATGGGTTACACTAGATGAGTCTCGCTCATCTGTCCGGTGGAAGATCGAGCGGTTCGAGGTATGTTGATTCTGGTCAGGATGTGAACACTGCCGCAATCATGTCTCTTGTGACGACCAGTGTGACAGCAGCGTAGGACAGCGGTGACTCAACGAAAGACAGCCATGCGATGTCGACCCAGATCAGAGCTATGTCTGGTAAGTCCGGTTGCAGAAACGAAGAAGAGGGAAGGCTAGGCCGAGATTTCCAGCCTGCGGTTGACCGTCGAGCGTACGAACGGGCGGCTCTTCACTCGTCCTTTTCCATCAACATCATCCAGCCGTCCTACACCCAGCCCAAAATCCTCAAACGTCGCCCGTCCAAGAGCACTGATTTGTCTTGCCCATGAGCGGACCAATGGGGGTGCGCAAATGTGCCTGTCAGGCCCGTCGTTAGCGCGAGCGGCTAGCGGGGTTGGCAAGAATTGCCACTAAATGGCGGCCGCGGCCTGGATGCGGTGTGAATTACGGTTAAATCCCTCTTGTGTCTTCTTGTCATTTTTCTTCTTCCATCCCTGCCTCGCATGCAGGTCAAGGCGGGCGGTCCTTTTCGCTGGGATTAAGCACACGGTGCACTCCGTGTTGACTGTAGAGTCTGCTGTTGGCGGGAATGGAGTCAAACGCTGGGTGCTTTGCTGCATTCTGGGCAGTTCATCAAGACCTTCGGAGTCAAACAAGGACGGCAAAGCGAATTCAGTTCGACCAATTTGAACTTTGGGTCTTCTAGGTGTATGAATGCAACGTAGCCAAGCTGATTGGCGTTGCACGGCATCCGTGACAAGACACCACAGATGCTGTGCAGCTTTTACCACAGACCTCGAGACTCTGTGCATCAGACAAAGGACGAACAGCAAATGTCACCAGCTCCGTCGTTTTGCGGATTCTACTCTGCATTTGGAGATGAACTGGTATGCGTGCAGCACATCTCCACAGTCACGTCCATCAGTCTTCGTTGGAGAGGCGGTGGTAAAGCCACGGTCAAGAACAAGGTCGCATTGACATCTGCACCAAGTAGTTCGTAGGCACAGCGGAAGGACGCCACCAGACGCGTACATGCATACGTTAACGCGGCGAACTTAGGGCCTGACAGATTCCCAAAGCAGGCCAATTTGCTGGCGGACAAAAATATCCCAAAGCGCTACACAACGGCTGTACCCTGCTGCAGATCTCAGAGCCTCCACTCTACCGCCAGACCAATGAGGCCCGGCTATGGCCAGCCATCCTATTTTTACAGCCTCTCAGAAGCGCTGCCCATGCACCGGTCCCCTGTCATTCACGATCCAGTTTCCATGCACCGCGATCTCATTAATCTTGGTAGACGCCAGCGGGCGGCTGTCATGAAGAAGGCAGAACATGATTATAATGCCTTGAAGCTCGAGCTGTTGCCGACAATCCACTCTTCTTTCTTCCAACCTTCCTCGTCTCTCTGGCTTGCTCCCAGGACCTCTGCTGAGCCGGAAAGGGATCATCACTAGGCTTACCCTACGCCTTGCTGCTTACCGACTAAGGATACAACCTTGACAACGGTTTCGCAAACTACGCCTTCGTGGCTGTCTCAGTCGAAGCACAGTACGAAGCAACCCGCTGAAAGGGTCCCGTTGAATCAAATCGAACACATTGACTGTGCTCCTTTTCAAAGTATACACACATATAAACACAACACCCATATTGCGGAAAGGAGCTTCACGAGAGACATTACCTCACTCTTCGCATTTGCTGCACTTCATCTCAGCAGCTGAAGAGCCTATTTGAAGATCTCTCTGTCCTCAAACTTTCCTTTGTCTTCTACTACAAGCACTACACCTTCAAACACATGCAAAAATGCTTTCAAGCATAATATTAGCCGCCCTGCCGCTTTTTGCGTCAGCTGCCCCATCTCCACAGCCTGACCTTTTCTCTTCACTGGCCAAGCGAGCAGACGTTCCGGCTGCCATTTCACAGTGTGATCTCTCCACAGTCAAGATGAACAGTACGTTGGATCACAGAAACACGACGAAAGAGATCACAGAACTGACTTGAAGGTATAGCTGAGGGTTTGCCTCCTCCATCAGCTGGTCTCGTGCTTGATCACATCGCCATCGGCCGTGGCACCCAAAACTACACCTGCAAAGACGACACCGACGCGTCCACGCCGACGCTTGTAGGTGCCCTAGCGACGCTCTTCAACGTCACCTGCATGGCTGGTCCTTACGCCTCACTGTTAGAGGTCTTGCCTTCAATTGCCGTCAAGTTTCCAGTCCCCGATCCCAACGCGGCACTCTCGCCCGCGAACCTCTTCTTGCTTGGCCATCACTACTTCACCAACATGACAACGCCGTTCTTCAATCTCAACACGGACAGCCACGAATGGGGTCTGATGGCTTGCTCGAAACTGAATTCCACAAACGCACCGAACAGCGCCGTAGACGTGACCAACCTCAAGCTTGCAGCTAAGAGCAGAGACGGTTGTACTGTTCAAGAAGTATACCGCCTAAACGCCGCAGGAGGTCAGCCGCCAGCGACTTGCAAGGGCATGGCCAGCTCGTTCCAGGTTGATTACGCAGCTGAGTACTGGTTCTGGAGCGACCCTAAGGGCCAGACCAAGACAGGCTCGTACAGTTAGAGGGGACAAATTTGTCACTTTCAATGAAAATATGATGTACTTTGTTTTTTCTTCACTCAGTATTCTTTTTTTTCTTTTGGCGAGCATTGCACCGGCGTCACAATGAGGAACGGAGTTTCATACGCGCTCCGAGGTGCTGTCTCTTATCGCCGCAACTTCTTTCATATTTTCTCGCACAGTCGACATGTTGAGGGGTTTTTTTGGTGTTGATTCGCCATGTCAGATTATGTACGAGCATAGCGCGGGTATCTTGATTGTCTCTCTGTAAAAATCTTTGGAGCCAAAGATGAAATGCCGTGTTCTCTAATCGCATGGCTCAGACACTATAATACAAACATTTCTATATCAATCCTGACAAGCCGGTTCTCATGCAGTTCGACCGAAGCTCCGGTCACGATTCTCCGAATCTCCGCAAAAGGACGACTGGAGAAGTTCAAAAGACAGCGCTTCCGAGCCGCTCGAGTGGGCCATGCGCATGTGTCAAGCGGGGAACCGGAGAGCTGCCTTGCATCCTTTTGACAGGGTGGCCTGTTCGATGCAATGACGTGAATTACGTGTTGCAGAATACGATTAAGGTCAGGCCTGCAACTCGACGTCGAAAGACCTTCCTTTATAGGCATTCGACGAAGAAGAAATTTGTTTAGTTTCTCGAGTGTCTTGTGTACATGGCGGCTGGCAGGCTCAATTTTCTGATCTGAGCCCAGCGCCTAGAAGAAAGTTTGCCTAGAACTTGGTCGAGATGGTGCGTGCAAAAACGCTGCATGGGGATCATGCATATTCCTACTTCCCTCATTTTCTCTGTTTTTACTTCTTTCTTTCTGAAAATTCGTTTTTTGCGTCGAAAGCGAAGTCGTTCCCGAGCTCGATCCTGCGGGTAAGAGCGAAGATTGCGTGGATGTCTTTCTGCGCCAATAGTTTGCATTGGGGCCTTTCGCATATGTTTGGGGTCTTTCGCATATGTTTGGGGTGTTGGCGCTACCTGATTACCACCTCGACTCGTGGTTGCTTGGTTCGAAGGAAACGCATAAATCGGAATTAGGCTTGGATGAAACCGATGATGCTGTCAATTCCATCTGTTGTCTCTTTGTCGACCGCTCCTTTTCCTTCCTAGGCCGTTCATTTCTTCGCCGTCTTCCACCTGATGAGGGGGCAGTTTCCGGGGCCAGTCGCGGGCTATATCTATCTTGTCTCTCGGAATCCAAAACTCGAGAAACACGAGCAACAGGTAGTCAACCACGACGCAGATACAAAACAATTTGCCAGCCCAGATGCCACAACCATAATACCTCTTCAACCGGTCAATGAGTGCGAAACCTCTCGTCCGAGAGGCTCCCCAACCAGCCGGGCTTTCTCCGTAAAACTCTTCCTCCGAGATGACGCCCGTGATGCCGTTGTACACGCGTTCTGTGCGCATGGCAACATTTGTCCAGGAGTACATGCTTTTGACCTCGTCATGAAATTTATCTGTGCGTAGCTTTCCTTCTCTGAGCTTTTGGATGGCTTTCGATGTCGCGGCCACGAGACTGTCGACATCGGGTTCTGCAAAGCCTGTCATCCGCGGCGGAAGCACCTCTGGGATGCCACCCACACGTGTCGTAACAACAAAAAGACCACAGCTTGCAGCTTCGACGATGACGGTGCCGAATGCCTCTGTCAAGCTTGGGTGCAAGTAGATGTGCCCTCGTACCATGACGTCGCGTACTTCCTCGTGGCGAACCGGACCCAGCAGAGAGACGCGGTCTTGCAAGACATGGGACTCAAGCATTTGCTCCAAATCTGTGGCTTTTGGTCCTGTTCCGGCTATGAGAAAATTGACATGTGGGTGCATCGAGCAAATGCGAGGTATTAACCCGATGAGCAGATCGGTGCCCTTGTTGTAAAAAAGCCTGGAGATGACCACAATGGTGATCGTCTCATTAGGTCCCAAAGCACGTGGAGTTGGCGAAGTAGGCCGTGAACCCGTCGAAAGTCGCGCACTCGTTCGTTTGTCTGCATTTGTACTTTCCGAGTAAGAAAGCGGCCTGAAGTTCTCGGCCACCACCGCGTTGGGAATGACGCTGACCATAAGCGGATCAAGCGATGCACGGAGAACAGTGTTTTCCTTGCATGTATGTGATACGCATATGACATGGTCGACGTCGCTGAGAATGAACTTGAGCAACTTGTTCGTAAGTATACTCGCGGCGTCTGCGAACCCAAACAACGAGTGATCCGTGAAGACTGTGCGCAAACCCATCGCTCGGGCATGCAATATGGCCTCGTGGCATAGATTCGAGAGAGAACCATGGCCGTGCACAATCTCAATGCGCTCCCGTATGACAATCGACCTGAAGACTGGGAAAAAAGAAAAGACCGTTGGGAACGTGGTCTCCCGATAAATGACAAAGAACGGAACGTGATAAACCTTCAATCCATTCGTCAGATACCTGATCCCCGTCCTGCCCTCGTAGGCATGAGTGATGATGATGACTTTGTGGCCACGATCGATGAGCTTTGTGGACAGCTGGTAGATATGCGATTCGATGCCACCTGGTTGGGGAAAGAAAAAATCGCTGACCATAGCGATGTTAAATGTCATCTTGGCAGTTTTCAAGACTTCCTCTGAACCCGCTTCCGGTCCGATGTATGAGCATGATGCTTGCGATGGCCGGGAATATGCTGGCCTGGCGTCGACGTTGTCGCTGAGGTTCAGGAGCTGCACGTGTCTGCGCTTAGGACGTGCGCTAAGACGATGTTGCAACTGCATCAGGGATCGCGGAGATGAGATTAGATTAGATTCGACGCCCGTACACTAGGTTTTTTTTCCCTCGAAGCTGCGCAGCACTTGATGCTCTCAGAACCGACTTCCGTGAAGGATAATGCGCGGAAATGCCTGCCCCGCTATATGCACGATATGTGCCACCCAAAAAGCCTGAGGCTCCTGTTGCTCAGCTCGAAGCTCCATCCCATCCTACTCCAGAGACGAGCATAGTTGAAAACTCACTTTACGCCCGCTATGTGCCACCCAAGAAAGCGAAACCTGCTGCGGCAGATGCGGTCACGACAAACCATGGCAACATTGCCACCAATGTGGAAGAATCAGAAAATCTGAAGGAACAAGAGGTTTCTCAGGGCAGGAAGCGGAAAAGAGACGAAGCGATAGCCACCGAGCTTGAGAAGAAAGCCAAATCAAAGAATAAGGAAAAGAAACACAAGACGAGGGCACTTCAGGTAGCACAAGAAGTTGTGGAAGATGCGTCAGAATCACATGACGCGGATAAAGGGCCCGTTACGGCCATCGTAGAGACGCACAGAGACAACCAGAGCATTGACGACTTGACGGCTCCTGAAGCGGATGATGTCAATGCGATCCTCGCCAAGTACAGCGTGACAGGGAGGGCGAATTACAGGGTGCAACATGAGAAAGAACAACATGAGGTTGGCTCTACGGGCGACGCTGAGAGCGATGATTACGATCCTGAAGCAGGTGCTCAGGCCGTCTTCGCAAAATATCGCAAAGCCCTCACCTTGTCGCAAAAGCGCCAGAAGAAAGAGGCCAAGGCAGAATCGGAGAGGGAGAAGAGCCCAGAGCCAGAACTGCACGATCTTGTACCGATTCCGCAGCCCGAAAAGGCTCCGCGAGCGCCTTACAAAGCTACATTCAGCTCCCTGCCGGAGTGGATAACGAATCCGAGAGCTGTGCAGTCAGACGTGACGTTGCCGTTCAGCGAGTTGAACCTGGGCGACAAAATAGCGGGAAATCTTTCCCGCAAGAAGTTCGCAAACGCTCTAGCTGTACAGGCTGCCGTGCTGCCTTTGCTGCTTCCTGGGCGAGACAAATATCGAGGGGACGTGTGTGTCTCCGCACCGACGGGCTCAGGTAAAACTCTTTCTTATGTTCTGCCCATGGTTGCAAGCATGCAGGAAAGAGCGATGACGCGTCTGCGCGGAATAATCGTCGTACCCACAAGAGAACTGGTCACACAAGCAAGAGAGGTAGCAGAAATGTGTGCGGCTGGAACCGGCGTCAAAATTGGCACTGCTGTAGGCAGCGTTGCACTTGCGACGGAACAGCAACAGCTTGTAAAAAGAGGCCAAAAATATGAACCCGAAGCACGAAAAGCCCTCGACGAAGAGGCTGACAGTAGAATCAACTTAGGGTTCGATAAGGACGACGATGTGCTTAAGGAGATTGTGGATCTGATGCCTGATCATGTCCCCGAGTACGATTCGGCGGTTGACATCCTCATCTGCACACCCGGACGTCTGGTGGACCACATACGATCTACAACTGGCTTCACTGTCAACTATGTCGAGTGGCTTGTTATCGATGAAGCCGATCGATTACTTGATTCGAATTTCCAGGACTGGGTTGATGTTGTCCTTCCTGCTCTGGAGCTCGGTGAACAGGACCCCAGGGCCATAGTCCTAGCCGCACGGAAGGAGAAAGCCATAGCGAAGGCGGTACGGAAAGTTATTTTAAGCGCAACAATGACACGGGACCTCAGCCAGCTAGCCAGTCTGAGACTCAACCGGCCGACTTTGGTAGCAATCGTTGAGCCGGAAAAGCCACAGACGGAGGAAGAGGAGAAGACGCAAAATGGACTGAGCGCTATGCTCCCTTCCACTCTCAAAGAGAGCGCCGTACCTGTCGGCGACGGCAGTGAGAAGCCGCTCTATTTGCTAAGGCTTCTTGAGCAGCGTTTGGAGATCTTTGCACAAGACTCAACAGCGACCGTGTTGGTGTTTTGTGCAAATGACGACAACGCAACGCGCCTAGCTCGACTTCTCTCGCTCCTTTCGCCGCCTCTGGCGTCACGGACGGCAGTGTTGACGAAGTCGGTAACAACGGCGTCACGGCGAAAGATTCTCCACTTATTTGGCAGAGCCGATGGCATTGCGATAGTTATCTCGACAGATCGATCATCGCGCGGCCTGGATGTCGAGAATCTGACTCACGTCGTCAATTATGACATTCCACCTTCAGTCACGTCCTATGTTCACAGAGTAGGTCGAACGGCTCGCGCAGGAAGATCTGGCGATGCATGGACATTGGTCACGGACACGGAAGCGAGGTGGTTCTGGAAGACGATCGCCAAGGGTGGCGAGATCAATCGCGCTGACAGAGCTGTGGAACGAGTTCGGTTGGGTGAAGCGGATGACGCTACGAAGGAGTCGTATCAAAATGCCCTGGAACAGCTCGAGGAAGCGGTAAAAGGCCGGTAGCATATTTTGAATCACAAATGAATTTGTACACTAGTCTTCTCAAAAGCAAAATCGTGAAGACATCGAAAGCATCTCAATCGATAATGGCACGTGATGTTCCCGCGACCCTTGGCTCGGTTCCGCGTTCGTGAAGGACGTAGCCGCGGCAACTTTATTAATCCGTACAGGAGCTTCTCGGGAATGAGTGACAACATCAAATACGACGGAATTGGTAGACAATATTTATTTTGAGCACGCTTTTTTTTACTGCCGTCTAACCGCCTTTTCGCTTATTTTTTTGGTTGTCCGTTCCATCAGTCTCAATTCGACTCGTTGATCGTGCTGCTTGTGACCGATCATTCGCCTACCAGCTCGCCCCTCTGACGCCGCCATCCGATCAGCAGCAAGCAAGATGAGTGGCCGCGCAGAAGCAGAGGCACAAGTTGCGCTTGAAGACTTCCCTAACATCTTCTCGCTCAAAGGCAAGGTCGCCGTCATCTCTGGCGGCTCCCGCGGGCTCGGCCTCCACTCGGCGTCCGGCCTGATGCAGTTCGGCGTCGCCAAAGTGTTCATCACGTCCCGCAAGGCCAAGGCGTGTGAAGAGGCGTGCGCGGCCCTGAATGCTCTGCCCAACAAGGCGCCGGGCGCCATAGCCATCCCCATCCCCGCAGACTCGAGCAAGGTGTCCGAGATCGAGCGACTGGTTGCGGAGGTCAAGAAGCATACCGACCATGTGGACATTCTGTTCGCAAATGCGGGCGCCACTTGGGGAAGCTTGTTCGACGAGCATCCGCCAGAAGGATTCAGCAAGGTTATGGACTTGAATGTCAAGAGCGTGTTCTTCACCATCCAAAAGCATGTCTCGTCCCTCCGAGCGTTCACGCTCACGTGCTCGCCGCCAGAGGCTAACGTGCTCTGACACAGGTTCGCTCCTCTCCTGCAAGCCCGCGCGACAAAGGAAGACCCGTCTCGGGTGATCGTGACCGGCTCCGTCGCCGGCATTGGACTCGGACCGGTCCTGACCGCAAACGCAGCGCCCGCTTACAGCGCCTCCAAAGCTGCCGTCCTTCACCTCGCCAGAAACCTGGCCGTCGAACTCGGTCCCAGGCATATTCTCGTCAACGGCCTGGCGCCAGGATTCTTCCCCTCGAAAATGGCGGACGGCATCATCGGCGCTGGCGGAGGCGTCGAAAAGCTGGCGAAGCAGAGCCCGAACGGCAGGCTGGGCAAGCCTGAGGACATTGCTGCCGCAGTCGTGTATCTTTGCAGCAGAGGCGCTGGCCACGTCAATGGCGACACGATTGTTTTAGATGGTGGTAAAATGCTTGCCGGCGCACAATTGTAATCAAGCTTTATAGAATGTCCAGCGTGATACACTATGTTGTTGTAACGGCTTGGTGCCTTCCTCTGAATGGCCAAAGAGAATTTCAAAAAATGTGATGTTCCCTTTTTATTAATAAAAAACCATCAAGTCTATTACCTTCCAATATACATAGCTTCTCGATAATAAAAAAAAAATGGGGAGTAACTACGGAACTGACAAAACGTTTGGACTAGTGCTGACGCTCGTGGCTGTCGACGTTTCCACATCCCATTCGACCTCGACAAACGCAATCGTTCTTGGCTTTTGTCTCTCCATTCAGCCATGTCTGCATCCGCCCCCAGCAAAATTCTCCGCTTGGTAAGCATCCTTTGCCCATTTTGGCTCTGCAAGCTGGGCAGAATGTGATATGAACTTTGCCATCGCCCGGACTCGTTGCGGCTCAAACGGTTCGATCTTCTTCTCGTGCCTATCGACGATGTCTTCCGCAGACGAGACTTCACCGTTGAGCCAGGGCATGTTGACGTCTGGCCTAGTGCTGAGGATCATTGGTGTGATCTGCGCGCATTACGTTCTTTGGTTCTTGTACAGACTGTACGTGGTGCGCTCTCTCTTTAGAAGCGTCGCAAGGGACTATGGAGTCGTATGTGTGCTCTGTGTAGCTCGTCAAAGCCGTCCTCAGATTGACTTGAAACCAGCCAATCCTTCCACACTCCTTCTTGATGGGTCATCTGATCGAAGTTGGAAAGCTCGTTCAGAGCCTTCCGCCCAACACGTCGGGCATGTACTTCCCCCTCATGTTTGCTCGAAAGTACCCCGAGATGTTCAAAGAAGGGGTCGTGTACCTCGACACCTGGCCCTTCGGTCCGCCCATGATGGCAGTCATCCATCCCGACATGATGGCGCAATTCACCCAGGAGAAGTCCATGCCCAAGTACGAACTGATGAAGTGGGAATTCGCTCCTCTGACCGGACTCAACGACCTGGTGAATCAGGAAGGCCAGGTGTGGAAGATGTGGCGCGGCATCTTCAATCCTGGCTTCTCGCTGAGGAACATTCTGTCCTTTGTGCCCGAGATCATCGAGGAGGTGGAAGTCTTTAAGGAACGGCTGAGAGAGCTGGCAGCCAGCGGCGGCGCCGTCGCCGAATTCGAGCAGCCCGCCATGAAGCTGACGATGGACGTGATAGGGAGGGTGACGCTGTGTGTGTTCCGTTTTTCGTGCTGAGCAACGGTCTCAACACCGGCTGACATTTGTCCAGAAACACCAGGATGTGTGTCCAGACGACGAACAATCCCATGTATGATTCCCTGAGAGCCCTCCTCAAGTGGCTCATCACCGACCATAGTCCCGCCAACATGCTCAAGGCGATCAATCCTGCCCGACCACTCATCATCTGGTACCACAACCGCGTGATGAACAATTACTTGAAACCCTTCATCCAGCAAGCCATGTCCAGCAGCACCAGCGGCTCTGAAAACCGCAAGACAATCGTCAGCCTCGCAGCCAAGGCGTTCAGGGACGCGAAAAAGGCCTCGGCGGCCGCCACCGCCGAAAACGAAGACAAGGACGACGACGACGACGGTGTCGCCTTTCTCGACATGGCCATCTCCCAAATGAAGATGTTCCTCTTCGCCGGGCACGAGACCACCGCGGTGACGCTCAACTATGCTTACCACCTCCTGCACAGCAACCCGGACGCGCTGCGCAGGATCCGAGCGGAGCACGACGAGGTGTTGGGGCCGAACCGAGACCGCGCCGCCGAGAGGCTGGTGGAGAAGCCGCAGCTGCTCAACGCCTTGCCGTACACGTCGGCCGTCATCAAGGAGACGCTGCGGCTGTACGCGCCCGTCGGCAGCATCCGGCAGGGCAGCAAGGACCTGGTCCTCACCCACCCGGAGACGGGCAGGCGGTACCCGACCGACGGCTTCATGCTGTACAGCAACTCGATGGGCTCGCACCGGTGGGGGGCGAACTGCGGCGACCCGGACGCCTTCCGGCCGGACCGCTGGCTCGCCGACGCGCCGCCCATGCGCAGGCACGCCTACCGCCCCTTCGAGCTGGGCCCCAGGAACTGCATCGGCCAGGAGCTCGCCCAGCTCGAGCTGCGGACGATCCTGGCGCTGACGCTGAGGGACTTCGACGTCGAGACCGCCCTCGACCCGGACGGGCCCTCGGTGTTCGGCGACGTGTGCTACCAGTCCTTCACGTCCAACGACCAGACCGGCAAGCCCGTGGGCGGCGCGCCTTTCCGCGTCAGGCTGCGAAGATGACGGGCTGGGCCTTTGAGCAGCACGCGTGCCGGAGGCGGTTCGATCCTGCACGTTCGCGAGCTGGCCGGCCGGTCCGAGAAAGAGTTATCAAGAAGGCTGGATCTCCTACTGCTTGCCGATTGGTAGGTCTGTTGATAGCGTACGTTCCTCCTCTGGAATAATAGAAAAGGGACGTGTCGACGCCGCCGCCGCCATCGTCGTCTTGCGACCACTTGCTGTTTCTGTTCTTTCACGTCGTACAGAGGGGGGAAAGGGGGGTTATAAAATCGTCCAACAATTGGCCAGGTCCTCCTGACTGGCGACGCATGTGCTCAAGGGGGCCGAAGTCTGATCTTACAAAGGGGGCTTTCTTTTTCATTTTGATTCCGAATAGCTTCATGTACCGTCTAGTTTTCCGCTATCCTGGCCTCGGACGCAGCGTCGAAACCCTACAAGAAAACAGTTTCCCGCAGGTGTTAAAAAAAAAAAGGAAACCCAACGTACACACACAATCTTAAGTACATTATAACATATGATCCGAACCAAGCTCGCTGCGCCCTCCGAGTCAGACCCAGAACAAAATGAAAGAAAAAAAAAAAAACAAATTGAATGCAATGTATGCCTTTGAGAAAAAAGAAAAAAGAGAATGCCGTGGGAACTCGATTATACAGCGCTGTATCCACCCCGTGACCCGCCACCTTGTATTGTGTTGGTGACCTTGCGTCCAAAGTCCGACATGATGTAGGGCAGATCGCGGATGGTGTCGCCGTGAGGAAGAGCGTCCCAGCCACGTGCACCGTAGCGATTGTAGTTGAGCCAGGAACCGAAGATGAGATATGCTGCTGTCGCGAGGAAGACGCTGCAAAGACGGGCCCTGTAATTAGCGACACGTACACGAAAGAGTTCCGTAGGCATGCGAGAGAAAAAAAAGGGGGGGAGGAGGAAAGGACGATTACTCACATGATGATCAGCCAAGTGAAAAAGCCCCAGTGGCCGTCGCCTTCCTTGGGCTCGTTGACGGCGTTCTCACACGCGTACTTTGTGCTCCACTCCAACCTCAGCACGCCCCAGTCCTCGCCCCTGATGTTTTCGTCCTTGTAGCTCAGGAAGCGCAGGCTCTTCTGCTTCGCGTCCGGCTTCTCCTCCGGCGCCTCCTCGTCGCGTCGTCGCAGCGTCGATTCCTCCTTCTCGTCCCCGTCCTCCTCCGGCCGATCGTCCACCTCCGTGTCCTTTCCGTCCGTGCTTGGGTCGCACAGGAACTCGATCACGGCCTTCTGCTTCTTGCCCATCTTCTTGTTCCCCTTCTCGTCCGTCAGCTGCTCCCGGCCGCCGCTTAGCTCGACCCGCACGCCCTCCTTGTTCGAGTCGGCGTTCGAGCCCGATCCCTTTAACCGGTAGACCTCGCTCTCCAGCGGCTGCCCGTTGATCAAGTGATAGTCTCCCGCAATGGGGACAACCTGTGAGACGGCGGTGACGTTGTCGTAGTTGTTCGTCACGTACTCGACACCGCATACTGCACGAAGAGAATCAAACGTAGGTTAGCCTCTTGCACCGACACGCGCTGCAGATCCTCCCGGCACGGACACGGCCCGCACGGCAAGGGAGGAGAGTTTCTCAGGATGTGAGGAAAAAGGCCATGCGCTCACCTCTGGTGTTGCCGGGACACAGCTCATGCGGATCCTGGCCCTTGTGCTTCCTCAACGGCTTGCAGATGTCCAGCGTGAAGGTGAAATTGTGCGTGGCCGGCTCGATCTCCCTGACCCAGTGCACCATACGAGGACCGCCTAGCTCGCTCAGATCCCAGGTCACCCGCTGCGAGACGACGTCCTTGCAGTTGAAGTTGAGCGTTGCGGCGGCAAGCGACGCCAGCAACGACGACGCCGCGAGCAGCCGATGCGCCGGCGAGAGCGACCTCGTCATCGTTCGGTCTGTGTGCGAAGATACAAAAACAGAAAAGGCGCGGGCGGCGTGGCGGCCCTACGAAAGCGTGCCTCGCGGAGGCGTGTGGGTAAAGCGGGTTTGCGAGATGGGAAGAGGAGGATCAGATACGGGCCTTTGGATGTCCCGGAGGGTGGAGGGTTTCCGCTCCTCCAAAGCAGAGTGCCACAAGCACGGAAAGCTCGCAACAGGCTTCGAAGGGTGCTAGGAGAGAAGTGTTCGACACGCGGAATAAGGAGTGACGGCGAAGAGAAGAAAAATAAAAGTTCGAAGTTGGCTTGTTGAGGTATGTCGGGCGGTGCAAGAAGAAGGCAGACGTGATTTTAAGCAAATCTCCAGCAGATGACGCTGGTCTCGGAGAACAAAACGACATCATCCCAAAGCAGCTCGGCGCCGCGGCCCGTGCATACGAACGCGAAAAGGTACGATGGTTACGGGGCACGTGACCTCGTACCTTACCCCAGGAAATTCCAATGATAAATCGCGTGCACCGAACAGTGAAAACAGGAGCCCTTTGGTCTTGGCATCTTCTGGTCTAAAATATATGTCATGGGATTGAATTGTAAAATTAAAGAAAAAAAAGGGGGGGAAGGGAAAGAAAAAACGTCACATTTCCAGCACCTCCTCTCCGACACCACCGCTCTAATTGCAGAAGGCTGTGACAACCAGCCTTCTTTCCCATTTTTATACCCCTCACTCTTCCAGAGTTCACCACCACAAAGCCTCCATAGACCCCAGACAAGACATGAGAAAGGAAAAAGAAAAAAAAAAGCTGGAAAGAAAAAACGCCACCCAAAGATCCCAGAGCAGAGGAAAACCGGAGCCTTCTTTCAGATGCTATTTATACACGTGGGCAGTGTTGATGGTGAATGTGATTAAAAACCGAACAGTGGTCGAAGTCGCTTTGGTTGGGGGCCAAGGGAAAGGGGAATGGGGGAATCTTCGTGCAAGGGCAAAATGTGATGGAAGTGATTTGCAAGACCAAAAAAAAAGAAAGGCGAAAAAAAAGGGTCCCATCTCCCGTCTATGCTGTTCATATTGCGTGTTGCGTACTGTGCTAGTGCTGTTTGCTGAGTGTGGGGTTGCTCCGGTGTTACGTATCCGGATACGTGTGTGCCTCGCGTTAACGTGCTGGGGCGTTGTGATCCAGGTGAGAGGAGCGTAGCGAAGAGCTTTGCGGGTTGGGGACGGATGCCGTGCCTCTCCGGCGGCGGCAATATCAAGACGCGGGTGCGGTGAAGGTGCTATGAGGCGTGAAGGCGTGCGGCATCGAGCGGGACGAGTGGGCGGTGGCGGCGACGATCGGGGCTCAGGCGGCGGCGAGGGACGGTTCGGGGCGGTTCGGAGTCAACGCGCATGACGACGCAGGTTCGATCCAGGTCGGCCAGTGCGACAATCGAGTTGGTCGGCGGCGATGTACGGCGAGGGAGGCTAGGTGCGTCGTATAGCTTGGTGGACCAGAAACTGTTCAGTCGACCGAGAAATCTTCCGTTCGGCCAAGCTCGATAGACTGTGCTTTCATCCCTGTGTATGAGTGTCCACGCTAGCAAAGGCTAGCAATATTGACGGAGGGGTGGGGGAACTGGAGTGCGCAAAAAGGGTTTCTTAAGACATGGTGCCCGAAACCCCGCCTGTTGTGGATTAAAAAGAAAACGCTGGTCAGTAGATGATGCTTGACGATTGGGTGGATTTGGTGTGGTTGAGAAGAGTTGAAGCCGAGAGACTGCTCCCCTTTAGAAGAGCATGTCGACGTCGCCTTGAAGGAAAGATGACCCGTCCCTGAGATTGCGAGCGGAATACAAGGGGTGTGGTCGATAGTACTGGAGAAAGCTGTTCAACCTACCAATCTGTCGCTTGATCTGATCCTTCGCCCAACGAGCGGTCTGGATCGTGCGGTCACTGTACTCGCGGTTGAGGCGCACCTCCTTCACCATGAGCGTGAGCCAGTCTTCACGGAATCGGTTTGCAAGCTGGCCATTCGGGAAGGCCTCGGAGAGATCGCTGTCGCAAATGTCAGTGCTTATACTGCGCAAGAGCAGAAAACGAGCTTGGACATACCCGATGACGCCCATCGCACTCCTCATGAGAGGCTCGCTTCGGTTCTGATCTTGCCACACGGTCTTCAGCAGCGCGAAGATCGGCTCTACATACTGCTCAAGCAGCGCTACTTTGCCACCAACCTTCATCGCGACCACGATGCCGTCCCACGCGTCCATGATGCCCTCGCGCAACGAGATGACATAGTCCAGCATCTCAAAGGACGACGAACCTCCGAGACTGACACCCGCCGCCTGGCTGAGGACGGAGGCGACGACGGACAGATAGGTTTCGAAGGCACCGCCGATAGCCTGCGCGATGTCGCCGAAGCACTGCAGAATGGCGGGTTTGAAAGTGTTGCCCAGCGTCTGGGAGCCGAGCGCGTGGAGCAGTCGGTTCATGAAGTCGTCGCAGTACGGTTGCACCTTCTCGTTGAGGGCACGAGTGATGTCGGACACGAGGCCGATGGCCATGGAGCACAAGCTGGGCTCCTCTTGGTTTTCGAGAGCCTTGTACAGGAAGGGGGCAAAGGCATCCATGTAGGGCAGGAAGCTTTCTTCAAGGGAGTTCGCAAGCGCACCCACGGCCGAGAGGACCGCGTCTGGAACGCTTGACTTGGGCCCGGCGGAGTTGAGCAGAGCGAGGCAGTTCTGCATGATGCGGTCTGCTTGGGGTCGAATCTCGACCTCGAGGCGCTGGATGATGGCGATGACAACGCTGATCAAGCTGGTCTGCATCTCCTCGAGCGTTAGCCTGTCCTCGACGCTGACGACCTGGGACTGCATGGGGATCGTCTTCTCGAGTCGGTTGAGGATCTCGTCCGAGCATTGAGCGACCAGAGGCAAGCTGTCGCCAGCCGAATTTGTAATAAACGAGTTGAGCACCTCGTACGCGGCCGTGCGAAGCGACGCGTCCGCATCTGGACGGGCAGTGACCTGCATAAGCGCGGCAACGCTAGCCTGGAAGTGTGGGGTGAGAGCGTTCTCCTGCGAGCCTGGCTCGCCGGCAAAGCGCTCGGCGAGGTTCATCAGTGCCCAGCAGCAAGACGCCGCCATCTTCGGATGGCTGGCGAGACCGTTGAACAGGGCGGTGATGAGTGGTTGCAGCTGAGCAGCAGGCTCGATGGCCTCGGGACAGCACTCGCACGCTCGTCCCAACGCATAGGCGGCCGAGTCCTTGACTTGGATGACGGGGTCGTCCATCATGGCAATGAGAATGGGAAGAGCCTGCTTGATGATGGGCTCGAGCATCTTCTCCTCGGGGCCTTCGAGAATAGCGCCAAATGCCGAGACGGCAGCGTCACGGTGGTGCCAGTCCTCGGCGCGCAGGAACTTCTCCACATACTGCAGCACTGGGGCGATGATCACGTTGCCCACGGTCTGGGCCCATAGGGACAGACACTGGTAGGCAGCGCGCGAGATGTTGTACTCGTCGTCCGCGGCGTCCTCGTCCTGCTTGGCCAGCAGCTCCAGCAGGACCGGCACGACCTCGCCCGTCGCGATTCGCGCAAAGTTCCAGTACTCCCGCAGCTCGGTCGAGCCCTCGGCTTGTGCCTGCGAGATCAGTCAGCTTCCCCACGCCGTCTTCTCCAGCTCGGCAAGCTTTGATCAGAAAAGGTTCGCGTACCTGTGTGTTGTCATCCTCGATCGAGATCTCCTCTTCACAAACGGTGCACCAGAATTCGACGGCGAGCTTGGCGACGTCCTCCTCTTCGCTGCGCATGCCCTGCACCGTCAAGCCAAAGAGAGCCTTCTCCATGTAGAACTTCATCTTGTCGTAGTACAGGCCCATGATACGGTTCAAGCAGCCGTAGGCGCCCTGTTGCACCCGCGTGTCCGAGGCCTGGGTGGCCTCGCAGATGACCTGCATGATGTAGTTGCGTTCGCCCTCGTTCTCAAAGTTGGACCGCACAAACTCCAGCGAGTCGCTCAGCGCGGTGATGGCGGCGTCCCGCACGTCGTTGTTCGGCTCCTCCTTCCGGGCACCCTGAATGACGGCGGTGAGGATGGCGTTGGAGTGGTGCTGCAGGCTCTCGCGCAGATCGACGTCGTCCGTCTCGCAGATGAATCCTATCGCCGTCAGAGACGCCTGCTTCTGCTTGTCCGCGCCCGTGCCCACGTTCTCGACCAGCGTCTGCATCAGCTCCGGCCACTGATTCCGCGGCACCTCGATGGCCGCGATGGCGGCCACGAACTGAGCGGCGGTCCTGCCCACGGCCGAGTTCTCGGACGCCAGGGCCTTGAGCGCGAGCAGCTTCACATTTTGCCTGACGTTGGGGTCGACCTGCGAAAGCCACTGCTCCTGCACTTGCCGCAACCGGCCTACCTCTCGGGCTGTGAACGAGTTTTTGAGAGCCAGACCGGCGGCCTGGCGGATCGTAGGGCTCGCCTGCTCGTTGGCGAGCTCATTGGAGAGATGTGTGAGATATCCGGACTGCACAGCAAAGGCGCACTCGCCATCAGCACACGCACGCGAGTTTTTTTTTATTTTTTTTAAGGAGAGAACGGGGCAGAGCCGACGGAGTGCAGGACCAGAATGTCCTCAGGACCGGACAGACTGGTCCGGCCAACAGACCGTACGCAGAAGGGGACGACACTCACAAAATCCTGTTCGGCAGCTTGGGTGAGCTGCAGTTCTGCGTTCTTTCGAATTTCGTCATCTGGTCGCCGGGTCAGCCCTACTGCAAGAAAAGTTGGGAGGGGTGTGAGTAAACAAACTCGGCGAGAGCGTGGCCTCAAGCACCGCGTTGACGTCCATGGTCACGGCGGCGATCGAGAGGGAGGAAGGGAGGTGGTTGTGGTTGTGATTCGGTGCTGTCTGAAGCAGCAAGGGAATTTGCGTGCTTTTTTGGTGTACTGGAGAAAGGCCAGGCCGGGGGGGGGAGGGTCGTGGTATGGTGGGTTTCGGTGTGGCAGCGAGGAACGCAAGCAGCAGACGGGCAGAGCGCTTGCGGGTGTACTCAGACACAGACACGCACGCACACACACACACACTCTCTCTCTCTCTCTCTCTTTCTGCGTCTCTCTCGCTCTACACGCAACACGCACACGCACAGAGACGGACACGCACACTCACGCATACACGCACACCGGCACCCACTCTCTCTCACGCACACACGCACCCGCGCTCTCGTCAAACTCAGGCCAACTAAGCCGTAGCCCGTCAGCGACAGTGGGTACTCGCGGGGCACGTGACTGCGCCAACGACAGCTGGCCTTTGTCCGAGCCTTGGGAGCGCCGGGGACGGTCTTGGGGGGCCTGCGACGCGGTGCAGCGGCGGGGGGTCCAAGTCGGGAACAACGCGAAGAAAGAGGGAGAAAAAAAACACCACAGGGCGAAGCGTTGTGGTAAGCGGATCGAAGGGAGAGAGGAGACAAGAAAAGCTCAGATCTGTCCGACAGGATGCTGCGAAATGACCGAGACGACAGACGGGGGGCGGACGGGCAAACAGGCGAGCAGAGAGGGCGAAACGGCGGTTTTGTCGGTCTTTCCAGCCTGGAGCGAACAGAGTGTATGAGTGGTGGAGCCTTCTGGCTGCTTTCTGCTTCAGCGCCGCGACGCTGCCAGGCCGGTGATTGGCCTGCGCGCCGTCTGAGTTACTCCTTTTTTCTCCTCGATTCCGGCGACGATCACGTCCGCACGTGCCGGGCATCCCTCACCAGCGTCTCGTTCACCGGGCCGTCCTCAGTCTCGAGCGAGTGAATGGCCGGAAGAGGCAGAAAAGACACGCAAACGGCACGGGGGAAGGAGTAGCAACCCCCCAAAAAAAGGGTGCGGCAGTAGGACACTCTAATGGTTTCTGGTCTGCAAGCTCTATGTACAAAGCCGTGCTGGTCCACGCTCATCTTCCCCCCCAAAACCGTACGCATTGGCCGGACTGGGGAGGTGAGGGGAGGAGGCGAGACAAAAAAAGGCAGAAAAAAATTAAAAAAAAAAAAACGAAAAAAAATACGAAGAGGAAAAAGTAGCAAGAGCCCCATGGGCACACTGCCGACCGTTGTGTCCTCCAAATGCACCGCCGGTATCTCAGACCACCCACAGCCAGAGAGAGAGAGAGAGAGAGAGAGAGAGGGAGGGAGAGAGGGAGAGGGAAGGGGCAAAAACAAAGGGGGGAAGGAGAACGTGCGTATGCATGTGTGTGATGTGTGTGTTTGTTTGCGTGTGTGTGTGTGTGAGAGAGAGAGTGAGAAAGAGAGAGAGAGAGAGAGAGAGAGAGAGAACGAGACAGTTGTGCCCAGAAGGACCACGACGGAGTTGGAGCCCTCCGCACGGGCGTGCAGCACGCCTCATCGGAGCCTGGTCCTCGGATCCTGCGCCTCCTGTCTCCTGAACTCCCTCATCTCCTTCGTCCCCAGACTGCCCAGGCCGCCCTCGCTGCGCCGCTCCCAGCCGCCCATGCGCACGACCATGCACGTGGCGTTGTCGCCCTCGGTGCTGACCTCCGTCGCGAAGCTGACGACGTCCTTGGCGCCCTGCTCGGGCGTCTTCGCCTCCTTGACGATGTCGACAATCTCCTGGTCGCCCAGCGTGCCGGAGATGCCGTCCGACACCAGCACCATGAACGCGTACTCGGCCGGCGCCATCTCGATGCGCGTGATCTCCGGCTCGGCCGACACGCCGATGCGCTTCGACGCCATGTCGCCAAACGAGCGCGTGTTGGCCAGCCCGGCCACGCGCTCCTCGCCGAACGAGTCGGTGACGAACGTGGCCGCGTACCGCCGCATCCGCTCCGCTTCCTTCGGGTGGTTCGGGTGGTGGTTCGACGTCGTCGGCACCGCCAGCCCCGTCGCCGTCTCGCACAGCAGGATCCGCGTGTCGCCCACGTGAGACGTGATCAGCGTCGCCGGCGAGGCGGGGTGCCAGTACGGCATCGGCGTCGGCGTCGAGATGAGCGCGACGCTGCACGTGCTGCCGCCCTTGAAGCGTTTGGGCCCGCCAATCTGCCTGCTCAGCCGCGACGGCTTGCCCAGGATCTCGTGCTGGTTGATGGCCCCGTCCGCCTTGACCGCGTCCGACTCGTCCTTGCTCACCTGCGCGTAGACGAACTCGTAGTCGGCGCGCAGGAACGAGTACTCCAGCACCGTCTCGATGCCGACGCCCCGGCAGCCCTCGTCCCTCTGGGCCCTGTCGAGCGGCTTGTTGCCCACCGCCTCCTTCTCCAGCACGTGGCCTTGCCCGCCCGCGTTGACGGAGAAGAACTCGGGCTTGAAGCGGCGAAAGTAGCCCCCCACAAGTTCCTTCCACTGTTTCATGATCTGCCGCTCGAGCTCCTCCGCCTTCTTCTGATCGCTGCACTGAACCGCCGGTGCCTTGTCGTCCTCCGGAGGCTCCGTCCTCCCGCCCGTCCCGTCCCCCTTCGTGACCGCGCTCGCCAGAGCCTTGTTGTTGTCCGCCCGTGCTGCTGTGTTCGACCCGTCCTTGGCGTCCTCCAGGCTCGACTGCCCAAACCTGGTGATCTCGCCCTTCTTCCTCCGAAGCGTGGTCTTGAGCCCAAACTCCTTCGCCCCCTCCTCGATGAACCTGTGCAGGTTGTCCCGCAGATACTCGCTGCACTCGCTGCCGCCGTGCCCATCGAAGACGCCAAAGTAGAAGACCTGCGGGTCGCCCGACGCGCTGTCGCCCCCGACGGCGTCCTTCTTCGGGTTGCGCTGCAGAGAGAGCGGCTGTCGTTTCGCAAACGCCGGTATCTCGATCGTCCCGGCCTGGTAGGCGTCCTCGTTGTACGGCCGCTGTCCTCTGGACCACGACGCCCCGAAGTGGTGCTTTGCACTCTTCAGCGGTATGCGCACCACCGTCATGTCCCGCGACACGCCCACCATGGGCGGCTGCGCGGGCGTCCTGTTCGCATCCTTGGGGTCGTGCGGACTCGCCTCGTGTCTGGGAAGCTTATGCGACGGGCCGCCAGCCGATCTCGAATCCGGGTGCAGACTCGACGAGGGCAGGTGCGTGACGAAGTAGTCGTGGAACGGTCTGGCCGTCGTCGTCGTCGTTGTGGTCGTGGTCGTCGTCGTGGCCGGGTTCCATGCTATCGGCCGCGGGGCAGCCAAAGGGCGAGGGCGGCGACGGGTCCTGGCGATACTGCGGCGTAAGGGTGGCTTCCACATGCTTGGGAGAGATGCATGGTGCTGCTCCCTATCTAGCAACTACACTCGCACAGTGAGGCATGAAACGCGCGTTGGGGAGAGTGGCAATGGCTGGTTCGCTGTGCGTTGTCCCGTCAGCGACGGCGGTGCTTTGGCCCGGCAATAATGCGGGTGAGGGCTTCCGAATCGCGAAGAAAAAAAAAAGGGAAAAGGAAAACACCCCAATCAGTCATTCGTGGGCTCCTCCATCGCTGGGCGCTGAACGTCAGCTTGTCCAGCGTGCCGTGAACGTGACAAGTTCGCACGCGTCCCAGCCTGTGGATTTCTCATTCTACGATGGCAGAAAGCAGCTGGAGAGAAGAAAAAAATATATATATACATATAAATAAATAAATCACTGAGTGTCCACAGATCGAAGCTCGCCTGAGGTCCCGGTTCGGCCTGATTGCCACAGCGATCATCGTTTAGCAACGCGCAGGGAGAACACGTACCGCTCGCGCAACAAGCCGTATCCTGCGTCCTGCGACAGCCGTCGATTGCAGTTGCTCTCGCCCGCCGCCAGAGCGCATGTCTCTCCCAAGTCATGCGCACCCAGCGACGCTTCATTATCCTCCACGGCCGGTCCCCTTCTCCTCTAGGGCCGTTTACCTCTTCACCGATGTCAAGCTTTGACGAGATCGCTCGAGGTCAGCCTCGCCAAACGAAAAGTCCCTGCAGGCGCTGTTGCGCTCACGAAGCAGCCCAACCCTCTCTTTTCCCATCCATCTAGCCACTTTTGTCTCTTGTTCGCAGTCGGAATTCCGGTCTGACGCATTTTCTTCGGGTCCAGGGACCCTCTTTGGTCGTCTTCAGCGTCCAATCCTGTTGCTCGGAGAATCTTCGGCCGTGCAGAACCACCAAGGAAACTCAAGGCCCGAACGTGATATCGCACCATGGGCGGTGGGCAGCGTGCGTCCCTTGCTTGGCGAGATGGTGGAAGGGGAGAAGAGAGGAAGAAGATTGGTGTCTGAGATAGTGCAGGAGTCGAGGAAACACGAATGGAGCATAGCAAAAGACGTGAGGCATAAAATGCGCTTCTCTTTATATCTCGTCTTCCTCTCTCCACTCCCCGCCCATCCCCTCCATCTCACTTCTCTTCACAGCCTTCCAATCAAGCCTCACAAAATATATATATATACATCTATATAAAACACCATACTTCCACATACTCTTCCCCTTCTTACGATCCAAGCCTTGGCGCTGTTGCCGGAAAGAGACCACCCATCGTGAACCACCGTCATCCCCACCTTCGCCCACCATGTTGGCCCAGCCTACCAACGAAACCACAAAGCAGCCTTCCACCTGGCAGCGCATCAAGGACGTCTACGTCCGCGACATCAAGCCCTGCCTGCCGGCCAAAACCCATCTCGACGAGGAGTACAACTTCACCTCCGGCCTGAGGAGGGGCCAGCTGCCCGAACACCTCGAGTCGCCCTCAAGTTCCCGTGCGAGCTCGAGAAGGCCAAGTACGAATTGAAAAGGGGGTACGCCAGCCGCAGCCCCTGCTGCATCTGTCTCTTCTGGACGTGTCGAGTGTGACGAGGACGGCGTCGGCGTTCTGGAAAATGACAGCGGTTGGATCGAAGAATGAACTCTTCCCTCTTTTTTGAAGCGGCGCAGTGCAGTGGGAGAGAGCATAAACCCGGGATTTTATAGTCTTTTTTCCCCCTGGAGCGAGGCGTCTCCTTTTTTTTTTTTTTTTTTCTTCTTATTCTCTCACCTTCTAGTTTGAAATGAATCAGGTTGTCGATCAGCTACATGTTCTCCGAGAGCAAAATCCTCGAGTCTTTTGTATCTTGCGTGAGCTCGCGCTGCTGTTTTGCGACAAAGTCTCGTTACCTACTGTATGTGTGTCGGCGCCGTCGAAACCTCGTACCCCATCGAAGAGTTTGCGGACCTCCCAGCACCCAGCTCGATGTACAGTAGTCAGATGCACACTTCACTCTGCCTCTTTTCTCTGCATTCTGCCCTGACAAAAATGACCAACCGATTGGCCTATACTCGCTACGTTAACTCGGTTTATCTAAAAACACGATGGGAAACGGAAAATGGCACAAGCGGATCAGGATCAAAGTTCATATGGACTGGTTATCCTTCATGTCGTTTTACCTCATGCCATTTCGTAGTTACAAATAACAACAGGACAACCGACGGTTGGTGCGGCATCAGCGTTGTGCCCGTTCGAGCCCCCCTTTCATTAGAAGCCGCTACCTTGTACACCCGCACCAAAATGCTCCAGAGACATCGTGAAGGTAGCAGCGGTGAGTTGTACGTACGATCATGGACGCTTGCATACATACGGTAGGGTGTATCTGTCTATGATGCAGCAGTAGGAGCTTTCTCCCTCTTAAAAAGCAACCCACCAAAAAAAAACTCCACTAATTTTGTTGTTTTGCAGTGTGTGTGCCTTCTCCCCTTCCCTCAGTCGTGAAAAGGTTTCGCAGATTTCGGCTTCGCTGGCATGATAGAGCAGAAGGAGGTATATGGCATGTCATGAAATGCTCAAATGCAATGTTCATTTACTTCCCGGACCCAACACGTTACCGGTTTGGGGAGTGCGTAGTAGAAAGGCTGAGAGCTGGGCCTCTCGACGACGTTTTGTACAATGTAGAGTCCAATCGTCATCATCAGCATCATCTGTAAGCAGTCGATGAACTCGAAGCACCGTTGGCTCGTGCATTACTCTCGGCCTGGGCAGCCATCCGCTTCGCAAGTTTCTGCTCTCGAATGCGAGCAGCCTCCGTGCCGTCATCCTGCAGCGTCTCCTTGAACCAGGGATGCTTGAGCGCCTGCTTCGCTGAGATGCGCTTTGCCGGATTATACACGAAGATCTTACGAAGCAAGTCCAGGAACTGTCTGTTAAACTCATTGTGTGGCGTGATGGTTTCCTGAGAGTAAGGAATCAGCTTCTGTTCACTTTCGAGACGGTGCTGCTGGGCTTGTGTTGACGAGATTCACTTACCTCTAGCCGCTTCATAGCGCGGACGTACTTGCGAGACGCCTTTGCAGTTTCGTGATTCGGGTAATCAAGCTTCTTCTCACGGACCTTAAAGTACCTACAACGTCGTAAGATCAGTGCTACATCCTTAGCTACGAGATGTGGGAACACGAACTGAGCGGCTGGGTTTTTGGTGGTACCGTTTCGATCCTTTGCCAGAACAGCTTGCACCAACTGGCGGTCAATCCTGCTGCCACATACAGCCTCCATCATCGCAAGATGCTCGAGGTTGTCATGTGTCTGAAAAAGGGCATCGCCTGTGTAAAACTCTACGAGAATGCAGCCGATGCTCCAGATGTCGCAGGGGAAGCTCCAACCCAGGTTGAGGATGATCTCCGGCGCCCGATAGTGCCGCGTGGAGACGACAGACGAGTGATATTCATCGTCAAATGTAGCTGATCCGAAATCAATCAGTCGGATCTCAGGTGTCAGCAGCACTTTCCTGTGTTTCGAAGACCTCTGGGTAGCGGTCGACGACGAGGGGATGTTACGGTTGTAAGTAAATGTCTGGTACGAATTGTCGACCAGCAAGATGTTCTCGGGCTTAAGATCAGTGTGAATAAGGTTCAGGTCATGCAAGACTAAAAGATCCTGTTAGCTTCGATGCTCACTTCGAAGCACTTGTTGCGAAGGAAGGGACGGGAAAGAAAAATGAGGAGCTTACAGGCCACGCTGGTGAACAGCTGACGAGCAAAGGTCTGGATGTGCGAGCTCGGGAAGGGCGTGAAGTTATTGTTCTTGAGAAAGTCAAAGACACTTTGCCCATATAGGTCGGTTACGATGCAGATGTGGTTCCTATAGTCGAAGCATTGCCGCAGGTGGATGCACTTGTTTCTGTTGTGTTTGTCGTTCTGGGCCAGCGTTGACAGCACCCTCAGCTCTATTCTCGAGGCATCTCGGTACTTCTGCACCGAGCGGATGATCTTGACGGCACACTTGGTGCCCTTGTCTCGATCGATGGCCTCGACGACTTTGCCAAAGGTGCCTTGGCCCAGCAGTCGAACGATGGTATCTACAACAAAAGCATTAGTGATAGCTCTTGACTCTTCCTGGCTATACATAGTTCTCAGTCGTACATCGATCTGTGAGACTGGCCCCGGCCACAACGTTGTAATGTCCATCCTCGTCATCGTACTGCTCTGTGGTGGCATGCTTCTGCTTGCTGTGAGCACAATACTTCCGGCGAGACGGTAGACAGGCACATACGTCGCGGATGACCTCGACATGCACTTCCTTTGCCTTGATGATGGGTTTCTCGGGTGGGATGTAGTGAATGTGTGGTGGAGTGAGACGCTCGACCTCCCTGCGCTTGGCAGAGCCGGCATCCTCGGCGGCCTGCGCACGCGTACGCTTTCGTTTCTGGCCAACGGCACCGTCGTCGAGGGGAGGCAGGTATGTGCCATTGCCCGCCGACGAGCCAAGTGACGTGGGGGCCGTGGTCAGGTAAGCGGACGTGGTCCGGTCGGTGGACGTCGAGTTCTCATAGTACGGCGTCTGCGTCGTGGAGTACGACGGCTGCGGGTTGTAGACCGGGTCGTAGGCATTGCCGGTTCTCTGCCTCTTGTCGCCGTGCTGAGACGTGTAGGCGCCGCCATTTGCTCGTCGGGGCTCGGGCTCGGGGCTGTCGTCTATGACTATAATCTCCGACGGCACGCCATTTTTGTAGAATTCGTTCCAGTCCGGCTTGCGCTTTTCACGCTTCATCGGAGCGTTGGACGGCGGGTAGGCGGCGGTGGACGGCGGCGATGTCTGTATGGGAGGGAGCTGGTTCGAGGGCCTTGCGTTGGAGGTGGCAGCTCGGCGAAGGTCGCTGTTGTCGGAAGCACCGTTGGGAGCGTAGCCGTTGTAGTATGCTGCTGTCTGTCGAGTGGTACCGTTCATAGCTCCATTTGCATGGTAATTAGCCACTGAGTGATGGGCCGAATGTGGTGAATAATATTGATGGTGGGCGGGATTCAATGTCGTCGGCGTACTCATGGTCGGTCGGATCTCTCGAACGATACGAGAGAACGTCCCAGGTGAAGCACAGGCTCGACACCGGGACGATAATCACTCGCGAGAGAGCGGTTCTGGCAGGGAGACGTCGACTGTGGCCGTCAGACGGTGCCGAAAAGGTCGTCTGGAGGCCGTCGACTGGCAAAATGGGCGGGCTTTGACGCTGCTGCTCGCTGGTGGACAGCGAGAGGTGGGTCAAAAGTTTGCGTGCCGGTCGGGACGGACTCAAGCAGATGACGGGGGGGGCAAAGTGCTCAGAGCCGAGTTTTCGTCTTTTTTTGGGACTCGATCAAGACGAATGCACACGGGAGAGGGTGCAGATGCTCAGAAATGAAGGTTCTAGCAAGAGGCACAGAGGGTGTGGGAACGAAGAGAGGGTGGAGGACGACGCTCTGGGATGCCAGGACGTGAGGTCAAGCGGTCTCGTCCATAGCGTGTGCGAAACCGACCACCAACAATTTTAGAATGCTCCCGAACCAGCACAACTCGAATCGCCCAGCAAGTCGGGCCCACACGCTCACAGATACGGCCATGACACGCTCGGCCGGGCAGGAGGCCCGAAGAACACAAATCTATCCCCCCGATCGCTGACGCTGGCCGTGAGCTCGCTGTGTTCACGCCCGTGCCAGAGCGAGAATCCGAATCGTCCAGCCGCGCAGTCGCCGTCAGACCCCTCGCCCGGCCGTGGAGGTTTCCATGCAGAGCAGCAAAAATGCTAGCTAAACTAAGCCGAAACTAATCTGAACTAAGCGCAGCGTTCAGGCCGTGCCAATGCCTTTGGGTCGCTTTGCTGGGCTTTGCGTCAGGGATGCTCAGCGGTCGCGCAGAGCCAGAAACCTTCCCGCAAGGCCTTCTCCGCCCTCACCCACGCCCGCGTCCAGGTCCGGTCCAGATGGCGCTGGCCCGCCTTGTGCGTGTGCCGGCCGGGCGCTCATCGAGCCTCCTCTGCGACGACCGTCTGCACGCGCGACGGGCACTCGCTGATGTCGCGACTCATTCGACCCGAAGCGACGCAGCTTGTGCTCAACCTTCACGGCGAGACGCTCCAAGCGCCCGCTCCTCGGTGCCTGTCTTTTAAGGTTTGTTACACCCAAAGGCCCCTGTAAATTACGGCTGACTACGAGGATTGTTCCTTCCGACGCTTCGTGGTTGTGCACGGCAACACGCACGGCCAACTCCCTCTGGCCGCCTGCGCTGTTGTCTCCATGAGTTTCCTTCCATGTCTCGACTGTGTCTCCCTTTTCTCCCTCCTCCTTCTCCTCCGCCTTCTTCTGCTCCCCTAGCACGAGCCTGCTGCTGTGACCAGCCCGCCCACGATCCGAGATCTTTCTTGTTTGGAGTGTGCGCATCCGCTCACGCACTGTGCAGCCCCACCGGATGTGCGGTTTCGATATGTTTCCCCCCAAATTTCCCGGCCAGACACATGAGATTCAGCCACGTCCAAACCCCAGTGGACGCTTCGTGTGCCCTGTGTAGGAGTCCATCTCTCTGTCGTTGAATCGGTGGAACAAGTACATGTGTGGGAACAGACGCCTCACCACTTGTCGGCAGTGCGTTCGTCATCTCGGCTTTGGGCACTGGCACTGTGGAACAGATGACATAGCGTATCTAACGTTCCTTACGCCTGGCCAAGCTCGGTCGCTTTCCTACGACCCTCCGCACAAGCAGCTTTGGCCTATGCAATGCGACGTAGCAGATCACCAGCACTTTGTCCCTCTCTCCCCATTCGCCACTCCCCGTCCCGCGCTGGACCAGACACTTTTTTTCTTTTTCAACCCTTTCTCGCTTCCAGGGCTCCGCGTCTTCGCGATCTCGTCATCCGCCTAGCATCCAGCTTCGGCACGAAACCTTCCCTTTTTTAGGCTCTCAGATGCTGCACGGTCGACACGTCTGCCCGCTGCAGGGCCTCTGCTTGCAGTCCACATGTGCACACACCGTCAACGCTGTCCCAGTCTGAACCGTCTCCTGGTGAAGGTTAAGTCCTTCCTTCGTCTGCCATGTGCAGCAGTCGACGGTGGACGTTGGGCAGGACGTGTGACGGTGCAGAAAAAAGAGAACAAGGCAAACAGATTGTGAATCAGGCACAGGGTCGGGTGGACGCCGCCTCAGCGGGTTTTCTACTCGCGCCTACACGCGGGTGACGGGCGCAGATGCTGAATGGCTAGACGTAGATACGGCATGGGAGTGGGGCTATCCCGGAACCTCGCTTGAGAACTCGCATCGTGATCAGCCTCTCCTTTTCAGCCTGACGTCCATTGACATGAGCATGCCGCCAGGCGTTTTCAGATCTTTGAAATCGCAAGATTCTGCTGCTCAACCCTGACCCTGTTCACTTTACTTCAGTTGCCCATTTGCGTGTTTGACGCCCAAAAAAACAGTACTGGCAAGCCTGGCTATGTATGTGCCGTCACGACGCTTGCAAAGTGCGAGGGCTCCACAGCAAGCATGTACGTGGGTCCGAGGACGGCGAGAGCACGGCAGAAAACTTATCCAAGCTGTGAGCGACCTCGCCACCACCGCACCACCCCGGTGTCATCTTCGCAAGGTCCGCCGTAGCGACGTGGGGGAAAATTGAATGTCTGTTGGGCGAAGTGTGTGTCTACGGGAAAGGGGAAAATTATTTTCTTTCTTGCGGTGGCCTCACACAAGGCTGACGAAGCCTAGCCCTGCACAGCGGAATGTTTCATCGGTGTCACTGTCGAAACAAAATCAAATGAGATGAGCATCCTACGTGCGATACGTGCATCGCATCAGCCAGGCCGTGCCTGTCTCTTTTCCTCAATGATACCTAGGAGCCTTGGAAGGGGCTGCGGAACGAGCGCCCGCAGTTTGACACAGGCCGTATGACAATCATGTCACTACTGACGCAGTTCGGAGAAGAAGTCTTCGACCACGCGGGCCGTTCTTTCGACAATCGTCTCGACATCCGCCTCCGTGACAGTGAAGGGAGGCGAGAGGAGTACGTGGTCGCCTCGTCTGCCGTCCACGGTGCCGGACCCCGGGTATAGACAGATGCTGTATGGCTCCGTCAAGCCTAGGGACCATGTCAGACTCGCAGACATCGACCGACGTGCTCTTCGTAGCCATGACTTACCTTTCTCGTTTATGCCCATGGACACGCCGAGCTTGGGATCGAACGGTTCCTTGGTAGCTTTGTCCTTCACAAACTCAATCTACAGTCATGATCAGCTTAGTAGAGGAGCAGCAAATCAGGACGTCAGCATCATGACCTACGCCCCAGAACAGCCCTCTGCCTCTTATGTCGCCCACGTGCGCATGTCCCCCCAGTCGGCTCTTCAGCCTCTCTCCAAGGAGCTTGCCCATCTTTGCGGAATTGGCCACCAGTCCCTCTTCGCGAATCACTCTCTGGACCTCCAGCGCTGCAGCACAAGCAAGTGGGTGGCCCTGGTACGTCTGTCCGTGACTGAACGCGCCTGACCCTCGCTTCAACGTGTCGGCGACCTTGGCGTTGATGAGCAGCGCAGCGATGGGCATGTAGCCCGCCCCGAGGCCCTTCCCCAACGTCTGAATATCAGGAACCACACCCTCTTGCTCCCACGCGTGGAGCGTGCCTGTGCGTCCCATTCCGCACATGACCTCGTCCAGCACCAGCAGCGCGCCGTATTTGTCGCAGACGGCACGCATGGCCTGGAAGTAGCCTGGCACCGCAGGCACACAGCCAAGGGACTTTCAGCACAACGCACAGTCAGTTTGGGCGTGCTAGTAGATATTTGGATGGCGAACCAGCGAAGAAAATAAGACTAATGAGGGGGAGAAAAATTTACAAGGCGAACGTACCGCACCAACGACGGGCTCGGCGACAAACGCACACACCGTCTCTGGACCCTGCCGCTGGAACTCGTCGTCGAGCTCCTGCGCCAGGCGCCGCACGTAATCTTCATCGCTCTCGCCCTCAGCTTTCGCGCGGTACGCGTGGCAGAAGGACACGCGGCACATGTCGCGGGAGAGCATGGGCTCGAACAGCGCGCGGCGAGCAACGTGGCCGCTCATCGCCAGCGCTCCCATGGTCGCGCCGTGCCAGCTTTCCCTGCGGGCGATGAACTTGACCCTCTTGGGCTGAGGCGTGGGCAGTTCCAGGAAGTACTGTCTGCATAGCTTGATCGCCGCCTCCATCGCCTCCGAGCCTGTGGCGGAGCAAGGAACCGTCGTCATCAGTCTGGAACTAGGACGATCCGTCGGAAGAAAGGGCGACAGGACTTACCGCTGCTAATGACGAAGCACCGGGCCATCCTGCCCTGCGTTCCTCTGATCAGCTCGTCGGCCAGGTCCTCGCCCGCCTGCGTGCTGAAGAACCAGCTTTGGACATAGTCGACTTCGCTCAGCTGCTTGGCCATGGCCGCCTTGACTCGGGCGTTGTTGTGGCCTATGCAGGACACGGCTGGACCGCTGGTGGCATCGAGAATCCGCTGCCCGTTGGCCAGGGTCAGGTACAATCCGTCCGCGGCAACGACTTTGCGAGGAAGATTGTGCAGCGAACGGTGGAGAACGTGGCTCTTGCTTAGGTCTGAAGACGCAGCCGCCGAGTCACAGTCCTGAGCAGTCGCGTGGGGAGACATCCTGATGCGCGGTATTCCGATTCAAGCGCTGATGGAAGAAACGAAATCGATGACTGGAATTTTGAATCCTGGAGGGGTGGAGAAAAAAATTACAAGACGACGACAAGATCAAACGTCAAAAGTCTTGGACAGTATATCTGGTTTCGCCGACTGACGCCGTGGAGTTCTATGGCGGTCTTTATAGAATGTCTATCCCGATTGCAGACGCGTGGAAAGAGAAATTTGATAAGCGGTCGTATTACAGACCCGCATATGGCTATCAAGAGTGTCGCCGAAGTGATGACTATGACTGCCGGGTCTAGCCGCATGTGGGAGGTTGTAGTTGATGGTGCTTGAATAGTTCGCTCTCTTCCCCCCAATAAGTTTACTCCCCGCATTGGCAGTTTGCGTCTCCCAATGCCGAACGCCGACTCACGGCGCGAGTACAAAATCGCCCCCGGTTTGCATAACCATACGATTGGCCTGGCAAGTAGCAGCATCACGTAATCGAGATACGCAACAAGGTAAAAGGTAGCGCATTTCCGTCAACGTTTCACGCCGTCGTCCGATGTCGGGGTGCCGCGGACCGTCCTCTCGTTCGTCGATCGCAGCCTCATCTCGTGAGCCTTGCGCGTTCCGCTCCCTCAACAGCAACAAGGCCGTCGAATGAACGCGTTTCGCTTATGTCAGACCTCTTGACCTACTTTGTTCAGCTTGACGCCCTACGTGATGCCTTGTTGTGTGACTCATGGGACGGGCCATCCTGCCGTCATCCTACCTTGGGCTTCCAAACTGATGATTCTGTTTAAGGGAAGGCTATCTTCGCGCAAGGTGCCGGCCTTTGAAAGCTTGATAAGCTTCTCGACGGTCGGACTACACCGAGCAGATGGCAAGTATGAGCAGCTTGTCCGTCCTTGTGAGACGTGTTGGGCTTCAATCTTGAAGGGTGCCTTTGATTTTCATTAATGATCTCGGAGAACTTCAGGATGGCCAAGCTGAGCACCACGTGGCCTTGGGATGCCTTGTATCTTTTACTCGTCCTGGCCTGTTTGACAGATCGACGCAGAAGGCTGCTTAGTCCCCCCGAAAAGGTGATGATTTATTTAGCTCTAGTTCATCCCCAACGAACAGCCAGAGTGCTTCCTCCCACTGTCAATTATAATCTCATTAGGTCGTGGCTCTCACAATGCGAACTCAGTCACCTTGTATGCTGTTAATCTCCAAGATAACAGTGGACATGATGATTTATGTCAACTATTGCAAAAGTCTGGAGACAGAGTCACTGCGTGCTGATTCCATTATCGCCGCGCTCAGTTATATCTGAGGGCCACAAACTAAATAAGAAAACACTACAATTTCTCAGTAAAGGCAACTCGCCCTTTGTGCTAGTGACCCGCCAGCGCTGAATATAGGATAAACCGTTTAACTATTACTTGACCATGGCGATCTTTGTGTTGACAGATATTGCCTTTCGTAGACAAAAAAAAGGCTGAAAGCCACCATCAAGCCAACAAAATCGGACCTCATTTTTTGGAGGCGCCAATATCACCCTCATATTTATGACGGATAGTCCCTCCAAAGGTTTACCTGATGTATTCGGCACTGGGCAACGGTAGGACGTTGTCAGGATAGGAGATGATGTAATTACATCCATAGTGCGTCCGCCGCGAACGAAATGTTGCGACGCCGAAGTGGTAGATGCGGACTCGGACGTTGCAAGAGGCAGTCTAGTCCAAACGGGACCTATAATTCATGCCCGAGCACATGTGTTTCGAAAACAAAGGATCTCATTAGTATTGAAAGCGGGAAACTATCTGCCGCCTGAGGTGGATAAGAACGGGGTCGATGGATTGTGGTTCGATCATCGCATTGCTATGGACTCACATTTTGGAGAACCTCGTCATCTATTTCATAGCCAAAGCCCCTTATGATGACATGACATCGTCTGAATATATCTGCAATTCTTAATTGTGATGAAGAGAGGTCTAGAGCTGAGAATTTCTCTTGAAACGGACCTGTTTCACGTACATTTTACGCCATGAGCTTCCTCTCGACCCAGTTTCTTTAAGTGAGACTCCAAAGAGGACAAGTCGGTCAAAAACGTACTTTATACTCGGCCGCCTGAGCCGTGGAGACAGGATGGAGAGAACTACTTCCTCATCTCTCATGTTTTAGGACTTTGGTTCACCCTAGATTCTTATGATCATAAAAGGGTGACCATGGATCAGATGGTGGCTCCTTGCAGACAAATGGCATGGACTACCAAAATGATTCTCATTGGCTGATGTGGCTACGCGGCAAAACTCTCCAGTCTGCGGCGTTGTGATGAAGATGTCGTTTCAATTTTTCCGTACTAGATATCTCTCTCGATCAGCAGATATTTTGCTGGGCTGTGTACACGGTGACTAGTGATTCGTCAAGAGCCGTCTTCGGCACGGAAGAGCCTGATCCTTCCGATAATTTGACAGAAGTGACACAAAAACATCAAAACTTGAAGCAATGTAATACAGCGAATAATCATTGGGAATCATGCTCGACAGAAAATTGAGGAAAAGCAGCGCAATTGGGTCACAAGCCAGTCATCATTAGCTCGTCCTCCTCCCAGGGTCTTAAAAAATCCGCATCTTCGAAGTCCATATCACAGTCGGCTGTGGCGGCGGCAACTGACATGGCCTTCCTCCTGGACTTCGGCTTCGCTATGGCTCTACGCGACACGGCACCCGATCCCGTATATGTTGTGTGGCTGATGGGTGAAACGGTGGTTGTGGGCGACACACTCAAGTCAGCAAGCGTCGGGTTGAGCGGGTCTGGGAAGTGCAGCTCAAAAGGCGGAATGTCCCCATCGTCATCCTCGTCATCGGAGTGGTGTCTCTTATTTGTGGTGATTGGATTGAGCATCGGAGCTGCAGGCATAGAGTCTGTAGATAGTGTCGACGACGTCGACTCTTGGGAGAGATCGAATGGCATGCGATCGTCGGCGAAGATGTCGACCGGCTCGTGCGCGTCGACGGGTCGAGGCATGTCTTGGATGCCGTGGCCACCCACCTTGTGCAGGCCGCAGAATGGAACGAGTTCTGCAGGTCGTCGTGGCTGCGCAGGAGAGTATGTCGACGTGCTGGGGAGAGCGGGGGTAGGATCAAAAAACAGGGATGTCTTGTGCGTCTTGTAGCCTTCAGGCACGGCTTTGCGAATGCGCATGCCGACGCTGAGCAGGTTGGATTGCACGCTGGGCTCGAGGACAGGTTGCCGAGCTGCAGGTGTCCTTGAACGGTCGTACTCGTCACGATCCACGCGGTCGAAGTAGGAAGTGATTGAAGGCTGGAAGGGCCGTTTCTGGCGGTGGAGATTTTGAGTAGCCATGGATTTGAATCTGCCGTGGTCGGAACGCGTGCGAAGAGGGCGCTGCTCGTGGTTTTGTTATATTTTTGGAGGGCACGGAAAGCGAGAGCGGAGAAGACGAGCGGGTGAAAGATGAGGCGGAACGCGCCGCGCGAAATGCGACGCGACTGACCGTCAGTGGCTTGCACCTGCTAAAGTGGAGGCGCTTGGTGGCCTTAGGGCAAGAGCATGTAGAACATATGCCTCAGGCCTCACTTCCGTCGAGCGAGCTTACTACAGGGCACTTCGGACGTGGGTCCACCAATGGTGGGGTGATTGTTTGTCAAGTCTTGGACTGGCCAGGTTTCGGGAGATGGACCAAGCAGCCAGGCGGGCCACGAATAAAAAAAATGATGGATCATAAGCCTGGAGTCTGTCGTGTTACATGAGGCTTGCTTGGAAGGGACAGGAATGGCGGGACGAGGCTGGAGTCGACGCCAATCTGCATGCAGGCCGAACGAAGCGTTGGAATCAAAAATGCGTTGGGCTTGAGTTCATGGATTTGCGTCTATCACATCTTCCTGTCTCGATGGTCTTCCGCTCATGCCTTGACCGACTGTCTCTAATAACAGAACCGAACGAGCGTAGTAATGTGTGTCCTGTCCGCCACCCGTCACAAAGCCCCCTCCGCTTCACGACAGCGCTATCACGCCTAGACTGGGCAGCTCTGTGCGTACAGGTCAGTGTTCTGCTCTGCCCACAGGAAGAACGTGTCTGGGACACGAGGGGAAGGGGGGGCGTACTGCACCACAGGAGCCACAGGTCTTGTTGTCTTCCGTCATGGAAGCACCGCACTTTGGGCAAGCCGAGTTGTGTGGGGCCATTTTCGCTGTTGCAGTCTTCAGTTCTTGTGGGAAGAAATAAGTGCGTCGGTGAGCTTTGCTTCTGTCCTTTGTCGTTGCTGTGCTTCTACAGATGATGTCAGGCCGCTGCGTTCGTGCACGAGAAGGGCCTTTTAAAGGCATTCGGTGCAGAACCAGCGCGGTGGGAGCCGTCGTAGGCAGTCAGTCAGCTGGACAGAGAGATGCAAGGCAGGATTGGCAAAACAGCTGGTGAACAGGCGGAGATGGACGTGCTGATTCGCCGCGGGTCGGTTGCTAAGGCAGCACCCTGCATGAGGTTGGGTCTGGACAGTGATACGGGAATGCCAGGCACATTGTGCTCGCTTCCCGCGGCGAATCTCATTTTGGACTTTCGAGCCAACAAAGGCCCATTCCCAGTGCAACACCAGTGTATAGCATCGTGTCGTCGCTGATCGCAAACCAGCCTACGTACATGCTGCCGAGTCAAAACTCGTGTTGTCTGCCTCCCGTCGCAGTAGTTGAGGCAACAAGTTATGATCTGCAGACAGATACGCGAAATCTGAGATGCCCGCCCGCCCTTGGCGAACCGAGCACAGCAGGGGGGAAATTTCCGACGGCTGCGACCTATAACCACTCTCGGCCATCCTCACGGCGACCTTGTTTGCTCGTTCGAGATGTATCATGTTGTTTCTGCTTCAAAGGTGGATAGTGATGAACGCTGGATTTTCCTCTGCAGAAAGGCAGCCATGTCGATCAACACCACGGTCTCCTATGCACGTGTCTTCCACGTGCTAAGTGGATCTGAAGAATCTCGCCTTCTTTGGCCCACTAGGCGAAGATTCTCTGTAGGATATACGCCTTCTTAAGCACGGCAGATCCTGAGCTGGGCTCCTTTCTGGCTTTTCCGGCCCTGTTCGCCCATCCCGGCGAGTGATGTATCTGACTGCCGCCCACCCGAGCAACGTCCCTATCCAGGATGAGGCTGGACCGGCCATCGAAGCACCGTGTACAATGCAAAGGCCGTTGTCAACAGTGCCACAACACCCCCTTCTTCGGGACTGGACGTCGTACATTTGCCATGTCGCCAACTAGCGACGCATCTACATTCCCACTGCTGTTTCGGAAGTTTATAAAGGAATCCCGCTATTCATGCACGACGCCGCACGGCGTAACTCTCGGCCTGCATTTCCTCCCACTCGATGTATCGCACACGCGCGGCACCTTCCGTTGTTCAGCTTTTTTCTGCACGGCTGGATGTGTACTATCTATGACCCGCTATGTTGGTGAATTTCTTCTTCCCCGATGTGTACGATCTATAATGAGTCTTTGTTGCCCTCGCTGTCGCTTTTAAAACTTGCAGGATTCGCATTCTGGCAAATCAAATCAGTATCTTATCCTTCGTTGGCATCTATAATCATCTCAGTCATGATACTCCCACGTGCGGAACAAAACTTGAGAGGCGGCGTGGAAGCAGGCCCAAATTATGACCCGGCAAAAGTACCAGTGGCTGGGCAAATCTTCTCTATCATCACTGCCATACTAGTTCAGATCTTACTTGCCGTATGTCTGAGTAGGTTGCCGCAACCGAGTAGGAGGGCGTTGGAACCAGCTGACCACGAGCAAAGCCCGATGCTATGCCACAATAGCCTCTTGGAGAAAGGCACCTATTGCCGTGTGGCGTGCGCACCCTTCGCTGTCACCAGCTGGAACAGGCTGACGGGATGCAGTCCTTTTGGCTATCTACATCGATTCATTCCTCTTCGCCTTTGCCTCGACCGTCTTGCGCTTCGGTGTTGGCGTGAATCAGTCTCTGGCCACGTGCCAAGCAGCGATCTTGATATGTACGAAGGCCTTTGATCTGCGCTCTCAACAATCCAAACTGTTTCCCTGAGCTAATGTAAGCACTAGGTTTGAAATTTTACCTCAGTACAAAGGTACTGATCTACTTCTACTTTGTTGAGAAAGCGGTATGACGCACTACATGCATTTTTGGACCTCATGAAACTAAGAAACGTTAGTATCTGGTTCGCGGCAGCCGTAAACCACGGCTCAAGACAAGGCTGTACATCTTCAACCTCACATTTGCTTTGGGTTAGTAGCTAGGGGTTTGGTACCCCATTGAAACTTCTGGTTTTGACAGTAAGCAGGTCCATATGTCATCCTATGTTGGGTGAATGTCGCATGGCGAATCTATTACATCAACAAAGACGGAGTCTGCGTGATCGGCATGGAGAAGCCAGTGCTGTGGCCGCTCGTCGCGTACGAGGTCATCATTAATATTTACCTTACGGTACTGTTCCTACGTCCGTTACGAGAGCTCTACACATTTCAGAACCAGACGACTTCAAGCCTACGCACGATGGCTTTACGCACGTTCTTTGGCGTCTGCTTCACGCTCACGACGAGCGTTGCGAATTTGTCAATCCTCACTATCTTGAATGGCGAGCAGGGCTGGGTTTGTCTGCTGATATGCACGTCCGACAGTACGTTTCTTTGATCTTCCCACCTCTTCAAGACATGCTTACGCGTCTTGCCAGTCTTTGTCTCCGTCATGGTGCTTCACTGGATCGCCAAGAGCTACGAGACGCGCACCTCCAGCAGAGTCCCTCAAAGCCGCATCAGAACTCTGAGAAATGTCACGCCGGCAAGAGTCCAGTCTCCCCAGCCGTCCTTCCACCCCAATTCACAAGGGTCGCGTTCCGGCGAAATTGACAAACTAACGTCGAAGAGCGACTGTCCGTGGCAAAACGCGTCCCCCATTCAGACGAGGATAAGCACCGGACCCGTCGACACTCCTTCAGAAGACGGGTTCCCGCTAGATGCGTCGCGCATTCATGTGCAGGTAAGACACGAAGTTTTAGAAGAAAACGCTCAGGACGGAAGATAAAATTGAGAGAAGCGTGCACAGAAGATGAGGGTTGATGTTGTAGATGAGAAAAATCACTTTCCACTCAGTAGCGATACCCTTTCGTATGTTACAACAAATATCTGGTTTACGGGGGCATCATTGCTTTTGATATGTTCTACCCTATACGAACCCGAGGCTGATGGCAGAATTGAGGCTCAACATCTCACTGAGCCGTCTACAGGCAACCATGATCGTCTGGCAGAATAAATGGTCTGTTGTTTTACTCCAAAAACTCGGGTCCTTTGGAGTGCATATGCCGATTCGGTTTTCGTACATTAATCAGAGCCAAGATTCTTAATCCCAGCGTTGTTTAAGGACTCATCTAGATAGGGAGAAAAAAAATTCACTCAGATCGCTTGAGCAACTCTTTCTCCTCTGCTCTACGTCTCTTCGCCCTCTCATCCTCAACCAGCTCTTCCACATTGAGGTGCACCCTCAATTCTCGCTCTCCGAGCACGCTCCATATTTTCCGTCCGTCCTCGAACCCAACCACGTCGCCCAGCTTGTCCAACCCGAGGATCACCCACCATTTTGCCCACGGCAGCTCCCTCAGCCCGCGTAAGAACACGTCCTTTGCCTTCTTGTACTCCTTTCGCTGCAGTTCGAAGAGAAGGTAGTGCGTCCAAATGTGGATGCTGTGGCGACCGGAGTGGGAAACGGCACGTTCGAACGTGGCGCGAACCGCGTGCACAGTGCCGCCGAGCTCCAAGCCACGTTGAAGGCCTGTCTTCAGGACGAATGACCAGCCGATGATTGAGTCTTTGCCTTCGACGAGAACTACGTCTTCCAGGAGGGAGTGTGGTCCGTGGACGTTGAGGTCCGGGCCAATCTTCTGGTATTCGGAAAGGAAAAGTGTGTTGTTGGGGAAAAGCCTGATGCTGTGGGCGAGGGAATCTCGGATAAGCGCTGGTCGCCAGATGTGTACGGATTTAAGATGAAAGGCAATCAGTTGCGTTTTTGCTTGGTGAAGCACTTCATGTGCGGGATGGCTCACGAGCTTGCGCGAGGTGAGCGCTTGCTCTGTCTCATCAAAGGACTTCAGAGCTGCCTCGATCGATCTTTCGGACTTGAAATACGCCAGAAGTGCGAGAAGCTCTGCATGAAGAACGGCTAAGTGAACCTCACCGGCAGAGAGCATAGCGTTGTGCTCGTCACGCAGCCATCGTGTGACGCGCAGTTCAACAGCAGGGGAAAATATTGGATTTGTGACGTCCTTGCTATCTCCATCCACACTTAACAGGATGCCCGTAGCGATATTGGCGTCTTCAGCGCGCAATGCCTCCCAAATCCATGTACGATAGAGTACAATCTTTAGATTATGGGCCAGACTGTCGGCCATTGCGATGGCGGTAGAGAAAATACGACCTCCGGCCGCTGTTCCCTTGGTGCGACTCTCAAGGATGGCATAGCAATTGTACAAGCGAAGGCTTGAACTGTGCCTCTTCAAAAGCCGCTTCGCTATCTTTGATGCGCTCTCAGGTTCGAAATGATATTCCAAGGCTATATAGTACTCAGCGAGAACATCGACCATATATATAGGGCACATGTCGACCAAACTTCGTAAAGTCCTTCGAGGCAATCGCATCTCTCCTTCATCAAGACCTAAGAATCCGTCCCCAAAGAGGATATCAGTCGTGCATTGAGAGTGCCGCACCAAAGTCTCTGGATTGGCTTTAGCTTGAAGCATCGGATCCAGCCACCAGGAATCGTATTCCCTCGATTCGGCCAAGGGCAAAGGAGGCAAGCCCCAGAAGAGGAGAAATGCAACAATAAGATCACGGCCAGCCGGCAGCCGAAGCGTGTGTGGAAACAGAACTGTTTTGAGGTCATTAAAAAACACAATGTGGTAGGGATCATCCTCGCCAGCTTCATCGGCACTCCGCCCAGGGAAAGCCATCTTCGACCTAGCCGCTTGCTCTGCTTCAGCAAACCTTTTGAAAAGCCTTCTTGCACTTGTGATTTGGCTGATCTCAACCCTCTGCGGATCCGGAGTCTCGTCTTGCTCGGGCAAATAGTTGAGCCACCCTTTGGCATGCTCTTCGCCCAAACGCGGTACTTCGCTCTCCCAGAACTCTTCAAATGCTTGGGCTATTCCCTCGTCATCTTGAAGCTTTGTCGGCCTGAAGAAGTGAAGTTCTAGTACCGCTTGCCAAAGTGCGATAGAGAACTCGTGGTAACCCGAATCCCGCATCATACACGTCAAACGTAGGAAGACGTAGACAAGATTGCGTGCGATATCAGCAGAATCTGCCGCGGTTTCGGCTTTGGCAAGAGTCTTGCCTAGTATTTCTAAGCCTTTAATATACTCATCCCTGCAACGTTCGTACCGGAATTCGGCATGGCTGCTTTGAATGAATCTGAGATATGCCATCCAAATGCTCAAATCATTGCTTTGCATGCGTAGCGCTTCTTCCCACTTCTTTGCCAGCATCTTAGCCTCCCATAACTTTGAGCCCTCTTCTAGCATACCTAGAGTCAATCGCGCACGTGCTTGTGGGCTCTTGACCACCGCAAGAGCTTGCTCGTATATCGAGATTCTAATGTCTGCCAGAGTACGCATCTTAGCATGAGACAGGTCACCCGCACCAAATCCCAGCACGAGTCGTTGGTGTTCTATCAATGCTAGCCAGGCGTCAAGGTCTTGAGGATGATCCCGTGTTCGTCGTGAAAGCTCTGCATTTCGGATCCTCGCGGCTCGGTTCTCATCTTCATATTCCAATTCAGCATCAGAAGAGGATGCGGACTCCAGATCCGAGTCTGTTGCTTGTTTGAGAGGTTTTGCTTCGCCTTCTATAGATCGATAATCGATGTCATTCTGCTCCGCGTTTGGCGACTCAGACCTACATTTTCGTTTTCTGCTGCTTTTTGGAAGCTGTATAAATGATTCTGTAAATTCAAAGTGATCATGATGATCGGTGTCTGGTCGAATCAAGCGTAGCTTCTTTTTATCGGCCACCACTTGTTTATGCAGCAAACTTCGCCGAGCTTTTCCATCTCGCTCAGGACGAGCAAGAACGATGCCTTTATCTTCTGGAAAAGTTCTGTCTATTCGCTCTTCCCACGGCGCGCCCAAAACAGCCCCATATCCAATGCGCTTATACGGTGGTATGCTGTACTTGTGTAGACCGCGATAACGCAGGTTGTCTGGATCTCCTTTGCGGTCAACGCGGTAAATGTCCGAAGCATTCTCAAAGAGCTCCTTGCTGATTTCAATCGCATTTGTGCTGGTCAATTCATGCCCAGGCTCTTGACGTGCATGGCTGTGTGATTTCTTGTCGCTGCTTCGGTCCCTTCGCCGTCCACGTTCACGTTCATGGCTTTCATTGTTGTGCTTGCCTTCTCGTATTCTCCTATTCTTGATCGCGTCATTTTCTTCGTTATTTAGGAGTGCAGTATCCACAAGATGCGAGTGTGTCTCTGCCTGTTTTGTAGCCTTGGGTCTAAAGCTGGCGAATTTGGGCACAGGGGTTTTTGAATCAGCCATTTTGCTAACTACAGGCCATGGCTGGAGTTGAATATGAACTGTATTCGTCTAATATGAGAATATTAGCCCATCTTCTTATTGTTTTGCTTGTTGCATGTTTACGAACCTGATCAGAGTGTTTCCGGGCCTGTGAGATCGCAAGTCATTCCAGACTGCAAAAGAGCCCCACTTTTATTTTCAGAGCCGCATGAACTTTTTCGATATCCCATCGCAAACGAAGTCATTTCACCCTAGCGTGATCAAGGACAAGACGCACGAGAAATTGAAATGTCGAAATAGCTCTGACTTCGTCAGTCACCTCATACCTTTCGAAAGAGCTAAAAAAATACTTGTCACCATCGACATAATTCCCGACTATGATATTGCATTTTCTGATCTGAGTGCTTGTTGGTCAAAGACAGCGACAGGAAATTTGTGAGAATGGCAACAGCACTACAGCGGCAGCTTGCCGCGATCGCTGCGAACAGTACCCATCAGCTCGACCTCAAAGCTCAGAAGGCGGCACATAGCAAATCACTCCTCTTCGACTCCAAAGTCGCCGCTGCGCAAGACTTCAACACCATATACAGAATATGTCTGGAAGGATACGAGGATCTTTGCACCCTGGATGCACGATTCAGTGGATTTGCACAGAACATTTTCAGTGAGCAGAGCAAATCGGAAGAGCGAGGTCTCATGACCGCGGAAGAGAACAAGGCATTGGATGTCGTGCTTGAAAACTTTCTTGTGCTTGTGTCTGGGAGACTACTATTAAAGCCAGCGCAGAAGGCAGTCGAATGGCTAATCAGACGTTTCCGGTATGTTGTAACTATGTGAAAGTCGCAAGCACAGGACTGACCAAATTGCAGCGTACACGAGCACAACACGGAGTATTTGATTCTATCCTTCCTACCGTATCATGGCACCCCTCTGTTTCTCGCTTTACTTTCGATTCTACCAAAGAAAATCCCACATACATTTCGCTTCCTTTACCCCAGTATGAGCACCATGGAGAACCCTCCCTTCCATATGGTCCTCTACACTGCCACAAATACACCTGCGTTCTTCGCAGCATACAATTCTTTCATTTTGCGGGCTTGCCAATCCAGGTATCAAGCGCCGGCCGTGATGTCCTTTTGGGCGAGTCTAGCGACGCAAGCTGTGGACGGTATGATTTCGGCAGCCCAATCTGGCCGAGACACGGTTCAAAGACAAAAACAGGAGGACTTACTACTCAGAGTTCTACCGATGCTTAATGAGGCGCTTTCCCCACCATTGGCTGATGTGAATGAATTAACCCTCACTGCCTGTATGATCATCACAGTGTTAAGCGCAAGGGCAAATCTCGAGGATCATGTTCTTGATACTTTGATGGAGGCTGTTGCTATGAAATGGACACCCGCAACCATCGAAGCGCGCCTTACGTGCATCTCTGTGCTGGCTGAGTCGCGACAAGCTCTCGAGTTGTCGAAGTCAGTGACCAAGAAGTTACTAAAATTGGAAAACGTTGTCGAGCACTTGGTTGCATGCTCGAGCAGAATGCCTACCGGACGTCTTGTGCTGGGTTTGATTCTCCGCGACGTGCGATCAAGAGCCAAGAGCGATGGATATCTCAGTACTGAAGCACTCAGTCGACTTCTGCGAGCAGATACTTTCACCGAAAGAGAGGAACAGGCACTATGCAACAAGGTGGTATCTACCATATCCAGCGATGAGGTGACGGAGTCTCAGAGAGACGCATTCTCGACAATCGTGGAATACATCCAGCAGATACCCCGCGCACTAGAACAATTGAAAATTGCTCTGAATAATGCTGGGGTTGCTCAGGACACAATAGAGTCTACCCTGCAGACAACATTATTGCTTACCAATGGAATACCTACCCAGGAGGTGGATGGCGACGAAGAGATGAACGACGTGTCCGCGACCGATGACGCATTTGACAAGACCTTGAGTTTACTTTCGAAATTAGAATTGGCAAATTCGTCCTTCCTCTCTCTCGATGCTACAGACGATTATGCGCCATTTAGGACAGGATTTGCGCAAGCACTCGCATCGGAATCGTATCTAGAAAAGTTGCTGAACGCACAGTCATTGCGAAATCGAGCCACTTCCATGTGCGTACCTGTTTTGACGCTTTTGTTGCGTGTGGCATTCGACGCCAGTGTTGGCCAACTTGGGCGTGTTACGGCACTTCGTTGCATTCAAAAGCTTGTTAAAACTCAGACTCCACCGCCAGTTCAGATACAATTTCTTGTGCCGTATTTGATCGCTGCTATGGCCGACAAGGCAGGCGCTATCAGACAGGCAGCTGCAGAAATCATCATCTCAACGAGTGATGCCTACAAGACGGACCATAAACATAAGGCAAAGCCTGAAAACGAGTTCCAGCAGCAGACATATAGCTGGCAGATCATTCCCGATGATACAATGAGACACTTGATTGATCAAATGCTAGTTCCGAATGTCGAGGAATTTGCGCTAGACGCACACAGCATCAGTAGTTCTGTTTCACGACTGCTACAACCAAACGCCGAATCGAAAACGAACAAGGCTTCGAAGCAGGTGAAAACCGCTCAATCTTCTACAATATGTGATTACCTGGCTAGTCATGCAGCTGAAACCACCCTGCCACAAGTAAAGCTTCAGCTGCTTAAGGTCGTCAATGAAGCAGGCCAGAACGCACTTCACGCTCAGGAGACTATACTTGTTCCAGCCTTGAAGCAAGCTCTATCAACGCCTTTGCGAGTTGTGAACTCGGAAAAATTAGAACACACGATTCGCACGGAGCTGGAGCCCGAGCTCTACCGGGTCGTCACACCGGAGAGCACAGTCGGCCTTGATCTACTCCACACAATATTATCAGGGCAGATTGCAAACGTTCGGTATGACATGGTTCGTGGCGCTTACAAGCGTCTTGCAGAAATTTGGAGCAGCATCCCATCTGATTCAAGTGCTAAATTTGCGGGACTTTTGCTCGATACTGCACTGCAGACCGTTGAAGCGATGGGGCCTAGTCTTTACCGTGATTTAGCTTCAGAGACTATTCGAAGCCTCACTCTTTCCGGCCATGTCCTCTCCGTTTTGCTTAACAGTCTGCCAAATGCGCTTAGTATGCCAGATGCGCCACCTGCTACGAAAAGACGACGAACAAGCCGTAGCGAAAAGGTACGCTTGGCAGCAGCCGAACCGGCGGATTTGTCTGCAGCATTGGCTAAGTACACACTTGTTCTTGAATTGGTCGAAGGCAACAAACCCGGCGAGCATCCCGAGCTCTTACAAGCCTTGTTCCATGTGTTGGACGAGCTACAGAACTTCAGACTGCAGACTCAATCTGGCCTCATTTACCTACAAGGTTTAACGATCAACTGCATGTTGGCTATCGTGGAGAAAACAAAGAACAACATAGACAGCTCTCTTGATAAATCGAATATCAGGACTGACCTGATCGTGGACTGCATCCGCCACTCGACAAGCGCACAAGTGCAGTCCTCCGCCCTGCTCCTCATCTCTAGCCTCGCTTCATGGCAGCCCGACGCTGTGGTTCACAGTATCATGCCTATCTTCACATTTATGGGCAACACCATTTTGAGACAGGGAGATGAGTATTCTGCTCATGTCACGGAAAAGACTGTTTCACGTGTCGTTCCGCCACTTGTTGAATCATTCCGGAAGAAGAATAAGGATATTGTCATTGGAGCTTCAAACTTGCTGCTGAGCTTCACGGCTGCTTTTGAACATATTCCGTTGCATCGAAGGCTAGTTCTATTTGAACACGTCGTGCGTACGATCGGAGCAGAAGATTCGCTCTACGCACTTGTTGCCATGCTCATCGACGCATATCCGACGGATTCGCGTGCCAAGAGCTTCGTTGCGGAGCTGCTGAATCAATTTGAACCGTCTACTAGTCTTAAGACCATTCGCAAGTGCCTAGACTTGGTGTGGGACATCTTCCGACCTCGACATATTACCGCGAACAGTGTTCTCAATTTATCCGAAAGACCTAAGGAAAGCCACGACAACATTGCAAGCAATTTACTTTCCGCCCTTTCCGAGTTGCTGAATGATCGACAACTCAGAGAGCAGATTAGTAAATCATTCGAAAGCGGTGATATTGATAGTGCAAATGCTCAACGTATGGCATGTGTGGAACTCATTCAAGAAGCTATTCGTCTGTCGCAATTCTTGAAGTCGAAGCCAGCTCTTGTACCTTCCGCTGCCAATGTTCTTGCTAGCATTGTCAACTTGCTTCCTACAATCGAATTAGTTCAATGCTCGGAAACTCTGCTCACTCAGAAGGATGATGAAGTTCGTCTAGTCTCAGTCGGCGCAGTGGCGAGTCGTGCCCGTGAAGTAATCAATCCAAGCTCGGCCGACGTTACTTCCTTGCTAGGTTTCATGGCGAAACTCATGGAGCTCCTGCAAGAGTCCGACAACACGGTTCTCTGTTCTGAAGCTGTCACTTGCCTGGGACAGGTCAGTAAACGCTTTGGAAGAAAGGATACCAGCCTTGTGGTTAAAGTGGCACAAGCTCTGTCGAGTGACCGCATACTCAAGCACGCTGACCGCTCGGTGCTGCTTGTCTCTGTCTCCAGTTTGACTATCACGATAAAGGTCTTGAAAGATGAATTCATTTCCCTGGTGCCTATGATCCTCCCCGTTATATTCAAGCACCTCGAAAGCGGTATAAGCTATGACACGAGTGGTGAAATGCTTAAGGCATTAAATCTCTCGTTAAACTGCATAGGATTTATCTACTGCCTCGTGGAACACCTACCTTTTCTAATGACCGGTGATTACTTGGACACTGCGTTCCTGTTACTCGCAAAGGCTGCCGCTACTCCGGACGGTGTCGAGCGGAAACTTAAGGAAAGTAGAAATGACTTATTGCGACTTATCGCGAAGAGCGTTGAAGCCGATGAAGTTCTAGCTGCACTTGGGCGCAATTTTAAGAACGTTGCAAGTTTTGGAAATTGTGATGTATGTTTGCGGTTCACCATTTTGCTTCGCATCTAATGCTAACAAAAATTTAGGCTTTGGTAGAATATTTCGGAGCAGCTCGAGTTGTGATAACTTCGCGTCCAAAATCTGCCATAATTCGAAATTCTTCGACTCTTTTTGAGCTATTTCTGCAGGCATTTGATCAAGCACGCGTCATCAAGTCCGAAAGTGCCGAGCAAGAGGATGAGGACATGGATCATGAGGATGAAAACGACGAGAATTCGGAGATCGAGCGCGTTCTACTTGTGGTTTTCGAGGTCGCACTAGCCATGGTCATGAAATTGAATGACGCGACCTTCAGGCCGTTCATTGTTCGACTATCGGAATGGGCAACACAGTTACCTAAAAAGGATGTCAAAGGTCGAATGCTGCGGTCAACTGCACTTTTCAAGTTCGTGGCCTTACTCTTCGGTCGATTGAAGTCTCTGGTCACTTCTTATACGACATACGTACTTGACTTGGCCGCAAATGTATTGGAAAATACGTCGCTGGAGACTGATGACGAAATTACTCTCCTTGCAGCAACTTTAGCTGCGCTGAATGAATCATTCACACATGACGACGAGCAGTTCTGGCAGGCCCCACACCATTTTACACCAATTGCGACGCCTTTGGCTGTACTTTTAGAAAAGACAGCGCTCGACGAGGAACACGAACTGGTTGCCAAAGTTCAAGCAAGTATCGTTTCGCTCTGTTCGGCAACAAGTTCGCAAGATCAGCATAAGATGATCAACACATCACTACTCAAGATGCTCAGGCATGAAGATCCGAAGGTGCGACTTGCTTCACTGAGAACGGAGAGACAGTTGTGTGAGAGTATCGGGGACGAGTGGTTGGGCATGCTTCCAGAGATGCTCCCCTTCGTAAGCGAGCTTTTGGAGGACGATGACAAGGATGTGGAGAGGGCTGGCAAGGAATGGGTCAGATTCCTTGAGGCTACATTAGGAGAGAATCTGGAGCTATAGAAGTTCATGAAGTTTGTTAAGGTCTTCGAAACATAAATGAAATATTCATTTTTCCAAGTTCCGGGAATGTCGAATGCCCTCGTCTAGGTAATGATCAAGGCTCCAGCCTCGTGGCCCGTGCACCGTCACGTTAGCACGCGCTTCACATTTCCATCTTTTCAAAGATCAGACGCGTCGATGAGCACATCACATAGCAGAATGGCGAACAAACCATTTAAACCGCCATTGCTGCTCAACAAGCCCACTCTTCCAAATATCAATACCCTGTCAGAAGAGCCACCAAACAAGAGGCGAAGAATATCCCCTGATGAGGACAGTGATATAGACGCGACGGTGGTTGCCGCGGCCCAGTATGCTGCTGCCCCAAAAAGACTTCAGTCGATCAAGACGTTCATACCACATCGAGTTCCTCTAAAGGATGTCTGTAATAAATCCCATGAACCGATTTCAGGGGAGAGGGTCCCCGAGGCCTACTACACTGTGCTTTGGCGCAAGTTTACCATGAAAAAGAACAAGACCTGGGACGGGGATGGCGTCCTATCATTTGTTGATGGTTATGCGAGACTACAGAACATTGACGGTCGTGATATGGGAAAAACGAGTTGGGCAAAGCCCTTGTTTCCCGGCTCTGAGCTCTCCATCGGCGGGAGGGACGTGGAAATTGTCTCCGTGATCTCGAAAGAAGACTACTTGGCTGGCAGGCCGTTCCTGACGTTAAGAACGAACGAGAAGGCTATACCAGCTGCTCCTCTTACGGCAGTAAAAGTACGAGCGGTGTCTGGTGGAAGCTTTTCCGGAAATGGTGAAACTCTGAGGCGTTCAGTACTCAGTCATGCTGTTAACGCCAAGTTCAAGAAGCACTCCTTCACGGGAATGACACCAGCAGCTACAGTGTCAGTCGAAAAGGAGCCACTTCCACGACATGACCCCAATATGCCGGGAGCACTCGTTATGAAGCGCCCAAAAGCCGCACCACCTGGTAAACAGATCGTCGACGTCGTCGTGGACCCTATCTTGAGCCGGCATTTGCGACCTCATCAGCGTGAAGGCGTCAAATTCATGTACGAATGCGTGATGGGTATGCGAGATTCTGGAGAAGGTGTGATACTCGCGGATGAGATGGGGCTTGGCAAGACCCTTCAGACGATTGCCTTGCTATGGACTCTGCTGAAACAAAATCCTGTTTTTGAAGAGCCTCCCGTTGTCAAGAAGGCCCTGATTGTCTGTCCGGTCACGTTGATTAACAACTGGAGAAGAGAGTTCAAGAAATGGCTCGGCCTTGATCGCATAGGTGTTTTCGTCGTTGATAACGATAGGAAGATTCGTCTGACCGACTTTACCAAGGGAAAAGCATACGCCATAATGATCATTGGATATGAGAAATTACGCACTGTTCAACAAGACCTGAAAAGAGGAACACCGATTGACATCATCATTGCGGATGAGGGTCATCGACTAAAAACTGCTCAGAATAAATCAGCTCAAGCCATCAAAGAGCTTGGCACGGAAAAGAGAATTATACTGTCTGGGACGCCGTTGCAAAACGACTTGAGCGAATTCTATACCATGGTGGATTTTGTTAATCCGAATCTTCTTGGGAAGTATAGTGCTTTCAAACGCGAGTTCGAGATACCAATCTTACAGAGTCGCGTGCCACATGCTACGACACGCAATATCGAGAAAGGTGAAGCACGAAGCGAGGAGCTAGCTCAGCTGACGAGCCAGTTCATTCTGAGACGTACCTCAGAAGTTATAGCAAAGTTTTTGCCCCCCAAAACTGAGACTATATTGTTTATTCATCCAACGGAGTCACAGGCTGCACTTTATCGAGCGGTGATTGACTCACCCATTTTTGGTGCTGTGCTTGGTTCGACAGAAGCATCTTTGCAGCTGATCAACTATCTCAAGAAATTATGCAATAGCCCAACATTGTTGACAAGCAAAGCTTCGGACGATTCGGAACCCAACCAAAATGTTGTAGCATTGCTTGAGAGCATTGCCCTGGAACGCATCAACGCGGGTCCAGGTGCCAAAATAAAGGTATTGGAAGAGTTGCTTCTCAAGATTAAAGGAACAAGTGATGATAAGGTTGTGCTCGTATCCAATTATACCTCAACTCTCGATATTCTCGGCAACTTGTTGACATCCATTGGTCTGCCATTTCTTCGACTGGATGGCAGCACACCCACAACAAAACGTCAAGGCTTAGTCGATTGGTTCAATAATTCTCCCGCCGAGAAGTACTTCGCATTTTTACTCTCTGCCAAAGCTGGCGGTATTGGTCTCAATCTCGTTGGAGCGTCACGACTGATCCTCTTCGACGTAGACTGGAATCCAGCTACAGACCTGCAAGCTATGGCTCGGATCCATCGCGATGGCCAGAAGAAGCAATGTTTCATATATCGATTACTCATCAAAGGTGCAATTGATGAAAAGATTTTCCAGCGGCAGGCTACCAAGACAGGACTAGCCGATGCAGTTGTGGATGCAAAGAAAACGGGTCAGCACTTCACATACGAGGAGCTGAGAGACTTGTTCAGCCTGGACGAGGGAAGAACATGTCAGTCTAGCCAATATCTAGAACGTATGGGGTTTGCAAACGTCTGTGAAGAAAATGACGAAGCCCGCATTGAGGACCAAGCCCTAAATGCCTGCCTTAGAGACGAAAGTGGAAGAATCTCTTGGATCTTTACGAAGACCACAAGATAGTGAACAGTACCAAAAGCTTCGATTCGTAGATTCTATTAAGGTACAATCGAAATATTCGGTGATATGTTTCGCGCTTTTCAAGAAATAAGTCGTCCATAATACTCGTGGATTCAATTTTCTTTTTAAATCGCAATCTTGCGGCCATAGCAGTGAGCATATCAGATAACTGAACTGGGTTTTGCGCGAGTCCTGATGAATACTCTGGACTTGTCCTATCAAATTCCATTGTCGTTAAAGCGGCAATGACCGTATGTACAACCCTCGCATAGATCGCTTCTGTGTGGAGATGTGCTTTGACCCGAGTAAAAAGGGGTCTCCACTTTCACTCCACACCATATTTTCAGACGATATGCGACACGATCTGCATACGAATCGTCCAATCTGGGCTTGCTTAATATTCCGCATCTCTTGCAGCGTTGATGATATACTCTTGCATTGTATTGTGCCCCACGATACATACGTATTGTGATGGCCACACGCTTACTCGACCACGCTTGAGTTGTACAATCTTTGTTGTAACAAGTGAACCGGCCCTTGATGCTAGTGTCCCATTCCTTCTCGCAATCACTTTCGTCCTCAGCGTGAAAGTCGAAAGACAAAGCATGCTCTTCTAGCAGTTCCGAGACCGCATCGTGTTGTGCTGGATACATAGACCACGGCTTGCCCCTTTTTTTCTGGCCGTGTTCTGACCTTGTGCGAGTCGAGGGTTGCTTTGGATGAACAGGAGCTTGCTTTGAATGAGCCGGAGCTTGCTTTACGCTGCTCTGAGCCGGGTCTGAGCTTGGCTGGCTTTGCTTGAGCTGGGTACGATGTACTTTCCTAGGCATAGTAAGAATGTTGGTACAAATTTGCTCGATAAAGTTGCGTTGTGGATATGATTACTATGTTGATAACGAAGTCTGTCTGGCCACCGTGGGAAATAAACTGCACAAGAATGTCGATAATAGAGGAGCAAAAGCTTAAGGAATCCTGTGATCAGTCACGGGAAGGCAATCTCCAGCTCTTCAGACCTTATGTGTCGTTCTGCACCCCCCTGATGCTCGTGTGGCAAGTAGCTATTGGGTAGCAGTCAAGCTTGCAAACCTGTATGGATTCAACATGGCCGCGAATGGGCGTTTACGTTTACAAAGCTCGAACATGTTTTCTTAGGACCACAGTGCAATTTTTGAATTAAGTGTCCTTCTAGAAGTCTTGCGAAGGTTTGCAGGGTACAAGCACACAAGTAGCATCACAGCAAGACGCTCGTCAGGTCGTATACGAGTTATCAGTCCATGCCATAATAAAAAATCATTTCCCGCCAGCCTGCAAGCCACTTTCCAAGTTAGTGAGCGTTACGTGCCATATGACCCGACGGCTGACAATAATCGGACGTGTAGTATGACAGTCTTAACGCAAGACTTTAGAGCTCAGCAAGGGCGGGGAAAGGTCCGCAGGATGGCCTCAGCAAGATATGGTCTGTTAAGTTTAACCGATTTCCACACATAATCACAAGTCCGATCTTGGCCTTGAATAGAGGTTCAATCGACAGCAATTCATGAACATGATTCCAAGTGAGAAATGAAACGTCTTAATCAGAATGAAAGGCCACCCAATTCAGTAGACCGAGCTCTTAGTTCGTCTCCCAAGGAATACATGTTTAAAAGCAGGAATCATGCAGCTTATAAATTGGAAAGTTCCGAGAGGATAACGCGAAGATTGTTGTAAGGGACTTTGAGAGAGCCAAACCCAAGGAATAACCAAGCTGGATCAAGGGATTAAGAATTGCACAGCAGCAAACCTGACGGACCACAGACTTCCTCCTAAGCTGTCAGGACACCTTTGGTATGCATATTTATGGCCCGTCCCGGGCACGGAGGACGCGAAAAATTAATATTAAGGACCCTTGCATCCCGCCAGTTGGAATGATAGATTTGAATTATGATAGGATCTCCTAACAAGTGAACTTCACGTGCTGAAATGGACTGCTGGATGCCCAGGTGAACTTGAATATCCCATGGCATAAGCTACTAATCATCTCCTCACCCAGCGCTTCACTGAAGATGCAAAGCCTCATTCTCCACAGCGTGTCTCAAATCGAGCCTCGGTGATTTGCCACTGCTTATTCAAGCGCGTCGATGTGCTCAGGGATAAAGTATCTCGGCGCGTTCCAGACAGATTCCAAGGGCAGACGGAAAGTCCGGCAATGGAGACTAGGCTGGATCCGTGCAAACGGATTTCAGACACATGCCTCGGCAGATCTACTATGACTACGTGTAGCCGGGGCTCGTCATGGCATCCTGCGGAACATCAACCTTTCTAGAAATCTGCTGAGCCCAGCTGGCATGTAAAGCTGTCGCAAACCTTTTCGTGTCTTTCTTGTATTCTCGACAATTGAAAATTGATTTGGTCGATCTTGGAAAATGCCCGTCTTATACGAGACGCGCCCCACACTGGTGCCTCCTCCGACGACCCCAGAACATCGAGCGCCGATAGAGAACATCCTCGAGTTGACACACTTGAAGGATATAGATCCGGTATGCTTACAGGATACACCGATAGTCCAGAATGCAGACTAAATGCTTAATCGCAGGATCTGTATACGAACACACGCCCGCTATGGCATCCTCCAGGAGCCCGAGGCATCTACGGCGGTGCTGTGATCGCACAGTGTCTAGCTGCAGGCCAGCACACAGTGGCGAAAAACTTCTATGTGCATTCGATGCATTGTTACTTCGTCATGGCTGGTGATGCGAAAATGCCCATAATTTACCACGTCGAACACGTTCGCGAAGGGCGCTCATTCGCGGTTAGGACCGTACAAGCAAGACAGCGAGGGAAAGTCATATTCACAACCACTATGTCGTTTGTGAAGGAAGGCTCGGGCGGAAAAAAACTCGTCGAGCATGCATATGACATGCCTTTGGTACCTGGCCCAACTGAGGACCCCGAGGATACTCGATTACCTCAAGGATCTCAAAGTCCATTCATAAGCCAACAAATTGATATCTTCAACAATGATAGTCCCAAGCCGCACACAAAGAGGACAAGGCAGTGGATCAAGGCGCGGGGCAAGATCAGTGAGGCAGGCGGTCACGAAGCACATCTCGCGGCCATGGCGTACATGAGCGATAGCTACTTTATCGGCACAATATCGCGGGTACATAAGTTGTGGAGGATACCAAGACCTATGCCGCGTGAACAAAAGGATCGCGCTCCGTGGGAAGAGAATTCAGCAAACGAGCAGAAGAAGCCGGACATTGTCGAAGACGAAGATGTGCTTGCCACGATCCGCAAAGCTGGCGTGGAGAAGATGAGGGAGTTGGCATCTCAGAAGAAGATCGTACCGCAGGTCGGAATGATGGTCAGCTTGGACCATACAATTTACTTTCATAATCCGAAGGCTCTTAAGGCAGACGAGTGGCTTTTCACAGAGATGGAATCGCCGTGGGCAGGTGACGGCAGAGGTCTTGTCATGCAGAGGATATGGACAAGAGACGGCACATTAGTTGCCAGCTGTGTGCAAGAGGTTTGTCGACTACTTCCGTACGCTTACACATTCGGATTGCTGACATTGGCAGGGTGTGGTGCGGCTCAAGCCGGACAGCGAGGCGGGAAGCAAGCTGTAATTGTTTGTTGCCCGCTATCTGTAAAACTATCCATTTCTATTGTCCACTTCCCAAGAGAGTATAGAGAGTCGAGAGCATTGGATACGCAAAGATAGAATCCTGTTGTTAGAAAGTATGCTATTTAATTTCCGTTGGAGAATAGATAGGCTTCGACACATTGAAGTAGTGTGCAAACACGGTCCGATTTTAGATCTTTTTTTTTTAGTTTGCCATATCCAGAAACTCGACCGTGATTAGAGATACTACGGCAGTACAATTGCGAAGGAGTTAGCAGCTTCTAATTTGTAATCATTCTGCAAGCATTCCGTCCGGAGAATGAAGAAACAGCAAGCTTTGGTGGAGCTTGACAAGCCAATTAGGACTCCTAAGCTCGGCTCGTGGCTGGTGCATCAAGTGCCATGCGGCAGGCATCGGATTTTAGCACGTCATGCTTGATATCAGTCTTTGACAGAAACATAAGTCAACTAAAAAAGCTGTGCTGATAAGCATGCAACGACACCAAGGGCATGGTTTCCAATCCAGGGTCATGGCGATGATCACATTGAACATGCCAAAACCGTGATCCTTGATTGGATCTCCCGCACTCAGATGCCCGTTCATCCTGCAGGAACTACTCTATGGAGTATCTCTGTGAGAAAAGAAGCGTGTAAAGCTGGGGTTGTGCATAGTTCGGTGGCAGAGAGTAAAGCCGAGAACTACAAAATGACGGGCAAGTCTCTGGGCAAAGGGCGTTTTCTACGTGCATCAATTGCTGTGAAGCAAGGCCTCAGATATTGCTTTTCTTCACGAAAATGCTTTTCACGACCCTGATAAGTTTAATATGGTGCGCAAGAATAGCGGAGGCGAGCTGGGCGAGGAACCTGAATTACAGGAGCCCTTCAGAGTACATATCTTTTGTTTGATGTCGAATAGCAAGCGGCTAACAAACTCAGAAATCACCCTTCGTTAGGTCTCTCAATTCGCAAGATCGCAAAGCGTCAAACACCTGGCTCCACGTTCGAGCCCTCGAAACTCAACTTCACACACGGTGTTGCCTCAGGTGGTAAGAGAACAGCCAACTTTAGTGCACAAAACACCCTTCTGAACTTCGTTAGATCCGTACCCCAACTCTGTAATTCTATGGACCCGAGTAGCTCCGAGTTCTGACAATGTCAACGATAACTCGACGGTCTCAGGCTATGTTCCTTTGTACTTCCATGGCCCAACTTCCGAAGAAATCAAAGGAAGCAAAGCTCCAATCTGCGTTAATTGGAAGGTTGCCAAGGACGAGGCGTTGACAGCAGTGGTCTCGTCAGGTACAGTCTTTACGAGCTCTGATATAGATTACACTGTCAAAGTCGAGGCGGGCAACCTCAAGCCATTTACGCAATATTATTATCAGTTTTCCGTGTGCAACAGCAACAACACGTCCCCAGTAGGGAGAACCAAGACGAGCCCCGATGCAGATGACGATATTACTTCTGTTTCACTAGCCGTATATTCTTGCTCGAACTTTCCTTTCGGGTTCTTCAACGCGTACGGCAACCCCGTGCGAAAAGATTCCATAGATTACGCCGTACATCTCGGGGACTACATCTACGAGTACGCCAACGGCGAGTACGGTTGGGGCCAGACAATTGGGCGCGTTCCGCAACCAGATCACGAAATATTCACCCTGTACGACTACCGCAAACGATTGGCCACGTATCGGACGGATCTCGACTTGCTCGCTTCGCACCAACGATTCCCGTGGATAACGGTGTGGGACGATCACGAGGTCAGCGACAATACATACCGTGACGGAGCGTCGGAGCTGAACAACACGGAAGCCTCGTTCATCGAGGACGGGGGTGTCAGCGTCGACCAGCGCAAGATGAACGCCGTGCGAGCCTACTTCGAATGGATGCCGATTCGTCAAGTTGAGATGGACGACAACCTCCGCATCTGGCGCTCCTTCTCCATCGGCAAGCTCCTCGACCTGATCATGCTAGACACGCGCCAGTACGACCGCTCGATCACGGATCTGTACTGGAACACCGACTACGTCCACGAGATCGCGGACGACGCCGGACGCTCGATGATGGGCTCCAGGCAGGAGAACTGGTTCTACTCCAGCCTGATCGCCTCGAACAAGCGCGGCGCCGCCTGGCGCTTGATCGGGTCGCAAACCGTGTTCTCGAAGCTGAACCAGTCCTTGGCGTACGGGAGCGAGAATCCCCTGGACTACGACGCGTGGGACGGCTACCAGGCGAACCGCAACAGGACGTTCCAGGTGCTGTACGAAAACGAGATCGGGAATAACATCATGCTCAGCGGAGACTCGGTGAGTGGCCATCGCACGAACACTTCCTCTTCTCCTCTCCTCCTCCTCCTCCTCCTCCTCCTCCTCCTCCTCTTCTTCTTCTTCTTTTTTTTATTCTTTTTTTATTCTTTTATTTCTTTCTCGTCTATTCTAGGTTCAAGTCAAAGCTGACGCCTTCTAGCATGCCTCGTGGGTCAGCGACCTAGTCTGGCTGGACGAGAAGGAATACGATCCCAAGACGGGCTCCAACTCCATCGGCGTCGAGTTCGCCGGCTCGGCCGTGACGCCTCCCTGCCCGTACGGGGCGAACATCTCGCTCGCGCAGGCGAACAACTACACCGTCTGGCTGGTGTCCAACAACCCGGAGCTTCAGTGGAGCGACCTGTACTACCGCGGCTACTACGAGCTGCACGTGTCCAGGGAGCAGGTCGTGGCCAGCTACTTCGGCATGCCGACCGTCGCGAGCAGGAACCCCTTGGAGATCTCGCTGGCCAACTTCACGGTCAGGAGCGGTGAGAACAAGTTGGCGCGGCCGGTCGGCGGCGGCGTGGTCGAGAGCGGAACGTTGAAGGGTGGCCAGACCAAGATCACGAACATCAGTACGTCTGCAGAGCCGAGGGCGCTCTCTCGCGAGATTCCGTTCTAGTTTGCTAACTGACCCGACAGCGCACAACACGTCAAACGATACCTGGTCGATCACCGCCTACAATCTCGAGGTCTTGTAGACGGAAAGATGGCGCACGGCTAGATTCAGGGAGGCACAATCGAGGAAAGACTTCAGAGTCACGTCCAGAATCGTAACGATGCACAAGATCATCCTTTCTTAACAGAAAGGGGTGGCTGGTCTCGACGACGTGGCTCACCCCCTTGTAGAGGTTACCCGATCTTACGCGGACTCCAGAAAATAATTCGTAGTTCCCAAGATTCTATGTACACCGTCGTAGTTACAAATAGAATTGACCTTCCCATGCCTTCTAAAAATCAGACTCCATTAAAAAAAACTCACCAAACAGGCCGTTTGGCAGGTCATGACTGCATTCCTCGCCCCTTTTCGAGCGACGCGCTCGACCGACTCTATGCACGCTGACCGGACGGCATGGACGTAGGCAGATATGCGAGAACGCAACGTTCGTGGAGGGTTTCTCTTTTTCTCCTCTTCTTCAAAACGTTTCAAGGGATGTAAATAGAGGCCACTCCATATTCCAGCTCGGCACAGGGCTGCACCGGCCAGACAAAGGCGCGACGGTGATTCGGTAAACATGCGTCGTGAACAAGGTCACTGGCTGAGAATGAGAGTTGCCCGCACGCGTAGTCCATGTCGATGGGCCAAGGCTACACGTACAATACGCGGAGTATAAAATGCAGGAAAAAAAAAGGGCAGCCTGCGGGTGTGTTGCGAAAGATCCATGAGCGAGACAACAGATACGCAGCACAGAATGCGCAGGTGCGACGACCACAAACACGGGGACCCCGCGCCAGCGCCAGAGGTTTCGCACCGTGCACTTGACGCCGGGCGACGCTCAGCATATCCTCATTCCGCAGCACTCGATGCCGGCGCCTCTGACCTCGACGGCGCGCCCGAACCACAGGTCCGCGAAGGCGACGATGAAACGGCGGTCGCGATCGCTCCACACGTCGAGTCCGCAGCGCCTGAGGTCGTCGCTCTCAAAACGAACCGTGTCCTCGTCATCGTCGTCGTCATCGTCATCCTCGTCCTGAGCGACGACTTGGCTCGGGGCGCGCCGGACCTCCGGTTGCAGCGCCATCTCGGCGCCCTCGAACAAGGTCCTGGTCAGGCGGTGGAAGTACGCGATGATTGCCATTTCGATCTCCGCACGTCTTTCGCCGCCGTGGTGGGCAGTGTCCTCATCGTCCGAGTCGTCACGGTATCTTCTCCGCTCGACTTCCCTCCGCACAAGGTCCGGCAAGTTGCCAAGTAGGGCGGCGTCCTGGTCATCCTCCGTCTTCAGACCCTCTTCGCGCTCGCCGGCCGAAGCCCACCACATGAAGCTGCTGTACGCGAGCTCGCTCCATGTCGGCTTCTCCGTGACCTTTTCCTCGTCCTGCCGATGCTGCAGTTCCTCCTCGCCTTCGTCGTCGAAGCGCTCGTGCACGCTGTTGAACAGCAGGTGAGTTTCCTCGCTATCTTCATCCTGCATGTCCACGCTCTGGCGTTCGCTCTCCATCTTCGTGAGCGGTGATAGCGCCCGTCTCAACGACCTGTACCGTCGTAGATCACGCTGCGTGGCCTTCATCTCGTCGCCGCTACCACTTAGTCTCATGACCGGCCAGCGCTGTGCTCCTGCGCCTTTGTTTCTTGGCTTCCTACCCGGCCCAGCCGTACGCAGCGATCGAGAAGGGCGTGGCAGCTCAACCAGGACGTCGTACAGTTCCGGTTTCATGGCGAGAATCTCATCTGTCGTGCAGGCTATGAAGCCATTGTACCCCGGTTCTGAGTGCGCATCTGAGGACGACCCATTGGACAGCGGTTTGCTCAAGGTTGTGAGATAAGGTATGTCGTGGATGCCTAGATTGAACAGGGGTCTCAACCGCGTCAACGCCTCCGACGGCGGTGTGTATGAAAGCGAGTGAGGTAGCGAAGAGAGTATAGACAGATCGTAGACTAGACCAAATCTGAGTCAGCGATTTGAATCGGCGAGAGGATCCTCTCAGCGCTGGACAACCACATACCGTATTCACAAGGCGCTTTCACGGGCGGAGGCGTGACGATCAAGATCCTCCTCCTCAGCAGCGCCATCCTGTGCAGCGCGAAAGCAAGCGGGCCAAACGTGTCCAAGAACCCCAATATCGAGTAAGCAGGATGATGCTCGGGCAACGTCTGCTGGAGCACGCCGCTCGCTCCGAGCGTTACGCTGCTGAGGGCCCTGTTCCTCCGCCGGGCGACCGTGAAGGGGCTGTCCGGCTCCTTGCTGACCTCTCCGTCGCCGTCGCCAGAGGCCCTGTGTGCGTCCCAGTACTCCTCCAGCGGACGGACCTCGCCCGTGTCGGCCACGAGCCGGGCAGCGAGGTCCGTCAGCGGGCCGGCGTGTTCCCAGGCGCGGCCCAGACGGCCGTCGCCCAGACGGACAAGCGCGCCGACGGCGATGAAGCGGGCGCCGCGTTCGCCCTGCTCCGCCTCCGCGTTGCGGAAGGCGCTTACGCCGGCCCATCGCTCGTGCACAAAGTACACGAGGTCGTGCTTGACGTTGTGGAGGCCCGAAGGGAGCGACTTGTACTCGACGACGCCTTCTAGCGGCACGCCGGCGAGGGACTGCTTCCATGCGATCGTGTATCTGTGATTGTGCACCGTCAGCTTGACGTTCCGCCTCACACGCAATCTTTGTCCCCGCAACCGTTACGCACCCAACTTTGACGTCAAACTTGATCAGAAACAGCGCCGCGAGCGGCGGCGGAGGCTCCCAAGACGACGCCTGCGATGCGCTAGCGCCACTCTGTTCTGCCATTGCGCCCGCGCGACGGGGAAGACGGCGCTTCTCTGCGGTCGTGGAAGAATTGGGGTTCCTTTCTTTGACTTCGCTCGAGCGTAGTCCCGCAGCTAGGAAGCTTGGTAGCGAGGCTGTGGAGGGAACTCATTGCTCGAACCATCGTGCATGCAGCGGAATTACCGAGCTAGGCTGAAACAAGAATCCTTCGCAAGCCACTCAGCCTGACATCCTCGGTGTCGTCAAGACCTTGATGATCACTCAAATGAGCCGTCAGGAATTGCATCTGAAGTGCATATCTTGATTTTGCATAGTCGTACAGATACCATAATGTTCCATGTGGATGCCATCCCTTCTATCACGCCGGAGTCGTAAGCCAACGCGTCCTGTGAACCAAGCACATGTTCCCCGCCATGACTCCAAATGAAAGCCACCCTCAAAGGAAGAGGGGGCAGAAGTAGTGCCCGCATCTTCTCGATGCGAGAATATTCATATACCCATCCTTATCCCGGCCCTTTTGTTTCTAAAAAAAAATATGGTGTGAGGAGAAAAGAAAAGACTTATGTACAGCAATGGCCATCATGTCATATGCACCCAAACCCGTCCTGAATCTAGATCAAGTCATGCATTCCGTTACGAGCCACGCCCGGCGCCTTTGCTCGGCCGTACGCTGTGATGTTCGACGCCAGCCCTTACTCTCCCGCTGCCGCTTAATCTAGCAGCACCGTTCTGTCTGCTTCCCGTCAAGGCCTCCTCGTCGTCGGGCTTCTTGCCTTTATCGTCCTCTTCGCTATCTTCGGCCAGGTCATCCAGCCCAAAATTGTCCATCAATCCTTCCCTGCTCATGCTGTTCCGGCTGGCGTTGCTCCCCCAGCTCACTCGCCTGCTGTGTCCGCCTCGTGGCGTCTCCACGCTGCTTCGCCGTGCCTGCATGCTTCTCCGCGTGCCGAATGCCGTGAGACTGTCGGTCGGAATGGCATCTTCAAAGCCGTGGATCAGGCCGGGGCTTGGCTGGCCAAGTAAGCGGCGCCCGTCTGGATCCTCTCGCGAAAGGTTGAGTAGGTAGACGCCGGCGAAAATGATCAGGAAGCCGCAAAGTAGGGAGATTGTGTTCACGGGGTCCGTCGTGTTGAAGCCTCGGAAGAGGATGAAGGATGCGCAAAGGGTCGCGGTTGTGAACGTGACGTAGTAAAGTGGGTTGACGCTGCGGCAGATAGTCAGCAAAGCAGGCTCCTGGCCACGGTTGAAATGCATAACCCACATGTTGGTCGAAAACTGGCTGAGAGCCTTGTTGAAGTAGTTCATCTGTGTCAAGATGCACACGACCACGATGATCATGAAGACATACGTGCTGGGATGCGTGAACTGGTTGTTTCCGCCGAACGTGAGCTTAACGGCGATGCCAAACGCCTTGACGGCCATGATGCTCACGCTGCCGACGGTGCTGCATATACTCAGATACACCATAGGGTTCTTCTTGCCGTAACGCGGGGACACGCGGTAGATCATGACAAGGGCGAACACGGTAACAAGGGCACAGTAGAATAGGAAGCCCGGTTGCAGGGCGAGGTGAAGGAGCTCTTCAATGGTCTCGATTTCCTTGTCCGGGGGCGCGTGCAAGACGATGACGACGGAGCCAGTGAGGCAGATCGCGCAGCCGATCTTTCCCAGCACGCCTAGTCTCTCTCCGAGGAAATATGCACCTAGAACGGCACTGATTTCGGTATCTCCCGTTAGTCTCCCTCAACTTTAACCACGCCTTCTAGCCCAGAAGCTGGACGGACGATGCGGACACGTACCCGATGAGCACACTGAGGGCACCAAGCGGCGTTACCAGAATTGCCGGCGCAAACGCATAGGCGGCGAAGTTTGCTACCTCGCCTACCACCACTGATGTCACGTCAGCGTCGTGATCCTGCTATCACGGCTTGATCATGTTGCGTTGGGGTCGGAGCGTACTCGTCACGATGCCCCCCCACCACAGCGGGCTCTTGAGGTAGGAAAAGCCGTCGCCCTCGAAGCCATGTCTGTCGCTCGCCTCGTTCAAGCCCTGCTTCGGTCAGCAGCCGCAACAGCAGACACACAGCGCGCAGGTGGAAAAGCGCACCTTCTTCGTGATGACAAAACTGGAGCCTGCGTCGCGGTCAGCCCTTTCCGATTCTGCACATGCGCAGGCCGTCGATTGCGCATACCAATAGCCAGCGTGCTTGTCACCGCCAAACTCAGGCCGATCCACTTGTCCTCGAGAACCATGATGAAGTCGCCCGTCGCAGTTGACCGGAGCTCAAAACGTGGTCCGACTCTTTAGCGGCAGCGTATGATCGCCAGCGGGCCACGTTCCGCCCGGCTGTTGGTCAGGAAAAGGTTCGTAAACGACAGGATGATGGGAATGAGGAAGAGACGAAAGCGCTGATCGTCAGAGTTGACGTCTCTACGTTCCGAGTCCCCTTCGTGGTGGTGACAGTCTTTCCTCGGTGGCAGCGTCGCGTTAGTGTTCCGAAACCCTACTGCTGAGAGGTTACCGTTTCAGCTCTGGGCGTGCCGTCCGTTCGCGCACAAGCCGTGACCTGGCCGCCCAGCCCTGCGCAACTCCACACGGTTTGCAGAAAAAGCTTAGGAGAGAAACAAAAGAAGGGGGCTGGGAACGATCCGCAAAAAAAACAAGACAAGAAAAGAGCGAAGTTGGGTGGGAGTGTGGGCGAGTGCGAACGAGCGATCGAGACGCTAGAGAGAGACAGAAAGCGAGCTCGAGAGAGAGGCAGAGAGCGAAAGAGAGTGTGTGCGCGTGTGTGTGGTGAGAGAAAGCGAAAGAGAAAGAGAGCGGGAGCGCGTGCGGGAAGCGGCGTTAATTGCAGCAGACGGGCCGCGGAGCCAAATCTCCTGCTTCCCAGCGTGAAAGTCGAGGGATAGGCAGATAACAGGTGTGCCCTTTTTGGCGCAACCGATGGTGCGCAAGCGGTCATGCACATGCAACGGTCCTTAAAGGAGAAGATATCACGTCGACACTGCTGGATGTCGTCGCCCTCAGTTGGGACCGCGTAATTCGTGGGTCCGGCCGGCGGCTTCCCAGCGCTAAGCGACCCGCCTAACCCTGCAGAAACGGGGGGGGGGGGGCTGCCCTTTTCCACGGGGCGTCTTGGGGCGCAGCGTAGTGGGTCGCCTCAGCGCTCTCTTACTGGCTGTCCGCCCTCTTGTTTTGCTGCCCGTGTCCTGACCTGAGAGCGGCGTCGTGAGCGCCTCCAGATTTCTGCTCTCGATGACCGATCGGCTGATCACAGGGGTTCCATGCACTACTGTGTTACTACGCTCCGTCTCTGTTCTCTACCCGTTTCATGCTCCGCCATGTTTCACCTGCCGTAGCTCCGTAGATCCCGCCAGCAGTGGCTTGAAGCGGAATGGCCGTCGCATCATCTACATTGGACGCGCACGTGGTTGAGAGAGGAGAAGCTGACGAGGAAACTTGCGCCTGCCATTGGACTGATCACTGCTTTGGAATTGGCACCATTCATTGTCTGTCTGCCGACGAGATTGCATCTTGAGCATCTCCGTCGTGATTATGTCACATTCGACACGCTGCTTTGTTTCGAGCGTGGTGGGAAAAGAAGAAAAAAAAAAAAGAAAAATAAAATCGAACGCAGCGCCAACCGAATGCTGAGCTGCTGAGCTGCGTGTGCGTTTCCTCAGCCGCACAAGGGTATCATCTGGTCCTGTTGTGTTTTTTTTACCCATACTCCAAGCCCATGCTTCAGAATAAAGCCTTCATGGCAGCGAAAGACCTGCCCGCAGAGATGCTGCAAACCTCTGCTAGACACAGGCGTAAGTGAACTTTGAGTAGTCATGAATTGAAAAATGGAAACGAAACGAAAAGAATGGCGTCCGATCGGCTGTGAAAGTTAGTCTTCAGGATGTGGCAACTTACATGCATACCTTCTGCGGCACGAAAGCACGGGCACTTTGGCCCAGCTGGTGAAAGCGGTAGCGCCACTTCCCTCCGTCCTCGATATCTGAGTGCTGCATCGGCAGCCTTTATCCGCTGAGCTGTAACTACTACATTCGAAAAGTGACGATTCTTCAGGGCCTCACTTCAAGCCGCGGTGCAGTGACCGAGATCGAGCTGATCGGCCAGGCGACTGCCTCCTTCATGGACAAGGAGAGAGAGTTGGGGAGAGAGGACTCTATATACGCCAGACGTGAGTTCAGGCGGCCTTCAAACGCTTCGACTCTGGTGGCTGTCAGATGTGATGAGGTGATACGCGTGCACGCTTAGGCGAACCTTGATCGCTCCCATCAAGCAGACCATCCTCATCCTCTTCCCGGCTACGCTTGCCATGAGGTGAGGTCTCAGATGCTTCTTGCGTGGTTGCTTCTTGAGTTTCTTCATTTTCGGCCGCGAACTCATCGTCGTACGTGATTTCGTCTTCGTCTCCTTCCTCCGATTCGTCGGGTACCTCGAAGGTACCAGAACGCGCAGTTGCAATATCTGCACCCTCGGGTTGACAGTCATCTTGCACCCACTTTTCGTCGGCACCGTGGCTTTTCTCGTCGGATGGCGCTCCTTCGATATACTCTCCTTCCGCGCCGTACTCGTTATAGTCGTCATACTCTTGGTCAAAGGTGTCAGTATCTAATGTATGATTGTCGAATGAATCTGTGTGTTGTTCGTGGCTGGTGCCAAAAGACTCCTGCGCATTGGGTCCGGAGTTTGCAGAATCATAGTATTGAGCGCCATATTGACCTTCGTCGGAAGTGGCTTGATTATTAGCAGGGACGTCATCAATCTGGACTGCCTCGGACGTCTCATCATCATAGTCCTCTTCATCGGGATAACCGATCAGCCACATTCCTCCATCTTTAGAAATTGAACACTCACTTGGAGCTGTCAGCTGGGCTTCTTGTAAAGTTGACGATCCGGAAGAGCTCTCATCGCCTTCGTCTGGCGCTGCAACGAGCTGAGACGGTTCATTCTGATGCTCTTGACGATCTTCGTTCCAATCTTCGCCCTCATTTTTGCTACCATTCTCCGCATCACTTGCACTCCTGCGGTCTTTGCTTCGACGTTCGAAATTCTGGGGGTCATGTGCAGAAGCCTCCGTCTTCAAATTTGCAGTTTGCGCCTCGGCGTCATCGTCCTCGACCCGTTCTTGATCCTCTCGTTCATAATCGCCACTCTTCTCCTCTTTGTTTGCATCTTCTAATCCAGCTTCTTCAGCATAGTCATCACCTCCCTCAACCACACCATCCTCCAGCTCCTCTTCTTCTTCTCCTTCTCCTTCTCCTTCTTCTTCTCCTTCTTCTACTTCTTCTTCTTCTTCTTCCCCATCTTCCCCTCCTTCTCCTTCCTCACCACTGCTGCGCGGGGACTGCTTGAGTGTCTCGTCCTGATAAAAAGGCAGATCATACAGGCCTTTTTTCTCGCTAGCTGCCTTGAACAAGCTACTTAGTTGCGCTGATAATCGGTCCTTGACATTCATTTCGACGTAAAGGGGAGGGGGATCTTCAAATCCAGCATTACGCATAAGCTCAACGTAAACTTCTATAATCTGGGCAAGGCTAGTTTCACGGCAATGAGTTGAATCCTGTTCAACGTCAGTACATGTGATGCTTGCGGAGAAGTTTAGGGTGCTTACTTCAGGAATAGTTAGATTTAAGCTGTCGATGTAGAGCTCCAGCTCTAGATCATCATTAAGATCCTGATCCAGCACACTGCGACAAGCACGGAAGAAATCGATTAATGTGCTCGAAGCAACAGACGAATTTTGAAGCAAGAAGGTATTGGGGTCATCATGTTCAGAGGTAGGGAAAAGAGAATACTCTACACTTGAAGCGTAGTAAATGGTCACGGGGTGGAGAGGAGTCAGGTTGTTTATTTGGGTCGTTGTAGCCGCTTCTGGGGCAGATGCCAACTCAGAATCTGGACCAGAGTGTGCTCGTGTCAGCTTGTCCGCTCCATCTGTGGCGAGATCATCCTTGGATGTAGCAACAGCTTCATGCTGATTGGAGTGGGCCTGTGAAGACAGGAACGGCTTCGAGGATTCTAGGTGTTGGACTTCCTCTTCTACTGGGGGGATCAAGTCGTCTTGCCCCATTGCTTGGCTGGACGCATCTGTTGACTTCGCAAAATCTTTCGGAGCTATCCCATCAGACACCAAGCTGGGCTCATTTCCGACTTGCGGCGGTTTGGTTGGCTGCTTGGATATCGCCTCGACATGTGGAGCTAGCTCAGGTTTCTCGTTTGCCAGTGGCTCTTCAATAGCAGAAGTCGTAGATACAGCGTTAAGCTCTTGCGTAGGTTCGACCAGTTGATCCCCTTGGTCTTCCAGGGTTTCATAATCAATCAATGTCTCTTCTTCCTGTTCTTGGTATGTATTATCCACCTCAAGATCTACATCTTCTGTCGCGTCATATAAGGTCTCAGCAGTGGCAGGGCGAGAATCAAGGTCTATGTCCACGTCTTGAGGATTGTTATGAGTCTCAGTATGAGCTGGAGTGTCATCTTCCATGGTATCCTCCTCTGCGTAGGAGATTTCGTCACCATCATCGTACATTAGATCGTCGGCAGATGCGTGCTGGCCAGATGCCTGCTGATTGCCTCGATCTGTGGCGGCATCTTGAAGCATCCAATCTACGCCGTTGTTGGCATCATCGTCGCCCATGAAATCGAGATCTATATCTTGGTCGCCTCTGCCAGCATCGGAGGATATCTCCATGGTATCATCGGCCGTAGGTACACCCAGCGCTGAAGGCATGCCAGAAGTCGCCATGGTGGCCATCTCCAGAGATGAGACGTAACCGAGGTCCTATGAACGGCAGAACCGTTTCTATAGACGCAACTCTGTGTCCTCGTAAAAGCAGATGAACAGGATATCACAGCTACGTGTCAGTAGGGTAGGAAGACTTTGTTGCTTAGTTGGCATCAAAGCACATTTGTTGCACTCGTGGATGGTCAGGGTCGAAAGGTGAGGAGTCGCGTACAGGACTGGGAAACGACGGTTGCTACGCGATATGAAAAGGTTGTACGCGTTTTTATATTGATAATAGTATGCCGCTGGGTCACTTGCGGCGCATCATAGACAGTTGGAGCGTCTATGTGGATGCAAATTTCTAAGAAAGAGGTTGAGCTTCGTGAGGAGAAAAGTCGTGGTGCAGTGAACGGCCGCCTGGAAAAGGGAGCATAAGCTAATCTACTAAGGCACGTGATGCTGACGTAATCGAGGTGCCCACTCCAGGGTCGCAATTGAAGACAGCTGGAGCATCCGTATGGGGGTTTGGGAGCAGTTCTCTCGAGCATAACCAGTCACCCTTGCACCTTTGTTCTTTCTTTCTTCCCTTTACTCAATTCTACCCTCTACGCCCCTCTCGATTAGAAAAAATGGTGGGTGTGCTGACGAACGAGCAGAGTATTATGAGCTAACCGTCCGTTACAGATTCTCAACGCTTCAAGTATGTTCCGATCCGCACGGCGAATTTAAGCCACGCAAGCGCTAATAGCAGTCCAGTCATAACGCGAGGGGGCAAGATTGTGGTGTCACGATCGTTCAGGGAGATTCAACGCTCGAGAATAGAGGCTCTGCTAGCGTCGGTATGGAAATCAAAATGTCTACGTAGCCATAGAGCCCGACTGACTTCATATTTGCAGTTTCCGAAGCTTGCAAGCTCTGGCTCTGGATCGCAACATACTGTAGTAGAAGCCAACTCAGTCCGCTATGTCTGGCAGAACCTGTACGTGACACCAGAATACCATACTTGAAGCCATTGCTTACTCTTCTCAGCGAGGAGTTCTACCTTGTCCTCATCACAAATGTTGGCTCGAACAGTACGTTAACGGGAAAATTGAGTAGAATTGGCGCTTAAACAGCAAACAGTTTTGCAGGATATCGACTCCCTTCACTTGTATGCACAAGTTGTTACTAGCATCTGCAGCAAGACATTGGACGAGCGAGAGATTTTGAAGCATGCCTTCGAACTACGTGCGTACATCTCTACTCTTTGGAGCTGATTTACTGAGTTAGTGATTTAGTTAGCGCATTTGACGAGCTTGTCACCCTCGGGTATAGGGAAAACCTTACTCTCAGCCAGATAAACACGTTCCTTGCCATGGAATCCCACGAAGAACGGATCCAGGAAATTATTGCCCGCAATAAAGAGCTTGAAGCAACAGAGGAGAGAAAACGCAAGGCGAAGCAATTAGAAATGCAGCGGAAAGAGATGGCTCGAAACGCGAGGGGAATGGCTGGCGGAATGTCCGCAGGAATGGGCGGTGGTATGGGAATGCGGCCACAGTCGTATTCATCCTACACTCCTCCGTCACAACCAGTCAGTGTGCCTGATACATATGATGCCTACAATGCAGAGAAGAAGAAGCCCATGGCGATTCGTGGAAAGGGCATGCAGCTGGGCAAGAAGTCGAAAACTGGCAATGCCTTCGAGCAAATTCGGGGAGAACTTGGACCCGAGGCAGAGACAACAGCGCCTCTGGTTGCGCCAACTGTTACATCACCCAAGGCCGCACCTGCGAGTACAGCCCGAGCATCGCTGTCTGGTGACAGAGAGCCCGTGCACGTTGTTTTCGCAGAAAGCATATCTGCCAATCTCAGCAGAGAAGGCACCCTGGAAACTCTCGACGTCAAAGGCGATCTGCAACTGCGGATTACAGACTCGTCGCTCACCCAGGTTAAGCTCACCATAGCTGCGGGCGATACAAGAGGTGCAAATCTCATGGCACACCCGAAGGTTGATAAAACGCTTTTCAGAAACCAAAAGGTTATTCAGATGGCAGAATCTGGAAAAGGATTCCCTACAAACCAGACCATTGGAGTGATGCGCTGGAAAACAACACTCAAAGGTGCGGATGTTGAAGACCCACCACTCACCTTCACTGTGTGGGTTAATGATGCTGGAGGCAACACATGGAATGTCACAGTTGAGTACGAGTGGACGGGTGGCGATGCTCTGAAGGATGTGGTTGTCACAATTCCATATCAAACCAGTGAGCCTGCCGTATCGAGCTTTGATGCCGTCTACGAGGTTTCAGGAGACAGCATCGATTGGACTATTGGTACCGTTGACGGTGACAATGCCAATGGTCAGTTTGAATTTGAAGCGCAAGCTACAGATGACGCAGAATTCTTCCCCATGATGGTCCATTTCAACAAAACGAAACCGTTTGTAGACCTTGATGTAAGTATTTCATCAAAACTAGCTACATTGCTCAGAGGCTTACGCACTTGTCAGGTTACTTCGGTGCAACTACTTGGTGTAGGACAAGATATCAACTTCTCGAAAGAGGTCAAGTCGACGGCAGATAAGTACAAGATTGGTTGAAGCAATAGTATACGAAGATACTAGGTCGTTTATTTCACGCTCCGATGGTGCGGGGCCAGGGCAAAAATCAGCATTCTAGACAGTGGCATCTGAAATGAAAATTATGTTCATTGTGACTCCCGTGCCTTCATTTCCCGGATAATAATATCCTTGTTCAGAATTTGTGGAACTTTCTGTTCAGAGCTGAGTGACCAGTGTCTTCCAGATTTGATTTGTGTTTGTGCTCTTGCCTCATCGATTTCGAACTTCGAGTTATTCCCGAAACTTACACCTCCCATTCCAACAGAAACCACATGCTCTGATTAGCACTCATACCCATGAAAGGACTGGAATTTCCGAATGCTTCATCATGGAGACAGAGAAGACTCCAAGACTTTTGCTCCACGCGGAGAAAATACTCCCGCAGCCTGTGCATGCGCATCTGATTGCGTGCTGCCCAACGATGGACCTAGTCGCAGTGGTAAATCGGGAAGAACAGCTTAACGTATACAGGTTTGGAGGACAGCGCGCTTTTGGATTGCAAAGGAGAAGCGGTGAGAGCACAGTCGTAAGTTTGGGCTGGAAGTTTAACGGTAAGCACTTCGCTGCGTGTTTTTTTTGTCGCGTCAGTATTTTTTTCCCCTGTTGTTTATGACCTCATTTGTGTTCACAAACACACGTTTTGGGCCGTTTCTTTTTAATTGCAACATCTCTACCCGTGATAAGGACGCGATGCGATGCTGATTTGATAGGGCAATATCTTGCTGTCGGCTGGTCCGACGGCATCGTCGAGGTAGTGTCTGCCGAAACGGGCAACGTACTTCAACACTTTCGACAGCCATCATTATCTGGAAAAGCACAGGATGAATCTGGACACCAGTCGAAAGTGACGTGCATTGGATGGTGCCTTAACTTTGTCGAGGTCGAGTCGGTAAAAAGGAAGGCAGGTACATTTCACTCTGATGTATCAACAGCTTTGCCTCCGTTTGACGATCTTAATCCTGAGAATTGGTATGGACGACACGAAAAAGTCTCGCTTGATGACTTCCTCGAAAGGATTCCAGATCCCGGAAAGGTGAACTTGCCTCTTGATTTGCCCAGCCAACTTGCACGCCTAGATATCTCCAGCTCAATGCTCAAGCTTCCACCTCTTCCCCTTCTCCCACCTTCTGCATACAAGCATGATGACCATCCTTCTGCAGAGCTTTTCGCATCTCAAATTACTTTAGATGCTGCACTGTATTCCAACAGCATCCAGAACAATTCTCTAGAAGCATTGTTACTTGCACAAGACAGCGGAAATGTCAGACTAATTCTATACGACGCCCTTAGCATCGGTGAAGTCTCCCTACCGACTGAGTGGAGGCTGTCAACGGTGAAAATGCACAGGGTCGCATCTCATCCATTTTCTAGCACGTACATGTTTCTCGTAGGGCTACCATCAGACAATGCAAAGCCCAGAAGCGCTTTGCTTCCACTGTCATTGAGATTTTTGCACTCCAGTGGCAACCAGTTACACATCATCGAATCAAAGACAGCACAACTCGAGCTTCTGGTGCAGTATGTAGGCGAATGCTTGCTTGCACTCTGTCATCACTGGAAACATGCACAGGAGCTACCAGGCAAATTCATGGCTGGCATCAACGACGATCTAGCGGAAAAGAACGAACCAAATCTTGTTCAATCGTTATTCCATCTGGCAGCTACGGGAGATTGCCCCCCGACGCTCAAAGAATGGCTCGTGGACATTCTTGCAGAACGAGTAAGCACGCACATCTTTCTCGAAACGTTCAAGCTCTAAGCATAACAGGGACATAAACGATGGGATCATTCCATCACGCATGGATATACAAAAGTTCTCGAACTAACTCACGAAAACCTCCTTCCGGCACTGGATCGTTGCGTTGCGATTTTGAGCCATCTTCGAGGCCTTGCCATCTATTACGAGCACAGCCCTGTTTTCAATGTTCCCTACACTGCTTTCGACACGATATTGAACATCATCAGATGCATCCGCCTCCTTGCGCACCACGTTCTCTTGTACTGTAGCGAAGAGACACAGCAATTCCATACCTTTTCAAAGTGGCTCCGCCATGAGATTGACCTTCAAGCCTCGGATTCGCCTCCTGACCCAGCAGAAGAAGTCGAGCAAGACATCAACGTCGACTATTCGTTACTTCTTGCGTATATTCAAGGTGCACTTGTGAACAGCAAACTGGATCCCTTCGTTAAATGGGAGCCAGATCTTCCGCCAGTAACAGCATCTTTAAGTATGTACGACGATATAAAGAAAATTTTGAATTCGTTCAAGAAACGCGGCGACGTGGACGAGGAGCTCATCAATATGAGGGCGTATTTCGACGAGTGGATGAGACATAATCGAAGGTTGGTAGATCAGATTACTAGTCACCAACGAGCAAGCAGTTTGATCACAACTGGAATTGTGATTGAAGAGGGAGAGCCACTAGTCTCTGATATTCGAATGGTTTATGAGAGCACAACCGAAGGAATGCATGGCAAAAATGAAAACACTGTGGCTACGATTACGGCAATCGTTCATAAAAGCACCCCAAACCAAAGTAGGATTCATCATTATCGAGAGACGTCACATTGGCTGACCCAATACCAGTTAACTTCACGAAAATCACTCATGATACGGACTTCGAAGGATTCAAATCGATACGAAGCTCGCTGTCTGGCGCTGTGTCACTCCCCTCTGGGAACTTGATATGCGATCTGAAGTTCGAGGATGACCAGAGTTTGATGCTGCTGGTTACGCAAGATGGTAGTTTTCACACCTCCCACCATTCCTGAATGTTTGCTGAGATGTGCAGATCATCGTCATCTGGTATCTATTCCTTATACAGAGAGCATCTCCGCTTCCTTCATCAAGGGACGCGATGCTGAACTTTGCCAAGTACCGGATGGGCAAGCCTTGAACACCAATAGAAATGGATACAGCATATCTGATCACGAAATGAAACGATATACGAAGCATACATTTGAACCGGACGACAGATTCCATCCTTTGAAAATAGAAGTCAACGGAAGGCGCAACCGGCGATTTGTGGTAGCGCTTGGGGAAGATAAACGGATGATGAGAATATTTGATCTTGACTATAGCGAAGATGAGATTCCGCATAATCGGCAACCGGGAGTTGGGCTGGATCGACCAGGGGACGAGGATAGCGATGAAGTCATGAAAGACTGACATTAGCTTCGGACGCCAGGAGCTTGAAGTCGAGCATCCCATCGAAGTGGAACAAATGTAGCCACCAATTGATTTTTTGGGAAGAGAAAAAATTTCCATCACGTCGTGTACAGAGATCACTTCTTCAAGTACGGTCTGTTTCAAAATTGTCTTAGTCGCGACATATTCGTTGTGGAATCCTAGTCAACGATATCTTTAGTAGCTACAATGAGCAGTGTGAGGTTGAGAAAGATCGTCGTTGACGAACTGACATCGCAAGACAATGCAATCAGCGTTTCTAAATAGAAGAGCTACCGTCATTTTCATTTTGGGATCTGTCGAATTCTACGTCTATACACACTTTCGCTCGTTGTCTTGGAGAAGGAGCCCGAAGAAACGACACCGGTGTTTCCAAATTTGGAAAGGGAAGGACTTTGATCCGTAATTTACACCAAGAATTTACTTAGATGTCCTCAAAGTCAGTCAGCAAATAGGTTCCATCCAGTGAGCTAACCTCTTTTCACACTCCTTTGAATACACATCGCTTTGTTTTTGGTCGATCGAGATGGAGATCCGCGAAGCGCGGCCGGCCGACCTGTCCACGATCGCAGACTATTCAGCGGCAGTGTTCCAAAGCGACGAGCTCTTCTCGTGGCTCTATCCACGATATGAGGAATATCCATGGACAATTCGAGTGGACTGGCTGCAGAGGACGCGCAAGAGAATGGTCGACGTTGGGACAAGGATCTTTGTAGCCGAAATCGACGGCGAGGTTGTGGGGCACGCAGTCTGGAAACGCGTGGGCGAAGATGCAAATGCGGCAAAATGGATGGACGATTCTCTGTTCAAGAGTGAGTGGTGAGGATTGCGAACACAATCGTGTGCGTGCTGATCAACTGCGCGACGTAGGGCTTGAGAGGCTACTGATTGGCGTTGAGCTACGCTACCGAAGGATTCTAGACAAGGCGATAGATAGGGCGGCTCTGAAGCAGTATGAGACCATAGCCGATTTTAAGTTTTACAAGCAGTTGGCAGCGACCGGTTATCTGCATCTGGCAGGGCTTGCCGTCGCTCCGAAGCACCAGCGCAAGGGCATCGGGCGCGAACTGATCCATTGGGGGCTTGACGTAGCCGCAGCGGAGCAGATACCTGTCACACTGGAAGCTAGCATGGCTGGCCGCGGTCTTTATTCAAAACTGGGGTTCTTAGTCATCGAGAAGAACATCATCAAGGATGATCTCGAGGGAGTCGCAATGCTTTGGGAACCCATCAAAGGCTGTTGGCTTGAGCAGGACGACAGAGGTAATGTCAAACTGAAGGCCTCATCTGGATCAGGACAAGGATGCCCAGAATAGCCAACTCTGGAACTTGTCAGTCCACGTTGGGAACGCCAGCATGGCCGAAAGCGTGAGCCTATGCAGAAATTGATTACAGGAGTAAGCCCAAACGCTGCAGTGTAGATCGCCGGCGCGGTGGGCCGAAGCCCTGGCACCGAAAAAAAAGTGCTCACGAGTGCGAGGCACCAAGTTTGACTTGTACGGTTTGTGCCGCCATAGCATGTTTGAACAGCTTTTCTTAGTTCTAACGAAAAATTTATATCAAAAGGAGATTGGAGAAAAAAGCGAGCAGGCGTGGAAAGGGACCTAGAACGGTCAGCCGCCAAGGCGTCGTACGATAATCCAGACAGCGTCTGTTCACCTGCCTCTCTTCCAGAGCTTTTTTGTTTTTTTGTGTTTCGCCTAACTTCTGCTTTCTCTTCTCGAACTCAGAACCCTTTTTGGTCAGCTCGTATTCCTCTTCCTGAACGCTTTCGCTTTGCGAAGTTCGACGTGGTAGCTCGATGGCGCAAAGACATCATCCTACCTGGAGCACGTCCTTCAGGGACCGAGCTTCTCTGCCTGGCACTTCGCCGCTTGCCGCGTATCTTCTGCACCTAATTACGATCAAGAAGTCTAATCTGTGTGTCTCCGCCGATGTATCTACCACATCTGAGCTCCTCGCGCTTGCAGAGGAAGTGGGCGACTCAATATGTCTACTCAAGACCCACGCCGACATTATCAACGACTTTAGCGATCGGACTGTGAGAGGGCTACGAGACATTGCAAAGAGAAAACGATTTCTAGTCTTTGAGGACAGAAAGTTGGGAGACATTGGCAGTATGTTTGAGTTCAGCATTTCCTTCGATTACAGCCGGGTTACACCGCTGTTGATATGCAAACCCAAAATCCCTTCTGAGGACTAACAATATCGAAGGCACCGTGCAGAAACAATACACATCCGGGCCTTTATCGATAGCAAAGTGGGCTGAGATTGTCAACGCTCACATCTTCCCGGGCCCTGCTATCGTCTCCGCTCTCAAAGCTGCTGCGTCCTCAGCAATAGCCGACTACAATACAAAAGTGCACACAGAGGTCACTGCTGGATCGCCATGCTCTTCTACGAACCATGAAGATGAAGAGATGCATGATGACAGCGTAAAAGCTGGAGAAGGCTCGTTGTGTACTGAGAGCAGCGAGGGCGCAAGAGACTTGAGGAAAGCCAGCGTCGTCAGTGTCAGCACGACGATCACAAGCAAGACGGAGCCTATCAGCCCACAGCCTACGCCTTATATTGAAATGGGTGATACGCAAGGTGCGCCTGTCGACGTTTTCGCGGGGCTGGGCACGCCTCCGTATTTGCGGGCCTTGCTCCTCCTGGCCGAGATGAGCTCGGAGGGCAACCTCCTCACTGGCCCATACACAGAGATGTGCGTTGCGACCGCACGGCAGCATCGCGATTTTGTAATGGGCTTCATAGCCCAGCGGTCGCTCAACTCGGAGCCTGATGACAACTTCATCACGATGACTCCTGGAGTATCGCTTCCTCCCCCAGGACAGCCAGCTGTGACGGGCGATGGACTGGGCCAGCAGTACAACAGTCCGGAGTACGTCATTCTTGAGAAAGGATGCGACGTGATCATTGTTGGAAGAGGCATCATTAAGAGTGAGAACAGGCATCGGGAAGCAGAGAGATATAGGGAAGCCGCTTGGGACGCCTATCAGAAACGGATTGCCTCCTAGGGACTAGGATTGAAGTTGAATACCGGAAGCGAGGAAACTCAAAAGCTTGGATTCTCAAGGTAACAGCGCAAAAAGTGCGGCGAACGATCTTCAAAACATGATGAATTCTCTGGTCAACTCTCTAAAAGGTTCTCGATGGCGTCGGTACTCGATGCTCTGATGCTCCGATGCTCTGTGCGGCGTAACTGTATGTTGCAATTTCCCTTTTCCGGATAAAAGATTAGCAGGGAAATATGCACCGATGAGCTTTTCTTTCTTCCTTAACTTCGAGTTGGCCCTTTGCTCTCTTTTTAAAGCGTGATTTACAAAATTGAGACGCTTAAACTTACAATGCTCGCTCGTTTGTGCTGGACATGCTGATTAGCGATACGCTCGCCTAAAATTTTGGCCGGAACAAATTCAGGATCATCTGCGCATACATATCTTGTGCGCAGGCGCTCTTGAACGAGACGCCTAGGTGGATGCTTTTCTCTCGTGTTATGCACCTAATTCTGGGCCATTTACCAACTCAAATCACATCGAGTATGCTCTCTCTCTCTCTCTACGTCTCTTTTACGTGGTCATTTACATTTGACTTCTCTCTATTTCTTGCAGTCCCTTTTGCTCGCCAAGCTTCTTTTCGTGGGTCCGGAAGAGAAGGCCTGCAAGGGGTTCTTGACGTTGCATGTAAGCTGCTGTCTTGGCTCGTTGGCGAAGCTGCTGGATTCGGTGTGTTATGTCAACCCACGTCCGGTCTTCACTTGTGCCGTTGCCGGTTCATGACTCGGCCTCAAAGCGAGAAAGAAACCCGTTGATCATGCCGATGCACAATGTTAAAATGCTGTTGTTTCGCTAGCTGCTGTAACAAGGCGCAAGTAGAGTCCAGGTTGTGGTTGCCGTCGCGCACGTTTGTTACCACAATTAAACTTAAGAGCGAAGTAGTGCGGAAAACATGCCTACTCTTCCATCCTTTCCACGCATCAAACGAAACAGTTGATTTTCATGGTCGGCTAAGGGTAGCCTTCAATGGAGTTGGCATGGGCTTTCGAAGATGCTCCAATGCCGATCTTCCTTTCTCTAGTCAATCTTCTGGCTCATCACTGTCGTGTATTAGTCCCTTTACATGTCTTCCATGGAGCGCTAGATTGAGTTCCATACTCTACATTCTTTTATTTCTAAATATTCGGCTCAATCATCAAGTTTTCCCAGCCCAGGACCTACCAATGGCATTAACACAGCTCAATGAATCCTCAAAGAACGCGGCTAGGGAAGGTTTTTCGAAGTATGAAACGCAAGCGTAAAGATTTTACAACAGTCTATTTTTTTCACTGAGTAGTATTGCTTGGAGGCTGATCCGGAACTACCTTTACTCGCAAACAACTGAACTGACGATTTTGGGCAAATAGTCAACGGAGGAGGTGGAAAGTGTTAATGACCTTGACTTTTGGAAACGAGTTGAACGTGTCTGTTTGTGTTACTTAAATGGCCTATCTTCTGCCACCAAGGTTAGAGACGAAATAGTCGTCAATATAGGTAGACCATTGTAGGATTTGCGCCCAAGTTTATTTGAGAAGGGACAGGCGTTTTTGGGATCGTTGTAGTCCTTACATTCTGCCCTTTGACCTGGAAAAGTAGCAAGGTGTGGGGGCGTGAATTGACTCATGACCACGCGAGAGGATATATGAAGGAGAGACTGAGTGGGCAGTGAAAGGGGCGGTAGGTGTGCAAACACCTCTGCTAGGTTTGTGGGCTTTATGATTGATATGCCAATTTGAATACCATGGCAGGCAAGCGAAAGAATCAGCGCTCTGCAATCGCTCAATTTGAACGTACGTAGGAACGAGAGCATGCACTAATAAGCGTCTGGTCGTTTCGGACAGAATCCTTCTCGACGTTGAGCCCCATGTGCAAGCGACTCGGGCGGAGACGGCGATTCAGTAGGACAAGCACGCCGCAAGGCCGGTGAACAGTCACGGTCTGAAGAGCGCCAGCTGAAAGTAACACAGCATGCAGCCAACGGTGAATGCACATCGGTCCAATGATTGGCAAACGATTTGCGTATTGCAGGATAGCGTGAGCTGCAGTGATGAAAAAGGAGCATCGATTCATCCTGACGGCGATGATGGGTATTTCAAAGCTCCACTTGTATGTTCAGTGACTCTACTTGAGCTATGCCGTAGGTAATGAGCCCGGGCCTTTCTGCTCCAGATGTTAGCACGAAGACCTTGTACACCAGCATCATTCAGGCAGTACGTCGACAGTCGAGAAGGATTCGATCAGGAAGAGTTGGTCTAACAACCTCCGGCCGAGCGCCTCAAACCAAGGATACTTTGGGGGCTTTCACGCTTGCCAGCCAACAACAAACCATGATGCAAGGAAAGCTTGTCGAAACCAATGGCATGACAAAATTGGACTCTGGGCTCGCCGTCGCACCGGCGGCTTAGAGACTCATGTGGCTTGAGTTTGGAGTGGTCACATTAGCTGAGATCTACCTGTGGCGAAAGCATTTGACCCAAGCTCGAGCCTGTGCCAACTGTGCGCCTCTCACGACTCGCCGATTGCCGATGGGTTTGGCCAAGAAGTTCTTGCCGAACTTGGGATGGAACGAATTGTGCTGAAGTAGGAGAAGAGCAGGGAATGAACGCATTTGCTACGATTCGCGAAATAGCATGCCTGGCCAGCATGGTATGGTGTGTTTCTGTGCGCCATGTACGGACCTTCAATTGTCGTCAATTCAACACCAGAAACATGCGACACGCTTGAAAGTACGGAACTGCACTTTGCTCAAGGTACAGCCGGGCCAGAGGGCACGTTCCGAAAATATCGGGCTTTCGCTGGCGATGTGGGGAACGTACGGCCAAGACTTTATTGAACAAAGCTTTTTCATCTGCGCCACTACCGTCAGGCAGGGCAGATTCACCTGAGACACACTCTCGCTCCTCGATCCTGCGTCACAGACGGCGTGGTGAAGAGGATGCGGGATATGACAGACCAAGCATCTTCCTTGAGGACCTTCGCGGGAGAATCGAATCGGACATATAGGAACAGCTAGGACACTAGGAAGCGCACTTCTGAAAGAAGGAAACAAATTCTCCGGACAGTTTCCAGTTGAGATCTTGCTGGGCATCGAACAACACACAAGTAGATCGTGGCTACAGACTAAAATAGCAACTTCAGGAGAGGATCTGTCTCATTTCCACGTTCTGCTGGTCGTCCGTAGCGGAGCGAGTCTAGATTGGAAGAAAATCGGCCGAAAGAGGCTAGGCCATGCTAAATTGAGCGTAGCGCCGCCGTTCGGGCTCTACCTCAACTCCTGGAAACTCTCCTTGGACGCTTCACGACGCCCGTATTGCAGCAGCCCGTCACAACGTTGTGTGCATTTGGAATAGCAGCGATTGTTTGTTGTCCTTGTTGTCGTTTGTTTTTGGCCTCTCCGCAGGCTTTCTCTTACCAAAGATCTCTGGAGCCCATCCCCCAGCATGGAACCAAGGGAACGTCCATTCCGGACGCTCGCTGTGAGGATTTAGGATGCTCCAGAACTGCTAGTTGGCATTTAGCACCTGGCTCATTTACCAAACGAGCAGAGGCTTCGAGTCGGGCGCGAACCCATGAGGTAGGAACACGAGATGTCCGAGGCGAGCTGATTAGCGAACTATCACAAGCCAAGCGCGACGGCATCTTCTCATGGCCCTGCGAAAAAAACAACCTACTCCACTTTATGATCCCCGATTGGAATGGTTTACATCGTACCTGTCGTGCATGACATCGAGCAGATCTTGTGCGGCGCAAGCCTCCGCAGGTCCTCGCCCTCACGAAAGCGGTCCGTCGACATCGGCCATGTCGCCGGCGTAGAACTGTCAATTAAACTTAACACCGCTAAGCTAATATCACCGTGATATAAAATCAGCCAGCGTTCTGCTGTGCATTATAAACCCGTATACAGCCCACCGTGTGCTTTCTGCTTTTCTTCACTTCCCGTCAATACTCTTTTACAGTCGTTCGTTTACCATGTTCAAGTCACTCGTTTCTGTTCTCGCCCTTGCGGCATCTGTTGTAGCGGAGCCAGGCTGGTGGGGAGACAATGACTGCCAATCTTGTGTTCCAGCTCCTGCTTCATGCAAAAATCTTCCCGCCCAGTCGACCCAAGTCTGCTGGTCGTCTATTCAAAACGCCCGCATCAATGTAGCTACTTGCGCTACCCCAAGCTCAACCAAAGTCGTGACCGTGACCTCGACTGCCAACTGGAAGGCATGTTCCATCCTGACGAGTTGAAGAAGAGAATTGTTGACAATCCACACAGCTGTGGCCAACCACAACTTCCAAGGTCACCTCGACCTGGCTAGCTACCCAGGTCGTTAGCGTCACAGTCACTTCAACAACCGTGCTCACTGAATATGGAACCGGTATGCGACGATGTACTTGTGAGCTGGGATTTCCACTAATATGACTGTGCTTACAGCCACCGAGACCGCCTGGGCCAGCGCAACTGCTACTATTACAAGTGTCGATCACACAGACGTCAGCACGACAAAGATCATCAGCACGATTAGCACGAGCACGACTACCATCAATGTTGACCAGACCAAGGAGACCTGCCAGGCCAAGCGTGCAGCCGGTCCTATCAAGAAGCGCGGCTGGAACGCTCTACCGGCGGATTGCTCGTGCTTCCTAACCTCAACCACGACAAGCGGCATCCAGACTTCCACCTCGACAGTGTAAGCATGACAGGTCCCACTAAAGTTCTTAGCAGACTGACATGGGATAGCACTGTCACCCCAACTATCACTGTTACATCCACCATCCCAGCGAAGGCCACAACGACCGAGACGCAGACAGTTACGAAGGTGGCAACCTGTAAGGATTTTGATAAGACTTTACGTCGTACATCTGTTAACAGCCAGCTAGGCACCACCGAGGGCTGGACCGCAACTACTATTACGTCAACTTGCACGTCCACCACCACGCAGGTCAACACTGAAACGTGGACCATCACTGCCACACAAACGAGCACCTGGGTAGCCACCGCCACAGCAACCAACAAAGTCGACGTTTGTGCCTCCTTCAAGCCCTTGGGCTCGAAGATTTCTAGCCCCAACGGCTGGCCAAACCTCGGCTGGGCATCGTCTTTCACGGACTGCTGCCGCACCTGCTACAACACGCAGAACTGCGTGTTCTTCGACTTCAACCCTCTGCTCTGGACGTGCACCACCTACACCAACGGTGCGAATAAGGACTGCGTTACGAACAGCTGTCCGAAGGGTAAGGCTGACGTGTCGCTCAGCCCGCTCAACGCGTGGAGCAAGGACCAATACGGTTACGGTCCTTGCGCCGGCGCTGGTGCTGCGTGGTCTTAGACAGACTTGGCCGTCGGTTACATATTTTTAGGAAAGTATATATAATCTTTAATGGTATGAGGACATGCGGGTCTCCTCGCTGCGGAGAATATTGTTCAATTTTCGCCACTTTCCTCAGTTGTAGCAAGATTTGTCCTTTCAATCCTGTTCGCTGTCGATGACATTCCAGAAGTAGATGTTCATGTGCCGCGCCCGGCTGTGAATTTTCGCCTCGTGACTGGCTCTACGGACCTTGTTCGCCTTGAGAGCTATCCCCGTAGAATCTGAATTGTGTAGGAAGAGTACTGCGAAGCTACATTGTTGGCATCAAGGCCGTCTTACTGAGTCAGGATTTGAAGCCAGAATATCCCAAGCTCTTATCTTTGCTTCGAAGTCTCCCTGGTAAGTGAATCGATGCAAGCATGGCCAAAATCACGATTAACGGTGGCCAAATGAGCTGATGCTTCTTCTTCTTCTTCTTTTTTTTTTTTGGGGGGGGGGGGGGGAAGCTTTTTTTTGTGCCATTCGTAGCTTAACTTACACACGTAGCGATTAATAATGAGGCTAGAAGATTGATCCGCCGCAACCTCGGCATCCTGATTGGGCGGGGCATAAACCAAGATTTAGTTCCAAGATACCGAACCGCGCAGGGCAATGGTCCAGCTCACGAAGCGGTAGAAATACTCGGCGGTGGATTCTTCCCTCTTGCTCCAGGATATATCCTTATTTCTCACCTCCTTTTTTTGAGATTCTTTTCGATTCTCTTCTCAAACGCACTCGGCCCACCCCGTTTGTCGTCGTCCAGCCACGACTTCCCCGAAGTCCTCCTCTGCAGACGTGTTGCTTTCCCGTGCGGAATTTTGACGGGCGCAAACGCGAGCGCAATGGCGGAGATAGAGATCATCGCAATCATGAAGCCAAAGCCCGGCAAGGCCGGCAGGGTGCGTGGGAATCCCTTTGAAGTGCGGAGGCGTTGCGGCGACGCCCGGTTGCCATCACGAACCGCGGATGGAATCCAGATCTCCTGGGAATTTCCGGTTTCCCGCCCTCACGTGCTCACGGGTTACCCGCTTCTGTTCGTCGAGTCCCCGGTTTCTTAGCTGACATCGCGTGAGCGTCAGGTCCAAGAGCTGCTCGCCGACATGTCAAAGCACGTCCAAGCAAACGAGCCGGGAACGCTGAAGTACCACCTGCAAGTCGAGACCAAGGGCGACGCTCCCTCCATTTTCGTGCTGGAGAGGCAAGTCCGGAGCCCGGCTTTGTGCCATCCCTGGCGTGATCCGCAGCGCCTGCTAACAGCCGTACTACTAGGTATAAGGACAAAGCGTCCCTTGGCGCTCACGGAAGCAGTCCGGAGTTCAAGGCGTTCCAGAAGACGCTTGCGAAGGAGGGTCTCCTCGCTGAGTTCAAAGTGTATTATACGAAGGGCTTTGGCGGGTTCGCCAGTCGATTGTAAGCACAAAACTAGACAGCTGCCGCCGTTTCGCGTAGACAAGCGAAGCAAGACGGTGCACGTGGGAAGAAGAACGATGAAAAAAGCATAGCATTTCTTTTCTTTTCAAGCCTCCACACTCGCGTCGTTACCGTACCTCCGTCCCAATCTTTCTGCTGCGCAAACAAGAGAGACACAAATGTTCAACCTGCAAAAGGGAGTATACCTCTTTTAGAAAAGCCACTTCGAGAAATGAACAACACATAGCAGACAATCCTCGCCCCAAGAGATGCTTTCTTTGACTAGATTCACATCGAAACCAAACCATCCGCGCAAAATCACCTGGGCCGTTCTAGGACCTATGACCAGTCGCTGATCCCAGCGGCCCACTATGCCTGCTCTCTAAAGGACTCACGTCCCCCCGGAGGCTGTCTAGGCGACTTGCGTCATCGCGGGTATCGTCCGGGCTGACCCGTCCGTACCGCCCCGCGCTCTGCGTGATTCTCTCTTCCGGCAGGGCATCTTCAATTCCCGCACCGTGCATGGTTAGGTGGTCACCTCCGCTCTCTTGTCTCCTCACGTAGCTCGGCGTGGACGTGTACCCCGGGTTGTAGCTTCCTTGGCTGCCGGGGCTCTTGTCGCGCCAGGATTCCGCTGGCTCCGAAGGGGCCGCGGGACGCGCGGCGCGGGCGGCTACGATAGCAGCGGCAGGATGCGTGGTGCGGTAGGGATCGTACTCTCCTTCTTCGCCGTAGGAAGATGCGGAGACGGGTTCAATGGAAGAGGGTTTACCCGGGGGTGGATCCCTGGGCGCATTATAGACGTTGGTGTCTGAAAAAGGGTCTTCTTCTGTAGCTACCTGCGGAAGCCTTGGAGGGCCAGCAGGCTTGAGGGATGGAGGCTGCGCGCCCATCGAGGAGGGGGGGTACTCGCCTGTGGATCGCCTTTGTAGGTTGTCGCGCATGGCGGCCGGCGGCGCTGGGGGAGGCGAGTAGGCTTGCAGGTCATGCGTCGCTGTGGGAGTGAAGGTAGAGGAAGGTGCGGCATTGGCACTTGAATAGCCCGTGTTTGGAACGTTCTGCGACGGCGGGGGCCCTGCCGGAGGAACGTAGCCATTCTCCGGCTGCGCAGGAGATGCGGAATGGCCTGCTCTTCGCGCTTGCAGCACGGCGCGCTGGTGCTTGCTAGCGGCAAGGCTGAGCTGTTCGCTGGTCTCGATCAGAGTCTGCATAGTTTCATCGTCTGGCACCGGGTTGGTGCAGTTCATGAAGCCATGCATGCTTCTCTGCGCGTTTTGGCACCGCTCCGCGAACTCCTTGATCAGCTCGTTGGTTTGAAGCTCGCTCGGGGGCGTGGACTGAACGAGCTGCTGAAGCAGCTTCGCCGACGTCTTTGCCTCTTCTATTCGTGCGGCAAGCTCGACAGGAGGCGGCAGGGTAGTTTCTCTCGACCTGCCGTACGAGCCGTTCTGCGGAACAGGCTGTTGCTGCATGCTACGACCTTGGCCAACGTGCTGACCGGCGCCACTGGCGCGGGTATACTGCGAGATGTTCATGCCACTCTCCTTGCTCCACATTGCGAAAAGGGTCGCCAGATTGGTATCGTACGCCTTCTCCATGTACAGCGCTTGCAACGTCTCCCTCATGATCTGCTGCACGCTGGGATCCTTGTTGTTCCGTAGCAGCTCCTTGACTGCGCCTGTGAATTTCTGATCGATGTTCCTCGTGAACGTGGCACCCGGGTTCTCGGAGAGGATTCTGATCAGCATGACGGCGTTGTACTGCACGTGCGGTCGGTTGTAGTAGTCTTTGCCTAGGAACTTGCGTATCTGCTGCGCGGCCACCTGAGCGGCCGCTGGGCTGGATTCGGCAGCCTCTACGATGGTGGGTAGATGCAGCACCTCCTCGCCCTGCTCGTTCGCACCGTCCGACTCGCAGAAGAGTTTCTGTGCCCATTGTCAGCTGCGAGGGCGTCCGGCACAAGTGCCTGTGACAGTGTACGTACCACAGCCTTGACGGCGCTGCCCTCGGGTGAGTCCTCGCTGTAGTTGACGACCGGATCAGGCTCCGCCGCATCCGTCGCGCGGCTCCTCGAGAAGGGGTTCGAGCCGTGCCGGCTTCCCAGCATGTTCGAGAATCGCTTGATCACCATTGTGTGCACTTCCGCAGCGGTCAGCCTTGCTGCGTTCGGGTTGAGTTGGATGCCGGCCGCAAAGCGCTCTGCCGCGTGGGACGATGGAGGAGCACACCGGGCGTTCTTCTCGGATCGTGCCACGGTCCGTATAGGTGCAAGTTATACGAAGGTCAGGATGACTCGGCCCAAGGATGGCGCTGGCCAGCGTCTGCTGCTCCGGGTGCGATCGCAGCGAGGATGCCTATTGAACGTTGGGGCTTCGGCAAGGGTCCAGGCTGGCGCTAAGGTCGCTGCACGAGGCGGGCGCAGGTGACGGGATCCCCTTTTACGGGGCGCAAAGGCGACAAAGCAAGGTCGGGTTCGAAAAGAAAAGAAGAGGCGACGAGCGAGGCGGCCACGAAATAAAGCTGCTGGCGACGCGCTGCTTGAAACCGAAGCATTGCCATCAAGCGGCGCAAAGCTTGCGTAACAAGCACGCCCCTCCCCCCGTGCGGGTCTCCAAAACACATCCTCACGCGCTTGACTCCAGGTTGGCCAGCATGCAGGCCAAGGCCGCACAGCCTCGTTTGCACTGCGCATCGCCTTGAGCGCACGCGTAACGTGCGTGAACGCTGTCTGTGTACTGCAGAACTCTGCCGGGCGTGTGGCGGGCGACTCGTCATCTCGAGCACACGGCGAGCAGCACTCAACAGCTGGCTGGTCTGCAGGTCGGTGCCTAGACGGCTAGTTCAGGTTTGTTGCCAAACAAAGCCTTGGAGGACCCAAAGGACGCGTGTGAGCCCCAATTCGCGCAGTGACTTGGTGGTCTGGAAAGGATGCGATGACCAGGACGTTATGTGACTCTACGCTGACGTGCTTTAGGTGACGTGGTTGAAGAATGTGGACTCGGTGTGAGCGGTGAAGGAGTCGTAGTCACGGTAGAGGAGCACAGGAGAGGTAGACAGACAGAGCGAGCGAGTGAGAGAGTGTGCCTGTGTGAAGGAAGAAGGAAGATAAAGGGGCGGGTTTCGTTTGCCACAGAAACGTATCTTTGATCATTGATAATCTGTCTGTCCTCTCTTCCAATGGCCACCTATGCAACCACCACGCATCCTTTATGCATTGGGTGATGTTGTCCTTTGCTTTATGCTCCGTTTCACTGGCGAAAGCGCCGAGAGGCAACTGTCCTCACCTTCCAACCCATACGCCGTCCTTGTTGCGCACATACACGAGACCATCCCATGCGCTCAGTCATAACCTCATATCAAAAATGCAGGCGCGCATCCAGCAATGGCGCCGATTCCCCCGCGGACATGCCATCATAAGTAAAACACAATGAATACAGATACATCAAGTAAGAAAATAAAGTGCACAAGAAATTTGTCAAAGTAAAGCAGCGCCGAGATACTCGAATTCATCGAGAAACTGCTCAACCTGCGTGAGCTCTCGCGACGTCGGCGGTTCCAGCGAAGTCTTGCTCCGCGCGAACGGGTTTGTGTTGGGTAGTTGGTACGGCAGTGCCGTGCTGTTAGTGCTTTCCGTGTTTGCTGTGTGTATGGAGAGGTGCTCAAAGCTCTGCTCGAGGTCGAGTGGCTGCTGAGGCTGCTCGAACTCAAAGTGGAATTGACCAAGCCCATTCTCCTTCAAGGGCCAGTCGCGTAGCTCGGACACGCGATGCGAGGTGCAAGTGTCGCTTGCGTCGCCGTGTATGGAGCTGAAGATGGGCGATCCTACGTCGGATTGCGCACCTTGAGAGGCCTCAGCTGATTCGGCGTGAGGAATGTCGACTTCGGAGCGCCAAGGCGAGTAGCGTCGATCGTGCATATACTGATCAGCTAGCGCCTGAAGGCCAAGGTGCATTTCGTCAGCTTCGCTGCGATACGGCTGCGGTTCGGGAAGAAGGTAGAAAGATGGCGTTGCCGCTCCATCGATTATGGAATTGTGATTTGATGCCAACGTCCGCGCCACTGAGGATGGCACCAAATTGTTCATGGTTATGCCGGCTAGCACGTCTAGCTGCGCTGACTTTGCGCTGTTAAGACAACATGAAAAAGAAGAGTCATGCTGCTGTCGACGTGAGGTGCCGTCGGTGCACCATTCAGACATACTTGTTGAGGATGTAACTCCGTCATCTGTCCATGTTTCATCTTGACTCACTACCAAGTTTCGAAATAGGGATGGCTCGCCTTTCCATTCCCTTGAAGTCGATTGCTGGGATGAGAGAGTCGTCGAGCGTTTTTGTTGTTTTTGACTGTGCGAGGATCGATCCGGTCTGCTGAAGTCGATGTAAGATGCAGTAGGACCATAGTTTGGCACTGCTGGGAAGCTGTCAATCAGGTCGGCAGTCATCTGCCGGTCCGGCAGCTTCTGGGCTAAGAGCGAATTTGACGAGGACGACAAGTCGACAAGAGGCCACTGTAGACCTGGGCTCGTTTTGAATGGCGACTGCGCGACGGCCGATGTGGTATCGGTAAACCAGGAGATTTCATCCTCAATCAGCTCCAAATGCTTGGCCGTGTCCAAGACTAGCTGCTGGCTTCGAACAGCTCCGCTACAACAAAAGTCACCTTGTCTGCGAGCGAGCGTCTCCTCGCGCTCTTCACACCGCACCGCGGGGGGATTTTTGAGAAGAGCGAACGCGGGCTCAACGGGCGAAGTAGGCGCGGACCTAGCAAAGCCTTGCAAACATCTTCGGGCTTGATGTCGCCGAGATTCTGGATTCGCCTCGCTTGCTGACCAGCGTCTTCTGGGGCTGTCAGCTCGTCCTGCATCTGCGCCTGATGCAGCAGGTAAATGTCGCGCGGGCGGAGCGGCTGTGTCGATGTAAGCATGGCTCCAATTGCTTGAATGTAGGAAGACGGGAGTGCGGACTTTTGAGCGTAGCACTTGCACGGGCTTGGCGGCCATACCTTTGGCAGACACCACCGATGTCGATGGTTGTGGCTTGACCACTGGCTGCGGATTGACATAGCGATCCTGGGGATTCAAGGTCTTAACGATGTTGAGCAACGACACCATTGACGACGAGCGGCTGTGGCTTCCGAAGCGTCCGATGTCGAGCGGTACCTCAAGCACGTTCATTTCTTGTCCAGGCATAAGCGGACAGGATGTGGTCGTCTCCTGTGTGGGATCGTGAAACTCTTCGTCGTCGTCGATGCGGTAGAAGTACCAATAAGTTCCGCCCATCTTGAGGCCGCCAGAGCGTTTCTCATGAATTCCGTCCTCGTCACCGTCGCATATGATGTTGCGGAAACTGTGGCAACCGGTCCAGAAGTCCCGTCCTCTCTGGCGATCCAGCTCCATGCTGTAAGGCTCCGAGAAGTTGTCCCATGATCCAAACAGTTCCACTTTCCTCGCGGTAGGGTGTTGTCTTGCGTTTGATCAGTTGCACTGGTCAACCGAGTTTACTGGCTGAAAGACACTCACAGCATGAATGTGATCAACGTTGTGCTCTCCATGGTTGACAACGTATTCGTTCACTTGCTTTCAGCCACGGGCAGGACTTAACTTTGTGCCATGTTATATGCTGTAGTCCGAGATTTGATGAAGAGCCACGGTAGGGAGAATCGCAAGCAGAAAGCAAGCGAGAGATGTGAGCACGGCGAAACGAAACGGGGGGCCGTTGACCGTCTGGACCTATATTTCTTGCAGACACGCTTTAGCCTCGCGCTGGTGGTGCAATGAGATTTGTCTAATGTAGTGCCTATCAGGCGGATCTGCCATGCGACGTCCCGGTTTTCAGCTAGTGCTGCCGCTGGGCTTGCTCAGCCATTAGCTTGCTCAGAGAACCCAATCCTCGCGTCAGACTTGAAGGGCCTCAAAGCAGGCTCGGCCACTGTAGTCTGTTTCGACTCTGTAGTGGAGGAATATGCAACGGCCTCGACTGCAGTGACGGAAGACGGTGGGATACACACAGGGGAAGGGAGGATCATTCTCCCTATAAGAGGGGGAGGGACAAGACTAGAAAGCCTGTTATCCATATAGGGCTGTTTCTATTTAATTGTTTGGGAAATTGTGGCGCCGCGCTGAACGTTCTTTTTCAGCTGACCAAGGACGATTCGTTCTGCAGTGCGCTTTGGATGATCCTGGTCCGAACCACGAGGGCGTTGGACTAGCACCTGTCACTGGACAATTTCTGTTTAACAACCGCCAATCTTCGCCTTTGGCCCAAACCTGATTCGTTCAATCTGGTTTCTCTGCTGTGCAGCCCATTATTGACTCGATGCTTATGCAGTTAACTCATGTGCTGTCATGTCCAGTTGCGCAGCGCGGCCTGGCCTTTTTTTTTTTTGGTTTCGATCGGTGGACCTTTTGTTCTCACCCGAGACGACAATTTGCGGCTGGCGGCAGGGGCACACAAAAGCTTACGATGAGATTGCGTTTCGAGACACTGTCCAAGCATGCTCTCCACAGCTGTACCGTGCCGCCGTGGTCATCGCCAATCTCCGCTCAGTAGCTTTTGGGGCGTCCCACTCGGTCCCAGATCTCTGATGTATGAGGCTGCCACCAAACCTAATCCCAGAGGCTCTTCAGCGGATTCCGTGGAGATCCGATGTCGCCTCTCAGCAGAGGATTCACATCGCCCGTCACTTGCATTCTCCACGGCGGTCAAAGCGAGCAGTGGCGGCACCAGTGCGAAACACAGAAGCGAGAGAGAACGAGCGAAAGGAGATCGGCTTTCCCCTTGTGGCTGGTTGGCGAGAAGCGCCCTCTCGGCTAGTCAAAGAGGGTCCAATCCGCTGTCAAAGTTAACACGTTGCAGCGCGCGTGGATAAGTCAAGGTCGTCATTGACCAAGGCATATCCCGCCAGTCGTTCTGAAGAAAATCCGTCCTTAACCACTCGTCCGCGACATGTCCGGTACTGGCCGCTTGCCGTGGTCCTTACCGCGAATCGCTGCACCACTTCAGCGCCCTGGAATTTCCACGAGCAAATTCGACGACGCTCCTCCTGGTCAGCATTAACTTAATGTTTACTTCTTTTTGGCTTCCCGTCTGGGTCTGTTCTTCGTGCCCACGTGTCACTCCTCAAGGCCATTTCGAAGTCTCGCTTCGGCATATCGTGTCTCACAACGGCCGTTGTTAGTGAAGCGCGCTGCTGACGATTTTTCATGTCTGACAATGAATCAAATAAAACCGGATTATTGTGCAGCGCTCTGCTCGCGTGGATCGACAAGCGTGGCCCACAAGCTCGTGGCGCTAGGCTCTACAAGTAGTCGTCAGCTGGCATAATTTCTCTCGACACACCCCCAAATCTATGGACGGAACCGTCGCGTCAGAACACAACTTTAGCTTTGAACACGGTCAGACGTCGAAACAAACGCTGACGCCCTTGCTTTCCAGTCTTGCCGGGATGACCAAAACTTCGGTAATTCAACTCGTGCTCGGACCTTACCAAAAGGCACCCCTGTCGCCATGTTTTTTGGGCTGGTACAGTAGTGGGCCTACAGCTGCGCTTTTTTCTTTTCCGTGGTAATTTCTTCTTGATCTTTGCGAACTTATCTCGCACTTGGAATCATTCCCGTCGAGATTGTCTTGAGTCTCTGCTGCTGTGCTTGCAAGCGATCTTGGTTGACCATTGGAAGTTACGGTGTTGGCTCGCACGACACTTGGACTCTGCCGTCTACACGGTGCAAAAATCAAAAGCTTAGCAACTTCGATACTGCTTCAATGGACCTTACAACTGCTATAAGCACAACCGATAGGCCGTCTCCACCGGTTTTCGCATCTGCACGCTCGACCTGAAGAGGCCAGGCAGGTGGCCTCAAGGTCGCCCTTGTGCACTTCGATCTAGCTGCTGACGTCTAGCGTCTGCGTCTAAAGATTGCTCTGTTGAAGTTTCAGTACGGTTTAGGTCAGATCACAATGGCTGCCTTGAGCTCGCCAGCGACATGGTCCTGGATGTGAATCTCAACTCGACTGCTCGCCGTGAGACTCTACGTATCCTACTAAGAGCCGTATGGAACTAGATACATATAAGTTGGGGTTGGCCTCAACAAAAATATTATGAACGTTGTTTCCACAATTTGATTGACCGTAACCTTTATGGTCCGTATTCCTACGGCTGCAGTCCGCGGGAGAATGGTACATGATTATGCTCGCATACAATGAAACTTGGTGTCAGATCAGTAATATCCGCAGAGCACACACAGCGATTGCAGATGGCTGGGACGAACGCGGGACAGAGGGATCACGTCTTAGGTGTCGTGAACAAAACGAGCGGCCCAGAATGACGTGACACTCAGGAGCCAGCAGGCGATAACGGTGTAACGTGTTCGCGCTTCTTTGGGGCATCTCGGCTTCATACTCAAGCTATGAAAGCTGTTCCGCACGTTCACCGTGCTGTCGTTAAGCTCAACGCCATACTTCTCCGACCTTGAGATAGGCAGAAAATTGCCGCGAGCCCATCGCTGATAAACAGGGACAGAAAGGGACGGTGATCTGGCCACGGCCAGCAGTGACAGCCTCACACCTGTGCACGTAGATCAGCCCGGGGCCTCTTATCCTGGGCCAGGTCTAGTGACGTACACATGATCAAAAAGCAGTCTTTCAATCAGTTCTTTCCTGCCAGTCTCGTCAAGAGCGGATGGGATCCTGTAGCTCTTTTAGAGAGCTCTTACACTGACGCCTCCAAGGCATCACTGACCTTCTCCGCGGCATACAGCGCGTGATCATCGGACTTCCCTTCAATCTGTTAACTTCGACATGGAAAGCTGCGAGACAGAGGGATCGACAGTCGTGGTCGTCTGCACGGACGGCACTGCTGCAGGCTGAAACAAGCCAGCAGGTCTGCTTGCCATCTGATATGCAGCGAGGCAGCGCGGATGCGTGTCTTCAGCGACGCCTGGTCACGACGAGAACAGCGCGAATCGTCGCGCCAGCAGGTCGCGGCGACGAACGACGGACAGGATCTCATGCGAGGTGCGGGGTGGCGCGTGCAGGATCTGGAAGCAGCCTTGTGGCTGTGCTCGCCAAGACCTTCTGGGGCGATGACTGTTCGCTGCATGAGTTGGGATTCGTCATGCGGAGCCCAAAGTTTGGCCAACGCAACCACTCGTAGACTCACACAGCGTCGTTGGGCTTCTGCTGTTGACTCACATGGCCTGCTCCCGCTCTCCCACCCACGTATATAAAGAGAGCACCCCGGCCCCGGCATGAGTATCACCCCATCCTCGAGCAGGATCACTACTGCTCGGCTCTGCTTTGGCGGCGAGGTGTCGATTTCTGCTGTTCTTCTGCTGTTCTTGCTCTTGTCTCCTCTCCTCCGTCTTGCCTTCTGATACCCTTCTCTCCCCCAACGGACCTGAAGTTCTTCCAATATTGCTTATTTCACGACACCAGTACGCAACAAACAAGCAACCATGGGCGCTCGACACAACCGTAAGCGCACGAGGTCACGGCCTCGGAACCGCCTGCCAGCCAGCACGCTTCACAGAGAACGATCACTCAGCATCAGCTCGTCCCCGTCGATCTGTTCGGACTCGTCCGTGCCAGTGCTGCCTTTTCAGCGCTCTGCCGCTCATTGGCAGCCACAGTGGGATCACTGGAATGATCGATCCCTGCATCAAGCAATTCAAAAGCAGCAGCGCGAGCACAACGAAGCCATGGCCGCCGAGGCGCAGCGATTGCGCATCTTTGGCGGCGAAGCCGGCGACGAAGTAAGCCTCTGCGCTCCTATGCTCCAGGTTGTCATGGGTCTCTTCGGCGGTCTCGACTACGAGGATCCGTGAGTCGTTTCCGCGCGCGCGCGAACAGCAGAGCTAGATGCTTCAACCCCCTTTTCATTCACGGTCTCGGGAACAGATTGCACGCTACGACATCTCTCTGCTCAGGTCCCCCTTTGTACCCAACCCCCTCCCTTTCTCTTCTCATCCGTCATAGTCACTTGCCATTACAACGTCTTCTTTTTTGTGTGGTTAGACTCATGACTTGTTCGCTAGCAGGTCGATTCGATCTCGCGAATACGCGCAATTCATGGACCCCAGGCATACGCAATGAGATGAATGTCTTCAAATAGCTTGCACACCGGGACGCTTTTCTCGCATCTGTCTCTGCGGTCCATATTCAACAATGAACCTCCAGGTTCTATAACTTAACAAGCTCTCTTCGTCGATGAGACATGGCTCGTAGTCCCAAAACGACCTGTCTTCCCCATCGTGCCACACCACTCGAAGGCATGGTTCAACCAAGCATGACGGCTCGCAGCAGGCTTGTGGCCTGATCGTGGATCAGGGTTGATCCAACAGATCGTGGTCTCAAGTTGGCCCTATTACAAATGCTGAACCTAGCTACTTCGAGGCCCTCACATGTCCAGACAGGGCGGTAGGATGCCTGATGCATTTCGCGCGGAGACACTCTACGCGGGCAAGACGGCGGATCGGGATTAGACCTAGAATACCGCCAGCGATCGTATCGAGCTCGTCGTTCTGGGGTCGGCTTGATGCTCGTTTCGTACGGTGACTCGCTGATGTGCCTTTCGCTGGAGATAGAGCCCATTGGCTTACTCGCGATTGGCTTGTCGCGCGGGCGACGTGCTGATGGCTTGAGCGTCGCTGCCTAGAACGGTGTCTGCGCGGTACGAAGATGACTCAGAATAGAACATGTGAGGATGGTGTGGAGGTTGCATGGGGAGCAGACCATGTTCTTTTTTCAACCGCGGCCGAACCCAGAGTCGGCTCGCAATTGAGCACGTTGTGCGATGATGATAAGATCACGCACACCTTTTTGTTAGTTTTTTTTTTGTTTTCCGTACATCGAGCAATGTTTTGGAATAGAACAATTTACTGCGCATCACGACCAATTCGTTCGCCACCTCGCTCTGCTTGCCCTCCGTCTTCATCCCTTGTGTTGACTCCCTTGACCCGGGACCTTTCGCCATCCGCTCGCTCTTCCAAACTTATCAGCGCCTTTTTCTTTCGACTTTGTCGTGTTCTATTCGCCTATAGCGGCCTGCGAAACCCCTCTCTTGCTGCGTACCTCGCTCGAGGATGCGCCTCACGGAAACGCGCGGATCCTCGCGTGGTCATGTGAAAGGCTCGGAAGATACCCCAAAAGAGACGCAGAGGGTGGAGAGAGACTATCGGAACGACAAAAACGCTTGACCCGCACACCCGCATCCTCCTGGATCGACTTCTTTGTAGTCCATTCGACGGACCGACTCGAGAGCGCTTGTTAAACGGGACGTCCCTTTGCCGCCAAGGCGGCGACGTCGCCTTCCTGCTGCACGGGATCGCACGTACGGTAAACCTGAACAGGATGACCGCATCCTCATTTCCTTCCCCCTCCTTTCGTGCCCTGTCGAGACCTTTCCCTTCTTTGAGACCTCGACTTGGGATGCTAAGCCATATCAGAAAGGTAAACCCATTTGGCTGTCCACGGCGATGTCCCGTTTGATCCAAGACTGTCTGCTTATATTTTTTTTTTTTTTTTCCTTTTTTGCCGGGTCTTCCTGCTGCATGCTCACGTCCCTTTTGAACCGTAAAGCGCAGTGGGTGCGGATTCTGTAGCCGTTTCCAGCAGTCCGTCCAGCTGGGTGACAACGCACCGCACGCCTTTGGCTTCCTTTTCCCCCTTTTGAGATCGGATTTTGTGAGCGCAGATAAGCGATCGCGGAAAGGACAAGGGGAGACGGGCCCATGTGTCTTTACTTGGAAACGGCGATGGATTCGTGCTCTTTTCCCTCCCGGACGTGCTTTTCAACCTTTATGCTTCTTCGCTGCTGGAAAAAACCCGTGCCTCGTCTTCGATAAATGTCTAGAGCGGCACCTATGGACAATCACGAAGGGCGCGCGGATGACGTCTATGAAATGCAGATAGGTGCCGCAGGGCCCCCTCATCACCACCTCGCTTCTAATGAAACCTTGTCTCTTCCTCCTGTCGACGGTGGGCGCTCGGCCTGGCTGGTTCTCGTCACCGCTTTTCTTACCGAGATGTTTCTATGGGGGTTTCCATTTTCTTTTGGAGTCCTCCAGTCGTACTACAAGACGCATCTGCCCATCTCCAAGAGCCCGGGCAGCATATCGGCCATTGGGACTACATGCACCGGCATCATGTACCTTGCCGCACCCGTCATGACGGCTCTCATGCAGCAAGGCCCGTTCTTTCGCAGGTACTGCACCTTCTTCGGGCTTGCTCTCGTCGTGCTCGCCGTGGGATTGTCCTCACTTGCGGAGGAGGTATGGCACTTGGTGCTCACCCAAGGCGTCACGTACGCGGTCGGATGTGGGCTGCTGTACTATCCGATGCTCATCTACGTCGATGAATGGTTCATCCGCAGGAAGAGCTTGGCTTACGGCTTGATGTGGGCGGGGACCTTCACCGGTGGCTTTCTGACGCCGATCGTGCTCGACTGGGGCCTCAACAAGTACGGCGCGGAGAAGTTCCTGCTCGTGTGGGCCATGGCCTTGGTGATTGACAGTCGCCTCTTTGCTTGGAAAACCATCGGCTGACCTCACCGTAGCTAACCGTCATCGGGCCGCTTTTGATTTTCGCGAAGGGCCGTGTGCCGTGGCAAGGCACCTCTCGTAACTGGCTGAGAAACTGCATGGCCGGCCATGGTTTCTTGAGAATGCCGCTGTTCTGGATCATGCAGGCCGTGATCTTGATCCAGAGCCTTGGCTGCTTCATTCCCACCCTGTACCTGCCAGGTGAATAAGCCGTCACTCAGCTGACTTACAAATGTCTCTGCTGACAGTGCCCCTTAGAATATGCCAGCACGGTTGGTTTCAATGCGTTTCAAAGCTCCATTATGATCTCCATCTTCAACGCTATCGGGGCTCCAGGCGTCTTGTTATCATCCCTGCTTTGTGACCATCTGGGTACTTCCAGGGTTGTCGTCCTATGCGTAGCCGGCATGGCCAGTGCCGTCTTTCTCTTCTGGGGATTCTCCTCCGCCACAATGCTCGCTCCCCTGCTCTGGATCTTTGCTGCTCTATATGGCTTCTTTTATGGGGCATTCACGGCTGTGTTCAGCGGAACTGTGCAAGAAATTCGTAGAGAAGCACCGGAAGGCAGTGCGGACACTGGTAGCCTATTTGGCGCGTTGATGGTAGCACGTGGAGTTGGCAATGTAGCGTCTGGGCCGATAAGTGAAGCTTTACTGCGTAATCAAGCGAGGGTCTTCGGAGTTCTTGCCTATAGATCGTACTATAGTCCACTCGTGATTTACACAGGCATCATGGTGACCTTGTCGTGCACGCCTTTGGTGATGAGGCAAGGAAGATTCGTTCAGCACAGGTAGGGTCAAGTTCGATAGATAATTTGAATCTTGGTTGATCGTCTAGAACAGCATCTGTATCGGTTGCGTCTGTACCGTAGATATTTTATGTGGTAAGAAATATTATCTAGATAGCTTTACTTGCCTGCAGCAAAGCTTGTGGTGACAAACAAGGCAATACCGGGTATCTCCCTCCCCCTCCAACATATATGAAATTTTTGCTTGCCGTTGCGGCTCTTGTAGAATGTCCGACATGTTCGCTTGCTCCACTTTTGCCAAAATGAAACAAATCCAAACAACAATGATAGAGCGTCGCTGGATGGCGACGACACGAACGCCCAAGACCCATCAGCGTCATTCCCGATAACGCCAGGCTAGATGTAATGAGGATTGGAAAACGGTGTAAGCAGTGAAAGAAATTTCAAACGAGATACATCTCCTCTGCGTCGTCTTCATCCCATGTCACAGCTTGCCCATGCATAGCGTCCTCCCAGTAGCATTGGCCTTTGCATTCGTAACGACCGTCGGCGCGTGGCGTTAACACCACGGGTGTCCGACATCCGTGTAATACGACAACTAGGTCGCCATTTGTGACGCTGTTGTGAACAAGGCCAAGCTTACCGTCTTTGCCAACCACGAGACGCCGCTCCTGTGCGACCCGGGTCATGTTACGAAGTGCAACAACGTGGCGAGCATAGGGTGCAAGCTGGAACTTTTCCGCATCAAAATTCTCCGGTGAGTCGAGTTGACGGTACGCTTGAGCCATTTCGGCCAGCTCAGCCTTCTGAAGGTAAGCGTTTTGCGAGAACTCGGGTGTGTCATATAGCAACGCGCCGTCTGCTGTTACAACCTTGATAACTCGCTCCAGATCGTACTCCGCGTCCGACTCCCAAAGACCTTTCAAGAACAGCAAAGCAAGTTCAAGATTCAAAAACTTTCGTAGATCTCGCCTCGTCCAGTGTTCGGTGCTGCTGAATGGTTCTTGCTCGACATTAGTGACCGTGTCGATTACCCGACCTTCTACTCGCAACCGATTATTGAGCAGTCTCAAAGGTCTGAACCCAGATATGCGCTTCTCATTCAAAACCTTGTATGGCCGATTGAGACAAGCATTGAACGCAGAAATGCGCTCGAATGCAGTCAGAGGAACAACATCCTCAGGCTGCCGCCAGTCCGGGACCCAGGAAGGTATTCCCTCGTATTGACTGTTTGTACGACCTTGTCGAGGTAATAGGCTGAGGATCTCCAAGGACCGTTTGCCTTCGATAAAGCTTCGTGCCGAGTCGATGAACACTTCATGCGGACCCTTTCGGTAGTCCGGTGTGATGACGATGTCTTCGTCCTCCAAAAGACCGAGAAATCCGTATAACTTGTCCTTCACATCCGTGCATCGACTGTTTGGAGCAACTTCAGATAACAAGGACCAGAAGCTCTTCGGATTACCCAACACATGTCTCTCAGATCGCGCTTGAACCATGGAATAAAGCTGATGAAATCCGGCCAGGTTCGTCACACATATAAGCGGAAGCGCACCTCCCATAGTGTCCGTTTCCAACCTGGATGTCGCTAGGGCCAACCGAAAGAGAAGATCGAACGATATCAAACGTTCGCCCAGCAGAAACATGACGTTCTTGGCGAGTACCACTTCTTGAAAGATCCATGCTCGCGTGAACCAGGGGTGCTCGAAGAGGCCCACAATGCATTTCCAGTATATCGAGTGCACTATCGACGATGCATAGCTGGGCAACATGTAATTGCGCATCGCAACCTGCAAATCTACCACTGACCGCTGTTCATGTTCGTATTGCACAGCGACATCGAGTAGCGCAAAAAGATGGCGCATGCGGACTTGGGGTGGTTTCAACGGAGCGATGACGCGGATCCCTGCTCGGTAAATATCACCCATGACTTGAACCTGGTGGCTTCGCTCAGGGATGTTCGATTGATCGATACAAACCTGGTCGATCCAAAGATACCCGGTCTTTGACTGATTTGAGATAGACTGCAAGGTTGCTGCGAGACTTCGGGTGATGTACAAAAATGATCCGTCCATCAGGTTCAGTCGGTGCTCTCGCCGCGAGTCACCCCAAATGTAGGAGACGGTCTCGTACGGAACGGGGTCGTCGAGCGACATGGTTACCAACTGGTAGTAAAAGTCTCCCTGCACCCAGTCTACCGATGGTCGACGAACCGACAGCAGGCGTATAACTCGATTGCTTTGTAGCGGGCTGTAGATATATGGCTTGCGCAGTCGCGAATCAAATTCTCCCACGCGGATACCGACCTCGACGGGGACATCGGAAAGCGCTTCGTTCTCGCCGGAGTCGTGCGAGAAACCAGACTGGGTTGACATGGGCGAGTAATTGCTTCTTCTTGACGCCGATCCGGGGACCAGCATCTCGCTTTCGACCGAGCTGATGAGTGAACTCCGTGCACTTTCGCGGCCGGTAAGATGAGCAAGTCGAAAACCCATCTGCATCAACGACCTCCGTCTTTCGTGATCTCGTCTTCTTTCAGCCGACTCCATCACTTTGCGGAGCGCAGACGAGTCCAATTCGTCTGCGAAGTCCCCAATCTTGACGCGCTCAAGCTGGCGTATCTGATCCCTCTCGTTGCGCGTATTGGCGGCTTGATAACCAAACTCGTTGCCGTGACCCTCGAACAGTTTTCTGGACTTCGGTCTGCTGTCTTCGGGCAGATCGTAGGTTGACGATCTCCGAAAGAAATCCAGACGGCACGAGACCTTCTGCGAGATCTTACGCCGAAGAGACGGCCGACGCGCGGTTTCTGCCATCTTCGAAAGCAGACGCCAGGCTGAAATGGGGGTTGCCCGTCATGTCAATCTTGAAGTCGACAGAGGGGGTTTTGAAGACGCTGGAAGAAGGAGAAGAAGCTTGGAGAACTCTCAAAGGCACCTGCGGGTGGCATGCAGGCTGACCGTGCTTTTGAGCGCCACCAGATTGCAAAACAGGCATAGGTCCTCCATAGTCGATCAGGAGTCGAATAGGACGGCTCCCGCAGTCCAATCCTATTAGAGGCTGGCTAGCAAAGAAATGACGAGATCTCGTCCTCGTGATTGGTGATTGGACTCGATTCCGTCCGCAGTATCGATAAATGTCACCCCTGTTGGCGATATTAGGCCACGGCATTGTCCTCCTGGAAATTGCATTAACGTGAACGCGCTCCGTGCGTGACGATGGGTTTGTTGCTCTTGATTTTTGCTTCCTTCTATCACACTGCTTCGTCCGTCACTCAGCGAGGAGCCGGCGTATCTGAAATCATGGTGACGCACACACGGGACGTGCTGCAAAGTGACAGCTGCATCTACAAGGCCTGAGATGTTGTTTCGGACGCATCATTTTTCTCGGGAAATCCCCGCGTGGCGGAGTCCGCGTCCGTTGGACTCACACGGACCTGAAGAAGACTGCTCACAATCTGGGGCCGTTTTCGGGTCGCAGCGCCCGAACACGAGTCGGAGGATTTTTTCGCTCAGGGCATCTTGCAGATTCCCCTGTTAAGGTTCAGGTCAGAAATTGGCATCGGAATCTGTTGCTCTCGGCATGGGATGGCGAATGCACGTGATCGCAGAATTTTAGTGTGCAGATGGTTTGTGTGCGATGGAAGAACCGCAGCCAATATAGCCTGAAGGATCGAAGAAGGGAAAAGAAATGTCGCAAATTGAAGGCACCGAGGAGGACCTGCTTCTGGCACAGAGAATCTTGTCTGCGGCGGAGCGTCACGACCTGCAAGCCCTGCAGGTTCTTCTGAAAGACGGCTCAGCAAATGTGTATGTGAACGGCCGTGCGCCGTTACACGCTGCGATTGCCAGCGGCGAAGGTGCTGAAGATGCAACTGCAAAGACGGCAGAGTTGTTGCTACAGAATGGTGCCATATGGAACGACCTGAATAGCGACAACGAGACGCCCGGCTGCATTGCCTTGCGGTTGGGCCTCATGAAGGTCTACGAGATGATGGTCGAGGCTGGGGTCCGCGCTGAAATGCTGTTCAGCAAGATGCAAGAGCTTGGAATGGATGTGGACGGTGAGGGCGATGAAGACGCAGAAGGTGCTCCTCAGAGGGCGACCCGAGTGACCGTGGAAGAAGACGTCTCCATCGACAATCACGCCTATCTCAAGTCAAAGTTGCGATACAAGCCGGGCATACTTCTCGATGAATCCGACAACGCCGTCATGATGGATTGGGAGACCGAGATCATGAAGCGACATGCCGAAACGCTTGCTGATCGTCCTGGTCTGCGCACCATGAACATAGGCCACGGTATGGGCATTGTCGATAGAGCCTTTCTCGATCGCTCGCCGTCTATGCACCACATCGTCGAAGCCCACCCGCAAGTGCTCCAAAAACTTCGGGATGAGGGGTGGTATGACAAACCAAACGTAACCGTGCACGAAGGTCGCTGGCAGGACGTGCTGCCCAAGCTGGCGGAGCAAGGTGTCGTTCTGGACGCAATCTACTACGACACGTTCGCCGAGAACTATGACGCGCTCAAAGAGCTTTTCTCCGAGCACGTGGTCACACTTCTTGACCCAAGTGGAAAGTTTGGTTGGTACAATGGACTTGGGGCCGACCGGCAGATCTGCTACGATGTTTACACAAAGGTTGCTGAGATGGATCTCTACGAAGCAGGGTTTGACACCAAATGGGAGGACATCAGAGTACCTGCAGGTCTTCACGGCTCGGCCCAGTGGGAGGGGACAAAGCGACCATACTGGACCATTGACGTTTACCGATTGCCCGTCAACACGTTCATCTCGTGATCAACGTAGCCTAGGGTTCTTTGACGATAAGCGACATCATCGTCATCCGAAATGACATCTTCAAGCTCGAACTGAGTTGGAACAGAAATGTTGCGTGCGATGGAGCAGTCCTCTTCCATCCCTGACCTTTCGCATTGTACGAGAGCCTCGTTAAGACTGGCACGAGCATCGCTGACGACGGAAGAGATGGGAAACTCCTCTCAGAAAGAAATCCTTGCGTGTCATATCATCGCCTGTCGATTCACGGACCCAAGCACATCGCGCCAAAATCTGTTACAAAATATAAGCATTTAGACTAGACCACGGTGGAGTATTCAGTAAGAAATCAATTATCTGAGGGATCTTCACTTTTGCTCTCTTGCCCAAGAATAATTTCGATCTCACTGTTTCTCCGATATCTGATTACTTAAAATCTCATATCCGACGTCCTGTTGCTCAGTTCCAACGGCGTTTGTCCATGTCTCGCTAACTTTCAACAAGTCTTTGTTAGTTGTCTCATGCTGATATATTCTCACCGTCGACCTGATGTATAACTTGCCCAAGATTTGCAATGCAGAGCATCATGTTGCATGGTTCTCACACCTATTTCGCACCTTTTGGATGGCTAGCAGTTTTCGATTTCGGAAAGTAAATTTTTTTTTTGGATCATGGATCGGGCCCGACAAGCGACGCAGCCTGCATCGCGTCGAAGAAACCCAGCCGCAGTCCACATGTTCAATCTTCGCGATGTAGAGATACCTTGTTACGGTGAGAAGCAAGCCGCAAACCAGCACTGCCGGTCACGCGTGCGAAGGAGAGCGGCACAAAAGGCGTGGGCGACCCGGATCGCAAGATACGGACCTACTGGCCGACGAAGCGAGCCGGTGACGCGGACGACCGTCTCAACTCAAAAGAAGCCTCGAAACCGCAACGGACGTGCTCGTCGTAGCGAGTCGTCTCCAACTCCGCAAGCACGCGTCTCCGACACGTTTCATGACAGCACCACTGGCCCGGAGGGCGATTTGGACTCTCCTGTCATAGATCCGTCGTTCGCCACGGAGTCGACAGCTGAGAGCGACCCACCTCCTCGCAGAGGGCGTGATGAAGTAGGCGCGAGAACGCGAGACGGATCGGACGGGGCGGAAATGCCAGATCGAACTGAACGGGCCCCGTCTCCCCCTCCACGGCCCCTGCAGGTTGCAGAACAATCGCAGCATCACGACATGATCCGGCTTCTGGATGAGCGGCGAGCTCGAGTTCTGGGCCCCCAGAACATTTCGGCACCGTCGACGTCTTGGACTAGGCATCTGGAGGATCGCTTCTCTCCCGAGGATGAAATTGAGCCGACGCCGTTTGCGATTTTTGTCGATCCAAGAGTAGAGGACGAGAACGGCAATGACGAGGATAAGGAGAACGAAAGGCCATCTGGGCGTAGTAGAGATGCACTTCGCACACGTTAGGTACATATAGCCATGCTATCACCAAGACAAAACAGTAGATATCACGCCAGGCATCGTGAGAGGTTATCATACGATCTATCTGAGCGATTGCTGTGCAAACCTCTATTAGGATTCAGGTGATGCGTTGGGTCCTCTGATAGATGCTTCCGCAGGATTATTCCCCATTAAAAGTAACGATGCCTGGAGTGAAGCAGCCCAGCGGCGGCTTTGTTTGAGTATCCATATTGTCGCGCCATACCATTGCTATCGACTAGATACAAGCGTATCGCAGAGCACAATTCTACGATGATGACATTTGTAGCATCCCGTAAGATGAGATCCTGGCAATGCTCTCTATAATAGCAATACAACTCTCGCTATGAGTTCACGTCATAGCTCGTAATAATATGTTCTTACCGTCCATAATGTCCACCTATGCCAGCATATCCAAGGTAACCAAGCGCATCCTTCTTCCATTCCTCGTCCGACTCTGCGCTTTCTTTTCTAGGAGGAAGTGGTGGTTCTTGCATATTTCCACTTCCAGCTGTCGTTAGATCAATCTGGCTCCTGCTTACTGCCTGTTGACTCGATCTGCGCATCTGACTCGGAAGCATGTTCCGTGACGTAGGCGAGGTGGTCCGATAGACCGGATCCGCATTGACTGACGGTGGTGTTCGATACCAATCAGCGTCTTGCTGTTGCGACATGGTTGTACTTGTAGTCGTCGTCGTCGTAGTCACAGATCCGCTACGGTCAACGAGCTGCATGTAAGGCTTTTTGTTGATAGAATATCCCGGTGTGGCTGCTCGTTGTGTGGGATCTAGCTGTTCAACTGTCGCCCCCGTATGAGGATCGCGGACGAGCGCTGTCGCGGCGGTAGCTGCAGCGCTCTGCGGTGCAGGAGGCATGTCGTCGAAACTTCCTCTTGCTTCGTTATAGGCCAACCCTTCATAATCAACGGGAGATCTTTCAACGCTCCGATGACCCTGAGATGAAGGAGAGTTTCCAAATGGGTTATTACTCGCGTTGATAGGTGAGTAATCGACTGTGTTTGAATCTTGTGTCTGATTCGTGACCAGCTCTAGCTGCGGATGCCGTAACGTTTCCTTGCCGTCGTGATCTACACCCGCAAAGTGTGATGCATTTCCCTGAGAATGCCTCTCTGGGTTCGTTGGTGTTCTTTCATGATCATTGGATGTAAAGCTACCAGAAGGAAGTTCTGGGATATCCAACGGTGCAGGCAGCTCAGCATGATTACTGCTACTTGGCCTCTCAGGCTCGATACCTGGCCTTGTTGGCTGGTAATAGTCAGGGCTCAGATTCGTTTGGCTAAAGGTATGCAAGTTCGTCATCGACCGATCAGGCTGATACGTTTGAAGTCCTTGACCCGACGCCTGGCTCGGCATCCGTGCGGGCGGTGCGGCGTTTGTCATGCTCATTGTACCACTCACTGACCGCAGCCCAGTATTGCTATGTCTATTCCCCACTCCCTTCCTCGACGCGATCTGTCCTTCTTCGGCAATCTGTGCGATTCGTCCTTCATCCTCCTCTTCTCGGATGCAAAATTGAGCTATAGTCAGGAGTTTCCTGGTAACCCATCCCGCCAATATCTTGCCCCGTTGTTTCTCTCCTAGCCTTGACCTTGGGAAGTCACCTTTTCCTACGAAGGCAACGATATCGACAACCAGGTGGTGATGATTGAGGATTGCGTTGACGATGACTGGAACGATGCTGGCCAGGAAGTTCTTTCGGAAGATTTCGACCAGGACGACGACGAGACCGCCAGCTTGGAATATTGCGCAACCAGAAGGTACAATGTTGCGATGGCATTTCTCGACGCTCTCTTCAATGTCCATAGGGAAGTGCAATAAACCATTGACTTCGAATGTCTCTCCAATGCTGCCCAAAAGGAAGAGTACCTGCATCTCAACAGGGCTGCCACTTGGTCCAATCGGCCGGCTGACAGTATGTAGAAAGCCCAGATCGCCAGTTCTCATGTACCTCACATTTGGATCTCCATCCACCGTCCGTCCTTGGAAGCGCTCTTTGTCGAAGATGTCCTTGGATCCGTAAAATCCGTCCACGTTTGCCTCACTCTGAACCCAGACTTCACCAAACTCACCAACGTGGCAAAGGCAATTTGTCTCTGGGTTCACAATACATATTTGGGTGCTCACAGGGACCATACCTGAATCCTGCACCAACAAGGCTGTGGGATCCGTGTCTGGGTGGACAGGTACGATCAAACCACGACGGAGCGCATTTCGATCGAGCCAAAGCTCAATGGGCTCGATACACATATAGCTTCTGCTCGCAACCATCGGATTCAGCACATGTGAGTACACCGTGTTGATTGCAGTACGGTCGAGGCCAGCACCGGCGAAATGTAGGCGAACTTTCTGGTCTGCGAAAAGCGATGAGCAAAAAGGATGCCCTAAAATAAAAAGCAGTTACTTACAGACGTCGACCTTAGCGCGTCCTTCGCTGATGATCATCAGATTCTTAAGCTCATGCAGCCCGGCTGCTTTGCCTGCTGCCATCGTCATGGCATGGTCCATCATCTGCGTTGTGGCGTAGCTATCTTTGATCTTGTACCTGCTTAGCGTCTGGAATAGTATATTCGGATTCGTCGCGAAATCCACCGGAGAAACCAAATAAGTCGGCGTTGCGAGGTAAATACCCATGAGTACCGAATGTATAAAGCCTAAGCCCATGGTGGAGCGTACGCAGCCCAGAACAGGTCGCGAAGAAGTCATTTGGCAAGTCTCCTTCTGCACCTTGCAAAGCGCCATGATGGTGCTGTGGCCCAACTGCACCGCGACACGCCGCTGATCTGGTGTCCAGTAAACCCAGATCAATACTGGGTGTCCTTTGGCCACCCATTGCGGGCGGATTGTGAGTCCAAGGTCTCTGCAACCAGAACTTTGCTTTGGCGGTTTGTTTGTGTTGTAGTGATTGGGTAAGTTGACCTTCAGCACGAGCGCCGACTGCTTCAAGTGCTGACTGACTGGCTTTTGCTTGAGCACGTTGTCGACGTCATTGTTGACCAGTATGGCCTTGACTCTAAAGTCAGCAATGACGTGTAGCAAGGCTGGCGCATCTTCGTTCAGCCTGTTTTGGTCAATCGGTGCCATTGGAATGGCCACTGCGCCAACCACAAAGCACGCATGGACGGCGAACACGAATTCCTCCGAGTGCGTGTACATGAGCACTAAGTGATCGCCTGGCTGTACCTTGATCTTGTTCTTCAAGTACATCGCCACAGATGCGACTTTCAGGTCAAACTTTTTCCAATTGACGCCCTTGCCTTCTCTGCCACGGCCGTCAACGGTGCAAAGGGCCAGTTCCTCGGCTTGTCGCGCAACTCGCAATTGCAACAAGTCCTGGATATTGGAAAATTGATTGAGTGGTGTACTCGTGCGATCGTCTATCACAACTTCGCGATAGTCGACACCTGAATATTGCTTTTCCTGCTCGTACAAGAGTGCCTGGCGCGCTTGGCTGGCGTGTGGCGACCAGACGCCTCCTGCGGGATCTTCGCCATAAGGTAAATTCTGGACCGCACGTTCAATACCAAATTTGACGTGGACGCAAGCTAAAGAGCCAGCGTCAAATTCCTTTCGGCAGAGCATGTTTCCTATTTCCCGTCGTCCGTTTTTTACAATGCGGGGAAGTGCATTGGGCAGAGTGATCATCACGCAATAGACGCGGAGCGAATGCTCAGCATACAACACATCCATAACGCGTTCCGCTAAAGAGTCCAGGAAAGGTATGTCCAGCTGTCGAGGTGGTCCGCCCGGATTTGTGGGCGCTGTCGACGCAGCCTGTGTCTCGATAAGAATAATGGGCAAGTATTCGCCATTAACGTGTGAGTCGAATGCAGAGCTGAGGCTCCTGTTAGTTGGCGTTGCTTTAAGATAGATTTGTCGAACTTACCAGTCATATATCTTGAGCACGTTCTTCATGATCGTCTTTACTAGGTGTTGCACAAAGAAGTACCTGTGTTCGACATCTCTCATTGCCACCTCGTCTACCCACTCTACGCGCTGCCGTATTCGATCTTCGTACAAGCCAAGCACAAAGATCTTCCCTTCAATCACGCAGCCCAGCAGGCCAGTACGAAGAAACTCGGGCTCGACTAGCACGGGCGTTGGGCTTCCTTCGACGAAGCGGAACGGTCTAGCGTGGAAGATTGTTTCCGTGTGTTTCGGCAGCGCCCAGAAGCCGCCGGAGAGTGAAGGAGAATCGACCCAGATCTCGCCAACGGTGTACTCGGGGCACAGGAGACAAGTTTCAGGATCCACGATCGCAAGAGTCGCATCTGGAATTGGATAGCCGAATGCACCAACGCGAAGGGCACCAGGTTCGTTGGCTCTTCGCTCGACCTCGTCGCCGGTGGCCAGCACTACGACCTCATTGACCTTTAAGGCTTCCTTATCGAGAAGCACCTCCGTCAGGCTCGTACGTGATTTTCTTTTATCAACTTTTACGGAAGTACCGCCACCGATCAGAGACGTATATCCACCACTGTTTTGCACGCCATTCTCCTCGGCCTTGTTATCTTCTTCTTCATCTTGCTCGAGCGAGCTAAGTGGGCAACCCATTCTCTCTTCCCCACCTAGCCAGTCTCGCACCGAGATAATCATGCCGCCATGTTCGGGCAAACACAACATCGGCGCGACGAGCTCTCTCGCCCTCTGATTACGCATCGGCTTCAGCCATCGGTCCGCAAGAATCTCATGGAACTCGCAGTCGACCGTCAGCGTTTCTATCAGGCATATCTTAACCTTTGAAAAATTCGGCTCGATGCCCTTCTTGAAATTGCGCGTCGCCATTGGGTCCTGTTGGTAATTGTACGCCGCACGTTTGAGACCGGGGTAATCCGCTACCATGACAGTGGCCTTGTACTTCGAGATTAGGTGGGCATATAGGCCCGGCGTTTCGACGGTCTTGGCCTCCATCCAGACGGTGGTGTGGCCTCCATACACGCCGAGAAGTACACCTAGGATCATGCCGCATCCTTCCCGTGGATCAAGGTAGGAGAGGATGATTTCACCCCCTGTTTTGGACACAGGCATGATGAAGGATCCGTTCGCATTGCGCAAGCTAGGATTGAAAGTGTCCTGTTGGCTGCCCGTAGGTATTGTCGAAAGAATGGCTTGGAGACACGCCATCTGATGCATAATGGTACGATGACTCAGTACTACACCTCTCAAGTCCCCAGTCGGTGCTCTAGAGAACTCGATGTATGCTAGGTCAGGGGCGGGGAGTTGTGTGCCTTCGGTTTTCTTCTTGCTGGGGTGATAGCTTCCGAATTCATTTGTTTTCCACCACTCCACTCCAGTCGGCCACTTTAGCCTCTGAGCGCTAATGTCTCTTTGGAAGGCTTTTAGATTGTTATCAGTGGTCAGGGCGAGGTGGGCTTGCGTTGTCGTGAGCAGGAGGCTTAGTTTCTGATAGTCTTCCACATTGTTCATGGGAACTGCGACGACGCCAGCAAGAAAGCATCCTAAGAGAGCGACAGCAAAGTCGATAATCTCGGAGTCGCGATATACCAGCGCCACTCGATCTCCACGGTAAAGATTGCTCTTGTCCTTGATGACCTGAGCCACCTTTTCCGCTCGCGAATGCAGCTTCTCGAACGTGATGCTGGCCATTTCTTTGCCCTTGGAATCCAGAACCCAGTACGCTGGTGTCCTGCCGTTCGCCTTCCCTCTGTGTTGTAAGACCGCCCCCAGATTATCAAACTTGCTCATGGGCACATTGCCGTTATGTGGATCGAAGGCGTCGAAAGGCACGTCTCGCGGCTCTAGCGGATTCATGCTCTGCACCATTCCGCCGGGCAGCTCCATTGGGGGCGGAGGAATCGCTGCGCTCGGAGAGAAGGGTTCGACGGAGTATCTGCTGTTTCCGCCCCCGTAGCTTTCTCTTGTATCGCCTTCGCCAGGGCCCGCGAAGTCGCTGAAGTAACCCTGCTGTGAATCCAGCATGGTGCTTAGCCTGCTTTGTCTCCCAGGGCTGCCAAAGTTGTCGTCTCCTTCTTGATATCCAGCTTGTTGCGCAGGGTTGAATCTAAAGTCACCCATCATCGTCTCCGCCCGCGAATCGTAGTTGTAAGCGGTCGGCGTCAGCGGCCTGTCTGGCATGTACGATTCTCGCGGGAAGGAGGGCTGCCCTTGCATCGACCGTGCTGCTCCGGCCTCTCTCTCGTGGAAACGCCCGACTTGGCTAGGTGGTTGCAATGCAGGATAGCCTCCAGCAGGGCCTGCCGTCGGCGGTCTCATGCCCCCGGACGGCGTCAGCGGCCTTTGCTGCATATCAAGGCCAGTCAAGGCGGCGAAGCTGGCAGATCGGCCGCCAGGGCCGGAGTCTCTGTTATTAGGGCCTGCAAAGCTTCCATTCTCGGAGCCGAGCGAGGAGATGCGCGAGTGTCGCAGTATTCGGTCGGCCTCTTCGGGGCCCAGGTACTGAGACAGCAGCACCGTCCGTCGCTTCTCGTAGCCCTTCTGCGTGATATCGCCTTCCTGCGCACACAAGCATACGTCAGTACACGTCCTACAGGGCCGTCGTGCTGGGCACCCGGCGCCGGTGGCATACCGCGAGTTCGTTGTCGAGTTCCTGCAGCTTTGCTTGCAGCTCCGGAGGGGCCGCCATTGTCTTGAGTGAGTGAACGTGCAAGACACACGGGATGGAGCTATGGCATTGGAGGTCTTGCTTTGTGGTTTCGCGCGGTTGCTGTGCGGCAGTCACGGCGCAAGTTACATCAACTGCATACCAGCGTGCGGGCGCTGCGGCGTGTACCTCGAAAAATGACGACGACGAATTGTCCGTTCCAGCGCCTTTCCCGAATGAGTGCGCGCTGTGGAGAAAAGGAACCGTGGCGGCCACCCGATGACGGGGCCTTCGCCTGGTTTGCTTAGCGTTTCCGCCTCCTCCTCCACCTCTGCTGCCGCCTGTCTCGATTTTCGTCATGTGTGCTGCGCGCCAAAAGTGCTTCTTGCGTCTACGCACGAGCGATTCCTGTGCTTCTCCCAGAGCTGCTTGGAGTCTAACGGTGCAAGCGGAGTGTCCGCTCGTGTACGCATGGCACGCTTCGGACGCATCCGTGTCGGGTCCCGGCGACAATTTGCCCTTCCTGCTGAGCTGGCCATGTTCACGTGTACTGCGCTTGGTTTTCCATGTTGACGTCGCCGACGAAGACTACTGTGTTTTAAGAGAAGCATGGGCTCCTTATGCCTCCTTGATCGGCTGTGCTGCCAGCACGGAACACTCGAAAGTCCCTTTCTCTGCTGTCTTCGAAAGCAATCCATATTGGATGCCCGAAGACTGAGCGCGTCTGGACCGTGAGCACCGACCTGGAGGCTGATTCTACGTAGGCTGGAGTGTGGAAGCCGAGGGATGACGCCTACACGACTGCTTTGATCGAAGCTTTCGTCTATCTGACGCCATGCGAACAGAAGCCCTCGGGACAAAGACGAACATGTCTGAAATATAAGTCTAATTAAACTGTGGCTAGACACCTGTGCGTCTACACGGATTTGTCTTGAAGTAGTGATTTGCTGTCAAGCTCCTTGTTAGGATACAATCCTCCCTTTGAGGTGGCCTAGTCTTACAATTCACGAACAGCCATTTGAAAATGGGATTTGATCATCCTGGTGAAATGAGTATGGAAATAGTGTGCATGCATACTATGGATGGTATCAAGATGTGCTCGTCCTAGTCATCTGCTTCTTTAGACGGCCACAAGAAAATTCACCTACTTGTGTTTTGAACGTCCAAATGGTTCGCCAGTTTCTACATGTGACGCGAGCTACAAAGACAACCATCACGATACCAGACAAGATCGCTGAATGAATCGAGCTTTGTCGCTAACCTGGTGCGTTTCTGCGTTCTAATCTATAGACGGCTTTCGTTCAACCGATGAGCATCGTCCCATCACAAGGCGTGGAATGGACTCGGCTGTCACGAAATACGTTCTTCACCTACGTTAAACTCGGATGGCCTTGGCTTCCGGAGCAGTGACATTCTCAGGAGGGAGTGCGAATGAAGCACAACAAAGATCGCACGTACCGCAAACCTGCTGTGGCGCACCTTTTCAATCGGTGTTGGGTGGTTTAGTTCAAAGCCTTCTGCCAAAACTTAGACTTAAAGATTGCCGCTGAAGAAAACAAGCTCGATCCATCGAGGTGGCTCCCTGATCTAGGCTGTCGTTTTCACACAAGGCTCTCTTTATGTTAGCGACCTTGTTCCGACTCAGTTCTCTGCGCTTGCCTGATGCTCGCCCAGATCCATACAGTGCATGCGTTTGCCTCTGATAGCCGGGTGCTGCCACGATGTCCATCCGATTGCAAGCTGCACTTCCAGAAGAGCCAATCTTGGTATGGCGTAGAAATGCAGAGACTCGAGGACGGGATGTCTTCTGTGCTCGCCGGGTCAGATTCTTCATGGCAGGCGTTGTGTGGCTCGCCACCGATCCTGTGGCCGTGCTCGTCGGCGCGGAACTCCTGGCAGCAGGCCGAGATGCATCTGGACTTCGCCCCGTGCGCTGCGCATTCGGTTGACTTCGAGAGCGCTGGACGCGTTCCAGCAAGCAGGTCGACGGGGCGAGCAAGGCCCTGCCCCAGCCGAGGAAAACATGGGATTTTGTCTCGATGCCGCAATTTTCACGTCTCCATCTTCGATCGCGCACTTGCTTCGGCGCTGTGGCAGAGCGGACGACGAGTCGCGAGTGGCTGCCGTTATCACACTAGAGACGAACGTCATTGCACAGGCCGCTCTTTTTTCGCATACCGTTTCGAATCGGGATCGACAGTCCCACCGTCGAGCCACAAGCGTGCGTACAACTTCTTCAGATCTGCGCTCGCGAGGCTGGCGCAGGCTGACAGCTCTTCTTCTCGAAGAACTATGCTCCACGCACTGCCCGAGGAGGCTGCTGTCTCAAGCCGTCGACGAAGAGAGGTACGAGGAGCCCTGTTCCTGCATGATTATGCACATCGGCACTGACGCCTGTGACGCAGCTCTACAAGTACTTTATTCCTCCCGGAAGCGTTTTTGGCACCACCCGAGAATCCGTCCCTGATAGTGTGCTCACGGCGCATGCGCAACTAGTAGCATGGCGACTCAATTGTCAACGGGCTATGGTTAGCCTCATAGACAAGGATGTGCAGTACTTTGTCGCCGAAGCTTCAAAGACTGTACATTTGGATGACAGGTACGAATCCCCACACAGCTTCGGACATGTGGAGAGTGCGTAGAGACAAGGAGCGAAATCAGAACCAAGGCGAGCGCTGCGGCCATGGCATGATTGCACATTTTAACCCCCCGCAACAGAGCTGCCCGGGTTCTGAATGCGTCTCCTCAGCAAGTTCTGGCTTCGCATTCGATCAAGTTCGATTCCGCAATGGTCGTGCTGACGACTGATGGTAGCTCACTTTACGATGACCCGTCAGACGCTATATGGGCTGGCTGTATTTCAGTACCGAAAGCTGGGCGACTCTGCGAACACACAATTGCTCAGCTTCCAGGAGAGGACGGCGACCCGCCGTATTTCGAGGTGTTGGATCTCACGCAGGATGATCGCTTCAAGGACCTGGCGTTCGTAACAGCGGCGCCATTTTTCAAATACTACTGCGGCGTGCCTCTGAGGACGAAGCACGGCGTTCCAGTTGGCTCACTCTTTGCACTGGACGATAAAGTCCGAAGACCCATTAATCGAACCGAAAAACTCTGTATGTTTAGTGTCTGCTCCTGCCCTGTTTCGAAAATTGCTAATCGCTTTCAGTCCTGGCCACCATGGCTGAGAATGTGATGACGCATTACGAAAACTTGAAAGAGAAGGAAGACCGCAAGCGTGTTCTGAACATGAACATGTGCCTCGCCGCATTCGTCGATCCCGAAAATGAGATAAGAAGGAGGAGAGCTCGGCGCGATTCGCAAGCAGATAATGTGAAGAGCCATCGCTCCTCGGTCAGCGCTGGCTCAATTCGGAGCCAGCAAGAGCAGTCAGGAAAATCACATCGTCGCAGTCGGCAGTCATCCCGACATGATTCAGATTCGAATAGTGAAGAAAGTGCGAGCACATTGACTAAACGTGTTGAAGACGACGATAACATTGAGACCTTCAAGAGGGCTGCTAACCTACTACATCAAGCTCTTGGGCTCGAGTTCGGCGGCGGCGTTGTATTCATGGACACAGCAACTTCTTATCGCGCAAATCATAAGCAAAGGAAGACCTCCGATCAATTAAGCGTTGGAGAGTCAGAGCACGAGACCACTCCGTTCAAGAGACAAGGCTCATTAAGCAATTCTAATCTTCAGTCGTCGAGCTCTTGGGGCCCGTCTCGAGTGGCTGATCCGCCACAGATAGCAACGATCACAACTCGAGTAGCCGACGTCCTGGCCTCCAAGATATCTCCAGCTATCTCCGATAACCAGAGCAAGCCTCAGGCGGAATTCACGCCTTTGATCCACGATGATCTCGCAAAGCTCATCAAAAGGCACCCAAGAGGAAAGTTTTATAACCTTGACCCCGAGGATGGATTTAATTCAACCTCGTCGAGCGACGAAGGGATCTATGACATTCCCAAGTCGAAGTCGGCGCCCTCGAAACACGAGGGGCAGCTGCTTGCGAAGCACTTTCCAGGCGCCCGGCAAATAATATTTTTGCCGCTATGGGACGCAACTGCTTCCCGCTTCTCCACGCTTTTTGCGTATAACACTTCGGATTTCCGGTGCTTGTCCAGCAACCCTGATTTCCTATACTGCATCGCGTTCTCTAGCTGCGTAATGACCGAAATTACACGGATCGCAACTCTTGCAGCGGACCAGCAGAAGTCTGACTTCATAGGTTCTGTCTCGCATGAGTTAAGATCTCCCCTTCATGGAATCCTTGCATCCTGTGAATTTCTCACAGACACAGATACATCCACTTTTCAACAGTCATTGATCGATACAGCGGATAGCTGTGCGAGGACGTTGCTGGATACTATCAACATGGTCTTGGATTACTCGAAGATCAACGCGTTCGAGCGAAATGCGAGAAAAATTCGCAGGAAAGGCGGCAACTTGACAAACAATATCGCAGGAAATGCTCAAGCCCAACTGAACATCTTCGGTAACGTGGATCTGGCTAACATAACGGAAGAAGTTGTCGAGGGCGTAGCGACCGGCCAGGTATTTAAGGATAGTTTGACTGGTGTTGATGCCGTCGATTTTGGAGATCCGACCCGACAGGTCCTTAGCGGACGCAAGGAAGTCGAGATTATACTTGATATCTCTCCACGTGCGTCACCTAAAGACTGGGTCTTCGTTACCCAGCCTGGTGCGTTCAGGAGGATTATCATGAACATATTTGGCAACGCGCTGAAGTACACGCGCTCAGGCTACATTAGAATCAAGCTTGACGCACAGCCAGAGCGCCAGCCATCCTCAGCAAGCAACCCAGAGGAGATACAAACCACGCTCGTAAAGCTCACCATCTCAGACACAGGCCAAGGCATGTCTCCGCAGTTCATGAGGACAAAACTTTACACCCCTTTTGCTCAGGAGAATTCGATCGCACCTGGTACCGGACTTGGTTTGTCCCTCGTCAAGTCCATGGTGACGATGTTGAATGGCGAAATAAATATTGAATCAGCAATCGGAGTTGGTACGGAGGTAACGGTCACGTTCCCAATGACTCTTAGCACGCCTACGAGCAGCTCGGATTCGAATTCCGGCTCCACACCTACTTCTGCTGGCAGCATTGAAAGGGTTAAGGACGAGAGTTTGCTTATTGTGCAGAAGAAAGCGATAGGTAGGAGAGCGACGTTGTTCCCCGACACTCTGAGTGGCCAAGCAACAGATGCCGCTCGCATGATTAGGCACGCTATTCATCGCTATCTCACCGGCTGGTACGGCTTTGAGGTGATCTCGCCATTTTCCGTCGACAACTTGCCGGACATCATCATAACTGACGAAAGCGACCTTGGCGAGCTGGTCAAGATCCTTCCCGGTGGCATTGACGCGGCCGAAGGACCGATGATCATCGTCCTCTGCACCGCTGCTTCACGGAAAGAGGACAAGAGCTTGCTAACGAAATCACACCGTGTTGAAGCTGTTTCGCATCCGTTCGGTCCATTCAAACTCGCCAGGAGCATCAAGTGGTGTCTTGAACGGTTAGACAGGTCGTTGGTTGCGGAGACGGATGCAGAATCCGAAGCGACTGCAGCAGACCATGCCGCAGTTGAGGAAATTAGCACCGGCGTTGATCATCTGACCATTCATAGCACAGATCCCGACGAACCAGACGTTAACATTATCAAAGCCGGATCTGTGGCGGCAAAGGAGGATAGTGTCCATGCGCAATTGGTCGTTGAAAGTTCTGCTGAGTCGTCCTCAAGCGCTGGACTTGCACCCGAACGGACCGAATTCCCCTTCCCCCGTGAACAACCAAACGATGGAACAATATCGCCATCCACGCTTGAGGCTGCGGAGAAAGATCGGCCGCCATTGTCTTCGCGAAAAACGATATCCCCAACAAGGCCCGAGATTGTTTCGCAGCATGCTGAGGTTGCCACACCAATGTCCAGTAAGGGCGTCATGACAACGTCTGTGTCTTCTGATCAAGCCAAATCGAGCAAAGCTCCTCGATTGCTTCTTGTTGATGACAACAAAGTGAACCTTCGTCTCCTTCAAACATTCATGAAGAAACGCAATTACACGGACGTCTTCTCTGCAGAGGACGGCGCACAAGCTGTCGCCATTTATCGCGATCTGATTACGCAACAGCCGCCCCATCCTCCAGATATCATCTTTATGGATATTTCAATGCCCGTGATGAATGGATTCCAAGCGACGCGTGAAATTAGAGAAATCGAAGAGGACTTTAGGGAGCAATTTCCTAGTCCGATGGAAACACCGCAGAGCAGCTTGATCATTGCGTTGACAGGTCTTGCCAGTGGCAGAGACCAGAGCGAAGCGTTCACCTCAGGGTAAGTACATGTTCCTTATGCTCAACGAATGAGTAAGACTGACGTTTGATGCAGTTTTGATCTGTTTCTTACAAAGCCTACCAGTTTTCGGGAAGTTGGTAGATTGCTTGACAACTGGGAAAAGAATGGCGGTGCGGCAACTGTGGGTGTTCCGCATGGCGCTCTGACCGGGGAGTCCGTTCATGTAGATCCATGAGGTTGTTCTACGGTGTAATTCAGATGTATATGTGACACTCGGATTCGGAAAGATACACTTCAGGTGTCTACGGGCTGGAGAAATGCCCTTTTTGTGATTTGACTGAGATCTTTAAGGACCACAATTCGTACTTAGTCGATAGAGCTCAAGGATTACGGATGGTAACGACCCTTGACTCCCTTAGATGGCATGATGTATGTTACGATTGAAAAGTGGCGGATATTAGTGATCAATGGCCTTTATCAATGAGGAAAGCATCTCAGATTTTCGTCTAACCACCGAGGGAAAGCGCTGCATGGTTTTTGCGTTTGCATTTCAGCATTGGCTTCCAGCTCCAATGTCAAAGAGGCTCGCTAGACTCTCCGAGGACGGAATCAAGCCATGCCTGGAAACATGGCTACGGCAGTTGCGAGCGATGACTACCAACGTCGATCGATGGCTGCACCGCACTGCTGGATGTGACATGTATTCCGTTGCACGGACCGTACTTGAACGTTCCAAGTTTCACCCCCTTGAATCGATGGACTTTTGATCGTAAACGGAATCATGATGGGGGCGAATCAACGCCTTTTCTGTGAGGATATGTTAGCGTCGATTCTCTAGCGAGCTCTTTGCTCGTGCCATACAAGTGTCGAAGCGCTGTCCCTGTTTTCAGGCTCTTGTACTGTTCACCGGTCATGACCATTTCCTTCTCGTTCATTGCGGTAACTCCCTTTGGACACGAGACGTGTTTACAGAGCCAGACCTGATAGTGTCACTGGGTCGGAGGTTTAGACTATAGACGCCCTATATTCGTAGGGCATGTGTGGGTATTCGGTCCCGTGCATTGTCAGCTTATCCCCGCAATACCTGCGAATGAGATGGCCGCAGGTCTCAATCTCAAGCTTGTCGAGCCCGCGTCCGGCGGCAAAGTCGATGAGAGCATGAAAGATACGTTTAGGGCTGGCGTCAGAACGCGAGTTTAGTGTTCAGCTGGCAAAGATCATAAAGCCGACCCGTCAGCTGGTTGCGCTTTCCCTTACGCACGCCAATGGGAATATACAGCAACCCACCCCGATACTTTGTTTCTTCAGCGGCTTCATACTTTCTCCCGGAATATGCCTTGAGCGATCGCTGCATTCAGCTTTCATCACACGCACGCTGGCGGCGCGGTGCGGCGAAGCTGGACGAAGGATCAATTCCTTCGATCACGACCAGCCTTTAGAAATACCGCTTTTGTTTCCATCCGTTACGCCAGGCTGAGATCAGATCTTGACGTGCAAGGTTTCCACCATCCGGACGAAAGACGTCAAGAGGCACATCTCGACATGGAGCCTCCTGCCGAACAGTCGACAAAGTCCTCGGCCTGCGAGCATCATCAGAACAATCGCGGCTGCCCCGAACGTAGCACTTCTGGCAACGCAGCTAGCATGACCGCAGAAGGATCTTGCTGTTCCACGGGATCACTCGTTTCAGACCTCTCAAAATCCTCAAGCTCGCGCCAAACGGCCACCGCTCCATGGGAGCAAATGGAGCAGCATAATTGGGCGATCAGACCTCTGCCAAAGCAGTCGGGCGCTAGCAGTGCAAGCCACACTTCAACACCTCAGGTTCAAGCTACCCAAGGCCTACGAACGTCTTGCAACGAAGTTAGACGGGATAGCGTCATGTCTGTAGAAGGGCATCCAAACTATTTCGATGGGATGGACATGTCGAACTGGGCTTTTGGTCCTCTATACATGCCGTGAGGAGGGCCAGGCCGCCAACGTGTTGATCGATCTCCTCCCTTTTGTTTGTGCTTGTCTCCGGACGAAAGTCCAGTGCGAACGGTTGCCTTAGACAGAGCTCTCTTTTGCAGTAACTATGCACAGACATTCTCATTCACAACGTCGTCTTCCCCGTTCTCAGACCGAGCTTGACTCGTTAGTTGTCTACTCGCAATGCTATCCGGCTGATCGCAAATCGAGGTTGTGCTACCATGAACGTCTGTGTCTCTCACGCATCCGGAGTTCGTGGAGTTGTAGATAACATGATTGAGACGATGACACACTCGTGTGCAGCCCACGTGAACGAAGACTGCAATGACAGTGGAAGACACTGAGATTGAGAACTCGGCTTGGTACACATGATTTACAGCTTTGCGTAATATTGACAAATGAACGCAAGGCTACGAAGCAGAACAGGATGGACAGTCGTCGCAAGGAATGTAGATAAAGAACAGTTTTTTTTTGCTTGATCTTTCACCAAACCAGCTTGTGTGACACATTTGGCTTAGAACCGTATAAGACGAAGTCACCGAGCGAAAGATCTAGAAAGAAAACATAAGAAGTTGAGCCAGCATACAGAGAGTAAGAAAAGAAACAAGAAACATGAAAATCGATTTTATGTCTGGCAATTGCGTATCCTATTCCTGCTCCGCCGTTTCCCTGTATCAGAGCCAATTCGCGGCCATTTTCAGTTAGTTTCGGTTCAAGAGTGACTCCCACCTAATGCAAATCCTCAACTCCATGCTATGTAATTGAGGCATCCGGGAATAGGAGAGATAATGGGGAATAGAGGCCCTCGTGCCCCAGACCGTCATGTTAGGCGATAGCAATACTAATAATGCAGATGTTCTCAGGATAAAAGATCATTCTCCAAGCCGTTCAGTTCGCGTCAACCGGATGTATCGATTAAATTCTTATCCCCTCATCGTTCCTTCTCATCACTCTTCAGCCGGTGGTAACACCGACTCAGAGTTCTCTTTTCGAGGCCATCCCGCTCCAGCACATTGACTAAATCTCTCATCTGTATTCCTTTCCCGCCCTCTCCGTCTTCCCTCCACATCCCCAACTTCTTCCATAGCTCTTTGCTCCTCAGTCCTGGATCTTCCTGGGAAGCCACGCCCTGTTTTCCCGTCCCTGATGCTGCAGCTCCGGATGCTGATGAAGGCCCCGGTGTACCAGGCGCGCTCCCGCTCTTGGGAGTAGTTCCTACCCCACGGCCCATACCCGCTCCAGCAGTGAGACCGCCTCCGCCCGCGGTTTTGCCCCCACTGAGCCAAGAGTACTTCTTACCGCCACCACCTAAGGCCATATTTGCCGTTGCGTTTGCTTGCTTGCGCTGTACCTCCTCATTTACAGCTGATTTCTTCTCCGCTGCCAGTGCCTTCTTCGTCATCTTTGGAGGAACAACGCTGGCCACTGCTACTGCCGGGTCCACACCTGCTGGGGTAGAAGGCGCCGCCGGTGTGGAGATGCCTTCGCTTGATGTGCCTGGTGCAAGGGAGGATTGTCGCCGTTTGCGTTTCTCGAGTCTCTTCTTCTCCATTTCACGTTCAGCAGCAGCGATATCCCGGAGGAGCGACGGTATCATGGATTTGTATGCTATCGTTGGCTGAGGTTGGGGTGGTGGTGAAGGTTCGGTAGGTGGGGTTGGCAGTCGCGCTCCGTTGCTGTCAGTCGGTTTGGGTGGTTGTGGTGCGGATGGACTAACCGCGCGCTCGGGCGGTCGATCCCATGATGTGTGAGTGATGGACTGAGATGCAGCTGTCGTATCCTGAGACGGGCCGCTCCCCTCTGCTATCGATGACCATTCAGGTGGCACAACGCCGTGACTGCCAAACCGACGAGCTCGGGAAACGGCAAAAGCATCTTCCAGAACGGTGCGCAAACGCTCGTTGGCAGCTAAGCTGAGCAACGAGAGCACTTCAATGACCGGGGAATCCTGCTCAACCGTGTGCCGTACGGATACCTCGGCCTTCGCAGCAACAAGCCCTGTGCCGTCGGAGCCCATCATAGTCTTCGCCTGAACATCTTGTGGCTGCAACTCCCCAGGCGGTCGCACAGGTATATCACGTATGCCTTGCTGATTGAACCGCACATGCTCTTCATAAGCTCTCTTTTCAATCTGCTCGCGAACTCTTTGCGCCGCAAGGAATGGGTCCCGCATGTGGACTTGCCGTAGCTCAGCATACTTCCTCGCCTGACGCTTGTGTTTCTCGCGCAGCTCGTCCTCGAGCGTCTTTTCAGTGACTGGAGGTTGGTTGAATGGCCGTCCAGCTTCGAAAGCAGGCTGAGAGCCATAGTTGGCTTGTGACCATTGGGTAAAACTACTGTTATTGCCTTGCGAGGGCGTGGAGGAGCGTTGAGAGCCGAACGACGTGGTAAATGATGTGGAACGGAGGTAGCTTTGAGCCAGATACTCGTCTTCTGCGCGCAGATCAACACCTGATAAAGCTACCATGTCGGTGATGTCGTTAGGGTCGAGAGGCTTCTGTGGTCTCTCCGGGGGACCCATGGCGCCAGCATTATTCTGACGTTGGCTGTTGGAATTGTGCGGTTGCGAATCGAAGCTCGGCGACTGCACCGGTTGCGGCTGATTGAATGATTCGAGCGGGTTGGGAGGGTAATAGGCTACGGACGGGGGTTGCTGAGGTACCATTGTGTGCGGACTCCATTGCGGGCTGTATGGCGAATATGGGCCAGGCGTGCTAACAGGAGATGTTCCCAGTGGCGATGGGCCATGCGACAGCTTCTGTCGCTTCTCTGGCGGGAGCGGTAGTCCGTGAGGAGGGTGCCCGTTAGACTGGACTGGCGACGTCGCCATGCGCACAGGCGGTGGTGACGCCATCCTCTTTGCGAGATGGGAATGGCTCTATTGCGGGTTCAGTTATCTCATTGCCATCGTCGAAGCCTCCTAGACGGTTCGACCAGCGTGTACAAGCGACGACGGCGCGGGCGAGAACGCGGATGCGAAGTTGCAGGTGAAGCTTCGGATGTTCTAGAGGTTGGACTCACGCAAATGCGCATCACCACGCACGACCTGCATGCCTTAGGCCGCAACTACCGCGACCGCGTCCGCGCTCCGCATTCTCTCATCTTCACCTGAATGCGGATGTCGACTTCGCCGCAATACCAACCACAGCACGACCAGCGACAACCAAGCTCAAAGTCTCACACAACGACTGGCAGCCATCGTATTGCTCAAAAACTCACGTCTCCAACCCAAATAAAGGCCCCCTTTTGATGCGCCAGTGACATTGATCTAGACTTGAGGCGACGACGTTGCTGCCATGGCGTCGAAGCGGAAGAGAGACGAGGTGAAGGAGCCTGTCGACAGCGAGCCTATAGATCCCGCTGATCAGTTCGAGTTCTTTTGCCTGGGCGGTGGCCAGGAGGTTGGCCGGTCATGCCACATCATTAGATACAAGGGAAAGACAGTGATGCTGGATGCTGGTATGCACCCCGGCTACGAGGGTCTTGCTGCTCTGCCATTCTACGACGAGTGGGACCTTAGTACAGTAGATGTGCTACTCATTAGTCAGTAAGTCATACCTTCGGACGAGCATTTACCTTCCTTGCTATTTTGCACTGCACTTTTCTTTGTCGGCCTCCCGGTAGTGGTGAACACGTTCACCTCTCACATGGGATCGCACGATATCTTCAGATTGTAGAGCGACACCAGCACAGTAAGACGTCAATGTTTTTGTAGCTTGATTGGGGAACATGTCTTATCAGACATTCTCAAAGCACTGGCTGCTGATGGCGCTACGTGTGTATCCTGTACGAGTAGCAACAATGCAACACCTTTGTTCCTCAGCCATATCTTTCACGCCTTCTTCTCTTCTGTGCCGTCGCTCTGCACATATCTCTTCCTGGTCACAAGAAAAAACACTTTGCACATCGTCTTCCAATTCCTCATGCCATTCGCTGACGGTCCTTTCCCTCAGTTTTCATGTCGACCATGCGGCCTCATTACCGTACGTCCTTGCCAAAACCAATTTTAGAGGTCGGGTCTACATGACCCACCCAACGAAAGCCATCTACCGCTGGCTCATCACAGATACTGTCCGAGTGGGTAATCTAGGTTCCTCTGCTGAAAATCGGACAATATTATACACCGAGGCTGAACACCTTGCAACCTTCCCCCGAATTGAAGCAATTGATTACTACACAACGCATACAGTCTCTAGTATACGGATCACGCCCTACCCCGCTGGCCATGTACTCGGCGCGGCTATGTATCTCATAGAAATTGCTGGGCTGAATGTGCTTTTCACTGGTGATTATTCAAGAGAGGAGGATAGACATCTAGTATCGGCTTCTATACCAAAGGGCATAAATGTCGACGTTCTAATTACGGAATCCACCTTTGGCACAGCAACTCACGTACCCCGCATCGAGCGTGAAAACCAGCTTACAAAGACAATCACCGACATTGTATCCAACCGCAAGGGCCGGGCCCTACTCCCTGTTTTCGCCCTTGGTACAGCCCAGGAACTTCTCCTCATTCTGGACGATTACTGGGAGCGACACCCACATTTGCAAAGCATCCCAATCTATTACGCTAGTAACCTGGCAAGGCGCTGCATGGCTATTTACAGCACGTATACATCCTTCATGAACAGTCACATCAAACGCGTCTTTCATGAGCGGCTTCGCGCTGCGGAAGAAGCTGGACGTGATCCCTCCACCGCAGGACCCTGGGATTTGCGGTTCGTACGTGCACTCCGTTCCCTGGAGCGCTTCGAAGATATTGGCTCCTGCGTCATGCTTGCCACCCCAGGTATGATGCAGAACGGAGCGTCGAGAGAGCTTCTAGAGAAGTGGGCCCCCGACCCGAAAAATGGAGTCGTGATCACCGGTTATAGCGTGGAAGGTACGATGGCACAACGGCTTCTGAACGAGCCGGATGTAATCGAAGCGGTCATGACAAAGAGTCGGGAACAAGGAGGTGGAAGGAGGGCGCTGGATCGCCAGAAAGGGGATACGTTGACTATCCAAAGGCGCTGCACTGTCAACGAATATTCATTTGCTGCTCACGTTGATGGGAAGCAAAACACGGAATTTGTGGAGGAGGTGCGGCCAAGGCATATTGTGAGTATTGCTTGCTGCTCCGTCGAAGTATTAAAATCTTGTAATAGTTCTGAGCGCGCTGACTGGCTGATTTCAGATTTTGGTCCATGGCTCCAAGGGCCAAGGTGTGCGTTTGCGATCGAAACTGCTGGGTTTAAGGAGGGAAGGGCAATCGCTGCACAACAGATTATTGGACGTACATCACCCGGCTAACACAGTTCCCGTAACCATAGCTTTCAAGACAGAAAAGGTAGCAAGAGTTGTTGGCAAGCTGGCTGAGAGTTACATGCCTCTCGCTTTGCGACCGAAGTTGATGCCTGACGGTGACGAGCACATGAAGGATGAAGATGAAGTCGAAGATGTTAAAAAGGAGAAACTTGAGGAACCGAAGGGTATTAGCGGCGTTCTTGTGCAGAACGAGTTCAAGCTTAGCTTGATGGCACCAGAAGATTTGAAGGAATTCGCTGGATTGACGACGACCACCGTCGTGTGCCGTGAACATTTGACACTCCGGGCTGCTGGTCTTGAACTCATCCGTTGGGCTCTCCAAGCTGCCTTTGGTGAAGTGACAGAGATCAAAAAGCAGCCAGATACACTCAACGGTGCCGCAAAGCTAGATGCAACTGATGAATCCAATGCGGTGGAGGCAGCCGCTGACGCCGAGATAGACCGAAATACGACTGTACTAGAAGTCATGGGGACGGTTCGCGTGAGCATTGGTGCAGAGGGGGATGTTGAGGTTGAGTGGGAAGGCAATATGCTAAACGACGGGATAGCGGATGCCGTACTAGGCGTGCTTCTGGGCGTCGAGCGTAGTCCAGCTGCTGTTGCCAAGAGCTCGAAGATGCACAAGCACGACCACTCACACTCACACGATGGGGTCAATGGCACGAATGGAAATGGTGTTGTGAAGAAACGATCTATGGATCCCAAGGAGCGATTAAGCAGGCTTTTCCTTCTATTAGAAGCGCAATTTGGCTCTGATGCGATTTCACCGATTGAGGAGCCTATGTTGACCAAGACGGGAGATGAGGAAGAAGACGAGGCAGCGCGGGAAAAGGAGATGAGAAAGGTACTGGAACGACTTCACAATCTGGGAATACCTGTTCCAGGAATCGAAATCAAACTCAACGACACGGTCACGGCCAAGGTATGGCTCGAAGATTTGAGCGTCGAGTGCGCGAACAACATCTTCAAAGGAAGGGTGGAAAATGTAGTAAGAGAGGCCGTCGATGGTATCAGCGCACTTTGGGATTAGAACCAATATTGCTCTGCTTATTACTTCTCGGAAGGCAGAAACACAGTTTTCTGGGTATACACCAAGAGCGCAAAGGCCTAGAACGAAGCGGAATTTCGAAATTTTGTCATAATTTGTTCGAGTGGATCTCCTCGTTCTCAAGAGTGTCTTTCTTGGCACCATTGAGAGCGACATGGACCATGGCTTTTGCAGCCTGATCCACCTTCACGACCGGTGCAGTCCAGGCCACGGTCGCGGTTATCAAGGTACCAAAGAGGGAGGCTGGCATGACTCCGCCAATTCGCATGCAATACGGGAAGAATCCTTGGTGTTTTTTTGCGATTTCAAGCAGGCCGTTCTCCGCGGCACCCTATTTTTTGTCAACGCACAGCCGTGTCAGCGTGAACACGCTTCTTCGTTGCAGGCAATAAGACGCGAAAATCAAAGCACGTACTTTGATCCGTCGAGTGTCTCCGAAGAATCGAAGTTTTCCTCTCTCGTCCCGTGCTGCCCAGCGTCCACTGCAGAAGACGAACCTCATCGGGCCCAGTCTCTCGGCAAATGCTTTTGCCGCGTTCACCGTATATGTGACCTGCACTTTGTAGGCCGTCTCGTAGTCGGGGAACTCCCACGCTCCGCCGCCCACGCACCATATGCACGCTTCCGACCCCTTCAGCTTTTCAAGCAAGGCGTCATCATCCCATTTCTCAAAGTCCTTGTGGATGACGACCTCGAGCTTGGCGTGTGACATCTTGAGTGGACGCCGCGAAATAGCTACCACGGAGGTTACCCGATCATCACGAATGAGCTCTTTGAGGACTTGGCCCCCGACGAAGCCAGTTCCACCCGTGAGGATAATTTTCATGACTGATTTATTCCTTTCTTTCTTTGTTCTTTTTGAGGGAGGCTTCGAGAATGAAGGAGAGTACGATATTTAAGGATGCCGTCACACGAGCGAGGTAGTATTGCCTGTTCTGGCTGGATGTAAACTTGGGTGGTCAAGCGAGGATCGGCCGTGTGACCGTTGGTACGTGGCAGCGACTGGACACGGTATATCTTGGTTGTGATCAACTCGAACACATTCTCAGAAAATTCCACAGATAGTTCGTGCACAGCCCGGGTTAGAATCAATTCATCAAAAATCATATATAATTGCTGAACGTCGCGTAAACTCATGCATCCAGTGCATCAGCGGACAACGCGTACAAACAGAATCGTCCTGCCCTAAGCCGCGTCGAGCCAGGCGGAAACAGCGGGCCCTCGCTCAACCATTTGTGGAAGACCGGACGCGTCCCCAGCAGAGTGACGTTTAAGAGTTCACGACAGTGGGCAAACCGAGAACGCGGCAGAGGGACATGACTGTCTTGTGCGACGGGAGCGACCCACGTCCTGTCACCGCGCGTCTGTCGCATGCTGTGCCAACCTACTTCCGGATCGTTTGCACCCTGCCATCCGAGCCGAACGTCTTGATGGCCCCCCTCGCAAATGGCCGACGCTCCGTCTCCGCTCGCCCCTGCTGCGGCTGCAAGTGGGCGTTCACGATCGCCGGTGCTCTACCATCGTCGGGTCCGCCCGCTGATTCTTGCTTCGTCCTTTTCTCCGGGCGCGCCTCCGTCTCTGCCTCCTGTTCCTCGTCGTTGTCCCCGCCGTCACCCTCGCCCTCCGTTGTCGTCGGCTCGTCCGGCCTCTTTCTCTTCGCCCCTTGTTTGGCTGACTTGGCGTCTACGGAGGCTAACTTGGTGTCCTTGGAACCTCGATTCGCCGCTTGCGCCGCTGTCTCCGAGAGCCTTCTTGTGGGCTTGGTTTTGCGTCTCGTCCGTCCCGACAGACTGGGATCTGCGTCCTCACCTGCATCGCCGTCCTCGTCGTCCTCGTCGTCCTTGCCCGTGAATCTAGACGCGTAGATTGGATCTTTCAGCTTGGGATTCTCCTTTTTGGCACAGATGTGGCAGATCCAGCCCCCACTCTTCTGTGTTTCTAGACACGCCGCATGGATCTTTCGACCGCATCCCCGTAAGCACTCTAGGATCTTGATGCCTCGCTTGTCCGGGTTGTGATAGTCACACTTCGAGTTTGATTTCTTGGGCGCCTTTGAGAAATTGCTATTCTTTTGTGTGGGCTTCACATTCTCCTTTTCTTTAGCCCGAGAGGGCTGCAAAGGACCCCCGTCATCAGTGGTTCCCTTTTGTGATGGACCAACTTTGGATTGAGTTTGTTGTGCAGTGGCAAGCTCCTCCTGGACTCTTACCTTCGTCGGAGACTTACCATGTTCATATCCGAAGTTTCCAGGTTCGCGGTGCTCCTGATCGTATGTACGTCTCAAATCCTCAAAGTCCGTCTGCTTTACTTTTAGCATCTCAGCAGCTCTTTGGGAATACACACTCACACCCTCAATAGTGACGCCAATGTCTTTGAGGGCCGCGATGATTTTAGTCTGAACTGCATCGCGCTTTATGCCTTGCCATGTCATCTCCTCTACCCATCTATTCAGCCCCTGCGCCAAGTCAGTTGCACGATCATGAACTCGCTGCATGAGCTGCGCTGTCATTCTTGGCTGGTCGTCCTGCTCCTGACCTTGGCGATCTATCCCGACGTCTGGGCCCAGCACCTGATCCGGGGTTTCATTTCGCGTGCCCACAGGAGACGAATCGGTAGGATAGTGGCCGTGGACATCCCTGAATATTTCTTTGAAAATCTTTGTTAGACGCTGGATGTCTGCGGCCTCGAGGTTCTCCCCGTTTCGATCGATGTCCTCGTACTTCTCGCCGAAGACGATGGCTGCGGCTGCGCGATGCCTGGTTTCGTCCCATTCGTGAAAGTCGAATGGCTCGTTTGACTCAAGACATTTGATGTGTTGGAAGATGCCGATGTCACGTAGTCCGTGTATGATTGTGCGGATGCGCTCCGGATTGTAGGTCTGCACCGCGTCAACGCCCGGAGGATTCAGAATTTCACTGAACGCCGCTATCAGTGAGTCGGTAACAACAGATGGCACATCTTTCTGCTTGGAACTTTCCTGAGGCTTGTGGGTCAGCCTGCAAACTCGCGTCGCCGATGTAGCTATCGCACCTTGATTTCAGGCTTGTTCTGCACAAAGTGGTCTTCACTCCCTGCGATTTGCTTACTGCTCAAGACAGGTTGTGGCTCACGCAGCATCTCGGAGTCGTCGGAGAAGAGAACTGGCAATTCTGGTACTCTGCTGGGACTCTGCTCCGAATTGTCTTCCTCTTCGGTCTTGAAACTAACTGGCACGTCGCGGAACCAATCCTCTTCTTCGTCGACTTTGACTGACTGGGCTGCGCTGTCGACACTGCCGACACCCGCTCTCGCTAGATCACCTGCTGACATGTCGTTCCCGGCATCCCGTGTCCTGTCATGTGGCAACTGGTTTGAGATTGGGTGACGTCTGTGCGGTGACTGGGTCTGTTTTTGCGAGGACATACTTGCCTAAACTAGTATCACGTCGATGGGTCACAGGATTACTTAAAAGGCCGGGCAATGTGCGGTGTTTTCTTTCTTTGGGTGAGAAGGGGTAATTTCGAGATTGATGAGCAAGCAGGATCACGCTGGCGGCAGAAGATATAGGTGGTTCGACAAAGAGCGGGCTCGTCAAAGGCACGAAGGCGTTGTTTTGCCAGGACCAAACATTGTGCACTTTGATGAAACTGTGATTTGCTCAATAACCATAGGGCACGCAGACAGACAAAGCTGTGTCAACCAGCAAACAATGGACGAAGATTCTGTCAAAGATGTCTGAATGAAAATATTCGAGCTGTCGATTGATGAACGCGGTCTGCGCGCTCGCAAGGCTCTGCAAGCGCTAAAAGAATTGAGAAACAGAAAAAAAAAAAAAACCTAGTATGGCCGTCTTGGTAGTCAAAGACAGCAAGTCATCACACGCACAGTGCGTGGGCACCGAAGATAAAATGGGGATATGCAGCGGAAGTGAATAAAATAAAGATTTAACGTCATGATGTCACGTTACCTATCTCACAATGTTCAACGTCCCCGCTCTACAACACGAGCGCACCACCTGCCGCGACGAGCGCAAGTCCCAGCCCGCGGCCGGCTGTGGCCATTGCGCCGCTGCTAGAAGAGGAAGACGAGCTCGAGCCGGCGCTTGTGCTCGCCGCGGTGGCTCCCGACGTTGCCGTCGTCGCGGCAGCGGAGCGTGTGCCGGACAGCACAGACGATGCCGCGGCGCCGGACCTGGTTGCTGCAGTTGCGCTACCTGAGATGGCGATCAGACGCGGAGATGAGGTCAGCACGGCGAGGAACACGTACCTGTGATTGCGCCCGGGCCCTGCGCGCCGGAGGCGGTGTAGTAAAGGCTGACGGCGGTCTGGCTGGGCGCCTGGTCAGTGGTGCCGGTAGCGGTGCCGGTGGGGCCGGGGACGGCGGCGTCGACACTGGTGAAGTAGTCGGCGAACTGGGCGGTTGGGGTTCCGGTGCAGATGGCGTTTGAGACAGAGGAGATGACGACGGAGTAGCGGGCGAGTGCGGCATCGGAGAGCCCGCCGTGGAAGGCGAGGCAGTCTCTGCAGCCCAGCCAGTCGGCGAAGAAGGTCGACGGCGGATTGCACAGGCACTCTGCCATGGCGAGATAGCCGAGCGCGTCGGTGTTGTTTGGCGCGCACTCGCCCTGGATGTTGATGACGGAGATGCACGGCGGCAGGGTGCCGGACGTGTCGGTCACGTTGGGAGAGCACACGCTGTTGAGGTACGCCTGGTTGCCGGACGCCGTTATCGTCTGACGCGCGAAGAGGGCGCCGAGTCCGCCTGCCTGCGCGGCAGTCGCAAGCGCAGCCACTAGCTGCGCCTTCATCGCTTCCTAGATGGATCGATGCGTGCTATCGTCAAGCCTGAGTGTCGCTGTGGTGTTCGCCCGCACACCTCTCGTTGTCGCAAGCTGCGGTGACGGTCTTGTTATGAAAGGCGGTTCTCACGGTCAAAGGCGCCGTTGCGATCTTATGTATGCAGAAAGGTCGAGCCAACCTAAGTGCGTCACCTGTCGTGTCCGCACCGCCACCTCGGCAGCGAAAAGGTCGTCTACCGTCAGCAAAATTGACTGTCACTCGTTCAAAAAGCCACGCTTGGGACGATCCGTCGTCGTCCGTCGTCCAAAGCGAGTTATTTAAGTGGAAAATTCGCTCTCGAACCACACCCCCCCGTCCCAGAAGCGCGGTCCCAGCCAGGAAATGAATCTCCAGGTGGTCTAATTTAAGCCTTCTCACTCGCATCCCCCTCTCCGCGGCCGCTTACAGGACGCGACAGGCCAGCCTTGGGCCCGATTGGTGGACCTGCACCAGTCAAGCTTTTTCCAGCTTTGCCTTTAACCGAGATCGGTGTCGATCCTTGAAAGGATCGCGTTGGTGCGATGGGAATTGCTGCATCAAGTTGCCGCTTTACTCAAAGGGGACCGGAGTGGGCGAACGCCTGGGGTAGACCAGGTTATCGATATCGCTAAGCAAACATTAGCTGGAGCGAGTGCGAGTGCGGACGTAATCATCAAGGCCGGGTTTATATCGAGTTTGTCAGTAAACTATCATTTGCTGGCGATATATGCCTCCGGCTGTCGTTTATCAATTGCAACGGCTCCAGCTGACAGAAAATGCTGAACTCGAGGGAAAAAAAATCTTGCGGACCAATGAACTTGAATGACAGAGGAATCAATGTAAGAAAGAAAAAAGGGTATGTCAAACGCTGCTTGTTCTATCAAAACCCAACGCCAGCTTTCTCATTCTCGATTCGACCAGGAAATCGCGGTGAGGTACGCAAGAAGGCAGTAGAAAAGCTAGGGATATATGTAATGCAATCGTCTGCGTCATCAAAACAAAGAACATTGTGTGCCTCCCATACCATACCGTGCTGAACCGTATTGTGCCCGAAAAATCGCATACCATCCTGGCCCGGCCCTAACGCATCCAGTCCCGTAGTCCTCCGTCGGTCCTCCAACGTGCCCTATTCCTGTTTGTCTCCAAGCTGATACAGACGAACTCATACATAAAACAAGGGGGAAGGACCTTGAGGCAAAGGGTCGGGACGGGCCAAGAACTGATAGGAAGCAAGTCCTAAAACCGACAGACATACACACACACACAGAGAGAGAGAGAGACGGGTAGAGAGATATAAAGAGAGAAACGCTAATCAGTCAAGGCCAAGCTTGGACCCCTGGGTCCGCTTCAATCGCTAGGATGACGGAGACAAAGAGAAATGTGGAAATTGGCGAGCTTGTTCGTCTGCCGACTCGTACGGCTGTTCTTTGCTCGGGGGGGGGGGGGGGGGGGGGGGGAGGCTGGGCGTCGAGGTCGACGCACCGAGGCTGTTGCGTTCGTGTCACCGGATCGTCCGTTGAGAGTCTCGTGTGTTTGCCCTGCCTCTGCGTTCTTCGCCTACGGCAGCCTCGTAGCTCGGTATGGGTGGTCCATTCCCGGGAATAAGCGGCCGCCGCTCCTCATCCGATGGGCTCTCGTACTCGGGAGGTGGAGCCTCTGATGAGACTTCGTGAGGGGGGAAGGTGCTCGATGTGGGTGCTGGTGTGCTGGACGAGGTGCCCTCACCGACGTCCTCGCCCTCGTCAACGACGCTGAATGCCGCGAGCGAGATGTCTGTTGGGGAGCGCTGCGGACCGGGGCTGGTCGGGTGCTGCTGTCGTGATAGGCGAATCTGTTGCGAGTTTGATCGACCGTGGCCGTGGCCACCGTAGTGCTGGAAAGCAGGTGCCATGTATCCAGAACCCTCCCGGACGCCCTCGCGCCCGCCCTCGAGTAGGATGCTGCCCTGCTCACTACCGTAAGGCGGTGGCGGGGCGAGACTGCCACTTGCTGGTGCGAGGCCCCACTTCTTGACAATGGCTTCGATGAAGACAAAACCCATGTGGCCAAAGTTGACATGCACCTGACAAGGACCGTTTGCGCCGACAGTGGGGAAGAAATTTTGCGTCTTCAGTCCGTGGGCGACGTCGTCTAGTTTCTTGCCATTGCGAGTGAAGAAAATGGTCCCAGTTCGCGGGCGGTAGCCAACGCCGATTACGTCGCCTTGGACATACTCTGGACCGTACGGAGTGCCGGCGAAGGGTTGATTATGCCGACGGAGACCGTTGGAGACGTATGCTATCGAGTGCTTATGGTATCCTATTCGCCTCAAATTAGCAGAGATACTAGCTTGCTCCTCCTTCGATAACACGCAACAGCTGCAACAGTACTAGAGCTGCGGAAATTAGGCAAGAAAAAGGAAGTAATATGAACATACCAGGTAGCCGGAAAAGCGGGTACGGTTTGGTTGTGAGTCCAATGCTTATCGTCGTGTTCTCGGGTTTGTCGTAGATTTTGGCCTCCCAGTAGTACACTTCGTTCTGTTTGGGTATGGGCAGGTTACTTTGCACGCTGCACTCTGAGTCGTAGAACTCGATTTCGGTGCGGGCCTCGACGAAGCAGTTTGCGATCTCGAGTTCGGGCTCAAATTCCCATGCCGATACACCCTTTTCTTGGATGGCCAGGTACTGCGAGAGTGAGATGTCCGTATGCACCGACTCTGGAGGATTCGCTTGGACAAATGCTGTAGATGGCACGGTCTGTTAGCATGGACAGCGATAGTGAGAAAAGATAAGGCACAGGGCACAGCTGAAGGGTCAGGGCCTAATGGGATGTGTTGCGGACATACCTTTTGCCCGTAGATACTCCATGCGCTGCAGGTCGTCCATCTCGTCAAGAGCCTCAGCCTCCTCCCGCAGAAACGCCTGCTCATCGTCATAGTCGCCTGGCCGACCTATGCGATCCAGGAGGATGCGTCCACGCTGGGTGTACTGGAAGAACCAAATGATGAGAAGCACGAGGGCGATGATGCCAGCGGAGCCGAAGGCAGAAAGCATGCCGATGAGGATGCCTTTGCCTGTAGCGGCTCCCGCAATGTTTAGCGAGGGCGCCATGGCAGCGAGCTCCGCCTGGCAAAAATGCGGAACGGGTATGTAGAGCGTGAATGCGCAAGTGAAAAGCGTATCGTCTTGCCGCCGAGGGAGCAGAAGAAACGAGCACGCGATGAGTGTTGTAGCCCCTTCAGGGCCGAAGGGCGGGTTGTTGCTACGCCAAGGAAGGTGATATTGGCTGGTGAAGCATAGACTGTGAGTGACGGTTGGGAGGGCGAATGGGACTCGGCGTCGGAGAAAGAAGGATTGATAGCGTTTGCGAGAGCCGGCAAGCTGGCGGCGGGCGAAAGGGAGGCGCGGCGGGAGGCGGTTGAGAGGGCGGAGCGGTGGTGTGATGAGAATGCAAGTCTATCTACAACGGAGACAAAGATGAAGGGGACAACACAGGAAGAGAGCGCGAGCTAGTAGGCGCAGAAGCAGCAGCAGCAGCAGCAACAACAGCCAGCGGAGGCCGAGAGCGGATGACTGCGCTTCGAGAGGATGTTGTGGGTGGGTGATGTGGGTTTAGCGCAGCCACCTGACGTCGCAGCGAGACAAGCGGGCCCCGAAATCCCACTGGCCGGTCCACAACACAACCGCGCAAGTTGTTTGACGACGCTCTTCTTGGCTCGCTGGCCCAGCCCAGAAGCGCTCCGGAGCCAGCCAGCAGCGGGAGGGGAGGCAGGGCAAGGATGTCGAGGCTCAGAGACTCGATCCGGCGAGTTCGAGAGCGTGCGAGCGGGTATGTACGCCGTCCAACGGAGTGGGGAGATGGTTGTGCTGCCCTTTGCCACAGCTTCGGATGCAGGCGAGAAGAAGGCGGGAATGTGTCCCGCGCGGCCCAGCAGACGGTGCAGGATAGCTGCGGCACTGGCCGCCCTCGTCGGCGGCGGTCGTGCGATGGACGGGCGGTGGCGAAAGCGGCAGCAGCGTCAGCGGTGTCGTCGACGGCGCTACCTCGGCAGCAGCAACAGCATTCAATCGCTCGACGACGAGTGCACTGCGGGATGAGCTGATTGTGCATGCCCAGACTTGGCCGACGGCTGAGCCTCTTCCACATGCTCGACGCCTCCGTGGACGTCGCTTCCGCTCCATGAAACCAACATCCATTCGGCACTCTGGCTGCTGCTCTCTCTCGCGCTCTCACCAAGCCTCTCTCGCCTGACTCCTGGCCACAAGCAACCACAGACACGACGCCGAAGACAGCGCCTGTCTCACCAATGCTCTTCCACGTTTCTTCTTCCGGCCAAGCCCATCCTGAAACAAGGTCGCACGCGACACAAAACACACGTCTGCACATCCAACGCTTTCGTTTGGTCTGTAACGTCTCCTTGGCCCCTAAACTAGTGACATGTCTGCCACCTGCGACCACGGCGTCCAGACCTACCCGGTTACCCCACAGTCTGTAGCGCTGCGTCAGGCGTTTGCTGTGCTCGTCGTCTAGTCCACACCTGGTGTGTCAATTCAACCCGGCCGGACCAAACGTCGTGGCGCTGTACGTGCTGTCGCGATAAGCCTCATCTTACACGATGTGATCATCTAGGTTGAACTAAGCTGCCAAAATGAATAGGTACGGCTGTCACTCTCTTGCCAGCCAAGGAATGCAGAGCGAGCATGCGCAAAGATGGCAATGCTGCACAACATGTCCTAGCCTCCAGCAGTTTCGATCTCACACGGCTGTCGTACTAGACGAGGTCGTGGTTGTGCCCCTTTAAGCAACAGCCGACTGATAATGAGAAGGTGCTTGTCACGCTGCCGCACTTCCGCCAAGCGAGACATGTCTTACTATGAGTCTTACTTTTTGCAAACTTCCTTTTTCATAGTTCATGCATAGACTACAAGTTCTCGCCTTCTGCACCAGAGAGGCTTGACATTCAAATACTAACAGTCAGGGTATCGAGGGAGTGTACAAAAGCGGCCTTCGCCAAACCCGGCTCGCTTTCAGCAAGATGAATATAAACATATATAGAAAAGGAATGCTTCGAATGCAAATCGCTCAGAACTCACCCACCCAAGGACCGCTTTTTTAATAGCTTCTCGTCAGCCTGTCCCTGGGATGGGATGCATATCAACTGTGCTCCTGGTCATACTCGAGCGTCACCTTCTCTCCGCGAAACAAAGCTCGCTTGGATGCCTACTTCTCGCTTGGCTGTTTTTCGCTGAGTCCGCCACCGTCAGATGGTGTGTGCCTGCCCGACTTCTCCTCGCCAGAACTCGAGAAGTCTGTCGCCGTGCCGCTGAAGCGGCTCTGCACGGCACCCGGCCCGCTGGCCCCTCCGAACATCCACCTCGGCTTCCTCGACGCCTCGATCCAGCCCTGGATCTTCTGCAGTGCTGTTGGAAGATTCGACGAGCTGCTGCTGCCCGATGCGGGCTCCTTGCCTTGCAAACGTGGGAGCAGCTCCGCGCTACTGATCGTGCTGTCCATTGTGCGCGGGCGTGCCGTCTGTGAGACTGAATCGAGGGGCGTCAACGTGTCAGGTCGCGGCCGTGGCTCCATCTCACTCATTGAATTGTCTGGATCGAAAATCGAACCGGCGGAGAAGCTGTCTCTGCCTCTAGCGTTTGTGCCTGAGATCCTTCTGCTATCCGTAGTGTGCAACGAGACCGAGGACCCTGCCCCGCGAACGAATGAGAACCGTAAGTCCTCGAGCCTGTCAGGAGATGTGATGGGGTGACTGCTTAGGCCGGGTGTCCGTTCGCTTTCCCACCGTCTGCTGGACGGCGCAACAGTGCGTGCTGGCTCGTCTACCATTGCAGAAGGGGTTCCTGTCTCATTGTCAAGCGGCTTTCCCACAAGCAGGGACGGCAGCCTGGGCTGAGGTCTCATCTGTGCCTCCTGGATTCTGGCCTGCTTCTCAAGTTCCTGTTGTCGCCTCCGCTCACGCACACCAGCTTCACCGCCTTCACCAAGGAATACCTGCTGCGGGTCGTACTCGCTGAACAGCTGCGACGGCAATGCGCTCCTTCTCTTCAACCACCGCCGGCGGAAAAGGAAGAATACTACTATGATGGCGGCAAGAATCACAAAAAACGTCACGCCAAGTCCGATCCCAATCTTGGCCTGCTGGCTGAGCCCTCGCGACTGAGGAGTCGGCGTAGATGTCATCTCGAACGCCGCGACTGAGCTGGAACTCGTCGGACCATTTGGGGCAGCGTCGGAGCTAGGTTTCGCAGTCGCACTGAGGAAGACAGGGCTCGGCGACGTGGCGAACGTGGTGGGCGTGACGAGAGAGGTTGTTCCTAAAGAGACTGGTGTTGCGCTAGTCTTTGCTGAGATGGCTGAGATAGTTGAGATACTAGAAGGATTTGAGGTGCCCGGAATGCTAGTTATTACGCTAGGGATGCTGATGCCGGTCGTCAATACGGAAAGCGTCGCTGTCGTCACAGGACTCGTGTAGGTGATTTGTGCACTTGTCTGCAAAATCGGTGGTGACGAGTATATGATTGGTGACGGCGTCGGTCCATAGATTAGGAGACTTGATGGAGGTATGGTAGTCGTGGTTGTGGACTCGACGATTTGGGGTACCAACGTGGTTGTGGTTGCAACCGGAACTGTCGTCGAAGACGTCGGTAACGGTGTGAGTGTTGTCGTAAACGTTGCCGAAATAGTGTCGACACCCGGCTCAGTCGACGCGCCAGGCGGACTAGCCAATGTACTTGTGAGAGCCGCTGGGCCTCTCGGTTGGCCACCATTGCCAACGCCTTTGCCGACTCCTTTGCCATTGCCCAAGGCATCGTCGGCGCCATCCCTACGATCTTTTATCCTTGCTCTTGAGGTGACTCTATTTTTCTTCTTCCCCCAAACCACCTCAGCAGCAGGTAGGTTATACGTCCAGCTCATCATCTATTCTCGACCCTGTGCCGCGCTGCATACCGCATCTAGATCGACAGGAAAAAAAATTCAAAATAGATGCGTGTCGCGAAACCAAGGGCAGGCATTATCTAATCTACTTCTTGCGGGGTGCTGTCCACCGCTCGCGGCCGGGCAGTATAGCGGTTGGCGATATACCTGTCTAGCGCCGTCTGTAACGGTAACAGTGTCGCTTCAGTGTACCACTCGTTGCCACAAATGCTGAAACATCGCGGCTTATACTGGTGCCGTGCATGGGGCCTTCTTGAGCGGTTTGGAGAAACGGGCTGTTGCATCACTCGTCCAATTGACCCTTGGCTCAACTCGATCTGCTGAAAGGCAGAGAATACCGGGTCAAGCTCAAGACTTGCAAGATAGCTTTTAACGCATGGAACGATCCAACCCAGATCGTACTCTTGGAGCCTTCTGCGCAGGGTTTTGTCACTGATCCCACCGTTTTCGCGGGTTTGCCAGCTCAGGTTCTGGCTTAGGGGATTAGTCAAACGCATGAAACAAGAGATGAGGCAGATGGCGTTGATGTAAGATGGGATGCTCGTCGGCTTCGAGTTTTAATCCCTGATCCATGGACATAAATAGCTCTGAATCTTTTCGAAAATTCTGCCGAATCAGCATGTTTCTAACTGATGTGTTCGAGGCTGTGTGGAATACTAGTGGTTGATCAAGGTGTAATCATGGCAGTCACGTGTCGTGTCTTCAGTGGAAGGCGTCAAGGGTTTCTGTGATTGACCTGGAACCACTTAGTGCGTGCGATCTGAGCGAATGATCTTGGTTCTTGTTTATACTTTGTGATCGATGAGAACGACTGTTCATTTGTCAAGCCGCCCTTGTTTCCTCAACTTGTAGTTTTGCTGCCCTGTTCCGGGAGATCGCTGTGGCGCGCTCTGCAAACCGGAGGCGGGTATCTTTTGAGCAAGGTCAGGTTCTATCGTCACCCAGATGCCTTGTTCCCGTTTTTCTACTTCGGATGACCACTGATAGCGACCAGACCATTGACCCGGCTGGAGATTCTTCCGGCAAGCTGCTGGCAAACAAACTCTGGAATTCCGTCCGCCCGGATGCTCCCTACTTTGCAGCTGACGAGCAAAACAAAATTCGGATGCCGCTCAACTCCACTGCAAATTTCATTTTGAGACGAGCGAATAGGAGAGATCCAAAAGAAAGAATTCATGGAGCTGCTTGTGGAGACTTCGACGGCTTGTTCTACCCGCCATGTACAGGCTCTCGTGCAGATCGACGTACGACATGATTCAATGCTGTCTGCATTTACCTGAAAAAGGTTATATTCTTAGCATAATGTAAAAAAGAAGAAAAAAAAAAAACCTCTAATGATCGAAAATCAAAGGTGTCAGCGTATATTTCACGTTGCTGTCGCTGTTCCCTTCCCTACGATCCCGATTACTGCAAGTTAACGGCATTCGGTTTCAGCTTGAAGCCTTTCTATTGGAAGCTCATGATGATATCAGTGAATTTTCCACTCTCGGCCTCGTATGATATCAACCAACTCTCAATGCCTGATGTATTAGACTTATCGTTCGCCATGCTATTGATATCGTTGATGAGCAATTTTGACAGCGGCAGGAGCCGATGCTTTGACCGTAGTAAGAATCTGCGTGGTTGTAGAAGCATGTATTAGTACATATCAGCGTGCGTCATAGCTTTTATGTCAAGCGACCAATTCCTTCGTTTTTGGTCCATGATTAGAGTCTTTTCGAGAATTCTTGGTTGTGTCTTCACCCCTTTCAAGAGAAGTCGTAACCCAGAATTTCGAGCATTTGCATATGAAGCAAAACAGACTCCATGCATAGAGAAAATTGGGTCTTTGTCGCAATTCCAGCATTGAACACCGTCTTTCCTTAAATCTGCAAAAGCTCTCTCAAAACTAGCTGCTGTCACACTCACGTTGCGAGATTTGTGCTTACTGGCAATGTCGCTGTCTTCTATCAAATCATTTTTTCTTTTAAAGAAATGGCTTTAAGCTCTTTAGTTTTCAGTGTCTAGTGAAAGTATATTCTGCTGCCTTCTGAAATGTCTAGTTTCGCAATACTATAGCTGGAAAGTGGTCTTCTGGGCTCTCGTTGGCCTTTCATCAATTGTCCAATTGCAAGCATTATATCTACACCATACTTGGAAAACGATATAAAAACCGCCGAACTCTCTTTAGTCAAATCCGTCGACTGGATCGGCAGATGTCTACTAACAGGAGCCCTGTTCGCTTTGCTCTTTGAGCTGACTGAACGCAACAACGTGGGTTGGTCTAGTGCTTGGATATCTCCTAATAGTGTGCTCTTCTCTTCATCGTCATTGTCTTTGGGTATGAGTTTTACCTTAACAAAAACACTACATATGCCTGAATGATCAGGCCATCGAATTCGAAACGTAAGACTTACTGTTGGACTCATAGATATATTATTCTTTACAGCTCTTGGGAATTGTATGGGTGTAAGTCTTTGGATCCTCTCAACTCTTTGCAACATTGTTGCCTTCAAGAGAACTACGGAATGTCACCAATTAATACCATGTGAGTTTCCTTCCCACAGGATTTTTTTTTCAGTGCATTGGATGTCAAACATGTACTCTTATCTGATGACACCAGCGACATGGGTTGATTATATATAGGCAAATTTTGTCTCAAGACTTATCAACAAGGTGTCAATCTGCTTTACGGCATACATTGGGCAGATCTCTCTGCGTTTGGCCTGTAAGAGCATGGCAGTTCCCATTCCTGTTAGGACGAAATACTTCGCTTCCGGTGCGACGCAAATATAATGAATTTGCAAAATTTTAAACATCCGAAATAGGTATGCCTGCTATATTTTTCTCTGTGGTGGGTGCAGACACGGCTTGGCCGTGTCTCACTGTTAACGTCCACGTCACGTCCTGCACAGTACGTCGCTGATATTTTGACCGGATTGCTTCTCATAACCACATTAAAAGCCACAAGCGCTCGGGAGTGCACTAATCAATGCATCTGGAAAAATAAGTAGGGCTTTCTTACTTGAAATAGCAACGGTTGTGCAGAATTCCGTCAGGGTGAATGCAAATGAAGTTCCTGCGTATGCAGGCTAAGTTTAGAGAGGTGACCCGGCGTCTTTAAACGGAATGAGAGCAGGAAAGGCATTTTCTGCTGCTCTTTGTGGAACTTGCGCGACTTTCTGCTTTTATTCCTTCAGCGAAACGTGAATTATCGGAGAATATGAAAAACATTGATTCCAGGTTTTTCCTTTTGATAGGTGCAAAGGGGTAGGCAATCCATACCAGAAATATTCGAAGCTCTTGCTCATCATGATCGATTGCCTTTGGTACTCCTACTAGGGGATTAAAATGGGCTAGAATAGATGGAATCTTCATCTCGTTCTCAGAATGCAAAGCACCCTAATTGCTGGTAAGAAGATCATCTGAATAATTACAACAGTTCACAGAATATTTAAATTTCCGCTCTGGGACACGCTTGCGCTGTTTAAATCGTTGCCATCCGAGCCAAACTCTTCCGTACTATATTGCATCCCAAAAAGTTCAAACCACGATTCGAACCATAAATTAGAACTCGGTGATTGATTTGCAGCCAAATTGATCGAAGTTTCATTCGATATCGTACTATAGTCGACAAGTGACCAAATAGCATTGGCGTATTCTGTAGAAAGGGGGGCGATCTGTGACCGCGGTATTGCTAGCTGACTATACATAAGAGTATTCTCGGCAGCTTGCTGGAGAATCAGAGCCTTCGAACAGTTAGCAGCCATAGCAAAGAGAGAACGACACCTGCCACTCTAACAGCTTACCATAGTAGAAACATTGCGCCAGTATCTGCCAGTGTCTTGCAAGTATAAGATTGCCTCCTGCAACAAGTTTGAAGCTTTGAGGCGAACCGAAGAATCTTCGTTGTGAGCATAAAGCGCAGCGATAGAGCCAGCAATTAGGATACAGTAGCCACTGAAAGAAGAGCGGAATGTGCACATATTTTCGTTCGCTTCCTTGAAAAGTTCCACCATACTCTGCGCATGCCGCCAGCCAGTATCAAACATACGGGCCAGAAAGCTCGATGGTGCTGAAATGTTCCCCATTTCAAGTCGGCGTCGGAGGAGGAATGGATGGGTAAGCATGCAGTAGCAAAGATGTAAAAGCACTCTGGCAAATATTATGGGGCCTGTACTTTGGTAATCAACTCGTCCTTCAGGTGATATATGAGGCGCTAATACTTCGGAAAGCGGTCGGTCCAGTTCCAATCGACATTCTAGATGAATTAAATCGGCTTCAATAGCAGCGAAATCAGATGCGGGATCCCATGGAGGATATCGACTTCGAATGTTGAACTCCTGCAGCATGTATTGTGCTGTACGACCGACAGTGTAAGCCATCACAATGACATGAGCGAAGCAACCTTGACGCTGAGAATTTCGTGAAGTGCGATTGGCAAGCTCATCAAGAGTCAATGTTTGTTGCCACAGGCCATCTCTCCACATTTGTTCATCACATGGCAGTTGCAATTGGCAACAAGCATCGACGATTGCGGGAGGTCGACCACGACCGCACGAAACAAGTCTGTCCAGCAAGTAGACTGACCAAAAGACCCTTCTTCGCTCTTCTTGATCAGCATATGGCAGATGCGCAGGAGGCTCAAGCATAAGCCCCAGATCTTGGGCAATCCGGACAGCCATTCCGATTTTGACCCAAGCAGCGCCGTGTCTGGATTTGCCAGCTGGAGAAATTTCAGTGATTGTGATGAACAAATTCTCGGGCTGCTAACCTGTAAAATCAAATAATGCTAATAAGGCAATAGTTTGCACGATTGAGACATTAGATGATTTGCTATTACCAAAGCAGTTGGAAACCACGGATTTCCACGACTTGTTGGCGTAGCTAACGGCGATTTCATGGGTGTCGGCTGGAAGTCGAGGGTGATGGCAAAATCGAACAGCACTGGCAACAACGGCAAGCACCAGATGATCGGCAAGTTCATTTTGGGCTAGCCGCCGCCGGAAGTTGCCCTCGTGAAAGAATGAATAGGGCTGGTTCTGCGCGCAAGTGAAGTAGGCATCAATAACAGCCGTCAGCACATCCTGGGAGATGGAATATCCCTCAGGGCCAGGTGATAATACTTCGGCTTCGCCATCAGCATTTCGGTCGTTAAAAGATCCTGAAAGGCGTCTTCTTTTGCTGCGTCGCTGCCCACGCTCTGGATCCTCGAATGCCTGTTGTGTCACTCGTGATGACGAGGACAGAGCGTTGGATATCCTACAGCCTATGTAAGACGCCAAAATCAAGTAGTGAGCAGTGAGAGAGAAGTCCGACCTTTCTAATTGCGCAGAAAAAGATTGCAATTTCTCCTCTATTGAGTCCAATCTCTCCATGATCGCGTCCTGTGAGCTTTGCGTATTAGTCACATAGTTATTGATTATCCCCATGCATGAGGTAAAACGTACACGTGCATTTCTGGACAACTCCTCAGATCGATCACCCTGTTGGTTTTGCGATTTGCTTTTTCCATCATTTTGGGAGTCGGAATAGACACACTCTAGATTTCCCGTTACACTTGTTCATAATCAACTAAGTGGTGGCTAACCTTGTCTTAAACGTCGACATTGCGTGCAAGCTGGTCGCCCGCCCGTGCATCTAGTTTTTTTACGCCTCAAGATTATTATGTTAATCCCAGAAACAGAAGAACGAGCAACGAGAAAACTGACCTGCACGCAACGCAAGCCTGAGCAATTCGATGAATTGGTAAGTAGGTGACCTCGCCGTCATTGTTCATTCTTCTTAGTTAGTCACGCGGACGCTGCTCTGCATGATAACATCCCCTGTGTGCTCAACGCTGGTTAGCTTAATGCAACGTTGAGGGCAAAAGTCAAAGGAGTTGGTCGTCGAGTCCCAAGGCACTGAATGGAAGTTGTTTCTAGGTTCGAAAACGGTCACGTGTGTATCTCTCGTAAGTTCACGCGACGGGGGCGGGCTCTTATCCGCATTTCCCCCAGAGTTGGCCGGAGTCATCTCGGCGATACTCCGCAGTCAACAAGCACAGCTAATTCTTACCCAAAGACGCAAGATTTCATTGTTCATGACCCGTGCGTGTGCTTGTTATCGTTCTCTATGTTCAAAGCAAATGAATTCAGTGATCCAACGACCTCTTGTCACCCGTAAGCAAAATGACTTTGATAGCCACATGAAAAAAGTTGGAGCCATGATTATCAAGTTGTCATTCTTTCAAGACATTGCGATGATGGTGATCTATGGATGAGTACAATGGGTTATGTGGCACTTGCGTAAGCGTGGTTGTTCAATTCGTTAGAAGTTTAGGTCTACATAACATAAAGCTCCTAGAGGGTTTGTTGATGCATAAAAGAATCGTTTCGACCATCCTCCTATTCAAGAAAAGCGATAAACCACGTTTTCAAAAGCATCCGTTGGGAACACATAAAACCATCGTAAGTTATCGTCATTGACATTCCAGATGGCGTGCTCCGCATTTCCAGGTATGAAGACAACGGTGCCGGCTTCGACATTGCTCTCAACACCATCGATTTTGACAGTACCACGGCCTTCTAAGATGTAGTAGACCTCAGCCTGGGCGTGTCTATGAGCACATAGATGACCTGTCTTGGGAGGGCAGACGGCAATGCCTGTACACAATGAATCTGTGGGTGTCTTTCCAGTGGAAAAAAGAGTCTTCCAATTGACATTGGCGAGCGCAAAAGTTTCTTCGGCCAGCGCATCTATATCTCGTCCAGAGAGAATGACAGGACGCACTGTGTTGGACGTTGAGGCTTCGGTGTCCAGCTCCATTTCCCTCGCAGGCCAGTGTGGTTCTTGGATAGAGTCGAGAAAAATCAAGTTCTTAGTCAAGGCGAATGAGCAGGCTATTTCTACATGCGAACATGCTCTTTTAAAGACGTCAAATCTGCCAACAAAGTGTAGAAACCCCGATCGCGTCAACTTGCAGTACAGCACACGCTGAGGGGCGATGCTAGTGGTTCTAATTACTATCCATCTCCATATATGCGGCAACATTGTCCAAAACAGGCTCATAAATCCTCAAGGTGTCCAACACTTACCGAGTTCAAGCTCATTTACAAGTTTGTGGAACTCAAAGTTCTGAGCCAACGTCTTGGCAATGACTTTAGGTTTCTTTCGGTCCGAGCGGACCGAAAGCACCAACGACTTTCAATTACAATTGTTACGATTGATCAGACGTAGGAGGTTTGTTACTCTTGAAGCTAGTTGGGCTAATCTGCTTGATCACATAGTCCACATTCTCATGCTGCCCCTTTCGTTATGAACGTATTTGACAAGGATTTCTTCGTTTCTCTAATGAAATCTGTACGAACAAGTTACTTGATTGTCTTTACCGCATGCTATAGTCTGACTTCTGCTTTCCCAGAACCTCGCGATGACTCATCATCGCTCTCACGAATATGAATTACCAGTTTGCCAAACTGTGCCCCTTTCTTCATCTCTTCAAAAAGACCTTCGATTTCGTGCATATTGTCTATCCCTTTTACCACGCGGGAAATAACTGGATATATCCTACGTTCATTGACGAAGGCGACCATCTGGCGAAATTCTTCGCGTGATCCCATTGTCGACCCTCGAAGATCAATGTTCTTTAGTACCGCACTCATGGAGAATGATAGCGATGGGCCGGTTGTCATTCCGTATGATACAATGACTCCACCTTGCTGGTTTATACATTAGCACAAATTTAAACCCCGATGCATTCAGTTGCAGAGGCACTGACCTTGAGAAGTTTGACGGCACTGTGCACGATCGAACCTCCGGCACCATCAATAATGGCATCAAAATACTGTCTTTCCGATGGGAGTTGAGAGATGAGCTCTTTCTCCCATCCTTGTGTTTTATAATTGGCTCCTGCACGAGCCCCAAGCTTCTTAGCTTTGTCTAATTTTTGTTCGTCGCTACTTGTAACGTAGACGTTGATTCCCATAGCCACACTATACGCAAGAACCATCAGAGCCACACCACCACCAATACCCGTGACAAGGATGTTTCGATTTGCCACGGCATTTCCGCTTTTCGTAAAGAGAGCACGCCAGGCAGTCAGTCCAGTAAGCGGGAGAGCAGCTGCTTCGATATCGGAAAGATGCTTTGGAGCTTCTTCAACGTCACTCCACTTCACGCATATAGTTTCCGCGAATGTGCCTTTGGGATTGAGCTTGGTACCTCCTAGAATTTTGTATCCAGACTGATCTTCTGGACCCTCTGTAGCTTTCTCCCAACCACATCCAGGATTGATAATTACTCGCTTGTGGAGAAAAGCCGCCGCAGCTGGAGACTTTCCGGTGAGAATTACTTTGCCACAGCCGTCAGACAATAATGGCACACCGAAGGTAGTCCCGGGGTAAAGATGCTGGCGAATAAACAAATCTCTGTGATTCAACGCAACTGCGGAGAGCTCCACGATTAGTTCGTCGTCTTTTGGTTCCGTTTCAATGTACGTTTTCTTCTCGAGAGGATAGTAAACTTCGCCCGGGCGTCCTTCGACAGACCGAATCACTATTGCCTGCCTCTCCGTTTTCAACGCCATGCTGTTCAAATGTTGATTTTATATGATATTGGTGTCTTCTAGTGAATGGAAGTTTCTTAGGTAAAGATAAATGATTTGCAGTATCAGACTCTCGTGCCGCGCACAATATAACCTCTGCCCCACTGCGGTCCGCTCGGACCTGATTTGAAATGCATCAGACCCTTTCATCGGCACAATCTTTTCATTCGACCCAAAAGTAGACTAACTCGACTTATACATATTCATACTACTAAAATAGCACTCTGTAAGGACTTGAGATATTGTCTGTCCATCTTCAATTTTCTTTCTCGATTTACGTTACGAAGGACATGAAGAACACGCCAACGACTTTCCTAGAATCCTATAATCTTCGAGCAGATTCTCCATATGGTGGATTTAGGCTTTTCTATAGGATGTGTGCGCTCATAAGATTCGATCTCTTCTAGCCCCGACACTAGGTCGGCCTCTGTGGACTTAACCAATGACGTTCGACTCCACCATTTCCGCCCAAAGAACAGGATAGGGAAAACCGCGATCCTGTTTGACATTGTTAGTTAACGGCCATATCCGAACTCCATGAAAGTACATACATGGAATAACAGAAAAAGAAGGATTTCGTATTCCAGGAGCCGCTGATAAAGAGATAGAATCCGTTCAACAGCATCACTAAGCAGCAGCCGAAAAAGCCATACCAAGCAAGAAATGGTTGCCAATGAGATTTGTACGGTAGATTGTCTCGAGAGAACCCTTGAGCCAAGAAAGCTCGACGGAAGAACATGTAAGTGACACAAGCGCAGGCGAAGTTGATGAGTTGGGAAGCCGTAATAAGGTTGAAGAACCTGAGGTGTTGTGAATACACATCTTCAAAACCATCTTCCAACTTCATGAGTTGGGTACTCACCAGCTCAGAACGACAGATGATGAATTGCTCACTTGGAGAAATGCAAGGCAGGAAATTCCCAAGCTCATGAATACACAGTAAATGGGCACTCCGGCGCTTGTGCATCTAGTAAAAATCTTGGGAGCTTTGCCGTCCAAAGCCAAGCCAAACAGACTTCTACTAGAACAGTAGACATATGAATTTCCTGCGGATAAGATTGATGTCAAAATTAAGGCATTCGTGATGTGAGGGAGTACCGGAATGTTCAGCCTATTCATGCCTATCACATATGGTGATGCAGCACCAGTACCGCCACCTTCCTTTGTTCCAAGGTTGATAGCTACAAGCGTCGGGTCATTGTAAGGACAAATAATTCCTACGCATAGCGCGCCTCCTATGAAAAAAGCTGCGAATCTGTACCTCATTGTACGGTAAGCAAGAGGTAAAGATGTTCGAGGATTCTTTACTTCGCCGGCAGCCATAGAGATATATTCAGGACCTGCAATGGTGAATCCGGCTTGAATGACGGCCATCAAGAAACCAATCAGACGACCGGTGCTACCAGGCTCGAGGTATGACGCGAAAGGTCCAGGGTCCCTCCAGTATCGAAAGCCATATGCGGTCCTTTGAGGATTGACGCCTATCATTGTGAAAAATGTAAAAAGTGCCAATCCTTCCAGAAATTAGCCCTGGATAAAGATGGTAGAGACATGATTTCAACGAACCAATAATCAAGAACACTTTACCGCATGCCAGCCAAAATTCAGCCTCACCGTAGTATGATACGGCGAAAAAGTTGAGAAAGGCGTAGAGAACTATTAAGAATGCAACAGTAGCTGCAACAGGTATCTGATCGGTCCAGAAGGTAAGAAGAATCGCAAAAGCCGTCATCTCAAATGGTATCAATACTAGCAACAGTAAGCATGAAGTCGAAGCATCAACTGGCAAGCCAAGACTTAGAAAGGAGAAAGGACGTACCGGCCTCATAGATGAAAAAATTGTAACCAACAGCGAAGCCAAAAGCATCGTCGACCCATCTTCCCGCAAAACGAATGAAAGAAGATGATATAGGAAGGTACGTAACCATCTCCGCTGTATAGAATGTTAGAGAATTGTTACCTCGGGCCTGGAACTATCCTGGAAGAAGCGAGGTCTTACCAAGGCAGCTATTGACAGAGAGTACAACGGTCGAGTACAATATGAAACTAGCCATTGTCAATAAGGTTAGAGAGCGTGCAAGCAAGGGAACTCACGCAAGGAGAAGGCTTGCGGGACCTGCTTTTACAAGACTGCCTCCAATAGAAACAAAGAGTGCTGTGCCCTAATATTTTCGTTAGAACAGCATCTGCCTTCATGGGAAGCCAGATATTTACAATCGTTCCTCCAATCGCTTGAAAGTTGTTAATTGAATACCTCGAGAGATTAAATTGAACTTCATACCTATAAACTGCAAATGTCTGTTCGTCAAACCTCGGTGAGTATGGTCCATCGAGTTTTGACTGATGTTGACCTCATTGTTGAGACATTGACCGTCTATGTTCTCAGCCTGAGTCACGGCTGCCTTTTCCTTCTCTTCCTTATATCCAATAGAGCTCATCATTCTTTGAATTGAAAATGGCATGCGAGTAGTTAAAATGATTTTTGGCAACCATACTGACAAAAAAGAGTTTTTGTACATGAAGGAGAATCTCGGGTTTTATATGCAACTAGAAATGAGCATGGAGCGATGCCTTGATGAAGCAATATTCAAGCAAATGATCCCATCCCAAAGAGGTCTGGTTTGCCCATGGGGAACTTAGTGGTACCCCGCAAAAAATTGCGGAGATCGAAAGGCCTGCAGGAGCTCTTGGAGGTGATCGAGTGGGAAGAGCGCCGGACGGACCGTCCGGTACGAACGGTCCGACACTCAGTCCAAGACATGATATCCGTCTGCATTCATCCTAGCGGACGCTACTAGCATTCGATGTTGCCAAGCCAGTCTACAGAGTGCAAAGTAGAGTGGGTACTTAGATTTTAGAACAGCTATTCCGATATTGGGGACGTTCGGACAATGTTCGGGGTAACAGGTGAATACTGCTAGTGCTATAGCCAAAAAGGGGGGATGAGAGCACGGCATTAGTCTGTCATGAGCAGGCTACATAAAGGTCGAACTTCACACTAGCAGAATCAGCACATAGAAGCTCCTTTAAACCGTTCAAACCAACAAAAAGATCTGCAAAATGTTGTTCGACAGGGCAAGCACGATTGGATTCATTGGGCTAGGGGCAATGGGGAATCATATGGTGAGAGACCTATTCGGGCATATCGAAGTTATGAAAAAATGCTAAAAATGCTCAGTTTAACAACCTTGTCAAAAGTTCTATGCGAAATCGTGGCCCGTTTAAGAGTTTTGCCATTTTCGATGTCAATGAGAAGGTCATGGTCGATGTAATTCAAAGACACAAGACTGAAAATCCCATGGCTCATATCTTGAAATGCTCTTGTCAGTAATTTGACATCATTTATGTCTTTTGGTATTAATTTAAACTACTAGCCCCTGCAGAAGTTGCTACCAATGCCTCATATATCATTAGCATGGTCCCAACGTCAGCACACGTTCAAGAGGTATATACTGGGAAAAACGGGGTCTTGGACGCACTGAAAACACTTGATGATCAAGAGAAAAAACGAACCCTGTGCCTGGACCAGTCTACCATCGAGCAAAGCGTTAGCAAGTCGATAGCGTTGAAGATGCGTGAGGTGGGAGCTGACATGATGGACGCTCCTGTTTCAGGGGGTGAGATATCCTTCAACGGCATTTTGCGCACCAAGCTGACTTTTCTTAGGCGTGGTTGGAGCAAGAGACGGAACTTTGGCTATAATGGTAGGTGGCGACGCGAAGTCTTATCAAAAAGCCGTTCCAGTTCTTTCGCCAATGGCACGAAAAGTTACGCATTGCGGTGATTTAGGAACTGGTCTTGCTGCCAAAATTTCCAACAAGTAAGCTTCAGATTTCGCAGCTTTCGAGTATTGTAATCTTAATAATCTATAGTTTACTTCTTGGCATCACAATGCTTGGTCTAAGGTAAGCGTCCCGCTGCTTGTCTGCCTAATTTGAAAATTCAACGACTGATTGCAAACAGTGAAGCAACGCTCCTGGGCACATCACTTGGGGTTAAGCCACAGGTCCTTGCTGACATTATCAACAACTCGACAGGACGTTGTTGGTCAAGTGAGGTATGAGATTTCTTTTTGGGTCTTCCGAAAGTGATGTCATAGTACATGATCAACCTATTCTGCGAGAACACACGTTGATCAGATTGAACAGATAAATCACCCAGATCCATTGGTAAAAGTTGGCTCCACGTCACCGCCATCCCACCGGCATTACGAAGGAGGTTTTGTGACTAAGTTAGCCCACAAAGACCTCAACCTGGCCGTCCAGGCGGCTCATGATGCACACGTTCCGCTAGAGCTTGGAAAACGTTGTGAAGAGATTTACAGACCTTTAGCGGGAAGTGATGAATGGGGAAATCGTGACTTCAGCAGCGTTTTCAAGGTGCTGAGTGACCTGAAGTCACGGACTGTGAAGAGTCATGGTTCCTTGTTATAACTTTGTGGTCCACGGATGATTTCGATGGTGTGTGAAATTCGAGTTCCAAAAAGCCCAATGTCAAGAAACTAGAAGGAGATACCTCTATATATCTATTAAAACGTATCTTTCAATTTTCTCTCTATCTTGAAGTTATGCAAATTGCCCAAATGAAGAGATCTTTTTTCACAACTTACTTAATTGAAAAGATCATATTCTGTTCATCACACACAGTTATCAAGCTCTCACTGAGAACAGCGTCTTCAGCTGTACTAATTAGATCTTTGCGGATTTAAGATAGATCCTGCAGCTTTTTTGATAGAATACCTCCCTTTTTAGACGCCGAATAATGGTTATAGAAGGAATGTAAGTCAAGCAGGTGAATTATTTGCAAAATTTTCACGCTTTGGTGGTCAAAAGATTAATTGAAGAATTTGAATGCTGCGTATCTGGGCATTTCGCTCTTTGTCGTTCAAATTCGTAGAGACGAGCGATATCAGGAAATATTGGGATCAGATTAACTGAAGAAAAACAGGAATTAGATGATAATCGTGAGTTTGAAAATGTAGACTTTAGGTAAATTGAAGCTCTAAATTTATTGAAGTCTCGTATGTGAGAGGATAGTCCTCATTCTTTTCCAGAAAAGTTTTTACCCTCTAGTTTTGGAGAGCCTCACTTTATTACAGATGTCCATTTATCATCAGAGGCTTTGAGTGCAAAAAAGATATTTCATCCCGTTCATACCGACAGTTGGGTAGTGGCGCAGTTGACCACCTGGGTGATAGGTCTTGATCCACAAATTGGAGAACTGGCTTCAAAATCTCAAATTGTCCCCATTCACCATTAAGCTTGGTAATCCAAGGAGAATCTGGACCAAAATATTGAGGAAGCTCTCTTTGCCAACCTTCGATGACAACAGATAGCAGCTCAAGGACGAACAACTGTGGGTCCACATGACCCCATTTAAATCTTGCATCGCACCTCTGTGTTACCTCTGGGGGATACAAACCCACCTCAGGATCCAAAAGAAGAGAAGCAGCGGCCATTAAAGAGGCAAAAACGTGGTACGAGCCACCGTTGCGAGAACGATCTCTTAGCGCCATCATAGTTCCGATAGCACCAACAACACCTGTTAACATATCAGGCACAGGCAGAGCTGGAAGTATACAGGTTCCATCAGTGTGTCCCAAATACTTTCCTGTGACGTAGGAACAGCCGGAAGCAGCGTCAGCTACTTGTTGCCAGCCAGGCCGATCCTGAAAAGGACCTTTTGGTCCATAGCAGTTCTCTTCAACGTACACGATGCCTTTGCCTCTACGGCTTGCCATCTCGAGTACGTCGTGGAGACCTAGACCTTTTTTCTCTAGAGCTCCCGGCCGATAGCCTTGAATAAATACGTCAGCCTCTTCTATGAGTTTCTTAACTTTTGACAAATCCTCTTCTTTATTCAGATCAAGATCGGTTGTCCGTACCCCGGCGTTTAGCGTTAACTGTAGAGTCTACGATTCTGGTCAGTTTTGCCGATAACGCTTGACTATCAGAAAAAGGCGCTGTGGAAAGCTAAAGAAGCCGAACGAAAAAAAGGTAAACAACTTACGTTGAAGTCTGGGAGACGGCTGCAGTTGATGCGAATGACATCCGCGCCAAGAGACGCAAGAGTATTCCCGATCACCGGACCGGCAATGATGCGGACCAATTCAACAACTTTGATCCCCGCTAGAGGCCTCTTGTCTCCATCAATGACAGGGAATGGTACAGCAGGAGTTGGTGCAACATAGGCCTCGTGTTTGTAATTCACTAAGGGGCATTTGGAAATCTCTTTGTGCATTTTTGTCTCTCTCCACGCCTTTGGCGTGTAGCACATGGTGCCGCAAAGACCTCTTTGAACATGGAGCATTTCCAACTCCTCCGGTCCGAATTGGCGGACGTGATGGCCAATGATTTTGTATGCGTCTTCGAGACTGTCGCATCGCGTGCTGGGATCCAATCCAATGGTTTGCAGAACGGGATCGGCATCTAGCGAGCCATGAAGTTGAAACCACATGCCATCTTTCTTCGTGGGATAGCAGGCCGTGGTCCGCAATCTCAGGGGCGTCTTGAATGTATCCTTCTCCAAGTCTTTGGGGAATATCTCTCCAAGTTTCCCGCTTCGCGCCAACTGCGGGACACTAACTCCATTTCGCCTCGTGATGGAAACTGTTCCTAGCCAAAAGGCCGCGTGATCGGTATTGATTATCATATTGTGGTTGCAATAAGGGCCGTCTCTTGCCTCCAATATCTCCTTTGCCACGACTCCGCACATAGCGTGTAGAGCTGCGGCGACAACGGGTGCCTTTAGTGGGCCCGGGGTGATTGGATCAGAACTTCCTTCAAAGGAGACGGAATCCCACAGTCGACGATCCTGAGGGAAGCCTGGAGTAGTTTGGGCGAGAAGCTCAAAGACACGCTGCGAATCGCGGGGAACATCTGGATCTCCATTGTCCACAAAAGTTCCAGGTCCCCACAGCTCAGGGCTGGGAATTATCTGTCGCGGTCCACCGCTCATTCTGTCAAGAAGTACAAAGATCCAATGCCGAAGCGCACCTTGCTTTGCGAAAACTAAGTACTGGGCAGCAGATTGTGTTTGAGAAAGGATATCTAGAGGAATGACGTGGCTTTGATATATGTACTTGAAAAGCAAATATAATCATTCTGCAAGCTGATTGAAGACCTTAAATACTCATTCATGTTTCTAGACGCAACCTTAGCGTCCATGGATGTTGCATCGAGTACTCCTTGGCGATTCTCATCAAATAGAGAGCAAGAACAGCGAGGCAAGATCGACATCCTTAAGATGGTTAGATACGTCCGAACGATCTCCTCGACCGATGTGATCGTCTGAGCGGTCCGCTCGGACCGACTCCGGTTTTGCCCCACGTGGTGACCAAGAGGGCGAACTTCGTCCGGACCGTGGTATCCTCTCGCTTCCGATGTAGTCTTGAAAGCAAAACCCAAACACTATCCAAAGCCAGAAATCTACCATATCGGGTATAGTACTTGTGGAGCCGGGGAATGTGTTCTATCAGAAGCCAATCTTGTGCATGCCAGACTGTTCACATCTATGCCTTTGAATCTGGCATCTGATCATGTATATAAGAAAGGATATCTTCCGCCAACGGATGGGCACTATGAGTACGCCGGCTTTTACAATACATTTTTGATAGCTCCTAAAAAAATCAAGACGAAGTGAAATATTGAGTCTTCGTTCAAGAAACACTCGCTAGGACTCGGTGGCAGTCGATTTCCTCCAGGCGTACTGCTCCGGCGAGATGGTAAATACGTCGGATACTTCCAAGGCGGTGGCACCTACGACCAGCCACGGTTCCCATGAGAAACTTCGTTGTATCACCGACACCACAAACTTCATAGACAACAGGTTTGTCCCTTCACAAGCCACAGAATGGTTTGAGGTCAAGGATCCGGCAACAAACTATCTTGTCACAAGAGTTCCCCAATCTACCCAGGCCGAGCTCGAGACAGCTGTCGCCTCTTGTCAGAATGCGTTTCCTGCCTGGAAGGCGACCTCCATCATGCGACGGCAGCAAGTAATCTTCAAGCTGACGCATCTGATACGCGAAAACATGGATCGCATCGCTCGCGTCATCACCCTGGAGCAGGGGAAAACTTTTGCCGATGCAAAAGGGGATGTCCTACGCGGTCTACAGGTGTGCGAAACCGCGTGCGGCATAACCACGCAGATTACGGGCGAGGTCATTGAAGTGTCCAAGGACATGGAAACGCGCTCGTATCGAGAGCCCTTGGGCGTGACGGCCGCGATTTGCCCGTTCAATTTCCCCGCTATGATTCCGCTGTGGTCACTGCCCTTGGCTCTGGTCACCGGCAACACTCTTCTTCTCAAGCCTTCCGAACGCGATCCAGGGGCTGCGATGGTAATTGCAGAGCTGTGCGCGGAAGCGGGGGTACCACCGGGCGTGCTGAACGTCGTCCATGGTGCACACGACACGGTGAACTTCATCCTCGACAACCCTGTTATCAAAGCGGTCTCGTTCGTTGGATCGAATAGAGCCGGCGAATACGTCTACACCCGCGGAACCGCGCAGGGAAAAAGAGTGCAGGCCAACCTCGGGGCTAAGAATCACGCTGCCCTGCTCCCTGACTGCAATAAAAACCACGCGTTGGCGGCGATCGTGGGCGCAGCGTTTGGAGCTGCCGGTCAGCGCTGCATGGCTCTTTCTGCACTTGTCCTCGTCGGTGAGACCAAGAGCTGGATTCCACAGCTGGTCGAAAGGGCGTGTCAGCTGAAGATAAACGGCGGTTTCGAGAAGGACGCCGACTTGGGACCGCTGATATCGCCAGAGTCGAAAAAGCGAGCTGAAGACCTGATTGCGAGCGCGGAGGCCGAGGGCGCCACCATCGTGCTGGACGGACGTGGCAAGAAGCCTGCCGACAAGAACTTCGCGCGCGGGAATTGGCTCGGACCAACCATCATAGCGAACGTAAAACCGAGCATGAGATGCTACCGCGAGGAGATCTTTGGTCCCGTGCTGGTGTGCTTGAGCGTCGACACGATCCAGGACGCAGTCGACCTGATCAACAACAACGAATACGGCAACGGGGCCGCGGTATGTCTTCTTCCCTCACTCCTCCCCCATCTCGTCTACACGCGTTCGTGGAAAGCACTGACGCAGCCGTAGGTGTTCACCAACTCCGGGTCTGTCGCGACTCTCTTCCAACGATCGCTGGAGACCGGCCAGATCGGCATAAATGTGCCCATCCCGGTGCCTCTCCCCATGTTCTCCTTCACGGGAAACAAGAGGTCCGTCGCCGGGACGGGCGTAAGCAACTTCTACGGCAAGGATGGCATCCGCTTTTACACGCAGTGGAAGACGGTCACGAGTCTGTGGCGTGCCGAGGACGCTCACAGAACGGAAAAGCAGGTCGTGATGCCTAGAATTTAGTATGTATCCAGCCGAGACGTTGTTACTATGCACGCGGCCAGCGACGAGAGTGATCTGGGTCAGAACGTGATCCAATATACGCAACGGTGACGTGCATTTCGCCCCGAGATGCAGGGAGCATCTAGAACGATTGACTCTGGTCCTAGCAGGGCTTCGCTGTTGGTCACGATCCAAGGATGTCTGTCAAGTTCTAGCCGTTATTAGATAGAGCTGAGACGTAAGTCATTCACGGTATAAGATAAATACATGAAGCAAGAACAATGTGATGAAACGTCCACAACACCCCTACAACGCGCAAACGGGAGTATTGAAGAAGGACACGTAGATTTTGCTGCCTATCGGCGAAGGTTGATATCGGCATCCATTGTTTCAATCCCCCAATCGCCGTCGCTGAACGGTACAATTGAATTCAACCCAGTCAAAGCACGAATGCCACCCCTTTTCTCTGGAATTGCGACCCGAGAGCGCTCCGAGCAAGGAGGCGTCGGCGGCCCCAAATCTACGTTGTCTCCAAGTGAGCCCACCATTCCATGCATTCACGCAAAATCATCGAATCCATCTGCGTTCACGCGTTAACAAACTCCTCACGATGATACCCTTGTTTCACCACCGCAGTCCCGCACTATGAGGCACCATCACCACCCTTCGAATCTATTTCTTCATCACCATGCCGCGACTGCGGGCGCTCCTCCGAATCTGAAGTCTGCGTAGACACCTCTTCCTCGATCTTCGTACTCGAATCCGCACTCTGGTTGCCCTGTTCACGTTCCACGTTAGTATTGTTTTGTTTGACTTCTTCTCCGGCCGCTGCTTCTTCTTGGTGCGATGGAGACTGTGTCTCCACGTCCTCGCCTTCTCCTGACGATGCTACTTCTGCAACAGATGAAGCAGCCGCAGAAGAGTTGGAAGGGTCGGCATTTGTCAAAGCGCAGGAACTCGTCTCTACGTCCTTGGCCACCTCTCCCGCACCACTGCTTGTCCTCGATAACGAAGGCATGTTTGTTGCGGGTACTAGTGTTTGTGCCGATGAGGACGTAGATATTGATGACGAAGGTGATGATGAAGGCAGAGGTTTCGTACCATTTGTGCTGAGCCGTGGGATCGACGAGCTTGTCGACTTCTTGACGGGGCTCCTCGACCGCTGGGGTTCCCTGCTAGTGGGCCGTGGCAGCTTACTCTTCTGCGGGCTCAGCGAACGCGACGAGTGCGAAACAACAGTTGCCGTCGGTGTGGAAGACTGCTCCAACACATCACCTGATTGCTGTTCTTGTTCTTGAGCCTCCTCGCTGTGCTCTTCGCCTTCTGGTTTAGGATGCACATCTTTTACAACATCTGCGAACGACCGATCCAGTTCTGGAGGCTCGGAAGCAGGCTTTAGTTCCTCGTTGCCGCCATGCGTTTCCGCAGAAGAAATAGACGCTTCCTCAGCGTTTTCTTCGGTCCTCATTTCAGACGTTTCGGACTTTTGCGTTTTCTCTTCCGTCTTCTCTTCAGCTTTCTCCTCGGCAAGAGGCTGATCGAGCACAATTGACGTCACACTCTCGGCGTCACTAGGCGAACGGCCTCTCTCCATGGAAGGGCTCTTCGATTTCTCCGCAACGCTCGGATCTTCAAACAAACTCCTCAGCTTGCTGTGGCCCTCGCTCGGCTTCTTTCTCAGCTTCTTGCTTTTTGCGTCCGGCGTCGTCACAGGTGATTCTTCGTCTCCCTTTTCAAATCGCTCCCACGCCTTGTTTATGCTATCGCTGACTTTCCGCTGCGATCGCGGGGTACCGTTGGCGCTGCCGTTTACTTTGCCACTCGCTTTGCTTTTCCCGTTCACCATCTTCTTGGACATATCCTCTGCGCCGGCTTCCGCTGCTTTACCCAGGGACTCAACTTCACGCCCGGTGCCCTTAGCGGCGTCTTGAATTGCTTTGACGGTTTGTCCCTTGCTCGGTTGATTCCGCGAGGCCATACCACGGCGAGTGTATGACTTGACGAAGAAGCGGACGAATAAACCCGTAAGTGGAGCGAGGTAGAGGAGATTGAGCCAGATAGCAAATGCCTGGCCTGAGGTATCAATGCACGGTACTGTTTCCCAGGTCGTCGACGCACTGCTCGAACGCTTTGCGACTGCCGCGCTGGGCGACACGTCTACCGGTGGTCGCACCACATTCTCAGCAAGTCCCTCCTCACCCGCGGCACGAAGGGCGGCCTGCTTGAGCCAACCTGCTACGCCAGAAGATGCGGTCACGGATGCCGCTGCGGCGGAAACACCCGACGCGACGGAAGAAGCAGCCGCAGACAGGGTTTTGGAGACTGCACCAGCCTTCGACAGTGGCACATCGTATGTAACAAAGAGATGCATTCCCGCAAAGGTGATGCCGATAAGGAACTGCAAGATCTGACAAGTGGTCAGGGTACGCTTGATGCGTTGCGGAACCTTGATCGAAAGCGCGGATAGGGTATAGTAGATGTACATCATGGTGTGGATGCCCGAGTTGAGAAAGCAGAACATCCAAATGGGTGGACTCATGTAGCGGATGCCAGCCCACATGCACATCATGGCGCCTGTGTGGTGGTACGTCTGTAAGGTGCTGCTGCGTTTGCCCTTGGCCAGGATGATGAAGGTGTCGAAAACCTCGTAGAACTTGCTGAGATAGAACCACCAGCCCCAGAAGGCAAGGCCTTCATTCCACAGGCGGCCAACATCGCTGTCGTTCGGAAGGCCCGCAGCCGAAAGCGACACCAGACTATCCTTTGCAACCCAGGTGCTTGCATCTGGGCTAAAGGCGACGTAGCTTCCAAAGCCTCGTGGGCCGTGGAGGTGGCACAGAGCGTCTGCAGCACCAGCCAACCCGTTCGACGTCCGCAGGCCGGGCCAGAACTTCCCAAACAGATGATGCTCGCGGCCTGGCCAAGTGTGTGCCAGCGCCCTCAGCATACCGAAGAACGTGAAAGCGGAGAACACGGCGAGGAAGACGTTGTGTGCGATGACGAAGGTCTTGAATGAGGCTGTCTGGCTGAAGCCGTAAGGCTTGAATCCTCGGCTACGATTGATGCGGTTCCAGGCAATGACGGTTGTTGCATAGAGGGCGGCGATAGTTATAGGCACCCTGTGGTCCAGCGCGCCGGTGTAGATATGCGAGGGAATGGCAAAGGGTGCCGCGAAGGTACGAGACTCGGTCGGCGGAGGAAGGGCCAGTGGCTGCTCGTCCGGCGGGAACTTAAAGAACCAGCCTGGAGGCATGCGGAACTGGATCGAGGGAGCCATCTTGGAGAGTTGTCTTATCTCCTGATACAGCTGCGCTCTCGTTGGGTATGCTGTTGACGGTGGCAAGCAACCGTCAATTCGAAGAAGAGGGCTGTTGCGAAACAACGGCGCACGTCCAATTGACAGGACGTCGTAGTGGCTATTGGGGGGCGGCACGCCTTGGACTCAAAAGCGGCGTGTGTTTGCTGGCCGCGGGTGTGTCGAGGGTGAAGAAGACCAAGATGGAGAGTTCCGAGGCGGAAAGGGAAAAAGTTGGACACGCGACGCGCGAAGAGCGACCCAACAAGGCGTCGTCCACGGTGACTTCGTCGGCTGAGGCTCAAATCGATCGATTCAATTGCTTCAAAAAGATTCACACCTTTCGAAGCAATCGCGCCTGTGTCAATGCGGGATGCAGCGCCGGAGCTTGTATGTCGGAAAGCCGGCGAGGCGACAAAGAGAAGAAAGTGCAGCAACTTTTTTTGCTGCCGCGATGACGACGATGACGAAGGTGGCCAGCGAAGCACCCCAACTCACAGCAGCAACAGCAACGCGATGGCTTCTATTGGCTGTGTAGAAACAAGCCTGCGTATGTATGTGTGTGTGTCTTATGTTTGCGTGTTTGTATTTGTGTGGTCGTCCCTGCGGTTAATTGCGGTGTACTCCTCTGCGTACTCACAGACGTATTTTTCCCAAATAATTCTCTTTGCTTTCAGGCCCACCCACGATCTTGGACGCCGACAAACTTGCTTTGGCCAAAAAAGCGAAAGCAGACGCCTGAATGACGCACGATGACAGACAGACAGGCGGCGGTGGGAATCTCGCAGCAAAGCTGGCAGCCAATCACACGCTAATGTCTGCAGCAACACCGAGCGCAGCCTGGCGTATCTGCTCCGAGCAGCTTAATAACGCGGCCGACGGGAGACGCGGAGGGCGAACAGACAAGAGGCCAGCAAGCTGCAACGGGCTGGGGATTGACCGCTGGTGTCCAGGCTGGAGCAAGCAAAGACGAAGCTACTGCAGGCACGCACCGGGCAAACGAGAAAGACAAACCGGCAGCAGAGTCCGTCCACTGAGAAGAGACGTGCGAGCTGCAAAAGTAAAGGGAGGAAAAGGAAAGGGAATGAAAAAGATATCCTGGAGCCTACGAAGAAGCGAGTATAGATCTATCCAAGATCGTTGGCACTACTGCCCATCACACGGATATACACGTTCCTTCACACGAACTCGCCCACGCCCTTCACGACGACGCACCCGTCGGCCCCAAGGAAATCTTCTCTAGCACTCGCCGTCCTCTAGCCGAGCGTCACGCTGCTCTCTGCCACGTCCGCACGAAGCGCAGCATGGGCGATTTTTTTTGTTGGGAATACCCAACACACGACCGCCTCGCATCGGCGAGGGCACCAGCACGCCCAGCCGACCCACTGCTAGATCAAAAACCGACAAGAAAGAACGCCTGCCCCGCTTCCGCACTTTCGAGAAAAGGTCCCGAAGCCTCATCATTCGCCACTGGTTCGCCTCTGTTCTGGCGAGCAGCCCCAACCCCTGCTCGCCTTTACAAGCCTCGTCCAGGATTCCCGCTTCTGGAGCGTAGGCCCGATCACCGAGGTGATAGCCCATTATGGCGACTAGGCTCCGTTTCCACCCCTTCAGAGATACGCGAACAGCATTTGACAGCGGGTTGCCATGTTTGCGTGAGTCCCGGCTTCTGCCAGCCCTCTGTGCTCGCTCGATCATCAGAAGTCTGGCTGTTGTAGCAGCTTGAACATTGATATCACCCGGACGGACGGGTGAACCAGCCTAGCACTGGAGCTATACCTTGCTGTACCGTATACAATTGAGCCAGCCGAAAAAAAAACGATAGGGTCCAGGCACGCGAGCTGAGATCCGCAACCCCACACTTGCTGAAGGAGGAATTTTCTTATTTTTACTTAACTCAGCTGTCGGTTTGTGGATGTGCGTGCGTATGTGTGTTGAAATGCGCCGCATACTGTCGTGGCGTAGGCCTTTTTGTGTGTGCAGCTCTGACGTCGCTGCCATAGTACATGGCGCATCAAATTCGATATGGTCTATCTCACAAAGACCGAAACCCGACTACTGGGATTGTTTGCTCAGCGATGAAAGCTCGCAGGCACATGTGTGCCAAGTCTGACCTCCATTGCCTCCAGCGGGACGATCCGACATGCAGATCTTGCATCTGCTCATTTCCTCCCTTCGCACCCCCCCAAATCACATTCTTTCAGCAAGTGCAGCTCCCATGCATGTCGAGTTCATGTGCAAGTGCGTGGGAACTTGAGAGATGTTAAGAGATAGTGATCCATGGCCTCTTCATCTCCGAGCGTGCATACGCTCAGCTCAGATCCGGGCTGCCGACCAGTACTTGGCTGTTTACGTATTCGTCTGCTCTAGAGAGATGTGCGTCTCAACAAGAAATGCGAGCGGCACATGTGATGTACCAATTCACGAGAAAAAAAAAAAACGCAAAAAAAGCAAAGAAAAAATTAACCTGCGATCGGAATGTCACATTACCGCTGACCTGTCAATCAATTTTGTTGCTTTTTTTCCTCCTTTCTCAGATTGCCTCGGAACTTGTGCTAGCATCGGGAAATTCGCCTTCATCTCGGCATCCTCTGTCCTCATGGTTTTCTAACGGGAACCTCATCAAAAAGCGAGACAGGATCCGCCCGCTTCTGCGTCTCAACGCAACTGAGATCTGCTGCAGGGAATGCTCGTCAACTCAACGCGTGCGTGCGTATGCCCAGGAGCTTCTTGTCGTTCCTGCACTCTTCTCAGATACAGTGCAGCAGAAGCTAGTTAAAGATAATTGAGTCGGCCTACTCAGTAGATCCGGGCCCGGCTTAGTGTCTCCGCGCCAACCAGTTATGTACGCTAGAGTAGCACTATACAGTATGTGGTGCAACCTTGGACAATAATCCGTGACCCACGTTGTCAATCGTCAGGGCACACTAGGCTTGCTTGCAAGAGGCACTGGTGGAGGAACCGACGGCCCCGCGCCTCCCAACCCAACCCTTTTCACCGGCGGCGGAGGCGGGGGCTTTTTCTTCCCCGCGGCCGATGCACCAACCACGCCAGTCTCCTGCTCATGTTCTCCTGTTGGACCCGACGACGGAGAACCCGCTGAGGAGGCTGCGGCGCCGCCACTGAGGCGGTCACTGATCCCGTATTTCTGATTCAACCCGCTCGCCGCCCTCCATCCGCTTGCGATCTGCTCCCCGTGGCGCTCACGGAAGTTGTTCGCCGTGCTCGCGGCATTGCGCGCGTCCGACAGCGACACGGACGTAGGGTCCTTGTGGAAGTTGCTCGCCGTCTTGAGTGCAGCTTGTTTCTGCGCCCATGTCGTGCCTTGAGCGCTGCTGTCCGCTGTCGCCGCGGACGGAGATGTTGATCCCGAATTTAGACGCGAGAAGCGAGACTGCAGCTCTGAGAGCTGCGATGCATTGGTCCCTGCTGTTGGTGACTGCCCAGGCGGAGGCGGAGGAGATGCACTGCTGTTGCTTGCTCCAATGCCTAGGGCAGGTACCTTTACTCCAGCGGCGCCCAGCCTGCTCACCGCCCCGTGATTGAGCACCCCATTCTCTGGGCCTGACTGTTGACTATACGCTGGCGGCGGACTGAGGGGTGCCGCAGCCTGTCTAGGAGGCAATCTCGGTGGCAGGCTTGGTGGTGGGGGCTTTGCGACCGCACCTTTCTCAGGACTGGTGCTTGAGGCACCTCTGAACTTCGGCGGGGGTGGTAGACCGGCCGTACTTAAGCCAGTTGTGTCTGCTCTATACGGGCCAGTCGGGTGCTTCGGCTCTTCTTCGATGCGCCGCTGAGACTCGACGCGTTGCGCGGCCAGTCGTCTGTCCTCCTCGAGCTGCTCCCTTGTGAGCGGCGAGCCGAGACCGCCTGTACTGGACGTCAAACGCGTTCCTGGTATTGTACTTGATGGCGACGCTTGCGTGGTGCTTCCTCCAGCGGCAGAGGAGCCGTAGGTATTCCGTTTAGGAGGGGGCCCGAATGAAGCCGGGTCTTTCAACTGGTTCAAGGGTGTGGAAGTATGCTCCTGCGCACGTCCGTAGTCGCTCGTCTTCTTCTTGCCCATCCATCCTGCCTGTCCAAATCAAACCGCAGTTAGCACCAGCCGCAACACTTCAAGCATATGCGAAAGGGTGGATGAGCAAGTCGAAGTCTTACCACCTGATCAATGCCTTTGAAGTCGCCCCGCCAGCTTTCCTTTCCCCCATCCTTGCCCTTGGGGTGCCAGCCTCCTTTGGCTATATCTTTGAGACTGCTCATTTAGGGACGAGGAAAATATCAGTACAGGGATTACAACAGACGCAAAGTAATGGTTCCCTGCGAAAGAAACAAAGTGTTTGGAGCACGCGAATGATAAGATGTGCGGGGCAGATCGTATTGGCCAAGAATGCGAAATCCCTGCCAGATGACGACACGCTTCGAAGTCCATGCTGAGCGAAAAGTAAGTTGTTGACGCTCGAGTCTCCTAGGACGTCGGCAGAAACATAAGCTCTCTCGTCACTAAATTTAGAGAGCCGCACAGCATTCAAATTGAGGGAATTTTCGAGTGCACAGCCAAGCTGCCGGTCTCCAGATCCACAAGATGAGTGAGGCGATGTAGACTGGGACGTCGAGCCCCCCCCCTTCCCATTGAGATGCAGCACATATCGTTTATGCCCAAGAAACGAGGGGAAACTTTGGGGCAATACAATCAGAATCAGTTTTAAGCGACGAGCTTCGCAACCTCAGAGCTTGAGTCGCTGATCATTACCCAAACTACAACTATAAGCCCTCGGATTTGACAACGTCGCTAAATCTCAGTGAGGCGCCCTTAAGCAGGGCTACGCGACTGTGTTACCTGTATTCCGCAACCTTGTCTCTCGCGCTCGGAGGCCTCCAGGTAGATCATCTTCACCGTCATTTGTCGACGGCTCTGCGTCTGGAACATAACATCATATATAATAAGTACTGAAGCACAATCAACCCGAACAGCCCGCGCAATAAACCGGTCGCCATTTCATCTTCACCTTGTTATCTCGATCTTGGACGGATTGGTTCGTAGAAAGCCAGCGGCCACAAGGCTCATATCCTGAGAGTCTTCACCCGAGGGAGATCCCATTCCACATTTTGTGTGAGGCCTTTCCGGAAGAGAACGAGAAGTGAAACGTTTTCATAACTGTACGTCTTTGGGCTCAGGAATACGAGTTGTGCCACCGCGTATCAAAAAGTAGAAAGGGGACGTTTACCCCTCCTTTACGTTGCTTCTTTTGGGTACCGCGTTCTGGCCGTCATCCTAGCATCGGCGGCAATTCTTGAAGACGCAAGGGTTTCCGCTGCGGCATTTTATGCCTGGAATCGCTGCGGACTACTTTGCCACACTTTCTGAGATACATCAGGCATTAGTGGGTTGGAAAGCGTTAGCATGCCGGCAGGCGTTCTCAAGGTAGACAATCCAGTCTCACTCCGCGAACCGCCCACATTCTCAACATTTCCACATTGGTGCTGATGCTTTTGATATGCTTCGAAACACCGAGGCACAAGGCGGCCTGGTTGAGAGTCAAAAAACCACTTCTCCAAAAGGATATGACCCTGTCTTCTGGAATAAGCTCCAGCCGGCATGAAGTTCGAAGGACACATTTCGAGGAGAATTTAGTGGAACTAAGAAAGTAGTCCATACGAGGCGATTGGGGCTGGTGAGAAATCAAAGTACATTGATCTAATAGTTCTATCTTAGAAGCCCCTGCGCTATGGAAAGAAGATATCAGCCCCCTCATCTATGAAAATTATGCCTCTATTGTTGAGCAATCCCTTTTCCCATCCTCTATAACAACGCCAACGCTAGTATAACACGCAGCACATGAAGCGATTTAAGTGTTCTACAATCAGGGCTGCCCACGGACAGGCGAATTCATTTTTCTTGTCTGCGAGAGGCCAACGCCGCCATCCACAATTAGTTTGGCTGTGCGCATCCCTTTCGCACCCATAGATCTGAGAGGCTATAAAATGAGATGCATGACGCGGTGATTAAGAGGTGGTAGAGTTTGTTTTTAAGTCGAAGTGTTCCTCCGCTCCGTCTCTTATGCCGAGAAGATTTCTCTCGAGGGAGTCACGCGACGACCTGCGCCGGGAAGTCATCCTATCCTGAGATGAGACATGCTCATGACGGCTTTCGCTTTTGTTGAAGGTGTTTCGGCCGGAAGAAGAGATTGGATAAAGGTTGGGGCGAATTCTCTGGCAGGAGCAGCACCGAAAGTCATCATGCTGACGGCTTTGACTAGACATCGGTAATGAAATTGTATCACTTTCTGTGTTTTGCTCACCAAACGCCACATCCTTTTGTGTTGGCGCCTTGCCCTTATTCTTTCTCTTGCCAGGGTAGGATGCTGGAAAGCCGAGTCTCGATATGCGCTCAGTTATCGATGTGATTTTCTTACTCCATCTCCTTGAAAATCGCTCGTTGAGACGCTTGATGCGTTTTGAAATGGCTAAAGTGAATTTGTGTCGACCTGAGTAACGGACGGTTGCCTCCATTTCAGCAGAAGCCGATTGATTCGCTCGAGATAGGGATGGGAAACGCGGGAACTTTGTGTGATATTGCTCCTCTTGGAGACCACTGGTATGCTGTTTTCTTGCGACATGTATTCCAAACTCGGAGGAGCTCATGTTCATGTCGGAATGGCGCGATGCAGTGGGTTTGACTTCATTGCCTATCCCTCTATTCGGTGCGCTCGATCCTTCGTTGTCAGAATTAGAGACAATATCTGGCGACGATCTTTTTGGGGACGCCTGTGAAGAATATATGTTCGGAGATGGGAAGACTTTGTAGCAAGCTGTACTGCCAAGGAGAAAGGAATTGTCCACTGCGCGTTTGGTCATGCATTCACTGCATATGAAGGATATATTAGCTGCTGTTGTGAGCGACAGCGGGATGGTAGAGCTTGATTTCGTGGCCGGGGCAACTGAACCACTTGACGACGGGAACAACTTTGACTCAGACGATGTATTCCGACTAGCGGATATCATTTGCTCCTCAGACTTCTTTGCCGTTTCACTCATAATAACCGTGGATCCGCAAATTCAAAACTGGATTTAAGCAAAACTGGATTTAAGCAAAACTGGATTTAAGCAAAACTGGATTTAAGCAAAACTGGACGTGCTAGACGGATAGGATACATCAAAACACTGCAGGAGGTCAAAGGGGCCGATTTTATAAGATCTCTGCTTGCGCCCAAGAGGCCGGCTATAGGCTGTGCTCATGCTTAAGCCCGCATACTGTGCTAGATTCATGCCCTTCAAGTTTTCTTGAGAATGCAGCGAATTAACTAGGATTCAGCAGACTCCAAGTTGCCTGATGGACAGAGAAAATCCCTCCCATTCTTCTGATTTGGAGGCCTAGGTCTGTTGCCTCACGACCTGTGGCTTCGCCTCAATTCATCAGAGCACAAACCGAAATCCCGATTTGCTTTCCAGGTGTTGCTCACAGGATGCTCTTCATTTGTGAAGGTCGAGGCTGTCAAGACGCCTCGTAATTTTGGGCCCTTCCATTCACCACGCAAGACGCATAGAATCTTGCCGAGCTGTTGATTCTAAGAGAAAGAGTGAGGTGGCTAGGCGAGCGTCAATTCCCGCTGGTCCGATGTCAACGAGATAAGCGTCCGATGCGTTGTGAACAGGGGAATGGGGAGTCTGAAGATCGAGGCCCGTCCTGGCCCAGCTCTGGGTCATTGTAGTAGCAATCTATAGCACCGCCATCACGATCACCAGTGGATAGTTGGTTGGCGACGGTGGAGAGATTCGGTGTATGGAAGGCGGTACGGAGCAATCCAACCTCGAGAGGCCCAAACCAAGGCTGTGCAGGCAGAGACGAGGAGGCCGGCGTGGCCAGGAAAAATGGGTCTCAGCAACCTCGAGCGCGGAGACTCAAGGACAGTACCGTGAGGCGTTGCAGGCGAGGCGCCAGTTGCAGAGACGGGGGCATCTCTCACCGTGCGAAGCGTTGTCGATCACCTCCAAGCCGCCTTCGCGGTAGACGACGGGAGCGACGGTTCGTCGCGCCGCGCGGGCACCAACCTAGAATAACCAACACACCGGCTATACGCTACCGGGACCTCCATCAGCGCGGCCCTCCTCTCCTACGCCGTCCTCGCCTGTTCAATAGAGGTCCACGACCTCGTGAGTGCGACTGGGCGCCCTTTGATTGATCCATTGCTTTCTGCTCATGCGTTAGCCAGCACGGAGCTTTGCGCCCTCTCCTATCAGAATGCATTCGGCCGGCGTCTCCCAGCATGCTGCATGCATATTTCGACACAGTAGCGTCGCTTAACTGAAGCCCCCCGTTTTCCAGCTCGTCCGCCTTCGCCCCAGCGACGCTCGGCGAGATACGTAAATTTTGAATCCTTCCGCCGGCTCGTGGAGTCACGTCGAGTTTGTGTAACCTCGAAGTCGGTTCATCCGAGCAAAATGATCCTTTCGCTGGCCGTTGCCCTGTACCTTGCCCTGCTCGTCAGCTTCGTCTACAAATTCGTCGTCTACCCTCTCTTCCTTTCCCCGCTCTCCAAGCTCCCAAGAGCTCACCCCACGTCTCCCATACTGCCCGCTTGGTATTGGTATCAAGTGCGCAGAAAGCATGAGACGCGAAGCATAGTTGAAGCCCATCGCAAGTATGGGCCTGTCGTGCTCCTGTCGCCAAATGAGATTTCCGTTGCTTCTCTCGATGGCCTCAAGAAGATCTACAGCGGCCGGCGCTTCAAGCGTCCAGGTTGGTTTGTGCTGTCCTTCACAAACTACAACACCAAGAATCTCGTGACCATGTCCGACACAAACGAGCATGCCAAGCGAAAGAAAACGATGCTCCAAATCTACAACAAGGCTGCCGTCATTCGATCCGTTGATTTTCACAAGCTGTCGTCAGTAATCCTGAGCGATCGCCTTTTGCCTGTTCTCGACGCTGCGGCACAGACAGCCAAGGGCGTGGACGTCTATGAACTGATGCGAGCCGTTGCCGCTGAAATCGGAAGTGCCTACGAGTTTGGGCTGCAAAACGGCCTCGACTTGGTGAGGATCGGACGCGAGGAGGCCAGGAAGGAGTATCTCAAACACACATGGAACAAGATGCAAGAGGTCGGCGACCACAAGGCTTCCAAAAAATGGCTCGAGGTCCACTGCCTAGAGATTTGTACCAAGACGGACGCAGAACTGAAGGGTGCTACGCTCAAAAATGAAAACCCCATCCCAAGCTCTGAGCGAACATTTCCCGTTGCCTATGCACACCTTGATGCCGCTACTACGACCGAATACCCCACTCTGAGCACTTCGGAGAAGCTGCGCATGGTGGCGTCGGAGATGCTGGACAACCTCGAGGCAAGTCGAGAAGCTGACGGAGTCGTTTTGACGTATGCCATGTATGAGCTTTGCAGGCAACACCAAATTCGAGAACAGCTTCGGAAAGAACTAAACGGCGTCAAACTCTTTGCGAACGCGCTGCCGCGTTCGCTCTCGGTAACGTCTGAGCTGCTACAAAGCCTAGATCGCTTGCCACTGCTAGACGCCATCATCAAAGAGACCATGCGACTGTATTCTGTTGCACCAGGTCTGCAGCGGCGAGATGTGCCGCCCGGCGGTGTGACTGTCGATGGGTACTTCATTCCCGCTGGCACAGTAGTCGGAACGTCGCAACGGGCGCTTCATCGGAATGAACAAGTCTTTACGAATGCGGACGCCTGGATACCCCAGAGGTGGATGAAATCCGCGTCCGAAAGGGCGTCAGGAGAGTTCGATCCCGCGAAGTGGTGGTGGGCCTTCGGGAGCGGCGCGATGGCTTGCTCTGGTAAGGACTTCGCACTGATAGGTACGACCCATTCGCGACGATGCATTTGATCGCAAGTGGTATTAACAGATCGTCAGTGATGAAGCTCATTCTCGCGACCATATACTTGAAATTTGATACCGAAATTGTCGACGACACAGGTATCGAGCAAATCGACGACGGATTTATGTCTGCCCCGGTCGGAAACCAGCTCATTCTGGGTTTCAAAAGTGTCAATTGACTCCTTCGAAGCAGGTGTTAGCTGGAGTGGATACTTTAATTTTCACGACAAAGTTCTTGCTTAGCCCAGCGCGGCGGTGATGGTCGGTGATACAATTTGTTCAGTACGCTGGAATCATAGCTTGGCGAAACGGAAGCCATCTTTTTGTTCCCAGTGTCAAGCAGAAGTGCTCCTGAAGCCATATTCGCTGTTCAATTCGGAGCTGCCAATCCTCCGTCTCTGCCTCGTCTTCGATCGGGATACTGAACGCATACCACGATCCGATCGGCCGAAAGTTGAGCGCCGACTGCATCCAGATGTACTGATGGTAGTATAGGTCCCAGATCGAGAGAGGAACAGGCAGGAAGGACTGTGGCTGGCTTAGTGAAGAGTCTCTTTTGTTTTTCGCTTGCGGTCAGAGTCGTTAGCTTCCCACTCGATCCTTCCATGGACAATCGAAAATGCTCACGTTTCTTAGCCGCCCTTCTTTGCCTTGCGAGCTCCCTCTCAGCCTCAGCCATATCTCCCCGGAGCTCAAGAAGGCGCGGCAGCATGTTCCAAAACCAGTCCGTGCCTTCGCTGTCGCCGTTTCTTTCGTCCATGGCAAGTATGTCGGCAACCATCGTCTTCAGCTCCGTTATTTCGTGCTCGCTGTACACCCTGAGCACAAAGCCCGGATCCTTGTCTCGCATTGCCCGAAGCCGTCGCCTGTACCGCTGCTTCTGCTCGTCGGTGCTGTCCGCCTGTTGTTGGATTGCTGTGGCATTAGACAGCCTTTTTCTTACAACTTCTTCGAATGTACGATCCACCTGTGCCAGTAGCTCGCGCGTTCGATTCACGTCCGTGGCACCGGTGAATTCTGAGCAAAAGCCGCTTGTGACGTGCTTGAGTCCCATTTTGAGTCTTTTGACCGATATTTCAGCCTGCATGAGGCGCTTCCTGCCCAGAAGCACCTTGATCAAGAAGTCGTCGTCCCCTTCATCGCCGTCCGTGGAAGAATAGCCGTCGGGGATGGGCACCGTACCCGGACAAAAGTCAAATTCTTCCGACTCAATGTCTTCGAAAAACGTTTCTCTCTTCTGGCTGACGATAATGTCGTATCCTTGGTCATCCATGCGGAGCTGCTTCCTCGACTTCTCTCCAAAGGTTTCCTGGACTTCTTCTCGCAGCACAGTCTCCCAACCTTCGATTAGTCGCTCCGGCAGTCCGTTCAGCCATTCGGAAACGTACTGGTGCTGGTGATATCGCTCGTTACAAAACACACCAAAGTGCTGTTCGCTTGAGTCCTTTAGCAAACCGACTTGGAATTTATCGTCGTTCTCGTTGTTACGGATCTTCGGATCTTCTGGGGCGTGTAGCGAGCGAGCGATCGCGAGCTGACGTTTTCGTTCCGCGACAGCTTCACGCAACCACGGCGGCATTTGTGCGCTGCTGGTTGAGATGGTCGGATTGATGGGAGTCAAGGTTTCCTCAGCACCCTGCAGGTCGGTGGCTTGCATGTCTCCTCGAGCACTCGATGCCTCAGATATCGGGGAGACGGGTGCTGCATTTGGGCTGGACATGGACATAGTGGGAAGCGAAAATTCAGTTTTTTAACCTATACGCGGGCATTGAGCTTCAGAGACTGGAGGAAATTTGCTAAATATGAGGAGTAGAAAGATCAAAAGGCCTTGTCTTGTGCAAAGTGAAGAATAGCTGAAGACTAACGAAGCCTTATGCGACCAACATGAATTGGTACAACATTGTACAAGTAAGACATCGGAACGCGTGTGCAACGATTGTGTCACAACATCACGAGCCAAGAAAGCTATAATTCCACTGAAAAACGTGGACAAGAATGCCATAGCAGGCTGAATTTGTTCCGAGGTGCATCTCTAGCGGCTCCTAGGAGTTGACTACGGCAGTACACTACATGTATTTTCTGCGATTGCTAATTTGTCTAGGCTCTGGAAACAGCTCAGCACATAAATGTGACTCCGAGCACTCATGTCGGCGATTAATTCCGGCTCTCATGTAAACTGCAAGGATCTGCCAGCAGATAAGACACTCCTGTTATTACTCGCCCGCTTTAGAGTACGAATGCATTTAAGCCATGTCCATGTAGTTAGATCAAGTCGTTACAGAGCGGATTGCTCATGGCTCCCATACACAGGAGCTCAGTTCTCATCTGCGTGATTAGCGAGGGGGATGTGCATTCATGCTAATACAGGTCTGGGTAAGGCGACCAATCACCATTGAATAAGGTCTGAGGAATTCCAGCCCCAAATAGAAGGTCATCAGGGTCCATATAATCCATGCTCGATAGTTGTGAGTGTACGTCTGGAATAGAAGTGGCATCGATCGACAGCGCATGTGTCGACGCTGGGTCATGCGTCTGATGAGTGCCCAACGGGAATTCGTACTGCTGGGGAGCCAGAAGTCGGCAAAACGGCTCTAGCATTTTTACGTACCGCCCAGCGAGAGTACTGATATGGCTTGCTGAGCGTAAAAAATCCATACCGTGGTCTAAGACTGTTGGATCTGGCAGGGGCTGGAGAAACTCTTGAAGAGATCTATCCAGGGTGTAGACAGTTAGCAGTACACCCATGGCGGTGAACATGTCTGGACGCATTAGCAGCTTCTGTAGCACATCAGGCCAAACTTACAGTGCAGATTGTACCACAGCGAATTCAGAAGTTGTTGATTGTACTGTGCGTAGACCAACTGAACGGTTTTGCTCGCCGTGGCAATGCAGATCTTGGACGACGCGATTGCTAGCTCTTTCAGAAACTCGTCCTCCATCGCTTGCTTGCACAGAACGAGGAAAGGCGCTCGATGCAGCAGAGTTCTCATGTTCAGATACCTAATCAAAAACACGCTTCGTTGTCTGGCGAAACCTGCGCCGTCGGGGATTTCTGGAGCAACGCGAAGATGGATGGGTAACTCATTCCACCAGGCTCTCAGCTGGCCGTCAAGCCTTACAGCGTCGCTGAGAATCCTCGACTGCGCGGATAGGCAAGGAAGAGCTCCGTTTGCCTCATGTTTCCTTGGCTCAGAGAAGTATAGTGTCTTCAATATGATGTCGTTTACCGGTGCCATCTTAGCCGTGTGGACGAAGAAGGCAGTCCTGGATGGTCTCTGTGAAGGCTGTCTTGGCTGGGCGGCAGTGTCGGTGATGTATTGGTCGTCCACCGCAGCAGGCCAGGGTATACGCATGGCATCGTCGATGTTGATCGACGGTGGCCGTCCTAGCTTCATACTTAAGGTCTTGTCTAAAGCAGTACATCCCCAAAAGACTCTCCTGCGCATCTCCCTTTCTATGGCCGAGATGGGCTGGTCTTCGGCCGGATCGATATGTAGACCCAGGGCGTAGGCGCTTCTAATCATTAAACCGGCCAAGTTCCAACAGTCGTTCAGCCGATGTGTTCCCTGTAGATAGTGGCACAGCATCAGTTGCGCCTGCACGAGACCGAGGTCAACGCTGTCGAAGACGAGGGAGAGGATGATCTCGCGGGCGCGTCGCACGAAAGGGTTGGCGATGGCAAGGAAATTCCCTCGCGCTGACGCATGACGGAACTCGCAGCCGTAGGCGAAGACGATGTTCAAGATTGCCATCCAACTGTTCGAAATGTCTACTGAGTGGGGCTCGAGCCAGAAGCTCTCGTACTGAGTGCGGAACTGAATGGAGTGTACGAAAGGGTAGAGCAGGTGAACACGCTCAAAATACGCGTCGACAAGCTCATCCGCTTGAGCCCGCGAGGGGAACGCGTACTCAGCATCGTCAAAGTCCTGATCACGCGAGAGCGACAGGCTCGGATCATCGACGTCGTCTAGCTCTGTGCTAGACTTGCTCGGCCTGGTCCTCGTCACGAATGCAAACGACGACGAGTCTCCCAGGTAGCCTTGCGAACTGGTCACGGCGACATCCTTGGAGGTTGGGCGTTCCACTGGCGACCGTTTCGACGCGGAAGCTGGGCTCGAGCCTTGCGCTCGAAGGTCAAGTTCCCTCTGCCAACCTGCCGCGGCGACAGCGACATCGGAACCGGCGGTCTGCGCGTCGGGGGCCCCTCGCTTTCTCGACTCCACCAACGCCTCCAGCCTGGAAACCTTTTTGTCAGCACGAGACGGCGCGGCACTTGTTCGTCGTCAGCCTACTGTTCGACCGAGAATGACTCCACATTCGTCAGTGGGTACTGGCAATCGATGCCGCGAATCTTACAGCTCAAGCACTGCGGCCTCGCGGCGTCGCAGCGATGCTTCCTTTTGCGACAGGAAACGCAGGCCCCGCCCGCCTTCAGCCGCCTAGCTTTCTTGGAGACGTCGTCGTTAGGCATATCTTAAAATTGCCAGTTGCGCGACCCGCGGCTGGGGGCCGGACGTTCCTTTTATTTACATGCGGGGCTTTCTTCTCGACCCGACAAAAGGTCACCTTTGCTGGCCTTGCTCAATGTGAGGTACTAATTCGCCGCCCAACACAACCCCCCTATCCTGCGAGTCGTCTTAGCATGGGTGGCACAGTCCGCAGAGCACTTTGAGCATACTGACCACCTTCCCGCAAGAATTCCTTCACAGGTCTCCCATCGAATGAACGGTACTTGTCTTGAACGCACGTTGACCACCCTGGTTCTCCTTAATCCGACCAACTGGAACCGCGACAACAATCGGGCGGACTAATTGCGCCGTTATCCTCCGGACTTTGAGGTCACCAAGCGTGATCCAGAAGGTCTCAGCCATCCGGCTGGACGTGCCACTGTCAGCATGGTTCTGAGACTGTCATTCGCCTGCTGGGACTACGATCGGATGAAGGCTTTGGAGGACGGTAGGGTGCGACCACAGGGTATTGAGCTCACTTTTCTCAATTATCGTGTCGAGGAGACGTGAGTACAGGAGCAGAGCGGCAGGAAGAACGATGCGGTCGACTAATTCGAGAAAATTGACAGCTTCTTTCGACAGCTGCGATTCCAAGAATTCGACGTTTGCGAGCTCAGTCTTTCCTCTTACGTTCTTACGCTTAATCAAGAAAATCCCCCCTTCATTGGCATTCCGGTTTTTCCATCTCGCTTCTTTAGACACCAGTCTATGTACATCAACAAAAATTCTGGCATCAAGTCGCCCTCAGATTTGCGGGGAAAGCGTATCGGCATCCCAGAATATCAGTGTACGTGCGCCTCATGACGCACCCTGAGTCTTTGCTAAAACGCTAACTATAGTGACTGCAACTGTGTGGCAGCGTGGTGTTATGGAAGATGACTTCGGTGTTTCTGCCACCGAAGTAGAGTTCTTCGCAGGTGCCCTTGAGCCCTCGGCACACGTGAGAAAAAGCAAAGTCGCCCACTCTCTGCCCCCTGGAATCACGGTCCATGAGCTGCAGCAAGGCCAAAACTTGTCGGACATGCTCGAGAAGGGTGAGCTCGATGCCATCTTCAGCGCATCAAAGCCTCCCTGCGTAGATCGCTGTGACCACTGCGACAACCTGTTTCCCAACTTCAAGGAGGTTGAGGCGGAGTATTATCAGAGAACGAAGATCTTCCCGATCATGCATGTGGTCGTAATCAAGCGAACCGTCTACGAGAAAAACCCATGGATTGCCAGGGAGTTGCAAAAGGCGTTCGCCGTGTCTCAGAAGTACGCGTACGAGGCCCTGATGGAGCGAGCAGGTAAAGAAGCAACTCCCTAGCAAGGCTGTGTGCCGCGACTAACATGCGTCAAGCATTGCGCTACATGCTCCCTTTTTTGGAAGACCATGTCAGAGAGACCAAGGCCCTCATGGGCGAAGACATGTGGTGGAAAGACGGATTCTGGGAGAACAAGCACGTGTTGGACAAGTTCTTGGAGTATCATCACAAACAGGGACTATCCAAACGCCTCATGCGGGCTGAAGAACTTTTCGCGCCGAACACCCTAGAGAGTTTTGTGATATAATGCAGTTTCATGAAGGGCCTGAATATCGTGCAAGACTGCTCCTATGATCTGGCGGTCAACAACTGATGACGAAAAATGAAGCGAGAAAAAAAAAAGCAAAGATCCTGGCTCTCCAATTTTCTGCTTCTATCCTGCACAATCCAATCTGCGATCGAACCCGCATAAACACAAAATCAGATCTAGGTACTAATTTCCTCGTTGCTATCGTAGATTATTTTCTGTTATGGCTGATTTTGCGCCGAAATGAAGAAATTGTATTAACCCCTGGTTCTGCGGCTATATATGTATCTCCCTTTTCTCTCTCTCTCTCCAAAACCGACCTGCTCAGACTTTTGTTGTCAAATTTATTGGGCAATATTCAAAGGTCATTGTGGAAATTGGGCGAGCCCAGCCTCTCGCGCCACTGCTGACCTCTCCAGATCAACAGGATAATTCCAGTGTATAGCGCAACGCTGATGCAAGCCATCACAGACCAGGCGGTGCCATATGTTGTCTTCTGGGCGAATGGGATCATGTAAAACCCAAGGGTGAACGAAAACTCTTGTCTGCCGAACCCGAGAATGGTCCCGATTTCAGCCGACTGTGGTTTGTAGCAGTCGGCCAGGTATGCAAAAATGTTGGTAGAGATCACTAGTTCGACGAGTGGTCAGCGATGCGACAACCATCCTTTTTCAACGGCGAATACGTACTTTGCAACCCAAATGCTGCTATTCCAATCCCGATGCATGGACCACTCCAGTGAGTTTTGTATTGGAAGCACACTCCTTCAATGATAACTCCTGCGGGGAGCAGGATAAGAGCGGGCCAAATGGCGTGGAGCCGGGCCTCGGGCTTCACCTCGCCGCCGGTCCGCTTCCTATGCAACCGCAGTATAAAGTCGCTGACAGGACCGGAGAAAATCTCTCCCACCACAGAGCCGATCGTTGTTGACACGCCAAAGGCGAGGCCAACTTGGGCAGTGTCGAAATGGTAGATACCTCCAAAAGCAGCAGAGGCCGTGACGGCAAACAGCACGGTGCCGAGACCAAAGGTGTAGCTGTAGTAGATGAACGTAAAAAGCACCGAGGGATACTTCAACATGATGAAACAATGCGTGAAGTCGTAGAGCCGCGGCCATCGTTTCGCCTTTACCGTCTGAAATGTGAGAAGCTGGAACCAACCCTTGGCGGGCTCTTGCTTGGATTCGCCCGTGACCTGGTCGCGATGGTACAGCGTCTCCGGCAGGAAGAAGATGTTGACGAGCAGGGTGGCGCCTAGCACTATGACGGGGACCCAGTAGCACCACCTCCAGCTATGGGTGTACTTGGCTACCAGTCCGCCACAAATCGCAGCGATATGCGCTCCATTCGTGAGGAAAATGATGTAGATGCCCATCATCTTGCCACGCTGGTGCATGAAGAACAGATCCGCAACCACGGAGGCGCCGATACCCATTCCAGCTGACGTACCTACACCGACGAAACATCGCGCTGCCAACACGCCTCCATAAGTCTTCGCCAGCGCGCTTCCCACGCCGGCGCAGATTCCAATAACGGCACTGATCAGGTAGATCGGTCTTCGACCGTATAGATTGGACAGCGGAGAATACAGCAACGGAGCGGCTCCAGAAAAGGCAATAGCCAAAGTTGTCTGATACGAGGCCTCGGTGACTGAGATTTTGAAGGTCTGCGCAAGTGGTCGGTATGCCGGATTGACGAAGCCATGAGTAAACGGGCCAAGGAAGGCTAGAAAGGAGACCTGGAGCAGAACAACGAGCTTGATGCCGAAATGCCAATTGAGAGGATCTGTAGACGAGATCAGGTCTGAACTGAACGCAAAGGAGTGTTGTATGGCCCACCGTAGGGATCCGAGCTAGGCTGAGGACGCAATGGATAGCCGTCTGGGTCGAGAAGTGGGTCGCTGGCTCGCGTGTGCTCGCTCTTGTTCCCGACGTCGTACTGCTTCTCTGCGTCCAGCTTGTCGTCGATCGCCGCCATCTCAGGAGCGCCCATTTGCGATGCAGCAAAGTCAGGTCTGGAAAAATGTTTTGGAGGGACGAGAGAGACGCATTTTGCACGGTCGAAAGCACGCCGTCCGAAGAATAAGAGCGATGATGCAGGGCGCTCGGATCGCGAGCGGTCGCTGCCGCACGCGTGGATCGCGCGTGGTCGCTTAGAGGCCGTTGGTGCTCAATGAGGCAGCCTGGAGCATCGCACGGGGGTGGAGAAAAGCTGGGGTTGGCATTGGAGCGCTTCGCGGCCGCGGAGCTGCTCCGAGCGGAAACATGGGAAGGATTGCGACACCGGCAAGGGGGGGGATCGGAGCAAGACCAAGACCAAGAGCCGGGAACCATCTCGTCGGTGTGTCGCTAACGCTGGATTATCCCGTCATTTGTTTGAGAAGCCATTGTCGTGGGCCAGTCGCCGCGAGGGCTGCGTTTCACGCTCGAAAATGGCTAGCGGGACCCGCCGACCCCGTTACCCGGCGTCGAACAGGTCACCTGCCTCGACTTATCGAGCAAGGTCTTTCTCATCTCTTGCCGCTTGCCAGCCATGTGCTTTCGGAAGCAGGGAGCGTCGTTCCCGCAACGTGATCGACGTGCAACTTCGTCGAAGTGGCCGGATCTCAAACGGCGATAAGAACCCCAATTAGTTCGGTTGTAGTCCCCAAGCCTTTCTGCATAGTAAATAAGATTCCGCGTTCCTGTCTTGGCCCATTTGCGGCGAGAAAAAATTTCAAAAAAAAGAAAAGAAAAAGAAACAATCCAAACAGCTCATTCATGCAGAACCATTCTCCGGCAGACCAACATCCCAGGTCAGAAGCAGGCTACAATCCGACTCCAATCAAGTGAACAAATTCCTGCAGCCGCATCCTGATTTGATTGGATCGAAAGCTTCTCGTAATGAGTCGGAAGATATGCTTAAGCATCTACTTTAGACCACAGCTCCTCAACTAAATGTCGTCGAAGCGACTAACTAGTCCGAGCGAAGAAATCGAGTTTGTTGCAATCATAAGAGTACGAGATAACCCGGTGCGTGAAGCGAAGAAGCTCTAGGTCACGTGCACTCAAGTCACCTTATCTACAGCCGTAACTCAAGTTACCCAGTTCCTCGTCAAGCTAGGGTGCTAAAAAACAACTCATCCTGATGCTCGTGATGGAAATTCTTGCAATGCCCATAGCCAAGGACAAAGGATGCTAAAAATCCTATTTATGAAGGAGGATATCTCGTGATACCATCCCACGATCAGCGCACTTCGTTAGGAATAAATCTCTAGCACAGAGTCCTCGCTCCTTAGCTCCTTCAGTGTGATTCAAATCTTCTCTGTCCCGAGTTTCTCTCGTTTCAGATATCTTGAACAAGTATCCAAATAGATCACGGAGAAAGTCATTGTAACTGCATCCCATCCACTCGGCTTAACGATGGACTCAACAACATTATATGGCCTTTCTTGTTTCAAGCATGTGTCTGGGTGGAATTTTTATTTTGTTTTTGGTTTTCAAAAAAAAAAAAAATATGGCGGCTTCTATTTATCCCGCCAAGGCTGGTGTAAAGGCTTGCAGTGAATGCACTTGACACATCCATTGAATGTTTTCGCTTGTTCCGTCTCAGCTCCGCAGGAATGATCCCTCTCCCAAAAAAGGGCGGAGGATAAGAATGAAAAACATTGAGCGTGGTTGTATTTGTGATCAGCTTTGCTGGACAGATATGAGCTTGGGCGTTTTCCAATTGGCGACGGAGACCAGAGCGTCTTCAATATGAAGTTGCACGTACGATCGCGCCAATTCTGGTTCCAACAGTGAAGTGAACTGGTCTGATATTGTCCGAACTCTACTCCTTAGTCTTCTTCTCTTGACTTCTTTTTTGCAATAACTGCTGACTGGAGGTTCGAACCCACCACCATGAAGATCAATGTCACGCTGAGCACGGGACCACCCGTAGGTAACCGACTATGACAGTATGATAATCCCAGGGAGAAAAGAGCACGCACGGCAAATCAAGCCTCAGTTCGACATTGCGTGTAGCGTGGATTCGAGTTTTGACAAACACGTCTTTTCCTTAAAGAAAATTTTTTTTCTTAAAACAAAAAAAATAAAGCAAAGGAAAGCAGAAGCTGAACAAAAATTTCAGCAGCGGACTGTTACTCCTATGTTTCCACAAGCAACACGGCAAACCACCAGGTCGTCACGCTCGACAAACAAAACATCTAAAGAGATGGGGAAAAGAAACAAAAATCCGAAAGGCCATTCGAGCAAAAAAGTTGTCCTCCCAACTTCTGATCAGGCGGTCTCTGAACTCGGTTCGGTTCGAACATGCGTTTTAAGCCTTGCGCGAGAGGCGGCCTTGATCCCGTATCGACATGGTGACTGCTCAGGTTGGACGCTTACGCTTAGCACCGGCTAGCTTTGCTGATGAGACTGCCAACTGAGGTGTGCACCACCCGGTCCGCACGTTGAAAGCAATTGGGTCGCATTTGCAATATATCTGCTATGAATGTGGTCGGCGAGAGCCGGGTGACGTCTATCGACATAGGAGAAAAACGAACTTTGAGTTACAATTTTTTATCCCCCCATTTTTGAAATTTGGTACAGTCGCTCGAATGAAATCATTTCCTCAGTCCATTGATACTCATTTCATCACTCAATCTACGTCACCGCTGTCAGCTTTCTCTTTCCCCTTGTTTACCCTCTCAGCACCACCAGCCCTGTTCACACTCGTGCTCCCTTCCGCCGTGCCAACGGCCACACAATCTTTTGCCTTCTTTTCTTCTTCAGCCTCGCTCCTCTTCCTCGCCTCCTCTTCCTCAGCCCTCCTCCTCTCTTCGGCAGCTCTCTCTGCCTCTCTCCGCGCCCGTTCATGGTTTCTAACAACAGCCTCGCCTACACCAGGCCAAAGACTTGCCAATGCCAGCGCGATGGTGCGTTCAATCTGTCTCAACGTGTCGCGCATCCTACGGCGCTGTCCTTCCGCTTGCTGGACCATAAGACGTCGCGCTGTTTCTTCTGGCGTGGGGAAACCGGCGGCACGTGAGGAGCCTTCACCTGCATTGTTGCCAGGGGCCGTCTGTTGTTGCTCGTTAGGACGATTGCCCCTCGCCTCGTCCACGACTTCTTGAAAATGACGTTGGATGCTATCCAACAGTCCGTTGAGCCGTTGGCCGAAGATGCCGGCGTTGATCCCCCATACGAGACCGCCGAGCACGAGCAAGATGAGCAGGCGTCCGTATCCACGGCCGGAGGAGAAGAAAAACCAGCCAAATATGCAGAGACGAACAATTAGCCACAGGTTACGGACAATGGGGGCAAGAACATCGCGCATCTCGTCGGGTTGTTGCCGAGCCTGACCTTGTACAGCACGTGCAGGACCAGCAGGAGGTGCGGGTTGCTGCTGTGGCTGTGCGTGTGCAGGACCAGCGGCTGGAGTTTGACCGTGCTGCCCGATCCCAATGACTGATGCCCTCGCCGTCGACGTGTTTGTCGCGTTCGAATCGATTCTACTTGACTGGCTTCTCCCTTGCGAAGCAAGCGGTATCGAAAGGCCAGCTTGCAGCGCAGTTCGCAGATCGGCGCGTTGCAAAGCATATGTCATTTCCTGCGCTGCACGGTTGAAGTCACGGATCAATTGATCATGGGGTAGCTGTGCTGCGAGGAGCGGGTAAAGCACGTCGAGAGGGAGTTGTCCTGTGCCGAGCGGGCCGCTAGGGCCGATAAGAAGATAGTGTTGCGTGTTCGTTGGGTCAGAGAGCAAGTGAAGCTCAGGACAGGCAGGGCTCGCATTGTAAGTCGTCGTATTGGTCTCAGGAGACGTATCCGTTGTTGTAGACGGCGTAGACTGAGAAACGGAAACGTCTGGATTGGAGACAGATTCGGGAGACACTGTCGCCTGTTCTTGGGGTGCAGCAGGAGTAGCTGCCGTTGACGGCTCAGCTCGAGGCAGAGACTCTGCGCTTGCAGCATTGCTTCCAGCCAGGGCGTCGATGCGCTGAGACACGCCACGTCCTTGTCCCTGTAATGTATGGAACATGGCACTTAAGCCTGCAAACTCCGGCTGGAAGCGCACATTCGGGTGGGCATTCGCCAGAGCGTTCAGCTCATGACCGAACCCATCAATATGAGCGTTCATGCTTTGGGCGAACGCTCTAATCTGCGATAGTTGTTCCTCGGTCAAGGCGGGAGCGGGCTGGCCATCGGCGTTTGTCCCAGTCGCTAGAGCACCCAGAAGTTGGTTGAGATTTTGAATTTCCAGATTCGTGTGCATAAGGCGATGCTGAAGTTCTGCAGCTGGTGTCCCAACTCGTCTCGGTCCATCGCTCACAGACCGTGCAGGTGACACTGAACGAGGTGTGCCGTGTGGGCGAAGCCCTGCCACAGGCACAGCTACAGGCATCTGAAACCCCTGGCCGGTCTGAAAAGGTGCGAAGGCGAATCCCTGTGGCAAAGGCATGGGAATTGGGATCTGTGGTAGCTGCTGAGCAAAGTGAGCGTAGGGGTGTGCAAAAGGATGGTGGTTCTCAACCGTCCTGATCGACCAGCGTGATCCATCAGGGTTCACACCGGACTGCTCGCGAATGGTGGGCGAGGGACCATTGGATTGAGAGCCGTTTGGCGGATGTTGCGAATTGCTCGAGGATGGCTGCTGCGAGTCCGTTGCCGATGTTGACGGTACAGAGGCTGGAGGATCGGGAGCATGGCGAGCAGAAGCTTGTGAGTCCATCGATCGTCCTCTCTCCTCTGACTCCGTGTCAGAAGGGCGATCTTGGGGAGAGCCTGCATCCCCGCCTGTATTTTGCGCTTGCCTATTCGTATCACCAACCGAGGCCATGAATTGTTGAAACAGCTGTTGTCCTGAAGAGCGAGACTGTAACGGCTGTGAGGTCGGTCCTGATGGAGATGCACCCGCAGATTGAGTAGTTTGGTCGGCGGACTGCGACCGGGTCTGTCCGCTGGGCAACAGATGCTCCAGTCCACCGTTTCTGAGAAAATGTTGATTGAGAAGCTGATTAACGACTTCAGGTGGCAGATTGATAGGCTGCCCATTCGCAGTGATGTTCGCCCGGATGTTTGCATTGCCAATCACCGATCGGAAGATGGGTTGATCTAACACGGCCTGCGTTCGGGGCTGCGGCTGTTGTAGAGGCGGCTGAGAGCCTTGAGAAGGACGCTGCGGAGCAGGACTAGCCGTAGTGTTGGTGCTCGTCGTTGCGGAGGGAGCAGGAGTCGGCGCCGGAGGCTGGGCATGCGGTTGCCAGCTAACGGGCCCTCTGAAGGGGCTCGCGGCGCCCGTTCCACGCGGAGGCACCGAGGATGGCCTCGGTATCGATGAAGGAGGGTAAATGGACGCTCGCACGCTTGGTACTGGGGACGGAGCCGCCTCTCGCTGCGAACTTCCATCTCTTAACGGTAGTACCAAATGCAAGGTGTGCTGGCGTTGCTGCCGGACCTAAGTCTCTCATTGAGCACCGCCATGTCGAAAAACAAAGTCACACAATAATGGGACGTACGCTATTCTCGCCGAAGACACTCGCCAGCGTGTCTTCGTCTCTCTGCAGCACCCGGCCAAAGTAAATGAGCCTCTGTCTTGCAGGCGGCGGACGTGAGGGCAGCGCGGCGGTAATCCTGCCTCGCAGCTCTCCCAACGTCGTGGTCGTGGGAAGATTCTCCAGAAAGAGGCCACTAGCCGGCACCTCGGGCGACGGTGACAGCAGCTTCAGGTCAATGGTTTGCACCTTGGGTTCCTGTTGGTCGCCTCCGGCCGCCGTCCGCGGCTGAGATGTGTCCTCGCCATCCATCACGGTCTCCACCAGTCGAGCGAAGTCTCAATGAAGCAACGGCGGCATAAGAGTCAGCACGCTTTGCGCATCAGCATAAGCGGCAGAGGCATGCGTGAGAGCCTGAGCAAGCGGCCAGGACGCAGGTAAGGACAAGAAGAAGTAAGTCAAGCTCTCTGTGGGATTCTGGGAAAAGGCGGTCGTATGTGCAGCAAGGTAGGGGGCCCGACGCACTGGGCTAGCGGCGGATGCAGCCGCGTCGATTGGCGGCGTCCAGCAAAGGCGAGCGAGCGGTCTCGCTGTCGAGGCCAATGACAAGGCGCTGCTTGGGCACTAGTCAAACGTCATTCACCGTGATCGAAGAATGATCCACTGTTCTCTCTGCGAGAAAGCTTCATCGGACTGCATTGCTGGCGCAGCTATCTAGGCGATGGGTGGCACATCATGGCCGTCTCAAGATTGTTCTCTCGACCGCGGGCTCTCCCTCCTCCCACTTCGATCTCTTCTCGTCATCTTCGACTGAGTCCTATCTCGCATGCTTCTCAAGCAAGGAACCCGCAGACATGGCGCACGTTCTCATCGTCTGCAGGACGGCATCAAAAGCCGCGCGGCAAGGAGTCGTTTCGGTCAAGACTGGGCACTGCGCTGAAAGGCACAAAGATAGAGTGGTATTGGTTGCCGGCTACCGCAGGCATTGCCTTTGTAGGTGGTCTGCAGTCATATCGCATGTATGCGACGGCCAAGGCAAAGGAAGAGGAGGCCGACAACGCCAGCCTGTACAGCGATGACGGAGAACCAGAGAAAAAGCCAAAGAAGAGAAAGAGAACTCGTCCTAGCGGCCCGTGGTAAGTGCCCTTCGCCTGGAGTGCGAGAACGTCAGAGCACAGTTATTGACAGCAGTCCAGGCAGGTTCAAATCATGTCTACGCTGCCACTGAAGGCTCTCTCGCGAGCCTGGGGGTGGTTCAATTCCTGCGAAATACCCTACTATCTGCGTGTTCCGGGCTTCAAGCTATATGCTTTCATATTTGGCGTCAAGTACGAACGGAGCGCACATTCGCTGGCATCCTCAAGCTAATTGCGTGGCAGTCTGAACGAAGTGGCAGAGCCTGATCTACATGCCTATCGCAATCTTGCCGAGTTCTTCTACCGCGAACTCAAGCCCGGTTCACGACCTCTCGACCCGAACCCCAACGCCGTTCTCTCTCCTGCGGATGGCAAGGTGATTCAGTTCGGAGCCATTGAGCATGGCGAAGTGGAGCAAGTCAAGGGAGTGACCTACTCTCTCGACGCTCTACTCGGCACGAAGGCACCAACGGCGGCGGCCAAGCTCGCAAGCTCTTCAAGATCGCCTTCTCCAAGCCCCGAGCGATCGAACAACGGCGACGAAGAGCATATCAAGCGTGACGAGGAGTTCGCGCGCATCAATGGCATAAGCTATACGTTACCTAATCTGCTTTCTGGCAGTCCGGACAAGGAGTCCAAGTCAGGCATCAAAGTGGATCAATCTACGCCGTCGAAGCCAACGTCTGAAGCCGAAGTCCGAGCCGACCTCGCACTGTCTGAGAGACCGTGGTGGGCGCCTCGCACCACGAAAACACCCACGCAGCTATACTACGTAGTCATCTACCTAGCCCCAGGTGACTACCACCGGTTTCACTCGCCCGTTTCGTGGGTCGTCACCTCACGTCGCCACTTCGCGGGCGAGCTCTACAGCGTCAGCCCGTACTTGCAACGTACATTACCGGGCCTCTTCACGCTGAATGAGCGCGTCGTCTTGCTTGGCCGCTGGCGCTGGGGTTTCTTCAGCTACACGCCCGTCGGCGCTACCAACGTCGGCTCCATCGTCATCAACTTTGACAAGGAGCTGCGGACCAATTCCCTGCTCACCGACACGGCCGCCGACCGCGCCGCTGAGGAAGCTGCTGCACGTGGCGAGCCCTACTCTGGCTTCTCGGAAGCCACGTACGAGAATGCTAGCGCGATTCTGGGGGGCCACGCGTTGAAGAGGGGCGAAGAGATGGGAGGTTTCCAGCTGGGGAGCACGATTGTGCTTGTGTTCGAAGCACCCAAAGGAAGAAGAACGACGAGCTTTGACGAGGGTTATTCCGGGGTAAGGCAAGGCGGCTGGAGATGGTGCATTGAGAAGGGAATGAAGGTCAAAGTTGGTCAGGCTCTTGGCGAGGTGCTGGAGGACACGGACAAGAGCTACTGGTAAGCTGCGCGGGTGGGTGTCTCCAGGAATGCATGTACAGATACTGTGTGTAATTTGGTTGTACGACCCCTTTTACGGATGAAGATAGCGGGCGGACGTCGAATTTGTGGCTCCCGAATGGTTTGACGTCCAATCCAGACTGTCGAGCCATTAAATATAAATAGAGTTATACAGCTGTCGTGGTTAACCAAAACCATGCAAAGGACAAACTATATCCAATATCCCCATTTTATGGATGCGGGGTATCGAATCTGCATGATGCTGCCCATCAAGCACATTTCTAAGACGCTCACTCTGGTTCTGTCAAAAACGTGGTAGCGAAGATCACACAGCTGAACGATCTTCTTCAACCGTCCGGTTGCAGATCCGGCCGCGATTCCGACCGTTACCAAAAAACTGCGCCTAGCCTATCAACGAGCGCGTCGGTCTAGCAAAACAGCTCATGCGATAATCAACCTTTCAACAAAGGGCTCGGATTCACCGTGGAAGATATGATTCTGGTTGGCCTCTGGTCACTGGGGACGCATGTCGCTTTCGCGAACGTTGGTGGAGAGAAGGGCATGATAGGGCAGAAATCCCACAGCAAGCGCTCAGCTCTCGATAGTGCAAACCAACAAACGTAGCAGCTGAACATCTCGCAGACTGAAGGTGGCCATGTCATCCTGACATGGCCATCAACTGGCACTCTCAGCTCGCGTATATCTATTCAGTCTGCGCTCGATGGGGGATGAGGGGCGTTACCTGGCATTTGCATACTACAGCACAAAAGCAATCCTCAGCACGAGTAAACTTCAGGCCATTCAGTTCTTGTTCGAAGCCTCTCGACTGTACGACCGTCAGCATGAAGCTCACCACTGTCACTGTTTCCGTCCTCGCGGTGCTAGCTGCTGCGACACCGACTCCCGACGAGACCACGAAAAGAGCAACGGTGACGGTCAATCCGGCTTGCACTGCCTGCCAGGTCCAACAGTTGTCTTGCGTTCTCACCTGTCTGTCTGGGGGTCTGACCTCATTGCTTACATTTATCTCTTGTCTCAGCACCTGTCAGACCAATCTGGCTACGTGCAAGGCGGCGGTCAAGACGCTGCCAAAGGTGAGAAACTACCTGTGTAATGTCTTAGCATTGGTGTTGATCGTACTCTCAGTGCACTTGAAGAGTATGACCGGATGGAAAAGGAATGGAAATGTCTACACGGAAATGAAACATATAATGACCAACAACGTAACTGATGAATACGAATCCAAAATTCGAGCAAATAGTTTGCAGACATAAACTTTCCGCGACGTTTCTTCTGTTGTACAAACGAAAAAAGAACTCGAAATTGAACTCGCCCCGTGAAGTAGGATGCTGAAGCTTTCCCATGCAAATGTGAGAGGACTGGTCATAAACCTCCGGATAGCCATTTTTTTTCTTTTGGAATTAGCGAGACTGTCCTCTTTTCTGGATCAGCATGTGGCTCATCAAGTTCTCCTGATTTGTTTAATTCTTGCATGCTGTGCAGCTTAGAACCGGAACTCGCTAGCATCAGAATGGAAGTACCAAGCGATGCACCGCTCCGACCTTTGAGTTGATGATCGTTCCTCGTGTGGTCTACCATCAATGGCAAAAGAGAAGTGACCTAAGCCGCAGGTTCATGCTGTATCTCCAAAAAGCACGCTTTGTACCGTATCATTCAGTTCCTCATAATTCATTGTCAATCACGTCAGCTCTCATTCGCGTCTGCTGTCCGCTAGCACCAGGATGTAATGTGCCTCGAACGTTCTCGCTCGACTCTGACACGATTAGTTCTTTCTCAAATACGTTCTTAATAATTGCTAAGCGCTCATGTCGTTCGTCCACGGGACATAATCTGTACCAGCACAGAATTCCGAGGACTCCATATCCATGCTCTTCGTCATCGAACAGACCCCGCTCTCCTGGTGCTTGCTGCTCAATGCTCATCGACCAAGCGAGTTTTGATATAGCCTTTTCTTTTAGGCTGTCCAGGTTGCCACATGCAACGATCTTCAAGGCCGCGTCAATGAACACTTCCTTCGTCGTCTTTTCGTAGTCGATCTGCACCCTGTGCTCTACATCGAGTAGACTTTGCAGCCCGTAGACTTTATCTCTCACATCCTCACAAAGCCCATGCGTGTACGTCTGAAAGCAACGTGCAATATCTACTCGTTTCTTGTCCTCTCTGAATGTGTTCCTATCGCGGAGAAGGCTGTCCCTGAAACCAAAAGGACTCTCTCTTACTCTTCTAGTCAACCACCTGCCACCTCTAGATGGATTTTCTCTGCGGTTGATCCAGTCTCTCTGCGCAGGCCTGGGCTTGAGTTTCCTCGTGGCCGCGTTATGACGTATCAAAAATTCCGAAAGCTTCGAAACATCGTTGGCATCTAATACCATGTCGCCACAGAAGTACCTGAGCTCTCTAGCTAACATAACTTCTTGTATTATCCACAGTCGACCCCAGTATGCATTTTGGAGAATATGTTTGGCAAGGGACATGCGCTGAAGACATTGCAAGGAGTGTGACATAACTTTGCTAGACTGTCCTTGGTGGCTTGGAGTGTTTGACAGAGCAGAACTATCCTTCTGGCAGTCTTCAGAGCATTGAGGTTTCCAACCCTCGACATCCTGTTGACCAAGCCAGATGATAACTTCATTCGCCAACTCGTAAATTTTTGACATCAATTGAACCTGATGGTTGCGTTCGACAACTGTATCCTGATTGATACATATCTGGTCGATCCAGATGTACTCTTCTGGATGCCGTTTGGCATACGCATAGAGAAAGTCAGCAAGATTCTTCCGTACACGGAGAACACTTCCTTCTACGGTGATGTCGTAGCAAGGCGTGGGTGGACCCCAGGTATATGAAAGCGCACGGAATCTGATGGGCGATCCACCGTTAGAACTATCGTTCTTGGGGTCTCGAACGATATTCTCCAAGTTAAAGTGCTCAATGCGGGCCTCCAATTCGTCATCCGGAGTGATTACGATCTTGAACAGCCTTATCTCTTGTTTTTGGGTATCAAGGGCTCCATGTCTGTATTTGTCCCAGTGTCGAGGTCGCGCCCATCCGTTCGAGCGCTGAGAGGTGAGCCCCAACTTCAGATAGAGCAAAATTTTGTCAAGCATTAGTTCATATCACCAACAGGACTCGCCCAGTGCTCAAAGTCTCGTTCCAATCAAGCCGAACAAGAACCAGAAGTGCAACCAAAGCCGACATGCTCAATGCCGAGATCGGGTGGCTTGCCTCTACTCAAGGTGACGACCCCTACCGTCAATAAATCTCCATGACTCCAATCCCCACCTCACCGCAAGTTTACCTGCGCGCAAACAGCCATTGTTATCTCAAATCGAGCTCAATTTACTCCCAAACTACCGGCCGGAGAATAGAAGACAGAGGCGACTATGTCTGCCTCGTTACCTGGGAGCCGCGAGCTCCCAGCTTCGCAGTATGACCTTTCAACATACTGGGGTCGCGTGCGTCATGCAGCAGACATATCTGATCCGAGGTGAGGAGTGACAAACCATGCGATGACTTTCGACGCCGGGTGTGTAGTGAGTAACACTACCTCTTGCATTTCGTTTGTGGTTTTCTTACAGTGCGACGCGATGCTTTGCGCTCATTGTCTGTACCGTTGAAATTTTTTGGGGCAGCTTCTCACGGGCTGTACCCTGTGTGATGCATGCGAAAGATGTCTCGCTAATAGGCTTCACAGGATGCTCCTTGTGTCCTCCTCCGGTCTTCAACAAGCAAAACAGCTCATCACACAATACAAGACGGGTGCGATAAAGTCAATGACCCCAGAACTATGGCGCGCAAAGAAGATTGTGGACAGCACGTTGCACCCGGACACGGGAGAGCCAGTTTTGCTTCCCTTTCGCATGTCGTCCTTTGTCCTGTCCAACCTGATCGTCACAGCCGGCATGTTGACGCCGAATCTTGGCTGGCGTGGTACGTTAGGCTGGCAGATTGCGAACCAGAGCCTGAACGTTTGCATAAACGCTTCCAACGCCAACAAATCAAGCCCACTGAGCACTAGCACGATGGTGAAGAGCTACTTGCTTGCTGTGAGCGCGAGTTGCTCCGTCGCTCTGGGCTTGAACGCACTTGTGCCGCGGCTAAAACGCATCTCTCCCGGAGCGAAGGTCATCTTGGGCCGACTGGTACCCTTTGCTGCGGTAGCCACTGCCGGCGCGCTCAACGTCTTCCTCATGCGTGGCGAAGAGATACGTAGAGGCATAGACGTGTACCCAGTACGTTCGGCAGCAGAGAAGGAAACGGAAGCAGAACCACCCAAGAGCCTGGGCAAGTCGAAGCGCGCCGCAACGATAGCAGTGGCTGAGACGGCGGCATCACGCGTATTCAACGCTACTCCAGTAATGGCGATTCCGCCTCTGATCCTTGTGCAGCTGCAAAAACAGAAATGGCTTGCGACCCGTCCGCGGCTGGTGCTGCCTGTGAACCTTGGCTTGATTCTGGTCACGAGTCTGTTTGCGCTACCTTTGGCACTTGCAGCTTTTCCGCAGCGGCAATCAATCAGCGCCGACAAGCTCGAGGAGGAGTTCCACGGTAAAGGTGGTGAAGGTGGTCTTGTTGAATTCAATAGAGGGATCTAAGCTCACGCTTACCAATTGTTACTCAGCAAGGCGCTGGTGGTTTCTCAAGTCAAACTTTCAAGAAAGAAGTAAATTTTTAGACGCAGAAACTAGACATGTGTGGCCTTTGTATACGGACACAAGTATACCTTTATTCTCCAGCGGTAGGCATTCAAGTACGCATTGAAAATTTTTGTGTGTTGTCTGTCCAAACTCTGGCCTCAAAAGTTGCCACGCCAAGATAGTGTTAGACTGTGGGGTTGGTTGTTCACCATCCACCATGGCAGTCGCTAGGTACAGCCATGCAACATTACCCTATTCGATTTATCCTTGCCAAGTCTCTTGAACATCTCTGGTGTCCTCGTAGATCTGATGCCATGACAGGTTCGACCACTTTGCTGGATCGCGCGATGAAGCCAGCCAGTCTCGAATAGCTAGGACGCATTGTTCTGCCCATCTTTGATACGGTACATGACCCACACCAGTGGCCAGCGGTGTCATAAGAATACTTGTGATCTTTGACTCTTGACGGGCGCGCTTGTTGTGTTCCTCTATGGCGCAGAGGAGAGACCAAATGCACTCATATACGACTTCGCGATCCCACGTTACCTCCTGGGGGACGCGCATCGTCGGGCAGAGGAGAAGATATTTGACGCCCCAGGGAAGCAGCCTTGGAGGTCTACTTCTTCGCAGGACGTCCAACGCTTCATCAGAATGCATTTCCTCCTCGTCCTCGAGCGGCACCACTGTGCAGGTCCCTGGCGGCGCAAACCCCTTCCATTTCTCGTACAACACCTTCTGCGCTTTGCGGGTGGTCCAGTCGTAATCGTTTGGCGGACTTAGGGCGCAGGAGATCGCGTCATCGAATGCGCCATCGAGTCTTCCGTATGAGTTCGCCGGCGAAACAATCGCGTCCCATCTCAGAGATTCCGGAAGCGTGTTCAGCCTGCCGTGATGGACCGTGATTTCCACGTGAGAATTGAGGTCGGGAAAATACTTCTTCGCGGCTTCGCCGAAGGTGTCTGAAACCGTCGTCGTGAGACAGAGAAGATGAATGTGGGGCAATCCCGCTCCAGTTGACCTTGCGTCAGTCATCCTCAAGTTTGGTCCTCAATAGAACTGTGAAGTCAGTGAGAAGTGAGTGGTACGTATGTCGGCCATCATGATGATGACCTCGAGCTCTTATAATCAACCATGCCGAAGCCCTTTTTAATGCTGTTGCCTACACTAAATTCATCTGGATGTTGCCAGATGTCGTCTTACAGTTCTGCTGCCTGCAACGCGCCGCGACGACAGATTCTGCGGGTGCACACAACGTCAAATGTTTCATTTTCGAAGCCACAGCGAACTTCCTCGCCCGCTCAAAAGCCCGACGATGGCTCTATGACACACAAGCTCAGGCGTGCATCGGGGGTTGCGAGAAAAGTGTGCCAGCATCTGCCAAGCCAGCCTGGTTACGGCGATAGTTGGCATCTCCACCCTTAAAATCCGCATTCCCAAACAGGAGATTACGGTTCAAAGAGGAAATCCTGAGTCCAAAGAGGACTAAGTCGCTGTCTCAAGCTGGGCGATGCAATTTTGCATGTCCGCGGCCAGAACGAGGCCCCACAAAAGACGCCCCAGTGAGCGTGCCAGGATCTACGCAGACTCATGGTATATGTGAGCACTAACGACTGGAAAAACGATATCGAAGCCACCTACGCCATTATCTCGGCAATGTATTCGTCAGCACGGGGCATCATAAGTTCTTCTTTGTTCTGCGTGCGACCGCAGACATGGCTTTCCCTTGGCGAATGTGAAGCTTCTGTGATGTATTTTGAGCAGCTTCTGCAAATTGCTAGGCACTTCGGTTCTAGATTGGAAACTTAAAGTCCGATACTCCATGTGTTACCCCCGATGTAACGTGCACTCGACGAGCACTTCAAGAGATACTCGCATAGCCTTGTAGAAAGCAAATTATAAAAAGGCATCGTATCTCGGTCGTGTCGTCGATTCGTCTTGGAAACAGTTTTTGTGCACAGAGAACATCAACTTTTGATCCTAACTATTCAAATCCCATTCCTCCGTCTACGAAGTTCATCGTGCACTTTCCTCTCCGACCCACGTTCCAGCACTGCACCAGCATCAACGTCGGTGCAAGAAAGATCGAAAGAATGGTCGAGACCGTGCTCGTAAGCGGTGCCAGCGGCTTTGTCGCTGCCAGCATCATCAAGGAGCTCCTCACGAACGGCTACGCTGTAAGGGGTACTGTGCGTTCCGAGTCGAGCGCCAACAAAGTCAGAGAAGCACATGCAGAGTACGCCAAAGGGAATCTGTCGCTGGTCATCGTCAAGGACATTGCGACTCCAGGAGCCTTCAGCGAAGCCGTCAAGGGCGTCGACGGAATTTTCCATGTCGCGTCGCCCTTTATCCTCGATGCCACCGACTTTGATGCCCAGCTCTTCGAGCCCGCCCTGCAGGGGACTCTGGGCATCTTGAAGGCCGCACAGAAACATAACCCAAATGTCAAGCGCGTCGTGATCACGTCGTCCTTTGCCGCAGTTGTGGACTTCTCGTCCGGCCTGAACCCGGGCAAGACCTACACAGAAGCGGATTGGAACCCTATGACCCGCGAGGAAGCCAAGGCGGCCGGCGCGGTGGCAGCGTATCTTGTTTCCAAGGTCCTTGCCGAGAAAGCGGCCTTTGAGTTTGTCGAGAAGGAAAAGCCGAACTTCACCGTTGCTACGCTCTGTCCCCCAATGGTGTATGGCCCTCTCGCTCAAGACCCCGACAGCATGGATAGACTCAACGAGAGCACAGAGGACTTCTACCGCCTCATGAACGGTTCCCTAGTCGAGACGCCGGGCACAAGTTTCTGGGCGTACGCTGACGTTCGCGACCTCGCCCTTGCTCATCGTCTTGCATACGAGAAGCCAGAGGCTGCCAACCAGAGATTCCTCATCACGAATGGTGGGTTCAGCTACCAGTTGTTCGTCGACATCCTACACGATAGGCTTCCAGAGCTTAGAGATAAGCTTCCGAAGAAAGCCAACCCCGTAAACGAAGCTTTCCCGGGGAAGGTGTATCGCCTAGATAACTCCAAAGCGACGAACGTGCTCGGCATGAGCTGGAGACCAGTTGAAGATACAGTGTTAGACACGGCAAAATATCTGCAAGGCATGGAAAAGAAGCACGGCGTTGCAAAATAGAGAGGACATGGACGGGATCTTAAGACTGGTATCTCGAAGCCAGCCCCAAAAAGAACTTATATTTTCGTCATGCTTTTTTTTCTCTTGAGCGTGCTGTTTTCGCCTGACGATGGTTCAAGAAGACGATCTTCATCTGCAAAACCAGTCATTATCTTTATCCATAGTTCAAATGCAACATTGCTATTTACTTAAGACTCTAAAGAAAAAAAAAAACTTCAACGGACAGAAACGGGCGATTACCCAGCCCATCACCTTGAGTTCTTGATGTGATGCAATTTCAACAGACGAACAAGACCAGAGAGCCACGTATGTTAAAGGAAGACTTCACACTGACAAATCTCGGAGAAAGCGGTAATAAACAGTCCATGAAAAAGATCGCGGGCGTAAGGTCTCTTTGCATCATGGCTTGCGAGACACCCAAGGCGAGATTGCACGGCAAATTTCAGTAATCGAATCACCTCTCTGAGGTTTCGTTGTTGTTGATCACTAGCCTCTAGGGTCGTATCATGCCCAGACGAGTTTCTTCAGGGCGAAGCCCACCTGCTCTAGATAGCCTGTGCTCTTTTTTGCGTCCGCAAGACTGATGATATCCTTGTCCTCTACCTCCAGCAACTCCGCTGCCTCCTCCCCTGGGGTCGACGGTGTCCTTGCTTTATTGGCAACAGCTGCAATCTGTTCTGTGACAGTGTTGATCATCTCGTCTTCGCTCGGGGGGTGTTGCGGCTCGCTCTGCTGTCCGACAAAGCTGCTCCGCGGCGGCAGCGCCTTGAACGCCAACAATTTCAGCTCCGATTTTGAGACCAAATCTTGGTCCTTAGTACGTTTCCTCCTCTCCTGGTTGCCTTCGTTCCCTAAGCTGCGCGTATTTCGGCGGACCAAGTCAGCACCGGGGGTTTCGTACCGCAGTACAAAACCATAGTTCTTCCTCTCATCCATTTCCCTCTTTGCCAAGGTACTCGTTATGTAAACCCCTTTCGCAATCGCTGTAATGTGCTCAAGTTCAATGCGCTCAAACTGTCGAACTTTCTCGGTGGTCCAGTCCATGCGACAAAAGTACAGCGCCTCGTCCGTAAGGAGCAATACGCACTCCTCGAACGGAAGGGTTCGCAGGGATCCAGCATCTCGAGGGCTGCTGAGCGTCCATCCTGCAACCAAGTCCTCACTCTCGTTCTCTATACAGATGCTGCGACACGTTTCGATGGCATTTTGTCTCACTTTTCTCATATCGATAGCATAGTCTTGTGCTTTCATGTCCGCCTCGAAGTCAATAAAGATGTTCTCATCGACACGCCCAAGAATGTAATCGATGACGTTCTGCGCAAAATAGTCGTTGACAATGTTGTTGTAGTATCGAGTCAGTGTAAGTCCGAAGTCGTTCAGCGCACCAGTGACATTGCGCTTTCGTGTCCTTGTGAAGTCGCCCTTCAAGGCCGCAGTTCCAGCATACTGCCTCGAAATCGCATCGCCATTATCAGCCCATATAGAGTTAAACCATGTTGTTCGCGGATCGTTCTGCAAATCGATTGTTATGTTCTGATCCTTAAGTTGTTGCTCAAGGATATTTCTTGCACACGCGGACTGCACAACGTTCGTCCTGTCCAAACAGTCCATACAATTAGTTCTCAAAATTCCCTGCTGTTTCTGCTCTATCTGGTCACCCTTTTGCACAGTCCACGCGAACTCGGATAGTTTGGACCTCAGAATGTCGAAAAGCTGCGAAACATTCTCAAAGCGCATTCCCCGGCAGACTGAATGGAAGTCGAACCACTCGAACGCTAGTAAATTACCTTGACCACTGATGCCACCCTGACTGTTCAGCGCATTTGCATGTTTTTCATATGCATTGCCAATCTTTGCTTCGTTACCGTGTTTTTCTACGAGAGAAACAGCCTGCACTTGTCCATATCGCGCGAACAGATGCTGAAAATGTAAGCGAAAGGCTGTAGCATTCTGGTCCCAAGATCCGCTTGTTTGCACGATCGGCTTCAAGCTGTACGGACTTTGGGAAAAGAAGAGAGGAATGGAGCCGCGACACTGAAGGAATGAGTAAATCTTCGAAGTTTCGTCCCAGGAAGATGGTGAAAGAATCTGCTCAGTCTCGACGCTATTTGCTACATTTCCTTCTTCATCGACACCGCGTCGCAGGTATCGAAGACCAGCACGATTGATGGATCTTCTTGAAATCAAGGTGAGGAGAAATTCATTGTCGGCGTTTTCATGCTGCTTAGCAGCGATACCCGCATCTGTAAGTGCCTCAGTCTGAGAATCAGTCGCACTTCCCTGAGTAGCTATAACGTCTTCCGCTTTGTTCGCCTCTGCAGTTACATGCCAGTCATGGTTCGAGGGTTTATCCACCGTAAATGCCCGTTGGCCAACGAACCCTTGTATTAGCGGGAGCACGAAGGTATATTGACCAGCATCAATGAATGGGTCTATTAAATGACGGTTCCAGAAGAACTGATCTCCGAGTCAGCATGCACATCAAAACAGCCGTCCAACATGCGCGAGACTTTCTCGAATCGTACTCACCAAGGGGTCAAACGTGCGGAAAATGGAGTTAGACGATGCAGAAAAACTTGGCTGGTTGGATATACTACGTGACAAATCATAATCGTAGGAAAAGTAAAAGTTTTTTGAGCCAAAGAACATCTTTGTCACGTTGAGAAGCTTGGGCAGCAAGGGGATGGTTTCCGTTTGAGAATCCTTCTCCAGTGCGGGTTCGACTTCCTTTGGTGGATTGTTGTCCAAAGATGTATGCTCAACATGACCTTCCTCTGCAGAAGAAGTATCTCTGCCAGCTTGCTCCTGGGACTCAGATGGCGCATGATTGACCGGGGTAAGCTGCTCGTTAGTGGGCAGTCTTACAAGATCTTCTTCATTGCTCAAGCCCTGGTTCCGGCGATTGTCTGCCTTCCAGCCCGCTCTTGAGAACCATTTCTGTGTGAATCTGCCATATATACCTCTCTGCTGTATCACTTCTTGAGCAATGCTTGTCGATCTCTTGTGCGCTGCGTTGCTTGGTTCCGAAGGCGGCGAGGAAGGCATCGACTCGTCTGTGAGGGAAATATCATCTCTCTCATCTTCACTGTTGCGGTCGTACTCGCTATCCGAGCTTGAATCTGGCTGATTTTGTTCGTTGTGTCGCTTCTGCGACTCCCGCGCACGAATAATGGCCTTCTCGGCGTCTGTCTGGGACGACAGCGGAATGAGGGCAACTTCTGCTATCGAGTATACCGGCTTACCACGAATCTGAGCCACTAATTCACGGCGTAATATAGAGATCAGATACGAGGACGAGGCTACTCTCAACAACCCTGTTGTGCTGATCACTATACAAGTCTATACAGCTGATTGTGACATATTTGTATACCCACGATGCCATGAACCTCCAATGCATTTGGCGCAGTGTCCTCCTCCCTACGATCTTTCAGAAGTGGGCGGATCCTGCTTGTCTTATAGTCGAGTTTAATGGCTTGTTCGGTAGTGGGTTTGTGGTTGCGGGGTGGTGCTGGCTGCAGCACGAGGCCATCGACGGCGGCAAAGATGAGCAGTTTGCGGACCAGACCGGGCATTGTTCTTTTATTCTAGTCGGTGGGCTATGACAAAATAACCACGTCCATGATGAAGGAGTTTTGAGCCCAACGCCAGCTGCTGTTCTGCGGAGCGACGATGTTGACGTATGACGTCTGTGTTATGGTTAACGCGCCAGCTCTCCACGGTTGCTTCGACCTCCTCGCCAATCGCAGCCCCACGTTCCTAGAACTACTTGTACCGCCTCTCCTATCATTATTCGCCCACATAAAGTGAAAACCTCGAAATCAAAGCCTGAGTTTGGTCCATATGAACTTATTTCCACTGGGGTTTCTGCCCAATCAGATCATTACCGGTACATTAAGTCGAACATCCTTGATTCCGTATTCAGAACAGTTCCTGTCTTAGCCTTACAATTTAATACTCTTTTGAATCTTCTGGCACAGGTACATGATGAAGTTTCTGAGCCATGAATTGGTTTCCTGATATGGCTAAATGCACCGATTGAAATCAGCCTTGATTAACAGCGATCCAGTTGCTGTGGATTAACTGCCAACGACTGGATGTGAACGGCATATTCCGTGGTCAGTGCGACAATTAATATACACTCTCTTGAGACTTGAACAAAGGGCTCGGTAATCTGTAGGAAGACCAAAGAAAGACGTTGGAGCGCATGCAGAAAGTAAAGAACCAACAGATGGAAGTAAGCGAAGGCGAGTAGCTTTCGTTTATTTGGCACAAATATGAACACGACGATGATCATAAGTTATGTCGAAACTCAGGCACCCTTTGTCATTATCTTTTACTGCGAAGTGTAAATGGTGAAGTCTTCAAGATTTGTACCATAGAAGACGCGACGAGATCGTGGCAATCTCTCAGAGGATGCTTAAGTTTCTACTTCTTAATCAGGTGAATGTGTGTTCTTGTTCTTTCTATACTTCTCATTCATACACAATGTCCAAAGAATTTGCTTATTCAACGTTGTTTCCGAACTCTTTTCCTTATCACCGAGGATTGCACAATCTGTAACCGGTTCTCCTCGAGCAACAGCAGGAGTAACTCTTGTACAAGCAAGCTACGAACTCATTCTTCTCATTTGCAGTCCCCAACCAAAGCCTATATGCTCGCCATCTCATTTTGTTGCGAATAAAGATTTGGACCACCAGAGATGCCACCGCAGGAAGACGCTCACATTTGGGCAGCTTGGAAAGCGTATCACACAACGACCTCGTCGCTGATCCTAGTGATTTCATAATGAAACAGGTGTCCAGGATGATCCTCAGGCGCCCAAGAATGATTTTGTATGCTTGCTGACTGTTGTGTCAGCTTGCTCACGGACGGAGGCTGAACGAAATTCGCGAGCAATTCCCCACCCAATGAAAAGTCGTATATCAGTGACATATTTGAAAACACAAACTTTTTCATTTGCGCGGAAAATAGTTGAGCCGTCATAGAGTTAGAATCGTCTCCTAAGCTTGAAGGATATATTTATCAGCTGCGCTCCTTGTTGTTGCCACAACCGTTGACACAACAATAAACATTTAATCTCCCAACTTAACACGGCATGCAGTGTTTTATCTCCATAAACCGCTTGACTTTGCCGCGAACCCCCGAAAAATAGTTTCGGGTTCTTTGATAGGGCCTATTTCCATAGCTTGGAAAGAGTCATGTCTCCTTGTATCTTTGCGATGAGTTCATGTCACTCCGCCGTGTTCAAGAATGACGAACACGTTAAGTCTCATTGTTAGGTACATGTTATTCGTGTCGGCACCGAACTTGACGACGGCATTCGTCACTGAATTCTTGCCTGCACCAACATGCATGGATCCTCCTCTGAGCATGTTCTTAAATCAGGAAAATCGTGTGTGGATAAATTACCCGTTCCCAGCTTCTGGCGTCACCGTTAGCGATTGCTACCCTTCGGACATCATCGAGAGCTTGAACACGCCGTTTCGCTTACCTGCAACGACACCATTGTCGTGTCCAAACTGGTACACTACTGCCACGCGATATACCGGCAATTATGCGGTATGTTGTCCCTTGTGAGTTTTGTGATGGAAACGTATCATGCTTTCGCCTTATCAGTCCAGATCATACACCCTCGCTCTAGCTCCAACAGGTGCTCCTGCATCACGCCCTGCTCTGAGCGCTACTTGCTTCTCTAATTTGCCGAGTCCAACGACCGTCATCGCATGGGATAACGTGACCATCACATCAACACAAGGCTACAATGATCCTACAGCACAGGCTTTTGCTCTTGCCTTGGACGGGTTCATAGCCAATCCTACAGCGCAACAAGTACGTTGACAGCACCGGTGCACCTGTTTCTGTCTGAGCTATGTGAGCGTGCTGATGATCTCGTTCTAGACCACCCAATCATCGTCAAACAATGCGGAAATAACACAGCCAGCAATCACAGCCTCAGAAAAACCAGACAGATTATTATCTGGTGCTGCTGTCGCTGGAGTTGCAGCTGGAGGAAGTGTTGGACTTTTCACGGTGGTCAGCGCGATAGTATTCTTCGCAATACGTTATCAAAGGAAAGCAGATCATATCGCCCAGCAACGGAGGCTTGCGGAAGCACAGGAGCTAGATGATGAAGGAAGATACTGGAAGAATGTTCTGGTGAAAAATGTCACCCACACGAGGCTGGAGTTACCAGCAGAGAGGACGACCCGTTCGTTACCACCGGACAGACTATGATATCGTCCACGCTTCAAGATGAGAAAAAAAAATCCGAACTCAGATTAAAATTGATGTACGGTCCAAAAGCACATCTCTCGCACAAGCGATTGCCTTCATCTCCTCTTTTGTCGCAATATCTCAGCATGAGCATTCATTATCTCAGACTTTCACCCTACACACGGTAAGTTTTTGCAAGTATATGGACGCCCAAAGTGCTTGAAACTTTAGGTGTAGGTATGCCGCTTTTTGTGATAGTACGCTGTCAGAAAGGTAAGGACAAACGCGGCCAGAAGACATCCACCACCAAATGCCTGTATGCCGTCGAACGATGATCGTCCATTAAGTATTGCACCACCAATCGGATTACCGATGAGAAATCCGACTGCACCAACTTGCAAACCCATTCCTAGGCGGGTACCGATCAGTCCCACATGGGGAGACAACTGCGCAATTGCTACTGCAGGGACCGAAGCAAGGAGTCCGGAGAAAAAGCCATAAAACAGCGAAAATGTGGCCATTCCACCGACGTTATTTATTGAACCCCACGAAAACTGCAGCATTCCGCACATCAAAATACAAAAGCAAGCAACGTTGAAGACCCCAAATCTTTGCATTGCAAAGTTAGGCAGAATGCGGCCAATGGTCGATCCAGCCGCAATGACAGGAAGCATATGATAGGCAAGATCTTCTGAAGTGTGAATCTTCTCCTGAGCAAATGCCGGCATGTAGTAGTATGGAATGTAGCCACCTACAAATACCAGAAACATGCCGGCATTGAAGCACATATAGTCTGCCTCTTTCAGCGCCGTTAAGTCTAGCAACTTGCGAGGTTTTTTTGGTGTCACACGCTGTTTAAGAACGGTGACAGCGATGGTGAGGAATGCAAGACAGACGAAGGCAAATATTCGGAGTGTCCATCCAAAACCGACGGATTGAACAAGCGGGCGAAAGATGGCCGTGAACACAACGCTAGCTAAAGATATTTTAGCATAAAAATCTCCTAGTCTTCGGATCTTTGTGCTACAAACCTAAGCCCCCACCAGCTGCCGACAATCCTGATGCAATTGGTCTTCGTGTCGTGAAGTAAGTTCCGATAATGATCATTGATGGTGCGAAGAGACACCCTTGCCCAAGCCCGACGCAGACACCTAAAGAGAGAAAGATGGAATGATATCTTCTCGCTACGCTGGCTGTCATCAAGCCTACAACGAGAAGAATTGCGCCAACAAGAATAACTATTCGCATATGTCCTCGATCAAACAGTGGACCACTCAATCCACCGATAGAAAAGAGTAGGCAGGTTTGGGTGGTCCCAATCCAAGCTATATCGGATGAAGAATAGTCTTTGAGGTAGTTCTCTCTATAAAAAGTCTCAAATACCCCAAAACTCAAACTGATACCGCTGCGCTCTGATCAGTACATGACGAAAAATTGAAACGCTGGACCTACAATGTTGCAACCCAAAGGCAAAAGGATCCAAGTACTTGTAGCCATGCTAATGTTCCTCCGTTGGGTGGTTCCGTTGATTCTATATCCTCCAAGGTATTTGATACACCCGTATTCTCATCTACAGCGACCTTGAGCTCTGAGGGAGGTTCCTGAACCCGATCAACGCCTGACTGAGAGTTTTGAGTCTTCTTATTTTCCGAAACCATATTGTTTGCATCTAAGCCTACGGGTCAAACCGAACGGCACGAAGGGAAGAGCTTGCCAAATTTCAACGCAGAGGGTAAGAGTCTTCTTCCTTTGGAAAAGTGCTATCTATAGCCGAGCAGCAACCCAATGGTTCTAGGGAGCGAGCTACCACATTATAGACTTGATAATTGCACAATCCCGGAGGTATGGTTCAAATGCATCCACCCAGATTCGTACTGTAAGTCAAGAATTTTACAATTAGATACCCACTTCATCACATTGAAGTAGTCTGCTTCCCTCGCTTTTCAATATCCGAAGACAAATTAAGTCAAGCGCTGCAGAACATCGCCCAAAGTCCTTCCTAGGGAAAGTTAACAAGTGGATCATCGGCAAATATGCAAACGAGACAGTTTGAAATCAGACTTGTCTACTAGCTCTCTTTACGGCCTCTTAGGAAGGACTTCCAAGACGTTTAGTGGATCTGCTTCTGGCTAGTCCAGCACCTTACCCGCTTAGCGCGGTGCGGAAGTTGACATCTTGATTAATAAAAAGGACGGACCGAGGAGTAGGGGTGATTATTAAACATATTTCTTGACGCGCGCCCTCTTGACGGCCAAAGGATATGAATCTTGAGGATGTTGCAAATCTCCTGTGAACATGTTCAGAAATGGATACGGGTATCCCGATATTGAAGGACAGACGGTGAATGTGTCAGTAATTATTACAAGCCGTGGAAATCATGTCATGTGAACAAGATGGCATATCAAGCTATACGAAGAGTTAGCCCGGTCACCGTATTTGCTCTTGAAGATAACAATCCAAGCTATCAGACATTTTCTCCTTGAATAGTAAGCTTTGCCTCTGCCGTACCTGACATCATTATCGCGACTCAAGGTGATGGCCTTTAAGGTAAGCAAGACCATACCCAAACTCAAAAACCACAAGAGCGCAACGCAAGGTTTCTTCGTAACTGAAAATCAAGAGTTTTGACAAGGAGGCCTCAGCCTCTGCATGATGCAGAAACCCGCATATTCAGATTTTGTGAGATTGACGCAGTGTCTCCCTCAGGTTATTCAGGCAATGTCTACATTTAATAGACAAGAGTAACTTACTCTAATTCCACATCGATAAAGCACGTTGATCTGATCGATTCATGACGACGGCATAACAGGTCACGTTCAAGCAAGTCCAAAGCCCATAACTCGCTGTTCCCTTATACTTTTGAATGAATGATTTATTTTCGCCACTGAATTTCGTTCAATGGACAACGATGTTGCCATTCTTTCGGCGCTTAAGTGGTCGGAAAGTTGAGGCGTCTGTTCAGCTGACCGGTTTCCTACCAATGAGAAATTGACGCACTCCACTTGCATCTGAAATCTCCGCAAGCCAATTCTCAAGTTGAGGAACACTCCTAGATCACGTTGCTGAGATTTCCTGCTTGCATTTTCTTAAGTCTGAGGCTTGAAAGCTTGCTTGCGCGAGCCAACAATAACAATTACCTCCGCCAATGGCCGAGAATACGCCAAGTAGCCGGCCAGCGACTCCACTTAGCTCGGAGGTAAGAAGTTAAAGCTGCGGGCTGTCTACCCCATTGTCCAGTGACTATGCTAACATTGGAAATCTGAAATATAGCCCAATGACTTGTCTTCCCGTGAAGGCGATCATTCTGATTCTGACTCTGCTTTTGTCGATTCTGCCTCCAGGTAGATAAGTGCAGATCCTGTTGGCGAAACGTACTCAAAGAAAAATCTGTAGGCACACGGAATCAGTTGCTAGTTCGGCCTATGCATACAGATTTGCAAACGGTCGACGTTATCACGTTTGTGGCCTCTTTTTTGCGGTTTCTTGTTTGATATGCTGACTGGGTCAAGGCTTATGATGGCGAAGCCTATCAATTTCCCAATGACGAGTCGGAACAAGACCGTCTAGACCTTCAGCACCATATCTTTCGCTTGTGTGCAGATAACAGGCTTTACCTTGCGCCAATACCAGCTGACTTGCACTCTGTCCTTGACGTTGGAACAGGAACGGGCATCGTAGGTTATCATGGTGTCCATGTCATGCTTGCTGCAGGTCTGGCTAAACTGATTTCTAGTGGGCAATAGAATTTGCGGACGAGCACCCAAGCGCTACAGTAGTGGGAATTGATTTGAGTCCAATTCAGCCAAATAACGTTCCTGTCAACTGTAGCTTCCGAGTAGATAACCTGGAGCTTGATTGGATACCGGAAGAAAAGTATGACTTCATACATTCGCGCGCCATGGTGGGAGCTATCAAAGATTGGCCAAGGTTTCTCGCTCAGTCTTTTGAGTAAGTCAAATCCGGGATTCGCCGGTTCTCTCTACAGGATGTGAAATCAGAGACAATGTGAGGCTTATCAAACTGCTCTTGTAGCCATCTTAAACCAGGTGGATATATCGAGCTTCAAGATTTGACGTCGCCGGTTTGTTGCAATGATCCAACAGAGAGTAGCAATAGCATAATGGTAAAGTACGGCAATCATGTGTTGGATGCCGGACGTCGAATCGGCCTAGATTTCCAGGCTCCTTATAAGTGGCGAGAGATGCTGCAGGAGGCCGGATTCGTTGACATAAACATTCGGTGGTTTAACTGGCCCATCGGTCCCTGGGCAAAGGGTGTGAAGAATAAGATGATTGGCCGATATCTTTATGTCGACTTTCATGAGGGGCTAGAGGTTGCTCGTCTGCTCTTCACGAATGTGCTTGGATGGAGCTCAAACGATTTCGACAATTTGATCGCTCAAGTTCGCGCGGAAATGGAAGAGCAGAAGATTCACCTGTATGAGCGAGTATGTTTTTGTTATGCAAGAAAACCTGGAGGTGCGCCAGCAGAGACGCCAAACGATGATTACCAGACTCAGGTCTGAAGTTGATAGGATGAGATCGTAAATAATTTAAGGCATGCTTCTGCCCCGGCTACCCCTTCCCAAGCATGCCCAAAGTTGTCAAGGACACGGCGAACGTCATTACGTCTATACGTGTATAATACATCTTAGTGCAGCCGGTGCCGAAAAGTTCAAGGCGCACAGCACCTGGTCGGATGGTTAGGATTGCATGCTAACATCGTGTTGCTTCTCCAACCACCTAACCAATTTGGCCATCTTGCCGCTGTAGAGAGTCTGCAAGCATACTTTGCTGTGCACATGTTGAAACAAGCCAGATAGCGTGGAAAATACCGTCCTGCACTCCGGACAATGGAAAGCATAGATCTTGTTGACGTACTCTTGCTCCAGGTCATGTCGTTGGAGCAGCTCGTCTCGCCACTCTTCGTCAAGGTATGCCTTCCATTGGTAACACATGGCAGCGGACCTGTTTAGATCTATTCTGTCGATTTGAGATTGGCACACGCCCGATTCCAAATGAATTATCATTCCATGGTACGTGGTGAACATCCGGCAGCAACCGTAGCATTGGATCGTTTTGTCTAAATGTACCACTAGATGCTGTGAAGCGCCGGTCACGCTTGGTTTCGACCCTGGGGATTCAAGGCTTCACTTATCTGATCGAGGTTGTTAGGAGACTGGAAGTGCGTTTCGCAGACTTCGCACACGTTTTCGCGACGAAGATGGTCCAGATATTCCCGACACCCAGGCAGCCAGGCCATTCCCAGCCCGCCCGCACAGCCTTGACAAACAATACGATGGTTTGTCCTGCGATGGTGGGCTAGTAGCTCGGCCCACGTCTTTCCATCGAACCCACATACAGTACAGCGATTATGGTGAAGCGAATCTTCGACATGCTGCTGTAGCGACCGTAGCGATGAAAACAACCGATAACAACGGAAACAGTACAGATTCCTGGATCCCGCGTTAAGGACCAGAAGAATGGAATACCGCCGAGCGGGACACTTACCCCATTGCGCTAGACCTTATCTGGTGTTTTGTATAAATTCTTCTGACAGATCGCCGAGTTTGAGCACGCGCCTGGCTGGGTCAGGGAGGTTCAGGATAGGGTTGCTGACTAATCATCCGCTGGTCAAGGTCTGAGTTAGCACACAAAACGTCCATCTTCATTTGATCGCTTGGCTTTCCTCATGCCGTTGTACGAGCCTCGATGGCTCTCTTGCCCTATGCGCATTGAATATATGCTTGTTTTTCTCTTCCATTAAGCCTCCTTGATCCCAGAGCTCACACGGTCTCCTGTCTACTGTAACCTTGCAAATTGTCCTGTTCGAGACGTGTAAAAAAAGGACTCCACAGCAACCTAGATTTTACAACATGGTTTGATGGCCAGCTTTGATAATTAGTTCTCGGAATTCTATGGATAAGCGAGTCTACACTACTGTAGTTACTGCATCATTATTTGTCGGGCATAGATCAGTGTGAAAGCCACCAGCCATCATTACGAGGCTGACGACGAGGTGTGTGCATTGATGATTGCCACAGTTCCGGAATCGGATCTAAGGGATCATAAAAAAATAATAGTCAGATCCGAGTCGAATGAGAGCCGTATCTACGAGCACAATCCTCTCTATCGTCATTCTGCTTTACAGTCTGTCATTACCACCAATCATTCTGCTCTCAATAACTAGGCCCAGGGTGGCCCAGCGCTTCGCTGTTCATTCTGTTCCCCCTCACACGTTATACTTTGCTATGGCGTCCACCATGAGCGAAGCCCGCGGCGAAGACTCGACTCGCACTGCAGCAAGCACAGGAAAGAAGAAGAAATTACACGGCCGAGAATTCTATGAGAGTATAGGCAGTCCCAAGGTCATTCTTGCCCCAATGGTGGAACAGTCAGAATTCGTATGCACCCTTCCATCCCGACCAGTGTGCGTGTTTTTGCTAACGGTATCCTCCCAGGCCTGGCGCATGCTTTCTCGCTCCTTCATGCCCCCGGATAACAGAAGGGGTTTGCTTGCTTACACGCCCATGTTCCATGCCCGCCTCTTCGCCGATGTTCCCAAATACCGGGAATCTTCCTTTCAACCCACAAAGTCTCAGCTACCCGATCCACCTGTTGGCATAAGCAAAGAGTCGCTGAAGGAGTATGATGCGCATCTTGATGGAAATCCCCAGTTCGACCGTCCGCTCTTTGTACAATTCTGTGCCAACGACCCAGAGAAACTGCTGGCGGCCGCCAAATTAGTTCAGCCATATTGTGATGCTGTGGATCTAAATCTGGGCTGTCCGCAGGGCATCGCTCGCAAAGGACATTATGGGGCCTTTTTGCAAGAGGATTGGGACTTGATATACAGGCTTATCAACACACTGCATAAGGAGCTCGACATACCCGTAACAGCGAAGATGCGCATCCTCGAAACTAAAGAGAAGACCTTAGAATACGCGAAGATGATCCTCTCTGCAGGTGCGAGTCTGATCACTGTGCATGGCCGGCAGAGGCATCAGAAAGGTCACAACACAGGGTTGGCGGATTGGAGCGTGTTGAAGTACCTGAAAGAGCAATTGCCGCCTGAGACTGTCATGTTTGCGAACGGCAATGTGCTGCAGCATGATGATATACAGGCCTGTCTTGACGCGACAGGCGTAGACGGTGTTATGAGTGCAGAAGGGAATTTGTATGATCCTAGCATTTTCGCGCCGCCGCCAGCAATCGGGGAAGAAGGGAGAGAATATTGGAGGGGAAAAGATGGCAAGGGTGGATATAGGATGGACGCCGTGATGAGGAGATATCTGGATATCATCTACAAGTATGTTTTGAAGCAGCCTGCGCCTGAGAGAAAGCCGCTTTTCATTCCTTCGGATCCGGTAGACGAGGATTCAGCGTCCAAGGTGGTCGAAGAGAAAGTTTCGCAAGAGGAAAGCGAGCCACCCAAAAAGAAACGTAAGAAGAGCGAGAAGAAAAACCAGACCTCGGACCCAAACCTGTCGGCCATGCAACCGCATTTGTTTTCAATGCTTAGACCACTCGTCACAAGGCACACACACATCCGAGATGCGCTTGCTCGGTCACGATCCTACGATATTGCCTCCTTCGAGCGCGTTCTCACCATGGTCGAGCAAGTAACCAAGGAAGCTCTCATTGAGTACGAAAGGACGCCATCTGAAACCAATGGGTCAGTTGACGTTCTGCAGGAACCGTCAAAGGACGATTTTCGCACAAGCTCCAGGGCGGCCATGCAGCGTTGTAAGCGACCATGGTGGGTCTGTCAACCTTATATCAGGCCGTTGCCTGACGAAGCATTTGCTAAAGGAGCTATGCAAGTCAGCAAGAAAGATAAAAAGAAACAGGAGGATGCTGCGGCTGCGGCTGATAATAGTTTGAACGCTGGGATTGTTGCTGATGGAGCAGTCAAAGACATTTCAAACAGCATGGAGAACGAAAAACTTGAGATGCCGCAAGGGGCTGTTGTCTGCGGATGAATGTGAAGTGAAGGCCCAGTCATGTTCAGACCCTTCGCTGTCGAATATCTTCCTGGCTGCGTGGCTTCTATGGTTCTACAGCAATTATTGAGGCATCTATCCTTCTCAATCTGCTGTCTGGTCTCTCGCGGCCTCGGCACGAAGTGCTGATTCGGATCCGTGGCTTAGTGGCAACCATTTGTTTGATCCGTTGATATCCGCAACTATGGACAACAATTGGCGTCACACACCGAAGTTACTCCCGTGCATCAATGCCCACTCGAGATTGATGGCGCGACTGAAAGCACGTAACATTACCGCAACGGAACACAAAAGCTTCACGCGCTTTCGCTATCGCATTTGCTCGACTTACTCGACGTTTTCAAACAAGCTAATAATGGTCATGCCATGGCCGATAATCCAGACCATCCGCACAGCGATAACGCCGCGTATCGAGTAAGTAACAAGCCCGAGCGAAAGCACAAGAGGATGCAAGGTATGGAAACAATTCAGGCAGCCATTAAGGAGCAATACGTGAATCGCCAGGCGCAGCAATCGATCGGAAACAGCAGTAGCAGCAAAGTACCAACTGCCTTTGTGTATAGGACTCAATCCACTCAACCAGCTTCGATAGACAAATCAGACTTTCAACAATATTCAGTCAACTACAGCATACCGTATGCATTTTACAATCCAACCACATACCCCGTGCAGCCACACGGCTTTGGCATGCTGCAACCCCCACAGCAACAAGCGGACCGCCACGTGCAGCTTGCACACGTGGACCACGCTTCTGCAAATTCCCACGTGGCTTTCGACAGGGCGAAGAGTCAAAACACCACATCTCAGCATTATTATCACAAGGAGAACACTAATACGCTCAGATTTTGGCGCTTACATCCAGCGGAACATGACACGCCAGCTCCACATTTGGACGAGCGAGCAGCAAAAGAGCAAGTCGAAAGCATCAAAAGAGCACACTATCGCTTAGAAGCTGTCGTTAAGTCTGATGGACCACCATCACCGTTGCATGAGACGACGCTATCGTCTAAACCTTCTCTTCATGTTTCTGCCACAGGCAGCTCCGGTGGAGTGCTTCTCAAGCCGAAAGTGAGGGCGAGCACATCGATTACGAAGGCGAAGTCAGCTGCAGACGTTGTTTTATCACAACCAGGTATTACTATCGCGTCACAATTCAACAATGTAGATGGTGTGAACAAATCAGAGAACAAGCCTCCAAAAACATTGACTCTTTCCGCATCAGGAGGTCAATGCTGTACTTCGCACAAGTCACCGACAGAAGCGACACTGGTTCCTATTGATATAAAGACCTGCGAAGAGATAGTCGAAGACTTCCACAAAGCACACTCCGAAATCTCGGGTGCCATCGCTCCGGAGGCACATGAGGACTTGACATCAGATGCGCTCGCAGGGAGTACAGAAAGACTCAGAATTACGGTTAATGCTCTCAATGTGGCGCACACCGATCAGGGTATTTCCACATCCACAATCTATCAAAAGCGCAACGGGCTGAATCCGTCGCGCTTCAGAAAACGTAAACACGTTTCCGCATCTCCCGGCCGAAAAAGCACCACAACCCATCATCAAGTCGCAAATAGGCAGGAAGCCGCAGACATCCAAGACTTATTAAAGGATAAACGTCAACCTCAAGATGTCAGGGACCTTTTAAGGCTCATCGCCTTCGAAACACAATGCTTCAATGTCCATCCTCAGCGGCAGATCGAGCTCGAAACCGTCAATCGCAATGTTGCAAGAGAGAACATCGCTCGTGGCTTGCGTATTGCTCGACTGAGGAGAGAACTTCACAGGCGATCTGAACGAGGCACAGCGAAGCCGACAATGTCGCCACCTAAATTGAGATCCAGTCTTTTAAGAGCAAAAAGGGAAGGCTCTCCAATTTCTCACTGCGTCGTCGAGAGGAAAGCAAGGAAGTTGGAACAGGGAGACAAGCCAGGGACGGGCGACCACGACGACGGAAGAGATATGAAAGTGTCTGAGAATTATGTGCCCGTATCTCAGGAGAAAAAGCCAGAGACGGACTATGCCGAGGGGGATTTGGCGACTGAAGACATTGAGATGGCAGACCGAGATGTTTCAATCTCGTCCGCCTCGGAGCGGCATCAGCGGTCACAGAGTCAAGAGGCCATGTTGACATCCGCGCACCGAGAAAGCCACGACGGGACTCTGGATGCTGAAGAAGATGACCAAGTCATCGAGGCCACCTTACAGTTGCTGCTTGACACGCCAAAACTGCAGAAAGTCATGTACGTTCCAAAGCAGACGGTGTGGCTGACGCGGCGAGTTGAGAGACTTGGCTTCAGAAGCTTCGAGCGTCCAGAACGTGGAGTCGACGCTTGGCAGCTTGACAGAGCTGAGGAGCGGGATGGGTGAGTTGAGCATCTGAGAAGACGATACACGAGTTTTCGATGCATGAAAGCGGCGAAACGGCATATGAGAGCTTACACGAGCCGAGAGTCGGGAATGTACAAGCAATGTTGAAAACCATTTAATATAGGTAGGACAAGTTCCTCAATCAGATTCACTTGCATGTTCAGCTCGTGCATATAATTAGATCGTTTTGAATTTTTTTGGGTATCGACACTGGTCTAGCTTTCCCCCATCAGGGACCATGTCCAGAAATTTCGTTCTTCTTCGCGTAGCTTGTACAATAAGATGTGAAGATTACAAAGGACGCGCTGCCGATATATAGACGAACAGTGCACAAAGGTCCTGCTAGGCTTCTGTCCACCGTTGCTTCCACCCACTCCAGTTTCGAATTCGACCCACGGCTACGGCTATTACATCGACCCATTCATGTTAGCAAAGCCGCCACCTTGCTGTCCACTCATGTTCATAGCGTTCATGGCGTTCATTCCACCCATTGTTTGGTTCTGCATCTGCTGCATACGCATTTGCTGCATAAATGCCTGCTGCTGCGCCGGGTTCATTCCCTGCATTTGCATCTGCGCCATCATCTGCGGGTTCATCTGCGCGATTCCTTGGCCGGGCTGCATCATCCTCTGCTGCTGGCCGCCTCCACCACCCTGCTGCTGTTGCGCCTGAGCCATGGCCTGTGCTTGGGCCTGCGCAACCTGTGCGGCTTGCAAACGACGTTGCTGCTGCATCAGCTGCTGCATGTACTGCTGATTGCCCATATTCTGACCTTGCATCTGTGCTTGCTGGGTACCAGGATTTTGGCCTGCATTGCTTACTTGAGGTGACATTGCGTTCGCGCCTACCTGTTGTCCCTGCTGTGCCATTGATGCCTGATATGACTGCAAAAGGTTCTGGCGAGCAACAATCAACTTCTGCCGCAATTGCTGGAAGGCTTCCATTTTCATTCGCTGGTTGTTGACTTGCCACTGAGCAATGGCCTCTTGAGGCGGCTGCATCCCCATCTGTTGGAACTGGGCCAGGAACTGCTGCTTTCGCAACTGCTCCTGGTTGGCAATTTCCGTCTGTGCTTGCGAACGCAAGGTCATCAGACGTTGAGTTATGGGAGGTGGTAAACCGGTCATGATCTGCGTGAGTGCTTGATTTATGGATGCCATTTGCGGATTGTTCTGTTGCTGTTGTGCAGCGGCGGCCGCTGCTTGGTTGGCCGCCTGTGCCTGCATCATACGTGCTTGGTTCATCATTTGGGGAGTCATATTCGCCTGCTGTAGCTGTGGGTTGTTTGCCATCTGCGATTGCATACGCATCATTGGATTCATCTGAGCTGGTGACATGGCATTCATCCCCTGTTGATTGGCTTGCGCTTGCGCTTGTGCCATTCTCTGTCGCATCATCATCTGCTGCTGCTCTGGTGTGATGCCATTGGGGACAGGCGTCATGTTCATCATTTGCGGAGTCGCCATTGGATTTGGCATCGGGCTTCCGTGCTGATTCACTCGCGGTTGAGGCGTCATGTGTCGAGTAACCGGGGCTGCTGAGGCCATGCTAGGTGTGCTGTGCATCTGAGGAGTGCCATGAGCGCTTGCCTGCTGGCTTGCCTGTCGCATCATATTAACACCTCCACCAGGATGTTGTACCGCTGATGCTGGTCTTGGAGGACTGCCTGCCCCCTGGTTTGACATTGATGTAGTCATTGGCACACTCGTAATAGCCGCTGAGGACATTGGAGTACCACCGCCCAAAGTCGGGGAGGCAGACATAGGCGTCTGCTGCCGCACAATTGGGGACATATGATTTGCCTGCGCGGCTTGCTGGACAGCATGCTGTGGTGCAGATGTCGACATCGGTTGTGCGCTCGTAGTAACTACTTGTTGAGCGGCTGCCGCTTGCTGCGCAGCAACGGCACGTTGTTGATTCAACTGCTGTTGTCTGTGCAGAATCTCGGCATGGCGAGGAGCCTGCAAGGCAGCTTGTTGCTTTTGATGTTCTTGGGCTTCCCTTGCCTTCCTTGCCTCGGCCTCCTGCAAAGCCCTCTTCTGGGCCGCTCGCTGTGCTTCTCGTTCCGCTTCTTGGCGCTTGTTCTCCGCTTGCTGTATCTTCAGACCTTCGATCAATCTGAAGCGCTTAAATTGCGCCTCGCCAGAAGCGCCTGTGCGTGCAGTGCCATCTGCAGTGCCAGCAGCACCACTCGGAAGCATACTTTGGTGTCGTTCGTCAGAGCTGAGCATGTAACGCTCGATACTAGCCGCCTGTGCATCTTCGGCGGCCATCTCGGCAACAGTTCGCTTCCTACCCTTGGGCAAGGGAGGCTCTTCGCAGTGTAGAGGATCTTCCAGCTGTTCTATGATCTCTATTGATGACTCAAGGTCCGCTGCAGGGTTTAATATGAGTTTTGGCGCTGTGTAGTTGATGATTTCAGCCTCCCACTCTTTTGCATTAGTTGCATCCACCATCATACGCTGGCCTTGTTTGGGTGTAGTTGGTACTGCAGTTATAGGTGTGGGAGGTTGGCCGAGTGTGGGCGTGGCAGCACCGGGTTGTACACTACCATGCCGGTCACTCCTCGCGTCAGTCATTGGTGTCATTGACAGTCTCATCAAGTCGTAATCCCACATCGCTTGCGTCGGGAACAGCACACGACGGGATATTTGCGGTGCTGGAGTCCCTTTCTTTTGCATCGCCGACGCCGGCTGTTCTGGTGCCGGCATGGGCTCTTTCTCAGCCTTCTTTTCACCCTCGGCCTGTGGTACGTTCGACTTCGACTTGTGCTCCGGATACTTCGCGAAGGGCGACGGGGTGATATGTTCATTGTAATTGTGTATCGAGTACGGCACATGATCTGTGGCCCCGACCTGGTTGGTTGTATTTCCACTGTTAGAGGCGCCTTTTGTCCTATGATTGTGTACTTCTACTATCAGACAGCCTGTGTAGAAGGGTACTCTAGCCTGGTAAAACTCTGAGAGGAAGGGTTCGCCAGGCACCGTCCTTTCCTTCAAGTGTCTTAAGAATTCCCTCGCCTCCGAATCGTACGAGAAGTTGCCATCCTGCTGGTCAAAACGGAAGTGGTTCTGATGCAGGTGCACAATCAGCGAAGGCGGATCATTCTTATGCCGCTCCAATATGTATTCCTCGGTGTAGACTGTCGTTTCTCAGCTCCAGACCCCAAATGTGTCCCCAGATAGCGTCGTCAGAGGATCAAGCAACTTACAATGCGGAGTCGGCTTCAGCGGCGTGCTAGAATCCATGGCCTCAACGGTGGTCGCACGCGTGCTCACCCGGGGCAGGTTAGGTCGCTTGTCGTGCCGGCGCAGAGGCTGCGCCCGCGCGGTGACGACTGCAGTTGCCATTGCGAGCTACTGTGGACCGCACTTACGCGCGGTGAATTCGAGGTACTGTATGAGGTGGTGAAGTAGGTGTAGTGGGCTACTCTTCATCGGACTTGTTGCGGGGACCGGAGGCCCATTCGTACGGTTGGCGCGCTCTCCAGTATTGGTTAGATGAGCCGGACGGGTCGCAACGTGTGAATCTCAAATGCGACCGTGACGGAAACAAAGGCGAGAGTAATTTCGGCGTCAATGATGGGTTTCGCCGCCAAAGTCTTTTGCTCCTTTCATCGCTCCGTCCGGATGCGATGCAGTTGCTGTTACGTCGATGCCTTAGGCTTCACTCGAGCCTCATTCAGGCTCACATGCTGCACGTCTTCCAAACTAGGACTGCTCTATGCTTAACTACGAGGAGCCTACACCTTAACAAGTTACGTTCAAGTATTATTCAGGCCTTCTACCAAATTCTGAAAGGTGATTGTTCGCAGCAGGGAGAAGCGCGCTGCGCAATGCATCGAATGTGCCAATACAATCCAGCAATAGTCAAACCATGAACAAATATTCTTAACGTCATAATAAAATACCGCCCATGAGCTATTGCTAGTAATGATCCGATTTTTGTGGTAAGTAGGTAATCTCACCAACGTGGTCAAACTGTCATTTTGTCGAGCCTGATCACCAGGAATTGGTCCCATTTTTGAAGATCATTGAATATCTTGTGATTGCTTTGCTCAAAAGGACAGAGATGCTGGTTGCTGAATCTGCTTCAACTTGTAAGTCTGGAATGGACATACTCATTGTTCGCTCTTGGTTGTATCCGGAATTCCCCTTGTCTGAACGGGAAACCCCCAAACGCAGTGCAAGTAAATACCGTGTATGTTCGAGACTTGTCTTTTTGGTCAAGCTTTCTTACGGGTGTTGCTCTTCGGAAGCAGTTAACCTGTCAATGAATTGCAAAGTTGACGCTGTCATGCTGTTAGTTCTATACATCTTTCAACGATAGATAAACCTTACCTCCGATTGCCCATCTTTTGCCTACGCGCTCCAGATTTGCTCTCAGTTCAGTAAACTCGTCTTCAGGAAGGTACTTCTGCCAACCAAGCTGTGATAGCATTACTGCCCCGCGCGCAAGGATGCAATTTGCCAATGGCGGGATCACACCTTGATTACCGCGTTCCATAAGATACGTAGACGCCTTGAACTTGTCTCGTAATATGCGCAACATGTACTGGAATTCTAGCACTTCTTTTGTGGGGGGTCCAGCCTCGAAACATTTAGGATTTAGCATTTGTAGCCCAACAAACACGCTAGCTAAGATTAGCAAGAGATTCAAAGGACGAGCTTTGATGAAAAATCAAGCTTACCAAACCGCAAGCGCTGTACTCGCACAGTACGTATAAGTGTCTGGATCGGCCATTATTATTCCAATAAGGTTCCTAGTCAGAACACTGAGCTGCTCGTATTCCTCACGATAAGCTGATGTAGCTGAAATCAGAGGTTCGTGACGATTTATCATCTCAAGGGCATTACCGATCCGCTGCGCTACCCGAGCAGCGACAAAAAAACTGCTGAATTGACGTTCGAAGATGTCAAGCGAAGTGATCTCATCGAGATCCCAGAACTTGCGTTGGTGGCAAATCGGAGGTAAGGGTTTCTCAAAGGATGATAAGGCAATAGTCCTTGATAATCGTGTTAGCTCTAGACAATGTGAATGACAACGCTCCAACGCACCTGTCCAACAGTATCAGGGCCCACGAGCATGCATACTTTTCAACGTCATCAATGCTTTCGTCTCTGGTGGTAGGGATCATGATGTCTTGAAACTGGGCAATGGAAAGGCAATTTGCGAGTACGATATGAGCATCTTGGGGAAACCCATGGCCGCAGGCGTAATATGCGATCAACAATCCCGCTTGAAGTAACTCAATGCTCGCGTTCTCCGAAGCTTGGAGAAGAAATAGTTGTCTAGCGGCTCGGTACGTCGAATCACGCATTGAACGGACATGGTCTGGACAAGGCTGTCGAGTCACCAAGTACAAAGACCACAGCAAGACCCCAGAGTCGAAAATTTTGCCATTGGACGGCGAGCCCATGAAGTCACGGACTTTACTCTCGTCAATGATTGGTAACCACTCGTGGATTGTTTGAAGATAACGGTCGCAAAGTTCATCTTGCGTAAGGCCAATGGACTGCAACAGACTACACACAACTTCTTGAAGCTGCAATTGTGGCTGATGAATGGCACCGCTAGCAGCTTGAATCAGACCATGCAGCCCGTGATCAGTGAGCTCGTGGCAGTGCTGGCAAAGCGTTTGTTTGAACGAAAGCTTCTCGAGCGAATTCAGAGAACTGATTGGCGCTGATGCAGTTGACTTTTGGTAAGAGCAACGTATCATCCGTCTGATTCACCAAATTTAGCAAGCTCTTCACCATTTAGACGTGGCGAAACGCACATAGAACATCGTGAACACTTCGGAATCGCCTTGTCGCATCGCTGTTTTCCAATCCGACAAGGCTGGCAAACATTCGGCGCCTTCAGCGATACGGATACATGACTTTCCATGGCTCCAGGCTTATCTTTTGATCCAGTCAGGGCCACTATGTCTCAAAAATCGCCCCTTACATCGGCCGATGCAGCAGATTATGAAGCTTTATGTCCAGTCTCCATAAATACTTGCCTTGAGTCAGCTTGATTGCTGAAAATGGAAAGGACTTGCAGTTCTAGTTCTAGTTCTAGCGCGACAGGGTTCGGCCGATGCTTGAACGCAGGGCTCAGCCTCGCAGCTATAGATTACGGATCTAAGAACAACATCAAAATACGACCCAGTGGCGCAGTATCAGAATGACAGAATCTTGCTTTCGGGACCGAGCACTCAATCTTCTTCTCGGAGTAAAATTAAGGGATCCAAACCTCATGGCCAAGATTCGAAAATTCGCAGTCTTAAGGTACGCTTTCGAAAATGAACTATGCTACGGCTGGACCTGTCTGCTGGCGACATATACCAAGCAAGGGGAGGGTTGAGATGCGTCGCAGTGTCGGCCCCTCTTGCGTTCGGGTTCTATGTCACTGCAATCAATCGTCCAGGACGCAACTGTAAGTCGACCAAAAGCACTGACGAGCGAGTCGATACCATTGAAGATGCAAATGGCGATCTAGGCGCTCTTATAGCTGCTGAGAGGCCAAGATGCTCGGGTAGAAGCCTTCAATGCAGCAGCGCTTTTTAAGCAGCGCAACAAAGTCCATGCCGCCGTGACCGCTGGAGTCAAGCAACTGATCTCTAACGAGTTCGGCATGGATGACTTTCACCGGGGAGCTGTCAAGATGCCATAATGTGCGATCAGTAAGTAAAACTCAGAGGAGCTAGAAGATAAGATAAGGTTGACTACTGCTGATACCAGCCTCTTTGGCTGGCCTGGGAGGGTGTAATGCAGTGTTGGGTGAATTGATTTAATTATGCGCGCAAGGTTTTTCTTTCGATAGACCCCAAGGTCACGTACAATTGCATGTTCTGGCTTTGGAATCAACGGGTGAGCTTAAACCGCATTAAGTTCAACCTCGAAGCAGTGGTGGCGGTGCTGAACGAGCCTGAGCGTCTTAAGAACAGATCGATTTACGTTTCCGACTACAACATGGCTACCGTAAGATCATAAACGTAATCAGAGAGGTTCCGGCAGATCATCGTCAGTCCTGGAGCGTAATTGACATCCCGAATGTTAACGCAATTAAAGAAAGAGGAACATGGCTTTTGGGTAGAGCAGAACATGGTAGGTGTTGTTGACAGACTTCGCTTAGAAGCGTAAGCACCGCCGGTGCTTGGAGCTATATTCGATGCAGATAATCGCTACGGAGCGTATTTCGGAGACAAATTGGAGGCTGGATGGAAACAGGAACACTGAAGCCTTCATCGAGCAGCTAAAAGCATTAATTACTGAGTTAACGTAAGCTCGAACCTCAATTCGGTATTTCGATTTACTTAATAAATCACGAGGACACCATAATCTGATTTTGCTCGATCCATCTGCCCGTCCTTCATTATTAGTAGAAAAATATGCGTCATCCGGTAAGAATCATTGCTCATCACCACGTGGTTTCGAGTGAACCAAGAAATCTCTCCTTCAGGTTGAGTTTCGCAGAGCGTTGACTCTAGGTCTATGTTTAGTATGGCATAGCTCAGATCTCCACAGCCCATGAACCTACCTAAGTCAGTTGCTCACACTCAGAGCCTTAAAAGAAATGTGCACCATTGGGATTCACTGCCACAAAACAGCATAGCACCAAGGTTTGGGACGAGATGATTTGGCGCGCTCGAAGTTTAGTCTATAGAATGGGTGATGGTACAAACTATGAACCCTTCCCAATCTCCGTTCTTGTACCCCAGAATGGATTAGGCTGGAATAATTCCTGTTCCTCTATCCGACCACCGCCCCCTAGTAGGGGTTTATTATCTGCACCGTCATCAGGAACAGGTGAAGGCACACCCATCTCTCCTCTTATTATCTCAATCGCCGATAAAAGAGGCAGTAGAAGAAGCAACAGCGGGAGAAGCTGACCGAAACTCCAATCTGCCTCACTTGTTCCTGCAAGTACTGTCGGGGACGGGTCACCGAAGGCTTGCGATATGCTGATCACGCGTACAGTTGCGCCTACAGCGATGGCTATCATCAGGACGAGACCGACGATCTGGGCAGCTAAGAATTGCGACGTCAGACCACAAAAGCGATTTACATTGAGGGCTCAATAACTCACTCTTGACCCATCTTCCTTTTTTCCTGCTGTGAAGGTACCATACTCCAAGAATGAAAACTACAGCATTGCCGACAATCACTGCAATAGTGCCTGCGATAGACAGGGCCGCATTGGAAGGAGCGCCTTGACAGAGTCAGTGATGAAGATGTTTCGACCACAACCACGATGGTTCCTGCGTACCCTTTGTCTCAAGCTCCCAGACGCAAGCCACAGGCAACGTGGGATTCATGTTTTTTAACGTGACCATAAGCACGAAGATCCCGAAGACGCACGACAGCACGAGATTAACGAACATGAGAAACTGCCGTATCCATCGGAGGACCCAGTCCCGCTTGAAGTCGTTGACCAACGCAAGGAGCGTTGACAAGTGCGTCGCTGTCGAAAGTAGACTTAACATCCATATAATGAAGAAGTGGTAGGGCACCATGGATTCCATCTTCGCAAGCCCAACGCTCTGTATACCAATGCCGTACAGGATCTGCTGGTCGCTAAATGACTGCAGCATCTTTCTTAAGATCTTTGCCTCGCTGGTGCCCTTTCGTGCCTCGTGCAAGATGATGATTCCGCTGATCAAAATCGCCAGCCCTGCCGCGATGATGAAGGAGAGCAAGGTGCCAGCACCTGCCACACCAGCGTCGGTGGATGCCACGCCTGGAGGACTGCTGCAATTCTGCGATCCAAACGCCATAGTGACTTTGAAAGGAAAGCAGAGGGCGTCTTGGGTTGTAAAGTCGGAAAAGCGCACAACGTCATCGGCGAAACGAGCGTTGATGCCGATCCAAATATATACAGGGCTGCGTATAAGGCTGATCTTGTGGCGGAGCCTCCTGGCGACTTGATAGGCGTCTCGTCCCGCGGTGTGCATCAGCGTCGCGCATCTGTCATGGATGGATTGGCTGATGCCGTACGCAGAGCCCACGGTGCAGCCGCTCGTTTGCCTGAAACTGGTGCTCGTGCCCAAGCGACATCTTGGGTGGAGCAGACATACTGTAGCTGGCTCCGAAGGAAGCAGGAAAACTCAGACGCTCAGATTGCAAAGCGAAGGCATGCATGCGTAGAACTAGTGCAAGCGCACAAAGTGACCTCTTCGCGTTAAAAATCAAGGTGATACCACGTTCGGCTCCAAAATCCGGCGCGGACCCTGAGCTGCGACCGTTCCCTATACAGTAGCTTGTTTACGTGAACTCATGCAACACCACAGACAACAATGGAAGTCTCGCAGTCAGTGAAAGGTAAATAGCGCGAAATCTTCTTCAAGGTTCCCCTCTGCTGACCGGGTCTAGCAAGCCAGCAAGCGGTGGCATCGCCGGACGGGAAGCACATCGCCGCCGTCCACAGCAGCCGCCTAGAAATACGGTGCGCGACAACTTCACATCTCCTCAGAAGCATGCACATACCGGCGCACACTTGGGCGATAAGATGGGCTCCAGCAGATCACCATACCAGACTGTCGCAGCGGGTACTCGTGCAGAACGAGGAATGCGTTCGCGTGTGGGATCTGGCGGACGAAAAATGGGCAGCAACGATCAACAACGGCAGCGGTGGCATGGGCAAGATCTCCAATGCGGAATTTGGCAGAACGAAGGACGAGGCTCTCGTCTTCTCAGAGTTCAGTTCGAAAGTTACGGTGTGGTCGCTGCAGACGAGAAGAACGGTTGAGATTCGCGACCCGAAGTTCTCCACAAAAGGCTTCGCGTATCGGCCCAGCGGCGGCGTGTTCGCGCTGCTGTCGCGGCCCGGCGCACAAGACATACTGACACTGCATGCTCCCGAGACATACAAGATCATGAGGACTGCGACGCTGCCAACAACAGATGCCCAAGGCTTGAAGTGGAGCCCTGATGGACGATGGATCGCCGTGTGGGAGACGCCGAGCATTGCATACAAAGTCCACATATATACGGCAGATGGTCATCTGTATCGAACGTATGACGGGAGCGGCGAAGATGGTCTTCAAGGGTTGGGCATCAAGAGCTTGGAATGGAGCCCACGAGGTGACTACCTCGCGCTTGGAGGACATGATAGAAGAGTTACACTGCTCAGCACCCGAACGGTAAGAGTCCGTGATGTGATTTCAAATCGTAGTCTGATCAATACAGTACTCGCCTCTGGTATTTCTCGATCACACACAAACCATACAGCTCAAAGAAGGCTACCTGGTGTGGGAAGAGCAAGTTTCCGCGTCTTCGGGCCGCACATACAACACGGTGACTCAACCCGTCTCGCCACCAGCAGCCTCTGTAGCACCAGCAGATCAGCTACAGAAACTTGGGATGTCCATCTTGTCCTTCAACGCGGACGGCTCAATGCTTGCAACGAGGGACGATTCAAAGCCGACAGCCGTGTGGCTCTGGGATCTCTCGAAGCTCGTTGCTCGCGCAGTTTTGATTCAGCATTTCCCCATCAAACACGTCTCGTGGCATCCTCACATCTCCTCGCTACTCCTCATACAGTGCACTCACGAGGAGTCAACGATCTACATATACGATACAGCCACATCTCTCCCGCACGCCGTGCAGCTTCCGTTCCAGAAGTCGTCAGGCAAGGTGGACGCGCGGTGGATTCGCACCGGTCCAGACAAGAAACCGGCACTTACGTTCGGAGACAGCGGCAGTTTCCTTGTCGCATGGCCGGACGGTAAGGATGTCATCTTGAGATTCGACGATGACAGCCATGACGAAAGTGACGATTCCTTGTTCGAAATTCTCACTGGAAGATCGCCTACCAAGACAAAGGTCGACAACACAGAGCTTTTGATCAGCCACACGCTCGAAGAACCGAGCGAAGTGATGGATGACACGTTCATGGGACGCGGCCGTCTGGCTGTTTCGTAACGACGTTTTGGTTTCGGTTGGTTCTGATGGTCCGTTTCGCTTCAATTGAGATACCCAAGAATGAGATCCCAAATTTCCGTGCCTTCGTCAGTATTCAGTTTCCGTTCTTTGCACTTTGTGATTTGTCAATTCTGTGATGTCGGCTTGCGCTCTCGCTTGAGCCTCGCTTCTAACACCCACGTTAGCCACACACGTATCCTGAGTACCCAATGGACCCAACAGCAATTGGGGTCTCAAGGAGAACGCGAGAAATGTGTCTGATCCACAAACGTGTTAATGAGATATCCCACCTGTCTTCTTGCCTATTTCAGGCCATAAAAAGCCTAAATGATCTCCACGTTTCAATCCCAGTCTGTCGTCGGGAACACTTTTGAGAGCAGGCATTCAGCATATCGCCACTCACATTCGTTTCCACACGCTTATTTCAGGAAGATCTAGCATTGCATTTCAGGTTCTATGTCTTTCATTAACCACGCCCGGCGAAATCAGCCTTGAAGGTCTTCAGGCCGCCTGCTTTTAGCAGCTCCCTCAAAGCGATGGTAGCGTACTGGCTCGCGCCAAGCTTCATGTGCAGAATGACGGCGATGAACTTGTCTCCCTCGGCGCACTTCGCCTCTGCTCCAGCAACTTCATCTTTCTCGTTACCGTTCGCTTCGGCCTTTTCCTTCTTCTCCAGCCTTTCCAAATCAGTCTCCACCAGCTGCTGCGTTTCTTCAGCATAGCCTCGAACCTCGAAGGACATACCAGGGGCCGGGCGACTCAGTAACTTGCGATAGCCGCCGCTAAGACTGTAGTCTTTCCACGGACGTCGCATATCGTAAGGATCTAAACGACCGCCCTCTTCACTACCCATAAACTCCTTATAGAACGCACCAACCTCATTTTGCGGGTAGACGATATCCCAGCCCGGCAGAGGAAGCACAACATCAAAAATATCGTACTTTCCGCTCTCTGCCTCTGCTTTGGTGAGCGGTCGTGCTCGCGTGAAGTCTCCGTCTGTGGCTGCGCTGTCCGCTGCGGCAGGACGAATGATTGGCTCGCCATCCTCATCAACCTCTGCTTCGATATCGTCATCCTTAGATTCCTTATCGCCGACAATGACGAGATCTCCTTCCACAACTCTGTTTCCGTATAGCTCCCATCGCCTTCCTGCGGCCTTGTTCCACACAAGGCTCTGGTACGCATGAACGTACATAAGCCGCAGATTTCGCTGAATGGCACCCAACGCGCCCTGGAAGTCTCTTTCACGAACTTTCTTGCCCCCTCGCTCCAAGCCTAAGTATCGGATTATATTCGACTCAGCGGAAAACTTTCGCGGTATCTTCTCGAGGGCTTTATTTGCGTTACCAGTTCGTTTCCAGATATCCAAGCCAACTGCGCGGTTTCGATCGTCGGTTGAGATCTTCGCCTCTGAATTGGGATCTTGGCCCGCTTGCAAAGCGGATGGATGAAAGTCAAAGATGAGGCTGACAGCGCCTTCAAAATCGCCTTGGAGCAATTTCTTTCCGACTTCATCCGTGCCTGCAGAGAAAGAACCAAAGCGCTGAAGACCGTAATAGTTTATGAATCCGTTCTCCTGAAGGCGTGCGACTGCATCGCCCACAGTTTTCCTAGCCAGCTCGAGTTGGTCCTTGAAGGTCCACATGCTTTCTTCTCCCTTGAAATGGCAGTCACGCAAAGTAATAGTGAACTCATTACCCCATAGCGCTCCCAATTCCAGCCCGTACGTCTCGTATTTGAAGTCGCCAATCTTGGAGCCATGCTTCAGGACTTTGTTCAAGCCAGCAAGCTGCCATGCATGCTGCCTGTAAACGCTGACTCTCTGCACTGTGACTGCTCTTCTATCCTTGGTCCCAGCAAACTGGAAATGTTTGGGGGCGCACTTGATCTGGCTACCAAGGAAGCTGATAATTTCCATAGTATCCTTATTTTCTTTGTGTAGTGTGAAATGCAGATACTCTCCACCGAGTTCGTCCCAGCCTAGCTTTCCCTTGCCACGACTGTTTCCGGCATCATGGCGACTCCACCTAGAACCATCAGCACCACGTCCCACTTTTACTGATTTGCTGATGATGATCTGATTTTTTTCTGCGTGCTGCGACGCCAAATGGCCTCTGAATATGCGGCGGATCGCTTCGTGAGCTTTTCCTCGGCGGGACTTATCGTCGATCGGCCAGGTACTTATCGTACGCATGTCCTTGGATTTTCTTTCGGGATCTTTGAGAACATCATGATAGAGCTTTATTACTGCCCCAACACAAGGCTCGCCAAACAAGTCGACCAGCTCTTCTATCTGCTCGTCTGTAATCTGAAGCTAGTTAGAAGCAAGTGGGGGTAGTGGATCTATGGACTATTTACTTTTGTTGGGTCGTCATCATTTGCCTCGCCATTGCTAACACCTCCTCCGGCAGAGTTGCTGTTATCTCCACCCGCCGCTGATTTCTGGCTCTGCGTTCCCGAAGTCACTTGAGCCGCAGAACGTTCGTCATTGGGATGTACTTGTTTGTCCGATGCTGTCTGGTCGGTGATCTTGACTGGAACAGCAGTGCTTGTGAGGTGCAATACCTTGCCATTGGGCTCGATCTCGTTAACCAGGAAGTCCGTATACCTGTATATCCTCCTTAGTTCACTTTCTGCGGCATTGTATTGCTGCATGACAAACCTTTGCTTCAGTATGCCGCTGAAGCCTGGTGTGTCCGGATTAACATAATGGGTTATTCCCGCGCGGAGCTCTCGCTTGACCTCCTCATCCACCTGATCCTCGTTCTGCGCAGCTGTCTCTTCAAGCCTTATGCGCTTTCGGGGGTGCTCTTCGGCCATTGAGTCGGCCATGATTGCGACGTCTTTGGGCAATGCAAAACTTCTTGTCTCGACTTACCAGTGGGGGTAGCGCTTCCGAAATTTTAGTGGGTCTGCCCGCCAAGACTTCAAGCACTTGTGGAGTTCTTTTCTTGTCGGAAACTCATGGGCTCTACTTAGGATCTATTTCCTTTTCAATGAGCCACATTCGCAAGAATCTACGTTTGTACGTTCTAGCTACCTCCTGGTCTCGCTACCTGATGCCTAGGAACGTACAGAGTCAAGCGAGAGTCTTATCATGCGCATAGGCGAAGGAAAAGCTCTGCCCGCTCCACTTTCCCAGCTGACGGAATGTCTTAGACTAAGGTCACACTTGTCTTCAGCGAGAACCTCTTTAGCCAGGCTAAAGAGGCTGCATGTGACGGTAGGAGGGCGTAGGCAACTGTCATTCCAGCTTGCGGTCACGTAAATCTGGGCGCGCGATGCAGTCTTGAACATCTGCCATCACGTTTGGAGGCCTAGTACAAGCTCTTGACTATATCATCCTTCATACGAGTTCGCTCTGCTGTTTCGTATTCTGAACACTTCATCCATCTATATTACTGCGCAGATTTCTGCTATCAAAATGTCGTCGCTGTCTGGTCTTGATCCTGCACGTCTGCTTTCTTTCTTGTCCGCTTTTACAACTCTCAAGGGATCATATTATAGAGTCATTCATCACTTTGTGGATCCTGAGACATCTACAGCAACGCATTATTCCTCTGACGTTCTCATCATTGATGATACACAGGTTGATCAAATATATGAGCCTACAGTCGGAAACTTCACACGGTTAAATCATGGACCGGAGACCCTGTGCGTACGTCCTCGGGACAATAGCAACGACATAGAACTGACTTTTCACAGCGCCTACATTTTCGGACAAACTCCGCTCTTTTCGCAAGCATACGTCTGAGAAGATAGTCCAATTCGATTATTGGGTCTACCGCAATATGCAAGGAAGAACCGTTTCAAGGATTCAGGACAGACAAACATACGGTGCACGGCGATGGCGAAAGTCCCGATATAATTAAAGACCGTATATCGTACGCCCTGGCACCAAGGGAGCTATATACTATTGTAATGTCGAGATGCAGGGTGAGGGCGACAAAGTATCCGGTGAAGTCACGTGGCTGGTAGGCGAAAGATAGCTGGCACATGATCGATGTCTTGGGTTACACCAGGACACTGGTTCAGCCCCATGAAGATTACTCACGAGTAGCTGCAGTGTGTTCAGATGATGCGTGCGAAACCGCGGAATTGGGAGGTACGGATCACCGTCGCTTTCACCAGCGACCGTCTGCTCCTATCCCGTAGAAACGTGCCATGCTAATCACACCAACGAACTACGCCTGGGATCTTCAGGCTTCGAGACATTCAAATGACCGGCTTTCATATGAGCATTGCCGATACCTTTTATCCTTTCCTATGTACTCCTTCTAGACATCACCAGTATCTTTCCTAAATCTAAGTACTTCCTCATGTTGCCTCTTCATAAAGACCATCTTCAATTTACCACGTCGCCGCGGCTGCAGGGAATTCCGGAGCTCGCTTTTCTTATTTCGACTGATGAAGATTTCTCTATCTTTCGCGCCTTTGCAAGGCTCAGCTCGCGCAACTTGCTGAATATGCAGGCGGAGCTAATGCAGATGGATGAGCAACTAGATTACCTCGATCGTGTCCGCAGCCATAACACCACATACGAGGAACAAGTTATCATAAAATCCAAGCGAGACTCGTTATTGTCGAACCTGAATGTGCTTCTGCCTCGCTATCTTAAGTAGTTCCCTGCCGCGAATAAATGCGAAAGCTAACAATCTAACCAGACTCTGCTCTGGTGATGCACAAGAAAGTGCTGAATATGCAACAACCTCCCGATGAAATGACAAAGAAACTCGACACTTGGATATACCAAGCTCTGCAGGGAAAGTCAGTCGGTCACGTGCTGGTCAACGGGATGGACAAAGGGTGCAGCGAGGCGGAGATGGCAAGAAGATACTGGCGACAGAGGGACTACATAATTCTGAAACCAATGAGGACGGATTCGATTCTTGAGCGTTTTACGAGGAACTATCTAGGCTGGTTTTTTCAGGTTAGAGTGGCTCGGTCCGACATGGTCGTTGCGAGCAGTGACATAGAACTAATGAGTGTTAGGACCACCCGCCAGTCCCACCCACCTGGTCGGTTTACTACTTCTCCCGCAGCAAAGTTGAGCGCATCAAAGATTGGCTTGCCTTCCCGTTAGGCTGCCTCTTCCTCATTGGGCCGGCTTTGCTTTTCCACTATAATTGCAGTGGGGACAAGCGACTGGCAATATTGCTAAGTTTTATCATTGGGTTGAGTCTTGTGGTGCAGATATTCATGGGGACGACCCGGAAGCAGACCTTGGGCGTTGCACTAGCATATACTGGTGTTATGAGCCTTTTGCTAAGCTCGGCGACACAAGTGCACTGTCCCGCTTGAGCAGTTGAATGAATCAGCTCGTCGCAAATTAAAGCACTAAAAAGAGGCTGTGTAAATGTGACAGAATACATGTATGCTTTCAATGCTGCGACAAGTTGTGATAGACAGATATGAGAAACTCAATTTCATCATGTTCAAAAGTATGCCCACACAGGAGGGTTGGGGCCAGTGTAAACATGTGTTCCTAGCCCGTCAAGCTCAACACAATCCGTCCGATTGAATTCGGGTGTAACAGCATACACGCTGGTTACATTCGCTTCGTACTCGTTCGGGCATGCTCTTAATCCACCAACGGTCGCATTCGGGGCCTGGAAATTGAAAAATCCAGTAGGGGGGTCGCAGTTGTATTCTGGATTGTCCCTCTTACAGCCCGCCGTCAGTCTTTTGTCTGGCGGGAAGACTCGATACGGCTTCCATGTCCATCCTTCATAATAAGGATACGAGCCCGGAGGGAAAAAGTGCGAGTGCTGCACAGTTATCGAGATCAGTCCGTCGGCGTTGACGTACATATCCTGGCCTCCGGGCACTTCCGCAAGCTGCAGCAAAGTCAGCTAGAAGCCATGCAATGAGCCGATTCGATTGCAACTCACGGGTTCCAGGGTGCCTGTAAGGGCCATGTCGGTCCCGTTGGGGCAAAGGCTAGCTTGGTCGCCGGTGAAAGGACAGTAGCTCGCAACCTTGGCCATGAACAGATTGAAAGATTCGACTTTGAGGCCGTTGTACACACGTTCGTCGCAGTCACGCTCGTCAAGCTTGACTGCGGTGATGGTGTAAACACTCGGGAGAGTGCCATAACAATCTGGGCAGCATTCCATGGTAATCGGAGCGGAGCCGCATTTTGAGGTATCGGGTTTGCCAGGCTCGGCCGATGCAATTGCATAGAGGACCAGGAGGACCCAATGGACAGACTGCAGCATTTTGTTCATGGTGATAAATAACCGCGAAAGGAAAAGCTGTCAAGGTCGGGATTTGAAAATCGGGTGCTTTGAATTCGGCCAAGACTACCAACTTTATATCGAAATTGCAGTAGGAACCACTACTGTAACCATGCACGAATAAACGGCAGGATCAGCCTGGGCTAAACATGCTTGCATCCATATGACCCGAGTACGACAGCCCAATTGGCACATGCGCTTGACCACCCAAAGCGCAAAATGAAAGAACGCTTGCGGACTCCGGTTTGCGTCAGGATATAGGATAAGAAGCAGCGGGATTGACGTCGACTTTCGCTCACAGCACATTCGCATGAATTAAAAATAGAGCGAGGGCAACACAGCGGGCGCTGATACGAGAGAACATGATGCCAAGCCAATATCTTCGTTGCCCTGAACCAAGTCAGCGGGCATCGCGTGACACGAGATGGATCCAATCACAGGTTGGGCTCATGCAAGACTTGAGAAGCTTGGGGGAGATGCGTGTGGAAGGCTTCTGAATGCGGCTGACGAAGATAGGGTGATGTTCATGTGTGTTGGGAGGCGACAAATGGGTGTCTGTTGGGTGTGAGACGAGGCGTTGATTGGTTCTGAGCGAAGAGTCGCGAAATGATAAAGTGCAGCGCTCGTCCCAGGCCAAAGTCAAGCACGAGCCGACTGCAGAACACAACACGCTTTCGAGGTCGCCGCACAGTGTTCCAGCATGGCAAATCTTGGACCGGACTGCTTTTGCTACAGGACAGGCAAGACGAGTTTGGCCTTCTGCTACGAAGCCGGTCTAGCATGGTGAAGTACCCAGGTCCGGTCCCGACCCGCCCTCGCTGGAACCGAAATTGAAAGACACCTAGACTCTGTTCCAAATCACGTTGAAGTGAATGTTTTTGATGCCGTCACGACCCGTTCAACAGGCGCACCAAATACGTTAGTGGAACAGACATCCACGTACAGGTTCCGGAGATTCGGCATACTAACTGGTGGACAAACACGATAGCTGAGCTAGGATTATGGGCACGAAATTTTTACTCTGTGACTTATTGACTCGTGATATACGGAGAGGTTAGCACATGCCTTAAGGAGGCTGAAATACGAAAGCTACTATTTCACTTCGAAACGCGCGCACAAAGCAACCAGTTCGTCCATGGAAAGTGATACAACGGCATGTACGCTCCGCAGCAACGGTCAGAACAAGTTGTTTGTCATCAAGCTATTAGAAAATTTCTTGGTATTGTTTCTAAGCAATGAGTCAAGAGACAAAATGTGGTTGGGCAAATGGGATTGGCCGCCAGAGTCTACATCCTCAAGTGGGACTGAAAGTTCATTCACGGTAGACCAGAGCCTCAAAGAGCTCGTGAAGAAACATTCCTTTGAGAAATACGAGCAATATAGACGGTGATCGCTGCAATTTTTAGATATAATTCTACCCGTCCTTTGTTGTTAACGCCGTTTCGGCGCCATTTTGGCGTCGAGACGCATGGCTAATAATGCAACACGTCTCGATCATGTTCTGAGGACGGGCATGATGATTTGATTGACGTAAAGCAATATCCATAAAAAGAGTCTCAGTGAGGATGTTCAGCAAAAACTAGCGAACCCCTCACTGCATTTTTCATAAAGCCTGACAGAGAGAAATATCTCCGATCTTGGCTTAGTCCTACCGCATTTCGCGATTCCTTGATCCGCGGTCGTTCATCCATCCACACCCTCCCGCTCCACCGTTATTCCCCATTGGAATAATTTTTTGTGCCAGCCAACAGCGTGTACATTCACAAATAGATTTAGCTACGCGTAACGAAAAGACTTGACGTCGGAAAATGCCGCTCTCGCGGGCAATAGTCTGTCGAGGACGGCACGATCAGAATGGCTGGAAGATCGAGGAGGTTCAACTGCGAGAGCTCAAAGATGACGAGCTGCTTGTCCGCATAGTCGCTTCCGGTATTTGCCACACAGATCTCATGTTCGGAGACCGGCCAGATGACATTGGTGGCTGGCCCAGAGTGATGGGACACGAAGGTGTGACTTTGCACGTGCTTCACTCTGAAGTGTTTCGATGGCTAAAATCACGAAGGCTCCGGATATGTCCAGAAAACGGGTGCCAAGGTCACCGTCGCTCGAGTTGGCGACCCGGTCCTACTGTCCTTCGCCGCCTGTCGTTCATGTAAGATGTGTGTGGACGGGCATGCTTCGCATTGCGCAGACGCAACCCGGATCAACTTCTGCGGAAGCAAAGTGTTCTCCTCCGCGTCGTCTATCTCGTCTCAGCCAGATATTCTAGGCCTGTTTTTCGGACAGTCCAGCTTTTCCAATCTCTCCATCGTAAACGAGAGCTCGGTCGTGAATGTCGCCAGTCTAGTCAAGTCAGAAGATGAGCTCCGCTTATTTTCGCCTCTAGGCTGTGGTATCCAAACAGGCAGCGGCACCATCGTGAACGTCGCCAATGCGACGCCATCCGATACAGTAGCAATCATGGGAGCTGGTGGGGTCGGGCTTGCGGCCGTGATGGGAGCCAAGATAGCTAGATGTAGCACCATCATCATTATCGATCGAGTTCAGCAGCGTCTGGAGCTCGCAAAGGAACTAGGAGCCACACATGCGATCCATACAGGCAGTATGAAGGACCTCGATGAGCTTGTGAAGCAAGTACGTGAACTCACTGGCGGTTACGGCACAACCATTACCATGGACGCAACAGGGGTGGTACCTCTAATCTGCAAAGGCATCGAATTCACAGCAAGAAGAGGCCAATACATCCAAGTTGGTTCCACGGGGCCAGACGCAGTAATCAAACTACCCATACAGGAGTTTATGACTTCTGGAAAGCGGATAATGGGGGCTGTGGAAGGACAGGTCACTCCTCAAGAATACGTACCGAAGATGATAAGTTGGTATCGAGCAGGTGAATTTCCATTCAACAAGCTTGTGACGCTATATCGCGCGGAGGATTTTATGGATGCACTAGGCAGTATGAAATCTGGTGAAGTGATTAAGCCAATCATCGCCTGGTAGGAAGACATGCAGCGCACCCTCGCCCACCAGTGACCCCGACAAGATGTACATGCAGTTTTATCGAGACTTGAAGGCTAGATGTGACTGAAGTAAAATTTTGCGTGATCAAATGTTCCAAGCAAATCATCGAGGTAATCCAGGTGAGATAATATAGCTCGCCCTCCTTTCCGAACGCCGTTTGCAGAGTGATAGAGTGACTCAGCGTTTGCAAAGCACTTTGAAGGACCAAGAGGAGCCAAATAATCGATTGCACCCATCGGAATTTAGCGAAGGCGATTGAGAGCAAATCTGAAAACCTGGTTCACGAATTCGCGATGAGATAAAAATTCCAATGACGCGACTGTTAGTAATTTTATATAATGAAATGACTTGAAACAACTTCTCGAGTTCTGCCTCTATGGCGCAGTGGTAACGCGTCGCACTTGTATGGACGAAAGTCCAAGCAATGCGAAGATCCCTAGTTCAGTTAGTCGACCCGCCGAGATTGGTGCTGAGCAGTTCAATCTAACAACAATTAGATTCTGGGTGGAGGCAGCTAAATCCACTGGCAGACAAGCTTCTTTTTTTTTGACCCTATTTTCCCAAGCGAAACTATTTTTCAGCCTTCTACAATAGAAATTGCCGAAATTTATCAATCCCACGAACGGTCTCTTTTTGGCTTCCATTCGTACCTATTCTTTTTGTACGACTCGCCCGCGAACCTGACGACGAAAGCACGAGTTGTTTCAGAAGTGAAGAACTTTGTTGAGTATCATTGATTTCCTCTCTAGGCATAAGAAGAATACATTGTAATAATCTCAAAATTACAAACAATACTCGCCTATGTATGTACATTGACCTCCGACTACGCGAATTAACCGCTGTCGTGTATGTTTTTTTCACCATACAAGCGATTTTTTCCAGGCCTTACAAGGCAACTCGTAGACATAGCGCAGATACACTGATCGCTGTCATTGACACAATGAAAAAATAGTTTTCATATCACCAAGCCTTAAAACTCAACGCCTTCACGTTACCTTCCTTTAAAAGAGGAAGAAGGCAACGGCCGCGACAGCGGCGGCGGCCATGCCGTTCTTAGCGGCACCGTTGACACTGACTTGGACCGGGCTGACTGGCCAAGAACCACTGCTGGATGGCTTGGCATAGCCGGCAGCCGATGGCCAGCTGTTAGCAGTTGGGTATGGAGCGACAGCGCCAGCTGGCGAGGTCCACGATGGCTTGTACACGTTCGATGGGGACACAGCAGCAGCAGGGGAGCTCCAGGCAGCCGGAGAGCTCCAAGCAGCAGGAGAGCTCCAAGCGGGTTGCGGGACGTAAGATGGAGATGCAGAGGCAACGGGGGCGGCAGAGCTGCTAGGAGCAACAGCCCAGGTGCCTGTTGGCTTGGGCAGAGTCACGGTCTTGGTCTGGGTGATCGTGACCGTCACGGTGCTCTGTTGCGCCCAGGTGTGGCTGCCCTCGGTGACGGTGGCAGTAATGACGCTCTCGGATGTTGTCACCTCTTGCCAGGTCGAAGTCTCGCACTGCGGAACATTAGCTACAGATTCAAGGTTCAGAACGAAGACATGGCACGCGGCAATGCGAGACGCTGCGGCTTTCATTTCTTGTTGCACCGCAAGCTGGAGAAAAGAGCAGGTCTCGCAATAGGTCGTGCTCGACGGCTGTCACGTACCTCTTCCTCGGAACCAGCTGGCTTGCTTGGCTTCGCTGGCCAGGCTGGCTTAGAGCTGGTTGCAGGAGTCACAGGGGAGGCAGGAGTTGAGCTCTCCTCGCACTCCTCTGGAGAGGATGGAGTGCTGGAGGCCTTGACGGGCCAGGCGGGAGAAGAAGATGGCGATGTCTCGACGGGGGCGGCAGGAGTTGAGCTCTCCTCGCACTCCTCTGGAGAGGATGGGGTGCTGGAGGCCTTGACGGGCCAGGCTGGAGAAGATGAAGTGGAAGGCTTAACAGGAGCGGCTGGTGTAGACGAGCTAGGGGCTGGCCAGTATGCGGCTGGCTTGCTGCTGCTTGCAACAACTGGAGCAGCCGGAGAAGACGAGCTTGGAGCTGGCCAGTATGCGGCTGGCTTGCTGCTGCTTGCAACAACTGGAGCAGCCGGAGAAGACGAGCTTGGAGCTGGCCAGTATGCGGCTGGCTTGCTGCTGCTTGCAACAACTGGAGCAGCCGGAGAAGACGAGCTTGGAGCTGGCCAGTATGCGGCTGGCTTGCTGCTGCTTGCAACAACTGGAGCGGCCGGAGAAGACGAGCTTGGGGCTGGCCAGTATGCGGCTGGCTGGCTGCTGCTTGCAACAACTGGGGCAGCAGGAGACGACGATGGCTTGCCATTGCTTGGCACGGACCAAGTTGGCTTTTCGCCGTATCCACCCTCACCGTATCCACCAGCAGCAGGAGAAGAAGCCTTGACTGGAGCGGCTGGCGAAGACCAGGTTGGCTTTTCTCCGTATCCGCCCTCAGCAGGAGAAGAAGAAGCCTTCACTGGAGCGGCTGGCGATGACCAGGTCGGTTTGGCACCGTATCCGGCCTCCGGGGTAGTGGTGGGCTTAACGGCAGCAGCAGGTGTGCTGCTGCTTGCCTGCGCGCCGTATCCGCCGCCGTATCCACCACCGTAGCCGTACTCGCTGGCGAAAGCAGTGCCCGTAAGGGCAAGAACTGCAAAAGTAGCCTTCATTGTGTCGAAAAGGAAACTAACAGACCAATTCCTAAAAGAAAGTAAAATAAGTGAGCGTAACAAAAGGCCGTAGCGAGTGAGCCTCTTGGAAGAACTTAGTGATTGGTAAGGAGGGAAGAAGTGGTGTTCACGAGGAGAGCAGCAACCATTATAAACCCTCGGGATCCGCTGATCTGCGCATCGCTGCTCATTATTATTCCGCCCTTATTCAGTTCTTCTGCCGCGGCCATTCCCAGCACCGGAAGAGGTGGGCTGCACCGCACAGCTACATGCATCCTGATGGGAGTCGGGTGTGTTCAGGCCAAGGGGCAAGCCTTGCTGTGGACGACACAACCCTGCATCCGTCAGGGATTAGGCATTCTTAATTTCTCCCACGCATCCTGGATGTTTCCTCGAGTAGACTAGCCGCTAACACGTGAGGGATAATCGATCATGGTTGCATCGCCCTAGTTTGCTTAGCAACGTCGAAGGGCCTACGGAAGCGGTAGAGCAAGGCCAAAAGCAAATCAGCAATCTGCGTAAGAGATAAATAAGGCAAATTACATTGTGTTCTCATTGTATATCCGCCTCAGCCGTCTCCGTGGCAAGCAATTTGTACGCCCAGAAGACCACCGCGCAGCCTTTCCAAGCGTCAGAATAAACGTCGTATTGATATGCGAAGCATTGTTGTTGCGGGCTCTAGCAACGGTATGCAGCCATAACGGCATGATGGCGCCTGCGAGGGCTCCACTGGAGTGACGATGGGGCACAACGCCGTGACTGGCGCGAAATTCATCCCCAACCACTCCAAAGAGAAGGGGGCAAGAAAAAAACTGACTGCCAGGGCGGGCACGGATTGCTAGGATCCTGGTCTGGAAGCGCTCTGATCGTGCGAAACTCGTCGATTCTGTAGATGCTCTAAAATTGGCAAATTTGAAGAAATAGGAGCGATGAACGAAAGAAATAATTGCGACTTTGATGAAGGTGCTCAATCATTCATCTAACGGAAGAAGCAGGTTCCTGTCCAGATCGGAACTCAGCTCTCTGCTCTTGACTCCTTGAAGTCTCCATGGGATGTTTTCCGGGACGCGAGGTATTTGGGGCAAGTTTAGGCAAGCTTCGGCAGAGGAGGAAGCAGCACGCCATATCGAAAAAAGAGTTGAAAGAAGTCCATTGGACCAAGGCTGCCAGGTCGGCTTCGGGCATCTGCAAAGACCTGACCGTTGAACATGGGCATCTATTGGAGCAAACCAGCTGTGGGGCCTCGAGGGCAGTGCTGGATGGGATATCTCGCAAGCACCGGGGGCAATGCAGGAACAGGAAACTGATCGGTGAGCAGAAAACAAGATCGACATGGGCGCCTTGTGGAGAGCACATCTCAAGCTTTGCCTGCATAAAACGCTCATGGAGACCGATTCTTGAAAGCCTCAGTGCGGAGCGAGCGCCGAGTAAGAGTGAACCTGATCCTCGTGGAGAATCATAAGAAGGTCGTTTGCCCACAACTCGAAGTTGAAATAAAGGTGCTGACGGCGTCGACTGGAAATTGCGAAGGCGTTACCCCACAAGCGCCTCCTTTTCAGGTTCTTTTGCAAAGCGTAGTGTACAGCACAGGCTCGTGGCGCCGCATGACGAACTCCCGCAATACGAGGAAGAAAATGGCTTGGGTCTCTATTCATCGACACCCTCAAAGCGGATGCAAGCAGTTTGAGCAATGGCTTCCCTAGCGGCAGCATCATTCCGCCGCGTCGCGCTGCAAACCGCATCAAGGCGTCTCAGTACCGTCGAGCACCGAAGACGGAGCCGAGATGCAACGCGAAATTGCAGGAACATGTCCAGCATGAAGCCCACGCTCGATCGCCGCCCGGGTCCACAGCGCTACGATCCCAGCACGGAGAAAGAAACGAGATGAAGACAGCGGCTGGAGCCGAGCTCCTCACTTCTCCGCGAAACCACGACGCCCTTCGAGAACATCGATGCCCGTTCTTAAGAAGCCGGATCCATCCCCCGAACCAAAAAGAATGACGCGCTGAACGACTTCTGGGGGATTTCCGGTTCTCCCTTGTGCAGGATCACGACGCGGCGACGCTCAATCCGTGCGTCCGAGCAAAGACGTGAAAAAAGGGGGTCGCTTATGAGCATATGCCAGCGCACTTCCCGCTCCCTCGATCTACCATCAGATCGGTCAAGCAAAATCCAAGAGGCTGCTGGCAATCTTGGGCAGTATCACTGATCCATTCCTTGGACAAGACGCTCCCACTATGTCGATGTGAAATGGGAATGCGTTTGTCTCTATCGCCGTGCCCAGGTCCCTGCTCCCAAATGTTCGCGGCTCTGAAGCCGCGTGCATTGAACCTGTTTTGATTTGCAATTCTAATATACCACGAAACTGAGAGCCAGTATACAAATAGTCAAAAGAACGACAAGTGGAGATTGTTTGTCTTTCAGACACGACGCAAAGCATACCTCATTGTCGCTCGTCGCGGAGGTGGGCCTCTTCCTGTGAACTTAAGCGGCCGTATCTGGGTTCTCCTCCATGAATGGTTTTCAACTTCTGTTGTCTGCAACAAATCGCATGGACGTGCTCGATTTGATTTGTTGTAATAATGCGGAACAGACTCAATCGAGCGGTAATCATTATCGCAAATAGGCTGTGGCTCCTTCCAAGGATTGTGTTGACAGCCGCGGCGTTCGATCACTTTGATCTCGCCCACTCATGAAGGCACAAAATTCTCTTCTGGTTACTAAGTGATATCGTGTGCGCTTTATGGCCTTTCCCTTCTTTAGTCGATGCAGGCGTTCAGAGGATTCTAGTTCGTCGCAAAAAACTGCTCCACGGCTAAACCCGGTCGTAAATAATCTTTATGCGCACCTGCTTGGCGTAGTATTTCTCCGCTTGAGATTCCCTTCGTTGAATCACGATTCTAACAAAACGCAATTCTTGATCAGAATGTGCGCGAGAAGTACGATCTACAAGAGTGAAGGAGTCCTCACTCACGTAGGGGAAGAAAAAAAAAAGCTTGTATGAAGTGAATATTTCAAGACCTTCCGTGACTTCATTTTGCCAAGGCCCTACACTTTTGAGTAGCTTTCTTACATCACCGTTGGGGTTGACCTAATGCGCAGACATGTTAGAAATCACATTTAAATCTTGTGCGAAAGAATTTGAACCACGCGGCTGGCTAGACACTGGTGGATCACAGTCCGGGTGAGGGTGATATAAGTGCAAGAAGCTCCCCAAAATGTAGTTTATTTTCGATGCAAACTAGGCCAACTTTCATTGTTTGTTTTATCTTTTGCACCTTCGGTCACTTTAACTAACAGTGCAGACATAGCAAATGGCGCTGATCGGATAGTAGACGGCACTAGCATAGAAAGAAGTTCACACTCGCATATTTTTGCTTCACGCGGGAGTGCTAGACATGTCTTGAAGCCTCAAGGCGTCAACTTCCCTAGACTCGTAAGAAGAACGCTTCGAGATGATAGAGAGAGGGATTGTGTGTGTATGTGTGTGTGTGTATGTGTGTGTGTGTTTGTGTGGAAAGCAGTGCTCAGCAAAATATGGAAGAATGCAAGTGACGAGTTGACCTCGTATGTCCTCAATTGTTTTTCTCCTCATAATTCAGGCGTAGATTGTCATACAGGGCATTCTTAGAGTTGGACGGCGTTTCTAACTGAGCTAGCGATGATTTGCTCTGGGCCAATGTTTGCAGAACATGATCAAGTAGAACGTAATATTGTGCTGTAGTTACGAGTGGGTTCAATCTCCTCTAGGTCGGAGCTACCAAGCAGTAGTTCACGGCAGTGAGAAAAGGCCGAATCATGAGAAGAGAGCAGGGACACCGCACACGATATTCTAAGCGAGGGGAAGACTAGGATAGCAGGCATTTACCATAGATGAAGGAGAGGCTATTTAGTCCGTGATTGATGAGTATGACACGCGTTAATAACGCTGCTACCCGGCCTAGTGCATTTATCAGATGCTTGTAATTGTCCGATGATTTGGTCGATCACATCATTCTGCTGAAGTGAACACGGAAGATTCGCCCAGCAGACTTGGTAGGCTGAATCTTATAACAACATAGACAGTACGGGACACCTGCCATGAAGACTGCGTGATCAAGACATAACGTGCAATTCATCGAACCTGGCCTGGACTAACGCCGAACCCCTGCCCTAGAAGAGTCAAACCACTGTGCTTTTCTAGAACGTAAAGAGCCCCTCATAACGCCACAATGGGAATACACAGACGACGGGATGACCGCAGATCTTCCTCTATGCGCTTCTCTCGTAAACACCAACAACCATTGCGTGATCTCTCTCGTACGGTTCCAGCGTCAACTGTTCCTTGGGTTTGATGCGTTCCGCCCTCAGCTTCTCGACTTCGCGAGCAAAAACGGCTTCGGGCGCAGCCGTTGAATCAATACAGTTAGCTTTGATAGACACGACAACGCCACCACCAACTTTGAGGAACATGTGCGCATTCAGAGCAACGATACGTGCTTGATCTGGCTGAGCAACGTCGGCGAAGATGCAATCCACCATGGGCACCAGGATGCGATAACGATTAGGGTGGCGAGCATCCTCGACAATAGGGATGACATTTGTGCGGTGCGTTGCCATGTTGACTATGAGAACTGTTAGAGAAAAGAGCTTAAGACAAAGAGTGGTGAGTAGGTACCTAGATCACGACCGCTTCGATGCGAGAATTCTACTGCATATACGGTGCCTGTTTTGCCTACGATGTCTGCAACGTGCGACACCGAAGTACCGCTTGCGGCGCCCAGGTACAGAACTTTGCTTCCAGGGCCCATATGAATGTTCTCCAGACCGCCGATAATACCCGCTGCCAACTTCGAACGGAAAGGATTCCATACCCTGTATTCAGTAGTGGTCGCTGGCGCTGCTTCGCCGTTGGGTCCTGTTGCAGAAGGCGCACTGTTGGCAACTTGAATGCGTTTCTCGCCATAAACTGATTCGCCCGGTGTGAGGTTGAGTGTTACCAGCATGTCTTCTTTTCCACGAGCAACAAAAATGCCCTTGTGACGTTGCCAGGGCTCGATTATGACTTTCTGAACAAGGAATTAATTTTTTTTTCCCCTACCGCCGTGAAGATTTTACTGCAGAATGAGAACGACTTACTGCGCCTCCCTTTGCACCTGCGCGACCGCCTCGACCACCCCGCGCTGATATATTTATTAGAACACTCTCATGGTCACATTATAGGGTGTATAGCATACCACCACCGCGACCTCCGCCTCTTGCTCCTCGTGCGCCGCCTCGTCCACCGCGTGGTGGGCCACCACCTGAGATTTCACGTTAGAACGTCGTGATCAAGAGCGCTCAAAAGTGCAACCAAGAGAGATGAAGGGAATAATGCGACTGAAAGCCAAGATGAGGCGGAAGACCATCACTTTGCTCAAGTATTGCGGAGCTATGCGCAAGTCTCAACTGTGCAAGAGCGAACATACCTCGACCACCTCGACCCGCGGGACCACCGCGGCCGCCTCGGCCACCGCCTCTGTCGCCTCTAGATCCGCCTCGACCTCCTCTACCACCTGGAGTGTATGGAGCCATTGTGATATGTCTGTGGTTGAGCGCAATTGGTTTTCTTCACCTCCAACCTCACGTCCGAGAACTTTTTTCTGAGTAGGCTAGGCGCTAAGACCAATCTGCATTCCAAGCTTCGAGTGCATGGTCACGTGATAATCCTGTCTAGCCAGTATCTGGCTAGTCTCATCTTGGCGCACACTGAGAAATCACCCAAAACCTCCAACACCAAGGAAATTTGCCCTCACACACCCCGACTCAGATATTCGCAAAGATGGTCAGGTACGCAAACACCGCCATCGATAATGGCAAGTCTGCCCGCGCCCGGGGCTCCTACCTCCGTGTCTCGTTCAAGAACACCCGCGAAACAGCCCAAGCGATCAATGGCTGGAAGTTGGACCGCGCATTGAAGTACCTGGAGAATGTCAAGGAGCACAAAGAGGCTGTCCCCATGAGGAGATACGCTGGTAGCACCGGTCGCTGTGCTCAAGGTACATTGGCTCCATCTCCAAGCACGCGAAGGTCGAGGCGTGGAAATTCCACGTTCGGATTCTCACGTTCCCGAATTTCTCGCGTATCGTGTGCGAACCAAGAATGCTGACGTTCTTTTGACTGTGTAGGCAAGGCTTTCGGTGTTTCCAAGGCACGCTGGCCTGTCAAGTCCGCCGAGTTCCTCATCGGTCTGCTCAAGAACGCCGAGGCGAACGCCGACACCAAGGGCCTCGACACTAGCAACCTCATCATCAAGCACATCCAGGTCAACCAGGGTATGGCTCTCACGCCTGAAGTTTGTAATGGTTGAACAAAGTTGACAAGGTGGAATGTAGCCCCCAAGCAGCGCAGACGCACATACCGTGCTCACGGCCGTATCAACCCGTACATGAGCAACCCTTGCGTAAGTTTTGCGACAATTTTCTCCCCATCAAAAGGTTATAAGGCTGACTGTTGGCTTAGCACATCGAGCTCATCCTCGTCGAGGCGTCCGAGGCCGTTGCAAAGGCTCCGGAGGTTGTGGCCACCACTCCTAGACTCAGCTCGAGACAGCGTGGTGCCCGCATCCGACGTGCCATCACTTCGTCATGAACGTGCACCGAAGATGCTCTTAGGACTTTTGCAATGGAAGATGTGGGGATGGTGACCAAATGCTAGAGGATGGATTCTCGATGGTTCATGCATGCCAGGAGGAACTGGCCAATGGTTCATGGCGCACGGAGCGAATCAAAAACGAGTTCAGCCTAGTCTACACAGGGCTATCATGTAGCAAAGGGTTGAGAATATCACTTTATTTGCTATGCACTATCCTGCTTCGTATGCCGTTCAATTTTTGCAGTATGTGCTCTGCGTTTCCGGCCAGATTTTTTCTCCTATGCGTTTCTAACGCACCCAATCTCAGTGATTTCTTTGCTATGTACTATGTGTATGAACAGAGATATTGGCTGGGGTTAAACAAGTATTCAGAGGATCACGCCTGGAACACGCTTTGCCCAATGAAAAACCTTTTCCCATCATAAACATGAGCACGCCAATGTCAAGCCTTCAAGCGTTCCTTGTAGAGAGCAAATGCAACTCTCGCAGCTATCACCAGTCTGGCGGCATTGAGTCGTGGAGAGGGTCACCTTGCTGCTGGAGCGGAATGGTGTTACATATGCTTCACCTTCCACTGGGGAGATGGCCGATTACAAAATGCTCTGGGTTAACAGTATCCCAAAGCCTGTCTGTCGTCGATAAAGGGCGTACGAGAAGTACCTATCTGCCGGCCGTGTGAGCTGCCATTAAGCGGAAAGAGTTGCCGGGCGGTACGTCTCGGTCCAAGTCGTGCTGCGACCTTTCAACAAGCGACGAAAATAAGCTTACTCCTGATGTTTGTGAAACAGTGGTATCAAGAGTGAAGCCGCACGTTTAACTCTTCTTTGCCGGACTGCTGCCCAGTACAGATGTCATGGTCGTCATCTATTTCCGCCAGGGCATTGAATCACATCCGAAGGAAGACTGGTTTTAGGTCTGCCGGGGGAGGCGGAAAGATTGATGACATCCGGTGTTTGAACGGCGGTACAGCGCCGCTGACTCTGCCGCTGCCATCCTACTAGCCATCGTTTTGGCGGGCCAGTGCCCAAGTATATGTTTGCCTGAGCGCTTTGCAGGCGGCGAGCGCAGTGGATTGGTATGCGTCGAGAGGAAGAGCAGTGCTTGTATGTGCTGTTTCCGTCATCGTTTATCCAGTCCGTATCCAGGTCAAAGTATCGCGAAACCATATTGCACACGAGGCGAAACACCCGGTTCGGCGCTCGAGTCTTAGCAAGTTGCCTGCGGCAGGCGATTTGTAAGTACGAACGTTTACAAACGTCGTTCCTCTCGGACACGACCAGCCGTCAGCGACACGAGCTCAGCTTCCACTTTGGCGTGGCCGTGGCAAGGCAGTTTGGGCGTGCGCGGGCATCGCAGATTCTCAGAGCCAGACGAGGTCACAAACTACATTCTTTCATTGACCAGACGCGGCATCAGATGCGCTTTTCGAAGGCGTGTTTGTTCTCCGACCAGTCATCTGGCGACTGGACGGCCTTTTCCCCCACGCACTGCCTGCACCTCTCATGTGCAAATCGTATGCACGTATTTGTCTATCTGGCCTCCGCATCGCCCAGCCCGCTCTCGAATCGCCGTCCCGTACTCCACAATCTTCGTGCCACCACCGTGCAAGCCGCACGCTGCTGGCGCCCGTTCTATCCTTCCAGAGCGCCAACGTCCTCAGCTGCTGGCTGTTCTCCTCGATGCGGGACTAGCCGAAGAAACACGTACCGATGACGTCCTCATTCCGCCCATCCATGTTGCTCGGCAGCGAGGCGCCTCGCTCAACCCGCACGTTTGCCATGGACGGTTTCCGTGTGCAGCGGGCAACTCGTTCAATCGTAGCCAATGGCCCCAAAAAATACGATGGCAAACTCGGCCCCCTCCCTCCCCGTTCAGTGAAAATGGACGATCCACTCTGTGCGCGCCAGGGCGTTGCTGAAGTGGACTACCCAGCGCGGTGCGAGAAGAGGTTTGTTCCTCGTCGAACTTACAAGGAATCCGCATAAGACTGGATCGCTCTATGGAACTACACACCAATCACTTCTCCACGCCTGACGTATTTGCGGACTCTTGCTCTCCAAGCCGCGCGAATATTGCCCGATCCTTTTCGCCCGTCCGCTTCGCCCCTTTCTTCATCTCTTCATCTCCTTCTTCCTTTTTCTTTTCGACGAAGAAAGGTCCTCCGAACCTCAACGCTGGGTTCGCGTACCTGCTGCTAGCAAGACGTTGGAAAAGACTCTTTTCGGCGGCACCGTCGTTAGCCCTGTTCTGTAACATTGCCAGCGCCCGTAGCCCTTTCCCGCTTCAGAAACAAGGACTTGAGACACAGTCTTTTTCTGAAAAAAAAAAAAAAAAAAAAAAAAGCGTAGGGAATACTCGTCGTGTGACCTCTCCATCACCGTAGAGCCACACTCCCAATCTTTTGAAACAAGCCGAAAAGGACGAAGTTGCGAGGAGAAAACGGAGGAGCATGTCGAGGAAACCAATCTTCGTGGCCACCCACCCAAGGGCATGCTCGACAGCATTTGAAAGGGTACCTCGTCCCCAGCTTCATGCCAACGTAGCTCTTGCTCCAGCGTGCAAATCTGCTAACATGACGGTTGCCGCCTAGGTCTTCATGACCTGCCGCGACACTTTACAATGTGTTCACGAGCCATTTGGGGATGCGTGGTACTACGGGCCCGAGAGACTTGCAGACCGGTTTGAAAATGATGAGCAGGCTCGTCAAGAGAGTGGATATGTGAACGCAACGTACAGAGATATTTTTGAGAATATCGACAAAGAAAATGCGCAGGTCTGTTTTTCCCTCCAGTTCTTGCCGTCTCGTCTTCTGTCTCCTTTTGTCTCTTGTGTCCACTCTGCCCTGTCCTCGTCCGTCTGGAAGCAGTACGGATTAGTGGTGGTGCTTCCCTTGCAATCGAAACGCACCATTTTCGCAGTGCAGATCGAACTCATCCCGGCACGGCATAGGCCGCTTGTCGCCCTTGCTTCACATACGCACTTTGCATACAAACAAAGTCTATGTTCGTATCATGACACTGACGGCTGAACGGGATGTGATTGCAGGGTAAGAGGTTGTTTATCAAAGACATGGCGCAATACTGGATTCCGATGGATAGCAAGCCCTCTTCCCTTGCCCCATCCCTGGTGTCTTATCGCCGAGGCGTGGGAACACAGCGCAAGGGCGAGAACGGTGAGAATGGAGACGAGAGTCACGTAGACTCGAACGTTGCCACAGCCGTCGATACAAAGCAAGTTGGAAAGGCCGGCCATCCGTACCCTACCGCGGCCGAGCCTGGCAATCCGACTGTCGTGCCGGAAGCCTTGCTCAAGCAGTTCCATTTCACGTTTTTGATTCGCCACCCGCGATCCAGCATTCCGTCCTACTTCCGCTGTACGGTCCCGCCGCTGTCTGAATTGACTGGCTTCGACTACTTTGACCCCAGAGAGGCAGGGTATGTGGAGCTTCGCAGGTTGTTCGACTACCTCAGGAGCGTTGGCCAGGTTGGTCCTCACGTTGCAGGCCAGACCAACGGCACCACGAATGGCGTCAATGGGGTCAACGGAGATGCGGGTGACAAGGTAGAGCTTTGCCTAATCGACGCTGACGACATGCTTGACGATCCGTACGCCATGATCGAGAAGTACTGCAACAGCATCGGGATAGAGTATTCCCCAGAGATGTTGAAGTGGAACAAGCCTGGGGATCAAGAGCACGCGCAGGCGCAGTTTGAGAAGTGGAAGGGCTTCCACGAGGACGCGCTCGACTCTAGTGAACTTCGACCACGGGCTCACGTGCGTTACTCCGACGAGACCAAACATCCGGTCCTGCTGACATGATCAATAGAAAAAGTCCCCGAAGTCGGACGAAGAGCTGTTCAAGGAATGGACTGAGAAGTACGGCGAGGAGGCTGCTAGGCTGATTAAGAAGACGGTGGATGAGAATATCGAGCACTATGAATACCTGAAGCAGTTTGCCATCAAGATCTGAAAGCAGTGCCAAAGAGGGGCAGGTATTGAGACAAAAGGGGAGAGAGATAGATAGATAGAGAGAGAGAGAGAGATTCTGCAATGTAGCATTTCCTTGTTCCGTGGCCTGCAGTCCATATCATTCGCCTGTTTAATCCCATGGTTGCGTAGCTGCGAAGAATACTTTATGTCTAGCCTTGGTTGCCGTCACAACGACCGCTATTCATGCACGTGAAGTATCGCTGAGGCGACGAAGACAGTGTGAACAAGGTAATGATGCCGCTGCCCAGGTAACCAGAGCAGTCAGGTAATTGCCAACGCTGTCGTCCTCGTGAGGTCACATTCAAAACAAAGTGAGAGGAGAAAATGGCTGCAAACAACGAACCTGTCACAAGCGACTCCGACGACAGTAGCAATATTCCGGTCATTGAGAACGAAGCAGAGGGTGTCAAGCTCACCGTGAGGGACAAAAAAAATTCATTCACGGTCGCTCAATCGAACGAACTCACAGCCTCACACAGAAAGCACCGGAAACACCACGAAGCCGTCTCGAAAGGCTGCCGTCAGAACTGCACCCAGGACTGGCCGTCCGCGCAGAGGCACGGTGGAAAGGACGTCTCGCAAGCGATCCGTCGCCTTTGTCGCCGAACTTGACGAGGTCAGGATCATCGGCGAGAACAGCACGGTGTCGCTGCCGGTAGGGCGTCCGACCGAGTCGCACAGCGGACAGTCCCTCGCGCAAGGAGCACACTGCAAGACGTCCAACTACGCAGAGGGACGCGGCGACGTTTTCGGGCTCGAGGACGTGCCGCGACGCAAGGAGTTGCTTCGCGCGCTGGCGGAGATCAACACGCTGCAGGAAGCAAGCGCCACGCTGCACCTTGGGTACGCGGAGCGACGGCCTCTTTTTCGCCGTTCGCAGACCAGACACACACACTCACATATACCCACTCGCAAACGGGACGCAATGAGTAAGCGCTAACGTTTGGGCGCAGCACTGCAATCCAAATACCCGGCCCGTCGTCGCCGTTCGTTAGCTTTCGCGACGCTCACTCGACGATCGAATTCTCCGTGCTGCGCAGCCGTCTCGGCCCGGACGTCTTGGCCGCCATCGAGGCGCGGGAGGCGGCCGTCGTCGACCTGCAGTGGGCGACGGCGGCGGCCATCTGGCTGTACGTCAGCTTCCTTCGGCTTGGCGCGATCTGCGAGACGCCGCTGCACGGGTGGGAGCAGCTCTGCGAGGCGTACCCTCCTCTGCGCGAGGACAGCTATCTGAACAACGCGTTGCTGGCGGCCGTCTCGCTGGCGAAAGAAGTCGACGACGAGCGGTTTGAGAGGTGCGTTGTGACGGAGCTTGCCCGCGTCGTTCGAGCCGGGCTTGGACGACTGGCTGCAGAGGGATTCCGAGCGGACGAGGGCATGGACGTCGACGACTCAGATTACGTTCCACACGAGACGGAGTGAGAAGGTAAAGGGCGGCTGGACGTCACACGGGTCATCGAGCGGTTGCGTTTCACGGGTCTTCCGTATTCGCTCTCTCGATGAGCAGCAGCACTTGGCCCATGACGAGGTCCAGGGAGCCGATGGGCACGCGCCAAGCAGGTTCGACGGGTGCGCAGCTACACGTTTCTATGAGCGTTTCGTCGCTTGTGTTCATGAACGAAACGCACCAGATAGCTTGCGATGTTGTACAGGGTAGTGTCCGCAAACGTGCTTCGGCCGGCGTTCAGGCGTTGCGGCCAATGATGTAAGTTGAATTCTAAGGAGCTGAAGCAGACGGTAGATGCGGTCTTCAGTCTTGTACCAAGGCAACGAGCACAAGCAATCGAGGCGTCATACCGCGTCTTTGGCCTTGAGATCAGCGTAGACAGGTTCACACCGACCAATGTCTGGTTCTGTTGCTCTGCTCGCCGCGACATGTCTGTCTCAAGCCCATTCCACTGTGATTTCGTTCCATGTCCGCTTCGGAAACCGAGCCACGACCGGCTATGTCGGCGCCGTACACCAATGGCGGGATTGCGTCAAAAGTTGGGCTTGGAACGGGACTTGTGCGGTCAACACCTCGCTTGGTGTGTACTGCGTCATTGATGGACATTGTATACGTGCTTAGACACCGGCACTTTTTTATTTTTATTTTTTTATTTTTTTTATTTTTGTTTTTTTATTTTTACTCTTTTTTTTTATATACTTCAAGGGTCCCACTGCGTGTCACACGTCTCGGACCGAGTTCAGAGTGCTGATTCTCTGAGCATGTCATGATGGGGAATGTGGTCACGTCCGTTGGACGTTCGCCAGCTGGGTGCCGGAAGCGCGCGGATGTCAGAAAGTGAATGTGCTCGCCCGTGTCCCGGCTGGAGGAGAGCATCAGTGAGCTTTTTTTATTTCTTATTTTTTTAATTTTTTTTTTCTAGCCGTGTGTGTGGTGCTTCAACGGACGATCCACTTTTTCGACGGCGTCAGTCTGGCACGGTCGGCGCGAGGATCCAACGAGTGGCCAGCAGACGAGCGGGAACAAGCCTCGCAGGCCTGCCATTCTCGCGGTGCAATAGTGCTCGCTCCATGTAACTGTGTGCTGCACTACGCAGTAGCGGGCGTGGAGTGACGATCCCCCGTGCCTCGCCTCCGCCTGGGCCGTCGCCGTCGCTTCCTGGACCCGGCATCGCGGCCTGGACGAGCATGCCGGCGGTCGCCGCGACCTCTTCCGCGCGCGCCTGGACCTCTCCCCCGGCTGCGACGGCAACGGGCAGCTCTGGAGCGAGCGGCTCCTCGATCTCTCCATCCGGGCCCTGCTGGACCGTCTTCGTCGAAATACTGTGGTACATGCATGCACGTCAGGGCCGGCATCCCATGCGGCGGTCCGGAAGAGGCAAGGCGAGGGCTAAATAAGGTCCGTAAGCGGGCCCCAAGGGCACAGCACTGCCCCCTCGTGCTGGACCCGCCCATGGCTCGGTAGCCCGCCCACGGACTTTGCCTGCTGGCCTCGCTGCAAGAGTCCCGCGCAGTCCACTGTTCGTTCGCGTTCCCTGCTTTCTCCCTTCTGCTCTCTTCTCTCTCCTCCTGCCTCTGCACCGCCCTTCCGAGCGCAGCGTCGTCTCCCCGCAACCCCGTCGTTCGAATGTCTTGAGTGCTGCGAACGAGTCTGCACTTTGCACTCTGGTCGCGCCGCCACCGCTTCGCCCTCTTCCCCCTATAGTGGAACGTCCGAAGGCCGGCCCCACCGTTCTCCCCGTTGAAACGCCAGGCCGCACGCTTGTCCTGGCTCTCGAAACAATCACTCAAGGCTTGACAGCTGTCAAGACCTCGCCGCAAACACATCGCGCGACATCTTGCCCACCAGAAGCACTCTTCGCAGGCTGGGCGCCCACGCCTGCAAGCAATCGACCGCGATGGCGCCGACACCCGACGAGAATCACGGATTTGGATATGACAGCGACTATCCACCCCAAGGCATTACGCCTGAAATCCCGTCGGTGACGACGACGACATACATCATAGACAAGGCCTACACGACAACGGTGGCGTTTTTTATCAATTCATGGATTGACTACGGTGGGAATCCGCACACCTACACGATAACGCAGTTCGACAACTTGGCCGACGCCTCGTCCATGGCAGTCAAGATCGCCGAAGCGCTTCAGTCTATCGAGCAGGGATTGATACAGTCTGCTGCTGTTCAATCGCAATACAGCACGTACGGGGCAACGCACGCAACCACGTCCTCGACGTACAGCACGCCTGCTGCCCCCGCGTCAACCCCATCCACGGTCCAGCAGACAGCCCCGGTAACAGGCACACCGCTCAACGAAGAACAGCAACAGCAGCAGCAGAGCAGCCACCACGGCCCTCCCGTAACGGCACTCGCCCTCGGAATCATCGTTCCCATCATCGTCTGCATCCTAACAATAACCTCCTGCGTTCTCTGCGTCAGCCACTACCGAAGAAAGGCCAGAAGAGCGCAAGCAGAAGGTCGAGCGGCGAGGGCGGCATCCGAAATGAGGCAAGTTGGTCCAGGTTCGCCAAAGCCTGCCAGCGCCGCCGTGGTCGCGGATGAACGTGCCTATCACGCGCCCCCGGACGCGCTTGCCGCGATCCCCTCTTCAAGCCATGTTGCTGGAGCCCTCGGCCAAGAACCGCCCGTGATTCTGTCGACGACGATGAACAACACGTACTTTACCGGCATCGACACGTCAGACCAGGTGTCGTTGAGCGACCAGCGCAGCGTGGCATCGCACGACACCTTCGGCGAAGAGCCCCCACCGCCCTACAGACCGCGCAGCGTACCGCCGATCTCGAGAGAGACGAGCGTGCGGACGTCGATCACGTCAACGCCGTACCGCATGTCGAGCACCAGATCGAGATGCGAGACGCTGTCCTCGGCCAGCGCCGTCCGGCGGAGCAACGAGGTGCGGTCCCCGTTCGACGACCCAGAGGAGGCGGAAGAGGACGAGCATGCTTCGGAGGCTTCGACGCTACGAGGAGGCGCGAGGATGTCGACGGATCGCCTGAGCGAAGCTTCCGATCTCTCGTACCAAGAAGATCCCCGACCGACGGCATCGCACTCGCACGTATGACACTGACCGAGGCGCGGGTGCGATGATATACCTTTGGTTCTTTCCCTAATTTGCTACTTTTTCACCCCCGGTTCCACTCCTCCCCTCCCCCCTTCAGGCCGGCCGCATACTATTTTTCCGACACATATTTTCTTGTGCAGACAAAAAATATTTTTTTTTCTTCTTTTGGCTTCAGAGTATTGCAATGACGACTGGACGGGCTCGAAAACGGATAACGGATAGCATGGCGTTCAGGCAAACTTCATCGTGTCGGGATACACCCTTTTATTTTTTTTTTTTTTTTTTTATTTTGCTTTACTTTAAGAAACGTGGTTCTTCTGCGGGATTGACTCGTGAACACGGTAGAAGCGTGTATGAGTGTTGGTAAAGACGAAATGTGGGCGTGTTGGTTTTCACACGCGAGGGCTCTGCTTCTCGCGAGACACAAAGAGGCAGGACTAGTAACAGATGTGGTCGGATGTCAAATCATCTTCTTGGCTCTATTGATTTTGCAGCGTTATACACACAGGCTGCTGGGTTGTGCATGTCATGTATTTTGAAGATATGGAGAGCCAGCAATGACCAGCCCCTTTTGAGTGATACTCAAGTTTTTATCTCTTCTGTTCGGTGCACCCTGTCGACTTCGTTTGTGCTGCTCTGGATTCATTCTCCCGCTGATGCTGAATGTGTGGGTATATGTCCAGTAGTGTACAGAGGTGGCAGTAAAACGTATGCTCGCCTTTTCTCAAACCAGGATCAGCCGCGAGCCCTCCCTTTCTGAAAGCTGACTATCCAAACGCCAGCCCAAGCTCATTTTTCTCCATCGAAACGCCTCGCGCTCCGTCAAATGTGATGCCCGCATTGTCTTTGCTCGTAGGGGAACGCTCAGAACTGGTCTACGAAAACGCAAAATGGACGTGGTCAGTCAGGCACGGCGACAAGGGCTGGGTGTAACGCGAAGCAACAAAAAGTCGAGCTGGAGATGGAAAGAAGAAGAGAGAAAAAGGAAAAAAAAAAGAAACAAAAAAAAAAAAAGGAAACTCACCAAGGGTCATACTCATGCTCACGTCCGTGTTCTCCACCATCTTTTTGAACTCCTCGAAGCTGATCTTGCCGTCCCGATCCAGGTCTGCCTCCATGATGGTCTTGTCGACGATCTGCTGCAGCTGGCCGTCCTTCAGGTTGCTGCCCACCATCATCTTCAGCACGATGAACAGCTCGCCGTTGCTTATGTAGCCGTCGCGGTCGATGTCGTACACCTTGAAGGCGAACTGGAGCTTCTCCTCCTTGGAGCCCTTGGAGGAGAAGGCGGACAGGCCGGTGACGAACTCCTGGAAGTCGACGTCGCCGCCGCCGTCCTCGTCGAAGATGGCGATCATGCGGGTCGCGAGCGGGTTCGACGACACCTGCGGCAGGGCGAGGAACTCGTCGCGGTCGACCGTGCCGGAGTCGTCCTTGTCCAGCTTCATGAAGCGCTTGCGCAGGCGGTCGATCTCATCGCGGTCGACTGTTTCCAAATGCGTTAGCGGGGCGGAGACGGGGAGTACGAGCGTTGCCCCTGCGTGAGAGGCGGGGAGGGGGGTGTGAGCGCACAATTCGACCCTTGCACGATGTTTTCTAGCAGCTGCGAGTTCGCGTTGCCCATGGTCTGCGGCTTGTGTGCGGTGACAAGGCAGGACGAAGGCGGTGGGGAGTGTCGTGTGTGCTTGTGTGTTTCAGCTTTTCGAAGATTACTTTCGGACGCAGCCAGCTCGGGGTTTGTTTGGCGGTCTCGATGTCTTGGCATATGTCGTGGTGCTGGGGGGTGGGCGAAAGTGGCCGACATCGTCTTTCTCTGCGACCCGGGCCTAGACTGTGTCTTCGACGGCCCTCGATTTCGCTGCCAAACGCCTCGGCTGCCTGGCCTCTTTTCACCGTCAAAGTGGCCCCTCCACTCGTGAACCTGACCGAGTATCGAATCACCAGAGCAAAAGAGGGCCGTGTCGCGCTGCCAGGCGCCGCTCCTACACCGCGCACGTTCGAATCGGCTCCAGCCTTCCTCTGTGCACGTGCTCCCAATGTACGATCAACGTATAGTCCGGCTACCGTAAAGCACCTAGCTCAGCATCCACATTGTCCGTTCAAACTGAAGTTGTAATCTTTGCGTACGCGAGTTTCAGTTGCGTTCACACCAAACGCCATAATAGCTTCTTTGGCAGTAGCCTTTGGCTTGGCCGTTCTGTATGGCTGGTGGTTCAATACGGTTTTCTTTGAATGAGCTTGACGGGTTGTGCCTATGATTTGGAAAGGCAATATGTGAAAATTCTCCCCCCGGGAGTGACAATGACTTTGCTGGCGCCATGTGGAAGAAGACTCTGATCGCAATTGAGGATGCTGATTCATCGTAGGACAAATTGGTCTGACCGGTCTCCTCGATCATCGTCTCAACTGTAGAGATCGCCCTCGTGTTACCATTTCACGCTACCATCTCTAAAAACATGTGGAGACGTCGATTCAGTCCTCTAGAAGTATTCTTGCAGCTAAGCTCCTACGATTTCACGTGGGATCGATTTCAACGGAGCCGCTTCATCGGTGTGCAGTCCTCGTCACACGCTATCGTCTCTCATGTGTTTTGCAAAACCCTACGATCGTCCGCATCGGCAAGATACGTTGTACAAAGGCGCTGGCCGCAAAAGCATTCGCTGAAACCGTAGTTCGGCAGCTAAAGCCAGAGTCGATGATCACGCCGAGGCCATTCTCAAGTCAATTTCAAGACATTACACCAGCCTTCAGTCTTTTGAACGCTACCTCGTGAAGCTTGAAACACTTGATTGTGCGATTGCTCTTCAGAAACTCACATTTGATACAAAGTTGCGGTGTGTGCTCACCTGGAGCTTATGTTGATCTGGGAATGAATACATCGGAAGCCAAAACATGACCATCTACTCCCGTATTTTTGGCCTTGCTCACCATCATCGTATCCACCAAGCTTGTCGCTCGAGGCCTGCGTCATCACTGGATAAACTTGCCTCACCTTACATAATTCTGCCTTCACTTCCACCAGTTAAATTTATCCAAGATGGTTAGTAATTGGGAGCAGTGAGTGCGGCTAATTTGAACCGTCGAAATTTCTTCGCAAATACTTTCCAATGATTACAGAGTGCTTAACCGGACTTCATGCGCTCGTTGCAATTAGCATAAAAGGATGGACAGAATCCAACTCAGAAGAGATAGGACAGAAGCGCTTTGAATTAACAAGTCTATTCTAAAAAGAACTCCTCACATCACTCCAAATACCCAGTCATTGCCGGTTACCATTGATAGAGCTCAAAATGGTATCTTGGGCTGTCACAGGTGCAACTCGAGGTATTGGCGTAAGCTAGACCAATCCAGTTGTTCAAATCCTGTATTCTAACAAGACCCTCTTTGTTAGCTCGGCTTTGTTGAAAATCTTGTCAGTCTATTGCTAGAATCGCCGATGTGGCGACGGCATGCTGCTAACTGCGCGATTGAAGTCAGCCGATCCAAACGCCCAGGTGTTCGCGATCATTCGCAGCCGAGGAACTGCTGGTCCACTTGAGGAGCTCGCCGCCAAACGCAAAAACATCCATATAATACTGACCGATATATCTGACCCGCGCAAGTTGAATCAGGCTGTCGCTGAAGTCTCTCAAGTGACGGGAGGTTCGCTTGATGTCTTGATCCTCAACGCTGGTTCCGCAGGGCCAGAGACCAGCACGTGGTCGCCAAGTGCTTTGTGGGTGAAACGCAAATCATACGATGTAAAGCTAGGATTACTGATACACCACAGTCATGGCGAGGAGAAAGCTCTTGAGACAGAGATCCACGAGAACGTACGGTCATCCGTCTCCTATGCAAGTCTTCATGGGCAGAAGTTGACCTTCCGCAGATTAAGAATAATCTTTTGAGCAACATCTACGTCATCAACTCCTTCCTCAATCTCGTCCGCAACGGCAAAGAGAAGAAGATCGTATTCATTTCGAGCCCAAGTGGAGATGTCGAGTTCACACGTATTACTGGCATCACCACGGTGCTGGGATATTCTGTTAGCAAAGCCGGAATGAACGTTGTCACGACCAAATTTGGTGCCGAACTGGCCCAAGATGGCATCAAGACTTTGTCTTTAAGTCCAGGATGGGTAGAAACAGATGCTGGTAATGTCAACCGTCTGGAAAAAAAATGTATTGGAGCAAATGACTGATTCACAACAGCTCGAGCCGTCACAGGCGAGCCAGCTATACGTAGATTCATGCTAAGCGCGTTTCGAAAGCTTGATCAGAGTGTCGATGGACCGATTCCGGTGAATGAATCAGTCACTTCTATGCTTCAGGTGATCCATAGCTTGAAGGAAGCGGACAGCGGCAAATTCGTTACGCATCACGGAAACAACAGCGATTGGTTCTAGAGGAGAAGGCTAGTAGATTTAGGTAGATAGTAAATCGAGGCAGTGCACTGAGATTGAGGTCGAGGATAACTCAAGCAAAGGGTGGCATGAATGGAAGCCCGCCGATTACCGCATCTAGAATTGTTAGATAATCAACTGGGTTCTCGGGATTGAGATCATGCTGATTCCACACTGCCTGAGCTATATGTTGAATAAAATGAATGTGACTTGATCTTCGCCTCCGCTCCTGTAGACTTTTCTCAAAGACGTCGAGCAAGGCGAGGCGCTGATCTTCGTTGACTGCTTCGCAAGCGATGATAAACAACGGCCACGCGTTCTGGCACGTTGCCATCCTGGTCAGCAGCAATATCCCTTCTCTCACAAGTCTTCTGTGATGGAATTCCGTTCCCGCAACGCGACGGACAGCCCGATTGACGTATATCAAACAGGCGAGACGATGAAGATCGAGGACCATGGCATTTCGGTCAGCCGGTGCCGCAGAATGGTCGTGGATGGGACCATAATCTCCCACTGCCCGGCAAATTTGCCGTTCGAGCATTTCTGCTTGTTCCGTTGCGATATTCGCGTAGTTTTTTGCGGAAGATTTCGCGACTACAGCTTGCGTACATGCATACACAGTGAGTTGGAGCACGTCAGTTGTGCAGCCGATGTTGGCTCTTTTCTTGCAGCAGTGTTAGATTACGCCGAGCGCAGTTCAAATAGCACTTGCGTACCTTGGAACCAATTTCATTGTCAGCGTTGGGAGACCTAGGTATTGGAACGTAGCCACAGCCTTCGTATGGAACAGCCCAATGTCTGACGGTGAACTCTGCGAGCGCTTCGTGGTAAAAAATCCAATCCAGAAAGACGGAGTTTTCTTGTCGAACCAGCTTCTGGGTTCCAGGTGAGGTGTTGATGATCCTTTTCACCGCGCACAGAAATGTCACCCAACTTCCCTTAGAGTTTGATTCAAGAGAGAGCTGTAATCATTAGCTGGCTGTAGCGAGTGCAGGTAGATTGGACTTTGCCTACCTCATGATGATACAGAAGCATCATTGAAGTCAAGTTTTGGAGCAGCGTCTTCTCGTCGATCCAATCGGTTGGCTCTTTTACTGATGACATGACAAGGCGCTTGTAACGGAAACTCTTCAAGCTACCGTGAAGCTGTAGTGATGCAAGAGCAAACACGGCTTGCAGGACCGGATTGGTCGTATCGAATGCATCCGAAAAGGCAATTCTCATTATGAAATGAGCCAGAACCTCCTCGTCGGTTGGTCCTAGCATCAGTGATCGCGATTCGTTGACTGATATGTCTGGTTAGGAGAAATGATGAATACGCGAAATCAGGAGACCAACAGAATAAGAGTAGCTGAGACTCCTCGGCGCTTACAACGGCTGGCGAAAGATAACTTGGGCGAGGGAACCGCATGGTCCGAAGATGACGAGCTGCAGACTGCTGTTAACATTACGCCGCTGGTCGGTCCAGAAGAGAATGTTTTCACCATAATTCTTTCCAGCCTCTAGATCCTCTGACAATGCTACGTCCCAGCAAGTCGAATTCAAAAATCTCCGGTAATCGGATTGAAGGGTGTTTTCTTTGCCGCGTGGACCTCGAAAAACCATTGCTCTTCTTCCGTCATCATCGCGAGGCCAGGACAGCCGGACTCCGTAGCCTTGACAGACGCGTTGCGCCTTTGTGCAGTTGCCACATCTCGGCCGACGAGAGTCGCATCGAACTTTGCGCTCTAAGATGAAATCAGTCCTGTCGTCTTGAATCGGTAGCTTATCCACTCTTAATATATACTACCTTTGCAGGTCCAACATCCTTTTATCCCCATGGCGAGATCCTCGTGCGCCACTACATTCTCAACCTCCAAACCATAAAGAATGCCAAACTCTTGTCACAGCCTCAGTCCCTTGCGAAGGTGGACCACGATAATTATAGACTGCAAAACATCTGATACATGATGGAAGAATGCCGACCGAGAATGACCCCATGTTGCTACCCGCTACGGTCTGGGCGATGCAATCGTTATCACAGGGCCAATCGGAACAGAGAAGAGGCCAACAGCTTCGACGGAGACCCGCTCAAGCTCGGAAAAAGTTACAAATGATGATTAAGCGGATGACTTTGTCAGAGCTTCAGACGTAAATGATACCTTGGTCTGGTCCTTCTTTCGAGACGTATATCAAGATGGCGCCACGCCTCGCCTTTCTCGTAACTTTCATTTGTCCAGTATGTTCAAAATGCGTCGAAATAGTCCCCAAGTCTTGACCGTTTAAGGCTTCAATACCAACTCAACAAGTTTGTAGAAGGAAAGCTGTTCGGTCATTTGACGACTCTGAAAAAGAATTTGCTTCAAAGCAATGACACATGCGACGCAGTTGTTCGCTCCGCAATCTTATGTGGAGCTGTCTCTCAACACAAGCTCAAGCTTGCACAGATGTGGCTTAAGATGATCAATTATTGTCTTTGTTATAATGCCTTGAAGACCGAGTTCAAGTCTGGGCACAGCGCCTGGGAACAGCAGATTTCGTTTGTAATCTAAGCTATCTGAAATGTCGTCTTTTCCACTACGCGCAATAGCTGTAGCGCCATTTCTGTCCCAAACTTCTCAAGTGTATTGGCTTCTCATATATGAGTGAAATCCGAATCTTCTTCCAGTCCACTTTGTGACATATTTCACTCAATTTTGGCGTTTCTGTCCCGAGCTACCTACACGAAATTGCTCTTTGACATCCGTACTGAACCCTATAGCCGAATGAAAGATGTCACAAAGTTTGCCGTTGCCAAATAGCCAATGAGCAGGAGCAGTCGCTCATACCTATCTTAGGATTCACTTACTTGAAAAGAGCTGAACAGCAACGGAATGGAATCTTGCTGATTTGGAAACGGAAATGCAGATATGCCGTTACATCCGCGTCTTGACAGGTGGCACCGCAGCAAGATCTTGAGTATTGCTTGGTCTCCGAGTTGCCATTTTAAACATGTATTGGAGATTGTTTCCACAGCTACGAAGGGTTGCCTGTCATGTCCCGATGAATTTGATACTTCATCATAGCAGAGACAGGAATTAGGAGTCTTTGAACAAAAGATGTCAACTTACCGTAGGAACAGCGGCTTTCGTCGCGCTCTCGATCGGCTGGACTTGCGCCCTTGTCAGTGTGAAGAATCATACTATGTCAGACGCATCGAGGTCACGGTCGGCGAGTACGGAATGAACGTGAGTTCAGAGTTCATCCCGTGCACATGAATGCCCTCGGACGACCAGATATCGACACCACGTAGGTCAGAATTTCCGATAACACATCATGGATGCAACTTGAATCTCTCCCGTGCGATAGTTGGAGTTGAACTATGTTCGACGATGGTACAGCTGTAGTGCTCGTTTCCAGCCAAGAATGCACCTCCCCTGAATCAAGAAATTCGAGATCTTTTGGACGCGTAACAATGTAAACGGCAAGAAAAATTTCTAAAGACCTCCCCATGTAAACGTTAAAATCTAGACTTGAATTAATCAGCGGATCGATCACGCTCTTGACTGGTTGCGATCTTGCATATCAATATCAAAGCCGCCTTCACTGTTCTGATGATCCAAGTCCTTCAGTTCTTCTGTCACTCTTTCGTCACAGGGATAGCCATTATGCTGATCAATGATCTCATTCACGCTGATTTGGACTGGACTTCGGTTTGACTGAACACAGAATATATCTCCCGATAACGTGATGTTGTCCAATTAACCCTAGAACATGTCCCATCCTGAACTTGTAAGCTCTAGTTTAATTATCCATGTTGTTCGTAATGGGTGTTGAAGTTGTCGAAGTCACAGATAAGGCACCATCGTCAAGCGCCAAGTGCCAACTTGCTTCCGACGCTTTGAGTGTTGTACGTATATGTGCCAAGTATGTGCTGCTCGAATCAGAAGCGTATATCGCCAAAAGACAGACGTAAGAAAGTTCGTCTTCCAAACTCTTCTGTTTGGTTTCTCAAAGTTCATATTCTTTTTCTGACTTATGATGCGGATGATACATGTGTTTGGTTTCAGCGCCGCGTGGCAGTCTTCCCGTTTTAACTTACCGAGCCCAAAGCGTCGCTCAGTAGCCGAATGGGTCGCTATGATAGCATCTTCTACTTCGACTTATGCAAAATCCAAATTTCCGAACAAGCTGGCAAATGAAAAGTTGCGTCGCTTGAGAGATGGTGGCGTCTAGTCGCTGATGGCAAATTTTTCTTTAGCTATTTAGCTATTTGCTAATTTGGGACTTCGGTGTACATAGAACATGGACGTTAGAATGACAACTGTAAACCCTCTACTTGCCGGAGAGAAGAACAGCCGGACTGAATCACGAAGCTTGAAATGATAATCCCAGAATACACAGGCCATCTGTCTGACAGTTCTTAGCCGCCAATCTTCACGGGAATTCCGAACGACGTGCCTAAGAAAAAAAGCTGCTATACATCCAAGGTCCGTGCCGAAAAGACTGATGTTTAGCTTGACGCGTCAGCCAGGAGCAAACCTCGGTGGAGGGTTGAGCTGCGTATATTCGTAAGATGCGATTTAATTAACAGTTAAGTAGTTATAGAGAGCAGAGAGAGAGATCATTTTGCGTTACAAACACAAACTCTACAAGACCGTTAAGTCAGCGCCACAGTATACACAAACACAACTAGTCGAAACTTCAAGCAAATGTTTATCATAGTAATTTTTGAGCAGAATTTGTAACCCGGAGACCCTCGCAACTTGGATCAACGTCTCTCGTGATCGTTCTGATGGTAGCTGCACATCGTGAAATCTGAACATAAGCGTAACCAGTCTGATACAATGCCCTAGCGGAACTGGAAAAGGCTAAGCATCCGGAAACAAGCGCAATATCATGATGAGATTCAGTCAAGAGGTCGAACGTCTATATAAACTCACTGAGGTACGCTCAGAGAAGTGCAACAACAGCTGAGCTGATCATAACTCCACAACTTTATAATCCCACTCGACATATCGGACTTCTTATCGACCGTTGCTGCGCGACATTCGAGAATTATGAAGATTGCAGTCTTGCTTGCCATTCTGCCAGCGGCTTTGGCATTGCCCGCTGCTCCTCCAACTCCTGGGAATCTAAACCCTCCTCCACCATCGCAGCCAGCTCAGGGCCCTCCACCACCTTCTCCAACACCACAGCCTCCTCAACAGGTGCCGCCTCACATGGCGGTTCGCGAAGCAGCGAATCCGCCGCCGCCACCGCCTGCTCAGAGCCCACCGCCACCCCCTCCTCCACAAGGGCCTCCTCACTTAATGGTCCGTGACGCAGCGAGACCTCCACCTCCTCAAGGACCCCCTCCACAGGGACCGCCGGCTCAGAATCCCCAAAGACCCCCGAACCCGCCACCGCGTGGCAACTAATGGATCACATTCAGTGCTTCTGTCGCTGTGAATTTGAACTTTCAGCATGGGAGCAGAGCGAGCAGGGGTCGAATTAAGGAGGACAACGCTAGACAAAGCAACGTCACGCGTCTGCGCTGACAGAATTCCGAAAAAAATGCGTCCAGGTTTGTGATTCGTCGGCTGGCACTGGTTGTCGTAGTATGACAGACACTGCTTGTACTTCTTTGACAAGTTTCCATAGAGTGGACTGAAAATCAATGAATTTTGTGCTTGAAAAGAATATCCTTCAATCGCACGTGGTCAACGCGACCTCTTCAAGGCTGCCAGTGCCGCATCCATGCTCTTAGTAGGTTTCAACTGATAGGCTTCTTTGGTGGGAGAATTTTGCGCCTTTGAAGCAGTAGCATTTGCTTGATCACACCTGAGTCGCTTAAGCGCTTCTCGAGCGGCCTCAAAACCACCGAGATCTTGTACCCTCTTGTAACCAAGGGCATCGAGATCCACTTTAGCGATAGCAGAGCGCCGCCCAGTCCTACAATACAAGATGATCTCGGCATCTTTCGGGACTTTCTTCTCATGGGCGACAAACCGCGCAATGTGTTGATATTCAACATTGATCGCGCCGGTTAACGCCCTTATTGCAAACTCAGCAGGTGTGCGAACATCAATCAGATATCTGTGGGCCATGGCGCCTGTGGATCTTTATCCCAAGTCAGACAATTGATGTTGAGACGAAGCGAGAGCTGAGAAGAAATTTCGATTGTGGACATTCTGCCTATAATGGACTCATGGCTTGCACAACTCGGATTCAAGGAGGGTTAAGCTTCGACGTCGGGCGTTGCTGCATCAAGTCACGAAAGCATTCACCACGTTTCCACCGAAAGAAAGACATGGCAGAAGAAACACCGCATATCGGCGAGCTCGCTTCAGCTATACAATCTGCATCAATACAGCATCATCCGTCGCCCGAACATGACATCAATCCGTCAACAGCCGCTTCGCTGAAGACACCAGTCCGATTGGACGAGGACGCCAACGATGCAATCGACGACTCAGATCTAGAAGAAGACGAAGTACCACTGAATGTTCTGCGGCCGCTTCCGAGGCGGCAAGGGATGCCTCCATTGCCTGATATGCGCTTCGAGCAAAGCTATCTGCGCAGCATTGAGAAAGCGGATAATTGGATGGGCGTAGCATATATCACGTTCAGAGATCAGGTGTGCAGATCCTCTTACCGGCTAGTTGGCATAAATATTTTACAGTAGGCTGATCTTATTTCAGATCATGCTCCCACTCCTACAAGGCTTTACCTGGTCACTAATCGTATTCGGATGGAGACATTGGAACAGAGCAAGTCAGTTCTCGGGGGCGACGATTGGAGCGCGGATACGTAGATGGTGGTGGGGCGTCAACAATTGGAGGATACCAGACGAGAAGCGAAACATGAGCAACAAAAGGCTAGCTGCAGACGTTCGAGACGTGAGTTGAATATAAATCTTGAGGACGAGGACTGCTCAAGGTGTCACGACGAGGTACACTGACAAAGTGACTAGTTTTATGAGTTCAAGTTCTCGAATGCAGGCTCGGACTAAGGTTTGCACGAACCCTCCCGATTTCCGTGGAATGGCAAATGAGCAGATACCCTCCAGACACATGTGCGTGTACTAGCGAAAGAGTACCGGAAATATACGTATGGCTAGCATCGACATATCCTTTCACATCCATTCGTTTCCGGGTTGTATCTTACAACTTCTCTCCGCAGGTTCATTGTCCGTTATGCGATTTCTGCGGCTTCTCTTGCATCGAATATCCTATGCGCACTAGAGACTTTGTAGAAGGGAGCTGGACCCCCCGCCTCCCAACTAGAAGGTCCGTGGTTTACAAGACATGGTTTACATGCTCAAAGCGGAGTAATGGTAGATGCCGCTTGCGAACCCCTTACGTGATTTTTACATTACGGCATGCGTTGCTTAAAAGCTTGGAGAGAAGTGGTCCTATGCGAAAACGAGATGGAACTGTACTTATAATACAGCATACTGAACACACAGATGCACAACAATACAGATCAAACAGATAGCAGTGTTGTCTCACGTTATCTTAAATCCATAGATATTTCTGGGCACGTTTGTCGCAACCCTCTCTTGCAGTGAGGAGCCGGCAAGAATTTGATCTACCATCAACTTTGCTCCTTTTAAGTTCTATATCCGGCTGCCTCAGTTCCGCCGTCCAATTATGTCGAGCATTTCGCTGTTGGAAACGTCGCTAGAAGATGCTTAATACCAAATGCTTGGTCGGCTTTTTCAAGCGTGATACGTAGGAAGATTTAGCAAAGACCATTTGTCCTGCTTGATATATACAAGACCCCACGCTCGCGGGACGCTAATTTGCGATAAGTTAGACAACCTCCTCGACCACAGAACCAAGTTCTTCTATCCTCTCGATCTTTGCGACGTTTAGGCGAAGATTTTCCGATCCAGTGAGCGCACGAACAATGCGGCTCTCGTTCCTCTCCCTTACTAGTCTTCCCAGAGCAGACACAATGTAACCACTGAAAATTTCAACGCTCCATTCGTCGGGCAACACGCTAAGAACGTATTCGATTTCGAACCAACCACCAAATCGTTCGAGTAGTTCGCCCGTTCTTTCGATACGATCAGTCACATCCTCAATTCTAAGAAATTCAGTGAGCAGGATCTTGAAGAGCTTTGCCTGCTTTTCAAACGCAGCGTCCTTGAACGATGCGGTCGTGGTATATCCGCCACGTAAGCAGTATGAAATAGCCATGTCGAAGTCACCTAGGCCATGTGTCAACAGCCGAATAGCTTGTTCGTGATGTCCCTGTCGCCCATTCAAAATGATCATCTCCGGAACAAGAGCAGTCTCGTAAGGTTGCAGCCTCTCCAGCACAAGATCTACATCGTAGTCCCCTGCACCTCCTTGTGCCCCCCCTAGAAGCTGGAGTAGTCGTAGTCTCGAGTGCCACCATTCTTGCGTTGGTGCATTGTCTTCGATGAATTGTCTGTATGTCGGCTTAGGTGGTACAAGCGCGCGGTAAGTCTCATAGGTTGCCTTCAACATGTTCTGTGACTCCGGCACCGACTCTAGTTCTGCTACCACAGCATCGAGATAGTATGCTATCAGTTCATTTATATGCTGGCTTTGCTTCTTGGCAAATACCAAGTATTCCAAATACTCCTTCACTGCAGCAGGCGCTTTCTCGCGCAGGATCTTCAACGCGTCGCTTGGCGTCCACGTCGTGCGGCTGTTGTCATCTGCAAAAACCTGCACACCAAGTTTGGGGTTGCGCGTGGCTAACCATGTCCCGTAGTCTTCAACAAGTTGCCTGTTTCTCAATTTCGTCAGATACGTTCTTAACTCGTGCTCTCCATCGGTAAATTCGCCACCGGTATCTTCTTCACCAGATATGATTCGTTTCCACGTTGCAAGCACTTGAGCTGCATTTTTTTTGCTCTGGTACAAGCGACTGAGCACATACAAGCGTTTGTGCTGCTCGAGTAACTCGACTGCGCGATCAAAACAATCTACCCCACTGTCAACAACCGAGTTTAGCTCCGCGCGTATGGAGCCTGCCGTCGCGGGCCCCTTGGGGCTCTGCTGGTCGAGAATAAGGAGTATACGTAATAGTGCTGCGTCCACCGTGGGAAAGACGTGCTCGCCATCTATTACACTTGGATTTCCCCTCTTCCGGCGCCATATCAGCAGAAATCGCTTGACAACCTGGAGTAGATTGTCGCCAAATACGCCCTGGTGATCAACCTTAGTTGTGTTTCTCGACAAAGTTATTTGTTCAATAATTTGCTCCACAAGCTGTTTAATTCCGCCCTGCACCCATACACCCTCATTCGCTTGCACAATCTCGTCCCGTATTCCAGGGAGGAATTGTAGCACAAATCTCGGATCGATCTCGCTCTCCACAAGAGCTTCTTCCGTTGCTCGTTTATCATGCTCAAAAGCGAGAGTGCCCCTGTCCGTCTGCAACACAAGATCGATGAAGAGAAGCAGTGCCGCTTTTTGTCGTATGTATGCCAACGTGTAGAACTCGAGCTCGGTTGTTGACCTATGATCCCTTAGGTCAACAATCAGCCTTTCGATGAAGCTTCGCTGAGGGGAGATAGGCGCGTTCGGAGGTGAAGAGGCGCGTTCAGCGAGGCGAAGTTGCGCATCTAGACGCAGAACCAGTGGATTTCGGAGAGCCCAGTATATCGAGTCGCCAGTCCAAACGGTTATGGCAGTTTTGGTCTTGGACATGCGCTGGTAGTAGATTTGTTCTTCGCGCTCCCGTTTGGACACCTTTTCCTGGTCCAATCTTGAAGTTCCAGCATCAACTAATCGAATAGCCTTTTGTGCCAGCCTGTTGACCACATCCGGGAGATCGAACTCGATAGACTCAACGACCTTACGGATTCCCAAAGTGAGCGATTTGGCCCCTTCAAGCTGCTGAGAAGAAGGCACACTGAGCCAATCTTTCTGAGCGGCTCCCTCTCCAGGATCAATGTCCCATCTCTGGATTTCGATTACCTTGTTCCCATCGTCCCTCTCTACGACCGCCAATACATAGCCCTCCTCGTTTCCCTCGAAGCCTTCATCCTGCGTTACAGACGTAGACAAGTCAATTCCCTTGCCATCAACAACCATACCCTCAGGAAACCGGCTAAATTCAATTGTACCACGCACAATTTCACCATCTAGGTTGACAAAAATGCCCAATCCGGGCTCCGTGTTTGTTGTACCAGTAACTAGAAGAAATTCGGAGTCGTTCGGTGATGCGATCATTGGTTTTAAAGGAGACAATGATTTTGGTCCCGGGGCCGGAGAGCCCGAGCGCGATTCTGCTGGAGGCGCGGGAAGGGGTTTTGATAAGTCGGTTGTCCCTTTTGCGCCCTCGGAGCCTCTTCTCTCTGGAGATATTGGCGGTCGAGGAGACATTTGACGGCTGAGGCTGGCAGGTACGTCGAAACCATGACGTGATGACATGCTGTTTCTCGGACTATCTCCAAGACCAGGCGATTCAGTTCTGAAGATGCCTAGACTCGTGCTGCGATTGTGGCCACGATCTTGCACGCTCAATCGACTGCTTGCTGGAACGCCGCCTGAGTTTCCTGCCGAGGATGCACTTCTCGAAACACCGCCCGGGACATGCCATGGCTCGTCTTGCGTCGTACCACCTGATTCCTGAGCTTGTGAGTCTAAACTAGAGATGGGCGGAAGCGCTATTTTCTGCTGAGCTACTAGATTAACTAGTGTGTAGCCCCGGGCATCTGCTACGCAGGCAATATTGCCCCTTCTTACAGTGGCTAGACAGCCTCCAAACTCCTCTATGTCCCGCTCTTTAGCAGCCGCCTCACCGATATTCACAAGCCGAATTTTGCTGCGAAGACACATCATGATAGAGACAGCATCTTTACTCTCCGAGGGCGAGGAGTCTAGGTCCACGCCTCCGACCCATCCACAAGTCAAAGGTTTCAGCTGGGGAAAGGCAGGCGACAATTCTGGAAGTGTATAGAAGTTCAGCGTGTTATTGCTTAATATGCATGCTTTGTTCACCGCGGGGAGCAGGAGAATCTGTTGAATACCCTGGTTACTATGCTGATTAACTGGAGGCTGTAGACGCGATGCGAGTATAAAAACAGCGCTGCTCGAGGGATCGGATGGGTCTGGAGGGATTTGAACATGATGCAGGATCTCGCCGGCGGATGTGCCAATGTACAGGTTCTCCTCTGCGAGACAGGTCAGCAAATTTGCCTTCGGACTGCGGGATAGTTCGACGCGATATGATTGGGATTAAACAAAGCTTACGCCAGACTTCAACGCATGTTATTCGCACATCATTTCCGTCATGAGCGCCGGCACTCAAAGCGACATCATGGATTAGGCTGCGCAAAACGTACGGTCCGGTCTCGAAACCGACGTCTTCCGGAGGGCGGGCTTTCTCTGGCGCTGACATTTCGTACCAAGGACTCTCTGGCCATTGTATCCTCTTCGGGTTTTTATTGTGTTGTGTACATCTCCGCGCAATTGAGGCGGGTGTAAGATATATGTATCTGAGAGAGCTTCCGCTAGGAAACTGGCTCTACTACTGGTGGCGTTCGAACGCGCGGACCGCCGCATGCAGGGTCTACCGTCGTCTCGCGATCCTCTTTAATGGGATGCTGAGGAGACTCACTGTACTTTTTTCCCTCTGTGCGATATCCTTTACGATCTTCAATGATCTCCAGGCCGTAGGAAGCGGCTGTCTCGTGCCCTTATAGACTTGTGTCTGTCGCCCTCATCTGATAACACCGGAACCCATAATCGAACACAGTCGCGAAACCATGGACGTGGCCGCTACAGCAGAGCATGATGTCGTGCCAACAACCGTCGAGGAACAAAAGTCGCGTGGACCGCAGAGGGCGAGCTTAGACTCCAATGGTGGAGATCAAAAGGAGGAGAACAAATTCCAGAAAGCGATAGCCGCATGGCGAAGTGGGTAACCATCTGTCTTCTGCGAGATCGTCGAACAGCATGGCTGACTTGATGCTCGACAGATATCGACCTCACAACACTAATACCTAAACTCGACACCGCAGCTTCAGATTTGGTGGCTCACCAGCGTGACTCCCTTGTTCAGAGGAAGGACCTCGCACAGAAGACAAAAGACTTTCGCAAATTGGACGACGCCGGAAAGCTGAATGATATCAAAGCCTTGCTCAAAGGTTCACATTCATGTACCACTTTTTTACGATATTCAAAGCTGATGGGACTCCAGCATACCAAACCTACATTGACTTAATTACCAATCAGTCCAAAGCTATCCACTCCGCCTTCCTACAAGTTTATACGCCGCTTTCTGAAGCCCCTGATCCCTACCCTCTCCTGGAAGCCTCCATCGATGCTTTGATTACGGCATCCGACACGGTCCCGCGAATGACAGAAGAGAATCAACGTCTTCAAAAACAAGTTAGCAACCTGACATCCCAGCTCGAGCGCACAGAGGAGGAGCTTTCGCGAGAGCGAAACGCACGGCAGGAACTAGAAAGCAGTAGAGACGAGAAGATCAAGAGCGTGGAACAATCTTGGGAAGCAGTGCTAGAAGAGAAGAAAGACAACTGGGCGGCGAAAGAGCGAAGTTTGGAGGAGAAGGTCGAGGGCTTGGAAAGGGTGATTAAGGAGGTCAAGGCGTCCTATGAAGTCGCCCAGCGATTGAACAAAGGAGAGGATGCAGACGCAGATGGCATCGCACGATCGGGCGCTACAGCAGCTGAGCTGGAGATCGTAAGTTCGGAGCTGGATCGCGCGAATCTCCGGATTGCCGAAGTAGAAGCACGCAACGAACAGTTGAGGTTGGAGCTCGCACAGTCTGCATCAAGCTCAGGCACTTCGAAAGCCGTTGAAGACGATCCGGCATACCTTAGACTGCAATCGGAGAATTCCTCGCTGATCCGACGGCTGGAAAATTGGCGATTCGAGAAGGAGTCCGAAAGGCGCAAGTGGGAGGGAGAGTTGCGGAATCTGGAGAGGGAGGTGAGCGCGCTGAAGAAAGAAAGGGAGAATTTAAGAGAAAAAATGCGAAGCTGGAGCGATTATGAAAACTTGAAGCGCGAATTGGAGGTTTTGAAGGTATTTCATTCCTGACCATTCATTTTCTTCGGCGTTCTCGTACTGAAAGCATGGCAGTCGATCGAATTCGCAACGGGCGATGACGATGAAACCGAAGCTGCAGAAGCGCTTCACGAGAGCAATGGCTCAGCTAGCAAAGGAGAAAGCCTCGAACAACTTCTCCTCGCGCGGAATAAGAAGCTCAATAACGAATTGACAATTCTGCGCGTGTCCCACCAGGACTTGCAATCCCGCCTCTCGAAATTGCAGGAAGATCTCTCAACTACAACTGCCGAGCTAGAGAAGTCGCAACGGCTAAACCAAACTCTCGAAGCCGATTTGGAGAAGGTTCAAGAAGAAGCATCTCATGCCTTTCCTTCTAGTGCGATGTCAGTCGCAGGAACATACACAAGTCGCTATCCTTCATCCGCACATCCTGGCCGAAGAGGGCGCAACATATCTCCAACCTCCAGCATCATCTCAGGTTTTGACCCACAGCACGTACCTTCTGGCACGCCGGTCGAGGTGCTGCGCTCCGGAGAGCCTGTAGGCGGCGGAAGTGGAATGCTGCCAATGATTACAGCGCAGAGGGACCGGTACAAAAAGAAGAATGGGGAGCTAGAGGCGGAACTGCAGAAGCAGTACCAGATAGTACAAAGCCTGAGGAGTGAAGTCGCCAGTCTGCAAAGGGATAATCTGAACCTGTATGAAAAGACGCGATACGTATCGACCTACGCCCGAGGTGGTACAGCGGGTGGCAGCGGCTCCTCGTACTCCGCGGCAGCGCCACGGGAGACTGCAATCAGCATCGGCGGCGCGGATGCGAGTGAATCCCGCTACAAAGCTGCATACGAGAGCAATCTCTCCCCCTTTGCCGCGTTTCGAGGCCGGGAGTCCGCACGAGCGTTCAAACGTATGAGCATGCCAGAGCGCGCTGTTTTTCAGGTCACAAGACTCGTGCTCGCAACAAGGACAAGCAGGAACCTCTTTGCAGCTTATTGTCTCGGGCTGCATTTAATGGTGCTAATCATGCTATACCAAATGGGAGGGGACACGTCAGGAGCGGCGATGGTAGTCGCACACGCTCCAATCGGCGCTGGGAAGGAAGATGTAGATACCTAATCATGGCGTTGGGTAATGATGAGAGGCTAAAGCGGATCTTCGGCGGAGTTAACATACTTTTGTCCTTAGGTCGGCTACCGTTCGCACAATACACTGACTTCAGCGTTTTGTTCGCTATGATCTTGTCTCTTTTCGTTTTTCTTTGGGTCCCTGCATCGTTTACAGTTTCCTCGAGACTGGGAGTACGACGCTCTATTCTCCGACAATTCTTGTCTCACTGCATTATCCCGTTGCGGGCATGTTACCCATCGATTCCTGAACACTCAGCTACCAGTTAAGATCTGTGTGTTCCGGGCTGGCGAAGAAACTTTTTCTCGTCAGGCCTTTGGCAATACTAACAATGACTCAGCCAGCGAAAAGTGACACGAACTGTAAATGTCAGCCTCCAGCCGCCCTTCAGCGTATGCATGGACTTCCAAGCGAGCAAAATACCCATTGAGTGATTCTAGATGTAATGCATGAAACGTCAAGCAACTTGCTTCATTGGAAAATGATTGTTCGCAAACCTAGCCAGAACTTCGCAGATTTCAGCAAGGCATTGGTCAAAAATTTTGATCGAGCAATGTAAACTATCCGTTTAAGGCCTACGCTCCCCAAGAATACAACCGTACTTGGTGAGGAGAGCGTACCCGGCGTACACATGATAATTTACAAATTTGATTCATTCTTTGGGTGACGCTACCACAATGGTGGACATCAATGAATAGTGGTGCCCAGTAATTGTCCAAAGGGAAAAAGAGTGCACGCGATATGACATAGCAGTGAATGCCTGTATTGGAGCAAGGAAGACTGGATTCCACAGTCGTTTTCGTGAAGCTGATACGCCTGTGTAGTTTTATCAAGTGCTTTTATTCTGCATATCCAAATTCGATGAAGCTCAAAGACTTCATCTATTCTTCACTTCTCAAATCGCCTAGTGTTGTCTTCTAGGCTGAAAGCGCATGCAATAACGATATAGACAGGTTCCCCCAGAAATTACAAACCTGAGATCTTCTTTTCCACGCTTCTGCGACTCCTGTGCTTTCCTGCGCTATGAATATGAAAGTTTCGTGGAGCGACATGGCGAAAATTCATGTCAGGTCAAGGAGATTCATACGCAAGCTCGCGCTGGTGTGAGTTGCTTCTAGATCGTCAAAAGACCGGAGGATGCAGATGGTGATGTTGATCTGCAATCCCAATGAGGTCTAGCGCTGGAGTCGGCTTTGCTGCAGCTTACTAGCGACGTCGGACGCATCATCGATGCCAGGAACAAGTCCTCGCATGACTTCAAACGATCTTGTCGTTATTGTCATAGGTGCGATGGCTATGCGGACTGTCTTTGAGTATCAATCATAATACCTCACCGGTAGAGATCACGTATACAGCGAACCGGGAAAAAATGGAAAACCCAAGGCTCAAGGCGGCTTTGGCTGACCCCGCAGTCGATCCTGATATTCCTTTCCGAGCCACTCCAAATCACAGACACCACACTTGGGTATGATACATTCTCCCGGTATTTTTTGAGCATTCGTTGCTGAAACGAGATAGGCTCTGACATTCCACTCTCGGCCCGAACTTTACATCCGTCCGCAATCCATACCAGAGATCCAAAAGGTCGTTCACCTTGCGCACAAATGCAGAAAGCGAATTGTGGTTGTCGGTTCGGGACACAGCCCCTCGGACTTGACATGCACGAGTGCGTGGATGGTCAACTTGGATGACTTCAGTGATGTCCTCAAGGTTGACCCGGAGAAGCGAACCATCACCGTTCAGGCAGGTAGACGAATGACGGATCTGAACACTGCCGCAAAGGATCATGGATTGACGATGCCCAACCTTGGGAGCATTGACATTCAGAGCATCGCAGGCGCGATATCCACAGGCACGCATGGCTCCAGTCTATATCACGGAATATTGTCGCAATGGGTACAGAGTCTAAGACTGGTACTTGCGAACGGTGCCGTAGTACGTTGTTCGAAGTCGCAAAACCCAGACCTTTTCTCAGCAGCCTTGTGCTCGCTGGGCGCATTAGGCATCATTGTAGAGGTGGAATATCAGCTTGTACCGGCAACGAACATTGAATGGACGCAAACTCTCAAGCCTCTCGACTACATTCTAGATACTTGGGATACCACCCTTTGGACAACAGCGGAATTCACGCGCGTCTGGTGGCTTCCATACCTGCGTCGTGCCATAGTGTGGCGAGCTCAAAAGTCTCGCAAAGAAATCAGACCGCCGCGGAGCAGCTGGTACGGCGGCATGCTTGGTTTTCACACGTATCGGACACTTCTTTGGCTGTCCGGTTTTTTCCCGAGACTCCTGCCTGCAATCGAGTGGTTTGTCTTTGGCATGCAGTATGGCTTCAGCGAGGACGCAACGACAGATGCGGTAGAAGAGCAGAGGACGGGCTTGTTAATGGACTGCCTTTACTCACAGTTTGTCAATGAATGGGCTATCCCGCTCAGGAGCGGTCCAGAAGCTATTCGCCGATTAGGCGCTTGGATCAATCACAGGGACGAAGAGTCCGGCATTCCGTTTTCAAGCAAAGGCGTGTGGGTTCACTCGCCGATTGAAGTCCGTGTAGCAGACACAAGCACACACAGTGGCCAAGCTAGGCCATTCCTAGATCCGTCCTGCAGGGACGAGCCAACTCTATATCTTAACGCCACATTGTACAGGCCATTTGGCCAGGATCCTCCGTGCAGGGAACGATACTACGAGGCCTTTGAATGGTTGATGAAAGAACTCGGGGGCAGGCCCCACTGGGCGAAGAACTTCCAGACCGTTTCCCGTGCGGACATTGAGCAGATGTACGGCGAGGATCTACAATCTTGGCGCAGAGTACGTCGCGAGGTAGATCCTGATGCGGTCTTCGTTGGCGACTGGCTTCGACGCAACGTCCTCGAAGCCGGTGACTTTGGTGCCTGCGAAGAGATGCAACTTTGGCGCCGAAACAGGCACACTGGTGGCGTAGATTGGATTGGAAGGCAAGTCGCAGACAGCGTTCTTGCACTGAACTTGGAGAAGAGATCACCAAGTGCGGGAAGCAGCGAGGAAAGCTTCGCACATATGGCAGGCGCTGAAGCAGAAGCGAGTATACTCTTGGATGAGTATGAGGATGACGACGTGAGCCCTACCAATGATGGGGCTGCCGAAAAAGGCGAGGCTGATATCATTGCAGAATATATGAGTAGAATGAGAGATACGCGTTAGTCGCTGTAACATTTTGATTTGCAAATATATGTTTTCATACAAATGAGCATCCTGGACGGCAACAAAACTTGACAGCTGTGGAACGCCATTGATGACCGAGTCATAGCGAACGTCAACCTTTCAATTCGTCAATACAACCAGCCAAGGACTTGATGTTAATGCCCCAAACTTAATCTCAATCGCTAGGCGTCGCTGTTTCTCTCTGGGCGGGGCATACAACAAGCAACTTCAGTCGATCCAAGTCTCATTTAACCCATCATTTCAAGTTTGAAAACACTCCGGTTACCAACGGGAACCTGAACCTGAGCCTCGCCGTTCGCATCTGGCTTGATGGCACTCGGTACCTCCTTCTCCGCACCACCTTCCTCAATCGACAGCAAGCGATACGCCTTTCCAGATTTGAGGTCCTTGAAGCCAATGCTGCAGTCCAAGCCTCGCTCGGAGCTCCTCAATACGAAGTGCAAGCCATCCTTCCCAACCGCGTGGCATTTGGCGACCATGACCTTTGGGAACGGAACTCTGTCAAGTTTCGGCGCCATCAAGGCGACATCGTCTTGTGGGCTGTTGATGAGTTTTGCCCAGTCACCCTGCTTCATAGTGCGGGCCTTGAAAATGTTCGAGCACCCAAGCATTGAGATCCCTTCGTTCATGATGGCGCCGTTTCCAGTCGGAGAGTTGACTATCGGGTGCTGACCACCCTCGAGACTTGCGACCAAATCTTTGGCAAGATCAACCTCGCCAAACTCAGCAGCACAGTTGGCGAAGGTGGAGACGGCGAAGCCGGATCCCTTCTTGTAATTGCCAACGTCGATCTTGTCGGCACCAACTGCACCTCTTCAGCACACGGATTCTGTATTTGCTAAAGCATGCAGGATTCACTCACCCAAGTTGTCGATGTAGTATTTTCCGTCCTCGTTCTTCCGGACGTGGTTCTCGCGGGCAACGAGCCACAATCTGCGAGCAAGATTTGGCATCGCTGCGTTGCACGCAAGTGAGCCGGAAATGTCGCCGATAACACCAGCAAGGCCGATGACGGGGAAGCCAGCTTTTTGACTTGTTAGCTATTGCCCAAGCGGTCGTCGTGTGTAGATATTCGTGATTGTAGATGGACAAAAAAGAGGGTGAAACTAAGTGGAGCAGATCGTGGGAACCTACTGATTGCGGAGCGTAGCGTAACAATGCTACCGTCTGGATTCATGAAATCTTCCTCAAATGCGCGATGATAGCGCTCCGAGAGAAGTGGACCCACACGACCAGTGTGATTTAGAACCTCATATGCTAAGGCGCCCTGCATGCCCACGAGGTTGCACAAAGTGTAGATCCAATTGGGCTAAAGAATGAGTTACTCAACCACAAGACAAGGCATCAAGCGGACAAATTTACCTCGCACGGGAACAACGTGTACGAACATTTGTCCCAATTCATCATCAAGGCTTCGAATATGCTCTTCGTGTCATGATGGTACTGGGCATTTTCCGTAATGCGAAAGTTCAGCGAGCCTGCCTTGCAGTACCGGTCATCCCCGTTGAGCTTCTCGTAAAGAGCTAGGCAGAGAAGCATGTAGCCTGTCATCATGATGTTGTCGCGTTTAACCGGGTCCCAGTCCTTTTGTCAAATTTGTTAGCGTTCACGGGGTTGAGAAAGGAATGAACACGTACCAACGTGAATTTCCCCCACAAAGACTCCCATTTCCAATAATTCATGACATCTTCGGTCGTGCTCTTCTCGATTACTTTCTCCTGGCCCTCCTTGATGTAGCCCTGGAAGTTTGGCATGTAGAACTTCTGCACGTATGCAAGTGTCCACTGGAGATTGTACAGTTGATAGCGAAGGGCAGACGTCTGAAACTGATCGATGCGAACGAAATTGGACCAGTCATCCATTTCTTGGTGAGCAATCTGCACGAAATGCTGGAACAATCGCAGATCTTCGAGGGAAAGCTCGCGATCGCTGTCTTCGGCAGGCCTCGGCACAGCTCGAGCTTTCCAAGCTGCGTCCTCTTTGTCTAATATGGAGTTCCTCTTTTGGCCAAGCCTTACTGCCGTCGAATGGCGCTGGTGGGCCGTGTAGAACATGTACGAAATAAGGCCAATCATGAACACTATGACAATCGGTCCGGCCGGCTCCCATACGGTATCTCCAGCAATACCGGTGGAGATGATGCCCGGTATGATCCAGTTGGCCAGGACGAATGCCAGTCCTCCGGCTCCAAACCACGCGAAGAGTGAGAGAGGTATGACAGCGACAGAAAGAACAAGGCCAATGGCTCCAAGGAAGCCCCCAACCGCAAGAAAGCCAGCTCCAGGAAAGAGACATGACAGCCCTGCTACCCGCACCCGGCTATTCTTCGAATTGTAAAAGCTGAATAGCCCAATTGTGGCAAGACATGCATATTGAAGCTGAGTTCGACGTTGGTATCGACCTGTCACAGGCTGTGTTCCAGCAAACGGGGGGATGGAAAGCGTGTCAAAAGTCTTGACTTTTCCGTCTGCGTATAGGATATATGGTAAGCTCCGGTCGTTATCAAAATCAAGCTTGATCGTGCAAAAGGGCTCAAAGAGACTTGTCCTACCTTTACTGTCCGCTTTAGCAATCATCGTGATAAACTGGTCAGTCCCATATATCAAGCGTGAAACTTTATGAAGCAGTCGAACTTCCGTGAGTTCCCCCTTGCCCTTCTTTAATCTTCGCTTTGATGTCGGGGCGGCCACCTAGCAGCGGCGAGTTCTGGTGCGGGGATCGTGTGGTGGGGAAACCTTAAGGCGATGAAGCCGTGCCTAAAGCCCAGAAGGATTGGTCTGCATCGTGCAAGGGCTTGGGATTTTGGCCAGCTCCGAGAAGAAGTTCGACGTCGAAGCGAGTCATCGTGCGACTCGTCAGTGACCAGGGCTCGAACCACTCTGAGCTGATCGGGTATGCGTGTCAGAAAATGCCGAATCCGGGACCCGTGAGTGTGGAACGGGCAAAACAAAAAAAGAGAAAGCTTTTATGATTAAATCAGCTGTTGGCGCAGATGGGGGGCGGGATAGAAGTACAGTGAGGTACAAAGTTATACTCGTACAGCAGAAGTTCACGGTGGCATTAGATTCTCTTCACGCAACATCAAACTGCTATCGATGCCCTCCATCAAGTCTGGGTACTCCTTCCAGAATCGTTCCAAGATTCCCCAGTTGGAAATATCCATGAACTGTGCGTAAAACTCATCAGTTGGCTGGGGCTCGCCATTGTACTCTCGCGTGATGAAATCCTTCGTGAACGTCCCTCTTATTCGGTACGTACAGCACAGAAGTCCGATCACAGACTCGAGCTCGTATTTTGAACCGTACCGTATGAGATTGTCACGCATCTGCGGCCAGAGTATGAGATCGAAAGCGAGATGGTGTTCCTGAACAAGCTGAAGCGGCGTTGGTCGAAAGTACGTGGGGAGACGACTGAACGTATCCTGCGACGGCCAAACAAGCCACTGAACGGCTGGTTAGCAGTGACAAACTTGGATCACACGCCTGCCTTGATCATTTTTTATTCGGAGTTGCTCACTCTGCAATACAAGTATATATGCCAGCAGCTGGCAAATTTCTCGGGCGAAAGCAACGGCAGGCCCGCCAACTCGTCAACGACAAAGTTGGCGAGAACATTGCTCGATCCCCCAAATAAGAGATCGATCGCCTTTGGAACGGGAGGGCATTTTTCCGCCATACTCGGCGTGGCTCGCAGCTGAGCCATGAGCGGTACAAAGCCCTGCCCTCGTTCCAAGAAGCGGAAATTCGCATTGGGCCTATCAACGTTCCACAGCGGGGTCCTGAGCCATTCGGGAGTATCAAGCAGCTTTTTCAGGACAGACAACGAGACAGTGGCATGGCTTGTTCGGAAAGGTTCGCTCACTGGTGGAGAAGAGGCGGCAACAATCGATCCATTCGTAGATGCCAAGTCGGTGTCATGTTGGCTGCCCGCGGTGCTACACGACCTACCACGACAGCCATTGCATATAAGGCTGTGAAGCGAAAGAGGCCCTCTGCCTCGATCGGCGTTCGCTGCAGCCAGCTCCCTTTCCAGCTGCGAGATCTTGGCTTTGAGATCCTCCACGAGCCTCCGCTCACGCTCGCGCTTCTGTTGCTGATTACGTCTATCCCGTTCCCGCTTTCGAAGCAAAGCCTTGGACAGTCGATCAGGGCGGTCTGGTTGCTCAACCGGGGAGCCAGCCGTTGGAGGAACACATGCAGTACCCTGCTGAGCCTGTGAGTCTGTAGTGGCCATGTTGAGTGCTAACAGTGGAGCAGCGAGTCACTGCACTCATTATCTATTTACATCGAGTCAGTTACCCCAGCCTCGATTGTTGATACACTAAGTTAGTTTGGTTCAGCATGCGGGGTACAGAATGCGGAGGCGAAGTGGATATCTGTTTCCCGCGAGTCACCAACTCCTCCCTTGTTCGTTCAAGGACTTTACGGCAAGGAGATGCTCCCGTTTCGACTCGAGCGTGGTCTCGTCTTTACGTGTTGATACACTACAGCTAAGCGGAAAGGATCCCAAGGAGAATACGCACGGAACCACGAACATGGGACCTAATTGAAGCAAGCTTCCGAGAAAGACACGAGTGTCGCAACGAACAAGGGCTACAGTTATAAAAAGCTTCCTAAAGTTCGACTAGTCGTGTGGTGTGCGTGCACTTTGCGTCGAATTCCTTTCGCCAAGTGCTGGTGTGTTCCTCTGCCGAAACCGATGAAGCCCCGCAGCCACAACCAGACGTTCGAGGACATTTGAAGCGCCGAAGAAAACACGAAACATCGTCAAGATAATTGGACAAAGGCAGCTTTAAGAAGAATTTCAGCATCGCTTCTCACGGACGGGCCCTCAAACGAAATGAAAGCTCGTCGAAGCCGTTGCACTTGGTGGCGATAAAGGAAAGACGCTGGATGATTTTAACTCCACGACACAGCGATCTACATGCCACCGGGGACTCTTCGCATCGTGTTGAGACGGCAAAGGGGACGACGAAGCATCGCAAAACAAAGTTCGGTTCGCGCGTTTGCACTCGCCTGACTTTTTCCTCGAAACGCCGCACAACCATTTTCCGGCCTCGGGGGAGTTTGATCGCACAGCCACGAGGGATGCTTCGATCGTTCAGCCGTCGACGCGAAGAAGGTAATTGCCAGAAAAGCAGCCAGTCAGTCGTCCAAAGCGTCTTGTTTTGCTCGCACGCTGCAAGACCTTCTTCCGTCTGTCCGATCCGTCATCCAACTTTGGTCTAAGGTATTTCCCCCCACCGTCCGGCCCAACAAAAGACAAGACGAGAGACACGGCTCCTCCCTCCCCGCAAAAAAAAAGGCCAACAGTGCGTAGCTTCGAACTCGTAATTGCGGACATGAGCTATTAAAACCACGAGAAACAGAAGACGTCGTGCTTAGCCGGCGCCGCAACAGGACCCCGACCTAGGAGCGGACGACGGGCATTTCTGCCGGCGGCGGGCTTCGCGACGCTTTCAGCGCTGCCACCAGGTGCGGGCCGCTGGATCGCATATGTCAATTCAGAAGCTGCTCCCCTCTTGCTTGTTTCTCAAGTAGAAGGGTGGCATGCCGGCGTTACTCGCGAGTTTGAAGAATCGTTGCGCTCATTTGGCAGAGAAGAGCAGTTGATCTCCCAGCCAGCACTATCATCTTGAAATCCCGCCGGCTTCTTTCATGAGGCTGGAGGTACACAGCGCAAAGCTGAACCAGTCTGCGCCGGCGGGCTAGTAAGATGTAAAGGGGGCTGCGCCGTTCAGTGTATGTAAGGTTCCACGCGTCTGTACGAGTGAAATGTAAAATGCCGCAGCTTGGAACTCTATTTGTTAAGCTTGAAGCTCATGGTGAATCCTGTGCAAGAGGACCAAAACGAACAAGTATTACTTTTCCACGTCCACGTATTTCATAAACATGCATTGCGTGCGTAGAGCATTCCCGACCGCCAGCTCCTCGTGCTGAATTCATTCCCGCATGGCTGCTCGTGCCCATATGCAGTACTCCAAACTAACCAGCCCTCTAATGATACATATCCGTTCATGAATTAACTCTCAGACTTGCTAGTGCCGCACTCAAACCCACACACCTCAAGCTACCAGCTCTACGAAGACCTGCCATCAGGCTCTCCGTGCCTCCCACTCCCCGCTCGTTGTCCCAGTTTCTGAAGCAGAATCTCATGTCCCGTGGTGAGCCTTCCATAACCACAGTTGAAACGGGGACAAACGGACGATCTTGCGTCGACGCGGCGAGAATACCGTAGTCCTGAGCGAAATGGAGCGCGGCGGCGAAAGCATGTGACTGGGATTGAGCTAGCGGCCCTATGATGCTAATTGTATCGTCAGTGGGAGACTCGACGAAAGAGCCGAAAAAAAAAAACAAATCTACTTACACATATACCTCAAAAAAGGCGTCGAGCACAAACACGGAATCCGCTCTCAGATCCGCCTGTCCAAACGGCGCTATCTCCACAATCTTGGTCGTCAAGGTGCCCGTCGGCGTGGCACTTAGTGGTGTTCTCGGCTGTTCACTAGTAGTTGGCGATGGCTCTCCCAAAGTAGTAGAAGTTGTCGGCGTCTCAGCGGTCGGCGTGCTTGGGGAGGAGGCGTTGTTGGCACCGAAGCTCGACCAGCTTGGCCGCCGCTTGATGACGTTGCTGAGAAAACTACTAACCTGCAATGACATGCTCTTCTGACGCGTCTGCTCGACCCTAAAAAGCCGCACCCCGTAATTGTCGTGGCGCGGTCGAAGGCGCCAATGGTCCGCTGAGCGGGGCATTGTGTTCTTGGGGTACTTAGGCAAAGGAGGGAACAGCGAAAAGAACGAAGCGGGCTCCTTGCCTTCTTCGATCTCAGTAAGATCTGGCATAGGTGAAACGTCCATAGTGATAAGACGTGCAGAACTGAGCTCCTCTTGGTGACAACCGATGCCCTTCCAAAGGTAGAGCTTATTGTTTGCGGAGATGAGGTAAGGGAATCCCGAGCAGAAAGACTGTAGGCTGAAGTCAACTTCGTCGAAGACAACATGACCGAGATGTCTGCGCCCGCAAAGCACGAACTGCAGAGGTACGCCGATCGAACTGCGTGATTTCGAGCCCTTGAACGTGATAAGGATTCCGCCAAGCGCCTGTATGAAGTTTGGCGTCTCCTGTCCTTGTTGAATAAGAATGAATTTACCACTGTTGTCCTTGGCCACGCGCTTGCCGAAGAGCTGCGCATCCTCCAGCGCCGCTGGAGAAACATCTGAGCCGGCCCAGAGATAGACCTCTGTGGACTTGACACCCTTGGACGTGCTGAACACGTGTGTGCACACGTACATTGATTGATCAAACAGTATGTGTTCTTGGTGCGATGCAACGGAAGTCAATTTGCCATCGTTCGTGATTTCTTGGAGCTGCTTCTTGATCGTTGTCACTTTCTCCGTAGACAGAGGTGAAGACTCCAATATTGACAACGTGTCGATGTTCTCAGGCCTCGTCGCCACCGGTCTTTCATCGAAAAAGTCTCCAAACAACCGAGTAGCTTCCGAAGTATGTGGGATAGGCGACTCGGCGGGAGCACCAGGCTTAGGGCTCTCTGCCGGAGTCTTAGGCCCAGCGTTTCCGTTAATAGGTGAAGGGCGAACACTCAACGGCGGTGATAGAGGCGACTTTTTGCCAGACCTCGAGATCTCAACGACTGCTGAAGAAGCCGTTGCTACTGATGAGATACCCAAGCCCGTTGTACCTGACTTTTGCCCGTGTGTCGCGGCTTCTTTGGTCGGCTTTTGTGGGTCGACTGGAGCCTGTGGCGGTGGCATTAGCCCAGCATCTCTCATCGCCTTTTCTTCATCCTGTTTTGTTGGCAACTTGATCGGTGAACGCCTTCCAGAACTGAAAGGCCCAGGGGACTCTTGTCTTGCAAATAGTGCCGTTGAGTCTCGAACAGACATTGGTGCCATGGAGTCTTCAGAGGCCGGGGCTGGAGAATTGTTACTTGATCGCGATGGAGGGGTATTATGGAATCGCTGCTCGAACAAAGCACCAATTGCGGCTTTGCTAGTCGTTTCTTTTTTTGGTGTCTCCGTTTTGGAGTCGGCTGGCGGCGTAGGGAGTGGCCGAGTTTTCGTGGGAGAGGGTGACTCGGCAGGCTTTGGTGATACAATGTTCCCCTGTTGTTCACGTAGTGGAAGACGATTGGGTGTGCTGGTCCGCTTGGAGGTTTCCGAGTCCACGTCAGGCTTGACCTCTGCGCTTGACAGCCGTGATGATTTAGAAGGTGTAAGCGGTTTTGTCTTTCTGGCTGGTGTGTCCGGTGCTTCTGGCTTTGCCTCAGCCGCCATGCTGAGCGTTGACGATGCTGGACTGCTGTGAAGCACTTGGCTTGGTTTGACCGGTTGAACACTAGGCAATCTTGTATGCATCGGTGGTGTTCTGTCGGCTGGCATCGACCCAACGGTTGATGTCGCTGGCTTCGACTCCACATCAATCGGTTGTGGCTTCGCCGTAGTTGCCTTAACCTCTTCCTTCGCCTCCTCAACCTTTGTCTCTTCCTCTGCCGTATGCGCAGCCTTGCCTTTCGCTCTTCTCTTAGGTCCTCTAGCCCTACCTTTCGTTTTGTGCTCCAACTCCGGGCCGGTACCTGGCTGCTCATCCTGAGTAGTTGTCCTGGATAAAGCAGGTGAATCGCTTGGACTTGCGCCCTTGCTCGCACTGCCACTTCCCGGCGGACCTCTCGCTAACATACTCGCGAGTGCAGGATTGAAACGATCGGCCAACTTGCTCGATACACCAGGCTTGACCATACCTGCCAGACCAAAAGGCTGTGCAGTTGATTTCGGTGCGGAAGGCTCGACGGGGTTTTCAGCGTATTTATCAACTGGTTTTTCGACAGAAGTTTCGACCGCTTTCTCCACAGCAGGTTCTGGCTTTGCCTTTTCAGAAGTCGAAGGCCCGGATCCAATAGTCAAGTTCGAGATCCTCTTCTCCGCTACAGGTGGAGGGCTCTTTTCCTTGACAGCTGGACTTTCCAACTTTGCATTTGTGACCGAGGGTTTGGCCTGGCCCCTCACGGCCCTCATTGCTGCAAGTGCTTCGGGTGTCTCCTCTCTTGAGCTCCTGTTCAAGCCAGACGGCATCGCATCCTTTGCGCTCTCCGACTTGTTTAGCGTCTTTCTCCGCGCCAGCGCCTCCGGCGTGGACGGTAGCTCTGCCGGTTTTTGCGGACGCGGAGGCGCGTCACCCGCCTCGGCACGCGCCTTAATTGCGGCCTTTTGCGCGTTAAGTTGTTCTTTGAGCTCGTCGACGCGCTTGCGCTCCGGGACGCCACCGGTGACGTTTAGCGCCGCCTTCCCACGTGTAATGTTATCCTTCAGAGTGTCTGGCGGTACCCAGTTCTGCGTCTTCGTCCGTTTCAGATTGCCCAATAAGTTCTTGAATTCCGGTTCTTCGCTCTTGCCAGCATCTGGAGGTGGCGCACGAGACTTTAGGTTAGCGCGGAAGTCAAATTTTCCAGGAGAAGACGGCATGGCTGTTTTCGCAGGCTCAAAGGAGTTGGTCCGGGTTTTAACCAGGGAGGGCGGTGGCGAGGGAGAGGACGGCTTGGCTGAGGTGTCCGGCTTATCTTTGGCTAAGGCTGCGGGCTTTGCAGCGACTTCTGGAGAGGGCGGTTTCGCTTTTGGCTCCGTAGGCGACAAAGGTTTAGACGTTGGCATTGGTGCGGGCTTGGCCTCTGTTACTGATGAAGGACGCGATGATTCTTTTGACGTAGGCTTCAAGATCTCGCGGCCGAACGGCAAGACTTTCGGTTCGGTTGAAACTGGACTGGAGAGCTCCTTTGCTGGCGAGGCAGCCCTTTGTTGCTTTGCTTTGTTGATCTCTACCATCCAGGACGGCTGCGCAGGGGGAGGCTGTGCCACAACCTTTGGCTTTTCCTCCTTCAGAAGGCTTGATTCCAGCCAGCTCGACTTGGTGGGGCTCCATCTCTTTGAGGGGCTCGCTGGAGAGCCGGGCTCGTTGCCTTGCTCGTTGCTTAGACTGCGTAGCGATGCCACCGATTTTGACCGGCTATGGCTGCGGTCCGGCAACGAGGGTTTAACAAAGCCATCGGCATCCTTTGCGGTAGAGGCATTCTCAGAGCGCTGCGTGACGGTAAGATTGCTGTGGCTAGAAGTAGGCCGCGAACTAGGTTCGAGGGAATTGTCACGGCTGGCGGATGACGCGAGATCTGTGACTGGCATGGCGCCTCCATATCCATTACGGTTGCTGGCCGAAGAGCCCGTTCTTGTCAAGCCGGCGCCGGACTGCTGACTCCACCTCTTGCTCACGCTGTCCGCACGTTTGAGCATTGCGCTCTCGACGAAGCCTCCCATGCCCTTCGTTGGCGACGGCGGTCGCGCGCCCAACGGTGTCTTACGCTCTGACGGCGAGGGCTCAAGTTTTGGCGCGTCCAAGATAGAGGCGGGTGGAGACTTCATCCTCAAGGAGCCAAACTCCGTACCCGCAGTGGTGCTCGAGTAGCGATTATTGCTGAATGTGCTGTCCCTGACGGAATTGGTGCGTGAGGGTGAACTGGAGCGCGTGCTGTCGGGCGGTGGACTGCCCGTGACCTCTGCCTCCGCCGTGGACTCGCGCGACATACCTGGAAGCCTCATCCTGCCTGCGCTCGAGCTGGTGTTGTCCTCCTCTTGACTCCGCCGGTACGCAGCGGAGCCGATGCCCCTGTCCGGCGTCTGCCTGAACCAGGTCGGGTCCTTGGAGCCCAATGCTTCAGCAATCTGCGCGCGCGATGGCTCTTTATCATTCTCCGATGATGGATCAGGCGTGCTACTCCCGGACGCATCAGGGCTCGTCTTGAGAGGGCTTCTGGCTCTCTCCGGCGTGTCTCTTGGTGATCTCGCGGCGTTTTCCTGGGCAAGCCACGACAATGGTCGACGGCCATCACCTCCCCGTGACTTCGGCCTCTGCTGCCACGACAGCGTGCCCGATCTCGCCAATTGGCTTGCCGTCTGCGGTGTCGACGTCGTGGGTGAGGTGGTGCTTGTTTCGTCCGCCATCTTCGCGTTGGAGGTGGTCTCGCTGGCCCTGGGTGACGCTGGTGTACTGTCTCTTGATGCTCGCTGCGCCGGCTTCTCGGGAGAGATACTTCTCGCGCGTTCTGTCAAGGAAAACACATGCACGTCAACACTCAACAGTCCCCACATGCAGCGAGCGCATCAACACGCGTAACGCAGATACCAGCGCTTCAACAAAATTTTTTGGTCTCTGCTCATGGACACGACCTGACTCACCAGCACGTCTCATTTCACGCTCCCGCCGGCCTTGCTCGATCTCCTTCTCCAATGCGGCGACCCGCTCTGCGTCTTCGGCGTCCTTCTTCGCGCCCAGATTCTGGATCGACTTCAGAAACTCGCTCGGCGACAGATCGTCGTCTTGGTGGGAGGAGGCCATCGTCAGCGTAGCCAGCGAGTGGCCCTATGAATCGATTCTATTCTGGGAAAAAGAGGTGAACAATCGGGATCTCCCCAGCATATGCGCGCTGGCCCTCGAACGACCGGTCCTGGCTACGTGCAGCTCCTCTTGGGCAGGGATTTACCCGCTTTCGCGGACACGCATTGGCTTGTGTGGATAAACAAAGCAGCAATGGAGCAGGACGACCAGGCTCCCGCGTACGCAAGCGATAGCGAATGGCAGGCAACGGATGCAATTGATGGAACGAACGGAAAGCAATAAGGCTTGTTCAAGTCCAGACGGAGTGACCTTCCGTTCTTTTTCCTCGTTCACAACGGCTGTCAAAATCTTGGGCAACGAGATGAGCGCTGGGGGAAACCGGCGGACGTGTGTCTTAGCGGCTTTCGCGCTCGGGCTCTCCTGCGCCATCTCACGTTTCCTCGAAGCTTCGGCCTGCGTCGCGCGTCTCAGCCTTTCGAGAACGCCACCCGTCCTCCGTCCATCACCTCCTTTGACCAGCATCGTTCCACGCACGTTTTGTGCCCCCTCAATAGTCGACAGATCGCATGGTTTCATCGCTGGCCCGCCCCGTAATAAAGACATCTCCTCGTCGCGGCATTTTGGTGCTCTCCCGTACGCCAGCCCATCCTGTACTTCCTGCCACCCCCTTTTCCCCTTTCTCGTCCAGCATCCGAGGAGACTCCTCGATTCTTCACGACACAGAAGGTCTTCCCGCTAGTACAAAAACATCCTCTCCTTCGCATCCGCCACCACCCAATCAATGCCCTCCCTCAGCCCCTCGCCCGTCACGGCACTGCTGGAGACGATCTTCCACCTGTGTGTCTTGATCTGGTCCAGTTCGAGAGCCTGTTCCCCTCGTCAGCCTAGACAAAAGAAGAAAAACAAACAGGTAGGCCAGCCGTGGGGCGGCGTTCTATGGCAACGCGTTCCCCGTCTTTCCGGTATGGCCCGGATCGTTACCTTTCGAATCTCCTCTTCACCCAAACACCCTGGCACATCGCTCTTGTTTTTAAACACAAGTAGGCTTGCACCCATCAATCGCTGCTGACCAATTAGCAACGGCTCCAGCCTTGTCCTCGTTCGCGATCTGGCTAGCACGTACTTCTTCCACGAGCAGCTTTTTGAGTTCGTCCCTGCAGTCCGTGAGACGGGACGCGTCCGTGGAGTCCACGACCCAGATCAGCGTGTCCGTCTTCTCAAAGTAGTTCTTCCAATACGTGCGTAAGGATTTCTGGCCTCCGACGTCCCCTGGGCGGCATCAGCACATCTCAGAAACCTTATCCAAAAGCAACGCACAGATGTTGAGCTGATAACTGCGGGATTTTTGTCAGCTCTTTTCAAGAGCGCCTATCGACATCACAGCCTATCTTACCCGTCGACCTTTATCGTCCGTATCTGGAACCCGAGCGTAGGGCTTATGTCGTCAATAGGCTCTCCCAGCAGTTTCTTCGTAATGGTTGTCTTGCCCGCCGAATCTAGACCACTTAAAAGTCACAGGTCAGTGAGGAACAGACGCGCTGACTTGTCTTTCCTGGGACGCGAACGCACAGCAGCAGAACACGCATCTCCTTGTCCTTCAGCCTAGCTTTCCGCAGGATTCGTAGCATCTTCCGGCACCGACGACAAAAAGAATCCGAAAGACGGTGAGAGTGCGTGGTGTCCTCGACGTGACGAATCTCGTGCTGTGTAGTTTTGTAGAGCGCTGATTGGCTGGTGGATTGTGCTTAGCGCTTTTCCGCTTTCTGACCGCGAGGCTGAGTGGAACCACTGTTGATGTCGAACAACAAGGCTGCCAGAGAGAAAACCTGTTGTAAGAGTACTCGGAATGCGTCTTGGTGTTCTTGGGTCTTGAGAGCAACGGTCAAAGGCTTTGAGCCCTTTCACTGTGGTCAACTTCTCCTGATAGCATTTCCCCATCAGACCTGAGATCGCGATAACATTGTCGCAAGAGATGGCTGGGAAAAGGATGGCTATTTCGTTAGACCAGAATTCGGTGATATTTGTCTAATTAAATGGGTTGTTCCTAATATGACAATAGCCCCCATAGTTCGACAAGCTACCTCAATATCCCCTCAGCGGAAAGCAATCCATTCACCCTTTCGTCATCCACAAATGAGTAGCATTTATCAAATCATTCAGCTGAATTTATCGGTGGCCACCCTTAGCCAACGGTTCTGCGCGGCGCCGTAGGTAACCGAGCACGTTCTTTTTGTCGTCGAGCAATCACTCCGTCTTTCGTGGCCAACATTTCAACATCTGCAAGGTGTCCAAATCCAGTTGAGTCGTACTGTGAATTTTCAAATCGGGACGTCTCTACATGTCTCGGGATCACAGATGGGAAACGTGCCGTACATAAGATTGACGAAATGATTTCAAGCTACATCCCGATACACCTTCGCTTCAGCAGCGGCGAGTCAAGCGAACTATCTCCTCACAATGTCAACAAAGAGGCGAGCAGCGACAGTGTGGATGGCCATGTATCCATCAACAATGGGAGTCACAGTAGAGATTTCAAGGAGATACCAGATATCAACGACGAGTCTCACGTGAAAACAAGGTTCATGGAGAAAGAGGGCCATAAGCATGTTGCCGCGCCCTCTGATGCAAAATCAGCAGGTAGAACGTCTCGTGGCGAAAAAGAATCAGGCAACGCTGAGAAATGTTCGAAAACATCTACTGAGGAGAAAATCACATCGGCCCAGACAAGAATTCAATTCAAGCTACTTTCGGAGCCTTTGGACCCACGAAGTTCTCCTCGTCTTCCAATCTCAAACACGAGGCTAGTGTTGGCGCGTTCTATTACGGCCAAGTAAGTCATCCAAAGCCACCGGCTACACACTTTATGCTAATTTAGACAGCTCAACGGTCAGACGACGTGACAATTCCAAAGGCAACATGACCGACATAAGGCCGGCCTCTCGAGAAGATTTTCCCGGAAGCAAACTAAATCAACGTTCAGCAAATGAAGATTTGATGAACAAAAAGACGGCTGGAAGCCATTTTGAGCTAAATTCAAGTAAAATTCCGAACACTAAATCCATTATCCGGCTCAAACCACTTCAGCCTCCGGAAACGAGTCGGCCTTTTCACATTCGCTCAGTTGTAGCTCACAAAAATGAGGGCACGACATCGTCACGTAATGAATACATCAGGGCATACAAGAAGTACTATATTTTGAAAGAGTCAAAGATCTATCAAGCACCGCAAATGAGGAAACCGGGCGGTTGGTTGACACGTGCAGAGCGTAAGGCCATTTCGCGAACTCTTGTTGACTTCCAAAGCCTCGGAGGAGCGACCGAAGTACCCTACAATGATCGCGGATGGGCAATAAGTCCTGATATAGATTGGAATTCCCCTAATCAGCTTCTAGATTGGGAAGGCAAAATCCTTCCACCTCCAGTAGAGTGGGACGGGCGTCGGCCGTGTGAGCGCGACAACTGGTGCGACTTCATCTTCGAGTACATACGCGAGAGCCAGCCTTGGTTCGTGAAGAGTGGTGGGGAGGCAAAGTATGAATCTTGCTGCGTCGTAGACACCAACCGAGAACTTTTTAGAGCCAGTGAGAACGGCGAGATCGCACCGCGAGATTGGATTGTGGAGACTGTTGAGAATCAGCCACTGCAGTCTTTCTGGAGGTTCTTTTTTAAGATCCCTCCGGCACCAATTGATCTTGAGGATGTGGGAGACGACCCATTCTGGCTTCGCTACGTCCACGGGTCAAGCATGTTATTGCCGTACGATCACGGCGACTTCCTCTGCGAGCCAGTCACTGATAGTGGAGAGACAACAGAGGAACAGGAGGCTTATCGTTTGTGGATGCGTTCAAAGAAGCAAACATCGAATTTGCTGATCATTGAATTCTTGGGAAAACGACGTGAAGAAGGTGGAGAACGGCGATATCTGCAACGAAAACAGAAACTCGTTCGTCGCAAAGCCGAGAGAAAGCTAAAGATCGTACCTCCACCGAATTCCAATCGTCCCAAGGTTAAGATATATCTCCGGCCTGTGAATATCAAAACCGATAGCCAAGGAGTGTATGACATCTACGAACATTACGCTAACAACACAGCATATGCGTCTGAGCTGCGAGCTCCTGAGCTGAAGGAGATGATTGGACGCTTGCACAAAATAGAGGCCACAGCACTTCCGATGATTGTGGCCATCGAGGGCTCCAAGCTTTCAAAGCAGAGAGATCCCATGAGCTACAGGTGCGTTGAAAAGATACTCGGCTTTGCCTTTGCGAATGAGGATGCAGGTTGTCGCACGCAAATGAGCCATGTCGTGAACTTGGAGACATACGTTCACAAGGACTACCAAAAGAAAGGGATCGGCAAGACTCTTCTTGATCGCATGTTGTACTTACTTGACCCACTCTACCACTGCGTCAGCGATGTGCCCTGGGAACCTCCCACTGACAAACCAGAGTTTTGCACTCCAGGAGGCGGACGGGTCGTTGGCACCTTGCGGATTGTGCTGTACTACGGTGTAGACGAGCGCGCCCGTTGTGTCTGGATCAGGGAATGGTTGAGCCGATACGAATTCCAAATGGAGGCAGACTTTAGTAGATGTGGGATGAAGCTGAATCAATGGTATTTACCCACCTTTTCAACAGAATTGATCATAGCTGACCCATGTCAGGACGCGTCAAGCCATCTTCCAACGTCAGACTGGGCACCTGCTCGATCCGAAAGCCGTCGTGCGATCATTTCTATGAGATTTAGAGGAATGTCACGCATGTGATTCAACTAGAATGAAGAATGAAAACATAGCAGGCAAACGTGGCCTCAAGCTAGAATGTTCTTCACTGGACACGGCTCGCCAGATGCACATGTTTACCACTATAAATGCAAGAATGTCGTAAATAGAGAAGCATACCTAAAATGTAGCATAAGGTCCGGTTCTCTCTGAAGGTGCTCCAAAAAGGTCTCAAGATAATCCAATACGAGCCATGCCGTGCGAAATGATCCATGCACCAACAGCAAAGAATAGCATCCAACAGATCCAGCCGTGTTAATTAGTCTCGATTATCAGATAAATGTTTGAAGTCTATTGTAAGGAGGAGTTCTGCAAATCTAGCTCCATACTTCCATCTGCCCGGCCCCCGTGTCCAAGTTCATGCAATCCATCTTTCTACGCTTCCTTCTTCCTGGCAAGCACCCACAGGAAATTCGCGTCCACCACGTCCCTGACCACGTCGCTCTCCAGAAGCTCCAGCCCAGACTCCTCCAACATCTTCTTCGTTCTCTCCGCACCCCACGCGGACCAGTACATCCAACCGCCCTCAGACAGCCAGTTTTCGTTCACGAGTCCCTCCAGTTCCTCCTCGGAAAAGTTGGCGAGGAGGTAGCCACCGGGCTGGAGCCATTTGGCAATCTTCCCGAGCAGCTGCGACTGTTCGTCGCGCGGAAGGTGGATGATCGAGTACATGCCCACGACGGCCAGCAGGGACGAAGCGGGGATGTCAAGGGCAAACATGTCGCCTTCCATCGCAGTGATGCGGTCCTTGTGCTCCGCGAGATTGTCCTGGAGAAGCTGCAGCTGACGCGCGGAGAGGTCGTTGGCCATGTATTGGACCGTGGGTGCGAACTCCAGAATAGCCTTTCCAGTTGGGACTCCAGCCCCAGCACCGAGCTCCAAGATTCTCGCCTCCTCACCCTCTGGGATTCGTAGCCTGTCGAACAGCTTCTTGAGCCAGGGTATTCGTATGTGGCTATGTGGTTCTGTCCATTTGTTGTACTCGATGGCTATATCGTTGTATGAGGCAGCGAGACGCGCCTTCAGATCCTCTGGAGGCCTGTACGAAGACTCTGAGCCCTTGGACATGATGATTTTCAGTCATTTAGAGCTAAAGCTATGCAGAGACAATGTCTTCGCTATATACATTACATTCTCCGGTGTTCCAATCCGGCAGGTCGGTGACGAGAATTACGTAAGCTCAGGCGGGCTGTTTTTCAAGGCATTTTGTTCGATATTTGCGCCAGTCAATGATGATTATACTGATAAAGAGATACTTTTGTCTGTAATGCTTGCTAACCCATCCATCCTGGCCGTTCGTTGCATCTCCGAAGCGGCAGCGCAATTTTCGCCCTTCAGGATCTGCGTAGAATAGACAGCCTGGCGGGGCCTTCGGCGTAGGATCTTGTGAACACGAGTTTTGCGAGAAGGATGCAAGCGTTCTTCAAGACTAGAGGCTATTCGCGTTATGGACATCATCTGCAGAGGAGAATCCTTAATTCGAAAAAGGCGAAAATTTTCGAAAATGATTCACGTCATAACTTATGTGTGGAGAGGTCATCAAAAACATTCTCCGTCGGCCCTTGCGCTTGACGGCTCTTGCTGTAGAACTACCTTGCCAGCAACATGGAGAACAAAGAGACGCAAGAGAAAATCGCAAACGAACCCGTTGCGACGTTACCAATAATGTTAAGCGAATATGGCGAAAGTAATCTTTGGGGCACCTTTTGTGGTCCTTGGCCTTGGCTGTCCTCTCGGTCGCGTTTCACGGCAATGCTCTGCGTCGAATCTGCCGTCGTCTTGCAACGTCCTGGGATAGCTGAGCAGCAGAACGCACCACGCGCTCATCAGAGCGACGTTACATTATAACTCGATTAGAGCTTGTTCCGCCTCTCGGGCATCAATTCCCCGGACATTCACCCTGGAGATCGTGGGGCGCGAGAGCGCCAAGCAGAGTGGGCTTCCTCTTGATTCGATCTCCGCACCTTGAAGTGATGACAGTGGCGGGGAATGCAACCGTCTCGAGGGTCGTCTACTTGTAGTATTTGCCCCATGATGCCTGATGCTCTTGCTCAATGGCAGGATGTGCGTCATTCTTAAGAACATGGACGCACTTCCTTTCATCCGTTTTCCCTTTTCAATCCCAGGACGTTGCCTTCCTTCAACTATCTTGAAGAGAGGTTCTGGAAGCGGTCTGAGCCAGCCTTTTGGGATCTGCAGATCCTTGCCACGGGGACAGCTATCGCATCAAGCCTACAAAGCCCGCGGGGTTCAGCGTGGGAATCATGGCCACGTTAAGCTTTGAGGACAAGTCCGAGATTGGGCATGCTGAGAACGCATTGTCCGAGCCGACGACCACGAAGTCGGCCTCAGCGACGATGGAGCCGCCAGATCTCGTGAAGGCAATGTCGCAAGAAGAGCGAATCGCGTTCGAGAAGCATCTCGTGCGAAAGATCGACATAAGGCTTCTACCTGCCGTGGTCATCATGTACATCATGAACTACCTGGACCGAAACAACATTGCTGCGGCGCGTATTGCTGGACCGAATGGCAAAGGCTTGCAGGACGAGCTTGGCATTACCAACACGCAGTGGCAGTTGTGTGTTAGCATTTTGTTCGTCGGCTACATCTTGATGCAGGTTCCCTCGAACTTGGTCTTGAACAAGATCGGCATGCCGGCACTCTACCTGCCGACGGTGATGATCGTTTGGGGAGTGATTTCTGGTGCAACTGGTGCAATCCATAGCTTTGGAGCTCTTGTAGCGATTCGATTCCTTCTCGGCTTCGTCGAGGCGGCCTACTTTGTGAGTGTCCTTACTTCCTGACGAGGACCTTGGCTAAACCTCATAGCCCGGAGTCCTTTTCTTCCTCTCGTCCTGGTACACGCGAAAGGAGCTGGCATTACGCACCGCTTTGATGTACTCGGGATCGTTGATTTCTGGCGCTTTCTCCGGTTTGATCACGGCCGGGATCACGAAAGGGCTTACGAACGCGCGTGGCCTGCGAGCCTGGTACGTTCATCGTTTTTCCGTTCCTTCACTTTAACTAAGTCTTCTCTAGGCGCTGGATGTTCATAATCGAAGGATCCATCACGGTTTTCATCGCCTTCGGCTGCTTTTTCATTCTTCCCAACTTTCCTCGAACTACCTCATGGCTGTCCGAACAAGAGCGACAGCTGGCCGTCTGGCGACTCCAAGAGGACATAGGGGAGGATGATTGGGTCTCGTCCGCGGACCAAGGACTCTGGCATGGCTTCAAACTTGCATTCTCTGACATCAAGACCTACATTCTCATGATATTACTTCTTGGCGTCGTTTCGGCCGCATCCGTCACGAATTTTTTTCCCTCCGTCGTGAGCACCCTTGGCTACGACAACATCAAGACTCTCTTGCTGACGGTACCACCGTACGCCCTTGGCGTCATAACTGCAATGCTCAATGCGTGGCATGCAGACAAGACTGGCGAAAGATACTTCCACGTCACACTCCCGATGTATCTTGCGATCGTGGCATTCATCATTGCCGCTGTGACGACCGCAACTGCTCCGCGATATGTGGCCATGATGCTCATGATTCCGGGCATCTACACTGGCTACGTAGTCGCTCTCGCCTGGATCAGCAATAGCATTCCTCGTCCACCAGACAAGCGAGCTGCAGCACTTGCCGGCATCAACGCCGTCAGCAATGCAGCGCAGATCTACGCAAGTTTCATGTATTACGACGCTCCTCGATACAGTAAGTACGTCGTTATACCACTATTTCGCCAGCTAACCGCTACGAAGTCACACCTATGATTGTGAATTGTGTCACCATGGCGTTATCGATCGTTATGGCCACGTTACTACGGTTCATTCTTGTCCGTCTGAATAGAAAACTCGATCGTGGTGAATACGTTGAAGGAGCTGTCAACGCTGGCAGCGCTATACCAGAGGAGGCAGCAAGCAAGGGCTTTAGATTCTTGGTCTAGCACAATCTTTTGTCAACTAACAATGAATCCGTCAATCGACGCGAAAGCTTTCAAAAGTGCTTACGTTGGCCTTGTGTCATCTTTCCATGGAGATAAAGACGTATAATAGCCAGTGCTATTGTGACCAACGATGTTCATGACGGGACTGCACGTCTCACACAGGCAATTCCTACCCTTGAACTTTGGGAATCAAACAATCATATGATACTTTTCCTTTGCAGACCGGAAAATAGAACAGGCTACATGCGATTCAAACAAGTAGCCTTTGCTTTGTGGTTAAGGCAAGTGTATGACGGCACTATCTCTAACCATATATTCTACTCTGAGACCATGCGAGCGCCGAATTGAAAGCATGGATTTTCAGATCGTTCCAGGCAGGTACAATGTGTCTAAGGAGAGCTTAGTCAGTGTGTCTAGCCCTATTTCAATGTCTACACTGAGCGGGGAATCGCTGCGAAAAAGATTGCGGTCTTGTGGCCGGTCCCAGTCCGTGCTGTCAGCATGCTTGATCAAAGTCGCTCTGCCAAGTACCGACGGCGATTGAGAGGATCCTCGAGTGATCACTGCGGCGGCAGTCGAGTTCCAAAACTGACATATTGTGTCGCCTGGTTTGGCGTTCGACGAAACTAAGCCTAAAGTGATGTTTGACCCTATGAACAAACGAGGCGATGCCTGTTCTGAGCCGTCGAGAGGAAGAATACGACGCATTCGATGATCCGCGGACGCGCCAAGCAATATCGAGAGCCTTTCGTTTAGTACTAGAGCTTCCGTCCTCTCGATCTTATCTCGATAAAACTGCTCAACTTCAGTAAACCAATTATCGGAGACCTGTGGTCTAGCAAGATAGTCTACATAAAAGGGCCCAAGCTGTTGTACAACGGTAGTGCATGCACAAGTGAGAGCAATCTTCTCTGCTGCTGGTGCAGATGTAGCATCTAGCAGCCACGTATCCTCTTCTTCGGGGGAAGACTGGACCCAAGCTGATTTTGTAGCGTACTTGTTGCCGCGAAATAAGTCTTTCATGCGATTGACCAAGTTGCGTAGTGGATCTAGGATGAGGGAAGTGAACAGCAAACCCTCTCCGCCGCCACCCTCCGCGCAAAGAACCATCCGATCGTCTCCACATAAATCGTACGACCAGGTATCTGGATCTGCTAGCAGTCCCGGAAAGGGTCTCTTGTTCGGCACTCGCACCTCTTTTCGAACTAGAAGTTGGCGAACTAGCGCGGCTAAGGAAAGGGCATGAATTTTGCGACCCGAGTGTTCGATGGAGTTGTTGTTACTGTAGAAGAGCATAAAATCCCGATACACTTCTCTTACCGTGTGGTTGTAATCGATGTCGAAGCAATCTTCTCGGCAGTCAGATGCCATTCCAGCAAAGGAAAATAGCTTGTCGAGCTTGTTGGAACAAAACGAGTCCCTAAAATTCCACAGAAGATTGTCCAAATGGAACTGCTCTTGATCCTCGAATCTAGAATGCCTCATGTCGTCCAATCGCAAGATCCCAGTTGTCAAAGGGCCTGGGCTCTTGTCGTTGAAGAGTCTGTAGAGCAGCATAAGATGATCCCACGGTATTGATTTGTGTTCTGCGTAGAAAACGTCAATGTCCTGCGCGAGGCCAACCTCCTGCACAATCCAGCATCGTCTCCAATACTCTTCAAGGGTGATTGTATTGAGCCAGTAGAGAGTGCTAGCACCATAACTCTGAGCGTTTTCAAGAGCCCAACTTGTATTCCACGTTACAGGATCGGACGCCTGGATCCAACGAGGCGGTGTATGGCTACCAACAGAAACAAAAACCCGTCGTGCCCGCCTATATATAAAGCCCATCAAAGCAACTTGAGTATTTTTCTCGTGCAGATCTATTTGATTAATGGAAACTGAGTCCACCCAGAATACTCTTTGCTCGTACGGGTGACGCATGTTGTGCAGTGCTTCCCAAAGGTTTTCTGTCACCAGTGCTCTTTTGCGATTCAGGGTTATATCTTTGACTCGCCTCGCATCCCCCCAGTGGTAAGAAATGGCAATGTAGGAGGGATTGCTAGAGAATGAGGCCGTTTCGATGTGGGCCACAATAGGTGTCGCTCCAGACCCCGGCTCAACACGGATTAGTCGAATGCTAGCAGTCGGATCCTGTAATGCTGGTAGATCCGTGGATCTGAACGGCTCTCTGGGGTCATAGAAAAGGTAAAAGAAGAATCCGAAGACTAGAAGGACCAGGGAGCATGTCCATCTCGCCCTCCACAACTTTCGTCCTAATTCTTGAAGACACTGGAGTTGAAAGATGATGAGCTCCGCAGCGTGGGCCGATGCAGTTCCAGCCAATTCAGCGAGAGAAGCAAGGCTAAAAGCGCTACGAGAATCGGGTTGGGACGCGGGAGACGTTATCGGCAGCAACGGCGTTTGTTCACTGGCGGCCATGTTATCTTTGGCTCTGGGTCGAGGTTGATTGTGCAGAGGCAATGACATAGGCGACGTGCCACTACTTAGAGGATTGCAGATGAACCTTGCCCAGAATACCGAGCATTTGTAACGGGGACAAGTTCAGCCCAAAACACATACGCTGATCATGATTGGATTGCCACACACCGACAGACATTCCGTGATAGTGTAACGAGGTGCGGCCTCCATGGAACCCTGCAGGCAGCCAGCGCCTCATTTGGCTGTCGTGTCTTTTTATAGTAACAGTGAAAGCTGAGAATGCAGACTGATGTTAATATCGCGCAATTTGTCAAAGCGCTTCTCGTATTATCGCACGGACGGCCGGTGGTGTTCGTGGAATGCTGGTGCTCATGGCTGATTCACCAGTCAAAGCGCCCTAGATATTCTCTTGCACGATGGTAATTTCCACATGGCTCTTGACCGTGGGGGCTGAGGCTTGCGTTTGGCTTCCTTTCTATAAACGCTGTGCAGACACTGTTCGACGGATTTAACCTTGGCAATGTGCGAAGTCTTTTTTTCATCCTTTGTTTCCTAAGTGCCGTTATTTCCATGATCTCTGATGTGAATGTCTCGCACGAGCGAATCCTTCCGTTTTGCTCTCCTCAAGGGACTTGACAGCGCTGGATTTTTTTTTCTCTTTTTTCTTTTTTTTCTTATTTTTTTTCTTCTTCTTTTTTTTCTCTCTCTTAGAAATGGCTAACCTTCATGTTGGGTCAATTCCATGCATGATTCTCCGGTGTGCCAGATGTTCCATTCCACCCTCGCAAAACTCTCAGTTCTAGGTGATGCTCGCAACCGAAAAGCTTTATGCGCTACTTTGTCATAATATTCTCAAGAAAAATTTTGGTCTGGCCCAACGTGCAGTTTGGCCGCCGGTTGCGTCCAGATTGCATTCTGGATTGGTACGCTTCCGCCAATCTTAGAAAAGATTGGTCATTAACCAGTCCTTATAATCGGCTCTATAGCTTTTCTAACAGCTATAATTATATTTACAACTAGGATAACCATCAACTCTAAAGCGACCGCAGATATAGCACTAGCTATACTATTCATTTATAAGATCTCATTTAGAATATTGTAAAACATAATACAATAGCTTTGCACACTAGAAATTAACCACTATAATTGCAATATGTAGAACCAGCTATAGCAACTTTTACCAAGCAACTATAGATATTTATAAGTAAATATATATAACAAATAGTAGAAGAGATAAAATCCTATATATACCTAGGCTATCGCGCAAATCACACCGCGTGATATTAAAAATGCAGGCTGGAAATTCTATCTTCTCTTTAATATTATATTCGCCCTAAGTACACCTTTTAGTTACTTTTTCTTTCCAGAGGTCAGTCATGCGTCCTACTAATAATATCGAAAACGTCTTGCTAAGTGAATAAGTTAGATAAGTGGCAAAACTCTTGAGCAAATGGACTATGTTTTTGCCATTGGAAAATGTGATCAAGAAAATAGGAGCAGTACTCCTAGCCTTCGAATTCGACAACAAAATACTGAACACAGTTTAGGAGTAAGTAAATGGTGAGGGTCGCTAGCTCGTGGACAGAAACCATGGTGAAGAAACATACGCAGTAGAAGGAGAGAGCGGAGAGTTTTATTCCTCAAAAATGCTTTATCAAAGAACCAGGTTTATACACTGGTGTGCATCGGTTTATCATACTCAACCCGCATCCGGGCACAGCTATTCGGCGACGACGAACATCGCCATCGTCCACACACAACAGCGCATAAGCACGGTGTCGTGTTGACAGACATGCGAGAGGCCGTGTCGTGTGAGACAACTGGCAAAGTGCGATAAAATCTTCTGCGTCGTCTGGTGGAATAGCCATGTTTATTGGTAAAGCTTTCGCGACTTAAATCACTCGTGAACCCCGCGGCAGAGCTGATTGTGTGCAGAAAAACAGATCCGAGCGGCACAAAAGGTACCTCCTCACGCACCTGAATGGGATCGACGAGCTTGAGACGCAAATGCTGCAAGAATCACGATCTTCGAGCGGTTGAGCTGGCTTTGCCTTCGGCGACGCACGCCCAGACGAGGCCAGATCTTGAGCGTTGAGCCTGTTAATGTCTCTGGAAGCAGTTCGCGCACGATGACCCGGACACTCAAGCATCGACCGAACTTTATTGGTCTCAAGGCGCTGCGTCGCAGAGTCATGAGAACAAACTCTCTCCAGCGTTCTTGATTCGTACCAAGGCCTCGTCGGAGCGCGGAGTAAGTTTCGTGCCCTCGGCCGCACTCTGCAATCGCGGGGACTTCAAGCATCCACGAACATGGAATAGTTTGCAGATTTGCCGTCCATTCGGTGCAGCTGCGTTGCCGGCGCGCAGATTTCAGTCCTACTTGCTGGCCCTCCACACTCCGTGTGAACGGTAGAAGCGGAGACAGCCTGCATGTGCGAGTAAACACTCCGCACGTCTCAAGTGAAGCGAGATTGCTTGGAACTGGGGGGTGGGTGACCCGTACTTAACGACGAGGTATCGATCAGCTGTTGCGTACGATGCATTTCGCATGAAGACTCCGGACAATTCTAGCTCAGCCTGGCCTTGAAAGAGAGTCTTAAGTGAGACTCAGCCACTCGTTTTTCTCATACAGTCCTTACTGAACATCATGCGCTCTCTTCTATCATTCTCGACGCTCGTGGCTGTCTTTGCTCACAACGCAAATGCGCTCGGCCCTCTTTGGGGCCTACCGGTTCTCAATGGACCGATGGCGCCAACTCCAAAATTCGAGGGCATGAAGAATGCGCCCGGTGATTTCATCCATCCCGGTATCTGGCACACCCATGACGACCTCGAGCGCATCCGCAACGGTGTTTTAGACGGTCAAGAACCATGGGCATCAGCCTACGCAAACTTTAGTAAGGACCAGTACTCCCAGGCCGACGTAAGGCGACATCCGATATTCTCACGAGCAAAGACTGATGGCAATCCAGTATGCGATGAGCGGACCGAAAAACGTCCTATGCCGCGGCCAATGCAGCAATTACACTTCGTTTTCGCGCGATGTCCGCGCTGCGTATCAGAATGCGCTGATGTGGTACATCACGCGCAACGACAGCCACTGGGAGCGTACCACCACCATTCTCGACGCGTGGGGAAGCAATCTCACCAGCGTCATTGGCGTGGATACGTCCTTGCTTGTGGGTCTGGAAGGCGACATGATGGTGAATGCGGCGGAGATCATCCGCTGGGAAGGCGGCATCACTGCGTCTGGAAAGACGTGGTCGGGCAGCGGCGCATTCGCGAGCATGGTGTATTGGCTGCTGGCGAAGCAGTCTATCAATATCGGCCAGGCAAATTACGGCATGGTCAGCATAAAGGCGCTCATGTCTTTTGCGGTGTACCTTGACGATGTCGCTATGGTGAGTGATTCCGCCACAGACATGTCGGGTCGTGCTAACCGACGCAGTACAATTATGCTCTGTACTCGCTTCTCAACGATCGCTGCGCTGGGATCTACGCCAACTTCAACACGCAGACTGGGCAAGGCGCGGAAACCGGTCGTGACCAAGGTCACGCTCAGGGAGCCATCGGTTGGGCCGCAGAAGCAGCCAGAACTGCTCAGTCACAGGGCTTCGATGTCTATTCGCAGGGCGATAATTTGATCCTCAAGGCAGCAGAGTACACAGCCAAATACAATCTGGGGCAAAATGTCACCTACGACCCTAAGTTCTACCGTTGCGAGGCTATTCTGGTGGGCGGTCCATGGTCCGCACCATCCAATGTCAGTCGCGGCGTGTCCGCTGACAAGACACCGCGGATATGGGATGTGAGATGCATCGAATTCCTCGTATCTGTTTTATTCAAGCTGACTCGCGGTGTAGATCATCTACTACCAGTACGCCGTCAAGCGTGGGCTCCCCGCTCCTTGGATCACCAAGATGAAGGCAGCCGTAAAGGCTGTGGGAGGAGAGACTGCACCGGCTGGTAATAGCCAGGGCGATCATCCAAGCTGGGGTGATCTTATTTGGTCGTATGCCGGACCCGGCACTTACCAGAATGATAACTCCAGGACTATCTGGGGAGGAGGAAGAATTGGGCCAGCTGGCGTCGGATTTTGACGACGGGAAATAACGGTACTTGAGCAGTGTTTGGGACACATGAACGTTACTTTTACACATATATGCTGTTTTACTATCAAGTGATTTACGTTGCTTAGCACAAGTCTCTACTTCGTCTCAGGACCGTAATCTGATCCTCAGTCTCCTTGTCGATTTCACAGACCGACTTTCAAGCGCTTGCCCTGGAGGCACTGCAATGCGGCGGACTACAACGAGTAGGCTAGCCTGCTTGATGTCAAATGGCGGAAAGCGCTGGGTTGCACAAGTCCCTGTCAAGAGCGGTACTCCGCCCTGTTTGCATATTGACAAACAATCAAAAGAGATCCTGACGAACCTTTCCAGTCAACACCTTCGGAGGACCAGCGACGAACACGGTGCGCATTCCTCTCGTGCTTCACTGTCAGTCTGTGAAAAGTTCGGCGCACGTTCACTAGCGTAAAGTAATGACCACATTTCAAAGATGTTCCTATATTAACGGCATCTGTACCAATACTTTTCTCTGCCAACTACAACAATCCAGAAGTCCCTCATTTCGCCATCATAAGTGAGCAAAAGCCAGCCTTGCCGCAGTTCTGAGACACGCGTATACATATCTTACTTCAAACCATGTCCTAAAAGTCGTACCTGAAACTCGGGTTTTCCTTGTCTGTCAGATCCGCGAATGCATTGCTATGGTCGATGTGCTCATCGTAGCTAGACTTTCTCTCGGAAGAAGAGTCGGCAACTCCAGAACCGCCTATCCTACGCTTGATAATATTGCGTCTCGTCAAAATGAGGCGCAGAACGACAAGACAAAGGTTGAACAGAACATAGAGGCAGAAATGCGCGGTAAAGCCCTTCTTGTATCGTGGCGCGTCGCTCTTCTGGAAGATCTAGTCATTGTCAGAAACGCTGCTGTTAATTCATCCGGAGGTTTACGACTTACTTGAGGAGCTGCGGCATTACCACCCGACCAGGCGATGAAGGACAGCGCGAGAGTGACTGTCTTCTTCGTCTGACCAGCAGTGTTTTGTCCAATCAACGAATAGATGAGATTTCCTTCAGCCAGATAGAACTGAGTGCAGTAGAAAGCGATGAGTAGACCGACCCGATTTGAGGAATTAGGAGCAAAGCTGTACATGATTGCGGTGCCGATGATTGGAGGAATTGTCCAAGCATGCATCACCCAAACAGTTTGCTTGGTGAAAGTTGCCAACGAAGCACTGCCAACCATGACAATGATGGTGACTCCGCCCTGAGCAATGTTGAGCAGTTGCGTCTGCAAAACGGTAAAGCCGAATGACTTGATGATGAGGTTCGAGAAGACTCCCAGACCTCCGATGATCAGCGTGCTGGTGATCTGAAGCATGACATAGCACCAAACTACGGGGTCCGTGATAGCCTCCAGCGCTTGGTACTTCTTGTACTTCTTGTTCTGGATGCCGGTCTCGTTGGCTCGCACTCGCTCAACCATGAGCCGCTTCTGCTCTTTGGAGTAGCACTTAGCCTTCGTTGGAGAATCGGGTAGGACTAATGCCAGGACTATGGCCCAGGCACAAGTAGCCACACCGAGGACTAAGAAAAGCAACTGCCATGACTTGATCGAGTGACCAACATAGTTAGAGACACCGTAAGCGATGATGCCACCAACCATAAGCTGGACACCGGTCATGCAGTACCAAAGGGAGGTCAAGACGGCTTGCTCGCGACTAAAAAAAGGTCAGCGCAATGAGTCTGATATACATGAATTCTCGCGACCGTACCGCGTGTACCACATAGACGTCATGAGGATGAACGTCGGCTGCACGCAAGACTCGAAGACACCGAGCAAGAATCGCACGACCATGAGACCTCGGAAATTGGTCGCAGACGCGGAGCATGCGATAACGGCGCCCCAGAGGAAGACATTCCCGGCCAGGTACTTTGCTACTGGTAGCTTCTGGATAAGCATGTTTGTGGGGACTTCACCAGCGAGCACACCGATGTAGAGGATCGTGCCCAGCCAACTGTAATCTTGTCCCTCAAGATTCGCATCTGCTTGTATGCCCATAATAGAACTGAAGCCCAGAGTGCCTTTGTCAAGAGATTGGCAGAAGTAGGTTCCAAGCATGCACATGAGGATTCTCTTGTTGATCGTCCAAAAGAGCTTCCTGTTGGTCGCTTCGTCGATTTCGACAGGCTGATTGGCACCAAGAGCGGCGGTCTAGCGACGGTCAGCCATGTGCCCAGACAAAGTGGTCGTCACCAACCTCCTTGTCTTGATCGACATGCTTGCTATCAATTAAGGTGTTCGCTGGCGCCACCGAGACATCATCATGAGCATCCACATGTGTGCTTTGCATCTTCTCCATGACTACGTTTCGACCGGACAAAGACTAGCAGAGTGATGGAGAAGGCGAGTATGGCTTCGATGACAAGGTGCTGGCACTGCTGAAGTCTAGGAATAATTGAAGCTGTCACCAGAGACAGATTGGTGGAGAGCTCGTCATCTGCTCCCGCCCGGTGTCTGGCTGAGCTGCACGCCCTCAAATACTTCAGACAGCGACATGTAGCGTCGGATATTCTCCATCTTCGCAATGCGTGTGTCCCCACGACTTCGTGCGGCGCCCCAGATCGCGTGAGATGCTGGAATACGGAGGTCGGAGACTAGGAGGAAGTCGCGGCGACGCGCCCGCAGGAGCAGAACGAGTGGCGTCCGCGCTTGAACCAGCGTCCAACCCAGGTCGCCATCCCCGCATGAACTCCCCGCAAAATGATTTGGCTTCGCACAGCAGATCGACGGCATGGCGCCATCAGCCTTCATCTCGGCAAAAATGTCAGGCTCACAACAACTATGAATCGCGACTTATCAGTTTTTGCTGGTCTCGAACAAGACGTCGCTGCAATGAGTCCCGCATCATCCCAATACTGATCGCAGACGCGCCACAATGACAACCAATACGGATCGCGACATTGATGAGCATTCAGAGATCGAGGAGGACGAGGTGGTGCAGAATGCTAGCAGCAACCGCCGAAGAAAAACAAAAGACGCCAACCATGACGACGGCCCAGCTTGTCACTCGTGTCGCAAGAAGAAGGCCAAATGCTCTCGAACTCAACCATGCACCCAATGCCAGCGGTACAATGTGGGATGCGTCTACGAGGAGAAGAAAGCTCGTCCGGGCTTTAAGACTGGTGCTATCGAGGCTTTGAACCGGAGACTTGATGCTCTTGAGAAAATGTTCCTTGGTCAAGGTGTTCTCTGGGAGCAGGTGTTGAAGAGTCTCAATGGTGGGCCAAAGCACGTCGATCTCCCAACTCCGTCAACAGGAAGTCTTCAAGAATACTCGCATCATATCCAGCAGTATTTTTCATCGCTTGCTGTTCGCAACGATCAAGACGATCATGATCTAGAGCAACTCCGGCCTGCAAAGCGCCAACGTACACACGATGACCATGTCCTGCTGCAAGCTGGCGACGCAGAGCTCGAGTTCAAGAACGCGGGAGAGCAAGCTACGTTACCGCCGGACGACTTGATGGACTCTTTGATCGAGATATACTTCACGAAAATTCATCCCTGGATTCCGATGCTTCATATTCGCAACTTCCGTGAGGCGCTGACGGATCCAGTCTTGCGCAAGAAAAAGTCGACCATTCTACACGCAATCACCTCGCTCTGCATTCGATTTTCAGACGATGCTCGCTTGCGCGACTCTGGGCTTCGGAGCGCCTATGCGCAAAGAAGTCGGCAAATTGTCATCCTTCGCAGCATGGAGTCATTCTCAATGGAAAATCTGCAAGCTATGATCATCTGCGCCTTTGATATCATCGGTAGTGGACGTGGGCCCTCTGCATGGTCGATCATCGGCAGCATGACACGCACCGTTGAGCATTTACAGCTCTCCGTCGAGGATGAAGAGCTTCCAGAACCCAAACCGTGCCTTATTCGACGACTTGCGTTCCTTCCACGTCCGACTTGCTGGACTGAGGTTGAAGATCGGAGACGAGTATTTTGGAACATATTCTTGATGGATCGCTTCTGCAGCATAACCACAGGATGGAATCTGTCCTTGACCAGCGCAGACGTGCGGCGGCGCTTGCCTTGCGAAGGCGCACTTTGGGAGAAGGGACAACCGCTTGAGGTGCCCACCCCGTACTTTGGTGTTTCCGATCAATCACGGAACTCTGGAAGCACACTTCCCATGGCTCGTCCGGAGGATGACGATCAAGTCTCACTCGGCGGCTTTGCGTACTGCATTGAGGCGACTGAAAGTCTTAGCCTCGTGACATCTTTTTTCCTCCAACAAGCTGTTGACATGACTAAGATGAACGACGTCCAGCTTTGGCTGATGCGATTCAAAGAACTTGATTTGAGACTTATAAGGTTCGTTTCTTGCTGCTCTTCTCAAGCAGAGACTTAACTCGTGTAGATGGAAGATATTCTTGCCCAGCCGTTGGCAACAAGCATGCGCGCTCAATGCCGACGGCATAATGGATCCAAATCTCACGCTCGCACACATCACACACAACACTGCTGTGGTACTCTTGCACCAAGGCATTGCTTATCCTCCTGCTGAATGGGAGAAAGTCAGCATGCGGCTGCCTTCAGCTTCGAGTGCAGAGACATGTCTCGCTGCAGCAACAGAAGTTTCCATTATTGCCGAGAAGTTCTTGCAAGGCTCTCCCATATTGACAAATCCGCAATTCGCCTTCTGCTTATTCGTCAGTGGTCGAGTGCTCTTAGTACATGCATCGTACTACAATATCCAACTGTCCTCAGCCTTTCAATCGATTGTCGATAGTCTATGGGAGATCGGTCGAAGATGGAATGGCCTTGCAGGTGCCTTGGATACGGACAATCTTGCGTCGAAGTTTGCATCCCGCTTGCTTCAAGCTAAGCAGCAAGGTTCCTACTTTGGAGACATACGCCATGCTGCCTATGCGCAAGATAGCGATCAAGAAGGATCGGGACGTGTGCAAGCCGATAGCGCATCGCTCATTGGCTCTGACGCGCCTTGCCAGCAATCAACGAAGTTTCTGGCGCAGAGGACCAATGGCACATCAATGGAGACGACATTTCTCGAAGGAAATGTTATGCCGTCGGATGGCCAAGATTCCCCGGATAGTATATCGATGGCTTTCCCCCCCTTGCCTTTGGCTTTTCAGGGAGGTATGACTCTGCAAGAGCCAAATGTTGCTGAAGGTAAGCGGCCTGCTCAAACTGCTATCCAACACCCTCCTTCAGCCGGCTTGGACACCCCTAGCCTCGAATTCGGCAACCTGAATCAGTATTTTGACTATGACTACATGTCGTCGCAGCGAATCAGCATGTTTTCCCAAGGAGGACATGAATGATGAGATCCATCCATCGGTACGCTGCATGGAGACAAGCTTTTATATAACAACTATCTGTCTAGATGGTTAGACTGCGTTTCCATTGGGCCTGTCTAACTCGCAAGAGAATTCGAACATTGAAAGCTTGAAGGTTACACGGGTTGGTTTGCCGTTCTGATCCCGTACAAAATAACTGCTCAATTTACGAAATGCATCCCACAGTGTTCGGAACAGTAGAATACGTTCTAAGACCCTGTCCAAATATGCACTGCCCTTATATCACCGTCTATTCAGTCCATCCGTCTACGGCAAGAACCCGAGCTCGAGAAGCTTATTCCCGAATAGCATAAAGTAGTAATCGGCGTAAACCAGCCCGTGATTCGCCCACCGACGAGGTGCGTGCTCAAAGTTATTGATGGTCGCTCCGTTGAGTATGGTGTCACCGCTGCCGATCGACACCTCCAAACGAACTTCCTTTACACCAATGTCTTTTTCCACTGTTTTCACCTCTTCATACACTTTCTTTCCCGACGCAGGCTGGTTCATGTGCTCTTTGCAAACCGCTTCTGCAATCTGAAGTGCATAGACAAGGTACGGTGACTGTCTTTCTCCTCTCGACACCAGTGCCTTGTGGATGAGCAGCATTCCGTATGCTGCAATCATGGCAGCGCTGGTATCGGGTGGCTGACAGCTTTGAGCTGATGCGTCAAAGTCCCAAGGCGGGATTTTAGACGCTGGCAATCGCCGCAGGAAATAGTCAGCGCAGCCTCTTGCAGTGTCCAAGAATGTCTCTTCACGTGTCCAAAGGAAAGTCTCAACGAATCCTGCGATGGCCCATGCCTGGCCTCTTGACCAACACGACTCATGTGCCATACCCTGATTGGTGAGGCGCTGCTTGATCTTGCCCGTCGTTGGATCAAAGTTGATGACATGCGTTGTGGAGAAGTCTGACCGAACGTGTGCCTGTTGACTTTTTAGGGCGTGACTCCTAGCAGTTTCGTAGAGAGTCACATCATTTGTCTTAGAAGCTGCATAGAAGAGCAGATCCAAGTTCATCATATTATCCTGGGACGGTCAGCGACAGCACTTGTTTGGATAATTCTTGCTTACGATGATGACCAAGAAGTCTTTTGAGGTGTCGCTAAATGAATAGACTTTGGTCTCACAAACATCCCAAGAGCGAAGGCAGCCCACGCGAGCGTCAAATCTGGCTGCTAAAGTTCTCGCCGCGGTGACGATTGTCTGAAGAGAGCGCGCGTCGTTCAGCATTTCCACTGCCGGTCGTGCCCAGGGCATCACGAGAAATCCAAGATCATGAGTGCCGAGCAGTGTAGCATTCGTATGAAGGTTCTCGGTCCACCATCTACATGCGAATCTGTGCTAAGTCAGCAGAAATGATCGAAGCTGGCGGATTGTACCTACTCGACACTGAGAACATGAGGCAAGCTGGTGTTGGCCTCGCAAGCTTGCCGCAAGATGTGAGAATGTTTCCGCATTCTCTCAAGGAGAAGATACAAAGATCCTGGGAAGAAACCCGAGGTCCAAAAGGCGGCGTCTCGGTAGACGTAGCCAGAGCCTCCAGGTTCAGTATACTCTGGGAAGAGCGAGGGAGGAGACGTCTGTCCGGTCGTCAGATCAACGTGTCTGCTTCATTAGGAGAGTTATGACCATACGTAGAGAAGTGCTTTGTTTGCTATCGCCCATATTTTCAGATGAACAGCTTGCGAATATAGCACAGGTATGGTGCTCAGCTCTGCTTGCTCCGGCGAGGCCGCTTTAAGGTTCAAGATGCCCACTTTGGAGTCACTTCGTTTCTCGCGCTTGGTATCGTGTGGAAGCAATTCTGCGTCGTCCACGACTTTGCTGCGACCACGTTTGACCATCCTGCGTTCTTAACAATGCGAACTTGACTTTCTTTAGTCCCAGCAGGAAAATAAAGCCTGAACTTCTTCGGCTGGATTCTCGATGTGAACGTCGTGCTGAGTTGACAAAGAGCGAAGGTACATATGATATGCCATAGAAATTACGGATCCATAGAGCGTGATATGGCAGGTAAGATGAACACCAATGAGATGGACCGCGGTGTAGGAATTGTTCCGGGAACTGGGCTAATGGATCTCCATGTCCTTTGAGCCGCAGACCTCATCGGAGTGAGTGTCGGGTCTAACTCCTGCGAAATCTGCAGCCATCAACTGGGGCCCAATACGACCCTCGGGTCTCTGAAAATATCCTTTACGACTGTCAAATGACATTGTTGAACAGCAGTTCCGCAATTTGTTCATTCACATAGGTGGACATACTCTCAAGGTACTAGCACGCAGACGTAGGCTTTTTTTTTTCTTTTTTTTTTTTTTTTTAGAAAGCACTATGTTTCATTCTGCGCGTTCTATTGGGAAAATTAGGGCGAAAGCATCTCCCAGTTCTTTCACAATGCTTTTCAAAATGCTGGTGGACGTGTGCACCAGAGTCCTGGGTTTTATTCTGTCAGCATGTGCTGGACGCCTCCTTGCAGTTCTCGCGGCAATGCACAGGTGAAGAGGCCAATTCAGCACATGGTTTCAGAAGCATGGATGAAATACTATTGTCGTGTCCAGCTGGAGGAAAAAATGAAGGCTTTATTGCGTCGAAGAGGCTGCTGTGGAGAACGAAGCGGCCATAGAACTCCGTGGATGACAGTTTTGAATTCAGGCAGCATTTTTTTTATTCTGCTCCTTGAGTTTTTATTTCCATCAATACATTACTTCTCGTGGTATATATGGTTCTTCCAAGTAGCTCATCTCATCATCAGTCAGCTTGAATGCAACTGCATCTATTGCCTCGTCTATTCTTTGTTTGGTTGCGAGACCTGCAATCGGATATGTGCCTTTCTGTATGCTCCATGTAAGCGCAACTACAGCCATCGGAACTGAGTGCTTCTTTGAAAGCTCCTCTGTACGATTCACGATTATCTCGTCGGCTAGGCTCTGCTTGCCTCGCATCATGTTCTTTAGCAGTGCATCTGTCTCCTCCCTGTTCCCTTTGCTGGTCCATGGTCTGGCGAGCACGCCTCTTGCTAACGGACTCCACGGCAAGATCCCCACGCCATCATCTCGACAAAAAGGGATCATCTCACGCTCCTCCTCCCGATACAGCAAGTTATAATAATTCTGCATAGAAATGAACTTGTGCCAGCCATGGGTCTCTGCTGTATATTGCAGCTTCTGGAACTCCCAGGTCGCCATGGAGCTTGCGCCTAAGTAACGGACCTGGCCGCTGTCCACCACATCGTTGAGCGCTTTCATGATCTCTTTCGCTGGAACATCTCGGTCTAGTCGATGGATTTGGAGTATGTCGATATATGTGCCAAGACGTTTGACACTCTCTGCAACGGCCGCCAGAACATGTTTCCGGGACAGGCCAACACGATTGACGAGATGTCTTTTCGATTTGTCCATGTTCTGTGAGATTGAAGATTGCCCAACTGGATCCAGCGCGTAAAAGATTTTGGTCATTATTACGACCTGTTCGCGCGGAATGTCGTACTTCCTTAAGGCTTTGCCCACAATCTCCTCTGACCGACCATTGGAATACGCATCCGCCTACCGACGTCAGTAATTGGTGCGCGCGGCAGACGTCCGCATACCGTATCCCAAGTGTTGATGCCTTTGTCAAAGGCGTACTTCAGTATCGGAAGCGCCTCTTCCTCCTCCATCACCCAGCCTTGCCAAGCGGCTGAGCCAAATCCAGCACATCCCAAGATCACCTTTGAGACTTGGAGACCGGACTTTCCTACTCTGTTAATCTGGGTCAGCTTTGACCTCACAGAATGAAATTGGAACTCCATACTGTGCGTATTCCATCGCCTCTGCACAAAACCTTCTGACAGAATTTCAAAAATCGGCAGTGCTCGAGCAGGAGATTCGCCCATTTTTTTCTGTAGTGATGCTTCTGGGCAATCACGAAAGCGTCCACTGCATTAACGGAGGTCGGCCCGGAACATATCCCGAATCCCTAGAACTATTCCAAGCCTAGACGCTCGGACCTGTATTGACATCTCATGCAGGAAACGTCAGCTTAGATGTGGGCACTCCATGGCGAACAATACCAGCCTACATTTAATTGACCATTTTAGTCTATATACGCTATTTCGTAGTCAGAGCGCCATTTTCAGCAGTGAAACAACGCCGTATTGCTGTAGCTCTCGGCGATGAATGCCTGTGACAGTACGTGGTCTATGATATGTACGATGCTGAGGCCAATATCAGCAAGGTACCAAGTCTAGCATCATGCATAGTCTCCCACATTTGTGATCTCGATGCTCGCCTATAGCTAGTTTGTTCGGGAGAAATGTTGCCAGCACTGACCTGAACGCTGAAGTACAAGTACCCGACCGTCTAGAACCGAGTAAGGGTACTGTTTATTGCTTTACCGGAAACGGCCATATTTGGGACGTAGTAGGGTTGATGAAGATGGCCTAGCCATCGCATACCTTTCCTGGATATTGTCAAATTCATCTATGGAGAAGCTCTAGTGTGAGCGTACTTTGTATCAGCGAAAGCGTAGAGATAAGGCCCTGTATTGTTGAATTCCGCATCGGACGAAGCGAAGCATATGGATTTACGTATTATTTTCGTGCATATTGCCTTTGCAAATCCTACGATTAAGAACCTCGTCAGTAAAAGTACCTGAAATGTGCCACTTTTTGCAAGAATCTCGATCACTGTGAAGAATATCGAGATCATGATCTAGGGCCCGCCTAATATTAACGTATTCGCAGAATCATTATAGATGAAAGCAAGAGACCTCAGGGCTGGATGAAACTGATCGGCCAATACAGTGTTCCCAGAGATGCGTTAGTCTCTGGCACGTAGGGATTTGGCGCTTCCAGCACATAAAAGAATGCATCACGGCATGCCGTATGAGAAAAGATGATAGCTATACTTGCAACAACATTCAGATATCTCATGTCGAAATCAATATCAAGAATACCAATGGCGACTACCACAAACATCTCACATCTCTCACCAACTTTTATACATTAGAATTGTATCTTCGCCACACAGCTTACGACTTCCCCATGAACTATAATAAGACAGATATCATTAAATACCGGGCCAAGCGGGGCCTTACCAATATAGATACCATGCAAGTAATTGGTATACTGTCTGATAGCACGACAATATCCAACGAAGCTGTGACGTACTTCAAGTCTGGAGGTAGGAACGGAGCTTTGACGATGGCTATTTGGACGCTGCATACCGAAGCTGGTTCGAACGTACCGCTTGGAAAAGACTGAAAGGCAGGTCAGGATCAAAGTCACGCCACGTGGAACCCTTCCTTGCTCGGTATGATGCCTCAACAATCATACAATCAAAGGCGATGACTTTTTTTTGATCTTACGCAAGAGCAGCACGTAGCCATGATTGAATGCTTTCAATGACTTGCCTCGCTACTAGCACGAACGGTAACGAATGATGTACAGCGAGATCATGTTTCCAACGTGAGTGGTGACGCAGAAGGTGGCGGTGAAGACGACGAGCTCAACAGTGGTAGCGTCAGATCAATTGGGCTAGAAGACGCTCTTGTATCGATTGGAAGTTTGAGGTAAGGTAATTCACGAGAGCGTGAGACAAGATGTAACTTTGAGCATGTGTTCGTCTAGGCTCTCAAAGTACAGACACAAATACTTCATACCATTGCGAAAAAAAAAGGCCAGAGAACCCTTCTTGTTCATGTAGTGGCGATGTGAGCAAAAATCAAATCTCGATAGCTCAGTGTGCCTCATAGCATTACCTGCACGGCACAGCGGTCACCTGCTTCAAGGTCTTGCGCAACCCGGAGTATCTACGGTGCCCAGATGATTCCGTCTATGGCAACGGTGGACGTACGAAGCACTTTTTTTTGTTGCAATACGACAGGGGCTATGCTGTGTCTTGCGTTCATCACGTCCACTCTACCACTGGATTGCCCACCTCCGGAATGACATGGTCGATGTTTAGCCTCTGTCTGGGGAATTCTGGGGAATCTGCGAGCCATCATGGACCAGATCGTGGTAAAGTCCAGGCTACACTCCCAGCTTCACAGCCGTGCGTCCGCGACTTTCTCCGGCCGCGTTGGTTGGGGTATTTGCCAATGACTGCGTCAATTGGCAGCGACATGCATGTGTTAAGCAAGGCAATCGATTCTAATATCACGTATCTGGGTTCGAGACTCGGCGCCTGCTTCAGATTGATACTTTTCTTGCGGCCAACTATGAGCTACGCGTGAATTAGAACACACCTATTGCGCATTCTCCTTCATGAGTGATCCAAATACCTTGTTCCGAAAGGCTTAGGAGGCTCTACACAATGCTCTCTGCAAATATCTTTCTCCTGCTCTTCCACGCGGCATCTGCGCTAAAAAATCCAGTGATTTCTGGCTGGAATCCGGATCCTGCTATCCTACGAGTAGGAAAGGACTATTACCTTGCAACGTCAACTTTTGAGTACTTCCCTGGCACTCCTATCTATCACTCAACGGATCTGGCAAACTGGAAGCTCTATTCCCATGCTCAAACCAATGCAGCCCAGGTGCAACTTTATGGAGTTCCAACCGGTGCTGGTATGTTCCTTACGTAGTTTCATCTGCGGTGGAGGCTGACATGCTCAGGTGTCTGGGCACCCACGCTTTCATATATCAACGAAATGTTCTACCTAGCTTCAATGACGCGCTGGACATATGATCCCGTCGCACGAGTGTGGCCTCGTGTAATGTGGATGAGCTCCAAAGATCTCATAACGTGGTCCGAACCGATCTGGGCGGAGCCATGGGGGATTGACCCAGCGTTATTTCAAGATCCAGCGACCAAGAAGGTGTATCTCAACCTAATGGCGCCGAACAATAACGTGGACAGGCTGTGGGGCATATATCAGTGCGAGGTCGATCTGATGTCTGGGATTTGTGTTGGGCAATATCAAGCGCTATGGAATGGAACAATGCCAGTGAATTCGACAGCACGTCCAGAAGGGCCAAAGATGTTCTTGAAAGATGGGTGGTATTACCTGCTTATTGCAGAAGGTTATTCGCCTTGTGCCGCTTTTCGAAACCTCGTTGACAAAGGCTAAAGGGGGAACTGACGATCTGCATCGCGCCTCGATCGCTCGTTCGTCTTCACCACAAGGCCCATTTGAGCCAGCGCCTAACAATCCGCTCATATACAATGGCCAGTATGGCTTTGACAACCTTACCGTCCAATCTACAGGTCATGCCACAATGTTCACCACCGAGCAGGGCGACTGGTACGCTACATTCCTTGCGCGGAGGAAGATCAATAGCTCCTCACCCCTTGGCCGCGAAACATTCTTCTGCAAGGTTGACTGGACAGCAGATGGGTGGCCCGTGTTCAATAATGGCAAACCCATCCTACTGAGCGAGGATATCCCAGGACTTCCCGATGCAGTACCGATCTCGAGATTTGTGGAAGACTTTAGTGGGCGAATTGATATGCAGTGGTATCAGCTTCGAGTACCGTACACTAAGAACTACGAAATCGACTCTCGCAAGGGCTTGATCTTCCGGCCCAATGTGTTTGGCTTGAGCGACCGTGACACTCCAGCAGCCTTGTTGCGGAAGCAGAAGTCGTTGAACATGACTTTCACCGCCCGCTTGATGGATTTCCCGAAGCCATTGGGACTTAGACAAAGCGTAGGGATCAGTGCCTACCTCAGCGAGCTTCAGCATCAAGATATCTACATCGAAGGCTGTGCCAACTCTACAGGAAATTGCCTTGTCACCTGGCTGATTCGAAACGGGACGACAAGTGTACGTTTGATTCCTTCCACAAAAAAAAAAGGTTATTGACTCGCGTAGAAAACTTCGTTGCCACTTAATCGCACATCACCTGGCGACATCAGCTTGCATATTCGAGCCGAACCTCTGGCATATCACCTTGGGTTCAGCACCACCCAGGAGGCGGAACCAGTCTGGATCACTTCTATCGAATCAAAGTGGCTGGCGTTCCCTCCCGCAGGTTACTTTGTCTTCACTGGTGCTTCATTTGCCATCTTTGCATCTGGTGGAGGTGAGCCGTGGCATTCAGACGGACAAGAGGTTGGATTTTCGAGCGTGGTGGAGGAGTATTTTGAGGAGAAGATACCTGACTACGACAAGTGGTAGTGCTCAGCCAAACGATCTTCATGCTGGACATATCGTGATCTTCGCTCTGGCATCCGCTTCATCCTGTGATTTTCCAGATGTGTTGTCACGTATGTGTTGCATCTAATTTCCGTTCGTGATCATAAGCCCTATGTATTCGGCAGTAATAGCCGAACGGATAGAAGCTTGGAGATAACTCGTGTCGCACATTGAGCGCTCGGGGTCGGAAAAGTCTGATCAGCGGTCGCAATTCCATAGAACACACTTGTAGTACAGGAACTCATTCACACAGTTACACATCTAAAAATCGAAAGAGGATAGTGTTCCCTAAGCAATTACTTCTACAGGTCAAGTCCTTCTTAAATAAACTCCCAAATCACCACGATCGCATCTCAATCCTCAACGTCCGCAACTGGAAACTGGGCAATATGAACTTTCGCCGCGCCAAAAGGTATCAACTTCAGACTCGTCTTATCTGCGCGCTTCACCTTCGGATTCAGCGGTGGAAGATCTGCAGAGTCCATGGTCACAGGCCAATCGATAGCATACCCATCTACCCACAATGCACCTGGCTGAGCTCCCGTTGTCCACACTGGATTTGCAAGGCTGTCATTTGATCGCTCGAGCCGGATCGTAGAGGGATCGATTGCATACTGCCAACGGGCCGTGGGCTCGAGAACATGATCTTTGCATTTCGGACACACCTCTTCAGCGGGTAGTGGGGTTCGGTCTGTCCAATTGAGTGGTTGGTGCGATGAGGTTGTATGAGCTATGTCGAGAGCATACAGCAGAGGTCCGTGGTAGATCCCCACCGAGCCGTTTCGTGTTACTGTGTGGATCTCCATCGGCAAATGGACTCCCAGCTGCGTTTTACCTTTCTGGATGGCGACATGATGTAATCCGGCACTGTCAACCTTGACCGAGCTGGACGAGGACTTACTGAGGGAGACAGATGGAGAATTCAATGACCAACTGGTCCATGTAGGAATGCGGACAGCGAAATTGAAATCGCAGTCCGCGTCAATGGAATACCTGAGGTCCTCGGAGAATGGATAATTCGTCTCGCAGTCAATACGGATCTTGCAGCCATGGAGCGAGGTTTCCACTGACGTTGGACCGAGCAGTATGTGAACGAGAGTGTCCTGTCCTTGCTGAACAAACGAACTTGCAACATACTTGGGGTACCCTTGAGGATGATTGACTGTGCAACAAGGCTGGAGCAGTCAGAATCATGATGGAATGATGGGCGTAGCTGACTTACAAAATTTGGCTCCAGGCCGTATGTATTGCCGTAGGAGACCACGTTGAAGAAGGGCTTAGCGGTCAAGTTTCTTGACCATGGTTGATTCGTCTGCGTCACGTATTGATGTGACCACCCTGTACGAGAGCATCAGAAATACGTGTTCCTGTTCGAGTACGCAGGAGTTTACCCACAGTCTGCACTAATGGCAACTGGCAAAGCATTAAAAGCAGCCAGCTCTGCCCTGTCCGCATACTCATTAACCCCATGGAATCGATATAGGTACGCGTAAGAGAACATCGACTCGACAGCCATGCACAGCTCGGAACCTCGTTGCGGACTCAAGCCACCGAGATGCTCGTCACCTATAATGGTGCCTGACAAAGATGTTTGATATGCAGTGGTCATATTAACCGCATCACGCGTCTGTTGGACAAGGCTCTCGTTACCCGTTCGACGGTAGAGAGCTGTGGGATATCGGAGACCTTCCGCAAGATTGACACCATGAGTGAAACCACTGGTCTTAAATCCAGGCGTGCCGACTTTGGGAAACACGCCATCGACAAAAAAGGTGGTCCAGTCTCGATTGCCCTTTCGTCCGGCTTCGAACATGAGATCGATGGTCTCGGTGATTACAGCTGAGTTGTCTCGTGGATGCTTCTCGAGTAGCCACATCAGGCTCGTTGGAAGCTCATGGGTGCGGGATAGCCCAAAGCCGAAAGGATCGAAGTTGTCTTTCTGAGACTTGTCTTCGATCACACCCGTAAAGTTCGCCTTTAGCATGGTATGAGCAAGTCTAACAAACTTGTGCATCGCAGTCACAATCCGATCGGTCTGGCTGAGATCTGCTTCTGCATATTGCTATACCAATGTCAGCGAAGTTGTGCTCGCTCGGTGATCGTTACCTGCTGTAAGGCCAAAAAACAACAATGCCCGTGCCCACATTCCTCTTGTTTGCCTTGTTGATTCAGGTCCTAGCCAGCCATCCTCAGCCTGGTGATCCAATGTATAGTCAAGAAAATGCCGCGCTTGTGCCTTCAGCCGCTCATCATCCAGAGTCCACGCCAGAGGCACGATGCCATTAAACCAATAAGGAGCAGCTTCATTGAGCTCGCTGTACTCATAATCTCCACCAAGCCACGTTGACCGCTGAACATAGCGATAGAAATCAAAGAGATGACCAGCCAGGCCATCCGCAGAGAGTTGAAGCTGATCTTGAAGCCATCCTGAAGCTTTTATAGAGCCGAGTGGAAGGTGCTCGAATTTGAAGGGCTTGAGTGTGCTACTTGGTCCGGTGCCATTGCTTTGAGCAGCTCCGCCCATTACCAAAAGACTAGTGACAAAGGTCAGCGTATACGCGAACATTATGGTCGAATTTTGAGTTGCCCACGATTCTTTGGGTTTCCACCTTGTCTTAGTATATATCAGCAAGACTAAGCAGCGTCCGGAGGAGCGCCTTTTTTTTTTTTTTTTTTTGAACTGAGAGTGCGATATCAACGAAGCTTTCCCCGGACTCGTCGACGATGGTAAGGTCATATCCCCAGAATGGTGGAGATTTAGTGGCTTACGTCCACGGAGTATGTCCCGGCTCAACATCCGTCATTTAATGCACGTGACAATCGACCCTTCGCTGAACTCTCCTCTTGGAAGTGAAAAAACGGGTTCTGCAAAATATGCATAACTGACGCTGCCTCATCGTGTTGTGCCTTGTATTCTCCGCGCCAGAGCCACGAGCCGCGCAAGATCAATCCGCGCATACAGGTCCTTGTCGCAATTGGCCGACTGCGTACTAGGTGACCCATTTGTTCGCGTGCCGGATACGTCCCGTGAGCTAATAGATGCCGTGCCTCAATCAGCTCCATCGTTGCGCAGGGGATGGGTTTTTTTAGAGGCTGCCAGAGCCGACGCATGTCTGGAATACAAGCTCGACCCTCGTAATCCATCACACTGTGCTTGTACACTTGTGGATTGGCCCTGTTCCTACAGAAATCTCTGCGTGCATTATTGCAATGATGCCCGAAGCGGCATGATTGTGGAGACGAGCAGAAGTTATAGTGATAATGCCAATTTACAATTAGAGCCAAAGTGTGCACTGAAGCTGATTTCAATCAACGAGCTCATAAAAATCGCCAGTCGATAGTTCACAGAGTGAGGAGGCGATTATTTATTTTACCCCCCCTGATATAAGGAATACAATGAAGAATATTAGGTTCTTAAAATTAATAAGCGAAATGAATATAGTGTTCAGTAGAGCTAAACACAGTATATGTATTGTTATGATGTAAATATATCTCTGTGACAAAGGGCAAAATTCTTGTCGTACTTGATGAGGCAGATGAAAATCAGGCCGGCATTTGCCGGTAAACAAGATAGCCATTGGTATCGAGCATAGATCTTTAAATACTCGTGGACACTGCTTTATGGCCAATTGCTGTTCTAAACTCGCGCACTCGTCTTCAGCGTGTCGTGAACCATGCGAGCAGTGCGTCACGCCTTGCGACCACCCATATTGTAACAAGTGCGGCCAGCTCTAGGGCGTCTGCCGTGTTTCTGTCTCAAACTTGCTCCTTCTTTTTAGCCATAGTGAGCACAGAGGGAAGACAATAATTTGAACAGAATTCAAGCCGTCAATACATCTAAACGAGATCGCACAGTGATATAGCCAAACCTACTTAATCTTTCCAGAATTTATCAGAGATGATACAATAAGAGCCGCTCATTTATTCCGTTTTCTCCAGCTTCAGTTGTTAGACGCTGGATGCGCTGTTTTCGGTGGCGTCGACATGACAAATGTCATTCATGTGCCATCTCTGATACAAAGAATCGCCGACAATCTCTGCCCCGAAATCAAGACCGCCAAGGGCCAGAGATCTCGGTGAAGAACTGTTGATCAAGCTTGAAATCATCTCACATCAGTCGCCTTATTTGTCCTCCATCTAAACTAAGATCGAGCTGAACTTTGCGCTCAACTTACCGTCGAACGCTTCATCTCTCACCATGGCTATAAAGCAGTCAGTGACCCTTTCTCTGACTTCTACCGTACTTGCATTAGAAAGCGATAGAATGGCTTTGTGATTGAGACGGCAGCACCACTCAGTCAAGTCATGGACAGTGGTGATCTGTTGGATGTGGTGAAGCAAGAATTGCAGAAGTGTGGTGGTTCAAGTTTATCAAGATCCATAGAAAGTCTGTGACAGTACCGCGAAGACATAAATTGATGTTTTTCATTGTCGGCATCTCGTACGACTGTGGTACGCAGGACGTCGACATACGGGCTGGTTCAAATTTATCAGAGCAACTTTGCGCGTTCAGCAAAACCGATGTTTGTCTTGCTCTCTTTTTTTTTTTTTTATTTATTTTTATTTTGGAAAAGAAGGGATTTGGAATCCAGTACGAGTCAGCCTCAATTTTCTGGGAATCCTTATACAGTCTTTGGTTATGGTTTGGTCGGCGTATTCTGGCCATATGGTCCTGAGCTTAGTCTCTACCATGACATTCAACGTATCACTACATTGCCGCTACCCTGTTTCACACATTGCCTCTCTCGAGCTTCGCCATGCTGGGGCGGCAGCTTGCGCCTTCGAAGAGTGGCTTTTTTTCATTCATTACAGTCTTTGCCGGTGGTATTCAAATGCAAAATGTTGGATGGGAGATCTTGCAACATAAACTCGGTGGTCGTAATGTCACTCTGGGATCCAAATCCCGGTGCGGAGTGAAGATGATGTCTTCTTGCGCGTACTACCCTCTTATGGCATCAATAACTTCATTTTTTAAGACAGATTTAGCACATTGGATCAAAGGATCCTGAATCTACATAACACGTCTTTTTTTCTTTCCCAATTAATAAACGTACAAGAAGCCTTATGACGATGCATCTTCATTGTGCTCGGGGTGCACATGGATATCCAGCGCGCCGTGGGGGAACATCAGCTCACTCATACCGCCATCTTTGACTTTGACCTGCACCACGGCGCATGATATTAGAACTTATTTCCGTATCGAAGAAGGCTGTTCTCACCTTCCATTGCAGTTTCAAAAATATTCGCCTGGCTGAATCACGTCGTATCGAGCGCTCTGCCCTGCAAAGGATCCTCTTCCCGTAGAAAAAAAGAGTCCAAGCAAGCAAATTCGCAACAGGTTCTCACCATGGGTCGCGTTCATATTGAGCCAAAGTTGCCGACCGGTCCTAAAACATATCAAATCCAAACATCAGTTGTGCTTCCAAGGAATCAAACTGTATCGCGGGTTTTTGGCGTGGAAAAACTCTTGGAAGTAGAAACGTGATTTGGCGCAGCTTTTTATGTCAAGCGTTGTTCCTTCTTGTCCACTGACTAATCTTGTCTGCGCCCGTCCAAACCAAGCTGACTGCGTAGACAGAACTGCCGTGAAGCAGGATGCGTTGGTCACTGGGGTGTAGATCGCGCAGGAGTCAGTCCTCTCTTTTAAATTTGCGCTGTCGCCAGGCTGCTTTACAAGGGGAAATGATCCCAAGGGCTTCACTGTATGTCTTTGACTCATGCATGGTTCTCTGGCGTCCCATACGTGCCATCCCACTCCCTTATGATCCTTCGCCCGACTTTCCCGGGCATAACCTTTCCTTCCCCAACACCGCCCGGCTCCAGAGGATCCTTGCCCTTCCGGCAATTTGGACACGCCCAGGTATAGTTCTGCGAGTTGTAATCGACACGCTTGACACACGGTGAGGGTGTGTGCCTGACGTCGAAGGATCTGCCTTCTTCTACCGCACGGCTGTTCCTGTGCTGCTCGGCGATGCTGTGAGCCGCTGCGATGCCACACTTGCTCCACGCTTTGTACTCGCAATGGCATCCTGCATAGGTCTTGTGCTCCTCGTAACACATGTCTTCGGGCGTCTTTCTATGTCGTTGCAGCTCCAAGAGTCGCAGTATGAGGTATTTGAGTGGACCAGAGCTTCGTGATCGCAGTGAAGCAACACGTGGAGCGGTGGAGCAGTGGACCGGCAGCGACACAAAAAGGGAAGGACCTGTTCCGACTCATCATCCTTTTAAACGGTAGCTCTTTCCTCTAGACGCTGCCAGTGACAACGAAGCGTGACCCAAAACGCACAGAGTTTGACCATTTCACCGTCCCCTATATTGTCTTTGTTTTGATTGCTGGAGTTTCGTTGTGCGTGATTGTTCGATGAAAGAGACATCATCGGTCAACCCAAAGCTGCAAACAAAGGATCTCACAGAAGTAAGCCAGTGCGTGAGATGTCAACACGACTGAATCATCAAGCTGGTCGACGACTGCGTTGAATTCTGGGCACAGCCTCGGTCAGTCGGTTGTGTCTGCAGTCAAGGAACAGAATAAAACAGCGATGTCTGACATCCTTCATTTGGTGCACCGGTTCCAATCATCCGCATGATCCAGATAGATGGAGATTTGGTGACGCCCATAACTGGTGCAGCGCTTTCATCAACTCTGGATCGTGTAGTAACGCACACAGTCGACCCAGCCTTTAACTCAAAGTTCGCCTCTCTTAAAAACTTAGTGCATCATATGCGTTGCAATCACAATACAAAGAGCCCATTGATAGCCTTTGTCAGGATAATGACCCATAAACAAGTACAATCGTCTACTAAGCCAAAATCTGAGCCTCCGTAGATCTGTGTAGTTTCTAGCGCGGCTGAAGCACGGGCAACACAGTCACGAATATATTTCCAGGACAATGATGATTAAAGCGAAGCTAGAGCCCATGGATCTCCGAATATGCTTGGAAGCGTGCCTTGGTTTCCAGAATCGACCAAGACAGCTTCTGGGGGATAAGGACCAGCAAGATCACGAGAGGTCGAAGTGAAACTTGAAAAAAAATCAAGGACAAAAAGAAAAAAGAAGATATTCATCCTAGTGGGAGGTCTCTGAGAACGATTCGACTCGTACATGCGTATTAAAGCCTGCGCGAGAGGCGTCCCACTAGCCGCATGGTCGTGAGCCCGTTTGCTTGTTGAGGTCACGCCATCCCGCCCGATTCGTGATATATAGAATGCTCTGTTCTGGTTATATCACATTACCGGTGTGACCTTCGATGTTCGGTTCACCGCGGCGGCTTCAGCCGGATTTTTGAATGATCCCATGGCCAGAGGACTTCCTCAGAAAGCTGGATTGTTATTAACCCGGGACATTGGCTTTGGCTTCCCCTAACGCTCGAGCCCATTTCTTTAAGCACCTGCCGTAATTCCATGGGGGAATGACTTGTCCGTCGCGTAGGCGCCCGTGATGGAAGGCCAGGGAGTAATCACCAGGTTTGCTTAATTTTTATGCACAGGATGCCCTAGTATACGAGAAGGAAGCTCCTAGACTAGCTGGCCGGCTTTGTCAGCGTATCAAACGCTCTGGCATCGACTACAAGGCTCAAGTAGAGACGCAAGAATCCGACCATGGTGGCTTCCGCTCTCATAAATCCGTGGTACCGAATTTAGACAGTGGCCGCTTCCTACGTAAGCCCAGGAAGCATGGAGTTCAACACAATGGTCATTTCTATGATCTGGACGTCTGATCAGGACTTCTGATCTGCATTCGCAACAGGCTTACGGGCGTCTTGGAGCATTCACACTACAGTTCTGTCGGCTCTGGCATGATTGAAGAGCATCACAGATGACATTCACCAATTCATGAACGGCAGGATCTCAGGCGCTGCTGCGGGACGGCGATGGTGTATATGAGCGAGCCGTCCAGCTCAGCGTCAAACACCTCGACGTTGGCCAGCTTGTGGATAGGATGACGGAGCAGGACGATGGCCAGCGTGGAACAGATGAAGTGATGCATCTGCTTCCGAAAGTGGATCACACTAGTCAAGAGCTAGGATATTGATGGACAGCCGCTACCGCTACCCGGCTATCGCGATGCTCTTTTCGCCTGGCGCGCAGAAAACTTTTGCGGGGACCATGCTGCCGGAGCGAAGCGTCAACAGATGGGACAGGCGCCGAGCAGAAATTTCTCCGCCCCAGTGCGGACGCGGCTCGCGATGGCGTTCGTAGCTGCTGTCCAGCTCTGAGAGGGAAGACAGGAACAACGAGGTGAAAAGGGCCAGAAAGAAAAAAGAAGGACGGGACAAGGCGAGTTTGAGCCAATCCACGGTCCACGTTGTATTGGGGGAAAAGGGAAAAGACCAGCCGAAACCGACATTGCCCGAAGGCGAGCGCGGCGTTAAGGCGACGCAAAGTCCCTGTCGCTTTGCCTGCGCTGGCCCCGTTTCCCGGCCAGTTCCTCGCCCAAAAAAGATTCAAATTTGATGCTTCCGAGCGCCGTCTGAACACCTACAAACAAATCCTCCTCCACCTTCGTTGCAAGTCCACTGCATCGCTTCATCCGCCTCCCATCTCCTCTCTGTCCCTTCCGCCGTCCTTGTCGCATCCATTGGCACAATGTCCGGCACCGCAACCGCCCTCAAGCAGACCATCGAGGCCAAGGAGCCGCAGAAGCTGTCCGGCCTTGCGCTGTACTCCAGATTCGCCTTCGCTGGTGCAGTCTGCTGCGCAGTCACCCACGGTGCCCTCACTCCAGTTGACGTGTAAGTGCACTGCGCGTTGTCTCCTTCGTCGGCGAGCAGCTCGTTCTTCCTTCTCTCCCCTTTGCTGCCTCTCTTGTCGGCGCGCAATGGACCGAAGCTGACACGCCAACCTTTTTTTCAGCGTCAAGACAAGAATACAGCTCGACCCCGTCACATACAACAGCGGTCTCATCGGCGGCTTCCGCAAGGTCATCGCCAATGAAGGTGTCGGCGCCATCTGGACCGGCGTTGGCCCGACCTTCGCCGGCTACTTCCTGCAGGGTGCTTTCAAGTTCGGCGGCTACGAATTTTTCAAGCAGCAGTGCATCAACCAGCTCGGCTACGAGACGGCCTCCAACAACCGCACTGCCGTCTACCTCGCATCGTCCGCCACCGCCGAGTTCTTCGCTGACATCGCCCTGTGCCCGCTCGAGGCTACCCGTATCCGTCTCGTGTCCCAGCCAGACTTCGCTAACGGCCTGATCGGTGGCTTCAGCAAGATCCTGAAGAACGAGGGTATCGGTGCTTTCTACAGCGGTTTCGGCCCCATCCTCTTCAAACAGTGCGTTGCTCCCGTGATGGATCAAATTCCCGCGATCGGCGAGCTGACAGTTCATCTAGGGTTCCATACACCATGGCTAAGTTCGTCGTCTACGAGAAGGTCGCCGAGGCTGCCTGGAAGGTCTTCGACAAGAACACGGCTTCAGGCGGTTTCCAGACTACTGTCAACTTGGGCTCTGGTCTGATCGCCGGTTTCGCCGCCGCCATCGTCTCTCAGCCGGCCGACACCATGCTCTCGAAGATCAACAAGACCAAGGGTCTTCCAGGTGAAGGCACCACCACCCGTCTCATCAAGATCGCCAAGGAACTTGGCTTCCGCGGCTCATATGCTGGTATTGGCGCTCGTCTGTTCATGGTTGGTACTCTCACTGCTGGTCAGTTCGCCATCTACGGCGACATCAAGAAGGCTCTCGGGTATGTTTTTCCCCTTTCACTTCCACCCATTGCCCCCGCTAAAGAGAGCCCTCTGGCTGACCGATCGAATTCCAGTGCCGTTGGTGGCGTCGAAATCGCAGCTTCGAAATAGACACCCTGCATTGACACACGAGGAGAATGGGAAAAGAACAGGAGGTGGTTGTAGCATTTTAACGAGTGGACCTGGGTAGATTCCTACTTTTCTAGACCATTAGACGCAGCGATATGGCCTCTAGAAGCAAGCCTCCCCCCGTGGATTGAAGAGCAGACCTTTTTTTTGCATAAGAGCCTTACCTACGGGAAAGGCACCGTTGCAAAAGCTAATAGACGGCATGAAGTACCTCGCTTTTTTTTTACTCTCTTGCTTTGACTAGGTATACATGGGCGCGCGTGAGATGTATTATAGGGTTTTTTGTCTTCTTTTTTTAGTTGTCTGTCTGCAACACTAAAAGAAATGGCGGTAGTTGACAGTCTTAGAAAAGGCAATTGTCCCTCTCTCTCTCTCTCTCTCTCTCTCTGTCTCCTCTCATGCTTTGTCTTATCACGTACTGTCTCCAGGCCAGCTACTCAAGTCATGCTCATCGATCACAATACAGAAACACTTCAAGCGCCCTTCGACCTACTGGGCGAAGAACTCTCTCAGCTGATCGTCCAACCACTTGACGTCCTCTGGGTTGTCGCCTGGACCGCCAGCCCAGTGGCCCCAGATGCTGGGGAAGGGCACCATCTTCCCAACGCCCGGGTTCATGGCCTTGACTTCGATCTCGCTATCTTCCGGTCTGTGGTGGTGGGTTTTCCATCGTCAGTTTCAGCTCCCAAAGCAGAACACGTACGCAAAGAAGGAAGATGAAAGACAGATAAAGGGGGGGGGAGGGGGGAAATGCATGTGCGGGGCGACGTACGGGAAGTACAGGTCGGTCAGGCCAGGGAGGACCAACGCCTTCGCCTTGATGGCCTTCATGGCCTTGTCGAAGTCGCCGTCGTACGGCTCCTGCGCCGAGCAGTCCCCGCTCTGCCAGGTGTGCAGCATGACGAGCAGGTTCTCCGGGTCCTTGGCGAGAGCCCAGGCCTCCCAGAAGTTGACCATGAAGTCTTCCAGGTCCTTGAAGCCGAGCGCGGTGGCGTACAGCTTCTCGCGGTAGAAGGCCTGGCTGAAGCCCCAGCCGGCGTAGACGCGGGCGAGCGCCCTCAGGCCCGTCTCCCGCTGGGCGGCCGTCCAGGAGCGTGCCGAGGCCGGCTGGCATATGCCCAGCGACGAGGAGCCGTGGCCGGCCAGCAGGGCGGCCTTGACGCCCTCGAGGAAGACCTGGTTGTGCGGGCTCGTCCGCGCGCTGCCGCAGAAGGGCACGATCAGGTCCATGAAGTCCGGGTACTGCGTCGCCCACTGGTACGTCTGGCCCGCGCCCATGCTCCATCCCAGCACCGCGCGCGCGTGCTGGATGCCCAGGCCCTGCGTCACCAGCTGGTGCTGGGCCCGCACGTTGTCGTAGAAGAGCACGTGCGGGAAGGGCCTGATGTCCGGACGGGTGGACGGCGAGGTGGACTGTCCGTTGCCGAACAGGGCGGTGATGATTATGAAGTACTTATCCGGGTTGAGCGTCTTGTCGGCGCCGATAAGCCATTCGTTGTCTGAGATGCTGCCGGAGTACCAGCTGGGATAGATGATGGCCGGGTTGCTGGGAGAGCCGAAGGTCTTGTACGCTATCTGGGCCTTGGGCAGGATCTCGCCGGACTTGAGCTGGAAGTCGCCCAGGTCGTACAGCTGGACGTCGCCTTGTGCCATCTCGCCGACTTGCCGTATCTGACAGCGCCGTACAGCCTCGTTCGATTCGTGGTGACCGGAGCCAAGGAGCAAGACAAGCGGCGGAAACTGGTTGCTCTGGGACTAGATCCGCCGAACGGGTCGAGATGGTCCTCTCCCAGACGACATGCGACCATCAAGCCATCTCTCGAGGGAGGTCTCCGCCCATCTTCTTCTCACATGATTCACCACGCGGGCGTGCTATTATCGGTGGTCGACGCAGTACCCCACTTCGAGGTTGGCCAGGGCCGGAGCACGGAAGCGTTCCGCTGCGGCGTCGAAGAAGAAGGAAGGAGCGTGCGTCATCGAGCGCTTTGCGAAGGCCACGACCGGCCCGCACAGAGGACAGACCTGTGGCTCGCTCGAGGCGCGCTCGTTGCACTTGCACCATTCCATCTGCTCGCCGGAACACTGCTACTGCTGCTGGCTACAGGCGGAACACTCGTCCAAACGTGGCGTTCACGGCGAATCACTTGGCCCTCCTTCGACGCGGCCTCCTTAAATCCCGCCCGCGTCCCGTCCTTCGTCCCTCGAGGCGAATTTTCACATCGGTCGGCAGCATGGGAAACGTCACAGAGATGGCCGACGCCGAGAAGAAGGTGCAGAGAAACCCTGTAAGCTCGACCCGCAGGCCCGCGAGGCCGCCTTGAAGCTGACGGCACGAAACTCACCTTTGGTTTTTCTTCTCGAAATTGCAGCATCCGGACTTCAAGACGGTCGAGGCGGGCCGTCCCGAGTGGACGTCGAACCCGGACTTCAAGTTCACCAAGACGAAGAAGCCGGACTGGAGGTACGGCGAGGGCGCCAACGACGGCGGCGAGTGCCTGAAGAAGGCCCACGTCGAGATCGATCCGTACGCAGAGGGCCGCCCGGCCGTCTTCAACTACAAGCTCCTCATCTCCGCCATCGTGCCGCGCCCGATCGCGTTCCTGGGCACGCGCAGCGCCGACGGCGCCAGCACAAACCTGGCCCCGTTCTCGTACTTCAGCCTGGCCAACCACGACCCGCCCGTCTTCACCGTCGGCTTCTCCGGCGGCTTCGACAGGGCGAAGGACTCGCTGCGCAACCTGAAGGAGACGGGTGAGTGCAGCATCAACATCATAAGCGAGCACTTCCTCGAGGCCGCCAACGCGTGCTCCATCAACGCCCCGTACGGCGTCTCCGAGTGGGTCCTCTCCGGCCTGCACCCGGCCCCGTGCTCGGAGATCAAAGCCTCGCGCGTCAAGGAGGCCATCTTCACCGTGGAGGGCAAGCTCATGAACTTGCAGGAGTTCGAGTCACGTGCAACTCCCGGCAAGAAGACGGGCGTGCTGGCCGTCATCGAAGGAGTCAAGTTCTGGGCGAGGGAGGATGCCGTCAACGAGGAGAAGAACTTGATCGACCCCACCGTCCTGAGACCGGTCAGCAGGATGGGTGGCATCACGTATGGCAGGGTAATGGAGGGCCTTGAAATACCTCGGCCTGACTTTGACGAGACCATCAAAGGTGGTGAGTATGACCATTTGCAGAAACCAAAGGACCAGTCGCAGCTATGAAGGGTCAACCGATGCTAGGGGTTCTTAAGAAACGGTATAAAGACGAGATAGACACCGAGAGTCGGATCTTTTCTTGCACAACTTATTCAATAGAATAGAAATCGCGAGCTTAGACACGTATGATTTTGATTTGTTCAACTTTTTTGAATTTCAGGGTTAGAAAGAGCTACATAACCCCTTCCCCGATTACCATAATCTGATCATCTCATAATCGTATCATTACAAAAAAGCCAGCCCGTTAAATCGGTTGGCTCTCAAGATCAATCATGTCCGCCTTTAATCTTGCAGACGTCTAAAAACAATTTACTTTAGTCGTAAAGCTCCATGCTACCATCCTGATCTTCCAGCTCAGCCAGGGCATCTTCTTCATCATACATCTCGCTGTCACTGTTCTCCATGTCCGTGTCGCTGTGGTTCGGTAGCACAGAGATATGTCCGTTCTCCAAAACGACGCGTGCCGTCTCGCCGTCTCGGATTGCGCCCCTGAGAATAAGAACGGCCATGCGATTGAGCACCTCCTTCTCGATGAGCCGTGCCAAAGGACGAGCACCGTAAGCGGGAGAGTATCCAGCCGATCCGAGGTAGTCTTTGACGTCGTCCGTGATCTGGATAGTGATGTTGCGTCCGTTGGCGGCCAACCTCTTCTGGATCTCCGCCATCCGTACGTCGACAATACGGCGGATTTCCTTCTTCGTCAACCTGTTGAAGATAACGATGCTGCTGATGCGGTTGAGGAACTCCGGGAGGAAGTAGTTGCGTAGAGCGTTCATGACCATCTCCTTCGTGGTGGGGTCGATCTTGCCACTGGGAAGATTTGGTCGCGAAAGGTATTCGGCGCCCAAGTTGGACGTCATTACCACGATACAGTTCTTCGCATCCACAACTCTGCCTTGGCCGTCGGTAATACGACCGTCGTCCATGAGCTGCAAAAGAACAGTAAGGACTTCCTTCGCCGCCTTTTCAACCTCGTCGAAGAGAAGGATGGAGAATGGCCGCCGTCGGAGAGCTTCGGTCAGTTGTCCGCCAGCATCGTGTCCCACATAGCCTGGTGGTGCGCCAATCATTCTGCTGAGTGAGTGACGCTCCTGATATTCAGACATGTCGAACCGGATCATGGCCTTTGGATCGTCGAACAAAAACTCGGCAAGAGCCTTTGTGAGCAAAGTCTTACCAGTTCCTGAGGGTCCGCAGAAGAGGAATGACGGTGGCTGGTTCGGGTTTGCTAGGCCAGAACGTTGCAGTCGGATGGCGTTCGACACTGCCTTGACTGCTTCTGCCTGACCAACAACAGTCTCGCCGAGGACGCGCTCCATCTGCAGGAGCTTCTCCTTCTCCGTGGTCTTTAGTCTCGTCACCGGGATGCCAGTCCAGCGCGCGACAATCTCGTTGATCTGATCTGGACCCACGGCGTCAGTCACGAGCGGTTGGTCGTTCACTGATCCACGACGAGCCGCCATCTCGATTTCCTGAGCTTGCTTCTCTTTCTCGAGTCGGTTGATCTTCTGCTGAATGTCTGGAATTGCGTAGTACTGCAAGTCAGAAGCTGTTGCGAAATCGTTGACTCGCTCGGCGTCTGCCAACTTGATCTTGAGCTGATCGAGCTTCTGCTTCGCCTCTTGAATTTCATGCGTACGTGCCTTCTCCTGTTCGTACTTTTCGCGAAGAGGCTTCAGATCTTCCTCGACATTGGCAGCTTCAGCCTTGGCCTCAGCAAGTCGTTTCTGAGAAGCTTCATCCTTCTCACGCTCCAACGCATGGATTTCGATCTGCAGCTGTCGCAGTCTTCTCTCGAGGTGGTCGATGACTTCCGGTTGAGAGTCACGTGCTACACGCACAGCTGCTGCTGCCTCGTCGATGAGGTCGACAGCCGAGTCAGGCAAGCGGCGTTGAGTCAGGTAGCGTGCTGCGAGGGTGGCGGCGGTTACGAGGGCACCGTCGAGGATGGTGACACCGTGATGTGCCTCATAACGCTCCTTTAGACCTCTGAGAATCGAGATTGTCTCTGATACGGTCGGCTCTTTCACGAGCACTTGCTGGAAACGCCGCTCGAATGCTTGATCTTTCTCGATGTATTTTCTGTATTCGCCAAGAGTCGTAGCACCGATGCAGTGCAACTGACCACGAGCAAGCATTGGCTTCAGCAAGTTGGCAGCATCCATGCCACCTTCGCCGCTGGAGCCAGCTCCCATGAGTAGGTGAATTTCGTCGACGAAGAGAACAATCATCTCCTTGGCCTCCTCGATCTCCTTCAGCACGCCCTTCATGCGCTCTTCAAACTCACCACGGTACTTGCTGCCTGCAACAAGAGCACCGACATCGAGCGAGAGGAGCTTGCACTGTGCCAGGTTGGCGGGCACATCTGCATTTACTATTCGCAGAGCCAAGCCCTCCACGACGGTTGTCTTGCCAACACCAGGCTCGCCGATCAGTACGGGATTGTTCTTCGTTCGTCTCGACAAGATCCGAATGACTCTGCGAATCTCCTCCTCGCGGCCAATGACGGGGTCGATCTTTCCTTCCCTCGCCATGGCCGTCATGTCGATGGTGAACTTTTTCAGATTTTCATGCTCTGCCTCCGCGTCTGCTGTCTTCGAGTCGACCCTCCTGTTGCCCCGGATCTGCTGGATAGCTTCGTCGATGAGCTTCGTCTTTGGAATGTTGGCTTCAGTCAACGACTTTTGGATGCTGGGGTCTTGGACCAAAGCTTGGATGAGGTGGTCGATTGCGATGTAGCTATCTTTCTGTGTCGCCCGTAGCTCGTTCGCTTGTCTGAGAATCTTGGAGAATGCAGGAGACACTGGGATCTGCTCTGGAGGCGGGTCTTGGGATGGCTGTCGTACAAGAGCCTTCTTCAGCGACCGGTCGAAAGCTTGGGTGTCGCCATGGCTCCTCTGAATGATCTGTTTGAAGAGGGATTCCTCCTGCTGGGGACCGTTCTGCTGATCCCTGCTGAGGTCTGGTGGTGGCTCGTACAGCACAACAGCCAGATGCACCGGGCTGATCTGGCTATGCTGGTACTGCTGAGCAAGTTCTGAAGCGTTGACAAGCGCTTGTTGCGCCTTGTCTGTGAATTCGAGTTTCGAGTTCATGGTGCTTTGTGCACGGAAGATAAAAGCGTGTGTAAAGAAACAAAAGACTGCCGGGAAGCAACGGATTGGTGCGAGGTCACTGCATATATAGCTCGCCGGCCGAGCGTGACGTGCATGCTCTAGGAGATGCTGGAAGATTGGAGTCACGTTAGGAACGTACGAGGACGAGCCCGCATGCTCGAGCAGCTCGACGGCGCCTCTAGAAGCTTCTCTGGCAGTGATTGGCCCATGATGTCATCCCCGCTTAGTCAGCAGCGCTCTCAGCCTGGCCTTACCCACACACGCACGAACGACCAGCTCTCACACAATGTCGTTCTCCCTCTCTTTCTTGCCGTCTTTCTTCTCACATGAGCAGCCCCAGAACTCCCGCGTCGACGCGCCCGTGTGCATCCTGACCCCGCTATGGACGCCGTCTTCGCTGCCTTCGGCCTTCTTCGTGTGCAGACCAACCGTCGTCTGGTTCCACATTGCCAGCGGGGCCGGCGGCCATGCAAGGAGGGGCCTTGCTCAGCGCCATATTCTTCCATGCCCCTCACGCTGCCTGGCACTAGCCTAGCTGTCGTGGCATTAGAGGGGGTTGGGCGTCTAGTTCACAGCTTCTTGAATGATGGCCATGTATCGTCGGTCGCGATAGAATCCCTGCTCTGCTCGTGTAAACCTGAAGCTGTAAGCATAGAAAGTGTCAACCTCGCAGGACGACGTGCGCACCACGCCCAGGACGGCTCTGGTGAGCATGAAACAGTAGAGCATCAGGTGAAGCGTTGCCAGAGCCTTTCTGGAATGCATTGGGTAACGGCGGAAGGCAGGTCCACTGGCCAACGTCTTGCAGGCATGCGTCATAGAAAAGTAAGCGGTCCAAATCACTCAGCCTTGAGAGCACCGTACCCAAGGCGAAATCTCGACGAAGCCATACATTAGTAGCATCCCCTATTGAAGGGATATAAAACATATCTTGCCTTTTCTAAACTGGGGCGTTCAATGTCTAGAAAACCCCTTCTGGTTTTTTCCTTTTGATCGTGCATTGCCGGCATTCGTGTTCCAGCGTTGACGATGGATATCAAAAAGATCTAAAACTGCCTAACGCTCCTGAAGCACGACGACACGTGTTTGGATTCTAGCTGCGGACCAACAGGATACGCTGCGACACCAAGAACCAGAAGCGTCAGTCCAACTTTAGGCTCAAGTGACGGGCAACTTCGTCTTCTCATGCCACACACGTACACACACCACACGGTGCACGTTCGTGTCTGAAGTCAACTCCGAGACCAGAGAGTAACGTGATCTCGAATGGACCGCAGCTTCAGTAAGCTTGCTTCCCCGCAGGATGACTGGCGCTGGAGCTCTGGAGGCCGTTTCTACATGTCCAGAGCATTCACGTTTGCTGGGAGAGAGAAAACCTGGCAGCATCCTGGTATCGCTTTGTACCTTGGGACTGGCGCGTCCTTCCACACTCCCTGAGGACCAGGCTTTTGGGGCCGCGATGACTCGGGTCTGCATTTTGCCTGGCTCGTGGCTGCGCTCGAGAGAAGAGTGCCAAAACTCCTGCCCGCGTCGATACAGCATCGTCTTCAAGTATTAGGCCGCTTTCCCTGACCGCTATCTGAGACTCCCGACGAAGCCCTCAACCTGGGACGTTCTTCGTTTGCCTTCTTTCCAGCCTGACCTCATGTGATAGCAGCTCCAGAAGCTGTATTTGCGTATTGGTTGGGCTTGGTACGATGAGGCCCATGTGTGGACTTTCGCACGAGACTCGGCCTTTACCCAAGTGCTTCCTCTTAACTCCCTGGAGAGTTATGCTCGATGTCTTCCCATTTGATGGTGCCAGTGCCAAAGCCAAGCGACGAAAATAACGCATAAAAAAGTGAGCAGAGAGTTTTAAACGGATTAGTCACGTCCTTCGTGTCCCATCTTTTGCATGCCTCGTACTGAGAAGATGAATGGACTTAATGGTCAAGGTGTGGTGTACGTGTCTATTTGTTGAGCTTCTTGTATCAGTCGTTGTGGCAACCTCCACCGTGAGGTTGCGCTTGCAACCTACGATAGCCGCACTTTTGCTTTGCTATTTGGAATCCCGACAAGCAGAAGTTCTTGCAGAGTCGTCGCACTCTTGTTACAAGTGTGGTAAGTTAGATTCCTGCCCTCTCCCCTCCCAAAAGCCAAAGGAGATCGAATATGAGCTACGGGCCACACCCACACCCTCTGCGTTGTCATCCGCCATCGCCTGAATCGTCACCGTTGATTGGCGCTGCGAGAGACGGAGGCAAGCAGACAATGTGTACTTCTCCTCTGAGCGCTGAATATCTCCTCACGGATTCCTCAACATGCAGCAGCCAAGGAGCAGAAGTCGACGATGCCGACGAGGACAACTGTGATCAACACCTTGGAGCTCTAACCTATGGTGGACCCATACCGCAGGATGGACGCCGCTTCCTGGATTTCTTTGGCCTCCCAGGTGTCAACGGACAAACTGTAGACACGATCCATCGCGCTGTCCTACGCGTCTTTGACTACGTAAGTTCGTGATTTGCGTCACTGACAAGGGGGAGTTTTCTCTAACTTACACAGCTTCCAAGTAAGTCTGACGAGCGTTCGTTCACGTTCGTCGACAAGAGTACGTTCAATTTCCTCCTGCCAAAGTTGTATCACACTGTGACGATTGACATTGCCCGATTCCCCCATAATCTTCAAGCAACGATGGGTATGGTCTGCAAGACAAATCCGGGACGGCAATTCATCAGGCGTGTCATTTTTGATGGAGACGACGTGGCGGATAAGAGGATGCCACCTTCGGGCTTCACATACCTCGCTTCGCACATCATCAGTCAGCTGCCCGAGTATCAACTTGAGAGTTTTGAGTACAACGATTCCAACTTGCATAAACTTTGCCACCAGCTACTGACGGTTCTCTAGATGGCCTGCCGATTTCGTGCTACCTGAATTCGACACTTTGGACCTGTGGGATAGGCAGGACACTGTAAAGAACATCGCCATCTACCAGCACACATTAAGCGTATACTTGTGACCTTCATTTGCCAAATTTCTGAGGCTAATAGCTACAGTATTCTCCACAAGACACGAGAGATGCTTTAGATGCCATGGATAATCTGGAAGTCCTGCGCATCAGTGTGGATGACAGTGCTGGCATACGCCCTGTTTACCTGATTCTCAAACATCACCCTATCCGAGACCTGCATCTGGACCTACGAACCTACAAGCCGAAGCTATGTGGGAAGAGGAGCGTCGCAGAAGACGTCTCTCAGCTCGTTTTCAAGCACATGCAACCGCTGACCAAATGCCCTGTACAGCTCCAGCTGGCACTTACACGTCTTACCTTGTGGCATGTCGACCTCGAGAATAGCCACGGAAGCTGGCTACACTGCATTCGCCCCATGTCTCTCAAGGAAGTCGAGCTCGTTCAGTGTCCATTTGTCGGTCATTTTCTCCACCACCTGGCTGATCGACACCCGTGTATTCATAGCGTAAGAATCGATCACGACGAGCAACTGGATGTCCCAGCTCCAGCGATGACCACAGGCAGAAAAGCTCGAACTGACCATGAAGTGCTTGAGCACACATTCACGGACAGCCTTTGCAAGTTCCTCGTAGATCTCGCCTTCGCCAGAGAGGCATGTCAAGACCCAGCTCCGTGGGCTGGCACGGAGCCGAGGCAGCGCCTCAAGCGTCTCCGTCTTTGCATTGAGAATGCCGTTTGTACAACGACGTATGAAGAAGCCGTGAAGCTTCATCTGCCAAATCTCGAACTCCTTTCCCTCAAGTTTGTCAGCGACGCTGATGACGACAGCTCCGAAATCTTCAGCGTCGAAGCCTGCTTCGAGAGCTGCGAACCCTTGCTCCTTCGTCAATTGGACATCTCCTTCCAATCTTTCAAACGTTCAGAGAAGTGCTTCAACCCTGTCACACTGCGTCTCCACGGCGTCGTTGCCGAGAACGGTCATACGGCAGCTGCTCACGCGCTGTATGCCCTTCGCACAGCGCACAAGAAGAATTTGCAGGTTCGCGTAATTGCCATTGAGATACAGCCCAGGGAGTACGTCACGCTAGACAGAACGGGTAAGGTGATGGTTTGTAAATCACGTATGGAGTATTTCACCCGTGGTGAGTGTATCGTTATGGGAAAAAAAGTCGAGACCGTGGTCCCAGTAAGCTTTGCGCAGGTCAAGAAATACGCGACAGAGATTGAGGTGCTGAAACTGCCGCCTGCGAAGCTCGGGGCATACGGACGAGTATGAGTGTTATTGTTCGCATGTGGACGGAGTCGACTTTTTCTATGGGAATTGCAGGGCGTGGGTATTCAAGTTGATTAAGCGGATTATGAGAGCCAGCGTGCTTCCTCTTCCGCCATCGCTGAAATCTTAGTGTTCACATGCTATTCTACAAGGCACCGAACGTGCCCAGGGGCGCAAGGTGAAATTTTCGACAGTATATTCACTGTCCATACGTTCGTCATAGTCGAAACCTTGCGTAGCTTAGAAGGCAAACTTGGTCCTCATGTCACTGACCTTTCTCACAACCTCTCTCACACTCCTGTCCAGCTCCGCGGCGATCCTTTCTCTGCTCTCGTGGCTCAATAAGAAAAACCTCTCGCATAGGTCGCCGTCAACGACTCCCTTGACCGGCACGTACTGTCCCCGATATACTAAGTGATCACGACCTGCCAATGGAGGGTCCTCCTTCCGCATTTCAGACTCCAAAGATTGGAAGAAATTCGCATCCTCGCGTGAATCGAAGGGAATGAGGGCACCGATGGTACCTTGCAGCCCGGAGTAGATGAGCATCTCCTTCTGGCCGGAGACAAGAGCTGCTTTCGTGAGCGAGGTCGGGATGTCATTTACGAAATTGTGGATCAGAAGTTCGACTCGATTAGGCGTACCGCCTAGGTAACCGCGCTCGTTGAGTAGATGGCCCGCCGCGCCTTCTTCGTCCGCTTCTTCTGAAGCCTTTTCGGGCACGCGAACAAGCCAGAGATTACCAAATTTGTCACCGCCGGCAACTGTGCGATAGTCAACCATAGTGGTGCAGGTTGTCCAGCGAGCAACGCTGTCGTCAGCGAAAGGGATGAGCTTGTTCTCATTTGGTTTGTAGACAACATAGGTGACGGATTCTTGGATATCACCACAAATGATCCTATACCCCATTACCTCAATGCTGGTCAGCAAGTTGGGCACGGCGTTGCGGGCCTGGGCCTTTCGAAGCATTTGCTTTATACCGAGAGAATACATGACTAGATTTGAGCCAATCCCGGCAAGGATACGGCCTTTGAAGACACCAAGCGCGGTGGGTGGGGCGTCGACTCTGGTCTTGTGTATAAATTCGAGAGAACGACCCCCGTTAGTGACTTCGTAGACATGAAGAAAGCCGCAACCAAAAGAGCGCGGCGAAACGACAAGGTTTTGTGCTGTACCAACAACGACGAAGATCCTACCAGCAAGATGCGCGCCTTCAAACTCGAGGGCTGTGATGGCAGTCGGACATTCGTCATCTTCAAAGTATAGGGTATCGATTACGCCTTCAGGATCAAGAAGCCTGCCTTCGTCATCGTCGTATGCAATTGGGCCGCGAGCTTCATTGTAGCCTAGGGGATTGACAATTTGGAGACAAGACGCCCAATGACGGTCTGCCTTCGGGAGTCCGAAATCTTTGGGTGGCAGCTCCTCAACGTCACCATTTTTCTGCTCGTCCTTCAAACGCTTACGATTGCGTGCAGAAAGTGTATTGTTATCCGCCTCAATGATGTAGAAATATGGACGTATGCTGTCCGGTCCCATGTCAGGGTGCTTGACGAAGGCGCGTGGAGTGTTCTCAAGTGGAACTGATACGTGTCGTAGTACCGTGTCAAGCTTATGTGTTTGTATGAATCTGGTCCGCTATCAGCTCGCGCTCATAACATAATAGCTCGTCATCTTAGAATACGTTCGACGCTGTATCAGTAGGAACAATTGGAAATAGAGATTATGCTCATCAGAGAAATTTGAGTTCAGCAAGAGCATAGTTATTTGTCATCATAACAACGTAATAGTCACAAGAGAAGAGGAAGATTTTTACATACCTCAACTGTTTCTTCTCATCCACTCCAATGATACCATGAGGGCATTGGTCAGAATGGAAACTCCAGGCAGACTGCAGTGCTGGATAATCCAGCGGTGCTAATGTAAACATTTTGGTTTGCTCATCTGCATACCCGAGCCACGACTTCGAGGTAAGTGCTAAGATAGCTCGCTGGGTAGGTAGTTGGACACTGTACAACTTTACTGGCTGCACGCCCAGAAACCGCGATCGTGTATCAGATAGGTCACCTGTGATCTCGTCCAGGATAGTCCGGATGTATACACCACTCGTTAACCCAATATGGAGGTACAAAGTCGGACTGCCAGAGAATGAGTCGACCATCGACATAATACACAGCGAGCATGCGGGAGCGGAGATGGCCTGTATCGACTTATTCTCTAGTGTGGAGTCCGGATCTAGACTCAAAATACGAACGGTGGAGTTGTCGCATGCCACTGCGAGGTATGGGCTGCGCTGCCTGCCTTCTGGAACCTCACCCATGGCTAAAGCGGTAACACCACTTGGCATTTGTGGAGACTCGCCATATTCATTCAACTCACCATCTTGATCCATTTCGAAATACACAAGATGACCTGAGCTAAGGGCAACGGCCACCTGCTGCGTATTTGTGGCAACGGCAACAATGGTCCTATACTGAGGCACATCCCAATCGTTGATGCCACCTGTAGCAGAAATGTGCCGGATACCTTTGGGAAAAACTTGAATGACTGAGTCTTCACCCATCTGCTGGATTGCGAGAGTAGTAACAGACGTGTTGATGCCAGAATCGCTGATCTCCTCGATGTAATCTCCAACACCGAGGACGAGAGTATTGTGCTGATAAGCAAGGACGATATAAGCATCGACAGCATCATTGTATCGTAGCCGCGTTGTAAAAATACGGACTGGTTGCTCTGGCAGACCTTGTGCGATGAGCTCAGTCACTTGAAGACCATGCCGCACGTTTCGAAAGGTGCTACGCGGGCCAGCACCACAGATGGCATACAGTTCTGGCGCCTCTTGATACTCTAGATTTACTACCTGCAAGCCCATGAGTGGATGCAAGGAGTTCAGACTCGAAGCAAGGTCGATGTTCTGAAATGGTCTGGGCTTGAACATATTGACTTCGTAGCTGACTCTTGAGTCGGGGTACAAAACTTGTGGGAAGTCTCGCGATATTGACTCGCTGCTAAAAACGGGATCATCAGACTCATCCCCAAGTGCCATGACCTGGTACAGTCCATGATCCCCACTTTCAGAGGCAGCAAACAAGAAGCCGCTCTTCATGATGCACAGGCTCCTTGCCACGGGAATCGTGTCAAAGAATTTGAGGTTGAGCTGGCCGACCTCCCCCGTCAGCTTTCCTTGTTCATTTTTAACCAGATCCATCGTAAGCTTGAACACATCGCCGTCGTTTGTCTGGAGCAAAAAGAAAAAGATCCCACGCATTTTATGCATCGTGCCTGAAACAATCCGACGCTTGCGTGCAGTGTCTTCTGTGGCAGTCTGCCGACGCGGTATCTGAATGCGAGTCTGGTACTGATTTGAATGATGGTAAACAATGAAATCTTCGCTGCAGACAAGGACACCGCTGGGACCGTCCGCTCCACCTGGCACTTGGAAAAGCTTGTTTGCCGATCTATCTACCGGCTCAGACCATTTTCGGACGACATGATTTAGGCCAAGATCAAGCTCGTAATAGACCAGCTCCTTGTCCAAAGAAGCGTAGGCCTGACCGGTAGGATCTGCATCCGACTCGCCATAGTCAATCTCTAATGCCGCAAACACTGGGTTTTCGTAGCCGACGTCGAGTGCGACAAGGTCAAAGACAAGAGCGTGGGGCTTATGTGCTTCGAGGGGAGATGAAATGGTAAGGCTCTCGTTGGCCGTGCGGTTGAGCACGTAAACGAGCTTGTTCTTCTCGATGGAAGCAATCATGCATGCTCTTCCTTTCGGGTCTGCTGCCAGATACTCGCCAGGAATGACTCGTCTGATGCCCGATTTGCCATATGTCTCCAAGTGCACTCGCTTAAATCGGTTTTCATCGGGCATGTATTCAAGAATTGCAATCCGTCCGGAGTCTGACGCTATAATGATATAATCTGCAAATAGAATTAGCAATGTATTCAGGATTTGTAGATTATTGCAGTACCAAGCCGTGCCGTGCGCTTTACATCAATAGATTCGTCGTCGGTAACACAAGCGCTGCTAGGTATGCTTGGGAGAATCACTATGCTGTCGCTCATGTAGAGGCTTGATATTCAAACATACCTTTGCTACCTCCAGCCACTCTGAATGATGCCATTGCTCGTATTATGCCGAAGACATCGTGTGACATGATGGGCGTTATGACGCTGTTACGAGCATCCGGTCGATACAGGGTGAGTCGGGAGCCAGTAGCGGTAAGGAGCTGCTGCTCTTTGATGCCCATAAACTGCGCAGCGATGGCCTGCTGGATGGCCGTCGTAGGCTGCAGCGTCATGCTGTACATGTACATAGATGATGTCGCCGCCATGATGGGCGGACGATGAAAGAAGCGAGTTTACGTGGTTCGCGTGTCGTGAAGGTTCTGATAACAGCTCGTCGCTATCGTGCGTACCCACTCTCGATCTCAGGAGGTATGTGCTGGATCAGGCAAACGTCGAATGTTTCTTACGTGCTTTTGTCTCTTCAGCGTTCTGACTCCACTTCCAGCTCTCCTGCCTGAGCACAGAGAATCGCTTCGACGACGAAGGACTTTTGCGGCCAGAGCCTATCGTGCATCCATGCGCAATTTACGCGTATGCGATCATGCGTAAGTCCAGCTGGTAGTGTGGATCCGGTGAGACGATACCTCTTTTCGTCGCAAGGAGTTGCGATGTATGGGAATTTTGGTTGGCTTTTGAGTGGTGAAATAAAGTTTGCGACCTTCGGACGTTGAAGCTCGAATCTGGGCGGCAAGTTTAGACGAGTGTTTGGGCTTGGCTCGTATATACCTGCCTTTATCATCTTCCCACGGAAGCTCTCACACAGAGAGCCAGAATCACTCAGCATAGCACTGCTTTGTCGTTTCTCAGGCGTGGTAATTCCTTGTATAGACAGAGATCGCAGACCTATCATTCTCGCTATGCTACTCAATGTCGAGAACTTCCCCTAGCTTCATAATATTTGGCATCGGCCTCGACATTCCCCTTTGTGCGACAACGATAGTCCTATCCTAATTATCATCCTTCTTGAATTAATTTGTGCGACACTCTGTTCATGTAAACGTAATTGCTATCTTAACATCATGATGTGGTGGCCGAGACCGCAATAGCTGGTGAGATCAAGTGCCGAGTGGAGGCGGACATAACAACCGAACAATCCAACATGCTGTATGTTACATACGCATGTGCCCGCAAAGAATGGCTGACAAGTTTTTTATGTCGTGATGATTGACGAAAGAAAAAGCTTGCCCGGAGAACTTTGGAGTTCGGTGGGATGAGACCCGAACGATCGGCAGTCATGACATGCCTGGTTCAGCAATTAACAACTACCGATCTGCTTCCCCACAATCTCTCCGCATTTTCTACACTTATTCAAGAAAAATTTTCTTGCATATACCCAGCCTCGGCATGATTGTGTCATAATTTGAGGTTTTTATTTCGAACTTCGTGACAATGAACCACGAAGTCCGCTTCGTGGTGAGGAGATGAATGGTCATGTGTGCTCTATTTATCGTCGGCAATGTATGCACTCTGTCTCGAGCATCGTGTGCGAAACGATGCATTCTATATTGCTTTCGTGTTTGAGCGCGCTCGCACTCATCCCTGTTGTCAAGGCAAAATATGATCAGTACATTTTAGCTCCCACCTCACGAACAATATTTCCGGCTTCTGTTCACAAGATCAATGGCACCGTGAAGGACGCAGAGACTCTATGTGGCAGTTCTCCAGGAAACGCAGTGTTTAATGGAATATCTTCGGTAGCATATGACTATGGTAAGAACGTAGGAGGTCTTGTCACCATCACGATTGGAAGCACGTCCGATCAGGAGCAGTTCATCGGCGTAGCGTTTAGTGAATCATCTCTTTGGATCTCGGATCTGTGGTCCGACGCCACAGCAGACGCCGGCAACGACGAGATTCTCTGGTGGAAAATTACTGGGCCTGGAGATTACACTGTTGAGCGGAAGCATCAACGGGGCGGGTTCCGGTACATGACTTTAGTCCACAACACCACTGGTTCTGTAGGGGTCAAGCAAGTTCAAACTTACTTCACTGCTTTGCCACATCTTGCGGACGATGAATTGCGGAACTACAGCGGGTGGTTTCACTCCAACGGTAGGTTATCGACGCTTGAGCATCCACGCAATTTACTAAGACGAGATTATCAGATGAACTTGTCAACCGAATATGGTACGCTGGAGCCTACACAGCTCAGCTTTGTACTATCGATCCACATTACGGCAATTCACTCAATTTCTTTGGTACAATCACTGCCAGTGAGTCTATAAATGGTTCTGTCCCATGGTGGTCAAATACAACAATCGCAAATGCCAGCTCTGTTCTAGTCGATGGAGCGAAACGTGACAGACTGGTATGGCCAGGAGATATGGTTACGTCTTGGCCGACCATGCTCGTCTCAACGAACGACAAAATCACTGTTAAAAACTCACTGGATTCTCTATTCGAGAGACAAAATAAATCTACTGGCGTAATGCCTTATGCGGGATATCCGTTTCCACTTATATATTCTGCGACGTATCATCTACATAACCTCATCGGTGCTGCAGAGATCTACCTTTACGACGGAGATCTCCAATGGATCAGCGCCAAATGGGAACAGTGGAAATTTGCATTGTCGTATTCTCTTAGCACGGTAGATTCATCCGGCCTTATGAACGTCACCAGCAGCGCTGACTGGTTGCGCTTCGGCATGGGTGGGCACAACATCGAAGCTAATGCGATCTTGTACCATACTCTGAACTATGGCATCATGTTGGCGCAGGCGCTCAATGACAACAGCGTGCTCGAAACATACATGAACTATTCTCAGAACATCAAGTCTGCTGCGAACAAGCTACTTTGGGATGAAAGCGCAGGACTTTACAAAGACAACGAGACGACGACTTTGCACCCTCAGGACGGGAACTCCTGGGCCGTCCTATCCAACCTCACTGACTCCACCGAGAAATCCGCCACCATTTCTGCGGCGCTCGCTGCGCGCTGGGGTCCATACGGTGCTCCAGCCCCCGAGGCTGGCGCAACGGTATCTCCATTCGTTGGAGGGTTTGAACTCCAGGCTCATGCCGTAGCTGGCAACACCACGGCTCTTCTCGACTTGTGTCGCCTGCAGTGGGGCTTCATGCTGGACGATCCGCGGATGACAAACTCAACTTTCATAGAAGGATATAGCACAAATGGAGATCTGCACTACGCACCGTACACAAATGATCCTCGAGTGAGCCATGCGCACGGCTGGAGTACGGGGCCAACGAGCGCATTGACATTCTACGTGGCGGGCGTGCAGATCGTGGAAGCCGCCGGGAAGACCTGGAGGATTGCTCCAAGGCTGGGAGGATTGACCGAAGTCGATGCTGGGTTTGCAACAAGTCTAGGGCAGTTCTCAGCGAGCTCGAGACTGAATAAAGGCGGCTGCATAAGTGTGGAGTTCAAAACTCCTGAGGGAACCATGGGGACGGTTAGCGTTGAGACGTCAGGATGTAGCGGGCAATTTAAACTAAAGCCTAGCAGTGGTGATGGTGGTTCAAGTTCAGCCAAGATGAGCAAAAACGGAGACACGGTGGAATTTGATAATGTGCCTGGAGGCAGTTGGACATTGACATGTTCGTAGTTCGGCTGTGGCATATTTATAAGTGTTGAATGATTCATAGCAGGCTTTGACGGAATTTTGACCGACGAGAACACTAATCAAATGCCGAACTAAATGATTGACGGGGCCAAAAACAAACTAAAATATGACATGATCTAGAGAAAGCCTCGAATCGGGCTCGTTGGGGTTAAATGGCAGTTAGTTCTTCACATTCCTATCCATCATCAAGTCGTAATGAGAAAATCAACAATTCTTAGGTGTCGAGCAATTGCATGCAAGGAAGAAAACTCGCTTGATAAATTAGTCTTCACCCGATGCTCTTTAACTAACAACATATCCGCTATATAGCAGCATCAAAGGGCCGGTCGCCAAGCTCTCCTGATTTCCGCTTTCGACCGCCTCCAGAACACCTTTTCCAGTCTGCACAAGCTTCTTTGTGCCTTCGTCATCAGTCCATCTCATCCTCGAGTAGAATATTATGTGTACAGCAAAATAAACCGTGAGGCGGATCTTTTCTTGCTCACTTAGAGGACGCTCTGCTAAGTACGCGGTCAAAAAAGCACTGAACATTCCTTTGCCTCCATAAAATCGATCGACCAGCCACGCGTCTGCAGCGAACCGTCCGACATCAGTAGCCCCGTTTCCTACACGAGCATTCTCCCAATCTATGATGGTCAGGACCGGATCTAATTGATTCACGTTTCCCTCCGCTGTGCTTTGACGTGTGGTGTCCTCATCCGCGACTTGAATGTTGGATAGCCAAAAGTCGCCATGACAAAGGCAAACTTTGTCTTCGACTGACTCAGAGCCATATGCGGCGTTAATACGCTCTCCAAGTGCAGGATCGAAGCCTTGATGTTCAAGCACAGACGCAACTCCCTTAAAAGGATACTGATATGCAAAGTCAGTCGCATTGCCGTCAAGTTTCTCTCTCAAGACACTCAGCGCTGGTTGTGCTGAGGTTGCGTTATGCAATCTCGCAAGCCAGAGACCTATCCTCTGCGCTAAGAGAGCAAAGTCCAAGTGGAGCCCAGTCTTGTAGCACTGTCGCAGATCCAAGGCTCCGCCGTCAGACATGTGCAGAAGATGTTTGTCCGGAAAGTATTCATGCACTCTTGGCAGACGAATCTTCTCATCCGCCGATAGCATTGTTGCCAAACATTCCAGTGTTAGTTGCTCATAGTATATTCTCTCTTGCGGTAATGGCACGTCTGGAATGATGCGGATATACGGCTCCGCGTGTTTGATTATGCTTCGTCCATTTGACCTTGACTTGATTCGCCAGCAGAAATTGGCTGATCCGCCCTCGAGAAAGTCCACTTCGTCACAAGGCACATCTTTCGAGTGAAGAAACTGGCGAAGTTGGGCCTCCGTTGTGATTCCCATGTCCTGTCAATTCGGCAATTGGATCACTTGGTGTCACAGAGCTCGCGCTGAAGGTTCTGGTACGAGCCAACTCCTCTAGTCTTCAGCGAGACGTGGTAGATTGATAGCTCTTTCGTTTGGTACTGACATAGGCTACGTACTAGTCAACGCATATAGCTAACGAATGAGAAAGGATGTGATCCTCGGTGTGTTCTAATCCGTGGCCTTGATCGCCGTCTATGTCCTTCAAGGATTGGGACGGCTAGAACTACCTGGCCCGTGCATCAACATGATCTCTAAACGCACTCCAGAAAGTGTCAGACCACGACGAAAAGCGCAACGACAATGTCGTCCAAATACACATGTCAGCGTTGCCTGACGCAACTCCGGTCGGCGAGGCTGCAGCGACCAGTTCCCAGGATAAAATTTGATGCCACGAGCCGCCGATGGCACTCAATCGCTCCTCGAACGACCAAACGGCAGTCGTCTACGGCTCAGGCCTTCAAGAACACGTCGAGCTCCACCGATGCCAATGGCGGCGTCAAGTCCAGCCTTGTTCTCACGCAGAACAACCTCTTTCACCCCTTCTCGAAGTCGCCAATACCCGAAATGCGCAGCCGAGCGGATTATATAAAGTCCCATGCTTGGTGTCCACACCCGTCGCATCAACGTACGAGACTCGTACTTGACCCCAACGATCCGGAGGCGAGAAAGCCAGCGTCCAAAGAGGCCGGTACGGCGCCGGCGCATGTGAACTTCGAGTGCCCAGACTGCGGCATCCCGGTGTACTGCTGCGAGGAGCACTGGGCTGATGACTACGAGGCTCATTTGGAGATATGCGACACGCTGAGGCAGATCAACGAGGACGACCACGATCTCAGGTCAGGCCGGGTGTTTAGCGAGTTCAGGATGGCGGACGAGCAGATGGAAGAGATTCTGGTGAACATGACAAACTGGGACACGCTGCTCTACACGCGCGAGTACGAAGCTATAAACGACGACAGGCAGCTGAGGCAGGCGACGAGGCTACTTACGTATCCTATCACCATCGGCAGCATCCTGCACGAGTTGTCGCCATACAACATCCGCTCTGGCGGACGATTGACTCCGGAGGGCCTGAGATCCCTCTCGGCGCTTCGTTACACCCTCCATCCGCCTCGTACAGGCGAGGGCTCCACAATGAAGACCATCCGGCTCAAGCCTCCCCCGGTTCGTGTCTTCATTGTCGGAGCCCGGGCCGAGTCTTCCCTTCCACGTGAAGTTTGGACTCAGCTCGCGTACCTCTTCCCTCGCGTCGCCTTCCACTTGATCTTCATCGGCCCCGAAAGCATGCTCAACCGCGACGCCGAATTCCCACTCCCGGAGCGCACGCCGCAGAATCCATTCGGCGCGGTTGTGGAGGACAGGATCAGCCACTACATGAAGATCAGCACCTACGTCGATTACTTCCACACCTTGCACGAGGCGCAGCACTTTGCGCCGTACGATCCCTACTTCGACGTCTTCATGCTTTTCCACCCCGGCCTTGGGCATCCCATCTCTTCGTCTGAATGGGCGGCCACCATCCCCATGCTTCTGGAGACGAAGTGCGCCATCTTCGCAACGGGCTACACCGAGTTCGACATGCAGAGAGACTTCGAGTTCGTGCAGAAGACGGCAGGTGGCGAGGTCGACCTGCTGATGGAGCCGGGAGAGAATCGATTCAGGAGTCTGCGGTGGGATCTGAACGACATGGAGCCTCAGGATATCAGCGCGGGCAACTGGGGCGTGTGGGGTTTCAGAGGCAAGAGGTATGAGGCCGAGAAGACGGAGTAATTGCAGGACTTTGTCTCTCCCCGCTCCGTGTAATTGTAGACTGTACTTCTAATCCATGCGGTTTTCCCACTACCAACGCCGTTGCTTCTGTCTCCCTCCACGTCCGACTCCAGCTTTGCCTTTATATGTTCAAAACTCTCCTTTTGAAGTCTCGATCGTGGGAGAGGTGGCTGCCTCAGCAGCCTGCTTTCGCGCGAACGGTTCTTTTTTCCAGCTCCAAATCAAAGTACAATCGGACCTTAACTTCAGACGCTACTTTTTACGGTTCGAACATGTCGCAGCGACACAAAAACGTTTCAGCCTATTCGTTTTGCCCATCTTTTTTTATGCCCCGCCAACGAAACGCGGTCAAATCCGGGTGGCGACGTACGAGATGGCCATTGAGGGACGCTGAACGAAAGGCGCCACACGCTGTCCGACGAGCAAGCAATGTCTCCAAGTATCCGTTCACAGGCTTCTAGGCGACTTCGTCGAGGTTTCGCCGAACAACCCGACTCTCCAGGTGACGTGAATGTTTGCGGCGGCGCGAGGATGGAGATCAAATGTGGCATATGAGAAGGAGTAGGACAGGGGAAAAGATGAATCTATTCTGTGCACAACATTAGATACACGAGGTAAGGACCTTTTGATAGGTTTTGCACACGGCAGAGAAACAGCACGATGGGTATCAAAGGACGAAACGAAACGACGCACGCCTCACATGCATTCCAAACCGTTTTTTTTTATTAACTGCCAGACTTCGACCACTCGATCAGCTTGTCTTCGTACTTCATCCACGTGCGCAAGTTGAAAACCCATTTCTTTACGTTCCACCTAGCCTCGGCAACTCCTTTGTCCATGGAGTCGAGTTCGGAGTTAGCCCGGCTCCGCCATCGATCTCTCACGGCGACGAACGTGCTGTACATGGCTCGTCCAATGTTATCGAAGTGGTGTGTACCGTTCAGCAGGTGATCCTTCTCGCAGAAGGCCTTCAGCGGGGCCATCTGGTTCCTGGTGAGCAGGAAGTCGCCTAAGAGGAGATTTAAAATGTCCATCGTCCGCCTCATCTCAGCGATGAGATCGCCGTTGTTAGTCCATTCGAAGGCGGGCAGCGACAACGTGCGACACAGGCGGTCGAACTTGTGCCTGAGGTTGTCTTTGTCTGCTGTTGCGTTAAGCGTGAGAGTCCAGAACATGACCAAGCACTTGCCATGAGCATCTTCCATGGATTCCGGCCAGGCCACTGGCGTCTTGTTCAGGATGTGTCGACAAGCATCAATGGTATGAGTGTAGTCGTCGTTCTCGTTAACATATGGGTGACTAGGCGTGACATTTCCGGGAAATGTGGCCCATTCCTCGTCAATCCAAGCGGCCATGAGATGGAGATACTTAGGTCTGTCGAGGTCACCTTTAGGCATCTGGACTGCCTTGTCTGTGATCTCATAAATGGACATCAAAGTATTACCCGCACCATTATCCTGGACACCGGCCGAGACAGTTGTAGTTGCAGGTGCGTATGACGAGGTCGCTTCATCCACGTCAGGATGACCGGTTAGATTTCTTGCAAGAGAATACTGCTTATTTGACAGCTCGTCTTGTTCAAGCAGATAACTTCTCTGGTATTCAGCGCGTGGCTTAGTTACGGTGCCCTTTGGGGTTGAGGCGTCGTTGTCTTCAGCTCCCGCAGAATCATCTTCCTCGGTCCACAAAGACGCATCATCGTCAATCGGACTATCACTCACTGCTGGAGAGCCTCGGGCCATCGCCAATAGGCCTTGTGTCACTGCTGTTTTAGGGTCAAATCGAAATGTTGGATTTGATGGCTGTGTGTCTGTTCCTGATGCTCCGACGGTGTAGGACCAAGGCTGTTGCATTTGATGGCTTTGGTTAGACGTCGGGGGCAGATCCGCCATCACCACATCAGATTGAGGCGTCTGTACCAGCGGACCAGAATTGGCAACGGGTGAGGTTTCCGCGGTTGCATCCTCGCGGCCTTTGACGTCTTGCATCTCTACATCCTCCGAAACTTCTGCCTCAATCTCTTTTTGATCAACCTTTGCTGTTTTATCAAGCCAGCTTCCCAGAATATCATTTACGTTTTGGTTCCCTGACGCCTCGTCATCAGTGATGACTGGTCCTTTAACGCGGTCTGGTGCGTGGCTTGTTGCAACCGCTTGAGACTGTAAGGATGCTGAGACATATCCTCCTTCACGAAGATGCTGCTGGTATTTCCCTGCATTGATGGCTGACCTTGAAATATCCCCTTCACGCACGGCATCCACAGATACCGAAGGTTGAGAAGTGTTCTGATGCTGTGGATCAGCAGGTGATACGGAACCAGGAGCAAAATTGTCAGGCTGAAGTTGTGCGTTCATCAGATTGTTGAGCAACTTATTTGGCACCTGCGAAGTTGCAGAAACCATACCCCTATTTTCTTTCGCAGCTGTAGGAGCGGAGGTAGGGTTCGCCGCTCTGCGATGGATACGACAAGAGAGGATCAACCCCATGGCACGCATTCTCCGCATAAGTTCCTTCTGGTATTCAGAAATCTCTTCCACCGGCGGCTGCTTCCGTGCCCGTACTCGGTCCTCATCAATCAGGCTCGACTGATCCCATGCTACGGCCCTCGCCGTGCATTGCTTGTCCTTCGTCGATTTTATGGCTGCCTTTTTTGCGACATGGACCTCAGCTTCAAGCGCCTGTGTTTCCGAGACTGACGCATTGTCGTGGGGTTCCTCATTTATAAATATGACGGATGACCGTTCGAGCTCGTGCGCATCTGTGCTTGGAACCAGCTCTCTAGATGGGCTGGGGGGAAATTCAATTTCAGCGGACCTGGTCTGTTCTAAGTCAAGTGAAGTCCGCTTCGCCTTCATCGCTCGTGCTTTCAACCTCGCGTTACGAGCATATAGATCCGCGAGCACCTTGCGAGCGGGGTGCCGGAGCTCGTAGGCAATCAGGTCCAGGTCAGGTCCATCGGGTAAGCTGGGAAGGTCTTCCAGCTTGATAAGGCCCTGAACTTGATTATCCAACAATGGTGTCTGCGACAGCACAAGGTCGGAAGATCCGAAATGGTTTTCCGGCGCGCTTAGATTTGATCTGGGCGATTGCACCGTCATATTGCCGCCATCCGGCTCATCTTCTTGTTTTTCTAGTACGGCATGCGAATTGTGCATCAGATCAGTTACCGATGGCCTATCGTGGACGATATGTTCATCGTGTCGACCAAGCGCCGCATGCATGAGGGACTCATCTGTTTCGTGATGCTGGGTTAGTGGGACCCCTTCGTTTTGTGTGCCCACGCTTTTTGACGATGATACATGCTTTTTCTTGCCGGTATTTGAAGCGTTTCTTCTGGAAACACGCCACTTCGGCTGGAATCGCGAGTTTCTACGGCGATATTGGCTCAGTGAGTGCACTAGCTCTTTTTCACTGATGTCGGTAGTATTATGTCTACTATATACTCCCAGTGGCGTTTCAGCCGTCGCCCAGCCTTCCGCTTGTTCCAAGGAGGATCCAGTGGATACTTCGTTACTGGTTGAGGCCTCGTTCGAACATGCTCGAATCGTCAAGGAAGAGGACGTCGTCGTGCTCCCAAGATCTTTATTCGGCAAGTCCTGATCGGCCTTGCTTGAAATAGGTCGTGACTCTGAGAGCAGTTGCTCCACTCCGCTCTGTTTACACCTTTGTGTAGATGGAGGAGCATCAAAATTCCGATCGTCATTCGCCGTCGCTGTGGCAATCCCCATCTTTGGTGAGCCATCATCGCCGCACGAAGTGCAGAGTGATTCTCGCGACTCTCCAATGACCCGACATGCCTGGGAGAGTTAGAACTAAGACTTCCTCGGCGGCTCAGAGTTGGGGTGCCTCACGATTTCGCCGCACTTGGCAACAACCCAGAAACAATATCCAACGATGCCGCTAAGGACCACCAGAATGGAGAACAGGGTGACCAGAATGTCGAGCAGTCGCACTAGCAACAAACGGAGGATTCCAGACTCGAGCAAGCTGAAAAGAAGGATGCAGCTGACAAACAACCTAACCAAGGATACAGAGGCAGACATTGTCTCATAGCCGGGGCAAAGTTGTCTGGGTCAGTAAGCCTGCAAGTATGTACCCCGTCTGCTGATATTTAAAGATGAAAGGTATTACGATCAACGAAGTTGGGCCGACGGTTTAGTACGAGAAAGTCAAATGACAACTATCGCAATGCACGGAAAACGTTCAGCAGAGCATGCAAACTTATAAGTCAGATTATTTTAGAAAACAAGGTGACTATACTTGGAGCATCGATTGGAAATTCAAGTGAAAGTTAAGTAAAAGGCCATTGTGTGGCTAGGCTTCGCGTGAATTCGTTGTGAAGCAAACGTAACTGTCGTCAGTAGGATGGGCAGTGACCGGACAATGTATTGTGAATGCAGCAACAACACGACATGTATCTTTGGTTTCCATCTCAGTTACCGGGCATCCCATACTGGCCTTTCCGTAACTGGGTGGGACAATGGGAAGGCGACTTGAGGGGTCGATACAAACATGAGCGTGAATCGAGCGTCCGTGAATAAGGACGGACTTGGGTGACTTGGTCAAGAAGGAGAGATGCCACGCTCACATCCACCTCAGACGGCCGCGATAGGCTGGCTCCAGACGCTCAGGTCTGGAGTTTTCCAGCCCAGCGTCTGTACTAGACGCGGGGCTGTACATCGCGACGGAAAGCAGCTGCGCCTGAGAGTCCATGTACCGAACGGATTGAACGGCGACTTGGTACAGCAGGGCGCTGACGATGTTGGATCTTCACGGCGCTCGAACGGAATCCAAACGCTCTTGCTGGGTCGTAGTCCCAAACATCGAGCGCGCACCAAAGGACTTCCACGACGTCTCGACGAAACCGAGGCAGAGAGGTCCGGAAGACGGAGCCATCTCAAGCAGACCAGCAACTAGGGATAGGCTCGATTCGCTCGCGGAAACCGTGGGAGGTGCGCAGACGTCTACCATCTTGTCGCTGTCTCGGGAAGAGAACGTACAGCACGAGCGACGTGAAGATAGAGCGCGGTGATCGGCAGGCAGGCAGGCAGGCAGGCAAGCAGGCGCTTGTGTGCGTCCTCGCCAGCGACAGCAGGCGGGAGTGATGGACGACGGATGGGATCTTGCACAGCTGACTAAGCGCAAGCCACCGTCGATCCGCTGCTGTGGCCCAAGACGAGTCCAGCGCTCGGCCATACTGCACTGTGACTAGCCCGTTGGCCAATGCGACAACAAATCTCAGGAACCAGTAAAACGCGTAATGCCAAAGGGAAGTTCTGTCCAGTTTGTCCTTTTTTTCACGGGCGAGACCTGACGCCTTGGATTCCCTTTGTTCGACCGATCCGAACACTTGCTGGCTGTGCTTTTCTGATCGATCCTCTCTTTTGCGCAGCAGTCCTCGAGTCTGACACGGGTCACACGTCTGGAAGTGCAGACGCTAAGGCTCGCGCTCGTTGTAATTTTGCTGCGGCCGGATAACGCTTGTTGTTATCTTATCGCTGTAGAGAGCAAGAGAGCGAGAGAGCGCAGGCGAAAGTGTGCAGCTTTGCCTTGCTTGTTCCCGCTAGTCCTCGTCTATCTCTCTTTCTTTTTTTTAATTTGACCCTTTGCCTCGCCTGACATCAACCCGCAGCCATCCGGACGAACAGAGCCCCCAACACCTTGCATTCGACGAACCTCTGCCAGACGAGACCAGCGACCCGAACAATATCACTTGCTTCTTCGAGACGCGGCCTGTGTCCAGCAATTTGTCCGCTCTGCTTTCCTGCATCTCTTTCTGCTACGTCCGCAGTCCCGACATCCCCTTTGGAATCCGCGCCGCCCAAGCTTCGATTCGCGCAACAAACCCGCACATCCCGTACACCGTCGTCGTTCGAGCCAGGCAAAGAGGACCGTAGCTGCACAAAGGTCGCTACGGCCTTTTCGTATCTTTCAACATAGGGAAAACAAAGTCTCGTACCGCAGGCGCCATGGTGGCCACGCGGAGCTCAGGCATGAACGGGTCGGCGACGGTGGCGTCACCGCGCCCCCAAGTAGCGGTGCAAGAGGAGAAGACGGAGAACATATTCATGTTCATACCCAATCAGATAGGTGGGTCGTGATCTTTTGCTCACACTGTCTTCCGAAAGAAAAAAAAAACACCACACGCACAGAGACACAAGAGACAAGCACATGCTCCCCGCACGACCGTACTCTGCAATTTGCTCAACGGAATCAAGCTGCTGACGGATAGCTAATCTTCAGGCTATGCCCGCGTCATCCTCGCCATCGCATCTCTATACTACATGCCGCTGCACCCGCGCACATGCTCCGGCCTGTACTCGCTGTCGTGTCTGCTCGACGCGTTGGACGGCTACGCCGCACGACGCTACGACCAGTCCACCAAGTTCGGTGCTGTGCTAGACATGATCACGGATCGCTGCACAACTTCGTGCCTGCTCGTCTTCCTAGCCTCCGCGTTCCCGCGCTGGTCCATCGTCTTCCAAGGCCTCATCTCGCTCGACTTTGCGTCGCATTACATTCACATGTACGCAACCCTTGCCATGGGCGGCAGCAACCAGTCGCACAAGTCGATCGATGAGGGCAGGAGCTGGATCCTGAAGCAGTACTATTCGAATAGGGTATGTTGCACCTGCGCTGACTTTATGCATCTCCGGCCTGCCTGCTCGCTTGCCTGGCAGGCCGTGCGAGAGAGGGATGCTTGTGAAAGGATGCTTTCGCTAACGTTGACGCCACCACTTAGACGGTGCTGTTCGTGTTCTGCGCGCTCAACGAACTGTTCTTCATCGCGCTGTACCTTCTCTCCTTCTCGTCGCCCCTTCTTTCGCCTTCGCTCCTCAATCCCCAGCCTTCGACGCTGCAGCCGGGCAGTCCCGCTGCGCCAAAGCCGTCGCTGCTCTTTACCAACCCATGGTCGGCAGGCGCCATGGAGATGGCCAGGTAAGTGCTTACGAGGCCAACAGGTCTACGACCTACAAGACGGTCAAGGGATTAACGCAAGCATTGCCACGCAGGGCGAACAAGATGGACAGCACAGTGCCCTGGATTCTCGCGGGCATTTCGTTCCCCGTCATGTTTGGCAAGCAGGTGATCAGCGTCATCCAGCTTGTCAAGGCGAGCAAATGGATAGCGGAAGGCGACGTCGCTGATCGCCGGGCCCGACGGGCGAAGAAGAACTAGAGAGATGCAACCGAGCTGATCGACCGGCTGGTCGGCCAGCTCCTCGTTCATGCGTTCCGCCTATCCACGACGTGAAAGAGCACGGGTCCTCGACGAGGCGAGGCGCTGGTGGGGCGAGCGTCGGTCGAAAGCGCGAGAAATCACACATCCTCTTCCGTCACTTGCTCTCTAGCCGTTCCCGAACAGTGGGAGCTCTGAACTGACCGGCGCCTCGAAGACCATAGTGCTGTCCTGGCGAAGAATGACTTGACCTGAGGTCCCTCTGTTTGCGCTCGCTTGGTTCTTTTGTTTCCAGTACAATCCAATTTTTTTTTGTTTCATCGGTGTCCTTTCTGTGGGCCAGTGTGGGTGGGAGACTAATCAACACACATCTATCTACATATATTTCAAGGCAAGGCGCATCATCTGGAATCTCGCATATTTTGAGGGGAGGGAGGTATTGAAGCTACACGACGTTGCATGCTTGGCTGCTACGCAGTTTGCTTCTCGCACACATGTAAACATTCACCCATCGACCCCGCCCGCTACACACGCGATCACACACGAAAGCCATTGGAACTTTTGTGTGCGTACAACTTTCTTCTCCCTTTGTACTTTTTGTCACACTTACTGGAGCGAGATCAATAGACGGGGAAAGGTGGCGACTTTTGTTTTTCCCTTTTTTGTCACACATTTGTAATCGCTTATGGAGAGCTCCTAAATGACGCGACCAGGCTGGTTCGTCGTGCAGTTCTCTTCTGTTCTTTTTCTTTTTCCTTTACGTTGCTCCTCGTGTCTGCATCTGATCACTTTGTACAGACTAGCTCTAGCTCGAAACACGAACTCACGGCGATATCTTTGTCCGGCTGCTAATAATAGCACAACGCTCCTTTTCCTTTTCTCTGCACGTTTTGGGTTTCGTTCTTTTTTTTTTTTTTTTTTTAACTTTTCTTTTCTTCTTTTTGAGTACGCAACGACGATCTCGGATGCCACAGATCTGCTGTTGACCTCTTGTACACGACTACTTTGTTCTACTATGGACGTGGGAGGGTGGATCTGAAAGACAAGGCTCCGTCCAACACACTGGACAGCCGTCCGCGGTGTGCGTGGTTTGTTGTGAGCTGAGAAACGATCCAACAATTGAACGAGTTGTCGATTGCTAGCGATGTAGAGGAAAGAGGGGGTGGGGGGGGGGGGGGGGGAATCATACTACCAAATAGCCAAATAGCGTGGTCGAAATAAGAGCAACTTTTCCATGATCGGTCGACGCAAGTGGCATAGCAAACAAATGTATGTACATATCTATATATATATGTGTGTGTGTAGGCTATACAAGCTACTTTCTGTAGATGACGAGCGCTTTTATTAGCCTGCGAGGTGCTGGCAGCCTTGCGAGCTGAGAAGTTCACAGATCCGAGCTGGTCGGGCGCAACTTCCAATCTGCGCCCACCCCGCTTGCGGAGTTCTACTTTCCTCTTCTGGACCGGAGGATTTCATGTAAGAAAAAAAAAAGTGTTTGGTGCCCCGTGCGGAGGGGCCCCCTGTCACAAAAACGGGCACGAACTGGGAAGGAACGGGGAACGGGAGTGCGATTGGCCGCAGAGCGGATTTCACAAGGAGAGAACTGGTCTCGGCGGGATGGGGAGAGAGAGAGAGAGAGTGTGTGTGTGTGTGTGTGAGAGGGAGGGAGGGAGAGAAGGGGAGCGTTGGGGCGTTGTGGCGACGTAGCGACGTGTTTGTATGTATTTTTTTTGGGGGCGAAAGCTGTTGCAGTGCTCCTGTCATTTGCGGTCGTGGCACTCTGTACCTTTGACAGAATAGCCACGGATGGCACTGGGCCCTGTGCGGATCTCGCGCGAGGAGTGTGCAAGTGATTGTTCGCGAATTCGGGTCAGGTGGATGATCTATGTGTTCAGCAGTAGCAGTGGCAGCAGCAGTAGCAGTGGCAGGAGCACTGGGTAGACGTTAGGAGCCCCCCGAGGGCAGGACTGGATCAGCGTTTGCTGGGAGAGGTCTTGGATGCGGGCCTGGGGCACAAACGTCTCTGCTAGGCCTGCAAGACTGCAGAAACGCTTTTGTAGCGGTCGTGCGCACGCGACGATGGCTGGGACGGCCATGAAGCATACCGAGCACGCATTCGGACGCGTCGACGGGCGGGCAAAGTCAAGGTCCCTTCTTTGCGTGTGGCAAGGCTGGACAGGCTCCGCTTTGGGCGGCGCGGAGACGGAAGAGTAAGGGCGAGAGAAGCGCGGTTGCAGATCGCATCGGCAGACGACAACGAGGCCGGCGCCGGCTCAGAGCAGCGCAGGCGGGAAGAGGATCGGCTGCAAGCAAGGTTCGCTGACCGACTGCCAAGCACGCACGCAAGCGCGCAAAGCAAGCAAGAAAGATGGTAGTTCTTTGTCTTTCAGCGCTGGCCGTTGACCGGTCAGCCCTGCGCAGACCCGCCCGCCGGGAGCGTCTCCAGTCAGCACTCTGGCCGCCGGCCGGGCGTGCTGACCGACGCACACGCTCTGGCCTTCTCGGGTTCAGAGTGCGCGTGCGTGCGGCGGCAGACGTCCAGCGGAAGAAAGACGCAGCAGCAACAGGAGTAGCGGTGGGCGGCTTCTGCGCTCTTGCTTTGCTGTGCGGACGGTGCTGACCTGCGTCCTCGTTCGGGCGTGGCTTTCGATCCGGTTGTTCTGTTTCCGCGCAGTCGCCCTCCTCGGTCGCGTCCCCCGTCGTAACCTTACCGTACCGTACCGTACCGTACCGTACCGTACCGTACTTTGCCCTCAGGTGCTTGTACCTGTACAAGTAGGTGCCTGGCGGTGCTGCTCGCTTAGCCTGGCCCAGCCCAGCCCAGCCTTGCCCTGCCCAGCCTGGCGCTGCCGTTCTGGTGCTGCCTTTCTTTTCCTTTCGTTACCTTACCTCGCCACACGTGGCCCCCAACCCCCCGACGCCGTGCCGCCTTACGTGACCCGTGTGCCTTGTTCCGTACGCGATGACTACGCCGCGTCGGTCTTTCATTACCGCCGTGCTCTTTGTCGTCCTCGCGTGTGGCCAGCCCGAGCCCCAGCCGTCTGGCAGCGAGCCCAGGACGGCTCCGCTCAGCTGAAGCTGTCCCTCGCCCTCCTCCGCCCCTCCCCTTCTCCCCTCGCCCCTCCCCCTCCCTCTCTCTTCCCACCCCAATAATTTCCCTCCCTCGCCTTATCTGACACGACCCAAAAAAAGATCGCGTCGCCGTCTTCTCCCCCATCTCTCCCTCTCTCACTCTCTCGCGTCTAGTCCCGCGCCTCCATCCTGACCGCCCAGACGGCTCCATCCCCGGCATCCCTCTTTTTTCTTCCCTTCCCCCTCGTATTTGGAAACCCGATCTGACCGTCTGCCGCGCCGCCGTCCTCGCTCACGGCCACCCGCCCACCCACGCGCGCCCAAGCTGAGCCAGCCCTCACACTTACACTCACCCTCGCCCTCGCACTCGCGCTCGCTCACCTGCTCGTCCGCTCTCTGCACGCACGCGCTCTCGCTCTCCTCTGGTCCCACCGACCTCTCGCCTGCGCCTCTTTCTTGGCCCTCCTCTTCCTTTCCTCTTCTTTCCTGCTCTCCTCTCTCTCCCTCCCTCCCCCTCGCAGGCTTTCCCTTTCTCTTCACCTTCCATCCGGTGATCCAAACGCATCCAGACCGGCTCTCCCCTTTCCCGTAGAGCATGTCCCTGCGCAACTTCTTAAGTGGCAGCAAACGGAAATCCAGCAACCAGACGCCCAGCTCGCTCGTCTCCAAACCCTCTCCTTCGCCCCAGCTCAACACCTCCAGCGTCTCCTCCGCCTCGTCGCGCCCCAGCGTCCAGCCTGCAAACAGCTCCACCACCTCGCTGCCTCCCCCTCCTACCGCCGCCCAGCAGTCTTCTTCGGCCACAAGCCCCCAACCGCCCGCGGCGGCCAACCCTTCGCCCCCTATGCAGAACCCGAACCAGCTTGGTCGGCCCCCGAGCTACAGCTATGCACCTCCGGGCCAAGGAGCGCTGGCCGGCCAGCTAGGTGCGCCAGGCCACCCCGTCGCCGGTCGCCCTCACTCGCCCATGCCGCCTCCCATCAACACCGCAACACAGCCCGCAGCCTACCCGCCTCAGCAAATCTATGGCGCGGCGCCGCCAGGCTACCCACAGCCGGGCGCTCCCGGTCCCTACGGTTCTGCTTATGCGCCTCAGCCTCCCGTTCCCCAAGGCCCCGCCAGCTACGGAGCCCACGCCGGACGCGCGAGCGAGATGGAGGGCGGCAGCAGGAGCAAGGCCCAGCTGATTGTGGGCATCGACTTTGTGAGTTTGGCTTCTTCTTTTCGCCTGTTCTAGCCTTGCTTATTCAATCTGTGGTTTTCTTTCCAATATTTTTTTTCCCCCTTGCTCCCGTCCCAAAGAAAAATATCCCCTATTTCTTTATTTTGAGAAGAAAAAAAAAACTTTCAGATTGAACTATTTTTTGTTCTTGTTTTCATTGCTTTTTTTTCTTTGGAACAATTCCTTCATAGCTCCAATTTTGACCTGTGGGAGCATATGAGGGACGCGGGGTCGATAAGAGAAGACTGGAACACAGGAGAGCTAACACCACGGCCACAGGGAACGACATTCTCGGGTGTTGCATTTGCGTTTGCAACGAATACAGAGGCCAAGGAGGATATAATAACGGAGTGGCCCGGTGCAGGTAATCAGACGAAGCAGAAGGTATGTCTTTGCGCAAGCACCAAGACTGCAGGCACAAACACACACACACACACACACACACACACACACACACATATATATATATATATATATATATATATATATATAGACACAGACACGCACCGTTCGTGTCCTTTTCACGCCGTGAGAATACGCAAGCAAAGTAAGATGGCTGACAACCGCTGTGCTAATTCTAGATTCCAACCGTGCTATACTACGACCAGTACCAGAAAGTGGTCGGATGGGGTCCAGACATCGCCGACGCGCTCGCTCCCACGGGCTACCCTAAACCCGGTGTGCAAAAGGTTGAATGGTTCAAGTTGCAGCTCATGCTGTCCGGCAACACGTACATCGACCCCATCAACTTGCCACCGTTGCCACCTGGCAAGTCGGAGATCGACGTGGCCGCCGACTACTTGTTCCACCTGCGCTGCGCAATGCGTAACCAGCTGCAAAAAACGCTCGGTGAGGTCTTTAATCGCGAGGAGCGCAACATCAGATACTACCTGACCGTCCCTGCCATCTGGAACGACTCGGCCAAGGCCGCCACGCGTGCAGCCGCCATCCAGGCCGGCTTCTTGCGCGATGAGAACGACAACCGCCTCACTCTGGTCACCGAACCCGAGGCCGCAGCTATGTTCTGCTCCAAGGCTGGACTGCTCAACCTAAAGATTCACGACGCGGTTCTGATCGTCGATTGCGGTGGCGGCACCGTCGATCTGATCGCGTACGAGGTCGAGGAGGAGCAGCCTTTCAGCGTGGCCGAGTGCACGGCCGGCTCCGGCGACTCGTGCGGCTCCACGGCGCTCAACCGCAACTTTTCAAACATCCTGCGCGCCAAGATTCGCAAGATGAAGCTTCCCGATGGCTCCAGAACGGCGGGCAAGGTCTACGCCAAGTGCATCATGGACTTCGAGAACCGAATCAAGGCCGACTTCCGCAACAACGGCCAGAAGTGGGCCGTCGACGTCGGCATCGAGGCTGAATTTCCAGAGGCCGGCATCGAGGAGGGCTACATGACCTTCACGAACGAGGAGATTCTGCAGTGTTTCGAGCCTGTGGTGAACAGGATCCTGGAACTGGTTCGGAATCAGATCATTGCCATTCAAGCGCAGAATCGGGGACTGCAGGTAAGCCAGATCCGAAAGGCCTGGGTACAGAGAGGAGGGAAGAGGAGAAGAAGAAAGGAAAAAAGAAAGATCAGGCTAACCTTTTTTTTTTCGCCTTGCAGAACATCCTCGTCGTCGGTGGCTTCGGCGCCTCTGAATACCTCTTCCAGCAGATTAAGCTGCACGTGCCGCCACAGTTCCAGTCCAAGGTCGTGCGTCCTATGGACTCAGTCGCCGCTATCGTCAAGGGCGCCGTCACGGCCGGCATCACGGAGCGTATTGTCACTCACCGTGTGGCCCGTAGACACTACCTCATGGCAACGCTGCAGCCGTTCAAGGAGGGCCACCACCCAGAGCAGTACCGCGTCCCAAGCTTGGACGGCAAGGATCGGTGCAAGTACACGCGCCAGATCTTCGTGCAGAAGGGCCAGAGGGTAAAGATTGGCGAGCCGGTCAAGGTCAGCTTCTTCAGACAGGTCGCTCCCGGCGCGACGCTCATGTACGAGGACATCTTGTATGCTTGCGACGACGACGTGTGTCCGGAGTACACCAAAGATCCAAGTACGTCATACTCTTTCTTGATCTCCCCTTTCTTTTATGTATCCGATTTTTCTTAGCCTTCCCTGCACAAAAACCGTCTTGGTAAAGCGTCAAGAAAAAGCACTAACGTGTGGCATCGCGCAGGAATCAAGGAAGTCGTCACGCTTACATCCGATCTCTCAAGAAAGAACTTAGAAAAGGACTTTGAAAGGATGGACACGCCGCAGGGCACATTTTACAGAGTGTACTTTGACATCTACCTTACGCTCGATGGTTCCGAGTTCAATGCCGAGCTGGTCTGTCAGGGCGAAGTCATGGGCCGTTGCACCGCGCGCTTCAGATAATAACTGCCTTCCCCCTCTCCTCTTCCCTTGATAGCCCTCCTGAAACCACGTTGCATCGCAGATGTAAGGGTCTCGAAATCCAAGCACGCTTGTTTTCTTTTTATGTGGCTTGCATACCAGATGCTTGTACCTGCGCGTTGGACGGCCGGGTCGCACTTGTGGTGATGCCCGAAGAGGCACACGCGGACAAAGAGGCGGTGGAGCGGAGCAAAGACGAAGAAACGTCAAAGACGGAAGCAAAGATTCGGCTCTTAGGGTAGGCGGATCAAGCTACAGTGCGGACTCCAAACCGGTTGTTTACTGGCTTTCAGATATTCAGACGCACAGAAGATGAGCAGTAATTGGAAGAGGCGCGATGGACGGATGATGGGTGGATGACGGACGAATGATACAACTGTTCGACAAGGCAGCTTGGTTTTTGTAGGCTTCGGGGCTATTGGTCAACGGAGGGAATCAACAAAAGGAATTAGCATGGAGGATCAGGCCTGTTTTGACTTCTTAATAGCGTGCGTAAAGACGGTCTCCCCAACCCCCCCACCCCTCTCCCCCTTATTTCCTTTTCCAATAAAGAATTGAATCCGACATGAATGGCTTGAAAACTATACCCAACTGTCTTCACTGTTCATAGCATTTCGATGTGAGAATGTTTATTACTGCCCTTGAAAACATTTCTGCCAGCCGATGACCCACATTTGGCGTTGCATCCAGCGCACTGTCTTGATCTGCCTCTCTCTCTCTCTCTCTCTCTCTCTCTATATATATATATATATATATATATATATATATGCGTACATATACATCTCAGCCGTCCGCATACCAACGGTTGAATCAAAACGGCCCCGTGCAATTGGCTGTCCGCGCGCAACTTGCCTTTCTGAAAGACCCGCTCTGCGGCCTCCAGCGTCCTCTGCTTGCAAGGTCGCCCGGGGCCGGAGCGAGCGTTGAGATGGGACACCTTCGCCGGGGCGGCGAGAAGAAGGGCGGGTTGGTGGGTGGGCTCTGGCCTGGAGCAGAGGTGCTGTGTGTACGCTCGTGTGCGGACGACGCTCGTTTCTTTCTTTCTTTCATTCTTTCATTCGTTCTTCCTTTTCTTCCTTTCTTTCTCTGTTCTGTGCTTGGGCCGAATCCGTTGGCGTTGCTTGTCGAGAAGGCTGAGAGGAGAACGCAGCGTGGAACGACCCGGTGTCGTTGATCTATAGATGTCCGTGTGTGTACGTGGTTGTGTATGTGTGCGTGGAGAAAAAAAAAATACGGGTCGTCGGCTTGGATTTGGAAACCTGGAACCGAGGGAGCCAGACTCCGTCCGTCGCTTCCGCGTTGACGCCGAAAGAGGGTGCGCGCTGGACCACGTCGAGCCCGTCTAGCCCGCCTTCAGCCCATCAGCTGCAGCTGGTCGTCCGGCGGCCAGCGCGTCTGCGCGAAGCTCAAGCAGCGCTTGATGCTCTGCAGGTACTTCCTCGTCGTCTCGTCGCTCATGATGTGGGCCGTCTTGTCGCTCTCGTGCAGCTTCTCGCGCGCGCTGCGCTCGTGGATGCCGACCATGGTGACGCCGATGGGCCAGGCCGCCTTTCCGATGCTGAGGCGCAGGTAGCCGTCGTTTGCGTCGACGTAGCGCCGCTCCTGCGCCGCGTGCACAATCTCCAGCACGCCCTTGAGCACCTCGTCGTCGACGTCGCCGGCCTCCATCTTGCGGAACAGCGGCGCCAGGTTGCTGCGCGCCTGCGCCATCGCGCTCGACGCCTGCTTGCCGCTGTACGACGCCTGCACGTCCGCCGGTCGCCGCGCCAGCGCCGCGTCCCACTCGCGCAGCACCATGTTGAAGTACGACGCCAGCTGCCGGAACACCTGCCGCTTGGCCTCGGCCGTCGCCGGCACCTGCAGCGGCACCTTCATGTCCTTCTCCTCCACCGGCTCCAGCGTCGTCGCGATCGGCCCCTCGTACATCTTCGGCCCGCTCCGCGCCCCCGTCAGCCGTCGGTACCGCCGCAGTCGCTGAATGTGCGTCTCGCCGAACAGAACCGCCGGCTCGCCCAGCTCGCGCAGCTTGGCCCGCAGCTCGGCCTCGTCCACGTCCTCCTCGCCCTCCGCGAGCGGCGTGCCCTCCTTGGACGCCTGCTCCTTCGTCTGCGCCGGCAGATCCGGCAGGCCCAGCCGCCTCCGCCGCTCTTGCTCCTCGCGCCGCTCTTCCTCCTCCCGCTGCCGCCTCGCCTCCTCCGCCAGCCTGCGCTTCTTCTCCTCCCGCTCGCGGTTTCGCTCCGCCTCCTCCTCCTCCAGCTTCCGCTTCCGCTCCGCTCGCTCCTGCCGCGCTCGCTCCAGCTCTTCCTGCTCCCTGACGTACGCAGCCTCCCGCTCAGCCTCCAGCTCGGACCGCTTCAGGTACTTCTGGCTCCCCCCACCGGTAGCGGCCGCCGCCGCCGCTGCCGCCTTGCCCTTGTTGATCTGGGCCTTCATGAGCGACGCGAAGTCCATTTTCGGAGCCGATGAGTCCACGCGTAGATCTGCAGGGTCCGTGTACGCCTTCAAGGCAATGGCGCTCCGTTCGCGGGTCAAGAACTGTTCGTTCGCGGAACAAAGGAGATACAGCACTGCACCCTCTCCCACAAAAAAAGGGAAGACGGGAGACAGGCCTTTCAGGCAACAAGGCGCCCAGTTTAAGAGCCGCTGGGCGGCCTCCTTCAAGTCTTCGCCTCCCCCCCTTTTTTTGGACTCTGACAAAAATGGTAATTAAGGCGAGTTAGCCGGCAGACGCATTCCGTCGCGCAAATAAGAAAGGAGATAGAAAAAGCGAAGAGATCATCGGATCATGGGATCTTTTCTCTCAACGTTGACCTTCCTTGCAACGAGGTGGACTGCGCCGGTCCTCAATCTGGGACTGGGCGGGATCTTCGCGCAAGTTACAGCCTTTTGCTAGTTCTAACTGCTCCGCGGCTTAGAAAATTCAGCCTGTCTCTCTGCTAAAGCGAACGTTGCTTTTTCTGCTGGTGCGAAGTAGCCTTTACTCATCACTCACTTATGTTTCAACTGCCCATTGTCACGTGTCTGGATCGGAAAGGTTCAGCTGTCAAACGGATATGTCTGAAGCCACTGGCCGCCAGCAGCTGGGACTCCCTAGCATGTTCGTCGTCGTCTTCTTCTTCGCCGAAAGTCTATGAAAGTCCTTTTACCCCTCAACTCAGACCCCACTTGCTGTCGGGTTCGCAAGACGTCTTTGCAATCATCAAATTTCACAAGCTTAGCATCGAACCGTGCGTCAAGTGAATGTCCTTTGCCATACACTTCGCTGCACGGATTGTGGCCAGATTGGCCGTGCAAAGTCTGCAGCGTCGTGTGCTCCGCTAGGGTTTCTTTTCGTGCAACATGTCGTCCTACTTTCGGATGCCTCTCCTGAAAGGGAGGTTTCTCGAAACCAGACTGGAATACAAAGCCTCTAAGAGATCCGCGCGCAAATCTTATTTTGTCCTCGTCCGGGGTGGTCGCGGTCGAACCTCGTCCCACGGTTCGAAGGGAAGATTCGTTGATGGGTGTTTTGCGGGACGGCAAAAGGCTAAGACGGAGCAAACGTCGACGCAACGGTCAACACAACGTTTCACCGCTTTCGTCACCGTGAACGTGCAGCCTTTTTTTGCATGTGTCTCACGTACCGACAGTCAATACGAGTTTCGTCAAGGAGCATGCGTCCCTCTATCTGAGAGGGATGGGAGAGATGACTGCCTACTAGCCGATCGTATTATTGGCCACCCTTTACACATCCTGCTCTTATCGTTTGATTACGGAACGCCGTGTCAGCGAACCGAACGGATGACAGGCCGAAACTCATGGCTTTGCGTTTCAAGATATCGAATAGAGCTTCAATCGTAAGTTCACACGAGGCTGGAATTTCTCCGTGATGAGGGCGCAAAGTCCATTTTAAGAATCTGCTAAAATGGAGTTTTCTCTCCCCGGAAAGCTTTGCTGTCGAGGATACTTTCGCCTGGGGGCGAACATGCGATCTGAACTATATGTGAAAAACTGCCTACTCACCTGATCAAGCTGCCCCTGTAGAATTCTTGCATTCCGGTCATATTCGCGCAAGACTCTTTAAAACCAGGTGTCCGCGGGCGGCGGCTAGACGTCCCAAAAACAAAATGCACGAGATCGTGACGCTGCAATTTGGTAACCAAAGCAACTACATTGGCACGCACTTTTGGAACGCTCAAGAATCGTATTTCACGTACACAGCGGACGAAGAGTCCGCTGTTGATCATGATGTTCATTTTCGACCTGGCATTGGCTCGGACGGCTCCGAGACGTTCACGCCCAGAGTCGTGATATACGACGTGAAGGACAATTTCGGCGCGCTTCGCCAAGTCAACGCTCTGTACGAGATCCAAAATGAAGATGCCTCACCGGCTGGAGTGTGGACGAGCGATCCGATTCTTCATCATCACCCTGCCATTCCTCCGCATCCGTACCAGGTTGCGCTGGATGCTGGAACTGTACCTTCACCAATTTCCGCGCCGAGCGTGCGATATTGGTCCGACTTCAATCGTGTCTTCTACCATCCGAGATCTATGGTACATCTGATTCCGCCGACTTCCCATCTCTCATCAACTCCGAGCTCCCAGGTTGAGCCGTTGGATCAGTGGGAAGTAGGCGAAGAGCTTTTCAAGAGCGAAGATCAGGAGCACGATCTTATCGACAGAGACCTGAGGCTGTTCGTCGAAGAGTGCGACCAAATGCAGGGATTTCAGATATTGACCGGGGCTGACGATGCCTGGGCTGCTTTCGCGGGACGTTATGTTGAAAGCATCCGGGACGAGTATGGAAGAAAGAGCATATGGATCTGGGGTACAGAAGCAGTCAATAGGTCAGAAAGCAGGGTAAGTCCAGCTTGGAAAGCACACGTTCTAATTCTCAACGGCGTTTAGGAAAAACGGAGAAAACAGGCACTCAATGTAGCAAGAAGCACGGCCATTTTCGCCTCGCAAGCTTCATTATACATGCCAATCTCGACTTCTCCGGTGAATGCGCTTCCTTGGTACGTTGATCGGGCAATGCAAACAAGATGGCAGACATCTGGCTTGCAAGCTACGTTGATAGAATCCGTAACTTTGCCAACCAGACTGCGCAACACTTCGAACCAAAGCCGTGGTCTGATGATCGACATTGAGCCCATCTTCACCAATGACGCCAAACGGAATATCCTGGCAGCTTCAATGAGTGCTTCGATTCCGAATGAAAAAGATCGAGTCATCAATGGAGATTCGGCGCGCGATCACAGAATGATCAATGGCATTGACTCCGACCACGAATCAAATGCCAAAGAGCCGGAGCAGCTAGATATTGACCTTTTCCATCGGACCCTTGGCGATCCAAATCAGAGGCGTAACGCACAGCAGCGAACGCACATATTCTCACAGGTCGATGTTCTGCGTGGCGATTTTGTTTCTTCTCCTTCTTTGCAAGACCCAACCGATCTTGATGCGCCCATCGTTCAAACGTACTCATCAGAACTGCTATTCCCCCGGCCGTCTAGCTTCCCCAACATCTTCCATTTCCCCTCGATCGATCCGGAGTCTGGGGTTGAGGTTAAGTCTGCAATGTCTGCTTCAACTGCCGTGACGGACAGATTGCGCTTCCTCGCTGACTTCGCACGAAGTAGCACGAACGTTGACGAAAGGGAAGCGCTGAGAGCCGATCTGCTCGCGCGATCAGAGGAATATGTCGAAGGCTGGGAAGACGAACACTATTTAAGCGATGATGAATAGAAAACGATCGATTTCGGAATTTTGAACAAGAATCATCGATTTACATATACCATCTGTCGCTTTACGCAGAAAATTTTTCATGCTGACTCCTCCTTCGTGTCAACGAACGACAGCCTTTTCCCAGCGTCGGTCTCGTTGCTACCTTGGATATCGGCATTTTCAAGGAATGCGCGGATCTCAGCTTCTTCTTCATCGCTTAGATGTACATCGAGAGAATGCCAGTTCTGCTCCAGATATTTGATGCTTCTTGTACCAGGGATTGGAATGATATCTTTGCCCTGCTTCACGACCCACGCAATGGCAAGCTGGGCCGTTGTACAATTCTTCTTGTCCGCGAAGCATTTGAATTGCTCAACCACCTTCGCGTTGGATTCAATGTTCTCGGGCCTGAACCAGGGCATATATTTTTTGCGGACATCTTCCTCCTCAAGCGACGCGTTGGTTTTGTGAGAACCCGTCAACAGGCCACGTCCAAGCGGGGCATACGCCACGACGGCGATGCCAAGCTCACGACACGTCTTGAGCAGGTCTGTACCTGCTTCAGTCTCTATATCACGTACAAATGGCGAGTATTCAACCTGGACTGCATCGACATGCGCAATCTTGCATGCCCTCCGGAGAGCGTTGGAGCTGGCGCCGCAAATCCCAATGTATCTGATTTTACCTTCCCTGCTGGCCTATTTAGCCCGCCACGTCGATTTTCAATTTTGTGGTACCACTTACGCTTTTAGTTCCACCATAGCTCGCATTGTCTCTTCGATGGGAGTATCTGGGTTAAGGCGGTGGGCGTAGTCTGATCGTCTCAGCGTTTACCTTAGCCTTTGTGTCAGGTCTTTGTACATACACAGGTCTATAGTCTTAATACCCATTCTTTCCAAACTGGCCTCGCAAGCTTTCTTGCAGTATGCGCCAGAACTGTTCAGACCCTTGAAGTCTGTTGTCCCACGCTCCATGAGTATGCCGAATTTCGTTGCCAGAAAAATTTGGTCTCTTTTTCCCGTGCGTTTGAACCAGGCGTTCAGCATCTCATCGTTGAAGCCATAAATGCTATAGAACTCAGCATTGTTTCCTTTCCTTGTTCAATCGTACGTACTCCGCTGTGTCCCAAAAAGTATTTCCAAGCTCGAGGGCCCGATCAAGTACTTTGAATTGCTCTTCCTCACTAGGCTTCGCTCCGTAGGCACCAGCAAGGCCCATCAGGCCAAAACCTAAAGCCGGCACCTGTGGGCCGTTCTTACCTAGTTGACGAAGTGGTGGTCCTGATGGGGCCATAATGAATTCAAATGTCAAGTGCTTGTACGAGCGGGAGAGAGAAGAGTGGTGAGCGACTTTTGGCTGTGCTTTTAAGACTTCATTTCGGCTTTTATAGCCATTCATTATCGGAGTTCTCAGGATTAAATGGCATCTTCTCAATAGCTCAAAGGCCTCATGGACGAATTTCGCTCCAAATTGTCGCGGCCGGATGGTGTCGCCTGTCAACTTCTGGGGACAGCCTTGCATGACATTCGTCCCGACATCGTCCAATCAGAGACCAAGTTCTGCGACGCAGCCAATCAGCTCACGAGATGGCTGAGGACGCATTTATGCCCCGCTGAGTATCGCACTTCCAACTTTCTTACGACTTCAGTCGCAATCAAACTGGAGCGGGACTCAAAACCGTCCGATTCCAGCTCATGAGACACGGGAGATCATGAGGAACGAGCATGGTCGTGACAAACAATAGTATCAGCCGCCGCACAACCAAGTCTGGATGCAAGACGTGCAAGATCCGCAAGGTCAAATGCGACGAGAGCCGGCCCAGCTGTTCTCGATGCACCTCCAGTGGCCGGACTTGCGATGGATATGGCATCTGGGGTGGAGGAGACAACCGAAATGCCCATGTCAAACGCTTGACAGGCTTTTCCTCAGCAAAAGCCTTGACCGTATTGTCGCCCACCTCCGGCATGACTAGTCTCCTGTCCAGTCTTACGGCTCCGGAAAAGCGGTGTTTTGAGTGGTTCACCACTCGCACAATTCGAAAGATTCCCGGCCCATTCGCGCTCAAGTACTGGGACAGACTCGTTGTGCAAGCGTGCCTTACAGACTCGGCCGTCATGCACGCCGTCCTTGCCGTCGGCTATGTGCACAGTGGCGGAATCGAATGCGAACGGGGTGGAAACCCGGCCGCCCAGCAGCAACTTGTTCTCCAGCACTATAGCAAGTCGATTGCCCAGCTGCAACCACATTTCAGTTCAAATGACAGGACTTGCTTGCGCATTACGCTAATCACATGCATTGCATATATCAGCCTGGAATTGCTTCAAGGACGTTTTCAGACAGCGGAGCTCCACCTCGAGAACGGATTGAGGGTATTACAGGCTTTTCGCAATTACGCTTCGCGAGAGCCCGCGGATGGCTGGATAGCCCAGGCTTTTTCAAGGCTGTGCCTTCAAAGGGCCCTTCTCAGATCTGGACCTTCCGTACCTTTGTCAGATGACTACGACCTTGTCCTACCAAAGTCTGACAAAACTTTCAATACCGTCGAAGAAGCATGGACGAGTTTGGAAAGCATCTTGAGTTCCATCCTACGGATCGCATCAGCCGCTCAAACCGAACGAATGAATAAGTCGCAGAACAAAGATTTCCTGCGTTCCCTTCTGCAGCGTCAAGGTGCTGCAAAGCAGAGCCTCGAGCGCTGGCTGGAAGCTTTCGACGCCTCGACCTGTGAATTCGTCATTCCGGAACAGCTGCCCATGGTGGTGCGACTGCTACGCTCCTACTACGCTATGGCCGCTATCATGGCCGCCACCTGCCTTGGAGACAGCGAATCGCAATACGAAGAGCACACATCGGACTTCGAAAATCTAGTATACCACTCGACAGAGATGTGGCGGTACCGCGAGAACAACCCCATGACGCGCCGGTTGCAGGACTGCGCCATGTCGATGGCCCATTCCATGGTGGACCTTGGTTGGCTGCCCCCGCTTTTTTTCGCTGCAACGAAGTGTAGGGTCAACAAGATCAGGTGGCAAGCCATCGATTTGATGGAATATGCGACGCACAGGGAGGGGATGTGGGATTCGAAGATCACGGCAGCAGTGGCGCGAATGATTGTAGAGGCGGAGGAGACGGGCTGCAAGAGAATCCGCAAGATTGACGTGAGACTTCCGAATGATGATGAGGTAGTCAACGTCATGTATGACTTTGAGAATTGTGATGGAGCATCTGAGGCGGCTGCTGCCCGTGTTTAAGATTAATATACACTTTGTCTATGAGACTTCTGTGTAAGTAGTAACATGCAATAGGAACCATTAGCTGTGAGTGCAACGTTCATGCTGAACTTGCCTATCTGCTTTTCACACCATCGACAACTTCATCCCACCCAGGCATTAAATCTACAGGCCCTTTAAACTGCTCCTCTCTTTGCATCATTTCATCGAAGTCGTCGAGGCCCTCATTATGGTTCATCCTTTCAACCTGTTCGATTTTCTGGCTGCTTCCGAATTGATATCCTTCTCCATCCTCCAAATCCTCCATTCCACCGTCATCCGGGACTTTGAATTCTTTAATCGCGTTCAGATCTTCGTTCCCACTTAATAAGCCCGCTTCGGTCGCCGTCGCGAAGAAACGCGCCCTAGCCGGATTCCGCGACGTATCGGTCGCGCTTCGAACTCGAATCCCTGATTGGAAAAGTCCAGTGCTGGATACTATCTCACTCACTAGGCTTCGGGCTTCCGCGAGCATCCCTTGGTCTATATATGCACTAAGAAGAGCTGTGAGCGGACTCCAACCAGGACGCTTGCCTTCTTTTCCCATTCGCTCGAGCAGCTTCTCCGCGCGGGCAATAGCCCCGAACGCGGCATACCCTTCAATCATGCGGTCGTAAAATACAGCATCCAGGCTGAGCGGCTGCGTTTGGTTCATTTGTCGCCACAGAGCGTCAATGGCATTCCAATCCGGAACGCCCGGCCCCTCCGGACGACGGCCCTCCTGAAAGTAGTATGTCATCAACGACGTCCAAATGTGAGAGGAGATAGTCACATTCTTTTCAGTCATGATTCGGACAAGCATCATAGCAGCGCTTATGTTGGGAGTTCGATCTCGACCACTTTTCAAGAGACTGTTTATCATGCTACCAAAGAAAACGGTATTTGGGTCAAGCCCACGCCGCTCAAGCATGTCAAGAATAGAAAACACGAGTCTGTATTGCTCGTCCTGGCTCATGGCGCTTTTGTTAGCTTGTTTGAAAACAAAGTCAGCAAAGCCGTAGAAGGTATACGCATCTGGAACGATGTCGTCCTCCTTCATTTTGGCCAATATCTGCATTGCTTCTTTGAGATTACCATCCTTGAGACAGGTACGGAAGAGAGTGTTGTAGGTCCATGAGTTGGGTTTGATGGCAAAGGCTTTCGCCCAGGCAAAGGCATCAGGAACGAGATCAAGTCGACGGCCTTGGCCACCTTTCCGCTGAACAAGTGCGGTGATAACCGTAGTAAGCACATCTGTGTCAGGTCGTGGAACAGTCAGGCCATTTCGATGCAGGTGTGCCATCTCCGGAACGGCAAGATTTTGGCTTTCAAACATCTCCTTGATTTCATCATACCAATCGTTACCCCATTGATACAGAAAGTGAATTGCTTCTTCAGGATCACCATAGTAAATGTGGCCGCTGATGCGAGTGCACCATGTATGATGATCAGGATTTGCACCAGAAGCGATCATGCGATCCCAAATATGCTCCATGGAATTGAGGTGTCTCATGCGTGCACTCATCATGAGTCCCCACTGTTCCTGTGTAGGCGTCATTCCAGCTTTGAGCATATGGTTCCATACGTCGGCCTGTCGCTCAGGCTCCTGAAGGTCACGGTAGCCAAATAGAAAAGCCGAGTAAATCTTTGGTGGGATAAGGTTCGGAGAGCTTTCTCCACCTTCTGCAGAGTGATAAGCCAACTGAGCTTGCTGCCAAAGCTGATCAATGACCCCGCGGTTCTTGCGTTCAATCTGCCGTTTGATTCGTCCGTAAAAGTAGCCGATAAGCTTATTCTCCTGCTCTTGAGAAAGGCGAATGGCTTCAGACCCCAAGACCTGCAAATCATCAACGGCTATGGCCAGTGCAACACGCTGCTGAGCTTTGGCCAAACGGGTTTGAACCTTGATCACTTCTTCCTCCGATACTCGATTGTCCTTCAGCAAAGATATAGCCAAGGTAGCAGGAATATCTGTATCTTCAGCACCATGCAAAACCCTCACCATGAGGTGTAAGAATGGCTCGTACGGGACCTGCACACTTGGCGTAGCATAGTCGCGGCAGTATTGATGTGTAAAGTAGTCAAAGGTCAGAAGAGCAGCTGCGGCAAGATGTAGAGAAGATGCTGTCGGTACACCTACAAACATTCGGTGCAAACGGAAATGAAATTTATACGCATCGGAGCCTAGCTTCTTACTGAAGTTGAGGCGGGTGGGATCCGGGGTACCATTCCAATCGGCAAGGGATTTCGCCTTCTCTTTGATGACCAGTTGATTCTGTCCTGATATCCATTGACTGGGCGAATTTCGCATAAATTGAGACCAGAGTGATAATATCTGCTCTTCCAGTATGAGCTTTGCTTCCACACTGTCGCCGTTGATCTGATTCGCATTCAGACGGGTCAACCTGTACAGCATCTCAAGTATCTCCAGCAGATACCAGCTTTGGCCCATGACGCCGTAGCTGTGCAGCGTGGAAACAACCTCCGCGGGTGACGGCAAACCATTATCTTGTCCAGGAACCCAGCAAGTAGTCATGGTCCGCAGCAGTTTTCGAAACAATTTGTATTCCCGAATAATGACTTGGTCTTGTCGTGAAGGTTTCCTCATGGCGTCACATTCTTTGCCAGGTTTCAAATAGAGCTCTTGGAACATCTCCCAGGCTTCCTTCGCGTTGTCGCCTTCCCTGGTCAGCACTTTATACAATTTTGCAGCCGGTCCGTCTTCGTGGTCAACGACGGTCTTTGCCGGCTTTCCTCGCCTTTCAAATTTGCGTTCTACCGCTGTTGGCGTCGGGTTGAGTCGCATTGCTTCCAAGGGCGAGAGCGAGTCAAAACCATGTTGTTTCGATGGCCGCAGGTCCCTCAAGTTATCTTTCTTGGGAGTAAGGTCAGGGAGGGACGACGCTGCCCTGCTGGCATGACGAAATCTTGAGTAGCGACCAAACTTAATACTCTTCTCGCCATCAATCCCATTGTCCACGGCGCCGTCCAAGGCAGCCTCAGCGTCGACGCTACGCTCCTCAGAATAGATGTCTTTGTCATTTCGCTTTTGATCCGGATGCGGTGTCTGCGGCGGCGGAACGATGTCAAGAAGCGATATGAAAGTCCGCCTGGGCAGCCAATCACGTCTGTTCAAACGTCCATGCAGATTTCTGCGGCATGTGTGGCAGACGTACGAACTCGTCATAGAGATGTGGTGGACGTTGTTGATGTTTGGCAGCAGGGAGAACAAGTGAAGGTTCTTTTCGGGAAAGTTTGGGAAGGAACGAACGACACAGCACTACCAATGGGGAGCTCCCATTTCCCGCAGCCAATCAGAGCGCGAGGAGCATCACGACCATGACGGAATGGGAACTTCGAGCTCTTGAAGAGCTTCGATGCGATGCTGCGCAGCAACCAGCTTTTCAATTGCAGACGATGACGGTAAACAAGTGCAATTCGAACCTTTGCATGCTATAGACACCCCCTAGGAAGACCTGCTCGCCATCTGTGCACGTTGACGCTGCCTTGTCAATCCGGCGCCGACTGGAATCCATACCCCCACTGAAGCTCGGCCCGCGTCAGGTCGACCGCTCCTGCCAGGTTGTGACTGTGTCTGTTTTCTTTTTGGCAGTCGCCACCTAGACCTTCAAGCAACTGTCCGTCATGACCTCTCTAGAGCCCAGAAACCCATATACCGAGCAAGAATTGCGCAAACTGTACCCAAGCGAGCTGCAGTTGCAGTTGGTGCAAGTGCTTCTGCGTCATGGTGAGTAGCTGTACGCCGCGCAACAAGCGCAAGTCCTGTTGGCTCACATCCATTCAAGGCGAACGAAGCCCGGTTTCTCCTCGTTTCCAGAACACGGGCCTTCGAGCCTACTGGCCGTACTGTAGTGCCGCTCGCCAAATGCGCAGTCTCATCCTCTCCAACCCAGATATGAGCCAATGGGACGAACTGCAATGGCGGAGACGTTTGGAGGTCTTCGGTGCCGATGACGCACCCACAGTAGCTTCCGGGCCTACGGGCGAATATGACGCCATATGCCAGCCTGGAGAACTTACCGACAAAGGTCGCGAAACCACACTTGCTCTCGGAAGACGGCTTCGACATCTCTACGTGGAACAGCTCGGATTCATGCCCAGGCTGATATCTGACGGGGACATGATTTATCTGCGCGCAACGCCCATGCCGCGAGCGCTCGAAAGCGTGCAGCAGGCTTTCTATGGGCTCTATCCCGCTAGTTCGAGAACCGCGGATTTTCCCCCCGTCACAATATTGACGCGCAGTCCTGCAGATGAGACGCTGTACCCCAACGACAGCGTTTGTCGGCGGTTCGCTCAACTTTCGCGGGCCTTTGCTCAAAGAACCGCGGATCGATGGAACGAGTCCGAGGAGATGGACTACCTCAACAAATTGCTGTCCAAGTGGATGCCGGAAAACTCACCGCGCGTTGCTGTGGATGGCAAGCCAAGGCTCTCTGGTATCATGGACACGGTAAACGCGACATTGGCTCATGGACCAACAACAAGATTGCCAAAGGAGTTCTATGATAAGAAGGCGCGACAGATCATTGATAAGATCTCTGTTGAAGAGTGGTTTTCGGGTTACACGGAGAGTCAGGAGTATAGGAAGCTTGGTATCGGTTCGTTAATGGGCGATATCGTGACGAGGATGGTTGGATCCGTAGAGCGAAATGGCGGCGATGGAATTATGGAGGTCGGCGGGAAAGATGGAAACTTGGGTAAAGGGCGAGGAGGCGAAAAGAATATTAGATTTGCACTGAGCGGCTGCCACGACACCACGCTCGCTGGAGTCCTCCATTCTCTAGGTGCGTTTGGACAGGAGCCCTGGCCACCATTTACCAGTCACATCGCCATCGAATTGTTCCGTCAAAAAAACGCGGAAGGGAGCGCCGTGAGTCAACTTCCTGGGGACGAGAAGACGGCGAAGTTAGAGATGAAGCAGGGATGGTGGAGCAGATGGTTCAAGACGCCTCGGCCAGAGTCAATTTCAAGACGGACGTTAGATGAAATGAGCTCAGATGAAAGGAAAAAATTAGAAGGATATTACGTCAGACTGCGTTACAACGATAAAGTTATGCAGATACCTGGATGTAAAGAGGTCGGGAAACATTTCGAGGGTGAACCGAGCTTCTGTACGCTGGTGAGTGCCATCGTATCAACTTTTGATCTGAAGCTATTCTATCATAACGAACATTTCTCGGGGCTAACGTGGGGACCATGTTAGGAAGCGTTCAAGGCCATCGTTGATAAATACACCCCCAGAGATTGGAAGGTTGAATGTGCAAGCAATCTCAATCAGCCGGCTTTCCCGACTGAGAAACAACCAGCCGGGTATTAGAAGAACACGGATGTGCATACGTGGAAATTATAGAGGGCCTGGAAATTGCTCAAGATGCCTGCTACACACACATGTAATTCACCCACATATGTTTTTCCATATTGCATAAGGACGATAAGACGCGTTGGTACGTTCAAAAAAATGTTGCATAGAGTTCGTTCGTCATCGTCGATTCCTCGTCGAGGTGACAAGGAGGCCTGAGCGTGTATGCGTGTCAAGCGCAAAGATTGCTTGTGGGCCTATGTGGGGGCAGTGTAGATCAAATAATAGATGAAGATCCTTCTCAAGACGATTTCGTCAAAATCAATCGGATCCATTTCCCCAATGCCAGGATCGAGATTCATTGCAGATTGTCTGAACGATGGTGTCGAGCATGGATGACGGCATCGAGGGTAAGACTTTGGAGGCAACGTGGAGAGAACACAATCCTGGACGAAGATTATCTTCAGTGCCTCCTCTTACATCCGCCGCACTTCTTTCCCCAAGTTCAAAACGTAGGACGGCCTTCCTAAGTCTTCCTACGCTTTCCTAGGCATTTGCAGAGCGCAATTAGGCGCATCGGTAGCTCGACGGGCACGCATACGGACCTTGCGCCGCTCTGAGCCTTTTTCAACCGATCAACGACGCTCTCTCCCGAGGATCCCGTGTCATGACAGGCAGTTTGCCAATGCAGAAGCAATGGCTTGTCCGAGATTTGGTCGAGGCGAGTGGCGGGACCTGTGTGGTTTGCGAGTCAGGCCAGCGAAGACAGAACCTGTACGGGCCGCGTCCGGTCAAGAGGTGGCGATTATTGCCATTATCTTATTGCTTTTCAGTAACAGCCCCGTCAAGCCTCAGCCCTTTTTTCCCCCCTCTCCAACGCGCAATCCCGCTTGGCCGGCCGGCGAGAAAAATCGTATCAAAGGCTGTTCAGATTCGCACGTGAGAATTGGCTCAAGCTACCGCTTTGGGCAACCTCCCGAGCGCACGGGCCAATCGCCGGCCTCCGACGCGCACGTCGTCTCCTGCAACTTTTTCCATTTTTCCCTCCACACACGTTTGGACTTCCATCGGCGCACTGGCCTGCCAGATGGAAGAAGATCTCTGCTGTCGAACACGCGTCGACCCTTTGAGGTGTGGGTCGCGTGCGCATGGCGTCTTGATTTCGCCTGACAAGTCCACTGGAAGATCCATCATCGCGGCAGCACTGCAGCCACCTCCTCTGTGCCAAAAAGCCTTCTCAAAAACTGCCGCGGCTCGATCGCATTAGTATACACGCCCGTCTCACTGTTTCCATCGGTCCCACCCATCGCTCTGGAATATACCGTTGTGTCGCAAGCCGATGTTTCGCTCGTCCCTTCGAATTTTCGCTCTATGGGGCCTTTTTTGCCATCCCGCTTGTGGGGAATCCTTCGCCCTCGTGGTCCCGTCGATTTCGCGCTCGCCTCCACGCTCTGGATGTGGACACCTGCCTCTCTAGGATCGATGTCCTGCAGCAAGCATTCGGTTGATATGCAGCCACACTGGATGCTGAAGCTTGGAATGTTTGACAGGATGCGTCGATGTGATAACTCCCTCGCTTGATTAACGCAGAGGTTACACCCTCCTTTAACCACAACATCTCTGCATTGCAAGTGCTGCCGTAGCTGGACCCTCTGGGTAAAGTGTCAAGGGGGTGATCCGCAGTTTGCGGATTACAAAATAGTTGTTCGGCTCCTGTCTGGGCTGAGATCGGTTTTCCCCAGTTTTCTTTCTCTCGGTAACTTGTGATCTCTAATTACCTAGCTCTTCCTGTTCACCTCTTCTCTCTCCATTCGTTTCACCTTATCTTGGTCCACTTTTTGGACCAAGTATTCTTGCAACGTCTGACCATGGAAAATCGAGGCCCGCAGGTCAGAGCTGTGGCTATCACGTTCTTAGTTCTTCCATGGATTGCTGTTGTAGCACGTTGCTATGTGCGCATTCAAATGATTAAATCATTTGCAGCCGACGACTGGCTTGCCGTGGTTACGTTGCTGCTGCTTACTGTGTATGCCAGCTTGATCCTAGCCGGCGTTAGTTGGGGAGTAGGGAAGCATGTCTTTGAGCTTACAGTGCACCAGCAAGTCACAGCAATGAAGATGTGAGCTTACAATCCCCTTCTTGAGCAGTATATTGACAGCTTAAAGTTGGTATTGGGGCGAGAACATATACATCATTACCGCCACCGTTATGCGGATAGCAGTAGGAGCCTTCCTTCTCCGCATCGCTGTCAAAAAGTCGCATAGATCGGTCATATATGGACTGCTGGCCATAAACTTCGTGTTCAATCTTTACTTCCTCATCTTTACCATCTTCCAATGTACGCCGATCCGTGGCTTCTGGTCCCGAGCAGCTGGAGAGCAGGCAGACTGCCGTACAAAAATTGCGGTCGACTCGACATTTGCTTCGTCCGCTATATCGGCGATTATCGATTGGGTTTTTGGAGTCCTTCCGGTGTTCATCCTCTGGGATCTAAACGTCTCCACCAAGAAGAAAGTTGGACTGGCTGTGATCATGGGTCTCGGCGTGCTTGCAAGCGCAGGACCCCTTGTTCGCATACCATACACAATGTCTTTGACGAGCACGCATGACTTTCTTTGTCAGTTTCACGCGACGTAAAAACTGGATGCCATGCTAATCACGCGCACAGATGACACTGTTGACGTCGGCTTGTGGTCTTTCGTGGAACCTGGTCTCGGTCTGACCGTCATCTCAGTTCTTTGTCTACGCCCACTCTTCGTCAAATTCTTCCGAGCTGCTTGCTCGACTCTCAAGTCTGACGCAATGTCAATCAGCGACATGCCTCCTAGAACCCTAAAAATGAACGGCTATGGCAGAGATCCAGACCAGAACTGGCAAGGACAACGTGTCTCGATCCATGGCGCACAAGGAGATGACAACGGACGCTGGACACCGCATAGTGAAGACAGCGAAATCAAAGAGCATGGAGTGAAGAATTATGGTAAGGCTATCCGTATGACATGCGAGATCAAGTCTGTTACGGATATTGACGTTGTCGACGTACGGCCGTCGAGGATGACACCTCCCGGATCACAACCGGCTAAAGTTGAGAACTATGTATGAAGTATGAGCGCCTCTGAAAATTAACGCATGAGTTTTTATGGAAACCGTGCATGTCTACACGATCCATGGCGGTCTGATCACGTGATTTCCAAAACATCCGAAGTTGACCGACCGCTGCCGGACACGAAGCAGGTCTTGTTGAGTTTTCCGTTTCAGATGTGGCAGCAATTCCAAGTCGCTGCTTGATGAAGGAACCCACTTTTTTCACGGAGCATATTGTCAGGAAAGGATAAGCCCCTGAATAATATCCTCCTGGCTGACTAGTCTATGTCTTCGAGGGTTGAGGACGTGTTTTACCCCTGACATTACATGGGGAGGGAATCAAAGGCTATGAAAAAAGAGCGTGGCTAAATTTTAGGTGAAAAATTTCCAGCAGTGCCATCACATCAAGCTTAAGGTCGAGAGAAAAGTCGTTCCACTTGGCTGAACCGGACTATTCGCTTCCTCGGGCTACTGGATGGCTACCGGACAATGATGTTGCAAATGTTTCTCTATTGGGCGTACATGGCCTGCCATGGTCCCTTTGGCTCGTAGAAGAAGGAAGTGGTTTTTTTGCTGAGCCGGCATTTAATCGTAGAGCATCCAGCTCAAAGAATGCTTAACCCTTTGCAGAATCCTACGTAATCATCAACCTCAATACATCCCTTTCCTGCCTATTTATGTGCCAAAAGTCTTTGTTACAACAATGCCGCTTGGATGATAAGCTTGCGCAGTGCCAGGCGGAGTAGGATCGTCAAGGTGCGAAGTCTTGCCTGTCATCTTATCGGCCGACACACGGCGGCATTCGCTCCACACGATTGGGAAGTTCGGTTGCATCTCGATGTCAGTCGTGGCCTCGGTGGAGTTTATCTTGCCATAGCTCGACCTGGCTTGAATCTTGTCCTGGATCTTGCTTCCAAGGGGGTTGCTCGCGTTTCCGCTGTTGCCATAAGTGTGTCGGGTTCGTCCAAGGCTGTACTCGCCGATGAGTTTTGGCGCAACGTGCCTGAAGAACAGGCGCAATGCTGGAAGTGAACAGCAGATGATCACCAGGTTGGCTTCAACTCCGATCCAGATACTGGGAATCGCAATCGCCCATGGCTGATCGACTGTGGTGAGGGTTGGAAGAAGGAGAACCAAGCGAACCACGCTAGTGACGCAGGTCCTGAGATATATGTTAGCCAGTTTTTCGACAGTCATCTCAAAACCACGCAGGACTTACAAAGAGCCGATAACAAATATAAGGACTAGACCAAGCTTCTGAATCACGGGCATGTGTAGTTTCCACACCATCGGGATGGGCAAGACCAACAAAATTACATCCGTGACAATGTTCGTGACTGCTTGGACGATGTAAACAGCGCCGCGATTGATGCATGATCCTTCCGTAATTGTCACATTCCAAGCCTTTGCGATAGGCTTGCATGGAAAGATGAGGGCAAAGATGGTGGATATGCTGTACGCTGTCACGACGAGCATCACCAAGACGCTGAGGACTTTGAGCCATCGTAATCGGGACATGCGATGATAAAACAGCAGGAGCGAAAACTTAGCGAGCCCGAGGCATGGTACTGTGCGCTTCGTCAGTATCAAGACCGGTCTCGAGATGTTAGATCGATTTTACCATATATCACTGCCGCCGCGATCACGAACTATCAATCGTCAGCTCGCTACGACTCAAATTTAGCTTCGTTCTGGAACGGCATACCACAGAGAACCGATTGAAATTCGCGATGGATTCTTCCCAAATATGCACCTGAGAGAAAAAAAAATGTCAGCTTTATTCCTCTGATTTCATGAGCATTTCCGCCACAACGTGCTTTTAGTGTCAAGACAGTTCGTGGGGACAATCGGGCTTGATGATCATCTGTGATTTTGATCGACATACCGCACCCGTTTTAGTGGCCCAAGACGCTGAAGAGGATTAACTGTGGAACCATTTGACTACATAATTCTATGCATGACATACCGATCAGTAGTCCTTGTGTAGCAAGGCTAAAAATCTGGAGTCTGTTAGAGATAGCTTGGCTGAATGGCATCAAGCAAAGCGTACGTAGGCTCCCACTACACACCCTACGCTGATAATTAGTATCTACCTTTTTTTGCTAAAAAGCATGCAGTCTTGACAAACAATCTTCGGTTTTAAAATCTCTTACAATGCGCGCCTTCGTCCACGTCCGCATCGAAAAAAATGCGGTCGATATGACGAGGCCAATGCAAGTGATCCAGTAGCACGCGGGTACACCCCTTCGCTGAGGATGCGCAAAGTCCACAACATAGCCTGCGGGTGCTGGTATCAGAGCTACTGTTGTTGGATCCTGAGTCGCCATGACTCTGAGGTTTGTTGTTGTAACTCGTCTTGGGAGGAATTTACATAAGGCCCAATCTGAAAGCAACAGAACAGAGTCTCGAGATAAGAATGCTTAGCCTACCTCAAGTGCCTCTAAGGGACATACCCTTGAAGCGACACCTGCATAGGTTGACAACAGTCTTGGAGAGTTAGTTCAAGATGAGCGTAGAATGATACCACAACCGGGTACATGGTTCACGGGCCTGTCAAAGCCCTTTGAAACGAGCCGAGCACAGCCACTAGAACTTGGTATTCTTCCGGGTACCCAGCTCTCCGCGTAACGAACCTCTGAGAGTAAAGATAGGAGTAAGGATAATATCTGCTTACTAGCGGAATCTGGACGCATGCATGGGAAGCATGCAGCAAGCGGTCCAGGAACAGGCCTCACCTGTTGTATCGAGAATCCCGGAAGTTTATGAACAGGGTGCTTGGGTCCCAGTTCGGAGATTGACGGCCTGCCCAAGAGAACGGCGTCATCAACATTGCACCAAGACAAGTGTGATTCTTAATGCCGCTACTAGGTGGGAGGACGATGACAACGAGACCTATGACGAGACGGCCTCCTTCACGGTACCAGTACGGAGACGATCACGGCTTCCACCAAAATGATCGCTCTAAAACCCAAAAAATTTGCATCTAATCTACTGGATAATGTCATAACTTGCATCTGCTGCGAACCAGGAGGTATTGTCGGGTCGAAATACCAGCTATCCGGACCAATGTTGAGTGGACGCCTTGCAGAGTTCCCTGGGTTTTGGGTGACCCGTGCGCGGATTTGACACTGGTTTGAGCAAATGGGCCAGGATCCGAAACTGGGAACGTTGATTTGATCGTCAGCATTTCAGCAGACTCAGATGCCGAAAGTTTGCGCAACGGGCAATGCGATGCAGCTGCGGCAAGTGTCGATCATAAGTCTTTCGCGTACGTCGATCTTGATAGCAATCTACAAACGGCGTACTCTACGAGTACAGATATCGCGAGTCACCACGCGGATCAGGTCCAAAACAAATGACCACCTGGAGCCAGACCCACATGAGGCCAAGCGTTTTGACAACCTCCCTGCGGATGTCAAGCACCGATGATGCAACCAAAATATCAGGATATTGCGCAAGTTGGGGGAAGATGGGGTAACGGCCGCGAGCCTGACCCAACGGCAGGTCGAAGAAGAGCAAGCTGGGGGCGATTGCAAAAGCAATTATGTACGGAGAACAGTACTAGTGAAAGGCTAGACCGCAGGAGATAAAAGCGCACTTGTCAAAGTCCAGACCTGTGCCAGCTGGTGGCCTGTCCACATTTACCTACCCATGTGTAGGACGCCTTCACAAAGCGGTCGAATATCGTACGATATGTCATTCATTGCAGAAGAGAAGCATGTAGAATGCTTTGGTCTACAGAACGGACAGCGAAGTCTAGTAGGTGCCCAAATCCTTAATTTCTGTTTGTTGTAGTATCCGTAGCGTATCGACTGGTAAATCCTCCTCGATCTCATGCGGCGACATCTTAGAACATGAATGATGAGGATGCCTGATATATTTGGGATGACGACGTTCAGAAATGCACACCCGGTACCCAATCGAGCTTTTTTTTTAAGGTTCGCAGTACCAGTGCTAGCTGTCTTTGCAAGTCGCAGCGAGTAACCTACATAATGCCCCGAGTGTCGGACGAGTCATGACCCGTCAGGGCCGCAGTGTTTGTTATTGGCTCGCCTACGACCATCATGCCCTCGTCATACAGCCATGAGGCTAAAGAGGCTCGGCACAGCGGCAACGTTGCCATCTGCCATGGTATCTACCAGGAAGCTTTCATAATCGGGGGTGCGAACCGGTGCATCAACCCTCAAGGTTGACCTCAAAAAATAGGCCTGATCATCACCGCACCTTGTACACCGGGTAGCTTGCACGTTCATGTATAGCAGAAATGCGAGATTACGTGAATATGCGTTGGAGATTGGACACTTGGGCTCGCTCAGTGAAATACCGCGGCCTTCGAATGCAGGTCCTTTCTGAAATCGAACAATTGTCGAACCTTCTTCTCTCTCTATACCAGTTGGAGTTTCATTTCTTCCTCAGCCTTTGTAGATCTTTTTTTTTTGCGCGAAGCCAGTGCGTTGCCTACCCTCTGCCTGGCTATGTTTCGACCTTTTCCTTTCTCACGAGCCGCCATGGCACTGGCAGCGTATTCTTGTTTGAACCCTCAGGCTGTTTTCGCTGCCCCTAGTGAGTCCCTAGTTTATCGACGGGATGCGACCTCCTGCGTGCGATAACCCATGCATCACACATCGGCAGCCAGAGGATTTGCTGACATGCAGGTAGTGTTCGGCGTTGGCTGATTTGAGTCTTCTCGTGTATTACCCGAATAGCACGGAGTACACAGAAAGCATAGACTCCTATTGGTCTCTTACAGCACAGCTGGATCCTTGGTGTATTGTCACACCTCGAGATGCGGCCGAAGTGTCCACCATCGTGACAACCATGACTTCGGTGCAGTGCCAATTTGCCGTTCGTAGCGGCGGCCACATGCCCTGGGCTGGCGCCAGCGATATCACCAACGGCGTTACCATTGACATGGGACTGATGAACTCCATCACCGCCAACGATAATGGTACAGCTACAGTGTTACCTGGTGCCACGTGGGGTGAAGTTTATGCCGCCTTGGATCCGTTGAACCTTGCCACCTCCGGTGGGCGCGCTGCTAGTGTCGGTTCCGGTGGTCTAGTCATTGGAGGTGGTAATTCCTTCTATGCCGCACGCAAAGGTCTTGTTTGCGATAACGTTGCTCAGTTCGAGGTTGGTGTAATCAGGTCTTGGCGAGAATGGACTAACACGTGCAGATTGTTCTTGCTTCGGGAGAAATCGTCTATGCAAGCAATGGAACCAACAGTGACCTCTTCCAGGCTCTGAAAGGTGGCCATGCAAACTTCGGTATTGTAACTCGCTATGACCTTGTTACGTTCCCTACCGATGGGCTCTGGGGAGGTACCGTAGTGTACCCGGAGAGCACGACGGGGCAGCAGTTGGCTGCATTCGAGAACTTCGTCCAGAACATCCAAAATGATCCATACGCATCTACAATTTGCATCTGGCAGTACAACAGCACCACAGATACAACCATTGTGCTGAATGCATATGATTACACGACACCCGTTGAATACCCACCAATCTACGACGAGTTCTTTGCAATTGAACCGCAATTATCTAACACCATGCGTGTTACGAACATTTCGGATCTCATCAGTGAACTTGGTGTCCCCGACGGTTACCGGTACGTTTTTGGCCGTCCTTTTTCGTGGCTCGACTAATTCGATGTCAGGGAGCTGTTCATGACCAACACCTTCGTCCTTGACTCCTCTGTTCTTCAGAAGGCTCTTGACCTTCACAACGTAACTCTTGCTAGGATTAAGAGCGGAAACCCGTCGGGACACTGGAATTATGTGAGCATGGTACAGCCACTGCCTCCTCTGTTCACGGAACACAGCATTGCAAATGGCGGCAACGTGCTCGGCCTTGATAGGTTTCTGAACGAGAATCTAGTCAGTAAGTACAATGCTTCCTCTTCACACTGGCGCACGGCTGTTGACACGTCACTCTCTCAGTATTCCTTGCATTCCCATCCTGGCAATATGCTGCAGATGACGACCTGTTCAGAGACGCCATCACCGCGCACATCAACGAGATCAACAGCTTCGCGGCCAGTATAGGAAAGGACAACCCTTGGGTCTATACAAACTACGCGGATATCACTCAAGATCCATTGGCTGGATACGGAAGCGAAATGGTGGCCAAGATCAAGGCCGTAGCTTCCAAGTACGACCCGCATGCGATCTTCCAGACGCTGATGCCGGGCGGATTCAAAATTTCGACGGTTGCATGATTGTGTATGAGAATGACATGAGCGACTTGATTCAAATGTTCATACTTTAGAAGGGCCACATTTATATCTCTTGTAATCTCGGGGTGCCAGAGTGCATTGGCAGTAGCACTTTGAAAATTCACCCTGCTTCTTCATATGAGCACAAAACTGAAAAGTGGCATCTTCTATCCCGCTTTTTAGACGAGCATTTCCTTGCAGTTTGAAGTCTCAGTGTACGCTTCAAGGCACGTATCAGAACCTTGACATACTCGTTCCATCAACGCTCTTGATCTCGCATGGATCGGGGCAAGGTGCTGGACGTCTAAGCAATGGGCGGACAAATGTCGAACTCGACAGTCAAAAGTCGACAATAGGATAGTCGGAACGATTGGCGCGTGCTCAAAGCCACGGTAGCAAAAATTGAGTATTTGAATACATGTTAGGAAATTTTCAAACCAGGGAGAGAAAAAAAAAACCTCTTGAAGAATCAAGAGCTGAGACTGTGACCTAATGGTAGCAGAGGGATTCGAACCCTCGACACTCTCGTGACCAGAGTCATAACACTTCTCATTGGCTGAAGTAAAGACTTACTGCCGGCCGTTAGTACATCCACCCAGACCAGACTTCAGAATCACTCACAATCTGGCGCCTTAACCGCTCGGCCATGCTACCGGCGCTAAACACCTCTAAAATTCTTGTAGGACATGATGTACATCTGTCATTCTTAGTCAATGCAGGAATTTCGTGAGATGCAACTTGTCAAGCCCGTTCTTCTATGCAGCACTTTGTATGCTCAATGACAACTCTACACCCGCCTCTTGACTTTGTAAGCTGCCTGCACGGAGACCGGATTGCACAGACATATAAGCAACGACCCGACCCGATCCCTCGTTTACGAAATGGAGAGAATCAGAACAGGCGAGAAACACATGCGAAAGGTTTTTCTAAGGCACAGGGCCTCTGCATTTTAGGGTTTAATGATTTAGAATGAGGTCTCGTGATCTGTTACGTATAGCATCGGAAACGCATCTCAGTAGCTACGTTTCGTTCACAAAGACAAGAATTGACAGCAATTTCGAAGCTCATCTTTAATCTCTAAATGATTTTCGTTGCACACTTACTTAGCAGACGGGGCACATATTATTCTCTCATCTTCCCTCGCAACTTTAATCCACTGGTTTGAGAAAAATGGCGCAAGTTCGACGTTCGATTCTAAGTTCAGCAAACTTTTCAAACCAAGACATAGCAGCTTATTTGTTTGGACATTTCCCACGTCACTTTTTTTATTATTTCGGAAAGACAATGGGAAGAGACGTAACTCGTAGGCCAGCAGCGACAGCAACAGCATAATGACATGTGTCTGGCCTATTCACACGTCTCCAGTCTCGACCATTGGGAGGATAGGTGACTGGACACACCACCAAACCGGACGTTTACTTTTCAGCTAAGATATGCTTGTCATTATTGCTATCGTCCTAAGAAGGACTTCGTACAATATCCCTTTTTTTGAGCATAGCTGGCTACAGCACGATCCTTTCTTAGATCTTACTTCAGCGAAGCTTCATATAAGAAATGCCACAACGTTCGTATTAAAGAGATGATAACGCCGGCCTCAGGTGGACTTGCCACTCAGGATCTGGACAAGCTCCGATGCAACGGCATCGCCAACTTCAGCGGTCGTTGACGTGCCGCCTATGTCCGCCGTGCGAATACCCTTCTCGATAACCTGCTTGACTGCCTGATCGACAGCGAGAGCGAGCTCAGGTTCACACAAGGAGTACTTGAACATCATGCTGACAGAGAGGAGCATGGCAACGGGATTGACGATGCCCTTGCCTGAGATGTCCGGCGCGGAGCCTTTTCCACGTTAATCGTATATCTCGTGTCGCTACTTTGGAACACATACCGTGAATGGGCTCGTAGACTCCATTGACCTTTGTCTTGCCGTCCGGAATAGCTCCAAGACTGGCGCTCGGAAGAAGGCCAAGTGAACCAGGTATCACGCTTGCTTCATCACTGATGATGTCGCCAAATAGATTGCTCGTGACTATGATTCCGTTCAACGCCCTTGGGTTCTTTACCATCAACATAGCCGCCGAGTCGATTAGATGGTGACCGTATTCCAGCTGCGGGAATTCTTTCGTCATGACATCATCCACGACGCGCCTCCAGAGCCGACTCGTCGCGAGGACGTTCGCCTTGTCCAAGCTCCACACCTTGGCTGGTGGCGACTCTTGAAGGGCCAAGTACGCAGAGAGCCGTACTATGCGCTCGATCTCCGGCCGAGAGTATGGCTCGACGTCGTAGGCTGTGCCGTCACCAGTGTCTTCTTTGCGATCACCAAAGTACAGGCCTCCAGTGAGCTCGCGAACGACGGTGAAGTTTACGTCTTTGCACACGGACTCTTTCAGAGGGGATGTTGACACAAGACTTGGCGAGGCGAAGAAACACGGTCGCAAATTGCCGTAGGTCTGGAGCTCTTTTCGGAGTCGGAGGATGCCTTGCTCCGGACGGACCTGACCTGTGCCCCATTTCTTAGTCGTAGCGTTAGCCAAAAATGCTGTCGTGAAGTCGAAGCAGTCGAGGAATCATACTGGTCCTCCAATGGCACCAAGTAATACAGCATCTGCGTTCTTTGCGGCATTGAGAGCCTCGTCTGTCAGAGGGGTGCCGTGAGCATCTATCGAGCACTGGTACTATATCAGCATGTATACTTGGTGCCTCAGAGTTGCTACATACACCACCCAGCAATTCCTCACGAATGTTGAATGTGGTGTCGGGTCTCGCTTTTTCGATTGCTCGGAGCACTTTTATGGCTTCGGCTATCACCTGGGCGAACGTCAGCCAGATCTAGGACCGGGTCGGATGCAGAACAACATGCCTCCGGGCCACAATGGTCACCTGCGAACACGACAATATTATGCGACGGCATTTTGAGGTCTTGAATTATTTTGTGAAAAGTTCTGTGGGCTCCTACAGGCAGATGCATACGTCTACTTGTGCCTTATGATTCCAGAAACTATGCCGCGATATCGGAGGTGATCATCCGATGCCGCAGTTGTCCCACAAGCACAAGTGTCGAATGAGCCTGTCTGGAAAACACATTCCTAAATACGACGCCTGAGCCACGGCGACTATTCTGGATCCTGGCATGCATTATGGAGCTGCTTTGACAATTCTGTTTTCGCATCTGCTTACATTGAGACTGATGATTGGACCCCACATAATATCGCACAACCACCCTTAGGTCAATCTTCTATAACGACACCTACTTTCATCGGGTACTCTCGATGGCAGTATTGGTCATGTCTTATTTATATAGACACTGGACTAAAGCCTTGTTGTTCCAGAGAGAGCCTTCTGGTCTGATATTGGGAATCTCTACCACTACACTAGTCCAGACGTGAGATTCCATATCCCACGATTGTACGAATTCGGGACCACATCAAGTGAAGTTGTGCTGAGGTCAGCATGAGGGCAGGAGTCACTTTCAAATCTGTCTCACATGCAGAGATTTGCTATGTTCATCTGAAGCCAGAACGTTCTCACCGCGATATTTCTACATTTGCCTGTTCCAAGCGCTCTGTCTTCCTGAACAAATCAGCCGGAGTGGGTGACTCTAGCGCGAGGCTGGTCCGACCAAATCGGGACGTATTCGCAGGCCGCCATAGTCTCTGAACTACCGGATAACCAGGCCCCAGATTGGTATATCGTATTAGTATGAAGATGCGTCCGCTTCCACCGATGGTGCTCCTCTCTTCACGCGAGCCTGCCAAAGACTTACGGGTGAACATGTAGAAATACTCGGAGCTGCACCAGCCGCAGTTGCCACCTTTCTTTTCGACCCCGTGTTCAGCTTGCCCGATCGTTTGGTGTCGTCTGGCAACAAAACTATTGAGCGCGGTCGCTAAGCGTGCGTAGTCGCACAGCCTGTGGCCACATACAGCACTCTCGATAACTCTATGTGACAGCCTCTCCCCTCTGACAAAGTCGTCGTAATGACTTGAGTTGAATCTGAGTCGGTACTCGACCCTCAGGATCAGTTGTCCGTCGATCGCCCTTGCCATCGACCGTGCGCTCCACAACCACTTGTGATAATCGTATGGAACCCCATTCTCGTGGTTTCTACAATGACCACCTACAAAGCCGCACATGGTGAGAAAACCTAGGGGAAGTCCGAACGCCGGACCAAGACGCTGTTGCTTCATGACGCGAAAAATCGTCGCACCGTTCAGTTTGGGCAACCCCGCGAAAGCTCGGTGGCGCTGTAGGACCTTGCACGGCTTGCGGAACATGCGGCTTAAGAAGTTTGGATCACGGCAGTGGTACGTGTTGCACTCAAAACACAGCACCGCCATGCCTGGCAGCTCTCGCTCAAGGATCATGAGGAAGCTTTGGATCTCCTCGGGTTTGCTTCTGAGCTGCCGAGCTGCAGATAGACCAACCAGACGCAGGGCGTGCTTACAAGTGAGAGATAAAGCGACTTTTGCGTGGAGGGGAAGGTGGTCCATGATCTCGAACCAGACGTCGAGGGGTATGTTGAAGATGAGTGGTAGCGACCCGGCCAAAGGCTGCGCGAGAGAAATACGACTTCTAGAGCTTGAGAGCAGTGGGAGCTGATCTGCGGTAAGCGGCTTGATAAATGTCAACAAGTTTCCCATGTTGCAAGTCTCTGATACTTGATCCGATTTATGCTTGGCTACCGTCGTCTCTTTGGCTAAAATACATGGGCTTGGATAGATATTTTTGGGGAGAGAATGTTAAATACTTGATCACCAGGTAGCTACTTGGATTAACTTGGTTATCTGTATCGGATTTGGATAGTGTGGATCATAGGTCCATATAATTGCCCGAAGTGACGTTTTTAAACCACTTGAGTCCCACATCGGGCTTAAAAAAAGGACTCGGTATGCTCAAAGGTTCGCAATATGAGCAAAGTCAAGATCGTTGTGCTCTTCATGGTAAAGGATCATAAGTTGCAATCTTTGCCTCGAGGTATATATAGTGTGTCCGCGCGGTGAGGGTTGGGCAACGAAACCGCTTTTTATACGTAGTGACGCTGGTTAAAGGCTTGCAGGCCCGCGCAGAAAGTGTGGCCATGCGCATGGCGATTGATGAAGAGCTGCATCCAATCTTCATCTCAACTCACCAACTTGGGCAAATTCTGGAATTTCCCACATCTTCTCCTCTTGTCTCCGTCTGCCCTGTTCCTTCGTTGCCAGCGTGGTGATACGATTCACGTTGGCTGCTTTCCGTTCATTAACTTTTCTGGCCTTATCCTTTGCAAAGATCTGAAGCCCCCTCAAATGCGTGTCCTTGCCATTTTGATGATTTTCGCAAATTTTGATTTGGACCAACATGGCGCGCAGCACCGGAAGCCTTCTTCTGTCGAGATTCTCCTTCTCCTCATCGCCGTCGCCCGTGCTGTTGTTACCGTCCTCGCTATCCGAAATTTCATTCGGATCACCGACATCTTCAAAATCCACATCGACCCATCCTCTAGGCGTTTCAAAACGCATTACACTGAATTCTTGAAGGTCGTTGTACCCTGTTCCGGCGAGAAACTTGATCAGAGTAGGGGTGTAACTCTCGTCCAGGTCGAAGTCTAGATAAATACGAATGCCCACAATTTCAACGAGTTTGAAGAAATGAATGTTTAGATGATGAGGCTGCGGTCCATCTGATTGCCAAAATAAATTCGTGGACGGAGCACGTAAGGCTGCAACACCGCAGCCCGGTTTGGATGACGATACGGTCCATGATGCCAGCGAAGAAATCTCCTTTAGCCCTGGTGGAGCAGGAGGTGGCGCCGTTGGTCGACCTTCTTGTGCATTAGGGTCTGGGGATAGAGTTAGCAGATGTTTATGAGTATATAGACGGAGCTGCGAAACAAAACGAAGGTGTAATGAACGGCGAACCCATGCAAAGCACTAAAGTTCTCACGAGAAGATCGCAACGCTTTTGTGGGCAGACTACTTAGGAAGTGGCTACAAGCATACTGAGCTAAAGTCGGCAGACCACACAAGAGTTGCAGATGCGTGTATACTCCTCCTGTCAAGTCGCAATTCAGGCCAGGCTTGATTGTCCAAGTGGCCAAAGGAGTTTTGCTGCTGTAGCTGAGCACAAAGCCAACTGAACGGTTCACGAACAGGGCTGCTGATACTGCGGGCTGAAGATGATTGTTCTTGATGTCCAATAAGCGCAAGAGCATCACTGTAAGGGTGCTGCGGTGACTCAGGTCCATGGCATCGACAGAGACATGTTGGTAATCACACCATGTAATGTCTGAAGCGCATATTTGGCGGCGTGGCAATGAATCGTGTAAGAGGCGCCCTATTACATGACTAGCCCCGGATACGATCCTTGAAGATGATTCCGGGGCGGCCTTTCAACAATCCAAGCGTACAAACATACACGCAGGCGACTAATGAGAAGAGACGGACGAAGTTTACTACGCTGGGATGTAAGGTCGCTGCAAAAGATATATGTGAATATCCACGAAGAGCGCGGGAGCGCCAAACAACGCTGGACCGCAAATGTGACCTGGAAGCCACCTGACAAAGGGGTGATCGCCGCAAGGGCAAAGTTGGCAAAGGGAAATGGAAGCGAACAAAGACTCACCGATGATGGCATCGTCTTCCTCGTCTCCGATCTCCTCGTCGAGCAGTTCTTCGGCAACGTCCTCGTCCTCGTCGTCGGCCAGCATGTCGGACGGCATGTCGTCGGCACCGAGCGGTTGATCACCGTTGGTGGACGAGTGCATGCGGGGTATCGCCGCCATCTGCTCTCCTATTAAGATCTGGCAAATATCCTGAGGTGGACGATGTCGCCCGCTGGCCGTGTACCAAAGTAGAGACTTCGCCGAATCGCCAGACGCCGATCTTTGGGGTCGTACTTGTACGTGGTATATGTTATGTACGAGGTGCGCGTTAGCCGGAGCAGTCAAGCGTCGGTTTCAAGACCGGAGTCAGGGTGCTAAGCCCGAATAGGCAAGTCAGCCCCTTAACACCCATTCTCATGCGTCAACTGTGGATGAACTTCGATGCCGTCTGCAACCCCAACGCACGAAAAACCTTCCCGCCACGTTCGAACCTCCTGCAAGGCACATGCTGAATACCCACTACTCGGTTCTGCACCCACGCGCCCATTCTCATTTGCCACAACTTGTGCCGTTTGTAAGACAATGCCAGCAATCGACTGACGGGGCGCACGACAGGGTGAATCACCGTGGCTGCGGCAAGGACACAAAGAGAGCATGGAGACGCGGATCGTTTACCGGGTCATCTCCAACGATTGAGCCCAAAAACTGGATGCGCTTCCAGATCGTGAAGAGCACGAGGTTACCATTGGGCGGCGGCGACGGACCGACGACATGGAAGAATGGAACATTCTGCTCAATCGCGATGACCGTGCTGCACCAGTCTAGCACGCTTTCAGATGGACCGCCCCGGCCAAAAGTGGGCTTCGGCGAAGCTTCGATTGCAGCTTAAGCCACGTTTCGTGTCTCAGCTGACAGGTCCGTCCGCGCCCTTGGTCCCAAGCGGTCGGGGTGAGAATCACGGTTGGCCACTCAAGCCGCGTTCTTCATCAAAAGTTGTAATTTCTGCTTCGGCACGCTGCCTTGCTTTCGCCATGGATGGGTCTTCATGCGTGCCTCTGCTGGTGGCGATCCTCCTTGTGACAACCCCACTTCTCTCTGTGCCGACGCAAACCATGGCACGACTGAAGTACAGTTTGGGTTATTGTTGTCAAAGCAGCATGTGCACTGCTAATCATTTTTGCAATACCCCGGTCCTTTCTCAAAACCTTCTGTGTCGCCTTTTCCTGGTCGTTTTTCGACGCTTCCCGTTCCAGACTTTTGTATCCGGTCTCTTCAAGTACGGCGAGTCGACCTACCGAGACGTCGCTCCCTGGTCCTGTGAATCCTTCCTCCCCGCGCTTAATTTCTTCTGCCTTCCCATTCCATGCTAATTCCATTTACAAGAACAGACCATTGACCAAGCCCATCCCGCTTTTTCGTCGTGCTGCTATACTCAGGGCACGCTTCCATTGCCCTCTTCCAGCACTCCAGCCGTCTATTTCTAGCTGTTCGCTTAATTAAGCTTAACATCCCTTACGGTGCCTTGGCGGGATCATGTCGCCATCGAGACAATAGCTGTCCAAGCGTCTCCAGCTGACGGTCCTTTATCGAGGCCGCTAATTCCACCCCAAGGATTCTCACCTTCCCCTCTAAGGTAAGCAGTCTCTGCACTCCTACATCTCCAATCCGTGATCCTCTCCCAGGAGACTTTCCTGTGCTGAATGGAGGCTCACCATGGTGCAGCCCGAAGAGTTTGTCGCGATGGCAGGTGAGACCAAGGCACCGCAGCTCATTGCCTCGGTGTCGGTCTTTCTGCCGCTCGCAATCGCTGCGGTCGTGATGCGTATCTGGGTTCGCATCAAGATGATTCGTAACTTTGGATGGGACGATGTCATGATGGTTGTGGCCTTGGTGAGCTCGACGCTTTAACTATACAAATCATCAGTCCTAACCACAGGGTAGCTTAACTTTGCCATGTACTGCAGTGCTTTGATGGTCATCGTTGCGAATGGCGGCGGAACACATCTGGCACACCTCAAAAACATTCGCCTAGGGATCATTTTCACAGTCGTGGCCGAAGTCTCCTACCTAACTACCATCCTCTTCCTCAAGATCTCACTTGGACTCTTCTTTCTGCGGGTCGTTCAGTCGAAATGGCAACGTAGAGCTATCTACGGAGTGGTAATCATGTCCACTCTCATTCAAGCTTACCATGCGCTGTTCTATATCTTCGCGTGCGGCAACCCAAGATACTACCCTGAACACATCCTTGCCGACAAATGCATACCAGGCCGCATTCAAGTCGATCTAGCATATGAACAAGCCGCAGTGACCACTGCCACGGACCTATTCTTTGCCCTCATACCGATTCCCCTCTTATGGGATACAACTCTCGATCGCCGGTCGAAGCTGTCGGTAGCTTTTGTACTTCTTCTCGGAACTGCCGGCATCGTTTGTTCTGTAGTACGTTTCAAGTATATCAACGGATTGGGAAGCATGCACGACTTCTTTTGGACCGCTGCGAACATATCACTCTGGAGCCTTTTCGAGATGGCAACCGGTATCATTGCCGGTTCCCTGGCTACCATGCGGCCGCTCTTCAAACGATTGATGTACAAGGCGCGTACGATCACCCAAGTTGGAAAGACGAGGAAGAGTGGCGATACTGGACACGATGCCTCACGGACACGAATGCTCTCCAAGAAGAAGTCATACGGGTCGTCGACCAGCAAGTCGCAGAACGCAATGTCGATGTGGTCAAAGTCGGTTGACCCAAATCGGAGCTATGCCGCGACAATTACGGGCGGCTGCGACCATGATGATACGGACTCCTTGTCGGATTTTGACGAGGAACGCGGTGCACAGCTTGTGAACCTGCGTGACGAAAACATATACTCCAAAGATATATGGAGCAAGGACCCTGAACGCTCTAGAATTTGGCCTTTCGATGACAGTCAGTCGATACGTAAGATGGTGCAGGTGGAGGTCAGATCCAGTCAGGAGAGCGAGCAACCGTGGGCTGCCGCAAACACCGAGAGCTGGAACGCAAGAATGCAAGCCATATTACGGCCGCCTCCAAGGATCAGGAAAGGCAGCAAGGACGACGATTCTATTCCTGAGTGGGAGAAACTCCCTGATCTCATCCCTCCGAGCAGGAAAGGCAGTTCGGATTCACAGAGCAGAGATCCACCGCTAGTGCGTATCACGACGCGATGATCTGAGGGAGAACGACGAAGACGAGCACGTGTATCACGAGAAGATAGATGAGGAGATTGGTCTACTCCGCTTAATCACGAAGTGAGGCGGATGGCCTATGTAAAACATTTGCATATGTGGTGGCTTTGTGATGTAAGACTTAAGGATGCATTTGAGATACCCGAGACTTTGGACTAGCATAGGCATGAATGTAACGAGTTTCTTGCGCAATATCCCAAGCGATTCTCGATGATAAATTCACGCATTTCGAAGGGCCTAGTTGGACGCAGCATGGATCATTCGTTGGGCCACATCGTATAGAGCGAAGACGCATTCGTTCATCGCGTATATCGTACATCATCTGAAGTCGAGTGGATTCCAGTGCTGACCTAATTTAGTTAGTCCAAAGGCTTGAGATGTGTATTCCCCCCTTAGCCTCGACACATCTTAATTAAATTAGATGCACGTTTAAAGAACCTAATAAACGCAACACGCAGCCCTAATGCAAATCGCAAATCTCGGATCGATCGGCGGCCTGCGAAGCTTCAGCGTCGTTCATCTTTCACGTGGACAGTCCCACGTCCCCTGTTTTTTTTGTCTGCGCTCCATGCCGCCTGACATCGTCCGAACCGGTCGTGGAAGGTCTTACAAAATCTTGGGGCTGGATTGGGTTTTGGGATCAAGCTGGCGCTTCCGCCGATCTTCAAAGTTGCTCCGAGTGTCTGACCTGATCCAGTATCACAAGCGCTTTAGACGGTTGCGCTTCCTTAACTGTGCGGATAGATTCTTTCCTTTCTTTCCTTTTTTTTTTTTGGCAGTTCGGCGCAACTTGACGTGAAGAGGACCGGACCACAAGGATCTACAAGGCCATCAAACGGGCCCCGGTCCGTCAAAAGCAACTTATCAGGCTCACTCGGACCAAACTGACGCTTCTCCAGATCTTGGACCTGCTTTTTTCTTGGCCTTGAGGATTTTGCAGAGCAAGCTCCGAACTGGGAGGCTCTTTTTCCATGAACAAATGTGTCCTATCTGTTCGAACTCTGCTTCCGCGGGTCATCTGAATTCAAGCGGAAGCGAGGTGTGCACGACGGGCTGATTTCGGTTGCGCCGAGACAGTTGGCAATGGCTGTGTAAAGAGCGTCTGCAGATCCGGGTCTTCATGCTCGTTGCGCAACGAAGCGACTGTAGTTCAGAAACCCGTGTAAGACGTGCCGAGCCCGTAACCAGTAGTTCAATGGATTGCTCTTCAAGAGCATCATTGCCTCCCGTCTTCACAAACGAGATAGACTAGTTCCAAGGTCGCCTATTACGAAACTGCTGTTCGTGATCTGTACATGCCAATGCGATTCAGTATTCAGTTTGAGGGGAGAATCTCCTGACAGTCTACATGTATACTGACTCTGTATGTGAAAAAAATAAAAAAAAAAAAAGAAATCTTGAAAGCATCGATCGACACAGCAACGTCTAGGACGCATATTGATCTCAGTTCAGAGGCCCTATCTACAGCAAGTACGAACCAATCGAACAGCAAAGAGAGACGTCGAGTGAAGCCAGAGGCATGATTCCAAGGTGCAATTATCTTGGACGAGGTGACGGCATTTCTCGACCAACTTGGAAATGGGACCAATCAGAAGCCGCGGTCCCAAGGACGAGCCTCGTTCGGCCTTGTCCAGAATTCTCAAGCGAAGTAAGGTAAAACATACTTTCTGTGCACACCGTTGTTGAACCGATGAACAAGACTCTTGATTGCAAGTTCGGTATGGATCAGCCTACCGAAGTACACAAAATCTCCCTTCAAAAGCGACTCGTTCCTTCGGATTTCCAGGACAGCCAGGCGATCGTGGGGGAGTTGGGAGAGCCTGCCCTCGTTCGATTCGTCTGTTTGGATGTCTCGCCATGGACGTTGATGCCAGCTGCAGGCACAGGCAAACGAGGATCATTGCATCCTCCATGTCTTCCAGCGGTGTTCGATGACGCCAGCAGCTGATGTTCCCCCGCCGCATGCACGGAGTGGTGCCGGATTCATTCCGTCAAATCGTTGGGGGGGGTACATGCAAGGAACAAAATAGCGACCGGGACGCATCAGGCTGCAACGGATGTATCGACTCAAACTTCACGAAGTGACCAAGACCCCCCGAGAAACGACCGCTGGAGCTCGCGCCGCGAATCACCCACGTCGGCGCGCAGCTACGAAAGTTTATATTGCAGACAGCGTGGCCGAGGAGCTTGGGATACTCGCTTTTTTCGGGGGTCCGCAAAAGGGAAAAAAATAAAGTCATGGCAGGAGAGATGATGCCGCTCGTCGCGCTCGAGGAGCACTTCTTCTCTTCGCACGTCAAGGACTGGGCGAGGTACGGCTACGGCGAGCAGTTCAAGCACCTGCCGAACGTGGTGAATCAGCTGCTTGATCTCGACGCGCTCCGGCTGTCGCACATGGATGCGAGCGGCATCGCGATGCAGGTGCTTTCGCACGGCCCAGGCCTCAGCGTCGGCGGCGATGGCGACGCGCTCTCGGATTGCCGTCGGGCGAACGACCTCGCGCACGGCGCCACGCAGCGGCACCCGGGACGGTTCGCGGCCTTCGCGGCGCTGCCGATGGGCGAGCCCGAGGCGGCCGCTCGCGAGCTGACGCGGTGCGTGACGCAGATGGGCTTCAGAGGCGCGCTGGTCGACAACCACGTCGCGGGCCGCCACTACGAAGGCGCGGCGTACCACGTGTTCTGGCGCACAGCACAGGAGCTCGACGTGCCCGTCTACTTGCACCCCACCTGGCCGGCGGACGGGGTGCAGAAGCCGCAGTACGAAGGCGAGCTGAGCGCGGGCGCCGTCGCCAGCCTGGGCAGCTCCGGCTGGGGCTGGCACAGCGACGTCGGGGCCCACATCCTCAAGCTCTTCGCCGCCGGCATATTCGACCTGTTCCCCAAGCTCAAGATCATAGTCGGCCACTTCGGCGAGATGATCCCCTTTATGCTCGAGCGTGTCGAGTACCTCAGCAAGCGATGGGGCGAACGCAAACGCCCCTTTGGCGTCGTCTACCGCGAGAACATCTGGATCACGACCAGCGGCTGCTGGTCCGTCAATCCGATGGCGTGCATTCTGCGCAACACCCCGGTGGACCATATCCTCTTCTCGGTAGACTATCCGTTCGCGAAGAATGAGGAGGGTCGTCAGTTTATGCAAGATCTTGAGAAGAGCGGCCTGGTCACCCAGGAGCAGCTTGAAATGATCGGGTACAGAAATTCCGAAAAGTTACTGGGTCTTAGCGTCGCTGACGGGCGGAAAACAATATGATACAGGGTAATGATTTGGGCCTCTTTTCAACGTATGTACGCAATTGAGTCTGGAGCTCTTAAATCAAAGACCATTTCTACGGTTTCCTCGATGTCTAGATCTCGCATGATTCTATGTGAACTTGTGCTGCTGAGCGTCGACATCTGCTCAAGCATCCATCAACGACACTGCTAGCCCATCCTTCTGCTCGACTTCCACCTTTCTCATTTTAGAATCTTTCTTCTTCCGAACGCTGCCTTGGCGTTTGGGGGACTGCATTGCCGCCGCCGCTGCATTCGAAGCGGCTTTTGCCTGTCGTCGTTCGAGCTCCTCTATATCTTCCTCAAAAAGCTTCGCGAGGGCTGGGCGGTACGCTTGGATCTTGGGAATGTCTCCGACGCAAACGCGCATATAGTCGAATGAGAAGAGTATCGGCATCCTCTTCGGCGTAGGCAGCAAGGATGGTGCTTGTTGCTGAAGGTCCAAGTCCTCATCTTCTGAATCGTCTAGAGCCATGTTTTCCGCGTTTCCAGACTGTGCCGTCGATTCTCCAACGTCAACGACAGGTAGATCCTCGGCATCGGGGGCAATTTCATCCACTTCCTCACCAGCACCGGGCCCCTTGGCCTCACCGTTCGGTTCTTTATCCGTCTCCTTCACAATCTGCTTTGCCACCTCCTCTGTGTCGCGCCAGATGTTTTCCAGGACGGGGATCTTCTGGTACCGTTGTGAGAAGTGGGAAAGAATGAGAGACTTTGCTTGCATGAGACTGGCAACTCCGATCGCTTCCCCCACAGTGCTGTGTTTCTTCGCTCGCGCCTCCCCTTTGAGTTCATCGTCAAAGGTTGCCTCGTGAATCAACACGGTCGAGTTCTTAGCTACCCATGCGAACGTGCCCGAGGGTCTGCAGTCGCCGCTGTAAGCGACTGAAAATTTGTTCGGAGCCTGCAGCAGAAGTGCGCGCGCTGCGTTGCAGTGCTCAACGTTGACGGCAACGGCGCGAGAAAGACCAACCAACCCTTTGAGCAAGTGTTGTCCAAGACGGGTTTTGCTCATCCACGGCGTCGGTTTGTTCAGCACGATCCCGGGACGCGGAAAGATGGCGTTGGCGCGATTTGGGTTCTGGCCCTCGCCTGGAATGGGAACGAGAGGCAATACGTGCGTGAAGCCAAAGTCCTCCACACTCGAAAGCTCGTCCAGGTAGTCGATCAGAAAGCGGCTGCCCATCACGCCCAGATATTTGGGTCGCTCATCGAATGGCTTAGGGGATTGATAACTTGGGTCTTTCTTGATCGTTTCGAGCAAAGATTTCGCAACTTCCGGTGACATAGGCGGGCACTTTGTCGCCTTTCCATGTACGACATCAAACCAAGCCTTGATAACGCTCGCGGTTCCCAGATGGTGATCTGCATGGCCGTGGCTAATCCAAATCAGGCGTAAGTCTTTGAGCACGTCTACAAGTTCACTCGGCGTGTAAACTCTCTGCAGCTGCCCCATGGTATTTTCGCCCGCATCAAGCAGGTAAGAGCCCCAGCCAGGTACGCGGACAAGCGTGGAGGAAACATTACGGTAGCGCGACGGCATTGCGGAGCCTGTGCCAAGAGTGACGACCTCAACGTTGCTATACGGGACTGATTTCCTCCATTCTTCAAGTTCTTGCGCAAGAGAGCCCTGAACAGATGCTTTGTGCACCTCGTTGGCAATTTCAATTACCTCCTGCGACTGGGCCGTCGATATCAGTTTCATGGTGTCGAGAGGCGGCACCGCACTTGACTCTTGTACTTCGAGCTTGGGATCCAGCTGGACCGTTATGCCTCGCTGCGCGAGCGTGACGTTCGGCAGCGCAAACAAGTCCAATTGCGGGTCCACGTCTCGGGCCCAGAGCCCTGCCTCGCGTCTGAAATTGGGGGCCGGCGAGGAGGAGTTGTCAAAGTAAGGGACGGGGAAACAGGACTGGTCTACCTGGGCGAGCTTGATGGCGCTCTGCGCGGCGCCGAGGGCAACAAGATGGTTTTTGCTGTGGTCTGGTGAGCAGATGATGTGCTCAATGTCCGGCCTGTCGAGTATGAATTGCTGCAGGGCCGGATTGTCGGAAACGCCAGGTCCGAGGAGCCAAAAGTAGGTGCCCACGCCGGCTGTGACTTGTGCGGAGTTAAGCTCTTCCTTCGCGAGGAGACCTTCGATGTATTCCTCTGACGGCAGGTCTAACAGTGCAAATCCGCCGGCCTGAATATCCGGGCCTAAAACTTGATGAGGCTCAACCACTGACCCATTGTCTAGCTTGATCGAGTTTCCCTTCGTAAGCTGCGCAAAGAGAGGACCGGGAGGTACACCCAGTTCAACCGCCTTGGCTCTATCGAATTTTCCTCGCAGTAAACGTCCTCGCACGATATACGAGACAGCCTCCCTCGTTGCTGATGTAGGTGGCAGCTTTGCGACCTGGCTTGCAGGCCACGGATTGCGTACAAACACTTTGAGAAAAGGGTTCGGGAGTGGTCCGTCACCACCGGGTAGAGGACCTTGATAAAGCTCCAGATCCTTTGTTTGGTGATTGCGCACCCAGATCTTGGCAGGCATGACCACGTCCTTGAGGTAGGTCTCAACGAGCGAATCTAAGCGCCATTTGGAATTGAACATGTCGTCGATGATACGCTGCCTGACGAGATCTTCCGCACTCTCGTCATCGCCGACACCTTCAGACGGTTCTTGAACCTCCTCATTCGTGTCTCGCTCCGACCCGTTCGGTTTCACGACCAACGCAAAGACGTCCATGTTTGGATCGACGATCGACGGCAGCCTTTCTCCCGACTCGTTCTTCACGGGCGCCTCGTCCTTCACGTCCCGTATGCGCGTCGGCGTGCTCTTTCTGAAGATGAACTTCCTCGCCGCGGCCACGCTGTGCACCAGATTGGGGGGTCCGAACACCTCGATCTCATCGCTGACCAGCCCGCTTTCTGACTTTGGCGTCTTGCCTTGACTCTTGAGTTCAGCTGCCGCCGACGCGTTCGCGTCAGCCATGGTGAGAAGCAGGCCTAGCAGGCCGCCGGTCGTCTCGCGACTGGTCCGGCCCGACACGAGAATCTTCTGCACTTTGCGCAGCGAGATGTTGAGCTCGTTTAAGGCGCGCATGGTGCCCTCAGCCATGTGCCCCAGCAAGTAGCGTCTGTTGTCGAAATGGAGCAGAAGGCATGCCCCAGATGTGTCGGCTGTCGGCACCGTCAAGATCTGTATGTACGACTTCATCGTTGAAGGTCGAGCGTTCTTCTGTGCGTGGTAGGACTTCCACCGATCTTCTAGACTGGGATTGATACGTTCGTCTCGAAAGAAGTACAGAGGCCTGTTTGATAGCTTGGACAACACCTCGACTACAGCACTGGAAGGAATGCGTTTCTTCTCCTCGATCTTGGTCACGGGCTTGAGGGGTGAACAATCTGTCTTATCTTCCTGGGCGCCAGCATCCTTATTGCCAGAAGCTACGACACGAGAAGTCACCGGCGAGCCGCTAGCATGGCCGTCTGCCGATCTGGTACGAGGTCTTGCTTTTTCTCCAGCTTTCGTGCCAGTCCGTCTCGGAAATGGGCTCAAGAACGACGAGTCTCTGCCCTTCTTCTTGACGCCCTGATCCTCAGTCGTGCTCCTTTGCTCTTTCTTGCTGGTTGGAGAGTCGCCGTCTGTGTCGTTTGAGTCACCGTCGTCGTGCGCCCACCGCCGCTGACACCGACTTATGCAGGATGGGATGGCGTAGTGCTGAATGTGGCAATTCGCGAGTCGAACGCGCCCTGCCGAGGTGCGAAGCCAAGCCAATGTGAATGTTCACAGGCTCATTACAACAGAAGTGCAAAAAAAGAAGCAGCCTGTGGTCTGCGTGAAGGCTCAGGAATGACGGAAGACTTTCTTTGTAGACCGATGCGGCGACGGGAGACTGAATTTTTTGGTTTAGCGCGTTGAAAACCGTGGCCAGGGTCGCGTGCAGAGGCGGCGCAGGCTGAGACACGAAGCGTTACTCCAAAGAACAGAGAGACCTTCAACAGTCCATGACCTCGTAATCATGTCGACGACACAATGCGCCAGTGTTGCACGCGGCATCGCATGTGCACGAACTTCATGCCACCTGTTCTTCACATCCAGCGCCCACGGTGTACGTCGTGACCGCGCCCTTCCAGAGACCGCCGCACAAGATTCTGCCCGTGGTTCTACGAGCACAATGATGGCTAGAAAATAGTTTGGATTGTAGTTACTTCACTACGCTATATACCTGTGTTTTCCTTATCCAGCAAGGGCAAATCTCAGGCCTCCTTGCGAAACACATGAACCCCCGAGCGTGAGCAAAACCGTATTTCCCACTTTCCGCACGCTCCATAACCACAAAAAACCTAAGTACAACGCCGCTGATATCCCCACCCAGAGAATGGCAGCCAGTAGAACACAAATGAAATGTTTTGATGCAGAGTCGTGACCGCGTTAGCTTCGAGGCAGTTACAGAGCGGATAAGATATACAAAAGATCTATGAAGACAGAGAAGATAATGCAGCGCTTATGAACAAATTAAGACAAACAGCATTCCTTTTGCCATAGGAACGCAAGCTGCGAGCCTCGTGCCGCTTTACATGCGAAGGCTGGCAAAGAGTGCATCCAGCCGTCGGCAAGCGGCATCAAGCCGGGCACACGATCTCTCGAAGACGGGCGACATCTCCACCGATTCTGTCTCAGTCTGAGAAACGAGGTCAAAAACAGACGTCTTAGAGGTAGGCAGCTGACCAATGAGAGCGATCGCGTCTTCCAGGGTAGGCTGCGCTGCATTGACGGTAGAGGGCGCAGTGGCAGTGGCGTAGAGCGTGTATGCGGGATCTTGCTCGTCAAACTCTGGTGTGGTTGTGACCTCAATCTCTTGAGCCTCGACAAGTGTGTCAACTTCGTCCTTGCCCGGCAACTCTACAGCGGCTGGAGTGCTCTTCTTGGTCTCCTCAAACGCGGGAGCTTCAGCGTCTTCCTCGGACGAATATTTACCAGACAGTGCGGGAACGTCGACGGGCTCGTCGGGGACGGAGGTCACAGCGAAGACCTGTGGCTGTGAAAAGTTGCTTAGGCCCATGTTGCCCATATTCCAGCTGAGTTGGGAAAAGTCGACCTGTGGTTCCGGAACGAGGGTCATTCCTACATGCTGTGTCTGGTTGCCCCCGAACTGCTGCGGTTGACCATAGGGATTGACGTCCTTCTTGATCTGAGGCTGAGGGGTGGCGGACTGCGCTGCAGCACTCGTTGAATTAGAGACTACAGCCGCAAAGGATGAGGCGATTTCCGGGTCGCGGCTAAGCTCCTCAAGGAAGGGGCGGAAAGCCTGGTGGGCGAGAAGCTTTTCGGTCAGAGATCGGAACCGTGCGTTCTCCTCCATGAGAGCGCGATTTTGAAGTCTAAGTTCGTTGACTTCGTTGGTCTTCAATGCGACCTCGCCCTCAAGTTGACCGATGTATTCTATTTGTCGTTAGCACAATCGTTGTCCTTTGTCTCAAATGAAGGCGCGCTGTATCCAGCGATCTGAAATAACGTACCCTTTCTCCTTGAGCGGAATGCACGAGCGGACACTTTGTTACGGAGCTGTCGACGCTCCTTGCTCGACAGCTTCTTGCCTTCCTCCGAATTGAGCAATCGCTCGTCTTCGTCCATTTCATCCTCGTCCTTCTGCTTGCGAACCATGGTCGGCATCACTGGGTGCTCGGGTGACATGGACGCATGCATCATGCTGTTTTGGCGGATTTGGTTGACGACACGGGCAATTGTCTCCTCAGCGTGGGCGTCAATGGGACTAGCCTTGCGTGCTTCACGCTGTTGCTTTTGCTGCGCAGCAATCATCTGTTGACGCTGGGCGGCAGCCTGCTGCTGAGCACGCATCTGGGCCACCTGCTGGTGCATGCCAGGATAGTACCTGATGTTGGCCTGGGCCTCCTCCTGCTTCTGAATAGCAGTGGGATCGACGAAATCCTCGGCGCTTGCCTGAGAGTCGTTCGGGTAGAAAAATGGAGGCAGCGAGGAGTCCATTGCCAGGTCGCCGGTCATGGATCCGAGGCCGCTTTGCGAGCCCATGCCATCGAAGAAGCCAAAGCTGGACTCATCGATGCCGCTGTTAAAGCTACCGAACATATTCTGGTCGTCGTTAAGCGGGCGCAGGCCGGCGATGGAACCGGTTGGCAGACCAGTCTGCTGCTTGAAGCGTCCGTAGTCGTGGCTGGGAGCGATGGGTGCCTGATCGTCAGCGTCCAACGGAAGCGCTGTGCTAGTCGGGCTTGCCATGGTCGAATGCGACATCGAGGTGACGGCAGGCATCTTGCCCTTTCCGTTACTGGAACCGGGTGTAGGCGAGGCCAGGTTACTGAAGTCAACCCAGTTCTCCATGTCGGACGGGTCGACGCATTGGTTCTGGGGTTGATGCTGAGGTTGAAAAGCCATGGAAGGGAAGTGTGTGGTTGACATGGCCGCGCTGAGTTGATGAGCCAATGGTAAACAATGAGCGACGGCGACGACGACGACTATGTCGACGTCTCAGTCGAAGGGCGCAATCGAGAGTGGAGATACTATGATATCCTCAAGGCAGACGGCCAAGGTTGTGTGTCTTGTCGCCTAGGCAGATTGTCCGCGTCAGCTCGCTGTTAGCGTCCGGAACAGGAAAGCTCGGAAGCAGCGGAACGCAACGAGGAGACGACGCTGGCCGTCAACTACAAGCGATGAGATGGTCGCGAAGGCGACGGGCTAGGAAGTTTGGATGCAAAAGAATTGTACGTGAGAAGGTGCGAGTTTGAGAGAGTGAGAGTAGATTTGAAGACGGGCCGTCGACGAGGGAAAGGGGATCAGGAGAGAAAGACTGTGGAGCCGACGGGGGTGGGAAGAGGCAAGTGTATCAAGTCTGGCGCATAAAGCTGGCACAGCCCTGTTGCTCCTGCTGCTTGTGGTGCTGCTCGTCATGCTGCTCGCTCCTTCCCTGCTTCGGCGCCCACGGCGAGTCCATGGCTCCGACCAGTCTTGGCGCTAGCCGCCAGCGGCAGTCGCACCCTCGTCACTGGCACTTTCCTTCGTCGTTTCGGGTACTTGCCAGATCCATCACCACTCTGGCCCCGCCTGGAGCAGAGCTTGAAGCCGAAGGCCACGATCAGACGCTCCTTGCTGGTGCGAGCAAAGCATACTCGCCGCTGCAGCAAGCCGTCAGCGTGCGTCTTGCTGGGCGTTGCTGAGCTGCAGGCATCGGCGAATGCTAAACATAGCACCAAGGCACTGCACTTACTGTACTTTTGCTGCCGCTCAGCCCTGAGTGGACCAGGCTTACGTATGCCGGGCCATCTTTGACTGAGTCGCCGATTCTGGAAAGAACAACGCGATCCACCTTCCTCGGAACATCCGGAATGAGGCGCAGGGTGGCGAAATGATGCCTTATGCGAAGCTGCCGGGCTGCAAGGCACACAAACTCGTGCCCTTCTAGTCCGCTTTGGGAGACGCAGACGAGATTCCTTGCCGGCTTGCAGCATTTGTATGCCGCAAGTAATAAATAATATTGAAATACCCGGCCGATGCACACAAACACACACACGCGCACAAGAGGATACATACCGTGCTCTGTCCTGCCTGCACCATCTCGCGAATCGGCTTTTGCTCCATCCGCTGCGTCGTCCAGCGAATGCCGCAATACAGTATTGAACGAGCCACAGAACCATTCGTACATCGACACCGTGCGAGCTTGGGTGTGTATACCAGCCCATCCACCCACCTTGCCCTGTCTGCGTAGCCACATCGCGACCAATGGTTCTAGCTTGTTTCGAGCGAAGGAAACCCTTTGTGCCGAACAAGCTTGTGCATGCATCATCATTGTGCTGGCAGCATGCAGCGAGCCTGTCTTTCGCGGGGGAAGGGAATCGCCCCGGCTCTGAAACACCCTCTTTTCTTTGCTTTAACACACCCTTCCCTTCAAATTTTTTCCACTCGGAAATGCCATGTAGCGTAGCCTTTTGGCCTTTCCATCCCCTGAGCGGAGACCCAAAATTGCATGACATTTTAAAAAGAGTCTCTCTGGCCCTCTTGGCACCCGGCAAGTCCGAGCTTGACCTTCACGAGTGGACGGCTGAGAACAACGTGAATCATGCAATGATGATTACAGCGATAAGAAGAACGAATGAATTAACTTGATCCCGACCACTCGCATCGCGACGAACTGCGGGTCCAGGGGGGAACTCCCTCTCTTTCGAAACGATCAAAACGGCGTGGAGAACAAAGGACCGTTCGAGATGCCATCCCAACTTGGCGAACCGCTGGTCAGCTTCTTCTCCACACAGAAAGAAACAGAACGGGCGAGCGCACCCGTTGCAGGAACCAACCCTATCTCTATGGAAAGGGGAGGATGGGGGCGTGCGCCGAACGCTGGTCCACCGTTGTGGGTGTCTCTTATTCTGGCACGGGGCCCTGCTGCTCTGATCCACACGTCTAGAGCGAATAAGTGTCAAAGCCTAGTAGATGCGCGGACAAAGGGTGGCGCGCGCGACTGGAATGTACAGTGAGTGCTGTGCCATGCAAAACACTTCGAAGGTGGAGTGTTTACGCCTGGGTGGACTAGGACCATGCTTCCAACGCGGCATCGTGAGGCTGAAGAAGCATCCCATGCAGAGGCTTAGACACACTGTATTCAGTCGTCAGTGCACGAAGACGAATTGAGGCATGACTCAACAGCCTGACGAGGAGGCAGCATTAAAATTTCTCGTTTTGGGGGATCATTCATACAGATCCAGTACAAGATATGCCGATTGCATCTCGCATCCACAGATGCCAGGGATAACATCAGGTTAGTCGTCTCACAGCCAATACTCCCTCCATAAGCTCCTCCCCCAAACTGCGGTCCGTCTCAACGAACCAGTCCTAGATGCAGAATCCCTCCGCTGCACATGTCTCAAAATTGATCCTTTCTCACTTCCCCTGCTTGACATCCTCTCCAAGCTTCTTGGCTTCCTCTGCTTTCCTCGACAGAACATCGCCAATCTCCTTCAGCGTTTCCCGCACCAGCTTCTCTGCTTCAGGTCCCTTTTGCTCCGCAACCTCCTGCAGCTGACCCAACTTGTTCCACACCTGCTCGCCGCCTGGTATCGCCTGTAGGTACTGCTCTACCCCTCCACCCGTACTCTTCTGTACCTTGTCTTTCGCCTCGTTCACATACTTCTCTAGGTCCTCTGTCGACCCGCTCTCGACGGCCTCTCTGATCTTGGTGAACAACTCCTTGATGTTTCCTTGCTTGAGGGCGCTGGCATTGCTTTCCAGAAGTTCTTTGACCTTAGGATTCTTGTCCAGCAGGGGTCGAGCTTCATCAAGGCTCTTCTGCCAGGCTTTGTCGCCCAGCTTCTTGACTTGCTCAACTTTCTCTTCCGCGAGCTTCTGCAACTTAGACACCGAGTCGGCGCTTAGCCCGTTCTTGAGAATGTCTCCGACCTGTTTCTTCGTCTCCTCGTAAGCCTTTTTCGCTTCAGGTCCTGTTACGTCGTTCGTCAGTGACAACGCTACATGTTCTTTTCCAGCTGCCTCAAAATGTCTCTCCATATCTTTTCGCCCCCCTGGAGTCAGGACTCTATGAAATAAATGATCAGTAGCTTGTTGACAGAAAATGGCAGTGTCGTATGCATACCACCATATTCCTCACTATACTGCTTCAGCAGCTGGATGTTTTCACCCACGGCTTTCTTAAGTTTGGGATGATTCTCTAGAATATCTTCCGCTGCGTCACCTGCCAGTTCGGCAATCCTCTCCACGTGTTTTTGGAGGATCTCCCAAGCCTTCTGCGCCGTTTTCAGATCCATTCCGCCCTTCTGCCCCACGCTCTTGAGCTCTTCATATGCCTCTCTAACGATTTGGTCCACTTCATCCCCATGCCGTTCGCGAATCTTGTCCAGGTCGTCAAAAGTCGCATTCACAAACCCGCTCGCACCGGGCAGAAAACCAGCGTAGTACGTCGTCACTTGGCGCAGCCAGCGCATCGCCTCGTTGGGACTGGGAGCTTTTTCCTGAAACTGCCGCTTGAACTCCTCCTGCGTTGAGCGCATGTATTCTTGCGCCTCCTTGGCCGTGTTGACCACAGTCTTGGCACCTGAGTACCAGTACCAGGCGTAGCCGAGCAGGAAGGCCGTGGCGCCGCCAGCGATGGCGCCGCTCACGGCACCGCTCGTGGGCGGAGAGACGGAACTGGTAGATTGCCAGCGCAATTGGCGCTTTGGGACTCGTAAGGTGCGCGAGGCGCGAAGAGCGCTTCTTGAAGCGAACATGACGTCGTCACGAAACGGCGAGGAGTGGAAGACAGGCACAAGGGACAGAGTGCACGGGACGAGAAACTGCTAGGAGAATGAATACGAAATCGTGGGAAGGTGAAGAGACCGTGAGCTAACACCTGGGTTTTGATGTAAACAGAACTTCTGTGGCGCCGCGAGAGTGACACCGCAATGACGTCTTTACCAAGCTTTAGAAAATCAAGGGGCGGGCCTCGAATTCGGAATCAGGAAGTGCCAGATTTTGCGGGGAAAGTTGAGCACCGAAATTTTTTCTTTGCCTGCAGCACTTTGAGCTCATCTTGTGAAGCGTCGCGTTCCCGTACATATCTGCGTCCGTTGTTGGATTTTGATGATCGGCAAGATCGATATCTGCAGCGAGCACCAGGGGACGCATCGTGAATCCTAGACAGACCATGAGGGTGTGGAGACATTGATCGCAAGTCCAGGATGAGCAATTGATCTTGGTCTCCAGCATCAGCCAACGGCGCTCCTATAGAAGAAGCATAATTGGTTGTGCGGAGTGAAGTTCTCGATGTACCTCGCACGTGCAGGCTTTGCACGTTCCCTCTTGGCGTTGCTCTACACCAGCAGAGCGAGCTAGTTAACTTTATCTCTTGGAACACATGATGATGTCATCAAGCCATAGATCAGCATGCAACCAGCTCAGCTACGCCGAAGAACGGGCTGTCCTGTGGCGCCTGGTTGGCTTCCCACGCATCGCTCGTACAATAGGAGAGCCGCCCACGGCATTCCGTTTTACCAGCATATGGCGAGCCCCGGTCGGGATCAAGTTTCCACTTAATATGGATCTTTTCTTGCAAGGACTAAGCGTGGAAGCAAGCCTTTTCTCTCGTCATATTAGGATGTTTGCGTGCAGCGTTTCTAGCGTGCATGACCAATCTGTTACGGCGCGGAATCTGGCCTTGGCAGGAAAACAGAAGAACGGATGTCAGGTCATGTGAATGATTACTCATCGAAAGATCGAGAGCAGCAAAAGCTTCTTTGTCGTAGTCAATCGATGATCTTTTTGATTATAGGTAAATTCGTTGCAGAAACCTGCAACTTGGTCCTTTGGCCCAATGGTAAGGCGTCTGACTACGAATCAGGAGATTCTGGGTTCGAGCCCCAGGAGGACCTTCTCCCTTGTCTTTTTTTTTTTTTTGCATTTTTCCCTTCCTCACCAAACTGCCGAGAGGATTTTTTTTTCTCGTCCAAAGAACTCATCTCCGGCCTGAATTTTTATGTGCAAAGTTTTTTTGCGGACTGGATTTCCAGTTCTATGCCACCTGTCCTGACCTTGGTCTAGATCATCCTTGCGAGGACATGACTTCCGTTTTTTAACATCATCTCCTTCGACATACCCCGACGTATGGCCCCATAGAATCACAATGGCCGTGATTTAGGGAGTCCTTGTTCGAGCTTTCCAGCTTACGGTTTACGCCTCTGATCTATGCCTGCCATGGGCGTAACCCATCAAGTCTCTTCGTGTGCTGTTACAAGCTTTACACAGCGTATGCGTTTTGCAGCATCCTATAAACCCTCCCCGGAGCCTCCCAGCGAAGTCTTCAGCTAGCAGATCTGTATGTCCTTGTCCTCGTAGCCCCCGTCCAGTGCCTCGCCTTCCATCACTCCATGCAGGTAGCAGTCTCCAACAATCATATGCTGTCCCAAACTCGCGCTTCGTATGACTAGTGGATACCTTCCTCCTGCAGGCACCATGACCTCGTCGCCAACGTTCACACCGTCTACGCCCCAGCCAAACCGTCCGCTTTGCGATATGAAAAAGCGACGATTGTATCCCCATCGAGCAAACCCTCCAAAGACGGCGTTTGCGGCTGCCCGTAGTCTTGTAGCATCGCTCGCGTTGCCGGACTCCGTATTTGCTTCCTTCCCAGCTGCCACCCAAGCATCGATGACGCTGCGGGGCGTGACGCCCGTTGTCATTGCTTCCATCACTATCTCGAACCCTTCGGCACACTCCTGGCCCGGAATCTCGTTGTCTCGTGTACGATTGCACATGAAGGTGCGCCACAGGTCCTCCTGTTTCCGGGCGTCCTTCTCGCCGTCCGGGAAGCACATCTTGAGCAAGTTCGTAGTCCACGCCTTGCCATTCTTTCGGAACGCCTCGGTGCCCATTTTGTTTTGCATCTCGGGATCGAGAAAGTCCGCCTTGACGTCGGGGTTGCTCGTTTCGATCCGGGGTTCCGTCAGCTTTGAAATGTATGGCTTACGGCTTGGTATATCTCTCATCTCTTCAATAACCTGGATCGTGTCCACGATCATGCCTCGGACGTGGAGAATCCGTCCGTCCTCGCTGATTCGTGCCTGAAGCTGACGATCTTTCGAGGCCTGCGCCCAGAGACCGCGAGTGCTGAAAGGCTCCGTGTCAACCTTACGTGTCCAGTCTGGAACCCACGACGGAAGATCCAACACTGCAGTGGTTGAAGATAGCACACACTGGTAGAGAATATCGACGCCATCTTCATGAAATAGACTGTCGATCGCTAGCTTTCGAAAGATCTCTTCGGCTTTCTGGCCATAGTCAACGTCGACGGCTTGTGGATTGTTCACGAGCGAAAGTATGCCGTAGATCTTGTCTACCGGCAGTGTACTCTTGATCTCGCGTGTTTCTCCCAGCAGCTTCAGCAAGGTAAACTGCGGCTCACGACCGAATTCTATTTTGTCTTGACGCAGCATATTCATCAGGGAGGTTGATTTAACCCCCGGGCATTGAATGAGCGGAACGTCCACTCGAAATTGACGAAGTGCAGATACTATCGCTGCAAACCAGTCCCACCCTACGTTCAGTCCACCTACATGAACGGTGATTGCTTTGGCATTCACGACCTCCTGTACTACCCAGACCCTCTCGAACTATTTCGGGATGTTCGTCAGCAGTTGCAAAATTTGGACAGTTGGACTGAGAAGCATTACCCACGCTCTGCTGAGCAGTTGACTTAGACTTTCCCAGTCCAAGTCGACTATAGACGGATGATTTATGAAATTTGTCTGCACCGAATCTAGACGCTGGGGCGATATACCTCGATGAATGAACAGGTCTTCAAACACCTTGTCGACTGTGACCATAGCATCAAGAGCCCTTGATTCCAAGCCATATTCTTCACCAAGCCACACTCGGACCATGGAAGCGTTTGCGTAGATTTCCCCCATGATTTTTACGTGTTCATTGCGTTCGGAAATATTCTTTTGATCAATGCACAAAGCATCCACCTAGATCCTAAGCGTGCGATCGGCGTGACGGAAGCGTGCGAGTGCCGCGTGCAGCTCCGACCCTATCGCGACTTCTGTCCCGTCGCAGACAATCGTGCCTTGCTTTCCAACATACCAGTCCGGGTGCTTCTCGTACAATCCTGGAACCTTGACTGTGTATCGAGCGGAGCCATTCCCGCCAAGCTCGAAGACCGTGACTGGCTGAGGCCGTTCGCCCGCGTGAGAGCTACTCCAGCAATACGAAAGTGCTTCGTACGGTTGGCGCTCCTGGGAATCGAAAGCAATGTGCTCGATGAAACAAGATAACGGATCGGACTGCTGGCCGGGCAAAAGATTCAACACTCGCGTCTCATGGGGCAGCTTCAATGGCTTATATGCGTACCCTGCCATGAGCTTTCGCGTCTCGTCCGTCCAGACGATGACTGCAGGTTCTAGCTAGATGTTCGAAGGCTATGATACGTGCCGATCGAAGGAGAGGTTGGTTCCTCCGCCAAACGATCTCTCATGGCGGCCTAGCAGGGTTTTGGTGTTTCATGCGTAGACTTGTGGCTGTGCCTGAGCGTGAGGATTATTGAATGACTTGCTACATCTCTTTATAGGATAAAGTGTGATCGGAGAGTTTCATATTTCAAGAACAACAAATGCTGTCCTCGCGAGCCTGTGAGATTATAGTTAGTAAATAGAATTTTGCGAGCTTTGTATTCGGGCAGAGTATGCCCATGATATTAACTTTGGCATAAATCAAATAAATATTATTGACAATTTCACGATTGTCATCGAAGAGCGCTCTGGATAGGTCCCATGCTCGTCCATCACTGTCTAATCTCTATGAAATTCTATAACTATCGTGGGAAAGATTTGGGATAATAAAAGCTGGTGCTCCCTCTTTTTTTTTTTGGAAGATGAATTGATCTACTTGATTTGAGCTTTCTGGGCTTGATCAACCAATGAGGAAACTCAGCACTAACTTACAATTCTCAGTACATTTACCTAATATGAACTAGGGCCCTTATGTAACAAGGCCATGCCCGTAACTTACTCGTGAACTAAGTTAAAAGCGTACTTTATATGATGAAATTTAATTCTCATCGTTACACTTTTGGTAGATTTGTCGCTACATCTTGAACTAAAGCATGTTTTGGTTGTGATGTACGTGTGATGTGCAGCAACGAAGTCCAAAGTTCATTCCGTCTGAACCGTAAAAGTGGCTGGCTCTTAAGATGCATTCCATGTTAGTTTCGCTCGCAAATCGTGGTCCAGGCTTTGGAGAAGCTGAAGACATTCGATGAAGACATTTAATCATCTTATGTTGACTTGGTCTTTGACAATAGGTATAAATAATTTCGGCCGTAGTGTGCGTGCGCATTCTGTGATGCGTGAGGCTGATTGCTACATCCTGTCCTGGAGTGTGGTGGCTTAGCCTTGAAAATGGATGGTGTTTGATCTGTTAACTGGCAGAACGATCATGCAAACCGCTAATGATGATGTGTTATAAAAACGCTGGACAATGATTTATTATCTTTGTTTACGATTTCTCTGATGTGCCTTTGACCTTTGTTTTTGAACATTGCATGCGTGATTTGGCACGAAGGAGGCACGCGATCGTGTGACCTCCTCCTGCGTTACACATTCACACGTATTCGCTGGCGCGTTCGGCGACACTTTTAAACCTAGAAGGTGAAATGAGAGCTAAATTACGGCTTGATGCTTTCAAACTCATTCTGTGCTGCTACACACTCAATGGTTGTACAGCCATCGTCAAAATCATTCTTCCAACAAAGGACACACCTTGTGTGCTAGTATTTCTGCTGCCACTCATCTCCCCCTTTCTGTTCATCTCGTACTTAAATCTAATGTTCAATTTTAGAAATGCAAGGTCTCTTTGGAAGCATTATAAGGCACTTGATTTGGCCCCTTCAGCAATGCTGAACTTGGTGCACTGTGAGACCCGATTCGGGTTTCTAACGGACGTTTGTCTACTTATGCAGTACTAGGTAGGAAATAGCTCTTACCAAGTAAAATTTCTTTCTAGATGGAAAGTAAAGACACGAGCTACATGCCAGGTTCACCAAAGAGCATAGCATGTTCATAAAATCTGTACTACAATTCTCATCTTCAATCTCCACCATTCGACTCCATCTTTGATTTTCTGTAGCTTACGCAACTACGAGATGATATCTCCCAACATTTCTTGGCAAAATTGACGTTGGGCCGAAAAGACAAAATATCTTTCATTTGTCCGATTTCAGGGCGTGTCCGACAGCACAGTGAGCGACGTTAGCAACATCTCATCGAGCAAAGAAGGAGCTTAACCTTCAAAGGCAAGCCATTGCTCTAGTTGGACCCTGCCATCATTTCAAGTTTTCTTTGTAAAGGCTGGACGTAAGCCGCATCATCCGGTGTCGGCCAGATTCATGCAAATGCGCGCCTCGATTTTCATGCAGAGTATGGCAAAGTGTGCTGTTGGAAACTTCAAGTTCGTCAAATTATTGTACATAGACGGTATACTCGTGGTAATTTATCCTTCTAACGGCACATTTACATGGCGCTGTGAGGCAACAGATCGAGGTTCGCATCATCTATGCGATCGGCACATTGATCCGACGGCTGAGCTTCTTCTTGAAAACACATCCTTTTGATAACAATCACGGCTTGATAAGAGACTGTCTCTGACATGTTCGTTTCTTTTCCAATGTTTATATTTACTTGACTACAACTGCTGCTCATCCTATCCACAAATCGAGAAAGACTCTCTTTCAGCAGCGGCATGCATTCTACAACCATCCCGCCGCACTTAAAAGATCGAGTGATTGCGCGGCGGGGAAAAGAACACATATTTGACGATCTGAAAGCCTCGGAAACCGCTCTCGTCGTCGTCGATCTACAGAATGCATTCATGATGCCAGAGGTGTCGCATGCCTATATTGAGCAAGCAGTGACTATTGTGCCGAACGTCAACCGCCTCGCTGATGCGACACGGCTTGCAGGGGGTCAGGTTATATGGATCCAGACAGTGTGTGAACCATTGGATCATTCGTGGTCGGTTTTGGATACGATGAGCTTAGATGAGTGGACTGCAAGGCGTCAGAAGGCATTGGAACGCGGAAGCAAAGGCTGGCAATTATGGGACGGTTTGAACACTCAGCCCGACAAAGACATCTTCATCGAAAAGACCCGCTTCAGTGCCTTTATCCAAGGATCATCCGATCTAGATGCGATATTGAAAGCACGTGGTCTACGCACCTTGTTGATCACAGGCACGGCGACAAATGTCTGTTGCGAGTCTACGGCCAGAGATGCCATGATGTTAAACTACAGGACGGTGATGATCGACGACGGAAACGCCGCAGCGACAGACGAGGAGCACAGCTCTTCGATCAACGCATTCTATCAGATGTTTGGAGACGTGATGTCGACAGATTTTGCTATAGGATGCTTGCAGAATAACACGTAAGGTGTTAACGCTACTACTCGTGGCGGCTTTGACAAAGATCGTGCGTCTTGATATGACCGCCGATCATTGGAAATTTTCTGAAGCCCATAGCTGTGCTTTGGGCCATGCCCAACACCCTCCTGCTTGGAGCTATCTGGAGCGGCAACTTTCATATTCTTGCCGAAAACAGTTTACGTTCTAATCTCACGGTGTTCACGTAACTCTCATTGAGTTCAGAAATGTCCGTAACGCCAAGCAGACGCATCGTGGTCTGAATCTCGTCGCTCAGGACTGGCCGTTGTTAGAGTATGATTGTGGAAGGAACAGGCCGATTCTTACTTACTCTGTATCGCCTTGATAACACCCTCGGTCCCGTACGCGCTCAGTGCAAACATGAATCCACGGCCGAGCCCCACTGCGCGTGCCCCGAGGCAAAGTGCTTTCACAACATCTGATCCTCTCCAAACGCCTCCGTCCAGATATACTTCAACTTTTTTGACAACTTCTGGGCAATATTTTTTGATCTCAAGGAGGGTCTCGAGAGAGCCGGGAGCATAGTCGAGCTGTCTGCCTCCGTGATTGCTCAGATATATTCCATTGATATCGTATTGCGTCGCGTACAGAGCATCTTCCGCCGTTTGAATGCCCTTCAATATGATTGGCTTGTCGCCCCAAATTTCTCGAACCCAAATCAAGTCACTCCATTCGAAATCGGAGCAGTGCAGACCACGTAAAGTGTCGGCCTCTTGGCCTGGTAGCGGAGCAAGTATATTGGAGGGCGATTGCACACCTGCTTCGAGATCCTGTAGTGCTTTGAACTGATCGTCATCATCTCTCTTCCCGATGACTGGACTGTCCACCGTCACAACCAATGCCTTGAAGCCAAGAGATTTTGCCTTCAGGATGAGATCTCTGGCATCTTTCTTCTGTCTAGGAACATAGAGCTGGAACACAGGGGCACTTCCTCGTCTCCCAGGATCGGTCGTCCAAGATGATACTATATCCTCGTGAGCAACCGATGCGTAAGTAGCCACGCATTGGGGAATCGCCATCCGTGTCGCTCCTCGTGCCAGACACCTCTCTCCGTCCGGATGACCCAGCCCTGCCATGGCTGCAGGAGCGATGAATATTGGTAGACTACTGTCCACACCCATGATCTCGCATTTCATTGATACCTTGGATACGTTCCGAAGTACCCTCGGGCGAAATGAAACATTTTTCCATTGTTTGTCGTTGGCACGCAGGGCGCTGAATGTTTCCACTGCACTTTGGAAGTAAACCCTTGCTTTGGGTGTCAATTTTTTCTCAGCTACGATACGCAAGTCCAAAAGCGATTTGCAAGCGGACAGAGGCAAAACTTCAGGCAGCGATGGAGAGGTTTCTGGCCTCTGCTTGAGACTTTCGATGAACGAGCGTTCAATAGCTACGGGTCCAAGATGCCTGTCTGCTTCATAATTAGCCCAATTCGGATTGGACAAAACTTTGCTGACCTTTGGGAATATTCTTTTCTATGGTCCCTGCAGGATGGATGGGCTCATATTCCAGAGTAGCATCCTAAAATCTCTCAGCCTCGCAACCTAATACACTCTTCCGAGTAACTCACCTTACCCGCGTATCGTAAAATAACTCCGGGTCCCCCAGGATGAGCATCTACAAAATCAGTGACATCGTAAACACGACCCGCGATAATGATCCAGCAGGATTCTTTTGAGTTGTGCTTGGCGACATCCGATATTGAAAGCATCTTGTGTTCCTCAGTTTTGCTTGAGAGGGGCATATGAAGGGACAGCGCTTGATCTCAGCATCATAGAATGCTCTAATTCTGTACATAAATTTGGAACAGAATCAATTCGGCAAGATTTGCATGATCTTGGATTTCCGTGCAGAAGGAATAGGATGGTTACAAATCCCGGATATGTCCTGCCCGAGGTCGGGTAGCCCTTGGTTGTGCGGGGTATTGGCTTCAGCGAATGCATTCTTGTAAGTCTTCTAATTATTATCAGGGTTTGACTTGGCTAAAATAAAGGTACTGTGAACAAGTAGAGCGAAGGAGGAATCTGTCTGACCGTGCATGACCACAAATGTAAAAATCTCAGCGAGGACGCTCTTACAAGCCTGAAGCTCGAGTCGGCTATGGCTGGCTGTGCAGAAATGAGTCTGATCGCTTTAAAAGAATAGACATTATCGTCAAGAAAGTTTTCACAACAATTCGATGGCGTGGTATGAATTTGTCGTCCTGGGAGATCTTTAGGACAGCATTGAGAAGTCGTTGTTGTTGGACAGTCACCCAACTTCTCCTTAATGACGGCGTGCCATTGTCATCGAAAGGCTACCGGAGAAGCGTCATAACTCTCTGAAAATCTCCACTCAAATACGGAAAGTCAAAATGATCGTAGATGGCACACTAGCATGCCCCGCAGTCAACACTTCCCCGCCGTTAGAAGCGCATGGTGGACGAGCGATGCGGAATCCTGCCGCATCATTCACCCCTCTGGCTTGTAACACCGGTTTACACAGCAAAAAACACACGTTACGGATCCGAATATGACAGGCAATAGACTTGAAGGGAAGGTCGCCATTGTTACTGGTCAGAACGCTGTGCTTCGCTCTTACAGCAAATCAGTGTTAACGCGATACAGGTGCCGCATCCGGCTTCGGCAGAGCCATAGCAAAACGGTTTGCAGAAGAAGGCTGTAAAGTGATTCTGACGGATCTCAACGGTGACGGTGCATCTGAAGCGGCGAAGAGCTTCAACGTCGGCGACAATGCCATCTCCATGCATATGGATGTGACTCAAGAGCAAGCCTGGACTGACGTGGCGAAGCTCGCGGTCGACAAGTTTGGCCGAATCGACATACTGGTCAACAATGGTACGTGGTATTTCGAACGAACCCGGAAGACGAGTCTGACGTCTCTGAAGCCGGGACGACTTATCCGAACAAGCCAACGCTGAGCGTAACGGCTGCCGAGTTTGACAGAGTGTTCAACGTGAACGTGAAGAGCATCTTTCTAAGTGTGCATGCAGTCGTGCCACAAATGAAGAAACAAGGAGGTGGCAGCATCATAAATATATCTAGCACCGGCTCCGTGCGGCCCCGAGGAGGACTCGTATGGTATAACTCGTCGAAAGGAGCTGTGACCAACGTACGTGACTTATCCTAAAAATAGTACCGTTGATCGAAGCAAAAAGAAGAAACCTGACACCTTTTGAGGCTTCACTCGGTCTGGCCGCAGAGTTCGGTCCGGATCAGATTCGCGTCAATGCAATTGCCCCCTTACTGTCTGGAACGGGTCTTTTCGAGAGCTTTGTGGGACTCCCAGATACCCCTGAAAACCGGCAAAAATTTACCTACAACGTCCCGATGGGCCGTATCAGCGAAGTTGAGGACATTGCGAACGCGGCCTTGTTTTTGGCGAGCGACGAGAGCAAGTTCATCACGGGTGTCAACCTGCAAGTGGACGGCGGGAAATGCATCGCGTAGCGCTACGTAGACGTCGAATGGGACCTGCGGTGGAGGTGTAAGCAAAACGAAATAGCAGGTGCCATCATGGGTTGCATTTTTGTGGCGCTGTCGAGATGTACGGTGAACGTCTACGGTAATGAGATCGCTGCCAGAAATCTAATTCAAGACTTGAAGCGAATGATTAGCAATTGACAGCACGGATCGAGGGAAGTGGAGCAGAAGAGAAAATTAAAAATAAAAAAAGAAAAACACAACCACAAGATGCCAAATCGTAACGTTATGATTTCCGACCTCATGATCTCTGCTATCAAGCCAGAAGATTTGGGGATCCCCAAAATTGAAGCTCGTCATAATGGTTTGTGTTGGCGGCAGGTTTATCGCGAGAGCCAAGGCGTTTGCGAGTGGCAAGGAAATTGCAGGTGAAACAAATGCTAAGAAACGAGCAAGCAAAGCGTGCAGCCGAGTCTTGAGCTGATAAGACCTTGAGAAAATATTGCAAAGGAATTTCTGGACCGTTACATACTGCTTGGATGCGGCCTTGGCCGGGTGCAGCCTTGCATTCTTAGCAGGCCGAGCCGTACTTGTAGAACCGGCATGATTCTTGTGGGTGCTCTGTTGGCATACCAAAGCAGAGATGTGCTCTTCAAGAATCTAGGCGCCTCCACGGTATAGGTGTTCCAAGTATGGAAACGATCTCTGAGCACGAATGTTACACAGTGACAACTTGTGGTACCCGCGCTTGAAGCATCGGTTGATATGATGCGCGGGAAGTTGAAGCCACAGTCGAACCTCACCCCCGGATGCGAGACTGGGGAGTTTCTAAACGCAGTCCGCCGTCATGTTGGGGAAATTGAATTGTTTGTTTCTCGGTAGCTGTGGTTGGTCCATGTATTAGCCACATGTTTCGAACGGCAGGACCACCGTGGGTGAAGCCGTATTACCTAAGGCCCCGGATTGCCGCGGACGGAATACTAACAGAACTCATTGAACAGGACATTAGCATTGATCGAGGGCTCTGCAACGGACCTGTACAGAGCATAGATGGTGGCTCTTGCAGTGGAGCAGGTCGAATTCTCAACGGACTTTGACCCACTCACTATGAATAGCAGTCCCATTGAACAAGGCGCAGCATGATCATCGAGACGATGAAATTTCGCAAGAGATCAACTTTGTGCTCTTGGCACAAGAGATATGTAATTCATTGTTTTTGCGGATCCATTCCGTGAATGTCAATGTCGCCTAAAAGTATCTGCATGGCCCACATATCGTATCTAACGCCGAGCATGTCGATAAACTTAGGTGTCAACCATGCTCGCGTGGTCAAAGAAATAAGCACAGGTCGAGGATGACGTCGTTAGGTGGACACTGCCGCTGTTTGTGTTAGCAACCTGGAAATGAAAAGAGGACCCGAAGAAACACTCCGTCCCGCTGGTGTGTTTTCGACATGTCGTTCTTCGACCGCGTTTGGTAGATCACAAGTGGAGCTGGGTCATTATGCTCGACAGGGGCACAACTCCTTGTGAGCAAAGCGGGCCGATGAAACACTCGATTTGGTCCTGGGCCCTAGCATGACGATGTTAAATTTGGGAAAAACCGCCTCGGGGGAGCGGTTCTGCTGTACGCTTCTCGCTGGAAACCGACGATACAGTAGACGGCCGGCTTGCTCAGGAGCAACGACGACGGAGAGACATACATCTTGGTGATGGTATAGGCGTTGGCAATGTCTTGGCCCGCAACGGCCGATTCCACGCCACCCACATCGTCGTGCATGACCATAGCGTTCTTTACGCCCATGAAACGGTTGCACGGCTGAGGCTTTGGTGTCTCCGCGCTTTTTCACTTGCGGTATGGCCGGCAGAGAAATCGTTCAGGGGCATCAGCTGCACTGCCCTGACTTCTAGACCGTGTAATTGGCCGGCGCACGCAAAAGCACGACGGCGCCACCCACGGTAGGGGACAGCCAGGAACACCAGTAGATCGCATCGTCGCCACCAAACCTTGCGAAACACCATGTTCGCCTAGAGTTCGCCCGTATGGATTGGCTGTTTCAACCAAATGAGGGACAAGACACCAAGCTCGGCTCTGTGCAGCTGCCCGTGGCTCGCCTGGCCCTCTGCCGCAGCATGCTCCCGCCAAGTAGTAGACGACCAGGTAACCCTCCGGTAGTTCAACTCCTAGCATTGCTCACGCCAGACAGTAGTGATCGTCGCAAGTCCAGATCTGTCTCCGATTCTTCGCGGTTCTGCTTCTTTTCCTCTATCTTTGCACTCTGCTCGATCGTTTGTTTAGTCGTGGCGTGTAGTCAGACAGTGTCTGCGTCCGTTCGTTCCTGGGTTTCTGAACCTATCGACCTTCGTTTTTGTGACCGAACTTGGTTGTTTTTTTTATAGATTATACACATTGAGTGCTTCATCGCTTCCTAGACAATCGTAGTCAGCGACTGTTATAACAGCTCTTTTTTATCGGACTCTTTGTTACGACTGGTTCCCCCTTCGACGAAACTCCAAGCCGTCAAAAGCAGCCCGCGTCTGCAGTTAAGGCGGTTCAAAAAGGTCAATATCAAAGGTTAGCCTTGCGCGAACGCGTGTAGTAAAAGAGCAACATAGGCTGATGTCGAAGTAGACGTCAAACTCGTCACTGCAGAAGCCCAAAATTTTCTCGCATTGTTCCGAGCCTGCGCCTGGCCATATCGTTCCATAATTCACTACTCCCGTGACTGTCTGCAACGAGGACCGGCGACAATGAGACTTTGACAATGATGCTGTTACTGGTCAAGGTGCAACAATAGCGTTTCAGCGTCTTCGGCAATTCACATCAGCAGACGAGAATCTTCACACTTCGGTCCCCGAGCTGTGTTTGCGACTCATCCCTTAGTCACGACGAACGAAGCAGCCATATAACTTTCTTGCAAACTCGTCAGATCTTAGGCTATCCTCCTGGGCTTCTTTTCTTTTCCCCAGTGGGGCGCAACTATTCGCATTTGACTGCGCGATTCCTACATCCTTGGTCTCGATACTCGGCGCGCAGGCCGCTGCATTGGTTTCTTTTTCAACATGAACGCAGCATCGTTATCACACGGCGTGGTTGACACGCCGTTGACATTCTTACAGCGGCGACAGGTCGAAGATCCCGCGTACGGTAACCGCACCGGATTCTCAACCCTCTTCCCGTTCTCCGCAGGTCTGCACGGCGTCAACCAGGTGCAGAACTACTTCTTTGCCCATGTGTTGATCGTCATGCTTTGTGCACTGATCCTGATGACCATAGGTCTCCGGCTGACACAGAAGGTGATCAGTACACTCCGTCATCTTACCGTGCTCGGTAACCCCGACAGGCAGGGCTACTGGAAATACAACAAGACGACGTGGTGGCCGCTCCTTAAAAGATACCTGACGTACGCCCCGTTATGGAAGGACAGGCACAACCGCGAAATCTATGTTTCGGAGAACGTATCTTTGGGGTGCATACCATCCAGAGGACATTTTCTGCTCATCGCAATGTACACCATCTCGAACATGGCCTACTGCTTGGTGCTCCCGTACAGCGACGGACACACCATCGTATTGGTAAACTTGCGCGGACGGTCCGGAATGCTTGCAGCGCTCAACATGATTCCTACAATTGTATTTGCGCTCCGAAATAATCCGCTGATTGGCTTTCTAAACACGCCATACGATACCTTCAACCTCTTTCATCGTTGGCTAGGCCGAATTGTAGTGGTCGAGGGTGTAATGCATACGGTGGCCTGGATTGTCGTCACACACAAGCAAGGGTCCTGGGCTGCGGTTAAAATGGGTATCACGGATGGGCCGCACGCGGTCAGCTATATGGCCGGAATGGTAGCCGTCGTTGCTGCACTGATCCTCCTTGTTCAGTCTTTGTCACCACTACGACACGCATTCTACGAGACTTTCCTAAACGTACACAAGCTCATGGTCATCACTTTCCTGGTCGGTGTGTACGTACACTTGAAGTGGGACAACCTACCACAAATTCCCTGGGCTGTCGCCGTAATGCTGTTTTATGGCTTGGAGTACATTGTGAGGGTGTATCGAATAGTCTATCACAACTATTCTCGCAGATACGGCTGGACAGAGATCGAGGCCGAGGCGCTTGAAGCGGAGGCTACCCGTCTCACCTTCAAATTGCCTCGTCCATGGCACCCAAAGCCAGGTTCACACGTGCATGTCTACATCCCGACGTTGTCGTGGCTATCTTCGCACCCGTTCTCTGTCGCGTGGAACGACGTGCATTACGTCTCGAGAGGTCGCGCCGGAAACTCGCTTCCTATCACGGAGAAGGAAGACTTTGACTTCGATCGCAAGACTGAGCTGGCAGGGACCGTCTCCCTCATCGTCCGTGCTCGTGCAGGTTTCACCCGTAAGTTGTGGGAGAAGGCCAAGGCGCAACCTGACAGAAAGTGGCGGACGCGGGGTGCACTGGAAGGTCCATATGGTGGCCACGATTCACTACGTTCCTATGGCACCCTGGTTCTCTTTGCGGGCGGCGTCGGAATCACACACCAGGTCCAGTACGTGAAGGACTTGGTGCAGGGCTATCACGAGAACACATGCGCTGCCCGCAAAGTTGTGCTCATCTGGTCGGTTCCCAACACAGAAGCTCTCGAATGGGTGCGCCCCTGGATGGACGAGATCTTGAAGATGCCCGGCAGGAAGGATATTCTTACCATCAAACTGTTCATCACGAAACCTCGCGCGCGCCACGAGACCCAGACTCGCACGGGCTCGATATCGACATTTCCTGGCCGTTGCAATCCGCAAACCGTGCTCGACCAGGAGATCCGCGAACGAACGGGTGCAATGGCCGTCACCGTCTGCGGCCCGGGTGCGTTCGGTGATGCTGTGAGGAAGGCAGTCCGCAAGCGAGTACAGGTTGGCGTGATTGACTTCATAGAAGAAGCTTTCAGCTACTAGTCGTTGTCTTTTCTTCTTGCTGCAGAAAGCGAATTCCAAGCAAACATGCATTAGCAATCAATTTGAGCAAAATCTCTTACAAGCCACGCGTTTAAGCAAGTAAACTTAAAAATGTGTGCGCTGTTTCGTGTTGATAATGTATATAGTCGAGGGAGCAATGGAAAATAAAGCGCCAAGCTTCTCGCAAAGCGCTTTTATTGCACATTTGATCTGGCTTTGTCACAAGAACAACGCATTTCGCGCCCCTTTTCTTTGAAATTCGTAAGCTTTTGCTCCTTGAGCAATACTAGGTTGTCTCTTTCACAATACAAGTTCGCTGCAGAATGGATCCCGAATGTTCACAATCAAGGGCAATCAATGAATCGTGAGCTCATTTCAGTTCTAGTCACGTGCGGGTGCGGATATATCGTATCGCAAACTCCGTCATCTATGCAAATGATTCAATGTAGAATAGGTTTGTTTCAGCATAGAGGCAGCGAGTCGGGCTTAGGAAAGGAATGCAAGAAATTTCCGCAACGGAAGAAGTGGAGTTTGCAGTCCTATACGAGCAAGCGAAGCAAATGCTACCATAATCGTATATGTATTTATACGTGCATCTAGAGTACGAACGGCCGATGTATATGTTAGATAGTTCGTCGCTTTTTCATCTTAGACGTCAAATTCGCAATGTCGACATTTGAAAATAAAGCAGCCTGGTTGAACGCGAAAGGGAAGGAACTCCAAATTATGGAAGCCCCGATGCCTAAGCCAAAAGCCGGTGAGATCGTTGTAAAAGTTCATGCGACAGCAATTAACCCTGCCGATTTTGCTGTCCAGAAGTTAGGGATTATTGTCAAAGAATACCCAGTTGTGACAGGGTGTGACTTTGCGGGGATCGTCACTGCCGTAGGAGACAAAGCAAACGATGAAGAAGACCAAGGAATAACAGTGGGAGATAGGGTGGCTGGCGTGTGTTTTGAAACCAATGCGGTAGGCCAAGGTAGTTTCCAGCTGTATGCGCTGGCCGACGCCAGATCGTGTGCCAGACTGCCTGATGCAATTGAGTTTAGCGACGCTTGTGTTCTCCCGTTGGGCTTCGCTACGGCGGCGGCAGCACTATTCGAGAAGTACAGTCTGGGGCTGGAGCTTCCTGGTCTCAAAGAGCGCACCACCAAAAGTCCACAAACCGAGAAAGCGATTGTAATCTACGGCGCTAGCTCTAGTGTTGGCTCCTGCGCTGTGCAGTTGTGTAAAGCTGCAGGCTTGGTGGTTGTAGCTACTGCGAGCAAACAAAATATAGGATACTGCACGAACTTGGGTGCAGATTATGTTTTTGACCACCGAAGCGAGAGCGTGGTCGAGGATGTAGTCGCTGCACTGAAAGAGAAGGAAGTCGTTGGTGTCTTCGACGCTGTATACTACCCAGATACGTTGATCAAGTGCGGAAAGATTGTAGAGAAACTCAAGGCAAGGAAGTTTGTTGCCACTGTGCTACCTCCAGGTTTCGAGCTGCCTATGGATAGACCGGCTGATGTGGAATACGGTTTTAGTGCGTTCCCTCGAACCTAAGCACAGTTGATGCGAAGACATGACGCGGGATAAGAGGCTAATCAATCCACAGCTGGTTGTAATACCATAATTAACAATGAGATTGGCCGGTATCTTTTCGGCCACTGGATCAAGGCTGCGTTGGAAGACGGGACTTTAAAATGTTTACCTCCAAAACAAGTGATCGGAAAAGGGCTGGAATCCATTCAGGCGGCGATAGACGCTTACGGAAACGGCGTGAGCGCAAAGAAGTTGGTAGTTGAATACTATTAGCTATCTGGAACCTGACAGCCAGGCTCTCCAAAGTCATGCATATAATTTTCCAAACGGATCATCAATTTTGGTCTCGTTTTGGGAGGGGATTGGGGCAGCCAATCCATCCGATTCTACTTCCAAGGGGTACCAGGAATCAAACATATCGTAAGGAGAGAATAGAATAAGCTAGAAAAGAACTGCAGAGATTGTGCTAGTTGGCTGTTCATCGACGGAACGCACTCATTCCGGGTGGCATGACATGTGTAGTGAGGTTGACGATCGCTCGGCGAGCGAAAAGGGCTCGAAGGGGAAATATCACGAGCTCCGATCCCGATCGAGTTTAGCGCAGAGTTGGACCCCTAAAGGCTTTGTAAGTTAGCATCCGGACGCCGAGCGACTCCTGCCTGGAATGCAATTTTGTTAAAAAGAATCAATCTCGTACCGTATCGCCCCTTCTTTCGCCTTGTTTCCTGTCCGCTTCGGCCGCTGCTTCTTCTCACTCCTTTGTTTCTTGTGCGACTGAACCTTTCTTGCTCCTTACGATCCCGCAAGATCCGCCACTCGAGCTGCCTCGCGCACGCGCAATTCGCGCTCGGAATAGGACGTTATTATGTCGCCGCCTACGACGCCGCCGCCTACGATACTCCTCGCCGATGTGCGTGCGAGAAACACGGCAAAATCGTGCTACGTGACCATAGGCCCCAAGGTGTACGATGTCACCAACTTTTTGGACGACCACCCCGGTGGAGGGGATCTGATTCTGGAACACGGCGGCAGCGATGTCAAGGAGATCATGGCGGATCAGGTGTCTCATTTCCACTCGGAAGCCGCATATGAAATACTCGAGGAGTGTTTCGTCGGCTATTTGGCGGATGAGAAGGTTGTGGATGTTGCAACAGAGTCTAGCAAACCGGGAGACGTTGTTCCTTTGCCCCCGACAGCAAATGGCAAGAAAATGTTGGCAAATGGCTCTGCAAACGGCTCTGCGAACGGCTCTTCGAATGGTCCTGCAAATGGAAAACCGGTTTATGCGGCCACAGGCATGTCTTCTGAGGAAGATCTATCCAAGGAAACGGATTACAATGCAGACTACAAGCAGCATAAGTTTCTGGATCTGAACAAGCCCCTCCTTATGCAAGTTTTCAACGGAGGATTCAAGAAGGATTTCTACCTTGAGCAAGTGCATCGCCCGAGACACTACAAGGGAGGAGCGAGTGCACCGCTCTTTGGAAACTTCTTGGAGCCTCTCAGCTTAACGCCTTGGTGGGTTGTTCCCACCGTGTGGCTGCCACCCGTGATCTACGGCACCGTTCTGGCTTCGACACAGCTGGGCCTGTGGACCGTCGGCTATTGGATCTTCGGTGTATGCTTCTGGACAATAACCGAGTATGGATTGCATCGGTTTCTGTTTCACATTGACGAGTACGTGGCCCCCCCCCCCCCCCCCCCCCTTTATGCCCTTCTTCCATCTGCCCCACACGCTAACGCGTCACCTCAGCCTCATGCCAGACAACCGTTACTGCATAACTCTGCACTTCCTCCTCCATGGAATCCATCATTATCTCCCTATGGATCGCTACCGCCTTGTCATGCCACCCGCCCTCTTTCTGGTCCTCGCAACGCCTTTTTGGCACCTCGCCCACGCAGTCTTCTTTTACAACTGGTATGCCGCAGTTGCAGCGTACTGCGGCGGCATCTTCGGCTACATCTGCTACGACCTTACACACTACTTCCTTCACCACAAGAAGCTGCCTGCATATTGGCAGCGTCTGAAGAAGTACCATCTTATGCATCACTTCGCCGACTATCAGCTGGGCTTCGGGGTCACGTCCAGCTTTTGGGATCGCGTCTTCGGCACGGAACTAGTCATTCCGCAGCCAAAGGTTGTGAAGACGGCATAAGGGGATGACATTTTTTTTTCCAAAGTCTGCGTAAATGATGCTTGTAGGCGATGGTCGTGTTTGATTTGGACTTTAGGTAGTCGGAGTTTGTACACAAATGCAAACGGAGGCGTCCAGGTTCGATTCGATCTTCAATCAAAAATGACGATTCAGATATAGTAATACTAATTAATGAAAGAGCATGTCCACTCTTCTCCGATCAGGAAAGGATAACGTCTTCAAACCCCCTCGTCTACCCATATGCCTCTTTCCTTTCCTGAACTATAGATATGGCGCACTCCATCGACGCGCCAGCCGTAACATCTTATTTTTTTTTCTCCCTATTGGATTCATTCCTCTCCGTAGCCAAGACTAGCTAACATCTCTGTTGATATTCTGATCACGTCTTGCGACATTGAACAAGAGTTAGGGACGAGGGCGACCCAGGTGATCGATTTGCAGATAGCGATCGTAACCACGGACGTTGTCATGGCCGTTCGACGCATGCTGCGCCTGCATGCTCGCGTAGCTGTTTTGCAACTCTCGCACGCCGTCCTCCCCCACGAGCATGCCGACGCTCGCGCGTACAAAATTCGGCGCCGTCGGTGCCCCCGCGAGCTCCAGGGCACGGCTGCGGATGCTGTCGAGCATGCCAAAAACCGGGGGGAAGCCGCCGTCGGCGAGGCCCTGCGCCCGCGGCGGTCGACGCGCGCTTGACGTCGGCGCTTGACCCGAGCCGGACCCGCTGCCGGGGCTCGTCGCGTGTGCTCCGCCCGCCGTCTCCAGCGGCGGCGGCCTTGTCTCGTGAAGCGCGTGCTCGTTGTCCGCGGACAAATACAAGGCCGGGTTTGACGGCATGGAGCGCGCGCCGGTGCCCGTGCGGCGCGCGTGAGCGCGAGCAGAGCCGCTTCGCGAACGAGCCATCCCTTGCTGATCCAGCCGCGCGAAGGCCGCTCTGGCGTGGCCGGCGCCGGCGTCAAAGATCTGCTCCGGCAAGGTATCGTAGCCGTGCGAGACGACGTCCTGCGCGGCGACGTTGACGCCGAAAACGTTGAGCAGGCCGTGGTGCGCCACGTCATGCCCGCGCGCTTCGCTGAACGGCCAGCCCGCTCGATCATGACGGTGCGCTGCGGCAGAGGAGCCTCGGTCTCCGGCGTGGACGCGTCTCAGGTCCATCACGACGTCGCGCGGCAGCTCTGTGCGGCACATCGGGCAGGTTTGACGCTCCAAGACGTTGCGTGCCAGGCATCGCAGTCCGAAAAAGTGGCCGCAAGGAAGGTATATCCCCGCTTCTATCGAGTTGTCTTCTCGCGGCTGTCCTATGATGTTCGTGCATATGCTGCATTCGGCTCCTTCTGATTTTGTCCGGATGATTTTAGCTGGAATCGACATCTTCGCTTGTTTTAGTATTTAGTGTGCGGTTTTATTTCCCGAAGAAGATCCGTTCTGTGTGTTCGCCGCTCATCTCTATCTCTCTCTCTCTCTCTCGTTCTGTATTTATGTTGTCCGACGAATGTTACCGGAGGAAAATCCAAGCAAAATATATGTGAATTGAACCGCTTCACGAGAAAATAGCTGATCTCGCCGCAATGAGCAGAAAAGTTACCACAGAATTTATTCTCTGTTCGAATTTCAGTGACTCACCGACGGGTCGTCTTCACGGCAAGAACAGGTCGGGTAACCTGGCGGACCAATCAGGGGCTTTACGCCACAAAGATCACGGAAACAAAACAAGCGCTGAAGAAAAAGAAAAGAAAAGAAAGGAAAAAAAGAAAACCTGAAAACTGTAAAGCTACGGCCGAAATCACATTTCAGATCTCTGGTTTCAAAGAACTACGTTTCACTTTGTCTAGCTGTCATCATCGCCGCATGGCTAGTCTCGCCGCCGTGACTGCTCCGACGCCAGGAACGCTTCGAGCTACCTACCACGAGCGCCGCGACTTGATTTTCCTGGCGGCTCTCGACGGAACGAGAATACTTGCACCAGATGGGGAAAAAAAAGGGACGACAAGTCCACAAAGACAGGAGAACTGCTCGTGTTAACCTGAGCATGCTACGGTCCACAGCGCAGAGCGCAGACGGACATGAAAACTTTCTTGACTCGGCAAACAGTATTTCGCCAATGGAAAGCACTATTGTCCGCGTGGGATGCATGTAATGCGCGTTTCGCGCCTCCGGAACAGCAACATCTTCTCAACCTTCCTCTGGACAGGGGGAAGCCGAAGAAACGAGTAATAAAGAACAGCACACAAACAGGGCAAATGGAATCTACGACGGCTTACTTTGATCAGTCAGCAAATTTCGGGCGATAAGCGGCAAAAGCACGAAGAAATGCTCAGGTCTGTCTCGAGATGGGGCAGAAATCGGTTCAGAACATGGTTTTGATACCGCCTGACGACGCATCTACCTTGCTCTAATGCCCGCCTTTCTGCGTTGCCCGACGCGGAGGGGGGAAAGCCTTGCGGAGGCTGTCGGCATTGCACGGCCGTCTATGCGGAAGCTGGTATATCGGCTCTAATCTCCAACGGACTTGTGACTCGGTCCTTTCGGCGTGCCAGCCTGTGGAAATTTTTTTTTTCGCCCTTTTAGTATTGCGAGGTGCAACCCTCTGGTTGACGACATCGCCACGGTTTCGCCACGACTTCCGTATCTTGTCTCACGTCGTATAACAGTTGAATCGCGACCTCGTCATTTGCCCTTCTTCTTGTCCTTCTTCTTGCTCCCCCCGCTGGGCGTCAGCGAGCCCGAGCCTCCGGGAGAACCGCCCTGCATCTCAGCCATCATGTCCTTGAGCAGATTCTCGCTGACGCCTCCGCCCGTGACCGCGGGGCTATGTAGAGGCAGGATCGTGTTCAGCTTCCAGCCCCGCGGCGCGCTCGGCGGCGGAGGCGGCTCTTCCGGCAGAGGCATTCCTCGAATCGGCAGCTTGAACGGCGTTTCTGGCGTGGTCGGGTGTGCCTGCAGGTACTTTGCAACAAGGATATAAAGGTGGTGTTCTACATCACACGCATAGACACGTCAGCACGCGGGCGCTCACCCCGCCCTTCGAGAAGGCCAGACGTACTGTTCTTGATGTTGGGCCGCTTGAGGTTCCCATCCTGATCCCGCAGCTCTGCTTTCACCCGCCCCGGGTTCGACCAGTCTTTCGGATGCGTCTTGCCGGCATCGAAGTAGACCCTCAGACCTGCCTGGGCAACTGCGTCTGCGATCGTTCTGGCAAGGGGGTTCTTGACAGCCAGCTGGCTGCCCACCCGTCGTCCCTCCTGGCGCGTCTTGTTCGCATCGAAGTAGACAGGGTACAGGCACACCCAGCGCTTGGCAGTCGCAGCATCGAAGTTGGGCGTCCGCGGCGCAGATGCCTCCGTCGTGGGCACGACGGAGGGGTTTAGGATGGAGGGATGGCGCTGTGAGGGGGCAGGGGCGGGTACGACGGTGGAGATGTCGTCGATATCCGGATCCGAGTCCGAGTCGGAAATCTCTTCCACGCGGGCGTGCGACATGGCAGCGTTGTGTTGCCGGCTGGGGGTGGGAGCAGGCTGTGAATTTTCGACGATGCTAGCAACCGCCGTGCGCAGGACTTGGGATCATCTCCAACGGGGCGAAAAATGGTTTAGTGGACCTTTGACGACGTGGCGGGCCGAGAGCCGTAAAGCGGACTCCGGAGGGCTGAGTTGGCTGTACGCACGAGATGTCCTGTCGTGCTCCGTACGACGTTCTCCTTTGCTGCTCCTTCGTCCTCCCCCCGAGTGGTATACGAGGCCACAGGGGCGTGCGGAGCGGTGAGACGGGCCCGCAATCACAATTGCTGATTACCGCAGCAATGCCAGTCAATAATAGAATCGTCATCATCGTCATCATCGGCATCGTCATAATCTTACTCATAGTGCCCTCTGTACGGAGTCGACCATTTGCCCACCAGTCCTTGCGCCCGGCCCCTTCTCTCTCTCCCCCCACCCAATAGTCTGCTTGTCCTCTGCCAAAACCGTGCGTTGGGGACTATTTCATTGCTGTCCAGCACACCATCTCGCACAACCGCCCAATTTCCATCGCCTGTCCGTCATCTCAGCAAATCAACCTTCCGCCTCTCCTGATCGACGTGCAGAAGACCTGATCTCCGCAAGCGACCTATCCCACGCTGGCCTCCCCCTCAGAGCCAGGCCGTGCTGGAACGACTCGACTCTTCTCTTCTCTTGGGAGGCGTCGAACTCGCCAAGCTACCCCTGAGCGACCAGGCCCAATCCGGATCGCGCGTGCAGATCACTGCGGCGATAGTCCACCACGAGGCTGACGCCATTTCCCCCCCTTCTGGACAAATCTCACGCTGTCGCGCCGGAAAACGGTCGATGGCGCGCGAGAAATTGTCAATTCCTGGACGACCACGGGGGCCGTGGCCGCCAAAAGCAAAGCCTTCCCGCAGGCACATGCGACCCCTCCTCCATGAACGCCTCCGTCAAAGCCCAGACCGGGGCCGTATCAAATGAGAGAGTTATGTGGGACGGCCGTTGATATCGTTCCTTTTTGGCCAACCCGCGTGCGTACCTGTGCCTGTAGATCATGGCTGTTCGGTTCGATAAAAAGATCCGTCACTTTGCGCCTTTCAGCATGTGCATGCCGTTCTTTTCGTTGCTCTCCTGTCGCTGCCACCGTTGCCCACGAGGGAAGGAAAAAAAAAAATTTCCTGTCCGTCTCGCGACGTTCTCCAGACGGTGCTTCACGTCCTTGACCGCCGCTTGTCGCTATGAGCACGCGAGCGCACGCAAACTCACTGCTTCTCGCCTTGCTCTGAGGTTCCTTTGCAATTCCGCTCGCGCGCTCCGTGTAGCACGCCGTTCCAGCTTTGCGTCTCCATCCGAACACAGGAAGGAGACATGTCTTCCAGCAGTCCCCTTCTCTCCGCAACCGAGGCCGATCCTTTCCTCGACGCCGAAAAACTGAGCCACGCGCCCATACGGGCGAAGACGGCGGCCCGCTCCCTCCTTCTGCACTGTCTGCACCTCCGCCCGCTCCGTCTGGGTTCGTCCTGCTTCGCCGTCTTGCTCCCGTCCTTCGCCCAGCGCAACAGGCCCCAGACGCCGCCCACGTCGACGTCATGGCTCGACGGCATGCGCGGCTGGGCCAGCTTCTTCGTCTACTTCCGCCACTTCTCGAGCGCGACGCACCCCAACCTTTTGTACGGCTACGGCGCCAACCGCTTGAACATGTGGATCGTCCAGCTTCCCTTTCTGAGGCTGATCGTGGCCGGCCCGGCCATGGTCAGCCTGTTCTTCATCGTCTCCGGATACTCGCTCAGCTGGGCCCCGCTCAAGGCTCTACACGCGAGGGAGGGGGGCGGCGCTGAGGCGGCGCTGCTCCGACTGAGCTCCGCGACCTTCAGACGGGCCGCACGCCTCTTTCTCCCCGCCGTCGTGAGCTCGTTCTTGATCATGTGGTGCGTCTTGTTCGGGCTCTACGATCGCGGCCAGCTGGCGTTTACCGTCAAGGACATGCCCGGCTATCGGGAACCGCAGCCTCCGCTCCTTCGCACGCTTCCGTGGCACGTGCAGTTCAAGGACTGGATGCGCGCCACGTGGGCCTTCTTGAACGTCTGGGCGCCGTCGAAGCACACGTACGACGTGCATCTGTGGACGCTGTCGGTCGAGTTCCGATGCTCGATCGTGCTGTTCGCCGCCTTGGTCGCCTTCGTGCGCTGTAGGCCTTTGGTCAGGGCCGTACTGCTCTTCGCCATGGTCGTGTACTGCCACTACTCAGACTACTGGCAGGGCTGGCTCTTCTTCGCCGGCTCGTTCCTGGCCCAGCTCAAATTCATCCAAGAAGACGGCAGAGCCGCGGCGTCGGCAGCTTCGCCTGGCGCGGCCCTGCTGCCCACCGCCGGCGCGGTGGCGGTCGAGAACCATGTCATCTCGCTGCAAGAAAAGCCGCTCCCGCAGCCGCAGCCGACGCTCTCGACCGCGTTCCAGCGCCTGTCCTGGCCGGACGTGCTCCGCGTCCTCTGCTTCACCCTGGGCCTGTTCCTGCTCTCCGCACCGGACTACAACTTCTCCCACACGGCGCCGGGCTACATCTGGCTCTCCCAGACCCTGCCGCCGCCGACCTGGCCGGAGAACTGGCGCATCCTTCACTGCCTGGGCTCCTTCTTTGCCGTGTACGCCGTCTCGTCGACCAACACGCACCTGCTGCGCTGGCTGTTCAGCAACGCCCTCAGTCGGTACCTCGGCCGCATTTCTTACGCGCTTTACCTCGTCCACGGGCCTGTCGTGCACATGCTGGGCTTCTGGCTCGTGCCCTGGTTCTGGGATCTGCTCGGGGCGCGGGATCCGGCCACGGGGGCTATCAAGAGCATGTCTGGCAAGGAGGCCGGCTTCGCGGCCGCGTTTCTCATCGTCACTGCCGTCGTCGTGTGGGCTGCCGACGTGTTTTGGAGATGTGTGGATGCGCGGTGCGTGCAGCTCGCAAAATGGGTCGAGGCGAACCTGGCGGCTCTATGATACGAAAATGGTTTTTGTTTTCTTTTTCCGTTTTCACTTTCTCTCTTGGGAAAATAATGTATGACTACGATGCATAGCGAAGGTGTTTTAAGGAGAGCCGGTTTAATACTGCGGCCACGCTTAGAGACTCGATAGCTACTTCACTCGCTCCCGTCTCTGCTGTGGGAGCCTCGTGAGTTTCTTTCCGCGAACTACGCTGATTTGAAGTTTCGAATTGATCGTTTTGAACGGACCCGCGATGCATTTGTCCGCATCTCTTCTAGTCCTCGTGTCAACGACGACCGGCAAAGGCAGCCTCAGCCTCGCCGTGGTCGGGATGTCGTCAGGTTGCGGCCAATCATTTGGCTTTTCGGATGTTTGCCTCGCAAAATCCGTCCGAGCGCCGTCGAACGTGCGAGTCTGGCTAAATGCACGAAAAGATGCCACGAGCCACGGCAGGCGTCTCGTCGTGTGTGCTTTATCATGGTCTGAAGGAGAAAATAGACTGGTACGCCGAAATGCTTGCTGGAGAGCACGCAGTCGTAGTAGCTACACAAAGCTTGCAACGCCAAAAAGGTCCATTACATGTGCAGGGTCCAAATTTTGACGAGGTCCTCCAGCGTGTGCGATGAACGTATCCCCAATGATGAATAAACAGGAGGTAAAAGTGTTTCATTCTATCTACCTGGAGTCGCAAGTCGGATTCTCGCTCTTTGCGTCTGTAATCTGTCAAACTTTATTTGTAAGGTTTGGTCTATCATATTCGTCAATTCATTTCTGAACCAGCCTCCGCTGCCGCCGATAATGCAACGCCATAAATTCGAATGCCCCGGGGGTATAATTCTCTCGTTTTATGTCGGTGCGTGTTTTTTTGTGCTGTTCATAAAAGCAAAAGACAACCTGTCTGCATTGTCAGAGTTCCATCCAGCCCATGCTGCAGACTCGGCTCTGTACATGTTCCTCTCCTTCCTTCCTTTTTTTTATAATTTGTTTTTCCACCAGTCGGAGTGTACGGTGTTCACGTCAGGCTTGTCTTCGGACCGTCGCCTTTGACCTCAACCTTTCGCCACAGCCCGACGTGATCAATACCTTCCTCGACCCAAGTTCCCATGCTCTCGTCCTTAACGAATCCGAAACCCTCCCACAGCTTCTGCACCTGAACCTGCGCATGCACAAGAATCAGACCGCGCCATGGCATCCACTCCGGCCTGCCCTCCTGCTTAGCCGCCTCGACTTGGGCAGGCGAAGGCCGGGGAAGAATGTCATCCGCATGCTCTTTCGCCCAGTTGATCGCCGCGTTGATGAGCAGCCTGCTCAGTCCCAGTCCACGGTACGCGGACAGGGTGGCTAGGCGGCCCAGCTTGACGTACGGCTCCCGTGGCTCCTCCAAGTGCGCACCGCCCTCCACGACGTGGGGTGGATGTGGCGGGGGGACAAGCCTGATCGTTCCCACAGGCACCTTTGTCGCCGTGCTCTCGCTTCTGCGGCGTTCGTCGCTCGCACTGCCGCTGTTGATTGGGCCCATGGTAGTGGGGCTTGCGGAGGATGTGCTGCCCACGCTCGCGTACACGACCCAGTGAAACGAGCGGGGGTCGTCCTCGTCGAGCTCGTTGGCAAGCGGCACGCCCTGCTCCTTGACAAACACTTCCTCGCGAACCTGCATCGCTTCGACGAAGACGGGCGGGACGCTGGCTGGCTGACGGGACGGAGGCAGTGAGCGGTCGTAGTCGCGGAGGGAGGCTCCCGGTGGAGGTTGAAAGCTGACGAACTGCGTGGCCATGGTGGAGAGGACGACGGTGATGACGATGCTCTTTGCTTCGAAGGTCTTGCAGGCTCGTCTCGTGCGGTCTATCAGCGCCTGTGCGTGGCCGGACTTGAGAAGAGAAGCAGGCGGAAAGCTGGATTTATATTCGGCCGCCGTGTGACGAGCTGGAGCCAGACCAGGTGCAACGGGCGTTTGCCAAGGCCAGCGTTTGCTCGCTTGGCTGGAGCAGAAGATCTGAGCAGAAAACAAGAAGAGAAACGCGGCAAACGCAGGCGGTGGATACGGTGAAGAAGACGGCTGTCCGGCCTGACGGTTTTTTTTTCTACACGCTCTCCCAATTTTTGCGAGGGGACCTGCAGCGGCGCCCCCCCGCTGATGGCGCCCCCAGCGTCCAGGCGGGATCGCCATCCGCCCGGCCAATGGAAACCGCGACTCGCCCTCAGCGGCGCCTGCCTTGCACGCTACGTCACAAGGCTGGCAGGCGGTATTCCATCCCTTCTTGTCTACGCCCTCCCACCGTCCTGCAAGCCCGTTCTTCCGTCCCATGCGTTCAATAGCTCGCAAAGATCATGCATACTCCGTAGTATTGGTAGTATTGCGTGGCATGGCATGCATCTCTGTACATACGTCTCGGAGGACTGGCTGCGCACGCCAGCTCTGCCGCTGTCCCTGACGTCATTTCCATGCCAACCCACCACGGTTGCAGCATGTCGATAGGACTCTCCCGCCGATTTCTGGCTGGTACGCGCTCGGCATTAGCCTGACCCCTCCTCTCGAGAGCGATGAGATAGGACGGGAGTTTCGCAGTCGAGTGACGACGTAGCGTGAGCTGCCATGTTAGAACGGGACACAGCAACGTCGTCTCGAGGCGTGGCTTCATTCGCGAGACGGCCACCGACGGCATGTCCATTGAGTGGTCTCATTTGACGTGCTACACAAGATCTGCTTTGTTCCTGCCATCCCGAGAGTGCACCTGTATCTGAGAAAACTGCACCTTTTCAGAAAACGAAGCCTCTCGTTAGGCTTGCACAGATGACAGATTCTCTTGCCGCCTGACTCACCATTGTCACGTGATTTCTATGTAGCAACGAGACAACCATTGCAATCGGCAACCCAAGCGCAATCCTGCCCGGGCGGGTGATCTAGCAGATCTGGTACAGTTCACTCCTGGTGCCGGGATGAACAAGCGCGCTCTATCCGAAGGCTTGCGCGACATTTCCTGTCCGAGTAGACGCCGCTTGGTGACGCCAGACTACGCCAGAAGAAGCGCATCCGAGCAGTAGTCAACGCGGCCATGTAGTACAACGTACGCGAGATGTGTTAACGCTACCCGCCAAGTTGCATGGACTGAGGAGATATCAGCCCGTGCAGTCCATGTTGGTGATTGTGCTGCAGATGGACGAACGGCCATTGATCCTTGCTGGATGAGACAAGCCATTCTTCTGCCGTTGCCCCCAATCCGGAAGTGCGGAAGACAATGCTCAGATCGAGCTAGAGAACGGCTGAGTCATCGCTTTGGAGGTGTCAGCTGGTCGGTCAGAGGCCGACTCTCCAGGATGCTGGGACTTTGACAGAGAATACTCTATGGTGTCATTCCGAGACTGCTGCGTGCCGTACGTTTGATATCTTCGAGCAGGGCTGATGTCGAAGCGGAATCCCACCCTCGGCGCGCAGATCGCGGATGAAATTCTAACTGTGGAAAGCCAGAACGGCTGGTCAAGCACAGAAATGCTTTGCAGCACGGTGCAGCATGGCGTGTCTGGGTTGTGGTTGAATTGAAATGGCTTTTCGACGATACGCCATCGCAGAAGGGAGTCAAGACGTGCGGCCCACCCGGCGGGGAGACGTCCACGGAGGCCTGAGGAAGACGACGACAAGCATCAACTCGGCAAAGCTTAGGAACACACGGCGAAAGCGTGTTTGCCGGCGGCTGAAGAACAGACGGGGCCACACGCCTAAGAACGCGTCGTGTGCGGCATCGACCTCAGCCGAGCGGTAGACGGTGTCCTTCGCATCCGCAGGCGGAAGCGAGAGCGGAAGCAGCAGCAGGCAGCGCGGGGCCGACATCGGCAGCGCACGACTTTTCGTGGTGAACCTGCATAAGTCAAACCCCACAAAAGCCCAGGGCAGACGGAGGCAGCGCCAGGCCCAGGGAATGAGATCAGCGGCTACAGGCGGGGCAAAAGTTTTTTGACGAGTCCTTGTACGGTCGTCGTTCGAGTCACACCTTTTACAAACCCGCAATTTCGCCCCCCATATTTTCTCGCTTCCCAGCGATTGCTCTTGATGCCTGAATAGCTATCTTCTTCGTGTCTCGTCAAGTGCTACATCAGACTTCCGGCCCCCAGTCACCATGCCGATGCTCAAGGACCCCTCGGTCAAGTACAAGAAATTCCAGCCTCTGCATCTGCCGGACAGGCAATGGCCCTCGAAAACTCTCTCCGCCCCCCCAAGATGGCTGTCGACTGATCTGCGTGATGGCAACCAGAGTCTGGTGGATCCCATGTACGTTCGGCATCCTGGATGCGGCGCTGGGCCTGCCAGCTATGCCGCAGCGTCGCCATTGAGCAAGCACGCATGCTGACCCCGAACTTTGCGCGATCTAGGGATGGCGACCAGAAGTTCGCATACTTCCAGATGCTTACCAAGATGGGCTACAAGGAGATTGAAGTCTCCTTTCCCTCGGCTTCCGACACAGACTTTGAGTTTACCCGCCGCCTGGTCGAGACGCCGGGCGTAGTGCCCGACGATGTGTGGCTTCAGGTGCTCTCGCCCTGCAGACCCGAGCTCATACAGCGCACCGTTGAGTCCCTAAGAGGCGCGAAGAAGGCGATCCTGCACCTGTATCTCGCAACGAGCCCGTGCTTCCAAGAGATCGTGTTTGGCATGACAAACGAGCAGAGCAAGGCGCTCGCGGTCGAGTGCACGCGCATGGCGAGGAAGCTGACCAAAGATGACCCGACCATGCAGGGCGTTACGGAATGGGCATATGAATTCTCTCCCGAGACGTTCTCGGACACGAGTCCCGAGTTTGCCGTTGAGATCTGCAACGCGGTGAAAGAGGCGTGGGAACCCACCGTCGAAAACCCCATCATCTTCAACCTGCCTGCGACGGTAGAAATGAGCACGCCAAATGTATATGCCGATCAGATTGAGTACTTTTGCCGCCATATTTCAGAGCGAGAGAAGTGCTGCATTTCCCTGCACCCGCACAACGACCGAGGCTGCGCCGTTGCAGCGGCCGAGCTGGCCCAGATGGCCGGCGCAGACCGTGTCGAGGGTACGCTCTTTGGGAACGGAGGTACGTTGTGACAAATTCACCGGTTGTGAGCCAAAGCCAAATCTGACTCTTCTCGTAGAACGCACGGGCAATGTCTGTCTGGTAACGCTCGGCCTTAACCTGTACACGCAAGGAATCCACCCCGGCATCGACTTCTCGGACATGAAATCAATCATCGACGTGGTCGAGAGATCGAACAAGATTCCCGTGCATCAACGTCACCCGTACGGTGGCCAGCTGGTCGTTTGCGCGTTCAGTGGCTCGCACCAAGACGCTATCAAGAAGGGTTTTGCGAAGCGCAAGAAGGAGGGCGCCACGCACGAATCACCCTGGCAAATTCCGTATCTGCCTCTCGACCCGCAGGACATTGGGCGGACGTACGAGGCCGTCATCAGAGTCAACTCTCAGTCTGGAAAGGGCGGCGTCGCTTGGATCATCCAGCGAGAACTGGAGCTGGATCTGCCTCGCGGTCTGCAAGTTGCCTTCTCGAAAATCGTGCAGCGCGATGCAGACGCTCTTGGTAGAGAGCTGCTTCCGTCAGAGATTGTCAAGCTCTTCGAGGACGCATACCACCTCAAGCGCAACCCACGCTTCGAACTCATCGACTACGACATCACTGCGGATCGGTCCGTAAGCCCGGCTCCTCCAGAACCGGGCAAGACCCCCTCGAACCGGAACTTGAGACGTGTGTTCAAGGGCGTCATCGCGATCGATAATATCGAGCATAAAATCTCCGGCGTGGGTAATGGCGCTATCTCGTCTCTGGCGAATGCGCTGAAGGAGCTTGGCATTGACCTTGACGTTGCAGATTACAAAGAGCATGCTATCGGCGAAGGACGACATGTGAAAGCTGCGACATTCATCGAGTGTACAGCTGCCGGTTCGAAGCAAAAGGTTTGGGGAGTTGGTATTCACGAGGATGTCGTCCAAGCGTCCCTCACCGCGCTGCTGAGCGCTGCTTCATCGGTAAGTGTTTTTGAGCTCTCCAGCGGCTGGGCGTGCTTTGCGTGTAGAATTAACCAAAGATGCTGCAGTTCTTGTCGTCACGACCATCAACACCCATTCCGTTCCGACCCAAGCGAAGCAACACGAATTCTCTGTCCAGCGTCGATCTGAGCCCGCTCAAGCACGAGGTAAACGGCGCACCCGCTTCTGGACCGAATTCCGCCTCACAGGTGGTGGCCCATCTGGAGCAGGCTGCCGCTGAGGACAGCAACAAAAAGGAAGGCGGAGCTAATGGTACGGCTTGAACGAAAAGTCTTCATTGTTTTTTTTCCCCAACATTTCAAGTTTCAGTGCTGTTTACCGCGCATTGTTTGGTGTGTGTGCATGACCAACATCGGGTGGGGAAAAGCATCATTTATTTTTTCTTTCTTTTTTTTCAATTCTCACATCTGCATTAGTGGGCATGGAGATCTCAAATTGATTCAAGAACAAGGAGTCAATCAGATTTCATTCGAAACGCACAATGAACTTCGCTGGTGCCTTCTGAACACCTTTCTTTTCTTTATGAGTCACCGCGCACGTTGACAGTGGTTTTGCCATAGAGAGCGCTTGGCCGTCTTCCGGATGCATGGCCAGTGTTGATCTTTACTGATCACATCATACTACGAGAAACTACGAGAATCAGAGTCCGGAGAGCGGCTCCTATGTGGGCCTTTTTAATTCTTCGCAGAGGAATGAACCTATGATATAACGAATAACGGAGGCTAACTCACCTTGGCCCCTTTGTCTTATATCACGGGCGACGTTCTTTTCAACGCCTTGATTACGGACGATTCCTGCCTTGGGTTTTTTTTTCTTTGAATGGTATGAATCTGGATTAACCTGCATATAGAGGCGCAATGAAGTCATCGTTTCTATACATTTCACAGGGCTTTTTAGACCTGGATATCGTCTGCATCAAGAAGAATGCGCTGCCCCACAATCTCCACTTCTTTCTTCATACTTCGTTCATCTTCATCCTCACGGCTCTTTTGCTGTCCACTGCACGTTCGATTACTCGGTTACTTTTCCAGCCTCCGACGGTCCAGGTTTATGATCTCCCGGATTCTCACCAAGTTCTACGCGATAATCCCACCGGTTACTCAGGGACTTGTTATTGCCTTTACCGTGCGGCCACCCGCGAGCCTTCCATTTCTTGGCCCAACTGCCCTTGAGGAACGCGAGCTCCGCCTCGACGTCGACGTTCTCCACCGCCCGCCTATACTCTGTCGAATCCGTGGGGAACACCTGCCCGTGCGCCTCCTGAAATCGGGCCAACGCAGTCGCTCGCGCCAAGTTCGACTTGTACGCCTCCCACTGACGCTCTGTGCAGATCAACACGCGGTTGTTCTTCCGCGATGCCACCCGCTCGATGGGAGCGTATTCGTCGTACGCGCCGGCTGCCTCCTTCGCGGCCACGCGCTGCTTGGCTTCCTTGAGCATCGGTATCGGGCTGCGTCGACCGTCTGCCGAGCGTCAAAATCTTGCTCTACTTCCTTGACTAAGAAGCCGACCTACCCTTTGCGACGCGGGCGCCAGGGCTCTTGTCGGCCTGAGACCGAGCAACGTTTCCGCGGACGAAACTCTCCTGCACACAGCTGCCGTCTGCCATTCTCCGACGCCGCGGGCCTTTGGGAAATCCGTGCGGGCCGGTCCGGTTGATGACTGGGTTGCTGTCTCGTCGAAGAGCCGACGCTGTCAAGTGCAGAGAGAGGACTATAAAGCGCGAGGAAAAAGTAGGTGATTTGATGCATTGTGATGCACCTGGACCGGTGACTTTTGTGTCTCTCGTTGTGCGTGATAAAAACACAATTCAATCGAAGCGCAATTGACTTTTACGAAAAGGAAATCACACATTCTCTCACTTGTCCTCCTCCTCCCCCCCTTCCCCAAAGTTTTCTCATCGTCTTTGGAGAACCAATTCGTCACAGCTTCTGGTCATTACCCCTAGCAGGACCCCAACGGTAGGCCTATTCACCGGAGACATCATCTTTCGCTCAGAGTCATTTTCACGATCACGTCTTCTTCGCTCACTTATGAATTTGACATCATGAGGTCACGATCCGTCCGGAACGTGGCCTCAGATTGAGAAGAGCACAGGAACGATGGCAACTGGAGTTGGAAGAGACGTACTCCAGAAGAAGAACTGTTCAGTCGGCTGTTTGACGTGTCAAAGCTTGAATACGAGGGGCACGGCGATAGGGAATGGCGAGAACATGTGTTGCCCTAATGTCTTTTTGATCCAGCGCTCGAACGCGCGTGTGATGCACAAGTGTTTCTTCTGAACCGAAATAATTCTCACAGTTTGAAAGAAGGCTATCCAGGCCCCTCGGAGATCAATTGGAACCGACCATGTTTATGGATGCTACTATCATGGGCATTTCATACGCCTAGGTCTTTTCAATTCATTTGTGTCGAAATTCGCAACCACGCTCCGCGCCGGTCTCACAACGAACGCCAAAGAAAGCCGTGCCCGCCAAGCGAGCTCCTTCACGTTTTTACCGCTTCTCGCCTTCGTCCTGGCGTTTCCTCGCGATTCGCTGCGTCGCACCCCTCTCTCCCGCCCTCTTCCGCTCCTGGTCGCCTTTCCTTCTCTTTTCCCGCTCTCGCTGCAGCCTGGCCTCCACCCTGCGCCTCTTTGCTTCTTCCTTTTTACCGGCCCTGACTCGTTTCTTCGCCACGTTGACGTCACCGATCGCCGCCTCCGCCGCGGTGATCACGTCCTCGCGCGACACCGAGCGGGTTGCTTGGCGAATTGCGAACATTTCTCGAGAGGAAGAGGCCTCGAAGCAACGGCGCAGGATGGAGTCAGTTCCCTCAATCTGGAATTCCACTCGGTGCTCTGCGCCATCGCGGCCTGGACTTTCGGGCCTCTTTCGAGGTGGCCTGTTGACTGGTGTGAATTGTGACCATGAGCCCCCAAATTCTGCGTCAACATGATCAGTTGTAGCGTTGCTATTGCTTACAGAAACAGGTGGCGTGGATACGTCCGTGTCATGCTGAGCCTCCGTTGCTTCTGGGGATGTTCTACGGCTTGTTGGACTACACATGTTGCTCTGCGTCATCTTTTTAAGATATGTTTCTACTGGGACACCACTTAGGGTTGAAACGCCAAAAACAGAATCTGTAGTTGGCAATCATTATAAAGTGAACACGGACAACACGCCTGATATAAGGATATGGTGACCAGATGAAGCCGTGAACAGCAATTCCAAGGAGTCAAGTCATGTGTGTGACTGAAGCAGAGGAACCGAAGGGTTCACTTTGGTTTGCACATGCTGCGTTCTTAATTCCAAGATGGGGGTTGGATTTCGTCCGTTTAAATAATAAACAGTTGTAAGGCGATGTTATCAAAACGCTGTCCGTCATTTCAATGGCCATGAGATATGAACAGCCGCGTCGCGTTAACGAGCTTCGTTGGCGATTGACCGAGCATGTGGTACGAATCGACATTGCTAGTGAACCGCGACTGAGTCGAAAGGAAAAGGTGAAGCTGGTAGATTTTTTTTCCTTTGTGAGGTGGTAATTAAGAGGCAAAGAGCGTGTTCAAAGTTCTTCACTTCTTTTTTTCTCTTCGATTGTTGCAACCGATATTATACTAGGTCGGTCCTCCAACAACGACGGCTTGACCCCAAATGCTGGTTCAGAAGAATTGCCGAATAAATGCGTATGATGAGAATAGAATGCTTCGAAGCATAATTGAAGAAAGAAAAAAAAATTCCGAAGATCAACATTAAGTTCCAACGTTCGAGAAACTGAGGACAAGTCAATCCCAGTAAAGGGGGTCGTCTGGTTGCCATTCATGAAAGTTACAAGTTACTGACATAAACACTGAGGGGTATCTATCTTTTCTAACTCACCCATGACCATCTGCTCAGAGAGAGCCAAACACTGTTCAAGACCTCTACACTTTCCCACTTCGCGGCCGCCATTCCCCGTCGCTGTCTTCATCCAGTTCTACAGCTTCAGTGCTAGAACTAGTTTTGCTCAGCCTCCAATCAACGACTGACGCCTTGCAACCGACATCTTCCACGTCCTTGGAAACCAGCATTCTCTTCACGCTTTTCGAGTCCCGAGCTCCCTCCTTGGCCTTCAGCACTTTCTGGCTGTAGTTTTGGCCTCTGTTCCACAGGTCCCTGCCGAACTCGAGGCGCGTCCACTCGGCCCCTGCGCCGTGCGCGGCGGGGATCCGCGAGGCCAATATGTCTCCCCGCGAGAAGTCCTTCATAAACGCGACGTAGACCGCGCCGATGGGGAGGTTCTTGTACGTCCACATTTCGTAGTCGTAGTTTGGCGAGCTCGAACTCGGTACGTGGTTGCCGGTCAGTGCGCAGAAGAGCTTCTTCGCGTCGGCCTCGGGGGAAGTAAAGTGTGGTTTCAACTCCTCGAAGGTGTATGGCACGTAAATGACATATTCCTTGTCAACCTTTGGCTCGAAGGGTGGATGTGAGCGGGCAGCGAAGGAGGTCATGGGCTCCTCTTGGCGAGACAGTGTAGCAGCATTTGGTTTCACGTTGAGTTTTCGATCTGAGGCCTCGATTGCAGCGGACATACCGTGTAACTCAGGGATAGCTGCAGCACTCGAAATAGGACTCCTCTGTCCGTCAGCATGATCGTTCAGTGGAAGAGCTTCATGAGACTGCGTCTCTCCTGAAAAAGAAGCTAGTGAGACGCCTGGAGTCGATACAAACTTTATACTACGCGAAAGACACCTGCGCCGCGGACATTTGCGGGCTTTGGTACAGCTTTCCATTCTAACGGTAGTCTTAGACAGCTTGTAGTGGCGTTGTAACAAGTGGCGTGTAGAAACTCAGCTGCAGGTGACACATTTTGGACGATTAAGTGAGCCGTCGAGCAGTCACGCTGCGAGAGGTGCAATGTATTACAGAAGTGACTTTGCTGTCACCGTGGCTTTAAGACAAGAGTTTGCTCTGGCTTATATTTCAATATTGACATGTGCATCAAGAATGCCCAAGTATTAGAGTTTCAATGTAAGAGTTAGGCATTGACTGTGCACATGCGATGTTGCTCACCATGCACGAGGAACATATAACTCTCCTTTATGATTCCGTCACCAGCTCCGGAAACGATACTTTTGGCTCTTATTCATCATTCCTATTTTTTTTATTCTTTTTTTCCTTCTCTGACCCGTCCAAAAAGTCTCCAGCAGTTCGAAAGGTCACCACATCAGACTCAGAGAAGGCCACGGGCAGAATCTGTAGATTCTGCCATCTCCAATTTGGATCCACCCGCGTTTACATCGCTAAATCTAGACTGTGACGAGCTGTCGCTGCTGTAATCAGCCTCGTCGGCCGGGCCCTTTCGGCCATTCTCGCGCCTCGCATGCGTTGCATCTTCAAGTTGGGACATTCTCGCAGATAGAGGACCGTGTCTCGACACTTGTTCTTCTCTCGCAGCCGTTGCATAGTGTTCAGATCTAGGTCGTTCGGGATCATTGATTTGATTTTTTTCTTCATTTTCATGCCGCACTGTGGCATAGTTTGCATCTTGCTTCTTTCTTTCTCGAGACATTGTACTGCTTGTGCTAAGCTCGTACAGAACTGCAGCAGCATGAATATCCTCCTTTTTGAAGCCCAGAGGCAGCTCCGTACGAAGCATTTCCGTGTTCATCTTGATTTTATTCTCCGCATCGGTGCTCGTGTCATCTTCAGGGTCTCGAGGGGGTTGAAATGCATTTGACATTTTGGAATGAGTTTGGAAGTCAAAGGTCTGTGAAGTTTTTCTCCGTTATATAGAGTCAATGATTCATGACTGATAAAGACAAGTGAATACTAAGGTGTTCGCTGTGAATTGTGACCATTTTTAGGCAGGAAGAGTGCGTTGTGGTACTATTTTCCTCGAAAAATGGCGATTAATATCGCAGCAATGATAATGCCACGCCAGAATAGCGGAAAAAAGTGCATCCGTGAAGAAAAAGAGCAAGGTACTCGTGAAGTTCTGAACTACAGTCTCGTGTCGAAATTTGCCAATGTCTTCCATATCAAGATCTAATTGTCAATAGTTTCTGTGCTTCGTTTGAGTTACGTCAGTCAACTTTTAAATATTCAGAATAGTTATGGAGCCACCATCTTCAAACTCAGCGACTTCGAAAATAATTTTCACCATCCAGTCATTGAGGGCATCCTTTATCTTTTCCCCCTTAATCGTCACCCAGAAACCGTGACTGAGCGGTAGTTTCGCCCCTGTTAGAAGGTGGAGAAAGTTTTGTGCTCTTAGATCTTTGTTATGATCATTTAATATATGGAAGAGCTCATGAACGGAGTGCGTAGTATACAAGGTAATCATATGGACCTGTCCGTCTGGTTGAGATTCGATGTCGTGTGTGCTGCACATGTTTCTGCTTGCATCCGCCATCGCAGCTTCGACGAAGGCGGGTGTACTACCTGAAAAGTGCGTCGAAAAGCAAATCGGCGTTGGAGTAGGGCAACTCATCTCCCAAGGCCCTTGATAATCCTGGGGGCGGAAATCCATCGATGTGAGAGGATGATTGAGGGAAGACTGGAGACCAACCATCTCCGAATCGAAATTCTGCTTCTCCAAGCTTTGAATACCGACCTGAAGGCCTTTCTCTGATGGATCAAGAGCTGGGGACATGTTAGGAGTAGACTCGGACAGCAAGTTTAGTGGCGAATGAATGCTGGACTTTTCATTGGGTGATTTTTGCAGTACTTTTATGCACGAGGATGAGAAAGGCTCCTTAGTCACTGTTTGTGCAGGACCGACGTCATCCATCTTTGTAAACCTAAAATGAATGCGGGCAAAACATTCGAAGAATGAAGACGTATTGCAGTATGGTGTGAGTGGTGAAAGCGGTTGGCAGATCGCTTATATCTTCACTCTGTCCATGCAAGTGATTTAAGGTCTTTGTGGTAACTACTGGTGGAATCACTGTCACTTGGTGGGATTTCGAGCCTAAAAGAACACGGAAATTCTGACAGCCGCTGCGAATAGGGATAAAAGAAAACAAATTATGATAGAATCTCATGTCAGCAGCCGGATGAACGTCTTCTAACACACAGATAGGGACGAATGAAGAGCAAGACATGGCTGCCAACTGGAGCAAGACAGATTTTGGTGTGGCCGCTTGCCTGCATATCACGCTCTACGCCTTGGATATGATACTGCAAGAGACTCCAGACTGGTGATCCGCCAATTCCAGGTGTCCTCGCACTTGGTATGATGCGAGGAGGCCGCCAGACGTGACGTTGCCCCGTGGGAACATGGGTGCGCCACACTTGGAAGCTGCGCCACAAGTGCACGCCGAAACTCGCTCCCAAAAAAAGTCCAGTCGCAAATCAAATGACTGTACGCAGCTTTTCTAGCACGCACGCGACTTTCGCTGACAATCTCTTTTATCCAGCTTGCATGCCACGGGCAATTCAAACAGCCAACGCCTTGATTCGATTCTTCGGCTGCCGGCAGCGTCCTTTTCCAAACCAGTTACCCCTCGGATTTGGCGATATCCAAACACAGCAGTATTTCTCGGGTCTGCACAGCAAACGTCCGTCTAGCACCACCGCACTCGACCCCATATTCACGGACCGCTTTGCTACGGCATCAGCAAGGCACACGCACAGCCGGCGCATCTCGTCCACACCGCAGCGAACACGACATCTCAAGCAGGGTTCGGTGGCGAGTAACAAAGACGACATGGCGCGCAAGGACAAAAAAGAAGCCAACAATGTGTCGGTGAAAGTGCCAAAGGGCACGAAAGATGTGTTTGGCGCGGAGGCGCTCTTGAGAGCCTTCCTGTTCCAACGAATCACTGAGATCTTCAAGCGCCATGGTGCCCAGGAGCTCGATACCCCAGTGTAAGCAAGCTATGCTTTCCTCGAGATGCAGATGCCGTCTTTCTTGCAAGCGCAACTGATGACGTCGCCCAACAGATTCGAACTTCGCGAGATTCTCACTGGAAAGTACGGAGAAGACAGCAAACTCATTTACGACCTCGCGGACCAGGGCGGCGAAATATGCAGCTTACGTTATGATTTGACGGTGCCCTTCGCCCGCTGGCTCGCTCTTAACTCCTCTCTCGGCAACGTAAAACGCTACCACGTTGGAAAGGTCTACCGTCGCGACGCTCCCGCCATTCAGAAAGGGCGCTTGCGAGAGTTCTATCAGTGCGACATTGATTTCGCCGGTCAATTCGACCCGCTCACCGCAGATGCGGAGATTCTTGCCATTACAAAGGAGGTATTTAACTCCATAGGACTGAAGGATATCAGCGTCAAAATCAACAATCGCAAAATTTTGGATGCCATCTTCGAGGTGTGTGGCGTGCCAGAAGAGAAGATTCGTCCAATCTCCAGCGCTGTGGATAAGCTGGACAAGTCGCCATGGGAGGAAGTGAAGAAAGAGATGGTCGAACAAAAGGGTCTGGACCCAGAGGTTGCTGACCGTATATGGGGATATGTACAACGTAAAGGATTCGAGGTCTTAGACTGGCTTCAGAACGATCTGTTGTATCAAAATGCCAAGGGTAAAGAGGGTGTTGAGGACATGAAGCTACTGTTTGAATACTGCGATGCGTTTGGCTGCAAGGATGCATTGTCGTTCGGTAAGTCGCTACCACGAAATGCAAAAGCGACGATAAACATGCTAATCCCTAGACAGATTTGAGTCTCGCGCGTGGGCTAGATTACGTAAGTAACGTCTGCAATACGACTCGAATTCTTTGCTGACGCTTCGTAGTACACGGGCTGCATATGGGAAGTTGTCACGGCTGAGTCGGCAGCTCCAGCCCTCTCATCAGGTGCAGAAACTAATGGCGCCGTCAAGAAAGAACGATCAAAGAAAGATAAGAAGGCATCTGAGGATGAAGATCGTAGCGACGACCCTACTGTGGGTGTAGGATCGATCGCCGCCGGTGGTCGCTACGATAAGCTTGTTGGCATGTTTTCAAACAAAGGTGACATTCCTTGCGTCGGCATCTCTTTTGGCATCGAACGCATCCTTGCTATTCTCAAGAAACGACTAGAAGCATCCTCTTCTTCAGCAGCCCAAATACGTCCTGTGGAGACGGATTGCTACGTCATGGCCTTTGGGACTGGAATGTTGCCTGAGCGCATGGCGATTGCGAAGCAGCTTTGGGATGCTGGCTTGAAGGCAAGCTTTCAATACAAGGTCAAAACACGGCTGGACAAACAGTTCAAGGAAGCGGAGAACTTGGGAGCACCGTTTTCAATCATTCTTGCGGAAGAAGAATGGGCTCGGGGTGAAGTCAAGGTAGGTCGACGTCACTCTGAATCTTGCAGGCTGGTGCTAATTCGTGGCTTAGTTGAAGCAAATGAGCTTGCCGGAAGGCCACCCAGAAAAAGAAGGCATCAATCTACCAAAAGATACAGTTGTACAGGAGCTCAAGAAGAGGCTTGCTGCCATTGAAGATAGGAGTTTGGCAGCTAGACTGGGAGCCGTGACTTTGTAGTATGAGGTTTGGCGATTCAAAAGCGTTGGCCAAGACTCATGGAGCATCAATGCCTTTTTGGAGGGTAGGGGCAGTTGTAAAAACTTGGTCGTAAAAGAGCATAGACGTCAAAAAGAGGGCTTAGTACCCAAGCAACTGAGTAAGAATTCTGAACATGCTCCATACGCATTTGCAGTGAACTGAGGACCGCGATGTAGAGCATAATGTTCATCTCATGCGCAAACTCTTGCGTCTTTCAACATTCTGGCCTCTCTGCAATACTTTCTTGCCGAGTTCTGATCCACTAATTGAGTAAGGTGGGTGACCGCGCGAGCTATTCAGATCGTACAAAGCCGTTCAATGGCAATAATGGGCCTGGATCCTTATGATGGAAGTTGAAGGTTAAAGCTAGATGGGACAAAGCTGATTTTATTTTTCCTTGCTTAGTGCGCTGTCATAACAGCAAAGCAATGTAGCCTGCAGCAGCTCATTCAGCAATTACGGGCTCAGGTAGAAATCTGGACTGTCCATGAGGCCAAAAAGCATGCGTGACCTTAATTTCCTCGGCCAAACTTTTCATCAGACTTCGGTAGCTTCGCGTTGTGGGAACAATGGGTCTCGCCAACCAATAACTTTCTGCCAATCCACTGATACCAAAGCAAGAGGGCGAGCGTGCGGATTCCCAGAATTCAAGTTCTACTTGCGAGACTAACTTGAAGTTATTTCCCGCTCTTGTTCCCTTGTTTGATTTCTCGAGATGGAGCACCAAAAGCTGATTCTCCTTGAAACCTCTATTAAAACAAAGTACTTTAAGCAATATATTTCGCAAGTTTGGTCGTTATGCTTTGGGGTCATTGTATCGATGTTTTACCACTTAAACATCTTGTCCCTTTAATGGCAAAAAAGTTGATGTCAAAAGTCTGTATACTGCTCTACGGTTTGATTTCTGGTATACTCTACGCTAACCATCAGTGCTATACTCCTGACTTGGTCCCAATGTTCTTATCTGACTTGATTCATTTACTGCTCAGCGCGCTTCGATCTTCGGCAACAAGTTGTTGAATTCATCACCGTTATTTATTCGTGTGCATCATCAAGATGCGAGTCGCTTTCTCTTTCTTGGTACTCTTGACTTATATCCACGCACAAAAGCTTGTGTACGATAAGGACTTTACCTCCACCACATCTGTGACTATCAACTCCAGTCATCTATTGACTTCGGCAAAACCATCAACACCTTCCAACGTGCCAGCAATAACTCCCAAAGCGTCAATTAAAACATCCGAAGGCTCAACGAAAATATCCAAAAATTCAATTCGAACGTCCAAAACCGCTAAGTATTCATCCACGAGTTCAATACTAACGTCCAAAGATTCAACACAAGCGTCCACAACTTCGACACAAACATCTGAGAATCCCAAAAATACGTCTAAAAGCGTGTCCACAACATCCAAAGTTTCAACCAAAAGTTCCAAAGCTTCAAAAAAAAAAACGTCCAAGACTTCAGAGAAAGCATCTAAATCCAAAAACTCTCCTTCTGGTACAATACCCTCTTAGGTACAAGTGTTACAAGGCACACGAGGCCGAGTTGATTCCAATCTGCATGGGACAAAGACTTTTTAGTCAAGTTGCAGAGAAGATTATGGAAGATACGCGGTACAAAATGCCAGTGGTGATGTGATCTAAATCGAGAACCGCTTGGAGTGGCGCATTCATCCTGCGGACGAAAGTAGCATTCAAGGATTTAGTGTGTACAAGTAAAATGCCCATAAGGACAAATAAACGACAAATGGCTCCATCGTTGATCTGCAAGGTCCCGCCGCAGAGACCCATAAATAAATGTCTTGATACATCTTGGTTCAGTCAGGTCACGATGCGTGGAAGGGCTTGAGAATTTAGTACTCTGTTATGCTTCGTAAGAGTGCAGTTTAAGTCGAAAAAAAAACCAAGATTTATTTAATTCTACTAATTGAGTAGTCTCAAGGTATACATCTCAGGCGTTCACCTGGTTCTGTTGCATACCGAGCGTAGATACAAACTCATTTCTGACAGATCTTTTCCCCATTTAGCATGAGGCTCGCCATGTTCTTTGATCCATCATAGCATATCATCCTGCCTAGTCGAGTCTTTCAGGATTTGAGGTGAGTATTGCGGGTCACTTCACTTCTTCGGTGGTGGTGGATTGTTTGTGCCCGTGCTATCATAGCCGCCGCGGCCAGTATTCAGCAGATTGATGTTCAAAGTCGACTGCATTTTGTTCGTGCGGAGGAATTGAGGGATCTCGCGAAGTTTATCAAGTTTGATTCTGAGCTTTGGAAGTCTTGTTTGAATTGGAGAAGCGATCTACTCTCAGATCTGACGAATTTCAGAGCCATATTTATATGGCGGTTAATTGAATAATAGGCATACACGGTGACCATGTTTACGAACGTATATTAACCATTTTGTTGACCGAAAGACTTTGTAGATCACTGAAGTTCCAATGGCCCATCAACGGACAAAGCGTTTTGTCATTTGCTTCTGCCCGTCCGTTCACTGAAGCAAAAGGAGTTGTCCCTGTGTCCAAACGTTCGAATGAATGTGTGCAGCAAATCGCATGAACAAGGAATGAGTTCCGGAGGATTTTGAATGAACCCAATGAATGGGCTTGAAAAAATGTTTTGACAAAGTTGAAAAAAGTAACAAAGCAAAAAAAGCTTCGAAAAGTCTCAATTGTCTGGCGTGGTCAGTTGACAGAAGCACTCGAATTCTTGCTGCTCAGATTGCAGCACAAGAACCTCGTGAAATAGACGTAAGGAGACATCATTTTGCAGCTCTTTAACGTACTCCAGAAATTTCCCAAAGATGTTCAAGTGAGTTTTATGCTCTTTACTCCATCTTTCCAGGGAGGCTAACTCGTCAAAGTAGCCCAATCCGAAACTTTTCGTTGCGCAGGGTTTCTTGTTAGTCGGTTTGAGTATCTCCATGAAGCGGTTAGACAGGCATCCCACTTCTGGGCCGTTGTCCCAGAGGAAACCCATTCCCTTGACCAAGACTGGATGCATCTTCTCCAGATAAAGCTTCCTTTCCCCAGCTGGAGTATGGGTCCAGTTTTGGCCTGATCGAATCACTTCAAGATTTGGTCTTCCGGGTATGCGAATGCGTTTCGATCCATTCTCCCCGACAATTTATGCATGCCGGATCGTGTCGACTTTCTGTTCAATGCTAGTCAGGGAATTAGTCTGCGCAATAGGTAGTCGATCACGCATACTACCCCAGTACACATGTTCGAGGATAAGGCCCCTCATCGCATTTTTCATGTACGCAATTCCCTCGTTGTCCTCGTTACTGGAGAATACAGTCTCGACACGGTCAATCGAAGGGTAGAAAATCTCCTTGAACAAGCCATGTTCAAATCGTGTGGGATCTAATTTATCCTACCAATCCGTAAATCCACTCTGGGAGGTCCATTTAAGATACTTGCTTTTACTGTCCCAGTATGCAATGGTCATTTGATTGTATGCTCCGGTACTGTCGGTGTAGGCAGCCCACTCCCAATATCGGGGACGCAAAGCCGCGTCCACCACACTCACAAACCTCTCGATTTCCAGAGCGAAAAATACGTTGGCTTCGTCTGCGTTGGCCTGCGCCCCTATAATAGCCATGACCATGTCTTTTACCTCGTCGGGGATCTGAGCGGCGTACGCAAGGAAGGGTGGAACATAGCCATTTGGGGTTTTTGGAGGAATTGATCTCTCTTTCTGCAAATGAGGACATATAGCTGAAATTGTTTCCATCATCAAATTCAACGTAGCTATTGAAGATAGGGATATGTTGCTTTGATAAAGCGGGAACGAGAATATCTTTTCTAGATTTCCGTGCCCCTCACAAGACCTTTATATACTGCGTTAGTAGTCGATGATAGTAATCTGATCCGTAATGGTTCGTAGATCTGCGATATGACTGGTAAGAAGCCTCCAAAACTCTGGCCATGCCACGCTGATCATTACTTGCTTTGGCACAATGATTCGTTCAAACCTAAGCAAAAACAGTGAAGTCCGGAATAAAACCCTGGATTAAATTACTCATAATCGTCTTATGCTACAATAGTCACGCCTAAGCACCAGAAGCGAGGCGTAGAGGGGACGAACGGTGAGGATCGGATCAATTTACGAACATTTTCTCAGAAACATTTTCTACCTCTTAGAGATCATGTTTAACGTCTTCTTCTCCGAAAATACCATCAAAATACGACTGTTAAAAATCCGAAGAGAAATTTTGTATTAGCATGCAGGTCGTTCATCTACAGTTTCAAATGCTTTGGCAATATCTTACCGCCATGCTACGAACAATCAATATGAGCCATAATCTCACTCAAAGAGCTTCCACGAGCAAACAATGGGAAAGATCATTCTTAAATGGCTACCGACAGCCGATAAAGCTGTAATTGGTCCAGAGATAAAGCTGACGAGGTCGACAGTTTGGCGTTGTTTAGTGCTAATGCAGCGGCCGAACCCTGTACGTGACACGTCTGATCTTCCCAGGGTAGATTTTAGGTTGCCCATAATATTCGAAGTCATAATGATTTTATAACAATGCGCGCGGCGAAGACTGTGTTTCTAAAGCCGCTTAATCCTTTTGGACAGGCGTGTGATTGCAGCACCGATTTGCGTTGAATAATAGAAGCCATCGGAACCTGCCGACTTGGTCCAAATCGAAATTTTTTCATGTTTCTCGCGCGGCAGAGTCGAAAAATTCAGAATGAAGGAGTTAATGATGCTCAATATATCTGAAGAGCGCATGTAGGGTGGAAATACAAAATTTTGTCTTACGAAATCGTCTCAAGGTCATATGGTTGATAATGATTTAGCAACAGCGGTGACATGAAAGGAAGAAGCGAGTCATTCTCATTTTTACGTGTTTCAACACTTCCCTGCCGGAGAGTCAAAAAGCAAAATCAATTAGTCTGTATATTCGAATTAGAGTCTCGCCCCTTGACGGATAGAGTTGTTTCCTTGTTTGGAACATGCTTTACTTGACCGGAATCTGATTCGATAGGATTTTGCGCGCCGTCATTGTGTTGAGAGGTAAGATTTCGCATCTCCACATCAGTTCTTTCGGTAATCTTGAGTATGGGTTCAGGCCCCATGGGCTTGAACTGTGTACAGTGCTTTTTCCTCGTAAGGTTTCTTCGATACTCTCTCAAAGCGTAAATGATGAAGGCGAAAAGCACAAGTCCCAAGGCAAATGAAAGGATGATTAATGCCACCAACAATCTTCGCTCGGCTGTACGAAGCCTTGACACCGGGTCAGGAGGTGCGAAAGTTCCAAAGGTGTCAGGTGTGGATGTCCCGATGCTTGAGAAATCGGGGCTCTGTGTGTGATAAGCAGTGACAATTTGGTCATTCGTCAAAGTAGATACGAACGACAGAGTCGAGGTTAGGGCAGGCTGCTGCACGGCCGTAACAGTGCTCAGCAGTTCCGTCGTAAATGTTTGAACAGAGGGTGCTAGCTCGGTGGGAAGTGTGATTATTATCGTTGAATCGTTTGATTCCAGGTCGATGGGTGTTGTCGTTGTCATGGTAAAGAAGGCAATTAACATATGCTTCATTGTGAGATGATACTTACAATATATATGTTCGTGAAATCTTGTAAGAAAGCTTGCGCTTTGTCAAACAAACGACATGAGGTGAAAACAGGACAGCTTGATAAAATGTGAGTCATACATTCATCTCCCGGATCAGTGCATGTAGAAATAGTAAGTGTCTTGATATCCGGATCGTGAGATTGGATTTTAGAATGAGGCGGAAGCATCAGCTCTGCTACTATTTCGTACGACGCACAATAATCGCGCGAATCGACGTCTAAATCTTCAAAAAGACCATGACATCGAATTTTCTTCCAAACTCAACAGAGGGTGAATCTTTGGTAGCTTAAGTCATATTGCGCTTTACTAGTTGTTTTGAAATTTGAGAATAGCATCCTCTATGAACGAGTATTTACCGGTGCTAATAGACTCTGATAGCGTCTGTACAAGGTGTAGATAGCGAGGACGAAGAGCTAGTCCTGGATTTTCGATGCCAATCATTGTTTTTGATAAAGAGAGGTTATACCAGGAACAGCATGGATCTGTGGTGGAGCTGCGGAGCTTGGTGCCACGGAACTGAGCGGAACCAAGCATAACGACTGTACGGCTGCGCCTGTCAACCATGTGGATTTTAAGTATGGGAGCAAAATGATTTTGAAGAACAATCAATTCTGTCATTATCGCATTTGTACGAAGGGGCAGTGCTTCAATCACAGAGCCACGTACTGTCCAAAAAACCGGATTCTGTAACATACTTTGTCTGCCGACACTGAATTGAGCAAACCACACCAAGATGCCATTCGACGTCGCTCATGCTTTAACGGGGCGGCATCTCATTGTTCAGCCTTCAGATGCAGCTCTCAGTCCACCAGAGAGCTACCTCTACGTTCAAGACGGTCTTATAATATCGTGTGGCGTGTTTTACGCCCTGTGCTACTATTTCTACATGATCGCCACGGTGCGAGATAGGTTCATCGCTGGGCCCGTTGAGTTTCTGTGCGTCCGCCATTTCTATTATCCAACGTCGTACGGGAGGTAGGACACTGACACGGAAGGCAGGTGTGGTACGATGGCCTACGAACTGTACTACGCTTTCGTGATGCCATCATCTGCGCTTGAATTCAGCTGCTTCATTGTATGGTTCCTTATGGATGCTACATTTGCAGGTGTTGCGATCGCATATGCGTACCCAACAGGGAAACGGACAATCGTTACGCTGAGGACGATTCTTGGCGTCGTTGTTGGTGTCATCTTCTTCCATGCACTATGTATGCAATTTCCAGACGAGCGTGAGCAGGTCACGGCATATTGGACAGGATGGCTGCTGGAAACTCCGATCGGCTGGGGTGAACTGTATCATTTAATCTCTAGGGAGGACACAAAGGGCCAGAGCTTGGAGATTTGGTTCGCAAGCTTTTCTTCTTGGATCGTCACGATATGGGCTAACGAATATAGGATTTGCCGTTTCCTCGGTTGTTTGACAGCAAATGGAGTGTTCATGTGGCGCTATTTGAACGTCCCGCAGAATTGGGAATATGTAGGTAGTTGGTGGAGCATTGCATTGGTGGCGGTCACCATCTTTCCGGAGATCATCTATCCATACTATTATATCAAAATGCATCAAAAGACGATAACGAGCTCTGCAAAAGAGGATAAAAAAGATTGATCTTAAATGACTATCGAGGAATCCAAAAGTGGACTGGTGTATTAGCAAGAGATTCCTGTGCAGTGCGTGTCAGACGGCACACGAATGCAAACAAACATCAGCAATGTCAGTGAAAATGAAGTAGATGATTTATTTTTTTTTTTTGGTTGATTCATATTCCGTACAATGATTCTACGCTCATAGATTCATGCTTGATTATGGCGGTGGACTTATATCTAGCCCTTCGACGGTCAATTTGAAAGAATCGCTTCTCGAGTAACTGCCCGCTACATCCAAGTCCAACCTGCCTCTCTCACACTCATCAAAATCGCATTCAGCAACTAGAAGCTTTGTGTTCTCGGTCTCCCAAATTGGACCGGCAAGAACCTCGCCAAGGGGAGAAATTATGCACGAGCCGCCACGTGAGATGTATTCGTCATCCTCGATGTCATGAGCGTGTCCAGTAGTAGCCTCGGAAGTGAGAGGAGGAATGTCCTTGCTTCGAATAGGACTTAACGTTGCGTGTTCATCGGCGGGAACCGCAATAGCTGTACTGTTCTCCGTGTGACCATTCGTCTCTACCACCTCATCAGGGATAGGCCAGCAGATTTCGTGACCGCTTTCGTCCTTAACAATAGTCGAGCGACGACGCCTGCTAGTACTGCTAGGGCTCAAGCTGTTCTGGCGAGCGACTCCATTGGCATGAGAGGTTGAATCGCTAGATGGCAGACAAAGCTCATGACCGTCCTCAATCTTGGTAATGATTGAAGCGCGTCGCCCGCCAGCAAGAGATGGGCTTTTCGTCGTAGCACGAGCCTCATGCTTTGTCCTTCTATGAGACTCACGACTTGTGGGCTGTTCACGGATCCAAGCAGGCAATTGGCTTCTCTTGCAACACTGGTTGCATGTCAACACGAACGCTCTGCCCTCGAAACCAACTGTCCGCATGAGCGGCAACCACGTATCTCGTGCGTCGGCGGTCGGTGCTAGATATAAATTGACGTTCTGGCAGTATAGGCTCTGACGCAACAAGGGCATATAGTTCTCCCAGCATATTGCTGCAGCAAGGGTGAGCTTGACACCGTTAAGCGTAGTCGTGACTGCACGCAGCGTTGACGGACTGCCTTGGGCCCAGATCAGTCTTTCTGTGCCAGTAGGCATTACTTTCCTCCTTTTACCGATGCATCCTTCCTTCGGATCGACATATACAACGCTGCAGTACAAGCTTCCGCCTGCCTTCTCTACAACGCCAGTGACGATGAAGACTCCTGTTTCTCTGGAAATACGCTCCAGAGCCTCTCTCGTGCCGTCTCCTCTGTATTCTGTGGCCCTTGCTACGGGCAATTTTCTGTTTACCCAGTCATCGCCTCCGCCTTGAGGCGTGTCGCCCAGATCTACCGCGCTCTTGAAGTATTGGAGAAACTGCTCTCTGCCACCGGGCTCGCGAGCGCCGATGGTGCAGCCGAATGAGCACGTTCTTGGATAGCCGCCCAAGTACGCTTCTGGGAAAAGAACTAAGTGCACACCTTGCTGGGCGGCAGATTTGGCAGTGCGTTCGAGCTCAAGGACGGTGTCAGCGGTAGTGTCGAGGGTGCGGCATTGGGCGACGGCAAGCTTCAGCGTGCGCGCCATGGCTCTCTCTTTGCTTGTGCGAGGTCAATTGAGACCCCAGAGGCGAAGGAGGACGGCATGGAGCGCAACGATTGATGACATATAATGTCATGTGCCATATGCATGCTTAAAGTGTGGGGAAAGGGTCGTTGGAGATCAACTGTCAGCTTATGCCCAGCTAAGTTAAAGCAGCTTGGCACAAGTTTGCAACTCAAGAGACGCAAGGAGAAAAGGAAATGTCGATTTCATCTATACAGATATCAAGGCGGTAAGGTTCTTTATTCATCACATCCGTATGCACAATTTCATGTTTCTTCGCTGTTAAGTGGTGAAGCAGCCTGAAACAAAGGAGAATTACAATATCTCGCATGACTGAGCAGGTATTCGCCTACGCTTTGAACAGCTGGTTCCGCCCGCGCTTCAACGAAGAAATATAGTTGGATCGGACTGCTCCACGCCTTTTGCATCTTTGCGAAGACGGAGCTCGAAATCAACGATGGATGTCGCGCGCTTGCTGCAGTCAAGTTGTGTCAAAGGTCTCGCCGGGGTATCATATGGTCAAATAATCAGTGCCCGAGAGTATATACAGTCTAACATTTCAAGAATGATCATTGCCGGATCAATCGAGCGCGCTACGTAACGCAATTCCCAAGCGTCATATTCCAGGATAGGCTCCGGAGCGATGGGTGATATTCGCCAACGAATTCGACTGAGGAACCATTTCCTGCTCTCCTGTATTCCAGAACAACAAAAGCGTTCAATTTTCGTGCATGGAACATGTATTGGCATTGATCGCAGGGACGACAAAGCCTACAAGTAGTTAGCCGAAGTGCGCCGCAACGTGCAGCGTAGCCTGAAGGATCCCTCGCTCTATGGCCGCAACCTTGCTTTTCACATTCCTGGCGGCTCCATCGACGTTCATCAGGAATGTCATAGCTTTGCACCTCTATATCGTGGCTCTCACGTCGCATGGGGGCCTGGCCAGAAATGCTTCTTTGGCATCCGAACGCAACTTCGCAGCGGCAAGGAAACGGCGGTGGGTGCACGCAAAACCGGGCGAGTGCCCCTGACGCTGCAAATGCAGCTATCTTTCTCGCAACTCCGATAAAAAGCCAGGACATGAGGTCCACATCGTTCGCGGGTTGCGTCCGAGTGGCTGTTAGATAACTTGCCGTAACGCTTTGCTCTGGTAGAACGAGATCGGCAGAGGCCGCCTAAGGAATGGTTCCCAGTCGCCAAAACACAGTTGTGTTGCTTGCATTATAAAGCTCTCAGAATTGATCTACACACTCTATATCTTGCGCGTATCATATTGGGCACGCTTATGCGTCTAAAGTCTCTGATTCTCCAGTTCCTGTGGCAAAATCGATGGCTTCTGAGCTGAATACTAAGCTGAAAGTGGCGCTCTTGTTTCCAAAGCTTTATCAGGCCTCCTTGTTCAGCCATGCCAAGGCATTCAGCGCCCCAAATCCTTATTTCTGCATGAAGGAATACACAGCAAGAGGGATTGGCATGTCCTTCTCCGTCTGCCGCCAAATCCATATGTTGCAAGAGGCTTATGAAAGATGTTTTCCAGCCTTCGTTCTGCATCTGCACCATTGTGACGAGCTTCTCTGTTAGATTCTTCCATCAATTCGATTGATTTTACGGGCAATCTGAAGTATTTGAGTTCTTCGAAACTTGCTGTCTCCTTTGCAGAAAAACAAAAAAGGTGATCAGAATTGCTTGCAAATACATAATGGTTGGCAGCTATCCATCTCAATAAACAGCTCGTTGCTAATCAAGGCTCAGGCACCCGTGGCTCTCTCGTTTGCGAGACCATATAATGCACAGCAAATCTCGAATCGCCTGTTTCGAAGACTGAATGACAACGAAAGAGCTGCAATCGCAGGCGGAACCGTCGGAGGAGTCTGTATAGTCCTGTGTCTTGCCCTCTTCGTTGTTCTTTTGAGGCGTCCTCGCAGTCAAGAGGCCATTTCAGAAGAAAAACAAGTCTGGTGTGCAGATTCGTCGTCGACACGTTCACTCACTCCTTCAGCATCCCACCCGAGCCATCTGCAATCCGCTTCGACTTCGCAGAAGTCACTATTGTCAGATCGCCTGTTCTCACCGAAGCCAGAAGCATGGAATGGACCTGCGCTTGAGAAAATCAATCCAGCGCACCTCGCCTCTTCGAATATTACCAATGAAGAAGCTAATGACGTATTTGAAGACCATCTCCTCATGTCAGTTACATCTTCACCGACAGCATCTCTGCACTGCACGAGCCTTAAGACAGAAAGTTTTTCAGCGTCGGATCGTTTGCGATCACAACAGTCTATACCTCCTCACCGTCCCGCAGCAACTCTGAAACGGATGAAAAGCAATTTGAGCTGGAAAGGACTTGGATATGACTTGAATTTTTGAACAGCATCAAAATACATATACTTTTGCCCGTGTATATCATTGTCAATAAGACTTCTACCACGTGTCCCACCGAATACGGGCCGTAGAAGCCCTATCCGCTTGAGTAAAATCCAAGGTCTCGTAATTAATGGGTCATTATGAAGCCAGTATTACTCGTTTCAGTTGCGCTCCTCGCATAATACAGAAGCCACATATGGTCCCCGCCCATTTCCGCGACAAAAATTCTCAATGAGCTCTCAAGTCATTCAATCGAACCATGATAGGTTGCTTCTCCCAGACCATAAACGCTTTCTTATATCTCATTTCCCCAGAGGGATCCCAAAGTGGAGCACCGTCCACAGATATCAGGTCAAAATTCCACAGCAGCCGTGCGACCACCAGTCGCATCTCCATGTAGGCAAGGTTCTTCCCGAGGCAATTTCGTGGGCCAGCAGAGAACGGTTGAACAGCTTTCTTCACGTCGCTGCTGTACGCGGGATCCAGCCAGCGCTCCGGCAGAAATTCATCCGGGCTTCGGAAATGCGTCGAGCTGTGACAAGCTGACCATTGGCCAACCGATACAGTGACGCCGCCGGGCACCCAGATACCGTCGATCGTGTCGCCGCCTGGAGGCACTATTCTGGGTGGACCGGCAGGAACAGGTGGGTGAACTCGTAATATTTCCTCAATACACGCGTTCAGATATGGTAGGTTCGAAATTGCCTTGAACGTGATCGAATCATCCGAGGAGAATGTGCTACGGAGCTCCTTCGTCAGCAGCTCGTAGCAACGTGGGTTCCAAATTAAGCGGGCCATGAGACCAGACAGTGCGTTCGCGGTCGTTTCACTTCCAGCCACGATGAAAAGGCCCGCGTTGGCAATGATCTCGTCTTGGGTCAGTTCGAACCCCTTTTCTTTCTGTCGCAGAATGTACCAGATGAAGTCACGGTGGTCAATCTCTTGCATTTTGAACCGCTTCAGCACCTTTTCGCGCGTGTGATGGACATGATACGTCCCAGCGTCTCCAACACCAAGAATACGCATCAGGATTGACTGCGCCCAGGTGCCTATGCCCCCAACTCGCCTCGAGAATTGTATCAATGTGCCGTCTTTTATCGTCATAAACAGCATATCCACCCATTCTTGGTACTCGCCTCGATCCAAGCAGCCGAAACTCTCTCCAAAGGCGAGGTCACCCATCGTGTCGAAGGTAAAGTAATTAAACCAGTCGCAGATGTCAAACGACTTCTTCTCTTTCGCGAGAACTCGTAAATGATCAATAACTTTGGTCATGTAGCCTTGAATAATTGGTTCCTGATCCATGAGTGCTTGGTGAGAGAAGGCATGACTTAGAGCTCGCCTTTGGCGTCCATGATCTTCATCGCTTGGCACATATTGAAGGGTCGTAGTCTGTCCTACCTTGACCGGCCCTGTGTGGAGCGGAGATTTTTTCATGTTCTGATGTCCCGGGCGAAAGCCGTAAATATCCTGCATTGACTGCGAGGTACAGAAGGCAAGCTCATTTGGGCCGATGCGAATGACTGGCCCATATTTCTCGTGAAGCAACTTATTGTCAAACGCATATCGACCGCGCAGGAGCGACAAAGCGGCTGGAAGCCCAGAAACTGAATGAAGGAATGGCCCAGGATACTTTGAAAGAGGGTGGAGATATCTTCTGTACACTACAAAGACGACAGAATACAATACAAGTGCAAAAAGACAAGAAACAACGACTCCGCCGCTTGTCATGTGCTTTACCGTTATTTCTAGCGCCATGATTGACTTATCTTTTGTCAACGCTTTCGAATTAGGCGGAAATTGAACTGTGACTTAGATAAATGAATGACGGTCGTGTCCAATCTATACGTACTCCAAAGAGTGGATTTCCGACTAGGGAAGACGATATCCGCGGCTTTGGAAGTTGTTCAGCATTCCCCTACCTGGTTGGAGAAGCACTCTGCTAATCCTTGAGATGCTATCTATGCCAACTACCCCTCAGCAACTAGAGATCAGACGGGGATGAATTATCTGGGGTAGGCATCGTCCTAGTCAGTTGCGGGGAAAGCTGTGAGGCCAAGTCGGAAAATGGCTCCGCATGTTCTTCGTAGAGATTTCCGAACGCGACTAAATTGATGTCTCCAAGTCTCACAATGTTGTACACTTTCCTATATCATTCTGTTGAATGAGCGAATCATACCAGCTTCTCAGTGCAGTTGATCCGAGACGTGCACTCCGTCTAGACATGGCTCCATTGACAAGCGCAAATTCTTGCCTAGTGAAATTTCCAAAGTCTATTGCATCTAGAGGCCTTTTTTTAATTCTTCTGTCCGGCGACGGAGAATGAGAACGGGCGGCTTTGGAGAAAAATTTGAGCTTCAGCGACATTCAAATTGATTCAGGTGCGACGCTGCCTCCCACACGTGGACGAGCCTCGGCATCGAAGTGATGAACGTCAATTGTTCCTGTCTTACCGGAGATAAGCATGCCATACAATGCAAAATCCACATCTGCTTGGTAACAGTGTTTTGATGGTTGTGGAGAACATCGGCTCAAGCACCTATTTCATGCTCGCAGGAGCCAGGTGGCTTGGTCTAGAAACTTCTTCGCATGACGACATAGTTCGATAAGAACCAAGGATGAATCGGCGACCGAACGTTACGAGCATTTGATTTGCGCCCCCCGTTTGAGATGCCCCCAATGAGGTCAAAGTATCTTAGTAAACTGCGGTGGTCGAAGAAAACAATGACATCCAAGCACGGCGCGGACATTCTTCGGAGGAACGAACCACGTCATCGCTTCGCTGCCGTCAGGGAAGTTTTATAGAACGGTCGGCGCCCGTACAGAACCCAAGACACTGCAGCCAAGAGAACTAAAACACTGCACAGAAAAAGAGACGCTTCTTCGAGAGAAATCGAGAAAACCGAGCGATTGCTATCACGATGTCCAAGCCAAAGGTCCTCATGGTGCTATCAAGCCATCCCTCCTACGAGAAGGACGGCGCACAGCAGCCCACAGGGTGGTACTTACCTGAATTTGCGCATCCATACCACGAGGTTTCGCCCTACGCGGACATTGTTGTCGCGTCTCCCAAGGGCGGCGAAGCCCCGCTCGACCCGTCCTCGGTGGAAATGTTCAAGGAGGATCCGCAGAGCGCGGAGTTTTTGAAGACGAAGTCGGACCTGTGGAAGAACACGGCGAAGCTGAGCGACTTCAAGGGCAAGGCAAACGAGTTCGCGGCCATCTTCTTCGTGGGCGGCCACGGACCCATGTTCGACCTCGCGCACAACGAGACCTCTCACGAGGTCATCCGCGAGTTCTGGGAAAGCGGCAAGGTCGTCTCCGCTGTCTGCCACGGACCCATTGCGCTTGCAAACGTCAAACTCAGCGACGGCTCGTACTTGGTGGACGGCTCGCCGGTCACAGGCTTCACGAACAACGAAGAGAGCCAGGTGGGACTCACTAAGTACATGCCCTTCTTGCTCGAAGATGTGTTGAAGAAGAATGGTGGAAAATTCGAAGCTGCTGGCCCATGGGCTGCGAAGGTGGTTGTGGGCAAGGATGGGCGATTATTGACGGGACAGAATCCCGCGTCTGCTTCTCCTATTGGAAAGGCCATAGTCAAAGCTATTGGCGCTTGAGCGTTGTGAGCGTTTATACGACAGGAGTTTGAATGTGCAGGTCGCACATGTTACCCTGAAACCATTGTATGAAGTCAATCTTACGCTGGAATATCATGATTTTGATGCCGAGAAATGTTTACTCCAAATCGATTGCAAAACTGAATGCGCTTGTACGACAGGCCCTTGGCACAGTCAAGCGCAGGATCCTGATCATAAGTTGTGACCATCTTCTTCATGTAGCATAGCTTATTGAATATGTAGAATAGAAAACCTGCCACCAGTGCAACATAATTCAGAAGCATCTACGATTCTTGGTCGAAGTCTAGCTATCACCTGGATGATAAAATTCTAATGCCAAACTGAGGATCGAGCAGAGAAAATAAGCGACAGCCGAGCCTAGATCATAACTGCGAACGACTCATCAGCACAAAGACCGCAAAGACTTTCCCATGTTCGGCAGCTACGTCACGCGAAGTGCGTCGTCAATGTCCGCCTCGACCGTCTCCCAGAGAGTTGGCGCCTTTGGCTCGTAGCCCAGCTCTTTCTTTGCTCTTTCCGGCTTTGCACGTGAGTTATTTGAGAACATGTAGAAACCAATGTCAGGATACGGAATGGCCTTCAACATCTGCTCAATAACTTCATCACTGACAGACTTTGGCTCAGAGGAGGAGATGAGGCCCTTGGCATGTAGAATGCGGCCTGTTACAGTAGCCAGTTCCTTCTGAGACGCTTCTTGAGACGTAGTGAAGAAGTATCCCTTCGTGAATCGTGTAAGCAGCTAAAATTCAATCATGGTCACGGGAAGACACAAGCATACCTCGGGTCCCCAAGTTACATTTCCACCACCTGCAGCAGCAGCCTCGATTAGTTTAATGTACACATCAACCAAGTCGTCGATGTGCACCCATCCTCGCAAATTCTCGCCCTCTCTGCTGTAGAAAGCATATCCAAGCTTCTTGATCTCATCGATGAACAACGGGAAATATATACTTTCTCTCTTTCCTGGACCATGACCTCGTCCATATATGTCAGGTGGGCACACAATGGCCGTTTTCAATACATCCTTGTGTTTAGCAGCAGCATTTTGGATGGCTTTATCTGTATGCCGATGCAAAGAGCCATCCGGACGTGAAATTACCTCCGCAATACCCGTAAGATCGTTGTACACCTTCTGGCTCAGGCGCCCTCGGTTTGCCGGTCCTTCCGGGTCTTTAAAGTCTGATAAGATACCAGTACCACTCAGGTGGATGTAAAAGGACTTCTTCCCTCGAGCGACCAGCCCATCGAGAAGCGCTGTCACCGCTCCCAGATGATCGGAATTGCCACATTGAACTACTATGTCTGCTTCCGAGGCAGCTTTCTTTAGTATTTCACTGTCGTCCCAAGTTCCATACACGAGCTTGACATCTGGATATTTCACTTCAAAATCCGAAGGGGTTTTGCGGACAAACGCGGTGACGTCATACTCTGGGTGGCGTTTGACGATAGCGTCAAAGACAGAGCCTCCAATATAGCCCGTTATGCCTGTGCTATTGAGGGAATCACGTTAGCTTTCACTCGTATTAGGCTACGGACTAGTCGTACATGAAGATCTTTGGACTCATGCTGAAATACGTGACTGAATTTGGGAAAGAACTCTGTACAAGCTTGGGATCCTACGATTGATTGAATAGCCCCAATAGAAGGAATGTTCTTGAGCACAAACTTGTTGTAACAAGCGTGGTTTTGGTCCGAGGTATTATGAATTTGTCAGCTCTCCATCAGTCACGTGTTTTATCCTCGAGCTAGCCAACTCGACTTGAGAAATGAAAGAAATATTTCTCGATGGAGCTGAAGATTGAGTCCAGGGAATAACTCCAGTTGCAAGATCCCATAAAAGTCATATTTTATCATCCGTATGCAGGCCAACAATGTAGCATATAACCATGGTGTTTTAACGATTCCCTCTCCTGCCACCTCGTTTCTGCCGCTCAGCATGTCCCTTCATCGTCCTCCGGACTTCCGTTAGCGATCTCTTGCCTTTGCGCTTTGCCTTGCCCAAGGTCATCAAGAAGTTCTTTGCTCTTGCCTTCTCTGCATTCGTTGTACTCTTCCCTTGTTCTCGCTTTTTCTCCTTTCTCTTCGCAGTCGTGCTTTGGTGCTTCTCGTCCTTATCCGCCTTTGCCATCGCGATCTTTTCTTCCTTGGTCTTTTTATGTGAGAGCATCGCTAAACCTTCAATTTCAGCTGCCGTGAGTCCATCCTCGTGCGAGCGAGACTGGGCTTGGGCAAGAAGTGCGGCGCGTTTGCGCTGGTGAGCAGGCAGGGAGTTTAAGACTGAATTAGACTGTTGAAGTTCTTTAAGCTTTGCGAGGTCTGCTGGAGTTAGGATGCGAGTAGTCGCATAGTTGGAAGATTTCTTCTCTGCGACTTCCGTAGTCGTTTTAGAAGCTGACTGGTCTTCGTTCTCGGTTTTTGCTTTCTTTTTTGGATGATCGTTGTCGTCGTCCGAGTCGCTGATGTAGATATCCTCACCGTCGGATTCGACATTAATCCAGCCCCCCGAGCTTTCAGAATCATCACTTTCAGCCTCCCAGTTTTCCCATCCAGCCTCCTCATCTTCCTTGATCTCATCATCCAGATCATCATCGCTGCCTAACCCCTGCTCGGCACGCTTCTTCTTTCGTTCCTCCTCCTTCCATGCTTCTAGCAGCTCGATTCCCTGGATACCTTCATCTGCCTGTACTTCTCCAAATCGCAGTCGCTTGAATTCACCGCCTTGAAGTGCAATCGATGCTTCTTTGCCACGGTCCCTCCTCCTTAGCTTCTCCGGGTCTTTCTCTCGGTATAAGCTCAAGAGTCCCTTTGCTGCCATCATAACGCCTTTATCTTTGCTCTTTCTGTACATGACCAAGTCCTGCAGCAATGTTTCATCCATGGCTAAGGGCTGTCTTGCGCAAATCTCGCGGATGGCGTTCAGCCCCGCTGACGCAACCTCTGAGGCACTTGCTTCGCTGACGAATTCGTTCGCGATCTTTTGGAGACATGGCTTAAGATGATCGTCCGGAACTTGTATATGTGTTGCCTGAGCTAAACACGCAAGATACGTCGTTACGCTTGCCTGCCGAGGCGTGAGAAATTTTAAAAACCAAGAGTACAGAGCTTCGATAGCGAGCTGGTGCAGACCAACGAGTCTCGTAACAAGCTGGAGAATCAGGAGTCGCTGTTCCAGATTGAGCTTGCCCTTTGCGTTCTGCGGCTGGAGATGCTTTCTGAACAATTCCTCCGCGAATCCTTGTGGATAGTGTAGTAGGTGCAAAGCCGAAAAATTGAGGGGATGTGGCGCATTCTTCTTCTTCTCTTTTCGCTTTACGGCGGCGGCGGCCTTCTTCAGCTCTCTGTCTCGCTTCTTTGTCTTCTTGTTGATTCCTACTTGGTGCCGAAGGGCGTTTAGATCAACGCCGCCTTCATCCTCGCTACTCTCGTCCGCCATTTCTTCCCTCTCCTTGTCTCCGCCCAAGAAAAAGCGCACTCCGCCGACAATGACCTTTTCGTTGTCGCTCAGAGCCGCCATCTCCATGATCTTGACTGCCTTCTCGTCGGTCCAAATCTGCCTCTTCCACAGCTCCCGCGTTATCTTCACCGCCCACAAGCCCTTTGATGACGTCTTGTCCGAGGAGAGGAGATCGATAAGGAGGTTTTGAACGGCACGGTTGAGCTTATGGTTTGTTGTTTTGGCGTTCGAGGAACGGAGGTCAGAAATGATCTTCTTAAATAGAAGCTCTCGAAGTGACTTGCTCTTAGTCGATACGAGGAGGGGGAATAAGGCATTTAGCAACCTGCAAAGCATTAGTACTCTATACGAAGGGAAGCAACGGCGAGGTAAGCGACTTGCGTAACTGAGGTGATGATGTCCTTGTTTCGTAGCAGGACCAGACTGCCAACGACCTTCTCCCGCAGCTCAGGCTCTAGATCATTGTGATGTGCACTGAGAAGGTTGATCAGATCCGTTGGAAAACTCGGAACCAGGTCACGGTAGCAGTCAGCCACGTGAGCTATGAAGTCGATGTGTTCACGCAAAGTCTCGATGGTACCCGCGTCGGTCGTGGTGGGCTCAGCAACGAAGATAGAATATGCCGATTCATATTGATTGTACTGGTCCACGAAATTCTCCCGGTACGACCTGACGTACCATGAGCCTCGACGTTCGTGATTGATAGTCGATGGTGAGCAAACTTACAGAGGGTCTCTTCCGATCTTGTTTTGAAGATTGCGCCTGACACAACGTTAGCCGGGACTTCTTCTCAAATGGATGGAGGTTTCTTACAAGTCTGCGTCCACCTTCTCAAGTGCTCCAAGTTTCCGCTTACCCATGGCTGTCGTGTTTGCGCGGTTGACCTCTATATAAAACGAAATTTCTTTTGAGGCGCGAGTCGGTCGATCGCGAAAAATTGCCTTGTTGCGGCTCGGCCCGACTTGCTCTCTCCGCCTATTCTAAATCGACTTTGAATACCCTACGCAATTGTGACAGTGGCGCAGAACAAACGTGAGAATCTCAAAATCCACACATCGCAGTAGTAGCGCGACCAGTAATTCGCAATTAAACTCGCGGCTGTTTACAATCCAAGGACACTCTATGGATGCAGATATCTCCCCTCCTCCATCCAAACGGCGCAGACTCATGCGAGACAGTGAGACTAGCGAAACTGCGCCAAATGAGATAACAGAACGACGAGAGAGCGCTAACGCGCAGTATATTTGGGTGTATTCGTGGAATATAAATGGCATTAAGCCTTTTCTTCAAAGTCCTTTGACCGCTTACTTTAAGTCTTCAGCCAATAAGAAACTGAAGCCAACATCAGAGGCTTCTCCTGCGTCGATTCGCGAGTTTTTGCGCAGACACCAATGGCCGCAAATTCTTTGCCTGCAAGAAATCAAGATAGGACCATCAGATGACCAAGTGTTGAGGGCGCTCAAACGCGCTGTCAACATTGGATGCGGCTCGAACGAGCCCACGTACGAAGTTTTCGCGAACCTCCCACGCGATCCGTTCAATGCTCAAGGTCCTGGGAGTAAGCGACGCATATACGGGGTCGCCTGCGTTGTGCGTTCTGATTTTCATGGCAAATACGTATCGCGCGTCAGAACCGTAGATTGGGATGCCGAGGGCCGTTTTGCTGTCATTGAAATACACGACCCTACCACGGACGCAAAGTTGAGTATTTGGAACGTCTACGCGGTGAACGGGACAAGCAGCGAGTACCGCGATCCGAGAACAGGCGAAGTTGCAGGCACGCGACATGATCGGAAACTAGCTGTGCACAAGCTGATGATGGAGGAATGCCTGAAACTCGAGCGTGAAGGTTGGAGCATCCTCATCATTGGCGATCTAAACGTTGCACCCTCCAGAATAGATGGGCACCCCAATTTGAGGGAATTTCCCAGACAGCACGTTATCAATCGAGAGGACTTCAACACCCGCTTCCTCGAGCCGGGAAATGTGGGCGGATTTCGGGGAATAGACGTATGGCGTGCTCTAAGGGGTACAGAGCGCAAATATACGTATTATCCTCGGAGTATACCTTGGGGTAGTAGTTGTGATAGAGTGGACTTGGCAATAGCCTCGAGGAATCTAATGTCTGTTCACAATAACTGGAAGATTGTAGGCTGTGAGATTTGGAACACGAAGCAGGAAAGAGGCTCGAGTGATCATTGTCCCATAAGCGTAACGATTAAAACAGTGAAGGGCGCTGATTCGAGCGAAGGAGCAGCGTGAAAAATTAGAGCGAATGTTTTCTAACTTTCGGCGAAACTGATCTGCCAGGAGCTACATGATTCGGCGTCTGAAAGACAGGATAAGATGTGAGGTGCATGACACCCATGGGTGGAACGGTTCAGAAACAGGAGCATGGAAAGGCAATTCTTCGACACCCATGTTGTGACTTGGGAGTTATTGAACTCTTGCCCGGCTGAGGCTCTGCTTCGTAGGAGACGACGTAGCAAGTCAGAGACAAACAAAGACAGCCAACTCCCAAGGAGCACCATGGTTCAGCGCTGTACGTGCGAAAAAGGGAAAAGTGAGATGTCTGAATACCAATTTGACTTACGATTTCGATGGAATACAGTAAAAAGGTGGCGAATTGGTTCTATTAGAGAGCATCGGAGCAAATCCGTGCATGTAAGATTAAGCTTAATTCGCCGAAGGAAGCATTCGGGGTATCACTGAGACGTAAAAAGAAAACCAGGAAAAATCCATAACCAACGTAGACTCTGTCATCCGCAATTAACTCCACTCATCTCCAGACGTGTCTGAGTCGTCATTATGCACTACACCGCCACTCCGCAGTCTGTGCAATCTCTTGCACGTTCTACACTTGGCATACAAGCTAGACGAAAATGCTCTAACGGCTTGCACCTCTTCGTCTTTCATCACGAGGTGTCCCCGCTCACATCGCCATTCCCAGCCTCTGCCATTAGCCGACCGAGCGAGATGGTGGGGCGCGCGGATGTTCCATTCCTTCATCGTGAAGTCGATCCGTTTGAACGCGCGCACGTCGGATTCCTTGAAGGCTTGGGACGTGAAATGCCAAAGCCAGACGGGATTCCACAGTTGGTTTCCGCACGCAGAGATGGTCAGAGTCATGTTCCTAAGATCGGTCATCTGTTCCATGGACGCGAAGACCGCGTCTCGTAGAGTCCAGTCGCGCGCTGACGCCTGTCGCGGATCAAACGCATTGACGATGCCCGGCTTCGCGATCATGCGAAGCGTGCAGTTCTTGACCAGTGGGAGATAATCTTTGGGTATGCCAAAGGGATCTCCGAGTGGCGGCGAGGATGCATCAAGCGTAAAGACTGGCCGAGCATGGATGAGGTACGTTGAGAAGAACTCAGCACCAAATGCCTTGGACACAAGCCGCATGGTTGTCAAATGCCTATACGTGGGGCTTTGCATAAGCTTTTTGTTCTGCTGATGGCGCTCTAAGGCCGCGCCTATGCTGTTCCAATTAACGCCAAACAGCCTAGCTATCCGTTTAATTGGGTTGTCGTCCGAAGCGGCAATGATGCGGCCAGTGAGGCGATGGACACGCATTGCGATGTCGTCCGCAAAGCTGAACAGGTATGTGGAGACTCGAGAGCGCAGAGGCTGGAATTCATGCTCTTTAGCCGCTTCGATTGGCGGCTCAAGGAGGTACGTGAGGACTTCGGCTCGTAATTCTGGCGGTCTGAACGAACAGTCAGTCATTGCATATACACGCGGTTCGGATGCGCTTGTACAGCTCCATGAACGGGAAGGTTTTCGCAGCCTGCTTGCAAGCCTGCCTGGGCCATTGCTGAAGCATGTAATAGCCACAAAAGACGGCGAGCAAGGTGAATAGACTCATGCTCAGCACTCCTGGCTGCCATAGAAAACGACAGAGTGAAGCGGGAGACGAGATCATCCTGGCCACAGCGCCGTTTTCAGATCCAATATGATAACTCAGTCGGTCCGTAGGTGGGCTACCAGCTGTATATGGCTCCATATACCAGCTCAATATGGTGTTTCGCTTGTATTGTGCTCTGCCCTCTCTCTAGTCGCGGCCGTGGACGCAAGAAAGGTAATGACGAAAACTAATTGCCACGTTGCTACAATCGAAGTACGAAGATCATGTTGTACGGCAGGCTGGAGGACGACTGTGTCAGATATACACCATTAGTCGTCTTCGAAATGCGGATGCCTTGAGGCGGAAGAGGGGATGATCCATGGGCGCAGCGCAAGCCACACAATACTTTTGGCGGCGGTGCAGGCGGTCTCTGCTTTGCGTTTGCCGCCATTGAGCGGTGGGCACTATCATCGCAAGGCGCAATGCTGTCTCCAAGCACCGGCTATTGGCGTTTACTATGGCAGTAGAATTCTCAAACGGCCTACGCGAGGTTGTGTCGTGCATGACCGTAGGCAGTTCTAGGTTCTAGCTTCAGTTAGCAAAGCTAGCATATCGATAACTCAACGAGTCTCATCCTTGCGACCATGGACCGGAGAAGACTGATCTGCATCGAAGACTTTTGGAAATTTCATGAAAAGGCGCTGCTGCCTGAAGAGAACCTTGCATTTTCGATGTGAAAGTAACTAAACTTGAGGTTTACGTGCTGGTTGTTCCTCCTTGGTCTATGCAAAATCACCTGATCTTCAAATGCCTACACTCCACTCGTCAACCGTTCGAGGCCAAATGCCTCGCCAGCAATCTTTCTGTGTCAAAGGCCTTAGTTGCCTGCGCAGCCGCAATGGCGCTGCCATATTTACCACCTTGAACATTCGGATTCGCTCCGTGGGAGATGAGGATGTCTACGTAGGACCTACTATGACACGCTGCGGCCTGGATAGGAGAGCCATATTTCCCGCTGGCCTTTGGGTTCAAATCCGCACCTTTCTCAATGAACAGCTCGATGATACCTTTTCCAAACCTTTTGGCGCTGCTGCCCTTGGAGCAGCACGCTGCTTGTAGTGGCGTCCCATACTTGCCGCCCTCTAAGTTCACATCAGCACCAGCAGCAAGCAGCAACTCGACGACATCACGGTTAGCTCTCTTGGCAGCTGCTGCAAGAGGGTTGCCGTACTTGCCACTTTGTGTGTTCACCGGCACGCCTAGCTCAAGGAGGAGCTTAACTTGCCGGTAAACACCAAGCCAGCTGGCGGCTTGTAGAGCACTTCCATAGCAACCACCTTCGATCATCGCATCCGCTCCAGCATCGAGCAACATCTTGATCACGGCGTCAGAACCCTCTGCAGCCGCTGCCTGTAGTGCTGTGCCAAATTTCCCCCCCACAGCATTGAGACTTGCGCCTCGGTCGATTAAGAACCTTATTTGCTCCACATAGCCGTAGTGAGCGGCAGCCTGGAGTGGATAGCCATACGTTCCGCTCGGCTCTTCAGGATTGATGTTGGCTCCGTGCTCGATAAGTAGAGAAATCATATCATTGTTCTTTGCGCGAACGGCAGCCTGTAGCGGAGTTTGCCGGAGCGTGAAACTGGACTCGCCTTCTCGCTCCCTGTCGCATGCATTGACATCTGCGTGAAGTGAAAGCAGCCTTCGAATCAATGCCGGCTGACCAACACCTACGCTATTCAATGCAGGTACAAGAAGTGAACCGTAAGCCAAGGAATTGTGCACATCTGCTCCACGGTCTATGAGGTCGTGAGCTATATCGTAGTACCCTTTGGATATCGCGACCTCGAGAGGAGTCCCTAAAGTCGTCGCGGATATGGATTTTTCATCAACTTTAGGGTTGACATCCGCTCCATGAGCGAGGAATAGTTGGTACAGTTCCTCATCTCCCTTTGCTATGACGTTGACAAATGGCGAACCCCAGTATCCGGCACTGAGATTTACGTCTGCCCCCTTCGCGAGCAGATTCTCAATTATGTCAATTCTCCGCTGCTCGACTGCGATATTAAGGGCCGATCCACGCAAATCGCCGCGTTCGGTCACGTTTGGATCCGCACCACGGTTCAACAGGTACTCAAACAGGTCATAATCCGGTCGGTCAAGTGCGACAAGCAAAAATGGCCTGCCCTCTCCATCTTTCGCATCCAGTGGCAATTGAGCACCTCTAGCAACCATGATCTTCGTCTTTGCGAAAATCTGGCAGTTGTTGGGCCACCAGTCCAACCCAAAAGCCTTGCCGCCAAATCTAACAACGTCTATCCCTTTCGAAATAAGAAACTCAAGCATGTGAATTCCGGACATTCTGAGAGCAAAGTTCAGCGATTTCACAGCTGCTTCTTCGGAAGCATTTATGCTGAGACCTCTGTCAAGTAGGAGCTGAACAACGAGGATGTCGTTAGTCGCAACTGCAGTATCCAATGCAGATATTGTATCTTGGTCGCTATACTGAAAGAACTTTGTTGAATGGTGACCCTTCGACATAAAGTTCAGATCTGCGCCACAATCAAGGAGGAAGGAGACGATCTCGATGTGGCCGTACGATATAGCTGCTCTCAATGCAGTGCTGAAACTGCCGCTGACCAAGTTGACGGGAGCTCCTTTATTCATCAAGTGCTGTACCATCTTTAGATTTCCCCCTTTAGCTGCGCCGTGTAGAGGAGGATTGTAGTTCTCCCCTGAACGATCAAGAGCTGCCCCTGCATCAAGTAAAATATCAACTATAACGTCATGACCACACCAAACTGCCGCACTGAGAGGATCACCGTACTCTCCATATAGCTGATCAGGATTGACTGAGGCACCCCGGTCAAGAAGGAGCCGCACAAGCTTTTCATCACCCTTTGCCGCAGCCATCTGCAAAGGCTGGCCACCTTCCTGTCCTTGTAAGCCGTTGACATCTGCACCAGCTTCGACTAGATGTCGAACCTGCTCGAAGTCGGACCTGGCAATTGCATACTGAAGAATGGATCCAAATCTACGACACGTTAAGCTTCGAAGGGTATACGGCAGATTGTACTCACTTCTCGTGCTCTTCATTTGGATTTGCACCTTTGGCAAGCAGTATTGGCACCAAATGATACTTGAAACTAAAGTCAAGCGCTTCTTCTAGAGCCTGAGGACCGAACGTAGCTCCTAGATTGAGAAGCTTCTCTGCGGCAGCGACGTTTCCTGAAAAGATGGCCATGTCAACAGGATACATCTCATCGCCACCTCTTTGGTGAATATCAGCTCCTGCCTGAAGCACAAAGTCTAGGAGTTCCGTGTTTCGAGATTGTATTGCTCCCTTCAATGCAGTTCCATAGAAGTCATCTGTAAATCCGTTGATGTTCGCGCCGTGCTTCAATAACAGCTTCACCACGTCGAGGTCTCCTCTTTTCGCGGCTTCTGCTAATGGATTGGACATCGGCGCAATTTTCGCCCCCTTTTCTAGAAGCAACCTCACCAGCTCAGGACAGGAATGTTCTGCCGCGACGGCTAGTGGATTCCATCCTCCTTCTGCAGGAAAGTTGACATCAGCACCATTGCACATAAGCACTTTGACGGTCTCCTGGTGGTTCTTCAATAATGCCGCAGACAAAGGGGTGCCATATCGTTGGGAACGTTTATGCATATCAAACCCGTGGTCAAGAAGAAGCTGAACGGACTCTGATTGACCGGTGATGCAGGCTGTGTGTAATGCATCGCCTTCGTACAACTCGCCATCTTTAACGGGGGCTCCTGCGTCAATCAGCTTCTTCACTGCATCTGGAACCCCCGATTCCGCTGCGTCTTTCAGTAAATCGCCACATATCGTTGCTTTAACGTCTGCCCCCGAAGCAAGCAATATGTCGATAACCTCAGGTTGACCACCACGAGAAGCGCCAACAAGAGCCAGATTGAGAACTTCTAATTGATTTTCGTCTTCTTGGATAGTCTCTATCAGAGCTTTAACAACCGGTACAAGCCCGTAATATGATGCATAATAAAGTGGAGGTTGAAAGTCTTTTGTAGAGCGCTTGGTAGCCCCCATGGAGAGCTCGTTTCGCCAATGTTGGGGATCATACAGATTTAGAAGGTTCAACAAGTGGTTTTGATTATTCGGGTCGAAGAGTCGTAGTAGCAAGAGCTTTATGGAGTCATCACGTTCATCACCCCTTATCGAACTGAAATGATTGGACCAGTAAAGAGCTGAATAGGCTAGCAAAGGGAAAGCCTTGAAGTCTCGCTCCAACAGTCTTTTCCCGCCATTGAATTCGAGCAAGTATATCAGGCATGCCTTTGTGATGTACTCGTGAGCTAGAGCCTCGTTGACGATGGAAATTTTTGGCAGAACACCTTGTGTCCGCTCTGCGAGTAAGTATTCTTTCACTGAGAAGTGTGCAAACTGGAGCACTTTCCAAGTAGGATCGTTCCAGATGCTGTTGCTGTACCAGACACCTTCTCTGCGGAACGGTGAATCACCGTTCTTTGGGATCTCTGTCAATGAAACAAGGCTGGAGCAAATTTCAAGCAGGTCATATGCGTCGCAAAATCGATCATCAACGGAAAAGCTCTGATTTGCAACGTTGATAGACGTAGCTTCAGCAATCTCTTGGATAGTCATCGGTCTTGCTGAAAAGGCAAGGAAAATCAGAGCCGCACGCAGTTCCGATCGATACATTTCTGGAACGTTGCTCAAAATGCGAGCATATGTCTCATCCAGCGTCTTGGGAAGCTTGTTGAGCTCAGCTCTGATTTGCGCTGGCTTCAAACACTTTCTCAATTCCGCAAGTTGGCAGGCAGCCCATCGAAACCTTTGGCCGTCAGTTGAACTCGAGACTCAACAGGATTGAAAGTACTCACATGCCGCCGGCCTTTTCCATCAACTTGTCTTCGATTTCCTGCTTGATATTCGGAGGCCACCGGTTCAGCTTGTCGTCTTTCTTCGACAAACACGACCGAACGTGCAATCTAATGTCATTGTTGATGGACGTGAGATGCACGTCGACTTCAATGTCACAGATCTGCTTCATTCTTTCCTTGATATCTGTCTCTGGTCGACTTGCAACGTAGACACTTAGTTGATTCGCTCCAAGGTTCTTAAGCTCTTCGAGAAGTGCAAGCACGTATTCACGCTCCGAGGTGTCTTGACCGGGGCATTCGTCCAGTGCGTCGACAACCATGAATATCCGAGACGAGGCGATTGCGAGGGTCTTAAGCACATCAATTAGCTGCTCGTTGCTCGGTGAACCACCTCTACACTCCTCATAGAGTTCCGAAAGAGCTGGCGGAGTGGATTTCCTATGCTGACAGATCTGTTGGATGATCGAACAAAGCAGGCCACTGGCGCTTTGATTTAAAGTGTTCCGGAAGTCGAAATAATAATATGCTATCGTGCAAGGAGTATTTGAATGCTGGTTTTTCAAGTACTCAATAACTGCAGTGCTCAGAAATGTCTTTCCAGCTCCTGGAAAGCCGTGCAGCCACAAAAGCTGACCTCCTCTCGTGAACCAACTTTGAAACTCGTCCGCTTTCAAAAGCCATTCGCATGTTCCGGGCTCACGCTTAGCTCTCGCATTGTTGTACGTCACAGACGGGTCGGGTCCGCTCAGCCAGCTGAGGATCTTTTGCTTCTCTTCAGCAGATTTTAGATCGTCTAATTTTCCGCTGATTTCCTCAACGGCATCTTCCACTCGATCAACACCAGTGCTGATATCGCCAGCTAGAGCAAGATAGAAGTCTGCTTTCAGAGCAGAAATTCGTTCTAAAAGCTTGTCGACCCCGCGGGACTCAAGTGGCCACTGCAGTCGCTTTCTCAATCCCGAGGCGTCAGTCAAAATCTTAATGCGGGTTTCTAGCTCAGCAAGTGTGTCCAACGCACTTGGAAAAGCGCCATTTGGCCGACCGAGAGATTTGAGGATGGAGTATCGCTCATCGTGCGGATTCTGAGCGATCTTCTGCAGCTGCTCGAGGATGTTTCTCACGGCCGTCAGCTCATCAATAATTGCCGTGATTTCAGCCGGCGCATTCTTGGCCTTTTGAATATACGCATAACAGCAGCTGACAACGGCGGCGGAAAATTGAACCAGCTGAATGATTGTTGCAGCCTCGGCCATGATTGTAGGAAATCATTAAACTAGGATCCAGTCCAGAAATAACCAACTCTTATAGGTCATCAGAATGGGATGAAGTGAGAGTAGAAGCACGGCACTGAACCTACCGTCCGTCTTTTGAACCATACGTCACTTTGAATTTGACCATTACCGTCACATAGGCAACCTTTCTTTATAAGAAAAAGGACAGACTGAGAAAGAAAAGTACGGGCGAAGGGCTTGTTGTCTAAGACATTGCATCTCGTATTTCCATGTCTCAGCGCAAGAAGTCCACCAATCTTTCGCAGCCTGGCCCCCTGGGCCAAGAGTTGCAAATGCAGACGAACGGCATTTTCCGAGCGATTGCATTTCGTGAAATTTTGCGGAAGGTGAAAAAAGTGCCTTTTCATAGCATGTCTGTGAGGTCAGATTTACAGCAGGCCAAAAGAAGTCATCAACAGGAGCAACGCATCGACGTTCAGTCGTGTTGGTGGAATGATGAAATAACCATTGTCTCCAGCTTTACAACAGAAATCTCAGACACACCCAATCGCGCTTGAAGCCTTTTCCGCCACGAAAAGGAGGAATTTTCATATTAACGACTTTTGGCTGCCGCGACCTGAAATTTCGATCGGTAAATCGCTTGCGATCAAACCAAACGATACTCCGCTTCGTCAAGTGGCACAACCAGCGCAACGAAACTCCGAAAGTACATTATCAGAGGAAAATAAAATAAAATGTATATCTTACAAATATAACCCTCTTTCTTCATCGCAATTGATTACACAGCCCAGACTTTCTGAGCCAGGCTAGAAATTTAAAGTCTCCAAAGGCAAGATTTTGTTATCGACGCTGCCGTATCAATGAAGTCTTTCAGGGCCCTAGCAGTCACGATTGAAGCTTGACCCTTAAGTCAATATCTTGTGAATGCTTGTGACTGATTAGTGCGCAGCTTGAGCTGGTCTTAAGGTATAATCCAAGACGCCACCGAACAATCCATGTCCAATGATTTTGGCCCCATCGTGCCTTGCCGAGCATTTCGCCATGCAAGAAAGCTCCTAATGTTTCAGATAACGTCGTGTATCAAAGCCAGCGCCTTTGGACCAGCCTATGATACATGCAAACAGATGATTTTTCTTAGTAGCTATTCTTCGGAAACTCTCCGCTAAGCTTCAAATCTTTCTGGCTTTCCATCTCTGTTCCCGTGTCCGGACGCCCGTCATCCAGAGTCCGTCTTGTCCTTGCCCAAAAGCTTGTTGACCACTGAGCAATGGAGGTACAGAACAACAAGGCTTGGAGAATCACCACCGCGACAAGTGCCCAAAATGCGAACCTCTACTCCAGTTAGCGCTTGAAATGTCGACACTATGACGGAAAAGGAGACTCACGCTCTCAGCACACACTTTCTGAAATGAGTCATTGGTTAGGTTCTTGTCAGCGTCGTTGATGTCGATCGAACTGAGGGGAATGCCAGTAGAGAAGCGACAGGTCCATGTCTGGATCGTTTCGCGACTTCGCCCGCTGCGGTTGAGAATTGCCGAATAGACGATGCTCACTAGGGCAAGAAGAGCTGATGCTGTTGAGAACATAACGGCAGACAACATGGCACGAAAGGAACCGGCGTGAAAGTTGAGCTATTTAGATGTGAGCACCTCGCACCACTGGTTACTGCTAGTGAGCTGGTTTCAAACCTTTGGTGTTAAGGAAAGCGCAACATAGATTCCATTAAACAGGATAACGCCAGCGCCAGCTCCGATTAGGCTTCTTGCCCCGCCAGTGTCGAAATGGTCTGGCCACAGTGGTAGCCACCATGGATTCATAGCGTTAGACTCCTTGTGGTAAATGGAGTATGCATCTGCAGTCGTGCCTATTATGGCTCCTGACAAACATATCGAAAGAAGAGACAGGAGCAAAGATGCTAGGCGGAGAGGATGGCGGTCCTGTACATCAGATGCGGAAAGAAGTTGAGATTTGCGAAGCGTGGCACGGTATTCTGGTGACATGGTGGCCCTTAAGAGTGTCTTACAAGCACTGGAATGAGAACGGACGTCTCAGCAGGACGATCCAAAGCGGGACTGAAGAGAGAGATATATGATCAACAGCTACGACAAGAAGAAGAAAGTAATTGGTATAGCAGAGATCAACTAATGCTCAGGAGATACTTAAGCAGTCATTGACAGATGATTGTAGAGCAGGTAAAAGTGAAGACTGTTCCCGTCTTAACTTTATACACTCAAACACATCCAGTCTCTCAACAACCGACATAGCGCCCAATCGTTCGCGCCACCCAACATCGCATGTCCAGAAACGATGCGTGAAACAACAAATGCAAATCCTGGAGTCGTGAACGGAGCGCGTTGGTAAGGCTACGCGCCCGCTGGTTACTAGGTTTTATTCAACATAATTTTGGCTTATTTTGCAGCGGTCTGGCGGCTAACGTGCAGCGGGCCTGCAGCACAAAATGACTGAACCCCAGATGAGCGGGACGAATGAGAGCAGTCATGCGCATTGTTCCTGAGTGATTGAACATGGTTCGGAGCGGCTGCTCATTGACAAGTGGGTAACAGGAGTGAGCAAGAGGCTGAGAACCTGATTGGCTGCTGGATGTTGATGGGTCGAAGATGCGGGCGCTTAACACCGCGCCAAGAATATAAGGCTGTTAATCGGCGACCCTTGCAGGCGGCTCTCTGCTTAATTATGGAACATAAGCGTTCGGACTAGCATTCTTTGTGTACTTTGCGCTTTCTATCTCAGATTCGGTGCCTGGGGTGAAAGATGCGAAGAGTATGCGTGAAAGCAGCTCTACATGTGTCCAGCACACGACGCGAACGGCTTGTGATTCCTAGGAAGAGTAAAATCAAACCCTCGCATTCAACAGGTGCAGCGCGTTCAGAAATCGAGCTCTTATCGTCAGTGTAACAGGCATGTTGGCAGTTCATAACCATAGGTCTGAGGTATAGCGACTAGCCCAGTTGCCCTGTTAAGCCACCTGCGAACCCGAAGCGTCCACTTCGAGTCTTGGTGGGCGCCTTGCCCTTGTCTTTCTGCATTGGGTTTTTTTCAGCCCATTCCTCGTCTTCCTTGTACGTACGTATTGCAGCGTCAAGGTTGTAATCTGCCTGCTTGAGGTAAAGGATGGCTACGTCGTATCTGTACTTTGGCGGGACACTCCGCCAATTCTCAGCAACCTTCGACATTGATAGAAAATTAAGGATACGATAAAACGTACTCGTGTACTTTGCAGGCCACCATCCACTTTCGAATCTTGCTCTTTCGTAATTCCTCTTCCTCGCCGTCGATTGGCTGTGGCGATAAGCTTATGCCACCCTTATAGTATTCTCCCGGAATCAGGATCGTCTTGCGGCCCGCTAGCAGATTGTCCTGGAATATTCCGTTCTTCTTCCTTATAGCATCTGCAGGTACGCCGTACCGTATGGCCAGCGTATTCACGCTATCGTTGACCGGGTCTACAAAGTGTAGAACGTCCTCGCCTACCTGGGATTGCTTTTCGGAAAGCCATTGCGGCCGTTGATACAGATCGGAATATTGCGGCAACTCGGAATACGTGGACGTGAACATACTATCTGGAATGGAGCTCTCATAGCCCTCTTCGCCGTCGAGGTCGTCAGCCGGAGGAGCATACGGTGGAGGGTCTTTTAGACCTTGCGGCAAAGCTGTAGGCATGAGGGAGATTTGGCAGAACGGGCAATACGTCTGGAAGCGAGGATTATCTGTCGTACAGCGCGCACATATAGCACGGACACAACAATCTAATCGACGTTCGTGTCTGGCTACGGGCTTCTCTGTCTTCTCGTCGTAGTTAGGCGGGATCGAGGACAATAATGCGGCGCACGTGCAGCAAGCCTCATTGCTCATTGTGCAGAGATGAGATTAGGAGCAAAAATCTAGTTGTGCAAGGACAAGTCTAGATGCCTCTGAAACGATTCACCTCATGAACGCTGTAAGCACGCTACACCTTTGTGAGTCGTTGCATCATCATTGTAAGCAGCAAATGCGGGATCGGCATTCGTCTGCGTATTTCTTGTACCGAATGCGTACATTTGATACGCAAACCGGGAACCTCCGACGCTCTTATCTTTCGCTTTCGTTACCTCGCTCCTTGTTCCTAGTCCGAGTCGCGAAGCTTCATATTTTCACGCGCATTTCAAACCTAGAACTTTATGGTAGTAGGAGAGCATATTAGCCACTTGCGGCTCGGCGGTAACCGACCTCAAACAAAAGGGAGTAAGGAGAGTGCTCAAGTTTGAGTAATTTTCGTTCGAAACCATGGCCTGACTGACTTTTACGACCCAATTCTCTTTGCCAAGATTCTTCAAGTCTCATGTTTGTCTTCTTTCATTCATATATGCTCGGCAGATGTGTATTTATTGCCCAGTGCAAAATCCGCAATCGCAGGATTCATATAGCGCCAAGGGATCTAGCTCAGAGTTTGGAATTCACATCTTATCAGCTTGGGGAGAAAACTCCTCATCAATAGTGATACATCTCATAACGAACTGCTAACCTTCCGGTTCTTTCAATAATACCATCTTTTCTCTATGCAAGTGCAAGAACTTTACAAATATCATGGGCGAACTCTGCAAAATGAAAGGAAAAGTAAAGAAATAAAAGGATGAAGGAGATATGGGTCCTGGTCTGAACAACGAATTCATCATTGTTTGTAATCCAAAGCTTTGTACATATCAGAAAGGCCATTATAATATGTTAGTACAGTCGTCATAGACCCTCCCTTTATTTAAGAACAGTAAGTTGGTATATCATTTCAGCAAAATCCGCGTCCAACCATGCATATCGATACAGCATGGCAGCGCTCTGGGGCTTGATCTCTTCACGAAGGAATACCAAAGCGAATGCTTCGGCGCCATCGCGGGACTCTAGTCAGCCTCAACAAAAGAAGAATGTACGTGGGTTTCGTGATTTGAACGATGCAGAATTAGGACAAGTTGCAAGCATTCTCTGTCACCAACCCGCGCCAAATACAAAGACGACCAAATTACAGATGCAAAACTACCAGCTGCTCGTCAGAAGTCAAATCAAACATCTACCAGCGCATCTTCGAGCTCAAAACCTCCAATCCCCTTTTCCAACGTGCAAGACGCACCAAGGGCTAAACTCCAGAATCGCTCAAAGCATTTTTGTGTGGATCCAGGAAGAAGTCGAGATCAACGTCCCAACTCTTCTGCGGATCCTCGAAGGAACTTATTGTGATGGGGACATTGTGTATGACCATCTTCATAGGCTTCATGAGATCTCAGCGATGTGGACAAGAGCTAAGATTTATCAAAGCAGGACAGGGCGTGATGTCAATCCGAGGTGGTCCTTCCAGAACGATGGCTGTGCGTCATGCATGCTTGCGAGAGTTGGTGGAGAAGCCGATATTCTTCTCGCTCTGAAAGGTAGCATGACGGCGACCACGTCGCCGACGGACGTTTCGAAGAGCAGGCGACATCTGTACCTTGACGCGTTGATCGCAAAAAATTTCGACCCAAAGGTCTCGACGATGATTTTCCAAAGCGCCGAGATCATACGATTGAAGGTGAAAGAACACACGTGCTTCTTGGGACGTTGGGAACCTGAAAACCAAGGAGAAAGACGCAGCAAATTTTCGGGAGTGCAAACGACAAAGCAGGACGGTGACAGTCCATCAGGCATTGAGCACTCTCGTACTAGAATATCCGTCCCATGCGCTGCGTCTTGTGATCACTCAGACAACGACTCTTCCGAACAGTACACACCCATCATCGACATAATCGACGAATATCGGGAAACTCTTCGTATCCGGGACACCAGCGAAACCATTCAGCTTGCAAGGCGCGTGGAGGATCTCGAAGATTATCCTTTTGTCATTGATCGGGGGGTCTCAAGCTCACCCCGCTCTGCTTTCGATAGAGCATCAATGTCGACAAGTCCGGCTACTCCTCCATTTGGCCATTAAAAATTGACAAGATCGCACTTGAAGCATTAATACACCCCGAAATGATAAAGTTGCGTGGTACAAAGACCTGAGTTATGTCGCAGAGCTAGGGCTGGAACAGTTTCTAAGCCCACTTGATTAAAGACTAGGGCTAGCTTCGTCAATTACAAGAGAAGAATAGACACACGCTGCTTATTCAATCCCATGTAGTGCTAAATACAAAGCTGGCGCGTGAAACTTTGTTCTCAGTTCTCGAGTTCGAAGCAAAATATTACGAAGCAAAAAAATACAGAAAGTTCTAAGTATCACCGTGGCATGGCTTACGATAGTCACAGTTGCATCCTCGAATATTCAACTGTAACACAAAGGCAGTCCGTCACTTGAGCATAGGGTTGATCTCTTTTAGTTCTTTCATTGCGTATAAACTTTGAGAAATTCCCATTACTCTCTCCAAGTTCTACTTGGTCTAGTTAAGATTATCTACTCTACCCAAGCCGCATAATTCTTTATCCAGAGTTCGATTCACGTCAAGAGAACAATAGCGTAAAAGCAAGATGGCCAGGCGAACATATGTGCCTCTCAAGTTCGAAGATGAGAGTGAGCTGGATATCAAGTCACCGAGCAGAACGACCAAAGTCGTGCACCACCCACTTCCACATAATCAGCAATCGGGGAGCGCAGAATTACTGCGTATGACTGGGCAGGGCTCTGTTTCCGATCCGAATTCTCCAAAACGAAGTCGAGACGACGGGGCACAGTTCCAGCCCGAAAGAGCTATAGAATCTTTCGGGACATTTTCGAGAGACGTGCACAGCTATCCCCAAAACGTCACCTCCGGGCAAGACGATGTCGCCACGACTGGTGGATTCCCCCTGAGTCCAAGTGCTCTCTCTACAGGGCCGCATCATCACCACGTCCGCGCCCTTTGGGCGTCACCAGACGGCGACAACCATCGTCCTGCCGCTCCCAAAAGCGGACCCGATCAGATATCAGGAGTAACGGCGAGAATTCCACCTCAATCGCAGCCGGCGATCGAGCCGACATGCATGTGCGCGCTGGGAACAAGGCCTCCGCCTCGACTAGACTGGGCGGCTATAGGAGCCACCGCAGCGCCTGCGGAGGACAGACCGTTTCTCTGCCAGAACTGCCACGAGTTTTACACGCACCGGGCTCGAGAGTGCAGCCAAATGCGACACGTCCCATGGATCTTCCCCGAGATGGAGGCTGACTACGTGTGCTTCCACTGCTGGACAGCCTTGACGCCGGCAGAGCGCGACGAGTACGAGGATTTGTTTTTGGAGAAGTGGGGAAGTAGATTTGGAGTCCCTCAGAGGTTGGACACGGATGAGTATTTGAAGATGATGGAGAGAAGAATGAGATGACCCTCTGTGATGATGATGATGATGATGATGATGATGACAACGCAATGGTAGATGATTTCAAGCAGCATAGTTCGTGCTATTCTAACCTCAGTGCTTTGACAGCCCTGTGCGCCGTTCCAAAAAAGACGACAGCGTCAAACATGATTTGTATGAAAGGAACCGGGCACAGTCAGGTCGGCTACCTGTCAATGTGAAGAAACGAAATTGTTGACACTTGTGATCCGGAATTCGTCAAAAGGAATTCGTCAAAAGGATGAGTCTGAACCAAAAGTGCATCTCTTGTCTAATTTCTTCCCAAGCTTCCGGTAATGGAACGCCAGACGAAATAGAAAAGATTTCTATAGTTTCTAGATCCGTGGGAAAATTCGCTCGACGGGAGCAGGAGCTCCATCGGATCGGAGGAGAAAAAAAAAGGAGGAGTGATCTTTTCAAACGCGTCGACGGTGTCACAAAACGCCAAGTGCTCTTTCTCCTTCCCAGGGCATTCCGCCATTATCACGCCCTTCTCTACAGCTTGCTTCGCGAACTGTCCTCCTCGACTTCGTCTTCGTCCCCGGCCTGCGCCACGGCCACGCACAGCGCTCTGTTCAGATTCAGATCGTCGGCGACGTTGGAGGGATCGGACGCGTCACCCCTCTGCTTCAACTTCGCCTCGTTTTCCCTGTCGTTGAACGCGTTCGGGTCCTGGATGAAGCTCTCATCGCCGGAGAAGTGCCAGCCGCGCTCCTCGCCGCCGGACAGGAAGCTGCAGTCCGAGTTCAGGACGCAGTCCCAGCCGCCCATGACGCCGACACCCTCCCACTGCACTCGGGGGACTTTGTCTTGCTGTCGGAAGTCCCACGCGTCCACGGCGGGGACGTCGCGGGCGGTCCGGTACGGTTTTCTCCGGTTGTACTGCGACAGGCTGGCCGTGAAGCACTTGAAGTCCTCCTCTGTGACGTCCTCCGGCATACGCCCCGTCAGGGCGCGCCCGATTGAGATCATGACGGCCGCGTGCATGCATATCAAAATGGTTTTCCAACCCTCCCGATCTGCCCTCTCGATGGTCTTGTGCAGCGCGTACGCCACGCGGTTGTGCAGCCCCTCGATCGACTCGCCGTACCGGTTCGGCCGCACGACGCCGTCGGCGCCCCGCGAGTCCGTGTCCCCCTCCCGCTGCTCGTCCCACTTCAGATCGAGGTCTGGGAAAAAGTTGCGCCTGAGCAAATGGTACGCCAGCGGGCTTGGCTGTTCGCGATGGTCGCCCGTCTCACCGTACCACTCTTCGAACCCGCTCTCGAGAAGCACGCCGTTTCTGTATCCTCTTTCCTTTTGAAGCCGCAAAACACCCGGTTTGAGCGTCTGCAGACACCTGTAGTACGGGCTTGAGATAATCTGGTCTACGGGCGGATCGAGCAGGGTGAGCTTGACGCCAAGCTGTTCGGCCTGCGTCTCGCCATAGGAAGAGAGTGCTGGATCTGCGGGAAGGCCTGTGGGCGTGGGGATGTTGGAATAATATCGTACTGCATACGGGTCTACCGACCAGGTCATTCGGAACTAGAGCAAAATTCAGCAATGCACTGATTGACGTTCGCGTGCCCGTCCTGGAACATACACCATGGCGCACGACGTATATAGTCTCCAATACCATGTTGGAGCGTTCTGAGTTACAGAGAGTCAAGTGAGATGGCAATACAAGTTTCGAAATGCGCGGCAGCCACTGGTATGTCAAATACCTTCTATTTCAGCATGGATGTGCCTCGGCTAGCATCACAAGGGCGGAGCGGGACACCAGTCGGCAGCTTCATGGTATAGTTAGTGATGAAAGATTGCAACGACGTGCCAGGACTCGCCGAATACGCTGTTTTGGTTAAACTCATTACGACCTACGCAGAATCTTGATCGCCCAAAATTGGTGATTGTGTTATTATTGATGCCGATCTCGGCATCATCATAAGGCTGAAATGTGAAACATGATATATTAAAAGTTATGGTGGAGGTCGGCGTAAACTTTGCCAGACGCAGAGACTAGAAGGAAGGATTTCGGTTGTAGGATATTTTTAATAGTGCAGTTCAGAAATGTGGCACGTTGATGAATTTCAGATTTCTCATTCCTCATATAGACTTAGGTATGGGTATCTGCCGAATCCCAATCATGCCATTTGCATGCGAGGAAGAATTCTTACGCCATTTTAGATGCCAACTTTTGTTCTTCCGTCAAAGCAGTGCTCTTTGGAAATTCTAATAGAAGAAACCCAGAATCTTGCCGGAGACGTGCTTTCTCCTGGCCTCCTCATGGTCCATAATGCCAGCCGATGTGGTAAGCACAACGTGGCCGAACTGACGTGAGGGCAGAAGGTTGGTGACCCACTTCTCCAAGTCCTTCAGCTGGACGTTGTAGCGGGGGGAGATGACACCGCACTTGTTCAGGCGACCATTAAGCTGAATAACGATCTTGCCGTTACGGTGGTCGTCGACCTCCTCGAATTCGCCAATGTAGCCTATGCAAAGATCCATTAGCACATGGTGGCCTGGTTGGAATTCAAGATGTTGCGAAGATTTAAACGTAAAACCTCATGGAGGAGAGATGGATGGAAGGGAAACGTGTAAGATCTTCGCTAGACCAAAGTACGTCTACTCTCTCGGGCACTTAAAGGGCTGAGATCGTGGGAGTGTATGAGACCGCCGCCTAGTTATCAACCCGATACTTTTGGTTCCACGGTAGTGGTGGAGGAATGCCATGTTCAAGTGTAAAGGGGGGTGAGGGCACTATGAGAGAAGCGAGTTCACACAAACGTACCGTGCTTCTGCATGACCTGGAGGAACTTGACAATGACCTTGGAGCTTGGTCGGATCAGGACCTGGCGCTTGCCGGCCTTCTCTGCGTTGTTGATGCTCTTGAGGGCATCGTTGAGGACGGAGGTGCGAGTCATCTTGAGCGAGTAATGAGATTCTCAATGGCCCGTGGCGAAAGAGGTATCTGCATGTTTGCAACTCATGTTAGATATTCGATTCAGATGAAGGGTGCCTCGCTTGCTTCATTGAGCCAGAGAGGGTTCTTCATCTATTTGCCCAGCGTGGGACAGGTGTGAAAAATGAAGGTGCTCATCACGAGTACGCGATCAAGGCATTGCGTGTGATTGACCTCCGGGACTCAATGAGGCAAGCGATACAGCGTTTTGCAACAAGAGGATCCTCACCTCGAGGGGAGTATTTCGTGGGTGAAGGTGGTTTAATTTTGTATTAACTTTTTGGTTTGTTGCAGGAGCTGTTCGAAGTGCGACTGTGATAATTTTTCCCATGGGTGCGCGTGCAATCTTGGCATTTGTGGCCTGAAGGCCTTGGTGCCGTAAGCACGGGCCCCCGCTCGTGCCGCACTTTCGCATTTTCGAACGAGCGCTCGCTTCTTAGGGACTTCTCGACTGTCCAACGAATCCTCCATATTCCACAACTCAGACAACATGGTGCGTTGTATTTGTGTTGGACACAATTGACTGGAACTCCGCCGCTAACATCGCCACCAGGCTCCAGCAGCGACCGGAGGCAAGAAGCAAAAGAAGAAGTGGTCGAAGGGCAAGGGTACGTCAAAAGTCTCTTCGTTTTTTTGTGCGTGGACGGTGAAGGACAGCGATATTGATACACCGATGTTACAGTTAAGGACAAGGCCAACCACGCCGTCGTCCTGGACAAGACCACGTCCGACAAATTGCAGAAGGATGTGCAGTCGTACCGCCTCATCACAGTCGCTGTGCTCGTCGACAGACTAAAGATCAATGGCTCCCTTGCACGCGCGGCTCTCAAGGACCTTGAGGAGAAGGGCCAGATTAAGAAGGTTGTTTCTCACAGCAAGATGCAGGTCTACAGTACGTCCCTCTCCCGCACCCTTCCCTTCTTCGCGGCGCTGTTAATTGCGCTCAGAAATGTGATGTGAAGGCGAGACACTAACGGTTGATGCAGCGCGCGCGGTGGGCGGTGCTGATTAAGCAGCGGATTGGAATGCATAGGGCTATCGAGAACTCGATCCAAGCGGTTGAGAACAAAAAGGCTCGATGTACGGATGTTTCAAGAGCTCGTCGTGGCATATATGGAAATCATGGGTCAAGGCGTCTGAGCATGTCATGTATCTTCTTGTCTAGCTGGATGGCAACACACGTTTGCATCAGCGTATAGAAACAATCCGGCAAGCAACTGCAGCGCATATAATGCCAATGCATCGCTTCCATCCATCAGCCCCTTCCAAGTCTTCCGTGCTACGTTTTAGATGACAAACGTGCTACGTGCCTGGTCTCGCAGTTCCTCTCTTGTACTCGGGTGGCTTGTCAACGTCGCCCCTCTTTGGGCGGCCTTGCTGAGCAAGAGCGCACAACTCCCTCTTCGGCAGCTTGTCCAACCATCCGGGCTCCCTTTTGATTTCGCCCACGTAGAAATAGGGTCTTCCGGTCTTGCCGGAGAAGACCGACGCCCAGTGAGCAATGGTTCCCTGAATCTGCTTTTTGGCGCGGCGCACGTCTCGTTCTCTGCGTATCTTCTTCTCCGCCTTCGTCAGCTCCGCCTCCTCGTCCGGATCGTCGAGCGGGATGAACATCTCCTCGACGCCGCGTATGTCGGGCGTGAGGTCTTCCTGGAAGCAGCCGGTGAGGAACGCCCGGGTGGCGTCCTTGCCCGAGAAGAACGAGTAGCCGCCCCCGGGACCGTACGTGGACGGCGCAGCGGAGACGTCGTAGATGCTGCCGTTCAGGCCCACGTAGATGGGAAGAGAAGGGTCCGTGCCGTTGTAGAGAGCGAGCTCCTCGTCCGTAAGCAAGATGGGGCCTTTCTGCGAGCGTGAAGAACAGGTCAGCCCAGAACGGTTCCGTGCAGTGAGGGGAAGGGGATGATTTAGACGTCCGCACGTACAAAATACAGCTTCGCGGAGCCGAGCAGCGTCGGCAGCTTCCGCCAGTTCCACACCAAGCTCTCGCCCGTGATCAACCACGACAGGGCCATGACCAGCAGCAGCCCTGCCACGACGATGCGGCCAATCTCGGCGACGCTCATCCGACCGTTCCCATCTTGCTCATCTGCGGCGGCGGATGCTGCTGAGGAACCAGAGTTGGCGGGTGTGGCCTTCGTGGAAGGTCCTCCTGCTGCTGCTGCCGCCGCCGCCGCGGCGCCGCGCTTGCGGAGTTCGCCTTCTTCTTTGTGTTGTTGTTTTGCAGACATGACGGGGTAAAGAGAACTTTTAGGACATGAAAAATTTCGGCGACGGAAAACATATCAGAGCGAGAGTACGAATTTGGAAACGAACACCATGGCGGCTGTTGGAACAAAGGAGTGGGAGAAAGGTGCGTAAGTGAGTAGGTGGCGCGGGCTGGATGAAGTGACTCGTGTTGGTGGTGTTTGGCAACGTGAGCCGGAGCGGCCTCCTGTGTTTCGTCGCCCAAAACGGAAACGTCTTCTCTGCTTATCCTCGTACGTGGCTCGCCATTCTTCTCCAACATGTCGTAGCAGTTATAAGAGCATATCATTGCGGCTTGCCGAGCCCCATACGATCCGTTTTCCGTGGACATCCAAGGCGTGTTTACGAACAAGATTGTCTCCAAATCCTACTCGCGCTCTTACTATGTGGTTCTGTCCAGTGCAGGCCTACATTTGTCGACCTAACTAGGTTGAGAAAGAAAAAATATGAAAAGCTGAAAGAGAAAAAAATAACGGTACTCTTTTTTTTTTTCAAGGTCCGGTCATTTTCCAAGTGTCACATTTCGGCCAGCTTTTCGTCGTGGTCGCAAGTCCAACGATGTCCCAGGCTGAGCAACTGTGGCTCCCACCGACGACGGAACATAAGTTGACCTTCTGGGTTTGAGGCCGTGCGAGGAATGCTTCCATACACGCCGCCTCCTTTCCTTCTTGTGGATCGCCATGAAAAGATCTAAAGACTGACACGTCCACCGATCGGGTTTGGACCCCTCTTAACCTCTTGGCCTCTGCTCGAGATGCCGTCGTGGCTAGGGAACACTACTTACACTGCCTTGCCCTGGTAAGCACGTTTCGAAGAAACAAAAAAAGAAAAAAAAAAACCGGGTGCTAGGGACCAACGAATACGGAGACCTCATCTGTGAGAATTCTTCTACATAATGCTCAGGTATTACAGTTCGGCGTTGTCTTATCACTACATCCCGCCTCGGTCCTGCCTCTATGATTGTGTCTTCGGCTGCGACCGATGTACATGATGACGCGCCCCGTGGTTTTTCATCCACACAGTGTTGATAACTTCTGGCCATTGCCCTTTTTCGAGACATCTTCAAGCCACTTCTCAAGGATGGCAATCGTCTTTTCACACTCCTCCTCGTCGACTCTTTCGCGCAGCGCTTGGTACATCTCTTCCTTTTTGCACCGCTCGTTTCTGCCCAAGATGGACTTCCTCAAGTGCGTTTTCAGATGATCGCGCCAGTTGTCCTTCCGATCCAGACGCTTGCCACAACCAAACCGAGCCGGCAAAGGACAGGGAAAATCCTTCTCCCCCCTGTGAGTCTTTTCGTGTCGTCGTAGGTGCTCCACTCGCTCAAACGACTTTCCGCACTCACGCCCGTTTACACGCTCGGTACACCTCCAGTTCTTTGCGCTACTTAATGGGCATTGGAACTGGCGGCCAAGACTGTCTCGGTATAGCGCTGTTTGAATCTTGGCTGGTCTGGAGCGTAACCGCTTCTGTCCAACCGGACGGCTTCCAACTTTGAGGCTCGTCCTCGATTGCTCCGTGTCTAGAGGCTGACAGGCGTCGACAGGCTCTGCAAAAATATCGTGCGCTTTCCGCTTGTGACTTGTCCGCCAGGACGGTGCGTTGGCTGAACTTTGAATGTCATGGTGGGAGCTTGCGTTCTGGTGGCCGATACAAGAACTGCAGTCGCTGTTCGGACTGGGAACGGTAGATCCCTCCAGATCAGTGTCGTCAAGGAATATCTCGCATTTACTCGCAAATTCAAATGATGGAGATGTGTTATGGAGCGGTATAATTGTTGAAGTCGGTTCGAACGCAGTCAACTGCCGCGAGACATCTGCGGAAGGGGGCCATTGGTACTCCAGGGCTGGAGAAAATTCCGTTTCTTGCTGCCGGAATGCGTCGTTGTAGTCTGCTTGCATTTGGACCTGTTCGTTTCCCCACGGCATGTTTTGAGCAGTGCCTGGAAAGGGACATCCGGGAACATTGAGATCGTCCTCCATCAGCATCGAAAAACTCTCATATAACGGCATCGTGCCTTCGGGCTTTGCAGAAATTTCTTGCGAAATCCCACCCGCGTTATTGAGGCCAGACTGCGCAAATGCCCATTGGCTCGTTTCGACCGACTCAGGGCTTACGGATTTTACAGCTGACGACGTGGCATGCACTCCATACCGCTCCGGATGGTCGCCGTAGTGGTCGCTTGATTGGGTTGAGCTGGATATATTTCCAATCGAAGATCTCGATGTGCAGTGGCGTGCATCCGTCATGATCTCAGGACATCTAAGAGTGCTTTGCTCGCCACAATAACCCAACGAGCATGCGCTCGACGAGTGCGACGTGAGCGACGGTGACGGCGAAAAGCACGACCAAGATATCGACGACATCGACGACTTCTTCTTATGCTCGCTCGAGAATGTCGAAGCGAGAGCAGCTGGCCCTTGCCTAACTCCACGAAAGGCATCGACGCAATGGTAGCCCATTTCCGGTGGCGTGCCGTTTTCAGGTTGCCATAGGTTCATGCTTCTTTCTCGGTCAATGCTCCGCGACAGGTCCGGAAGATTATGACAGCGGCGTTTTTGAAAGGGAGTGGAAAGAGAAGAGGATGCATAACTAGCACACGGGTGCACAAGTTCTTAAGCAAGCCGCCAAGAGGGTGGAAGAACGGAAGAGAAACAAATGATGTTGTTTTGAAGCTGGATCTGGCGTGTGGGTTTGAGCACCGATTGGAGAGGACATATGAAACAACTAACGATTTCATATGATCCTTCACGATGGTCAGTTCGTCTGTCCTATGCTCCAACTTTGGAAAACTAGAAGGCATTGTTCCCTTTGAGTATCCGTGTGGGGCAGATCTTAAAACCAGGTCACCACAGAAAGAGCGTCAGAGCAAGAGAACACGGCATCTCTTGGGCAGAATGCCAAGACTGTTCAACAACGTACGGTCTCGATAACCAAGGCCATCGAAACGTCCAAAGCTCGCGCACAAGACCAAAGCGCTTTTGCCGCGTGCCTACAGAAATCTTCTAAACGGGTGTAAGCCACGAAAAGCCTTGACGAAAGATGAAACCATGAACTCCAGCTTCTAAGTTCAGGCCTGGGCGATCTACAGAGCCCAAAGAGAAAAGGATCTTGCTGAAAAAGTAGACGAAGGGAAAAAAAAGGGCCTATCCACGAAGCCGAGAGAAGGATGATGGTGCCCGCCAGCCTCTGCTTTATCCGTCGACGGGCTGTGCCCTCTCGAAAGCCATAAACCGACCAGTCGAATTCGATCGCTTGTGAATGCGTGGCAAACGCTTCAGCACTGATGTGCATAGGTCTTCTCGTCCGTACGCCTTCGCGATCTCACCCAGCTAAATACAGAACAAACGTCCGGGATGCATTTGGCGTGCAAGGTGGATATTTCTTTCCTGAAGTTGCCACATCTCTCGTGAAGCTTCTGCTGAGTTAGGCGGGCCTCCAGGATGTGCGGCTCCTTTGGTAGAAACAGCGGAACGTCATCTGTTGATCATGGCGACAACGAGTGGAACGACATGCATGCTCTGGCATTTCGAGCCTGCCAATGAATGAGAACACGCACTGATCTATTTCTGCTCTGTGTTCAAAGGACAGGCGAACGCTCGTTCGCGCCACCGAAAAAAAATCCTAACGAGGTTCTTTTCGAGACCTCTGCTGTGCAGCAAAAGATAATGGAAGTGGACCTTCTTTGCTCAGGACACTCAGGAAGGCCAATTTTAATCAGCTGCTGTCGGGTGAGCAAGACAAGACGTGCAACTGGTCCTGTGCGGCTACCATAGCTTATACAAGGAAAAAGCGCCAACCAAGTTCAAAAATCAGCGGACCAAAAAAAAAAAAAAAAAAAAAGAGCAGCGAAGTGGCTCGACGGCTAGAGCTGCCACTGTGGTATCCTCGAGCACAGTTCTCGGACCATTTTCCTGTTGGCCCTCGGCAGAGAGGCACAAATGCATTGCGAAACCGGTGTCCTGGTAAAACAGAGCAAATCCAACTCAACTTGGTTGCGGCTGCGATGAAGAGGGAACAGAGAACTGGACCTGAACTGAAGGAGGATTCATGAACATTCCTCGACATAAAGCCAGATCGACCACTATAAATAGAAGCGCAGGTTGCACCTGCGCAGGTCGAGCATCCTTCGACCTCCTTGCGTTCGTCGAATTGGGAGACAATTCTCAAGGGAAATTCCGACCTGCGTTTCTGATTCTGATTTCAAAATTTCGTTGGCATGCTGAAGCACTAGGTACATCATTGCCGGGAGACTGATTTACAGAAATGGCCCTGAATCACTAGAGCGAAACCATAAGGCGAGAGAAGCCATGCGGCCCAACGTTTGCGATGGTTGGGAATCTGCAAAAAAGGGAGTGCTCTGCGGAGGCTAGCGTTGGATTTTCAATTCGTTATAGCTAAAGTAGGAATTGAACGAGCAGCCACTACCGAGACATCTCGTTTTTTCTCTCCCCCCATTTGTGTGATTTGTACTGCTTCACACATGATTGATAGCTGCCACCTTTAGTCGAAAGAGGGCGGGACTGGTATCTTGCCTGTGCTGTTGAGGTCATAATATATCTGGATCTGAACATTTCCCTCCCTTTTTTTTGTGAAACCCGTCGCCTGCGTGTCCATCCCGTTATCAATGAACGCCTCGCTAGAATTCGTACGAATGACAAAGCCAGAGAAAAGAAGGAGAAAAAAAAACGAGAAAAAGAAATACCAAATGTGGCTGATCATGACCAGACGGGCAAAAGGGAAAGGGCAAACGAGTCTGGTTAAAATTCAAAATCCAAGGGTGGAATTGAGAGCCTGAGAAGAAGAGGCCAGCGCAATACAAGCAAGTTCCTCTCACGGCGACGACTTCGCTCCTGGAACAAGAAGATCAAAAGGACAAAGATATGATACAAATCGGCTTCAAGAGCCAAGGGTCCGCTCTCTTTCGACCTCTTCCCTTGAAGGCAGCGACGCATCGTACGGTCCGTAATGCTGTACCGACGATCCATGTGGCGGATACGGCTGTGCTGCTGGAGGACCCGAATTACTTGTTGGTCTCGAGGGTGGGAAACCGGTGCTTTGCGGGGTCGTCGTCGCCGGCTGCTGTTGTTGCTGCAGTGGCTGCCCAGAGGTCTGAGGAAAAGGAGGAGGGCTATGTTGATTGTTACCGTTGTGGTGATAAGGTTGCAGGTTCGGATCGTGGTTTCCGTTTGCAGCGTGATGCTCGGCAGCCGTCAGGCCCTCCAAGGCCAGTGCTCGCGGGTCTCTGTCGAATGCAAGCGAAGCGCCACCGTTGTGTTGGTGCTGCTCGCCACCAGAACCCCCGCCGAGAGCCTGCAAAAGCTGAACAGAAGCGTGATCAGTGGGCCGAAGGCCGACGCTAGGCTCACGGTCACGAGGTTCTATGTCCATGCCAGCCGTTGGTGGAATGGGAACTTTTCCCTTCTCCGGGCCCCACAGCTCGCTTTCGCGCACGTCGCGCCATGAGCATTTTGCGTGCTTCTTCGTACAGCCCGCGCAGGCGGTCAGATTCTTGATGCAGTCCATGTGCAACCTCCTGCACCGGTCGCAAGGCGGCAGCACACGATCACCTTTCTTCAAGGCCTCCATGCGCGACACCATCTCAGCACGGTACGGGCCGTCGTTCTCATTCTTCACTTCCTTGATCACGCCTGCGGTAGCTGAAGATTGAGGCACGGAGAAAGCGTGGACAGAAATGTTGTCGCCGTACGTGTGTGGGGACGGCTGTTGTTTGAACTTGGACACGTGAGCGTTGAAGCCTCGATCGGGAGTGGCTGCGGCACCACTCCCGCCGTAGCCGTTGTAATGCGACTCGCGCGGATGAATGTCGCGGTATTGACCCGACGAAGATGAGGACTGCTGATGGACGGAGGCGGTGCTCGCCCGGTGCGAGTGTGACGCGCCAGCTCCCGCTGCGGAGAAGCGGCGTGGATCTCCATTCAGAGAGCCGTAACGCTCGGCGTCTCTGCGCTCTTTCTCTGCCTGGGTGAAGAACTTGCTGAGCAGTTCTGAGCGCGTGGCTGCGGATGCGCCAGTCTTGCTGTACTCTGCAGGCCGGCCATTGGAATCGCTGTACGGAGACTGGGCCGGGATAGGGACACCGCTGCCATTGAGCACCGAAGGGCTGGTGCCTCGTATCACGGGTCCTGGCTCGTTTGCTCTGCGCTCGAGGATAGCCTGTCGTCGCCCGTTGATGCGATGCTTCAGCTGTCGTGTACGTGCAGCGACTACAAGAGTGATCATGCTGGTCAGCGACATCAGGTTTGAAAAGCACGTGTAAACGTTCACGTATCGGTCCACATGAAACGATACACAAAGGGGCGGGAGGAAACAGCTGAACGGTCCTTACCTTGGTCGGCCAAGTGGCTTATGCTGGTGAGGTTCTTGTCGAGGATCTCGAGGGTGCCCAGCTCCTTCTCTTCGTCCTCAACAATGGGCTGTGGCGGGATCAGCTTCTGCGGCATGCCGCTGCTAATGAGCATGAAGTCTTCCTCGCTGATCTGGACGCGGCACTGCTTGGTGTGGATCTGGCAGACGCGCATGCCCTCGCTCATCTGGCCGAGCACAAACTGCTCGGGCTTCGTCCTGGCGAACTCGACGACATCCAGCCAGGTGACGGTATTGCCGTCCTTGCCGTGGTTCTTGAGGATCTTGGGCGGACCATCGAACAGCCTTTCGAAGCGCTTGATGAGGATGGGCCCCAGCGGGCGGGCGCCGAGATTGCACGCCATGGACTCGTGGCGCTCCAGCACGCCCTGGTACTCGCTCAGGATGTGCAGGATGGAGGGCAGCGAGTCCTCGGTGGAGATGAGCGGCAGGTCATCCTCGTAGGCACGCGCGAGATAGTTGATGGCCAGGTGCGTGTTCGTCGTCTTCGGCGTCTTCTGGGCAGCAGGCGGAGGATCGGACGGGGTGCGCTTGCGCTTCAATTCGTGGGCGGCGTGCTGAGCTGCGGTGGCGCCTGCCACAGAATCGTCGGGAGCAGAGACAGGCGCGCTTCCGGCAGGCACGGCGGAAGCATCTGCAGGAGCGGACGCGGCACCAACGACGACGACAGCGGCCGAAGCAGACGTGTCGCCGTGCGCTGGCGCAGCAGCGTTCATGGTCCTGGGCGGCGGGCGGAGAGGAGATGCGGCGATCAAAGGCTCGACGGGAGCGGGAGCGACACAGGAATGCGCGCAAACCAAGGGGAGGAAAAGAACAAGGAGCGCAGGCGCAGGGCGAAGATGGGGGGAGGCGAGGAGGGAAGGGATCGAGCCACGTCGAAGCCAACGAGGGCAGAGCGACAGATTGAAGGCGAGCGAAGAGGCGAGAAGAGCAAAGCTGCGAGGAGGAGAGGAGGAGAGGAAACGGGGATGGTGCTGGGTGGAAATCTAGAACTTTGAGGGGGGAGGAGTGAGCGGGCGGACGGGGGAGCGGAAACGGGGAGGGGGTGGGAGGGCTCAAGGCTGCGGTACTGCAGCGGCTGCAGCGCGCGAAAAAAAGGAAGCTGTTGCGCTTGGGCTGGGTGGGGATGTGTCGACGGTCAGTGTCGACGACGGCGTGCGCTGGCTCCACTGCGGGAGCCGGGCTTGAGGGGAGTGGCGCTCGGCGTCTCGGCAGCGTGGACGCCTGGAGACAGGGCGGGTTGGCGCGTGCTGCGACTCACCAGCGCTGCCTCTGTTGCACGGAGTGCGGTGGCCGCTGCCGTCCCTCCGGGCATGCCGTGCTGCTGGTCCTGTCTGCCACGGCGCCCCGACGGCTCTGGCGCTTCCACCGGTTGGCGACGGTTGGGCGAGCCGGCTGGCGGGGCAGAGGGCAGACGACGGGCCTGGCCAACGACGTTGGGCGGGCGGGCGAGGAGGCGCTGATTGGATGGGACCACGCGTCGGCCGCAAGGGGGCGGAGCGGAGGCGGCGCCAGTGCCGGACCGGACGGGAGGCGAGAGGAGGAGGGAAGGGAAGACAAACAGTCGCCGGCCAAGCACGCCGCCTGCTGCGCTTGCTCTCGACCGCTTGTCACGCTGGGCAAAAAGCGGCGCCGACACAGCCAAACTCTCCTTCGCAGGATCCAACTCCAGCAAGCCCGTGCAGGATCAGGACAGAGCGCGCCCGCACCAACCCGCGCGCAGGCAGGAGGCGGCCCGGGACAGTCATCGTGCCTGCCATCGCGCCTGCCATCGCACTTCCAATCGCCCTTGCCATCGCACTTGCCAAAGCACTTGCCCTCGCCCCGTCGCCCACGGTCCAGCCGCACCGCCCCGCGGCAGGTGCAACCCAGGTGATCGCTGCACACACGCACTTGCCCCGAACGGTGCATTGCTGCTCCTCGGAGCTGCCTGGCCAATCATCGCACCTTCTCAGGCTCTGTGCCCGACTCCAGTCACCCACTCCCCCCCTCGCGACTTCCTGCTCCAAGCGTCGTTCCTGCTCCTTCGCCCGCTCCGTTGTCTTTCTTTCTGTCTTCCTCAGTCTCGCCTCCTGCCGCTGTCGCTGCGGGCGGCCGCATTTCGACTGCCGAAGAGGAGGACAGGCCGGGTGCGAGCGCGAGGACGAGGACGGGGACGCCGACTGCTGTGCTTGTCTGCATGGCCCGTTCCCGCTGAATCTGCTGGAAGACCAACCGGTACTCCACATTGTCATCACTGGAAACACGCACGACAACGTGACAGCTCGCGTCGAAGGCAGCAGAAACAGAGAAGCAACCGCCTCGCCACGCTGCTTTTTCTCCGCATGCACGATATGCCACTCCGTCCGCGGCCCCTGCTTGCCATCCGGATTCCCGACCTGTCAGCGCACGTACGCACGGCGCCGTTCTTTGTGTAACGCCTCTGAGAGTCTGCGCTGATGTCGTTGACCATCACCCAAACCCCACGCTCAGCCTGGACGCGTCGTGCCGTCCTGCAGCCATTTTCATCATTCTCATTGGTACCAGAAATGCACGTGAAATTGGATCGTCCATTGCTATCGCGCCCGTTCCCTCATTGTCGTCAACGTGAGAACAGCACCCCGTGGCTTGCCCTTTCTTTGAGCTTTTCTTTTCTTTTTTTTTCCTTTTTTCTTTTTTTTTTTTCAGCTTTACAAGTATCCTGTACCCTATTTTGAGTACACCTGGGGTCTTTGGTTTTCATAAACGAGGACCTGTCGCCAGCTGATTCCATACAGGTGTTCGACTTCGCTGTCGCACAGTTGTACCAGGCCTTCCCCGTCATCTGCTCCCCCTCGGATTCAGCTCCCCGCCATCACTATCCATGTGAGAGCAGGAACCCTCCGTCTGCTTTGATCTGGACAGACAGAGCTTCTTGCTTCGACACCCATCACTTGCGTCTAGCTGGTATATGGTTGAAATGATCCCCATTCATTCCTTTCGTATGTTAGATAAGTGCTTGTCCTCGGTCGCCAAGCGTTTCTTACTACCGAACCGTTCGTCGCCCGGTGCAGCGCAAACCCCGAATCCCGGATCACGTGGTATTGGTCGGTAGTAAGGCTCGAAGTTGACGCGAGCTGCAATATGGCCGGGAAGCATATCAGACTGCTAGAGCGCTCTTGGATGCAGTCCTAAGCAACCTGTATCAACTCTCTCAAGCACCTATTCCAAAGAAATCTTGACATGGAGCAGAAGAAGAGAGCAAGTGTCCTGACATCCCATGGACTTGTTCGATGCTCCCACGCTAACCCTAGGTCTTTCTTAGGCTATCATCATAGGAGGCGGCCCGGCTGGATTGCTCGCCGCTCTACGATTGACGCAGCACAATGACATGGCCACCATTGTTTATGAAATACGCCCCGAACCGACAACCTTAGGAGGGGCCATCGGCATACCGTCCAATGGCTTGCGCCTGCTGGCTCGACTTGGCTTGTACGATGCCTTGCTTGAAAGGGGCTGTCTAACCCCAGAAATCGTCATGCATTCGCTGGATGGGAGCGAGCTTGGGAAATTAGCCATGGTGTCCTGGAGCGAGCAGAAGACAGGCTTTGGCTATCTCCGCATCCAAAGGACTGCCGTCATGGACGTTCTATTGGAGGCTGCAAGCAAGGCCGGCATACCCGTCGTCTTCGGGAAAAGCATCAAGGCCATAGATGAGGACGACATCTCCGTCACGGCAACATTCAGCGACGGAACCTCTGACTCGGCCGACTTCATGATCGGAGCCGACGGTATCCATTCGGCCGTTCGTAGGCTTTATATCGATCCAAGCATCACGCCGAAATACACGGGAATCGCCAACCTGTACGCTTTAGTTTCGACCAAGTCGTTGCGAAAAGAGGCCTCTGAATTGAGGAACCTTAACCCCACCCTCACCGAGGACGGTCTTTTTGCCATTAGCCCCTGCACTCCAGATGGCCAATTGCTTTATTGGTTCTTTTCACGCGAGCTTCCTCCCCCAGCCACTGGCGACGATAGGGATGGATGGGAACATCGCGGTAAGGAGGAAGTGGATTCCGTCAAGGCGACCGTACTGGGTCTGCTGGGCCAGTCTCAGTCAAAATGGACCATCATGCTCAAGGACATTGTAAAGAGCACCGACACGGTCCGCTTCTATCCCGTCTACCACATCCCTCCGGGCGTGATGTGGCACAGGGGCCGATGCTTGCTGATTGGGGACGCGGCGCACGCGATGCCCCCGCACGCCAGTCAGGGTGTCTCCATGGCCTCTGAAGATGTCATCATGCTGTCCAAGCTTCTGCGAGACTTCTCTCATCTTCCATACACTCGCATCTTCGAGCGCTACGAGGAGAAACGAAGGCCTCGAACGGAGAAGTTCCTCACCACGGCGCAAAGGAATGGCACGGTTCGGAAAAAGGTGTCGCCCATCAAGCTTCGCTTCTACGAATACGCCGTCTGGGCCGCCCTCGGCCTGTACAGGATGTCGGGAATAGGCAAGCTTGGGATCAATCAGAAGGACCTGGTGTATGATCCAGAAGACGAGGCATTCTGACGTGAATCGCGAGCTTCTGTCGCGACCGTGTTTTGTATTAGTATATTTCCATCTCAATATCTATTTCTCACGGCAGAAACCTGCGTTTTCTTTCTCTTTCCTCTTTTTCTTTTTTCTGCATCCGCTTTTTCTATCTCCTTTTCTTCTTTCTCCTCTTTCCATCGCCCGTCTCGATGGAGTTCAGCACAAAATACGTCTACCTTTGCGCATGTGCACGCAACATATAGATTGCTTCTCCTCGTTTCTGCCGTGGAGCGCGCCCAACGCACATGCTCCCCAGTGGAAGCGCCATCTCTCCTGCAAAAGTCCTACGTTCCATCAGCCTACTCGAAGGGGACTGCTGGACCCCGCAGACCTTGGAGAGGTTACCAGGACGAGATCGTTCCAGGGATTCTTCGAATCGCTTCTCGGGCCTTCTTGTATACAACCTGCAGGCCACACGGGACTCGGTTTCATGAGTGTACCACTCGATTGATCCGAAAGCCGAAACCCCGAAAGACGTGCAGGACACGTAAATGGCAATATCTAATTTTGGACCTTTGCATATACATACGTGCATACATATATATATATATGTATATATATACAAGTGTTTTACTTGAAAACTTCCTCTTCTTTGATACCAGGGTTAGTCTTTAAAGACTTCGTGTCTTCGAGAAACCTATCGATTCAGCATCTTGATCTCTTTTTTGTGTAATTGGCCATGAAGCATCGAGGAGTTTTCCCCGACGTCATCGGACTCTCCTACTCCTGTGGAGCGCTCCAAGGCCAAACCACCGAAACCTTCACCTTTGAATACGAGCAAGGGCATGAAATCAGATTCTCCATTGGAAACCTAGAGATCGGTCGCGTCGCAAAGGCAAAGGATCTGATCACAGTGTCTGATCTCGTCCCGCCAGACACAGAGATGTTTGATCCAAAATTAGTAAATCGCGCAAGGCTTTTGTACAGTCTCACTCCAGGACAAGGATTCGAAACACCCATCGTGATCGATGAGAAGGTGAGGACTCTCCTCTCCTTCTTTTGGCCCTTCTCAGATTGAAGTTGAGCAACGTTTCGCTAATTAACGAAGGTGAGAGAGTCCATCCGCCGAAGCAGCCCACATATCAATCTGGATTCTTCACGCCTCTCTGATCTAGATCAATACCTCGATCAAATCTGCGTCGAACTGAACCTGACACCGAAATCCGTATCCCATGTGCGAAATCATCTGCGCAGGGAAGCAGCAGGGTTCAAAGTTGTTCGAGACATTAAGATACCGACGGAAGGAGGCGATTATGTTTTGGGCGACGCCTATCTGCCATTGCGACACCAATGCGGCCAAAGGTACCCGGTGCTCGTCAGCTGCACGCTTTACGGCAGACGCGTTTTCCACTCCGGGCCGGACCTCGAGAACAAAAGTGAGATTTTGGCGTTTGAAAAAGCCGAAGATGACTGGCATTCCACAAGTGGCGACGTGCCTCTTGAGATACCGAGAGGTTCCTGGGGAGACGCCTGGAACCGCCAAAGGAGATTTGAAAACATCGCCTCGTTCAACACGTTCTCGTACGTTCCACACGGTTACGCTATGCTCAAAATCGATCCTTCGGGAGTATCGCAGACACCTGGAGCCCGAGGCGTCCCTGGCCAGATCGTTGCGGATTTCTATGCAGCCGTTGAATGGGCTGCGGATCAGCCCTGGAGCAACGGAAACGTTGCTCTTGTCGGAAGCTCATACGGAGCGAACACCCAATGGGCAGTGGCAAGTTTAAGACCGAAGGGACTGAAATGCTTTGTTCCTTATGCAAGTATGACAGCGCGTGTCACTTGAGATGATGAAGTGATGCTGACAACGTGTTGTAAAATAGCGGATATCGACACGTATCGCGATGCGGTCTATCCCGGTGGAGTTCCGGCTTCCAAGTATATAACGGACTGGTTTTCTCGCGTCCAGAAATCGTCCCCCAAATGGAAAGACCACGTGAACATCAGCGAGCTGATGAAAGCGCATCCATTTTATGAGCCGCTCTGGGATCTTGTGAGCGCCAAAACGGACCAGACTGAGCTGCCTTGTTTCTTGGCGGCTTCGCAAATATTTATCATCCACGGCCGCGGCGCTTACGAGGCTTGGAGGGCTCGAGATCCTGAGAACACGCATTTGCAGCTCGTCGACTGCAACTACTATCCGTGGCCCAGCCGGGAGGCCTCGGGAAAGATCCTCCAGTTTCTCAACAAGCACTTGAAAGGATGGGACACCCAGCTGGAAAGAGTGGGCGTGCAAGTGCGACTAGGTTGGAAGGCCTGGTACTGGAGAAAAGAACGCAACTGGCCAGTTCCGGGCACGGTCTACACGAAATGGCACCTCACCTCTGCCTCGACACTATCGACGACACCTTCAGCCCAACCCGAGAAGACGTGGACATACTCTTCTAAGACTCCAAAAGCAGGCAAATCGGGACTGAGCTTCTTCTCCGACCCGTTCGTTGAGGATGTGGACTTGGCCGGGCACTTCGCAGCCACGCTCAGCATATCGTCTTCGACGGAGGATGCAGACGTGGTCGTCACCATATGGGCTGTCGACGCCCACGGCGACATAGTTCCGTATGGTTCTGCAGGCCAGCCCGAGCCGATCGCGAAGGGCTTTCTCCGCGCAAGCCACCGAAAGCTCGATGCTCAAAAAACGCTTCCTGAGCGGCCGTGGCATACGCACACCAAGGCGGACAATCAGCCGCTGCGTCCTGGAGAGGTGCTGGAGCTCCAGATCGAGATGTTTCCTGCTGCTGCCAGGGTCCGATTGGGATGGAAGCTACGCGTCGATGTGACTCCTTCCGAGAGCCAGCCCGACATCAAAGGCTACGAGCCTCTGGACATGCGGGAATGGTACGGCGAAGGCCATGATGAAGCGCAGAATGCACTTCATATCGGAGCCGGTCGCCAAAATTTTGTTCTCTGCCCTGTTGTACCTATTCGCGAAGAATATCCGAACATCGTCATGTAGAGGTGGAGCATCACGAAATAGAAAAATTTGCAGAAAATAAAAACGGGGGAAACAGTATTTAAATAAAAGGTCTCTTATGTTAGATTTGATAAAATCATTATTCATTTAAGCTGTGTTTGTTTGTTTTTTTCTGTTTTGGGAAATTACTGCAACTACGTGGGGAACGAACGGCGCCGTTGATTAACTGATAGATTTCACAACCCGAAATTTCGTATATGGCTAGGTGATATGGGGATGTGAGAGCTGTTGGATTCATACTACATGCAAGAAAGGAAGAGATAACTCTTGTGTTCCTAGATAAAGTAGAGAGCGTACAAGGTAAGGAGGGTGATCCAATCTCACGTCATAGAACGACGTTTTGCCCGGATTCTTCTCGTGATGGCCAAAGTGCGGTAACACTAGCGATAATTACCACTTTCAGCAGAGACAGACAGCCATACCGGTGTTTCGGAGAATGAGCACAGATTGTGCAGAGCTGCGACAGTTAAAATATCCACAGGCAAATTTCAGCGTCTTTGACACTTTTATGTATGCTAACCACAGTCGGTGCCCATTCTTACATGGGTATTGTCAAACATCGATTTGATCCTCTCCTCTCAATCGTAATCATGTGTTTGTCGATCATCCAAGGCGCGGCTCATGTTGCGTACGTGCATTCATCTTATTCCCGGTCTTTGGGCACCGTCCAATATAACTTGCTCAAAACGATCCCTACTTCTGTGTACCGCCTGCTAATATTTATAAGTTGCGATAGACGATGCGAAAATACAAGCCCTTTGACACAGACAGGCTTTCCGTGATCAAATAATAATTGCACATCTCATTTTGTCCAGATTCACCACAAAATTTCCCAGAACGAGTTCAGATCAGATCCTTGAAAGAAGTCGATGTAGCTCGACGAAGACAAATCCAATTCAGACATGGGATTATCAACCGCATCCCAGAATTCGTCCTGTGCCGTATCGTTCAGTATCATTGGACAATTTGATTCTTCACCGTGATTGAACCCAACATACCTGATCCTTGCTTACTCCGGACTTTGTTCTTTCTTGCAAACCATCTGATGCTTGCATCATGGATGGCTCTGCCCTGTTCTCTTTACCGGCGATGAATTGACGAGCCATCTCAGCTATTTCGGCAGCAGCGGTACTTCTAACAACTCCGTCTGTGCAGAATTCCAACCGATTAAAGTAGCCTGCCACAATTCCCAATAAAGAAAGGAATTTGCCCGTTTCGGCATGAGCTGGATTGTTGATAACGAAGTCGAAGAGAACAAAACAAGCCGAAATTGGCATCACGACCAGGTACCTTATGATGATTAGCATGAATATGCAGATACGAGGGTGAATTTTTACCAATTTGGCATTGTAGGGTGAATATCGATGTGTGTCGTAAGTTCGATGACGTTACGAGCAGAATCACAGGCGAGACTGCGGTATTTCGCTAGTCTCTGCTGCTTAGAAGTATAAGTCAGCGAGCCAAGTCTGCTCAAGGCCATGACGATGCTATAATAACGATAGCGCAGTCGCAAAGAGGCGTTCAAGCATAAGCTGTTATTGAAATCCATCGGTCTGAAAGGATAGTCTGGATTAAACAATCTTGGGAGGGTGCTCTTCCATCCTTCGACTTCCTCGATCAACTTGTCAATGGCGCCATGTATAGTCTCATGACTGAGCGTCGTCGCACTGATTGTAAAAAGCGACCCGTATGTTATCGACAAAAGGCGAGCAAATCGCGCCATCGCCAGAAAATAATCGAAGCCTCCACACAATGGGTCCAGGCTGCCGGGAAAGGCGATACCAATATCTTCGTCGTCCAGAATCTGTCTAGTTAACATCAAAATCCTCTAGTAGAGCCTGAGGCACGTACTGAGGCGCGATAGCATACGAATGATGACAATTTCTCCAAGATGTACACCAACCAGAATGCTCTTGCGCATTGTGCTGCATCTTCGCCATTTCGCACTGGCCGATTGTATCGAAGATATACCGCCATCCTCGCAGCCTCGGTGATAAGCATGTTTCCGTACCGAATACAGGACACACTTTGGGCAAAAACGGCCTAGAAAGAATAATCAATCGCAGTCCCAGAAGAAATAGGGTCGAATTACCATCGCGACCAGTGCCTAGGAGATTTCAGTTCATGAATGCAACAGGAAGAGTTGATTTGAATAGCTTACTTGAAGGCTGAGAAGTCCTTCCGTTCGCATTACAATTCGTGGCAAACAAGTGAGGGAAACCCGGAATAGTTTCTGTGCTAGGCAGTTTTCAAGCTTGAAACTGTCACCTCCCTCATACTGACACCCAATAGCCAATACAGCATAGTATAAAGCGAAAAGCGATGGGCTAGTATCGAATATGCTCTCTGCTCCATGTTCGAAAATGTTCGTTTCGAATTGTCTTCGATCAAGAAATGGGTACGAAGGATGTGCAGATTTAAAGAAGGCTATGGCAAATTTATCAGACGGAGACATTGAGATTAGGTCGAAATATACTGGCCTTCAATATAAGAATTTGCTAGCTCGGGAGACAGTTTCACGAAATCAGTAGTCTCCTTGCTCTCTCCGTCCAAACTGCCGGGTGGATGTATTGGCTCAATGAATGATTTAACGCAATTTGATATGTTTTCCATAGCTTGCTGGAACCTATTATGTCCTAAACGAGCGGTTATGGAGTCGATTCTGCTCTCAGAAAAAAAGGCCAATCCTGAGCTTCCAACTTAATTGACGTCAGCCGAAATATACCGTACTTAAATCTTCAATGTCTACACCCACCATAGATGTTATGAGACTAGACATGGGACTATTAAAACCATGAACTTGGATAGGGCTTATCTCTATCATACCTTCACTAGCGAAGCCTCGGTAGACCCACGACTACTGGAGCGATAACCACGCAGAACCATATCTACATAAGTAGTTGGACATTCTACAGACTGATGCTGGTGGTCAGTCAGTATTTGTGGGGTCTCCGGCTTGATGATATTCTTGGAGAACGTCGTATATTTGATTGATTGAGCTGTAGCGTCTACAGCATGGACAGTAGAGAGCGGTTTGACATTGTCTGTTTTTTCTAGCATACGTTCAACGCTGTTCTCGGTAGCCACAAAAGCTGGTTACACTCTACCTGGGACATCTTTCCCCAGAGGAAGCCTTGCTCGCCTTTGCCTCCTTCTACGACTGAAGTGGCACAGAGAACCTCGCTTCTACAATGATTGAATCCAGTCAATCACTCAAGTGTACTTGACTCATGTCGCTTAGATAGACTCACGGCACAGTTGTCACAGCCCTTGGATCCGGAGCTTTGTGAACCTGAGCTCTGGTCACTGATTCTTCTCGTGAACTGTCTAGGATAAAACCTACTGATGCAGCGGACTTTTCGCAACTGACATTCATCGCACGTCTTGTAAAGCATCTCCATCGTGAACGAACACGAGACCAGAACTTTCCCAACAGCGCATCTTGTTTTTGTTGAATAGATCACTCCGGTAGATATTTGGAAATGAAGCACCACCCCCTGGATTTTCATGTACGGGAGCTCCGTGCTGCGACGCCAACTGCGGTCGGGACTTGGAAAAGGCCGAGCCCGAACGCCCCCTTTCCCGAATCCCGAATGCGAAGCCAACGATCTGGTGATTCTCCTTTCCCGCTTGACACTTTGCTTTCGAAACATGATTTGCAAATGTTGTTTATAGTTCGCTTTGGGGTACGTATTGCTCGTCCATCACAATCTAGTTTACGACGAACGAGACAATGTCGAACTGGTGAAGGCAACTACTCTAGTAAAATGGAAAGAAATTACCGCAATCGTGATGTCACTCCTGAAATCTCAGCTATTAATTGCTGAAACAATCGCTGCCTGATCGAATTCATACCCACGATTTTTCTATCCTTCTTTTCGTCAAAGCGGCTGTAGCGGATCAGTATTCATGAATCACATCCCCTTGAGAAAGTAGTTTCAGGCCTTGGCATTCTTGGTACTTGTCCTTGCTCAAAGTGAGGAGAACCCTCTAAAAGGATTCTCCATAATTGACATAGCATCGTTGATTGAAATAGACGTACATCGATGGTTCTTGCGTTGTTGGTTTTTTTGGTTTTGTTTTGTTTTGCAGTGCTTCAAGACTATTAACAATCCTCCTCCACGTCATATGCGAGAAGGTTCTGACCGAAACCCAGCTTGGACAAACCTACGATGTTGTAAGATCCGAGCACAGCTGTTAGTACGTACTGTCGCAAACGATGCTGCCACTGTGGAACTTCCTGCGCGCGTTGGCTCTTGCTTCGGCGGTCTTGAGAATTTGATTGATCCTCCGTCGTCTCCTCTCTTCAAATGTTTCGACCATTCTGAGAACGTTCGAACCCGAAGTCTTCAGTAGATTCGCGAGAAGGAAGACATCCTCGAGAGCCATTGAATATCCTTGGCCGGCGTGAGGTGGCATTGCGTGTGCAGCGTCGCCGAGAAGCAGAACTCGACCCTTGAACCATTTCCCTCCTGAAGGCAACTTATAGTTTGGAAAGAATTTGATCACGCTCGTTTTGCGCAACACCTCCTTTACCCCACTGATCCACCTGTTATTCGACTCTCCAAGCGTTGACTTCATCTCTTCAACTTGAGTCTTTCTCCGTTCTTCCCATCCATCAACTGCGTCCTCGTCCCGAGGGAGGTTTACTTCACGGGAGAAGAACCAGAAGATTGGATCTCGAACTGCATTCGCCGGCATCAACACAAGACTGCCATCTCGGGTCATTGTGACATTTATGGTACCCACTTCATTGATGAAGCTTGGTAGGTTAAATGTAGATACGATTGAACCGATATTTGATATGCCAGTGTAAACCGGGATGCAAGACGGGTCGACAAACTTCGTCCTGACCGCAGAATGTATTCCATCACAACCTAATAGAAAGTCACATTCGGAGCTTGTGTCGTCGGAAAAGTAAATCTTGACACGATCGTCAACTTCTTCAATCCTTTCAAGTCGTTTTCCGTAGATTATTGAGATGCTGGCTCTCCTAGCAGCGTTCAACAAGACATCCATCAGGTCACCTCGCTTAATCCTAATGTAGCTGAATCCTATCCTTTTTTCAGCCCAACTGACAAGGTCCATTTCGCCAATGACTCTTCCTCGCGTGGAATGCAGTACAACACTCCGTGTGAAGATGGATACGGCTATGATCTCGTTGTAAAGCCCTAGGCGGCTTAAGAGTCTCAATCCATTCGAAGGGATACCGATCGCTCCGCCAAGTAGTGATTTAGACTCATCACGAAGCTCGTAGATGACAGGTGAAATGTCTGTTACCTGTTTGATCCGAAGTGCTGCAGATAAACCAGCTGGACCTGCGCCGATGATAATGACCTGGGATTGTCAGATGTAGCTTTGACTGCTTAAAAGTTTCTGTGTACGAGGTGCTGCGTTGGATTACCTTCGCAACTGCTTTTTCATGCGAAAGGAAGAGTTCACCCACCTTTTCAGGAATCGTCATCATCAAAGTCTGGAAAGGATATCGAACTTACGCCTTATGATTTAAACTGAGGCGCGCATAAGGCAACTCGTGTTGGTATTTTATATAATTAAATTCCCCATTCTTTGCGGGTCATTCACACTCGGCTTTCGGTCTACTTGGACTTCACATGAGCATTCCAACCTTTGCCAAAAACTAGAATCCTCTTTTGCAATTCCAGCCGACGTATTATGTTTGATCTCTACATCATTGATTTGCTCTCAACAAATACAGAATGTATTGAACATAGAATAATTACTGAAATTAACAACTGACGCGGAAATATGCGGAATTTGCGAGCAATTTGCATTCCAATCCGGTTCAGTGGCAAGGACTGAGCAAAAGAGCTATTTGAATCCATAAAGCACGTTTATTTCCTTATGTGGCTTAGCAATGTTAAATCTGAACCTTCCCCGTCTTCGTGTCTCGTGCCGTGGATGTGAGGGTATGTACTTGCGACTTGAGAATTATCGTCCGAGCAACGATCTTCGCCGCGTCCTGCCCCGAAATGGTTCTGTTCAAGCGTGCTTCCGGTTCGTTCTATCAAAGTTGTGGCAGACTGAAGGATATGACGAAAGAATTTTCTAAGCGTAATTAGACAACCAATGGTGATGCCGACTCCACATTCCACCGAGCTCCATAATAATAGCCACCCTGTATGTCCTTTGGGAGCACTGATAAGCTAGTTTCATAAAAGTATATTGCACCTGCGGGCCTCTATTACTCACGGAAAAAGTCGAGTTGGAACGAGGTAAGGTCATTGATCCAAATCATGCGAACCGCAGTAGCCGTAAAGCTTCTGTACGATGTATGGAATTAGACACGCGTTGTTATTCTTGTGGTAATCGAAGTAATTTCGGGTGATACTCACAGAGCAACCAAACCAAACAAAAAGGTCAGAACAATCTTCTCGCGAAACGAGAGCTGGGTCCTCCACGTGGTAGGGATTGATATGATGACAAGGATAGCATCAGTAGCTAGATTTATTGAAGAGTGCACATAGTTGAGCATAATGGATGCCTTAGGAGCTATACATTTACCAGAAAGACTGTTTAGAAAAATAGTTTGAGCGCTCTTTGGAACACCACACTGGAAAATAATCCAAGTGGTATGAAACGCGCCAAAAATAATTGTCAGCGCGAGAGAAACCTCGAGTATAAGTCGTTGTCGTCGTGACTGGACTAGTCGCCAGAACAGAATGATCAGAGACGCTTTGAAAAAAACAACCGTGACCATATAAAAGATCTCGGACGTGATACATATCTGATCGCGTCAGCGTCAGCGTCTTCGTCTTGAATTTAAAGTAAAGTCGTACGAACGTTAACAAGATTTAAGAAGTCTCCATAGCGAAGGCTTCCCTTTGCGACGTTGACGACTATGGCAATTCCGAGCCCGTTTGTAACGGTGTATGTTAACTAAAGGAATATAAGGATTGACGATGCAATCGAACGAGTTACCTGCACCTACGGCAGCGGCAATAATCATCGTGTCATCCCAGCCCCACACATTAATAATTTTCGATCGAGTCCAGCATCGTAGGAATACACAGATTGTGGTAATGACCCAAAGAGGAATCAAAACGATCAGAAACAGATTGGCGTTAGGCAGTTGCGGGATTTCGATTTCAGAATCCATGGAGATAAAGCAGTCAAAGGATTCTAAAGTCTTCAAATCCTGTGGAGCCAATTTGGGACGGCACCAAATATATAGGGCTCACATCCCGGAGCCATTTTCCCCAGTTCCCGATCAGTCTCTGGATGGCTGAAGACTCGTCTTCATTGAAATACTAAGAGCTGTGACTCTTGGAACCCAAGGAGTCACAGCCCAAATAGCCACAAAAGCCCAGTCTGACCTCGCTTAAGTAGCTGGAAACTGTCAACATTGCCTATCAGAGGTGAGATTCGGGATTCGGATTTTACAGAGAGGTTCCCGCCAAGGGCTTTTGCGGGGAAAAGAGTTGGGATGTGTCTTTGGCTATTGAGACAACCATGAAATTCAGCATGAATGGTTTCATGTAGTACGTCACAACATTTGCAGACACGATTCATGAGCCTTTAACCGAGGGGCAGAGAGGATGCTTCTGTGCGGAAGTGAGTGGATAGTTACACACAGTTGCTGTTCATGGTAGAACTGGCAAACTAAGGCAACAAACCCTAACCCTAATTAGACGTCACAGCTGCGCGCGTCTGAAAACATTTTGCTCCGTAATTACTCGCCAAAGAGCTTCTCTACGCGCCAACGACTTACAACCGGCGAACAACCTACTCGCGCAACTTCGCTCCCCGCATACCGAGAAAATTTTCGCCATGTCAGAGCGTGGAAACGTCCGTGGAGGAAGTAATGGTGGCCACCGTAACCGAGGCGGCGAGCGAGGAAGAGGTGGCGGTCGAGGTGGCTCTGCCGCAGCAGGCAGCGGAGAGCAGAAAGAGAGGCCCAAGAAGGAGAATATCATTGACTTGAACCGTTTCATGGATAAGCAACTTAGGATCAAGTTCAATGGCGGCCGAGAAGGTGCGTCGACGCTTGTGGCCCTCATCTCTTTCCCCGCCTTTCGTTTTTGCCACTCTACTAGCGATAGCAGAGAACGCTGACTTGACGTCGGAATAGTCGTGGGCGTGCTAAAGGGATTCGATCAACTTATGAATCTTGTGTTAGACGAAGTAGAAGAATACATGCGTGGTAAGTTGAGTTGTCAGACAAGAGCCGGAAGGACGTCACACTAAAGCATGTTTGCACACAGACGACGAGGGCAACGAGGAGACGAGACCGCTTGGTTTGGTGGTCGCACGTGGCACACTACTCACTATGATCTCGCCTGTGGACGGAAGTGAGGAGATCGAAAACCCATTTCTACAAAACGAGGACGAGTGAGCAATCTCAGACCGAAGAACGGTAACGGGCCAGCAGGGGTCCGTGGCACAGGGGATGAAGGCATCGTCCTGTAGTTGATGCGCTAAAGAGCAACATAAAGACATCACGAGCCACCGCTCTCCGAGGCTCCTTTGCGGCTTGGTTGACTCTTCACGACGTTATGACGGCTGAGCTTTCAAGAGAACCGAGAGTCTTAGGATTGAGGAACGTACCATTCTGGCATCGTTTACAGAATGACGAAGTCTATGAAGCTTGCTCGAACATGGGCGTTCCAATGACATGCCGCATCGCTGTACGCAGCTTGAAATGGGAGTAGACCAAACAAGTGCGAAAGTCACCTCATTAATATCGCACTCTACTGAGGTTTCTACCGAATCATCGAAAACTCTAATCCAATCCCTTGATTGCCGCCTGGAATTCCAATTGTTCAACTTAAGCGACTATTGCAGCCAGTTTCTATATTTTTCACTCAGGCCTTAACCATCTTGCTCGTCCGTTGCGTCGTCGCGCTATATCACTGCATTCACCCGTCATGTGTCTTGATTCGTGCTCGTCCCGCCTGTCTTTTCTCGCAAAGGCCTTGTGAATGCCATTGAAGGCTCGCCTTCAATGGCAGTAAGACTGTAAATCTAAATTGCGGCTTCGACCCTGTTCAATATGATTCCAACGTGACTCTCAAGGCTAGCGGCGCCCGAAAAGAAGAAATTGAGCATTGACTCATCTCACTCAAAGCAGCCTCTGTCGAGCCCTGCGCCGATAGGGCTCGGCTACGTCGAACTTGAAGTCGGGCTTGCGCCCAACCTCTAAATTCAATTGTCGCTCCGTGTCTGTTGCTGGACCTTACTGACCGGGCCCGAGTATCTTTGGCTCATGTCTTGCTCTTATCACTTAGTGACATACCTGACAGGGAAGGAAGCCAAGGATTTTGTGCAACTGCATCTTCATTTGCTCCGGGATAAATGACGGTTCTAAGCGAGGACCTGGTCGAGGGCACAACGCGTGAAAACATCTGAATTATCAAGACGCATCGGCAAGAGTGACATTTTCTCTCAGGCCACTGCCCTCAAAATCTCGCAGACATCATCTATGATACGTATACAGGCAAATCAGTACCTGCTCTTGATATAATATTTCAGGAGAGCCTTGACTTGCAACAATTACCTATACGTGACTGCTTTTGCATTAGATCGTCAGACATCCTGCCATGTCCACCGTCAAGATAAAACAATAAATATCCGCATATTAATAACAGGCCAGACTATTCACTTGATTTGAACGTGATCATACATCGAGATCTCATGCTTTCGCGACTGAGAAGCACGCGGTCCATAAAGCTATCCCACTACAGGTGCAACCGTCATCCGCTTCAGCACTGAGTTTCAAGTTGCCAATAAAGCCTACATTTTGGTTGGTCATAAACCGATAGTTGCATCTAATCGATTGCGAAATTTTGTGTCCTCCTCCGAATTTGCTTCCCGAATAGATAGATAGGGATGCCCAAACACATCAAGGCTCCAATGATTCCAGCACAAATGTTAAAGGCACCTGCATAACCCTCTTTTTGAACGAAAGAAATGGTTCCGTACGAGATCCCAAAGCCGATAAATCCTCGACAGGAGCAAATGAGAACGAGGGCTGCGTCGACACGTTGAGGATATCTGCGCTTGTTAGCGATCGAATTGGGGCGATTACGGTCTGAACCTACGCGTCCATGCAGTAAACGAAGGACGAAACCACGACGCCAACAAATCCAAAGTATTCAAAGTTCAAAGTCACGGCAATTCCAGCCCATGTCCAATTATCCGGGTCTTGAGCGGTTCTGCCATAGATGACAGTGGATATGAGGATAGATACCGTCGGGATAATCAACGCAAGTAACCGATACTCGGGCTAAAAATGGTCAGAGGTTTTTGCTTTCAAGGTGTCAAGGAGTACAACTCACCTCACTGATTCCTCTATTACGTTTGCTTAGTAACTTCACCGTCAAATCGCTGAGCCAGCCGCAGACAATTGGCACAGCAACCGCTGTCGCAACCTGACCAGCGAAAACATATCCAAGAGCATCAAAGCTCCACAAGTATGGTGGCTGGACAAGTATGCCAGCAAATAAAGCCGACATGAGAACATAAATGCCAAGTGCGGCCGAGTTGACGAGAATCAACCAGAAAATGTTAGGGAAGAAAAAGACTTGGGACATCTGCTTAAAGCAATCCATAGTGAGCCAGAAGTCCGAATATCCGGCCCACGGCCGCATGTCACGCAGAAAGCTTCGCGGACGGTAATTGACATTATCCATTACACGTTTCGTATGCGTCGTCACGGGGACGAGGGTACCATCTTCCGAAGGCAGGCCGGCACCCGTCAGAGCAGAGGCTGAACGGTCGTACTTGGTCTCTTTGACAAAGACGGTGCTAAGCACAGCGATGGCGCCACTAACGGAGCCGAAAATCCCATACCACCAGCGCCATCCGAGATGCGGGTTAGACGCTATATATGGGCTAGCAACGATCAAGGCTGCAGTTCCCACTGTCTGTAGAGCGCAAAAGCAAGCTATGACTTGGCCGCGTTGATGTAGATAGAAGACCTCTTGGACGATGATTGGACACAACGCCTCCGCAGTACCGGCAGCAACGGACATGATGTCGCGACCTCCGATGTGCGAGTTAAGACTCTTGCTCTTTGCGCACCACAGACACCCGAAAGCGAGCAAGATTGTCGAGAGTAGATATACGGGCCGTCGTCCGACGGCGTGCGCCACGGGAATCGAGATAAGATTTCCAACTCCCATGAAAAATACAGGCCAAGTGACGAGATCATTTGTCTTCGGATCCATATTGTACGAAGCTTTGACAGCGGGAAGAAATGCACTCATACCGCTGGTCATGAGGTTGCCAGTAGCAGCATACAGTCCAACAAGAATCAGAATGATGCATTTGTGCCATGTCGGTAAGTTCAGCGGGTCTGGCTCAAACATCAGCACAGAGTTTATAGCAGCATTTTAAAGTGGGCATTGGCCACATACCATTGGGATCATTGCTTGGTGTTGGCACTAACACGACGGCTGAATTGTCGATGAGCTTGACCGTACCCACGATTGCCCTATCCGTTATATCAGACGATTCGACATCGTCGACGTGGGCTTTAGACGTGAACTTGTCCTCCATCATAATTCCTCAACTTTTGCAGAAGAGAAGAGCATGTAGCGCTAGCTCTTATATAAAGGCAATCATCATCCTTGCTCAATGAGAGCGAACATGGCCTTTATCAACATCTCGACAGTATACCGCTCTCGATGGAATTTCAATGCTGTGGATGTTAGCGAGCCCGCACTCGCCCGCTCCAGCGAATCAAACAGATGGCAAAGCAGTCCAAAGAGCGAACATCGGGTTTCCAAGCGGAGACCACCCGCAAACATGGCCCAAGCGTACTTTGCGGGGATGAGATCCAGATTTTATGCATTGCGGCTCGTGTTCCCTCCACATACCGGGTTGCTCGACCATTCAACTAGATTATGCCTGCCCAGCAAACCAGCTGAATGCCCGACCCCATTGCCAAACCTAGGACGCCAGGTTTTGCTTTGTAGCCTTGTCGGCTTAGTTGCGAGCAAATAAACCTCTTTCTCACTTCGAAGACCACGTTGCAGAGCAACTCTCGAAGTATATGATGCTACGTCTGCCAAGTCCATTCATAATAAATGGCGTCTGAAGCGATACGGGAGTCCCAGAGGGTCTCTCGTACATGTGTGGAGTGTAGCAGGCGAAAGATCAAGTGTGACAAGAAAATACCCTGTGCGCCTTGTATCCGTCGAAACCTCGCGCACGAATGCAGACGGCCGATCACCAGGGTAAGAGGACAGCTGCAAGTGTGGGTCGGCACTTACGATAAATATGCGGTCATGTTAACGAGAGACTCAGAGGGTCAGAGAACGTGGAAAGTCCTGGCTCGCTTGATGATGATACCCTCAGTGCACTGCTAAAGGAGCGCTCCGCACTGCGCTCACAGATCGCACAATTAGAAGTCGCTCTCGCTCTGTCGAAGCCTTCAGCGTCACATGAAGCAAGAACGGTTGAAGACTCCTCTCAGCCTGAGTTTGAGGAGCTTGTCCCAGCTTTGGAGCAATTTGATCTCGACCCGAAATTCGATTCAAACGCAAATCCTGTATTGCAGCAACTGTGGACCCCGGGTAATGACCCATTATATATGCTTCTGCCAACAAGATCTGCAAGCCGCACGTTGGTAGAGTTTGCACTAACGACATTCGGATGGCTCCATTGCGCTGTTAGAGCAGATTGCTTTCTAGAGCAACATGAGAACTTTTGGAACCACCTTGAAGCTGGCCATACTGTTGAGGAGGAACAGAGGCCTTGGTTATCGCTTTGGCTCTCGCTTCTCTCAGTTGGTCTGATGTATATCAGTGCCGATGACATACCTGATCAGACGGATCTGCCAAGAGATATCATTTCGGAACCGGCTGATAAGATAGCTTATGCTGTCGACGTTTCTCGTATGTGGTACGAATCAGCGTTGCAAGAGCTGCATCGATCTAGTTTTCTGAGGAAACCCACAATTGAGTCCATCCAAACAATCCTTGTGTTGACTTTATGCAACAGTAATAACGGTGAACACCAGCAGGAGTGGGTATTGCTTGGTGCATGCATTAATATGGCTCGCTCCCTAGATATGCATAGACTGGGAAGTGAGCAGTCGTTTTCTAACGACCTCTCTACGAGGCCAGTGTGGGCTACACCAGCGAACAGGGAGCTTGGCAGACGCATGTGGTGGAACCTGGTCATATGCGACTGGTATGTGTATGAAGAATACGATTTATGCTGTTGTCAAAATATCACGAGACTGACATTAATCTGTAGGCTAGGTCCGTGGTCTCGACCACCTTCCATTTCACCAGCCTCGTTTTGCTGTTCGATTTCTGGAAACGGTAGATTTGACCACGAAGTACTGCCATCCTCTTCAAGTGGCGGTACATCTTCCAGTCCTTCGCCGGTACAGTATCTGACCGTCATGGCGAGGCTAGCTTACATCTTCTACATTTACTTCAAAGCCAACGCAACGCGAACAGCGATGAAAACAACCAAAGCCCTTGATGAAATTGACGCAGTCCGCAGAAGCCTCCCATTGCACCTTTCCCCACACTTTCCGGCAAATAGCGATGACTTCGAATGGGAGAAGCAGCACCCGTGGGTCACCTTCCAACGTTATCAGATCTCTGTGGTGATCGACTTCATGGTCCTTGCCACTGCTCGTTCGCTTGCTATTGCAAGGCACATCGAAGATAAGCAGAAATATCGTACAATTGCTACTGCTGCCGCTCGACGGTTATTGCTGAGTTTCACCGGCACGGCGCCTCGGTTTTTTAAGCTACTGTGGTCATCCTCCGCTTCCGCAGTTGCAGCAGGTATATTTTTAACGCTTGATTACCTCATATCTCAGAGCATGAACGAGCCAAAGTCCGCCCAATATCTGAACGAATTGCTTGCGTTAATTCAAAGTGCAATTTCTATCATGCGCCAGAACTCGGTGGTCACTGTTCATGCTGAAAATGGAGTGACAATCTTGCTCGAGCTCTGCAATATCTGTCAGCAGTGGCCACAGACTCCGCTTGGAACTGAGTCACTTTCTTTACAGTCTCTACTATCTTACGTCAAAAACAAAGCGAGAGATGAGCCCGGTCCAGATCTGAGTCATGCGAGCTTTGTTCTTACTGATATGCTTTCTCCTTGGCCTTCGGGTTCCGAAGAACATTTCGGATCTTCACAAGGGTTCAGATTAGGATTTGACTTTGATTCTCAAGTTTCTATGTATAGTACAGATTCTATGCTGAACACCGGGGAATTCTAGTGCAATTAAAACGAGATAGGATGGGAAGATGGGAAGGATTGATCACACACAACAATTTCATGCGAACCATTCTAATATGGTTTGATCCCCGCAAGTTTTAACAACTTGTCGGTCAATTCAGGCTTCTCCAATGGCTCCATTCTTTCCAAAGGATCCAGCTTCCCATCAACCATATGCTTTCCCTGTGAATGAATGTTGATGTGGGGCCAATGAGTTGTGGCCTCCCACCGCTCAAATATTTCTTTCTTCTTCTGCAAATCCTCCGGTGACGCCAGTGCTACCGGGGTATAACACGCGTATATGATGGTACGTATCACGTCTGTCTTTGGGTATACCGCGTAATGCATTTGTCTCGAGTCCCACAAGATCAAGTCCCCTGGCTCAGCGCACACTTTGACAAGTTTACATCCTTGATCCTCGTACCACTTGAGATCTTCTTCCTGGAAGGGATAGAAATCGTAATGAAGCGCTGCAAGAGGTCCTTTCGTCCTATCCGGTGGGAACTGCTTGAAGAATTTTTCGAAAAGCGCCGCGGAACCTTGCATGACAACCAGTCCTCCGTCATCTGGGCCCGCCTCGGAGAGATTGATTATGCCTTGAACACATGCCTGTATCAGTCATGTTAGCAGCTTCTTTGATGTCGGGCTGGATGATGTATATACCAGTCCCTGTCTTTCAGGTGCTTGGTCGCAGTGAGGCCACGGCTTGTCACCACCCATTGAGGCTGCGTTTGGTAGAGTGATATTGATGGTGTCAAACGACACTGTGAGTTCGTCGGTTCCCCAAAGCTTAGCAAAGGCATCAATGACGCCTTGCTCTTGTCTGGCTTCCCACACGTACTTCTCATGAGCGGCACAATAATTGAGGTACATTCCGTTCTTGAAGCTCCAAGGGAGATGCTTCTCGGTCCACGTACTGCGGTCGTTGATGTCGAAGCCATTGTCGAATGAGCAAAGCCAATCAATCATCTTTTGTCGATAGTACAGGGCGCGGTCCTTTGGAATGACGTTCTTAAGAACAACATATCCCTTCGCATAGAACTCGTCGCGCCAATCTCCATATTTTTCCTTGTTGGAGAATGTCGTCTCATTTCCCAAATAAGGCGCCATGGTTTTATAGAAACGCACTCACGATGATTTTGTAAAAAGTTATCAGAGAGGAGAGCTTTACAATAGTTGGCTTCAACGGGGCAGATTTTGTTTGCGAACAGTTTTACTTTACAATTTGGAGCCACTAGCCTATATATTTTCTGCAGCAATTGGTAAAGCTTAATACGATTCACGACCGTCCTCGACCGATACAGAACAACCTAAGAGCGTTTTAAGATATGTTATACGTTGGCAAACAACACTTGCGGAATGCATGGGTGTCTCTGCACGGCTATCGGTCGAGTTCGGGCGAGATTAAAAGACGAAGCACGATCGGAATGTGGGGAGATTGCGTCCACACTTACCTTAGTGTGGGGCTGGAATGTACTTTGCTTGGACCATCCCACATGTGAAAATAGGCAAAATGCAAGAAATCTATTCAGTCAGACAGGATGGAAATAAAAATAATTGGAGCCGGCAATGGAGGACCCAACTACTTCCGTTTCGTACCTGTTAGTTCTAAGACCCGAGATGCGAAATGCCGACTTTGTCTTTAAATCTGGGGCTACCCCTTCACTTAGTTCCTATTTGCGCGCGAATCTACGAACCAGCACATTCCAACTTCCGAGTGAATACAAATTAGACCCATAATGGGAATACGACAGCAGGTTGCAAATTTGCAGATCAAACCCCCAAGCGTTGGTGAGAATGGGTATGTGGGCTTCAATCCTCGAAAAGAAGTGCTGCCAAAGGGTTGGAATGGTTTCAATTCAAGAGCGTTGTCGGAAGACCTCTTAGTTGAACATGACGTGGCAATTAAAGTACGCGACGGTTGCACGCTCTATTGCGATATTTATCGCCCTCCTTCCTCCGAGAATGCGGAACACAAAGTCCCTGCTATAGGTTGGTAAATAGCTCTCTAGTTTCTTCATTTCGCTGATGTATGTCAGTTGCTTGGAGCCCTTTTGGGAAAAAGCACAACGGTATATCGATGATGTCTAGAGTCAAATGGAGTTGTGGGGTGCCAGAGAAATGCCTAAGCGGCCTCGAGCGATTTGAGGGACCAGATCCAGCGGAATACTGTCCTCGTGGTTTCGCCGTTGTCAACGTTGACGCTAGGGGTGCGGGTGATTCCGACGGCAGCATTGTCATCATGGGAACACAAGAGGGAGAAGATGGACACGATGTCATCGAAGCGCTGGCGAAAATGAACTGGTGTAATGGGTCGGTTGGTCTAGCTGGAAACTCACATCTTGGAATCGTTCAATGGTTCATTGCGGCTACACGACCGCCCTCATTGAAAGCGATAGCGCCATGGGAGGCTTGTGGCGATCTTTACCGCGAGCAATTTGTGAGAGGCGGCGCATGGGACAATGGCCTCTTCGATTTTATCACCCAACATGTTATTCGAGGTCGACATGGCCTAGAGGACTTCAAAGAAATGTACCGACGATCAAACCTCATGAACGAGTACTGGATGGATAAAAGAGCAGACATAAAGAAAATCAACATACCGACGTACGTTGTGGCATCATACAGCAGCTTTGTTCACACAATGGGAAGCGTTCGCGGCTGGCTTGATGTAGATACAAAAGACAAGTGGCTACGATGGGATCCGTACCAAGAATGGTTTGATCTGTGGTCAGTTCGGGAGTCCGTAGATGAGCTTGCGGCATTTTTCGACCATTTCTTGAAAGGTGTTGAAAATGGATGGGAAAAAACAAGCAGAGTTCGGATGGCATCGTTGAATTTTGGGGACAAGGACCCTGTCTATCCTATTGAGGTGTCTGACTTTCCGGTCCCCAACACAGACTACAAAACATTGTACCTCGCAGAGAATGGTGGGCTTTCCGCAGATGTTCCACTCCACGAAAGCCAAGTTTCCTACGATGCGGAGTCTTCTGCTTCACCACCAGCACACGCCGCTTTTCACTACGTCTTTCAAAGGCCCACACGACTCATGGGCCTGCCGAAGGCGGTGCTATACATGTCTATCCCTCCTAATACTGGCTTTGACGACATGGTTGTATACGTTCTCATCAGGAAGCTTTCTAGAGAAGGGAAACCGATGATAAACATCAACATTCCGTGGTCGAGGTGCCCGTACCCGAACGTTGCAGCTATACCGGAAAGCGACTACAGCAATCTGATGATTTACTTCGGCCCTCTCGGAATTCTGCGTGCGAGTCATCGGAAGATAGACAAGAGCCAGAGTCTACACAGCCAGTATCCGTTCCATACTCATGATGAGGTCCAAAAACTGAAGGAAGGTGAAATATACAAGCTTGAAATTGGTCTGTGGGCAATGGGAATCGACTTTGAGCCTGGCGAGGGAATCAGCGTGCAAATCTCTGGTGAATACCCACTGGTGGATGAATTTCAGGGACGCTTAAAGAAGGAACAGATCGAAGAGAGGAACCGAGGTAAACACGTAGTCCACTTTGGCGGCGAGCATGCTAGCCATGTCATATTGCCATTTGTACCATATGAGGCAAACTAAATCCCCGTTGAACAGCAATTGGAGCGCATGCTCTTTCCATCCGTTCATCAATATTCCAATAACCTTGATTACAAAAGCTTTTATCAAGTAGTTCCTGATTCAGAATATCGAATGCGTCAAATCAAACAGGACCTTAGCGACCATCTTACCCAGATGCTAATGGTACTTTTTGACTAGATTCACCCATTTTGACGATCCAGAAGCCCTGGAAACCTTCTCTCTTGCCAATGTCGAGGAGGACTTCATCCGTAGGCGGTAGAATTGTAACTAGTTCGCCAGTCTTCACACCAAGGGTCTTCCATGCGCCTCCTCCAGCCTGTAAGAATTCAAAGCGTAAGGCCATAAGCGCGATGAATAGCAACACTTCTGTGCTTGCGAACTGTCTGGCAGGGCAGAGATGTGGCGGACTCCCCCATGGCAGAAATGCATAGCTATTTGGCAGTTCACTTTTCGGCAGCACAGAAGTACCCTTTGTAAAGCGATAGGGATCAAAATCAGCGGCGTTTGGGCCCCATATATTCACATCCTTATGAATTGGACCAGAGGGCATTTGAACGTACTGTCCTTGAGCAAGGAAATACTTCATTTTAGTTGTTGACGACTCGATGAGGGTGTCGGAAATGACTTCACGAATCATGGCATGGATTGACTTCGTCCGCTGTGACTCTTGGAACGACGATAACAGCAAGGGACATTTGTTTCGCAAAGCTGCCACGTCAAGTTCAAATGTAGAACAGCCATTGACGGCCCTTTTTATCAACGCATTTGTCTCAATTTCGGCGCGAATAGCTTTCAGAAGCTCAGGTCGCGTGAAAATGTCGTATAATGCCCAAAAACTTGTGGGAATCGTGTTTCCTAGAAGCGCGAGGTTGAAGCTAGCTTGATGCGCTGCCTGATCTCTCAACGCAACCTCGTCACGGTCATAGAGGCGCTTTCTTGATTTCGTAATCTCCGCTGCATCGGACCAGTCAGAGGTCCAGTACTTTTCGAATGCCTTGAAAAGTCTTTCGCGCGCGGCTAGCTCCTTACGCAGAAACGCACTCGGCAGCTTGGCTGTTTGCTTCTTGATACCTTGAGCCCAGATCCTTCAAGGCTCACTGTCAACCAATGCATGTTGATTTTGCGCGAAACACGTACCAGTAGTCATTCTCCACTGCAGGGTCTCGAAAAGGATTGTTCTTCCCATACACGCCATCCGAAGCTGCCACGGTGATGGTGTGATGTATCCATTTGTATATGTTGAAACGTTTCTTTCCTTCTATTCCAACATCTTCGTCTAGCTGGTCTATGAAATTCTTTAGACTCTCCCCGGCCATGAGGTTTTGGTAGTCTAAATGACTTCCAACGGCTAGGGCATTTCGCGTGTCGCGGAATAAATCCTCGATCCAACGATGGCCTTCTTCGTGCATTTGCATAAAAGGCTCGGATACGCTGCACCACACTCTAGAAGCCAGCTGGGCAAAGGGACGAAAGGATAAGGTCCGCGCATTACGGATAATGACAGGAAACAGATGGCGCGAGTTGAGAACATAGATCCGGAACGAGAAGATAGGCAGCGTGAAAATCTCTGGCTGGCCCGGGCTGATTCTATGCTTAGAGTTCTGAGAGTCATCTGAGCCGAACGTACGCGAACTAACCTAACGATGTCATAGTATCTACTACCGTGCAGTGCAAGCCCTAAGGCATGACCAACCAAAGGGATTCTTGGTCTAACGTAAGGGGGCTCTTGCGAATGTCGGCGATGGCAAAAGCACGCATCTAGAAGATAGGCAAGAAGCAGGGCGAAAAGGACGGCGAAGAGTGATGTGCTAACCATTGTGTGCGGGGATCAGAGGTAGAAAACAGACGGCAGGTTCGCACGCTTGGTTGCAGAGAAAGCAAATTCGGTCCGCTTTAACAACAAATGGTCTCTACAGCTGTGCGCTACTGTGGTGACATTATCTAGGATGGGTAGAACATGTCCAGCTAGGGAGAGCGCAAAAGATTAGTGATGCGCATGCGTTAAGCTAACTGAACGTTAACTGTGAAGCACTTCAAAAAGGGAGTCTTATGTAAGCACTAATAATGCTGCGTTCTTGTGAGTTACGAGAGGTTGAGTTTGTGACACAAAAATCGCCAGCCAAGCTCGGCGGTGTTGAAGATAGTTCTTGTGCAACAGCCTCAAGGAGCAGACAGAAAAAGAACCGTCACTGTTCTAGAACGACGCATTGCGATGCTCGATTTGGGTTCAATCTGCGCAGAAGAATAAGTTATTCAAGTTCGCGCTGAAGAACAACGCTCACGTGAAGCTCACATGATGCGCCAGTTCACGTGACTGTGCTAACCGACCCAGGCAAGTCTTTCGCCGCAGCCAATCAGATGAGGCCAGATTGAACATGCCCTGAGCTAAACCTCTTCAGTACGAGTGTGTCTTTGGTGCTTGCGCGAACGCCGCCCTCGCTCGTCATCCTTTTGGATTCATACGATAGTGAACACCTGGCGCAATTGTCTCGCCAGCTATCCGCAAAACCCTAAATTCACTCTCTCTGCCCCGGTGCCCTAAGCTTTGCTCATGCTTCTTCTTTCTCCCTTATCTGTCCGTCTCTTCTCATACTTGTTCATATAAAAGCTGGAGAAACCGACTGCCGCCCGCGCATCGATAATTCCGTGCAGCACTATTCTCTGATTTCTATTCTTGTTCTGTTCTCTCTTCTCTCTCAATTACCCGAGATCGTCACATTCCATCTGCGTTGCCGACCCGAGTTCGAGAGACCCTGCGGGAGTCCTGCATACCCGTATCAGCACGTCTTTAACGCTGCAATCTACACCTTGACCACACAATGCTCCCACCGGGCCGACGACGCCCCCTGCGTCTCCTCCCGATAGCTGTTGCCTTTCTTCTCTGTTTTGCCTCAATAGCGTCTGCGGCATCTGCGGTTGTTGGCATTGATCTGGGGACTGAATACATCAAGGCTGCTCTTGTAAAGCCTGGTGTTCCACTAGAGATCGTTCTGTCTAAGGATTCGAAGCGGAAAGAAGTAAGCGCTATAGCTTTCAAACCTCCGAAAGGTGAAATCGCCGTCGGCAGTTTTCCAGAGCGAAGCTATGGCAGCGATGCGTTAGCTCTTGCCGCTCGCTTTCCAGGCGACGTGTACCCGAACCTGAAGCAGCTGCTGGGCGTGTCAGCCGACAGCAATGCCGCAAGCGAGTTTGCCTCGCGATATCCCGCCCTTGCGCTCGTTCCAGATGAGTACCGCGGTACGGTCTCCTTCCAGAGTGGTGCTTTCCACCGAGACGAGAAGCCTTGGACAGTTGAGGAACTTCTTGCCATGGAGCTGAAGAACGTAAAGGAGAATGCACAGACGCTTGCAGGCAAGACGCACAGAGTCACTAGTGCTGTTTTTACCATCCCCCCATACTTCACAGCCGAGGAGAGGAAAGCGCTACAGAATGCTGCAGAGCTGGCAGGATTGAATGTTCTTGGCATGCTCAGTGACGGTGCTGCTGTAGGTCTGCATTATGCAACGTCAAGAACGTTCCCTAGTGTCACGAACGGAGCAGCTCCTGAATACCACTTAGTCTTTGACATGGGTGCTGGATCCACCGTGGCGACGGTGCTTCGCATGCAAGAACGGACAATCAAGGACACCAGGAGGTACAACAAGACAGTTCAGGAAGTTACCGTGCTTGGTGCCGGATGGGACAAGTCCCTTGGTGGAGATGCTCTGAACATGGTGATTGTGAACGACATGGTCTCCAAGTTCGTCGAGACATCAAACTTCAAAGCTCTGGGAAAAGACGAGGTTGACGTGAGACGTCATGGTCGTGCCATGGCTCGCATGTTCAAGGATGCCGAGAAAGTTCGACAAGTTCTCAGTGCCAACAAACAGACGGCCGCAAGCTTCGAAGACCTGTTTGAGGACCTGGACTTCAGATACAAGCTCTCCCGCGACGAGTTTGAGAAAGCTACTAGTGACTTCGCTGATCGCCTTGACGGGCCGATCACATCCGCCCTCAAAGCGGCGAACCTTACCTTTGACCAACTGACATCTGTTATTCTTCATGGTGGTGCGACTAGGACGCCATTTGTCCAGGCGAGACTTGAAAGCTTGGTTGGTGATGCAGCTAAGCTTCGTAGTAATGTTAATGCAGATGAGGCAGCAGTTTTTGGTGCCGCCTTCAAGGCTGCGCAGATAAGTCCGAGCTTTCGTGTCAAGGACATCGTGGTCGGAGATGCAGCAGGGTATGCCACCTTCCTCCTGCAAAATGTTGACGGCAAGGAGAAATCACAGAAGCTATTTATTGCGACATCGACTGTTGGCGTTACCAAAGAAGTGCCGTTCAAGCAGCTCGATGACTTCACGTTCCGTATTTTTCAATCAAAAGGTGCCTCCGATGAAACTGGGACTGCTCCAGCCTCATATACATTCACCACGAAAAATCTCACCGCAAGTGTCAAGCAGCTGATAGAGAAGATTGGTTGCAATAAGGAAAATATCACAAACAGCTTCCACATTCGGCTAAGCCCTGTAAACGGCTTGCCAGAGGTCTTGAAGGGTACGTTAAGCTGCACAGTTGAGGAAACAGAGAAAAAGAGTATGGTGGATGGTATGAAGGATATGTTGGGTTTTGGCAAGAATAAAGAACAGGAACCGCTAAAGGAAGACGAGAGGGAACCATCCTCTTCATCTTCACAACCGCCACAATCATCAGCAGATCAAGCGAGCATCTCTACATCAGGTTCAAGCGAGTCTCCTAAAGAGAGCAAGGGTGCAGATAAGGCAAAAGCGCCTAAGATAAGGACTGAAGTTGTCAACATTGACTTCAGGACCGAGTGCGAAGGATGCATCGAGCTGTCCCGTGAAGAGCTAAGCCGCATGAAGAAACGTCTATCTGCCTTCGATGCTGCGGATAAGCTGCGACGCGAACGAGACGAAGACATGAACAACCTTGAATCTTTTATCTACAAGGCTCGTGGTCTTCTGGAAGAGAACGATTTTATCGAATACTCAACAGTCGACGAGCGAAAGAAATTAGAGAAGCTGGTGGACTCCGTAAGCGAGTGGATTTACGAGAAAGAAGGGCAGTCCGCGACCGCTGAGGTTCTGAAGTCCAAACTGAAAGAGATGAAGGACATTGTTACGCCAGTGCAAGAAAGGCAAAAGGAAGCCGAATCGAGGCCTGCGGCAATCAAGATGTTGCAGAAAAGTCTTAACGAGACAACTACGTTTATCAAGTTAATCAGGAACGCTCTTGAGCAGTCGGCGTCTGCATCATCAGAAACAACAGCATCTGAATCAGTACAGGTAACGAAATCGGCAACAGATGCGTCCGAGTCTTCCACTTCCCGCGGAGCTGAGACAATTACTGAAGATACAGATCCATTGGCTGCTCTAGAAGAAGACCTTCCCCCAGTGTCAGAATCCATGCCAGAATCCACCAAAAAGCCTGCCAACCCTTTCGAAATGTATACTGCTCAAGATCTCGCCGATGTTCAGAACCTATACGACAATGCAAAGACGTTCCTCGAGGAGAAACTCGCCAAGCAAGCTGAACTTGCAATTACGGAGAACCCAGCTTTCCAAGCTAGCGAGCTCGAGAATGCTGCAAAGAAACTCAACGAGGAAGTTGTCAAGATCGTCGAGAGACACATGCCCAAGTGGAGCAGCGGCAGCGGTGGGACCAAATCAAAGTCCAAGGCAAAGACTGAAAAGGGTAAGGCAAAGGCCAAAGCCGAAAAGAAGACAAAGAAAGATGCAACCGCGAGCTCGTACAAGACGCAGAGTGAGACAGTCACTCTCGAGGTATCCAAGGACATGCCGACGGACACTGCCAAATCGACGAGCACCAAGGATGAATTGTAGGAGCTTAGCGAAATATCTGAAAATTTCTGATGTATCATAGACATGCATTGGGCTGGCGTTTTAAATGATCAAACTTCAATCAAAACGATTTGAAAAATGTGCTCGTGCTTCCTTACCTCTGCTTTCCACCCAAATTCGCTCAAAGTACCAACGTGCTGCACTTGGAGAAAGAACTGGGAGCAAAGTCCTTCCCGTTAAGCATGGCTGAAATGTTGATTTAGGGTGTGACACAACAGAACCCCCGGATTTTGACACAGAAAGCGAACATTAGATCATGAGCACCACTAACGCAAAGAAAATCTATTGTACGTCACTTCCTTATTGCTATACTCGTGAACCTCATTTTTTCGTATCCTTGACAAACCAGGCGTTTGTCGAACAACGTGAAACATGGCCCAACTATCCAAAGCAGATGCCAAGAAAAAGCGAAACTTTTGCGGGCATTGCTCGATTGGGCTTTATGGCCGGTTTCTTACTCGAGGATGTGAAGGCTAACATAGTGGTGACGCAGGTAAGGATAGACTGATTATATAATTATCATGGGCGATAATTTTCATTAGAGATAGGATCTTCGGCACTCATAGCTCGCATTATTCAGGGCTATAAGGAAAGGAATGAGCAGGTAGCATTCCCAAATGAAGCTTCGTTAATCAATTGACATACATCGGAGTCGCCTCTATGCTCCAGCAATTGGTGAAATACCATTAAGCTAACTTTGCAATCGCTCAAGGATGTACGCACACTACTCACTGAACACATTCTTGTCTCCCCTGCATAGCTTGTTTGTTACATGACACTTGGCAAGAGAATCATCCGCGAGTCTCTCCCGCAGTCAAGAATGCAAATGTTTCATCTCAAATCAAGATGCAGTGGGAAAGGCTATGCATGAGCGATGTCTGCAGCATATATTATTTCGGACGGTCTCCTGTCCCAATGATACGTCATCGTCAACTATGCTGCACGGTTGAAGCTCCATATAACATGCAGTATTCTTGCATTGATGTGACCATCGTGTCGAGAAGCTAGGAGTCCAAGCGGAGGAAACAATGTGCTGAACCTCATAGAATGTGCGATATTGCGCAGTGTGAAAAACTTCCAATTGTGTTGCAGTGTTTTCCCTCCACAGATCCTTAGTCTTGGCGAAACCCTTCACCGAGTCGCACAAATTATGCTGGTGAGCAAGCAGACAGCCGAGAGGAAGAAATGCTTAGCATTTGAGGCAACGTGAAAGCTCTGGGGTCGAGCGTACTCAGCGGTACCAATTGATATGATCTCCTGCGGGTTCAATTTATGCTGACCAATTGCAGGTAGGAAGTCCTAAAGCATCATCCAGAGATCGTCCTTGGGACACATGATCTTAATATGATAAAATTCCTCGTCAAATTTTGAGACCATCTTGATGTCCTCAAACGTGGTTGTGATAACTCGGCGATTTTACCACTCGTGCGCGCTCTCAAGATCACTAGAACCACAAATTGGGTTTTAGGTCGGTTTGGCTCTTGTCTTTCAGAGACAGAGTTCGCCAGAAAGCTCAGAATTTCGACCCTTTTCCAAACATCACCAGTCCCGACCATAAAAATTTCTTCTGCTGGGTCCACCGCCAGTAGATGGTACGGGATCCCCTCGTCGCCATTCGCCAGCAGGCAGTCCGCTGCCGATACTACGACCACCTCTTCTTGAACCCATAGAGACCGACCAATAACCATTCTCTCGGGGCGGACCGTGTCTGCCCATTACGCCTCTTTGTGGTATCGCTATGTCTCCATTTGCCAGCGGAGGATAGAAAGCACAGTCGATATAATCGCCAATGACGAACTTCGCGTCAGCTAGTGTCTTGCTCTCGTCTGAGGCAACGTAAGATCCTCTCTGTACTGCCCCATCACCCACGGGTACACCAGGTCCACCAGCGCCCACAATCACGGATCCAAGTGGCTTCTTTTGATACGAACCATAGCCGTCACCTCGTGGCTGCGAACGCATGTCAGGGAAAACCAATTCAAAATCCAACCTTGTGCCAATAACTGGGTCAGGAAGGATTCTTTTTAGCCTCTCTGTAACTTCGTGTGCGAGCTCATCGAGGGTAGTCGTAAGCCAAGTGTATATCTCGATGTAAGGGGGGGTGGGTTCGATAGGATGGAAAGCGTCGACGCGATTGTGCCCGCCCTCCTTGTAGAAGAGCTTTACAAGGAATGGCGCGACCGCGTTACGGTCCATGGTAGCCTCCGGGCGATCTCAATGGGGGGGACTTTTTGTTTTTCTTACGTGATTGTCCTATCCGTTACGATCTGGTTGCCGCAATTATGTCGACCTCGCGTTCTCGTAGCTTCGTCGCGGCCTTGTGACTTTGCTATCTGTGGTTTGAGCGCGCTACACTTCTGAGTACTTATTCACCGAGCTGAATGGGAGTATCTTGATGTTTATAGTATAAGAGACCATGTCCCATCAAGTCAAAAATCAAAAGGTTCTGCTGAAGCCAAAGCACACTGGAGATGTTTCGACTTTTCACTTGCGCTGGCCTTGCAGCCTTGCGATGATGGGCGTGCGCGATTTTCGACCATCGGTCTTCCTGCACTGCACATGCTTCCGAGACTCTTGGAGCGTGACTTATCTCCTTCGTCTTGCTCATTGTTAATTGTTGCGCGGTGAACTTTGTGCCGCTTGCCTATCATGTCGTGCAACATACAATCATCGCCCCGCTGCTTCTTAAATCCATTTGAGAATAGATGAAAGCATCATCATGGAGCTTGTCACCCTTGCTTTCGCAGATTACGATCATCCAGATGCAAGTGGAAGTCCAGACAAAGACCAGCAGCATCCCACGAAGCGCCGTAAAATCAACCTTGCTTGTGAGCAGTGCAGGACGCGCAAGGCAAGATGCGACGGAACCAAGCCAGAATGCGGGAATTGCAAGCGACGGAAAGAACAGTGCGCGTATAAAGTAACTAAGGCGCAACATGACACAACACAAGATTACGTTGACTCGTTGCTTGCCAAGATTGCTGCGCTCGAAGATGAAAATGCGAAACTACGCGAGCAGAAGGCCACTAATGAACAGGATTTGTTGACGAAGCTGCTTGATCGAGTTTGTCAGCAATCTGTCGGTAGCTCTCCGCCTATGGTGCAAGTTTCAATGTCTGGTCGCGTACTTGTCAGCAAAAAGGGCAGTGACGTTGATGCTATGGGGGCTGCCTCAAGCTTTATGGTGAACCGTTCACCCAAAGGAAGCTATTTCGGAGACTCGTCGACCACTTCACTCATGGAACAGGTGCTTAAAGCAATCGGCGAAGGAGGAAGCAATGAGACGTCCGGCAGCACCTTTCGGGCATCATCCTCTCTGCCTGTTGGTATCGACAATGCTACTTTCGAAGCAGATTTTGCAGGTCCCGAGAACTTCGCACTATTTCCTCGTCCTGTGACTGACTTTCTTTTAAGTCGCTATTGGGACAAAGTGCACTCGTTGTATCCATTCATTCATAAGCCAACATTCATGCAAAGCTATGAGCGACTATGGCGAGGCAGTGCAAAGCCTGCGCCTGATAACCCGGCTTTGGGTCTGGGTGAATCCGGTTCTGCTGGGCCGCTCTCATTTACCTTTCATTGCGCCCTCAACGCAATGCTTATCCTTGGGCTGCAATTCACACAATTTCCTGCGGCAGAGAAGGACAGCCTGGTTTTTCAGTGTTTGCAAAAGTGCAAAAACCTGCTTAAGGTGGATCTATTCAACGAAGGCTCTCTAGCTGTTCTCCAGATGACCCTTTTACTTGCGCATTTCTTTCAATCCACCGCATCCCCGAATAAATGCTGGAACATCGTCGGCATATCATGTCGCGTCGCACAAAGTCTTGGGCTCCATGTTGATGGCATTCGTCCCTCACAGCTTCCACCCTTGGAGCGAGAGCTTAGGATAAGAGCTTGGTATTCTTGCGTAATATTTGACATGATCATTGCTATGGCTCTTGGTCGCCCTGTCATGCTAAGACGGCGTCATTCTGTTCCGCTACCTGAACCTACTGAAGACGAATACCTTCTGCGTGGGGTGCCCCAACCAGAACATCATGTGTCTGATCTGCTGTTTTACCGCGAATCACTTAAACTCTTCGTTGTTATGCGAGAATTTCTCGCGGAGATGTACAAAGATGGCTATGGTCAGTTGAACCATATTGCAAAGAAGTTAGATAAAACAGCAGAGCTGGACGGTGAAATTTCGAGATTGCAGACCCAGTTACCAGATGTTTTAAATTGGGAAAAGCCGATTCACGAGGATATACGCGGGAACAGATCAGTGCTTGAACAACAGCGCCATGTACTTCATTTGCGATTTTCAGCTGCACGCATGGGTCTTCATCGGCCTCTATTTATTGATTATTGCAGAACAAAATCCGTGCAACAACCATCTGAATTATCGACGCGATTTTCAAAATGCGCCGCCGTTGTATGCATTCATTCATCTATTACACTTGTAGAGGTTGTCGATCGGTACGCAGGAACGGAAGCTACTTGTGAATGGTGGTACAACGTGTTTTTCATACGCATGGCGGCGGCAATTCTCATGATTGCAAAGATCCAACCCGAGCTTGTTCTTGAGGTTGGACTATCAAGACTCGAGCAATCATGGCAGCTGTGTCTTCATGTGTTGAAAACCAAGCTGCCCAGCAATGACCTGGTGCGAAATTGCATCGACGGTCTGGAAAGCATGTATGATCAGGTAGATAGGTATGTTAAGATGCGAGATGCCAGAGTGACCAGCGCAGATGGGCTGGCAGTATTTTCAAGTGAGACTGATCCCATTAATGCCGCATTTATAAATGAAAGCGCTGGAAATCCCTTTATTGACGGAGGTTTCTTCAATACAAGCACGGATGAATGGGGATTTGCTATAGACGACTATGCTGGCACGCTTCTTTAGGTCTAATATGATCAAAACTTGCAATATTTTGGTCTATAGTATAATATCTATACTTAGAGCATATATTTATTGGATTTAAGTGCTCTTTGCAACTGGCCATTTTACAGTTACAATATGCTTAGGTTATAATAATAAATTAAATACATCTATATCATATCAGCTTATTGTTACGAAGTAACACGTGAGGAATCATGTGAAGTGATTATTTTGATTATTTTAAGTAAAATAAGCGCTTCTCCTAATCACCTTAAGGGATGCTAATTTTATAATTAGTATAGGACTAGGAAGCATACAAACACTTATAATCTATAAAAGGATATACTTTTCCTTAACTTCACTCTCTGTAGTTAAACTATGTAGTATATCTAGTTTATTAGTTCTTAAATCTATTCCTATCTATTAAAGTATACCTATCCTACCTATCAAATTAGGTTGGCCAAGAAGCAGTTCCAGTCCTGCTCGATGCTGTACTGGAAGTATTCAGTTGTTATAAGAAAGCCTTTGCTTTAATCATCTAGATGTAATCTGTCAGTATAGAAAGGTAAAAAGAATTAAAAAAAAGCCTTACCAAAAGTATTGATCCCTAACGGCTAACCGCTAGAGCTAACCGGTTAGGGTTAGGGTTAGGGTTAGGGTTAGGGTTAGGGTTAGGGTTAGGGTTAGGGTTAGGGTTAGGGTTAGGGTTAGGGTTAGGGTTAGGGTTAGGGTTA